AAAATAGCCTTTTAAATATAATATAGGTATATAATAATATTACTTAGACTTATTAATATATTAATTATATTCTAAAACTATATCTATACTATACTATATTATATAGCTTACTTAATATAATTTATATTACTTACTTAGATTAATATTCTTATTTTTTTATCTAACTAAGAATTATATATAAAATACCTTTAATAAATTCTTAAAAGGCTAAGAGAAATATAACTCTACGCAAAAATATCTAAATATATATTTTATTAAGACTAAGTAAAATTCTTAGGCTTTATAATTAGTAGCTAAGATGTTATAATAGACTTATAACGTATTATTATTATTATATCGTAGGAAATATCTAATATATTCTATAATATCTAAGTATTCCTAAGATTTTATAACTTCTACTAACGCTTTATTAAGGGATACTCCCTTATTATAGTCTCTCTTATTAACCTCCTAAAAGAAAATCAGAATAATAAGGAATAAGGGAATATAGACCTAAATAATACTAAAAAGGTAGCGTTCTAATATCTAAAAGATATTTTCTAATAAGCCTTACTCCTTAGATTTTTTAACATAATTAAATATATCTATATTAAAATTAATATATCTAACCTAGGGATAGCTAGGATAATATTATAACCTAATAATATAGATTAGTAATATCTTATAGCGTTTTAGTTAAGAAAATTTACTAATATAAAACTAAATTATAGTACTTTAGACTAAGAACTATTCGCTATTATATATTTATTTAAATAATAGCGATATTACTTAAAAAGAAGTAAGTACCTTATTAAGGTCCTTTCTAATTATTTAAATCTCTAAGGCTTTATAAAATAGCTTAAAATTAATAAATCTTATGTATAGTAATATTTATTCTTTACCCCCTTTAATTTTATAATTAAATACTAAATAAAATAAATCCTACTAATAGCCACTTATAATAGCTGAATAAAGATATAGCTCTAAGAATATAGCTTCTAAACCTAATTTAAGAGAGAATTATACTTATTTTAGAGATTAAACTAAGAGATCTCTTAGCTAATAAATCTTAGAGTATAATAACTAAAAAGAACCTAAACTCTATATATAAATTCTTAATAATACCCAAGTAAATTAAGGCTAAGATAATATAATAATAGCTAACTAAGCTATCTAAAAAAAGTTAAGTTATATTTAATAATTACCCTAAAATATAATATAAAGTGTTAGTGTTAGTAAGAGCGCTTATATAGAGTATATAAGCGCTAATCTACGAATCTAGGTTAAGAGAATCTAGAATAATAATCTCGAGACTTAAAACTAAAAGGTAGCTATTTTATAAGAGAAGCGATATATAAAAGGATCATTTATTAACCTTAATAGCTTATATCGGGTTATAAGGGTAAAGCTACCACGAAGCAGATCGTGGCCCCTTAAGTCCGTGGGATCAACCTTAGTCCGGCTAGGTCAGTCAGTGCTAGACAAAGGTAGAAAATTAAAGGACCTAGGATAGGCTATAAGCAGATATAGCCTAAACGAAGGCAGAACCATAATCCGAAGGGATTAAAGGAAGAAGGATAGAAGAAGGTAAAGATATTTATAGAAAGTGGAAAATAACTTTAGGAAAGTAGTAATAACTTAATTCTATCTACTAAAAAAGAAAGATATATTTATAGGCTAGAATAGCCTAGAAATAACGTTTAGAATAATATATAAATAACGTATAAGTAATAGGCAGTAATATAATAAAGGTAGTAAAGTAGGGAACAAAAGAGGGGTAAAAAAAAATAAGGTTAAGGATCGATAGTCTAAGTCATCCCAAAGGCACCCCTAAAGGATTAGGCTATATATACCTAAAGATAAACTATTTTACCCCTAAGGGAAAGTGGTTCGCCTATCCTTAGGGGACTAAGGGCCAAAGTCTATTTACTAATGTCCGAAGACTATAATTAAGGTTCGCGGGTAAGGTATACCTAAAGGTACCCCTAAAGGAACAGACTATTTATACCGAAAGGTAGACTATTTACCCCTAAAGGGAAATAGTCCCGCCTATCCTTTGGGGGGGGTTAAGGGGCCGTTACTTAGTCGGCTGCGGACCAAAATAGTCCGCGAGCCAAAGTGGTCTGAAACTTATTTTGGAGAAGAAAAAAGTCCGGTCATGTGATCGATGTTTTTGGGTCATATGTTGAATATAAGGAAAGATCTTTCTATGTAGCATTGGTCTATATTCCAATAATATTATCAATAATTACTATATTATTAATATCTCTATCCTTATATTAAAGGCGAAGCGCGGCTAAAACATTATCGCGAAAGGTCCGCTTCGTAACGTGCTAAAAAATAACTATAATATCCGCGAGGGATAAATATAATATAAGCGAAGCCTCCTATAAGAGATCAATAATATTAGATACGCTAAGGCTAAAGTTATTAATAGGAATAAAGAGATAACTAGCTAAATATATTTAGTAAATAGCGAAGTTAACTTATAGAATTATTAGTAAAACTTATATAAAATAGGCCGCTAACTTATAGGCTTAGTAATATATATAATATCTAAGTTATAAATATTAAAGTAATAAGATATTAAATATAAGAAGTTAGTAATAAAGGCGCGAACTACCTTCTTACTATAGATATAAATAATATCTAATTAAATATAGTTATTAATAAGAAGCTTACTATCTTTATTTGCCTTCTTAGCGGACTTGGTAATAATAGTCTAAATATTTACGATATACTTAACTAAATTAACTATATTAATTAAGTTACCCTATATATTAAGGGGAACCTAAATAAGTTAATAATAAAATATAAGCGAATAAAAAAGATAAATAAACTAAAGGGTAAGGATAATTACTATAGAAATATACTTAATATAAAATAGAACTTAGTATATTATATATATAAATAACTAAAAAGGCGCTCTACCTATCTTAGTCTTAGAGGGAGCGATAAACGTAAGGAATATACTAAATAAGCTTTAGGATTAGAGATATATCTTATAGAGGCGATAGCTAAGGGATATAGGAGTAAATATATTAATTTATAAGCGAAATAATAATAAAAATAAAGATAAAAAAAAGAAATAAAGAGGAAGCTAGACTAATAATAAGTTATAGCTAAAGAACAAATAAAAAGAAGTTAAAATAATACTAAATATAAGAACTAAAGAAGAGTAAGTAGATATTAAAGGAAGGAAAGTAAAGGAGGAAAAGTAAGAAAAGAGAAGTGAGAATATAGGTAAATAAAAATATTAATAATATTAATACGTAACCAAAAAGGACACACACTAACACTTATTACTATTAGCTAAATCAAAACAAAAATACTATCGCTATATCGCGATTAGGACTACCGCGAAACTAGGGAGAGCCTAATACTATTTATAACTTCTATATAACTTACCTAAGTATAATAATACTTAGGGCTTATACCTATTATATAACCCTAAACCCCAAAAGGTCACGTAATTAAGATAATAACACTAGAAAAAAAAAACTTTTTATAATCACCTCTGGGGCCCATCGTCTCTAGAGGGGGAGGTAGTTATAAAAAAATACTAAGGACTAGCGGTAAAGGTTTACCCCGTAGTGTAATAAGCGAGTCTCATACCTAATTCATACTTAATTCGAGAGGGTTTCCAGATAACTTAGACTTAGCAAGATATAGTCTTACTTCTTATAATATTATACTCTAGTCCAGACATCCTTCCTTACCTGACCGATAGGCTTCTACCCTGAACACGTAGATTCTTTACATATTATATATATAAATAACTAAGAAAGCGCTTAGCCTATCTTAATCTTAAAAGGAGTAATAAATATAAAAAATATATTAAACAAACTCTAAGATTAAAGATATATCTTAAAAAGAGCGATAGCTAAAAGATATAAAGAAAGATATATTAATTTATAACTAAAATAATAATAAAAACAGAGATAAAGAAAAAAAATAAAAAGAAAGCTAAATTAATAATAAGTTATAGCTAAAGAATAAATAAAAATCAGTTAAAATAAAGCTAAATATAAAAATTAAAGAAAAGCGAGAAGATATTAAAAATAAAAAAAAAGAGAAAAAGTAAAAAAATAAAAATAAAAATATTAATATATATTCTTATTAGCTAAATTAAAATAAAAATATTATTATTATATTATAGCTAAAACTATTATAGAACTAAAAAGAGTCTAATATTATTTATAACTTTTATATAATAATACTTAAGGCTTATACCTATTATATAATCCTAAACCCTGAAAGATTATATAATCTAAATAATATTATATATAAAAAAAAAACTAAATAAGAAAAAAAAAAAATTTTTTACTAATTACCTTTAGGGCCTATCACCTCTAAAAGAGGAGATAATTATAAAGGAATTCTAAGAACTAGCGATAAAGGTTTACCCTATAATATAATAAGCGAGTCTCGGACCTAATTCGTACTTAAAATAAGTGTCACAAGCCAGTACGAAAGAAGTCGTGTGCTATTCGAAAAGTTCTAAACTGGAGAAAGAAAGGGAAGAGAGAAAGAGAAAGAGAACAACTACAAACAATACCCTCCCCCGTGTCCCATTCGGGACTAGCTCACCACATGTGACCTCTCCTCGAACTCTCCCTGAACCATGCGTCACAATAAGAGGGTTTCCAGATAACTTAGACTTAGCAAGAATCAGTCTTACTTCTTTTAATACCAGACTTGAGCCCGGACATTCTTCCTTACCTAACCGATAGGCCTTCTACCCTGAACACGTAGATTCTTTACATATATATATATAGTGTATACAGAATGCCTGGCTATAAGGCCAACGATTATCCAGAACTAGTTTAAATTGAAAATAAAGGCGTTGTGGTTTTATAAAAGCTTCATGAACAAAGAATAAGTGTATACGGTGGCGGGCTTAGTGGGAAATACGTTATCCTATAAGCTAGTACGATCTTGAAAGTCACTTGAGCAGGATATCTTTTAATTACTCAGTAAAAATAGACTCATGAGCAGGCTTTCTTGTATCGCCATCGGCGCTAATCATCAGGATACTCATCTTTCACGTTACTAACAAAAGCTCGTGTGGCCTCGTCCCACCGTTTGAAATGTTTCCCTGCAATGGCCGTCAAACTATGCGGCAACTCCGTGAGACGAGGAAGGATAAGATCGATGTTTTCCTCGGCCACGTACCGAACACTCCGATCCTCAACACTGGACTCAATTAGCTTGCAATAGACATAGATGAAGACAGGGAGACTCACAGAACGTGGTAGAAACTCTGATGTCGGCCAGCTTGCAAGCGATCAATCCCCATTCGCCTCATCCACTGTTCTCCAGCGCCACATTCCGAATCCCAACCGGTGATGATAGCCCAATAGTGGTAGCGACGGTGTCGAAAGACTTGGCCAACTCTATATCGAATGGTCTTATTCATATCGGTCCTCCTGTGCACCTGCTTGGGTATTTCGTCGACTGCCCGCATGACATGGAGGCTTTCCAGTATGTGTTCGTGCTCAAATAGCCCGTGAAACAGAGGCACGATGTACTGCTCCACCAAAAATATATCGGACGGGAAATCGGTGGCGAACAATTCCATCAGCCATGGTAGCTGATGCCGTAGATCCATCGGTCGCGAATCGCCCGAAAGAAGCATTGAAGACCACAAAGCTGCGTACTTAGCACTCACCATGTCCACGGAGGTAGATGCTACCCCGGGTGAGTAGACGCAGAATGAATCGAGTTCAGTATATTTTTGCTGCAGCGCAAGACAATTTCCGATGCTTGAGCATCACCCAGAAATTCGGTCTGGTCTGACACACCGAGGAAGACCAGCTGGTCTCGTAAGTCCGAGACTGGGGTCTCTCTTGCTCCCCGAAATGGGTCCAGATACATCGGGGAACCTTGCTCCGCATCAGCCAGGGCGTTGCCGCTCATGTCAAAGCCCGGTTGTGGAGTAATGACGACATGAACGTGAAATGGAAATCCGCAAGGATGGGCATTTAGTCCAAGCTCCTGAGCGGCGTAGCAATAGATGGCAGCCGAGATCAAAGGCAGCGAATTGTGACCAAGACTCCGTAGAGCTAGCCCTAGGAAGTTGTGCTCTAAAGAATGATACTCCCGTCCCGCCTCAATTCCGGTGAAATCATTCAGTTGCAGCCATCGGGCAAGTTCTAGAGCCTTTTCGCGCGGGCTGAGGGAGTCCACATCGGGATGAAATGCAGTAAACTGACCAACAATTGTAGCCAGCATTTCTTGTATCTAGAAAATGTTAGGGAGCAAAAAATAAAGGAGGACAAATCGTTGAAGTTAGGGGAAATTGACCTCGTCCAAGTCCCCCAAATCCACTCTCCGGAATAAATAAATCAAAGGCACCCAATGCGCGCTCAAGCGATACTGGCTCCCCGCGCCTGAGTTTGGCCCATTCAGGGACTGCCATACTTCGGTGGAGGCAGGTCAATAACGCCCGGGCGTAATACCTTGCGTCAATGGTTACCAGTCAGCCAGGCCACCGAATGAAGAATTGAAGCTAACCTTCTTGCAAGGTGATCTTCTCCAGCTTCCACTTGGCCGTGTCGCAGAAGAGTATCCTTCGCGTCATATCCGAAATCAATCACAGCCCGAAATTTATCGATGCGCCCTGTCTGGCTAGCTAGAATACTATCAAGAAGGTGGGTGGCGGAGCGATCGATGCGATATCGTAAGATAAAGAGCGCTTTCCAGTCGACCGTAGAAACCGGGCTAGCAAGCTTCCGAACGATACTATGCCTTCTATCCCAGGACTTGTAATGTATTTGGCAGTAGTGGCGCCATAGCAAAGGCTCGTTGGTCACATTCTCGAAGCGGTGACTGGTTTGTTCCAGGGCAACGCATGAGCGAGGGTGACAGTAGCATAGAATGGAGTGGAGTATCTCGTCCGGAAGGTGGTTCAAAGATCGGAGCATGCCTGTAGGCGAAGGCCGATTCTGGGAAGGTTGCGAGGAGCAGATAAAGGACCCCTCCCTGCAATCGTCTGAATCCCCGAGGGATGAGGACGATTTATGACCATGTGAAAGCACTCGCGAGAGTCAAGTAGCAAGATGCAAACTGTAAGCCGCAAAATGCAAGTATCCAGAGCCGACTAACTTAACGCCAGCGTTGGATCCTCGACCGGGAGGATAGGTTATAGGAGGAGAGCTGGAGATGGAGCTGGGTGGCTAAGCGGAGGCACCGAGAACCGGCGCGGAGAAAAAAAGGTTACTTCAGCCCACCACTGAACAGCGGTCCAGATCCGCACAAATACAGGCATTTTGATGCTTGGGGGCCTTTGAACGCTCTAGCCCTCCCTTTGATCCATCTTCTTTTCACATCTTGTTTTCTCCTTTGTTCCCTCTCCTCTCCGCGGGGTATGGGTCAATCTCAATCCACCGGCTCAAAAGGCCCCCAAGAGCAACAATCCGCGCGAAAGACAGACTATTACGAGTTGTTGGGTGTTGCACCAGCTGCTACCGATGATGAGTGGGCTCTCTAAACTCCCGATAACTTCCTGAACCGTGGGCTAATTCTTCAAAGGATCAAAAAGGCATATCGAAAGAAGGCCCTCGAGTTGCACCCCGATCGCAATTACGGGAATGCCGAGGAGGCTACAAAGCTTTTCGCTGAAATTCAATCGGCCTACGAGGTGCTCGCTGACCCTCAGGAGCGTGCGTGGTATGATTCGCACAGCGACGCATTTTTGGGGACCAACGGAGGCTCTGAGGGGGATCAACATTCCTACAACATTCGGATCACGACTGCGGAAGATGTCCTGAAGGTATTCGCAAAGTTCAGCCCGCGAATGGAATTCTCAGATTCGCCCAGCGGGTTTTTTGGCGGCCTCGGCGATCAATTTTCCCAATTGGCGCTAGAGGAGCGACTGGCTTGCCAATGGGAAGACCAAGACATGGTGGATTATCCCCCCTTTGGGACGCAGGCCGACGATTTTGAATCAGTCGTGCGCCCATTCTACGCCGCGTGGAGCGGATTCTCAACGAGAAAATCCTTCTCTTGGAAGGACGCTTATCGTCTTTCCGATGCCCCTGATCGGCGAGTCCGCAGGCTCATGGAAAAAGAGAATCGGCGCCTTCGAGATGAAGCTATACGCGAATTCAATGATGCCGTTCGGTCTCTTGTGGCATTTGTCAAGAAGCGGGACCCACGCTACAAGGCTAATGCTTTAAATGAGGCTCAAAGGCAGGAGACTCTGCGTCAGTCCGTGGCAGCTCAGGCGGCAAGATCTCGTGCGATGAATCAAGCAAAAATGCGCGATCATATCGTTCCCCAATGGGCTCAGTCCGAAGAACCCGTGGCAGATAACAGTCAAGAGACCTCGGAAAGTGAGGTCGAAAGCTTTGAATGTGTGGCGTGCAAGAAGCAATTCAAGAGCCAGAAGCAATTTGAGGCTCATGAACGTAGTAAGAAACATTTGAAGGCTGTTAAGCAGCTGCGTCGGGAGATGCTATTGGAGAATGAGCAGCTGGACTTGAAGCCTGCGGTTCAAGTTGACGCATACCGTGGCTTCGAAGGCATAAATGATCGCGATAATGATCATGATGGAGACGATAGTGACCACTGCTCTGGCCCCGTGGGCACCCAGCCGGATAGCTCTGCTGTTCAAGAAGACGGTTATCCCCAAGATACTCTATCAATAAGTAGGAGTAATCTTTCGGGCTCTGTATCTGAGGATGAGAAGTCCATCGAAGATGAGGACTATGTGTCTAGGGAAACCATTGAAACGAGGCTTCGCTCAGACTTCGATCCTTTGCTGGGCGATGACTCGATTCCTGCGCTGACCGAGCAATTGTCCTCTTCTGCGCTCAACGACGCACCAGCTGCGCCGCAGGTTGGCAAAGCTAAGCAGAAGCGGGCCAAAAAGGCAGCTCGGAAAACGGAAAAGCCCGGGGGGGGTTGTTTGTATGAAATGCAGTGTGACATTTGCCTCGAGGAATCAATTGTTCGGTCATATCCAAGACAACCCTTCCCACGCGCAACCGATTGCAGGTAAGGAAGAAGACGATGAAGTTCGAAGCACCTTCATCTCATGGGTTTGAAGTCCTCGGTCCTTATTCTATAGGCCTAGGTAAATTACAAGACATCACATCATTCTGAGGAAACACCTGTTCCATTATCTCTCTCTCTATATGCTTGTGTGTCAGGATCGAGCACGATATCGGAATTCATCCAAGACCAGCCCGCGAATTCTTTACCACCTGCGCAACAGGCTGAAGGATACCCTTGTTGTTGGAGGCTCCGAGAGCAGTGCCACTGCTCCATCCCATTTTCTCCAGCATCGCTCGTCCTCGGTTTTCTGCACCGATCTCTGGTGCAGAGGCACCTACCACATCGCCCTCCATGTATGAAACGGCTCCACCAACGGCTCCTCGCTTGCTCTTGGTTGGCTTTGACCCCTCTGGACCCCAGGAGTGGAAAATTCGACGATTAAATTTCCGTCCAGATAACAAGTTATCAACTCTAGAAATGGTTTTGCGAGTGTATGTAGGGGTACGCGAGGTTTTGACGAGAATCGGGAACCGCGCAATTCCATTGCCGCGGGACTGTGACTTGAGACTTAGAGTGTTGGCCAGCTCATGGATTGTCTTTCGGTGATTTTTGGTCATGGGTGGCAACGATAGACTAGGCCGAGTTAGTCAAGTCTATGGTGATGGGGTAACTCTCACGCACCTGGTCTTGGACGACAGGAGGAAGTTTCGCATTTCAGTTATCAGCTCCTCTAGGTTCATGCCCTTGGAATATTTGACCTTCAAGTCCGCATCTCCGGATGCCCTACCCAGCAATCCCTGCGAGCGAAGCTCCTCTCTTTCCTTCTTCTTGGCGGTCTTTTTCTTGCGGTCAGTCTGCCACGCCTCATGTAGGCTAAACTCAAGATCGCTGTCAGAAAGCATGAGATCTAACGCAGGTGGGGGTTTGCCTTTGCCCTTCTTCTGCAGGCTGGGTCTATTGAAGTCCATGATATCAAATCCATAGTAAGGGTCAGCCTCGAGGGCGTCTGCAAATGCGGACGCTGACGCAAATCCATGATTGCCCGGACGGCTACCCTTAGTCCTCTGTGTCGAATACCTGATGGCCAACTCTTCAAGGAACTCGGTGTCAATATCTCCTTGCTTCGTGTCCAGGTCGGAGTCGTCATATTCGTCAGAGTCGTCGGAATTCAGCCCAGCGAGGTCGTCATCAGAGCTTACAGCGGGTTCCGGTTCTGTATCCAGGTACATCTTAGACAATACTGGTCCTTTACGTTAATAAGTTTCGCATCCCAGACGTCACGGGTGACTCACCATCAATCGAGCTCTGCACTTGAGCCTCGTCGGTGATTTCTATGCAGGCATGTGCCCGTTCGAAATCGGGGCCAGCAATACTTGAACCCGACGATCCTGAATCTGCAACAGCATGGCCAACGTCAATACCACCTTCTATTTCGATATGGACGTATGAATCCCCGTCGCCATCTGTGTGGTAGTGGCGGTCCATGTTGGCAATATAATCTGCCAAATGGTCATTTTCCTCTTCATAGGGCCCGCGGCTCTGCCGCTCATCTGGTGCGCGGGGCCTTGGGTAGGTTGCGGTGAGGCATGTGAGTGCGTGGGTTTATCTATCTCTAGACTGACGTGTGCGAGGCGGTCTTCGGACGCAGTACGCAGGATTCCCTGCAACTCCTTCATGTCGGTTTCTATCACGGTGGGCTTCTGGTTGTTCTTGCGCCCCATGAAGACGACTTCATCTTCACTTGAGTCATCAGGGTCGCTCAGATCCAATCGCGGCGTCGGGTTTAGTAGCCCCGTATCGATAGGTTGTTGCCCTGTCGAGTCGAAGAAGAAAGTGCCAGTCTGGAGACCTTCGATTGGGTTTGAAGGTGCTTCTATCTCGGGCTTTGCCGCCTCCGGGTCGGGATCTCTTTGGGCATCTTCGTCACGATCGTCCTGGCCGACATCTTCGAGCTCAACTTCCACCTCGATCTCGCTGCGTTTCAGTTCACCCGCGCTCACGAATTTTACTGCCTTGTGGCGAAGGTTGCTATTAGACCATAGTCGAGTGTGCGTCTCGGTATTAAGGGCCTCCTGCTGCATGGTGAATTGAGGTGGCGGTGGCTCTGTGCGTGGTCAGTGGTGGAGTGGCAGAGTGGTGATCTCAAGTGAGCTACTCACTGGCCATCTTTGGGCCCCGCTTAACGCGGGCCTTCACTTTCCCATGGCGGGCCATGAGTGTCACTGTTCGGGTAGGCGAAGAAGTGAGGATTTCCGGATCGCGGATGGGCACATGGGTGGGCCGGGCGGTGGAGCCTGGTCGGGAGGGGGGAGGGAGGAAGAACTTCAAGGTCGCGTCATAGGCCAAATACTCTTTCTTGCTTACGATTAGGAAATCATAGAACTCGCGAATTATGAGTCTGTATTGACGAGCTTCTAGTATGAAATGGCTGGAAGAAGGGCCAACTTTGAAAGTGTGTCTGTAGCGGAGCATATAAGATGAGTCCGGCGAGACCGACACTGTGACTGTGACCGTGAACGTGAACGTGACCAGGTTGGTGACCTTGACACTTAGGAAACGCAAATATCACATTGGACTACTCTTCAATTTCAAATCGATCTTTGCTTGCGGTTCCTGGGCTTTACCGCATGGGGCACACGGACTTGGAGATCTCGCAATTTACAGATCTATGCTCCTCTGTTCCGACATATATATATCTCTTGGTTGATAGCATCTCCAGCCTCTTTAAACACATCCCCCCCCCCCCCACACCGGGCACCCGACCCCAACTTCCACGCTACCAGTCACGAGAGAAAAGACCAACAGAGATGACGGGAGTCGATCTGGAGAAATGCAAGCGTATTGTGCAATACTTCTGGGATCCAGAGCCTAAGAACGATATGGCGCCGGAGGCCATGATCTGGTGCCTGGGCCAAGTGTATGCCTCCCACCCTCAAACCGCGAGCGGCGACCACGGTAAGTAGTCAACCCGAATATCCATACGTCCGAGAACCAAGAGCAGCCACTGATATTACTCCAGACAGACATGACACCCCTTCGAGTTCGGTGCGAGTGGGTGTCCAAAATGACACTGCTGGATTTACATGGCCAGAGGCATTCATGAAAGACTTCGAATCTAGAATTTGGATGACGTACCGCTCCAACTTCACGCCTATCCCCCGAAACAACACGCCAGAAGCAACATCCTCGATGTCCCTGGGGGTTCGTCTCCGAAGCCAGATGATGGACTCACAGGGCTTCACATCCGACACCGGCTGGGGCTGCATGATCCGATCTGGACAAAGCTTGCTTGCGAACGCCCTCTGTGTTCTATTACTGGGCCGAGGTAACTATGGGGAGTTCCACGCGAGCAGAATAGCGCTGACGAGAACAACAGACTGGCGAAGAGGCCAAAGGCCCGAGGAAGAATCTAAACTACTTGCCATGTTTGCGGATTATCCAGAGGCTCCCTTTTCAATACATCGATTCGTTCAATGCGGTGCTAAGTCCTGCGGAAAATACCCCGGGGAATGGTTTGGTCCATCGGCAACTGCTCGGTGCATCCAGTATGTCGCTATCGCAAGCCCTAGAGAACAAGGCTGATGAATGACACCAGGATCCTGTCGAATGAATGCGAAGACCCCAAACTGAGGGTTTACGTGACCAAAGATACGTCTGATGTATACGAAGATCACCTCACTCGACTGGCCCGCGGAGAAAATGGACGCTTTCAACCGACACTCATCCTCCTTGGTTTGAGATTGGGTATTGAGCAGGTCACTTCTGTATATTGGGACGGTCTTCGAGCATCCTTGCAATATCCACAATCGGTGGGCGTCGCAGGGTATACCAACCCCGAAGAACCAGAAAAGTGCCACGCTGACAAATAGGACATTAGCGGACGACCGTCGGCATCCCATTATTTCATAGGCGTGCAAGATTCACAGTTGTTCTTCCTCGACCCGCACATCACGCGCCCCACGATTCCAGCCAGACGCCCCGACGAGGTCCATACCCCAGAGGAAGTGGATAGCTATCACACTCGACGTTTGCGACGGATCCACATCAAGGATATGGATCCAAGTATGCTGATCGGGTTTTTGATACGAAATGAGGCAGATTGGATCGATTGGAAGGAGCGGGTCAAATCCACGCCAGGGAAGCCGATCATCCACGTCGTTGCCAGCGGAATGCAGGCGGAGGAAGGCCTGGGTCGAAAAGAGGCGTTGGACGAAGTTGAAGCACTCGACGATTCGGACACGCTAGAATAATGGGGAGTCACCTGTGAACGGAAATCAGAGTGTAAAGCAAATTGTACAGAGACTAGAGGAAAAGTAATGTTCAATGCAATCAAGCATTTGGAATTTCGCGTTCTAGTTGAAGAGGGTAAACCGTGCAACCCGCCCCAGACCCGAGTTATGTTACACCGCGCGCATCGAGTAGTAACCATCAGAAAAAGTCGCCCATTGGGGTAAAGAAAATTGAGACCATCCCATGACACATTAGAAAACCCGCAAAACACCAATAACCGACCGCCTCAGAGCCCAAACAAGATCAGGAGACGGTGAATAAAAACAGAAAAGCAATACCGCAAAACGAAAAAAACCCATGAGCCGCTTATTTGGCGGAGGAAGAGTACTTGGTGACGGCCTTGGTACCCTCAGACACGGCGTGCTTGGCGAGCTCTCCGGGGAGGATGAGGCGGACGGAAGTCTGAATCTCTCGGGAGGAGATGGTGGACTTCTTGTTGTAGGCAGCCAACTTGGAAGCCTCAGTGGCAACGCGCTCGAAGATGTCTAAAGTTCAAGTCAGAAAAAATGACGCGCTCCGACGCGTTGAGTGAAATCGATACATACCGTTGACGAAGGAGTTCAAGATGGACATGGCACGGGTGGAGATACCGGTGTCGGGGTGAACCTGCTTGAGGACTACAGGAATCAAAACATTAGTGGACGCGTTCGGATGTGGTGGGAACCAAAATTCGCAAGTCCCAACTCACCCTTGTAAATGTAGGAGGAGTAGGTCTCCTTGCGGGTCTTGCCACGCTTCTTCTTGTCGCCAGAGGCGGCGGCAGTCTTCTTGCCGGCCTCCTTCTTCTCAGCGGGAGCCTTGCCGCCAACGGGAGCCTTGCCTCCAGTGGAGGGCTTCTTCTCAGCTGCCTTGGGGGCCATTTTTTAAGATAATCACAAAGAAGTGAAAATTTGAAAGAGTTCAAAGGGGTGGGAAGATGGAGCGTTGATGGAGATGGACGGCGGAGATGGGGTGAGTAAAAGTAAATGAAACGCGGTGACGAGGGAGGCGTGGTCTTTATACTCGGTGGGCACTGGCTCAGTTGATCCTGAGGGGTGCAAAGGAGGCGGAATTTCAATACGGTCACGAGTATGTATGATCTGTATGATTAAGAGGGGGTCGACGCGTCCTAAGGTGGGCGGGGCCCGATCACGGGCGCGGGGATCACGGTCAACTATGCGTCACGCATAATACGGTCGATAAAAGACGACGCCTTGCCTGATATGGCATGCCGCGCGCCCCGTGATCTGCACCCTGATTGGCCGATCCCGCTAAGCGAGAGCGTGATCTGGAGTTGATTGATGCGCCCCAACGTCACCCTCACCGCGTCCTTATAAATCCCCTCCGCTTCCACACGCTGCCCTCCCACCTGATTTCGCAACCTACGCTCCATCTTCATCGACATATCCAACCCTTCTTCAAAACCCAACCCCCAACACCCAACCACAACCATCAAAATGACTGGCGGAAAGTCCGGCGGCAAGGCTAGCGGTTCCAAGAACGCTCAGTCGTAAGTATATCATGTTGTTTTGATCTTGCATAGACGACTCATTCTGACATCAATTCTTTCTAGCCGTTCCTCCAAGGCTGGTCTCGCCTTCCCCGTTGGTCGTGTCCACCGTCTGCTCCGCAAGGGCAACTACGCTCAGCGCGTTGGTGCCGGTGCCCCTGTCTACCTGGCTGCTGTGCTCGAGTACCTCGCTGCTGAGATTCTTGAGTTGGCTGGTAACGCCGCCCGTGACAACAAGAAGACCCGTATTATTCCCCGTCACCTCCAGCTTGCCATCCGTAACGATGAGGAACTGAACAAGCTCCTGGGCCATGTCACCATTGCCCAGGGTGGTGTCCTCCCCAACATCCACCAGAGTACGTTCCACCCTCCAGTCCTGGATATTACCAATTGAAAGTACATTCGCTAACCTGCATATCTCAGACCTTCTTCCCAAGAAGACCCCCAAGGCCGGCAAGGGCAGCCAGGAGCTGTAAATGGCTTCTTTTATTTCGCAGATTTGTTTTGTTTTCTTTTTTCCGGCGCGGGTTGGTTCATTGACACGATAATGGGGTTATGGGATGGGCACGTTATGGCTCTGCGTTTTCTCTTTTCTTCAGTTTCCAGGTTGTACATTATGCCTGCGGGCATGGAATGATACCGACGAACTCAGCTTGTTCGAGGGTTTTCAATTTTCGAATGACTACCCCTGGGCATATGGCCAAATCAATCAAAAGATTCTAGGTTCAACAGAGTCTATTTCTTCATTTCTATATTTTCTCTCATGACTTTCTATCTTAATAAGATGTGAGTGATTTCAGTCTATACATTTTCCACTTGCAGTAGAGGTGAAACCCTGAACTTGAGCGATGGTCATCTACTTCTCAATGGCCTTCCAATTTTCGTCGAAGTCGAGGTCTGTAATTGCAATTACGATGTTGCTCTGGTTGATGGTAATAGTAAAGGAATTCATTTGCAATAGGCCAAATTACAGAAACATGGTTTTGATGCCCAGGAAATCTTCTAGTGAGCGCCGGGTGCTTCCGCATCTGTAACAATGTTAGTACGGCACTTGTTGCTCGCGCAATGAGATCAGGTTCGTGCTCAACGTACAAGGCAGAATTGGAGCCGGCAGATTTCGCTCCCATTTGTTACCTAAAGGCAATGTGAGTGGTGCGCACGCGATACGCATATCAAAGAGAAAAACAAACCTCCAGGGGCGGTGGGCGGCCGGTAGGGATCGGGGTGTTTCCACTCATCCAACAATTTCTCTGTCTCGCGCAAAAGGACCTGAAATCGACGAGTAAGTGCGAAGTTCGATTGGACGATCTGGCGGGTAATGGTACCTGCTGCTGGCGAGGGTCGCGGACGTCCTTGTTGGCCTCGAAAAGCGAACGGATATAGACAGCCTGTCCACGCCACACTGACCGGTGGACGGCCCAGTCGAGGGACAGCTTCAGGGAGCGCCGGTATAGCGAGCTATATACCAGGGTCAGAGACATCACAGAAGTCATGGTGGGTTTTCACTCACGTGGCGGAGGACATAATGGGCTCGGGCTCAAGCACAATCGGAGAGTAGAAAGAATGTTAGTAACAAGACGAACGCGTAGAGTCCGATAGACAATGCGCGTCAATCCGTCAGTCCGAGATGGAGAATGATGCGGGTTGACTATTCTCGGCTTCCTCATTCGTTCCACTCTGCACGATTGGTAGCTGCAGTGGTCCGTAACAGCGCAAAAACATTACTCCGGAAGCGGCCCTTCCGCATCTCGGCTTCGGGAGGTCTTGGGCTTCGGCTACGTAACAGCAACAGCGAGGGCCTTTTTTTTCTCTCCCTTTTCCTTTCTTCAACCGTAACCGAATACCTCCTTTTCTGGGCGTCTTCTCTTGTTCGTGCTTCCAACCATACATCATGGCTGCTCGCCTTCCTCTCGCGCGCCTTTCGGGTCAGCGTTTGACGACTTTGACCCGGGCTACTCGGGCTCCCAGCCGGCTTCGCGCCGTCCAGGGCATTTCTACCCTCACGCGCGCCAATGCCTCTCCGCGGGCGTCCGGTCTGCTGCAGGCTTCTTCCGGGTAGGTCGACTGCTCGTCTACTCAATCTGGGGCCCAAGGAACTGACCCTACGGACCAATAGCATCAACGTGTCGCGCAATCTCGCTCCTTTCGTCGGCTCTCAGATCCGAACCTATGGTAACCATGGCCATGCGCAGCACCTTTCAATGAGCAATTTCGAGCTAATACTGCTCATGTTCTAGCCGACAGCATTGTCAAGGTCCCCCAGATGGCCGAGTCCATCACCGAGGGTACCCTGAAGCAGTTTTCGAAACGTATGCCTTTTTCTCCTCTCCGGAAACTTGACCGCCAGAGCTGATATGTTCTTATAGAGGTCGGTGACTACGTCGAGCGCGATGAGGAAATCGCCACCATTGAGACCGACAAGGTAAGCTTCTCCGGTTTTTACCCCCGATACACCAAGTCCTTGGATTTCTAACAATGCACATGGCGCTCTAGATCGACGTCTCGGTGAATGCTCCGGAGGCCGGCACGATTAAGGAGCTTCTCGTGAACGAGGAAGACACCGTTACTGTTGGCCAGGACCTCGTCAAGTTGGAGCTGGGTGCTGCCCCCGAGGGCAAGAAGGATGCTGCTCCCGAACAGCCCAAGAAGGAGGCTGCCGCCGAAAAGCCTCAGGAGTCTGCTCCTGCGGCAGAGAAGCCCAAGTCGCCCGAGCCGTCTAAGCCGGCTCCCCCCCAAGGAGGCCCCTAAAAAGGCTGAGTCCCCCAAGCCCCAAGGTGCTGCGGAGTCTAAGCCTACCCTTGGAAACCGCGAGGAGCGCCGGGTACGAATGCCACCTTCTGTCGTGCTAAATTTTGCACTAACACACGTTACAGGTGAAAATGAACCGGATGCGTCTGAGAATTGCGGAGCGTCTGAAGCAGTCCCAGAACACTGCCGCTTCCCTGACTACTTTCAACGAGGTTGACATGTCCTCGTTGATGGAGTTCCGCAAGCTCTACAAGGACGATGTGCTCAAGAAGACCGGCGTGAAGCTTGGATTCATGAGCGCCTTCTCTCGTGCCTGTGTCTTGGCCATGAAGGACATCCCCGCCGTCAACGCATCGATTGAGGGCCCCAATGGCGGTGACACCATCGTCTACCGCGACTACGTCGACATTAGCGTTGCCGTCGCTACTGAGAAGGGTCTGGTCACTCCGGTGGTTCGCAACACCGAGACTATGGACCTGGTTGGCATTGAGCAGTCGATCGCCGAGCTTGGCAAGAAGGTGCGCATTCATATCTATTCGTTTCCCTCTTCTCTGATGCATAAGTACTGATACATCTCAGGCTCGTGATAACAAGCTGACCATTGAGGATATGGCTGGCGGTACCTTCACCATCAGCAACGTAAGCTTCCTTGTCTTCCCAACAGAGTCCCCCAAGGTCGAAGAACGCATGCTAATTCGGCCGCTTAGGGAGGTGTATTCGGCTCCCTGATGGGTACTCCCATCATCAACCTTCCCCAGACTGGTGAGTGCCTCTTGTGGTTTTTTCCAGTTTTTGTTATTTTTATTTGTCGACTTTCTCTAACCCTTTCACTAGCTGTTCTGGGTCTCCACGCCATCAAGGACAAGCCCGTGGCCATCAACGGCAAGGTTGAAATTCGCCCGGTAAGATCCCCTTTGCGTGAAGCTTTCCTCTGTGAGCTGTGCTGACTTGAAGTAACTAGATGATGTATCTCGCCCTCACGTACGACCACCGTCTTTTGGATGGTCGTGAGGCTGTCACTTTCCTCGTCAAGGTCAAGGAGTACATTGAGGACCCCCGGCGCATGCTGCTCGGGTAAACGGTCGCTTCGTCGGTACCCTGTTGGTTGATCTGTGTTTGTCGTGCTTAGAGCAGCTGTTGGCACCCCTTTGTAGATTATCGAAGTTTGAAATATAGCCGCCATGTTACCGGTCAAGCCCCTCTCATGAAGTGTGTAGGACAAATACCTGCTAGCATGTGTCTCGAGGCTCGACATATCTCTTCTAATATTCCAGTACGTCTTGGTTATCGCAGCCCAATACGTTCCCTGAGGCGCTGCGTCTCATCGCGAGTGAGATTGCCGACCTGGCCTCGTTCGAGCTCGATGAGAAGCGGCGCATCGAGAGTACTTGACAGGTCTAATAGAAAGACCAGCACACTGGATCTGAATACTTCAAATGGGAACTTTTGATCGATATAGCTGCGTGTCAAGGGGACTTCACCGTGCTTGGGCAATTCATTGGTCCAGCGTTGAAGGATCTTGATCCATTTGGGATTCCGCTCCGGGTCGTTGGGTGCCCACGTACACAGCTTGGAGAGACTTTCGGAAGGCGTAGGCGTACCTCCCCCGTACTTCTCCTCTATCACGGCCTGTGCGATAAATTGAGCACCGGTTTCGAACCATCTGGTTTCGGAGACCTTGTGAACGGCCAGTGCACAGAGCTCCATGAATTCGATGCCGATTGCCGATATCGAAGACCAATCTTTATGGGGATGATGTTCCTGCGCCGGCATATAATGGCGAATCTGGTGGGCCACTGCGAGAATCCGCAGTTTAATATTCAGATCCGCATCAAAGGATTTTTCGGGTAGTAGTGATTGAAAGGCTACCTCACTTGTCAATGCTGTGCTAGCAATCAGGCCTGCTGTCGCTTACCTTTCACTGCGTCAATAAGCCAGTCCGCCTCCTCTGACTCGTTTACATTGGCCCTCTCGTTGGCACTCTCTGCGATGGACAGAGTTTGATTGATGGCAATGCAGGCCAGGTAATCGAGGATCATCCTATCCACCTCTGCTTTAGTTTGGAGGTTTGCTTCCATCTTGCGCCTGTCGAGATGAATGGACCCAGTCACCCTGGCTGATCGCAGGGGGAGCTAAGATGGTGGTTGGGGGAGGAATTTCAGTTGAGTGGATCTCAGGGAAGATCCTCGCAGTTTTGGTGGGGAGAATGTTCTTCATTCTCGACCTTCATCTGAGAGGATCTGAAGTTTTGTAAGGAAAGGAGAAAGATGTCGCTGGGTCGTGTTCGTGCGTTGGTATGCTTGTGCGTGTGCGCTTTCTAACTAAATCTCCTGTTGTGTCTTTGCTCGAAGTTGTTCATGGCCAAGATAGACTCGCCTCCTACTTCCTCCTCACTACATATATATATCTAGTCTCAGTGGGAGTCCACCTCTCCTCCCTTTCTCCCCCCCCCAACCTTCCCCAACTCAAGCAGGATCTCGCCACAATTCCTCATACATAACACATACCCGTATTACAAGCGAAGTCATACCAACGTGAAGCTGATCGCCCCCGAGCTGTCACGTGCCGAGAATCGAAGAACGATGGCGTCATATCGAGGCACTCGCCTCACGTCGACTCGATCGAACTCGACCTCGAAGTCGTGGTTGCCGGATCCTCGAACTTGAATCTCTCGGCTTCACTGCGAAACCACGAGACCACGAAAATCACAAAGGTACACATGCGTACAATCCGACGCCTGCCAAACAATCTAGGACTCCTGTGGCCAACTGCAAAGCATTATTCGATGGCGTGGTACTGTTCCGGGTCCACTAACAATGAGTTGGTGGAGAACTTGGTCAAGGTCGAGCTCATTAAGAATGAACGCGTCAAGGAAGCCATGCTGGGCGTGAGTAGCTGCATCTGTTCCCCAAGTGTCTCATCCTGTCTACCTGACACTCACTCAAGGTTGATCGAGCTCACTACGCTCCATCGCGGCCCTACTCGGACTCGCCTCAACGCATCGGACATGGGGCCACCATCTCTGCTCCACACATGCATGGCCAGGCCTGCGAGTACCTCATTGACCATCTCCAACCCGGCTCCAAAGTACTAGACATCGGGTCGGGCTCCGGCTATCTCACTCATGTCTTTGCCAACCTAGTCACGGCCCCCGGTCCATCAGACCAGGGCCAAGTCATTGGAATTGAACACATTCCCGAACTCGTGGAGCTGGCGCGGACCAATATGAACAAGTCCGACGACGGCCAAAAGCTGTTGGAATCTGGTAAGGTCAAGTTTATCACCGCGGATGGGCGTCTGGGATGGAAGGAAGGTGCCCCGTACGATGCGATCCACGTTGGCGCAGCCGCTGAGCAGCTTCACCCCGTTTTAATCGAGCAATTGCGAGCTCCCGGTCGCTTGTTCATACCGGTTGGTTCATCGAATGGCCAAGGTTTCATGAGCAGCGTCGGTGGAGGCCAGTACATATGGGTCGTGGACAAAAGGGTAGATGGCTCCGTTCATAAGCAGAAGGTCTTCCAGGTCAAATACGTCCCTCTTACGGACGCACCTCAATCATGAAGAAACCAAATCTGCGACATATGTGGGACTAATGAAATGAAAGCGGATACTGCAATTGGATTTTCTATTTTGCCGTCAAATGGTCACGAGTCAAGAGGAGAAGATCCCTACTTATTGATCAAAATTTCTGAAATGGAGAAGAAAGAGAAACTAGGAATGATTAGCTGATTGACCATTGAAACAATTTGAACCACATTGGGTGCCGGAAGATCAAAACCTCGAAATCTTTGATAGCTATGGAGATGAGGCCTGGGCATGTAGCCCTTCCTCTCGCGATCACGCATTGCGCCTGTCTGTAAATTCATCCAAGCCGCTCTAGTATCTGACAGCCAATGAAGTGAAGAAGGATCATCGAGCATAGGAGGGAGCGCAGTCTCCCGAGCTAAAGAAGGATTCTCTATGATGATCACAATACGGATACCGTGAATATGATGCTATTCCAGGAGCACAAGGTGATTGATTCGCGGATTGGAGGAAACTTGCAGGTTTGGTGGACCCTACCTACTTCATCGATATTATGAAACCAGTGCTATGGCGTGACTTGGTATTTGCAAGACATCCTATGGTTGGGCCTCCGACCAGGCCAAAATGGGAAAGAGCACCTCGCGGCATAGACCTGTTAAAGAAAGAATATGGGAGAAAGGCTGGAATACTTCAAAGAAACACCGTGGTATGTTCTACAATGAAAATAGCGAGAATATAGGATCAGCGAAAGGGGAAACCACCGGAGAACTTGAACTGTGGTCCGCCCTGCTGGAAAAAGAATTGTTGGCCACCGCCGTGGCCGAAGGGGCTCCCCTGGAACGGGTTTCCTCGCTGCGCTTGCGCCTCGGAGTCGTTGGGATCGTCGCCGTTATCGTATCGAGTTCGTAATTCCGAGTCCGAAAGGACCTCGTATGCCTCGTTGATAGCGGCCATCTTCTTCTCGGCATCTTCCTTCGACACCCCTTGGGAAGCGGCCTTATCTGGATGATGCTGCTTCGTCAATTGCCGATAGGCACGTTTGATAGTCCGGTCATCTGCATCGCGACTGACACCCAGAACCTTGTAGTAGTCCTTCTGCTTCGAGCGCTTCAGGAGCACCTGGGCCTTCTGAAGAAGGGTTTGAGCCTCCTGAGAGTGAGGGTGGTGCTCCCTGGCCGCAATCAGCGTGCGCACGGCCTCGTCATATTGATCCTGGTCCAGCTCAGCCTGGGCCTGGTACAAAAGACCGTGAAGGGAATACTGGACCAACCGAAGAGATTCGGCACAATAAGGTCCAGCCTTTTTTACCATATGCATCTAGTATTAAAGTATTAGAATGATTGAACCCCGAGAAGAACAAGAAGAGGAAGAGGAAGAGGAAAAGAAGGAAAAGAGGCGACAAACCTCCCGGTAGGCTTCGCAGGTCTTCTCAATAAGGAAGACATATAGATTATTGGATGCCGCATGGTGAATGTGACCCGCCGCCCTCGCATCTGCCACATCGGCCTTGACGTCGGCAATCAAACCACTCTCGTCAGCATCACCGACCATGAGTTTTGCAGCATTACTAAATTTGCGCGCCTCTAGGGCATTGTGCAGCTTGCCTAATCTCTTTGACAGCTGCCGCTCTCGCTTGTAGAGACGATTGCAGGCTTTCGAATCAGGATCTGTGTGGAGACATTTGCGGATCTGAGCCAGACCACGATCACTGTCTCCAAGGGAATAGAACAACATTGAGGACATTTGCAAATGAGGTTCTACCAAGCTCGGGGAAATTTGGAGAACATGGGCCAGGTCGCTGATGCCCTCTTCAACCTCGCCTCGCTCCAAACGACAGTGTGCTCGAGCCTGCCTGAGAGCCAGATCAGTGCTAGCCTTCATGATGGCGATTCCGGCTTGCAAGACACATGCCTCCCAGTCACCCTTCTTCTCGGCGGCGAAAGCCAAATTCGCTGCATTCCGAGCTTCCTCAAGTTCCTTGTATTCCACCGAAGTCTTCTTTCCGGCTAGTTCGAGGTCGCGGAGGGCTTCTTTCCAGTGTGCAGAACGGGCTTGAAGGCGAGACCGTTGGAGGAGCGCGCCTTCAAAGTCCGGTTTCAGCTCCAGCACCCGGTTGAAATCCTCCGAGGCTTGCAGGTTTTTGCCTATTGACAGATAGGCGGCGCCTCGTTGAAAGATCGTCACATAGTTGGTTGGGTCGCGACTGACTGCTGCATCGAAGTATACTAGAGCGTCTCGGGGCGAGCCCTTGGCAAGTTGCGCTTTGGCGGAGGTGATCAAATCCGAGAGCGGCGTATCGGGGGGAATCTGAATGGCATATCCAGTAGAGAGACAAGCCAGAATGGCCGTTAGCGACTCAAAGGAAACGCGCATCTTGACCTGTCGAGCATCGACCGAGAAGAGAGAAGACAAGAAGGTCGCGCAGGTGGAATGCTCGTCGCCGTGGCCTTTACGCGTACCGTACAATAAATTACATGCGTCACCTCGCAAAGTCCAACCTCCAAAACACTTTCACCTGTGCGCCCTTCCCAAGGATGCTACGATGCGGTCGATCTCTCTCAGTTGTGAGATTCGGCCCAAGACCGTTTCTCCGTTATTCACACACTGGTACGGTGTTTCCAACCGGGCAGTTTTGCACTCCTCTGACCATCCACTGCCAGATTCCGGCCTCTCTCCAGTCTTGTTAACCAGAGCTCGATTGCTCGCCACCGAACATGCCAAGTTATCGGAGAGTCTTGTAGAATCTTTCGATACTAAAGTGGCAAAGCGAGCCGGTGAATTGGCTCCGGTCGCGAAGGTTCTGAAGGAATGGGAGAATGCGAATGAGGTGGGTGCAAATTCCCTGGTCTCCTTGAAAACCTAGCTCTGACCCGCATCCGAAGTCTATCGTTGAATTGCTATCCCTTCTGGAGGATGTCGAAACCGATGCCGAGTTACGCGCTCTCGCAACGGAGGATCTGGAGAGCAGTCGAGAGGCTTTACCTACCATATCGGACCGATTGAAGAAGTCGCTGATCCCCAAGCACCCATTTGCGGATCTTCCCTGTTTGCTTGAAATTCGTCCTGGTGCCGGAGGGGACGAGGCGGGCTTGTTCGCATATGAGCTGCTACGGATGTACATGACCTTCTGCTCTCGGAGGGGCCTTCGACCGGTGATCTTGAAGCAGGATGTCGAGGATGGTCCCTCCGAGGATCGCCTGAGTGAGGCAGTAATTGAAATCGAAGCCGAAGGTGCCTACAATCTTTTGAGAACAGAGTCAGGTGTGCACCGCGTCCAAAGGGTACCGGCAACCGAAACTAAGGGTCGTACTCACACCAGCGCCGTCAGCGTGATGGTCCTGCCCAGCTTCCCAGAAAGTGGAAGCGGCATGGACAATGCCTTGAACTTCGAGGACCCAAATAGTGACTACTATATCGATCCGCAAGAGGTGCGTGTCGAGAAGATGAGGGCCGGAGGCGCAGGAGGACAGCATGTGAACAAAACCGAGTCCGCCATTCGGTTGACACACACTCCCACGGGCACAGTGGTTTCCATGCAGGATGAGCGGTCCCAGCAGGCGAATCGCCGGAAAGCCTGGCAAGTGCTGAGGGCCAAAATAGCGGAGGCTCGCCAAGAAGCCCGAGAACAAGAGTTGGTTCAACTCCGGCGCGGTGTATTGGGTGGAGTGGCTCGTATGGGCCGCGGTGACAAGATTCGAACATACAACTACGGCCAAAGTCGCTGCACAGATCATCGAACTGGTATTACGATTCACAACCTAGACGACGTCCTTGAAGGTGGCGATGGACTCGAGACAGTAATGGAGAGTGTGCGCAACTGGATGGCTGACCGTGAGGTCGAAGCTATGGTGGCCGATGAGCTCGCAAAGCAAAAATAGAACTGGCCACGTTCTCCTATTGTACATTACAAAAGTAAAGATACCATGTACTCTATATAGCAAAAATTCAACAAGTGACAAAACTTTGTTCAAGGTTTCGAGATCCCCTATCTCAGATGTACTTTCTCTCCGGGTCCGCGAGATCAAGTAATTCCATCGACTTCTCGTACCTGTCAGATTGTCCATCGTTAGCTATCAATGACTCCGAACAGAACAAGCAAGGCATGGACGCACATGGTGAACACAATTCCTCCGCTCATGATCAATCGAGCTAGACGTGGCATAGCCCCCGACCAGAAAGTCAGGACACCTTCATCCTTGAAGATCTTTGCGGCACAGACAAAGCTGTTCTTGTAATTTTTGCTGGCTTCGAGGGATTGCATTCTGGTTCAGATATCAGTTATTTGGCCAAGTACAATGATTATCGTGGAATCCGACCTTGTTTTCACCGTATCCAAGGGTTGAGTCACGTATCTGGGCACATATGCTGTCAGTACAGATACAATCATGTGTTCGTCCCCAGTACATACACAGTGATGAGACCGGCAACACCTCCGATAGCAAAGGTGGCTAGAGTTCCCAGCTTCTCACCCGGGGCAACGTAGCCCTCTGCAAGCTGCTTCAGCGTGGTGTAACTAGTGAACCGAGTGGCCGAATTGGCTGCCTGTCTGGCCGTAGTTGGGACAAAGCCTTGAAAGAAGCCCCGAATGCCTCTCTCCTGGAAAATGATCTTGCTTCCGTGGAGGAAGCCTCGCATGCGAGGCCTCTCCGCCTTCCGGTCATCAATCCTGGAGAGATCACGTCAGTTCTACGTTTCAAGGTCAAAGGGGTGAGTGACTAGGCGTTACGGACAGCTGAGTCTTGATACTCTCAAATGGAGTGACAGCCAGAAGAGACTCGGTGAATCCCGCACCGAATCCAGCCACAACAGTCCTTGGCCCCGAGATCTTGCCGTTCTCATCTTGGAGAGTTGCCTTGATCGCATCGAAAGCGACGAATCCTGAGGTAATGTGGAGTCAGAGCGGTGCTGCATCTGAGCGATGTTTCAAAGATCCACGTACGGATTCCGGCCTTTAAAGAGTTTCCGATGATTAGTGTTGTACATCCTGCGTACCACTGCTTTCCAAACGGCGGCCACGGGAGTTTCTGGCCCTCGGCCAGACGGCGATTGAGTTGCGTGCGAGTCTTTGCGACTGGGGAAATCAATTAGCCCAAGGGAATAGACTGAGGGGGGCCTGGAAGCAGACGCACACTCAGCGGGATAGGTAATTGCTGCGAGAAGAACTCGTTAGCTCAACATGGTGATGCACAGTGTGATATCCTTACCAATCTCCACAGCTCCAGCGGTAGAGCCCGCAATAATGGAGCGCAGAACGCTAGGCTGTGATGATTAGCTCGGAGTCGGTGATCGTCTCCCGAAAGACTGACCTTGGCCTTTGGATCCTTGCTTGCCGTGGCCATGTCGACAATGAAAAGAGCGATGACAGAGAGGTAGGACCTCGGGTCTCTAGTCGATCTTATACGGTCTGCCGCAGCCCCACTCCGCGCATTTTGGTTTACTCTACTTTACTCAATTTTCTTTTAGAACTAACGAGTACGAAAAATCGGAGGGAACTTGTCAATTCACGAGATACTACATAGATCGTGTCTAGTATCCAGTGCTCCTCCAAAATTCTTTTTTTCTTTTTCTTTGTCGGGGGGGGGGGTCGTTTTTGGTTGTTGACATTGAGGGGAGGATTATAAAGGCATCAAAGGGTCCGAAGGAATTGGTCGTCTTCGCATGCCCCATAACAGGATAAGATGTCAAAGGAGATGATGTCTGAAGCTACCAATCTAGGTAGTGGAGAGGCACGAGGTTGAATGGTTTGGGTCGGAAACGAATATCAGGGAATAGGTCGGAGGCTGTTCGAGAAGCGGGGATGAAGTGGTCAAGAAGGGTTAGAGAAATGAGAAAAGGGTACGACTCCGTGTAAACTCCCAAGTCAACCGCGAGATGTCCGAAAACGCCCCTCCGCTCTGCAATCCTTCAACATGCAACCGCGGACAAGCGTATGTACACCTTTACATAGCAACCCAGAAACGCAGAGGACTCACGGCACCGGAACAAATGCACCCTTTCTCTGACCTAGCATCCCCAATAGCGATGAAGCCCAGGGGAACAGGAGGGAGAAACCAGGAAACACAAAACATAGCACGTGGGAATTATGATACACAGGTCGCGAAGTAACGTATCATCGTGGCAGGAGAAGAATGCACAAAAGCGAAGAAAATTCCACCACCGCTATCGAACAACTATAAGCCCGCCAAAAAAGGAGGGTAAGAGAGTGGTAAAGGTTTGGACGGGAAAAACGACCGAGAAGCAAGCAACAGGAGCAGTCGTACCAAAGGTCATTGTGGAAGCAATTGGCGAAGAGGCAAGACCTTCAAGAAACGGGGGCCGGAGGCTTGGGTGCGATCTGACCTGGAGTCAGGAGAGCCCGGTTATGATCATTTGAGGGTCCACGCCGTGGACCCTGTCCACGACCGCCACGGAAAGAGCCACGACTATGGTTATTGTAGTATTGGCCGCCATTCTGCTGGTGATGGTGGTGCTGATGATGGTTCTGGCGACGAGGCTGGCGATCGCTATTTCCGGGTTGCTGACTTCCGACTTGGGGCTGAGGCGGACCGGAGATCGGGCGTGGGATATTCTCGGGTGAGTCGTAAACGTAAAGCTTCTTATCAATGTTCTGGGGAATGGGCTGAATTTCAGTGCCAAGTTCCTGCTCAATCTTGTACAGATTGAAACGGTCCTCCCAGTTGATGAGGTTGATGGCCAGACCCAAGTGTCCGAATCGGCCGGAACGACCGATGCGGTGCAGATAGGTTTCCGCGTTCTTAGGGAAATCGAAATTGATGACGACGTTGACCGCTTGGATATCGATACCACGAGTCAGCAAGTCCGAGCAGACAAGGTTGCGACAGACACCATTGCGGAAATCATGGAACACACGATTACGGTGCTGCTGCTGCATCCGAGCGTGTGAGTAAAAGCACGAGTATCCCAACTCCGTGATCTTCTTCGCCAGGAGTTCCACGCGATTGGTTGAATTACAGAAGATGATTGACTGATTGATCTGGAGCTTCGAGAATAGAGTGTTTAAGCAGTGGACCTTCTGCTTCTCCTCTACAAACGCATAGTACTGCGTGATACCACGTAGAGTAAGCTCATCCATGAGGTTGATCTCATAAGGGTTGCGCATGTGTTTATCCTGATACGAGTCAATATGGGGACCGGGTTCATTGGGGTAAAGTGTCATACCTTGAAGGACTTAACGATGAGCGGGAAGGTAGCACTAAAGAGCATGACCTGTCGATCCTTAGGATGGAAGGCCATCAACTGCTCAATGACGGGAGTAAACTCTGGGGATAGCAGCTTGTCGGCTTCGTCCATCACAAAAGTGGGGCACTCAGAAAGATCGGCCACACCCTTGCTGGCCAGATCCAGCACACGTCCAGGTGTACAGACGAGGATATGAACAGGCTCGTTCAGTCGAATAATGTCATCCTGTAAGCCAGTTCCACCAGTAGTGACCATAACGTTGATGCCCAAGTGCTTTCCAAGAGTCTTGCAGACTTGCGATGTTTGAAGAGCCAGCTCTCTAGTAGGGACCAGAATCAGAGCTTGAGTTTTCGTGCTCTTGGGATTGATGCGTTCCAGAGTGGGAATAACAAAGGCAGCGGTCTTTCCGGTGCCATTCTTTGCTCGGGCCAAAATGTCTCTGCCAGTAAGAGCAACGGGTATTGTTTCTTCTTGGATAGGAGAAGGCTTCTCAAAACCAGCCTCGAATATACCCATCATAAGCTCACGCTTGATATAGAAATCTTCAAACTCAAGGCCCTTGGTAGCGGTGACATCCTGCGAATGTGGTTAGTGACGAATCGCTTAATTGGGAATTATTTCGAATTACCTCAGTCTGGGGGCGAGTGTCCTTGGGGGGCAATTTCAGAGAGTCCTGCAGTCTTTTTCCTGTGTTTCCTTCCCTAAGAGGCAAGTCAGGTATTTAGAGCCAGAGTGGAGGAGACGGCTACAAGCTTACCCAAGCTGGGTGTTGCTGAGTTGTGAGGCAAGTGCGTCCGCCATTGTGACGACAGGGTATCAAATTTGCGAGAGAGGAGAGTGGAGTGTTGTCGAAGCCGTCAATATGTTGGAACTAAGCGCCAACGGACGGAGGACTGAATAAGGAAGCAGGCTCAGCACGTTGTGAAGCTCAGTAATTTCAGCCCAGCGTATTGTTGTGAGAAATTTCGTGTGACGTGTTCAAGTTGTATGAAGAGCGAGGCGGCGATAGTTCCGTCGTCGATGGAACTTTGCTCCAGGCACAGCTTGGAAGAGCGCACGAGATGGGGTGAACTTGAAACTAGTGATGGTTTAGATGGAAGGATTTGAAATCGAGGAATAGTTGAGTCGGATGCCCAATGGGTTGAGAGTATGAGACCAAATATGTGGAAGTTGGACACGTGAAAATCAAAGGTGGGATGGTAGGATGCTCTTCAACAAACGTGAAGGGATTCCGGAAGTTCAAAAGGCCTTCGTGGGAATCCCAAACGGCGGGACCCGGTGTCACGTGATATCCCACACGATACGATGTCTTCACGTTTACTTCACTTTGCACGTTGCATAATATAACTCATGATAACGGCTACCCCGCTTCACTGTCAAGCTTCGTATAGACGCCTTATTTTTGGAGCGACTCGGTATATCTAGAAATTTCATGGCAATGTAGCTTTTGAATGATCGTGCTTTTGCTCAAGACGAAGGAATGGGAAGGGTATTATCGCTAGAGATTGATAGTAGGCATAAATCGAATTGACTCCCTGCACCATTAGCGCTGAAAGTTCAAGGTGGTCTGCCCACGCTCGGGTTCAGCAAGCTCCTTGACCCGTACGTCAGAGGAGATAGTGATGTCTGTCTTGCTCCCCGGTGTGATGAGGATAAACTGTCGCCCGATTGAGCGCCGAGCAGCAAACATCTGGCAGGGATAATCAGTAAGTCGACAATGAAGGTCAAAGAAATATAGAGGACTTACGAGCATATCAATAGCCATCTTTCGATTGATGTGGTCCATGTAGACATCGCTATAGAATCAAGTTAGAGATGCCCGAAGAAATGGCCTGCGAAGGATCAAGGACGTACAACTCATCTAGACAGCGGATGGGAGATCCCATAGCTTCCCAGAGTGCTAAAAGTAGACACACTTGTGAGAAAGATTTCTCACCACCAGAGAGTGTCTTCGCACCACGACCAGTGCTGTCCTCCTTGGTAATATCGGGCTCGACCTGAACGTCAAGTAATTTCCCAACGTGATCTGTGAGCAGTCGACCGCGGAAACCTCTCTCGCTTAGAAGGTAAGTGAACTGTGCTTTGGCGCGAGATGAAATGTGTGATCTAAAGATCTCCCATCGCTTCTTTCGTTCGTTTAGAGTATCTTTAAAAAACTGCAAGAGTGTTAGCCAGGGAGGAGGGTTCTATTTGACGACAATTGGGATGTGACTTACTTGGGCAAGCTTCGTCAAGTTGTCGACCTCGTCCTTCGCCTGCCTCCACGCAGTTTCTGCTCGACCAGCCTCTGCGGCGATCTCATCTCGTGGCGCCCCCAGTCTGTCGGTGGTCAATGATAGATTATGTCGGCGGAGCGGAAGACTTACTCTGCGTCATAACGCGCCAAGTCTCTTTCTAACCTCACCAGCTTCTGATCGAGACTATGTCCGGTTTCCCCCTCGTCGACCGGGACTCGCGCCGAAACATGACTCGCCCTGTCAATGTAACGCAGCACGGCTGATGACGCCTCGTCCAGTTTCTCTTTAACCTCATCTCGGTCTCTTTTTTGCTCCGCAATGCTTTCAAGGGCAGTGTTCTTATCACTGATGAGCTCACGGCGTCGGTTTTGCACTTGCAAGTTTTCGCTTTGAGCAACGTTCGAAGCTTTCTCCAAGCCCAGGATTTTTTCGTCCTGCGCCTTGATCTCTCGCCGAATCAACTTCAATTTGTCCATGAGCTCGCTCATTGCCGCCTGACTGTCAGCGTATGCCATCTCATAATGGCTTTTTTCATCTTCGGCTTCTTGAAGAGCGGCTCGAAGACTTTCGATCTGCCCGTCCTCAGCATTGTCTTTGTCGAGGGGCATCTCGAAGTGCTTCTAGATCATCCTCCATTCTTTGCATCTCGATTCTCAAGTCTTTCTCTTGTTGCGCATGTCGAGCGACCGCCTGTTTGCACTTTTCCCAGCGGTCTCGAGAAGATCGAAGTTCCTGTTCCGAATCATGGAGCTGACGTTCCAAATCTTGAATGACTTCACGTTTTGCGCTGGAGTCAAAGAAAAACATCAGTATATTGAAAGATGCACAGTGCAGGTACGGATCTCACCTGATCTGCGAGGCTAGATCAGATTGCATGCGGGGATGACCATGATACACTCCCACTGGCGCCTGGCTGGGCTCACCCATGCGGTTATATGAGAGATGAATTCCTCGGCGTCGATCTCTTGAGTCGATACAGAAGCACCGCTTGACATTTCTCGGTCGTTGGCCATCAAACAGAACGGCCGAGGCTTTTCTCTAGGTCCTCAATCAGCAGCATTTGTTCCACGCCATGATTTATGATTAGCTGTCTTCGCACCATGTGATTGTCGATCTGTTTGAGCCAAATTTATTAGCACATAGCTAGTTAAGCCGCGAAAAGCCTGCCAGACCTGTAATATCCTTAACGCCGTATCGTAATTTGGATCGGGTTCATGAGCTGAAGTATCGATATGGCCACCTTGTCCGATGAAGATTTGACATTGGCTGCACTAAATGTTAGATGTCTGATACAACACGTCGTGGTGATACTCACCAGTTCACTTTCACCATGAGGTTCGAGAGAATACTCATGTCCCTCTTATTGCTCACGATGAAACTACTGAGGGTGCCGCCGAATGAGTTTTCGAGGATGGATGACCACTTTGGCTTGAGCAAGGTGATGTGGGCACCTATCGGCCCTATCGGTTTACTGGTAAACGATGCTTCTTGCTGAATGGCTTTCAAAAGTGCCGGCATCCTGTCCGGAAAGCCGTCGCGTCGTTGCCCATCCTCCCTAGTCAGGGCCCGCAGTCTGTCTTCTGCATGTCTGACGTCGTTCCTTTTAGACTCCCAATGCCTTTGTGCTGATTCCATATTCTTGCTTGCGATTTTGACGTCTTCGTGCAAGCTTGTGACACCAGGTTGATGGTCATCGTATTTTTTGCGGGCTGCAATAGCTCGGGTTGCGCTTTGCTCACACTCCTCCTGTTTTCGCGCGTATCCTCCGTCGCTCGCCTCCGTGAGTCGTCGGTTCTCAATCTCCATTTTGTGTTGTGTCTCCGCGATTCTAGTTTTCGCAGCTTCGAGATACTCCTTAATCTGTCTTTGCTCGGCCTGCCAACATGTCAGACACGGGGAAGGTCTTGCACATTGCCGGGTGGATGGAATTGCGTGATCTCAGCATACTTACCTGGAGATCATGCCGCTGACTCATTGTCTCGTCGAGCTTCTCCTTGATCCTCTCTCTCTCGCTGCGGGCTTCCTCACACTCGTAATCGGCTCGGAATGCATGCTCCGCTGCTCTTTCAGAGTCGGCCTCAACGGCCTGAAGTGCGTCGTCAAAACGACCTATTGCAGCTTCAGCATCTGCTATCTGGCTATCGACCCGGGAAACTTGGTCATTCAAAGCATCTCGTTTCTGCGATTGTCAGCACAAGTTATATGTAGTGTCACACGGGCACACCGACTCTTTCCATTTCCTCGACTTGTGCCCAAGCCATCTGATGCGATATGATTCTTTTTCGCTCTCTCAAAGAATCGTGCTGATCAGAGAGCTCCAACTTTTTTCTTGCCGCATCCTTACGGTTGGTCAGGAAGCCAAGGTCCTGTACCTTGCCTCTCAGTTTCTCCTCGATCTGGTCGACTGATTCTTCGATGAGACGGTAATCCTGATCAAGCTGCTCCAGCTGTACGCCTTTAACGAAAAATTTGTACTTTTCCGCAGGACTCGAAGTACTGAGGAACTGACGGGCCATGTCCTGAGACAAAACATTCATGGGATTGTCAATTTGTAGGAAAAATAGTCGGTAATTGCATCCAGCTCGGCCTTTTTGGTTGAAATGATGCGACCACTCTCGGATTTGATTTTGAAACCACTCGCTCCGCTTTTAGAGAAATGGCGTTCCACGATGATGGATTTCCCGTAGTCGTCTGGCATATAGGCGCCATCTCCTTGGTTCCTGATCCGCACGACGATGGAGGCGTTTTCTCTGCCTTCTTTGATGAAATTCCTTAAGCTCTGACCGCGATTGGTGGCAGATGCTTTGCCTCCCAGACAGAGAGTGATGCCTGTCAGGATCGCGCTTTTACCACTGCCATTCTTCCCAACGATGAAGTTGATCAGCGGCCCCAATTCCACCTGAAAGTGATCATGACACATAAAGTTGTAGCATTCAACACGTTCCAAGATCCCATGATCGGCGGGGATGTTTGAATCTTCTTCAACTTGGGCGTATTTCTCTTGAATGAGTTGTGTTTGCCGAAATTCCAACTCGGCGTCATCCATAGTCAGATCATCAGGGAGAGAGGCTGCATCGGACTCGTGACTGCCCGCTTCCGTGCCGTTGTTTGAGGATGAGGATTCGGTGGTGCGCTGTCGCTTTCGCTAATCTATCTTCAGCATTGATATCTCGCCGCATCTGCTTCGTTTGAGCACATACCGAATCAGATGGAGAGGCTGATCCAGCACTCTCAGAGCCACGGTCACTTTGGTCCTTAGCGTTCGGGAACGACGGCATGCGTTTGAGGGACGGCATTTATGTGGCGGAGATTTGATAGTGAGAGACTAGGGCATAGCGACCAGTGTCATGTAGATAGCAAGTCAAATGTGTTGAGGCGACACAAAAGCGGTCGCGTCTAGGCGCGCACTTTCGCGTTAATGAGGCTGAGTAAGCTGGGGTGCTTCCCCGCCAAAGTCAAAGAGCTACGAACATCTGGGCAAACAAGGTCAAAGTCAAAAGATTACGTGAGCTTTAGATAGTTCTGAATTCATCAAATCTTAATTGAATCAGAGCGAGAAATACAGTCCATTCGAAAAGAGAAAAACAAACGCCTCGTTCGGCTATCCCGTACCGAAGGGAACATGCTTCCGCGACATCCATTAGGCCGAGGTGGGCTCCTCAGCAACGTAGTGGAGGTAAGCACCCAACAGCTTAGTTCCCTCGATGTAGTTCCTCCGATCCAACTTCTCGTTGATGGAGTGAGCGGCATCGGTAGAGCTGCCCATAGGAAGCAGCAGGACGTTCTTGCCGGTGGCTTGCTCGAAAGTCAATGTAACAGGAATGCTGTGCGATTAGTTAGCTTTCAGATTTTCCACCAAAGAGAATACTGCTTCTCTCTGATTGACAGAGGCAATAGCCGTACCTTCCACCCTCACGGGTCATATCGGGCTCAACACCGAAGACCTGTTCCACGGCCTTGCTGGCGGCAGTAAAGTTCCAGTGCTTGGGACTGGCAACCCACCACTTGCCATCATGCTGGAGCCACACATCTAGGGTGTTCTTGCTGTTCAACTTGGCGAACTCGGCCTTGATGTGGTCGAACACCAGCTTGTTCACATCCGCGCTCTCCATGTTAGGCACGGTGCGGATGGAAAACTTACCGATCACCTTGGCGGGAATGACCGTCTTGGCTCCCGGGCAGAGTAGGCTCCCTCGACACCGTGGATCGACAGGGAAGGGTATCTCCAGCGGGCCATAAGGGTTCGCTCCTTAGTTGGATGAATACCAGTCTCACTGCCGAGCGATTCGTGAAGGTTATCCATGGTATAACTGATGTTGGGATATAGGGCCTTCTCCTCTTCGGTCAGAGGGGCTACCAGATCCATGAGCCCGGGGATGAGGATGTTGCCCTGAGCATCTACCAGCTTGGACAAAACGTTCACCAGGTCGGTCATGGGCTCGTGAGCAGAGCCACCAAATACACCACTGTGGAGATCTTGGGCAGGACCCGAGATGCTGACGGAGTAGTAGTTGCAACCGCGCAGACCGTAGGTCAGGCAGGGCTTCTCCGTGCCGAGCCAGTAGTTGTCAGAAATGCAGACCGCATCGGCGTCCTTGAAGTAGTGCTTGGCTTCAGCCTGGATGAACTCGTCCAGACCCTCGGAGCCGTACTCCTCCATTCCCTCAAAGCAGCAGAGCAGATTGACGGGCATCTCAACGCCGGCCTTGCGGTGAGCTTCGATCACATTGAGCCAGCCGAGCACGGGTCCTTTATCGTCCGTGGAACCACGACCATACATCCGACCCTTCTCATCGATGGTCAGCTCAAACGGCTCCGTGGCCCAACCGTCCTCCTTCAGAGCAGGCTGCACATCGTAGTGACCGTAGACCAGGATGGTGCGCTTGTTCTTATCGTTACCGTAACGAGCAACGACGACGGGTGGGAGGTCGAGGTGTTCCTTGCCAGGCTGCTTGCCCAGTGGTCTTTGCTCGACCTCGGCACCGAGAGCCTTGAGTTCGTCGGCCAGGAACTGAGCCATCTTTGGCGGGGAAAAATAACACAGGTCAGTCATTGCCGTTGCGGGGCAGGAGCTTGACACAGACTTACGCGGAAGACATCCTTACGGTTCTCATCCTGCGCCGAAACTGACGGGATAGCAACTGCCTTGCGCAGGCCTTGCAAGAAAATCAGCTATTTCGATCTTTATGACTAGCTCGAGTCTTGGGGGCGAACCCTCTGCAACGAGCACGGTTAAAGAACAGGGGGCGTACGATCAATGAAGGCCTCCGACGAGGAATCGACCCTAAACAGCATGTAAGCTTTGATCTAGCCAAGAAACGGGTAACGACCTACTGCTTGAAAAAGGGCTCGAGCTGCGGCGCCATTTTGGTGTCACTGATGTGTCCGTAAAAGAAGCGACGACAGGCGAATGGGCGAGGACCAGAAGAAGTTAACCGGGGAAGTAAAGAGTGCCCAGGTCTGACGAGCGATGGGATCCGGAGGGGAAAGAGGGGCATTGCAGACAACGACAATGCTCTGCGAAAAGTTATCACGTAATTATCTGCAACCCTGTGAGTGCCGGCTGTAGCCGCCTATCACGGTTGTGGTGATTAGGTCTCGCCCAAGGATGCGAAACGAGGCCTTATCAACTCTGGAAGGCCAATCAAGCTCGATGGATGGACGTTGCTAAAGCCGCTCAAAACGATCGTGGACTCTTACTACCTGGAGAAAGTCGTATACGAAGATCAGGCTTGGGCAAAATCATGCGAGTCTTGCCCGATGCACATGTGCGAGGTTCACTGACAGATTGACCCACTTTCGGTTCACGGCTTTCTACGGGGAATCTTGTTTCTTACTACCTTGTAAAACGGGTTCAGGAATATATGGAAGAGACTCAAGCAGAGGGAAAATATATGTTACTAGGTGGGAATACATGGGTTAAATGCTAAACTTAGAATACATGGCGTTTTTACAATGGCGCCGCACGACCACATTTCGCGCATGCTTGGGGGACAAGCCCTTCAAGTCGGATGCGATCTGCAATCAACGATCAGATCTTCACTCATCCCGAGCCCAGGCCTCACGGCGAAGCTGTCTGTCCTCCCTGGCCATCCGTCGCTTCACACCCCATCGCGATTGCACTGCTTCCAACACCTGCTTCTGCATCTGCTTCTTTTCCGGGCTGGCCTCGCAGACCATGGCAATGAAGATCGGCGAGCACTCGAATCGCTTGGCCAGCTTGTATCTGCTCCAGGTCATCAGGATCATTCATTCGAAGATGGCGGATTTCTTCGATATCCGAGGGCGTCAGGTGGTATTTGCGCTCGGCCTCGCTCTTGTACACGCCCGGGAGTTCACTGACATTAGATGTCACAGAGTTTAATCCCTCGACGCGCATCGACCTCCGGGCATCATCGGCTGGCAAAAATTTATTGGGAGTGTGATAGGCTGTAGGAGCACTGGATGGCGGATTGTAGATGATCTGGTCCTGTCCGGCGTGGGACGGGCCGAAGGAAGCATCCGGCTTGACACGTAGACGCTGCTTGGTACGTCGGTATGAAGATTGATATCGTCGTGACCCCAGCGCTAGGGAATCCGTCCAAGAAGGGAGCAGAAACGGCAGGGTAAGGAAAGGCCGCTTCGCGGCCACAATTGAGGTAGCCATCGGAATTGTGAATCAATTGAATGACTACAACATATCAGGATAAGCAAGACTTCGATTATACGTCAGGAGAGGATGAGAACGTACAAGAAAGAGAGCGCTGAGGGAAGGGGATCACCAAAGCCGAGAGACGGGCCAACGTGGACGAGTCGAAGCCCGAACTTTTTTCCCTGGGTCTCGTGACCTGGTATTTTGCTCGATCAGGCATGGCCCCGGTATTACACACATCAAAAGTATTCGCTACTTGCTTCCACTGCGTGTCATACGCTTAGAGATAAGTACCCGCTACTTAATCCCATCCGTCATAAACATCTTCGTTGATCAGCTGGCACAAGATGTCATCATCTTCTGGGGAAAAGTAAGATCATGGCACAACAGTCTCTTTTCTACTGAATTTTCTCTGCCCATATTTACATATGCTTTTAAGGACGCCTTGAATCGTTTGCGGTTCATGGTCATGGACCTCTGAACCTGGGATCCTTCTGGGCACGCGCTTCAGATCCCGTTATCTCTAGTAGTCTTCACTACCCTTTCCCCCGCCAACCTCTTCCCTTTCATCATGGCAGAGCAACAACATGCTTTGCCTCCTCTTGTGGATGGTTCTTCAGAACCTCTTCGCTCGTTGCCATCCCACTCCACCCACGATGAATACCTGATCTCTAAGTCTGAACCGTCCGCCGGAAAGACCGCGACAATTGTACAAGTCCCCCGGCCGGCATACTCGACATTGGCACAGTTGCAGGACATCGAGAAAGAACACCACATAGAGGCGACCACCGAAGCTGTAAACAGCGGCCCTGTGTCGCCCATCTCAACCATCAGCTCCTCAGAAGCTTTACGGACCCCCAACGCCCTGGAACGCTATAAGAACTCGTCGCAAAAGTATCCTCCATCTCCCGGGGCTACTTCGCAATTACCCCCGCGTCTCCATTCCCCTGCCTCTCAGATATTCGAGCGAGATGTTCAAGAAGACATCATTCCACCACAAGCATCGCCAGCGATTCCCGCGCACATTCGCACGGAGAACTATATTCCACCGGTGCTTGAGGCATCCTCGGCCGCCATCACCGACGAGCAACTAAACCCCGATTCAGTCGAGATTGTAACACATAGCTTACATCAGCCCGCAGGTGTAGCCGGTGCCTCCACTGCCGAACAGTCGCTTGCGTCCTCTGGTGTCGTGGATCATGTTGGACCAGTTCTCACCGAATTCGATGAAGTTCCAAATACTCATGGCGCACCGGATATCGATGTCCGGCGATTGAGTTTTATCTCATTTGCCGACGTGGTCAACGCCGAGCACGCAGAGAATGTTGATTCTGTGTTTGCACGAGATTCGTCCCAGGCCGCATCTGCGTACGGGCATCCCCCAGCTGCAGGCTTTCTCAAACGTTCGCCATCCCCGTTGCGCTCGCCTGCTTCCTCGCACGGGCTTGGAACGTCTCCGCCCACTAGCATTGCCACCTCTTACAAAGGGCTGGAGATGTCTCCCAGTCACGCTGTCCGCAGTGCGGAATGCCCGTTCCCAGTAGCACAAAGTCCCATTTCTTCCAGCTTTGGTGAACTCAACGTTGAGACTATGCGCCAGGCCCTGCGACGAACGGGTAGCGGTGACCTAAGTTGTGTTGAGAGTCATCAATATGGTTCTATTGAGAGTGATGTGCCTTTGGATCGCTCTTTCTAAACGTTCGTGTTTACGACATGATATTTTGTCCTCAAGTAGCCGGCGTTACAAAGGATTATGAAATGGACTGTCATTACCGTTAACCTCAAGTCTCAGATCTCAGATGGCGCTTGGACCGGCATGATATGGATGCTTGTCTACTTTCACGTCCTATTGTGCTCTCGTTACCTCATTCAAGCTACGGATTTGGCCATCCTTGATTATATACTACTTTACCATATGATCGTATTGACACTGGAAACTAGTGTATGTATGTATCATTGGAGATCTAGAAATTGACCATATTCTCGGATTGGCTATCCGTCGACAGAGGTGCCTCCTAGCGTTCCACAGCGAAATTTATTCTAGGAACCCGAGGAAGCGCCGAGAGGAATATGTGTTGACGATTGATACTGCCAGGAGCCTTGTTATTTTCACTTCTTCGTCTTTTCCACTGCATCCAGGGCACGTTGAAACCTCGCACGCAAATCCGACACATCTTCCAGTCCAACACTAATTCGGACGAGATCAGGATCAACATTGAAGGATCTCGCCTAAAGGTTGGTGTTAGCCAAAGACCATAAAGATAGGAAGGTCTTGTATCTGCCGTGTGGATCAGAAGACTTACCCAGTCGAGTTCACCGTAATGGGCTAAAAGGACATAGGGTGAACTTATGTGCAAAGATTGGTCAGTGCTGTTTCGGAAGGGGATCTGAAGTCGGTCATACCTGAGTGTGAAATTAGTGCCGAGACTAGGACCTTTCAGAACCTCAAGAGTATCATAGAATGCAATGGCTTCATCGGTCGAGTGGAAGGTGACAGAGAAGAGGCCACCATAACCGCCCTGAGGATTACGCAAACTCTCGTACAATGGGCGCGTGGGGCTGTATTTTGGGTAATGAACATCCTTGACTGTGGATCGCTTAGCTTAGTCAAAGAATAGAAAACGGAATAATAGCATCATACTTAATGGAGAAGCCGTCAAAAACGCCGTGATCTCCTCTGACGTGAAGTTGATCTTCTCAATTCGTGACATGAAGTCACGACTGTTTCGTTCCAGGAAGACGGCATCCTCTGCCCAATAGATGTCTTCGAACTCCAGCGAATAAGTCTCTTTCAAATGCTGATAGTACTGCCCATGTGGATTGAGCACTGCACTTCCACCCATAACGTTGCTGTCTCCGCTGAAAATTTTGGTCAAGCTGCTGGCGACAATATCGGCGTAGCGGAGTACATTGATATTTAGAAAATTGCTGATGGTCTCATCTACCACCACGGCAAAATCATATTGGTCGGCCAGGGTTCGGATACGCACAAGGTCTGGAGTTCTGAGAAGAGGGTTGCCAGGAGCTTCGGTGAAAAGACCAAGGAACCGTTCGCCATTCCTCAGCCGGAGTTCCAGATCATCTAGATCCTCAGTTGACCCGTGGCCATAGAAAATGCATCCAGGGCCCCATTTTTGTAAGATCTTCAGCGTGTCGGTATAGGGGAATCCAAAGCAGATGCTCTTCATGGGGCCCCGTGCATTCATTAAAATCTGGTGCGCATTGAAAATTGCACTCATGCCGGAAGGATATAAATAGACATCGTCCTCGGAGATTCCAGCCACTCGGCCCTCCGATGAGGCCGTTTCAAGGGCTTCGGGCAGTTCAACATCAGCGGTCAAAACACCAGCAATCCGCCTCCGCACGGCATCTTTTGCCTGATTTGCATGCAGGGTGCTAAGGTTCCGGCCGAATCGCTCCTCAATGAATTGAGAATAGTCTCGGCCATCCTCAACGCCATTGGTCGTTGCCGAAGGTGTTTCTGTCGAAGGCGTGGGTGTAGAGGGAGTTCGCGAGATTCCGCTCACGGAACTCCTTCCTTGGTATCTTCTAGGACCCTTGCAGGGTCTTTGAATTGACTCCGAAGTTCTAGAGTTCTTGTCCTCTACCAAAAACCCATCCTGCAAAGCACGAAGACAAAACTCACCCCGCCGACTGGAAATACCATTGCCAGAATGTTGCCACACCTGCTTGGCAATAGGCCCAAATTCTTTGGAATAAATCACGGCCGACAAAGTGGAAGTTATCGCAGATGATCCGGCTTCGGTATGCTGGGGCGAGATGAAGTTCACGATACGAACTTGGCGCGACTGCTCAACGGGAATTTTGGACACGATGAACGAGTGACAGATGCGTGCGGTCTTGGCCGATGCGAAAAGCGTTGCAGTCTCTTTCTTCGAGTCTCCTACCCGGGAAACAATCTCCCGCACAAGTTTTTGGATGCTGGGGTGCACGAAGAAGCGGGGGTAGCCGCATTGCATCTTGCTTATAACCCAATCTTCTCCCTCCTCATACCCGATGTTGGATCTCCACGTGGGAAGCGAAACACTAACCGCCTTTGATGTTGTCAGTGATCTTTCAAAGGTTCAATAGAAGAATAAGGTGTTGCGACACCACGGACAGAAGCCCTTCAATGATCATAGAGGGTTGTTGGCGGGGCAGGTTTGCTGGAACGTACATGGTCGGTATTTGGGGGCACGGTGCCTCCGAGTACTTGTAACATGGTGCAAGGGAAAGGAAACGATTAAAAGAAGACGAGCAGAGGAATGGATGTGGAATGAGACCAAAATCTGAGAATGAGTCGACCAGAGACTCATACTGCGACTTCGGCGTGGCGCTGAGTCAGGCCCCGTCATGTATCTGGTATACTTTACCATACACAGTACCTAAGGACCCGTTATCGACCCATAAAAAAATTCGTGGTCTCCGTCCGCAACTCTCTCTTGACACACAAATTCCTGAAGATGTCGGCGCATACGATTAAACGAAGGAAGCTTAGTCCTTCGCCCGATGCCTCTACATCCCACACCAAGTCGTCAGGTGATTCGACACCGAAGAACCCCAAGGCAGGATACGAGAACACGGCTGCCTTGCGAAAAAATGATTCGACAAAATCCCAAGCGGGCAGCAGGGGAAAAGACGAGCGCTCGGCTGAGCTTGCCATGGCGAGCGGCTTCTACAAATCTAGCTTCTTCAAACTGCAGATGGACGAGTTGTTAACCGGGCTAAGACCGAACTACGACAAGCGAATCTCGAAGCTCCAAGATACCTTGCACAAGTTGAAGAACGCAATCGAAAACCTTCCTGAGAACTCACCAAAATCTGTCGCAGAAGCCGAGAAGGAGCTACGCGATGTTTCAGGCCTAGTGGTGCCATGGCCCGAGCCTCGACCGGCCAAAGATACCAAGTATACCGTGTCGTATGCGAAGCCAACAAACATCAATGTGGTAGGAAGTTTTGCTCTGCGGACGGGAGCCAAAACCTCGGACGGTCGCTCTGTGGACATGGCCGTGACAATGCCTAGTTCTATCTTCCAGGAGAAAGACTATGTCAACTATCGTTACTTCCACAAGAGAGCATACTATGTCGCTTGCCTGGCGGCCGGTATCCGGGATTCCATGAACGAGCTTGGACTGGAAGTCAAGTTCGGCCTTCAAGACGGAGACAGTCTTCGCCCACTGATCTTGCTGGAGCCTCGGTCTACTTCGAAGGACGATCAAACGTCCTCGCGGGCGCGAATTAGGATCTTGACTGCAATTGATCCGACGCTTTTCCCCATTACTCGGACGCTACCGATGAAGAGCAATGTTCGACAGGGCTCTTCTGCTGATCAGTCCGATATTGGCGAGCCGACCCCATTCTACAACGCTAGCCTCCGGGCCGAGGCCACCGTCTCTCAGTATCATAAATATCTCCACTTGGCTTCTCAGAAATGCGAGTCGTTCCGTGATGCATGCATCTTGGGTCGAACTTGGCTGCAACAACGTGGCTTCCATCCTTCTTTCCAGCATGGAGGCTTTGGAGGCTTTGAGTGGACGGCCCTTATCTCCCTTCTATTTGAAGGCGGCGGACCCACTGGACAGCCGATTCTCATGAGATCTTACAGTAGCTATCAAATCTTCAAGGCTACTCTACAGTTCCTTGCCGGTAGGGATTTGACCACTCCCTTGCTTCTTTTCGCTAGTGATGTCCCTGTCCCTACGGGAGGACCTGTTTTGTACGATGGCCGCCGAGGATTGAATCTTCTTTACAAGATGACTCCATGGTCCTATGCGGCGCTCCGCCATGAAGCTAACAACACCCTCAAAATGCTTAACGAGTCGCGAGAAGACAACTTTGACAGGGTTTTCATCGTGAAGGTCGACGAACCGGCGTTGAGATTCGATCGCCTCATTTCCTTCTCCAAGTCATTCACTGGTGATACCATTCGAGCTCTTCGCGAGCAAAACTCGTTGTACAGCGTACTTTCGAGGGCCCTCGGAGACCGCGTCAAACTGATCTCCTTTGCGAGTGACAGCGCTGGAGCTTGGTCTATTCGATCGAAAGCTCCGATCAAGAAAGCGAGCCACAATCTCTCCGTGGGACTCCTGCTAGACGCCGACAACGTGGGTCGTGTAGTCGACCATGGGCCCCCAGCGGAAGAGAAGGAGGAGGCAGCTTCTTTCAGAGCCTTTTGGGGAGAGAAGGCAGAACTTCGGCGATTCAAGGACGGGAGTATCCTGGAAAGTTTGGTGTGGTCCGACCAACCTTCGGAGGAATCAATTGTGCATCAAATCTTAGCTTACATTCTGAATCGGCATTTCCAGGTGGATGAGCAAGATTTCCTTCTCACTGGTGATGAGTATGATGAACTCCTCTTTGACGAAGGCGACGGCGTGGTGGCATACTCCAACTCGCCTTTCCAGTCAATCAACGAAGCTTTCAAAGAGCTCGAGCGATCGATTCGAGACATGGAAGAGGTTCCATTGGAGATTCGCCATTTGGCCCCGGCGAGCCCGTTGCTCCGATACACTGCCCTTCGAGTGCAAGGCTCTGGTGGAGCCAACGAACCGGCAGACGTTGTTCTTCAATTTGAAAGCTCTCCGAAGTGGCCTGACGACTTTGCTGCCATTCAAATGACAAAAGCGGCGTTCCTCGTCAAGATCGGAGACTCGCTAGAGTCCTCGGGCGCGGCATCAGGCTGTCGCGTAGGCTTGGAGAATGAATCCAGCAAGGTGCTCAACAATGCATACTTGGACATTCCCCACACTTCAGGCTTCCTTTTCCGACTGAGAATCCACCATGAACGTGAGCAGACGCTACTTGAGCGTCAGCTTAAGGACAAGGCCATCAACCCTCGAGAACGAGAAGAAGTTGCCTTTGCTCTGTTCTTGTACAAGAAGCTCTTTGTGCAAACGCCGCGTCTGACCCAGGCGCTCCGGAGCCTCTGCACACGCTTCCCGCTGATGTCGCCCACTATCCGTCTTGTGAAGTATTGGTTTACCTCCCACCTCTTCTCTGCTCAGGTCTCCGAGGAGCTGATAGAGCTTTTGACAATTCGAACTTTCACACAATCTCATCCATGGGACTGCCCTTCGAGTATCATGACAGGATTTCTCCGGACTCTGCACTTCCTCTCCCGTTGGGACTGGCAGCATGAACCATTTATTGTCGACCTGGGTGGCGATCTGACCCCGGAGATCACCGAAGCTATTCGCACTCGTTTCACCGCTTGGCGCAATATCGATCCTGCGATGAACAACGTGGCGCTGTTCGTCGCTTCTGACCTCGACATTGATGGCGTCACCTGGACCCAGTACGAAATGCCCTCGAAGGTCGTGGCCGGTAGAATGACCACGTTGGCAAAAGCAGCTGTGAACTTGCTACGGGCACAGAACCAAGATCTTGACGTGCCGGATCTTTTCCAGACATCGCTTGCGCCCTACGACTTCGTCATCCATATAAGCTCCAAGGCCTTGAGTGATCGTCCCTCCGTGTCTAAATACAAAAACCTGGTCGACATGGGCACTTCCCGCAGCAGCAAGATGGCCATGGTGGAGTCATTCGTGCATGACGTTCAGGCCTGCTATAATCAAAGTGTTCTTCTCTTCCACGGCGACGAGCGCTGCGGCATAGTTGCGGGTCTGTGGAACCCACAAATGGTAAAGCCACGGGTTTGGAACCTGAAGACGGCATACTCGACAGCGCCAGCACCCGAGGCCTCTCCAGGAGAAGCAGGATCAAGTGAAGATCAATCATCCAGCGATTCTAAATGAGATTTCCCGGCTGGGAGAAGGACTGATCGATACAATTGAAACCAAGTAAGGTGGCAAGAAAAGGACCAAAACAGATGTGAATTATAGCGTCGAAATCTAAAAACTATTGGCGAATGTACATTACCTGCTAGCGCCGCTGCAATGCAAACCCCAAACCTGATACGTATCAGCACCAGAACCAGCATCAATTCAGATGAAAATCACATTCAATATTCATGAACCTCGTTCCGACTTGCCAGGGACCTGCGAGGAGAACGAGCAAAACTTGTCCTTGATCGCCACAACCTCGTAGGTACCTTCGTCTGAGGTCTTGATAGTCTTTTTATGCTCGTAAGATATGTCGTGCTTGATATCAAGAACCTCTGATTTCTTCCCTTGCGAGCATTGGAGCTTCGAATGTATCTGTAAGATGTGAGCATACTTTGTATGGCTAGAGCTGTGTAGGAGTCGCAACTTACGTGAATTCAAACGGAGGCGTTCCCCAAAACTCAAAGTGAAGCTCAGCCTCTCCACCTTCATGAATATCCACCACCGAAACTTGACCCTTGCTGATCCGCACACTCGGCATCTCGTGAATGACCTTGGTGATGTCTTTGTGGGCCTTGCACTTGCCGCTAGCACCATCCCCAACTGCAGTGATACTGAACTCACCAGGGCGCTCGGCAATGCGGCGAAAGTTGGTGTTTTGAGAAGTGGCCTTTCGCTGAGCTCCGTTGAAGGTATAAAAGACCTCGAACGGAGCGTGCCCGGAAAGAGAGAATGAAAGTCGCTCCCCCACGCAGTAGTCAACCTTAGATTCGAGAGGAATTATAGTCGGCACGTCGGAAACAACCACCCGCACAGAGGTGGCGTCATACTCGGTCGTCCGTTGACAGCCACGCGAGTCACGGACCTTGTGGATGCTAACCACATGCTGACCTAGATCGAGATGGCGCCGAGGAATAGGCAAATTATGACGGTTCGAGTTGATCTTGGGGATGGTGACAAGCTCTGGTTTGGCGTTCGAGTGGTGTTTGATGCTAATTTCTAACGAGAAGGGCGGCTGCCCCTCCAGTGTGACCGGAATGGTCTCCTCGCCGCTCACGTCCTCCTTGCAAAACCCGTAGATGTGACCGGGAGAGTCGAACCGGGCGCGCGGAAGCGAGTTCACTTTTTGCGTCACAACGAGGCCATTGCTCTTCGGATCATGATCGTAGAGATTGTCGCCCACCTCAGTGAATTTGTAAGTGTACTGACCAGGCTCAGAAGTGTCCATCTCCATCGACGCTACGTTGAGAGCAGTCCTCACGTTGCGCGAACGGGAGGAAGTACCTCCCTTATCTGTCTTCCGCCGCTGCTCGTATTGAAGATTAAATGGGGGATTGCCTGACAGACGAAGTTCAAGGCTGTCGCCGTCGCCTTGACAGACCTCAGCCTTCGCGTACTGGCCTGCTGGCCAAACGGGAGACCCATCCACGGCGGCGACGTGCGGGCGGGGGATCCAAGACACTTCAAATTCTTTGGCAGATTGGTCCACGGTTCCAGGGCACGAACTATCGAAGACCTCAACAAGCTCGTAGAGGCCTTCGCGGTCCACAGCCAAAACACTATTACCATCCCAGAAAGTCTTCTCAATGGGCGAAGGGTCGGTATCCACATTCTTGTATTTTACAGTCCATGGCCGCTCGCCGCTCAGCCTCAATGGAATCTCAATCATAGAACCTTGCAAAGCCGAGACGCTCCTCTGCTTATCGATGTGACCGAAGGAAACATGAGGCGGTTTTGATCGAGCGTTAATCCTGAGATTATCCTTGAGGGAACGCTTACAGTTCGACTTGTCTTTTACGCTCGTAAGAGAAAGGATGTATTCGCCACCATTGACCAGTTTGTCGCTAGTGATGGTCGCCACTTCGGTGTCGGATTCCAAGGTTTGCTTTTGTCTCTTCCCGTTATGGACAAGTTCGTATTGCAGCGTCCACGGAGCTTCGCCTAGGAAAGCAACATCCACGGAAATAGACTCCCCAAAGCAAGCTTTACGAGCCTGTCTAGGGCCAAGGAAATGAGCCGAGGCTGGCGGCTTGACGTTTTGTTCCAGTATAGGCACATTGTCTTTCAGAGATCGCGGAGAGTACACAGCATCTTCTATGTCCAGGAATCGGTAGCGGTAAAAGCCAGCCTCAGAAGGGGTGAAATCGAGTTGAGTCCGTAGTCCGTCAATCTTCTGTGTTTTTGTGACAGCACCCTTGGAGCTTTCAATACTGTACCGAAGGCTGAACGGCGGCGACCCTGTCAGATCTAGGTCCACAAGCAAGCCAACGGCACTGTTTGCACATCGGTCGAAGACCTTTTCGGACTTGACAGAAATTTCGGGTTCCGGTGGGTTGTGAAGGTAACAAGCAGAGGGTTCGAGGACTTCACCGGGGCAGAATTGGCTTGATACTGATGACAAAGAATACCAGCCTGGCTCTCTAATAGGGGATTTCTGATCAAGAGTCTTCAAGTGAAGCGTCTTGGAAGCCTTGGCATCAACGTCCTTTTGGGCAGGATCAGCGCTGCTGAAAGAATATGTGACGGAGAAGGGCCCGTCTTCAACGTAGCCGTTCCCAACGGTCTGGAACTCAATTGGTAGATTGATATTGTCTCCACGGGCGACCTCCAGCGGACGTTGGTCATTGCAGCCCGACAATGACACGCGAGGCCGCTCATGAACAGAGAACTGGTGCCATTGGGAGACCGATTTAGTAGATGGACGCTCCGATTCTTCGAAGACAGAAGAGTAATTCGCAACATTTCCGCAGGCATCGTGAACCTCTTCAACGGCGTAAAACCACTCGCCACCAATATTCAGCGACTCGTTTAATGGGACCTCGATTATTTGGCTCTGAGCCCAAGAAATATCGGGCTGATTGATGCTGAACAGAGCGCCTCCTGGCCTTTGATTCAGAAATGGCGAGTGTAGATTATCCGGCTGAATGTTCTGGAAGGAGAAACCTCGATCATGATGATTCACCTGTCGGCTGTACTTGATCTTCAGAGGAGGCGTGCCTTCGACCTCAAGCACGAGATTTGATAGCTCTCCCTTACATTTGTTCGTGTGTGAGTTTTTGATCAACGCGCGGGGGCAGGTGACCACCAATGCATCAGACGTGCGCGTGTGGACATCAAGCTGAGATTCATCTATAACTCGCTGGAGACGATAGATACCAGTCTTGCGCACGGGGAAAAAGAGATCCCGGTGAAGCGCAGGGCCCAGATGTGCCTGTCTCTTGTCTGCCTGCTTCTTGAGCTGCTTCAAATGTTTTGCAGAAATAGTCAGGGTTTCGTTTTCGCCAGTGTTCAGGTCTAGTCGCAGCACTTCGATGAGAATGGGATCCGTCTGGTTGACTCGAATTGGGAGATGCACGAAGTTTTTCTGAGAGTCAAGGCAGAGTGCTTCTCGCTCCGGGTTGAGAACAGCAGATCTAACAAAGTCAGCAAAAATATGAATCAGCTTCATGGAAGAGTCCGTCTCACCCTTCGGGTAGAATGTGAACGATCTGCTTGCCTAGGATCAATGACGCATTATGGATAATATCACCCGGTTTGACCTTTCGCTCGGAAATTGACAGTTCGCGATCGTAAGCCACCTTCACCAGACCTGAGAGCCACACGCCCAAGGGCAGCTGGTCCGGTCAGCAAGAATTGGAACACGCGAACGCAGGGCCACATACCGGAATGCGGAACATCAAGAAAATGTTGCCCACCATGTGCACAAGGAATACTGCCAATGTGGTTGGGAAAGCCCACTCCAGCCATGGTATGCGCAGCGCCTGGAGGCCGAATAGGAAGATCCCATCTATCGACATCCATTTCAGAAAAAGCCAGGTCGAGTCCAGCTCGTCCGACGCAGACCAGGACTCGTAAACCCTCCATACATTCAGTGCGAGCCAGAAGGCAGACACATATAGTCGTTGAGAAGGCGCATCAATCAAGTTCGTAGGGACGAGCGGTGTATTCGTGTTCTGAGGCTGAGGCTGAGGCTGCTGTTGCGGCTTGGGCACTTTGTAGGGCGATTTGGAGGGTGACACACGATCGCGCCCATCACGCACGTCACGAGGCTGAGAGCGAGAGGGACTCCCAAATAGTTTCCTCCTCCTCGGAATTGTTTGGGGCGTCTGAGGGAAGGCAGACGTCAGGCGGGGAGTTCCGTTCATGGCATGCTGTGGTCGCCTGGGTCACCTTACAAGCCGCGAAAGAGTTCCACAAGAAGAAACGGGCGCAATGACCGCCAGTAACTTTCAGAAGTGTAGGGACCGTATGAGGCGAACGGTGTGGGGTGTGGGGGTCGAAGCTTGAGCTTGTGCAAAGAGTGAAAACAGAGACAAAATGCTGAAGCTGCCGAGCCGCGGGAAGCGCGTCGGAGAAAGCTCGGTCCACCCATCGACATGCCACTATACATTCTACTCTTAGCTTCCACAAATTCGCTTCACTTGCTTGACTATTTGCGTAAATCCTTTGTTGCCGCTGATCCTGAATTCTCCTAACAATCCTATCGGCCCAGATCCTCTCTTTCATCATGGGTTCTCCCCCAAGCGTCGGCGTCTCACCGATCCTTGGGAAGAGGTTGCGAGCGAAGATATCTGCAAGCCTGCCACTGAGCTGGAGAAGAATAGCTGGAATGGCTTCTGTGAGATTGAATCGGAGCCGGTAAGGTCATTGCCCATATTTTACTATCTGCTCTGATGGCGTCCTTCTAGGCATTATTTAATGTGATGCTCCGCGAGTTCGGCGTGAGAGGTGTCCATGTCCAAGAAGTGATGTCTCTAGATGAAGAAGGCGTGGGCTATCTGGAGTACGCATGTCTTGAACTACTACTTTCCCAGTATTGGACAATATACTCACAATGCTCCGAATAGGAAACCTGTTTACGGCTTGATATTCCTGTTTCGCTGGCGGGAGGACGATGCCGAGAAACAGGAGGCCAGTTGCCCGGACGGCATCTGGTTTGCGAATCAGGTCAGTTAAAGGACGCCATTTACTCGGCCCTCTTCGGTAACAATGTTCTAGACAGCTGGAAATTCTTGTGCCAGTGTGGCACTGCTGAATATCGTCAACAACATTCCTGGCATCGACCTCGGGGAGAATCTACGACGGTTTCGAGACTTCACCATGCCCTTCACCCCGGCACTACGTGGCGATGCCATCAATAACTTTGAGTTCGTCAAGCATGTGCATAACTCCTTTGCTCGGTAGGGCTGCTATTCTCCGCCGATGTTGTGCTATGCTAAATCCGATTGGTTTCTGCGATAGAAAAATGGATATATTAAATTCAGATCTTCAGCTTCAATCTGAGGCGACTTCCAAGAAGCGTTCCAAAAGCCAAGATCCCAACGAGTTGGAATCAGGTTTTCACTTTATCGCGTTCATGCCGGCGATGGGTCAAGTGTGGAAGTTCGACGGTCTGGAGCGTCAACCTCAAGCACTCGGTGAGTTTCTTTGTGGTCTCTGTTGGCAATTCTGACTCTGTTAGGCGAATGCTCCGAAGATGACTGGCTGAAATTGGCGATGCCCAATATCATCGACCGAATGGCCGCGTACACCGAAGATAGTATTGAATTTTCCATTCTCGGTGTGGTTCGAGATCCTCTATCGGATCTTGTTCAGCAATTGGCAGTCAACGTGAGAAGCTTAAAGGTCATCCAAGATCGGCTCCTAGCCCAGGAGGGTAGCGCCCTGGAAAGAGAAGCGAGCCTCGCGGCCCTGAATGAAACAGTCCTCGGCCCAGAAGCGTCTCTTGGGCTCACACAAGCAGATATTGAAGCGGCCATCACCTCCGTGGGCATACAAATGTGCCAAGACTCGGAACAACTACGGCGGTATCAGCAGGAGCTAAGCCAAGCCCAGGTTGGGCTTCGGGGGCGAATTCAAGAACAGCAGCAAGCACAACGAGAGGACGAGGATCATGCGACGGGACGACGTTATGACTATGGCCCGGCGATTCGGAAGTGGTTGCGCTTTCTAGCACGCAAGCAGCTGCTGGCGGAGCTATTGCAATAACGGGACACCCCCTCGTGGCACAGCGATTGGCCCACAGCACGTAACTATACCTTCAACCTTGAAAGGAAATGCAAAGTACGTGGGTACACAAATTGGTCGGAACCCGTCAAGTAGTCATGAGTCCGGGAGCCGAGTACTCAGTACATGCGTCAGCTATCAGCAGAACAATGAGTACAGGGGTAGCGAGTACCTAATCAAGAGTGGAATCAAGGCGAAATGTACTTTAATTTGCCCGGTGGGGTACCGCGAAAAAGGACGTCACCGCCTGCTCGAGACCCTCTCCAACTCTCATTCTAATTCCCAACTTCTTTTTACCTCTTACAAGGATTTTGCTTCTCTGTTTGGGCGCGTTCACTAGCTTTTTATCAGGGCAGTCGCCCCTACAAGCATTACCTCCCCAATCTCTTGTCTCTTTTGCCTGGAGCCCGGACCACTTTTCCGCCACTCGACGCCATGTCGTCCATCGCAGTCGCCGAGAAGACCCCTGATGACTCGTCCAAGCTGAAAACATTTCTGTCCATCCTGCGCAAGTAGGCCTTCCTCGCGTCGCTTGACTACAAGCTTTCCGCTCACACCAAATTCTACCGGAGAGATGCTGATGCGACTATGAACTAGGTTCGTGGGTGTGACAGATATCGCCTCGGTTCGTTTCTCTCTACCGGCTCAACTATTGGAGCCTCGACCGAATTTGGGTACGTCTGCACTGAGCGAACACACATGTGCGAGGATGGAGCTGACGGGCCACAGAATACTGGAATTATTTGGATCGACCGGAGACCTTTGCGAGGTCAGCAACGTGGCCCTTCTGTGTCAACGTAAATGCTGACTCCAGATCTACAGCATCGGTAAATCGGACGATGAACTCGGTCGCATGCTAGAAGTGTTGAGATTCTGGTTCACCAAGGATCTGGTATATCATGACCATCGGTAACCACGAGAGGGAAGATGAGCTAACATATTCGACAGAAATACATCAAGGGGAAGCCGTGCAAGCCATATAACTCAACGCTGGGTGAATTCTTCCGGGTAAGTCGAGAAGGCCAAGACTCCCCGCTAACAATGAGCGCCTACTGATGCCTTGGGGCTTTACAGTGCAGCTGGGAAGTGCAGGACAACGTCCCCGAGGAAGTGAACCTGCCTGGTGTCAACGCCAACGGCAATAATTCAATCGTCAACGATGATAACAAACAGGTGAAGGTGTGTTATCTGACCGAGCAAACCTCTCATCACCCGCCGGTCTCGGCTTTCTACATTGACTGCCCTGAACGGGGTGTTTCAGCCCGAGGCTTCGACCAGATCAGTGCCAAGTTTACCGGCACGAGTATTCGGGTAAGCCCTGGCCAACACAACCTGGGCATCTTCGTCACTATCGAGAAAAGAAATGAGGAGTATCAGTTGACTCACCCGGATGCACACCTCGGTGGCTTGTTACGCGGTGCGCTATCAATCTCGGTAGCGGATACTTGCTACGTCACTTGTCCAAAGACCCGGATGAAGGCAATTCTGCAGTACGTTGAGGAGGGATGGATTGGCCGGACCCAGAATAAATTGGAGGGCGTAATCTTCCGCTACGATCCCGACAATGATAACATCACCCGCCTGAAGGATGTGGCGGAAAGTGATCTTCTTGCTCGTATCAGTGGATCTTGGCACGGCAAGATTTATTACACTGCTGCGGGGTCCAAGGATTCTCGTCTTCTGATTGACATTACGCCTCTCTTTCCCGTGACCAAGATTTTGCCTCCGGATGAGCAGCAATTATCCAATGAGTCCCTCAAGTTTTGGTCAGAGGTCACTAATGCCATCCTGAACAAACAATTCACCCAGGCAACGAAAGTGAAGCAGGACATCGAGGAGAGGCAGCGACAGCGAGCGGCTGAGCGCAAGGAGGAGGAGGTGGTTTGGAAGCCCCGTTTCTTTACTGGCGCTGTGACGCCCCTGGGTAAACCTGAGTTGACTGAGGAGGGACAGACGGTGCTGCAAGGACTCCGAGCAGGCGACTACACTTTAAAGGAAAGTGAGGTGCAGGGTGCATAGATCTTTATTTGATTGCTTTAACCCCATGGCGTATCTGGCATGCGACCACACGGCGTCTCTGCTGTTCCCGGTGTCTTTGTTGATACTTTGTTTTTGTTATTCTCACATACTTAGACTTCATTGGGGGGATATATGCGACTTCTGTTCTCCCCAAACCTTTGTTGATAAGCGTTCAATGTTTCTTTATTGCAAAAGGGCTCGGTAATCATTGCCCCGTCCTCAACCAGACTGGACATGTCTCTACTCTCTACAGATACATTTGTAGACCATACCGAGGAGAGAGACTCTGAGCTAAAGGATTCATTCACGATTGCAGTGTGCAAGAGTAAAACGAGCCGTCATAAAGCGAACCATAACACCACCCACACCAAGTCCAGCGCCAAACGCACAAGGGAAAAAGGAGAGTCATCGCGTGCATGAGACATCAATTGCTTCACAAGGCTAGGCAGCGGCGCTGACGACCTTGGTAAACCCAGCGGTCACCGTCTTGGTGATATCCTCATTCTTATGAGGCAGTAAGGACAGCGCATAGGCGACATCGTTCCATTGGCGCTCGGTCTCGCAGCGAGGAAGCCTCGCTGCTAGCTTGTCAGCCAGTTGACGAGCATGTTTCTCCTGTAAATCTGTCGTCAGGACTAAGTGACATAGGCGTGGAGTAAAGAGTCGACTTACCTTCTCCACAAATCCAATCAAGAACTTCACGATACGCCGTAACGACGCTTCTTGAAGGCTTCGCTCCGCACTCAGCAGACTGAACATGTCGACAAAGTGGTTGTACACGGCATTATCTTTGGTGGCCAGCTCGGTAAAGAACATGCGTGCCAGGTCGGCAATCTTCTTATCGTCGTCTTCCAAGCATTTGGCCATTTCGCCAAGCTGGCCTTTGACCTTGACCTGACCGGCCAGAATAAGAAAGGTCAGAGTCATGAGGCAGGTCCGCTTGACAGATGCCTCGTCGTCATTGAGACGACGGTACAGGAAGTCGGTGTTTTCGTCGATGAGGTGGTTAAAGCAAACGGCCATATCACCGAGGGCGATGACGGCATTACTTCGCACAATGGGATCTTCGGACCGCTCCATTATGGTGATCAGGAGCGGCAGGTTCTTCTCGCAGTATTCGGCAGACACGCACATGAGCTTGGCCATGCACAGCGTAGCTGCCGCCTGCAGGTCACAATCCGGATAGACATTGTTATTGGCCAGAATCTCAGTCACCAATGGACCGAATTTGGCGAGGAGTGAGTTCTCCCCATAAAGAAGCTCCCTTTCCCGGATATGAGCCATGGCATCTTGGAAGTCATCCTCGGTGGTGCCACCGATGAGATCTAACTCGTCGTCTTCGGCATTTTCTCCATCCTTTTGAGCAGTGGCCTCGGCCGTTCTGTTCTTCTCTTGTTCCGCTTTTCGCCGCTTGAAGTCGAGCTCACACAATTCAAGATGCACAATCTGCTTGATGGCAATGTGGCCAACAACATAGAGTAGTTGGGAGAGGGCCGCCGAAGAGGGTCTGGGTTTTGATCCTTGTCCGTCCGTTGACGCGGTTTCAGCAGGTCGCTGGTCTTCACCGTCGACAGATGCGTGCGAGGAAGATGGACGTTGTGGTTGGAAGACAAATCGAGTCTTGCGTCTGAGGATGTCAGAACAGAGAACATCGGGATGCTTAGACAGAGTATAGATGGCGCTGATGGCTTGCTCAGCCACACCGTACCACTCCTTGCTCTCAGACACAATCTCAATTATAGCAGCAAGTTTGATCAAAACCGAATGGTCATTGGCGAGTTTAGGAATACCAATGTCCTTGGACTTAGCCTGTCGACCAGGGACCATGCGCCGCAAAGCAATGCATGTGTACTTTGCGAGTACAAGATCGGACCGACCAAGACCACCAAGACCAATGCGCAACATCGCCTCTATCTCCTTAACGACCACTTCGGGATCCGCCAAAGCAAGCATACCGAGAACAATGATCGCACCGCGACGCTGCGTCTTCGAGATTTCCTTCTTCTGGACAGCATAGACTTGCCACAGCTTGGTAATGACAGCCTCTGATATATGTCCAGACTTCATCATGGTACTCAGTAGTTGTTCAAGGCAAGTGAGCTCAGCAGGAGTCGATCCAAAGGTTAGACTAATCATGTTGCGTGCAATATAGATTGCGGCATCATTCGGACTGAACGAGCCAGGCGCATCAAAGAAGAGTCCCTTATAGCAATCAATCAAGTGGCTCTGGACACCCTTGCCTTCGTCGCTGTTCCCCTTGGTCCAAATCAGACGAAGCATGCGACGAATGCCACTTCGAGCAGTTTCAACCTTGTAGGCGTCGAGCACCACGAAGAAATCCATAGCTTCGATCACCTCACTCTTGTTGCGAGAGGAGAGCAACTGGGAGACAATCGTTGATCCTGAATGAAGAACTTCAATGAAACGCAAAGCCTCGTTGTAGTACTTTCTGGTCAGCTGTAGTCGAGTCAATAGCTCTGATGTCGCAGCCTGCTCGGCTGCTTTCTGTATGGCGACAGCTTTCTCATCTTCAGTCATTCGGGGGGCTTTAGAGGGAGACTCGTCCGGCAATTGAGTAGCCTCGTCCAATAATTCGCTGTCAACCTGAGTCATATCTCCATCAAATCCTGGCGTCTCAGGAGGCCGCAAAGCGTTCAGTTCACTGTCAACGCCATTCAATCTCTCGGTCCACTCATTGTACGAAAGCTGACCACCGTGCATGACGCTGAACGGATGCGTGGCGACCAGTTTGGACAGCAATCTGATGGCATTGCGTCGCACATTGCTGCTTTTGTCTTCCAAGCTACGAGCTGCCAATTCAGCGGCCGCTTGTCGCCTTTTGGGGAACTTCTGTTCCAAATCGCAGATCCGCATGAGAACTTGAATGGCACGGCAACGACAGTAGGGGTTGATATCGAGGAAGCGCTCTTCCAATACGTCGAAAAAGGCGTTGATTTGAGTCTTGTAGTTCTCACTGCGTTCTTCCTGTCGGCTCAAGTCCGAAATGAGGTTTCCGCAAACCTCGATCACAGCGCATCGAAGTGTGTAAGCCTTGAAAACCCATCAGTTCCACTCACTAGCCAAACTGATATTGACGGGACGAATGTTACCTCGCTATCAAGCTGTTTAGCCAGAAGGGTCATCTGTTTGATGATCAATCTTGGCGCAAGCTCGGATAACTTTATGATAAAAGCAGAGACGGATTTTGGCCCGCGCGTATCATTCGAGTTGAACTCCTTGTTTCGAGTTCCCTGGTCCAGGTTAGCGCTGGGGAAGAATCAGCTTTTTAGGTGGCGGATATGGTACTTGAGAATCTCATCCGAAAGCTGGGGGTAGTCGTATTGTTCTGCGAGAATGTGGAGGAATTCGGCCATTGGTTCAGACAGATGTTCGAAATAGGTCAGACTCTGGACAATAGAGGTTTGTGCACCTACAGCATAGGTCAGTCTTAGACACACAGGTCTTTGGCAATGATGTGCGACACGTACCGAATGCATGCCCATGATGCTTGACTGCAATACACAGGACCTTGAAGGCGTGCATGCGGATGGCCATACTCTTCACTCGCTGTTCGCTCTCAAGGATCAGGTAGATTGTGCGCGTGAATAGAGTAATAAATGTATCGCGATCCGAGGTAGTCAGAAAGATGCGCCCAAGTTTTAATTTCATCACCTTGCACATGGTCTCCATGGAGATCTGGATCTGAGGTGTCCAATCCCACTGGCCATCCTTCGCCGATTTCTTGGATTTGGGACCACCTCGTCGTGTGGGAGCCGACTCGGCGGGTTTCTCTGCTGCCTTCACCTCCACGGCGGACAGAGCCCACTGGAGAAGAAACCCGTACATCTCCAGGAGTTGTTTGTGTTGCTGAATGGCATCTTGTTCATCAGATTCGAGGTCGCCGTAAATGAGGTCTGCCTCTACCGACAATCCGGACACGATCAGGTCAAGTAACTTGCTGAGTGATTTGGAGGGGAGAAAGCTCGGAAATCTGCAAGGGTTCCAAAGGTCAGAGTCGATTTCAGGCGGGCGAAAGCCTTCGTTGGGGACTTGAGAAGGGACTGAGGCACACTTTAATAGCAGCTGCAGGGAGTCAAAGACCGAAGATTTGGTCAGTGCTTCTGGATTCTCTGCAACAGCATCAACAATCGGGTTCAAAACATTGTCAATAAGCGCTGGTGACAGCGATTCCGGGTCGGTTTCGCAATCGAGAAGCTCCGGCTCAGCATCGGGGGTCGGAATAGAGATTGGATCGCTCAAGTAATACTTGAGCGAGTCGTTGATATCGAACTGTATTCTGTCCTCCATGACGGCGACGGTGAAGGGGGGGGGTGGCGGAATGAAGGGGGAGAAAGCTGCGGCGGATTATGTTGATAAGGCGGTGTTTGGCTTTTGCCCTTTTGGGGATTTTCTTAGGTAACCGCGCGTAAATTACGACGTCCACCACTTCCCTCTCGCGGGTCGGTATTGTCACGCTGCTGTAAGCTCCAGCTGCCCTTCGGTGAAAAACAACGGAGCTCTTTGCGCATGAGACCTGCATCTCCAACCCCTTCACTCTCAGTCCCATGCCAGTCTGAGCCCGGTCTCTTTTGTTCCCTCATTCTGTCATTAAGCGGTCCCGCGAAGAGTCCACCCTCACCATGTCTGCCTTTCGAGGCGCTCCGTCTGGTGTCTTCGAACTTCAGCAAAGCAATTCCTTCCGAGGTTCGCAGCCCGCCAAACAAGAATACGCGTTGGAACAGGACGATGCCGGAGCTTCTATGAATGATGTGTCCCAAGGGATCAGTGACTACGAGGAGGAAGAGGTGGACCAATCCGTGCGTGAGGACATGAACAAACTGGAGGATACCTTCCCAGGGATCTCGGACAGATTTCGACTAATCAATCGCATCGGAGAAGGTACTGCGACTTGTCATATTACGAAGAGATTTGGAACAGAAGAGTTGCTGACATTCACCGCTTACCAGGGACGTTCTCCACTGTTTACAAAGCGGAAGATCTACTCTACGATCACTATCGCAACGACTGGGACGTTTTCGGGGAGGCGCAACAACAAGAGACATGGACAAGCCCTCCATCGAAACGAAGAAGAGTCGACGGAGAACCCGGCAGACGCACGCAAGCCCGATTTGTGGCACTGAAGAAGATCTATGTCACGAGCAGCCCAATTCGGATTCAAAATGAGCTCGAATTGCTCCATGACCTACGCGGCTGTAGATCCGTGTGTCCTCTGATCACTGCATTCCGATTTCAGGACCAGGTTGTTGCGGTCTTGCCATACTTCCCGCACACCGATTTTCGTATCCAGTATCGCACGTTTATGGTGGCAGACATGCGCCATTACCTGCGATCATTGCTAGTGGCATTACATTCGGTCCATGAACATGAGATCTTGCACCGAGATATCAAACCAACGTACGTGAGGCAATTTTCAATTTCTCTTAAGGCTCGCAATCTTATGAATGGCTCACAGGAATTTCCTCTACAACCCTGACTTGAAACAAGGCGTGCTCGTCGATTTTGGACTTGCAGAGGTAAGTTTTGTGTACAGTTGGCTCGCAATAGTTGTTTACTGATGCTGTTCATTTCGGTCACATAGCGTCAGGGCTCCGAATACACGAGCCCATGTCTATGCACCCATCAAACCTACGTTCGCCGCAGCCGGATCTTGTCCAGTTACTATTCAAAAAACCCTCCGTCTGGAGGTCTATCAGCCGGCTACCCGAAAAATGACTCTCGCCCATCTAGGCGAGCGAATCGTGCTGGAACTAGAGGTTTCCGCGCACCAGAGGTCCTATTCAAATGTACATCCCAGACCACCAAGATTGACATGTGGTCAGTCGGCGTGATTTTGTTGACTTTGCTCGGACGCCGATTCCCCTTTTTCAACTCAGCAGACGACATCGATGCTATGATCGAAATGTCGAGCATCTTTGGCACGCGGCGCATGAAAACTGCTGCAGCCATGCACGGACAGATCTTCAAGACCAATATTCCCACTATTGGAGAAAAAGGGTACAGCTGGGAGAAGCTAGTGAAATGGTCAAGCTGTGTCGAAGACTTGACCGAGAGTGAGCAACAGGCGACACGACTTCTATCCGGCTTGATGGAGCTTGATCCATCGAAGCGTCTCAGTGCCGAGGAAGCCTTGCAGCATGAATTCTTCACTAACCCTATTCATCATGATGTGGAATGGGGTGGTCACCCGGAAGAAAGTGCCGAGTCGGGCGAGGATGAAGATGGCGGAGAGGACGAGGTCGATGAGGTCGCTATGTTATGAGACATAAGATTTGTACGATAGATGCGGTTCCGAAGCTACACGGTAACTTATCAATGACGAATTTTTCTATGTGCCCTACAAGCAGACGGGGGCTCTATGCATTTGTTTACGTCACTTAGACTGCGCCATGTTAGAGAAAGCTCCCAAGTTGTAACATGAGCGAGTCATTCGGAAGCTCACTCTATGAATATGCCCGCTAAGCCGCTTCACCAAAATCGTAGTGGCCAGTTTCTGATGCATGCTTGGTTGCCCCCATCTCGCCTGTGAATAAGCCGCCGCAGGTGTTGCATCTTACCGAGAACCCGGAGGTATCGGTATAGTAATGCTTGCTCTGCAGCACTTGACACAACTCTTTGGCTTTCTCGAGAACAACCGGGTCGATGGCTTCAAAAATCTTGGTATCGCCGTGCGCAAATGGGTCGGCGTGGGTATATGGTGGATCTGAAGGGGAGAGCGCGAGGACATCGTAATGAATTCCTGAATATACCACGATACACCGTGTGGGAGCACCTTCATTGAACTGAAACATATGAAGGGTTTGTACATCAATAGAGCAAATCTCGATATTGAAGTACTCGCTCAGGATCTTCAGTTCGATTGCTCCACCCCAGGAACTCTCATTTTGGATCCATTGGCAGTAATCATCCGGATGCTTGCCCAGAACGACTGCAGTATACTCTGAAGGGTTCGACTGGATAGCAGCTGCAACGATGGACCGCAACTCCACCATTGTGTCCATATCGCCCATCACCGCGGCACCTACCGCGCGAAATAGACACGAATTGTCATCGGGCATGACACGGAGCACAAAAGTACCTTCATGCTCGGGTGATGCAACCTCGGGTGGATCATCGGAGGTAGTTTCCGTGGGTTTCGGCATAGAGGGAATCTGTGAAGGCTGTTGGAGGGCAGAGCCAGGTTGACTCAAGGCGGGCTCGTTCAGCGGGGCAGCACACTCGCGCGCAGCAACGATGAGCTGTTCCCCATGCAGATTGACACCGGTATCAGACACCTTCTGGTCGGGTTGAAGACGGTCGAGATCCAAAGGCTTGAGGTCGGGGTATCCGTACTTGACATCAAAGGAGGTGAGACCTGTCTTCTCCGCAATTTGTTCTCGAAGTTCACTGATGCTGGCCCAGTCGTCCAGTATCACAGTAGACTGACCCGAGGGCCCACGTACTCGCATCCGCATGGTTGTTCAAGGTATTTATATCGGACTTTGGACTTTTGTCGTCCAAGAGTTGAAGTTGACAGAAGGAAGCTGAGCTGTGACACAGATGGTCCCACTCTAACCGTGAGGGACCTATGACGAACTTTGGGACCCGGTGTGGGGTAGAAGCAGTGTACCAAGAGAGAAGTTGCGCCAATTCAGTGGGAAGTCAGGTTAGCTTCGAGATTTCCAATGGGCGCAGCTAGAGAAGTTTCGGCAAGAGAAGAGCAAGATCCAAGGAGTTGGAGGAAAGAGAATGCGACAATGGTTATGCGGAGATCCGCATGGAAGCCCCCGCAGCGTCCGCCCATTACGCTCATAGTGTAGGTCAAGTCATCGAAGCAAAACAGCCGGTTCATCTTTACTGTTGGGGAGTCCCGATCGCGAGCAGATGTTGTCAATGGTCACCACGCCCCATCAGTTGATGTGAATACTTTGCAATTGACCTGAGCAGCCGCCGTGACGAGACCACAGTTGACAATACGCTGGTATCAAGGTCGTATGGATACCGCTGACTCAGCACGGCGCAAAACATTCCGCAGGTCTCATCTCCCTACGACGCAACCACGCAACCAAGCTCCCCCAGCATATCCTACTCCACTTTTCTTCGTACACGCGTGGCTGTGCGGGCTGTGGATGCAAATGTCGGACAAAGATCAGTCCCAGCAGCCCGAGGAACCCGTCACTTCGATCGAGGATGACGGCTCCATCAGTGACGAGCAATGGAAGGCCATGATGGACGTCACAATGGCTATCTACGACTTTCGCGAACCAGAGTAAGTTCTACCAGTGGGAAAGCAAACAAGAAATGAGAAACACTAACAATGCTGTTGTACAGTGGCCATGATCCTTCGCGACTATTCCACCGTAGCGTCAACAAGCGCATCGTGCCCGACTACTACGATATTATCAAGGACCCAATGGCGCTCAGTATCTTGAAACAAAGAATCAACAAGCGCGAATACAAGCATTTCTCGGAATTCGTGCGCGACTGCGCATTGGTACGCAGAATTTGCTCTTTCTCCATCCTTCGCTAAGGCTGATTGTCACCGCGTTCTAGATCCCTCACAATGCGCAGACATACAATCGACCCAGATCCCAAGCGTACGAAGATGCGATCGTCATCAAGGTATGCTGTCAGCTGACCATCTGATTCAATTTTCATGTCATACCTCGGAACGTAACTGACCATCGTCCACATGCAGGGCGTTTTCCACGATGAATTGAAGAAGCTTGCCGATAAGGGCGTGATTAGTGCAGCAGAAGCTGAGTTCCCTGACCTAGGAGAAATCCCCGAGGCCGATCCCTTGCCCGATGATGATGAAGAAGAAGAGGAAGAAGAGGAAGCAGACATCGAAGGAGATGGAGAGGGAGAGGGGGAAGACGAGGACGAAAGAGGATTCTGATGACGATGGCCGCCGGAGAAAGAAGCCAGGCCCGAAGCCAGGCTCAAAGAGGGGCATCAAAGACCCTCAGAAACATGAGCCTGACCTCCGCAAAAAGCGCGGACGACCTCCGCGTGTGGATACCCCCATGGAAACCCGCATCAAGACAATACTAAAGGGAATCCGCAAATTCAAGGGCCCTGGCGGCCACCCGAAGATCGCTCATTTTGAGAGGCTTCCCGACAAGGCCACCTACCCGGACTATTACATGGAGATCAAGGAGCCAATTGCCATCGACATCATTAAGCGCAAGTCAAAGCGCAAGAAGTACAATTCCGTGGATCATTTCATGCGGGATTTGGACCTGATGTTCGGCAATGCCAAGGCCTACAATCAATCCGAAAGTCAAATCTACCGAGATGCTGTTGACCTGCAGGGCGAGGCTCGGAAGCTGGCTGAGCAGGAAAAGAAGAAACCCGATAGCGACTATCTTATGGAAGACGGCCGTTTCCCCTTGCCAGACGGTATCTTGCACCGAGGTGAGCTTTGGAAAGTCGGAGATTGGGTTCACATTCAAAACCCCAACGATGTGTCCAAACCCATTGTCGCGCAGATCTACCGAACTTGGCAGGATGCAGAGGGCGAGAAGTGGATCAACGCATGTTGGTATTATCGCCCTGAGCAGACTGTGCATCACTTTGAAAAACATTTCTACCCTAACGAAGTGGTAAAGACGGGTCAATACCGAGATCATCGGATTGACGAGATCGTGGACCGCTGTTTTGTCATGTTTTTCACTCGCTATAGCAGGGGCCGCCCCAGAGACCTCGCTCCGGACAAGGACATCTACGTTTGCGAGGCGCGCTACAATGAAGAGAAACATAAGCTCAACAAGATCAAGACTTGGGCTAGCTGCCTGCCGGATGAAGTGCGCGAGAAAGACTATGAGATGGACCTTTTCGACGTGCCGCGAAAGATCAAGAAGGTACCCAGCCCCATCAAGCATCTCCTTAAGGAAGATGCGAAGGAGACAGACGATCTTCCGCGGCCGGCATGGGGTGCGGATAACGCGCCTCCAGTCGTGGGTGCTGTTCACCGTCGCCCCAGAGATGAGAACGAATCGCCGCCGCCAGAGCCAACTCCATCTCCGCCTCCTCCATCTCTACCCCCGCCTCCCATGGCATCCGCTACTCCCCGTCCATCGATGGGCCAGACTATGACCAGTGCTGGTCTGGCTGGTCCGGGGAATGTAGGAGGTTCACTCCAGCCGCCATCCTCCGCGACTCCAATGAACCAGACATCACCTGTGCCCATTCCTTCGACGACGTATCAGGGTCAGATGAATCCGCAGATGTATCAACCCAACCAGCGACGCACGAGCAGCTTTGTACCCCAGACTCCGGCTGCGGGCTACCAGGCTTCACCGGTGGCGCACCCCTATTCGGCGGCACAGCCCTCGCCGTCACCATACGGTTCCTACTCCGCCAATCGTCTCCACGCCGCAGCGGCCCCAGTTTACAACCCCAACGCACCGCGCCCGGTTGAGGTTTTTCACCTTGTAGATGCAGCGAATGCCGCCATTCCCGAGGATATTCGAAAGCAATTCCACTGCGATGAGAGAGGCCATGTTCTCTTCTTCTCTGCCCCACCACTAGACATAATCCCACCTTTCCAGCCAAAGTTCGGGACACTCTCTCAAATATTTGGCAGCGAAAGAAGAGCGCCAGAAGAATGTGGCAGAGAGAAAACGCAAGCTAGCCGAAGATCAGAAGCAGCGGGACGAAGAATCTAAACGCCACCGAGCAGATGGAGAGACAGAGCTCGCCGCTCGAGTTGAGGCTCTTATCCCGAAGGCGATTGAAACCCTGTTCCAGCAGGTTTCCGCTGGAACGGGAGAGTTATACAAGGGGTTTTACCAAGACGAGGCAGATAGTGCCCGGGCTGCCGACGCCAGGGCTCGCGAAGGCAGGATCCAAGTCGACCAGCTGGCTCGCCAGCAGACGGCGCAGATCCAAGCCCAATCTTCAAATGAGGCCTTTGTGAACCTCAAAGGCACTGCCTTGTATCTAGGTGATAAATGAGCGTGATTGGTTGTCGAAGTTGGGTTCTCTCTTGTCTGGATTTCTCCCAGTCGAGGCGTCTTGTTTTTTTTTTCCTGGGTATAGGGGCGTTGGACGTGTATGACTAGGCGGACCATAATGATTCGAATGTGTTTCTCGGGACTTTTGAATACGTTCAAAATTCCCTACAGTGGATGTCAATCTATTTGAAATCGTGAACTGTTTATTTGCACATCTCCCATTGTACATGCAGAGATACGGAATGGAAGAAGGACAAGAAAGAAAGAAAGCCCGGTTAGAAACACCTAAAACAAAGAGGTCGTTGACTCATGAGATCGAGCACAGAAGAACGAGATGGAACAGCTTTGAGATCGTCCTATCCACAAAAGATCACAAAGAAGGCAATGGGAAGATGATTAATACAGGAGACGGTCAGTCTCGTAGGGAAAGAACCCCAATGTTGAAACAATGCGATGGGTCTAGATAATCCAGAAATAACCCCTGGAATGTAGAATTCCAAGAGATATAACGCGGCGAAATCAGTCTATGAAAGAGCGGAGTCGAAGGTATTCCTCTTGTATATGCCTCATTCTCAATTGGGCCTCAACCTCCACAGCGAGAGGTATGGGCCAGAAGGTCGGGGACTTCTTTTGAATTTCGTTTCTTTTTGCTTATGGATGCTCCGTTATGCCGTTGTGCCCAGATGAAACTCCAGATGACCTATTTTTTGTTCTTGTCCAAAATTTGAACACCGCTTGGCCCGTGTCGTCGTGATCGTAGAAGTAGGAAGCCAATTAGGCGTCGTTGGAGCTCTCCTTGGTCTCCGAGTTCCAAGAGGAACTGTTGCGCTTGTTTCCTTCCTCTTCTTCCATAGAAAAGACGAGGTCGCTCTGTTCTTCCTCCTCGATTTTGCTCGTGGTAACAGACGACCCGGTTCGCTCGAGGCGGGCACTAGGGCCAGCAGATGAGTGACGGGCCGAACCGGGATGAAGGGACATGCCGCTAAGCTGCTCAGAGATCATCGAGAAGGAGCCTTGTCTTCCAGGGCTCGAGACAAATGGCGAGCCATCGTGCCGACTGCCGATAGGACCCAGGCTTGGACTGCCAATTGGATTTAAGGAAGATTCACGGAGAGGGGAGCCAATGTGAGGGAATGAGGAACCAATGCCATCATCTTCCTTCTTCTGGCGTTGCTTGGCGAACAATGCACCGAATCGAGAGGGACTGGACGCCAGAGGAGAGCCGGTCTTCGAAAAGCTACTGCTCATGCCCAGACCGCTAATATCGCGGTGGCTGGAGCTGATCCCAATATCATGGTCAGTTCGCGAGAGCCGGCGAAGCTTCTCTTGGGGGGTGAGAACATCATCATGCAAATTTATAGGTAGGTAGTCTTCTTCCATAGGGAAATTCTCATCCCAGTCATCAAGAGCGGTAGGACGAGGAACGCTAGCAGACAGCATACGAGGCTTGACGGGACGGGAGGAGTGCAGGAACCGTGGCCCAACTGAGTCCTCGGGTGCCGGAGGAGAGGATCCTACGAGGGACTGTTTTCGCAAGTCTGATGCGTAACCAAGATCGCGCAGGTTTCGGAATGCGGACTCCGGAGGCCCCGGTCTCTGAGCCGGCGGTGACAATTCCATTCCGAATTTTGAAGGCACCGAGGCAGCCACCGGACCATAGCGGGCAGCATGAGAGATGCCCTGGCTATCGAATGAGGCTGGCAATGGCGCATCAAGGGCCGTCAGATGGTGGTGACTGGGTGACATCGGAAAACGCGCATCTTCCACAGGAGATCCATACTTCGAACCAGCATCGGAGGCCAGCCCCGCATCAATTGTCGGGATGGAATCGTAGGGCGGCTGCTGCTGGCCGTGGAAAACCGATTCGTCTTGCGAAGGGACCTGCGAAGCGTATCGGGGCTCATGGCCATTCATGCGCTGCTGTGACAGCACCGAGTTTGTCAAGGCGGAATCTTGGTTGACGTAGGCCTGCGGATTAACTCGGCCACCTAAATTAAGATGGCTTCCGCCCATTCCCATCCCACCGCCACTGGGGCGGTTCACCCGGCGCCCATCCGGTAAAATATGGGCTAGTGCGCATTTTGCGCCGAACTTGCAGTTGCCCTAAAACGAATCGCAAAGGTGTCTCGTCAGCGCTGATTCACCTTGGATGATCTTCAGGTCCAACAAAGCCTCCAGTCACTTCTTACCTTCGTGAAATATTTGCAGGGTGCATAGTCGACTGCGGAGTCGGTCGAGTGCAGGAATGGACAAGCGGGGCCGGCCTGGCAAGCCCCCTGGCGGAAGAATTTGCAAGGAACATGCTTCGTGTCTGCGAAGTTGATCGAAGTGGAATGGTTAGCAGTTGAATCAAGGCGGGGGTAGTAAGCTGAAGGCACCGGGGAGGAAGCGTACTCTTGTTGCTCGGGTTTGGCGGACTGCGAGCCATGTCGAGACTGGAAGGGTTGCGGGAGTGGCCGTTCTGAAGCTCAGAAGCCGCCGCAGCTGGCGCGCGACCTCTCATTTCGGAACGATTGGGACGAGAAGTAGGGCGAGAGGCCGACAGCATCGCCGAGAAAGATGGTGGAGTCGCTGGAGGGGTTTATCGTAGAGAGGGGAAGAGGTAGACCGCGGGCGGTGTAGCCGAAATCTACATGAGTAGCGTGACTTTCTATGACTTGCGAGATGTGGCAGATGACGGGATATCATTTGCTTTTCAAAGATCAAGCTTGTTATGCATGGTCAATAGGCCCTGTCCACCTGTTCATCTAATGGTCGCCTTCCAGGTTGCCTCCATTCCGGGTGCTCACCTGCATATCTTGGATTTATTCTCCGCTTTCATTCTTCCGGCCATAAGCTTCTATGATTCGTATATGTGATGTGAATCTCAATTGGCAATTGCCTTATGCTCAGACTCCATTTTCGAGCAGAATGGGCCGGGGATCATATATACCGGTCGAGAACTTGGTGTCCTGCTCTCGGTTTCAACAGTTACGATCTTTATATGTATATATCCACATCCCCGACAGGACATCCATGAGCTTCCGTGAGCTGGAAGTGCCTATCGTTCCGCTCCACAGACAGAGGCACCATTCAAGCGCTAGAATATATCAAATGAATTGTAGTTCAATATGAAGCTAAGGCCACAAGCTATCAATCCCTCTCACATAGTGTAAAGGTTGCGCGATCTGAGAAACAGTATATCCTATCTTTTCGCCCCGAATCCATGATTTCGAAAGTAAGCGATCGTCCGAAAGAGCATGAGTTCCGCTCAGACTCCGCTGCGAATCATAATGTGTCTGGGTGGAGACCGGAGATCACGAACGTAGCGTCGATACCCGACTGTTGCTCATTGGAGGGCTGTTCCTTCAAGCCCCAAAGACTCCTGGCAGCGCCGTTAGCGACAGCGATGGACAGCTAGTGGCAAGACCGGGCTTACCCATAGCTCCAGCGCGCTCGTGTTTTCGGGTAAAACCTCCGCGCATCGCCCCCACAGATCACGACAAATACGACTGCGGATGGCGGCGTGTCGCTGCCACCGTCGCCACTCATCTTCGCGCTTGGACCGTTCTTCCAGGGAAAGTTGAACCATTTCGCTATTATGAAGCGACTCCAAGCGATGCTGAATCACCTTCTTCTCTTCCTCGAGCTGTTGGATATCCTGTCGAAGGACAGAAAGCCGAGGCTTGGCTTCAAGAGCTGCCAAGGAAGCCCGGACATTTTTCTCCTTTTCTTTAATGGAAGAAAGCTGGTCTTGAAGCTGTTCAATTTCCTGGCTGAGCGCGGCGAGAGTCTCGGGAGTGATTTTCTGCGATGAATCCTGCACAGCGTGGTAGACTGATTGCTTTCCTACATGTAGCCGCTGTTTTGTAAAAAGCCCAGTTCACGCGAAGAAGACCGAGACCAACCTGCCACTCGTTCTTCAATCTTCTCATCTTGATGCAGTACTCGCAAAATTTTGGCAGCTTGAGCTGGTGATACGTCAAGATCATGCTGCAGCAGCGAGGTGGGTCGATACCTCTCACCTTTGGTCACCTTGTTGTGTAGATTTGCAGACACTTCGATGGCCTTTTCAAACCAACGATCAGCACGATCCATAATAGCGTGAGAGTAGAGTAGCTCGAGGGCATACGGAATGAGGACGACTGAATGATTCGAAACGTCAACAGCATTCCAGCTCCGAAAAGGCACTGAAGGAAACAAACTTCTGTTCACCTGGAAGCAGATCGATTGAATGAGCATTCTGACCATGAAGTCAAATGGAGCCACTCAAAGATACTCACGAAGGTAGTCAAGAATCATTGTGGTGTCTCTCAAAGTCAGTTCTCGTCGCACTATCACGACATTCTACAAAACATACCGTCGGGACCAGCAGAGGCATCGCTCTTTCCCTTACGAGGACCCATGATAAGTCGGGAGCATTGACCTTCAAGGATTGCAAAGGGCGTGAGGATGAAGCGGAGGCGTGAGCAGTGAGCGGAGATGTGAAGGAAGATGAGTTACTTGAGACGAAACCCTACAAGAACACCATATGATACAATAGCCAAAAGAAAGTGCGATTGCAACGCGCTTCAGAACGACACCTCTGATCTAGAGAATTCAAACAGCTTAACAACCATATGTCCAAAAGGCCCCGCTATGGAAATCTGGGGCGTAAATGCAACTGTGTGGAAATGGGAGGCCGGCAGAGCGTGAACGGAATCACCCCCTGAACGATGAAGGTAGAGTTTTGATTTTGAACCCCGGGATTAATAATATAATGGAAAATGCAACATGGAAGCGCCTACCAAAAACCTGGAAATACAACGCGGCGTCCGGGGTATCACATCACGATCTGTCATCTTGTTAGTTTATTATTTGAAGGCAGGACAAGACAGGAATACATACGCAATCGCTATCGTTTTTGGCACTTGGAACCCCCATTTCTTCAAAGGTCTTGGGGCCCTTACTCGGTGCTTGGCCACTTGGCTTGGAGGACTGCGGGGGTTTCGAGGGAGCCACAGACGGCGGACCGGACGCCGAGGACGGCGGAGCGGAAGGCGGTTGTGGTGTAGAGCTAGACGATCCCCTGGATGGCTGGCGAGACTCTAAGCGTGGAGGGTAATTGGTAGACGAAGGAGAACCTTGTGGTCGGGGAGGGAAATTGGCAGATGAAGGGGACCCGAGTGGCCGAGAAGAAAAGCTGGAAGACGAAGGAGAACCAAGTGGTCGGGGAGACGGCACAGATCCCCCCCGGGGCAGACACAGGGGTTCGTACGGGCCTTCGGTCTGGAGGCCCTCCCTGTGGAGGTGCGCTGTCGAGACGTGTTGGACGTCGGTCGCCCGGTCGTGGAGCCGGGGCAGAGTAACCGATGTCCACTCGGGGTGTCCCATTGGGGCTGATCATATTTGGAGCCTGCGGGCTGGCTGGCCCTGTGGGCGCACCAAGAGGTGTACCCGCACCCGAGCCAGGCTGGCGATAGTTCATCGGGGGCTGTCCATAAGTTGGAGTACGGGGACCCGGCGGGCCCTGGGGCCCACCGTAACTTGGAGGACCGTTTTGGCGGAGGTTCGGGTTGACACCAAATGCCGAGCTTGGTCGAGGATCGGGCATCTGGTAGCTTGGCTGGCCCGGTGGACGAGGACGAGAAGTGCCAGGACGATCGGGATAAGGAGCGGCGGACGATGGTTGGTCATTCAGGGTCATCCGCGAAGGATCGGGCATTTGAATGTTTTCCGGTGTGGATTCCAAGGAACCGCCACGCTGATGAGCAACATAACGTGTTGACTTGATGCGAGAAATCGCAACCTTTTCGTGGTCTCGTCGGGACAGAGTCTTAGATCGCGAGATACTATCGATGCGACCAGATGCGTCTTTGTTACCGCTGGCAGCAGCCTTGGCGTACCAGCCGCGGGCCTCTTTGATGTCGACGGGGACAAAAATGCCGACTTCATAGAAGTAGCCCAAGGCAAACTCAGCCGTGGGAAGACCACTCTGAGCAGCGCGCTGGGCGTAGGTGAATGCAAGTTCATCATTTTTCTCGAAGACGCCCTCGTGTCCACAAAGGAACCATTTGCTGATAGCCATCTCGGCCTCAGGTTCACCCTGGCGCGCTGCAAGCGCATTGTAGTGCAGGGAAAGCGCGGGATTGAAATCGCAATTCAGTTGACAAAGTTCATACGCAGCACCCATCTTCACTTGAGCCTTCGCGAATCCATGATAGGCGGCCTTCTCGATATTGACACGGGCTATGTTGAGATCGAGAGCCAAGTAGGGCTCGGGAACGCTGACTTGGGGAAGCTCCCGTGCGAGAAGCATACCATAAACCTATATTCCGTGTCAAGACTTGCAGCCGAAGATCAATTCCATGAAACTTACATAGGCACCCTGTGGGGCATTCTGATCACAGGATTGCGCCGCGAGCCGAATGTACTCCAAGCCTTTCTGGAAGTCCTGGCGCTGGCCATGTTGGCCCAGAAGAATCATCATTCCTAAACGCTAAAGAAGAAAAACAAACGTCAGCTTACCCAAGGCTTCTACGACGGGGATTTCTGTAAACGTACGTAGTACGAGGCGGAATCGGCCATCGCGACACCCCTCTCGTAGTGTCTGATTGCTTTCTCGGGCTCTCCGGAGCTCTCAAATTGCATTCCAATGCGGTACTCTGCGCGCGCATACCCTTTCTCCGCGGCTCTGGAATAGCATCGGAAGGCCTCTTTGCGATCTACTCGATAGCCAAACTTGCCGAATTCCAGCCACATACCTTTGATGAACTCAGCCTTCGGATGGTGCTGCTCTGCCAAAAAGCTGACGATGTTAAGCGCATCAGTCTTCAACTGCTGCTCAATTTGCGGTGTGTGAGGACGCGGAGGTTGTGTCAACGCCAGACGGGCTTCATTTTGCGCGGCCACTTCAACAAAGGCCAACGCATCCTGGGCCCAGGACAATTGCATCTCCGGGTCGGTGGTCGACAGGACACTCATGCGGTGATGTTCTAATTTGGCTTCGCGCTGCTCATCGGTAGGAGGGACGTTCGGCGGGGGACTCCGCAGGATGGGGAAAGGGGAGAAATTTGGATGATCCATGCTGTCGTATGTTGCAGCCTGCGCGTAGGAACCATGATCGTACGTCTGACTCTGTTGCGGCTGGGCCTGGACAGTCGAAGAGGATCGCTCGGGGAACTGCTGCTGCTGCTGCTGCTGTTGTTGAGGGCGATATTGCGCCGGAGGCTGTTGAGGGCGGCGGGGGTCACGAGCGTGATGCTCCATTTGCGCGATATTGTCCTGCATGTTCTCGGGGACTTCAGGCATCACCCTGCTCGGACGAATGAGTACTCGTACCTTCGGCATTTTTGCAGATGTGGAGGAGAAATCGGGGAATCATGGCATCTCGTACCTTTGGGGGGAGGGGGAGATGACCTCTGGCATGTAAAAGTCATCCTGGCCCCCTGGATACCAAGTCGCTCCCAGCCGAGGCTGACCACGGCCCTGCGGCGGTCTGTTCATCCCGGCACGTATTGATAATTCAGTTCAAGAGGTGGCAAGCATGAGGGGGGAAAGATGAGGGGGAGAAAAGAGACGATGCTAGGAGGGGCGGATGACAGCCCACTTTACTTGGAGCGCGAATCTGGATACACCTGCTATGGATCCCGCGGCCAAATTACCGAATGCCTGTACCCGTGTAGGAAATTACAAGGGAATTACATAGAAGGGTCAAAGAACGTCTGCAGGTATGAATATAAAAATAAGTACTCAGCCACTTTGCAGTGCTGGCGCCGGGGGATTTAGCAACATTTGACCACCCGCAAATTATTTCCCCTGAGGGTTGCACCGATCCTGAAGCCCTGTCTCGGAAGGCTTTGAGTTCTCCACCCCGTTCTATTTTCATCTGCGCGGCAGAGAAAAAAAACGAAGAAAGAAAAACATTGCTGATGTCACGCCATGGATATACACGATTTCCATCACCCTTTCAAGCCGTATGAGATTCAACTGCAATTTATGCGCGCCTTGTACGAGTCTCTTGAATATGGAAAAGTCGCCGTGTTTGAATCCCCCACTGGTAAGCGCGCTAGTTGCCCTCCTCCCTTCTTGGCCCTGGTTTAATATCCGTGCAGGTACTGTAAGTGTCTTTGTCTCTGTCTCCACTGGGTCATAGTCCGAATGCCTTGGACGAGAGACGTGATGTCTTGGATCCTGCCTGGTACACGCGATTAGGCATCCAGCTAAGCCACATCTCAGGGCAAATCATTGAGTTTGATCTGTGGCGCCCTCACCTGGTTGCGAGATCACAAACGCAAGGCCTTCCAGGAATCGTTAGATCAGGCATCAGGTATGTTCTCTACTCCTAGGTTGCCCCTGTGATGTCATCTCAATTGTGTTTAGCCGATGACGATGAGCCGGAATGGATGATCGAATTCGCAAAGCGAAACTCCCGCCGTGCCTTAGCCGAGAAAAGACAGGGATTCGAGGCCCGACTGGCCAAAATTAAGCAGGAGGAAGAGCGTCTGAAGGCGGGCCAGGACAACTCGGAGCACCCTCGAAAGAAACAGGTACGACTAGGCTGATCGCCGATCCTCAGATCACATACCAACCAGCTGAACTTGCAAGCGATTGGACAAATCGTCATCGCAGTCAGATGCCAAGGCCGATGATGACCAATTTCTTCTCGATGACTATGACAGTGAAACAGAGGAAACGAAGGCACAGAGTGTCTCGGGAGGTGCAGATGGTTTGTCCGCCAGCACCTTGGCCCTGTTGCAGCGATTCCAGGGCCAGTACTCTTCCAGAAAACAAAATGAAGACGACGAAGCTGAAGAATCTGTCAAGATCTTCTATTGCTCGCGGACCCATTCTCAGCTAAGTCAGTTTGTGGGTGAGCTGGGGCGAGTTACGTTCCCATCTAGCGTACCCAATGATCCTGATGCAGAAGGTAAAGACGAGCTCGCAATGCTGCAAGAGCGCACCAAACACCTTTCTTTAGGGTCTAGAAAGAATTTGTGTATTAATGACAAGGTTCGTGCCTTGGAGAACAACACGGCCATCAACGAGCGTTGTCTGGATCTACAGCAATCAGGCGTAGCTGCGGATAAAAAATGCTCCTATCTCCCATCCAAAGAGGATGAATCATTGCTTCTCCAATTCCGTGACCATGCGTTGGCCACGGTAAAGGATATTGAGGATATCGGTAAAGTCGGAAAGGAACTCGGGATCTGTCCCTACTACGCATCCCGTTCAGTCATCAAGCACAGCGAGGTCAGTATCGGTCATTCCATGGTTGTATAAGCAGAGCTGACCCTTTTTCTATATAGATTGTGACACTCCCGTATCCACTGCTACTTCAAAATTCCGCCCGCGATGCTCTCAATTTGTCCGTGAAGGGCCATGTGGTGATCATTGATGAGGCGCACAACCTCATGGATGCAATCGCCGGTATCCATTCAGTGACGGTTTCTCTGCATCAACTGCATATTGCCATCTCACAGTTAACGATCTACGCACGCAAATTTAAAAATCGATTAAAGGGAAAGAATCGGAACTACATCGCTCAGGTTATCCGGCTAGTTAACTCCATTGCCAACTACTTGCAAGCCATTGCTCAGCAGACTGGGTCTCAAGAAGGTCCAATTCAACCCTCAGACCTGATGGCCGGCAAAGGAGTTGACCAGATAAACCCTTACAAACTGTCACGATATTTACAAGAGAGTAAGCTGGCCCGAAAAGTGGATGGCTATGTCGAGTCTTCGCAAACACAGCAACAAGGACAAATCAAAGAAAAGATGAAGGCTAAGATAAGCATGCCGGTTCTGTTTCATGTCCAAAGCTTTCTCTTACCTTTGATGAATCCATCCGAGGAAGGGAGATTCTTCTACCAAAGGGATCAGGACAATGTACTGTTAAAGTACCTGCTTCTCGATCCGACGAATCACTTTCGTGAAATTGTTGAAGATGCCCGAGCTGTCATATTGGCCGGCGGCACGATGTCTCCGGTGAGCCTTCCTCCTTCAGGTGGCTGTCACCGGCTAACTTCTTTATCAGATGTCTGATTACGTGAACCATTTATTCTCATATTTACCAACAGAGCGCCTTGATACATTCAGCTATGGTCACGTCATTCCGAAGGCCAACCTAGTTGCACAATCACTGACTCGAGGACTCCTGGGGTCGGACTTTGACTTCACTTATGAGAACCGAGGATCTGAGAAAATGGTGAGTGGCCTTGGAACCATCAACGGTCTTGACCTGAATACCATGTTTTCTAAACCGACGAGATAGATCACCGACCTAGGCCGGACGATTGCGACCCTCTGCCAAGTCATCCCAGACGGTGTTGTTGCGTTCTTCCCCAGCTACGACTACCTTAGTCAAGTATTGACTGTTTGGAAAAAGCCCATCCCGAATGGCAACGGTCAAACTACGCTCAGCCTGATTGAACGGAAAAAGAGGATTCTTTGTGAGACACGCGAAGCAGTGATAACCACCGATGCCTTGCTACAAGAATACACCCAAGCCGTCGAATCAGGGTCGGGGGCTTTACTGTTGTCTGTGGTCGGAGGAAAGCTGTCGGAGGGTATTAACTTTTCCGATCGACTAGGCCGAGGAGTCCTGATCATCGGTCTGCCTTTTCCAAACATTCGTAGTGCCGTTTGGCAGGCCAAGATTAAATACATCGAGGAGAAGACGTTCAAAATTAGTCCCGGGACAGAATCAGCGAAGAAGGCAAGCGCCGAGGCAGCTGGAAGAGACTACTACGAAAACTCCTGCATGCGAGCCGTCAACCAGTGCATTGGGCGTGCCATCCGGCATGTGAATGACTATGCAGCCATTGTGATGATCGATCGTCGATATGATTCTTCGCGCATCCAGGGCAAATTGCCTGGCTGGATCAGAGGAAGTCTAATTTCTTCCCCATCTGAGCGCCCTGCACATATGACGGTACAGCGAATGTCAAGGTTCTTTGCTGAAAAGAATTCTTGTCTAGCAAATGATAGCAAATGATAGCAAATGATAGTGAATAAACTTGTATCATGGAAAGAAGTACAGAGCATAGAATGGAGGGCGGTGGCAGAATCAGACCTACGCGTGAGCGGAAAGCGGCGCTTGCGCACGTGATCTGGGCCAGCCCCAGGGCAGGGTTTGACCCTATCACGGGACAAGCGAATTGCTTAGCGCACACTCCGCCTAGCGCAAGCGTGGATTTCAACATCTGAGCCGGAAGTATCCACGACCCTTCCCCCCTTCAACGCCCAAATCTCAGACCGGTCTTGTCGAGAATACACCGCCGACAAGATGCCTACCCGTTTCTCGAAGACCCGGAAGCAGTGAGTCGCCCCCTCCTGTCCCATCCCCGAAATTCTTGAACGAAAATTCGACCTCGCTGGCCATCTGTATCCTTCCCAGTCGCCTATCGCTAACATGAATATCCTTACAGCCGCGGCCACGTTTCCGCCGGTTACGGTCGTGTCGGCAAGCACCGCAAGTCCCCCGGTGGTCGTGGTATGGCCGGTGGTCAGCACCACCACCGTACCAACATCGACAAGTACCACCCTGGTTACTTCGGTAAGGTCGGTATGCGCTACTTCCACAAGACTCAGCAGCAGTTCTGGAAGCCTACCATCAACCTTGACAAGGTACGTGTGAAACGAATCGACCCATCTGAAGAAATCCGGAAACGAGGAAGGAGGACTTTGTGTGCCAGGAAACTCGACAACAATGCACTGTGGACCGGCCGCAAACCGACTTGAGAGGATCGATCGGATATAATGGTGATGGACAGTAACTGATTGGTTTTCTCTTGATATAGCTCTGGTCCCTTGTCCCCGCTGAGCAGCGTGACGCCTACCTCGCTGGCACCAAGACTGACGTTGCCCCCGTCATCGACCTCCTGCCCCTCGGCTACTCCAAGGTCCTCGGCAAGGGCCGTCTCCCCAGATCCCCGTCGTCATCCGTGCCCGTTACTTCAGCCGTGATGCCGAGCAGAAGATCAAGGAAGCTGGTGGTGTCTGCGAGCTCGTCGCATAAACGTTGAATTAGGTGTTCAATTGGAGAAGACGGGTGAATCGGGGCAATCGCAGTCTTGACTGCGTTCGGTCTTGTGGAGGATTCAGGTCTTTCTGCCCGTGAGGAGGAGGACGATCGGAACTCAAAAGCTGACCGCCACGAGCCGTAATGGTTGGTTCTGGAGTTCGAAAAGAATAAGGGTTTCTGTGTATGCAGTCTGCATCGCATGGCCTCCGAATGCCCTTACGATTTCACATTGTGTTAAACAAATACCACAAGGAGGATTTTCAAAAGTTGTTCTGTCCCGATACGCAACGTAAATGCTGCAAACTGATAGTGATATGATATCCATACGGGCTGACATCAGCCAAGGGTTGATGCTGGTTCTGCTTCACTAGTGCCTTGTTTGCAGTCATCTATGGATGTAAATTTGAACAAGTAGTATCATTTTGGTACCTATCTACAGCGAGCTCTCATAATTTTGTAACATATGTCATCGCACAATTCAGATCTTGGACGATCGCACCGATCCCTTCCGGTCTTTCTTATCTGTGATAGCAAGCGTTTCACTAATGAAGCGGACGGCCTCGTCGACCATCTTGGCCGTAACCTCATGGCCCGCACTTTGGTCGATAATATCCTCAAATGTAATGGCGCCATCGCCAAACCAGCCATCGGACGAGACGGCCTCTTTGAACCAGTTCAGGAATGCCTCGCCTCGGTGATACGGCACTAACTTATCCACTCCACCAGAGAGATTCAAGATTCGCTTGCCCGCCAGGCACCGAGTCAGAAGTGGTCGAAGTTGCTGCTGTTCCTTGTCCGTCGGGTCGGGCAAAGTGTCGGGGCGCAATGGGCTGGACGAGCCGGTATCAACACAGCTGAGGAAGAGGCTAGCCGGGTCGTACTGCTTCACGATATCCACGAACGAACTCGGGAAAGCTTCCGAGCCTAAAATGTCAGAACCAGGTGGGTCGCCCTTCGTCCACGATGGCAACTTCGACAATCGAGCCCGGTCTACCATGAGATTAAGGTAGTCCGGGCAGCCGATAATGACGACTCCGGCGCTGACGCGAGGTTCATGCAGCAAACAGCTCCAGGCGGCATGTCCGCCTAGAGAGACACCCAGAACGAGGTTCTCCGAGATCTTATGCTCGCTATTAGGGAAGACGAACGCGGCGAGGTAATCCATTAAGAGCGATGTGTCTCGAGCAGTGCCCTCTGGAAGGCCTATCAGTAAAGTGTGTCTCACGCGTGGCAAATTCTTAGAGCTTACGGAAGATAGAGAACATATCTTGAGCATGGCGAGGGTTTCCCTGTCTCCAAGCCTCGTTCGCCAGCGGGTCAACCATTCTGGTGCCGTGATTGCGCTGGTCAAAAGAGACAGCAATCAAGCCCTTGGCAGATGGATTCTTCTCATTCTTGCTGTTCCAGTCTGTGATAGTGGCTGAAGCAATGCCCGCCATGCGTTCCTGCGTCGCCAGTCGAGGATGGAGTAACCAGAGACAGGCAACATCTGTCGCCTGGAAAGGAAGCTCCTTGAGTCCAAAGACAGTCACTGAGATACCAGCAATACATAAACCTCCTGAGAGACGGCTACCGGCTCAGGACGACCGGACGAGTCCAAGGTCTTCAATGGATCGGTCATGGCTGCAGGGTCACTGTAGATGGGTTAAAAGAAAATAAGATTCAACCAGCGATCAAACTGCACAAAGACAGAATTAAGAGTAAAAATATCGTTCTGTCTTGCCACGGCTCTATAGAACAAAGGGCGGGGAACAATGGCGATTCAAAAGGCGACTCGGGCATAATGCGACGAGCCGAGGGTCCGTCGTGCCGATGCAGACCTAAAATCCCGGGACCCCACTAGTTACGCACATCAATACTCGAGTCATGGCACTAAAGCTTCGGGCTAATATTGGCACCTGCCTAGAAGTTGTTGTTTATAGTATCACAATTTCACATATCTCGTCACATGTTCGACACTGATACCTAAGGTTTGCAGCAAGAAATTCACGTGACTACTGCCCAAAGGCCATCAATCCGATTTTCCTGAAAAGGGAAAAGGGAAACCTTGGGAACCCGAAGTGGGAGGGGACTCGATCCACGATGCTTGTTATTGGTGACCCCTGAAAGCATCATCGCTACATTCGAGGTTATTGACTACCATCTACTCCTAGTACTACGTACTACCACCACGAAATTGCCCCCCCCTTCCCCTATCCGAGTACCTGACCGCCCGCTTCTTGGCCCGCTTGGCAGGCCCGTCTCCAGTCGGAGAGATTTTGATGGGGCGGAGCTCCACCGCAATTGCGAACTAGGTCAACTTCGAACGCTCCTTTATATGTCAACAGTCGCGTGGACGCCACCTGTCCCTCCCAATTGACCCGTCCTTCTCGAAAGATCAGTTTTAGGATGCCAGTGAGGAGACTCGACCATAAATGACAGGGTCTCGATCAAACCTGCATGTATGCACCCCAGCATCCTCTAGCTCCTACCTCAAGCTCTCACTGACGATCCCCTCGCCGTGACAGCATGACCGACACTCTAATGCCGTCTTCCCCTCAAATGGAGGCTGAGCGCAAGTTCGAGAGAGAGAAATCGAAGAAGCCCGATCCCATATCGGTTGCGAGTGGCTCCAAACTAGCCTCCCCATTCCCGTCCCCTACCGAAGCCAAGCGACCTGCTTCGGTAAAGCAGGCTCAGCACACCGAAGCGAGCCAAGAGAATAAGGTACCGGATCATCTCCAACTGTCTAAAGAGCCGGAAAGTCCTCTTGAGAGCAAGGAGAACACATCGCCGACGCAGCGTGGCTCACCCAGGGAGTGGTCATCCCTGAGCAGCCGGCCACCGAATAGGTCTAATACTGACGAACAGCCGCCGTCGCTAAGCCGCAGCAGACAGCAATCATCAGGCCATGGGATGTCTCCCCCTTCCCGCGCTCCCAGTGTTCAGTTCCGCGACCCTGAAAACGAAGCCACGGAGCCGCCCCCGTCACGGCCGCAGTCTCGAGCCTCCTCTTTGAACGGCGATGACGGAGATCAATCAAAGGGGAAACAGTCTATTCTCAATCGCTTGAAGTCTTTCGCCGTTTCTCCCCGTTCGCATCACATTCAAGGTCCCCTAGCGGAGCCACAATCGGCGACATTCGGCCAGGCCAACCTGACCTCGTTACTCCGGGCTCGGAACGGGGCGATTTTCTCTTCCCTGTCCCTGAACCTCTGGCTGAAGAGGGAAGTGACATTGATGCCGATGCCGAGGAAAGCGGCGGCGAGCAGCGGGACCTTGCCAAGAAGAAGAAGATCCTACGTCGACGACAAGAACAGGACGACGAAGCTGGGACTCGTACTGCCCCAACGACGCCAAAGACTACACGCCGACCTTCCTTTCACTTTTCGTCCTCGTTTGCTCCCTTTGAGAACTACCGCAACAACATATTCCCTCGAAGAGGTAGCACTACTGAGTTTACTGCTCAAAACCGGGAAGGTGTATCGGAGGATGAAGGTCGTGACAGGCTCACCCGGCGAAGGCGATCTGCCTGGGCCGGAAACCGCGGAATGTCGTATATTGGTCGGCAGCAGGACGGAAACCAAGAGGAACAGCAGCGGCCGAGTAACTTGAGGAGACTCACGGGCCTTGCTGGTCCATCTGAAAATCCCGAAAGTCTTGCAGCTACCTGGAGACGGCACCGGGGCGACCGGGGTACCAGCGCCGGTGCCCAGCGATGGAGACAAATCAAAGCCGGCTTCAAGTTCATGGGCCAGCGTCGTAAAGGCGACAACGCAGTGGATAATAAGAAATCTGCAGAATTGCTTGCCGAGCTGGCCTCGGCTGTCCCCGCTGCTCTAATCTTGGCTAGTTTCTTTCAGAGGGATGAACATGGAAGCAAACGGATTCCGATTCTTTTGGAGCAACTGAAGGTACGTGTGACAGATAGCCGCATCGACTCGAATTCTGGCGATCGTCACCTAGTATTTCGAATCGAAATGGAGTATGGAAGTGGCATGACTCGAATGAAATGGATCATCCACAGAACTTTGAGAGATTTTGCCAACCTGCACTTGAAGTACAAACTTCACCTCGGAACTCAGAAATACATCCAGCTTCGGGCAAGTGAGAATAGCCCCAGCCTTCCTCGTTTCCCGAGAAGCGCTTTCCCTTACATGCGAGGCGTACGTGGATTAGAAAGCGAGTTCGAGGATGAGGAGGACGATGGTGGGTATGAAACTGGCCCTGAGGGAATGAGCGGTACAGATCGACCCGGGAAAAAGAAGCAGCGTCGACCTTCAGGAGTTGGTCCTTTGGCTCGCAGGAAATCGAGTATCACCAACCAGGAGGGCGAGTCGGCCGCGGGTCCTTCATCCGTCCATGAAGGAATGGGCGGCAAGAGAGAAACCTACCCAGAGAGACAGCGAAAGAAGCTTGAGATGTACTTGCAGAAGATGATCCGGTTCCTCATTTTCCGGGCTGACAGTAACCGCCTGTGCAAGTTCCTCGAATTATCTGCTCTAGGCGTTCGTCTCGCCGCGGAAGGAAGTTATCATGGCAAAGAGGGCTTTTTGATCATCCAATCATCAAAGGGTCTCGACTTCCGAAGGGCCCTGACACCGTCTCTGATTAAGAAGCGTCACTGGCCCAAGTGGTTCCTTGTTCGCCACAGCTACGTTGTCTGCGTTGATTCACCAGAGGAGATGAACATTTACGATGTCTTCTTGGTGGATTCCAACTTTAAAATTCAGACGCAGAAGATCAGCCTTCGCAACCAAAAAGCGAAAGAGCTGGCCAAGTCGGCAAAGCAGTCGGCAAGACACCCTCAGCACCACACTCTTCGGCTTGAGAATTCCGAACGCAAGTTGAAGTTGTTGGCTCGGAATGAACGCCAGCTGCAGCAGTTTGAAGACTCAATTCGCTTTATGGCTCAAAATACTCCGTGGATGCGGCCGAATCGTTTCGACAGCTTTGCGCCTGTTCGACAAAAGTGCTTTGCTCAATGGCTAGTTGATGCACGCGATCATATGTGGGTGGTCTCAAGAGCGATCAATCAAGCAAAGGATGTCATCTATATTCACGACTGGTGGTTGAGTCCGGAACTATACATGCGGCGACCTGCAGCCATCAGTCAGAAATGGCGGTTGGATCGTCTGCTCCAGAAGAAGGCTCGTGAAGGCGTGAAGATTTTCATTATCATGTACCGGAACATCAACTCTGCGATCCCGATTGACTCGGAGTACTCCAAGTTTTCCCTCCTTGAGCTCCACCCCAACATCTTTGTCCAGAGATCTCCAAATCAGTTCCGTCAAAACACCTTCTTCTGGGCACATCACGAGAAATTGTGCCTAATAGATCATACCCTTGCTTTCGTGGGAGGCATTGACCTGTGTTTTGGACGTTGGGATACACCTCAGCATCACCTTACCGACGATAAGCCCACTGGCTTTGAAAACTCCGACACCGCCAAAGATGCCGACAACTGTCAGCTCTGGCCTGGCAAAGACTACTCCAACCCTCGGATTCAAGATTTTTATGACTTGGATAAACCATACGAGGAGATGTACGATCGCAATGTTGTGCCGCGTATGCCTTGGCACGATATTTCGATGCACGTGGTGGGCCAACCTGCCCGCGATCTTACTCGGCATTTCGTTCAGCGCTGGAACTACATCCTTCGCCAGCGCAAGCCAACTCGACCAACACCTTTCCTTCTGCCTCCTCCGGATTTCAACCCGGCTGATCTCGAGGCTTTGGGTCTGGATGGAACCTGTGAGGTTCAGGTCCTACGCTCCAGCAGTATGTGGTCGACTGGAACGCCCGATGTCACAGAACATAGCATCATGAATGCCTACGTCAAACTCATTGAAGAGTCTGAGCACTTTGTCTACATTGAGAATCAATTCTTTATCAGTACCTGTGAAATCGATGGCAGGAAGATTGAAAATCTGATTGGAGACGCATTGGTTGAACGTATTGTTCGAGCAGCCAAGAACGAAGAAGCGTGGCGCGCCGTTATCGTCATTCCCCTCATGCCAGGCTTCCAGAACACCGTTGATAGTGAAGGTGGAACGAGCGTGCGTCTGATCATGCAGTGTCAATACCGCAGTATCTGCCGTGGCGAGACTTCAATCTTTGGTCGTCTCCGGGCGCTGGGAATCGAACCGGAGGACTATATCCAATTCTACAGTCTACGAGCCTGGGGCAAAATCGGACCGACTAAGCAGTTGGTGACGGAGCAGCTCTACATTCACGCAAAATGCATGGTCGTCGATGATCGTGCAGCCATCATTGGATCTGCAAATATCAACGAACGATCAATGCTGGGATCCCGTGATTCCGAGGTGGCAGCCGTGGTGCGGGACACAGACATGATCCAGTCGACTATGAATGGCAAACCCTACCTTGTCGGAAGATTCCCCCACACTCTTCGTATGCGCCTTATGCGGGAACACTTGGGAATAGATGTTGACGAGCTTTTGGAACATGATTTCGCCACAGAAGAAGAATTGCGCAAGATCCAGGTCGATGAAGAAGACGCTCGACCAGCCGGTGATCGAGAAAGACGAGGCTCCGAGTCGTCCATGATTGAGCGCCAAGACGAAAGAGACATGATCGAACGTCGTCATCGTGTCCAGGATGAGTTCTTGTCCCGCTCTGAAGAAATGCACAGCTTCAACCACGACGTTGACTGGGAGCAAGGCAACAACCCAAACCTCAAGAGTAATCGGAGACTCACTACCGATCCACGAGTCACGGATAACCCCGATCACAAGAAAGACGTGGATGGTGATGGCTTTGACAACTTGAGAGCTGCCGAGAAAGCTGGTTTGGGAGTTGGCCGTGACTCACTGGTGACCCCTGATGGCAAGGAAGCCCTGGTCTCCCCAATTTCTTCTGAAGGCAAGGGCACTATCGATCAGCCCAGGCCATCGTCTCAGCGCAAGTCCACCCAATCAATATCGACCCGCAAGAATGGGAATGGAATTTCGGGCGAGCCCGTTCGGGATTCAGAGGGCAATACGAACTCCGAGACTCCTTTGCATACTCACGGTGTCTCTGGGTCATCGAGCCGTGAGTCTGAGGTTGAGAGTGCGAGTCTGATGGTGTCTCAGGAAACCCGCGATATCCCCAAGTTTGGACAACCGTTTACGCCAGACCTGAAGCGTATCTTCATCGACAAGGACTGCATGAAAGACCCCGTAAACGACGGTTTCTATTTAGACACCTGGCAAGCGGTTGCTGAGAAGAACACGAAGATCTACCGCTCTGTCTTCCGGTGCATGCCCGACAGTGAGGTCAAGAATTGGAAGGACTATAAGGAATATGCCGCATATGGAGAGCGCTTCTCTGAGATGCAAAGCCAGCAGAGCAGCAAGCCGACCAACCAGCCTTGTCAAAGACATACCGGCCCTCCCGGAGCTCATTCTTCTACGGCTGGAGTTCCACTTACATCACCAGTTTCTCTTGTCAGCCCAAAGACTGAAGGGCTAGTGAGCGAACTGAAGCCCCGTCAAACTATTGACGAGAAGGCCGAGCTCAAGACGCAAGATCCTCAGCGAAGTGGGTCTGACCGACCACAGTCCGAGCTTATCCAGAGCGAGACATTGCCGCCCCTTGATGAAAAGACCGCCTTGAAGGCGGCATCTGAGCCCCACCTGTTGAGCAGCGTGCAGAACAGCGAAGATAATGCCGCTGGAGATGATGCTGAGAAGCCGCGCTCGAATTTTGCACATGTCGACTATTCTGAGGCAGTGAATCTGAATGCGTCTCAATCGCGGAGACGCAGACGTCGAGCCACTACTATTGGTTCTAAGGCCCATGAAGATGTAATGGACAAAACGCGCGCGGAGGATCTTTTGAACAAGGTTCAGGGCCACCTTATTCTCTGGCCATATGACTGGTCAGCAACCCTTACTATATCCTCGAAGGTCCAATCTAACCATTCTTCAAAAGGCTTGAGAAGGAAGAGCAGGGTGGAAACTGGCTTTACGCCTTGGATCAAATATCGCCTCTGGAGATCTAGTAAGTTCCATTCCCTGGGTCAAGTGTGTTGCCAATTGAACTTAAACTAATCATAATGATAGCAATTAATCCGTTTTCCATCTCATTTGCAATGGTCAACGTCTTTTTCAGTTGCCCGTCTGTAAACCTAAAGTATTTACTTTCATTATGTGCCTCTTAGGGGTACTTGAGTGCAGTTCCATTTATGCACTGTTCAGCGCCGCCATTACCATTGCAGCATCTCATCACCTTTCGTTAGAGACCTCTTGTCCCACGCAGGGCTTTTTGAAAGTACGCTTCATTTCCAGATAGTAATCGGCGTCTAAATGGCTTTCTACAAATAAAGAGAGCGCTAGACAACCCAATTGAACAATATTGGAGCCAGAAGGGAGACCTGTGTGGATATATATATATATATATATCCTGGGTATCTGTTAACATCATGTAATATTCGCGTGAATCTCACTGATCAGCCGCTTCCGCGTCGGCCCAGGGGCCATGGGTGGTCTGCCTCCGCCTTTTTTCGAAGCCTTCAAAACTCGCCCGTAGAGCCGCTGCCAGGATTGAAGCATCGTCACTCGGTCCCTCCCACTGTTCACATACTTTAGAAATCCGCTCATGGGCAGCCTTCAGCTCACTTTGCACCTCTTTTATGCGTGTGGATGAGCGACCCAAGTCCTGCATGAAGTGAGTTGGATCCTGGATGCAAAGGCTTTGGCCCAGTTGTAGATTTCCCTGCGCTTTAGCGGTGAGCTTAGCACGCATAAGAGAACGTTGGCCGCGCAAGTATGCGAGTTCAGCATCCGCGTGGTCATTTGCGCTCAGCACCCCATTTCCAAAGAAGCTTGGAGGGTCCAGTGCAACTCCAACGGAGCTAAGGTCAACACCCGACCCATAGAGCTTCAAAAAAGCCATCCACTGGTGCCCGAGGGTACGAGGGCCTGTGAAACGGCCATGATTCATTTTGAGAAAAGCGACAAGCAACAATACCAAGGCATTGCTATCAATGTGCATATGGTTGAATGGGGTACAGCATGCTTCTATTAGCGCCTGGCTTGCTCGGAACAGAGGCGGAAGAGCAGGATACTCGTTCAAATAATCCTGCAGGTATTCAAAGATGGCTGGAGACTGTTCCCCGCAGGTGATTCGCACCTTCAAGCCTGTGGACTTATGCCGAGCCTCTAGACAAGGACCGTATTTTATTAAGGTAACATTCTCGAAGGCCGAACTATTCATCAAGGCGGACTTCACAATTCCGAGAAGGCCCATGTGAGCCCGTCGAATCTGTGGTCGGGAAGCACTTGGTTTTCGAATCTGGTCTGGAGATCGTTGTGTGTCCCGGAACGGCAACATGAGTTGGATGGCCGAATGTGCCGGCGCTAGCCCAATCGAACGGAGCCCAATGCGCTTCGGCGGAGATGAACATATTGCTAAAAGTAGTGAATCAAGCTCTTCATAAAGTCGCTCAGTCTGTTTTTGCTCTTCGGAGCTCGAGGACAGGTAAGAGTTTAAAGCCCGAATCTCCGCATCCAGATACGCATAAGCATCGCCAGTGGCCTCGAACGGCTGCATGTATTTCAACCATGGCTGTTGTCCGAACGAGTCATATACCGAGGAGTCTGCGCGGCAGATTCCACTAAGTTGATCAGCCTTTGATTGGAGCTTCTCTGATATGCCCTTCACGCCATCGTTGGATATGATTGTTGGTGCCGGTGCCGGTGCCGGTGCCAGTGGTGGAGGTGGAGGTGGAGGTGCCGGCGGCTGGTAGCCTGCACGGTTTTCGGGGGGGGATACAAGGTCGAAAGAGCCCGGGCGAAGGATCACGAGAGTACACCTTGCGGATAAGGCTAGCTCGGTTCGACGAGCGATGGGCCTCTAGTGTTTTGCTGAGGCTGTTGGTGAAGACATCGGGGTCTTTCAATCCAGATGGAACAGAACGATTTCGTGGCAGGGGAGACGCGGCATAGCGCGAAGATGACAGAGGAACGAGCTCTGTCACTGGTGGAATCCGCAATAAGCGTTGTGGCCTGAGGCAGCATATCTTGAGCGCATTTGGCGCATTTGCGCATTGCGAAGTTGGAACTAGGCGGTTGTCCCTGTGCGGAATAGTCACGATGACCTGGTTGTTCTCATCGACTCAGTCTCGAGATTCTCACACAAATCTGGTATTCGGAGCATGACGTAGGGTTGAAGACATCGGAAACCCCACCGATTGTCCTGAAGCGTCCAGGTTCCTGTTTCGGACGGTGGCTTCAATCTCACCGCTTGCCCCTCCATCGGGACTTCTACTTCTTTACGTTTCTACTTCTCTCCTTCGACTCTGTACTTCTGCACCTTGCACCCTACTTGTCTCCCTGTTCTCTTCATGGCTGTCGTCCGTCGTTGCCTCTAGTCGAGACACTCATCGCCTCCCCCTCCCCCCACTTCGAGGTACGTTCTTCCTTGTTATCCCCTCAATTCGACGTCAGTATTACTTGAGAGGGGCTCCCGCATGTGACAATCGCAGTCTTTTCTGACAACCGACGCAGCTGATTTCCAGCTCGTTCCCAATTTCAATTTCAATTTCCACGTCATGTCTGAAACAGAGAAGTCGAGCCCCGAGCGCTTGCCTGAAGGGCAGCCTAATCCCGTGCTCGTGGGGCCTGGCTTGAAAGCCCTCAGTACAGAGGCCTATACGGATGCCACAAATGCGACACCGAGTTTGGATACCGATAACCAAGGTCAGATGGATATTGATGCGCCTTCATACTTTGCCAACCTCCCAGGAGTGCAGACCGAGTCACTCGGTCCGTCTGATTCGGCCTCGGCACCACACCCCAGGAGGAGGACGTCGTCGGGACAAGAATTGCTACGACGTTTGAGTCTAGTGGGGAATGGATCCCCAATGTCACCCGAGGTCGACCCTCGTGCGCAGCATCCAGGTCTCAACTTGAGCGGGCGTTTGATTAGCGCCTCCTTCTGCATGCCCTACAAGCTCTACTTCCAAGCGGGCTCAGACTGGGTACGTGATGAATCTCTTCCTTTTGCCGGATTTCTGGATGGCCAACTGACTACTTTCTGAGGGAACAGACGGTCAAGCCTCGTTCAGGCTCTTCGGCTCTGTTCGATTCATTTGCTCATCTGGCCTCTGACGAGACCCAGTGGTCACACACCTTGGTGGGCTGGACAGGAGAGGTGGAGCCCATCCTAGACACAAAGGCCCCTTTGCAATCAATTCCTGTCAATGCAGCGGGAACATTGGCACCCGGTGCCAACAACCCTAACCTATCCACGCTCAATAAGGCAGCTGCACCTATTCCTGTGGATGCTACCCAGCAGCCACAATCTCATCCGTTGGTGGAAGGAATCACCGTCGGGAAGGAAGATCGAGAGCGGCTTGATCGTCAAATGGCTTCGGGGCGCTATGGTCGGATTTTACCGGTTTGGTTATCGGACGCTTCGGAAGAACCAGATGACACCATTCTACTCAAAGACCAGGGCCGGTGGCGGCGGTATGCAGAGAGAGAACTATATCCTCTTTTGCACTACAAGCAGCACGGCCCGACTGACGGCCGCTCTGAGCGGCGGTGGTGGGCGGATTACGTTCGGTTGAACCAGCTATTTGCAGACCGCATTATCGCGGACTACCAGGAGGGTGATGTTGTGTGGGTTCACGATTACCACCTGTTTCTGCTTCCCAGCCTCCTACGACAGCGCATTCCCAACATCTATGTTGGCTTCTTCCTCCACGCACCTTTCCCAAGTAGCGAGTTTGTTCGGTGTCTTGCAAAGCGCAAGGAGGTATTGACCGGAGTTCTCGGCGCTAATATGCTGGGATTCCAGACTTTCTCTTACTCGCGACACTTTTCATCTTGCTGCACACGTGTCTTGGGATTCGATTCCAATTCGGCCGGTGTAGATGCCTACGGCGCACACGTGGCGGTAGATGTCTTCCCCATAGGCATTGATGCTCAGTCTATTCAGAAGGCTGCGTTTGGTGCCTCAGATATCGAAAATACCGTCGCCGGTATTCGCAAACTGTACGCCGGAAAGAAAATCATCGTTGGCCGTGACCGACTGGACAGTGTTCGTGGTGTGTCGCAAAAGCTGCAAGCGTTTGAAATCTTCCTGGAGCGATATCCTGAATGGCGTGACAAGGTTGTTCTTATCCAAGTGACCAGTCCAACTAGCATGGAAGAAGAGAAGGAAGACCCTAACAACAAGATCGCGGGCCAAATCTCTAATCTGGTCTCCACAATCAACGGCCGTTTCGGCTCGTTGAGCTTCTCTCCTGTTCAGTATTACCCACAATATCTGTCACAGCGAGAGTACTTTGCGCTGCTGCGTGTAGCCGATGTGGGACTCATCACCACTGTACGAGACGGCATGAACACAACCAGTCTGGAGTACATCGTCTGCCAGCAGTCTAATCACAGCCCGCTCATTCTCTCGGAATTCTCTGGCACTGCGGGTACATTGCCCAGCGCCATCCACATCAACCCCTGGGACTTGGTTGGTGTCGCTGGCGCTATCGACCAAGCTCTCAGGATGCCCGCCGAGCAGCGAAAGGAGCAACACTTGAAGCTGTACAAGCACGTCGTCACCAACACGGTTGCAACATGGACAAGGCTGTTCCTTCACCGTCTGCTGACCAATCTCTCGTCATTCGACCAATCTATCGCCACGCCCGCGTTGGATCGCGCCAAGGTCATCAAGCAGTATCGCAAGGCTCGGAAACGCCTGTTCATGTTCGACTACGATGGTACGCTTACGCCGATCGTCAAGGATCCACAGGCGGCCATTCCGTCCGATCGGGTTCTCCGCACACTTAAAAGTCTGTCGGCAGACCCCCGGAATGCCGTCTGGATCATCAGCGGTCGTGACCAGGCCTTCCTAGACGAGTGGATGGGCCACATCCCTGAGCTGGGGCTTAGCGCCGAACACGGATGCTTTATTCGTCAGCCCGGATCCGACGAATGGGAGAATTTGGCAGAGAGCACTGACATGGGCTGGCAGAAGGAAGTGGTGGATGTCTTCCAGCACTACACGGAACGAACCCAGGGTTCCTTCATCGAGAGGAAACGAGTGGCATTGACATGGCACTATCGTCGGGCAGACCCTGAATATGGCGCATTCCAAGCCCGTGAGTGCCGAAAGGAACTAGAGAACACTGTTGCCAAACGATGGGATGTGGAGGTCATGGCCGGCAAAGCCAACCTGGAGGTTCGCCCGACTTTTGTTAACAAAGGCTTCATTGCTACACGACTGGTAAATGAGTATGGTACAGGGCCTGGTAAGGCCCCTGAATTCGTTCTCTGCTTAGGAGATGACTTTACGGACGAAGGTGAGAAATGAAGGTTTGAGACTTCCCAAGTGAATTGACTAACGATGGACCTTGTCAGATATGTTCCGCGCCCTCAAGAAGTCCGACTTACCTCAGGACCATGTGTACTCGGTGACGGTGGGTGCCAGCTCAAAGCAAACGGACGCTAGCTGGCACTTGCTGGAGCCGGCCGATGTCATCAACACCGTCCAGATGCTCTTCAGCAACCCGAACCAGGACTATTGAGCGTTTGCTCTCTAAACCCGATCCGACTGGACACTACACGACAATGTCGAAGTTCGATCGACGCCGAATAGCTTCGCAGCCTAGTCTATACTTATACTCACACACGACTGTTGCCCTTGAAGAACAAAGATTTGTCATTGCCTCATTTGCCCTGTTTGCCCCTCGCTGCCTCGTGTTGTTGTTCCTTGTTGCTTGTCGCTTCTGGCTTTTTGCTTCTTCTTTCTCGCTTGCCAAGATGTGGCATTGGCGCTGGGCGACGTCATTTGATCTCACCGACTTATTTCTTTATAATTCTTGTTCATAGACGCATGAGCTTGCACATCTGATTAGAATTGAGTGAAGGGGGGTTTTCCCGAAAGTCCACTATAATACGCCGTGGTCCCCGAGCACGTCTTTTTGCGGGGAAATACGTAGAGATGACACGACGGCCATCATTGCCTTGCGCTAGTTCAGCTCATTTCAAGAACAGTTCAGTTTCTGAAGTGGGGTTGACCTCAACAGAGCTCTGGCAAAGGCGTGTTGCATTCGGCGATCTGTGCGAATTGCCGATCGGCGCGAAGCCCGTTTGGCTGCTCCGACAGACTCTTTTTTATGGGCCTTAGGAGCTATGAGTCAGGTCAATGACCGGTCATCATAAATTTGACCGATTGCTGGGCATTCATTGACCGCGTTTCCATTTCCTGATCATATATCTGCTTTTTCCTCTGATCGAAATCGTGGTGGCGCGACATGATCGACTGGACTTCTCAAGTCACCTCCGATATTGCTTTCCGATGATCAAATCCACCTATCCACCCATGGAGAAGGTCCCGAGTATGGTTGAGGAAAAAGACTTCCAGAATGAAGACCAATCAAGGTCGCTGGAGAGCAACGACCCTCGAGGTCTAGTATCTGACGAAGAGTCTACTCTTGGTGACGGGCCCAACGGCCTCGCCCAGGTGCTCACCAACGCCAGCGCAGTCGCATGTACGCTCTCTGCAGTGCGCACGCGGGAGTCTGGGAAGGAAATCGGCCCGCCGCCGGACGGGGGCTTCCAGGCCTGGCTCCAGGTCGCTCTAGGACATATGATCATCTTCAACACCTGGGGCTACATCAACAGCTTTGGCGTCTTCCAAACGTACTATACCACACGGTTGGACCGCTCTCCCTCCGACATCTCATGGGTGGGAAGTATTCAGATCTTCTTGCTCTTCTTCATCGGGACATTTTCTGGACGCGCGACAGATGCCGGATACTTTCGATTCACTCTGACTATAGGTGCCACACTGGAGGTGTTTAGTATCTTCATGACCTCGCTGTGCACTAAGTACTGGCAGCTCTTCCTGGCCCAGGGTCTGGGACAGGGTATCGGCTGTGGTCTGATGTTTTGCCCGACGCTGGCATTGATCTCCACCTACTTTGACAGAAATCGTGGTATCGCCATCGGTCTGGTGGCTTCGGGATCGGCTACCGGTGGTCTGGTCTTTCCAGCTGTCGTCATGCGCATGTTACCCGAAGTCGGATATGGATGGACTATGCGAACGCTCGGTTTCATCACGATGGCCACCTTGATCCCCTGCCTGCTCTTCTTCAAGCAGCGACTACCGCCTCGCACCACCGGGCCGCTTGTCGAGTGGACCGCGTTCAAGGAGATTCCCTACCTGCTCTTCGCGGTAGGTATGTTCCTAAATTTTTGCGGTCTATACGTAGCCTTCTTCTACATCGGTAGCTTCAGTCGCAACATCGGAGTATCCGAGCGGACCTCCATCTATCTGCTCATGATCATGAACGGAGTCGGCATCGTGGGCCGACTGGTGCCCAACCTGCTCGCCGACCAGTTTACAGGGCCGCTGAACCTGCTGATTCCCTTCAGCTGCGCGACTGCAATTGTTGCCTATTGCTGGTCAGCCGTACACGACATGTCCAGCCTGTATGCCTTTGCTGTGTTCTATGGTCTTTTCGCGGCAGGCATTCAGTCGTTGTTCCCCGCCACGCTGAGCACTTTGACCACGGACTTGAAGAAGATCGGTGTGCGAATGGGCATGGTGCTCAGTATTGTGGCCGTGGCAGCTCTGATCGGATCGCCTATTGCAGGTGCCCTGGTCTCGACGGACGATGGCGAGTACCTTTATGCGCAAATGTTCATGGGCAGTGCGATTATCGCAGGCACGGTCGTTTTGATCGGAGCCCGAGTGACAACGGTGGGCTTGGGCCTTGCGCGAGTGTAATTGAGAAAAAAAAAAAATTCGGGGGCCTCCCTTGCATATAGAAAGAAAATAGTATGATATTATATACTGTTCGATGGAGCCGTATAAATAACGAGAGTGGCGCGCCCTGGGTTTGGGAAAAAAAAAACCCCACACTTCGGAGACTGATTAATTCAAGCGTGGTGACTCGCCCCTTTTGAGTTATTTCCTTCCCCAGTTATTTCCATCCTATCTCGTGTTTTCGTTCTCACCATAATAATTCTGTTGGTGATTCTTGGGTGCAACTCTTGTGCCTATCGTCTATCGTCGTTCATCGCAAGCGCCCAGGGGTCCCCCCACTTTGCCCCTCTATCTTTTGAGTATGTCTGGTCCTGGGTGACTCAATCGGACTGATCTTGACTCGATACTAAGACCAAATTTCTCTAGACTGTGATCTCTCGATTTCCCTTCTCTATACAATTTCATCATGGCGCCTCGCGGTCGTGGTGGCAAGTTCTCCAAGCCCTCCCGTGGAGGTAAGTCGCGTGCAGGATTCCCAGAGAACAATCCACACACGTGAATGCTCATCTCTTCTCACCCGACAGGAGGCAAGAAGTTCAGTCGAGACCTGCAACCTGTCGATAAGGACGGCAACTCACTCGGTCTCTGGCGCGTACGTTTGCAACACCCCGGCTGCAGATCGCAGGAACCACCCTCGATGATTCATATCTCACACATTTCTTTCCACAGGACCCCGGTGATGAGATCAAATCTTCCAGCGACGAGACATCATCCGAAGAGAGCTCCGAAGAGGAAAGCTCAGACGACGCCGAAGCAGGATCTAGTCAAGCCGCCGCCACATCAGAGGCAACCCGCGAAGCTCGCAAAGCCGCCGCCAAAGCCAAGAAGCTCGCTGCGCTTGCCAAACGCAAGCAACAAGCCGCTCAGCCCGGCGACCTGCCCCCCTCGGACTCTGACGAATCCGAGGACGAGGGCCTGGGCCTCCCCGCGAACCCGAACCACACCGCCAAGTCCCGCTCACAGCTGGTCAAGAAGGACGATGATGACGAGGAGCCCAAGAAGGTTGTAAAGAAGGACATCTCGCAGCTCTCACGACGAGAGCGTGAAGCCCTCCAGGCGCAGCAGGCCCGCGAGCGGTACTTGAAGCTGCACGCAGAGGGCAAAACCGATGAGGCGCGCGCTGATCTTGCACGGTTAGCGATCATCCGCGAGCAGCGTGAAGCGGAGCGGGCTCGTAAGCAAGCGGAGAAGGAAGAGAAGGAGGAGCAAGCCCGAGAGAAAGCTGCGCTTACGAAGGAGCGCGAGGACAAGTTGCGGGCTGCTGCATTGGGCAAGCCTGCGCCCAAGAAGGGTGGGAAGAAGAAATGATCTGCTTTTTGATCATGTTGGAAATCTGGATCCCCCCCCCTCCCCATTTCTATACGCATCACGACACTGCGCCATGTGGGATTTTGACGCTGCCGTAGCAGTAGTCGTCATTTCCTGGGATAACATTGGAAAACATGGCAATTTAAAATTGGACATTTGGATCTACAAAGACACGCAGCTAAATGGAAAATGCCTGATCCTGTAGGTAAAGAAAATTATCATGTACAGCGACGCCTTCCCAAACGCAGCAAAGACACGGGAATTACTCTTTCAATGCATAGTCAAGAGAAGAAAGAGAAAAGGAAATGGTTCGTACACGGAGGGGTTTCAGGAAATTGGGACCTCTTCCCCAAAGTTGATTGAGTGATGGAAAATGGCCATCAGAATATTTTGTAGGGATTGTCTCACACGCCCCAGAATAGGCCTTCGACGCTTCGACCCTGCATGACCACACTCCAGCCGGCGATGAGACTGACCAGCCAAAGAACGGCAAAGACCATGATGGGGACGAGCAAGAGCTCAGTGTTGTGCAAGAAGGGCAGGGCATTATATCCCAGGAAGGTGATATAAGTGTAGTAAATCAGGGCAGAGAGGTAGAGCGTGTTGCCGAGAAAGGTCGCCAGAAAATTGCTCGGGCTACGAGTCAGAAGAGGGAGAAGGAGAAATTGCACCACGTAAAGGTGGAGGTAGAGAGGGAAGAAAGCTCGATTGGAGACCTATCAGCCGCAGCGTCAGAAAACAAGTATGCTGAGCCGGATCGAGGGCAAATCCTACATCAAAGCAATATCCAAATTCCAGCTGGTCCTTCTCACCAGGCTGTACAAATAAGCCCTGAGCTGCGCCGCGTCGGCGGCTCCGAGAACCACGCAGACCGGCCAAAGAGGCGGCGGCACCATTGGGACCGAAGAGTCGGCCGATGACGAAATAACCAATGGTTGAAATGAACAAGGACGAGCCGATGAAATGGACGAAGACGAACAGCAGGGACAGGCGTACGATGGCCCCGAAAGAGGGGGTGTAAGCCAGACCCCAAGCTAGCGCTGTGAGGAGGAGGAAGAACGAGAGGAGGTATGTGAAGGATGGATCAGGGCGATGCCATGTGTTTTTTGTTTCTGGTAACGGGTCAATTATGTCGATTCTGATTCACGAGCAAGACACTTCTTTGGGTTTCTCTGATGAAGCGCAAGACAACTCACGTTTCTATTATCCACGGACCCGCCGCGATTAGCAACGACAGCAACCAAACGGAGACCGGCGCAACTTACATGGTAGTATATGGATTTGAAGACCTTCTTAGGTGCAATCAAGAGCGAAGTCATCTCCCAGATAGCCATCTCAAAATCCATCTGGGGGAATTTGAAGAGCCTGTGGATCTGGTCAGCCCCGAGCTCCGGGCAACGAAGGACGAGGAAGAGGGCACCTCTTGAAGAAACGCGGCATGCGGACACTGGAGCCGCGACTTGGTGTAGAGCCGAAATTGGCGGGAGCGGCATGTTGACGAGGAACAGAGATGTGCGGGTTCATGGTCGAAGGCCCTGGTCTTGGGGATGCAGAGACTCGTTGCTGCTACTTCGTGGCCAGTCCGGGGTTATGTCATCGCTCACGTGAATGTTGTGTAGAGTCAAGTCGAGTCAACAATGACTGGGATGGTTCATGGCTTTCCTTGCTCTTTGTTACAGCATGCTCGAGATTATGTCTACCGGGACACTTTCGATCTAGGCATTTTTCTTAATTCCGGTTTATGTTTATTCTCTCGTCACGCTATCGATGGATTCCCGGGACTCTTGTCTTCCGCCTCGCGATCTCTCTCGAATGGTCACATCCTGGGGACTCTGCCGCGGAAATCAGAATGCTTAACAATTTCCCACCTTGTCAAACATGTAGTCCAGCTGTTCTCCGTAAAGAGGTCAAGGAGAGCTGGGGGGAAAGCACTTCGGGTATATCTATCGATTCTCCGATCCAGCTAACTCGAGACGAACACCAGGCCGATCAGATTTGCCCCTGAAATGATGATGCAAAACATCCGCCGGGTTTTCAGGACAGCGCAAAGGCATTGCAGTGTGTATCATGAAGCATGAGGCATGAAGCATGGAGCAAGAAGCAGCTAGATAGTCCCCCGGCATTGGTTCCGTCTCATTTGAATTCCGTCCCCACCGATGGATCCACCGTGACTGCCATTCAGATCGACTTGGGACCAGGATCATCAAATGAGGGATCATATGGAATAATTCCATGATCCGATGGGTAGGAGGTTCCAGGTCCAGGGGCGGGAAACAATAATCCTTCACCGTCAATTCGAGGAACTTCGGGAGATACTGAGGTACGCAGTGGTGACCCCTGAGTTCAGCCTACATGTACATTTAAAAAAAAAACCTAAAAATCGAACAAAATAAAAGAGGGCAATCAAGACTTCTCTGGAGGATCCTAGGAATTCCCCTATTTCGACTTTTCCTCTCCGTTTCAGAAATAATCTCGAGTCTGGTCCGGATTCTCCCACTGGACACAACATCAGCCTAAAGGAACTTAATTGCATTCGAATTCCCGCGGTTCCAGAAGTTGGTACCTGAGTACCGCAGTTCCACTTGCGAGCCGCCCACCGTTCAGGAGTTCGTCCCGCCCCCGGAATCTCGCCCTCGCAACCTTCTGGGATTCGGACTCGGCCCAGTTGCCAATTGCCTTGGCCCTGCAACTGCAAGCAGCCGTCTTGCCTGCCTTTGCCACTATTCGGACATGCGATGACCGCTTGAATCGCCCTCGAGCTTCGAGTCGCCCGGTTCGCCGACCTTGGATCTGGTCAGCAAATCCGGCCCATCTCACCTGAACGGGTTGCTGTTGGGCAACGACAGCAGGTCCCAATTCTTGGGCATTTTCGGTGCGTCCATCCTGCCCTGACCCAGCCGAACATTGTTCGTCCCCCTCCGCTCCCAGCCCACTGTCTCCCTGAGCAGTAAAAAATCGAGGAAACCCGCACTAACCCCGGTCCACCAGCGCGACAATGTCTTCACAGCGCGAAGTCTATACCCCCCCTCCTCAGACGCCTCCCTCTCAGACATCGACTACGAAGTTTCGGCCCAAACGGGCCTACAACCGACCCTCCATACGCGATGCCTTTCCAGACGCTGCCGCGGATGCGCGAGCTAGCGACTCTGGCGATGACCGAGATCCCCACGATCTTTCCCTGTCTCCCCAGCATGCGGCTCGTACATCGATCGTCGATAATATGCTCCTCTCACTCGACCAATTTGGCGCCGCCGAACCCTCGTTTCTAGACGACTATCGTCTCTACAACTCGGCCTTTGAGAACGAAACGAATGGCCGGTATCGGGGTCACACCTTCTCTTCCTCTTCGGTGTCTTCTGAAGCGGAGTATGGATTTGAGGATGGCAGTGGCCGCTATGCAACGATAACGGCTACCAAAGGCCGTCGAAGCAACAGCAGCTCAAATTATCAGTCGGCAACAGCGCCGAGGAGAATGAGCAGTGCACGTAGTCGGGACGCCATGAGCTCTCGGGGTGGAACAATGCCCAGGGCCGGCGACGTCCGCAAAGGCAGTAAGGGCAGTTCTACTGATTATTCTTACACGATGCCCAGAAGGCGAGCCGACTCCGGAGGTGTGAGTCGACATTCGGAAAGTTTCGATTGCGGCCCTCAGAAGTATAGCCATTGGAACGAACCCAATATAGCCCAGGATTCCCTTTTTGATGACGACGATGCGGCGCCCACCCCAAGCGTGCCAGCAGGCCCGCGAAAGGTCCCTGACTATAACAGGACTTCGACTGCAGCAGCACTAAAGACACCCGTGGCATCGCGCCGAAACAGCATGAAATCGAATCATGCGCCTCCGTCACAGGCGCGAAAGGGTCGCCCAGATAACATTGGCACCGGGGCTCTCAAGATGCGAGACACGAACAATCATCTGCACGATGACACGGATCTCGATACCCCTCCAGCGATTGCGGCATCGTTAGATTCGCCTGCTCCGAGCCCAACTATTTCCTATAACAAGCCGGCCTTTCCCCAGCCGGAACCGAATGCAACGATTACGACTACCACGATCACCGCCAACGTTGCAAACGTAGGCTCAACTGCAAGCTCTAAAGAACGCCCAGGATTCTTCCGTCGTGTGTTTGGTGCAGGCAAAGCCGCTTCACCGGGCCCAGCAGAGCCCGGCTCGAACATGAATGACCTGTCTTACCTGCAAGATAACGAGATCAAGGATGCGACTGGGGCCACTGCCAACCTGAAGCTGCGAAAGGAGCCCCCCAAGAGCTCGGCCGGTACCCCGACTAAACGCGACGGGCCTCAGCAAGTGATCAAGCAAAAGTCCTCCTTCTTCCGCCGGCGTAAGAAGTCCGTGACGGATAGTAGTGTTCCGCCGCCTATTATCCTACCGCAAGAGGCCACACCCCACATGGTGGATTCCATGAAGCCTCAACCAAGTCCAGTGAGCAGTCTGCGGCAGGTCATGAATCCATATCTTGATAGGGCTCCTGGTCATCAGAGTGAGGAAGTCAAAGAAAGGCTTGATGGACAGACACCGTTTCACGAAACTACATTACTGCAGGCCGAAAGGCCAAGAGAAAGTGTCTCGGCTCCTGGTGGAAACGGGAACCAAAAGGCTGTACAGCAAACCCTGCAGCCTCCCAGTACTGGCCGGCTGCAGGATCATTCGCCGGCAGATCGGCGTGGCACTAATGAACAGATCCCAGGAGCGGGACAGGTGGAGCGAACGTCATCTACCGAGTGCCCCTTGCAGGAGAAGAGCCCAAATGCTGCCCCCGTTGCCCTGTCACCTGTCGCTGAAGATTCCCCTCGCCAACTCACAGTATCGACACAAACTGTGTCCACTGATGCTTCTCGTGAGAGCTTGGCTGGGACTGTCAAGTTGGAAATCCCCTCGGATAGCAACGTTCCTGGATCACCTGCTGCATCGGAAGCTTCTCACTATCAAACTGCATCCAACACACCAGTGATCGAAACAGAGGAATCAGAAGCAATTGAAGACGAGGATAAGATGGACGGCCCGGGTGAAGCTGTCGAAGATGGACCAACACCAACTGATCGCGAGCAAGCTCAAAAGCTTTTCGATAGTCAAGACCAGGTTGTGGGCAACGAGCCCGCAGCTGCTTGGCTAGGTGACCCTGATCGGGCTACAGTTCGGGAAGCTTACATGCGACTGTTCAATTGGTCTAATCTAAACATTCTGGCTGCTCTCCGAAGCCTCTGCCAACGCTTGGTGTTGAAGGGTGAAACTCAGCAAGTGGATCGTGTTTTGGATGCTTTCTCGTGCCGATGGTGCGATTGTAATCCAAGTCACGGCTTTAAAGCTACTGGTATGTAGCTCTCTTGGAACGTCCAAACAAAATACTGCTAAAATACCGTCTTAGATGTTGTTCATACGATCTGTTACTCCATTCTTCTCCTGAACACTGACCTGCACTTGGCCGACATCGATCAGAAAATGACCAAAACGCAATTTATACGAAACACGATGCCCACGATCCATCGGGTAGCCATGGACGCAGCGCCAGAAGGGTTTGAAACATTGCGCCCCGGTCACCGATCCAAGAATGCACCTACTGGCTCGGATTCAACGCCCTCAGCGCCAAGCTCTGCTCATTCGCCAACGTTTCCCGGCGATATTCACCGTAGCTCCATGGATGATGCGGATCCATTGGTGAATAATCCATTCATTGGAACTGTCAGGGCCTGGGAGCAACAGGTCGAAGCGGTTCTGAAGGATTTCTACACCTCCATCGCAAGGGAGAGGCTGCCTCTCCACGGCGCCCAGCCAGAGAAGGAGGTTTCTCGCATGACTTCTAGTAATTTCCTCGGTCCCGCCACAAGCACTCTTCGTAGGAGTCCCAGCACCATCAGCAAGAGCGGCTCGGACATCTTTCCCCGTGGCCGATCATCTGATTCTCGCCATGGAGCTGCGAGATGGTCGTCCAAGCCTCGTTCCCGTGGAGCGAGACTCTACCCTCCCTCCATGATGGGTTCCAGCCGGACAAGCCTTGATGATCAGTCTTCTGTGTGGAGTCCCACTGCATCGAGCACCTGGAGCAAGTACTCGTTGGGTAAATTTACGTCTGCCTCGGTGGACTCCTTTGGATCCGACTTCCCTCGGGGAGAATACCAGCAATCCATTGGTTTCGCTAATGCGTTGAGTCAAGCGATCATTCGCGAAGATTCTGCAACCTCAATCTACAGCTTTGATGAACCGGAGCGAACTACTCCTCTTCTCGAAGACGAAACCCTGGCCTTAGCCGGTGCTCCTTGGGCCAAGGAAGGAAGTGTCAAGCATAAGCACCACTTGGATGCAGTGGACAAGCGCGCCAAAGATCGCAACTGGAACGAATGCTTTGCTGTCATTCAACAGGGTTGGATGCGCCTGTTTTCGTTCACAAACGCATCCAAGTCCATGCGCCAGAAAGCCAAGCAACCTGGAGGTGTTGTGGTCGGCGGTGGCAACTGGACGGAAAATGCAGAAGAGGTTTGGAAGTTCATGCTTCGCCAGACGATTGCCAGTGCTCTTCCGCCCCCGGGATATTCCAAATCTCGCCCTCATGTTTGGGCCTTGAGTTTGCCCACTGGTGCAGTCCATCTCTTTCAGGCTGGTACGCCCGAGATCGTGCGTGAGTTCGTCTCCACAGCAAACTACTGGAGTGCACGTCTTTCCAAGGAGCCTCTGATGGGAGGAATCAGCAACATCGAATACGGCTGGAGCGATGCAGTCGTCAACAGTGCTCTGGTAGGTATCGAGAACCGATCTCCACCTCCTTCCTCTGGCGCACATCGACCCAGCATCCAGAGCTCGATCCGAAGCTCTATTGATCAACAGAGCGTACGACCCAGACTGCCTGCGGATCGGATCAACATCAGTGATTGGAGTCCTCCGCAGCAGAGCATGGCGGCCTCCATGCTGACCGAGGAGGATCAAATGAAGCAGTTGCAGGCTTATGTCAAGAATGTCGAAGATGACCTTTCGAGACACAATGAGCTACGCTCTGCCATGACACTGGCCTTTTCACCGCGCCATCCTAACTCTGCGAAGGCGATGGCCAACTGGGAGCGGAAGTCGTCGTACTTATTGCGCGAAATAGTCAAGTTCCGCACCTACATCGACTCCCTCCGTAACGCAATAAACCAGAAGGACAAAATACACGCTTCGTCCAACAATTACTATGTTCCTCCTACCGACGACGAAACGAAACCGGAACAGGTTACCGCAAATGCTTAATTCGCTCTGCAAATTCTCTGTTTCATTCTCCTTGTCTCCCTTTCTTCTTGTTGTTCGTCTTCTTCTTCTTCTACTACTTCCTCTCTTTTGTGGATGGTTGTATATACCCTCAAAGCCGGGGGACAGGGCTACATACTGTTCAAGAGCGAATTGGTTGGCTGTTTTCCTATTTTATGTTTGTTCACTTTGTCCGCCTTTCTCTTTCTTGGAAATCTTTCCCTTGGCTGAGTTATTTTGTTTTTTAATGCTAGGGACACGATGCGACTGATGATATGGATACCATGATTGTGTTGAAAGCAATGTCAACGAGATTTCTTTTTGCAGTTTAGTACCATGGTTAGAGATGTTATGTAGTTCCTTGTCAGCCCCAGGTAAGTACCAAATAATAAACACTGAACAGGAACAATGACCGAGTGGTATTAACGATATGTATGGAAGATGCCGTGGCAATAGATCGCCTAAGCATGTGCCTGACCGTGTCGATACTACGGCCCACCCCTTGTGCCGCCCTACTCCAATTAACCAGAGCTCTGCAATGTCTCAGCATCTGACGCACCGACCTTTCGAGTCGAGAATCCAATGAGAGCTATCAACGAGTGCTGAACTGCGCCAGCGCTTATTTGCCAATCGCAGTGGGTACTGGTGGAGACGCAGAACACTAGGGCGTCACCATGTCGACCAGGGCGAGAACCCCAGTTGCGACACCTCTGATCGCCAGCCCGTCTTCGGTGCGCACTTCCCACTCCTCTGGCGCATTCCTCACCCCGACTCCCTCGCCCCTGGATGCCGATTTAAGCGCTTCAGACTACTTCATGGCTGACGACGTGCAGGGGGCCGTCACCCCGAGTGTCGACGACCCCGTAACTCATCGCGAACATCCCGAACACTCCGATCCCGAACATGACGCGCACGAAATCACACCTGCCGAGGAAGAAAAAGAAGATAATGAGGCCACCGCCACGAAATTACAGGGCCTTGAAGACCATAGCGTCCTGCCTCCCTTGACCGACCGCGACGACAGCAGTTTATTCCCCATGTCCGAGAATGGCGATCCCGAGCGCGGCAACAATCAAACTCTCATGGAAGAGCATGAGATGCGCCGGAAGCTTATGGACATGGAGTCGAGCTTCCTGCCCGAGCCCTCGACAATTGACATCGCCGCGACTGGTCCCAGAGCCGGCGCGGACGACACCTATCTTGTTGGAGTGAGTGGTGACTACGATGCGAACACAACACAGCAAACCGAGTCTTCTCGATTCTCTTTTATACCGCCCTCAGAGACCTCCTCCGATCAGGAGCATAATCAATATGCCCTCACTGAAGGAACTGAAAACGTGGATTGTGATCTTATGCTGGGCGCGCATGAAAATCAACGGCAAGCAGATGATGATGAAACTTTCGACTCGCTCGCCTCGTCACCTACAGCATCAGCCGCCGTCCGATCTGCGTATCGCAATCAGTCTATACTCTCTGAAAATGTTTCCGATAGCAGCCAAATATTCCATGATGAACGACCTTTCAGATCTCAACTGTCCCAATCAGATAACGAGTCGCAACTTACCCCTTCAAAACTCCGTCAAAACTCTCGCGATCTATCCCCGGGCGCCTCAAGAATATTCAGTGACCAGAGTAGTGCTGGAGGTAGCCTCTCCCGTAGAGGGAGTAGACCCAAATACCTCACTAGTCGCCAGTCTGCGAACCGTTTGTCATACTCTTCTGTCGCAAGCAATAATACCGAAACTACAAACAGTGATGCAACACTTGGCGCCGACTTCGCGCTCCAGTCTGGAGGAGCAGTAGCCTCTGAGCACTGGGGCAACCTCAATGCAGGACCCCGCAGCCATATGACCCGGACGACTAGCCTCGGAAGCATGGCATCTGGCGTTTCAGGATTTAGCGAAGAGAATTCTGTTGAGAGACGACATGCCGTAACAGGAGATGGGGGCTTGCAGACACTAGAAGAAGAAAGCTCACCGCAGTCTCCGCGACAGCACTCGGGCTTTGATGGAACCTCGGGACCGGAAACGCCAAAGGCCAGGCCGCAGGACAGCTCTCTGACGGATACGGCAATCGCAGAACGCGTCAAGGGCATCCAAGTTCCGACCAACTTTGTACAGCGATTCCGAGAAGACTTTGGAAACACGGTGCCCTCTCCAGATAAGCGTGCGAGTGCTTCAACTCCGGCATTTGGTCGAAGTGGTCGTACCATGACTCTCAAGGAGCAGAGCAGTACCATTGATCGTCTTTCAAAGGAAAACTTTGATCTGAAGATGCGCATTCACTTTCTCAATGAAGCTTTGAACAAGCGTTCCGAGGAAGGCATCAAGGAGATGATCTCCGAGAATGTCGAACTTAAGTCGGACAAATTGAAGCTGCAAAAGGATAACCACGGGCTGAAGCGCAGGATCCGTGATTTGGAAAAGCAAATGAAAGACCAGCAGTCTGACAAGGACTCCATGGTGAATCATGATCCTGAAGGGTCAGAAGATGACCGGGACTCAGCACAAGATGGAGAGCTAGTGTACTTGCGTGAGCGTGTTGAGACCTATGAGGTCGAAATTGAGCGATTGAGGTCCGAAAGCATTACCCGAGAAGCCGAGAAGCGACGACTGGCCGAGATGGTTACTTCGCTGAGTGAGAACCGAGGAGGATCAGATTCAGGTGCACGCGAAGAGAGAGTGAGTAAAAGGTCCCATTACAGCGTAAATCATACTAACATCTCGCGCCAGAACATGTGGAAGGATATGCTGGATGCCGAGACAGCCGCTCGCGAACAAGCCGAAGAAGAGAACCGCAGACTGCGTGATGAGACGCTTCGGGGTGCTATGATGAATACATCCACTAGCAACCCACTCATGATGGAGCTTGAACTCTTGAAACAAGAGAACGCAGAGTTGAGAAAGGAAGTCAGCGCACAGACTTCGATGCTCACATCTCGCAACCGCGAGAAGGAGCGTCTATACCAGGAGATAGAAGAATTGAAGCTTGGTTCACGGCGCGATGGCAGCCGATCCGTGGCCGGAGACAGCATCCTTGATCGCTCAGCATCCCGCGCTCAGATGCGGCCGGGGTCTGAACACAGTGACGGCACTGGGTCGCATGGTTATATGGATCGCGATGAACTGGAAGCTCGGAACGGACAGCTTCGTGATCAATTGTCGACGCTCAAGCTCGAGAACCAGGCAATCCGCGCTCAACTTGACGACTACATCAATGAACTGGACGAACTTGATAAGGCTTACCAGGCTGATGTTGACCAAGCAGAAGAGGAGATGACGAGGCTGGGCCAAGAGCGAGACCAGGCTATTCTGGAGCGAGACCAAGCCATGCAGATCGCTGATGAACGCGAGGCTGCGTTCCAGGATCTCCGTGGCGAAGCGCAGGAGGAGCTGGATGCTCTTGGAGAAGAGCTTGACCAGAAGATTGTGGAATGTCAGCGCCAGAACGAAGACCTGAGAGCTCAGGATGAGAGTCTCAAGGTTTTGCAGGCAGAGATGCGTTCCGCCAGCGAAGGCATCATTCGCCTGGAGGAAGATGCACAAAACAACCTGGAGCGGTACAAGGCGGTCCAGCAGGAGCTTGAAGAAACGAACCGCGAGATGGAGGAGTTGGAGAAGGGTCTGTTTGAAGCCAACTCCAAGGTGCAACGCTTAACCGTGCAGATCGAATCGAGCCAGAACGAGATTGCCTTCCTTCGAGAAGAGCAAGATGGCGACAAGATCCGCATCGGTGATCTAGAGTCTGAGTTGAAGACGTACCATATGAGCTTGCACAGCGAAAAGGAGAAGACCAGAGAGCTGGAGCAACAGCTGGCAGATGAGCGACACCAACGGGAGGTTGTGGGGAGCAAAGAGAAGCAAGAGGTCCAACGACTCATGAACGAGTTAAACCGCGAGGCCTCGGCAGCCAAAGAAGAAGTCCGTAGGCTGAAGAAGAGCCTCTCCACTCAAGAGATTGAGACCACTACCTGGCGCGAACGTCTCATGGATCTCGAGAACAACCTCCGAGAGACTCTGGGAGACCTCAGCGGCAGCCGATCGAGTCTGATTTCCAACATCATGAAACTTCAGAAAGAACTCGAGTCCACCGCACTTGAACTGGAAAGCTTGCGGCAGCAGTTCGACGAGAAAGACTCGCTGCTGCGGAACCGTGATGCTCTTCTAGAGAGTCATGGTTTGGAGTCCCGCAAGCTCTCCGAGTTACTGGAGCGCGAGAGACAAGCTCGCCGAGCCGACAAGCAATCCTTTGAGCAGTCGCTCAAGTCCCACCACCAAGCATCTCGCACGATCACTCAAAACAACTCTCGCATTACGGAACTTGAGAACGCTCGAAACCAAGACCGCAAGCGATTTACATCCCTCGAGCAACAGTTCCGGGATCAGTTGAACGAACGCAATACGATGTTCCTCGCTATTTGGAAAAGACTATCCTCGATCTGCGGGCCAGATTGGGCCCATTCGAACAGTCTGATCAATGGCAACCTTCCCAGTCAGGAGGTCATTGGAAATATCTTGTTTTGGCCTGGCTTTAGCCGTAACCTCATGCTTGCTGTCAAGACCGTCGAGAGTGTGATCACCGGGTTCAAGGGCAAGATCAAGAGCATTGAACATGACCTGACCAAGCAATATACAAATCTCGAGCACTCCTTGAACCAGCGAGTCCGAAGACTCGAACGAGTCGAGGAAACTGTCAAGACCATGCGATCCGGACGAGGCCACTCGGGATCCTCGTCATCATCAGAAGCGGCCAAGTTGCGCGGAGAGAATCGACTCTTAAAGGCCGAGATTAATTTGCTCCAGTCCAATAATCGGACTCATGGATCGGCATCCGCGGCGGCAGCGGCGGTCATGTCTCCTCGGTCTCCATCTCTCAGCGCAACAGAAAATGCGGAACGATCGTTGGCGCGGCACCACTCCACTTCTGGTATGGGGGACAGGTCTCGTTCGGATCGAACCCTTGCACGCAGCTCCACAGGCCTTCCGCAACCCTCTCACACCGTTTCAACTAGCACTCTGAACAATCATGCTGGAGCCATGACGCATCGCTCACGTAGTGGTACGGCGACCTGGGAAGGAACTGATGACAAATGGGTTCATCGACTGCACGAGTTGGAGAAGCGACTCAAGGCTGAACGAGAGGGGCGTCTTCTCGACCGCAGCGGAGCCCGAAAGCGGCTGGAGGAGCGTGATGCCGAGAACCAAAGACTTCGTGATCAACTGCTCCGAGAACGCACCCGACTTGGTCCATCCGGGATCCAGCCTGGCCGTGTCCCGACCTCTGATGAAGGACAGACATCGAGTGAAGGCGAGGGCATCACAGTGGACATTGAAGTTTGATGTGGAGACTCTTGATGCTTTTTTGTTCGTGTACTATATACCCTCGGCCCCCTTGTTGCTTTTCCGGCCTGTATTCATTTATCGCTCTGGGTTACTGGCGCGAATGTATGCGATGATCGAGTCACGATGGTTATGAACAACGGAGTTGTGGATTCTGATCGATTTGTTGTTCGTTTCTCCTGGTTTTTTTTCTTCTCCCTCAAATACATTTATTGGTATCTCCCTATGATACAGCAAACCTACCGCAATGAGACCTTGAGCGAAAAGTCCACGATGCCCGTTCCCTGGTGAATCGAACTGGTGGACAGAATGTCCACGTCGGGGCAGGTATAAGCCGGCGCATTCTCCTCGGTCAGTCCGCCACTGACCTCAATCAGAAATGCCCTCCCTTTCCCTGCCCACTCCTGTTTCAGCTGTTTCGCAGCCTCACGGACACCCTCGGCCGTGAAGTTGTCCAACATGATCACGTCTGCGCCGGCGCCAATGGCCGCGTTGGCCTCCTCAACACTCCGACACTCGACCTCAACCTTTGTCGAGAATCCACCCGTCGCCTTCGCAGCCAGCACCGCCCTTGGAATAGCAGCTGCAATAGACGCGATGTCCCCGGAATTACCCACACCTCCATCCGCCGCCGCACGATTATTCGCACAAGCCCAAACATGGTTATCCTTGAGCATCGTCATCGAACTCAAGTCGTGGCGATGGGGATCAGCTCCACCGACCAGGATACCGTATTTCTCCACGATTCGGAATCCAGGAGTTGTTTTACGTGTTCCGGCAAGGATACCCTGCCAGCCTTGCTTGCGCAGGGCCGCGAGCATAGAGGCGGACTTGGAGGCGATGCCGGAGCAGCGGGCTAGGATGTTCAAGGCGACACGCTCACCGAGGAGGATCTTTCGGATGGGTCCGCGAACTGTGGCACAGTGTTGGACTGGAGACAGAGTGTCGCCCTCCTTGACGTGCCATTCGGTACTGTTCAGGTTCTGTTAGTGAGAGATGTTTGTTTTCTTGCGAGGCCCGGCCACGGGAGGACATACGTGCACCCAAGCTGGGAGAAGACTTCATCGAAGAATGGAACACCAGCCACAATACCCTAATCGATCAACAGGGACATTTCCCACATAGCTTTGCGATCCACCCACCTTGCTCTTCCCCAATAACCGGGCCTCGCCCTCGGTCTCGCCGACGACGAAGCCGCCATAATCCAAGCTAGGACAGTCCTCTTCGAGCCACTCTGAAATGAGCCGCTTGTAGTTGCCCGGCAGCAGGTGCCGTAGGTCTCCGTGTGCTGCAGCCATGATATAATGGATGGAATCGAACTGAACTTCAAGTGGAGGAACAAGAAACTGCCCGCAGATGCAGATCTCCCCGCGCGGGGTCGGGCACGTTCGGAGGGTCACGTGGTGATGATATCTTCCGTCTTTTGGATCGGGGAATCTAGGGTCGTCGCTACGATGGATAGGCATCATAGACAGGGAGTCATCATGACGGGGGGGGGGTTGAATGTTTTTGGTTCTTTGTATTAGTACGTGTTCTGTGGTCGATATGAAGGCTCCTGGAGTTGCAACCGCGAGTTCAGGTTAGCATCGATGTATAGAGTTGGTAGCGCCCGATAAGCCCCCAAGGAAACCCCTAGACTGAAACAGCGATCTAGAAAGAAGTTCGTGCAAAGAATGCAAAGACTCCGACACAAATCCAGCCAATGGATTTAATAAGTGCATCTCTGATTACGGCTATCCGGTAGAATTCCCGGAATTCCTCTTCTCGAGGCCTGGAGAGACGAGGGATCCTCGTCATATCGTCCAACATGAAAACGAGAAACGTCCACGACGTGGCTATCGGAAACCACATTCCCGTGGAAAACATAGGATCCGCAGCCTCACCCGGTGTCTACACCAATAATTGCCTAAATCATCGCCATCGTCAACACTAACCACTATTGTCCCTGTGGAACCAACGGGACAGTAAGCGGCCCATGGCAACGCTCAACATCCGAGCTCGACGCTATACGCAAACTATAAAACACTATGTATCACCGATCGACAGATCCGCATGGCATGCCCGAACAGGGAAGCCCCAAACATCTCAAACAGACAAAAGAACGAAAAAAGAGAATAGAAAATAATAGGAGAGTTTCAATAGACCTCCTAGCGCCACGTCACACGTCCAACACGGTAAGTCCGACTGCCAATTCTGAACTCTGTATAGTGTCCGATTGGATTCCAGTCTAACTCCGTAATTCGGACCTATCGAGGTGCCGAATAACGGCATACACACGCCACGCCCTAACCCGGATGAGGAATACCTCATCCCTCGTCCCCGGCTTAGGAGTCCGTGGCTCCGTCCTAATAGCCGCATTGCCGAGTTCTCGAACCATTGTGGAAGTTTTCAGGGGCTGGGAGTGGATTTTCCAGGGCTCAGCCATCACAAAGCGGAACACAGTATATTTCAGCCCACGAGAATTGATCGGGTCTGCTATGCACCGCCCCCCTTAAGCTGTCATGAATCCTAAATCTCGGATGGGCTGTGGGGAAGGTCTTCGGACGTCAATATGGCATCTTCCCAAATTGGGAATTTCCTTGTGTTTTCGGAGGGTCATAGATCTTATCCTATCTGACAGGTGTACTGTACGCCGGGGTCGAAACCCCAGAGTACAGTACGCGTGGTACTGACTGTACATGGTTTTCTATATCGTGGTGATGAAGCCCAATCACTACACAATCGCCAAGCTACGATGGACTCCGCAGCGCTGTGAACAGCGAAAGGGGGTTCTAGAGATCCCAAGGAAAGTCGGCTTAGTCACGGTCGAAACGGGTTGCCGAGACAGTAACCGTGGATCGACACGGTCAGCGGGACGTGAAACTTCGGCTCGGCATAGAGGATTTTCAAGGGTGGATGTTACCGAGGTGGTATTGTATCGTCCAGTGTAACGAGTGGTATTCAATATCTTCTAGAACAACTGGGAATATGTGGAAAAAAAAAATAAAAAAAAATAAAAAAGGGCGAACACCTCAAGACTCCACTCAAGGCAGAGCCCCAGCCGGAGACCGTCATCGAACTATGCAGATCGGACCCAGCCGTTCAAATGTCGGATTCAGAATCAAATTCGGATATAGCTAGGCATGGACATGCTACTCCTTCCAAGCCTTGTACACATTCTTGCAACCAAAGATCTGGCCCTTTTTCAACAGCACCATGTTCCGCCACTCAGGCTCGTTGATCGCATTCACGTAACGGCTCGGCTCGACGCAGAATCCAGCGCCCTCAGTGTGCGGGGCGGCCCCGTCGATCGAGGGAATGTTAATATACTTTCCAGTGTAGAACTGGAAGGCGGGCTCCGTGCTGTGTACTTCGAGATGCAGTCCGGTGTTGGCATTGCTGAACTCCGCGAGGCGACGCAGAGGCAGCTCGCGCGTGTCGAGGGGGATCTTGGAGGGGTCGGTTTCCATGATGAAGACATCGTCGATGTGTGCACCAGTGGCGGTCAGCTCAAAGGGTTTGGTCACATCGCGGGGGAATTGATCAATGTTGCCGAGCGGGATGCCGGTGTCATCGAGAGGCAGATAGTCCTGGGTAGCAAGCTGGGCGGTGGTGCCGGAGATGGTGGGGCCGTCACCGATGTTGAAGTAGCTAAAATGGAGCATGAGAATGAGATATGGGGGGGCGGAAAACTACTGGCGTCTCTCCAAAGCAAAGCTTACCTGTGGTTGGTAATGTTGACCACCGTCTCTTCACACTCATCACCGACAAACTCCACCTCGTATTCCACCGTCAAGACGGTCTTCGCATCACCCTCTTTGCTGGCCGTATACCAAACGCGCACTTCCACGGTACCCGGGTAATTCTCCTCGCCGTCGACGTGGCGGTATTTGAACAGCAGAGCGTCCCGGCCATGACGCTTGACCGTGTGGGGACCGTCGAAGACGCGCTTGCCCCAACCTTTCTCACCACCATGCAGAGCATTAGGGCCATTGTTCTGAGTGAGCTGGTACTCCTGACCGTTCAAGTTGTGGATCAATCCATTCTTGATACGGTTGGCCACACGGCCGATGGTGGCGCCATAGTGTGCCGTGTTGTACTTCTCGTAGTGCTCCTGGGTCGGGAAACCCAACACGATGTTCTTTCCGCCGACGCGGAACTCCTGAATGATAGCACCCAGGGGGGAGGAACGTGAATTCAGCTTGTTCAGGGCGGACATGGTGATCTGGGGGAGAAACGTGGAGGAGGGGCAGTGACATGCAGGAATAAAAGGTCTGGCATGACGTTCAGACCCCGCATTAAGGCGGGAATGTCCACCGGAGGGGTAAATTGGAAGCAATTGAGGCAATTCAGAAGCTCCGCGTTTAGGCTAAACAGTCTCCTAGGCGGAACAGGTACGTAGGGGCTGCGTCTTCCCGTGACAATTGAGCCGTGGGCCTTTTCAGGCCTGAAAGAGCAGGCCATGAGGCTCAGAGGCTATCAGGCCCCCAGGTCCTCAGGCCATCACCAGGCTTGCCACCTTCCGCTGTATAAGCGGAAGGACACTACAAGATCTGGCGAGTCTCAATTTCCCAACGCGGCAACAGTACTGCAGCTCATCAGCATAAGCATAAAATCCCCCGGGGTTGGAGGTATCCGGCTCGGAGAGAACGGGGTTCCGGTCGCCGAACGGGTTCACACTACCCCGGACTTGGCCCGCGAGGCTGTGAAAGGCTATGAAACGCTGTGTCAGGCTGGGCTGAAGGAGGGGGGAGGGGGGGGGGGAATTAACTCTCTACTAAGGGCTAACATTGCGAGCCACATCTACGAATGGCCGGAATATCAAAATACGCGGCCTGGCTCAGATCAACACGGCAAGACGGCACTTTGGCGTTCAGTGGATCCTGCAAGAGTAACAGTAATACCACTTTGGTACGAGTGTACGGGGCATGTCAGACCCACTACACTTCCGCTTAATCATGCGTGGTTTAGCAATCAAGTGGAAATCAGTTTAGAAATCAGCGCCAGTCCATGGAGTTCGAGAACAAGTCTCGAACTCAAACAAGAACGGGGTCAAAACGGACCGGAATCAACGCACCTCGTATCATCCACATAGGGCGTGTTCGGGATTACCTGGGATTTTAAGTCCGCGCTGACAACTCGTTCTTTCGGTGGCATTAGTCAGGTGGAGTCATGACCTGCAGCTGGGTCAAAGCATCTAATGTTCAGTCTCAAGTAGGTGAGATGCCGAATTTTGGGCACGAGTGTGTGAAAAGCTTCAATTGAATTTAACTCCGGTGAACGCCTCCCCGTTTTGTCCCCAAACTCCAATCAATAGTAAGTGATAGAAAGAAGAAAAAAGAAAAGAAACCGAGCCCAAATCTGTACAGGATGTAAATTAGGATCCCCAATTGATTTCGAATCGGAAGAGGGAAGATGAAGAGCCCCAACCCCAGAAGTGTAAGACCAAAAAAGACACAAGCCCCTCCCAAGGAAAGAACATGTATAGTATACATGCATCACGTCATACGGCGTTAAAGAAGTTCGAATCAAAGTCGATGGCGCTTAGATCGAAGTAATTTCCGTGGGGTTCGGATTCAAGAACTGATTGAAGTCGTCGTAGTCACTGGACACACAGTTCATCGGCATCTGGCGATTAAACATGGGCGATGACATGGGCTCATCAAAAGACAAATTGGCGTAATCGGAGCTAGACATCATCATGTCCATATCATCGAACGTACTGAATCCACCGTTCGGCCAATGCTGAGGTCCTCCCTGTAGGGCGAGCGGGTTGACGACACCCGGCATGGGCATCCCATTGTGCATGAATTGCGAATGACTCATCTCCTGCTTGACGGGGGCTGTAGTCGTGGGGCTGTAGGCTGGCGGGGTAGGGGGCAGGGTCTGAGTCTGAGAGAAGGCGTCGGAGGAGAAGCGTGTACGTGCGACGGGGCTCTGAGGGCTGTCGGCCCCATCGGAGGAATCCTGGCGCTGCATGCCGTTCCGCCACAGGTCCTGCTGCATGGAATCGGGGTTATCTTCGAACCGCTCTCCCTTGGTGTGGTCGAGGGCGCCGAGACGAGTAAGCAAATCGTGGGTGAGCGGGTGGCCGTTGGGCTCCGTCTTCAAATGTTCGCCGGGCCATCCTTCGCCCTCGATCGTGCGTCTGTACAGTTCCTGGAGGCCGTGAACCAGCCAGACTTGTTGTTGCTCTAGCATCTCAACATATCTAGAAAAGAAAACCCCCAGTGGTCAGCATATACGTGTCACTCGTCTTCGGGTGGGACAGTGCCAGCTCACCCCTTCGGGTACACTTTATCGTGGGCCTTCTTTCGTTCCCCAAATACGCAGACAGCATTATCGGCTCGACAACGCGAGCACGGGCTGGCTCCGTCACACTTGGGTCGGTCAGTGTCTGGACCAGGTGCCCGCTCCAGTGCCACATACCTTGGATTTCTTCAAACGACAGCGGTCGCACGCCTTGCAGACACGTTTGCGCACATTATCGGAGTGAGAGTGGTCCGAGCCAGGTGTTGATTGCCGAGCTGCCATAGTGTATGATGTGTGTGTGTATAGGATGTACAGCAGAGGGAAGAGGCCGATAGTATAGCTAGGTGAAGAGGAAAAGCTAGAGGAAAAGCTATACTTCCAGATCCGGAGGATAGACTGTAAAACGACGTCAACCACCACGATCTAATGATGTCGTGACGAAAAGAGGATTGAGTTTGTAGTGTGTTAGGTGTAACCAGGTTTGACAGTCAAGTGGTGAGCAGGGTCCAAGGATCATATAGTCATTCCTTTTTTTTAAAAGGGAGGGGGAATGGGGCCCTTTTACATTTTAGTTTGAGTATTTGGTTTTTAATTGATTTTCTTTTTTTTATTATTTATTTAATTGGGATTTTTGAATTTTGCGAGGCATTTTTAAAGCATATCTTGTATGAGCGTACGATCTGGATCGAACACAACATGGGGGGACCCACTGATCACAGGGCCGGTTTTTTTTTATGAAATTGCCAAGTGATTACACTATCGGAGTGGGGATGAAAAAAGGATGACTCGGCATTTCTCACGGAGAACGGGGCTTTCATCGGCGCTCGGAGACTTCTGAATCTCCCTGACGTAGATCCGGCTGGACTGCATTTCCGGCCACTTAAACCCCTTCCAAAAAAGGAAGAATGAGAAGTAAAAATAAAATTCAAAAAGAAAAAGCAAGAGAAAGAGAAACATTAGACAGAAATAAAAAAAAAAAAAACCCCCCTAACCCCGAGTCGAATGAATCATTATGATCTTTCAGGGGGCCAACGAAGCTCCCTCCGTTCCCACCGTTGCACGGAAAACCGTGCATAATTAATAAAATGTGCGGACGGAGGTATAAGCGCTAATTCTGCTCGGCAAGCCCCTGCCGTGAGAAACGGTACGAACACGAGCAGGCAATTAGTGTTCATGTAAAGCTCACAGTCGTGATTCATGACAGGATGCCCCCGTTCCAATCGACGCGCCTCGAGTGGCTGCGGGCTGGCGGTGGTGTAATGGACCCGAGCGCCCGCAAGCAGTCATGACGTGACCAACCCCCCGGCAGAGAAACTAACGAAATTTCTAGGGGCACTTAGCTTCTCGTATAGTAATCTAATGATGAATCTTGCCTTGGAGATCATGCTCCATATTCGTGCCATGGTGGTACTCCCTAGCCGTACCCTCTTCGAGCAGCGACGATCTGCCGATCCAGCCCGCCATCAGTCCCTAGTCATGCATCTTTCATGAACCGGTAGGACAAGACTTAAGCCAACACAGGGTCCCCCTGTAGAACACGAGCTGTGAGATCATACAGCCAGGTACAGGAGCTCCTAGCGACACTGCCTTGGTAGTATCGTCCCATACGATGACCTCACATGGAAGGGTTAAAGCTTGATTCGGATGTCCACATCAGGCAATCCCTGTTTAGGGCAACTTGCTCCTCCCAAAATCCAGACCCCCATTAGCTCTCTTCACGGCGTGCCTGAATGCCGCCCAAACCGTGGACATTCCCTTTCAGACCCGACTGAGGTGCCGAGCGGAGCCATCTTGGAAATCTCTCGGAAGACATTTCCGGGCCATCATGTACGCTAGATTCCATGTTTCGCAACTGCCTCCCCTACCGAGGTAGAATACTTTGTTGGAATACTGTGTTTTCCCGGGTTCTCTCAGACATTGATGTTTGCACAAAAGGGGGTATATAAAGCAAGACTATCTCACAGTATATGTACATATACATATAGATATACATATATATTACATACTCAACACGAGCAGCACAACCGACGGAATAGACGCCTTCGTGAGGTGGTACTCGGCACCGGTTTTACCTCATCGATGGGTCCCTGTCCGTCTCGGTGTTCCCGTCCATCAGCCATGATCTCGGTCAATTTTCGGCCCTTCCCAAACGCAAAAAATCGATGTGTACGAAATCGAGACTCGCGCCCGATACTAGCGTCCGCTGTGGTCGGGGAAGTGCCCCAGGGTGGACGGATTGCCCAGCTCGCGATGGCGGTCGCAACGAAGCCCCTCCAGCGAGCTGATAATAAAGCCGACGGGTTTCCACCACCCGACGCACTAAGTCTGTTGTCTCCCATTAGCAAAGCACTTACACCCGCAGAGGTCGATCCTCTTACGAGCAAATGTCTCTTCGATATTGACCATCTCGCGCGCACTGGTCTCCATGAAACCGCAGCCATTTTTGCGCGCATATTCCAGCCCGTCGCGGGAGGTGACGGCGCGCCCATCTTTCAAGTCGCATTTGTTGCCCGCGACGATCTTCACGGGTGGTGGGTGGCCGACCGAGGTTCCGGCAGCTTTAACCCCGAGTTCCTGTCGTAATCGCTCATTGTCCTCCACGCGCTGTTCAGCTTCCATGTTGATCAGGTCCATGAAGTAATTCAAGGACTCCAAGCTCGAAGGGTTCGTGATGTCGTAGACCAGTAGAAAGGCGTCCGATTTCAACGTCGATGCTGTCCATAGCCCGCGATATTCCTCCTGACCCGCGGTATCGGTGATTGAAAGGGAATAGGGGAGGCCATCGACGGTGCGGGTGACCGAGTATGAATCCTCTGGGGAGGGAGGAAAGGTGCGCGCATTAGATAGGGAGGTGCGACGGTAGACTCAGGGGAGGGAGGTGGTACCGATGGTGGGATCATATCTGTGCATGCGGTTGGTCAGAGATTCCATGGCCCAAGGCAAGGGGAAACATACTCGTGAATCCACTCACTACGCACCAGCCGTAACGTGATTGAGGATTTGCCTATTCCCCGATTTGATCAGATCGCGATCGTACAAGAACCCATTGTGGTGGCACCGAATCACGGTCTCTCGATGTTCCCAGCAAAGGAGGACAGGTGGATAGAGGAGTTTGCATAAACGTACCACATCCGCCGTCCCCGCAGATAGTGATTGAGATCTTGTCCGCCATCGCGTGGCCAATGCGACCAAACGACGATCAGCGGCTCGAGGCTCGAGGTTGGAGGTTACACCAAGCGAAGAACGGCCGTCGGTAACACAACAGTACGGGGCGAAAGGGGTGGAGCCCGGGAAGGCAAGTGGCAGTGGTCGTGGCAGTGGGAGATGTAAAGATGTCGAGATGTAGAGATGTTGACGGATCGTTGGACAGAGCTCCCCTTAAAGAGATAACGCGATCAACCCTCTCCCAATCCCGCACTCTTTCTATATACTTTATCCCTTACACTGGCACCGGTCGAGCCTGTTGAGCCTTGAAGTGATCGGCTCGTTCTGTCCACAAAGCTCAAACGCTCGCAGCATACTCGTACACTTCTATCGAGTCGGGGCACTTGTGGGCCGGACACGTTGTGATAGATCAACTCCTCCAGCCCGCATTCACTTGCCCGCTCCATCAGAACATTAGATCACTCTGCGTAGACGACCGTGGCCATGGCGTGGCTTTCTATGTCCAATGTCCACCGGAAGCGAAGCAGAGCACCAAGGCCTTGAATTCCCCTTGCACGCGGGCTCCAAACCCTGAATACGGTGGAATCCTGTACATCTGTCACCGATCTCTCGGGCCGCTCATTGGCCCCAGAGAAACGAGCCGGGTCCACAATGACGGGGTTAGTACTTTGCGAAGAACGAGAGCGAGGATGGGGTGGAGAAGAGATCCATCTTTCCCTTTCTCTTCCACCGACTCCATAAAGACACTGGATATCCTGATGCCAAATTGCTATCGGGAGTACTGAGTAAAGATCCAGCATCAAAAACCTCGATCTTTGATCTCGATCTGACCTCCCAAGTGGAGTCCTCACCGGGCGGCTACTGAGACTGGAATCCAGGCCGTTGGTCCCTCTATCCGGGGCTCTGGAACTCTTCCGGACTTTGCATTCTGGACCCCACGCAGGCCGAGGCCTACTCTCTTCTTATCATCAGGGATCTCGCAACCGAGGGACATGGCGAACCCTCTGAACTTCTCCATGGGCTATCATCGCGATGACCAGGCTCGCGATGAAGATGAAAATGCCCAGATTTCTCACGATCCCTCCTTGATGAACTTCGGCAACAGTTATGCCTTTAACACCCTGCTATCCCAGAACGATGACCTGTCCTTGCCGTCCTTCGACCGGACCGGACCCCAGGCCGACCTGGAGGGTCGTCTGTCCAACGTCATGTTGACCTACGATACCGACCCCAGTGGCGGGGTCTCCCTGCCGCTGAGCCTGGACGGAGTGAACGCCTTCGCCTTCGACGCACCCACCACCTACCCCGCGACATCCCTGGGACTTGCCACCGCGCTAGATCACTCTCACCTTCACAACTTCTCCCCCTTTATGCAGACGCTGCCACAGGCGGGCCAGTATCTTCAGCAACCGAATGTTCTTGCGACCCACAAGGATAACTACAAGACCGGTCCCAACTCGACGGGAAGCTTGGAGGATACCGATTTTGAGCGAGCGCGTAAACCGTCTCAGGCATCTGCCCAGCGCACCACCCAGGAGCAGCACTTCCCACAATATGCACAGCAGGCGCCGTACCGGCCACCGCAGCCGGTGGCCATCCAACCCAAGAAGCCCGCCGTCATTAAAGGTAAGCGAGGTGCCCGGGATTGAGACTTGGCCGTTTCCTTGCCCCAGGCTAACACATATCCCACCCGTCAGAAGCACATTCCCCAGGGCTGTCAACGCCCGATGCTAGCTCGACAGAGCACACTGGCATCTACTCAAACAGTGGTTTCGATATCCTTGGAGTTCTCGTACGTCATCTGGTGATGTTCAGCACGTGACATGGAGTCTTAACGTCTTCTGTAGAGCCGAGTGGTTATGCGATCCAACCCCAAGATCAACATCGGGGCGGTTGATCTCTCCTGCGCCTTTGTGCTATGTGACATCACACGGGAGGATCAACCGATTGTCTACATCTCCGATGCCTTTGAGCGCCTGACGGGATATACTAAAGATGAAATTGTCGGCAAGAACTGTCGATTCCTCCAGGATCCTTATGGTCAGATTCAGCCTGGAATGAAGCGGTCCTTCGTCGATGGACAGACTGTGTACCGCCTGCGATCGACCATTGATGATCGCAGTGAAATTCAGGCCAGCATCATCAATTATCGCAAAGGTGGACAGCCTTTTATGAATCTCATCACCATGATTCCTATTCAGTGGAACTCGGAGGACTGTCGATTTTACGTTGGGTTCCAAGTTGATCTGGTCGAGAAACCCGACGCCGTCACAAGGAGAAATCCTGGTATGTGAGCTGCGTTGTTCGTTACCCGGGATTTTTGTACTGATTCCTATCTAGACGGCACATATAGCATCAACTACCAGCGCGACCAGCTACCACAATATATGGTGCCGCCGCCAGATGTGTACAGATTACGGCCCGATCTGATTACTCGGTTTGGCCACGACGAGGTCACTGCTATCCTGAATGCAGTAGGTGTGCCAGGCTCCGGAGTGTCACGACAGTATCTGGACCGGATTCTCGTTGAAAACGCTGACGACGTGATACACGTGCTGTCCTTCAACGGTGAATTCTTGTATTTATCGCCATCATGCCGAAGGATCTTGGAATTCGACCCGATCGAGCTGGTTGGCAAGACTCTGTCCACTATCTGTCATCCAAGTGACATTGGACCGGTGATCCGCGACATGCGGGCCAGCACGACCCCGGCACCCCTCAGCGTGGTGTACCGTATTCGTCAAAAGTATCAGGGATACATGTGGTTTGAGAGCCACGGTGCATGGCACATCGATCCCCAACAGGGCCGCCGTTATCTTGTCATGACTGGCCGCCCGCGCCCAGTGTACTCACTGGACCAAATTGCCCGTCTGGGATCTTCTGCTGCCCTGGCTGAAAATGATGTCTGGGCCAAGATCTCTTTGTCAGGCGTGATTCTCTTTGTGACTTCCAAGTCGAAGCCAGTCCTGGGGCGTGCACCTGAGGATTTGATTGGCAAGGGTATTCAGGAACTCATGGAGCCAGACGACGACCCTAACGCCATCACTGATGCCCTAGAGGCAGCCGCCAGTGAAAAAGCCCAAAAGTATAAGCCCGACGACCCTCCATCATTCCGACACCAGATGCGGCACAAGAAGGGCCACGCACTGTCTGCGCACACCACCTTGTACGCGGGGGATGGGGTGAACGGGAGCCGACCTTCGTTCCTTGTCGCTCAAATTCGATTTGCACGAACTTTCCCTCCTAGCTCTGCTGCCGTATCTGCTGCCGTATCTGCTGCCGTATCTGCTGCCGAGGACGACGACGTGGCCCTCGTGCCCGGCACAGCTAAGCGGACTACCGCAGACCCCAACCCGCCTGGTCAACATGCTGCCCTCGGGCAAAAAGTATCTCGTCTCTCCACCCTCGTTGGCCTGAACGGATTACCCACCGGGAATCGCAGCCTCTCGCCTTCAGATGTACCTGCCACACTCTTCACCGAGTTGAATCCCACGCGCGCCTCTAATTGGCAGATTGAATTACGAGAGCTAGAGAAGCAAAATCGAACTCTGGCCGAAGAGTTACAGCGACTTCTGAGCCGACGTAAGAAGCGCAAGCGCAAGCAGAGCGCCATCTCCGTGGAAAAGGCTTGTGCCATGTGCGGGACCAAGAATACTCCCGAGTGGCGACGAGGTCCCAGTGGCAATCGCGATCTTTGCAACAGCTGCGGGCTGCGATGGGCAAAACAAAATCGTGGGCAGCCTCGGCCTGCTGCACCGGCGACTGCACAAGTAATTGCACGATGATGAAATGCTTGATCGGGATTCCGGACATATCATTTGGCGGCTTTGATGATTACGGGTCTGTTGTCGATACCCTTCATTTGGAGCCATGGTTTCAAGCGCCTGATTTCAATTTTCAGGGGTTATATCGGTTTACTCACCAGGATGTTCTTCCAGGAAGCATTGTTTCTTCCTACATCTCCCTTTTTTTTTTTTTTCCTTTTTTTTTTCCCTCCCCTATCAAAACACTCCATTCTATGATTCGCTTTGTGTAAATGACATTTTGTCTATGTTGGCCATTTAATATCATACACCACCCTCTATCAATGAATACTATACAAAGGGGCCTTTCCAGGCCTTTTCTCCTCACAGAATGCGGGTTTTCCCCGTCCTACTCTTCACCTCCCCTTCTCGAACATCTAACCATCTCTCCAACCACTTCCTCTCTGCTCGCTCTACCTTCCCTCCCGTATACAAAGCCGCGACATCGCCAGCCCCCCCTCTCATCCAACGCAATTCGCACCTCGGCAGCACTTAACTTGCTCACACCTCCACCAGCCCTGATCATCCCATCATCAATCCCCAAATACTCCACATGCCTCTCCAACCTGGTCCGATAAAGAAGTCCCACCAGCGCCCTCCCCCCCAAGCCTCTCATGACTCTTGACCAGTCCAAAGACAGCACAAGCCCTCAAAACCGCATCTTGGTCCGCTTCCTTCACCCAACGCGGGCTCGCAAACTCGGCAAGAACCCTCATCTCCTCCCCACTGCCCACAGAAATGGAATTCACCACCTCCGCCTCAATTGCACGCGCATGGGCCCTCATCGCCGCGGTCTTCCTCTTCGACGCTCCATCCCGCTCCTTGGCAACCTGCCCTGGCACACGACAAGTCGCCGGCGTGATAGCTGAACCAAAGAGCGGAATAATCAAAGGAGTGAATTCCCCACAGATAATCAGAACCAAAGTAAAAGGAATCATCTTTCGCACGTCGCGAGCCGAGCGGACGACGAGTTGATATTGACCTCTTCCCATGTCGATTCCCTTATGCGTACTGTCCTTGGAGGTTCTGCGGGGTGGCGAGATTGGAATATACGCCGGTAATCCCAGCGAAGCGCGTAGAGGTAAAGAAGCGCGGTAATTGCGGTAGACGTTCTTCAAGCCTGTTTTGTAGAAGGCGAGGTATGCGCGGCCAATGGTCACGAGGCGCTTGAGTTTGTCTGCTGTTTGGGCGTTGGCGGGGAGGACGGTCGGTAGATCGAGCGGAGCGGGCAAAGTGCTAGGTGGTGCGTTGATTTGGGTCACTGGGGGTGTTGTCACGGTGGTTGCGTCTTGCTTTGCAGATGAGGCCGCGGAGGTGGAGAAGAGACGAGGAATTGTAGAGGGGAGACGGGGGTGCAATTGCCGTTGCATGTTCAAGGCGTTGAATTGGGATAGGGCGCGTGTGCCCTGTGTTATGGAGGACATGATCCTTGTGCTCATCGAGGGAGAGATTGGAGGAGAGCTGGAACGCGGAATTTCAGGTTTCGAGGAATTGGCGTCAGGGCCGAGGTCGACACCTGAGGGACACCTGGACACCTGCCATCTGAGGCAGAACACAAGGATTTTTAAGCTGCTTCAAATACAATTTTTTGAATTACTTTTTTGCATCACTAGGTACTTGAGGATAGTCTTGAGAATTCTCACAGGCACATAGAAATGACTTTCTCCCATTCATGGCTTCTTTCCTTTGGAGAAAGACGGCTTTTGTACTAATTATGTACTATCATATCAAAATATAGACCATCTTCCCCGCACGACTACAGATCCACCTTTACAGCAATCATCTTCTCCGACAAGAACCCAGTTACAAACAACCAGGCCTTCTTCTGACCCTGCTCCGGCTCAAGAGGAACCAAGACCGCCGCACTAGCCGAGCGAATGCGCGAACCATCATCTTCAAATAACAGCTTCTTCTCCCAACCATCACCCTTGGGCCGCGCATACCAGACTTGAGATGATTCAGTCGCGTCGGGGTCCTTGGCAGTCTTCGCCAGGTAGAGACCCTGCGTCACACCCGCCACAACATAACCACTCGCGTCGTCGGTATCAGTGCGATGCGGATCCGCAAAGAAGCTAGGATTATCTGTGACGGTATCGAAGGGCACAGTTGACTTGATCGAGATTGTGTGATTCGGATGACGTGTGGAGACATATAACTCGCCACCCATGGCACTCGAAATCACAATTTCGTCTTCGGTGCGGCCATGGCCGAGACCATTGTTGTTCCACAGACCAGAATGTGCGACCGAGGCCTCGAGCCCTGCAGAGTCCTTGGCCTGGAGGTCCGTGAGCTGGACGTGAATCACAGTCGACCACTGAGCGGAGGGCCAGAGGTCCTCAATCAGGCGCATGTGTCCATCACGGTAGAAGTGGTCATTGGTGACATAGACCGAATTGGGGCTGTCGGCATAGACGTCATTGGGAGTCTCAATGAGCGGGTGCCAGATGGAACGGACATGCTGCACCGTCTTGGACTCCAACACATGATGGAATAGTTCGATTTGCGAGCGGGCCTGGGGAATATCATCGGCGCCCGCGGCTAGCCCGCGGTCCGGGTTTGGCAGGTGGTTCACGGCAAAGATGTAGACGGCGTCGGCCTGCTTGGGATCCGCGATAACATCGATCCCATGGGTGACAAAGGGTCCGTCAAAGTTTTCGAATTCCAGACGGGACGACTTCATTGTCTGAAGTGATAACCATGTTTAACCAAGAAAGAGAAAGGGAGGGAGAGAGAGAGGGCCCGACAACAAACTCACCGTGGGATTCACAACATGAATTGACCCCCGCGCCTCAGGCACCGGGGTCAAATGTGCCAGTGGGGGAAACCAGTCAAAACGGGTGCTTTTGGAGTCTTCGCATGCCGTAAAGAGTAAGTTCTCGGGGCGATAGTGGTGAACATCCTCACAGTGGACGGTGTCCTCAATGTAGATCGGACCCTGTCCTTCCGCTAGCACAGTGGGATTCGGAGTCAGAAAGAGACCACCAATCCTGATGACATGATTTCCCCAGGGAATTAGAATGGTCGCGAGGGCGGCGAATAGACTGAACCCGAAAGCCGAGGAGAGGAAGCCCATGGTGAAGAGCTATATACCTATACCTATGGGCGAGGTTGTTGAAAGGAAAGAGAGAATGTGGAGACAAAAAAAAAAAGCTCGGTTGTCCAGAATAAAAGCTCCATTGGCAATGATCGAGAATGTGAACTTGACCTCGGTTTTGGAGCACAAGAGCAAGCTTCGTCATTGCCGACGCGGGGAAAATTGTGGAGACCGAAGCGGGTCCTTGGGTGGACTTCGCAATGGAGTCGCGAGGGGTCGTTGGAGACGATGTGGAACATGGTGATGTCGACGGATCCTCTCACATTTCCATCTTGAGGCGGCGTTATGTGAAGGGAAAAGGCGGGTTTTGTATCCTCCATGGATGGGGTTGTAGAGATTTATATTAGTCCGATAAAGCATCAAGCACTCTTCACTCTTAGTATCGTATCTCTGGAGACTGGGCGCTAGGGCATACGACACCCCCTGAAGTCTCACTAAATCAACAAGCATAACAAGTATTATTCAGCATGTTTCGGGCGTGAAATGATCGGGTTAGTGACCTTTGGCTGATACAAAGTGTAGCTGCCCTAGAGTGGAAACACCGTCACCACGGGCTTCTCGGCCTCCGAAATAGCCGAGAAGCCCTGCGAAGAGGCAGATTAGGTTCGTCGGGGTCTATAAAGACAGGGGCGGACTTTGCTGAGATTGTGAAACGTCTACAGGGTGAGAGCCATATCCTATGTCTTCCCACGAGCTGCCGAGATGTATCTAAACCTAAGTCACTACCTGTGAGGTATAAAGATCAACATCACCACGCTTTGGGAGCCGCCTTGTCATTGCGATCAGCCCCACCGAGGTAAATAACAGAATCCCTGATGAGGTTTCGCGCATCTAGTAGATCGAGAGGCTGGGAGTCCTCTTATCCGTTTCTACAATGAACATGAGATACGGAAATCGAAGCAGCAATGCATTGAATATCCTAAGCAAGATGCACATCTTTTTTCTCGTTTTGCTCGATTTTGAGAAGCGCCGAGGCAAAGTCCGTCGGGCCTCGACGAAAGGAAAAAAAAAAAAAAAAAGTGGAAAAATAGAGAGAGACAGTGAGACAAGATGATGTCATCAAATTCAAGGATACAAAGTCATTAATTGGCCATGGCAGAAGTGGCCAATATGTCAAAAAGAAAGAAGAGTCAAGTGCGATCCGAAAGTTTCCCAGAGTGCAAATTCCCATTCCATTTCGTGTAGGTCGTTGTCGAGACAGTCGCCTAGTGGGTGGACTGCTTGGCATCAAGATATTCCTGATCGCTGGCATCGAGGACATCATACTCCTCGTCGGTGAGGAAGCCGGCGTCGGTACTGACCTCTTCTAGGGCAAGACTTTCCATGTCGTCGTCCTCGCAAGCGCTTGATACAGTGGGAGCGTGGTGAGAGGGCATGGCGGCCTCGTGGGTACTGGACTCGGGGGACTCTTTCTCGAGCTTGGGGAAGATCATGTGGCTACCAACAGGTTCGTCGACAGTGGACCGAGACTTCTCGGAATCGTCGTTGGGAGTAGGCTCAGTCTCGACATCCGAGCTGGAGCTAGAGATGGCAGCTTGCACCTGAATGTCACACCAAAGTCGGTGACCAATTGCCTCTCCGTTGGGGAGTTTCAGGCGCCAGTAAGAAATGGCAGTGCCTTCACGACTGGAAGTTCGGAGGGTCACGGTGAAGTCGGCACTTTGACCAGCCTCGATGGGTGCTTCCAGTTTGTTGCTCTCCATGGCAGCGCGGATTGACTCCACGCTTGACGGGTTACGAGAATCAACGTTGAACATGGTATCGCCGCCAACAAAGCGGACGTCACTACCTTCCGGCCAAGCGTTGGGCCCGGGGTTGTAGAGGGTCCATGTCTGTCGGAACAAGGTGTTGGGAGGCATTTTGGTACCATCCGGAATAGCATCACGGACAAAGTAAGCTTGGAAGCCGCCACTCTCGCCTTTAGCAGGGGATGGCTCGTATGTGGTGGGCTCCAAGGCGACTGGCGCAACTTCAACCTTGGCCTCCTCTGGCTTGCTGGGCTTGCTGACCTCCACCTCAACAGGTTCCTGGACAACAGCGGGCTTTTCGGGCAATTCATCAACAGTCGTGGTGGCCTCAGAGCGAGAGCGAGCCGAGGCATCATCACCCAGTGCGACAGCGCCGTGGGCACCATCATCGCTCACAGTGCTCACAGTCACAGTGCGCACGGGAGTCTTGAACTTGACCAAGGGTGAGTCTGATTATGGTCATGAGTGGGCAATGCCTCACAGCTGGCGCAGAAATCGACATCGTCACAGACGGCGCACTTGTAGCGCACCCCGGAGATGTAGCTCTGGGCGGGCTTGTTCCTGCAGAGAGGCCCATCACAGAAGATACCAAAGTGCACAGAGTGCGCGCCAGGGTGCTCACTGATAGCTTCATAAATAGGAACAAATCGGTGACCAGGATGATCCTTGGGGGCAGTTGCGATGCAGTCACGGCAGTAATCCCAATCGGGGCAGGAAAGACACTTGTGGCGGGTGCCAACAATACGATTGTCACAGCCATCACAAATGGCAGCGTGCTTGAACTGGCGGCCAGGAAGGCAGCGAGACACGATCAAGTTCTTCAAGCAGAAGTTGCGGTCCGAGCCGAGCGAGAAGGTATGAGCAGGGTGGTGACCATGCTTGTTTCTCAACAGGCAGCGAAGGCACAGGTCATAGTCCTCGCAGTCATTGCAGCGGACCAGGTTGCTTTCATCGGCTTCTGGATAACAACGTTAGCTGGATCAGAGAGTGCATAGAAGGAGGAAGTACGGACCACGGCAGCACCCATTGCACATGGGCTTCTCATCTCCCTGGTTTGCAGTATCCGAGCTAATAACTTCGGCTGGAGGGAGAGTGGCCGGCATCTCCGGGACGTTCTCAGCAAGCCCAGGAATGAGCTCGGGAGTAGGCTCAGGTACATGCTGCACTTGAACGGGGGCGGGCTTGATGACTCGCTCCTGCACCCTACGAGGGGGGATTTTCTCGGTTGTGCTGTTGGTAACAACGCCATTGATGACCACACGCTTGATCAACCAGTGACCTTCACCATGGCACGAGGCGCCATCATCAACACACTGTAGACACAGATCATAGTCTCCATGCTCACAGATGCTGCAGTGATAGTGTTCGTTGGCAATGGAGTGACCACAGTTGTTGCAGTCGATGCAGAACATCCCACCAGGGGAGTTGTGAGAGATGATGGGAAAGCGAAGTTTGTCCTGCTCCATCTCGAAGTCCCGGTAGCGCGGCTGACCGATGGGTAGCGTGACCTGGGGGTCTGTGGATCCACCAGCGAGAACAGGGGTAGCTTCAGAAGAGATAGTGAGAGATTCAGGGTGAGCAACGGGGATAGGGGAGCTCAGAACGGTATCGAGATAGCTCGTTCTCGAAGGAAGCATCTGGTTGGTCGACTCCACCGGAACGGCGGTGTCGATGGTCGGGGCCGAGGGGTCGACCGTGCTGGCTCTGATGCGAAGCTTGGACTTGGCTTTGGCAGCTCGGAAAAGTTGCTTGTAGACGGCAGCGTTGTCGCAGTCAAGGTGGATATAAGAGCCGGCGCTATCGGAGTAACGTTCTAGGATGACGTTGACATCCGCCGGAACGTTAAGGAGCACGCGGAGCTGAACCCGACGTAACAGTAAGTTATCAAGGACAAGACTCAAGTTGAGGAAAATGGTCAGAGGTCAAAGGAAACAGCGTGACCGAGATGGCCGAGCCGATTATTTTGATAAGAGATTGGGGGGCGGACACGAGATCCGGTCGGGAGCTCGGGTGGAGACTCTTACCTTCTGGGGAAGACCTGCGCCTTGAGGTCTCTCAGCGGTAACTTGAATCGCCGATTGCTGTCATTGTAGAGTACTTTCACTGTCACCAGTTGTTCTGGGACTGGATGAGTGGGAAAGGCTGGGGTCGCCATGGTGTTGGAGATTTGGGAACTGGGCCAGCAGTAACAAGTTGGAGAGATAAGAAAGGTTGGGGGGGAGCGGATAACTGAAATATGGAGTGACAGAGGAGAGTAAGGGAGCAGAAAGGGGGGATAGGGGGGTTTTATTATGAAGATGAAGTTGATGAGAAATACAGTGTGGGAAGCAGAAGTGAATGGAGTAGATGAAGTAGATGAAGTAGATGAACTGGGAGATCAGACGCTTGGACGTGTTGTACAGCTAGTCAGCTGGTGTGGCTTAGGTAATGTGGGCTGAAGCAAGTTCCGTTCACACAGTGGCAGGTATTGGACCCAGCTCACTGGTGTGCAAAAAGTGGTGATGCACAAGCAATGGGAAATGAGCAAATAATTCAAAAATAAAACCCATGAAGAAACCAGCCGAATATCGAAAAGAGGATTAAAAGAAGTCGGCAGGTTAAAGGGTGCCCGAATTGCTCCATTTTCGTACGCCTGTATAGTACATTCTCACCACTACGGAGGACATGGGCCTACTTTTATCACTCCTACAAAGAACCAGGAATTATTACGTTATATTTCGGTCGTACTTTTGATTTCGTAGCCCGCGAGAAACAAGATGAAGTCATGCAGAGCCTAGATTCATGCAAAGTGATCCAAGTGCCAGTGATGTGGGGGGCTTTTTTGCGGGGACATGAGGAGGGAACAACGCTCAAATGCATCCAAATCCAAGTCTAACCATGAAGGAAAGAATCGCAGAAAAAAAACACAAAAAAAAGAAAGAAGAAAGGAAGAATTAGAGGGGTTAAGGAAAAAAAAAAGGTGAAAGTGAAAAAAAAAATATTGGCAATCATCAAACGGAGGGAAATCCAAACGTTGCGTTCACTGTCCGTAGTACATTCCCCCGGCTCCAGGTGGCTGTTGGTAGTAATACGTAGGGCCGGGAGGAGTCATCATGCCCCCCATCCCCATCACACCCCCGGCTCCCGACCCTGTCGCTCCGTAGTTGGGGTTCGAATACACTTGGCCCGGTTGGTAGAAATAAACTGTGCCTCCAGCCTCGTGAGCTACGGTATCGGCCTGCGAGGGTTGCTCGCCGGCGTACGGCATCGCCTGCTGACCGGGGTTGAAGTTTGGAACAGAGGTACCAGGGCCCATAGGTCCGTTGTAAGCGGGATATTCAGACCCAGAGTTTCCATAGTACATGTTGCTGGGTTGATAGCTTGGGTAGAACCCTGGCTGCTGGGGGTAGCCGTACGGCTGGAAAGGCTGAGCATGAATCGCCCGTTCGGGAATTTGAGAGAGCGGAGTTCCTGAAGCCTGGCTAGGCGGGCCACGGACAACTGGGTCTTGAGCAGGGACAGGCCCTGGAACTTGGTGATGGAATGGTTGCTCCTGCTGAGGCTGCGGTGGATTGAAGGGGAATGCTGCTGGACTTTCGATGTCCGCCACGGAGACGGCTTTCTGAGGGCGAGGTTGATGCATCGGGATTGGGCCAGCGCGGCTTTGATACATAGGCTGCATCGGTCCCATCGGTGGCATCGGTGGGACTTGGGGCATCATAGCGCCAGGCCCCATGGGCGGAATGCCGACTGGGGGGCGTGGTGGAGGTGGCAGGCGAACAACAGGTTTGCCAGCATCGGGTGGGACCATGACTGGCCGGGAGTAGACTGAGCCCGCGGGTGATGGGTATCCATCTTGAGATGCGGGCATACCAAGAGATGACCGACGGCTCAGAACACTCGGAGTATAAGTATTGGAATAATAACTTGGTCGTCTTCCACTGTAGAATCCACCTCCGCGACCGCGGCCGCGGTAGCCTTGCTGGTTGGGTCTTAATGCGCGGGGGATAAAGATGAATGAACGCTCAGTAGACGGGAAGATATAACGAGGAGATTGACCGGGAAGTGAGATTCGCACCGGCTTATCGCGGCGCAGAGGAGGACGATGTTGAGGGAGCCGGGTATGTTTCTTGAGCATGACGGGGAACGGCTTTTCCTGTGCCATGCCCGGTAAGAATACACGGACAGACACATTTCCCATCAAAGTTGTGCTAGAAAAGGATCGATTCGGCGGTGTAGATCGGGGAGCAGTCGGGACTGTTGTCGAAGGTTGAGGTGCTGTGGACGGGGATGGTTGTTTCGGCGCGGGCTTTTCATCGCCAGCCACGGTATCGTGAAGATCGTGTGCCCAGAGCCCTTCACTTGCATCGGGTTTCGCAGAATTTCTTTGATTCGTTAGCAAGATTGACCGAGAACAGAGTTGGCTAGAACGATACCTGCGAGCATTCCCATCTACAATAAGACCGACCGGCCTCGACTTGCCCTTGTTGAAGGTACGACCGTTCCCCCTTCATTCGTCCGCTTGTCGTGAAGGAAGAAGCTGCCGCGGGTTGGCACGAAAGCCGGGTTCTGGCCTCGTTCCTTCACGTATTTCTCGTGCTCGCGGCGCTTCTTCGCAGTCAAAGGTTCCCGCTTCGGCTCGGTAGGCGGGGCCGACGGGGTGCGGCCAGTCTGGAGCTTTCGACCTTCCTCCATCTGGTCGAAGTGGACTTCCTCGTCAGGTTGGCCAGAGATTTTTAGTCCTTTCATCATCGCCTCAGTGTCTGATACCGTTGTCTTCAGTCCTGGCTTTCTTGGCGATGTGGAGTTGCGTCGAGGCCGACCTGGTTTACGCCCATTCACCTGGCCACCGTTGACTTTCCCCGGCTCTGCCGTTGTCGCAGTATCGTGGTCGCTCTCGCTGCCCTCCCCATCGGCATCCTCATCCTGACGACTATCTGCTGACCCTTCACTCAGAGAGTCATCTTCGATATCGCCGGCCAGCGAGCCCTCGTCCTCGCCCTCATCTTCCCTTCTCTTCCTACGGCTAGCACCGATGTGGCGTCGAGGAGGAGCCATAAGTGATATGTATGAGGGGGCCTGCTAGGAATAGCCGAGGAAATACCCTGCAGGAGGGCGAGTGTTGGAGCCAGCCAACTGGGGAAGGGGCAAGGCAGGAAGTGCGGGCGACGGCAAGCCTATGTTTCAACAAGGACCAAGGTCAAAAAAGGGCAAATAATGGACAAAATGGGTGTAAGGAAGAGAAAGAGCCACCTTGTGTAGCTGGAATCGAGGTGACTCGGATCGAAGAAAAGAAAAAGAGCAAGGGGGAAAGGTAGAAGAAGGAGTAGGATGAGAAGTAACGAGGCCTTTCGAGACCTGAAATGACATCGCAAAGAGACGTCACACCCAATCAGGCTAGTGTTGGGCGGTGTGACGGTTCTGCCCATTCTTGTCGATCTCAACAGTGTTTCCGCTCCTCTATACTTCAAACTGCTATTTGCATTACACTGCTCCGTACCATTGCAAGAAAATTGAGTCGTTATTTTTTCACAGTATGGAAATAGTATTCTCCCATACGGGTACGCTCTGCAGCAAATGGATGCAGAGTGGATCTAAAATCGGTGCATGCGTCACCCTTGATTGATAACGCCATACACAAAATTCATCAAAACATGTACAAGTCGGGGTATCGGTGGACCGAATAGTGGCCCAAAGTGGCCCAGATTGGGCTTCCTCGATGTCTATGCCACGTCAACATAGCTGCAGATATAGTAGATCACTGCTAGAGACCCATAAACATCCCTAGGTGTCCGTAGATCTGCTGCACAGAACCGGCAATCGATTATATTGCAGCGAGCACATGGAGGGAGCCGTCTTCGATTCGATGAGGTCGAAAATGGGAAACCTTTCTAGTCGAATGTTGTTTTCTTGCCCTGGGACTCGACAATGGCACCGCTGAGCTTTTGCACGGTCTCCTTGGAGTAACGGGAATCGTCAATTTCCTGTCGTCTGGGCTTCCTGACATAAGCTTGACCCTCAGACTCGCCATTCTCTTCATCATTATCGGTGCGAGGCCTGTCCTTGCCAAAGCGCTTGTTGTAGCGTGTTGTCGCATCCTCTGCAAACTCCATTCTCAGACGACGGCCTAGGAACATGTTCACCCATACTCGATGCTGTCTGGGCTTCCTGAACTTCTTCTTGTTCTTCCTCTTCTTCTCAGAGTCAAAGTCAAATTCAAGTTCAGAGCCCGAGTCCGAGTCCGAGTCAGATTCCTCCTCTTCTTCCTCAGTGACCAAGACATAGCCTCTCACCGCTGCTTCCGCGTGGGCAATTTCTTCGAACTCCACCCAAGCATAACCCTTGCATTTTCCTGTATCCTGGAAAGTTGCAATGTGCACACTTTCCACGGTTCCGCATGGAGCGAAATGTTCCTCGAGGGCTTCCTTGGTGGCGTCGAAACTCAGATTACCAACGAAAATTCGGCGAGAGGGAGGATGGCCCGATTTCGAAACAGGGCCTGCATTGCTCTGGCTCTCAGACTTTTCGGGACGTCCCTCGAAGCTTTTTGCGTCCTTGATCAGCACACGACGGCCAGTCAAAAGCTGCTCACTCAGGCCCATTGCTTCTTTCAAGGCCTTTTCAGTCGAGAAATCCACGTAGGCGAAGCCCCGGTTCTGGGATCTTCCGAACTTTTCAGGGCCTTTAGGAAGGTGAATGCGAGTGATGGTAGCATCGGTAAATGTGCAGTTGCTGACGAAGAAGTTACGGATATCGTCCTTGCTCGTCTGGAAGGCCAAGTTGCCGATCCAGATGCCGTAGTCAGAGCGTTTCTCCGCGGCAGACTCCGTCTTCTTGGACTCGGGCTTTTCGGATTTCGGCTTGTCGTCGTCAGTAGTAGAGGCGTGCTTCGTTTTCTTGGCTTTGCGCAGAGCCTTCTTAGATGCGGGCTCAGGCGCATTCACGTCGATCTCTAATTCGGGGCCATCTTGCAGCTTGCGCTTCTTGTCCTTCTTCTCAGCCCTGTCCGTCTTCTCAGCCTTGTCCGTCTTCTCAGCCTTGTCCGTCTGCTCAGCCTTGTCCGTCTGCTCAGCCTTTTCTTTCTTTTCCTTCTTTTCCTTTTTCCCCCTCTTTTCCTTCTTGTCGACCTTTTCGACCTTTTCGACCTCGTCGATATATTCACCCATGATTTCGATTGATGTTGCAGCAGCAACAGAGAAATTTCCGGAAATTCGAGAGGTGGTGGGAAGTAAGTCAAGCAAAGAAGAAGAGCATTGACTTTGCAATAATTTTTTACGGCGACCGGAAACTACCCATCGCGCAGGGCTTGGCGCGCCTTGACTTCTCCGACTCCTCTTCCATTGGGGCTTCCATCTCCCCCTTCACATCTGAATTCTTCAACCATGGCACAAGAATCTAAAACGATGGCTTCTGAGACCCTGCCTGATGCCCCAACAACCACCGCTGCTAAGCAGTCGGTGCGCTCTTTCAAGTACGATGCCCTCCGATACCTCCTAGCTGGTGGCCGAGCTTTAGCTAACAGTATCTTAGAAAGAAATATGCGAAGATGAAGGTCAAATTTGAGCTAGGAACCCGAGAGAGTGAGAATCTTATCCGGGAAGAGCTGCGGATTGAGGATCTATCCAAGCGCATACAGGAACAGAACGAGTACGTCCTATCCTCTTCTCGAAACCTCCAGCCATTTGGACCATCACTGATTCATATCCAGTCAATTGCTCGAAGTCCTGCTTGAGTTTAACGAGAGTATTCACGTTTCCCCTACCATGCGTTTCGATCTGAACATGCCCGGCGACATCCCTTTCCTTCCCGCGTCAGAGCAAGAGATCGCGCCCCTGGTCAATGACGCGACCCTGGCTAGAACCGCATTGAAGGAAGCCAAGGCGGAACTTGCAGGAGGCAATCTTTCAGCGAGCGCCTTCCGTCAAGTCGAACAAAGCATCAAGCGAAATAAAGAGTTTGCCCCATCCATGCAGTACAGCAACCTCAAACAGGTCCCACACACCAGCCCTAGTGCTCCAGACCAAGAGAAGGGAACCGGTGCAGCCGAACGCAAGCTTGGATACTTCACCCCAGAACATGAGACCGAATACTATCTAGCTTTGGACGCGAAGCTTGGCGATGAAGCCGCCGCATTGCAGCTAGAGCGCGTCCCGGACCCGCCCACATTTGCTGAACGGGAACGAGATGCTTCCATCCGAAACCCAGCGTCAGTATACAACTGGCTACGACGGAACCAACCCCAGACTCTACAAGATCACGAGGTCGCTTCCGAGAAGTCTGCATCCCGTCCATCAAATCAACGAGCATCAAAGCGAGCACCTGCACAACGTAAAGAGGAAGACAAGGAAATCTTAGATGAGGATGGGGCGGATGCGGAACCCACGCCCAAGAACAAGCGCAAGCGTGACGAAGATACGGGATACCGGCCCAAGGGCGGTAGCAGTCGACCAAAGAAAAAGAAGGAAGAGTCGACGCCTACTGCCAATCGCAATGTTAAAAAGGCTTGAAATTGAGCATGAACGTTATTCCAAGTTTTTGCTTTTCATTTGATGTATTATTATGGCATTTGGGACTACCTACACGGCTGCATGGGAATAGTATACCGGTTCACTGAGAAATTTCATGATTCAATTGTTCTCGATATTCTGGAGAGACATGCAATCTCCATGACCATTTAGCAAGACAACCACGACCTGGAAAATTTCCCACTCGATGTCGTCAATTCTAGATTACCGTTTGCTCTACTATTCGCAGTCTCTTCTCTTGAATCGGAAGAAGCTCATAGTTCAATCGTGGAAGACTTACAGTCACAAAGGATCACTTGGAGAGAATCGTATTCTAATAGGTTTGAATCATCGAGGTTGTTCATCCTTATTAGGAAAAGCGCGAAATTATACAGATGAAGGTCGCTGCGGGTCACAGCCAAGTCTCTCTTCCCAATTGACCGTATTACACTTCCAACAGCACCAATGCTACAAAAACATCGACACTGATCATTGTGTCGAATTCTCCATCAGGAGTTGAGTTCCTTCCAGCCAGCCAGAAGATTCAGCCATATCCAGAACCGTCTGGCCCGTCTCATCCTTCTCAGCAAGGTCAACACGACCACCCCCTTCAATCAATAATTGCAGCAGCCGAAGATCACGATTCTCGATAGCTTGCATGATGGCGTTCCAATCACGATAGCACGTATTCGGGTCCGCTCCTTTATCGAGTAGTAACTTGATCATGGAAAAGTCACCGTCGTCGCATCGACGAATCGCCTTGACTAGCGGCAAATGTTCACCGGGAGCATTGGGATCGGCACCAGCTTGAAATGCACAATGTCCGAGTGGCGTTCGCGCAGCGCTGTTGTTAGTGGCGAGAACACGCCGCCGTTCTTCCATTCTACATTGGCGCCGGCCGCTAGTAGCAACTTGATATTTTCTAGTTGATTCGCTTGTACTGCCTTCTCAATGACACCCTTGTGCGCGGCTAGATCGGTGATGGAGGGTAGTAGGAGCTGCATCAAAGTCGGTGACTTAGTCGCCATATACACGGGCCAGCCTTGGCCGCGGAGGTTGGGATCGGCGCCATGCGCTAGCAGCCATTCCAAAATCTCCGGACGGTTCTCGCGGATCGCGGTAGTCAGAGCCATGTGGCCTTGGGCGTTGCGGTCGTTTGGATTGGCCTTTCTTTGCTCCACGAGCCAGTGCATAGCCTCCATGTTGTTCAGCTGCACGGCGCATTCGACGATGCCAGGTGGTTGGTGGAGGTCAGCACCTGCCGCCACCAAATCCGGAAGGAAGTGCAGGCGGTTATGAGTGATACATTTCCAAGCTGGGTACTCGGACGCCATCAAATTAGCGTCAGCACCGTGACTTAGAAGCATCGCGATGATATCTGGACGGTCATCGCGGATGGCTGAGCACAATGGCGTGTATATTCCGGTCTTTTTTTTTTGCAATTCGGATCGATACCAGCTTGCAGCAGAACACGGACAGCGTCGATGCTGTTAACGCTTGTCGCTTGCTCCATGAGACCAGGAGCTTTTCGGGTATCAGCGCCGCGCGCGAGCAGGATACGCAGGCAGCCTGGGCGGTAGACCTCGGACCAGAGGGCGTGCTCAGGGCCCGGCAGGTTGGGGTTTGCGTTGTGATCCAATAGGGTTGTGACGATGGCCGGTTGGTCGCTTTGGACCGCTTCGCATAACGCCGTCTTTCCGTGATTGTCTTTGCGGTTGGGGTCGCAACCGGCCTCCAGTAAGACCTCAATGAGTTTCTGCGGTGCCCGTTTGCGGATTGCCTCAATCAGTAATGTTGAGCCATTGCGCGTTGCTTCATTGGGGTTGCCACCATGAGCGAGAAGTGTTTGCGTCAGGTTGACCTTGCTATTGGCCATGGAATAACTCAGAGGTGACTCGAGCTCTGGCTTTGCCCGATAATCCACGTCCGCGCCATGATCCAGCAGAATTATGGCACAGTCCACAAATGACTGCTCGACGGTCAGAAGAAGTGGCGTTTTGCCCAGCGAATCCGGGGTGTTGGGGTTCGCTTTGAAAATTAGCAATAGCCGCATGCTCTCGATGTCACGTTGGGTAACAGCCTCGTTCAGCGGATGAAAGTTCCCATGCTTGTCCGGCGACACCCCGCTCGCTAGTAGCTGCTCGATTAAGCTGTGCTCACGCCCCCGTATAGCGGAGACGAAACTATTTCCAACATTGGGGCCAGTAACAGCTATCGTCTGGCTGAGTTGGGGGCGCAGCAAGGGAAATGCGTCTGGTTTCGACAGAGTGGGCTTGATAAGTAGCCCTAGGTCGAGATCCGTGTCGCTGTCATGCGGCATGCTGGTTTCTGCAGAGGCCGTGGAGATTGACTCGGCTGACCGGGGCGGCAGCAAACGATGGTCGAAGGAGGGGCGAATTCCAGCCTCAGAGCCGGGGTGAGAGCGAAAGAATGTGTTCAGGGAGAGGATGGAGGACATATCATCCGTGATACCATCCGCAACACTTCCAGAATCTTGTTGAGGAGGGTCTTGCTTGGGATCTTCGGCTGGCATATATTTTGGGCTATGAATGATGGATGGTGCTTTCGGGGGCACGGCAGGCGTTGGCCGCATGGAATTGGGCGACTGCCTTTGGGTAGATGGTGGCGAACGGTCAGAGTCGATCGACGGGGTTTTGTTCACGGCCATCACAGACCGGCCTTTGGCTATGCGGTCGAGGGCGGCTGCCAAACTCGCGTACCCTGTTCCCACCGATTCTTCCGGGTGCGCTTCTCCGAGGGACCAGTGGAAGGCCATGCCACTAATTTGAAGAGTTTCGTTGGTCTTCAACGAGTCGTGAATGCGATTGAGTTCATGACCCGGGCGATGCCATCCTCGCTGAATCTTTCCCAGCGTCCCACGGTGCTCATACTGGACGAGTTTCAGAATAACCTTCTCAAGGTGTTGAAAGTCGCGGTATGCAGCGACATATTTCTTCTCCACCTCATCTATGATGACCGCTGGTAGGGCGCGGTTGGCGGCGGCCAATTCAGTCACCCCGACCTCAATGGCCCACAAGGTACGGCAAGTGTCGAGGAAGGTGTGCGAAAGCTCACGAAAGCCATCGGGTAGGTCATGAGTGGTGCTGAGGTAGTTGAGCATATGCACGGAGATCTGGTTCACGAGTTGCGTGGCCAGGGCCGATACCGTTCGGATGGCTTCCTCAGCAGCCATGATGTCAAGACTGAAGGGTTTGCCGTACGAATATGGAGTTGAGAAAGGCAGGGAATGGGGTATGAGTTGCTTAGATCCATCTTGTTTAGCACAGTGGATCTGAGGGGCCAACCGATGTGGCTTCGATAAGCCTCCATTTTCGATCGATTGCCACGCTCATCCCAAGGCGAGACTGCAAGCGGATACAACCGTTGGACAGTCTCAGACAATCGACAGAGACACTCAAATTTGCGATTAGCTTGAAACACCAGACCCAAACACTTGGCGCTTCGGTCCAAATAGTCGAGGTTGGGGGCGTAAGCCGTCTCCGGGCTCTCTCCGCAATTTCATCACGAACTCTACGTGGAGACCCTCCTTGTCGACTGTCCGATCCGAGCTGAAATAGCCCCATATTGTTTCACAGAGGAAAGCATATGCAATGGGACAGAACCAGGGACCTTTGTCCAAAGCAAATCTGAGAGTAGTTATGGGACTATTTTAGCGGCTGAGGTGAACCGTGGTTCGGGCGATCCTGACTCCTATTGTTTGGGCCTCGAGCTGAGCTCGAAAACTCTATTGTCTCTTAGCGCAGGCAAACTTGACTAAATTTTTTCCCTGTGGTTCCTTAGCGTAGTCTTGACTAGAGAATACAAGGATTCGGTGAGATCGAAGACAATTACTCTCAGGCTAGAATCAGCTGTTCATTGGATACATGTAGCGAGCTCCCCGGCCGCAACCTGATTGGCGCCACTATGCGACTCTGGTTAGTCACCCTTTTTAAGGTGGTAACCCTTGTCTAGTATACCTCTTCTGAACTTTTAAGTCGATTTCTGAATCCTTCTGGGTTACAGCTCCGACTATCATATTCTATATCAGGTCAATTTAATGAGACGATTTCCCCTACCCTTTACCCAGCCTAACGAGCACCAATACTGGATCAAATCCCACTTTCTCCAGGTGATGCGAGATAGATGAGGGAGTTTTTCATAATTTTCCATAATTTAGAGTGAATATCCCTAACTTCAATCTAGAGACGCTAGAGGCTCTTACTATCACTACATGGTTTTTACACAGGAGAGCCTTCCTCTCAGCTGGTAGTGAATCGCTTTGTTACAACCCCGAGAGTAGAAATTCTTGTTCGAGTTTCTGCTAAAATCGGAAAAGGCACTCAACGCTCAGGCACCTCGAGAAATTGCATAGTAAGTAACTAAGTAGGAAGTACCCCGAGCCAAAACTAGATGGTGAATACAGTAGGAGAATCATGTCGTCCAGGGAGTTTCAGCCCATCGAGAGCTTTGGTACTGGATCGAGGTCCATCACTCATCAGTGGAGAGCTATATCAAACACAGAATCATGAGATTGAAAGACTAATAAAGAACTATACATATACTTTTGCTGAAATAATTCTTATGTATCTGAAATTGAGAGGGATGTATATCCACCGTGATGAGTAGTAGCATAGAACATTAAATTGATTGATACACAAGCTTGCCTCCAGGGCTAAGAATCTTTGGACTTAAGATAACAAAGCGGGTTTAGGGCAATGTCTCGACCTTGGTTTGTACCTCTCTCGCTTTCAATTCCTCAAGGGTAGGCTTTCTTGCCCACACGCGATTCCTATATATGATTAACATCAGCCAAACCAGCGGCGCGATTCGAAAACTTACCCAGGCTCGTAGGCGTGAATGTGCGGGTCTTTCAACTCCTTGCGCACTTTGGACAGATACACCTGCACTTCCTCCTTGGTCCACGGCTCCGGCTCTCCATAATGAGTGAGAAGCCACATCGCCCAACCCTCGAGAGCGGCATTCCAGTGGGCGAATTGGAGGTGTCCGGCCTCCTTGAGCAACTTATCTTTAGCCCAAGGTCCTAGAGGGATCTTGTAGTTTTCCTCATGTATATCCACAAATCCGGCTTTCTCAATCGCGCTCCGCATTGTTTCATGGGTTCTGAGTGAACTTCCTGCTCGCTCAGAGCATCTGATAAACAAGTTGCCCCACCCCCATAGCTGATGCTCTGGCTTCAAAGTACCATCATCGCTGTAGACTCGCACGTCTAACTCCATCTGCTCGATCCAACCGCCGGGTTCGAGGGCACTGTCCCGAAAGAAACACAATGTTAGGGCTCGATGACTCAGACCGTCAAGTGATGGAAACTACAACTCACTCGTAGGCCTGCTTGTAGACCTGGTCCCATCCACTCGGAGTGAATGCGCCATACATTAGGCGGAGATGGATGAAGTCAAACGACTCTCTCCAGGTCCAGGCGCGAAGCACATCATCCACTTCGAAGACGCAGTTCGGGGGCATCCATGTTACGGGTGGGGGGGTAAATATCGACTCCGCGGACGGTAGCTAGACGGGGTCAGTCTTAAGGAGAGGTCGAGTCGAATAAGAAACCCATTTACCAGTTGGATAGAGATCGGCAACATCACTATGGACTTGTCAGTGGTTCTCTTGACACGAAAGACTCGTTGACATACATTGCCCAATTGCCCTGACCAGTTCCAATGTCCAGAATATTCTAAATTGCTATGTTAGCAGGACGTTTAAGAGACAAATACCTCAGTGTCCCACTCACCTTAGGGTGATCGCCAATAGGGGCTCGGAAAAGCGGATTGGGGTGGTTGTGATCTAGCACGAGAAACACCATATGGCTGAGATTGTTAACATCACAGCGCTTCCAGTAAATAAGACACGTAAAGGAAAAAAAAGAGAGGGATAGGATGCAGATTTACCCAATCTCGAACGCCTCGAACTGCTGCTCGTCCGAAGGACCCCTGGAGCTGGTAAGTCCATGTAAAACATGTTTGATGTATCGTAACTCTACCAATAGTCATCTTCTTTGGTGGCCTGATATCTATATCTCGGGTTAGTCGTAGGACTCGGCCTTGGACTCGAAGTGGACCAACCTTCGGCCATTTTCAATTCGGCCCCTCGCGATCGCGGACGCGATAGAGGTGGTCTCCCTAAGCACATATGCGAGTAAGTATGCGATTAGAGGTATCTTCGTAGGAGCACTCACGACTGGAAGTCCTGCGGTTCCGTGCCATAACCAGTGGCCATAGAGTAGAAATCGGGATCCTAGGCGAGAGGTGAGAGAATGAAATGACATCAGATTATGAAAGCACCACTAACCACCGCGATCTGCTCCGTATTTTCAGCCATAGTCGCGATGTTGTTACAAAGGCCCTGGGGGAAAGCTGTCTACGTTGAAGGAAATGACAGGAAACGCCTAGGGAAAGGGGGGAAGTGGGGTACGGGACTCCCCGTGTGTCCGCTCGAACCGTTCCAAGTAGCAACTTCAGTCAAAGCCGGAGTATGGCCGAGTCAGGTCTAGGTTGGATGCTCAAAGAAATAAAAAAGTACAGGACCCAAAGTACGAAGGGACGGCTGAGGACTCTGAAGTGATAGGCCCAGTATGGATCATGGGCCCCAGTCCAGACCCACAGCTTTGACGCGATCCGCCGTTGTTCATACTGTATGTTCTTGCGCTTGAAGCCAGTGCGTCCTGCAGCACACTTTGCAGCAGGCTATTCCCACCTGCTATCAGGAGAGTTTCCCGTTGGACTTGTTATGGGTCAGAGCTACCTCGTCTGCGTACTGAGCTGGTTCAAAGAAGATGTGCTGTGGGGACAATGTTCTACTTTCGAATGGCAATGATCCAATTGGGTAAATTGTACAACGCCCGTGCGACACTACCGACGGCCTTGAATGGCTCATGGAGTGAGTCTCTAATGACCTGATGCACGGTACGCAATCCCCGGTCCGTGTATGGGTAGCATGCATTGAACTGCATTTTATGCACAAGCGAGATGATTGTCAAGCGGGAATTGTGTATCTTGGGACCATCCTCAAGGAGTGGTATTGATCAGGCCTCGGTCTATGGCATCTACGACGATTCCGTCCTAGATCTGGATCCTATTCGCAATCAGAATTGTGCGGGGATGTCCCACACGATCCCATGTCGAGTAGTGCTGAAGATGATACCGGCGATACCGAGATGAAAGATGGGTCAGTCATCGCCTCCCAAATACCCAGAAGTACATGATACCAGGGAATATAAATGAAGGCGATCAAAGAGAGGAAGAGGTGCACGCGTCCGGGACAATATCAGGAAGGCTCTTCAGATGCATTGTGAGGGCAAGATGGTTTTTCCGTTCGGGGCCACTCCCCTGTTCGGCTTCACTCGGGAGTGCCCTGCGTAATCTAACTGTGGGGGGGTATTGGCTTTGCGTCCAGTGAGGTGCCGATCGTAGGAAATGCCCCAGTCAATTCACGCCAACGTACAGGGAAGTACCCTTGATGGAGATGGAATATATACATCCTTGATTGTCTTTAGAGGATGCACTTTGCTGTGGCAGCGTTCGACCGAGTAGTGGTTGAGCTGGTCTCAATCTGGCTAGGTTATCTTCCAAAACGTCCTACCTATCTCCCATGCTGACTTCTTCCTTGTGTCGCGTTACTCTAATCACGACGGTCTGGTCGAGGCTTGAGTGAACGATATTGCAAATGATATATGCGGATGTCAAGGCTGATTGACCTGACTGACCCGAGCGTTTAATGTAGAGGGGGGGCCCATCTCCCACTTCCCCACCAGATCTTCTGCGCCAGGAATTTTTTTTCTTTTTTTATTTATCTCTTTCAGAGCGAGTGCCGCTTTGATTGTCTTCAGGTCGCAAGCGGGGTCCTTCAAGAATTGGCTTCGGCTTTTCAACTTCGGCGCTATACTTTTTCTGCGTTTCTATTTCACTTGGACAAGTCTTAACTAATCGCCGAAGATTCTCCATTAGTCTAAGACATCCGGACTCGAGTACGTCCTTCTTCCTGACATGGTAGGCGATAGGGTCTCATGGAGCCGAACTTTTCAACTGCTTTCTTATGCCTTGAAGCTTTGCGAAAAACGCTCTGAGTGGTGTCGATCCGAATATCTATCTGACTAGCGTAACTTCATGAAAAAAAAAAGGTGACACCAGATCGCAAGACTTGCAAATCAAGGTCTTTTCTCTGACTTTATCATTCAAAGCAATCTGCCTAGGCTGTCGGTCAACTTGAGAAAAGAATCTCCATGACCACCGCATCCAGTGAGCCCCGGGTTTATCTAAACAACAAAGAGATTCAACTCGAGTTTGAGGCTTTCAAACAACATCCGCTGTATAAAGGCTCTGATATATTTCTACCTCATTCAGTTTCGAGAACGTAATTTACGTTTTGATCTCAGTCAGGTACAGCAAGGACTGTTTGAATTGTATACTTCAGGCTCCGATGGGTCAATGTCACGTGCCAAGGAAAGTCTCCGCTGAAAGTTGAAGCTGCGACTTTCACCTTCTCTAAAACGAAATCTACACCGATTGCTCAAGTCAACATGGCAATCACCATTCTACCTCCTGTGGTAGAGGATCTTGGTCCTCGCCAGCCCGATACTGATGACGAGATGTCTATCAACTCCGACGAGGACACCGAAATGGGCGGCGTTTCCCTCGGCCGGCCTACCAAGCGAGCCCGACTAGAAAACAAGATCGGAACGGGAATCGTGACACCCGGTGAAGTGGTCACCGATGACCCTCAATGGATGAGGTAATTGTTTCAATTTCAGCCACTGCGGCGGAGAAATTTGCAGAGGGGAACCGAACTAACTTTCAGCAGAGGCCATGGAACCTACATGAACCCCCTCTCTACCTCGATAATCGCTACCGTGGCCGGTACAATCAACAAGACCAACAAGCTTCTTTCAGTGCACCCCTTGCGAGCTCGATACACCCCCGAGATCGGAGATTTGGTCATCGGAAGAATCGTGGAAGTGCAGTCCAAGCGATGGAAGGTCGACGTTGCGGCTCCGCTGCTTGCCGGATTGCCTCTTTCTGCTATCAATTTGCCCGGCGGTATCCTTCGGCGACGAACAAGCGCCGATGAGCTTCAGATCCGTACTTTCTTCAGTGAGGGTGACTTGGTTGTTGCGGAAGTGCAAAGCGTGCATCAAGACGGAGCGGCTTCGCTTCACACCCGCTCTTTGAAATATGGCAAGCTCCGAAACGGTGTCTTCCTCGCTGTTACAGGTACCGGTGGCAGTGGAGCGTCCAGCACCAGCACCAAGGGTGGCGTTGGCTCTGTATCAGCCCCCGCGGCCTCAAGTGGAACTGGAGGCGTGGTGCGGTCGCGACGACAAGTATGGACTGTGAATACTGCTAATGGGGGTGGGGATGTCGATGTCATCCTCGGTGTGAACGGATATATTTGGATCTCCAAACACGCAGACGGAGCGGCTGCGGCATCTTCCACGACCGAGAACGTCTCTATCACACGCATGGAAGAGATGGTTTCGAGCTCAATCTACTCTAGTCAGAATGATGAAATCGCGCCGCAAACACGTCGGGAGATTGCCCGTCTGGCACAATGTATCCGTGTTCTGGTACAAGGTGGTGTGCGGGTGGACGAGGAAACTGTGATGGGGGCCTACGAAGCTAGTCTTCAGGTGGACCTGGAGGTTGGTGATGACGAGTATGATGAAGATGAGCTACACCAGGAAGGTCGGGAGTATTTGGAGGGAGTCAAGGCACGGCGCATTCTGGAGGTGGTGATCCATGGGAAATAGCATAGTAATTTCAACTGTATGATAGGCGATACCCCCAAAAACAACGTCATGACCACACTAGGGAGACCTGAATCCGAAAATCAGATCGACTATGAGTCTAGTCATCGAGTATTAACGAGACTGAAGCCCGTCTAACTAAATCTGCGAGCTATGTAACGCCCAAAGAGGCAATCCCCGCACACCGGCGGTTAGCGCGAGCCACGGGCTGATTACACATTCCTCACCTAAGCAGGCTTTACTTGGACCTTGGAGGCAACTTTCTTCTCTGTCTTTTCACCCACCTCGGTTGTCACCCTTGATGTTGCTGTTGCAGGACTATGTGCTATTTTACAATCTTCAGCTTTCCATTTCATTTTACCATAGCTCCGTTCCAATAGGGTGACCTTTGATCACACGTTTCCACGCTACCTCGGCATCACGAACTAGAGGAGACCGTCCAACATACAGAACCTGAACCACATCACAAACACCTCCAGCCATCATGCCCGATCTTCGTCGTCAGATCTTTGAGAGCGGTAAGACCGTCTCCCGCAAGGCAGCTTCTCGAGAAGCTTCCCGATCCAACTCTCGCACCGGCTCCAAGCAGTCGTCACAAGCTGCGAGCAGAGCCGCCTCCGATGATGAGGATGCTGGCTTCCTCTCTGACGAGACTTCTATGAGGTAAGCTGTCACCCCTTGACTCTTGCGACTTCCTTTTTTCACGCCTTTTTTTTCTTTTTCGTGCATTTCCAGTCTCGATGGTCCCACCTCGTGGCGGGATGATGTCACCAATGTTTTTTTTCCCTCTTAGCGGGGCACTAACCAACGATCGCATAGTATCGGTTCACTCGACGATGACAACCCGGAACAAGATAACGTAGACTGGCCTCAGGAACTGGGCGATCGCATCCAGGAGATCCTCGACCGCAAGCGCAGTAGTGTACAGGGCCGTGAGGAGGCGTTGGCTGCTTTCTGCCGCCTAACCAAGTACCACTATGCCGAGGAGGAAATGCGCGCGTCGGTTGCCGACCTACTCGGAGCATTCATCAGAAGTGTGCGAAGTGAGGCCAGTGTTCGTGAGACTACTTTGGCTCTCCGTGCAATTGAACTACTGGTCGTCACCTCCTCGGACGACAAGATCTACGAAAATGCCGAACCCATCTTGACGCGCATCATCCGCGACTCAACATCCAACGCTGTCAAAGCAGCAGCCATCCAGTGTCTGGGTACATGCACTGTCTTTGGCGGTGCAGGTGAAGATGGTATTCTTGAACAGATGACCTTCCTTTTGGACATCGTTGCTTCAGACGGCCAGTCCATCGAAGCCGCAGACGATCCAACCAGCGTCACAGCCGCATTGCAAGTCTGGGGTTTCCTAGTAACCGAAATTGATGATTTCGAGGGCGAAAGCGAGGAAGCAGTACAAATCTTCATGGACCAGCTAGATAGCGGTGACTCTGGCGTCCAGATCGCGGCGGGTGAAAATATCGCCATTCTATACGAAAAGAGCTACACCGAAGCAGAAGACGACGATTCTGAAGAGGAAGAGGAACAGGACGAAGAGGACGAGCACGCTCATGAGCCCACCTCCGGCCCCAAACTCGTCAAGCGCTACAACGCCTACCACAACACCCCCGAGCTTGAACGTTCCCTGCAGCACCTCGCAACAATCCACAACAAGCGCATCAGCAAACGTGACAAGAAGAACTTGCACAGCAACTTCGCCTCAATCCTCACAACGGTCGAAAACCCGCGCCGCGGACCACGCTACAACATGGCCATCGACCAAGACACGAACCGCCATTACGGCAGTACGCTGACCGTCAAGATCGGCCGACACGGCATCATGAGCATCGACAGATGGTGGAAGTGGGTTCGTCTGAGCTCTCTACGTCGAATTTTGCAGGGTGGTTTCGCCGAGCACTATTTCCAGGGTAACCGCTCTGTTCTTAATAATCTGCCCGTTATGATGCGGATGCCAGACGCCAGTCAGAACACGCCTGATCGTGCAAGCGCACGTAAAGCGGCGAAGATGCGCAATTCAAAGCGTTGGGCTGCACAGCCCGAGGACTCCGACGAGGAGTAATATACTTACGCCCCTTGGTTCCCAATTCCTCCTGCTTATTATACGTGAATCAGAATGCTTTTTTTTGGGTTTCTAGTACATTGAGTTATCACTATCTCCTCTTTTTACGCAGAAATGTATCTGATTCCATATCGATAACGCTCAACGACGTTGCAAAATTTATAACTTTTGCTTTCCGACCTCGGTATTTTCTGTCAGAGAAACTTGAAATATATTGTTCAATTACGGAAGAATCTTACGATAACTCCACGAAATACCTCAAGACAGCAAAACAAATATGCAATGGAAATAAAAATTTCACCATGTCTAGAGTGGAGTGTCTAGCCCTTCATACTATCTAAATTCAATATTTTCCAAAAGACAACGAACCAAACCCACTTCCATAGACCATAAATCATCCATCATCCATCAACCTTCATGTCAGCCTCAATGTTCAAAAACAGCCACGACACCAGACCAACTACCGCGTGCCCTTTCATCCCAATACCCATCCTTACCACCCTTCAACCGCCAAACAATCTCCTGATCAGAGCCATCACTCACCCGCGTAAACCAGCGCGGGATCCAAGACTGTCCAGCATTCTCCATATCACGGCGTCTGGCACGCTGTCCCTCTTCCAATTGAACCTTGACTTCCTCGGCGCGATCGAGGTCACCATCTTCCAGAGCGCGTTGGTCAGGTCTCAGACGCGAGTCTGTGGGTGGGAGGTGAGAGTCCTCAATAGGCGTTATTTCGTTAAGTTCGGCAGCGAAGGCAGTAAGACCGTAGTGTTTTGGCGCCGAGGGCACGAGGTCTCCTGCGGACCAGATTGGTTTGCCGGAGGGAGAGCCATCCTTGGTCAAAGAGAGGGCGGAGGGCCAGCTTCCCGCGAGACCGAGGGAGAGAGTCTTATGTCTTGGGTCGACGGCGCGCGTTGAGACTTCTTCGCTGCGGCCGGAGAACATGCCTCCCGCTTTGAAGGTAGAAATTGAGCGTTGGCCGGTTGTTTCGTTAAAGATGGTCAGTTCACCGACTGGCTCAACGTATTTCTCGCCTGCGATGATATTACGCAGGAACTGAGTAGCTGGCGTCCAGCTGAAGTGCTCGCCCGTGGCGTGAAGGGTTACGCGGACGCGGCCCTCAGTTGTGATTTCTGCGGATTTGCCCCAGAATTTCTGACTAGGCAATGGGGACTGCGCGAGACTCCATTCTTTGCTGTCGGCTTGGTAGGCTAGTTGAACGGGGCGGTGGGAGACTTTTTCGGCGATAAAGCGGAAGCCGCGGTCTTCGCGAATGAGTTCATATGTTTCGCCTAACATTGGGTTGAAAGGCTTGCGGATGGAGCGCTCGCGGACGCGATTGCTGGAGAGCGAGGAAATGGCGAAAGCGGTAATGTACATGAGTCTTTCGACGCTGTCTGAGACCTGCGAGGCTTGGTCTAGGAGTGAAGAGTACTCCATGATTTCTGCTGCACGTTGGAGCAGAGACAGTGGCTCGTTTGCAGATACGGGCATAGATATTTGAGACAGGTCCTTGCCGACGTTCTTGCGTAGGAACCCTATGAGACTTGGAGGCATGACTGTTGGAGCCAGGATGTTCTGGCGACGGCGAACTTTCTCTAAGGGAAGGGGAGACAATGACTTGGGACGAGTTGGGAACAGGGACGAGGCACCATCATAAGGAGCTGCCGACTCGGATTCTTCATCACTGTCGGAGGGCGCGTCATCTTCAACCTCCTCAGCAGCGCCGTCTACCGTATCATGCTCGCCATCGCTATCCTGAATTGTCAAGAGTGGAGATGCGGCACCTCCGTCCATCGCATCAAAGAACTCCTGCGAGATATCTGACTCCATACTCTTGCGACTCGCGACGGTAGGCCGGGGAGGGTATCGTCGCAATTTACTCTCAGCAAGGAGTGTCGAGAACTCAGTTACGGCATTATCCAGATCCCGCAGGACTGCCATTAGATTATCATGAAGAGCATCCACCCCATCAGCGTGGCCATTAATGCTAGCCGGTTTGCTAGGCTCCTCCTTGATAGGCACCACCAGCTGGGAATTGCTAACATTAGCATGCTTGCCGCTATGACTGGAGTTGGCACTTGTCTTGCGCTTCCAAAATGAACGCCTGGGGTCCACACCAGAGTCGTGCGATGGGGGATGAGGACCAGGAGACCGGCCACGACTTCGCTCCGAGGAAGACGGGAGCGGAGATGGAGATACAAAGTACTTGGGATCAGTATCTCTGGCAAGACGTCGCACTGCATCGCGCGATCCGGATACTTGACTGACAAGGCGCTCGACTCTAGTCCATTCATTCTCTTCCGCGGGGGAAGGTGTTGAAGGGAGGGACAGTCGGAGCTCAGGAGGGCCTGGGAGAGCAAGATCCTCACGCTCTGGAGAATCCTTCGAAGAAGCCTTCTCCAGAGCGCACTTCCAGGCCACGAAATCTTGTTCATTGCTCGCGCGGAGATGCCAGACCTCGGTACCCGAATCGATGGAGATCTCGCGAGATTTCTCGTTGGTAGCGACAGCTGCCAAGGATAGTGGGATAGCGCCCCGTAACGCAGACGAGTTGCGATCATGGTAGTACGAAAGCGTGCTCGAAGTAATGTCCAAAGAGAAGAACCTCCGAGCCCAACCCTGACCCCTCTTCCGGCGCCGCTTCTGAAGCTGACCAGTATGTACGTTGGCATCGGACACCTGCGCGTTCAGAGTAGACCGGCTATTACCGCGTCTTCGCGTACGCGGCTGCTGAAGCGACTCGCTTGAGCCGCTCATCTGGGAGCGCATTATCGAAGCCGAGGCAGAGACATGAGGCTGGAAGCCGGTAGGGTAGGTTAAAAGGACGAGGGTGAGAGTCTTGGAGACTTGTTTGGAGAAGGTATTGTCGAAGACGAGGCATAGTCACCACCTTCTCCAGCCGGTACATCATATGTCCCCTGCAACACAGTGTTGGCTTCGCATTTTCCAATCCATTTGATCGACTTGAGACCGATTCCCGTCAGCTTCTCGACTACGCCCAACTGTTGGTGGCGCGAGCCGGATGTCGCGGCCGTTGCGGGGAGGTTCTCGTTGGAATCAGTGGTAGGAGAATCGGAGGCGGGAAGTTGGGAGCTCAGATGAGTGGACTGGCCGGGGTGTTTAAAGAGTCCAAAGTTCACGGACTTCTTGTGTGGCTGAATGCTCCACGAGATGGTGTGATTTGCGCTCACATGAATCCAACGCACGAAATAGGACTTCAAGAATATTAGTAGAGGAGGTAGAAGTGATACAGTTGCCGCCTACCTTGCTATGAATCTCCAGCTCCTCCATTGCCGCCATGATGCAGAGTTGAGGTGAGCTGTCGCGGTTGCGGCTGACGGGGGAAACAATTGCGGGCGGAGAAGGCTACGTAATTTCTTCAGGGACTCAGGCACCCGAAATGTTATCGAGAACTGAACCAGAACGAGATCATATAATAATAAGAAAATACCTACAAAGTAGATCACAACTGGGAACAACGCCAATACATTCTGACGACACTCTGCACTTTGAAAAATCCCCCAAAGAGGATCAAATGGCCCGAAGCCGAGGAATTGCTGTTCACATGGGGGGATCCACGCTGTACCTTGGGATTGTGACACGCTATACTTCTAGTTTCTATGCAACTGCCGCGATCTGACCACATGCTTGGCCACGTTCCAGCATCTTCGTAGCCGAGTCTAATTCCCCATGTTCTACGCCTGGTCGCGTCCACTCATGCGAGATGCTGTCCATTGCAAGGTAAACTAGTGGTTACAGGATGCCCATGCCCCCAAACGACCAGAAGGTGTATCAAATTAAAAAAAAAACAAGAGATGAAGGGAACTCGAAAAATGCAATGCCCCATCTTTTGTTCTGATCCGCTTTTCCTGAAAATTTCCCATAGAATAGTACACTGTACAGACAACGCATTCACCTCCGACTGGCCTGCATATTGCTGAACATCAGCTTGAACCCGTTGCACAAGGCCTGCATGTCCGGGTAGGGGTTCTTCTGCAACTCAAAGCCCTGTGGAATAACCTTGACAGGCCAGTTTTGGAGTTTGGAGTGCTCGCCCGCCTTGAAGCAGAGGTAGAAGTAGCCAGGGTATTTGGGGTTGATGCAGAATGCATAGGCGGAGCGACGAGGGTTGGCCTTGGTGTAGGTCTCGAGCCATTGATCTATCAAACATGTTAGTGACATGGCACTTATGTGGAAAGGTAGTCAGCTTACCGGTGTCGGACTTGCTGCCTTTTTGGTACTTCTCGTTCGCCATCAACTCCTCCACCTTCTTGGCCATGGCCTTGACATGGTTGACAATGAGGTCATCAAGATCGCTGTATGTATAACGGCCTCCAACCTTGAGCACACGGCCAACGGAGAACTCGTTCTCCTTGTCCAGTTCGAGCACATCGATATGCTGGTAGACACCATGCTCTACCTTCCAGGTGACTGCTAGGTGATCGGGACCACGAGATGAAGGACGGATGACCACATCGCCGCGACTCCGAGAACCCAAGTACTCCTCGGCCTGGGCGGAGTTAAACGGCCGGAAGAGCGGATGCTTGATGACACGCTGAGCCTGGCCACCGCGTTGCGTCTTCTCTTGCATCGACTCCTTGTCCTTCTTCTCCTGCAGTTCATCCCAGTCGTCGAAGCCGTGTTCGGGGGCACGGCGGACAGGATCAGATACTTGGTCTTCACGTAATGAAACATTGCAGGTAAAACTCTTGCGGTTCAAGAACATAATCTTGGCGGGAACAGTCTGATGGACCTGGAAGACGGAACGGACAGGCATGTCAACGGAAACACCAAGCTCGGTCTCTGAGACTAGCGCATCAATTCCACAGTCCAATTTGGCATCGATGTGATCCTCGAACACCCGCTTGATGGAGATAGGCACCACCATACCGCTGGCCAAGGACTCCGGCGTCTCGCCTGTGAGCATGGTGAAGATATCGTCGGTGCTGAGGAAGACGAATTGCTTGCGTAGTTCTTCGTATGGCTGTTGCAACTCCGCACGGATAGTCTCCAGAGTGGCACGCTTTCGCTGATTGAGATTCTTCTCGAGTTGCTCGGCGTACTCCTCGAGAATAAGGTCATTGACACGATCCTGCTGTTCCTCACGGAACAATTTGCGAACGATCGCACCAGAGCCGTTCTCGTCTGTCTCGGCCTTGATATCTTCCTCATCCAGCTCCAACGCGTCAGCGGCCATCTTGCGCGCAATATCGTAATCTTCGGGGTGTACACGAGTGTTGTCCAGCGGGTCGGCATCGGGATCGGCGTTCTCGAAATCGATGAAGACAAAGGAAGCGCAGTTGTTCCAGACCTTGACACCCATAGCAGGATACTGTGCGTTGACACCCAAAAGCTCCACTCGGTTGTTCACAACACCACCATTCATGTTCACAATTTTGAGCAGATGAGCAGCCTTTCGAGGTCCAAGACCGCAGACATAGGGTAGGAGGTTGGCGCTCATAGTGTCAGTGACAGCTTCGTTCAAATCAACACCCACCAAGTTGACCATGTCGACCAGAGCAGTCTCCAGCTGCTTGAGCAGCAACTCCTGGGACACTAATTGCTGGCCGGGTTTGAACTGAATGGAGATGATGTCACGGCCCAGCGAGGCATACTCTTTAAGCGGAGATTGCAAGTATCGACCCAGGGCCACACAATAGTGGGTCAAGGGACCAAAGCCAGGATTGTCTTGTCGAGCACGAGGGCTGTTGTGATAAAGTCGAGCAACCTCATCGTTAACAATAACCACCTCCAGACGATCACTAACTTCTTCGTCGCGGTCATCGGCGTAGGTAGCCCCACGGATGTCCTTCAAGTCGATCAGTTCAGAGAGATACTTGTAGAGGCGACGCGTCTCGGGTGTCATTCCAGAAACACCAATGACATCTGGTTTGCGACGTTCCACCAGGTCTTGGAAAGCAGCTACATCGGCACCATCCGAGATTCCACGGCTTTGGTCACCGACTGACAAGTCCTTGAACTTGCCGTTCTCAAGCACACGACCATCCTCCTCGATGTAAGCCCAGTGAATGGGGTCTCGGCCCACAGTGCCAGTTCCGCAAGACAAAGCGATGACTCGCGGCACTGTACCCAGGACCATTCCCTTGGGCTTGTAAGGAGCCTGGTCCAAGCGCTGAGAGAAAGCCTCACGACACTCTCTAGCCACATGGTTCTCACACTCCTGTCGGATGTTCTCCTTGACGCTGCGATTGATGACCCGCTCCAGCTTGCCGAGGGCCAAGTCAAGCACCTCGCGGCGAAGACGGTTCCATGCATCAGCAACCTCTGAGTAATTGTCGGACTCGATATCAGCGTAGAGGTGCTGGCGGAACTTTTCAAAGTTCTCAAAGCGGACCTTGACTTCCATTAATCCTTCCTCTTCGGCCTTCAGCATTCGCAAGAACATCTCCGGGCGTCGTGCGATGTCCATGAGCTGCTGGTTTCGCAGGTATTTGAACTCGTAGTAGGGGTGTTGCTCGTCGATCCGGCGTAGACCTTTCTCTGTGCGGAAACAGTCGACTACTCCGTTCATGTAATAAGCTTGGCGGATGACCTTTCGCATTTTAGGACTCAGAGTAAGCTCTTCGGCAAACATACTCTTGGCGGCCTTTAGAACGTGAGAGGTGTTGGAAAAATCCGTGTCAACAAATTGGTCGGCCAGCTCCTCTGGTCCCTCGCTGGGATCTTCGGTATATTGCCGGCGACCTTCCTTGGAAGCGTTATGTGCGAAAGCGTCGGCGGTAATACCAAATGCACGCACCATACCGTAAGCCTTGCCGTTTCGCACCCGTTCGAAGAAGGATTTGCTGGAAGCCTTGCGCCGGTGGGGCTCTCCATTGGCATCACCATTGACCATTGCCATTTCGCGCAGCTGCGCAGCATATTGGAAGTGAATGTAGTCTTGTACATCCTGGAGTTCCTCCATAGTAGCGGCCGCAGCCAGGAGGTCTTCCACGTTGGCATCATTGACACTGAAAAGGTTTTGTAAGTTGTCGTAGGCCTTCTGTATGGTGTTACGCTTGTCGACCAGCGCACGGAATTTCAAGTCGTAGTCGAAGATATCCCATAGATCTGTCATATTCAAGAGCTTCTCGGCGCGAATACTATACTCAGCAGTTTCGTCGGTGGGATCGGCCCCATTAATGGGCTCTTTAACCGCATGGATCATGTAGTCCTTGCGGTGTTGGAAGATGAAGGGAACTTCCCAGTCGTCCGTGATCAGAAATTCCAACATCTTGGCCACCGAGCGCTGGAAAGGCTCACGCAGCTCCGGGTCCATGCGCTTCTTGAGCAACATCAGATTTGAGATCCAAATAGCCTCTTCGCGGAACTGATCCTCCGACAGAATGACATGTTTGTAGGGTTTGCGGGCGACCTGGTGACGTTCGGGTTCGTCGAGCAGACGGATTTCGTTGTCCTCTTCCGTTAACATCCTCTCAGCCAGCTCAGAGGGCTCAAAAACGTCCTTCAAATCCAAACGTCTAGACTCGTCCTCCTTCTCATCGTCTTCTTGGTCTTCAATATCAAGGGCGAATCTATATTCGGTACCATCACCGAACGCGGCGCGCATGTCTTCCAATGCGTTCTCGTCGAGACCTGCCGCTTCCGTGGCACCAAGACCAGGCATGCTTGGGCGGGCAGGAGGTGCAACCTCCATATCGTCTTGCTCTCGCTGAGCCTCCTCGTCAGAAAAGGTATCCTCCTCGATGAAGCCCTCCATCTCATCGTAAGCACCGCGGCGGCCGGATCGGCCATGACCGTATTGGGGAGCTTGAGCTTCCTCCTCATCGTCTGAGTTAAACATATCATCAATTCCTTGGGGTGTTTGCTGCTGCTCGCGATCCTTGCCTCGCTTCAGGCGCTTGAACTTGGACTGTCGATTCCGAATAGCTGCTATTAGTAAAATTCACAACTCCCGACGCCTTTATCAGAAGACGACGGTCTAATGCGTTCGAGATCACATACCTCAGAGGTCGCACCTCTGTTACCCGGAGCAGTAATGCCGATCAACTCCAGATCTTCTTCATCGAGGTGTTCCTCTTCGTCGGCGGCGCGCCGTTTCCTGCCCTCGCTGCGCCGGCGGTGCTTGCGATTCTCGATCTCTTCATCCTCATCGACAATGAAGCCCTCACGAACCTATCAAAGCAATTGTATGTAAGCGCACAATTCGGCATCCCGAACCTCCAGGCTAGACTCACGGCGCGCTGAGCCTCCTCGTCGTCTTCATCTTCATCGTCCTCGTCACTCGAGTCATTGTAATGGTTGCCGATTCCAGCACCCTCTCGGACTTCGCCGTCGTAGTCGTCCATGCCCTCATCGTTCTCATCGTCATCCATCAAAGCCTCGCCTTCGACCAGGTCGCGGAGACTCATTGTGGCTGGTCGGGGAGAGCTACTCCCAGTGGATAGGGAGATAGCAGATTAAAAGAGAGTGCAACAGCGCAGGGCACCCGGCAGTGCCCGAGACGCGGAGTTGATAAGAAAAGGGGTTGAGTTGTGGGGAGAAAGAGACGCGAGCGCAGAGAAAGGAAGAAGCACGACTCCGAAGGAGAACGCGGTGGCGGTGACTGCGCGTTGTGGCTGACTCGGTGGCTAGTGATACCACGTGATCGTATCGCTTGTGTCCTTAAAAGATGTAAAGTACACAAATTTAAGATTATCATTTTAGTCTAAATATCATGTTGGGAATACGAATAGACAAAGACAAATAAAAGACTTTCTGAGGGTACTCCTCGTATCAAATTCCATCTTCATTCAATTGGTATATCACAAAACGATAGTAAGATGCCTAAGAGGCGTTCTTGGGGGTGGGTAAGAAATAGGGTGAGGACTTGTGGAGAACCAGGAACACCTGTGTTTCAGTGACAAGACCGTATCGCCAACGTTGCCTCCTGAAAAAGACATTTGACTCCCTCAAACCCGGGACGCCATTTGATCTCTCCATTTGGCGCCCAGTGCAAATCCGGTTGTTTTGTTGGTCCAGTCGATGCGCCCGCGATATCCAATCAGCGCCGCAAGAAGGACTGTGATATCGGGTTCCCCGCCGCGCTTCCTTTTGTTTCCCCGTCAGCGCCAGGGCGTACAGAGATCTCTTTTCTCAACAATCCTCGACCTTCGCCATGGCGGAACAATTTAAGGCCCGGACGTTGAAGCGCAAGAACGTCAAAGGCCTCGCCCTCAATGCGGCCCCCAAGCCAGCTGCCAATAATGCCTCTGATGGCGATGCTCAGGGCCTCGGTGCGGTTGGAAACTCCGAGGGCCCTACAGATACGCTAGAGATTGGTCTGGAGTTTCGACTAGATCTTCGCAGTGAGGATCTCGTAACGTTGAAGGAGCTTGGAGCTGGGAATGGAGGCACCGTCTCTAAGGTTATGCATGCCTCGACCAAGGTCGTGATGGCCCGAAAGGTACGCGTTCACGATCTCGAAATTGTGAGTGCCTCAACTGACTAGATACCCCTATGATAGATCATCCGAGTCGACGCCAAAGAAAACGTTCGGAAGCAAATTCTACGAGAACTTCGGGTCGGACACGACTGCAACTCGCCCAATATTGTGACTTTCTACGGCGCCTTCCAGAACGAGGCCAGAGATATTGTTCTTTGCATGGAATACATGGATTGCGGGTAGGTGGGGTATGATATATCAGACGAAATGGCGTGGCTGACATCGTGAACTGCAGATCCCTCGACCGCATCTCAAAGGACTTTGGTCCAGTGCGGGTCGATGTGCTGGGCAAGATTACCGAGTCCATCCTGGCCGGTCTGGTCTATCTTTATGAGGCTCATCGTATCATGCATCGTGATATTAAGCCGTCCAACGTGTTGGTCAATTCGCGCGGTGATATCAAGCTCTGCGATTTTGGTGTCGCCACTGAAACTGTCAATTCCATTGCCGATACCTTTGTTGGTACTTCGACCTATATGGCACCGGAACGTATCCAAGGAGGTGCCTACACCGTTCGCTCGGATGTATGGAGTGTGGGTTTGACTGTGATGGAACTCGCTGTGGGTCGATTCCCATTCGATACCTCGGACTCCGCAGCAGGAGACCGCGCCAGTGCAGGCCCCATGGGTATTTTGGACCTGCTCCAGCAAATCGTTCATGAAACTGCACCAAAGCTTCCCAAGAGCGATGCCTTCCCCCCATTTTGCACGATTTCGTCGGGAAGTGTCTGCTGAAGAAGTCGGAGGAACGACCAACCCCGCGAGAGCTATATGTATGATCCGACCATCCACATGATAATAAGCACCACTAACTTTGATCAAGGACAAAGATGCCTTCTTGCAGGCAGCCAAGCGTACGCCGGTCGACCTGCAGGACTGGGCCATCAGCATGATGGAACGACACAACCGCAAGTCTTATTTGGCACCACCTGCGCCCAAGTCCCTGAAGGATACGCCTTCAGCAAGCACGCAATCAGCGGCTGCGGCGCCTCCTGCGCCTCCACCTATCTCCAAAACCACCCCAGTCACCAGCAAACCACTTCCACTTCGTCAGCAGACTTCGTCCCCATATCAGCAACGTCCACCTTCGGGCGAGATCCCCGTGAACATCGGCAATGATGCCCACCGCCATTACGGTCCCCCGAGCAGCCAAAACCACCACTATTCTTCCTCGCGCTCCACACGGTCCCCACAGCCACCTTCCTTGGAGCATCTTTCATTGGAGACCAAGGATGACAATGACGCACGAGCAGGCCGCATGCAATCACGCTTTCTGGGCGACCCCGTCTCCGCGGTCGATGCTCCATCCCGCCCATTCATGAGCCCGCGGTCCGTCAGTTCGCACAACGCAAAGTCTCGCACAAACCTCAACCCTGCGACAATGCCCATCCGCACCGCTCCCCCACCAAGCGGACCGCCTCCTCCTCCCCCTGTATCTGCAGGCGGAAATTGGCGCGGTTACCCCAGCCAAATGCCTGGGACCAGTTCCTAGAGCCACAGGATGTTGATATGTCATCGGAACGACTCATACTCATCTTGACGCACTCAGATGTGAATTGCATATGCACATGATTTTGCGACTCGCCTGCACCATTCCATTCCCTTGTTTTTCCTGTTCTTCTGATGATTTACCGTCTGCCATTTTTTTCTAAATCATTCTATTTGCGTTTGGCAATCTGCCTCGTTTTCCATTCCTGGCGCTGTGTACGGACAAAGACAAGGCGGGGCTGAGCACATTCCCTTTTCCATAATCTGTGGATATCTTTAGTTTCTTTCTTTTCTTTGCCTTCTATTCCCCCACTTTTGGATGTTTCTCTCCTTCCCCCTTTCTTTCATTTTCTTTTATCTCGTCTCGATGATTTGACTCGGCAACGATATTGACTTTGCCACTTCTTTCTCGAATGTGTTCCTGCATGATACGACGTACATAAATAAAGTTTTGATGATACTACAATATCACCTGGCTCTGAATATACTCGATCGCCCATGGACCTAAAATAGGTTGTGGGACTTGGGGATCAACTTCAACCAAAAACTCGATCGAAGGCTTTCCAACGTTCAGAATACTGAAAGCATATCTTCACTTTGATCAGACCATGTGCAGGGGATTGCATCTAAGAATCCCACTCGTGGTAGATTTTCGAATTAATTACACAACCTCGACTCAGACGAATATAGCATGAACAAATCAATGCATGTATTGATGTACTATCATATAGATACAAAGCTGATGCATCAACCAGGAAGCAACAGAATCGAGTCCCAGATCCAGGAACTCGTCATAAGCGATAAAATCTTCGAAATGAAAGGACAACTCCACTAAACACCCTCACATAACTCCATAACAAATGTGTCCGTCTACTAACAGTGATCTATTTCATAACGAGCTCCGGCCCGGCCAATGGACTAGGAGCAGGCACGGGAGCGAGATTCGAATTCGAATTGGGATTGGAAGTTGGTGTACCAGGGCTCGAGGGAGCTGGAACAAGATCCATCATTGGCGTGATGGACGAGCCTGAGGAGGGCCCGGATGAGGCCTTTGCCCCGCGGGTGCTTGTGCCGCCACGGCCTGACCCACGGCCACGGCCTTCGTGTGCGGTGGATGCGTTCGAGCCGCTGCGTTCGGAGGCGCCTTTGTCGCCCTCGGCGGCTTTCTTAGTTGTTCGTGCGCGTCGCGAGGTACCACCTCTTGAACCGGGGCCACGGAGGGGTAGACCCGTATCTTGAGAGATGGGCACAGCGGCTGCGATAGGAACATGCGGGTGGGAGGTGAGGGCTCGACTTCTGCCGGTGCCTCGTCCACGGCCACGGCCACGCTTGATAGTTCCGTCGGCACTGAGGGAATCTTAGAATTGGCTTCTCACGCTCGAAAAGATAGAATACGTACCGTTCCACTTGGACCTTCTCTCCAACTGGTACTAATGGTCCACTGTAAACGAAGAATCCATCTTTGCTCGCAGCGGCCTGCTCCTGCCATGCCATTTCACTGTCGTCAACGAAAGGATCATCCCGATCGTACTCCTCCACCTTCTTGCGGCGCTTCTTCTTTCCTTCACTAGTTTCTGAAGGCGCGCCGTTAGTCCCTGCTCCAGCACCGCTCATAGGAACATCTCCGTCCATATCACTGTCACGATCGACATCGAGACTTAGATCCTCGTCGGCACTTTCGCCCGCTGAAACACCTTTACTTTTATCATTGCGCTCTAATACGGCGCCTGCAGCTGCGACGCGGGCTAGACGCTCTTTATGAGCAGCTAGGCGTGGGTGCAGGGCAGCGAAACCATATTGTTCTTCAGCGAGTTGTGCGAAGTTGACAATGTGATTGCCCTTGTGCAGCGGAACGTGTACAACGATGTTGGGAGTGCTACGCTCATCGGGTGACTTTGAGTCGTCAGTGCCACCAAAAAGTGCGTTGGAGATGAGACCAGAGCCCTGTGGGAGCACAGGAGCCTCCTTAGCTGCGCGAGCGGGCTTGGGAGAAGGCGCCTTTGAGGAGGGTGCAGTGCCCGTGCCCTTCTCCTTCTTTGCGCTGGGGACAGGTTGTTCCTTCGTGTCGATGTCCATCACGTCAGATGGTTGCACAGGTCGCTGTGGAGTGGAAGCCTGTACAGGAGGCTGAGCTGGCTGCTGGGGTTGTGGCTGGGGTAATGACTGGGCCTGTATCTGAGCTGGCGGAGGAGGCTGCTGATATTGGGTCTGCATTGCGGGCGGGGAAAGCTCCAGCTTGGGAGGCTGTGTTTGCATGGGCCGCTGTTCTGACGGTGTATATGGAGCATAATTGCTAGGTGTCATATGTTGAGGGGTATGGGCAGCTCCGTGGGATGGAGATGACACGGGCATCGGAGAAGGAGCTAGAGAGTGGTGGGAAGGGGTTGGTGGTGCGGCAGGAGGCGCCGGAGAATGTACGGTCGAGACATGACCGGAAGTAGAGCGATGCAGTGGTGTTTGAAAGGTGTGGGCGCTTTGCGCCGGCGGGTCAATGATGCTAGAGATCGCGGGCGACGCGCTGGCGCGATAGTTGTTTCGAGGTGACACCACGTGCTGAGTAGATGGACTATAGGCAGGCGCCGGGGAAGGATTGTCAAAAGCTGATCGAATGGGATCAAAATTCTGACCACTCTTGCGAGGAGGAGCTTGAGTGGGTTGAGGAGGTGGAGGTTGCGACTGTGGCCGAGGCGGGTATTGTTGCGACAGGGTATAGGTAGACGTAGGTGCCGGGGGGTGAGGACTTTGGGAGTATGGCGGAGTGTGTGTTGTAACAGGAGCAGGAGCAGGAGCAGGAGCAGGAGCAGGAGCAGGAGCAGGCGCAGAAATGGGAGGTTGGGGAGGGAGGGGGGCGGGAGTCCGTGTTGGCTGTGTTGGCTGTGTTGGCTGTGTTGGCTGTGTCGCGGGTGCGGGTGCAGGACTAGGGTCTGGAAGAGCAGCAGGCCCCGAGGTGGCTTCGTCTCCAGCAGCCTCCAGTTTCGCCTTTTTCCGAGAGGCGGCGGTCGAAGTCGATTTTTCTCGAGGACGACGAGCACGGGCTGGCTTTTCCTTATCTTTTTCTTTTGCTTCTTTGACCTCTTTCACCTTGGATTTGGGTGTCTCGACCTCGTCGTCCTTCTTGCGACGCGACCGCCTGGCACCGGAAGCACGTCTGTTGGGAGCGTCGGCTTTGGTTTCGGTCTCGACAGGCTCTGCTTTAGGCATATCCGCACCTGGGGTATCCGTAGACATGGTTGAGGATCAGTGGCAAATTGACGAATTGATGAATCGTGATGGGTTGAGGGATGGTGGCCCAAGTGGTGGAGACGGTCGGGGCTGAACCTCCAAATGTATCACCAGTTGGGATTGGGAATGGAGAAAAAAACAAATAGGAAGAGATAAGGCAAGTGTGTTAGTAGACCGGGCGGGTGGAACACGTAAAAATCGAACACCGGATGGGAAAAAAAGATGGAAGAAATGGATACTTGAGGGAGGAGGGGGAAGAAGAAGAAGGGAAATGTAAGGAAAGGGATTGCAGGGAAAAGGGAAAAAAGGGCAGGAAAGGGGAAAGCGAACAAGGAGCCAGTTTGATGTGCCAGATTTTAGGTCTGTTAACCGTACTTCGACTAAGCTTAATGTACTTGATATCGATTGAGGGTAGAAAGACCGATTCGAGTTTGGAGTTGATATTGATAGGTCGAAATCTACTGTATCGAGTGGACTGTCTCTTTGCTTCATTGCGTACCTGATGGCTCAGTGAAGTGTTGAAGCAATACATTTTGCATGCGCGCGGATCTGGCGTCTGTGGAGTGGCACATTTCCCGCGTATAGTTTCCACTTGTCCCTTGCCCGGTTCACCTCAGACTTACACGATGACTCTGAAATATCTGTTGAGCAAATGAATATAAACACACAATTAGAAATTGATGAGCCACAAGTGCCTTGTTTTTTTTTTAATCAATCTATCACTCGATATGCTTGTCTGGTGACCGGAGATGTGTTCCAGAATACAAAGCGCTCCAGTGACATGGGATCGCCGTCAATTGATATCTATCAAACGTCGGCTCTAAGTCGAGCAGCATTCTACGCTTGTATGTGCTTGGTTAGTTTCAAGCAAGCCATACCCTGTCCAGAAGTGTTGAAGCCTTTGCAGGCTCATTTAAAGATTACCCAACTGGTGTACCTTTCCAGTTTGGGCAGAGCATAATTACCATTTCGGGCCTAGCACATCCGAAACACAGCCTAGCCTGATCGGGCTAGCCCCTGCATGCCCCATTTTTAGCTTTTTTGAGCCGCAGGCCCCGCGCTGACATAACTTCATCTCTCACGCCATGGCTTTTCGCGGCGAACGTTTTGTCCCAGACCTGGACGACGGATCCCCTGATGACTTGAAGCCGATGCCCTTTGACCTCGTCGGGGAAATCCGTGAAAGAGAGCCGACCTCCGCGAACCCGTCTGCCCCCGCCCCTCCGACTCCCACCGCTTCTTCCACCGGATTCCCCGCGCACCGCAAACGCAATAAAATTTCCTCGTTCAAGCAGCGACGAGCACAGCAAGAAGGAGAGCAAGACAAGGCTGCTGCATCTATCACAGAATCATCTCCGCCAAGCGTGCAAGATGACAAGCAAACCATCGCGGAGGAGAACCGCCGGCATCTGGCATCCATGTCAGAGACGCAGATTAAGCACGAGCAAGAAGAGCTGATAGCCTCGATGGACCAAAGTCTAATAGAGCGCTTTTTACGTCGAGCTAAGATTGAAGATCCCGGACATGAGACCAGCGAAGAGCCCCGACCAGCATCTGCAACAGAAATCCCGGCAGCATCAAAGCCAAAGAAATCTGTTTCCTTCGACATCCCAGCTGCTCAGCCCACGACTGCCCCGAAACCATCCATACCAGTAGCAACATCACCCAAAGCATTCGCCAAACCGCGTGGACGTGACGATGCACCCCCAACCCAAACCCCAAGTGACCTCCATCCCGCCTCAGAACGACCCTCTCTCGATCCCGCCGTAATCGAGCCCTTCCACTTCCCACAGCCAAGCCAACCAATGCCAACCCTCGATCCATCCTCTCCAAACTTCCTCTCTGATCTCCAATCCCACTACTTCCCTGAGATAACCCACGACCCAACTGCGCTCTCATGGCTCCAACCCCCACCAGACGACGAAGAAGATCCCGCCTCCACCTCAGCCTACCACCCAGCCAGCAGTGCCATTTCCATTGCACCATCTGCAATTCGCTTTTCACTTCGTGGCTCCATCATCGCTCCCAATACGTCTCTCTCACTCCCTACCACCCTCGGCCTACACCACCACGGCGAAGACCCCCATGCAGCAGGGTACACCATCCCGGAGCTAGCGATCCTCTCGCGCTCCACATTCCCCGCTCAACGTTGCATCGCCTGGCAAGTCCTTGGGCGTATCCTGTTCCGTCTTGGGCGCGACGAGTTCGGAGAACGCGGTGGACAGCTGTCCGAGGGACTCTGGTTTGTCATTGAAAAAGAAGGTGTTGTGGGTGGTATGTTGGCTGAGGCAGAGGGTGTTCCGGATCCTCAGACCCGAGCTACGAAAGAACAAGAGGAGGAAAGCGGTGCGAGTGCTACACCTTTGGCCTCAGGTATTGGACGCCACGCGAGTGCAACTGCGTGGGCTACTGAGGGTGTCTGGTTGTGGCAGAAGGGTGGTGGTGGTGACCGTGGTTTGTTGAAGGAGGGACAGTCGCGGCCGCGGTAGTTTCCTACCTTCAATTGGGTGTTGTTTGAGAATTCAAATCCTGGAATAGACCCTTCTATGCTTGCATTGTTACGTTTTGACATGTATAGCACCACACCAAAAACGCAAACTGTCGGACATCTAGCATTTTCTTTGAAGTTACCGGCATGATGAGCATTTACCGCTCAACAAATAAGGTGATTAAAGGGGCCCATAAACCTTGATTCTCTTTTTAAGTCCTTCTCGAAATCTTCCCGATGAAGCTTCTAAGGTTGGTCGTTATTCGACCGCTTTTTAACATCCGTACAGACAAAGCGCCGTACTTCGAAAGCATTCCCGCTGTTTCAAGACTTTTTAGATGGTCTTCTTCGATTAATTGTACAAAGGGGAAAATAAATGTGGTCGATTTGCAATGCATTTAATCTACCATACCCAGAATATCACATATCGTACAAGAACACCAGCTCCAGTCCCAATAGATAGGGGTAAAATAGATACTCAAACCACAAACCACGAACGACTAAATACCTCAGCACAAAACTAGACATCTTGAACAACATCTTACTCTCCACCCTGATCCTCGATTTGAACCCCCCCAAACTTGCCACCTCGCTTCCTCGACAAAGTCCCTCCTTAGCCAGAGACTCTGGGCCTGCTGCACCTTCTGCAGTCCTCCAGACGACGCACCAGGCTCATCATCACCCTGCATACTATCCAACCAACCAAATAACAACTGAAGCTGCCAAATGCGGTCGCGCAACTGATCTGGATCCGCACCACGGCCTCTCGCAGACTGCACGATATTGCGAACAGTGTGCTCGAGAGCGAGTCTCGCGTCGACGGCGGAAGTGCGTAGCCACGGTGGCGCGGTGACGCGGGTGTTGATACGAGGTGATGGGGATGGGAAGGAGGATGGGAGGACGAGAGAGCGTTCGCGAATATCGAGGGATTGTAGGGATGGGAGAGTGAAAATCCAATCCCATGGGCTTTTGTCGGCAGTTGTTGCTGCGGAGAGGGTGGTCGAGAGATGAGATGATTTGTGGGGCCACGCAGAGGGTGGTAGGCCCTTTGCTGGATTTGAGGATGCCGCTGTTGCGGGTAGAATATCTTGCGCTTCGCTGAGGCCTGTGAGGGTTGATGCGAAGACAGATGTGGAGGTGCCGGAGGGACTGTAGGTTGTCTTGCGGCGGAGGTAGACTGATGGATCTCCATGGCGGAATTTGTTGCGGAGGGCGTCGTCTTGGCTGAAGTCTAGGACGAGTGGCCAGTGGTCCGGGCCGCGGATTTCAATACGTGTGATTCCACTAGGGTCTGGGAGGAGACAGGGCGCAGATACTGCGCGGATAGAGCCGTCTTGAGAGGTGATGTTGATGGGAATTGAGATTGGACGGCGGGAGTCGAGGTCTCGGGGGATGAGACAGCGCGGTTCGGCTGCGAGGACCCAGAGATGGCGGAAAGCTTGCAAGTGGCACTTGTTGTCGAGGACGGTAGTCGGAAAGATAGGGTAGAAAGCACAGAGGAGCATGGCCACTGCTAGGTCAGATGTACCGAGTGTGTAGCTACCGCCGCCGAGGAACAGCATGCCGATAGCCATATGTGCTGCCATGTGACTACCGTAGGGAGTATCTGGATCAATCCTACCGTGGAGCGAGCGCAGGCGTCGGAACAGAGCCAAATCACCCGTACCGGCCATGACAGCCGCGGCAGATAGAGAAACGACATCCTGGCAGTTGCGGACTGAGTTGCGTGCAAGTTTCGCATCGTAGTTCATCACTGGAAGCCGAGAAATGCGAATAAATTGATCCAGATAGTATAGCAACAGATCCCGTGCTTGCGTGTGGCCAGAGCCGGCATATCGAAGACCTATGGCAAAGCACAAGCCGGAAAGAATGTTGAAGAATGGCATATCCTCGCTACGGAGATGGCACACTTTTGTAAGACGGGCGCGTCGCTGATACACCTGGGGCAGGCCCGCGCTTATCCACTCCATAGAGGGCTCAATGCTGTCCCACATGATAAGGTGCCGTGACAGCGTTCGCAAGAGGAAGATATCAGGTCGCACATAATCAAAGCGAACGGTGGTGTCGGGGATATCGATCTTATGAGCCAAGACAGAGTCGTTCGTCTTCATGAAAATGATAGCAATGGCAATGGTCGCGCCTGCGGTGGCACGATCAAGCACATGTGCCAGGTCAACGTTCTTGGTGCCTACCGCGACGGCCAGCAAACGCTCAACTATGTGCATGTCACGCATTCCTCGTAGATCTTTGCCTTTGCCCAGATTAATGAGACCAAGTGCAAAGCCCGCAGCAAGACGATATCCTTCGTCTCTCAGATCTTCTTGCGAGGTCGACTGCTCCTCTTGTTCGACATTTTCAATTTCAGAGAGCATCACCTCACTCATGCGCCGGTGCTGAGAACCACAGTAGAGCAGACCGATGCCCATAATACCAGCGGTCTGCGTCAATGAGGATAAATTGAGTTCTGCTGCACCGAGCGGTAACATTCGTGTGACATGCACAGAAAGCAAGCGCGTGATAAGCGTGTCCATTGTTCCCATATATGAAGCAGAAAGGCCGAGCAAGAGACCGATGGAGGTCATGGTATGCTTAGGAGTCAAGTACTTGAAGGCAACCCATTTAGCCAATGACTTAAGATGACCATTAAGACCCAGAGCCAGTAGGAAACCGGCATGCCTGTTTGTGAGATCTTGGGGCTTGTTGAACAAGATCCAAGAGGTGTCGATGCCCTTCGATCCTTTAGAGATCGCTAGGCCAGTCGAAACGCCATTGTGGAAGAATGCCCAGCAGACTTTCTCCTCGGTAAATGAGGACCTTTCAGCACTGACAGTGACGCCGGAAGGCTTCATAACACATTGTAGCGAGAAAGAAGGAATTGGCAGCTTTTCTGTCAATAGAGGTAAACGACCGCTGAAGGCAAGCATGGCACGGCCTGCAGGTGTAGACAATGTTCGGAATGACACCAGTTGTACGATTTCTTTTTGCGCTTCAAGGAGATCGAAGTCCGTCCAGTCAGGCTCTGGAACGCAGTCTGCAACTGGTGCTTTGGATTGATTTAGAAGACGAGCAGCTTCCAAGAAGCGCTTGTCCTCACGGAACACCAATTTAGTTACCGAGAAACGGTCAGCTTCTGCGGATGCCTCAAATGCGTTGATGGCATCGATTTCTAAAGCTGAGCAGCTGATGTGATGGAAATCGCGCACAGACTCATGTGAGACTGCAGAATGCTGTGGCGGCGCAAAAGTTTGAGCATGGACTGGATTCATCGACATGTAAAGATCTTCTCGGTCAATCAGTTCGAGTAGTGTTGCATTCCAGGATGTTGAAGCTTCGATCTGACACTGCATGACGGCCTCATACAGCGGTGCGCTAACGCCTTCAGGGAAGGTGTCGATGATGCTCTTGGTGAAACCCCAGCGATGCAGGAGCTTGATTTTCTCCAGCGGAGTCCTCACATTGTGAACGTCGCCAAGGAAGCCGTTGAGCGCCAAACTCCGCGGAGTAATAGTGAAGCATTCCTGCCACATACGTCCCTTTCTAGGAGTTCGATCTGACGCGGAGACAATATCGAGAAGAGTGATGAAGGATGGAGACGATTGACGCGCAGCGTCCATAAGGAAGGCGAAAATTGAAGGCGGAGGGAACGGCTCCCCCGGGACATTAAGCTGAGAAATCCGAGATTCTTCGAATTGCCATCTTTCCATACTGGCCATCTCAGTGCCAAAGTAAGAATTCTCGGTCCATTTCCATGACTGCCACCCCAGCCAGCCACCAAGCTGTGCAAGGACAGGGCCGAGGAGTCCGAGAGGGCGTTGGGATTCTTCGGCGTCGCAAGTTGAGAGCTTTTGCTCTTCCCGTAGGAGCTGAAGACCAACAAGAATGGTGCCCAAGGCAGTGCACCTTGTATTCTCAGGGAATGCACCCGAAGTGGGCAAATAACCATCACGGCCTGAGGCCCTTGCGCCTATGGGGCCCTGTAAGAATTCACGGGTCAAAGAGATACACCGTGTCAGATAAAAATTCTGGCGATAGGTGGATCGGCTTGCATTAGGCTGTTCACCTTTCGGTGTACGGGAGGCATCGCGAGCCGCCAGGTCCTCAATAGCATCTTGTTCGACAATCCAGCCCCAAGAACTGCCCATCATCCATGGAGCCGCGGCACCTGAAGGGCCTGATTCTAGATCAAGCATAGCTTCCCAACTTTCAAGGTCCACGTAAGAACCACTACTCGACCTCAGAAGACCTTTCTTGCGACGTGTGCGCTTGGCAGGGGTCTGTGGTGGGGGTTGCTTGGTAAATGGTACCGCCAGAGAGAACAAGACTATGACCATGGCAGTCCATTCAAGATCATTCTCGATATCTTCTTTCTCCTGAAGCCACTTCATGACTTCCCACCAAGCCACCAAAATACCATCTCCGGCTTTCTCTGCGTCACGAAGGACGAACTTGCAGACTTCGAGGACTTTTTTGACGAGATCATTTCGAGGTTCCATTCGAATTTGGATCCTGTGTCGTTTTTTCTCTGTATCTGTCAAATCAATTTTTCCTCTTGAGCATTCGTGGTCGAATGTCGCGAAAATGAGATCAGGGTTTGCCATGACACGGTTGACGCCACTTTCTCTCGGACGGCTAAGCAGCTTGCTGGCAGATATCCCATGAGGCTCATAAATATGCAGCGGAACTGGAATGTCTATTTTGGTAGGACTGCCCCAAAGATTCTGCAACGATAGCTCTCGCTGTCCATTATCGGATACACTTAGGGTGAGAATGCGCGATGTCTCTCCATCACTGACTCTGGAGACATCCCAGACGTTAGGGACATGCTGGATGCCAATTGCATTGACGAGTAAGGACCGTCTCTCTGTAGGCTTGGCATTCTTAGAATTGGCCATTCTCTGCTTCTTCGAGACCGCCACTCTTTCGACCCGCAAATTCACCACGCTCATAGTTTGCGAGTCCCGGTCCACGATACAGACTGCCATGGAGGTTGCGTTTCCATTTTGGGCGTTTCCATATTCCGAAGAGCATAGCGTACAGACTTTCAGATGCCGAGTGGGAGCTTGTTGCGCGGATGCCCGGAAACTACCAGAAAACATAGGGGAGAAGCTTTCTACCTTGGTGAGTAGAAGCTCTTCTGGCAGTCCGGATGCCCCTTCCCGCATAGCAATATTTTCGAACCCTTCAGCAGGGGCATTGCTATTAAGCTCTTCCAAGAGCCTATCCACTGGAGCGTCGAGAAAACTCGCTGTTGTGCTATACACAGATCCTGTTGTCGGAGGAAGTGAAGCACGCGGGTTAAAGCCAAAGCTCCCACGCATACTGCCAGCTCCAATGGATTGTCTCAGCCCGCCATGAGGTGCATTTGTAGACTGAGTGCCTGTAGCAAGCTCCGAGAATGTGAGTCGATCTTGACCAATGGCCAGATCAGTTCGTGCGAGGAGTGAACTCACTCGTCTGGACGTTTTGAGAGGAACACCAACATCTCCAAAATCCTGCGCAACTCTGGAGACCAGATCTTCTTCCGGGTCATTCTTGGACTCGTTTTGCTGGGATGAAACTCTATTTTCTGTCCAAGGTCCGAAGTTTTCGCGAGTTGCCGAAGGACGAGCAGCTGGTGTAGTTGTGCCAGTCGTCATACCGTAGTGAGAGCTGCGTCTCTTTGATTGCGTACCCTCAGTATATCGGCGAGCCTTCTCCTTTGCCGAAGAGCCAGGCTCGTCATATTTGTATCGTGCGGTCCACACCGTGTGTACACCGGTGCTTGTGTTCGTGGTAAGTACCAAGATGAAGGGCCCAAACTTGGAACGTTGGCTTGAGCTCGAAAATTCGTCTTTTGGAGAAATATACACGATCTCGTCGGCAGGGTCTAGAACTTCCAGCCCAGATGGCCTTCGCTTTGTGCTGCTCACGCTACTGGACAGCAATTGGGAATCCTGCGAGGTTACAACCAGGCCCATCTCCGAGTGAGGATCGATGAGTGAGAAGACCCGCGGAAGATCTGAAGCGGAGCTAGGTTTTGGAGCCCATGGAGCACTCCGAGGCGCGGAAAGCTTCAAAGATGGCCGCGCCCCTTTGTTAGGAGCTGGTGGAATATCCAACGTCTGTGATGCACGAGCATCAAATAGCGAGGACGTTAGGAAGGAATTCGGAGGTGCGATTGGATGCTGTGGCCTAGGGATCTCGTCGGGTATCTTTCGCTGAAACAGAAGTCCACGGGGTGTTGCAAAAACAGAGTCAACCTCAAAAGGGAGCGGTATTATATGAGTGGTTCCCGCAACGAAGAATATATGAGCTTGCGATTTCAAGACCACCACCAGAGCTCGGGACATCTTCGCATTGACCTGATGAGGGGTAATCACTGCTACCTGGGCATTTCCATTCAGGTCCAATGTCGATTCTGAGCTGGCCGAGTTTGGCTCATTCTTTTGACGCTTTCCCTGACGGGCCCGCGCATCCTTTCCCGAGCCGACGTTTCGAGGATGTCGAAAGCCCGCAGTGTCATGAACAGAGCGCTTGATATTGCCGGCCGCAAAATGAGTAAACAAAGCATGTCGAATATCTTCTTTCTCGGGATCTCAGGCGAAATACTCGCTTCACCATCCCTGCGCGTGACCACACCACGCAATGTTTTGTCCATACCAGCTCATCGTCCACGGGGCCGGTTGATCCATTATCGTCGACGCATGTTGTCCAATTGTACTGGTCTCTTGATGGATCAGCTTGTAGAATTCCTTCAGAGACCAGGTAGGAGACGGCCGAGGGTTCGTGAAGGCCGAGCGAGCGAGTGGATGCCATGGTGGGCTGTTAAACAAAGCAGTGGTTGTAGTGCGCCGTCACGGAGAAACTTCTGGCGGCATGAGCTGCAGATTGGAACATTTTCAATATCTGTGCAAGCATCAATCGAGTAGTGCACTCCCTCAGAGAGTCATTCTGAGTAATAGAGTGGTTGATTGTTGATCAGAGATGAAGTTGGAGACGCGCAGGAACGCGGGAATGGACCGACTTCCCAAAGTTCTTTTGCCCAACCATAACACCTTTCTTTCTCCTCATTGCAACTCACCACCGCATAAATCCTACGGAACCCAACAAATTCCTCGAAGCTTTATCTCAAAGCTCATTTTACCTAGCTGACAAGCTTGAGCTATTAGTAGAGAGCTTGTTAGCCATCCCTGTGGTGCCACCGGCGCCTTTGCTCAAAGCTCTCACCTTCACTCGGCTTCGCAGCCAACACCATGCCTTCCTTTCCTCTGGCGCCGTTGGTTAGGCCAAGAGAAGATGGATTGCAATTGAGGTAGGTACCGCGGTTCATGCTCTTGCGACTCGAATTTGCCACTAATACGATGTTTCGCAAATTCTTAGCTACCGGGTTTCCCACCGTGTCCACGCAGCTCAAGGCTACCCCCTCCGAGCTCCTAATGGCTCTTCCATCATAATCTACGGCTATGAGACCGGACTTAAGGTTATCTGGAGAGGAGGTAGACAGTTCACAGAACTGGAGCATGCTGAACCGACTCAGGGAAAAAGCACGACGAAGAATGGAGGCGATTCGGTCATGATCATTGACTCTGACGAGGAAGATGCGCCTGTGGCATCTGCGGCACCAGACGAACCCAACTACGACTTCGTCGCCGAGGAGACCGAGGTTGACCCTGCATTCCCATATGAGCCAGTCCTGCGACAAATCGATATTCCCTTGGGAAGCCGGGTGCTCGAACTAGCTGTCCCTCGTATTCTCCCGGAAGAGGCCCGCTCGCCTCTCGACCCTTTCCCGCCCATTTTGAAGAATCACATTGTTGTGTCAGCCGTCTGCTCTGATCTTTCAACGCGAATGGTAATTCTGCCGCTCGTTCCGCCTCACCCAGCCCAGACCGATTCCAAGACCTGGAATATTCAAACCCTCACTATCAATGGAGGTGTAACCCATCAGGATATTCCTCGAGGTGTGTCTCTCACATTCACTTGTCAGGAAATAGAGGAAGAGCAAGATCGCAGGAAGTCTCGAAGCCGAGTTGGAGGGTCAGGAAAATGGGATCTGCTCGTCGCAACACATTCTGCTGAAGGCTCCGGCGTACTGCTCTTGCATCGCATTCCGATTCAAGAGGACTCATCTGCCAAAGCCTTGTCCTACAACCTGCTAGAGGAAGAGCTTGTTTCTCAACGACGCCTCTTGCCGTCACCTGCGCAGACAATCGCTTTCAACCCTTCAACATATCCGTCTTCTCGACACTCAAACTTGTTGGTGGCATTCCATAGCGGATGCGTCAAGGTTTACTCTTGCTTCTCCGTCCAAAAAGCCTCCAAATCTGGTCGACGTGCATCCAGCGCACATGAGGATTACGAATCTATTGATACAGAAGGGCGCTGGCTCATCAGTCTATACCCCGGCTTTGAGCAGGGACCAACAGGTTTACCTCGCCGCAAGACAATCATTGATGCAGAGTGGGTTTTGGGTGGCCGGGCCATCATGGTTCTGCTGGTGGATGGTGAATGGGGTGTCTGGGATCTTGAGGGAGCTGGGCCAGGGGCCACCAAGGGTCCATTGCACCGTCAGTCGAGTGTCCAAGGTGTTACTGGGGGCTCACTGACAGCATATGCTGTCAGCGGACGGATTATGACACCACCGAGCAACATTCAGTCCGAGGCTGAGCAGCGTCCACGATTCGCGCCGATGACTCCATCGACGAAACGGGTGCGCGAAGACACTCTTCTCAAGGGATCAATGACAGCGGCCAGTCCATCACTACGTGGGCAGATCTCTGTATGCCAAACCAACTCTTCTCAAGAGCAGCTACCGGACGAGTCCATCCTGGTGCGCCATGGTCAGCAGAGTGCTGTCATCCCCAGCTTGCTTTCGCTCTGGCGTAATGCAGTTCGCACAACTGGCACTTTCGACTCCTCGAATAGGTGCCGTGTGACTCCATTCCAAGATGTGAACTTAATGGGTGAAAACTTCCAAGCGATCGGCCATCTCCCTACACCAACCCGCCGCTCGCGGGCTGCTGAACGCCACACCTTTGATATTCTTGTCGCTGCGGAACACCAGATCATGGTTCTTGCCCCGCGCTTGAGTGAATCTGTTGATTCTGCGCCTACCGCAGCAAAGCCGCAAGCCGTTGCAGAGAATGATCAAATGATGCTGCAACGAGGTGAGTTAGACGTGGAGGGAATGGGACGTCTTCTGAACGGCATGCAGAGCGGAGCTGCACCTCTTCGCATGGGAAGCCCCGTGAAGCGGACTCGCGTCTTTACTTGACTCATGGGCAGACTGGACTATAGATGATACCCATGCCAACGATGATCATTCATTTTCTCTTTGCTCACCTATTTCTACAATCCTAGGAACCCATTCGCGCTGTAGGGTGGAGCGCAAGGCGAGATCAATGCCTTGAAATTTCTTCTTCGAGGGGGAATAAGCTCTGTATCGGATGCGATATATCAAAAACCATCATATAAGGTGCTTGCACCTTCGCCTTGAACCTTGTGTCCTCTGCAGCATTCGTGTTGCAACGCCTGCTTTTGATTTCCGGAGTCCCTGCTGTCTTCTGCTGTCCGTATAGTTGCCGATCTGTCTCTCGACAAATCTTACATTGGCAGCTATTTCAGGTGGAAAGAAGAGAGTAGTCCGGTACAATTGCGGTGCGTCATTTGGCTCTCGTGGGACATTCTGTAAACGTAGACATGAAGACGTAAGATGGCGCAATCTTCCGATCTCCGAGTCTCCACCGATCGGGGCTCTCGTATCGATCGTATCGATCGTATCGATAACCAAACCTCGATCTTCATCTTGACAACCATTGCCTTCCGATTCCTCCCCTCCCCCCCCTTTCCATTTCTCATCTTTCTGCTCTCCTACTCTTTTCAATAGATGGCCTTTGCATCATGACCCAAATTAAAACCCCCCTCGTCCCCTTCTAGGCGGAGTAAGTCACAATCTGCAGCTGCTGCACATCCCACTTGGAGGGGGAATGCCGCCGAATCGCAAACTCATTGAGGTGCTCCAATTCCAATACTAACACATGAACCCAGTATGGGCCTCCTTAATCACCAATATGGATTACCTACCCGGTCTTCTAACCCTCCACCACTCCCTCAATCACCCGCAGCCCGACCCCAGCGTCACGAACGCGAACACGCCTACACCTCCAGACCGAGGCACCCGCTACTCCTTCGTGGCTTTCTACACCTCTAGCTTCCCACCTGAAGGTCTGAAAATTCTCCAGTCTCGCGGTATCACCGCTCAATGGGTTCCCAACGTCGTCCCCGCCAGCACGCGTGAATACACGCAAGACCCACGCTTCGCTGACACATGGACCAAGCTCGTCGCATTCTCACTGGAAGAATACGAGCGCGTGGTCCTACTAGATGGCGATATTCTAGTCCGCCGAAATATGGACGAACTGATGGAATTAGAGCTGGATCCGAAGGCAGCTCTAGAGGATGGGACCGGAAAGAGGGTTTTTGCAGCGGCGCATGCTTGCGCATGTAACCCGATGAAGAAGTCTCACTATCCGGCGCACTGGTACGATTTCTTCCGTTTTGAAGTCCACCCTACATTGATTGCCATCGATATGAAAACCTCCAAATTTCACCTACTAATCTATTTCGACCCAGGATTCCCGCAAACTGCGCATATACAGCACAACACCCAACGCCAGATTCGGCGCATATTTCTGCCCCACCAAGAGATTCGGGCGTCGGCATGCTAAATAGCGGTGTACTCGTTGTGACCCCATCATCTAAGATCTACAGCGAGATCATGTCTGCCCTTCAAGAGACAGAACGAATTGAAAAATACGATTTCCCGGACCAAGAGCTTCTATCAGACGTTTTCAATGGGCGCTGGGTTGCGCTTCCATACGTTTATAATGCGCTGAAGACTCTACGGATGGAGAATGTGCATGGAGCCATTTGGAGAGACGAGGAGGCCAAGGCTGTACATTACATATTCGCGAAGAAGCCATGGCATGAGGTGGAGGAAGCAAAGGAGAAGAAGCTCAGTGAGCTTAGTCTGTGGTGGTGGAAGGCCAATTGGGAGAGGCAGAGGTTGGAGAGGGAGAATGGGGTCGCGGACGCCTTTTCGGGGTGATCTTTCACCGCGGAGTCTTGCTAGAACATTATACCAGTTGGTTTACAAAGGCACTGACACAACCTTCTGTGTTAATATTGATCTGTTAAAGAATCGTCGGAGATGCGGTGGGATCCTAGAGCTTCTGTTACGCATTTTGTCCGCGCAACTCTACACTTCCAAGACGCCTTCGAGTCTCGACTGTTGTCTTGGTACCCAAGAGATTACTAAGAGATTACCATCTCTTCATATCAATTGACAGCCTCACTGACGTCTGACAGGCGCCACCCACAAACTTTTCCCGTTCCTCAACAAGTGGGTGAGAATAATTGGCAGGTTGTGGAACACAAAAACATAAACCTCTAGATGCAAATACACCGCACGAGTCATTCGAGTTTCATCTAATATTTTCGATATAGACCGGGTTCTGTGTCTGGAATGCGATATACAACCGATATACAGAACCCAATGCACCACCTCATCCGCTCCTATTTGCAACTCAACATATCACATCTTATCTCACTCACCCAGTGTAGCCAGAAGCATCAAGCTCCTTACGCACGGAATCCTCAGTCTGGATCTTCTTCATCTGAGTATCCTCCAGCTTCTCACCACCTGCAAGACGCATCTTCAGCTCATCAATAGCACGGATCTTCTTGAGCAGGCCGCGGATCTTCTTATCCTGAGCGGAGGGCTCAATCAGGACCAGCGGGGGCAGGAGGAGGCGAAGGGGCGCGCTTGGGAGTGTTTCCGTTTCCGTTGACGGGGGGAGTATTCTTGCCGCGCGAGCGATTGCGATCGGGGCTAGGACCGGTAGGGGCGTTGGCAGGGGAGCGTTCTCGTCGTCGCGGGCCTTCTTAGCCTCACGCTTTTTCTTATTTTTGGCTGCGGACTTGGAGAGCTTCTCGTCGGCGCCCGCGGGGAGGGGGACACCACCACCAGGTGCGGCACCCGGGGGCAAATACTCCTCGACGGGCTCGGCCCCGGGGATCTCACGGCGGCGGGGCTTACCGAAGCCGTTCATACTGGCGCCGGGAATACCGTCGCGAACGAAGGCGGCCCCGCCCTGGTCCTCGCGCTTGAAGGCAAGGGGGGTCAGCTGGCCGCGGGCTCCGGGGGGCGGTAGGCGCCGGCGGGCTTGACGGGGGCCTTGCGGGTGCTCAGATAAGCGGTGGCAGAAGGATGAGGCACGGGAAGCTTGGTGAAGGGGTCACCGAGGGGGTGCTGCTCGGTAGTCTGGGGACGCCAGGTGATATCATAGAGCTCGGTCATTTCCTCGTTATACACGAGGCTTCCGCTGACGTGCCAGATGCGCACGCCGTTGTCAACGCGCAGACGCGGGCTGGTGGTGGCAGTCAGGATGTACTGACCGTCGGGGGGACCAAGAGCACACACTGGCGTTAGAGGCCTCGACAGTAGCGATCTTATGATAGTTCTTCTCCATGTCGTAGAGATCCATCTGGCCTGCCAGGTTGCCGAAACCGGCAACCAGGACGAATCGACCATGAGGAGAGAACTGGATGGTATTCCGCGGGCTCAACGGGAAGTTGTGCTTGGGCACACCACGCAGATTGAAAATGGTGGTCTTAGCGGGCATGTAGCCGTAGACGACACCAAACTCCTTGGAGTTGGGGTTCCAACTCACATCGTGGATGGGTCCTTCTTTGTCTGTTTGCGAACATTAGTATCTGTTCAACAGTCTCCAAAATAGTGAGAGAACGTACCAAGATCAACCCGAGAGTCGAAAGCACCACTGGCGCTGAGCAGATACAAAGTAGTCTCGCCATAGTAACTCTTTCCAGTGCGATCGACCTCAGTCTGCGCAAGGACAATGCAGGTAGTGCCAGAAGAGTTCCACTTCAGCTGAACCTTGTCGCCCTTGAAGAAGCTCTTCTGAGAAACGGGGGCACCAAACTGCGGCACAATGAAAACCTTCACAGCAGCAGGCTGGCCCTTACGCTCAGGAATAAAGACAGCAATAGATTGAGTCTTTCCAGGCGAGAGAGCGAAATCAGCCACCCCCTCGACGTGTAGCTTATTCCAAACAGTGGACAAGTTGTCGCTCTGGAAGAATTGGACCTGGTTGGTCACGACACGGGCACACAGCTTCTCGTCCGGGGTGTACTGCAGGTTCCAGCCTGTCTGCGACTTCTGGACATAACTGCCCACAACAGTGTGCTCATCTCCACTCTCAACAGCGCGCCACACCTTCAGATTCTTTGTTGCATCCCCATTCTCGTCCTTGCTGGCGCGTTGCCAGGTGATAACGTAGGTACCGAACGGGAGAAGCCCAGCTCGAACACGTTCTCGGCCGGGATAGTCGAAACCAGGTTACCCGAGGAGGCATCGACAATGGTGACCCTACAAAGAGAATTGTTAGACTGCAAGATACCAAACAGACACCCCGGGTCAAACGTACTTTTCAGGAGATGCAAAGGCGTAATAACGGCCACATGGAGAGTAAGAGCTGCAACGGAGGTTTCCCTCAGGTCTGCACAAAACACACAAGTCAGTCACCGAGATACACAGTCCAAATCTAGCGCAAACCTACCTCACAAAGCCCGACAGAGCCTCATAGGTAGGGGCAGCATTCATGATGCCAATGCCCTTGAGGGTACGGTCTAAATCAACGTCAGCATGACCATCCAAACAAGCACGTGCCCCAATGGATCCAGGCATCCGCCATTCACACATCGGGGTTATCAGAGAACCACGCACAAGCAAGTTGCGTCGGAGCCGCCATGATGAAATTCGTAAAATCGAAATCTGGAACGAAGTCGCCACCAAAAAGTGTCTTTAAAGTCGTCCGTGAAAAGAACGAATCAAAATCGCTATCGACTAAGAATCAAGTCTACCAAAAGACCAGATAAAGATGCAGACGTCCGATCGGCAAGACCCAAGCCAAAATTTGCAAGCAGGGTGCGAGCAAGAAACAGGAACGTAGGGCCTAGTGTAGGAGGTAGAACGGTACCAAGACGAAATTAGTCGATCGAAGGACAACTTCAATGAAGATTCGGGGCGTGAATCGAATCAGAAGCGAAACGTGGCAAGGCAGGAGGGATGGCGAAGGCTCAATTGGAGCGTAAGCGCAAGATGTAGATTGCTTGTTGGAGAGATGGATCTTCAGTGCTAGACAAGTCAATGCCAGCAGAGGGCGGAGTCCGAGGGGGAGGGGGAGGTGTTCGGGGTGGGGGAGGTTGAAGAGTCTAAGTCAAAGGAATGGAAAATTCGGGCGGGTTCAGCTCGGCGGCATGCCGTCATCTGGGCCTTTTTCAATCACCAATAAAGGTACTAGAGTATTTGGATTACTACCGCTTCTGCTTAATCTTCCATGCTCATACAGTTTTATGTCCTGATTTGTTTACACTTCTAGGGATCATTTATGGTATTTATACTGTCTAACACCATCGGTACAGGTACATACAAAGCATAAATCAAAGGATATCAATGTTCATTCTTAAACATGCCACGCCACACACCAGCCAAAGAAGCAACCCAGAAAGAAAGTATTGCTAAAAAGTGCGAGATATTGCATAACTGATACATTTCTGTCGTGACCACCCATCAGGGTGTCTGATTGCCCGATATTCCTCCATAGAAATACATTCCACACTTCACATCCCACCCCGAGCAAAGGTAGAATCAATCCAAAGAAACAGATCCCTACACAATGATCAAATGAAACACACCATGCAATCCATCTGAATTCTTATTCATTCCTGCGACCCAGCCTATTCCCGACTTGGGATATCGAAGCCACCACTACTCTGATTAGGAGTAGCCAGCCGCGGGGTCCTCGCCGTAGTATCAACGACATCTGAATCAAAAGTCATCCCATCAACCATGCGCGCGTCCTCAGTAACAGGTTCGGGTGTAGTCGAGCCCGTTGGTGAAGCAGACATCATCGCATCCCCTTGTTGACTCTGCTGCTGAAGGTACGAAGCAAGCGGATTCGGTCTCCCAACATTTGAGCTCATAGAAGTAGGTCTCGCAAGCCCACCAGAAGGAATGCGATTCAAACCCGGCGGTCGCGACACCGGACCGCTAATGGTACTGTTCGCTCCCTCACCAAAGCCCACGAGACTAGCGTTCCCTTCATCACTCATGGTGCCGACGCTGGACTGTCCGTCGTCTGCATCAGGGTCTTCACTCATCTTGTCCGCTTCGAATGTATCGCTGGATGTCCAGGTCGTGTGTCCGCCGAAACTACCTGTGGCGCTGGCGCTGCCGACTGTACTGCGCTCTTTTAGCCCGTGGCTGTCGAAGTAGCCCGGGCCATGGGGGATGGACGGGGCAGTGGTGGGACCTTGGCGGGCTGTTGCGACTCGTTCTAGACCGGCGAGGCGGGAAATGCGGTCTGCTCGCTCGGCCTCGAGGGTGGTGGTTGAGGAGGTTGAGGCGGAGGAGGACTGGTGAGCGTGACGGCCGTGGGGGGAATGGTTGGCCTTGATGGCCATCTTTTATGGCTGTGGTGGACAGCGCGGAGAGGGAGGTATTTCCAGAGTTGGGAGTCCCTCTAGGAAATGTTATGGTTAGTTGATTGTTATGAAGTCGATAAAGGGAATCGGGATCTTACGGTCCCATGTCGGACGGGGTGACAGGGTCCGAGGGAGGGGGAGGGAGGTTGATCAGCGTAGGAGTGGTCATAGTGAGTCTAATGCGTAAGTTTTGAAGACCTTGAGACCTTGAAAGCAAAATTGGTCGGTGAAGATGTGACAAACGATGGAAATTGCGGGGAGTAACTAATGATGGATCCGCGAATCTTTGGGAACAATTCAGTGATCGCTGGGCCTCGACGTCATGTTTAGCCTAGGCAACCCCACCTTTCATAGTCCGATAGGAATCGATAATGGAACTGATATTTCATACATTTCATTCATACAAGTCATCTCGGCTATGGAACAGATCTAATCATGCAGCCCGCTGCTTATTTCTCACCGGCCGTGCGCTCGCCGAAGGTCATCCACCTCTTTCTGTAATCGCGACAAATCAGCCAGTATATCACTCGCATGGGATGGCTGCGGCAGGGGTGTTTCTCCTGTGGTTTGAGACACCGGACCCCCGTCACTACCACGGTGTGAGTCTCGTCCTCGACGAGGCGGGGGGTGGGTGGTGCGGTGGAGGAGCCCGTTCCAATACTACCATACGACGAGGCACGGTGTCCAGCCTGATTGAGATTGGGCCTTGAGCTTGGGGGAGGTGATAGAGAATCTGTAACCCCAGCTTGAGGCTCCCCGGAAGGTGGGGGCATGCTGATGCGCTTGCGGTCCTGAGACATAGACGAAGCGACGGAACGATTGGACGGGCCTGGACTCGGAGGCTGGGAGCTATCGTTACTCTCGGAATCAAGCGAAGACATGGTTAATCGACTGCCACTAGATTTGGACTGGGTGGACTTTGACCGCCGCATTTGGCTGTGGCGTCGGCTGAGAGGCGGCGTTGGTGGTCGCTTCGGTTGGGAATTGCTGCGTTGGAGCAAGTTGGCTGAGTCGGTTGCCCTTCGGGTTTCAGAAGAAACCGAAAAGTAATCTCTTGGTCCTGCATTGTAGACTGAACTGGCATTGGGAGTCCCTGATGCTCGTGCAGAGGGCAAGCTCTCTGGGGAAGATGCATGGTATGAAAGGCGGTGGTTTGGTCGAGGAGGTGTGGCGATCGAGGGAGAAGCTGTATTGCCTGCAACACTAATTCGCTTTCCATGATGACTTCTGGGCGGCGGCGGGGGTTTCCTATCTTTGGAACGGCTCGTGCCTTGTTCTTGTTCAGAAGAGATCTTTCTCGTCCGCGGCATGGGGGCAACTTCTTCGGCCGAGTTGAATGCCTCTGTATCGGCTATAGAGCCCATTGTGTGTTCGGATGATGTGAATGATAGCTTTGACGGAGGTGTCGTCGATGATCTATTTGATGGGACTAGGTATGGAGCTAACCCAGACGATGCTTGCGGGCGATCGACGAGAACAGGGGAGTTCCTTGAGCTCTCTGCGTCGTCCTTATCGTCACCGTCGTTGTCACTCACCGATGAATCGGGATTGAAAGGGTCAGCCTGTTCATCAAAGCTCGAGTCACCGGTCTCAACGCCGAGCGATAAAGACGACTTTCCGAGGTGACCGTTGGGCACCGGGATGGAGGGATTGGAGGGCAAGGGCGCTACAATGCTTGTAGCTGGGAAAGCTGGAGGCTGTGATGCTATAGCCGCAATAGAATCACCTATTCCACGGTCCATTAGCTCGCTGTGAGGAGATTGAAAGCTCCTTGCATCATTGTCTTATCGGACGTGGCGGGCGTTGGGGAAAGAGATGAGGGGCTCACCGTCCAAATTCTTACGGAAGGGATTGGAACCAGACATCACGATGGGGGCAGCTCCGACAGTAAAACGAGAAGAAGACGAAGATGTGAAGAGGGGGAAGAGGCATCCCCGCCGCGATTCTTATCCATTTCTACGCGCCGCTTTCCGAGTGACGCAGTCCGGGAGCCCCGAGAAACTACACACCAAGAGTATAACTAAACGAAGAGAAACGTTAGACCTGTTCAAACAGAGGAAAATAATCGGTTTTGAAATGGCTGACACGAGTCGTGCAATATATGGTACAAATGAATCACGATAACAATGGCCTCCCCGGGAAATAAACAAGAAAATCCAAGAAAACCCCCTCCCCCAAGAAACCCATAGTAAAAGATAAATAGATGACCTCTGTCATCACCTCTCGTTATACACATGCCACGTCTCATTCTCCTCGAAGAACTTCTGCGCCAACCGCTTACCGCTCTCCGTAGGCTGGCTAAATGCGATCTGGTTTTTTGGGATCTCCATGCCGTAGATGTAGTTGCTCACCACGCAGTCCAGGAGATCCAGGGCAATGCCCTTCCGGCGCGACGCACCCGAAGTCCAGATGCGCGAGACGCCGACAATGGCCGGGTGCACCTCGTCGCGCACCGACACGGACGAATTATTCCCGTTCGGGTCCTCCTGTGCGACCGGTCGGGATTCCCAGATGCGCTCTGTCAAACAGAGCCCAACACATCGGCTGTCTTTCATATGGAGGAAAACTCGGTATCGGTCCACCTTGTCCTCGCCGTCTGCCTTCTTATCCTTCGGAGGCTCTGTTTGGCCCCAGAGCAGCTCGTCGTCGATCTCTGGAGATGATAATTCCTTGTTGACCACCTCAAGCACCCTCTTCGCTTGATTCTTGGCACTGGGTGATGCCTTGCGGTCCACGATCACCACGTAGCCCTCGTCGAAGCGTGTCGCTTCGTAGACCCAGCGCGAGGCATTCGCGCGCATGAATGCCTTGCCCAGATCCACACCGGTCGAATTCATTTCATGGAACTTTTTATGCAGGGCAGCATCCTCGGAATTGGAAGGGATATATTCCATGCCACATGTCGTACAGGTCTTGCGCACCTCATTCCCTAAATCAATCTGCATCTGTCGCATCGCTGGTTTCTGCGCTTTGTTCTTGGGCGGGTCGGCAGAAGAGCGCACGCTGTTAGAGTTGACCTCTGTTAGAGGAGACGCGGCGGACGCGTCCTTGTGCTTGCGCTTGAGAAAGGCGAAGGTGGGCTTGCGGGTGTTTGCTGGTGGGGGAGTCAATCGCGGTGGCGGCGAGGATGGTGGCGTGGTGAGATCGTCGATATCGTCCAGGGTGCCTTCGGATGGAACCACTGAATTGCGGCGTGAGGGACTGGACAGAACAGCGGCAGACGATTCACGAATCGCACTCTGGAGATTTGTCTCTGCCTCGTCGGACTCATCTAGGACGCGTCGTTTCTTCGCGGCCCGCTCATCGTCATAAACGCGCCATGTCGGTCTCCCGTATGTTTTCATCAGGCCTCTGTGGGAGGGTTGTTAGTAGGAGTCTTCGAAGGGGAAACAGATCATACCGCTTGAAAGAATTGGTGACAGTCCACGGCATCTCCCTTATGCCCAGAATAATGGCAGGATGGGTTTGTTATTTCGGGGGGTTTTGCACTTTACATAGGTTCCACTGCACGCGTGGCGCTAACTTGTTTAGGTCATATTGTTCGACGGGAGGGAAGCTCAACTCACGGTTATCCCTTGCCGGTGCGCAGTCTGGGGTTGGAGATGTCACGCTGGAGGGGTAATAGAGTCCAGGGGAGGTTGGGTAATCCCGTCGATACCAAGTTTCCAGGTTGTGATGGGGGATGGTTCGGTATTAAGTAGCTCAGGTCCAACAAGAATCGCCACCCGGGAGATGAATGAAGATAGTTACAGTACAGAGAATACGACTGGGAAGAGAAGGCACGAGCAAAGAAAGTCCCAGCCGTCTTTTTTTCTTGTAGAAAGAAGATGAAAAGGAATGGCAGTCTGCATTTTGCATTGACCATTCCTGAATTCCGGTGAATTTCTGCCTGGTATGCTCGGGCAGAACCCCTTTCCAGGAACCGCTCATCTACACGCTTATTTCTCATCCTCTACCCCATCTGACTATGACGATGACGATGGCTATAACTATGCCTATGGTTATGACTTGCTCGTGGCTCTGAGCCTTGCCCAGCCTACGCCCCCCTAGAATCTTCCAGTGTACTAAATCTAGCTAGCACTCACGCCTCTCGCCCATCTTGCATTGCATCGTGCAAGGTGTGTCGCCCGATCGCCGACCGCTCTCTGACTTCGTCATGTTCATTCAATTTCGCCCGGTTTCTCGCCTTTCCAGTCACTTCCACAGGCAGCCGGATCTCCTGGCGATCCTGATTGGGCTGTGTTGATGAGACGAGATCGGGATCGAGGTCACTGATTGGCCTGGATGGAGACGGCGGTAACGAAGTTTACAAAGTTACATACGCTCTTCAGCGGCCCGGATCTCCAGGGTATGCCTATTCAGCATGAAGTTTCAGAGTGGATGGGACTCGCCACTTGAATTGCAAGCTAATGGGCCAGAATCCAAGGTGGCTGAGATGGACCACTTTGCGCCGACAGCCACGAGCGCAACGGGCTCAGCGGGCACTACCGGGCACTACTGGAACTACTTTGGCACCAGGAACTAGCTTCACTTCGGATGTGCGGCCATACTGCTGACTCAGGTCGTCTCACTTAGGGGATCAACTTTAGACTCAGTCAGCCTGGATCCTGCACACTGACGGACTCCGGCGGTGACCTTTCTATGGCTTTCGACGTACGGGCTGGCGAGAATCGATTGGCAGAAACTGGCCAGGGACTCCGTTGCAGGTCTGTTACACATGCGCATCACCTGCTTGACTCGAGTGGATCGCGGGGGTCTCTGAATAGTCACTGCTGAGTGCAGATTATGGGTGGGTCGGTACCTACAGTAGAGGGGCCTCGGATTGTCGTTGGGACTTCCATCCTGGGAAGGTCTTCTGCAGAGCATAGAGTATAGGGTGTCATCTCAATCCCTTCAACACGGCCACCATAGTATCTAGAAGGATAAGCCGACGATACGAACTATATAACTCCGGCTGCAAAGCTACCGAGATAGCTTGCAGGAGCAAGCTCGCCCGAGAGCCGAGAGGAAATTCCCGCGAAAAACTGTGATCTGTCATAAAGCCCTCGAAATTCTCGAAATTCTTTGGTCTGTGCTGAGGAGCTTCTCGTTAATCGATTGAAATTTTTTTCCAGCTGCTCCAGACTAATTCCTTTCGAAGCATCTCGCAACAATTGTTGTGAAGTCGAGTGTCGGTCCCGCTTTTGACCCGCGGAACCATCTGCGGAGCCGGAGTCAACTCAAAAATCTCTTCTGATTCCTCCCCAACTTCATTCCCCATACCAACCATGTCGGACGACGCTTCTGGTGCTGGAAAGCGTAAGCGCGCGAGTGAGTTGCAATTTGTTCCCGCCTGAACCCTTCCCCGGTGCTTGCAACTTGGAAGCCCAACATTTCCGAGTTGGCCCAGGATCTACGGACCAGCAAAGCGGCGTCGACGCAGATTTCCGCTTCGTCAACGCCATGTTTTTTTTTCTTGTCTACCAACCTTGTCAATCCTATTTCCTCCATTCTGTTTTATCGCATACCGGAATTTGCAGGATTGTCTGCTCATGGCTAACCGGATTGTACCTACAGGGACCCAGTCGTGCCCCCCGCCCGAGCTGCCTCAACTCGTTGCGGAGCAACATGTCGCCATTCCCACACACGACAAGGACACTCAGCGTTTGATCGTCATTCTCTCCAATGCCAGTCTGGAAACCTACCGGGCGTCTGCCGGGCGCGGTGGCAAGGATGAGAAATACTCCCTGCTGAACAGTGACGAGCACATCGGCATCATGCGCAAGATGAATCGTGATATCAGCGAGGCTCGACCGGACATCACCCACCAGGTATGATCTACGAGAGAGAGGCTTGCAGGCTTGAACGATGGGCTAACAATCCCTCCCAGTGTCTCCTTACTCTTCTGGACTCTCCCGTTAACAAGGCTGGCCGCCTCCAAATTTTCATCCACACGGCCAAGGGTGTTTTGATTGAGGTCAATCCGTCCGTCCGCATTCCTCGAACCTTCAAGCGATTCGCCGGTCTGATGGTCCAGCTGCTCCACCGCCTGTCGATTCGCTCCACCAACTCACAGGAGAAGCTCCTCAAGGTCATCAAGAACCCGATCACCGACCATCTGCCCCCAAACTGCCGCAAGGTGACGATGAGTTTCGATGCCCCCGTGGTCCGTACCAAGGACTACATTGAGTCGTTGGGCCCCAAGGAGAGCATTGCGATCTTCGTCGGTGCCATGGCCAAGGGCCACGACGACTTTGCCGATTCATTCAAGGATGACACTATCAGTATCAGCAACTACAGTTTGAGTGCCAGTGTGGCTTGCAGCAAATTCTGTCACGCGGCTGAGGAAGTGTGGGACATTCTGTGATCGGCAGGCTGAATATTGCGCAGCTGTAAGCGCGCCCTCTGCCCTCCGCATGCAGAATCGGTAGAGTTCCTGGAATTGCCATGAATCCCAACGAATTTCCTTGCGACGAGTTGACACCGCGGATCGGGGATTTCTCAATTCTGAGCTTGACCTCTTGCGTTGACCAACAGGGTCCGTCTCCGGTACATGAATTTCCACAATTTCTTGTTTTCTTTTCGACTGCCGTCCCGAGACACGCCTTTGTATCTACTCTTCTCATTTTGTGTTTTTGAAAGATCTATTGACTGTCGGGATGCCCGAGCACGGGACGGCCAGTGTCGAAGTTGCTCTAGGAGCAGGGTACAGGGGTGACTTGAATGGGAAACCCCCTTCTATCGACAAAGAGACACTCGGACTGGATGGCATTTGGTTCCTTTTCGCAGTCCAGTCCTGAATCCGACTCTCCGCCCGCGAGTGTGGCGAGACTAGAAAAAGTGAACATAGAGAGGAGTCTGGCTCCTATTTAGGCACATACTGTGTGATAGTACAAAAGACTTACGGTTGCTCATCTACGTCGGGCGGTACTACTGGAGGACCGATATCTCGTACTTTGTAGATCCAGTCATGTAGTGTAGTCACGTTAGCTGCAATGTTCGACGTGGCAGGCCGCTTGCCTCACTTTGCGACTAATTATGCAGCTAGTCGGGACTATGCATTTGCTGTACACGGACAATCTTGGTTTCCTTTGGGCACTAGACTTGTGCCCCGCGACTTCTCGACCTCTCGACTATTTCGACGGTCTCGACTATCTCGTCCACGACTGTAGGGGGTCCTATGGACCAGAATTCGAAGATAGAAAAAGAAGAGTGAGTCAAACGGGTTTGTCAAGGACGTTCATAGTCCATAGTGGCGGTCAGCAGCATTTGCCTCAAGAGCAAAACCCACGATATGCGCAAATGAGCATTTCGATTTCGTACTCCACCGTCACGTCCCGCTTCACGGTTTGTCCAACCAAGCGAGGATTTCCCCCTTCATCCACGGCCCACAGACCAAGTGCCTGTGGTGACCTGGCCCTTGAGATCCGAGCGGCACAATCCACCTACAAACCTATTTCCCCCGCCCCAATGAACACCTTCCACTCCTCACCGAATCTGGCCAGCAACATGTCCAAGGCCCCCTCTTCGGGTCTACTTCCGTTTACCACACGACTAACCACGCTACAGCAGTACAGGGCTTTCCTCAAGTGCCGCCTCACTCTAAATCTAGAAGCGGCGCGTTTCACCTCCCGACGTGTAGATCGCTCAATGCGGTAGGGTGTCCTGTTCACGCTGCCAACAAGGGGACCGATCCACACTGCACTGGCACATTGTTGCTCCACGCAGACAGGAGAGACCCAGTCGGGCCGTAGGCTTTTCCATTCTAGGCCGGTGGATAGTCGGATTTTCGGTGGCATCTTGGGCAGAGAGGGTCCTTTCCCTATTTTTATGGAGATGATGGATATTATGGGAATACAGGCTTTTCTTTTCCCCTTCCTGATTGTCTGCGTCCGACTGGTTCCTGACATCTGAGGAAGCGTGAACGGTGGTGTGTCATCGTTCAGGGCTTTTGATAGAGTTGGGAGGTTCTCTCACCGTATATATTCCATCCCTGTCCAGGTGCATATGGTCTTTCTTTCTACTTCTTCATCCTCTATACATCAACTCTTTCAATACATCCTTTCTATCCTAAGATCGCGACGCTGGCACGACACGCGATCTAATCGATATGCCTGTCTCGCATCTAACCGTGACAGTCTCCCACCTGCCTACCTCGACTTCGTTCTTTCTGTCTTGTCTCCAGCCGTTGGGATACCAATTTATTGGTCGAGTGGAAGATTATATCGGGTTCGGACAGAAGGCAGGTGCCCTGCCGATTTCTGGATCACCGAGCAGAAGCCTGGGTAAGTTCCTAAGTTCCAAGGTCAACTTGTTTGATATTTAACTAAAAGTGGGGATGAGTGGGCTAATTCACATACCTCCATAGACTTGCGGTCAGCGCCGTCCACGTCGCTTTCCCAGCCCCGTCAAAAGAGGCCGTCCAGTCCTTCGTCTACGCTGCGGTCAAAGCTGGCGCAAAGCTTCATGGCGAGCCTCGAGAACGAGATTCAATATCTGGGTACTACAGTGCCGCCGTAATTGATCTCGATGGAAATAGCGTCGAAGCGGTATACCGCCCCGGTGCTTCGGTCGTTGCATCAGAAGCCGGAGGGCCGACCATAGCACTCCTGGAAACCAGATCGGTCGTGTCCAAGAGCAGCAAAGCTACCTCTGTCAAGGCTGAGAGTGTTGCACCACCCAGATCCGAGGCCAAGTCTCGTGCTGTCTCCAAGGCTCCCACTGCCGTTTCGAAAGCTCCGACTGCAATATCTAAAGCGCCTACTGCTGTTTCCCATCGGTCTCAGGGTCCACCGCCGTCATACACGACGCAGACGGCCCAGAAACCTGATGATGGGAGCAAAGTAGCTAAGACCATTATCGGTACTCTGATCGGCGCCGCTGCTGGTGCTGCGGTTGCATATGCAATGGTCAAGGGAGACTCTCAGTCAACCAGTGAAGAGCCCAAGGAAGCTCCGCATTACACGCCTGAGTCCCACCAGCTCATGGCACCACCATCGCATGTCTCTTCCCGTCGAGAGGACCAATATCTCATGGGATCACCATCCCAAGTCTCCTCGCAACACCATGTGAGAGCTCTCGAAGCTCCCCCCCACGCGCAGCATCTACACCAGCGCATCAGGCCCTCGATCCACTGTCACCCGCAGTGTATTCTCCAAGAACCCCCGCGCCAGCACCATCTACGAACCTACCGAGTTCTACGACGACCGTGGGCGCCGCGCCTCGGACGGCAGCATTTTCAGCATCCCTGAGGACATCCCCCTCCGAGCAATCGAGTATCCACCGCCCAGCCACAGCTCGCAGCAACGTCACCCCTGCAACCCAAGCACCTTCATCAGCAGCTATGCCGCCGACAAGCCGCGAGACGGCAGCGTGCACTCAGCCTCAACAATCAAAGCATCTCAACAAAGCCTCCAACGTCGCCATAGCCACGACGACAGAGATACGTACTCCTCGCACAGCAAGCATTCGCACCGTGTCAGTTCCTCCCATTCCAAGGGCCAAGACGCAGTCAGCACGGCCTCGTCCACTCGTAGCGCGCGCAATATCCCCCTCCCCACTGGTTCCAACGCAACATACTACAGCGCCAGCGCACACCCAGGCCAGGGCAACAAATCACATGTGTCCGCGCGCGAAGTGCCTCTACCCGACAGTGTCATCGACCTCGACCTCGACTCGCATGTCACCCCGGATGACTCAATCAGTCAAGTTGGGAGCCGGACTCGATCCCACTCGCATCGCTCGAGTCATTCGAAGGCTTCGAAACACTCGTCTCGATCGAAGATGGATGAGCCTATCAGACCCGCTGATAGTGTGAGTCAGGTGTCTAGGGTTTCGCACCGGACCGTGAAGGCGGGCGGAAGTAAGGCGCCGTCGCATTCGGGTAGTCGACGTAGTCAGGTTGCTGTTTGATTGTTGGGTTTCTTGGATGCTTTTTACATCCTGCATCTTTTTTGATCCTTTTTTTCCATCCTCTTTTTCCAATTTCTCTTTTCTTCCTCTGATTCATCTTCTTCTACATCCTCTTCTTTTTTGACCTCGACCATTTGACCATTTCACCAATTGGCCCGAGACAATCACACCTGCATTTTGCATACAGACGACAGATAACATTCGGTTTCAGTTGTTCATTCACATTTAATAGTTGCAATATAGTTACATTTTGCATTTCTAGAAACATACATCACATTACAATTGCAGTTATACAATTGCTTTCATATACCAATACTCTTCTAAGATGTGCAATTGATCTCATGTTCAGTTTTTTCTCTCTAAAACAGAACACAGACCATAACTCCTCCCGACCTTTCGGATTAAAATATTCCCCCCAGTTCATCCAATTGGTAACAGGCTTTCGGGAATTGAAGATGACTCTTGGCAGCCCCCAAACATGTTGCGAGGAGTCCGCTTCATCCGTAATTCCTCGTTAGTGGAACACACTAGGGTTCCTCGGCGCCAATCAAGCCGGAGATTCCAACCCGCACCGTGCGCCAGGGCAACTGAATCCCGAGAGTCCTTGTTAAACCTCCTTAACATCTAGTATATAATAGTCAAGCACAGCCCATATTGTGAAATCTCTCACCCTCAATCTCTCATAAATTCAAACAACCCCACATTCAACCCATCTAGTACACACCATGCCATCAATCAAGCAGCTACTCCTCCCTACAACCCTCCTCCTCGCCACCGCGACAGCATCCACCTGCCCAAAGAACTGGCTAGAAAACACCCCGACCAATGGATCCTCCAAATGCTGCTACGGCAACATGGTGATCGATGACACCACCGCCTACTGCTGCGTGTACGACCTGACTCCGAAGGCCACCAGCGACTCGACGACAACCGATGACTACGATAGCTGGTCCACGGCTGGCGATTGTTTCGCCAAAATCCCCTTCACCGCAAGCGACTACTCACAGCAGGTGTCTTCGGCGTCGGAGGTCTTGGCTACCAGCACTATCATGACGAATGAGGCGACGACCACGGCAAGTTCGACTTCGACTTCAGGTTCGAGCTCAACTTCATCGAGCTCGACTTCAAAGACGAGCTCCAGTGCAAACTCGGCGTCTACTGCCTCCGCTACCAATGCCGCTATGCCGATGGCTACAGGTCAGGAGATGATGCTTGGCGCTGCTGTTGTTGTCGGGATGTTCGTGCTTTGATTGTGGATTCGATGTGATCTCATTACTGTCTATAGGTGCTTCTTGAAGCGCTAGAAGATACTGTATTCTTGTATTTTTTACGCTGCTATATTATCTCTGATTTTTTTCCTTTTCAAACTTGTTAGAAGGGGACGACAGGAAATGTGTAGAAGAGTGATATAGTAATGCTTTTAAAAAAAAAAAAAAAAAAAAAGGGGGAGCTATCTAGGCTATGCACACAGCTGGAAGTCGGTTACCATTTGACTGAATTCTATCTCTGAATCAATAGCGACGTGTTTCGGAGATCATATTGACCCATTCCGCGCACAGAAGTGAATACCTTTTTGAGGAGGTTCGGAAAATACAGCCGGCCGCAATTGCCGGTTTAATGTCATCAGATGAGGAAAAACACATATTGGAAAGTGAGCGCTTGCATCGCGAATACGATAGGCAATACGTTTATCAGAAGCCTTTTTGCAAGTACTTCCCAACAAATCCCTTGTCTGACATGATTGTCCATGGTCGTCCACGATTGAGGGAGTGGCCCGAACTTGGAGATTTGCGAGGGGATAATTTTGACGTCAAGATGTTTGAGCTAGCTCAACTACAATTGAGGAACAAATGTTAAGACGGACCGGCCTGGATTGTGCTATCTGCGACAAGAAAAAAAGAAATCGTTAAAGCCCTCCGCCGGCCATCCGCACGCAGTCCTCGCCAACCCCATCATCTCCATGTTTCCCTTGCGATTCAATCCACTAGCATCGTAAGCATCGCACTCTCCGAGATACCGCGAAGGAAGGTTTTTATCACCGAAGGATAATGTCTTTTTCTTTTTCTTTTCTTCGAGATTAGAAGAACAGGAAGAAAGCAACAAGAGACTTAAGAATCTTCAGAAGCCTCACAACTCCCAGATCAAAAGTCACGAGTCACACAAGAGATGCCATGAATGCGGGGAAAGGGTCATAATGATCGTTTGATATGACATGTCCCGGATTAACAGAGACGCGTGTAGGAAACAGTAGCAACAGTTGCAACGCGCGCACATGAAAGAAAAAAAAGAAACAACCAGGTTGCATAGTTTCTACGACCACGGTACGCCAGGCTTCACAGGATCTGAATCTAACAGAGAACAGAAACGAAGATGCAGAGGAGCGATGAGGAAGGACGAGGCTGCGTCACGGATGAATGGAATGAGGGATGGGCAGATTTGTTGAGAAATTTGCCGTTCTTAAATAGCGTACTTGCGAGTCCATTCGCGAGCCGTCGCCTCGTACCGGGGGCGGTCTGTCTTGTAGACATGCGCGATCTCGGGCACCAGCGGGTCATCGGGGTTAGGGTCTGTGAGCATGGAGCAGATCGAGAGCAACACTGCAGAATGGTTAGTTAGGTTGGTCTGCCGGAGATGCAAGTGGGCGTGTTGGTGGGGGGTACGCACCCTTCGAGATGGTCAAAGCAGGGCTCCATTGGTCCCTCAGGATGTCCAGACAGATGCTGCCGTTGGAGTTGATGTTGGGGTGATAGATACGGGTGGTGAAGTTGACCTTCGGGGGCTTGAAGGGGTAGTCGGTAGGGAAGTGGATGGTGAGGAAGAAGACGCCTCCCGAGTATGGCGAGTCACCCTGGGGTGGTATTAGTATCGTGAATCTCGTTCCTATCGGACACAGAATTGACACAGAATTGACTTACAGGACCCATGATGGTTGCTTGCCAGTGGAACTATTGTAGCAGAAAATGGTCAGTCATCCGTGTGCCATATCATCCCACCGATCTGCACTGGGGACACTTTCAGCCCCGCCGCACGATAAGGCTGCCGCTGAGGGGGGGGCAATGCACGACGGGGGAGAAAGACGGGGAAAAGAAAGCGTAAAGGCATTCAAGGTGTTTTGTAGTGCATACCAGATCATCTCCGACAGGGCCTGCGGAGCAGGAGGAGGGGGGATCCCTATGGGACATGAGTCAGTATTCAGACTTGATGAACGTTCCAAAGCTCAACGGGCACAATCTTACCGGCCGAGATCAGTGAGTTCCTTGTTAATACGCTTAAGAGCCATGGCGACGATAGTGACAAGAAGAGGACTGGAGGAGGTCAGTGAGGGACGATATTCAAGGCTGGGGCAACACGTACGGTTACGTCTTTGTGTGGAAAAGAGAGAAAAGAAAGAAGAAAGAGGGGGGGGAAAGTGGGCAGGCGGGTGTCATTTGGGGGTATTACCAATACACGCCACGCATGACACACCTGTACTGTGAAGACTCGGGGGCGGGTCTTTATATACCCGGGCGAGAACGTACGAGGCTGATGACTACAGTATGACTATGTCTTTATCATGTCGTTTCTAGACCTATTGACGAGGTGATGGGGTTGAGATGGTTCGGCGAGCAATTCACTGCTTTCAATTTCAATTTTAAAAATACAGCCCCTCGATGATGTCACGTGCGGGTGCGGCGTTCGTCCTGTCCCGATCGGGAAAGCGGCTACTCCGGTTTCTCCCTCCAGAAGTAGAATCTCAGGGATAGGTCATTGAATTCGGTGTATGATGTACAATCTATATACAATTCAGGATCTAGACGAAGGCCTGCTTGCCGGTGATAGCGCGACCGAGAATCAATGCTGTTGAGATAGATATCAGCCCAAGTCCAAGTCCCAGGTTGGGCACGCAACCACTTACCGTGGATATCACTTTGACCCTCGTAAGTCTGCACCACGAAAAGATTGGACACATGACGTCCAATGTGGTACTCATCACTGGCAGCGTTTCCGCCAAAGATCTCTTGAAGACTGGAATTAAATGGATTAGCGTCTTTCGGGCAAAAAGCAAGTAGGAGATCCATACATCCGCGAATTGACCAGGGCACGATCACAATTCTGTCGCTTGATCATGGAGATCATCTCCGGAGTTGCCTTGCCTGCGTCCTTAAGACGAGCCACCTGCACTGCCGCCAGTGTGCCGTAAGCGGCGTCCGTGGCTGCATCAGCCAGCTTCTTCTGAACAAGCTGGTACTTGGCCAGAGGGTTACCCTTGAATTGCTTGCGCTCAAGCGAATACTCACGCGCACGGGCAAGGCAGTCCTCCAAAGCGCCCATGCTACCAAAAGCAATCCCCAATCGGGCGCTGTTTAGGCAGGTGAACGGACCCGTGAGACCCTCAACATTGGGCAACATGTTCTCCGCTGGGACAGGGCAGTCATCCATGTGGATCATACCAGTAATCGAAGCACGAAGGCCGTTTTTATTCTTGATCGCGGGAGTCTCAAACGAGCCAGGCGTGCAGCGCTCACGCTCGACAATGAAGCCACGGATCTTGCCGGTGGACTCGAGCTTCGCCCACACCAGAGCCAGATCGCAAATAGGCGAGTTAGTAATCCAGGTCTTGCTTCCTGTCAACAAGTACATGCCCTTCTGAGTCGGGTGCTCGCGGGCCACCGTCTCCATGGAACCAGGGTCAGAGCCGTGATTGGGTTCAGTCAGACCAAAGCAACCTGACAGTTTGCCCTTGGCAAGTCCCGGCAACCATCGCTGCTTCTGCTCCTCTGTGCCAAACTCGTAGATACCCGTCATGGCGAGTGAGCTCTGCACCGACATACCAGAGCGATAGCCGGAGTCCACGCGCTCCACCTCCTTGGTAATCAAGCCAGAGGCTACGGTGCTCACGCCGGCGCAATCGTATCCCTGGATTGAGGCGCCGAGCAAGCCTAATTCGCCCATTTCTTCAAGAATTCGACGGTCATAGTCTTCGTTACGGTAGGCCTCTGTGACGAAGGGAAATTAGCGAGTGTCCGAGTTCAGACGAAGAGAAAATGCCTTACCCAATACACGCGGCATCAATCGGTCTTGGCAGTATTGCCGGGCTGTGTCTTGAATCGCCAGCTCCTCCGGTGTGTACAGCTCCTCCGCGGCGAGGGGATCCTCCCAATTGAAGACGGCAGAAGAAGCGTACCGCCGGCCAGCGACGGAGCGACCAGCCTGGACAGAGCGTGCAGCTGCACGCAATAGCGATCGGTTCATCATTATGTGGAGAGGGAGGAGGTAGGAGTATGTAGAGTGACGTGCGTGGTTATCAAGAAGTTGCGGGGGAAGCTCAATCAATTATGCACACTGACGGCGAACCTCGGCAATACTGGGGTAACAAATCACCGAGCTCAACGAGCGGCAAAAGGACACTGGGAGTATCTGGGGCTGGGTATTTGGTTATCTGCGGAACGATTCAATACAAGATCCGAGTAATTCGACTATCGGTCCAGGTCACGGTGTCCGACTCGGAGTTTTTCGGTCGTCATTTCTCTCGGTGGCTCGGCGTTCCAGCGCTGCCCATGAGGAAAGTACATTCGAATTGCAATGGAGCATACACCGTAAACTAATTTCATTAGTCCTTCTAATGCCTATATTTCCATCTTTCATGATACTTGACCAACAGGGTCGTCATTATATATGTACAAAGAAGGGATGGTAGATCATGGACACCAAGCCCATTACGCCGGCATCTGGCTTTGTAGGAAGTCAAATACGCCTGTGGGGAAATAGTCTTCGTCGAAGCCCCACAGATCCGCCATCATCGGATCCATTGAACCCTCTGAAAGGCCTGTCTCTGGTTTGCCGATGGGCTCGAATCCATTACTGCGCTCTGCGGACAATGGTGCCCTTCCCAGTAATGGCGGAGGGTGGTTCACGATGGTGTCCCGTTCGCCTAACATCTGCGCTCCGGGGATGATGACCGGCTTGAACAAGGAAGGTGTCTCTCGCGGAGTCGAGGCCATAGACTGTGGGTTGCCATTCCGCTTTTCCCACTCCTCGAGTCCAGTGAGCATCTTCCGAAGACCGCGTGCGATGTGATGGCTTAAATGACGCTCGCTTGCACGCTGGCTGCATTCCACCATCATCTCAACAGTCCGACCAACAAGGCTCCGAACATATCTGACGTCAACAAGCAAACCAGCTGAGGCGATTGAGATGTGTTGACTAAGGCCCAGATGTGACCCGGTGGAGCATGATTTGGCTGCGATCTTCAACAAGAAGACTGCTGCAAAAGTGATCATGCTGTGGAGGTACAGCGGCACGCCAACCAGCGCCCGTTGAATGTCACGCTCATCTAGACAGACCTGCAAAGTGGCAATGGCCGACTCGATGGCAATGTTGGCCCGCTTCCTGCGTTCCGGTGACATAACTCGTGATGAAGTGGAAGAGTGGTAAGTACGCAAGGCGACTGAATTAAGCTGGAGTCGAGAGAAATGGTAGTGCAAGAGACGGCTTTGTAGGGATATGCACCGACGTGACGACTCCCAACTGTGGATGAATTCAGCGAACGAAAAGTCTGACAAGGTGTTCGGATACAATCTCACCGAGTCTTGGTAGCCATGCTGATTTCCAATCATCCAAATCCAGGTCATACTGGTCAATCTTGGGAAACTCGCTCTCTGGTACTTCGAGGTCGACATCGGGGCCGAATGCAAAATAGATTCGGCTGAGAATTATGAAGAGGTCAACTTGACTATGTAGTCTTAGGTCTCCCTGGGACACGTTTGGCGACTGTGTAAAGGTATGGTGGTTGGTTATTGCGAGATCCTCGTGAAGGATCGGTGGTCGGCCATATGCGATGGAGAAGTGATGCTCAAGGGTCTGCATACATATTAGCTGCTTGAAGGGAGGAAGTCGGGGCAAAAAACATCATACATAGAGTAGATACCACAGAGTGGCCTGTTCCCTATGTTCAGGAGATCCCGCCAAGGCTTTGCGGTAAAATTGATGCAAGTTGAGTTCGGTGGCGATGCGAACCGCGTATCCAGAAAGCTTCCAGCTCACGTCTGCCAGCCAGAAAGCACCGATACATAGAGCTCGAACATCGTCCATGGTGTGATGGTGTCCGAGCATAGACTCAGACGCGAGTTTTGCAAATTCAGTATAGCAAGTGTCAAATGTGCGCTCTTTAGTAGGCAAATGCAACGCCGTTACAGCCATGATAGCAGCGCACAGCATTGACGATGACCGTCGAGCCGATGTCAAATCTTTATGTGCCAGCAATGCTCCGTCCCAAAGGTAACGGTTAAGCACTTGATCAAAGTGATAGAACAACTCCTCCGCTTCTTGTAAGTCCACCACTCCGCGGGATATGAAATCAGTCACCAATGCCTGGTCCGGCGGCTGTTGTCCACGAGAGCCCTCGCGGTTCTCACTAAGCTGTGTCACCTCGTATAAACTCCCCATGGGGGCCGTGACCAACGACGTAGCACTTGTCTCCTCGTGGTCAATTGAAAAGTGCGGTTGTCGCTGCGAGAATGTGTAGCTTGACGAGCTCGATCCAGTTGCTCTTCCCGCAGTATTGTCCACTGAATTGATTCTTTGGTGCCCCATAGCAAGAGTATCATCCACCGAAGCTGTTGACCCTTTACGGCCCCGTTTCTTCGAAGGCGTCTCGATCGTTCCACCGCCGACCTGGTAATATGATAGCTCCGGAAGATGAGCCTTCCTCAACAGATCAGTCATTGCCAGCTCGATCACAGTCTTCCACCTATCGCTCCCATTAGCTTCTGGTATCGCAACCCCTCAAGTCAAGTAAGACTTACTCCGCTTCATCTTCCAGGAGCGTCTGAAGACTCTTGTTGACAATGCATTCCAGCCCCATGCGCCGACATCGCGAACAGGTCGCCTCTCCCGCCTTCATGTCGCATCGTACTTTGTGTCGCTTGCATTCAGTACATGCGCGTATCCTCCGCGAGATCTTCGGGACATGGTTTGGGGCCCGCGAATCCTCTGGAGTAATGTCTCCTTGCGGGGAAGCGGACGACGCATCGCCATTGGCCTCAAAGTTGGTGCGATTCCGCTTCATACTGTGAAGTCGGGTATGACTCCCGCATAGCAGAGTCTGGGGAATAATAGCAGAAGCGGGGATCCTCGCCGGCCTCAGGCATTCACGGTCCAGACCCGAGGCCGAATTACTACATTCGGAAGGCGGTCCAAAACAGTTGACCCCTGGGTTCAAGCTTCTTCTAGTCACGTGGTCTGTGGGTATGGGATTCAGATGACTCATCAGTCGAAAATAGTTGATAATAGTCCCGTGGCATACCCACACCGCTTCGGGTGTTGCGAAGCGGTGTGGGTCGAAGCGGTGTGGGTATGCCACAGGATTATTAACGAGTTCATTCCAGTGGCACGCTGAGAGCAGGCAATCTTCTATGCAGACATTGGCTGGTGAATTCATCTGCCCGCGTGATTAAGCCTAGATGGATAATCAATCGACGATATCATCCAATCTTTACTTTGTCTTCTACAGCTGGGTTGAGGTCTTACGTTGTACTTGGCCTTCCTTTTTCTCATATAGTATACCCAGTCTGTCATTATTTAAGCAGATCAAATTTGGGCCGAAGCTAGAAATGAGAGAGGAACAATTAATTTCAAATGAAGCACGCAGAATTCGAAGACTTCCTATAGTTCAAGACTGAGAACAGTACCCGGCCTTTCTTCGCGTCTACCTCTATCCAATTGTCGAGTGCAAATAACATTCATGAGCGGAAACTTCATACCCTTGATTCTTCTTCTTCTTCTTCTTCTTCTTCATCCGTGTAACCTCCTCAGATACCCCATTAATAATCGTTTCTTGATACTCTGCACCCTCACTTAGTATCTTCTATCGCAGTGCTGCCATTACACCTCCTTTCACCTTCTCACTATGCGATCAGTGTGAGTACCTCAAGTGACTATTGTTGATATAAAAATCTGACTCTGATGAATTGATCACTTCTTGAAGCTAGGGCTGATACTAGGTTTCGTGAACGTGGTTACAACAGAAGCCGAGGCATCCAATCCATCATGTCTTCTCCCATCCAGACCGACATTTTAAATGTAACATGCCTCTTTGTTGATAGCAACGAGCGTCTGAAGAGGCTTCTGGATAAGATTGCGGACTTTAGCCCCAGAATCAATGAGTTCCAAATCCTCGTTCTTCAGACTCCCATCCGCATGTCCCAGGCCGCGACCACTACCAATGCTTCCACCGCTTCTCCGGATGAGACTCACTCACAAGCCAGACCCATCAACAGTGCAGAAGAGATCAGGAAGATGAGTATCGAGATTCAAGCGCTTACACGCGACATCCAAGCTGCCACAGGCAATATCCGAACCCTTGGGAGCAAGAATCAGGAGTTATGTATCAGAATCGATGCTTATGCAGGCACTCTTGGATCTTTGTCGCAAAGCTTGAGTATTTACAAACGGGGTTTTGTCGCATATACGCGCAGTGTGCTGGCAGTTTTGAGCGCTGTCAGGCCCAGAACCTCCATTCTCTCGCGTGATGTCCACGCCCTTGCGAGCACCGTTACCGCTGGCAGTCTCCACAACTTCGCAGGTACTCTCGAAACCCCTCTGTTTCGCGACATTCAAACCCTCGCAGGTAGTCTTCAAGATCTGACGGAGAGTGCCATGGTCTACATGCGCAGTGTCAGCGCCTGAGCTTTCATTGGCTTGGAAGGGGTTGCTTTTCTGAGTAGTACATCCACTCCCAGGGGCAACAGCAAGATGTCGGAGTATTAACATATGTCAGATTGTGTCACACGCTGATCAAAATAACTGATCAAAATAACTGATCAAAATGGCTCTGCATATCCATCTTTAAAAATGCTATTGGGAAAAGATAAGAGAGCGCATGACTGCATCGTAAAGTGGCATTCACAACCGGATCGTGCCACATCTTCCATCTCTATGTTCAGGCCAAGGAGACTATTCAATTGAACTCGGCTACGAGCTTGAAAATGAGGCGGTGACTTGTCTGGCTGGTCGGATTCTGAGTAGTTCAGATTTCAACTACAAAAAATAAGGAAAAGTATCTAAGGAGACATGCATAGAAATAGCCCGGAGGCGATCTAAAAGGATTGGCGAATTAACATATCTGAGCTCATTTGCATTAACTTCTTGGTCAAGCTGTGTTCTTGTAGCTCATGACCTTTCTATGCGCCTTACGTGTCCTGCTATCGATCCTTCTTATGTTCTTTGTTACACATCGTCTTCACTCCGTTTTCTTTTGTCTCCTCTCAAGTACATTTGTTGACCTCCACAGTAGATCACACCCTACTCAGATATACTGTTTTCTTCGGTGTCGTCTTCTGCATCTGTCCTTCTACCTGGGAACATTATTTCTTATGTTCATCTTCCCTTCTCATCAACTCTTTCGAAGATTACATGGCGTTTAAGGCCGTCGAACAGCAATTCTCATGAAAGCTCGAAGATGATCTCTTCAACATTCGAAATCTGAGGACAGTCGGCTCCATATTAGCCCCGATTCAATGACCACTTGAACTCGAAGGTAGCGACTTTGTTTCCATCACAGATAAAGCTCCGCTATCTACGCTGAATATCATGTTCGTGGCTCAGGCCGCGGCCATCTTGATCAGTACCTAGAAGATTGGGTAGCCCTAGCCACAGCCAACACTTTTCCAATCAATAGATGTACTTGACATTTTATGTAGGATGTCAATACGGCCGAAGACAAATGACAACCCCTCTTGGTAATATCTAAACGCTTGTGGGTATTTTTAAGGCTCTCGCAGGCGGTGTCGAAATATTGATGAGCACTCAGAGAATTTCACACAAGCTAACTTGAATGAAGCTGAGGTTTCTTGGGATAACTTCTGAGCCGTTAGGGTCTTGGTCAAGCCATGACAGTGTTGTCCTTGAGGCAGGAGTGCGAGGACAAATATGTATATAAGGATGGTCCTGTACCCTTGTAGATCTCAATCTTCTCCTAGTAGCTGACCAACCGGACAGGTCTCTTTATCCTCCCTTTCTAGAAGAATCAAATATCCATAACTAGCATATCGTTGGATCGGAATGGGTAGTAAGTAGACACGTTCGTTCGTCTTGATCACGTGAGGCATCGACTCTTGGATGCGCTATTCCTTTTTAGGTCTAAGTGATGCCGCGCGCAGCTCATCAGCGCGTCGCGTCTGCCATGGTGGAGGCTTGCGAAAGACCCTTCCTTCACCTTGGTCCATTTTGATCGAAATCACGCACACCTGCCAAGATGGGTATCAAGCGTGAGTAGCAAGTTAGTGATCTCGGCAATGACCATTTACTAAACAGTGCCAGACCTGTACCAGGTGATCTCCGAGAACGCCCCCCGATGCGATCAAGACGGGCGAGATCAAAAACCACTTCGGCCGCAAGGTTGCGATTGTATGTTGTCTTCCCACCGCTCACTTTCTTTCACAGCTCTAACTTGATGGCTAACCGGCGACTGCGGAGCTCTATAGGATGCGTAAGTGGATGATCTCAATCCCCAGGGCGTCACCTACTAACCCGCCATAGATCAATGAGCATTTACAGTTTCCTCATCGCTGTGCGCTCGGAAGGTCAACAACTGATGAGCGACTCCGGCGAAACCACATCACATCTTATGGGCATGTTTTACCGCACGCTACGAATGGTCGACAACGGCATCAAGCCTCTGTACGTATTTGATGGTGCTCCGCCGAAGCTCAAGTCAGGCGAGCTGGCGAAGCGAGGCGCGCGCAAGGCGGAAGCCCACGAAGCCCACGAGGAAGCTAAGGAAACCGGTACGGCTGAGGACATCGAGAAGTTCTCTCGGCGTACGGTGCGAGTCACTCGAGAGCACAACGCCGAGTGTAAGCAGCTGCTGAAGCTGATGGGTATCCCGTACATCGATGCCCTACTGAGGCTGAGGCCCAGTGTGCGGTTTTGGCGCGCGCGGGTAAGGTCTATGCGGCTGCTTCCGAGGATATGGATACACTATGCTTTGAGGCGCCGATTTTGCTGCGTCATTTGACGTTCAGTGAGCAGCGGAAGGAGCCTATTCAGGAGATACACTTGGATAAGACGCTTGAGGGGCTGAACATGGATCGCAAGCAGGTATGGATTTCTTAGGAATGAGGGGGAAAGGTCTACTAGCTAACGATAGTGATGGTACAGTTCATCGATCTCTGCATTCTTCTGGGCTGCGATTACCTCGAGCCTATTCCCAAAGTCGGACCCAGTACCGCTCTGAACCTGATCCGCGAGCATGGAAGCTTGGAAAAGGCAGTCGAATTCATGAACAACGATCCCAAAAAGAAATTCGTCGTTCCCGAAAGCTGGCCCTATCAAGACGCTCGCGATCTTTTTGTCACCCCGGACGTGCACCCGGCAGACCACGAAAGCTGCGACTTCAAATGGGAAGCACCCGACGTCGAGGGCTTGATTGCATTCCTTGTAACGGACAAAGGCTTCAACGAAGACCGTGTCCGTAATGGAGCCGCCCGCCTGACCAAGAACCTCAAGAGTGCGCAACAATCTCGGCTCGAAGGCTTCTTTAAGCCAATGGCAAAGACAGACGAAGAAAAAGCCAGCCTGAAGCGCAAGCACGACTCCAAGCTGCAAGACCAGAAGAAACGCAAGAAGGACGAGGCCAAGGCGAAGAAAGAGGCCAAGGCTAAGCCGCGGGCTGCCGGCTAAGTGTGTGACGAGATATGGTCCCCGTAGGCTGATCATACGTTTTTCTCATCTTTTTTTCCCTTTCGTTTTAGCCCCTGCGGCTGTCGATCTAACACGAATCTGGCGTTGGTGGTGCATGGCCTTTTCCTTGTTTTTGGACTTTCTAGCATACTTGTCGTGGAGGAGGCCCAGGTGGAACCCGGTCGTCTTCTTTTACTGTGCCCGGTCTAAGACATGAACTTCCGCATATTATACCACCCAAAATATGCGATTTGATCGGAGGAGTACCTAGCTACTGGCTTTTTTTCTTCATTATGCATTTCTTGCACACAAAATCGATTCCCCGGACCAAAGATCAGCAAGCAAGAGACCCCTCAACGTCTAAGTTTCCCACTGATCCCCAGCGTCGTAGAATGCGAAAAGCATTAAGAATCGCCTTTTCCCTTCAATAGCACCTACGTGAACGTCCCAGTTCATATGCAGATACGATACAAGGAAGTGGGTGGTAATGGTGGTGAGCCTGATCCAAAGCACTCTCTATAGATCATCGCGGCTAAGCGAGATAGAAACCTGGCCAGAACAGACGACTGTTGATCTCCCAACGAAGCACCGTGGATTGTCGGGATACACAAACATTTTAATGTTTTTGGTAATCTGACAATACTCCATTGGCCCAACTGCATTTATTGATGCGAGGGGGCGTGGGGATCAGGTCTCTTGCGTTGCCGGGTCCCTTGATTCGGTGAGCCCAGCGATGGTCTCGGATGCGGTGAGTGCGACTTGTTAACGAGGGATTATGGGCAATTGGGGATTTGCATATTCTTGGCCGATAATTTGATACTAAATTCCATTATTTCGTTCTAAAGTCATTTTTGAAATCTGTGTGGATATTGCAAGATGCCTCCTTGGGTAGCTAGGCAGATGGGAACGTGGGCGGGCCGATGCACGAGTAAGTGGGTAGACCGACGCGCAGCTCGTGCAGAGAAGTCAACAAACTCAGCGATCAGTGGGAATCGGACCACGCTAGTGGATGGCATTGATTGGCTATCCTTTGCTGAACGCGGTGCTGGATCCAACCCGACGCGACTTTGGATGTATGCCGTTTTGGGCAGGTGTATATATCCTTGTGGCGAAAGGGTCAACTACCCATCGCCTTCAAGACGCAGTACCTAATCACATTGATATGTGGACCGATAATGCTCTAGTTAGAACAAAGAACGCAATATGAAAGAAGCAGATTACGACGATGATCTACTGTAATCTTTTTCTTGAGATGATGTTGCGAACTCCCGAGTTTCTGAGTGATCGCGTGTACAGCCCCCGAGATGATCACGAGTAGCGTAAACGGAAGGCCTCGAGTTAGGGTTGACAAGTGCAGGTGAGCATCCGACATCCTGAGCAAACCACACCCCCAAAAAATAGAAGACATCATCGGTCAGTGCAAAGTAGCATGGACCATGGACTGGACTGAGTCGTAATGACCAATCCAGGCGCAGCGGAGAAACTTTGCCAGTGCATGACAACACATGTCGCGCCTCGTGACTCTGCAGGTCCTAGGCAAGGAGGAAGCGGGTTGGAGATGGGAAGTATATCCTGTACCTTATAATCACAGCAACTAGCACGGTTCGATCCAACATCGATACCGACACCGACATCGACATCCTTTGACTACGCCGTTCGCGGCGCGTAGATCTTTTCCTGACTCTAGACTACCGCGCTCCGAGAGCAGGGCGAAGATCTGGATTCCATACCTGCACCGGCAGAGACTGGAAAGGAGTAACGGCCTGCGATGATCCCTCCGGTCTCGTTGGAATGTGTCTGTGCCATAATTGGGAAGTAGAAGATGATGCTGGTCTAGAAGAGCATAAGGTACGAGATGCGCGATTTGGCCCATAATGAGATGAAATGCGCCTGGAAAATAATCCCAGAGATCTTGGGAAAGAGTATATCTTAGTAGACTCCATTCTACGGTGAAAGTCGAAGGCCCGGGAATGGAGGCTGTCTGCCATCTGGGGGAATGCGCGCAGCCAACCATTCTCAGCAGGTTGGGTGATTGAACGCGAGACTGGCGACTTGACGGAAGAGCAGTCCAACAACCGAGTATAGGAGATCCAAATCATACTAGACAGGAACAACAAATTAGAATTTCAGCAGAACAAGTTCGACAAAAAAAAAAAGGCAAAAAAAAGAAGGGAGGGGATTTCCTAGGACGGGGGTGATCTTGTGTCAACACCGGCAACCTATAAATCACGGATGCCCGCCGGCCTTTCCCACACCCCCTTCCACTTGCTGTTTCTTCTTACTTTCTCCCACTTCATATTTTCTTCATATCAGGTCTCAATCTTTCGGACTCACTCTTCAACCAAATTCCCCCACATTACTTCAACATGCCTCCCAAGCAAGCAACCAGCGCGTCCAAGAAGGCGGCGCCCGCGGCCCACGCTTCCTACCGTGGTAAGTTTCCTCTGATCCTGAACCACCATCTTATCGCGTAAAGATGAGATGTATGTCGCCTTTGTCGCGAACGTCTGTTGATTTTATTGATATAGAAATGATTAAGGATGCCATTGTCAACGTGAGTAGATCACCGCCGACATCCGGCTTGTTGTGATTTGGGTCGCGCGCCCGACCGTGTCACCTCCAGCCGATGAACATGGCCAGCCACCACATCGACTGGGATGTTCTTTGTTCTTCATTGTTCATTGCTGACTTGTCTTTCTGTCTATAGCTGAAAGAGCGCAATGGTTCCAGGTACGAATCTCTGGTATTCCTTCGCTGGCGTCCCACCAGTCGGGCGACCAGGCGCGCTCTTTTGGTCGCAACCATGTACTAACGCTTTTTCTGCTCTTCAGCCGTCAGGCGATCAAAAAGTATGTCATGTCAAACAACAAGGTCACCTTCGCGTCTCAGAGCGCCTTCGATGCCCAGTTCAACAAGGCTATTAAGACCGGTGCCGAGAAGGGCGAGTTCACTCAGCCTAAGGGTAAGTTTTCTGTCTCCCTTATTTTCGGCGCGCAATGTCATCTTTTCCTCGTCACATTTCTGATCTATCATGATGCCGTGAAATTCACGAGCAAAAACATATGCCCGTCTTTCTGTTTTGTGATGGTTCGCTGACGCTTTGCGGTGTAGGACCCTCTGGCCCCGTGAAGCTGGCTAAGAAGGACGCGGCGGTTAAGCCTGCCGCGAAGCCCGCTGCTAAGCCTACGACCAAGGCTGCGACAAAGGCCACTAAGACCACTGCTGCTAAGGTATGTTGCCGTCGCGATTCAGGTTTCCTGCTCTCTGCTCACAATCCCCCCTCGAAGACTGTTCCCAAGACGGCCGCCAAGAAGGCTGCACCCAAGAAGACTGCCACCAAGGCTGCTCCCAAGAAGGCCACAGCCAAAGCTGCTCCCAAGACAGCTACCAAGAAGGCTGCTGCTAAGCCCAAGGCCAACTCTGGCAAGGTCCGCAAGACCTCGACCGTGGTATGTTCCATCCCAACTCTCCCATCAAACCAAGACTTAACGAAACCCCCAGGCCCCCGCCATCGTGGAAAAGCCCAAGGTCGTCAGCAAGACCAAGTCTGGCCGCGTCACCAAGACCACTGCCCCTCCTACGCCCAAAGCAGCGGCCAAGAAGCGAGTCACTAAGAAATAGAGGGAGAGAAAACCCCCCCTTTCTTTTTTTCAATGACGCTCTCCCATTTTACGTGCGCTCTTCCGGGAGAGGCATTGTCGATATGAATTTCTTGACTTTCTCTTCCGTTGTAATTTCTTTCCTTCGACCCCGTGCGATCTGGTGGTGAATGACTTTCGTTTGTTGCTTGTTTTATGGGATATCTTCTTTATGACGGCTTCGCTATACTCCAAAGTCGAATATGGAATGGCGTCCTGCGGTGGGTTCTTTCAATGGGGAAATCGTTTTTTTCTTATTCTCTTCTCCTTATGTTCTTCGCTATTGTGTTCTTGGGATCCTTAAGCTAGTTTGCAAGAAGACTTCGACTTCTCTCGGATTGGAATCTCAATCTCGTTCCCATCCAACGTTTTTACCTGATCATGTTTAGGCCGGTAATTGTGTGCATCAATAATGGATACCATATTGGTAATGAAGTAGACGAGTTATGTCAAATCAAATATGAAATCTGGAACCCTACACTAACATTGAACGGTCGTACTGACCGATACTCACCCCCTTGGTCCGAGGCATCCGAATTAACTTGTGGCGGTGCCGTGCAAAGAGCCACAGATCCACGGACCTTTCTTAGCGGGTTTCGCCTAGACTGTTAGGCTGTCAGGGCTGTCAAGTGGCGTACGGTACGGCCTTTTTCACTAGCTCTGATACTTGTACTGTGACCTTGCTATTTTGTTTCTCCGGAAATTAAAAACTAGACTTTCATTCGGAGAATTTACAGAGATCCGCTAATGGCGTCGAACAGTGAAGTGGCCTCAACCTGGATGTTGACCGTGGGCTCCGCAGGGTGATGTATCGGTGGGAGGGCGATGGTGAACTTGGCATGCGATCGGACCTGATGTTTATTCCGTACGAGGATATTTGTTTTCTCAAGACTTCCAGCGGCTGGTGTCGTGATGTCTATCTCGAGTAGAGCGCTGATTCGCGAGTCTTATTGTTTGTGTGGCAATCTTCAGCCTTTTAGCTAGGGAGTATATTTTGAGTGATAGAATGATACCCTTTTAATTGAGAAAAAGGGGGTAGAAGAGACACCGAATCCTGCACATGCCATGTTTGCTCTTATCACCGTGGAGACTCGAGATTGATTGCAACAGTGTACGGGGGTGGAGCCGTTATTTTTGGATCGAGACGGACTTTTGAAAATAGGGGGGCTCCGTGGAGAAGTTCTAGAAATTAATCATGGATAGTAGGGACGGTCGAAATTTAGCAAAGACAGATACTTCCCCTGCTGCGCCACTGGGTCAAGAGTTAGGGTCAGGGTCAGGGACAGGGACTCGGGTATTCATTAGATCCCAAGAAAACAGAGTAGGGGCTATCGTGTGTCAGCGGTGCACAGTGGTTTTATGCCGTACGGGACTCGGCCAAGGCAGAAGCCGAGAAGAGTAGAGTCGTGAGACCGGGTACACCCTGTACGACGTCACGGCAATCTCCTTGCAGGAGTTGGACTTGGCCGTGGAGTTGGAGTTGGAGTTGGAGTTGGACTTGGACTTGGACTTGGGACTTGGGACCTGGAGGGGCAGCGGTCCGGGTCCGTGGACACAGTCTTCACCTTCCAAGTTCTGCTTTCACGAGATAGAGTGTCATCTAAGCATCATTCTAAATAGTGGGTGTGAACCTCATCATCGAAAATTATGCGTGGACAGAGTAAATAACCGTGTATGGTTGATACTGTTGACACTGTGGATACTGTATAGGGCAGCTGAACAGTGGAGTCGCGGCAATACAGTAATTACGACACGCAAGTCACTTCAGGTCTTTTACTCTCCCCGACAACCAACTTCCATCCCCTCTCTAATCCTGTCTTGCATAGCCTGCTCTTTTTTGTCTGTCCGCTTGATGGTCCCGATCATGTTTCTCTAGGATCCAATACTTTTTACCCCCACTAATCTTGCCATACCGGACCCCCCCTCACCCACCCCCCTGGCCGCCGAGCGACACAGAGATAGCGAAAGAACAGAGATTCACCAACTCGACCCTTTCAGCATCGCCTTCTTCTCCCTCGTCCTATACGCGAGATTACGGTCTGATTGACGACTTCTCTGCCCGCCAATAAGGGCCATTGTCGTCACCCCGGGTTGCCGGCCCACGCAGACCTCACGTCACCCCCGTTTCCCTGGGAATCGACAGCGATGCCATCTTTGTCCAACGATAGCTACCCCACGGCCACGGCAACAACAACGGCAACGGCCACACATCCCCGCTCGTTCGACTCCCCTCATCATAAGGCCTACGAGAAGAACTCCGTCGGAAACACTTTCCTGTGGACAAATTGGCCCAACGGCAACGGCAACGGTAACGGTGCCATCATCGGCAACGGCAACATCAACATCAACGGGGACGCGAACCACAACGCTGTTCAGAATGACCGTCTTCTAAATTTGGATGGAAGCGCATACTCTCTGAATGGCCCACAATCGAGTATCGATTCTTATACGCGCGATCTGCCCTCCAAGGACGGCAGCATGCACTCTTTAGGGAACGGGTCGGTTAGAGAGCCCCGAGACGCTAGCCGGCCGACCGCCATGTTAGATCGGAAGTCATCGGACGCTGGACCTGGAGCAGGCTCCATGACAACGTCCACGGCTAGCCAGCAAATGAACGGTACCGCCTTCAGTCAGCGGTCTCTCCAGGGAAGCAGATGACCAATGGGGATGCTCATCGCCCCTCCGCAGATGAACCAGTTGTCTCGGATCAGGCTGCTAGTCCTTCCACTTCTTTATTACAGATTCCACAACAAGACGACCCAGGTCGTCACTCACCCGACCCGGAACGATTGGCCCCCAGACCCAGCCAGCACCGGTACTCATCCCCTCCTGCCCCCACGACCGATGCCACCTCAATGCCCGATTCTCAGCCGTCCAGTGTCCGACAGCGACACTCGCTACAAGTTCCGAGAGCGCCCAGTGTTCGACGGAATAGCCGAGACCAAAATGATGACATTGCCTATAGCAGTGGTCGACTTTCACCAACCACTGCTAGCGGTCGGCGCACTTCATTCAGTTTGATTCGGCGGGGAACAAAAGCAAGCATATCGGACGTGCCGCAGGACGAAGCACACCCCGATGACGAGGCAGCACGCTGGGCGGAAGCAATCAAACAGAGACGCGCATCACGTCGACGGCGCGAGGATGACGACGATGACCGGGTTATCGTGGGCACCAAGGTCGACCAGAACCACGTCAACTATGTTACCGCATACAACATGTTGACCGGCATTCGTTTCACGGTGTCGCGAATCCACGCGAAGATGGACCGGGAGCTCACCCCGGCCGACTTCGATGCCAAGCATAAGTTTTCCTTTGATATGTACGACTGTCTCAATTCTCCAAATGTGTTGTTCGGACTTGGCTGACGCTAGAACAGTACCGGAAACGAATTAATACCCTCTGCAAAATACGATTTTAAATTCAAGGACTATGCGCCTTGGGTTTTTCCGACATCTTCGCGCCAAGTTCCGACTCGATCCTGCCGATTACCTGATGTCCCTTACCAGCAAATACATACTGTCTGAATTGGGCTCGCCCGGTAAAAGTGGCAGCTTCTTCTACTTCTCGCGCGACTACAAGTACATTATCAAGACCATTCACCACGCCGAGCACAAACTCCTTCGAAAAATTTTGCCCGAATATTACCGGCACGTCGAAAACAATCCGAATACTTTGATCTCGCAATTTTATGGATTACATCGGGTGAAGATGGCGTACGGCCGGAAGATTCACTTTGTGGTGATGAACAACCTATTCCCGCCTCACCGTGATATCCACCAGACATTCGACCTGAAGGGCTCAACCATCGGAAGAGATCTGCAGGAATCAGATCTCGAGCGCAACCCGCGGGCGACCATGAAAGATTTAAACTGGGTTCGGAGAAACCGTCACCTGCAGTGTGGTCCATTGAAGCGCGACTTCTTCATTGAACAGCTGAAAAGAGATGTCGAATTGCTCAAGAAGCTCAAAATCATGGATTACTCCCTCCTGGTCGGAATACACGATACAGAGCGCGGCAATGAAGAGAAATTGCGCGACAAGACTCTGCAAGTCTTCCAGCCTGGGGGTAATCGCGAAGAGGAAGCGAGTCCGAATATGCTTATGCGCACCCCGTCCAAGCTGGAAAATGAGCGCAAGGCTCGGGAGCTCCGCATGTTGATCAAGCGCGAGCGACCTGTGCCTTTAGATAAAGCCGCGTCCAAGATGCCGGACAAGATTCTTGACGAACGAAAGTTCCACGTCTTTTATGCGGACGATGGTGGTTTCCGAGCTACCCATGAGAATGGGCAACCTGGTGAAGAGATCTACTACCTTGGGATCATCGATTGTCTCACTCACTATGGAATGGTCAAAAAGATGGAGCACTTCTTCAAAGGTCTCTCTCACGATCGCACCCAGATCTCGCCGATCCCACCAGAGGGTTACGGTGATCGATTCATCAACTTTGTCAAAGGCATCACCATGTCTGAGGAGGAAGCTGAGCAACGACGTGAATCAAAGGCTTCCGTGCGCCAATCGTCGGGAGAGAAGAGACCATCGTCAAGATCGTCCTCCGTCGAACGAACTATGCAAGAGGCGGAGAAGGAAGCTGCGAAGGATGTATCCCTCACACACCCTCGAACCCTCGCAACCGTATGGGACCCCAACGATGCTGGCGGCCCCGGCCCGACCTCGACACTTCCCATAGTGGACGAGGCGGGTGAAGCTAGCAGCGTCGGAGGCCAAAGTTCACACAGCCGTCACCGTCCCACCGACAAGGAGCTTCCTCCCGTTCCTTCCGACGACCGCCCTGCGCCTCCCAGTAAAGACATTAAAGGCAAAGATGTTGACCGCGGAGATGCCTCGGCCCCGAGCTCATGGAGGCAATAAAGGCCTCAGGCCTCTTGTGTCTTTCTGCGGTGATTCTCATGTTTTTGCCTCGAATTTTCGTCCTTGAGTTCATCGAGATATCCCTCTTGTTGCTTGATTAGACCGCTTTTGTTACGCTTCAACCCGCATGGACATACAAGAGGAATCTCTTGTCCTGTCTTCTCATTTGCTCTTGTCCTGTCTTCAACGTTTCCGACAGACTCCCCGCTGATGTTCACGAGTGACGTGTATATTTCCTGTTGTTGAGCGCCTCGTCTCCACCTTCGCCATATCAACCCATTATCCCCTAGATGTCCTTGCTATCCTCGAGGGGAGATCGACCCTAATCCCCTCACCCGTCTCTCTTTGCCCGAATACCACTGTTGACGTCTCCGACCAATTTTACCAAATCAATCAACACAACCAAACGCCCGTCGAAACAACCGACATAACCAACACACTTTCTTTATACAACATCTCAATCTCAATCTCAATTACTGAACGCATTTCCTATTCACGTCCTCGCATCTGCCTGCCATTCACTCAATTATTCAATCATTCGAACAATCGCGTCATCACCGTCCCAAACGACACAGAGGCCCCGCCTCTCATTCCAATTTCCTTAAAGCCCCGAGCTTCTTGTCTATTGATCTTTGATTTCGTCAGGTGTCCTGTTTCGGACACCTTTTCTTTGTGTCCTGTGCCTTGTTCCTTGCGCAACTCGCCATACCCTGTACCAATCACTATACCACTTGTTCTTATCTTGATCGCGTATTCGATATTGCCTAGAGTCTGATTAGCAGATCCAGCGTGGAACATTGTTCTGTCTTTTTTTCTTCCTTCTTCTTTTTCCTTTCTGCTTTCTCCTTTCAGTCTTCAACTGCTCAATTGAGTGGTCGAGATATAGAGCATCGGTGAGATGAGAGAATGTTCCTTTTCCTTTTTGAATTCGATTGTCTTACTGTAGATTGTAGTGTGGCAGAGTCGGAATAGTGCGTGGTCTTGCGGTCTCCGACTCTTGAATTAATCGCCAATTCTCGAGATCTTGTTCTACGTATTCAATCTACATGTACCTAGAAATCTATGCAAGCAAAGAGAAAAAAGAAAAACAAGGTCCTTCAAGATCCACTCATAGATTTTATATCGGTTCCCTCCAGCATAAAACGCCCCCAGCAAAAATACATAGACCATGTAAGAAGAAACCGTCATCTGAACGCCTTTCTCAAGCCACGAGAACCCAAATAATAATAAAGAGAGCGAGCATGTAAGAAAATTAAAAAGAAGCATGACTTTCGCAAAGTCGTAATCCAGACCCGAACACCTACTCCGAACGACCCTGCGTTACCTTCGCAGCCTGAACAGCAGACATCTTCTGCATCCAAGCCTGAGTAGGCTGGGGCTTCTTCACGGTGCGGAGATCGTCGGTTGAGAAGCCTGAGACGCGCATGTTGTAGTTGCGTTCGAGAACGAGTTGAATGTCGCGGATCTCGAGGGACGAAGAAGGGCGCAATTTGGCGAGACGGCATGCTTGCGTGATTACGTCGTCAACGAAGTCGTCGGCCATTTGGAGGATGAACTGTTGTCTGTCAGTCTTTCTGAATTTGCATTTGATTCTCCACTTCACTTCAATTGGGAGTGATTGTGAGAGATTGAATGGTGATAAGTACCTCTTCTGCGTCGGGAGTAAGCATCTCGCCTTCACCACCGCCGGTGACCTGGCGGACAAGGATGTCAAGCATTTTCTTGCTAAGAACGTGCTGACCTTCGCCTTCGAGGACGTAGCCCGGGTGCTTTTGAACGGCGGGCTGGGACATCATGCCTGGAGCGGCGTGGGAGGGACCACCTGAGAGCGACGGACGAGCAGCGGGCATTGGAACCGCTTCGGGTGTCGAGATGTTGAGGGTTTTGGGAATGGCCATGTTGATGTTACGGGCTGAGGCGTCGGTGGATCGATTAGAAAGATAGCCTTGTGGGTGAGCTTGCTGGTTTGCAGCGGCTTGGTTGATGGCTTGAGGTGGTGCTTGGTTTTGGTTTGAGTTGTAGTTCTGCGCTGCCTGCTGCATAGCGGCTTGGTGTGACAGTGGACGCGGCGGGCCTTGGGCTTGGTTGTTTACTTGCTGGGGTCCGGTTGATGTGGGAGTCGATCCGTCGGCGTTGGGGGTTTGAGTGAATGTCACTTGCGCGCCCGGTGTGCCCTGGTGCGACTGTGGTTGAGGTCGCTGTCCTGGTGGTTGAGCATTCGAAGGGGCAGGCGTAGCGCTTGCCGACGCTGGTGCTTGTCCTGGCTGGGAAGTCGTGGGGGACATCGCCGTTTGTCCCGCTTGATTGCGCGCCGCATTCACTGCTGAGTTTATGGTGTGGGGTGCTGGAGTTGGCGGTTGGCCTGGTATCGCACTCGATGGATTTGCTGTGGGCGCTTGAGAGGCCTGAGGCGCTGCAGGCGCTGAAGGCGCAGGCTGAGCTGCAGATGCAGCCGTACCCTGAACAGCTTGATTTATCTGTGGATTTTGTTGCGACTGCATCTTGAAGCTCTCTTGCTGTTCCTTGAATTTGTTCAAGAATTCACTACCCTCCCTAAACAGCTTCTCGGCCGCCAGCTGACGATTCTTGAATTCCTGAACTTCGTCGTTGGGCATAGTGCCCTGAGCCTGCCGCTGCGAGAATTGCGTCCGCAAGTCTGCAATTCGTGCCCGTCCAACCTCCTGCTTCTGTAACGCAATACCATACCGCAACCGAGCCTCGGGAATCCATGTTTGCACTTGCTCCTGTGTCACATTGGGCGGCAAATAGAAATTCAACGAGCTAACCTTGGCCTGAATCTGGGGAAGTAGCTGGCTCAGGTTCTGCGGATTGTTGGACTGGGTTCGCTGGACCGGTTGGCCCGTCTGCTGCACGACGGTGGCCTGGGCTTGCTGCTGCTGAAGGGCCTGCTGGCGGCTCTGCTGGAAGATCCGCATACCCTTCATCAAGTTCTGGGACAACTGGGATAGCTTCATGTGTGCATTTTGATATTCGGCGGTCTGAGGATCACGGGTGTTGAGCAACTCCCATAGGGAGCGCACGACGTGGGTATGCTGCGCCTTTTGCTGGTCCGACAGGTGCGGAAGCTTCTGGACCTGGTCCGTCCGAATCAAATTAGAATGCTGCTGAGGCTGTGCCATCGGCTGGCCCGCCTGGGCCTGGGACCCGTCCATGTTGCTGGCTGTCGTCGTTCGTTGTTCAGCGAAATGCGCGAGAAGAATAACGGAATCGGGTTCACGACTGCGCTCCAGTGGGGCCGGGGATGAGAACTTGTTTTGCAGGGCCCGCGTTAATTCTCAGGTCGATATAACTGATCCTAGCCTTGAAGATGTGCAGGACTTGGAAGAAGCTGCGTCCTGGATGGTGCGACAGCTGAACTGCAACTTTGGAGAGGAGGTCCGCGTCGGTCTTGGCACCCGCCTTTCCGGAGCCTCAATGCGCAGCCTGATAGATGGGCTTCATCGGCCTTGGAAATTGCTTTAAAGGCTATTATCTCAGGTTAAGCGAGAAAAAACCATTCGTACTATTGTGCGTGATTGGAACCCTCCATGATGGTGATGAAGTTGTGGTGACAGAGGCACTTTTCTATACGTGCGCCCCATATATACAGCACGCATTGGCTTTCACTTGGGTAGCTGCTACCAGTTCACAGAATTAAATTGCTCAAAACAGCCGATCTCAAAATTCACAAGGATGGTACAAAAGGCCTGTCTGTAGATAGAAGCCTCTGGAAGAGCTTTCGAAAGACCTCAGGTGCATTGGAAAAGAAAGGAAAGTACATAGTCAAAAAGGTTCATCATTGGGGTATGTTTATCGCTCATGGAACTCATCAAAATCATCAGGTATCAAAAATTTACAATGAATGGGACTATCCCATCAGACCGCCCAGGTCCCGCTCCATGCCAATGACACGCTCCTCCAAAGCTCGTTTCCTTCGCTCCAAGTCGTGGATTTCAGCCAATTCACGCTCGATATCTTCATCGGTAACCAGCAGTGCCTCTGACTCTGCTTCAGGCATGGGGAGAAAGTCATCCTCGTCATCGTCGTAGGAGTGTCGCATGGACTCGAGTTCCGCTGTGTTTGTCGCCACGCGATCTTCCAGTCGAGCAATGGACTCAGCGATCAACTCGTGGCGATAGCGCAAAGTGGCGATTTTTTCCTGTGCACCAGCGACGGGACTAATCTATGGTTAGAAAATCCATATATAACCTAGCGCTTCCACTTACTAGACGTTGCATAGAATCTCGGCTCCTCGGAGTAGAACCTCAATATTCACTTCTCCACGCCCTCGGGCCGATGTGCCGGCAGACCGTTTGATTTCTTCCATCATATCTGAGCCAAGAACTCGGGCCACAGCGGACTGGTTGCGGTTGTTGCGAGCAGAATAAATTCGAGTGGCCATTGACTCGGATTCGGCCTCGGCGGAGAAGGTAGTTCCACGCCTGGTGGCACGCCTTTGTGACCCATGTGGCTTGGCAGCTGGATCAACTTGGAAAAGCGCTCGTTCATGGACTTCAGTATCTCTGATCAAGCGGGTAATGTCGTGTGAGCCTAGCAACGCGTTCGTAAAGATGCGGGGAGCAGGGAATCTGTAGAAGTGCATATTAGCTTCGAAAACATAGCTGAACAAGCGGAAAACAAACGGTAGATCAGCAATGGCATTTGAAGAGAGAGCAATTTGTTCCAAGTGTGACTCGAGAAGCGGCATGGTTACGGTGTGGTGTTGGTGCAGCGGCGAACAATCCGCGGCTTTTGTTTGGGTTGGAGAGCTATTGTTGCTGCCTCAGGCTGCAAAAGAAGACAACGCAGCAACAACAGACTCAAAAACTGAGGTTGCAGCTCGGAGCTCCTTATTTTCTTTCCCAATCGTCTTATATTTCACCTGACCCAATTCCAAGATCAATTATTGAGCTTAAAAGCCTCGGAGACACGCCGTTGCGCAACACCAGTAAGCTCTTCCCTGACTAAGCACTCCTCAGGCGTCTTGTGCCCGTCCTCGTCTCTTGACATCACTTCACCCGTCCACTTCATCCACCCGTCGCTTTGCCCGTTTTCCCCATCATTTTCTTCAAAATTGGCAACTTGGCATTCTTGGATTGCCCTTTGCTTCCTGTCTCTGTTTCGTGCTTCTCGTCGCCCTTCTCCTAACTATCTCTGAAGCTTGGTGACTGCTCAGCTGAGCTCAACAGCTTGGGAAAATGCCGGCCGAGAGGCGCACTCTGCGATCAAACAACAAGTCAGATACCTCTTCATCAGCTAACGGTGAAAAGGCTCGCTCGAACTCTCAGAGCTCGCCTTCCAAAGACAAGGCCGCGCCTACGACTCGCGCCGCCGCCAACAAGGCCAAGCCGGCTCCGGTAAAGAAAGGCGCCAAGGGCGTATCGAACGCTGGTATGGGTGAGGAGGAACAACACGTTAACGGGTCGAAGAATGCGGAGAACGGTGTGAACTGTTCTGAGGACGTTGAGATGGGAGAGGATACGGCAGGTGCGCCTACATCCTCATTCAACACCAGCAAGGGACGGCATGGTGACGAGAAGATGACTGTTGTAGTGCCCCCGACCAAGGGTTCCAGATCATCCGGCAAGGCTGGTCAGGACAAGGAGGAGGATGTGACAATGGAAGGTGCCGAGGATGGTGACGCTGAGAAGGCCGAACCAGAGATCGACCCGGCCGTCAAGGCTGTTCAAGGTTCGTTGCTATCAATTTGAAACAGCTTTCTACGGTTCCTTTGGCTAATCGAGGATCACCGGTTTAAATGATAGATATCAAGGCCAACTTCACCCTTCTCGACCGAGCTGTCGCTCACTTCGATCCCCGATTCACCCTACGTGTCCTGCGGTCGATATCGTCCATGCGGAAGCACATCTCCCCCGAGGTCCTCGCGGAAGTGATCACCGACACATACGCAGCATCTAACTCGACGGCTATATTCCTCTTGGAGGCTCTCGGCCAGGCCAGTGCTTTTGAGAATGCCCCGTCGAACATGGAGGTAGATGTGGAGAAGAAGGCGACCCCAAAGGAGGTGCTACCCGAGGTGGATGCGTACCTTTCAATCTTGGTTCAGATTTACCTCTTCGATCAGCGAAAGATTCAGCAGGGCGCGGAGTTCTCGACCAACTTGATCGAGCGCCTTCGGGCTGTCAACCGCCGTACACTGGATTCTCTTGCCGCTCGCGTTTACTTCTACTACTCTTTGTTCTTCGAGCAGATTGCTCCTCTCCCTCCTTCCCCAGCGGCGACCGTTACCACCATCCGTCAGCCCCTGCTGGCTGCCCTGCGAACTGCTGTTCTCCGGAAAGACGTTGACACGCAGGCTACTGTCATGACCCTGCTGCTCCGCAACTATCTCTCCACCTCCCACATCACGCAGGCGGATCTGTTGATCTCGCACAACCGATTCCCTGCTGCTGCCTCCAACAACCAGATTGCTCGGTATCTCTACTACCTTGGCCGTATTCGTGCCATTCAGCTGCAGTACACCGAAGCCCACAGCCATCTGATCGGTGCCACCCGCAAGTCCCCGACCAGCCATAGCGCTCGTGGCTTCTATCAATCTTCTCACAAGCTGCTCGTGGTGGTCGAGCTGTTGATGGGTGACATTCCGGACCGTGCGGTCTTCCGCCAGCCGGCCTTGGAGAAGGCCATGCACCCCTACTTTCTGCTGGCACAAGCCGTCGGTGTCGGTGACCTGGATGGTTTCCTGAACATCGTCAACACCCACAGTGCTGCATTCCGCAAGGATGGCACCTACACACTCATCCTTCGTTTGAGGCAAAACGTCATCAAGACCGGTATCCGCATGATGTCCTTGTCCTACTCCCGTATCTCCCTGCGCGACATCTGTCTCCGCTTGGGTCTGGATAGCGAGGAGTCGGCTGAGTATATTGTGGCTAAGGCCATTCGTGATGGCGTCATTGAGGCTACTCTGGATCATGAGCACGGCTTCATGAAGAGCAAGGACGTAGGTGACATTTACGCCACCCGAGAGCCCGGTGAGGCGTTCCACGAGCGCATTCGCGCCTGCTTGGCTCTCCATGACGAAAGTGTCAAGGTAAGTTATTCATCACAATCGGCGCACTTTGGCGAAGTTGATCCTAACGATTGTTCTACCAGGCTATGCGATTCCCGATGAACCAGCACCGCCTCGAGCTTAAGAGCGCTCAGGAGGCACGTGAGCGTGAGCGTGAGTTGGCTAAGGAGATCCAAGAAGGAGACATGGACGATGAAGATGCTGGAGGCGATTTCGATGCCATCTAGGAAGATGGTTTGTGATTGATACGGCATTTCTCTCAACGCCGGCCCTAATGCATAGGCCTCTACGCTGTAGCGGCTTTCTTCAACTTATGTGTTAATTGTGCGCGACGGTGATGTCGCTTTGCTTTGCCGGATGTACCAAGAGGGGGAATTATGCAGACCAAGACGGCCGGCGTGGTTTTTCATGTCTCTTATATTGGAATTATTTCATTTTCATTCGCCCTGTGTTGAGTAGTACAGTATACAGTGCCTGGGTGCAGAGGAGAATAAATCTGGGGTGGCACGTCGATTCTTGGAAGAAAAACTCTGCTTTAGACCAAGTAGTATTGATTATTTGGACGGAGTCATATACTCAAGTTTAAGAATATGGTAGAATAGATAGCAAAAGCATTTGAAGTATACGTCGCCGGGGTTCACGCGTGGTCCGTGCCGTCCCGAGAGCTCGAATTCTTCCGCCCGCAAGTTTTCCAGACCTCTTCCGTATCACCTTATGACCTCTGCATCTAGCATTGCCAATCGTTCCATGCGCCCTTCTTGATTCTCACATCTAGTTAATACAGCCCCTGAGCATGCGAGCTCGCACCCTCTCGGCCACCGGGCTGGCTATCACTCGATCCTCGACCTCTGTGTGCACCCAATGCCTTCGTGATGACCTGCTGCTCTCCCACCTCTCCATTCAATCCCGCAAATACCACCCAACCCGCCGACGAGATGCGTCTCCATTTGGAGCTGCCGTGTCAGCCGCACAGGCCATCTTCAAGGGTCTGCCGAAGGCTCCTCCCGGCATCTCGGTCGATCCTCTGCGCATCGTCGGAAAGGAGCTGAAGTTCTTGAGCAAGAACATTCGCCAGTTGCTGGGATCGGGCCACCCAGCGCTAGACAAGGTCGCCAAATACTATACTCGCAGTGAGGGCAAGCACATGCGGCCATTGCTGGTCCTGCTCATGTCCCAAGCCACGGCCTTGGATCCCCGCAAGCAGCACAATCCCGCAAGCCCATCACCCGTCGATAACCCTCTCAGCGCGCCCTCAATACTCGACGACTCCAACCCTGACGTCAATCCCCTCGTGTCCCGCTCTACCGAGTCCAAGTACGACTTCTTAGGCGACGACAACATTTTGCCCTCGCAGCGCCGCTTGGCCGAGATCACCGAACTCATCCATACTGCATCCCTCCTGCACGACGATGTCATCGATAATGCCGTCACTCGCCGCGCCAGCAGCTCTGCGAATACCGCCTTCGGCAACAAGATGGCCGTATTGGCTGGTGACTTCCTCTTAGGACGCGCGTCCGTGGCTCTCGCCCGACTTCGCGATCCCGAGGTTACCGAGTTAATGGCTACTGTCATCGCCAACCTGGTGGAGGGCGAATTTATGCAGCTCAAGAACACTGCCCAGGATGAGTCGAAGCCTAAGTATACCGACGAAACCCTGGAGTACTACCTCCAGAAGACCTACCTGAAGACCGCCAGTCTGATCAGCAAGTCTTGTCGTTCTGCGGCCGTGCTGGGCCGAAGCGCTCCGGAGGTGATCGAGGCATCGTACGCCTACGGCCGCAATCTCGGATTGGCGTTCCAACTGGTTGACGACATGCTGGATTACACCGTCACGGAAGCCGAGCTGGGCAAGCCCGCCGGTGCTGATCTGGAGCTCGGTCTGGCCACCGCTCCATTGTTGTTTGCATGGAAGAGCAACCCCGAACTTGGACCCTTGGTTGGCCGCAAGTTCCGTGAAGAAGGAGATGTGCAGCAGGTGAGCCCACTTCAACATAAGTCATTTTTTTCAAATTTAATACTAATCTCATAATCAATAGGCCCGTGAGATCGTCCACCGCAGCGACGGAGTCGAGAAGACTCGCCTCCTGGCGCAGGATTACGCCGACAAGGCGGTTGCAGCGATCAGCGACTTCCCAGACAGTGAGGCCAAGGCAGGCCTCATTGAGATGTGCGAGAAGACGATGAATCGACGAAAGTGAGAGGAGTCCATTGTATTATTTGTAAACATATGTCGCCTGTTTTATTGCTACCGCCCCACTTTTTCTCTCAGTGCTCTTTGGGTGCTTTCGTTTGGGAAGTACATGTGTAACTTAGATATTTAGATACGTGGTTCTTAGACCTGGATTGGAAACGACCTGTTATCATGTCTTATCGTATTTTCCACAGATATTTTGTAGAGCTCCTCGCGTCTGGGTCTATAGTCCTCTAGGCCTTACAATGTCACATCATATATACGCCGTGTCCACTAATTAAGCGCCACTGGACCTTGTCAAGCAAAGTCGAAACATCCACGAGAGGAGTGACAAATGGTGCACTGCTTGATCAAGTCTGACCTTGTAGTTTTGAACCAGGGTGGATTGATTCTAGAGCAGAAATTGAAACATGAGATGTATGAAAATGTGCATTGCGCTATAGTCGTCTTGAGTGATTTGACGATTCGAGGCTGCGCAATGTCATTCAAGGCCCGGTCTTCGATGAAGACCAACATGTGATGAAATAATGCGGCCTTGTACATGACTCGAGGAGATGCAATATCAGTAAAGGAGGAAAGCGTGCGGAAAGGCAATCCATTCAATGTCATTGACCCTGGTTCATATCAAGTGCCTTGCGTCGACAACCTTCATGACAAGTTTTAGTCCTGCCTGCCGGGTCCAATTCGCCGATGATATGGGCCTTTTGATCTCTGCATGAAACATATCAATTCCGAGATGGTTGCCAGATTTTCTGTCGGGTTGAAGATGGGGGGCCCGGATCACTCTGAAGGGATCCGTATAGTTGCTCAGTAAAGACTAGGTAATGTGATACAAAGAACCCAGAAAATCAAATTACAAGCAGCAAGTTACAGTCGCGGAGCAAATTGTTGGCTCGATAGATAATTTTCTCTGCTAAATCACATCACAAAAGACCATCTGACCAACCTATCAATAGGCGTTTGGTAATTTCAACTTCTGCAGAGTTGCGGTTCCTGACAGTTGTTCGGATCCTGCGGGGTTCTTCGTATTGATTCTTGTTATGTAATCGTTATACAAAGTACTTACTCAAAGTTTCACTACAAAATAGACTGGGTTCCCGGTAACATCTACGTTATGTAATGGCTGTACTAGTGCCATGCTGGCCCTGGACCTCCGTCATTCCCGCGCGCGTGGAAGCTGCAACTTGACCTCTCCAACTGCGCTTTCCTTTGTCTACGTAGACTCCTCGCTATCTGCCCTCGTTTTGTGCTTTCAACAGAGCCGGTATACCCCCCTTTGATCTTGCAACTCTCATCTACAACGCTCTAGGGATCCAGTCCCCAAATTATGGAGCTTTCCGCCCTCCCGCTTTGATCGACAGGTTCCGGATGGGTTCGCTCGGCAGCTTCCTCCTAATCTACGTGTTGGGAGGAATTACCTTCATCCCTCTGGTGCTATCATTATTCTTACTACATGCCTACCTGACACTCCCTGATGTCTTATCCTCACAAAGGACACGTAAAGCTTCCGACTCATTGCCTCAGCCTGACGATGACGAGTATAGCTTGAAATCCGGTACCGACCAGCTGGCTGAGAAATTCCACCGCACCCACGATTCCGATGTTGCTGCTGGTTACTTTGCTGTTTGTCGTGAATACGTTCCTGGTGGTGTCAATGGGAAACCTCCGGAGAGGACAACCCCCGCTGGGGAGGTCGTTGCCGCCGAGAGCCCCAGTGTCTATCAGTCCATGTATCGAAGCCTGTTCGACCGCAAGCAGACGCCTAGTATTGAGCCGGCAAAGTCGAATGGGAAAAATACGAAACGGGCGAGGAATGTCTTTTACATTGTTCTACGGTATGCACTGCTCTGGTTGATGATGTCTGGAGGTTATGGGATATCAGCTGACGTTAGCGTTATCTGTGCCTAGACATGGCCACTTGATGCTCTATGACGATGCAAACCAGGTTGAGGTCCGCTATGTGATTTCTCTCGCTCATCACGATGTATCCGTCCACGGCGGCGAAGCTGAGATACCGGAGGCCGAGCTGTGGCTCAAGCGGAATGCCATCTGTCTTTCACGGCGACTGGATTCGCTGGGAGACTTGGGAGGACCAACACCGCCGTTCTACTTGTTCTCCGAGAACTTGTCAGAGAAGGAGGACTTCTATTTCGCTATGCTTCAGAATCAGACAAAGCTGTGGAGTTCTGCGGACCGCCCTCCTAAGCAGCAGGACTTTGACGTGAAGCACATTGTGTCCCTCGTACAACGATTGCATTCCTCAGAGGAGCAGCTGCAGACACGGTGGATAAATGCTTTCTTTGGACGCTTGTTTCTGGCTTTGTATCGGACCCCGGAACTGGAAGAGTTTTTGCGGAGCAAGATTGTTAAAAAGATCTCCCGAGTGAACAAGCCGAACTTCATCAGTAAGATTGGTCTGCACAAGATCGATATGGGGGAAGGGGCTCCCTTCATCACCAACCCTCGCTTGAAGGATCTGACCGTGGATGGCAACTGCTGCGTTGAGATGGATCTTCAATACACAGGAAACTTCCGACTCGAGATCTCAGCCACGGTGCGTATCGATTTGGGTTCTCGCTTCAAAGCAAGAGAGGTTGATATCGTACTGGCAGTGGTGTTGAAGAAACTCGAGGGTCATTTGCTAGTCCGCTTCAAGCCTCCACCGAGCAATCGACTTTGGATAACTTTTGAAACCATGCCGAGAATGGTGATGGACATTCAGCCCATTGTCAGCTCCAAGCAGATCACCTACGGTCTTATTCTGCGCACCATTGAGAGTAAAATCCGTGAAGTGGTGGCAGAAAGCATTGTCCTGCCATTCTGGGATGATGCGCCCTTCCTGGACACTATGGGTCAAGCATTTCGTGGTGGTCTCTGGCAGCGAGATATGCCAGACCTCGAAGCCGATGCAGAAATACCTGATGAGTCTGGCGAACCTTCGGAAACACCAAAGAGTGTCCGCGGAGACTCGATCGAGTCCCTAAAGTCCAAAGATGAGAGAACGATGAGCATGCCTGCTCTCTCCGAGTCTTCCCCCAGAATCAAAGCCCGCAAGCCTCTAAAACAAGCCTCATCAGATGCCCAGCCGAAATCCTCGGTCGCAACCTCTACTGGTATCGAGAGATCGGACAGTACGCCTGCACCCCGCTCCATCCGCTCGCATACATTCTCGAATGCAGCCGATCCAGTGGTCACTGCAGACAATGCAAACAAGGTTGCATCGCCAACCAAGAAGGACGACAAGAGTGACGCCACTAGTGCCATGATTGAAATATCAAGTCGCTCTCCACCAACCTCGCCCAATAGGACTCCAAGCAGCTCGCCCCCCACTGGCGGTATCATGATGCCAGAGAATGCGTTTCACAGCCGAAATTCCTCCATCGCGGAATCTATAGACAGCGTCAGCCTCCTCGGGGATCAGGTCATCACAAGTCCCTCATCCGCTCGTCTTGAGAACACGTCTTCTTTCTCCGGCCTGCGAAGCTCTCGAGAAAGCTCCTCCACATCACTATCAAGCGAGAAGCCGCGCAGGCGCAGTACCATCGAGACATTCACCAAGTCATTCCAGTCAGTGACATCCGATGACAGGACTTCTGGAAACATGACTATTGGATCGGCAACCGCTGCTGCAAAGAAATGGGGCATGAGTGTGTTTGGGAAAGGGGAGGGACCTCATGATCAAGATTCATCTCGAACGCCCGCGGGCACCCCAGATCAACCCATTGGACGTGGACATCCCCACCCTCCTCCTGGGGCCTCCTTACTGCGACCGGACAAATATGCCTTGAAAAGAAATTCGGCCACTCTACCGAAGCGGAAGCCGTTGGTTGTGGCACCGCCCTACTTAGAATGGTCTAACACGGGGGATCATCGACCTGTGCCGCCTCCGCCCTTGCCTCGCCGAAAGCCCATTCCCCCTCATCTGCGCACCGATAGTGCAGACGAGGTGCTTGTGGTCGAGGCTCCATTCGATTCTGATCCGAATAGTCCGATGGTCGGCGACGTCGACTCGGAAGATGGTCCAAAGCAGGCTATCCTCCTCGAGAGCGGTGCCTCGTCCCAAGCCGATCTAACCGAATCGAATGCTACTTGGGATCCTCAGGACAGCCAAGATGCTCAGTCCATCCGGTCTCTTGGTCAGTCTCTGGCTTCTACGCATGACAGCAACGAGGCCTTGCCGCCGTCTGGACAAGTGGAAGTTTCATCGGTATGACATAGATCCTGCGTTTTCTACGCCGTGAGGCACCGGGCAACGGGCGAATCTATACAACACCTTGTGTAATCACTTATTGGCTTTCGAATTAAGAGGCGTTTGGAGGGCTCAGGTACTTTGCGGGCTCTCTGGTATCTGCCAGACAGAAGCATCCCGTCGGCTGGTGATTTCCAGGGTCCCAATGTATAGAGAGCAGTCAGTACCTTTCGATGTCGCCTGGCGACCCCGGCATTTCATTGATGACACAATTGCTATTGCACAGTAGAATGCAACGCCCACTTATACAGTAGATTCGATTCATGTTGCCTACATGGCGCAGCTGACGCGTAGTTGAAGAACAAGGGATAGGCGAGGATGTGCCGAGCGAAGCGGCTTAGGCGTCGCCAAGACTGACAGGCGCCAGCTTTCCCCCCCAACGTCATTGCTCTCCACGTGCACTCGACAACTTGTGCTTCACATCTCTCTTTCTCCGGTCAGCGCCTTCTCTTTGGGATTATCCCGCGCTGCCCGGCCTCTTCTACCAACCCTTCTCCCGTTGGTGCTCTAGTTCCCCCTGAACTCGCATCGCCACCATGAGTCGGTAAGCGGGACAACTGCCATAAACCCCCCCAAACCGACGCAAGCAGTCGAATAACCTCAATCGCACAGGACGGAGGCCGATCTGGCCATTAATATTCGCAAGGCCACCAGCATCGGTAAGTACTCGTCCCGGCCGTGCCGGCCCTGAAAAGGGAGAGAGAACGGGGGGCTAATCATTTGACTCGCGACAGAGGAAACCGCGCCGAAACGTACGTCCGCATAGCGAACCCATTGATCTTCACCGAGGACTCCCTTTTTGTGCCATAGCGCTCGACTCGACTGACATGTATACTTGCAGGGAAACATGTGCGCAGCTGTATCGTGTACACATGGGACCACAAATCATCGGCGGCCTTTTGGGCGGGCATGAAAGTGTATGCGGAAACCCCGGAGAATCAGGAGAAAGTGTTGGAATACCGTCGCTAACTTTCATCTGCGCACTGTAGGCAGCCTGTCCTTGCCGACGAGGTCCAGACGTTTAAGGCCCTTATTACCATTCACAAGGTTTTGCAGGAAGGTCACCCCATTGTTGTGCGCGAGGCGCAGCAGCATTCCAATTGGATCGATAGCTTGATGCGCGGTGTTGGAGGAGACGGTATTCGAGGTATGACACTTGGCTGGTTCGGGGACTGCGCGATGCGTCTGAAGGCGGGGGCGCGCATGATCAGCATGATTATTGACGTTGGATAGGATACGCTCCGCTCATTCGCGAGTATGTGTTCTTCCTCGAGTCAAAATTGGGCTTCCACCGAAATCATCCTGAATTTAATGGTATGTTGACCTGAATGAGTTGACTTGGTGTGGTTGTCTAACTGGTACAGGATTGTTCGAGTACGAGGAATACATTAGCTTGAAGACAATCAATGATCCTAATGAAGGGTGCGCATTGAGCTTCTTTGAAAGATTGGGTGTTAAACAAGCTAAATGGTTTACAGATATGAGACAATCACCGATCTCATGACTCTGCAAGATCAAATTGATGCTTTCCAGAAGCTTATTTTTTCGCACTTCCAGTCTGGGACTAACAATGAGTGCCGAATCTCCGCGTTGGTTCCTCTGGTGCAGGAAAGTTATGGCATTTACAAGTTCATTACTAGCATGTTGCGAGCCATGCACACAAGTATGAATCCCCTATTCTCTTGAATGTTTGTGAACCGCCGGCTAAGATGTTGACTCGTGGTTTAGCAACCGGTGAAGATGAAGCTCTCGAGCCTCTTCGTGGCCGTTATGATGCCCAGCATCACCGTCTTGTTCGGTTCTACTACGAGTGCTCCAATTTGCGATACCTGACCAGTCTTATTACCATTCCCAAGCTGCCGCAAGACCCTCCTAATCTGCTCGGTGGTGACGATGAACGCCCTGCTCTGCCAAAGCGACCGACGAAGGAAATTGAACAGCCATCGCCGCCTCCCAAGGTGGCTGCCGAGCCCGAACCCATCAACGATTTCTGGACCACTGAGGCCAGACGCCAGCAGGAGGAGTACGAGGCCGAGCAAGCGCGCCTCCAGACACAGTGGGAAGACCAGCAGCGACAGCAGATGCTCGCCCAGCAGCAGGCCCAGCGAGACTTCGAGGAACAGCAGCGCCTGCAGGCCGAGCAGCAACGGCTGGCACAGGAGCAATTGCTCCGTGACCAGTACCAGACACATACCCAGGGTCGCCTGGCAGAGCTGGAGCAAGAGAACCTCAATGCGCGAGCCCAGTACGAGCGGGACCAGCTGATGTTGCAACAATACGACCGGCGAGTCAAGGACCTGGAGGAGCAGATGAACCAGCTTAACAACAACCTCAACATGCAGAGTGCCTCCAAGGACGAACAGATTCGGGCTCTACAGGAGCAGGTCAACACCTGGCGGACCAAGTATGAGGCTCTGGCCAAGCTGTACTCGCAGTTGCGCCAGGAGCACTTGGATCTCCTGCAAACCACCAAGAGTCTCAAGCTCAAGGCTGCTTCCGCGCAGGAGGCCATTGATCGCCGTGAGAAGTTGGAACGTGAGATCAAAACTAAGAACTTAGAATTAGCTGATATGATCCGTGAGCGTGATCGTGCGCTGCACGATCGTGACCGTGCCACCGGTACCGGCAAAGATGAGTTGGAGAAAGTCAAGCGGGAGCTCCGGATGGCGCTTGAGCGTGCTGAAAATGCGGAGCGCTCGAAGGGCACGGAGATCTCGTCCATGCTGTCCAAGTATAACCGCGAGATGGCTGATCTGGAGGAGGCTCTCAGGGTAAGTCGTTGCCCTCTGTGATGGAGAAGCTCTATTACTGACCCGCGTAGAACAAAACCCGCGCTCTTGAAGAAATCTCAGGCCGCCATTCCGAGCGGGATGGTGACCACGAGGCTGCTCTTCGTGAGAAAGATGAGGAGATTGAAGTGTACAAGGCTGGCATGGACGATCTCTTGATGGAGATTGAGGAGCTGAAGTTGGTGAGTGTCCAATTTAAGACAAGTCCACACCCCCATGCTCCCCCATACTAATCAAAGGATCCTGATAGAACCAAGGCGATACCGACCATGCGCTTGATAGCCAGATCGACACTGTTCTTCACGGCACGGTGGCCAAGATTAACGACATCATCGACTCTGTGCTGCAGACTGGTGTGCAGCGCGTGGATGATGCTCTGTACGAAATGGATTCGTCCATGCAGGCCGGTAATTCGAATGCCTCACCTCCCTATGTCCTTTCGCAGATCGAAAAGGCCTCGGCCTCCGCTACCGAGTTCTCCACGGCCTTCAACAACTTCATTGCCGATGGCCCCAACAGCCCCCATGCCGAAATTATCCGCACCGTGGCTGTCTTTTCTGGATCGATCGCCGACACTCTTAGCAACACCAAGGGTCTCTCCCGTTTCGCCAACGATGACAAGAGCTCTGATCAGCTGTTCAACGCGGCCCGTAAGTCTGCCCAGGCGACTGTGCGCTTCTTCCGTGGTCTTCAGTCCTTCCGCCTCGACGGCATGGAGGCCCTGCAGAAGACCGACGTCGTCATCAACAACAACCTGGAGGTCCAGCGCGACCTGCAGACCCTGTCGAAGTTGGTCGAGTCGTTCGCTCCCAAGAGCAGCAAGATCAACACCAACGGCGACCTAGGCGACCTTGTCGACCAGGAGCTGCTCAAGGCCGCCGATGCTATCGATGCCGCGGCCCAGCGTCTCGCCAAGTTGAAGAACAAGCCCCGCGACGGCTTCTCGACATACGAGCTGAAGATTAACGACGCAATCCTTGCCGCCGCCATCGCTGTGACCAATGCGATTGCCGAGTTGATCAAGGCTGCCACCGAGTCTCAGCAAGAGATTGTGCGCGAAGGCCGAGGCAGCTCGACCCGCACAGCATTCTACAAGAAGAACAACCGCTGGACTGAGGGTCTGATCTCCGCCGCCAAGGCTGTGGCTGGTTCAACCAACACTCTCATCGAGACTGCCGACGGCGTCATCTCTGGCCGCAACTCCCCAGAGCAGCTCATCGTTGCCTCCAACGACGTCGCCGCCAGCACCGCTCAGCTAGTCGCTGCCAGCCGTGTCAAGGCCACCTTTATGAGCAAGACCCAAGACCGCCTGGAAACAGCCAGCAAGGCCGTTGGTGCTGCATGTCGCGCACTCGTCCGCCAGGTTCAGGCGATCATCGCCGAGAAGAATGGCGCCGAAGGCGACTCCGAAGACTACGGCAAGCTCAGCTCGCACGAGTTCAAGGTTCGCGAGATGGAGCAGCAGGTACGTTTCCCATCCCTTATAGTTTTAGCATCTACTGACCCCTCGCTCTACAGGTCGAGATTCTCCAACTCGAGAACAACCTCGCCCGCGCCCGCACACGTCTGGGCGAGATGCGCAAGATCTCGTACCAGGAAGACTAAAGCTCGATCCCCCACTGTGTATATCCCGGAACCGGTATTGGAAGTCCATCCGTTTCTTTCTTTCCCTTTTTTTTACTCCCGATTCATACATCCGTAGCTGCTCGAGAGATTAGCGAAATGTACTCTGTTATCATGCACCCGTCCACGTATTTCCCTGCATTGGAATAAAGAACACGGCCCCACATCGACCCGCGGACCCGCGGACCCGCGGCTTGGCACGGCACTTCCAAAGACCGCAACAAAGAAAGAGACTGCCGACTTTCTAATTCCGAGTCTTTCCGCGTCACCTTTGACCCTACGAGAGCTTGGAGCTTGGAAGTGCGAGTCTAGACTTGACTATTTGTAGGCTGGAAGTACTGCACAATGTAGTTTACTGTGTACGGCCTACGGGATACTCTGCAACGCAAAGAAGAAAAGATTATGCTTTATCGATTGTCTCGAACGCATGCGCGACACACACTCGCGGGAGTTGGCGGGGAAGAAAAGAGGCATCAGGTGGAGTCAACAGGATGTCGCGACAGGATGTCAAGATTGCAGGACGCTTCGACTGAGAGGATAAACGCATGCAGATTGTGGGGTCGCTAAGCACAGGGTGAATCGCTAAGCGTCAATTTGAAAGTTGAAGGTAGATCCCGCTGATAAGTCCGGGTCCAGAAATTAGAGCGCATTCACTACTAGTCTGATGAGGAGATCAAGAGACAAGTAGTGACAAGGGCCCAACGAGGATGGACGACGGGGAAAGAAGAGGTCAAAAGCGCAAATAGAACGATGGAGGAGAATTATTTGAAGTTGGTAGGGTCCTGATCCTTGATATTCAATCGAGGCCGGGCAAGGTCTTGAGGATCAGGGTTTGAAGGGTTGTCAGACGCCATGCTCATGGCTGGCACAGGAGATATTGTAGAGTGGAAGGGAGTTTGGAAGATGAGGTCAACAATTTGCGACTGCCGCATGACGGGTGGGTTGTCGTTACAGTGGCCTTTGAGTATGTCGGCAGTTATGGATGGCGCTCACTGAATGTTGAGGAGCTCTTGCGCATCAAGACTGGAAAATTCCATACCCGGAAAGAGTTTATCAAGCTCATCGGCGAGCTCAAGATCAAAATTTGGATTGGCAAGGATGTCAGTTGGGGGAATGACCACAAGATCCCGGAAAGGGTCCATATCAGAGTCAGGGTTGTCGTACACATCCATCAAATGAAGGTCTTCGATGGGACCATCCTGACGCTCGCCTCGATAATTGAAGAGCCAGCCATAGGGGTCAGGAAGCTCTTGACGGGTCTCAATTGGGCAGTATGAGTTGAGTGCTAACGCAGAATAACCTTGTTGGGGCAGCGGCCACGCAGACCCGTCCTTTGTGACCAGCTTCTTGATTTCCTGATAATGGTCGACGATATTCTCAACAGATACGGGCTGGAGGTTTAGGTTAGCCAGGTCGGGGTCCCAGCTCTGGGTCAAATCAAAGCCCTTTTGACCATCCTCCAGAGTCCATGACATGATTGTCCAGCCGAGAATTGTGATGTACTCAGTAGCACAGGGGATCCCGAACAGGGGAGCAACAGTTGCGGTAAAGTCACTCAAGGAAACAGCCCCGAGTTCGAAATGGTCGCGAAGAAAAGTGTACGCCTTGGCCATGACTGTCCACTGAGCTTTGAGTGGCTCCTCGCCCAGATGGTGGAAATCAATGTCGACTTTTGTTTTTGTGTGACTCCGCAGAATAGGGGAGCAACAAAGCCTAGAGAAGTATTATTAGCGCTATTCTTGTCACAGAGACTGTGATTGGACTTACTGCGAAATAGCATGAAGCTGTTCAAGGAGCGGAGTCGAGATGCAGGACGAGTAGCAGGAGGCGCAACATGAAATGGTGCCGCCGAGGGCGAAGACGCAATCTGAGTAGGCCATGTCATTTTTGAATTTGAATTGGACTTAGTGACGAGAGTGAGGCTTCCATCACGGACCTCAAAATGAGGACCATCAATAAGTGGCTGTGGCTGGTTGAAGTACTGGAGAGGAATACCCGCAACCATGGCGGCCGCAAAGGAAGGAAAGTCAAGGTCAGGGCCCTGCAATCCCAGGATTTGGGATGCTTTGTAGGCCGGAATACTGCACAGGTAATCCAGGAAGCGCTTTTCGGCATAGTCAGAATTTTCCGAGATTGAGGACGCCATGTTGAGGTGGCTTCAGGGAAAACCGAATGAGGTGTAGAAGGAATGAAGCGCCCAGCAGCAGACTCAAATAAGTGGTCCTAGCCACAAAGAGTTGACACTGAGCGAAGATGGAGCAGGAGAGAGCAGGCAAGCAAGTCGCAGTTTAAAAAAATAGTAATGTGAAACCGCAGAATGTAGTAGAGAGTGAAGAAAGCAATGAGGTGAGTGAGATTGAGGATGCGAAGGAAGAAAGGAAGAGAGACAAAGAAAGAAGTATTTGAGGAGTAGGGGAGAGTGTCTCGGGAAACTTGTGAATTACCTAAAACAGGAAGCATTCAGATAGTGTATTCATAACATGATAGTTCTAACCACTCATCGTCAATGTAATTGACTTCATTGAAAGAAGTATGCCTTGATGACTCCTTTCCGGGAATCCCGATGAGGCCATGATTTAGGGTTCAGGGCCATCATTTCTTTGTTTCCCCCAACACATGTGATGCCCCTGCCTGGTCACCTTGGGAGCTCCCCGTCTCTTCATTCATCTCCTGAAGCAATAAATTGTCACCTCAACTCGGGACTGGCCATGGATGTAATATAGTGAATTCCCCCCCTTCCACGTGGAAACACCCTGCAGAGATCGGCCCCTGCACGTTATTTCCTATTTCCAAGTTGGGGGGGGTGGGGATTCATCATGTACTCCCCGTACTCCCCATACTCCCGGCGCACGCTAAGATATTACCAGCAATACATCTTGCATGTCTGGATTTTAGGGGGGCTCTTCTAGAAGACTTGAGAAGTTGCTGCCCTAAGGTAGAACACCCTCCCTTCAAGACTGGGGATCAATAGAGAGAAGGCTGAATAGGCCAGTGGAACGAGGGCAAACATTTCAAGGCAGCTGTCATCCCTTGCTTCTGATCCATGGGATAACTGCTTTGGGAACTAGTAGGTCCCAGCCTCGCTGGGTACTTCCCCAGGTTGACTGTTTCGAAGAGGAGAACGAGGGCTTCGTGCTGGAGGCTTCCATGTGATGGATGACTCATGTCCAATATGTAGACAATGATGGCATGATGAGCATGGTTAGAGGGAGACTTCCACGGATGGATGGAATGGAAATCTAGCGTACGGCCCTTGATGCTGGAGATACATGTAGAGGACACCAGTACGCCCATTTCACAGCCAGAAGGGCCTCTAAATGGGAAAAGAAAAAGTGAGCCCTGCGAAGAGCAAGGGATCGACCTGAAAATGCGTGATGGAATTGTCTAAGATGATGCAACTGTGCTGGAATAGATGCAATAGTCCCGGAACAGCCCCTCCCATCTTCAAGCCTCCGACTGCGACGTCGAGTTCCAGTCGCTGGCCCAGATGAATGTAGGACATCGCCACTGCGAGCCCTTCTCCTTCTCCCCACTGGGACCGAGTGGGCGAGGGCAGATCCAGAATGATCGACCACGGTTCATGCCCGGCTTCTTGGTGGTCAGACTCACGCATGGCTCCTGGTGGCTCTCACAGCGCGGTACGGGCTTCTTGGTAAATAGCTTCGTCCAGTCTTCTTTGCTGACGATCGGGTCGATCACAGAGTCGTCGCTTCGCAGTTTACTGGGGGAAGATTGCGCAGATGGAGGACCGCTAGGGAGCGTCGGCATGTCGGACGTGGGTCCGGGAGGGGGTGGGTTCGAGGCGGCTTGGGTGATATGAGAATTGAAAACGATGCTCTTCTTCTTGGGCGAGGCTCCTGCAGTGATGGGGTGAGTGATGTTCAGGGCACAGGAGTCCTCGCAAGTCATAGAGTGGAGACTACGCACCCTCGTCGCTCTTGGGCTTGAAGAAGCCTATGAGTGACTTCTGGCCCGCTGTTGACGGAGTCGGCGTAGGCTTTGCACGCTTGGAAGAAGCTGAGGATGCCGGCTGTGATCGTTTGAAAGGCATGGATTTCGGAGCCGGAGTCTCGCAAGACACTGATGGCGTGGGCGGCTCACTGGGAGTAGGTGTTGCTGATGTATACGATTCCGGAGCCGGGGATGCAGCTGGCTTCTCTAGTGCGCTGCCTGTAGACGAGGATCGAGAGAGAGTGCTCGGAGGTCTGCGGGTGAACATGTCTTTGATACTGCGGCGCTTGTCGATATCAAACTCCGGCAACAGGCGACCAGACGCTGGTAACATGAACCGGGACGAGTATTCCTGCTGCCGCTCGCCGTCCTTGAATACCCCTGGTGGGTTCATAATGTCACGTATGTGTGAGAGGCCTCCCTCATATGGTACTTGGTCCTTGAAGACAGCGAAGACAGGGCAATGATCCGATCCCTACGCACAAAAAACACGTCAGCAAAAGCTCGCGCAAGTCTGCTAAACTGGAACAATACCATCAATCCTTCTTGGATGTTCGATTCGGAGAACCAATCCTGCATGTCTAGGCTACAGAGCACATAATCAATTCGAGCACCAAAGTTCCCCGGTCGCGTGTTAAGTTTCGTGTCCCAGCATGTATACATGCCACTGCGTTCTGGATGAAATGATCTGCAGATATCGTACATGACCGGCTGCTGTCTGCCTTCGTCACGGTCCCCAACAACAATCCCATCCGAAAGCAACGAGTTGAATAGCTTCCGAGACGGAGCAGATATGTACTCCTCTTCCGTGGTGGTCCTCTTGCGAATGCCTTCCAGCGCATGCGCAGAATCGATTCCCATTTGAGCAATGTTGATGTCTCCCGTTAGAAAGACGCGCTTCCCCATGGCGACGAGGTTGCGTACCCGAGCATCGAGGGCGCTAAGGAAGTCCATTCGAAAGCAATCACGGCTTTCATCTCGGTATGCAGGGCAGTAGACGCCGATGAGCACAAAGGCTGGGAACTCGAGGACCACGCATCGTCCTTCAGAGTCGAGTGTCGCGGCATCGATCTTGGGATCCAGTGCCGGCTGCTCGTCATCTAGGACGGCCTCATCACTCTCTATATTGACGGAAGGTGGCCTAGTGAGCTGCTCCATCGTCGGGTAACCGCCAATCTGCTGTTCCTCGGGCAGATCTCGGAAAGACACAGCAGAATTGGGCGCACACAGAACACCGGTGATACCTTCTTCGGCACGAATAGGAGCACATGTAGCATTACGAGTGTAAATCACAACCCCAGAATATCCTATCGGGAGTTAGCTTGAACCGAAAAACAATGGGAGACTAACGACTCGCCCTTTTTGAACTTGGGGAGGCTGAAATAGCAGTCCCACCCGGGCACTAGGACCATATCATCACGGAGGTCCTTTCGTTGGATTTTCGTTTCCTGAAAGACTACAATGTCGGATTCCAGGATGTCAAACATGGACTGATCTCGAGTTAGTGTTCACCGTTGCATGCATCGCGAAATATCACACTCACCTCGAAGGTCCGGTTGCCTCGCCATGGTTCATATGAGAACGGGTTACTTCGTAATCATTCAGTAATCATTTCCCATTTATAGCTCAACCCAAACATACCGAATCCCGTTAACTGTTTTGCAGTGTTAGCATCACGATCTTCGACCAAACACATCTCTTAACCTAGGACATGAACATACCGTTCCACGTGGTGATACGAAACCCCATGGCAGGCCGAGAGCACGTCAAGGCCCAGCATATCCAGCAGCGAAAAAGATGCAACTCACTCGCTGTGGTGGGAAAAATAACGAAGCGCTGTCTTCTCCCTGTCGTTGATATCACGTGAGTGGGGAGTGACATCAACTTAGTCAGCCGGGGGATCACGGGAAATTCAAGGTCCACTAAAGCGGCTTCGATTTCAACGTACGATCCTCTCCCCTCCAGCCCAACAGCACCAACCACCATGTTCTCCCGCAACGTTGCCCGCTTCTCTCAGCGTGCCTCGCAGCAGGCCCGCCAGGCCCCGGTCCGCCAGACCGTCCAGCGCCGCTTCGCCTCGTCCGAGACCCAGCCCTCGTGGATCGTCGACAACGAGTTCAACCGTGAGCGCTCTGCTGTCAAGCACCACGCCGCCGCCACCAGTGGTATGTGAACACCCCTCAATTGGCTCTTCACCGAGCTTTCCGGCCTGGCGTTCAGACCCTGAGAAGCTTGTACTAACGCAATGGCTCTACAGACCTCTGGCGCAAGCTGTCGATCTTGTATGTTTTTGCCTCGTGCAGCAGGGACCCATTGTCCCACACCTCGAGCTATGCAGAACATCACTAACCATTCATATCACAGCGCTGTTATCCCCTGCCTGATTGGTGGCGGTCTCAACGCCTACAACCTCTGGAGCGAGCACTGGGAGCACTGGGAGCACATGCCCCCTCTCGAGGAGCGCACCGAGTACCCCTACCAGAACATCCGCTCCAAGAACTACCCGTGGCGCGGCGGTGACAAGGTTGGTTCTCATTCCCCGTGTTGTATGACCTTTGAAGAATACCTAACTAACTCCACTTCCCACACAGACCCTCTTGTAAGTCTCATTACACCTAATTTTGATACCTGAGTTCCAGCAGAGTGTCAGATCCTGTCCCTTTCGAATACACAATTGGAATTGCAATTGCAGCATGCTGAGCTTTTGATTGGATGGAATTTCTGTCCGAGCACGATGGCTAATCTTTTCTCGCAGCTGGAACGACTCTGTCAACTACCACAACCCCGACAAGGCTACCTAAGCAGGTTGCCCTTCCAATCTCTAGCTGCAGAAGCTTGCTCAGCGAGCTGCCAACTGGAAGAATGTCTTTTGTTCACAGTTACCTGTAAATTTACCGGGAAAGAGCCAAAGTCCGAAGCTTTGGGGGATGTACTTGAGAGAATGAAGCGAAGCCCGTCATTTCCGCTATTTCTTTTGTTTTTTTGTGCTTGCCTAGATCCAATGTCATTTGGCTCGGGGTTATCATACCTTGAAACCGCTCTGAAGGGAGTAGCCTGTAGCCCTAGAGGTAGTACTCGTCGCCCAGGAAAAGAAGTTTTGACTTGTACCAAGTAAGAAAGATGGCCCTACTATTCAGCATGGGATACATCTACTTGAGCAGCACACTGATTGGAAACTTTGGGGTCAAAAACAGACAAGATGCAAGTTATGCGTATCATTTCAAGACGAATGAACCCACCCAACACCACCACCCAGAACAAACCAGCGCCTCTAATAATACAATCCCCAGAAAACCACCTTCAAACCCTCAAATCTCTGCCCCGCGCCTCTTTCTGAGATCAAGATACTTCGCCGCATAGTCATTAGCCAGCACCGGATCCCCAGTGAGATGCATCACAGTAGCCTTCTTGGCCATCATCTCCGTCTGGCCCAGGATATCCTCAATCTCTTCGTACGCATCATACGCAAAATCAATATACCCCAGCGCCCGATTCACATACTCTTTCCGAACGGGCGTACTCTCCTTCCCCAGATTTGCCCACAATTCCCCAGCAACGCCCATATTCGCATCCACAAGCATTGAATACGCGCGCGCGACGAGCGCAGAATCCTCGCTCTCTAGAATCTGAGGCATGATACTTTCGACTAGCTGGTTCGCAGCGTCGAACTCGCGTAGACTGAGGAGAACAGCGGAGAGGGTGACGATGGCTTCCCACAGGTCGAAGAGGACCTTTGAGCGGTGGGCGATGCTGGCGGCGCGCATGGCGAGGGAGAAGCCTCTTTGTGGTTGGCCTGATTTTTCGAGGATGCGGGCTTTTAGACAGAGGAGCTGGATTTGGGAGTGTACGTCGAAGTTCTCGGGTTGCATTGAGTGGGCGGCTTGTTCGAGCATTAGGAGAGCGCGGCCGTAGTCGCCTTGGCGGAGGGTGTGTTCGATTGTGTAGAAGGCTAGGAGGAGCCGCATGTCGAAGTCAAGGAGTTGTACGGCTTGGAGCTGGGAAATAATGTGTTCGACTGCTACTTTGTCATCGCTGAGGGATTGTTAGCGCGGTTGGTGGTGATTGGGTTGGTGATGCTTTACCGGCAGATTTGACGGCGGAGCTGGAGGAGGCCGGAATAGTAGGTCCAGGCGTTGTTGTACTTGAAGGCTCGGAGTCTTTCGGGCTCGATCTTATTCATGCGCGCAAAGGCTTCCTTGTAGTTACCCTTTTGTGCCAGCTGGAAATCGAGTTAGTTTTTGTTCAGCAATGGGCCGAAAGAGTCGGCTTACGATTTGGCAATTGCGGAACGTGAGCTTGACGTAGTCGTCGTATGGTTGGCCTTCGTTGTAACATTCGCGAAACACTTCGGTGTTTAGCCAAGAAAGGTGAGTCGCTCCTGCAGGCTAGTGATTAGTGGTATTCCATAAGTGAGAACTCGAGGGCAATTACCTATCCGAGCATACATGGCGCTCTGCAACAACATGTACGCACCCGTAGGAGTTGAGAGGCTCTTGGTCACGTTGACGTGTGATGCTCGCACGAATGATTCGACAATAGACGCGAGACTCTCTCCCTAGAAGCGGTCAATTTACGTAGATCCCTGAAAGTCAATGACAGCGGTGAGCTTACCTGTTGCATTTCCAACTTCGCCTCGCTCAGTATTGTCGTACTCATGAGTGACCACATGTCAGTCTCCTTGGACTTGGCCTTGAGGAAGGCGAGACCTTCTTTTTCATTCCCCAGCATACCGCTATTTTGCACTTCCCGCATCTGCTCCGGAAAAGCTTTGCCGAAGTGATAGAGCCAGCTCATGCAGAAGTTGAGGCAATTCATATCATGCGACTCGCGAGCAATAGCAACGGCTTCTTGTACGGCGGAGATAGCTTCATTGAAACACCCAAAGTCGGCTTGCATGATAGCCAGATTCAAAAGCGCAAATTGATATGCGCTTCGGTCAAGATTGCTGTGCATGGTGTAGTCGAAGTATCGATGGAGATTGTCAAAGGCTGATGTATAGTCACCTGCTCGCCAAGCGTCCAAGTACCTAAGCTGCGTCAGAACAAAATGAAACACAGGGGTTTTAAAAGAACCTACTCCAGGTAATACATGAGCACCGGCACAGAGGACTCGGATGTCATAATGTGTTTTAGCTGGGCCCTCATCTCGTCGGGAACTCTGCCTCCAAGTCCTGCGATTGTCAGCCTCGGCACCATTCAATAGGATTAGAGCCACTTAGACCTACTCTGTAGCTCTCCAACTTGGAACTCAACCAAACGCTCAGCATCTTTAACGCTGACGACGCCTTCCTCCTCGTCATCTTCGATGTTGCCGTAGACCACTTGGGAAAGATAGCTGTTGGACTCGAGGAGATTGACATCGATAGGAGCTTGATCATGGGACGGATTCCTTCGAGCCCACATATGATACGTAGGCAGGCGGTATTTCACAAAGCTAGACCACAATTTTACGGAGTCATGGAATTGTAGCCGAGTGTATTCAAGGTAAGCCCTGCGGATAAAGGCTCCAAGAGGGGAGCTCCGCGACAAGCGCATGCCCTCATTCTCCGGAGCGAGTCCGTTGTCTCTGTCCTGCATCAATTGCTCACGCGTCTTGCTCAACAAGGACGGCAGGACATCGCTGAAGAACTCCTCGAGAGCATCGAGCGAGTCAAGCGACCAGATCCTCTTGAGAAACAGATCCCACAGTGTTCTTCCTGGCACCGAAGACTCATGACCAGAGAGTACCTCCTCAAGCTCGGCGATGCTAGGCAGGTAGTGTTTCTCCCATTGCTTATCGGCGGGATCTAAAGGGAACAAACCCGCGGTCAAGAAAGACAACACATGAATCGCGGACGAATTTGGCACGACACCATCCGTGTAGACAGTGATCAAACACAGTAGAGAGATCCTCCACGGTGTCAGATAGCGGGTCATGTTCGGCAAAGTAGTCAGACATTGAAAAGACGTGTTGATGCGAAAGCGCGTTGATAGCTCGATGAGTGCCTGAGGCTGCCAGGCCGCAATCGGTGCCCCGCCAAAAAAAAAGGCAAAGATGACGCATCGCGGAATTTCTTCTTTCATTCCTCTTCAATTGGACTGACCATCATGGCTGAAGCTTTGGCAACTACGGATCTGCAAGGCGCATTGCCCCTTGTCGCCCGCGGCAAGGTGCGCGACCTGTACGAGGTCGACGACAAGACCCTGCTCTTCATTGCGACTGATCGCATCTCCGCCTACGATGTGATCATGGAGAATGTACGTTTGCTCAATTGAATGGTGAAAGTGCTTACTGACGTATTTTGCATATATAGGGAATCCCCAACAAGGGCGTTCTTCTCACCCTCTGCACCAAGACATGGTTCAAGATCCTGACAGAGGCCGTCCCCGGTCTGCGCACCCATTTCCTCACCCTCGATCTCCCTCCCCAGATCCCCGCTTCGCTGCGTCCGGTGCTACAAAACCGTAGTATGCAGGTCCGCAAGCTCCGCATCCTCCCCATTGAGGCCATCGTCCGTGGCTACATCACCGGCTCCGCTTGGATAGAGTACCAAAAGTCCGGCACTGTGCACGGCCTGGCGATCCCCGCAGGTCTGCAGGAGAGCGAGGCCTTCCCCAACGGTCCAATCTACACCCCCAGCACCAAGGCCGAGCTGGGCGAGCATGATGAGAATATTCATCCCGACGAGGGTATGTGTTACATCTGATCTTGGAGTTGATGTTGAATAGCTAACGTAGTCCACACAGCCGTCAAGATTGTTGGAGAAAAGTACGCCGCGCGCATTGCTGAGCTTGCTCTGCAGCTGTACAAAGCTGCGCACGCATATGCTCTGGAGCGTGGTGTTATCATTGCCGATACCAAGTTCGAGTTCGGCGTTGACGAGGAGACTGACGAGGTCGTTCTGGCTGATGAGGTCCTGACCCCAGACTCCTCCCGATTCTGGCCCAAGGACACCTACGCTATTGGCCGAGGACAGGCGAGCTTCGACAAGCAAATTCTGCGTGACTGGCTGGTCAAGGAGGGACTCAAGGGTAAGGCGGGTGTTCGCATGAGCGATGAGATCGCGCAAAAGACCGCCGAGAAGTACAAGGAGGCTTGGGAGAAGATCACTGGGGGTAACTAAAGCAGACTATCGAAAGACTCGCTGTATATTTCGGGAGCGCATCTCCAATGAATCCTATGTCTTCTTATGACTCAATGGTCAACAAATAAAAATATCAAGTCCAATGTTTTACATACATGCTTGCCCGGGCTGTAATGGCAAGCAGTCGGAGTTGTCGCTAAATTAATGTACAGTCTGCTGTCAATTGCAACTTGCAAATCACTCATCCCATTCGGACTTCAACCCCTTCAGACCCTTGGCATCGGTGCTTTTTTGTTGATCGGTTCCCTTGGATTTCTTGTTACGTTCAATCCAACCCGACTCAACTCCCTCATCAACCGACAGCGCATCCGCACCGCAGATCCGTCGCTCCTCCTCGATTTCTGCCTTACTCATTCCATTCGTGGCCCAGATCTTATGAATGCGCAGATCAAACGGACCCTCAACACGGTCAGTAAGACCAATACCAATACTCTTGATCCGCTGACGGAGGAGTGAAGTCTGTGGTTCAACAACGTAGCCATGATTCGTCCTGACGAACGAATTGAACGGTAGAAGAACAGTCTCCCATCCTGTGCCGCCAGAAGTGGTTGCTGAAGAAGAGGATGAACCGATAATAGTATACTCAGGTGGGATCTCAGACAGAGCATCTGGAACGCCCTGCGGAGCGGGGTATCCATCGAGGTCCTCATCCTCCAATGATTGAACACGCCCGGGTTCCTGCCCTTCCGTCGCATTCGCGTATGCATTTTGGTATACACGGTGGTGTCGGGTATACAATCTGTGCTGGTGGATATCCGTTTCGATGACGGAGTCCGTCTGGATATTGACAGTGTATCGACGGCCGTCTGATTTGACGCGGAGAGCGAGGTAGGCGTAGGGGTCGACGTCCCAGTACAGACGGCCAAAGAGCCACATGCCGCGATCCTTGTTGCGGAAGGCAGCGTATCCTGTTGATTTCAGCATCAGCTTCAAGGCCGCGGTCTCGAGTCGTTTTCGATTAGTATCGTACCAGTTCTCTCGACGCGCCAGTTATCAGGGAGTTTAGTGGAGATTGAGCCGTGGAATCGAGCGTGTGGCGGCGTATTAGTCTCAGGGTCTCCGGGCTCGTAATCGATGCTGGCTGTGCTGTATCCGCCGACGACGCGGTCTGCCATGGTCTTGCAACCCTGGACAGTCTCTTTGTCTTGGAAGTCGAGCATCACGTAGGGCTTGGTCGGAGTGGAAAGAGTTTCGGTGTTCCATGCTGGGCTCGTTAGCTATTTTCGAGCTCGAAGATCAGGGCGAGGCTACCAATTCTTGAAAGGCGGCCGAGCTCCTCGGCGCTGCGCCTGAAGAAGCCGCTCTGAGCGGCTAATTTCCGAGTGGGAATCATGGTTGGTGTGGCGGGATGAGAAGAGGCCGCAGGGAGAGTTCTCAAGAAGCTCGAGGATGATGTCGCTTCCCGAGGTGGCGTGAAGACTACCGATCTGCCGCGATAAGATAACTCCGAACTACATCTTCTTATCGCTCTCAGAACCAGAAGACAGGCCAGTTGTACATTTACGGATCTTTTTGTTAGGCCAAAACAAATCAACAGGAGATTATTGAGGACGTAAAATAAAATCTCGAAAGACTGAGGCTGTTCATGGAGCGGCTCGAAGTGTCAGAGCTTACCTTGCGGAATCGTTGAGGTATGTATTCAGGTGCCTTGTCCGTTGAAGCCAAAGTTTGAGTTTGAGTTTGAATGTTAAGGTATGCGTTATGATTCTCCCAAGTATTAGTGTCCAGGGTATCCAAGGTTCGTGATTCCGTGTGCTAGCCCACAGGGCAGTGAACTCCTAGCCGAACGCGTAGAACTGAAAGAGTGGGCAACGGTCTCTGGGCGGGTGAGATCAAGCTTCCAAGGCCCTTTTGCAGCTCAGATCGCTGAGCATTTGTGGCTCGATAGTCGCAGGATTCACCTGTGGGGGGTTATCTCCCGAGCACTCCTCTTTTTACTGCGGCGCATCTACTTTTCCCAAGTAACCAGCCCAACGATTCAGTCACCGAAACATGGTCGTAAATGAATTGTTGTTGTTGTCCAGATTTGACGGGAATCGCGAAGTTCGCACCGTATTGAACTACCTTTACGCTCTTACTCGAATCCTGGATATGCCTCGAACTGCTTTCAAAAAGGCCATGATATACAGCAGACTAGGTATTGGCCAAGGGAAATTCTATTCCTGTATTGAAAGCCAGCAGTTCGGGATCAAGGGAGATTTTATGACAAGCTCTGACAAAGGTGGCTGGAGAGGGGGAGGAGGAATCGGCTTGGGCGATATGATCCTGTTTTCTCACTGAATTGTCCATGGGTTAGGCATGTATCTACCTCGAATATCACTCAAGTTGTATTGATACACGAGGAATACACCCCAGCGAGAGATGTACTTGTCATGTTCTGCTGTTGTAATTCGAGCAAGGTCTTCCATAGTTGACCTCGACCATGGTCGAAAGTCGCTGCATGACCGCGACTAAGCGATTCTGGATGAGCTGCGCCGAGGAGTCACCTCGGTCAAAACATGGAACCCTGGATATCGCTGTAGATCCCAACGACGGAGAGTTCCCATACGGAATACAATCGGCCGAAAGTTGCGTCTAAACCTACTACGCACTTGTAGTCGTAGGCCTTGCAAAGGTTTGGTACTGAATCAAATTGGCCCCAAAACCCTCGACCCCAGGACCCAGCCATGGTTCATGGGCTATTTCGCAGCTTGAAGAGGGTGCGGGCCCCATGTACATGAAAGGGCTTAGTCCTGGCTCAGATGAGACAGCGAGGCTCAAATAGTCGGCGGAGGAAGACTCGCGATGCTGATAGTCCTTTTGCTTCTTCGTAATTTCTACACATCCTCGTCTCATAAACAGCCTTTCTGGCAATCTACACTCGCTATTGACCTCTTGATAGAAAAGCGTATCATATACACCATCTGGCACAAAAAAATACATACACAAGATGAGCAACGCGTCGTCGGTTCCCAGCGTTGGGACGCAATATGCTCGCCGAGGAGATCGTATCCAGGAGGAACCCTCAGCCAAAAATGCCCAGGGCCTGTTCTCTCCGGATGCGTGTATCTTCGTTGGAAAGTAAGTAGCTAAGCTTATGAAATAATCACCTGTGTACTAACCGTGTTCCAGTCTCTCGACCAAGGTCCCAGCTGATCAGTTGGCCGAAGATCTCAAGAGAGTCTTTTCGCATTTTGGGCCTTGTCATGTCAAGATTAAACAAGACAAGAAGAGAAATTTACCCGGTGCTTTTGTACAGTTCGAGGTATGATGTGTAGTTTCTGTCTATCTTTGAATTCAAGCTAATTGATGAACAGCGGGTTGAGGATGCTAACGCAGCCTTAGAAGGCGACCAAAGCACCGAACTACATGATCGTTATCTCCGAGTTGAGAGAGCAAAGGGAAGACGTAGGCACAGGTCGTTCCTTCCCAACTCTGAATTCTGAACTGACAAAAGTAGGAACGGCTCTTCTCGGTTTCCGCTCTGGTGCACCCATCTCCGAACAAGAAGTATTATCTGTCTTAGGGGGACGTGGTGTTCTTGAGGCCTGGACAACAGAGCCCCATCAGTCTGGAAATTGGGTTTCCACTGTCGGTAAAGTGACCTTTGCCTATGTGGATGACTGCAAAGACGCCATCAGGGTCAGTACCCCCCTCTCTCCTGCGAACCACAACTTGACACCTCTCCAGCATTTCTTCAAGGATCATACGTATTACCTATCACTTCTCGACATGGATGGAAGTCCGCTTAAGCCTGGCTCGGGGTCGACGAGCGATTCATCTCAGGCAAGACCATACAACTCGCATCAGTCATTTCGGGGCAATCATTCCCAGCGAGGATTCAACGGTCGTGGAGGGCACCGTAATGGACCCCCACGAGGTGGCTATCGTGGGTTCGCTCGATACCGCCACTCTCAGTACCACCAGGAGAATATGCATCCTCGGGGTGGAATCGAGAACAGTCACCATCGTGGGGGGATATAACTATGGCCCCAACATGATCCATGGAATGCCATACGGTGATCACCCACCGTTCTACTCCCATCAATCGCCAAGCAACGGCTTTGCACCTCCCCCATTCATTATCAATGGCCAGCCAATGTACGGCAATCCTCATTTACCTGGCCTTCCCAACAGTCACCCCCGCCGGGGACCTTTCCCTCCAATGTCAACAATGGTCCCTTCATTGTGGGTGGCCAGCCAATGTACAGCTCTCATCTACCGGCTTGCTGGGCCGAGCCTTATCAGCACAACAATGGATATTATAGCCCTTCATGCCAAATGGCCAATTATCCCGATGGGTACTTCAACTCGGACCAAGGTTACAATGAGTCCTACCCTCAAAATGGGAACCATCTTACAATTCCGCATAATAGCAATAAGATCACGCCGCCCAGTACCATTATCTCATTCAAGGAGGACGACAGGTCGAGCACAAGCTTAGAAGTAGCCACGGCTGATGGGACAGACAAGAAGCCCCGAGCAAATGAGGGCTTCGAGCCCGAGGGAGACACCGAGATTGAAAGCAAGGAAGAGACTGACAGAAAAGCGGAAACCATGACCGAGACCAAGTTGGAAGAGGATATCTTCAACCTCAGGGACCACGAAAGGCCCCGACTGATTCGTGTTCACAGCTCCGACACTGAGGATCAAGAGCTTGACGACGATAAAGATACTTCAGTATCAGACAAACAGATAAAGTCAAAGCAAATGTCCGAGCCCGGGTCAGAGTCTAAGTCAACAAAATCACCTCGACCCGTTCCAACTCTGGCACAGGTAGCAGGAGAAGTCGACGAAGACTACACGACCCCTGAGCCCACATCAGAGTCCGACACGACGCCTGAGACCACTCCCGACACGAAGGAGGAAGCTCCTCGCACAGACAACATGCTTGACGAGTGCTACGATCTCAGTGACTGCGACAGCAACTCAAGCCCGTACAACTGCAATCGCAAATCCACCGACGAGGATTACCAGCTGCGAACCGGAAAGACTATCGGGGAATACATTCGAAGAGGAGTCGAGGATCTTCAAGGCGACTACCCTCAGGAACTGATGGACGTCGTAGCGCGCGAGATAGCGGCGGAGGAGCAAGAAAAGGAAGAAAAGAGAAAAGATTTGTAGGAGTAAGAGCTAGAGTGCAAGAATCATCCGGTTCTGCGGTCCGGGCTCGACCTTATGAGGCGGGTCAATGGCGCAAAGCTTCTCGTCAAGTCTGATTCAGGGCGTTATTAGGGTCACCGCGCGGTGGTATCAATTGTCGGTAGTTTTACGGTTTTTCGATTTGGTGGTCTTATTATGTTTTACCTTCCTGCATGTCATTTCGCTTTTTGTGCTTGATATTGTTCAACGTATGGAATATGGTGTTTCGTTGTCGCAGGTCCGCAGTCGCACACAACTGTATGCCGGCACCGCAACAAAAGAATATAGCTAGACAAATCGGATACCTTTATCGAAATGCTTCCAATATCCTCGTGGACGCAGAAGAATTCCTCGAGCGAAGTAGGGGTAAAGCCTGCTGTTGCATCACTTGTGTGAGTCGTTAGCCACAGCACGTGGGAAGAGTTATCCGCACTCTAGCTATTAGGTGCTCCCTTTACCAATTGTAGACTACATGAAACAAAACTGACTTAGAGGAGTATACTGTTTATTATTCTTCCGCTAGCCGGGAAAGGATGATCGCAAGTCATTGTGTATTGCTGGCTTGAAGAGTCGACCTAAACTACGCTATAGGACGAACACGATGGACATGAGGTCAAAGAAAAAATCCAAAACATCAGAATAGTACAGTTGCCACCAATGGCGTCTAGCCATACGCAGGCTCGGCAAAAGTTGCTGTCGCTTCGATGGTGAGTAGGAACGTCGGGAGTAGGAGATCTAATTCATCCAGACTAGGCGAGGCATCAACGTGTTCTTTTCTTGGCCCTCGTTATGGTCCTTTTGCGGCCTGACTAAATAAACTCTTCTTAAATAAGTGATGTGAGTGAATTTATGCCGACTAGTCCAAGAACGGCCTTGTGAAAAAGTGAGCTAGGGCTTCCCCTGGAAACTAATTGAAGTTGATCGTGCACAAGGAAAATTTCAGTTGACCTATACGGATACGGCGTATAACTGTCCAGACTAATTTCTAAAAGTAACCCATTCGTATTAGGCGAGAAGACTAATTACGACGCACAATCTATTGGAGTGGTGAGACCGGCCCCCGCAACTACCAACTGCGGTAGTACCCCAGGAGAGCCTCCAGGGGGTCCCTGTGTAGTGGATCAGGAACGTGGCTAGATCTAGTACGAGCATCTCACCGAGAAAGGCAAAACTCCCTGAGTTTACGTACGAGGGGTGGACTTCAACCTGTCACCCCTTAGACGGCGGGGCTGAAGCGGCAACAATCTAGATGGAGACGTACCGAGGCAGATCTATTCGCCTCTTGTCTCACCGTCGGCTCAGTACGAGCGTTTTGCGTTCAAGTGGTCCCCTCGTACCAAATTTATTCAACTGGCTAGGGCCGTGCCAAGGGTTGTCGGAGGTTTCGCCACTGCGTACCTAAGGTCGACGACCGTTATGGGATACGAACGGCCCACCAACAATTTTAGCAATTTTAAGCAAATTGAGCAATTGAGTAATTGAGCAAAATAAGAGTTGTCTCGAAGCCCCGACACCTGTCACTAGGGGAAGAAAGGAAGCTAGTTTTAGCGAACGGATCAATTCCATCGACCAGGGGAAAAGGTCTGTAGGTTTAAGCTTGTTCTAACTCAGCGAGTCATAATCCATGAGATCGGACTACGCGTCGGCTCAGGCCCACTTAGCGAATCACTTCTACCTGGTGTGACATTCGCTGGGGCCTTCGACGCAGAGACCGAGTCCATAGACGCCACCGTGGACGGAATGGTCGCCTCTCCACTACTCTTCGACCATATTCCCCTTAGAATATCCCCGTGGGCTTGACTCTGTGTCCACATCTGCCTCAGTGCGGCCCACTACGCCGTACACTGCCCCCATTAGGCTCTGAGATTGAGGGGATCGAGACGTCTTGCGCTATGGCGCTGAAATTAGGTAGCACAGTAAATGGGGGATTTGCTGGTAGGGAGTCAATGTGCACTGTAACTACCTTCCCTCTATGTTTGGCCTGCACTTTCACTTGTTTCTCAGGTGATCTCGCGTAGCTCCATTATCCCAAATAGTCTTAAGAGAGGTTTCCATTTTATCTTGTATATCTATCTGGTCCTTTTCCTCGTTGCAGGATTTATGTATCCCTGTTTCTGAAATCTCTAAACAGAATCTTCTGCACTATAACTCTTTCTAGATTATCTTGTCCAGTTGTCATCCACCACCGATGAGCAAAACAGCTACCCGGGCTACGGCCAGGGACAAAGTCCTCTCGAGGCGCGAGATTGAAGGTATGATTGCCGACAACAAGACAATCATCATCGTCGATGGTAAAGTGCTACGACTGGATGGCTGGATCAAATTTCACCCCGGTGGCTCCTTGGCCATCAAGCATATGGTTGGCAAAGATGCTACCGACGAAGTCAATGCGTAAGCATCCAATTCTTCTAATTATTCCCGAATATACTGACAGCATACAGCCTCCACTCACAAGAGGCACGTCAACGCATGAGCAAGTTCCAGATTGGCTCCATTGAGGGAAGATGGACCAACTTTCTTCCTCCTATTCAAGGTGGTCAGTTCCGCCCATACAAAGGCGATGAATTTGAAGATGGTGATTTTTCAAGCTCAGAATTATCTGAAGAGCTTTCACCTCCGCCATCTCCCATTTTCGACGCAGAAGACGCCGGGTTAAGACGCAGACCTTCGATCTCATCCTTATCCTCCGCAGTCAGCAGCATACCCCCTTCAGCAGAAGAAGTCAAGGTCGAAGAATCAAAAGGTGCCTACGTGATGGACGCTCGAACTCAGGCCGAGATTCTGCTGGATGAATCCAAGTATCCTCCTCTCACAGCCGAATACCAAGAAAACATCACCCAGAAATATCGCCAGCTCAACGAGCGCATTCGTGCAGCAGGTCTGTACAACTGCAACTACTCCGCCTATGCCATCGAAATATCTCGATACAGTCTCCTCTTCGGCCTCTTTCTCTTCTTCCTGAACCGGTCCTGGTTCTGTCTCTCCGGCCTCTTCTTAGGATGCTTCTGGCACCAATTAGTCTTCTCCGCCCATGATGCTGGCCACATGGGCATCACACACAACTTCCAAGTTGACACCACCATCGGCATGATCATCGCAGACTACCTGGGCGGCCTCAGTCTAGGCTGGTGGAAACGGAGTCACAACGTCCACCACATCGTGACCAACTCCCCAGAGCACGACCCGGACATCGAGCTGATGCCTTTCTTCGCTCTATCTCATCGGTTCTTCGGTAGTCTGCGCAGCACATACTACGAACGGATCATGGCCTATGATGCCGTGGCTCAGGTCACCGTCAAATACCAACACTACCTTTACTACCCAATTCTCCTCTTCGGCCGCTTCAACCTCTACTTCCTGAGCTGGGAACACATCATCGTCGGCCGTGGACCCCGCCACGGCGCTGGCTGGTGGCACCGATGGTTCGAACTCGCCGGCCAAATCTTCTTCTGGACCTGGTTCGGCTACGGTGTCGTCTACCTCAGCATCCCCAACTGGTGGAGTCGAATCGCCTTCGTCCTGATCTCCCACATGGTCACCGCGCCGCTGCATGTGCAGATTACCCTCTCACACTACGCGATGTCGACCGCCGATCTCGGTCCCCGGGAATCTTTTCCCCAGAGAATGCTCCGCACCACCATGGACGTGGACTGTCCGACGTGGTTGGACTTTTTCCACGGTGGGCTTCAGTTCCAGGCCATTCATCATTTGTATCCCCGTATCCCGAGACATAATCTGCGCAAGACGCAGGAGTTTGTGAAAGAGTTTTGTGAGGATGTGAATATTCCATATGCCGTTTTCACTTTTTATGATGGAAACAAGGAGGTGATTAGTAGGCTTGGACATGTTGCTAAGCAGGCACGGATTCTGGAAGAGTGTCGGAAGAAGTGTGCTGAGCAGGGTATTTTTGCGGATCATCATCATTGACACTAGAAGGCTCGCTTGATGCGAGATTGGGTTTTGCGAATAGGGGTGTTCAATCAATACTTACAGTACTTCAATTACTTTAAAGCTGGGTCTATACTTTACAATGTTTTTATTTCATCAAAGTCTCGGGCATTGTGTTGCCTAGTTGCCTAGTTGCCTAAGAGTCTCTCAAATACATGACTTCAAGGCTCATTCTTCATATTCGTTCCTTCACATCGTCTCAGCCGTTTGGCCATTGGCCCATCAATATTTTCCAATACCCTGTTTGCCCTGAGGTATACTGATGGAAGAAACCCGACAGCTCGATAGCTCAGTAATATCTTTGGGATTCTGATCGACGTCTCCTTCAATTGGAGCGACAGCGCATGCTACACGTCTGTAAATTCATGAAGCGTGCCTCTTAGCTGCTTACGAAACGCACCAGATCAAATATATTCTGCTTTCACATAATCCCCGCCGTGGACCTTACGGCTCACGTGGAGTTGAACTCTTAAAAGGAAGATGGCCGTGTATATAGATGAACAGACAAGCGTACCGTGAGAAGTATACTCAACGAGCATAATCAATAAATCCTGCAGACCGCCTTGGAATAATCGGTCAAGACAAGTAAAGAAATGCATTATCGGCGACTCTCATCGCACACATCAAACGAGAGTCCTGGAAGCCTCAGAGATACAACATCAGATCAAGCTGCCGCATGAGAACCAAGTATTCACGGAAAAGTGATGCACTCTCAGCTACCTAGCCATATATCCTGCTCCTCTCCATATCCATAGGGAATCCACGAGTCATTAAAATACTTCTGCAAAACAGTCTGCGGATAAGTCATATCGTCGACACAGTATCCCCCGCCGGTGGGTCCAATATGAGGACAATGAATATCAGGTCGGTAATGCACCATATGCTCATGAACCTCCCGGCACAGCAACGTATTTCTACCGAGCTCGTAACTTTTCCCGAATCGCACATCCTTGGTCAAAAAGTCATAACAAGCGGCCGTATCTGTATATTGCTGGTTTGAGCCGGTACAATACTGCTCGTGCGTGGCACAGATAGTCGTGGCCAACAAGTCGGATACATAAGCGACGGCCTGGTCAGAAGAGGTAGCGTTGATCTTTGTCGCTACACCGCTGATCAAATAGTCCACCAAGTACTCGAACCATCGGAAGACGGCGTCATACTGGATGATCTTGCCATCCGCGTTCCACTCGATCCAGGTGTCGATGGTGACCGGGATGACGATGCCAAAGGTCGTCGCGTTGAAAGTGACCACGGTTGTCGCAGATGCAATATTATCGTTGGCTGCGAACTGAGTGATGTTGTAGGCGATTGGAACACCCACGAGACTCACGTGTGTCGGGTCTGAGAAGAGACCGAAGATATATTCACGGTTTAGTTCGTCGCCGTCGAAGGTACGGGTGATGTCGACACGGCCTTGGACCTATGTTTTGTTCAATTTTGCTCCTGTCAGTATGTGCTGCGAGACCAAGGTCGTCTTTGGCGGAGCGTTCAACCTACATTTGTGTCGAATATCGATGACTCGTTACCCTGTGTCTGGTTCACGTTGGCAGGGTATAGAAACGAATCCCAGAAGATCTTTTCCAGCTCCCAGAGCTGATTGAAAGTATACGTTGATTTTGGAATGTTTGGAGAATCCCTTGCACACGCAACGGATGAAAAGAAGGGCAAGATGATCGTGAGCAAGGAGCCCCACGAAATCCACAGGAAGTTCATGTCGATTTCTGAATTAAAGTAGCTTTTGAGCTCTCTTTAGATAACGAGCAGAACTAATGAATGAGAAAAAGGAAAGGATTCTCAGAACGACCTGGTGTAGGTTATTTATTATTCGAGGCATGCCACAGCGGGCCTCACGAAGAACGCCAGAAACGACCTCTGCTGCCCCCGCCGTAGTCCATCGCCACTGGGGGGTTTGAATATGAGAAAGCTACGTGCTGATCCTCGCTAGGAACTTTGCAAACCCAGTGATCCAGACTCAGCTAGCTAGTATATAGTATTTAGCGCACTGAACATTCTGACTCGAAGTAGTTGAGGAAATTCACGTTTTCTGTGTAACAGGTAGATCAATTTATGAAAACCTTTGACAGGAATGAACGACGGGCACAAAGCGCAGAGCCTTTTTCGGTAGGGCCCCGAAAGTATATGGAGCTAGGGGTCTGGCTAGCCCAGAAATGAGGGGCTGAAGAGCTCCTACATACTTGGGCAGAGTTGCAAACCGGGGCAATCTTTCGCCTCCTTGCAGATTTTCAGACCGTTTGGCAAAATCAGGTCCAAAAACCCAATGAAACATGTCAGTGTATTGCTCATCAATTGGTCATTGATCGTCATGTCGGCGGGTCCCCGTCATTATCATCGTCCACCTAAAGCGGCTCATTGGTAGGAGAGACAAATCACTGAAGACACTCTCTTCAACAGACGCGTAAGAAATGTGGCTTCTAAATTCGATTGAGTGGAAGTGTCAGGGCGTTAGCTTGATCTAGACTTGAACTGGGCCACTTAAATTCAAAGTATGATAACCGTTGAGTGGCGACATTTTAGAGATATCTCTAGAGTCCACTGATTCCAAATATCTCGATGATTTGTATATATCCTAGGAACATATATTGACATTGGTTTCCCGGCTCGAAGGACAATTTCAAATTGTTAAAAGAAGCGGTCTGCATATATTTCTAGTGCTTAGATGACCGTGGACAAGACTCGAGACGAAACATGATAGAATAACCAAGGCCCAAGTCTGCCATGAATTGGATACATTTATAACCCCACTCAATGCTATGCAAAAACCCCAGGCGTACAAACTGAACTCATCCCAACAACGCCGGGATATGGGAAGATGAAGATATATATACAGAAACAAAAACAAAATACCTCACAGCGAATGCGCTGTCAATGCGTGCATGACAAATATGAAAAGGAGTAAACCTGCGACGCAAGAGGGACAGCAACAAGATAATCGAACATCAAGTAATGATGTGATATGATGCAGTGCGAGGCTGATGCGTGAATGCTAGCATGAGATAGGAAAGAAAGATATGCAGGATGAAGATGGTGAGAAAGGGGAAGGTGTGGAATAGCGTGTGTGCTATTTAAACCCTGACGCGTCGCGCATCGAAGTAGCCCAAATTCACGGCTGTGTCATTGATGCCCACGAAAGGCGCCGCGTCTTCCAGAAGCTCCCAAGGTCGAATAGCATAGGGACCAACGATCCGACCACCGCGTTGGAGACGCAGCCGGCTCAACAAATTCGAGCCCTCGCTCGCTCCAGCAGACAATGCCGACGACGTTGGTGGTTGCTGCATGCCTCCTGAAGAAGGGAAAGTGGCAGGCGACTGAGTAGGAGTTGACGTGGACGCAGCTGGAGAGGCCGCCGAAGTAGATTGAATAAGCGCAGTAGCATGAGAATCCGCCACAGGACCCAAGAGATAGAGGAAACGAGAGTCATTTTGGAGCGGGACGAATGGGGGGGCATTTCTCTTTAAGGAAGCGGGCACATTGGTGGCGGACTTCGTCTGAGAAGACGTCGATCAGAGAAGCAGCGACGTCGAGAGCATGGGTTTGAAGCAGGATGCCTGGGCAAGGACGGTAGTCCTCGACGGTGCTAGAGCGGGGAAAGTAATCCACCCCCGGAAGTGACGGATTACGTCTCCTGGAAGTCGGGATAGAGCAATGCAGAATATTGAGATCAGGACACGAGACTGGTTATGGGTGGAATTGATCTTCAAGGTGGGAGATGGCTGCATGAATGAGGCGCGATGGAGAACAACCATTCTTAAGAGGGCGGAGAACCAGAAGACGAGAGAGCGTTCGAGACTGGTTCGTGCTTGAGTAGCTGGGGACCCGGAGTGCTGTTCACTGTTGTTGAAATTGGCTTGCAAAGTAATAATCTTGTAAAGGAGAGAATCCATCTTCTCTATAAGAACCGAGGCAACTGGAGGAGCTCCGGACTCTGGAATGCTGCAAGCGAGCTGCTCAATAATGGTAAGGTATAGCTTAGCTGAAGTCAAAGATGAGGCGCCGCGTGGCGCTGTAGGGGTATCAGTAGGTTCTTCTAGTAGCGGGATAGCAAAGAACTCCTTCTCAGCGCGTTCACGAATCTGGCGTATGGCGTCTGGGTTCATAAGCGCAACAAGATCCACCCAATTGAGATTTTGTGCACGGGAGCTTGCCACGACACTCTTGAATATCGTGTCCACGATACTATTGCGATTATCGGTCTCTGGATCTCCAGTGAATAAAACTTGAAGCTTTAACTGGCAGAACGGGAGCGAGAAATCATCCGTTGTACCAGCAAGCTTCTCAACCTCTGAGATTACTGAGTTTCCTTCCTGCGAATCGACGCCAAGTAATATGTTAAGCGCCCGTTGAAAAACGCCAACGGCTGCCGGGTATTGATCAAGAAGCTCTTGTATGCATTTCTGGTTAGCACTATCAGGGTTCTGCACCAATAACTGCCTGAGTAGTGCCACCATAGATGCCTCCAACTTAATTCGCTTGCTATCGCTACCGTTCAGAGAGGTCGCAGCATTGCAGACAATTCTCAGGGCTTCCTCGGAGTTCTTGGAAAGAAATTCCTGTTGCGCCAGTTGAAATCGATAAGAAACCAAATCGAGATACTTGCCATTCTCGACACGAGACACAAGAAGCTCGACAAGATCTGAAGGTAAATCCTGAGTATTGGGAATGGGCGCTGATAAAGAACTAAGTCTCTTAACCAGGGACAAGAACGACTTAATGGTAACACATCCAACCCCTATCAAAGGTGGAAGCATGCGGAGCAAGGTGGCGCGATCTGGAGATCGAAGATGACCACAAACCCAGCGAGCCAGGATTCCGTCGAAATGCTTTGGTTGGAACGACCGTAGCTGTGCCAGATAGCGACAGGTGTCATTAGCGGAAAGCTTTGCTTTGCCATCGTTAGATTCCAGGTGCTTAGTCAAGGTGTTGAAAATCGAATCCAAAGTAGGCTCGTCCATGACATTCCCAGACAATAGCAGCTGGTCCAATTTTTCACGGAAGAGGGGGTCCGTATTGACAAATGCGTCAGGGATATGGTCTGATACTGGTGAAGATGCGGCCATTATCGACTTATTTTCCATGCGAGAAAGGTCCTGGCGAAGAATGGAAACGGTATTAAGCTCATTGGGAATCCGGAGACCAAGTTCAATCAATGAAAACATGAGGTCTCAGACTGGGTGCGCCGAAACGCTTCAGGGCCGCATAAGCATCGACCAACTTGCGAAACAGGTCGGCAGTAGCACCAATGACGGACAGAGAGTCAAAATGAAAGTTTGTGGTATCGGCAACAGACGCGAGAACAGTACTGTCATGGGAACTTGAGGCACACTTCAACACGTCTGCCAGTATGGAGATGTCACCAAATGTCTCTAGAATGTCGCGGACGCTGTAGAACTCTTCCGGCGTCAGTGCAGACACCGATATGAAATCATCCCCTGGGAGACTAGCTTGGATAGGCGGCGTCTCGCGAGTATGTTCAGCAACCCCGCGTCGGAGCCATTGGCCGATTTGCCCCTTTACGGCCCAGGTCAAGTCTACTGGCAAGGACCTGAGCGACAAGTCATCATGCATCTCCACATCAAAGATTTCCGGAAGGCGCTCGCTGATAAGATTCTTGACATCTGCAAGCATTGCAGTCTCATCCGATACAGAAAGACCAGTGCGAGCCAGCAACGTGCTGCGCAGATTTCCAACGTGTTCTGGGAGACGACTGATGGGCAGTTCGGCGATCAATCCAACGTCATAGGGCAGGTCGCGCGCGGATTGCCCTTTGCTTGAAGAATAGCTCGTGGCACCCTTTGCCATGAGCCACTGCAAGTATCGACCAACCGAGAATGTCTGTGACCTGACAAGCTCAGAGATCACATGGTAAACATTTTCCATATCCAGTTTCTTGGTATCTCGAAAATGAGTGAGGAAGGAAAGTACATGCTCGTCCACATCTACGCCGCACGATTTCCACTTCCGGAGCAGACGAGCACCAACATAGACTCGACAGATGCCGTGACGGAATGGAGTCGCAAGCCACTGCAACAGCTTGGAAACCAAACTTCGCCCGTCGCCGACCGCATCCAGACAGGCTGCTGAAGCGGCCGGGATGTCTTGTGCCGAGCGGATAGAATCGAGAAGACGAATGATGCGTTGCTGAGGGGAGCGGTGTTTAGCTTGTTTGGGGTTCCGAGGTCGCTGGACACGCGCATTGCGTTCCGCGATGCTCTGAAACAGAGCTCGGTCGACCTTGTGGGAGAGATCGAGGCATGATGAGACCTGGTTCTTGTACATCTCCCAGGTATTTGGCAAAATCATAGATGATGTATGTTCATGGACAAGCTTTTTGATAAAACAACACAGCCGATCAACCAGAGGCTGCAGAGTCTCCAACTTGGCTTCGGTGCACAGACGCAGCTTTGCGAGCAAAATTTCGGCCAAGCGCCGACCTCTGCGCCTATACCGCATGATGTTGATCCAGTATATACCCAGCATCAAGAGCCAGACAGGGACGGTCACAAGAGACGCTGCCTCGAAGGATGACAAGAACCATTCAATGAAATGATCGTGGTCCAGCAGATTCTCAAAAAACAGACGGGCAGTCAGGCCAATTGCATAGGTCATCCGGGCTTTCCAATCCGTAGATTTGGGTGAACTGAAAACTCCCTCAATGAATTGGTGAACGTTCGTTGTCCAGTCTCGAACCCACTTGGCTTCCAAGCCCACGGCCAAAGCACCACTCGTTCCTTTCCGTTTGAACGCACGAATCTCATTGGCACCCACACATTTTGCAAGCCACACTGCTCTTGCCACAGGAATCCATTTGCCCAAACACTGATCTAAAAGAACTTTGCCTCGGATACCGTGGGGGATGGTTCGGCTCAGCTTGCGTAACGGTACAGATGGGTTGGCAAGGTCTCGAAGCCAACCCTCTCGTTTATTATCGGTGAGCGTGACTCGTGGCGGCGGCTTGAAAGTAGAGGGCGCATGGATTGTGTTGTGGTTTTGTCGTTTCTCCAAGGCAGCGGCAAAGACGGAGGAAAGCACATGCAGACTCGTGCGGTGCTTTAATTGTCCGTATAATGCAGGTCGCGCGGTGTTAGATTCATTCTGAGAGACTTGCGTACGGTCATAATAACCTTGTTTCGCAGTTTGTTCGTTCAGAATGTCTTCGGGGTGGTTACCAGTCCAAGGAGTGAAATCGGCAGCTTCTAAATGCAGAGGTTAGACAAACGACCACCTCTCGGGAAACAGTTTCACTTACTCTCGCCATTCAGCTTTGGAGCCACCGAAGGAGTTTCGATGCGGTATGGTATTGTCGAGACCTTCTTTTCCGGAGAGCTGTCCCTGGATTGGGACCCCGGGTCTTGACGATCGGACGGGGCGCTACTCCAGGCCGGGATAGGGAACGGAGGGGGCGACGAATTTCTAGTTCCCTTCGCGTTCTCACCTCGATTATCGCTGCCCGGGATCTCCGACATGACGGCCTGGAAAGACCACAGCGGGCGGCCGCGCCAGGAGAGCGGAGGTCGCGAACCCGCGCTTCCTGGAGTACTCCTTGCCTCGGCACTGTTCACTGTCGGTGTGTCCCCCACAATCGAACTTCCTGATACATCGAGTTTCGGTCGTTTCGGCGGCGGTTCTCCGTGCGACTCGAGTCCGCCGGTTAGATCGACGACAGCCGGCTGACGAGTCTGAGGTGGCGGCTGGGGGTGCGACAGAGGCGGCTGGGAGTTGTCCAAGAGAGGATCATACTGGCCCGACACCTGGGCCATATCAATCCGTCCGGGGCCACCACTGAATGATCGCATCTGATGGCCCCATGATTGGCCGCCGGCAGAGGAATGGGGTATCATCTCGGGCTCATTTTGGATCGGTATATAAGCAAAGTGGTGTCATTTGAGTCGCCCAGCAGATGGCAGTATAAATGCAGGCACGCAATATATATTCGAAATGCAAGCGTCGCAGGGAAGAGTGGCTCAGTGCATCGGCGCGAGGGTTAGGAGGCGATGGATTGACCGTGAGTTGACAGGATGGGGCCTAAAACGGCGAATCGGGACGGTACTCGGGTATAAGGATATAAGAGTCCCGGGTCGAGCGTCAACAGTCGAAACTCACAGAGTCAAGGTCCAAGATGCGATCGAGACATGAATAGAGAAGAATGGCGCTATCGGGGAAGGTGTTTATGGCAGATAACGTAAGTCAATCCGTCGCCCTCCGTTGCTCCACTGGCGATCGACGGGTGGTGTTTTCTACCTCCACTTTCCAGATTGCATGATCGTGGTATGCTGGACTACTTTTAGGGTTCTATGCTGGTATCCCTTTTGCCGAATTTTCACGTCGGATGCAGTTTCACCTTTCGACCCCCAGATTCATGTAGATTTGTTTTGAGCCGAGGAGTTGCCGAGTGGCCTCGGACTTACTATCATGGGCTTCAAGAGGGCATTGACTATTGACACTAAGCTATCGACCGAATCTCCGATCCCTCGCCCACTTTGCCCTTAATGTATCGGGTGCCACACGGTCAGGTTGTAGATTCCCGGCAAATGGCCTTCGCATCCGCCTTCCGGAATCAGCCCATTCCAGTTCCTTCAACACGGAAGCCGGAATCAGCCCCGTGCTCGGACCCAACGAGCACAGAAAATGACATGGACACTAGCGGATGGCTCAGAGCTCAGGGCTCGCTCAGGGCTGTCTTGGTTCCAATTCTCTTACCGGGGTTTCGATTCTCCCTCTCAGCTCGTCCACATTCCGTCTCGGCCCACTGTCGGCTTAATGCATTACACGTGAGGTTATCGTACGGTCGAGCTTCGATCCTGCTCCGGGCCCAGGGTGGCACCATTGGCGCCGACATGTCGTGTGTCGTGTTTGACTGTCGTGCACTCGCAGGCCGATTGCTGTACCGTCTGTCACATCGATCGGCGCATCATGTTCTGCTTGTCTCACCGACATCTTGTCGCGTCAGATCTAGGGATCGCCCGGTTCAGCGATCCGATTCGACGGACTCAATTCCTTGACACGTAACCGAGATAAAGAATGACTATCTTTATCAGGAGCATGATCGTGAACCGCGTACCCCTGTATAACCAGGTATCTAGATTGCGGTCGTAGTAAGCAATAGCAATCGCAACAGTCAGAGCAATAGCAATATGCAGTCCCCACGATTTCCGGAGTTCCAGAGTTGAGTTCCCCCAGTCTAGTCCCGCTCGGGCAATACCTTGGCGCCCGGGGGGGCCACCTCGAGACTTCCCATCTCCCACTCACCATCACTCAACTCACAATGGCCTCAAACAAGGATATGCGGAGGGCTGATCTGGGTAATTTCCCGTCTCAGCTACCCTTAGGCTCTCTGGCTAATGTTACACCACCACAGCGATCCCATATGTCGACCCGCCTAAGAGCACCAGTGATGCCGACATCTCCAGTACGCCACATCCCCGGTGACACATTGCGCTTTGAGATGAGAGAAGATGAGGACCTGACTGAAAGACCTAAATAGGCACAATGTCGAGCACGATGCCGATGGCAGCGGTAAGTCCCGCCTTGACCCCTAGGACCGGGATTTTGCTAACGTGCGACCCAAGATGTTCACGCGTAACAGGTGAGCTGATGTGGTTTTAATGGAATAATGCAACACTGTTAACAACAGTCGCCGCACAGAATGATTGGATGGTGAGTGCTTCCGCGACTACCGCGTTTCGTCGAGTTTCGAGTCCGAGTCCTCTAACCTCGACTCAGGGTGTCCTTTGTCTTCTCCCTCCAGTCCTGGCTCGGAGAGTCCGAGGAACAGAAGAAGACCGCCGCTACTCCGGCCTACATGTCTGTTGGCATGTCCTGTTCGTCGTCCCTGTCCCTTTTCCCGGTCGAGCCAAGCTAATCTTACGACCACTCTAGTGATGGCTCTCATTGTCGTACGTTCATCTCAAATAATCTTTTCGCAATTCTTCCTAATCGTTTCGGCAGACCTACTTCCCCCTCTTCATGCCTCCTCAGGTTGCGAAGGGTGCCACTGCTGCTGGACCCCCTACGCCCTCGCCGTGAGCCTCCGAGTCCGCGTCCGAGTTCTCGACCCTCCCGCCTTTCCCATATATGCGAAAGCTACGAGTATAATTCAATTCTCCGTACCTCTTCACCTCTCTTATCAACTCACTCTGGGGGCAGGTGCTGTCACGTGGTGGTCAGATCGGACGATCCGATCGGGGGGACACCAGTGCGCTAGTGGGTTCATGCTGTACCAATACCCGAAAGGCTTCAATGCCTGTAATCACAAAATACAACAGACTATCAAAGCCATTTCATCCCCATGCCAAAGAACGTCATAAATTAGACAACCCTGTAAAAAATAGCATGAAAGTCCGCGCATGTACTGCATTGTGAATCGCTTAGTCACACACCGCCTTTCCCCACAACGTGAGTGGCTCAAAAGGCTTTGCCGCTCTTCTCTCTGATTCTTCTACCATCAGTTTCAACTCCCCTCTCTCGCCACAGCTTCCTTTTCAGAGATAATAAATCTCCCCTCTCGTTTCTCTCTACCAAAAACCGCTTTCAAGGGCTTTTACGACAAAAGGCCGAGTTTATGTCCATCGAAAACCTCAAGTCCCATGGTAAGTTAGGTCGCCACCTGCCCCCCTCCAAAATGAGCGCGTGTCGAGCCCGCCTCGACACAACTGCGCTCTGCACGCCAGATTCTGTGATCGCAGTTCGAGTGATACGCTTCGCAACTATTTGAGTATCTGTCTATCTGCGCTGGGACTGTCATCACTGAGCCGCAACAATCTACGCCCTGGCGGGGTAAATTCAGTACTGGACCGGGCTGACATGTCTTTCTCTCACAGACCCCTTCGCCGACGCGGACGAAGACACCGGCGAGACCAAACAGTCTCAGGACTACATCCACATTCGGATTCAGCGTAAGTTAACATTTTGATTTTCTCACTGCTGACCGTGACGGTCGCGCCGCATCGGCGGCTTCAAAAGGAGGCACACGCTAACCGCCTTTCCCATATACAGAGCGCAATGGTCGTAAAACTCTGACCACTGTTCAGGGTCTCCCCAAGAAGTTCGACCAGAAGAAGATTCTCAAAGTCATTAAGAAGAAGTTTGGTACGCTTCCCCCTCACTGTTGTGTCATATCACTCGCTAACCTAAACACAGCCTGCAATGGCACCATCGTCGCAGACACTGAGATGGGCGAGGTGATTCAGCTGCAAGGAGATCAGCGTAAGGATGTTCAGGATTTCTTGACCGGCAAGGAAGGCCTCGAGCTTGATGCCAAGACCATCAAGGTGAGCATCCGTCCATCCCCAAATTTCCAAGATAGATCTAACCCCACATTCCAGGTCCACGGCTTCTAATCCCGTCACCGTCACCGTCGCCATGCCTTGTTCCGGTCCCCCTTCTCCCCAGTCTACTTTGCCCTGTGAGCGGTGAGATAGGAAGCACGCAATGTGTTCTTCAATCGCCGGCCGTGCAGCCGGTCCGTCTTTCGGACCCAACCTGCTTTCAGTCACCTCTCAGTGCCTGGCTTAGACAGGGCCCACGTCGACGCGGCACGCCTCTTTATTCCCTCATGCATGATTGACAGAAGCGTGCCCTTCGTTTTTCGACGTATTTCATTTTTAGGACAGGATCATGATGGAATGAGGCGTTGGTAGATACCCATATCTGCATAGACAGACGATGCTATTTTTCTTTATTGACCACTTTAATGAGTGCTTCCACTAGCTTTATTGTTATTATCGGGACTGCCTGGTCACAGAATGACATTGTGCAATTGTCACTTTCTTGACTGCGCCGAGGAGATGGGGTTTTGAATTTGAAAGATGCCTTGTTGATCTGCCTAAGGTCTGCGCGTCCGTGTTCATCTCCTTCGTCTTGCTCTTTGCTGTCCCTTGCCATTTTCTCAGTGCTATTGCTTGGAGACAAGAATTCGAACTGTTTATCAAACCATCAAGAGACCTGTAGACTGTAGTTGTAGGCCCGCCAAACTGGACCTCCGTCGTAGGAGCGAAGACACGAGTCAAGGTACCCTCCCAGGCTTGAACTAGTTTTCGCTAGGGATGTTTTCGCGTTTTCTTTTTTGAATTCCAGATGGAAGACTAATTTTGTAGCCGCTTGACTATATTGCCTGGATGTTATGAACCCTTCTCCAGGGACTTGGCAATCATTCAACATAATTGGTGCGAATTTCAAGACAGACTGTACATTGCGAGAGTCTGCAGGTTCTGTAATTGGACTTTGGGGTCATGAGAACTATTGACATGAATGATTATGAAGGAAATGCTTCCCATTATATGGCCTAGGCCTTCACAGTCGTCAATGAAAGCGACGTAGCCTTCCAACTTTTCATTGTTATGTACAAGTAGGATAAAGAAAGTCTCAATGGAATAGATTAGATCTATCAGAGATCGCTGAAAAAACGAGAATCAAACAGCTTGCCATCCATGGTTCAAGCCTGATGGATAGGGAATCCCGGAACTGTACAAGAAACCAATGTTATCTCCAACCTAGAACTACCAGGGCTTGAGCACCCATAAAGGCACCCAATGAAATACAGTAGAGATGTCGAGTTGCAGAAAATAAGCTACAATTCCCCAGCGAGGCGATCATCAGCGATGCGCATACGCAGGAAAAATTGCAACCGCCCAGTCCCATAGCTTGCGGGTAATTACGAAGACGGGGACCTCAGGTTCGTTTTCACGAGTTAGGTGGAGTTGGAGGAGAAGTGAGGACATGCTTAGGAAACTGGCGGCGGAGACGACTAGGAGGGATGCTGCTGTTTCTCGTTTGATTTTGGCATGGTTTTGGGTGGCGTGGTAGACGAATGTTAAGGACTGATAAGTGTGTAAGTAATGAGTCGTGGAAGAGAGTGGTTCATGTGTATCTGCAACTCACGGTGGTGATGGATATCCAGGCGGGGAGAAGAAGTCGGGGATCAGAAGATGCGCCGGATAAGTAGAGAACCCAAGATGTGATATATGCAATTAGGCCATTTGTCGTCAAAAGTCGAATGACAACGGCGGGCGGGGTGTAATTTAGAAGCCTAGGAAGGTTAGCGATTGAGATTGGATTTGGAAAAGGGAAAACAAACCATCGAGACATCATACAATCAGCAAAGAAATAGGAAAGATATGCGGATGCGCAGCACTAAGAAAAGGGTCAGCATGCAACCAACGATCAAGCTGCACGGACATATCGAGAAATCCACGCAGCATCACACCCGAGCAAGGTGTACATACCCACATAATAGCCAATGCCACTTCAGTAACCCTGAACCTCCTTTCAACATCCCACTCCTGCCCTACACTCCCTACAATGGCTGCCGCCCAACCCTCTCGTCCCATCCCCGGCCGAATATGCAACAACTCAGCCAAGAAGGTGAACGCACATCTCAAGCCCCACCAAGCCGCAGGCAGCGTGCTCAATGCCCTACAGACCAAAAGGGGTATATACCACCGGCGGTCTACCCCCAAGATAACAGCCACTCGTGGATGAAGCGGTGAGGAACCAGCCTGGCCAGCATCGCTGCCGAGTGGGGTGTGAGATGTTGAGGAGGTCGGGGAGGGCGGGATGGCAGCTATCTGTTCGGAAGCCACCTCTTTGGCAGATTGACCCACCGGTATAGGTACCGGAGGCTGGAGTAGCTCCGGTGGTACACTCGGCCTTGAAGTCAAGTCAGGCTCGCTAGGCGCAGCGGCGGGGGGAGAGTAGGGCGGAGGAGAGGCATTGCGTTGAGGAGCCAGCCTTTAAACACAAACACGGCAAATACGGCCGCCGCGCAACGATCGGGAAAGGTTGTATGGAGGGTCGCTGTCCCTCTCGAAGAGTCTTGCGGGGAAAAAAGCGACACTATTTGTTCAGAAACTAGGGTGTCGGGCTGGTCACGAGTCCCCTGTAATCGAGAAATTGCAAAGTGGGAAATGGAACCCCGTTGAAACCCTGCAGGGTGCTACTGCGAGTGGCGCAGTCGTTCCAAATACCGATTAAGCACTGACCGTGTGAAAAAAAAAAGAGACAAGAGTGGAGAGGCAGGAAAACGTCAGAGACGCGCGCTATGGCCGAGCTCCATACATGGAAATCGCGGAGGATGTGCACGTGACCTGCGGAATTTATCGTTGTTCTCCGACTCGCGGCGGAACACATCCACCGAGAGTCGCAGCTCGCTATGGCGTCTTCACTACGACTGCCCGCGGGCAGCTTCGCTTCTAGCGCACGTCCGACTACCATGATATCCCAGTACGGTCCGGTATCGCACATCCGGTCCTTCTCGCAGGTGCCTCAACGACTGGCGTCGATCCGGTCCCAGAACTTTAACGCGAAGAACCAGGCCCAGCCCTCGCTGAAGTCCCGCCATAGGGACGCAATGCAGGGTGTTCAACAGCCTCCCGAGGCACCATATTTACCGGCACATTTGTGCGCCCTTTGTGGCGCAATACGCCCTCGGTCTTCACACACCCGAAAGAAGCCTGGACGGTGCAATACACTTGGGCTAAGTCCAAGATTATGGATTTTGGATCGTATGTGATATTCCTCTCCTCAACAATGGACAGCTTGAGGCAATCTTTCCTCGACGACCGCGGATCGAAAGGATTCAATGGCAATGCAGCTAACTTCGTCGCAGGTTGTTGATCTATCGCTGGCAGCTGAAGTTGACCGATACTCTCTTGTGGGGAAAGCGCCGACAAATTGTACGTCAATTGCATGAAGATATGTACACTGCTTTTGCGAAGTGAGTTTCTCGGCCCCAAGGCTTCCTCCGATTCACGGCTGACATTAATTTTAGTGGCGATAAGAACGCCTTAAAAGCCCTTTGTGTCCCCAGTTTCGCCGACAAGCTCATTGCTCAAATCGATAGCCGCCCAGCAGGTCAAAAGATCACTTGGACCCTGAACTCCTGGCTCCGCCGCCCGGACACCCTCTTCCGGGGTATTCGCATCCTCTCAGACCGCGCAACCCAATTCCCAGAAATCTCCAGCGCCGGTGTCCGCCAAATCGTCTTTTGCATGACATCTCGCCAGACAATGAGCAAGTCTAGACGCGTCGGCTTCGGCAAAGCGGCTAAAGTCTTTGAAGAGCCAAAGAAGGTTCAGGACTGCCGTGAATACATTACCATCCAGCAGATTACATTCCGCGGAAAGCCTGGTGGATGGCGGATTTGGGGCCATGCCAAACCGACCACCATTGAAGACATCAACACCGATCCTTACTTCCGGCCTACAGCGAGCTTGAAGGAGCGTCTGGATGGCATCATGTCCCAATCTGGCCTCAAATAAACGGCTGCAATCCCGAGACTGAAGTCGAAGGAATGTATATCTAAAGGAGTCTGCCATGGCTCGCTGGCACTGAATTCTTCTTTTGCTTGCTTCAAGATCAATTGCCCTCACTCTCTTCTCTCCAAAAGGTCTCAGCTATACTTTTGTCTTTTTATCTACGATTTTGTCAAGCCAGTTCAATGTTGTATAGAGCATCTACCATTCCATGTACCATAGCAAATAAGCCCACAATTTTCAATGCTCCTGCTGATACGATAATCAAAGTTATCACACTATACGTGCACTGGTATTTAGATCTGCCAAGTAAGGAACGAATATCAAGTGGATGTCACTAAGGATATTTTCAAGAAACAATCATGTATATGTACAATAAACATTAGGCATGTAAACAAAAATCATTTTGGGAAAGAAAAAGAAAACAACACGCGGGAACCGGGGGCACATAGTGCCATAAAACATCAACCAGGAGGAACAAAACCATTACTAGGTGGTCTCACTGTGTGACCCAGGGATATGAAAACAAGAAAGAAGCAAGGAAAGCATTTCGTAAGGGAGTCAGTTGTCGAGGGACTGATTGACTAGTCATCGTCGAAGATCTGGAAGGTGTTGTTGAGGATCGTTTCAATCACGCGCACTTGCCAGCCTGCGTCGGCGATGTTGCCTCCGGAGTTGGCGCCCATCAGGGTTGGACCGAAGCAGATGGCTAGGTTGCCGGCGTTCATACGGTTCTCCGTGTAGTGTTCTTGGATCTTATTGAGGTGCTGTCATGCTGTTAGTGCACTTTGTTTCCCTTTTAGAGTGGGAAGGGGTAGTTACGAGAATAATGGCACGGAGAGTGGCGTAGTGGGCGTCAGGTAAGCTGTTGATGAGGGCATGCAGCGAGTCACGACGTTGGATATCATCATCAATTCCTGGAATGATCAGCTTTGGAATCAGATGAACAATGAAGTCAAGACTTACGGGCAGCTTCGATGAATTGAGTGTAGTACTGCGAAGTAAAGAGAGGATCGGGCAAATCCCTGAAGAATTGCTTCACCAGTCCGGCGACACTGTTGACATCGTGATAGAAATTTTCTGGGTTGGTAAAGTCGACTTGTGACGAGTCTTGTTCAGGAGATTAGTGTTTGGTCCATCTGTAAGATAGGATCGTGAGCTTACCATTGTCGAACACGGCCTTCATGTGGCTGATGTGGTTGGCGCTGCCGGATAGTCGATAGATACCCTCCATGTTCATACCAAATAGCTCAACGGCCTGGAAACACTGGTACACAAGGAACGGCACTGCAGTTCCATCTCGGGCATACAGTTCCTCCAAAGGCACTCCGAACACCGGCTTCAAGGGAGGCAAAGATCCCTTCTCCATTGGAGGAGGACCGGGTATAGGCACGGCAGCCGTGGAAGGAGGCTCGCTTGCCGGAGGCGCTGAGGGTTGGTAAGGAAGCTGAACCGACGGATTTGCCGAACTGGGATCTGCAGATCCAGGATACGGCGTGGGATTGTGTTGGTTGGTGGGTTGAAGTGGTTGAGCGGGCGAGGCAACGCTCGTGGTCGAGAAAGAAGGGGGAATCGTGGACTGTCGCTTGTTCGCGGTGCTTGGTTGGGAAGAAGCAGGAGCTCCGCCGAGGGTCTAGTATCCAGTCAGCAACTAAAGTAAATTAAATAGAGGCGTTCAACGTACTGGGTGACGCTCATATTGGACCTGTTCCGAGGTCACAGCACCCGGGTTTCCTTCGTGGCTCAAGATGTAATCGTGCAGGTCTTTCTGGTTGTCGACCTGGCGCACAACCTCCGCGAGGCTTTTAGGTGCGAACGCTCCGGTCTCAGCACCAGCCTTCAGAGGGCTAATGCAAAGACCCTGGCTGAGCAACAACTTCTCGCTGAAAGTAGCTATATATAGTCAGACACCGTCGTTTGTCCCAATTGATTGCACGATTGCTTACCGAACTTCTGCTGCTGTAGAGTCAGGCCCGAATCGCACTCCGCAATCAACAATTGCAGGTTATGCACGGCCTGAGGCCGGTGAGTCGACACCAATTCCTGACGAGCAGTCTGAGCCGCCTGAACCTTGGCCTGATAATCACTATCCGCATTCTGAACCTTGCGCAAGAGGTCCTCCTCATGTTGAGCCGCCGACTTGTGACCCTTCAGACCAAACTTGCCGCCCGTCTTGTCGCCCGTGCGGACACGATCATACTGTTCGGCAAACGAGTCATACTTGGCCTTTGCCTTCTCTGCCTGAGCCTCAGCATCAATGACCTTCTTCTCCGCCGCCAATCCAGTTTGCTTCCACTGCTTGCGACCGCGTTCTATGTTGGATGAGAGTTCGTGCAGATCATCGGACATCTGCTGAAGAGAGACAGAGAATTGGAGACCATGATCAGCCATGCGCTCCTGTAGCCGGTGAATCTCCTTATAGCTGGAGCTGTACGTTCCCTGGCGGTTCTCGCTGCGGTTCGCGGCGTCATTCACGGCCTTGGACAGCTTCCGAAGCCCCTGAGCATGCTCCTCCTCTAAAGCTCCTCTCTTCTTTAGGAAGGTCGAGAAATCCTATGCGTAGACGTCAGCGCATACTTGTTGCCGAACGAATGGTTGCGGTAGGGGCTCACCCTCGCGGAAGCCACGCTCTGCTTCAACCGAGTGAGGAGAGTAGTAATTCCGATCTGCAAGCGACACGATCCTCGTTAGCACGGACTTTGCACGGACAGAATGCGCGGATCCCAGGCTGGCGCTTCTTGCGACGACTGACCTCGGAGTGCGTAACCTTGTCCAGGCGAGCCTTCAGCTCGTCGGGGATGGCCGTTTGGTCAACGGCGCCCGAGTGGGCCGACTCGCGACCGGAGCTCGATGGGGGCGCATCGGACAGATTGGGCAGAGCGGTTGGCTCTGGTAGTGCTGAGTCGGACATTGTCACAGAGCCAGCAATTCCGCGAAAGAGCGTACGTGAGTGAAAAGAAGGGGAAGTCGGGGGAAGGAGCTATTATTATCGATGACACCGGAAACCGATCGCTTGGCGGTGGGGAGCGGGCTAGTTGGCGATCAATGAGGTCAGTCCACGGAATCGTGCTAAAATGTGGGAGCCTGCACTGGTTCGACGAGGTTGTGGCGCCAGGGGCAACGCAACGCTGAGCCACGAATGCGTTTGGCAGTGTCCATGAAGTTGGTCAATACTTGCCGTTTACGTTCTTCCACACTTTAGGCGCCGACTTATATGGTCCACGTGTCCAGCTTCTTAGAATTACCATATTCACAAATCACATTGAGCGGCCCAATCCTTCGAAGACAGGACAAAGACCAAAGATCGGCGTGTGAACCTCCATGGGGCGCGGTTATCTCTTCGAACCCTCATGAGATGTGACACCTTGAAGTAAATTGAATCAAGTTGAGTTAGCATAGAGCTATCAGCATGCTCGCTGGAGTCTCTCGAAGGCGTATCACTTGGTTTCATGCATTATAGAGGCGGTAAGGCATCCCTATTTACATTGAAGAAGCCAGGATCCATGGAAAACAAGTCCAGCCCAATGATAAGGCTTTTGTAAAATTTCTCATTTATATCCTTCCGAACAGACAAGACAGCATGTTGATAGGCTCTCGCTAGATCAATGATCATAGTCTGGCCCTCAGAATCTGTGTCCCCATCAGCACGGTTAAGCCCCCGCACAAGCTCATCATAAATGCCTCTCATCCTCCTGTGAAACTTTCCACAGCGCTCCAATGACCGCGCCAGCACCGGCAAAGTGAAACGCTGCTGTGAGACCTAACAAATCGTTTACCGCGGAGATACGCGGCCTGTTCGGCAGCCCATAGATAGAACGATGCTTGGCTGCTTGAACTGGATACCGGAGAAGATTTTATTTAGACTGAGGTCGTCTGCTTTTTGGTCACTCAGATTGAGACATTGATGGGATCCGTCGGTAAAGTCGGGAGCGTCAGTAAAGTCAGAATGGCCTTGAATGTGCACCACATTTGAGACTGCACATTGGGAGTGGAAGAGGCCTTTGCGGTCAGTCGTAAAGTTTGAAGTCTCCATACATGTGTAATTTGGAATTCTCTCGGTCATTGTAGACAGACGTTCCAAGATGGCTTGCAGAAATTGGGGCAGGTCGGCCGGCAAGGTATTGAACACAGTCGCGTGGAAGGGAGAGTCGGCATCTTTCGACACAGTGATGGGGGCTGTCAGAGCCCCACGACAAAGACGCAGTAGTGAGAGACTTTGAATTTAGACGATTGGATTGCGCTGTATCAAAGGGATCCCATCAAACGTGATAGCGCGAAGAGGGAGACGGTGGAGCTGGCCCGTAGGACAGAAAACAAGTGTGTCCCCAGGCTTGGTCAACTGCTTCAACTGTTTACTAGGGGCCATAACATGTTCAAGTCCCTTCTTGCATCTGTATGAGCGAGTTAATACTCGTTCCGCGTGGGATCTGCAAAATCATCGACACTGAGACACTCATTGATCCATTTTTCCACGTCTGCTTCCTTGAAGTGACCTATGGCACTGGGGGTGATAAGCGATCCCGGCTGATACACTACCATCAATATATCGTATAGATCGTATGAATCCGGTGCTAGCTTAACCCATTCGACTATGACCACAGAGGGACCCAGCTCTCGTCGAAGTTGAACGAGCTCATTGACGCTCATTGGGCGACCTTTGCGCATGTCCAGGAATGACTTCACAGATACATCTCTATTGCGAAGAATATCGGTTGTCGCTTTAATCTCCTCCCGCAGAGTAATCTTTTTTAATGGCTGCTTGTAGCAATGCTCGCGAGGAGAGAGTTCAATCTCTCCCAGTCAGCAGTCATGTTCACATTCTCGCGAATGGTTTGGAGAACGGTCAGAGATGGCTCCTGCTTCAATCCGAGGGATTCAAGTAGCATCCTTGATTTGCATCTTTAAGTCCAGAGTTATAAATCGCTGTTTATTTGCCACAACTTCTTCTGCTCATCGTATAGGGCTTTCTTGTTTGAGGTGTAGTATAACTTGATTGACTCAACCCACGCCATCAATGCATTCTGGTATAGCTGTGACAGCACGAGTAACTTTGAAAGGGCTTCCTTGGCTGGAAAGTTTTGGATGCACTCAGAGCTGCATGTTCGAGACGAAGATCAATGCTCAGCTCATTTATTGCGGTCCAGCGTTGGGTCGCATCCCATGGCTCAAGAGTGCCGAAAATTTTGGACCTCTTCCACGCTGCGTGTCCCAAGGCATTTTGTGTATAATAAGCTACAATTTTGTTGATCCTACCACTGGACTTGGCTTCTCGGATCAATGGGGAAGAACAAGACCTGTCATTGTCCCAGGTAGGCGGAGATCAATGGCTCAATCAGAGGTATGACCTCTTCTGGGGTACAGTGGACTCTGGCACAGAATGCTTTACGCAAAACTGGTATTGTTCCTCAGTTTCCAATTCCCATCGTTTTGCAGTATACTCCCGGACGACCGTTCGCGGCTCGAGTAACAGTCAAGGCTGAGGTGGAATGGGGGTTTGAAGCGATCGTTGCGGGCAAATTAGACCATCCGATTAAATTTGATCCGGGTAGACTGGGCGAGTCTGGCGGTAACATGGAGCTGAATGTGGATATGACTAGGCCCTGTAACATTGAAGGTTACGAAGGACGTATGGTAGTCAAGGGAAGTGGTCTTGACTCGGGGAAGTAGGCACAGTCTAGGCTTCTGCCTTGGCCTGCCCGGTCTATAATTCTCATTCATGGATAGCCCTCTCTGTTGAAGCTTCCTTTCTGAACTCCTTGGGAGCCCGATTGGTTGAAACTGACTAAGAAGATTCAGAGCAACTACATGGAAGGATTGGTGAGAACATGGAATGCTGCACCCGATTGAGAGCCTCAGAGGTTTCCCCAAGCCACAAATATAATTGAATCGGTCTCTAGATCTGTCCAATTTGCGGGCTGGTTGGATTCCTCAAAAGTAGTGCTTTTCCACACTATGGTCATATTCCAAGATTGATCGATAAAGTGCTAAAAGTGATCATATTGATTAGTCTACTCAATTATTAGTAGATCCTACAGAGGTCTTTACATAAATATACCTAAATTGATCACATAGAATATTAGCCCGCTTCCGTGGCCTTATTGCGGAGGGCCCTGTTTAACCCCTCACAGAGGACGCCTACATGTACCCACAGGTTCAATACTGGTCATTATTGTGATCACGTTGAGCAGCTTCTTCGACATATTAGCTATCAAGGAATGATTGCGATTGGAAGCGGCTGCAATTCTCCGATCGGGTCTTGAAATTGATTTTTTTTTCCCTGTTTCCTTGTTTGATTTATTTGTTTACTTGTCGATTTCTGGATGGATTTGCCCGGAAGAGCGGGAAGCCTCGCCAGGAGCGGAACCTGGACTTCTAATTCCTCTATTCCGTGCGCAATTCTGCAGCTTCGCTGTTAAATTGTGAGGTGGAACTGGAAGAGTTTGGCTCTCTCTATCGCAGAGACAGTAGAAAACGTTATTCACTTCCGCCTCGGGTTTAGCCCTGGGCACCCCGTATAGCAACATATCTATAAAGCGAGCTGTATCGGGTTAGTGAATTCTACTACTTTTATTATCACTCACTCGTTGTTCTTTTCCCAGGTGATAATGGCAGGGACTGAGGTAATGGCTGGTTTCACAGAGCTCGAGAGATGGCGACAAAAATAAATCCTGGATTGCTTGCACGCTGGTAATAAGCTGGGCAGGGAAGAAAACCCAGTTCCCACAGGTATGAGATTCTAGCGATGATATCTTGCGTCTTCGATCCTAGAGAGGCAAGTTGGACAGCAATCCTGGTCAGGTCGTCGTATTGAGCGGCGGATCTGAAGGGTACCCTGCGGCTGTGCTTCGGCTGGTTGACACCACCATTCTCAACATCTTCAGATATTGCTTATCTTACCATTTTGACTATGTCTCAGAAGAGGTCATTAAGGCCATTGGCGGTGCTTTTAAAGAGACAAATAAGGAGGTTGCTAAGCACAGTGGTGCGGACACCAGTACTCTGTAATGGCTTTTACGAGTATTAATCAACTTATTTGCACGCAACTCATAGCAGTGGTTCCGCCGCTGAGAATACCCTTGTTCATAAGCTAGATAAGCACAAGCACGACGCCAAGTCTGAGGCCCACGAACAGCAGATTTGTTTGAAAAGGCATCGAAAGCCAATCTTGTCATGTAAACCATACTTTGTCGAATCATTAAGAACAATGTTGAAGCGTTGCCCGCACGTAAGCTTCATCTCTAAGCTCTTTACTCAGTCATCTCGATATATGTTAGTATGCATGGCATCAAAAGCCATAGCCTCTTGATCAGCATCTAGTAGCCTCGTCGTATATGAGTGAAGGACCGGCAGCGACATGACAAGCGGTACATTCTGCAGGACCGGATTTATTCGCTCCAAGTGGACAAGTTGATGGAAGAGATTAAAAAAGGTTCTGTAGGCATAAAATACCCAGAAAGTTGTCGAGAAAAAACCGAAATATCAAGCGTATCGACCCATTTGGACATCTTTTTGGGGTATCACATAGTCGACACGCTTAGAGGGTAGGTCAAATGATCATGCTCTATTAGTATGCACTCCCATTCCACTTGTCATAGTAGGTTCCTTCACCCTCAAGACGTTATCTAAAAGACTGCAGAGACCGAATGGGACAGGAAACTAAGGTACTCAGATTGTCAACACAGTGTTGGTATTGATCTCAAGCTCTAGAATCTTTGGACTGAGAACGTATCATGAGACGTGATAAAATTGAAAGAAGCTGAAGAAGATTTGTATGACAGGGCATTTGAATGGGGACGTAAAGCACGAGACGATCCGGAGAAATCGGAGCTGATCGACTGTATCAGGCCCCACATTGCATGTCCCGAGGTTCAACTGGAGATACTCTCGGCTTGAAATATGGCATCTCTGTTAACCGACCGCTTTACAACTTCCAATCGAGCATTCTCCGAATCTCTTTTTTTATAAGCTCTCTAATTTTGCCAGTCAGTATTCTTCGGTTTTCTGCACCGCGGCTGCGCTACTCCCGCCCCTACTAATAACCCGACGCAGGCCATGTCCGAACTCAACGTCGCTGCGGTGCTTACACCCAAGCCCGAGAAATTCGACGAGGTTCGTATGATCGTCTATAATCAGCGTTTTCTGTACTGATTCACCATCCAGGTCGCCGCCCTTGTCACCGAAGTCACCAAGCAGGTGCAAGAAAATGAGCCGAACACTCTGCTCTACTACGCATTCCAGGACAAGACCGAGATCATCATTGTTGAAAGGTTAGTCAGTGATCCTAGCGGGTTACGATGGCGAAGACATTCACCATGGCCCCTAGCCCGTGCCTCGGCAGTAAAGGCCCAATGAGGAAATGGTAGCATTGAGGACTAACACCCAGACAGATACAAGGACCAGCGGGCGGTCCAGGCGCACACCAAGGCCCCCTATTTCCGCGACTTCGCCGCCAAGCTCCCGGGACTATTGGCGAAGCCGTGGGAGCTGCGCGCGGGTGGATTCCTGAACGGTGCGCGGGGAGTGTCGCGCCTGTAGAGCACTCATCACGGCGGCACAGGATGTTGTAGGATCAGATATAAATAGAGGGACAGACGTGATTTGGTGCCGTTGCGCCTTGACTCGCCCGTGACAGATTTCTCATGCGATTGGTGCAGAGCTACTGCGCCGTGGTCACCAAACAGGAACGCGACATGGTCATGGATTGGGGGAGGCTGGGAAATTTCGTATGTAAATAGGAGTAGATGATATGGCGCCGCAACGAGTAAGAGATCAATAAAAGGATGTGGGGAACGAAGACAGTTCCCAAGAGTTGATCCGCTCGCCTCTCTTGACCTCCACCTTGCAACGCCCCTCCTTTTTTCGAGATCTTCCATTCTCCACCTTCCTCCCCTCTTTCTTATTTTCTCCCCTGAAGCTCGGTTTTGTTCATCTGTGACTCCTTTTACATCGTCGCCCCTTTTTTGGTGTATATACTTTCGCAACCATGGCGACGGGTCCGGCTACTCAATCGCTCAAGGTACGCTGCTCGTTCAAGCTACGAGCTACCAGCTACCAGCTACGAGCCGCAAGCGACAAGCTCCATTTCGAACGCGCCGGCTAATTGAAGATCACAGTGCGTGGTGACAGGTGACGGTGCAGTGGGCAAAGTCAGTACAGACGACTCCAATTAACAGATGAACGAGAAATTGACCATCCCCGACTTCTAGACATGTCTTCTGATCTCTTACACAACAAATGCATTCCCTGGGGAGTACATCCCGACCGTGTACGTGCCCATGCAATCCAACAAAAGCGCTCCCGACTCCGAAATAAAAGATGCCAGCAATGCTAACAACCAGCCTCCGCAGCTTCGATAACTACACCGCTAGCGTGATGGTCGACGGTCGACCGATCAGCCTGGGTCTGCGGGATACAGCCGGACAAGAAGATTACGATCGCCTGCGCCCACTTTCATATCCCCAAACCGACGTATTCCTCATCTGTTTCTCGATCGTCAGCCCCCCGTCCTTCGATAACGTGAAAGCCAAGGTCAGCCCACACCCCGGTCTCTCGGACCACTCGGCCCCCCCCAACTCAAAGCTGACATCTGTTTCCAATTAGTGGTTCCCTGAAATTGAACACCACGCCCCCAACGTCCCCATCATCTTGGTTGGCACCAAGCTCGATCTCCGCGACGATCGCCAAACGGTTGAAACCCTTCGATCGCGGAAGATGGAGCCCGTCTCGTACGAACAGGCGCTAGCTGTTGCTAAGGAAATTCGCGCACATAAGTACCTCGAATGCTCTGCACTCACGCAACGCAACCTGAAGAGTGTCTTCGACGAAGCTATCCGGTACGTTATATCGAAGTTGTTCCGGAACTCGGAATTCCCGATGCTAATGCTGGTGATACAGGGCTGTTCTGAGCCCCCGCCCCACTGCCAAGTCTGGGAAGAGGAGCAAATGCTTGATCTTGTAAGGGTCACGGCGCATGTCTCTTTCCCTCTTCTTCTCGTATGCTATAATGAATAATTCATAGTTAATACGGCGTCCCGGTAGCCAGAGGCTTCATGGGCCTCATCTTGATGAATCCATTGACTCGGTTTTTTTTTTTGGCTGGGAAGCTTGTCTGTTTTGGCTTGATAGAATTAGCTAGTTTGAATTCTTGTTGATTATTTGGTTGCTCCCTTGTGTGTCCCTTGGTTTGGCTCTAAAGTCTACCTAGGTAAGTAGAGCCTGTAGCTACCTATGATTGGCGAGTCAATGCTATGTCCTCAATACTGCATGGACATCGCGGTGAATGGTTTTCAAGAAACGTGAAATGTTCATTCAAATGGCCCGATGGCCCATCTATGCACAGAAGACAGGAAAGTGGTATCCTCTATCAAATCATCACAAAACATGACTTTTGCCCTTTGTCCAGGATGTACAGTTACAAAAGAAAGAAAGATCGGGTCTATCCAATAGACCGAGAAGTATCGACTCCGCAGCGATTCAAGCAAGGCATTTAGTTCATCACACGCGGCCTGCGGCTAGGGTGAATGCCCGCCCACTTGTCATCCTCGGGGACGGCAACGGCATTGACTCCAGTGGGACCCTCAGCGGCGGGAGCCTTTTCGTGCTTTCGCTTATCCTTGTTGATCTTTTTAGCGTCACGCGAGCGCTCCTCGTTGAGCTTCTCGTTCTTGGCTCTGATCTTCTCTCTGCGGTGCTCGGAGTTACCGCCGCCGCCACCAGCACTGTGTTCATGTAAGTCAACGGTCATTGCATAACGTGCACGGGATTGGGGGGTACTCACGTCAGCTCAACGTTCATGCGACGAGGCGGGTACTTGCCATCATCAAAGGTGGAGTGGTGGTAGAGCTTGAGGCAGGTCTTCATTCGGTCATAGTTGTCGAATTCGATGAATGCGAAGCCGCGGCACTTCTTAGGAGCCTCGGGCTTGGTCGCGACCCGGATTGAGGCGGGAGGGTTCTTCTCGAAGTGCTTTGTGAGGGACTCAAGGTTTGCGGAGTAAGGCAGGTTGCCTGTAGGTGTCACTGTTAGTGATCGCTTTCAATTGTGGCTTTTTGAGCGGAATGAGTCCCTACCGACGAAGCAGATGAAGCGGGAGCTCTTCTTGTCCACGCCTTCTTCAGTACCTTCAGCAGTCTCTTCGGTTGCCTTTTCGGTGTCCGCGGACTCTTCGGTGGCTTCCTTGGAGGCCTTAGCCTTCTTGTCTTTCTTTTCCTTCTTTTCCTTCTTGTCCTTTTTGGAGATCTTCTCCTTCATGGCTTTGTCGCCCTCGGTGTCTATCGTGAACAGAGGAGTCTCCTCAACATCTTGACTGGCTTCGGCTTCGGCCTTATTCTCCTTCTTTTCTTTCTTGTCCTTCTTCTCCTTCTTCTCCTTCTTCTCCTTCTTCTCCTTCTTCTCCTTCTTCTCCTTCTTCTCCTTCTTCTCCTTCTTCTCCTTCTTCTCTTTCTTTTCCTTCTTCTCGATCACCTCCTCCTGCGCGAGAGCAACCTCGACAGGCGCGACCTCGGCCTCTTTCTCGGCCTTCCGATTTTCCTTCTTTTCCTTCTTCTCCTTCTTCTCCTTCTTCAGCTTTTTGCCCTCGGGAGCAATGGGCTCAGTCGGGTCCTCGACGACCTTGCGCTTCTTGTCGCCCATGTCGAGTTTTTGTTGTGATGTGAGGATTAAAGTGAGTCAGAAGTGGTCGATATCAAAGACTTCTCTTTGAAATAAATAGCGCCGGAAGAACTAAATTGTTGGGGTGGAAGAGAAGTGTTGTGAAAAAGATGCGCAAGTCTTAGTTCCGAAAAAATTGGGCGGAGACGCAGAGAAATTCGGTTTTTGCCGGGCGCTCGAGGCGGTGAGTTTCGTGTCGCCCGTCTACCTGATTGGGCAGTTAGATATCATAACTAAATCTTACTTGTTAGCGCCAAGGTAATGCAGTGAAGGATTGAGATTGTATTTGGAACAGCAGAGAGCAACCCAATATGCTTAAACAGACGGTTCATCCAAGGCACACATTTCGACCCACTACACATCATTACAAATTGTCTCAAATGTAGGTGAACTCACATCCACAGGTCAACTTGGAGTACATTAGGTTGGCTTCAAAGCAGATCAAGAACCTTTTGTACAAATTGAATTCTATAATTAGGTATGTAACGTAATCAGAAAATCAAGATCTGCAACTTCTTCTTCCCAGCGTCGTAGCGCTTACGCAGCTCTGGATGGGTGAGCAGCTTCAGAAGAGGCAAATGGGTCTCTTTCATATCGAAGATTCCACGCTGCTTCTGATCAATATGTGATCCATCGATGACGATGCGCTCCAGTTCATTCAGCTTGAGAGTTCCTAGACAAGGGTCTTGATTAGCAGATCTTTTGGAGAAATATATCGAAGCAGTGCCTACCAGACTCGATCAAATCATAAATTCTGGCCGGAGTACCAGCACCAATTCCCATACTGCACAAATAAGTCAGCATCATGTGTATATTGCTGTCAGAATATTGTCGAAGAATTGATCATACCGTGCACGTTCCAGGAACTGCTTGGCTTCCTCGAGCTTGATGTGCTTTGCAAATAATTTTCCTACAATTGCCTCCTTGGTTGAGAAGCTCCGAAGCGACCTGTTAAGTCAAGTTCTTAGCTTATATGCCCACAACAAGGACCAGGTAACTAATAATCATTGTCTTACCGGACAACATCCGCAGCTCTAAGTCCAGCGCCAGCCACAACCAAAGTATGAGGGGTACCCTTCTGCTCAGAAGCCTTTGACAAATCCGCACCCTTAGGACTGAATGCTTTGAGGAAGTCTGGGAGCTTGTCCAATTGTCTGGTCTCCGTGAAGGACGATGTGTCGAGGAAAGCGTAGTCTGCAACCCGTTAGTGCTCAACAATCATCCCGAGCATTCTAGCATGAAATTCCGTACCTGGAACAGACAAATCGTTCAACTCCACCGCTGACAATTCCTTATCTGCCTTCTTCGCTCGTTGAACAAAGTAATCAGCCAACAAACGTCCATCCATCTTTCCAATTGACTGGTCAATGCCGTCTTGGCGGTCTTGCATTCTCGCATCATGCTCAGCCTGCTGCTTCTTGCTCTTCTTCTGCTTGCGCTTCTTCTTGCTAGGTTGATCTGCGGAAGCCGTAGCTTCAGGCGCTGTTTCGGGCTTGTCCTGTTTCGTAGATTCGTCGGCTTGTCTCTTGCGCTTCTTGTCGAGCTTGTTCGCAAGTCCCTTTTGGGAAGGTGCGTCAACCATACTGAATGTCTCTGGCAATACTCGGATCGAGAAATTTCGAGCTTAATGGACAAATGCGACGAGGCGAAAGTCGAGCGTCGCAGAAAAAGTCTGGAAAACGGCGGCTGAGTCAGCGGGTCTTATCGATAACTGGAACCAACCACGCGCAGGCCCGCAATGTTATTCGGAGACGCGCTTCGCAAACATTCGTTCCAACACTGGACCTTCCACATTTCGATTAATTTTGGATGATCCAAGTGCACGTCTATCTTTCGAGTCTGATGCTATAGCTACAGCTCGTATTTGAGCTCACGAAATGTCTACCCCGAGAGCGCGTGACCGCCGGTCACTGCGCAATTCGGATGTCGGGACAAGTACTCCATCTGGAGAAACAACATCCACAGGAGGAAGTAACTCAATGCGGAGCGCTCTCCAATAACCCTACTGATCATCTTCATTTGCAGCTCCAACGCCTTCCAAGTCATACGCGCTACCCACTTACGCCGAGTAGACTCGTCACCACCACGACCCCATCTGGCCAACGTTCAGCTTCGAGGTTCACGCCCCGGGCGAGAGCATCAGCCGCCCCGTCAACGCCATATGGGCTTCGCGCTCGACAGCAGCGAGCTGCAAATACCCCAGGTCGCGATCGCCGCCGAAGCGGTCGCATACAGCGGGAGACTACATTTGACATACTCAGAAACCTTGGGAAAGGTAAAATCAAGCCAGGCCTATTCCGGGAATATGACTCTTAAAGCTGAAGTGAAGCTAATGTTGAAATCGTGTAGCACTGGCTCCCGTCTCAAGACCTATACAATCCTCACCCCAGGATGCGCCGCAGCCCGCGGAGAATGATCCTATAGACGAATTCGAGGAGTTAGACAACGAGCCGGAAAACACGCCACCGCGACTTTCTCTGCCGATCCAGGGGTCGGAGGAAGGAAGTGATGACCCGACTCCGCCGCCGCGAATGTCGGCTGCCTTTGACGATGATATCACCTACCGATCCGTCGAATACCCGATGAGAGAGACGAGTATAAAAGACCAGCAACGATTATCAATGTACAGTCAAGCTGGGAGATTGAGTGAGAATTTCCGAGGTCATTTAGACAGCGATTCTGATGCGGGCGAACAAACGGGACTTTTCGGCGGCGATGAGGCAGCTGACAATACGATATTCAGTGGAGGCGACTTCGATCAAGGGTGGGTAATCAAGATATCGGGTATGGCTATGGTACAAAGTGGGCTAATATAATACACATAGTGGAGAAACGGAGAACCTGGACCGCTTTGTTTTCGATATTCCATCTCCAGATGCGGGTGCATTTGAAGATCCCATGGATGAACAAGTCGGCGAAGCTGAGGGATTCGAGTTGACCACAGGCGACATACAGCCACTTCCTGGAACACCACCATCAGACAATGACGATGATGTTGCTGGCGGATTTGGATTTGGCCTCGACTTAGCTCCACTGGCGTCCCCGAGCCAAAGCCCGGGAATTGTTGGAGGAGGCCTGCGGGATGAGGGTGCTCCGGTGCAGACCAAGCAAAAGAAGCTTTCCAGACACGGAATTCCGGTTCCAAACATGCCCGCGGGAGTAGTCAAGAAGCTGGCCACTCGCTTCGCGCATACAAAAGGTGGATCAAAAGCGAAGATCAACAAGGCTGCAATGGCTGCAATCGAACAGGCGTCTTCATGGTACTTCGAACAGGTCAGCCAGGATTTGGCTGCTTATTCAAAGCACGCTGGACGCAAAACTATTGACGAGAGCGACGTCTCAACGCTCATGAGAAGGTTAGTTCTGCTGCATGTACATTCATGGAACGGTTTGCTGACTACCACAGGCAACGGCACATCAACAGTACGACAACAATGTTTTCCCTGGCTCAGAAGCATTTGCCCAAGGAGCTTCAGCAGGATATGAGACTGGCTATGCCTCCGTGAATGATCTGAACGACAATCGAATCAACCAAACAAAACTCCAAACATCCAAGAAAAATGCACAAACGAAGTGGCTTGAAGCCCGACTACCAGTTGCGATTCTGGCGGACCCGGCGCATGGCCTCGCTGCTTGGCTTCTTCCGCACCACCATCCACAGCATGATCGACGTGGCCAAGGATAGGCCGTACCTAGGTGGAACATGAGCGAATGGTTCACATTTCCGGGGGTCACGACTGGCACAAGGAGGCCGACTCGGCCCATGAGCCCATCGGGAGGAACTTACCAGGTGAAGATGTATTGTGCGTGGTTGTTCCTCAAGTTGACCTCGGCCGCACGACCAATGGGGAATACCCTTCGCCTCGCGATTATATGACTCAACAAGATCAGGCACTGCGAGGGAATAAGTCAGCCGCGTCCAGACCCATATATCAGGCAATAGATCATACCCATAGTCTCCTCAATCCAAACAGGTTGACTTCCACTCAAGTCTGCCATCTGCTGAATGTCCGGGAAATAGAACTTGCCCTCCTCCGGTTTGTTATCCGGCGTGAACATATTCTTCTTCCATGGCTCCCGGAGCAGCCCCTCCACCGTAACAACCTCATTCTTGATACCCTCCGGTCGATCCTTCTGGTTTGCCAGCTTTCTAGAAATCCAGCCCCGGTTCACGAGAACCGTGCTCTGACCTTCGCGCTCAAGCGGAGTCACGACGAGGTATCCGTCCTCACCCTCGTTCATACGAGGTCCAACCAGCATCTCCTTATCGTGGCGAAGGGTGCCAGTGGCATAGACACGACGGTAATCGAATTCAGAGATAGCCTCAGGGTCGATTCGCGGCGGCAGGGGAAGTGGTGGTCTCGTCAAACGGTCTTCGAATTTGGCGATCATCTTTGTCTTCCGATCGAGACGCTGGACCTGCCAGGATCCTGAGGCCGAAGGCAATGATTGGGATCAGAGCTATTGAATTGCAGGTCAGTTGTAGTTTATCGGACGAGATAGTATATTGGGTAATCACGAACCAAGGATGATCAAACCAGGTCCATGCTTCTGGTTCACACGAACCAACTTAGCCGGGTGATCCACGCTGAAGGCATTCTGGTCAGTCAAGCGGCGTGACTGCGTGAACTGGCGCTTTTGTTGTAGCCGGCATCTGGAGCAGATGGAATCGAGGTTCTTCGGGTTCAAGGTTCGGACAGCGCGGAATGTCACAGACCACGCCTCTGATGTGCTTCTCAGGACTGAGAGAAGCGGCCGCATAGTGAATGGTGCTGTGAGGAGCTGTTTGGAGAAAAGTGTTGTTATGCGGCAGTTGGGATTTTGGGAGCGGACTCGCTCCGTAGGCGGTCACGCTCTTCCCCGAACTGTTTCTCCGCAGTATACGTCGCCTTCTGCTAACCACTGCTTTCTTTACTCTCACATTCGATCTGCTACCCTCTTGACGAGAATGCGATCGTAACGATGTTCTTTCAAGGATCTCTTCAGGATGGTATTGCCCTCGCTGTGCGAGAGGCCAAGGCTGTGGTGTGCTTTGTCCGAGGTCGGTGGTCTCCCCGCACCAAGTCAACGTGCCATCTAATCGAGTCCAATGTGCAGACGACGAGCAACTGAGCTCAACATGGGAGGAGGAGTATCTTACTGGTGATGAGGTATGTTTGTTTGCGATTGATCATCCGTTGTGATGACTGGGTAGTTGCTAATCGTCTGTAGGTTGCACCGGTCCTCGACGCCAAAGCGGTCATTTTGCGCCTGGCTGCTGGGACCCAAGAAGCCGGTTTCTTGACCACTTTCTGTCCCATAGCAAAGTTTCCGACGGTTGTTGTCATTAAGTCCGTCTCATGCTGGTTCGCCCGTGGGCTCTGAGCTGATTGTTTCACCTCGCAGGAATGGCACGCTGCAAGAGTACCTAACGCCCGAGGTTTCGAAAGACGAATTGAAGCGTCGCCTAATCGCAGTCTTGGAAGGTGGTCGAGACATCCTTAAAACTCAGCAGTCACAACAGAGCAGTCCTGTACCTACGAATAGCAACACTACAACCATGGCTAATTCAAATGCTGACGCGCCTGTGACATCCATTGCCTCCAATACCCCATCAAGACAACAAGCCCGTCATTGCCCAAGCGATTCCCAAATATTTGCCCAACACCCATCCCAAGCGAGCACAAGAATGAGCGGTCCCTCAGCACAGAAGCCTTCAGAGAAATCGGAACCGCTGAAGCAGCAGCCACTGAAAGATAGTCCGAGAGAGAAATCGAAGGGCAAGCAACCAGCGGCACCAGTACAGAAATCCCAAATGAAGGCAAATAAGAAGCCACCACCTGCAGTCGAAGAGCCAAAGCGACAGATACCAGTTCCTCGTGGACCTCCAAGCCAGTATCGACTCCAGGTGCGACTGTTTGACGGCCGCTCGATTCGACTCTAGCTTCACGCCCACACAGACTATCCGCGGTGATGTTCGTCCCTGGTTAGATGGAGAAATGGGGGATGACAACCGCCCATACAACCTCAAACACATCTTGACGCCTCTTCCAAATCGGACCCTCTCTGTTGCCGAGGAATCGCAGACACTGCAGGAATTGAGTCTGGGCTCTACTGCAACTCTCGTCATGGTTCCTGTGCAGACATACACGACAGCTTACGCGTCAGCTGGCTCATTGCCCGCGCGGGGGGATCTCTGCGGTGTATAATGTGGTATCAGGTGTTGCCAGTACCGCTACAGGTATTGTAGGCTCAATCCTTGGATACGGATCCAGTGCACCAGCGAGCGAGGTGCAACCTGCTCCTCCTCCGCCGGGTCAGCATGCTCAGCGACCACGCCCAACCGGAATGAATATTCGCACGCTGCGGGACCAGCAGACTGAACGGGGCGATAGTCAGTTCTACAACGGAAACCAGGTATGTGGTTTTGGGTGGATCGCACAATTTCAATGCACTGACTGATGACATTCACAGTTGAACTTTGAACCACGGAACAAAGAGGACAAGGATAATTAGTTGGTTATTATATATTCCTATCGCTTCCAGCACACTCATTTGTGTAATTCGACGTTTTGTTGCAGCGTGCGATTGATACTCCAACAAGCAATGTACTTTATTGCATCAGAACCTTCAACATACATTGATATTAAGAAAGTGACATTGAAGCGAAATTGTAGATCTGATCCGATGATCATCACTAGCGCTAGTGGATCTGCGATCCCTTGACGGATGCTGTGAATGGAAACCGGACGAACGCCTTCCTTTTTGGTTCGGACCGGAAAGTCTTCACACGTAAGTGGGACCCGTTGGTAATCAACGGGTCTGGAGCCTCTTTGTACACTGGTACACTTTGACTCTTATTCTGACGATCGCACTCAGTATCCACATGGTACATTGCTCTCGATTCTAGCCTCCTTGGGTCTTCTAGATGCTTTTCTTATGTCGAACAACGCTAGTGACTCCGAGGCGCCTGCGGTACGTCCTTAGGCCCCGTTAGCCCGTTTTATGTGAGCAAAGCTAAACGAATTGGACAATGCAACTTATGTTATACAAGAAAGGTTTGATTCTCTATTAAATTAAGTCCGTTTCCGAATCAATAAGATCATTGACATCTTCCATAGACATTGACATCTTCCATAGATCAAGTGCGATCGACAGGACCCGTGTATGAATTGCACAGACGCCAGATCTGAATGTCATCGAAAGCGACCTAGACTAAGGCCTCAGAGAGACCCCAGGTAAGTTCTGACAGGATGTGTTTAATAAAGGTGAGAGGAAAGTGTTGACGAATATCAAGGCTCTTAAGCTTGGCAGACAGACTGTCCGAACTTGAGCGCACTGCCGCTTCTGTGCAGCAATGCCAGGGGTCAGTTCCAGCATTCAAAGCTGGCACCGAGAGTGACCAATATAGCACAACATCCTCTGCCAAGCAGAAGGAGGCTATTGCCAGAGACTCGTCTAATGCTGTCGGGCGTCCAGCCGTGTCGGAATCAGCGACTCCCGCTGCATTAAATCATCAGACCTCAGAGGCCAAAGTGTTTTTACAGCAAGAGCCCGAGTCAAACAAAGAGCTCTTTCAAGACAGGTACACCGTGCTGGAATCGGCACACCGTCTCGTTGATCAAATCTCCAGTACTGCAAACCTGCCGAGATCTGATCGATTTGATCGCGCTGGGCTCGATGTTGAGCCGTTGGCGGAGTTTCAACCCGAGCTATGCTATATGTTGACTATGGGTGAGTTGATATCTACTCCACAGAAGCAAAGTGGGTGAGAATTGCTCATTTCTAGGGCCGGGCATCAATTGTGGTGCTCCGAATCGGTCTCACTGGCCCGACCATATCTCCCCGCAGACATTGGAAAATATGTGTTTCGCTCTTGTGCAAGGATCGGAAGATGAAACTACTCTGATCCATTACCGAGTTGTGGTATAAACGAAAGCCGCCCTGATGGTTGCTAGGTTGGCTGAGGCTGAATTAGGTAAACGCATCCACCTTCAAGATCTCTTGCGGTCATCCAAAAAGCAATATGAGGCCACGGCACTTGCGGCACTGGCAAAGATCAATATGTTGACTGCCCCAAGCTTATCTCTGCTACAAGCGTTATTATCTGGGGTGCGTCTAGAACAATCACCGGATTGGAGAGGCCTATGAGTGCCAACGCTGATTTACCCAGGCAGCGCTCATGCAATCCCAGGGAGACATGTGCCAATGCTGGACACTAACTTCTTTTGCATCAAGGATCTTGGTTTCGCTCAACTACCATACGTGGGACGGTCTCAGTCCGTCTGGCAGTGCCGAATCTCAGATCCACGGAGTTATCTTCACATGTTATCAATTTGATAAGCATCTCAGCTCACTCCTTCTGCGGCCGCCGTCCCTCCCAGAATTAAAATTGAAACCAGCCGATCTAATCCATTTGGATCAGCATATTCCACTTAGTGCCATCATGAAAGCCGTTGTTGAGCTCGCACAGATCCAGGATGTTACGCTAAGCCTTGCTTTGAAGCCAGGATCGTCCAATGATACAGACCAACGCAATACCATCGATGAGCTTGTCCAAACCATGTTCAGAGTACCAGAAAGTATGTCTCTATCAAGATTGCTAACTCCCTGCAGCTAATGATTAAATATACAGCAACGGGTCAACCCATCTTTCAGTCATATGGAGTACGAATGGTCAGCTATTGACTTTCACTATTATACGATGATGACTACCATACTTCGCTCCACGCAGACTATTCGAGCTCCATTCGTTCAGAAGGAATATCTTCTGTATGCTAGGAAGGCACTTCGATCACTTCAACTGTTGCAGAAGAACTATTTTATTTCTGCCAATTCTTTTAAATATACCCAATTTACCTGACTTGGTGAGCCTCTTATTATACTTTATTTTTAGCTGATTGTTCTGACGTCCAGAGGACTATACTCATAGGCCCTCTGACGCCTTTCTTTGTTCTATTCTGCAACGTGGTTCAAACGTCCGACCCTGAAGATTATTCATTGATGTCTGCCAACACCGAAGCCCTTCTCCGCTTTGTGGATACACATCCTCCGACCGCCAAGTTGTACAAACTCTTCTCCACCTTCTTGCATCTTTGCAGTGCCCTTATCCGCAATCACCATCCAACGTGCTCGCCACAGCCTCTCTTCAGCACCTCATCTCCCGCGATGCCTACCGGCATTCTAAGTACCACACAACCCGACCAGGTGGGCATAGGGGCAGAAATCCATCCGCAGCATGATATTTCCGTTGCCCCAACGTTCGATCAAATCCAAGGGGGTGGGCCAGAGGGCCCAAATCTTGAAAATCTAGCCACCGGGGGTGCATGGAATAATGATATGTCTCGGGACTTGTTCTATTCCCAGCCATGGTTAGGATGGATGGAGTCAAATATCTAGTTTTTCCTGGACTTAGGCCATTTCATGTAAATAAATATCCACTACCTATCGTCTCTCTTCAATAGCCGACGGGTCGGTCTTCCAAATTCTATCGAATCCAGAGTATTCCCTCGATAAATGCTCTAGCTCGTCAATTTCAGAGCACAATGTCGGCCAACAGAATACGAGAATGGAAGCCTGATGGTGCTACCAGGCCTGCATGCATAATACGTGGAGCAGAGAACTAGTATTCATGCTCCCCTAAGTATCAGTCGTTGATTCCAAATGAAGTTGTGTACAAAATACAGGAAGCTGAGGACAAGAATTCCCTATGCCCTAAGTTTCATTCATTGCTAGCAACAACTCCCCCGCTCTTCTAGTTACTGTAGCAGCGAACAGATAGGAATCGGGATAGAGGACTTGAACACTACAGCCTTGCATGCATGGTACCAAAGACATACCCAGGGTCATTTCTTGCTAATAAAAGCCCCCTTCACTCGCAAGCAGCCTTGATTGGCGAGGAACTATCATCGCTAGATTTGGTGAACATTAGCTGCAGATGAGTTTTCTACTCAGCGTGAGAATACACATCTTACATGCGTGACTGCCGACTAATGCGAATATGTGACTTCGGTGCCCTCCCGCTTTGTATCACCGCACCTCTGCATCTCGATGTAATGGCGGGGAAGCGGTGACAATCTGCTCAGACTCAGCCTTTGCTTATTACGAAAGTCCTGTGCTTGACTTGTACTTTTCCAGAGCGATCCTCGAACATTGTGGCTCGCGACATGGAGCGTGTTGTTCTTGGTTTATTAGCTTTGGCCGTCGGCTACCTTATATCGGCAAGTATCTACAACCTCTTCTTCCACCCGCTGCGTAACTTTCCCGGGCCAAAGCTAGCAGCCGCTACGCACATCTATGAGTTCTATTTCGACTGTATCAAGAGCGGGAAATTTATATGGGAGATTCAGAGAATGCACGAGGTCTACGGTAAACTATCACTTGTGATCCATACCCGAAATCTAGCTAATACTTTCTACAGGACCGATAGTACGCATCAACCCCCGAGAAATCCACATCAAAGACCCTTCCTATTTCTCAGGAATCTACAGCAACGGCATCCAGGAAAAAGACCCATTCATCGTGAATGTCGCCCCATCCCCAGGCTCGTCCTTTGCAACCATAGACCACAACCTCCATCGATTCCGACGCGGGATCGTGAACCCCTTCTTTTCCAAACAGACCGTGGTGAAAATCGAATACATTGTTCAAGACAAAGTCGATAAAGCCGTGAAACGCCTCGAGCAAGCGAAAATCGACGGCACGATCATCAAGACGGACGCACTATTTTCGGTATTGATCGGCGACGTCATTTATCACTATACCTACGGGGAGAGCCCCGGTATGCTTGAGAAGGAAGATATGAAGAACGAATTCCGGGATGCTGTGACTGGCGCTAGCGTCTTTTGTCATTTTATGAGGTTCTTTCCGGTTCTCGTGAACCTGTTGGAATCTATGCCTTGGTTTATTTTCTGGCTGCAGCCGATGTACAAGGGATACTATGACATGGAGCGAAAGCTAAAGGAGCAGAGTGTCTATGCATTGCAGAATGCCGGGAAACAGCATACAGGGACCATTTTTCATGCTTTAAGTGACCCATCGCTACCGGCGGAAGAGAGAACGCCGATTAGATTGAAGAACGAGGCTATGACGATTATGGGTGCGGGGACGGAGACGACTGCGAGGGTCTTGGCTGTGGGCTCGTTTCATCTTTATAGAGATGAGACGATGGTGCAGCGTCTACGGGACGAGTTGAGGACGGTGATGCCAGAGCCTACTAGTAAGGCATCCTGGGGCCAGTTGGAGAAATTACCGTATTTGGTACGTATGTTGAACAATTTTTTGATTTCTTAGGAAAGCTGACTTTCTTGAGACTGCTGTGATCAACGAATCACTCCGGCTCGCACACCTGCAACCCTTCGGTTTCCACGCGTGGCTCCAAATAACTCGGACATACAAGAAATTCACTATTCCACCTGGAGTAAGATGCATTTCTTGCCTTTTTTACTTTGACTATTTATTTTCAATATGAGCGTTGCTGAGACATTACGCAGACCCCAGTCAGCCGGTCAATCTACTTTGTGCATATGGATCCCGATGTCTTCCCAGAACCAAATACATTCAATCCGGACCGGTGGTTGGAATCCTCGCAGAAGGGCGAGAGACTTGATCGATTTTTGGTGCCGTTCACGAAAGGGTCTAGAATATGTCTAGGCATGAAGTCAGTATCGGAAGATCATTGCTAATGATCTACTAACAAGTGGCAATATGTTAGTCTCGCCTATGCGGAACTATATCTTATGTTTGCGACCTTGGCACGACGCATAGATTTAGAGATGCGGACTTCTTGGGAAGACATCCAAGTGACGCGAGACATGATTTTAGGTGTGCCCGAGAACAAGGATTTACTTGAGGTGGAGGCTGTTGTTACAGGGATTGTCTACGAATAAAGACCAAAACTACGATGAGAGTTGTCTTTCTTTGGTATCTCTCAAGTAGACGAACGCGCCATCAGCTTGAGTAAAACCCCGGAGATGATTGATTTCAATGACGAGGAGAGATGGTATAGAGTACAAGAGCGCGATATCAAAGTCGCGATGCAAAGGATTACACCCACCGAGCTGTCCTAAGGATCAACCCATGTATTGAGAGTTCGATTAAAAACAATGACAGACATCCACCGACTGAGAAGCGCTTAGTACGGCTTAGCGGCGGCCTGGCAAGCCTTCTGTTTGGTTGTTAGTAATAGTCCATTACCGAGAAATCTGCCGAGGCGAAGACTCTGTACGTACCAGCTGGTCAAGGTACCAACCGCAAATGCTGATTTGGCCCTGGTTCTCATCCATGCAGTTGCGGAAGTTGCGGACGTCGTTGGCGCAAGCGGGGTTCTCGTACTGCGCCTGGTTGGCGCTGCCCTGCCACAGACCGTTGTCCATGGCCTGGGCGGGAGCGGCCTGCTGAGGCTCAGCGGGGGCACTGGAGCCACCACCGGAGAAGAGACCACCGATGGCGTGGCCGACGGAAGAACCGATAGCGACACCGCTGTGAGAAAGTTAGCGGTGAGTCCAAGGCAAAATTCAGACCCCGGATTTTCTCGGGAAAATGCGGAGATCTTTGCTCGGAATTTAGTTTAGTTTGACTTACGCAGCAGTGGAAGCCATCTGGCCGAAGAGGCCGGGGCCAGCGCTTTGCTGGGGAGGAGCATGCATCTGCTGGGGAGGAGCCGCGGCAGTCGAGTGAGGTGCCTGCTGTTGGTGCTGGGGAGCGGCCGCGGGACGGGCAGGGGCAGCGGTAGGGCGAGTGGGCGCGCTGCGCGCGGGGGTAGGGGCGGCACGACGTTGTTGGCGAGGCATTTTGATGGATGTGTATGTGAGGGTGTGGTGAGTTGAGGGGGGGGGAAAGAAGACTGTCAAAGTAGATATCCGACGAGTGGAGACAGAAGAAGCTAGAAAGCTGAGTCAGTCGAGGCCATGCAAATTCCACGAGCATCAATTGGCTGGCGATGTGATTGAGTCACGTGGGACCGGACATTACAGGAGTTTAGAAATTGAGCAGTCAACCACGACTTGGACTTATGGTGATCGAGTTTCTATTCATTCTTTTGCATTCCAGATGACATGATGATGGGTATCTAAATTCGTAGTGACGTTGATGTACAAGTAGTGATGCGTGCAGAAGGGGTGTAGTCTCAGTCAAAGTCCTACTATAAGCTCCGACAGTGGAGGCTCACAGCAGACCACAAGAAATTCGCGGAAAAAGCTGCATCATTGTTTCTTCTGATTCTTGCGGAAATCCTCCTTCTTCTGCCGCCTCTCCTTCTTGCGGTCTTTACGCCCGTCCACGTCGAGCTTTTGTCGCTTCCGAGCGGCCTTCGCATTCTTGTTTCGGGCATTGGCCTTTTCAATCTTACCCTGCTTCTTTTCTTTCTCTTTGGCAAGCTCAGCTTCCGCCTCGGAGCTCAAATCCTCGTCAGAGTCGCCAGAGTCGCCAGAGTCGGCGCCAGATTGAGCAGTAGATGGGGCTGCGCTGGACGGATCCTCGCTCTGAGCCTCGGCAGCCTGCTTCTTTGCGAGCATGGCAGCCTTGAATTGAGCGCGAGCCCTCTCTTTTGCCTGCTTCTCGGCTAGTTCCAAGTCGATCTTGTTGTTGCCGGCCTTCACAAAAATTAGTTGAGGTCTCAGTCACGAGACACGATTTACTTACAAGACCGTGCTTGATGAAACGTCCTGCAGCCGCCTTATCAAGTGTCATAGTGCGTTGTTCGGGCTCGGTTTCCAAGTCCTTGATTTTATCAAAGTATTGCTTCACGCGTGTAAGTTCGCGGAAGACGGAGTGCTGTTTCGCATCGACGCCGTGGAGTCGGAGGTATGCTGGAAAAATGTGAGCTGAGTTCCAATTTTGAACTAGAGCCAGACGAACAAAAAATGAGTGATTCGAGGGTGTAGGTGATCAGAACGTGAAGTTTGGCCTTGTCCATGACCGGCAAGTTTTTCGAAGCCTTGGACAGGGACTGGCCCAGAAAGGGCTGCAGAATCTCTTCCAGGTCATCCACATTGTCGTCAAGCTGCTCCAGCAGCGGAAGTAAATCTGTTGTATCCATGGTGATGTGCAATGCAAATGTGAAGTTGACGAAAAAATTAGGACGGTGCAACGCAGGCGGTGTAACCAGGCGGTGGAGATTTTGGCCGCGCATCATCGCCTGAGATCCGACATTTCGCGCGCGATTCAAGCTTTTGTTTGAGGCACTCTGAGATATTTCTGTGCTTTGTGACCGCAATATTAATGCAGGTTTAGTGTCTCGTCGTCCTTTCGATCCTCTCCGAAACCGAGTGCTCATCTCAGCGCCCTCATTTCCAGTCCACCGGGGGACTTTTTCCCCGAACACCCTCAAAAGTGTTTCATCTATTCGCGCGCCGCCCGCTATGGCGGAGCGGACTGATTGACGTCTGTCAATCTCGATGGCAGGTCATTTGTGGACCTACAACACGGCTCCAGTCAACATGGGCGGACAATATGAAAGAATACACGGAGGAGGCGCCCCAAATGTCAGGGCGGGTGCATGTCGTTGGCCTCGGAAATGTAGGGACGTTCATTGCCCACTCGCTCGCATCGCGACAGTCTCCGCCGCCCATTACACTCCTTCTTCATAACACAGAGCTCTTGAGAGATTTCCGACAGAAGAAATACTCTCTCGCTATCAACCACCAAGGTCTGGACGAAGTTAGAGGCGGATTCGACGCGGAAGTGCTTTCTGAATCGGCATGGTACAAGGTGGACACGACACAGGTCAAGAGCAACCAGGGCAGAAAAAGAACTACCGAAGAAGAAGAAGACCAATTCGAAAGTCCGACAGAAGACGACATTGACTGCTTGCTTGTCTGTACCAAGGCCAACATGACAATAAAAGCCATCGAGGCTCTCAAGCACCGCTTGACCTCGAATTCAACCATCTGCTTGGTTCATACTGGCATGGGACTCCTCGGTCGGCTCAATGAAGAGGTTTTCCCGGATCCTAACAATCGCCCGCATTTTATCGAAACCGCTTTTAGCCATTACCTCACAAGGCTGCATCCTTTCCACATCGCACATAATAGTCCTGGAACTTTCCTCCTCAGCCCCGCGGTCACCGAGAAAACTCCTTTGATCGAAGCAGAGAAAGATACTCATTGGGCTCCTACAACGAAATACCTTCTCCGTCTCTTCACTCTCACGCCACAATTAGTTGCCACGGTGGAGACCCCCTCGGGTTTACTCATGCACCGTTTGGAGAAGCACGCCGCCGAATGCATCATCGGCCCGCTAACAGTAATCAACGACTGCCAGAATGGCGAGCTTCTGTACATCTTCAGCGCAACCCGACTCACGCGGATGCTGCTTTTTGAAATATCGAGTGTGATCTGCGCTCTCCCGGAGTTGCAGGGCATCCCAGGTATCAAGAGTCGATTCTCCCCAGAACGTCTACGTCGATTTACCGCTTATATAATGGCGAAGACGGCCCCAAACACCAGCGCCATGCTCCAGGACATTTACGAAGGCAAAGTCACAGATGTTGAATTCTTCAACGGCTGGATCGTTCGCCGCGGCGAAGAGCTGGGTCTGAAGTGTGTACTTAACTACATGGTTAAACACATGGTGCAGACTAAGCTCGCTATCACCATGCGCAGAGACAACAGCGCCATCCCTATTGACTTTGAGAACGTCATTATCACTGGTGACCCGCAAGTAGACAATTAGTTTGAGACTTCGTCTCAATTCTTCTTTGCTATCTCGGCGGCCCTCGAAAAGCGCCGCACACATTCAGGGAGGAAGGAATTCACAAATCAATCGCCTTAGCTGCACTTTCACAGACTTCCTTGATCTGTGCCCACCGCCGCAAAAGCGTTTCGGCCTTCTGGTGATTCGTCCGCACCACAGCATCGGACTCCATTGCCGCGCGCAATGCACTTACGGCAGCGTCTGCCTCTGTGCAATATGTCTGGAGCCATCCTTTGATGATGTCCTCCGACAACTTTGCATCCACCCCCTCGGTGGAGCCGTCGAGAACGTGGTTCCGCCAGTCCTCTTCGTTCATGTATTTTAAACACGCTGCCACCTCGGTGCGGTAGCAAACACCTTGATAGGTGACTTGGTAATTACTGGAAATAATTAGCATTGAATATACTCGCATTGTATAACAGATCAATATACCCATAGTATTGGTTCAGGGCTAGTTCTTCCCGTTTGTCCGGACTAGTGATTTCTCGGAAGATGATGTCGTCCAGGTAGACGCAGTCTGATTCGTTCTGCTCGAGGAAAAATCCATCTAGACACATTAGCTTAATCAATGGCTCATGGATCGGAGTAGGACTCACATTCAGCCAATAGGAAATCATTTGGATGACTCCCATAACTCATGTAGACCTCATCTCCTGCCTCATAGTCCTCTGTGGCACATAGCGTATACTCATCTGCATCAAACTTGACATCGCACTAAAATCGTCCGCATATTAGCAACCAAGTCACACCACGAGCCCCAAACCCTTGGAAAACCAACCTCAACATCAGAGTGATTGAAATAATCAGCAAACGGCAACAAAGCCATAGCATCATTCCGATCCTCCGGCGGCTCCTGATCTGGACCAACCCAATAGAAACTCCTCGTATTAAGAATAAGCCAATGATACGAAAAATCTCTCCAATTCGTCTCCGGCAGCACAGCCTTCACATCCGCCCAAGCCTTGCCCAGCCTCTGTTGCTGTCCCGCTAGAAGATTCTGATGCTCAGTATCGTACTTCTTCACGCTGTGATCTTTCTGAATGGTGTTCCACCGTCCCGAGATACACGGCGGAAGGACGTTAGCCTGCGCGTCTGACCCTGCAGGGGTATCTGGCCAGACAAGTCCGCCGAGAGCAGTAGGCCATAGCATTGGCAGACTATCTTCAAAGTCTTGACGAGACGGCCAGGCTTTGCGCCATAAGGCGTATTTGGAGAGTTCTTCCTCGCTGCCATGCGTGAGGTAGGCGGCCATTATCGCCTGCACGGGGGTTCCTTCAGGGAATTGGGCCCGGAATGAGTCTGGCAGGGTATCTATTGTCAGGATCACATTTGTAGGCACTTGGACCACAGGTTCGCCTCTCTGGAGAGGGTCAGTATCACAGTTGCATGAAGAGAAGAGGCAAAGCGCCTACTTTGATTGCTCTGGTAGCTATCATTCCTAGTCCACGACCTGGAAACCGAGCTGGAGTTACACCATTTGCTATAACACCTTGGGCGAGGGTCCATTCGGTAAAGGCTGCGTGGTCTTCGCCAGGCCACCAGGTTGGGGTCGACATTTTTTACGAGTGTTGGAGACAGTAGATCTTTCGGGTTGTTAGCGTGAAGTACTGGATGCAGGGGCTTTGGGTAACAAACAGGCAATGGATAATTCTTGTGTTTCTCTGGGTGATTTTCGACAAGCAATTGACCATTATAGACTCGAGAAGTATAGCTTGGACGCACGTTCAAACTGAGGCCGATCAACATCGGCTGTGGAGTTATCGATAACCCAATCGCTTATCGCTACGGCAGCGAGCAGGGTCCAATCGCGCCGTCTTTCCCGATCGTACGACTTGCTTCTACTTGGGGTATACTCCGCCATTCTTAACACATCATGTCAGTCTTAAGTAGACGGGGAGCGTCCTCGCTCCGGTACATGACAAGCCCATGCTCTGCTTGCTATGTGCGGCCATTTTCCGTCTTCAACCGTCCAAAGCCAAATTATCCCGGCCATGTCCCATTGACGACCGTTGAGCGCGGTGCTCTCGCCTTGGGTTCAGCAATTGGCTCATTGATCAATCCTCGACGAGCAGGTACGTCTTTACAAGATCTTTAAGCTCCAGCTTCATCGCAGGGCTCTATTGGCTACTCAAATGATCCTAACAGGCAGCAGACCTCATTGCAGCCCTCGGCGAAGCAACCGCAACTCCATTCTTCATCTACCGACTCCGCGACGCTATGCTCTCCGACCCAACAGGTCGCCGCATCCTCCGCGACCGACCACGCATAACTTCCGAAACACTTTCAATGACCCGCCTCCGCTCTCTGCCCGAGAACTCTGTCGGCCGCACATACGCCAAATGGCTCGACCGTGAAGGTGTGTCCCCGGACACGCGCGACAACGTACAGTACATCGACGATGAAGAATGCGCCTATGTCATGCAGCGGTACCGCGAGTGTCACGATTTCTACCATGCCGTGACGGGACTGCCGATTTTCGTGGAGGGTGAACTCGCTTTGAAGGCGCTGGAGTTCCTGAACACATTGCTACCGATGACGGGATTGAGCTTGTTTGCGTTTGTGAGAATGAAGCCGGCAGAGAAGGAACGATTTTTGTCGTTGCATTTACCGTGGGCGGTGCGAAGTGGGCTGGCGAGTAAGGAGTTGATTAATGTTTATTGGGAGGAGGTGCTGGAGAAGGATGTGGATGAGTTGAGAAAGGAGTTGAATATCGAGCAGCCGCCTGATCTCAGAGACATTCGGAAGATGATTAGGAGGCAGCAGAAGGAAGAGAAAGAACGACTGAAGCAGAAATCAGGCTGAGGGGCTCTTCCTTTCGGTTTCCTTGGGGTTGGATTCTCCGTGTACGATTATTGTATAAGACTATTCCCATATGCGAATGCAAAACCGCGGTGCAAGCCGTGCCAGACCGCAACGCCGAAAATCAAATTTTGAAAGCCAGACGGGCGAGGTATCCAAATGGCAAATATAAAGCTAATCCAGGAGTATCAATATTATCCTCACAGGTCGAGGAGGTCATCGTCATCATCCCAGCCGCCTTTGCGCCGACTAATCACGATCTTCTGCTCTTCCTCTTCCTTGCGCTGGTTCTCGGCCACGGCATTCAGAAGCTCCTTGAGCTGCTCCTCTGTGACCTTTGATCGCAGCTGGCCGGTCTGGGCCAACATGATCAACCGGTTCTCAATGTCGGTGGCGCGCTGTTCCTTGACGAGGCGAATGCGGCCTAGGCGGTCCGCGGCGGCGGGGTCGAGGATCTGGTTCATAATGGCGGCGCGGCGTTCCGCTGCAAGAATCTGTCAGAAGGTTCAAATGCGAATGTTCCGAAGGTATATTCAAAAATGGTGCGGCGGACCGGGGGTGTTCATGGCTCGAATCGTGGGAGCACAATCACGTACATTCGGCTTGTCTAGAAGAAAGCACTTAGTCCCGACATGTCCACCAACCAGTAGAACCCGCACTTACCTCTGTTCTTCCTGGCTTCCACCCTGTCCTCCACCCTGGACAAGGCCTCCGCGCGGGGCACCCTGCTGTTGCTGCAGCTGCGCAAGGCGAGCTCGCCTGATCTGGTTGCCGATGTGAGCTGTGGGTGACTTTGATCATGAGGGGTCCACCTACCTCCTCGAGCTCTGCGTCGGCCATCTTGTATACACGTGAGCCGATGTTTAACGGTGACGTTAGAGAGGGGAGTTAACGCTTTGTGAGGCAACTTAGTCAAGTTTGATTCGGTAACCCCACTTGTTCCGCCTGAGGCTGCCACGCGGGGGAATACATGACATTCCTAGAAACTAAACAGAGTGAACAATCAAGGGGATGGGAGTTGGGGGGGGATCTAATTGGACCTGGCATGATAGAATGTCTCATGATGTTTCTCATGAGAGCTTGAGATACTTGTGGCGAGTAAACGACTCGGTCATTAGTAGAGCAGCGGGGATAAACCTGGGTAGCTTAGAAAATTACTCTATGTTCACAGAGAATGAAAGGCAAATGTTGAATCAGAAATGCTGCTGGCATATACTGGGCGGGGCCCCGCGGTCTCTAGAGTTCCCAGCAATAGGATACCTTGGAAAAGGGACAAAATAAGATCAAAAAAAGGCTATCTTCTCGATCTGGCTGCATAACGGTCTTTTTTCCTCGATTAGTCACAATGTTTGTCCAATCTAAGCAAATCTGCCCCGAAGACACCTTGTCGGACCATGGCATGCTACACGGCAAACTTATCCCCGAGAGATTCATCAAGCAAAAGCAGATAATCATGCACGGACTACGGACATAACAGGGCATTCCACCGGTGAACTGGAATTGATACGGACATGCGCGTGTGCGTCCATGTCAGATACTTAGTCCAATCTCCCATGACTAGCGCAAATCTACGCGATACCAGGGGCAACTGCTGCCTGCGCCTCCCAGGGTTACTTTAAGCGGGGGGCAAATTCCCTGAGACTGATATACCATGGTCGTATTCTGGCGAGGCCATCAGCCGGCCAACAAAAATCAAATCTTCTAAAATACCCGACTTGACGAACAGTGCGCTGATCGGCTGGCAATTCCGGCTTAGTCGCGATGAACTATTACTCTAGTTTCATGGAGACGTGGGTCGCTTTAGGTTGCGGTAGCCCAAAATGACCATGAAGAAAAAGTCTGACATGAGGGAACACACTGGCCTTGAGTACGGACGATTGTGCAATAAAACAAATGAATAGCAGAATCGAAACATTATCATAGAATTAATTATAATGAACCGGCACGTTCTTATCTCGCGACTCGATCACGCTTCCGGTGTGACATGACTAAGCGCTTGTTCGCCTCCCAACATCGCTGCGAAACCCCCCCCCCGATCTCTTCTTGTCTCTTGCACTTTGGTGGATGTTACCCACCTGAGCCTTTTCTTTTGCATGCTATTCTTTCTCGTCGGTCTTTTCTCCTCACTAGATTCCTATAATACTTCGACGCCTTCCGATCATCCTTTTTCGGGCCGCTCCAGAGCTCCCGAACCCCGAATCGCTTGCGGGGAATCTCTGATCATTTGCTGCCTCGAGTGAATGGCTCCAAAGGCTCGGTGTTCAGCGTCTGCCGGGGTATGATCATTGGTTTAAGCAACCAACTGCAATCAACGGACCGGGTCACCAACTCTCATTTCTTCTACGCCGTCTACGTCACTCATCATGGCCGAGTAAGTTTCCTCAAGTACTCGGAGGAAAAGGAATCGCCAGTTCAGCTCGGATCATCACTAATATGAAGGATAGTCTAATTGCCTTCCAAACATACCATCATAGTAATTTACGGCCGCCGAATTCGTCCACCATGATCCCGCGTCACGCTCATAAGCGGTCTCTTTCTTCGGAGCATCGCACTCTGTCCCCAGACAAAACAGTCACCAAAGCGAAATCTACAACAAATCTCACTGAAATTGTATCCGATTCCACGTTCCATCCCAAGTACGAGGAAAACAGTTTCAACACCTTACAGGACCCACGCTTGGTTGTCGGCACGGAGGTCTCACCGTCAACGTCATCGACCCATCACCCCGACTTGAGCAATGAGGTCGCGGCATTAAGTGTGAAACTGATTCAAGCGATCAACAATCAGACCTCCTTGGATGACAACCTCGTGGCAACGCGACAGGAGCTTGAGGCAGCTCAGAGCAAGATCAAAGCCTTGGAGTTTCAAAATGAGAAACATCGTCGGGATATTGATGAGCAGGTCTACATCAAGAAATCCGACTCTGATCGTGAAATTATGCAATTGAAAGCTGCACTTGCCGAGGAGAGGGCCGCACGCGCCGTGGCTGAAAAGGGCACGAAGACTATGGAGCAAGAGCTCGAGGCCCTGACCGCTGATCTCTTCGAGGAAGCCAACAAGGTATGTTAATTTTCTGCATCTCCCAGTCAACTGCTGGGTCCGGTCTGACATTAGTTTTAGATGGTGGCTGCAGCTAAAATTGACCGGGAAGCGGTCGAGAAGAAGAACGAGCAACTGCGCTCGCAAATCAAAGACACTGAGTCTCTCCTTGCATCTCATCAGGATCAGCTGGCGGAACTCAAATCTGTCATGCAAGGGATGCACCTGTCTAAAGACGATGTGGATGCCCGCACCAACGCCTCAAGTGCACCGCCGTCCCCAGGCCACCCTCCGCAACTGCAGGCTTCAGCCAAACAAGAGTCTGACGATGTCGATATTTCAGCAGCTTCATGCATTGCCGAAGAATTAACTCCTGGCCCGTCATGCAATTTCCCCGAAATGATTCGTATGGTGTGCCGCACCGATTTGCCAGCATACGATGACTTTCGCGATCTTTTGGTGCTCGCACGAGGCGCGAGCTCGAAACCTGCTAGCCGCGCCGGAAGCGGCTCGTATGCGGGCTTGAATGTGATGAGCTTGGCTGGATTTGGCGGTGGTAACTCGAACACATCCTCGCCCACCAAGGCCTTCACACACTCTCCCAACGGGAGTCAATCTTCGCAACCCGGCTCGCATATCCCTCTTAAAGACACGAGATTCTATAAACGTGTGTTAATGGAGGACATTGAGCCTACACTCAGACTTGACCTCTCACCGGGCATTTCATGGCTTACACGACGGACTGTTCTGAGTGGAATATGTGAGGGCACTCTTGTCGTGGAACCTATGCCGTCAGCAACCAAAGTGTACGAATTTCCTTGCTCAGTGTGTGGCGAGCGCAGACCGGGAGCCCAAAACGAAAGAACGCACCGCTTCCGAACATCGGACAGTGAAACAGCCCAACGGTACTCCTTGTGTATTCAGTGTCTGGAGAGGGTCCGTTCCTGCTGCGAGTTTACCGGCTACCTGCGTCTCATCTTAGACGGACACGTTCGCGCTGCTGACAGGGAAGAAGAAAAGGATGTTTGGGAAGAAACCGTTCATTTAAGGGAGCGCATGTTCTGGTCTCGAATCGCTGCAGGCATCGTCCCGAAATTCGCCCGAACAGCCCATTCCGCACAAGTGGAAGCTTCACAAGAGAAATATTTACATCCCATGGACAACAACTTCATTGAGCCCGAAATCGTGGAGATGAATCGCATAATCGAGGCATCTCGCCCGAAAACATCATCTTCTATGGCAGGACACTCCCTACGCTCTTTCGATATGGCTAAGCCTGTCACTCCCGATCTCCCACATAGGGATGATGATGCTTCCGCAGATGAAACACATTGCAGACGAGGATCCGTTGACTCCGCTGTCAGTGTCTACGAAGAAGCCAACGCAAATGTCTCTGTCGACATGGAGCGTATGACCGAGGAGCCCATAGTCGAATACGAGCAGCCCGTCACCGAAGCGCCTGTGACGGAAGAGCCCGAAACCGAAGAACCCATGCCGGAAACTCCCGTGGCTAAGAACCCAGACATCAGGGAGCACCTCACCGAAGATTCTATGACCGAATCCCCCAAGATCGAGGGGCCTGCTACTGGAGAGTCTGGTGCTGAACAGCCCTCTTCTCACGACCCTTCCAGTGTCGAATTCGCGTCAAAAGAAGCGAATTGAAGTGGTCTCAAGCCACATGACCACGACTCCACGGCCTCCAGAGTTTCACGCCTGACGCATTCCATCATTCATCAATCCTTCGCATTCAAGCATTTTCCTCGACAAGACTAATAGAAAACCACGCTGCACACGGCCTTTAATTCACCTTCACCGTCCACCCCCCTTCGTCGATATCCCCAACGTCGAGCAGCTTACACCCTCCATGTATTATTACTATTCTCTTCACCCTCATGTATATTAATAATGTCTTTGCTTCTCTTTTCTCGGGGCGGGCATCTTGATTTGTACCCTTTTTGCTTTCACATTGCTTTGTTTTGACCAGGCATATCTATACACTATTGATGGCTTTGGGTGTTTGCTTACTTTGGGGGTTGTTTTTGCTTCACTGTTTTTCAATCTGCATCATTTTTCACGAGGATGAGATAGCAGCCTTTGAGATGGCCAATGAAACTAGATGACCTTCCATACTTATTGTGCTATCTGGCATCCTGATACTACAAAGCTTGACTTGACCTATGCGGAGACCTTTCTGTCATTCTTTTTTCAAGTCACGTCAACTCTTTGACGGTGTTTCAACTCAGCTAATTTACCCTTTTTGTCTCTTTTCATTTTTGGGGCCCTCAAGGTTGCCAAAAACTTCAAGCAGGGCAGAGGTATGTAATAATGGCCTTTTGTATCATTCCCGTTTCTACAGCTCAGAAAACAAGCAGAAGAAGCACCTTTCCCGGTAGCTGCCAATAAATGTCGTCTGGCTTGCTTGGTGTTTTCCGATTGAAGTAATCTTGAATATCAGAGAGCTGGAATGTTGGACTGATAAATCAAAGATACTTGGATCGCCTATTTCTGTCTGAAGCTGTTTGATCGACTATCAAAAGGCACACTAGCCATTTCGGCATACTTTTTGCAGCCCTTCATACCACAATTGTGTCCCTCTGTAGAAAAATGGCCGTCGCAGCTGGGAATTTTGTTTCACTGTTCAGTGCTAGCCACAATAAGACTCAGGAGAGGTATGGCCACGGGCGACATGACATTACGCCGGCTGATTTGACTACCATAACTCGATAAATATATTTCACTAATTGCAAACTCTTTAGCAGGGACATATAGCGATTGTATTGGAGCTTTAGCAATGGCTTAAAGTCAGGACAATCATATGTTACCATTGTGCTGACTTTGGGGTTATCTATATTGAGTGATCGGCCACCAGCATGTAGATTTGCGCATTTCACCCATTGTCGATGATTATACCATCGCTGGAAGGAGTGGCCGAGAGACTGGAGCACGATCTTTACTTCAGGTAAATCTTCCAAGGGCTAGATTCAGATCACCGGTTACCTGAGTAAACAGTTTTTTTATCCATTCCCTACCGATGAAGCCAAGGATACCATAGGAGCGCATGGAAATATAGCCAGCCAACTTCCTCCCTTGCACTACTCTCTTCCACCTTTTTCTTCCGCAAGAGTACCCATGCAACCCATGTTTCCAACATAGGCAGTAAATTCTCCATTCCTGATCTAAATGGAGCAGCATGCATATATCTAGATTACGGCGCATCTACAAGGAAACAATGAAAGCACCCGTCAGAGGACAGGATAAGTCGGCGGCGTTCGAAATGAGAAAGGCTATTATACAAAAAGACATCGTCCATATCCCACGCCTAAACTCCGATACGTGAAGGTTTTCCTGACATTGAAGCCACAGCCTGTCCATGGGAATAGTTTATTGCTTTGCACGCTGATGAATGTGTCGGATCTGATCCTCGATATTCATGCTTTGAGGCAGAGGTACGCCGCCGGGCCCCATCGCGGGACCAGGCTGCACGGGACTGTCGGTAGCCATGCGCTTGCGACGATCTTCTTCGGGGTCGAGAGGAGTAAGGGACGAGTCGAAGACGTCGCTTCTTTGGCTGGCGAGGCGCTTGAGGTTGTTGACCACGTCCACAGTTGACAGGTTGGTTGTGGCGCTGCGGGACTCCGCTTTGGCACGCTGCTCTTTCCATCGCGGGTCCAGGAGCTCGATACGCATGTGCTGGTCCAGCTCGGCGACGGGGATTTGTTGGTGGCAGTTCGGACAGAGAGCTGTTGCACCGGCGGCTTGGGCACGACGAGCCTGCGCGCGGGGAACGTAGTCTGAGCGGATGCGCATTGGTGGTTGGCCCGGGCGCCGGGGATGGGGGACTCGACGCGAGCCTGGGCTGCCTCAGGTTGCGGGGGGGTATTGCATATTGTAGTCCGCGCTTGGGGGGGCGTAAGGGCCTTGAGGTTGGGCCGGGTAGGGAGAGGTAGAGGGCACGGCGGATTCGGGTTGAACGGGGTAAGGGTTGTAGTAGGTAGGGTTATCGAGATCGGTGGGCATCGCCTCTTCGATGCGGAGGGGGTTGAGAGACATGGCGGCTTTTTGCTCAAGGGAGGCGGACTGCAGGTCCGCAAGTGAGGTCGGCGGTGGGAGGTCGGACTGGTCGTCGACTTCGGTGAACATGACGGTCTCGACGACCACAAAATCGTGCCAGTCGATCTGCGCATACTCGATACGCTCCTGTTCCTCCAGCTCTTCCTTCTTCTGCTTCTGCTGTTCTTGGAACTTCACCCACTCGGCGCGCTGTGTGGCGCGCTCCATGATATGATATTTATTTCGCACATTCTGCTCAAGTTCGGCAATTCTTTTCTGCTCAGTAGTGGCAGCGTCAATGCCTTCGGATCGCAACAGAATGGTGTACTGGTCGACCAGTCGGGTGAAGAATTGGTAGAGACTGTGCTGGGGACGAAGGAACTCGAACTGGTAGTTTCTAGCCTCGCGCTGCGACAGCGCGGTCACGAAAGATTTGCCTCGCTTAGCGACAAACAATGCGGTGAGCTTGACGACCTCTAAATCCTGCGCATTGATGTTGGGCATGCGCGCGGAGAAATGAAACGCGGCGGGTTCGGGCGGTCCCTTGGGCTTTTCAGGTTCGACGGCGGGTGTCGCTTCGCCAGCTCGACCTGCTGAGACGGCAGTACCGCGGCCGTCCTTGATTTCCGTGAGGCGCCATTGGTAAAAGGGCGCGTAGGCATCGCCTGGATTCAAGAAGGAGAATTTAGGATTGCTCTTTTCCTTGTCACGAACACGGTCTAGAGAAAGATGAGATGTTAGCCCCAAGACAGCATCGACGTACAAAGTTGTTCTGACCTTCAAAGATATGACCATTGCGAGCAACGTATCCCGCAGTCTTCTCAACGATCGCTGGAATGCCCGGTTAGCTGGATCCTTGCGCTCAGGGAAGCAGAGATGTACCTCGAATGTCCTTGGGGGGCAGTACCATGCCCTCCGGAGGCTTGGTCATATCCTCCGGCAAGGGAGTGTTACCGTTCGATGTATCCATGGCGGCAATGGGGCTATGACTGGCGCGGCGAGTCTCTTTGGACATGATCTGAGGAATGCGAGGTATCACACTTGCCACACTGACATAATCAAAATTACGTAAGTGTGGCTAGGGCCACGCGGTGGAAGACCGAAGGCGGCCAGATTCCTCAGGTTCTGTATATGTCGACGTTTGCCCGCATTCGTTTCATACTTCGATGTTTCCAGAGAATCAATTGTACAAGAGTAATGTTTCAGATAGAAGACAATACATTCATCTCAAGCATCAAGCTAAACGAACAGCGTCAATGTCATTCTCCATCACAAGCAAGCCCCCAACAGCGAATACAACAAGACTAGTCAGCCGGGGGGGCGGAAATCTAAGGGGCGTTCGAGAGACAAACGTTCCCTCCGCGTCGATCTGGCCTCACCCGCTTTCGTCCATTCGCCCTTTCACTCTGCACTCCCTTTTCCTTTTTCTTCCTGCCCTGTATGGGGTCTTTTCTTTCCATCATCCACGATCTTTAATCCAGAGAAGAGCTGTAGGTTGTCGAGCTGTATCCAACCTGGGAAGCTCTTCAGCTAGTGGCTTCGCCGCTTCCATTCTCCGACTTTGGAATTCCACTCCGCTGAGACTTTTACTTTTAATTTTTCTTTCTTTCGACTCTCCTCTCCTATTTTCCGCACTCACGACTTTCCAATCTCCTGTCGCTCAACCGGAAGACAATGGGCCAACAGTCGAAAGACACGCTGGCCGTCCGGCCCCAGAGCCGCTCGGGCAAGCGTTCGCCCAGTCGCTCGCCGCGACCCAACAATCGCAAGCCCGTACCTGCGAAGTCCTCCAGCTATGCGTCTGATGGGGTGAAAGACTATGATATTCTCAATCTCCCGGCCTCGGATTACAAGCTGCTTACATTGGTGACGCTGATTGCCGCGGCTGTTCGTCTGTTCCGCATCTACCAGCCCACCAGCGTGGTTTTCGATGAAGTCCAGTGCGTCTCAGCGGTGAAATCGAATTGAGAAAACTCGTGGCTAATAAGAAAGTCTTTGTCTAGCTTCGGTGGCTTCGCGTCAAAGTATATTAAAGGAAAATTCTTTATGGATGTGCACCCCCCCGCTCGCCAAACTGCTCATCACGCTGGCTGGCTGGCTGGCCGGCTTCGATGGCGAGTTTGACTTCAAGGATATTGGCAAGGACTACATTGAGCCTGGTGTGCCGTATGTTGCCATGCGCATGCTGCCCGCCATCATGGGTGTCCTGACTGTGTCCATGATGTTTTTGACTCTCAAGGCTACTGGTTGCCGTACTTCGACCGCTGTGATGGGTGCTGGTGTTGTCATCTTTGATAACGCGCTGACCACTCAATCGCGTCTGATCCTCTTGGACTCTCCTCTTATCTTCTTCACTGCTCTTACGGCACTGTCGTTTAACTGCTTCTCGAACCAGCAAGAGCTGGGCCCGTCCCATGCCTTCAAAGGACCTTGGTGGTTCTGGTTGGTTGCCACCGGTCTGTCGCTGGGTGCTACTCTCAGTGTGAAATGGGTTGGCCTTTTCACCATGGCTTGGGTTGGATCCCTCACCATCCTCCAGTTGTGGGTGGTGCTTGGTGACCCGAAGACTGTTACACCGGTATGTGACTCCTCATGACATGAAAGGTCTGAGACTGCTGCTAATTATTCATGTTGCAGCGCATTTGGTTTAAGCACTTCACTGCTCGTGTTTTCTGTTTGATCGTCATTCCTATTGGATTCTATATGGCCATGTTCGCCGTCCACTTCATGTGCTTGGTCAACCCTGGTGAGGGTGATGGCTTCATGTCTTCCGAGTTCCAGGCGACACTAAACTCCAAGGGCATGCAGGATGTTGCTGCCGATGTTGCATTTGGTTCCCGAGTTAGCCTTCGTCATCACAACACCCAGGGTGGCTACTTGCACTCCCACAATCACATGTACCCCACTGGCAGCAAGCAGCAGCAGGTCACTCTCTACCCCCACAAGGATGAGAACAACATTTTCATTATGGAGAACCAGACTCAGCCGCTGGGTCCCTACGGAGAAATTGAGGGCCCATTCGCTTGGGACAATCTGACTACCAGCAACATCGAAGATGGATCTGTCATTCGCCTCTACCACCAGATCACCCATCGTCGCATTCATTCCCACGATGAGCGCCCTCCGGTGACCGAGGCTGACTGGCAGTTTGAGGTCTCTGCCTACGGTTATGAGGGTTTCCCTGGTGATGCCAACGATCTGTTCAAGGTTGAGATTGTCAAGTCTATGTCAGACGGCGCGGAGGCCAAGAAGCACCTCCGCACTATCCAAACCAAGTTCAGGCTAGTTCATGTAATGACTGGTTGTGTTCTGTTCTCTCACAAGGTCAAGCTTCCAGACTGGGCTTGGGAACAGCAGGAAGTCACATGTGCTAAGGGAGGTACTCTTCCTAACAGCATCTGGTACATTGAAGACAACACCCACCCGGCGATGCCCGCAGATGCCGAAAAGGTCAACTACCGTAACCCAGGCTTCTTGGGTAAGTTCTGGGAGTTGCAGAAGGTAATGTGGACAACCAACGCTGGTCTTGTTGAGTCTCACGCTTGGGATTCTCGTCCGCCTTCCTGGCCCACTCTTCTCCGGGGTATCAACTTCTGGGGCGCCGAGCACCGCCAGGTCTACCTCCTGGGTAACCCGCTCATCTGGTGGACTTCTACCCTAGCCGTCGCTATCTACGTTGTTTTCAAAGGCATTGCGGTCTTGCGCTGGCAGCGAAGCTGCAATGACTACAATCACGTCTCTTTCAAGCGTTTCGACTATGAAGTCGGCACCAGTGTCCTTGGGTGGGCCTTCCACTACTTCCCCTTCTTCCTCATGGCTCGTCAGCTCTTCCTGCACCACTACCTCCCTGCCCTCTACTTCGCTATCTTGGTGTTTTGCCAACAAGTTGATTTTGTCACCAACCGTATCAAGTGCCTTGGTCTCGCCTCGAAGCCGGCGATTGGCAAGGTCTTTATGACGGTATTCCTGCTGCTCAGCATTGTGGTTTTCACTCTTTACTCTCCACTCGTCTATGGCAATCCCTGGACTCAGGGTGCTTGCGAGAGAGTGAAGCTGCTTAGCACATGGGATTTCGACTGTAACACATTCCACACCGACGTAAGTGTTCCAGAGTGGAAGCCTCCACGCCGAGGATATTGAGAGAATCAAGATCCCCAAGGCTGATACATTCTGAAACAGTTGAGCCAATATGTCACTTCCATCGAGTCTCCCATCGCCGTTCCAACCACCCCACCCGCCGCGGCTCCTCCCGTCAAGCAACAGCAACAGCAGCCTAACGAACCCGCCCAGGAGCAGTCGGAACCGGCAGCCGTGACTGAGCCCAAAATGTCCGGCTCTATGGCTCGCGTCGAGTACCGTGACCAGCACGGTAACATCCTGCCCGATGATCTTGTGGCCTCCCTCCGCGCAGATGGCAAGGTCAAATTCGAGACTCGCTATGAATCCCTGGCCAGCCACGAGAACGCCCACGAGGTGCCTATCGTCGATGGCAAGCCTGTGTTCCCTGAGCCTCCGGCCCAAGCCCCGGCTCCTCCTCACCCAGATGTCGAGGGCCAGAACCCCGAGACTGGTAGCTACCCTGAGGACTCAATTGCACCAGAGCGCCCTGCCTCCGTTGCGGAGGGTAACACCCGCTCCGCTGAGGAATCCAAGCCTCCTCAGGCGAAGCCCGCGAGTGAAGGTAATGAAGCTACTCAGGGTGTCGAATGATTGATTTGGAGAGTAGATTAGATTGATGGGGACAAGAAAACTTCACACCATGTATCATGAAACTTATAGTTATTTCCTTCCCAGTGATTAGTTGATTCATTAGTCACCGAATGTGCATGAGCGTTCTGATTGACTTTTTGCATGTACTGTAGTGGCATGTTTATCCTAGCAGACATGTGTACCGAAGATAGTTTCCATCCCCGAAATCACCCGACGCCATGGTACCACGAGGTCTACTTCATAAAGAAGACTATTGGAAACATAAGAAAAGAGGCTGATTCCCAATTGACTCTTTATCTGAACACTATGCACAAATCTGGTAACCGCAAAGTCCAGGCACTACTAGTAATCACCTTACCACATTTCTAGTATACAGCAGCCGACCGCACATTTTGACGTGAGGCAAGCTCGCACCGTAGCTTAAAATGCTCATCCTGAACCGTTTAGTAGTCCCACTCCTCCTTGCCGTACTTGTTGAACTTCTCGTGGAGGTCCTGCATCAAATGGTTAGCGAAATTGTCATCGAGGACGATCTTGCCACTAATCTGTCTCTATTTGATACTGTCGTCTATTTAAACAGGGCAAATGAAGCAGCGTGAAACGAGAGGCGGCGTGGCATAATCGCCATAGGGGACTGCAAATGCCTACCTCGGGCAAAGTGACATTGGGGACAATGACAGTGTTCATGGCGCTAGGGGCGGCGCGGAGGGGCTGGTTCTTGTCGCCGTGAGGGTGATACTGGTACTTGTACATCTTGCCATCCTCAGAAGTGGCGTGCCAAGGCATGGCGGAATCGCCGATGCGGACGTTGGACTCGGAGCTCACGGAGGTGGGCTTGGTGCCGAAGTACCTATAGATCGGAAAAGACAAAGTCAGCCAATTGCTCTCTGGAAAGCGATTCAGGTGTATAGTTTGTGCCCAGCTTCCTCGACCTGTCAGGTTATCTCAAGCGAGGCGTGGCGAGCATGTCATGACAAGCATGAAACCGGGTATGCATCGAGAGGGGGATATTCACCAGCCAGCGATTCCGAGGGCACCGGACATGACACCAAGCAGAACCTATGTAGCTAATTTTAGCCTGTGTGGTCTGAGAACGGTCAATGGCGGACGCGAAGCCGTACGTAGAGCTCGGGGTCCCTCTTGGGGGCCTTGTCGAGACCGGCCTCCTCGACCTTGGAGGACATGAAGCGGCGCGGAGGAGCGCGGAAGATGGGCTGGCGAGCCAGAGCCCGGCGGGAAGCCATAGCAGCAATCGAAGACATAGTGGCAGCGGGAGTGCGTGGAGATGGGGTGTGAGGTCGGGAACGAGGTGGTGTGGGAGAATCGTGAGCATCGAATGATGTTGCCGGTCATGTGATCAGCTGACTCAGGGCCGCTTCGGGTGATCTCATTTGATGCGCGACTTGTTCACCCGGTGGTTCAATGCTAGCTCAACCGAGTTGACTCCTTCATTTTGCTGTTGTCCAAAGGACGGTGATGTAATTGGACTTACATCCTTGTGTTTCAATTCGGTGAATATATCTTCAAAAAGGTGCGTGCTCAGTGAGCTCTTTTCACTCTTCGTCACAAGGGGCTCCATCTAGGATCTGCTTCCCCTCGGATTTCTAACACGCGTGGTGGACGGATGCGCAAAACCCCCTAGATTCGATGCTGATGATTCAATAGCGCATTGGATGATTTGATCCCGTCTCTCCTTACATCACCTCCGTGACAGTCACTCTTTACCTCGCTATATCGCCCGTCTGCGATTCCCTCAGCCCACGGAGCTCCTTCGCATCGCCTGTTACAGCTCTCCCATCCTCATACCTGCAGAACATCATGAAAGCGCGTGCTACGTTCTAGCAAACTCTAATATCATTCCTTCTAGAACCATGGCAAATTCTGCAGACCGCCCGGACATTAGCGAAACCACCTCCCAGAACCAAAACCGAACCCAGCAACATGTCTTGGGTATTCCACGACCTCCCTCGGTGGGCGGAATCTCTTCCCGAGTAACGGATATGGCTTCAGAAGATGGCGAGCGAACGCAATCTTTCGCGTCACCTCCGTCGTCGGTCCAGCAGCGTCCCACTGCCTCACAACGAGGCCCGCCCCCAACGAGAAACTCAATGGCTGCATCTAGCCAAGGCAGACCAGGAAGCTCAAACAGTCGACTGAGCAGGAGCCATATTCCGTCCTTGACTGCTCAAGGATTTTTCCGGCCGATGAGCTCGCAACGACTGCAGGCGCATCGAGGCACGCGCCCCATGACGAAGGGAACTGTGTCGTCCACGGATGAGTGGGCGGACCAAAATAGTCAGAACCGGAGGAGTATCATCTCCAACAGTACTTTCCAGGCGGGATCAGTCCCTGCAGAGGCTGAAGTACCTCCTCCGTCGCGAGGCACGGAGTTTACAGATCCCATCATCACTGATCGCAACACGTCCAATGCAAGTCCCACGGGCCACACAACGATCAGAAGCCTGGGGGAAAGTGTTAAGCTTCTCCGAGACCGAGACCAACAGAATAAGCCGCGTCCTACCCACCTGAACCTCGGCGCAAACTATGGTCATTCGGGACAAGATATCCAAGCGCCACCCAAGTCACCGCTCTCATTTTTGTCATTGCGGAATGGTACCACAGCACACAAAAGTCATGATCATCGAGGACATGATCGGCTGTCCTCAGCAAATTCGTCTCCTGGACCCATGGACGTCAAGAAACCCGGATTACCTAAAGGTAGATTGGGTAAGAATTGGGAATACTTTATTGGTAATACTCTATTTTGTGGTGGTGGACGGTTTCAGAACTCGAGGGATAAGCCCGTGAACATTGCTACGGGATTTCTGGTTGTTCTTCCTTCGGCGCTGTTCTTTGCATTCTCGGCTCCATGGTTATGGCATAATATCTCCCCTGCCATTCCCATTTGTTTCGCATACGTTTTCTACATCTGTTTCTCCTCGTTCGTGCATGCGTCTGTTGTCGACCCGGGCATTATGCCACGAAACGCGCATTCGTTGCCCCCTACACATCCAAGAGAAGACCCATTGTCACTTGGTCCTCCCACAAATGACTGGGTCATGGTCAAGCTGGCTACTTCCGAAGTGGCCGCTATGGATGTGCCGGTGAAATACTGCAAAACTTGTAGTATTTGGCGACCTCCGCGCTGCTACCACTGTCGGGTGTGTGACAACTGCGTCGAGACACTTGATCACCACTGCGTCTGGCTCAATAACTGTGTCGGGCGTCGCAATTACCGCTATTTCTTTGCCTTTGTGAGCTCATGCACTATTTTGGCGCTGTTCTTGATTGGTGCTAGTCTGGCGCATATTCTGGTGTACATGGCGCGTGAGAATGTCTCTTTTGGAGCCGCTATTTCGAAGTGGCGCGTCCCTTGGGCCATGGTCATCTACGGTATTGTCGCTGTGCCGTACCCGACATCGCTTATGGTTTACCATATGTTCTTGATGGGCCGAGGGGAGACCACTCGAGAATACCTCAATTCGCACAAGTTCAACAAGGCAGATCGCCATCGGCCATTCACCCAGGGGAACGTCCTCAAGAACTGGATAACCGTTGTGGGACGTCCTCGACCTCCTACCTACCTGCAGTTCAAAAAACCTTACGAAGAGGGCGATCAGCGCTTTGCTATGCAAAAGCGCAAGTATCTCGTCCATGATGAGGAATCGCAAGTAGGGATTGAGATGCAACACGTTGGTTCGCAACAACAGGAGTAAACACAACTACCCCAAAAACGACTTGTTTTTTGGTTGTTTTTAATCCCTTGCTACGATTCATTCAGACGAAGATACGACACTTTATTTCTAATCAGATACCTGACCTTTTCATTCGGGATCATTGCCCGTCTTATGGTTTTCTAATTACTCTACGCAACTTTCCTACGCTTAATCCGGTGATATTACCTACTCGTGACGCTTGACCAGGATCTCCTCCTGCTCTCCCCAACGTCAGGCATTTCCTTTGTGATCTTTCTTTCGTCCAGGTCCATTCTTACGATTATCCCAGTCGCAGCGACTATCCTACTTCCTATTCATCCTTTTCTTCCTTATCTTCTTTCGCTTGGCCTGTATTCCGGAGATTTGCACATTACTCTACATAGAGACTACTACCGGATGGTTCAATACCCTGTATAATTCTGGTCAGAATAGAACCTAATCCCAATATACTGAAACGCGTAGAAATCGGACTGCTTCTGCGCGGGCCGAGCAAGATCTGAAATAAAGCATTCCATCAATGATTGTCCAGTCCCTAAATCCCTTCCTCCCTTGATTGACTTATTTCCCCGCAGCTAATTTGGCTCACCGCGAAGTTCTGCCTCTGGGCTAGGAAAGTGTTGATGTTGCACGCGTCAGACATCCCCATCGGCCTAAATTGATAAGAGGCGCGCGGCTGCTGATCCTCCTCTTTCCACACCCCTGATACTCGATATCCTTGATATTCCCCGACTCTGCACCTGCCCCCCCAAAGCTCTTTTCTCAAGGGCGGGTCGTCCTTTCTCCTTGGCCCTTAAATGGCGCGCCGTGCCTCCCGCCTTTCCGCGGCCACAACTCCCGCGCTCGTCTCTGCACACGAGACACTCGACGATATGAGCCTTGACGTCCCTGAACAGCTCCTCACGCCTGAGGCCAGTCGCTCTGAAACATCCAGCAACAATGAAAACGCGTCCACGGAAGAAAAACCCGCCACACGGCGCCGTTCAACTCGGGTAGCGCGCGTATCGTTAGTCGCTGACACCCCGGATATTGCACCCGAGAAAGAGGAGACGTCGGCCTCCTCCAGCCAGGCCTATGTTGATAGCCTTGCCAAGGCGAAGCGCACGCGCTCTTCGCTACGGCATAGTCTTGCCGTGATGGACTCTTCTCTGTTCAAGGGCACTGCAGATGATACCATGACGGATAACCATTCAATGGCCCCGGACACCCCAGTTTCGAAATCCTCACAGGAGACCCCTTCGGAGGATATGGCTACCTCACTTCAGCAACGCAACCTACGAAAGCGCGTGGAGAAGGCACTGGATGAGGATGAAGGAACTCCCAAGGCTAAGAGTAGTTCCCGCGGCTCAAGACGATCAACTCGTCTCAGTATCGTGAAAAAAAACATCAGATCTTTTGGACCGAGCGAATAGTGTTTTGGGAAAGCGCTCGAGAAATCGGAGTGAAAAGGGAAAGGAACTGGGTCGACGCGCCAGCCTTCGATCTCGAAATGTCGTGCTTGACAAGTCGGACGCCGCTCCTCCGCCTGCTGAGCCTGCATCAAAGAAGCGTCGAGTTTCAGAAAGCGACCTGTCCAGGCTGAAGGCGCAGGAAGCGAGCCCTTCTGAAGAACCAACAGCCCCGGCTGTGAAGCAGTACAAACCCAAGCGCTGGCTACCACACGGATTGTATACTGGACAGGAACCGACCGATGCACCCCCGAAACAGCGTCGAAGCAAGACTTCTGCCAAAGCGAGCGGCATTCCCCAACAGCGAAAACTTATGCCGATGCCAATGTTTGCTGGGGCACGTATGATTCAAAACGGCCGCAATTACCAGGTTCCGTTCGATATCTTCTCGCCTCTTCCGCCTGGTCAACCCAAGCCGGATGAATGGCGCAAAACTAACAAGAGTGAGTCGATATTTCCTTTGGATGATAGATTGTTAAGACTAACAAGGATCAGACGTTTTCATTGGCGATGCCTCTAGTGAATGGAGAGCGAACAAGAAGCTGGAGCTTTCTACCTGCATGTGCGAAGAAGAGACTGGCTGCGATGAAGACTGTCAGAATCGCTATATGTTCTACGAATGTGACAGTGGTAACTGCAGACTGGGTCCGGAATGCGGTAATCGAAACTTCTCTGAGCTTAAGCAGCGCACCAAGGCTGGCGGCAAGTACAATGTTGGAGTCGAGGTGATTAAAACTGTGGATCGTGGATACGGTGTCCGCAGCAACCGCACATTCGAGCCTAACCAGATCATTGTTGAGTATACTGGTGAGATTATCACACAGATCGAGTGTGAGAGGAGAATGAGATCGGTGTACAAGAATAACGAAGTGAGTAGCTCCGGACGCATGACTTCTGGTGATTATTGACTCTGGGGCAGTGCTACTATCTGATGTACTTTGATCAAAACATGATCATTGACGCCACTCGAGGATCCATTGCTCGCTTTGTCAACCATTCGTGTGAACCTAATTGCCGTATGGAGAAGTGGACTGTTGCTGGGAAGCCGCGCATGGCCCTTTTTGCCGGAGAAAACGGCATCATGACTGGACAAGAGCTAAGCTACGACTACAACTTCAAGTGGGTCTCTTTGACAGATCCCATTCCTTCGGACAAACTGACAATACAATCAGCCCGTATTCGAGCAAAAACGTCCAGCAGTGTCGTTGTGGAGCGGAGAATTGCCGAGGGATTCTTGGCCCTCGTCCAAAGGATAAGGATCAACGTCCCAAGATTGTGGAGGAAAAGAAGGTTGTGAACAAAAACAAAAAGATGACCGGCACCAAGCGAAAACTTGCAGATGAAGATGAGAGTACTAACGCCCGAGGAGGAAAGAAGCGCAAGATGATCACGCCTAAGTCAATCAAGGCTAGCGTCAAGAAAGTCATAACCAAGGCTACCACTGCGCGTGGAAAGGCGGTTGCAAAGAAGGCAGCCACCACTGGTCGAGGCAGGACTGTCTCCAAGCAGGGCATCAAACTGCCCAAGGTGAAAACAGCCGCCAGGGTTAAGGCTGCTATTCGAGGACCTCGACGAAAGGCAGAAACTGCAAAGGCTAAACCAACCTCCTCTGCCAAGAACTCGCCCCTCAAGCGGCCATCAGCTGAGACCAAAAAGCAGATTCTTGCTGCTGCCGCCAAAGGCTCCAGGTCACAGGCTGAAAAGTCACCCGCCAAATCTCCTGCAAAGTCGCCCGGAAAGCCTAGTCGGAAGCCTGGGCCTAAACCTGGTTCTCGTAAAGCACCTATGAAGAGCCCTGTCAAGGCTCGGATGCCATTCAAGGAAAAGGGCATCGTGGCGGCGTCCAGTTCCGCTAAGGCAAAGACTGCCAAAGGCAAGGGTCTGGGTGCGAGTGTGCGAAACGCAGCGAAGACCATGATGCGCGGCGTCAAAGGAATGAAGAAATGAAACTAGAAAAATTCTCAATTAGGTCTACCGGCATGAGTCAAACGACGCGTTGTCTAACAGCGAGTCTTGCACTCGCAATTGGATCCCCGCCGCTCGACGATCCAGCTCAACACAATACATCAGCCAGCCAGTGACCGAAGATCATGTTCCATTGGTCATGCTGATCTTCTTTTCTTCTTTTGGACTCTCACTTCCAATTCCCGATCTCAATTAACTGGAGAAATTGGGTTTTTTTGCTGTCAGGTTATGCAACAACCTCGAACAACTCAAGCCAGCAATTGTCATTGTTTCACCCTTTTAATATTCCCAATTCAATTGTTGACCAATTTTGCCTCTGACTCGAATCCGAGCATTGTTTTGACAACCCCAATGTTTTACACTGTTCATCCAATTACCCTGCAAAGCGTCTGAACACGCCTGCATTACCTGTTCTATTCCTCTCTACTTGGCACCCCTGGCGGCGTTCTCATTCAATGCTCTTTTCCCCTTCAACTGGTCTTTCGGCTTGATGTTTCATTTATTTCTCTGTTCAATTCATCCCAACCCCTTTGCTATTTTGTCCATTATTTCATTGAATTACATGCGCCATGGTCATGAATGGAATTTGCACGGGTTGGTACGGCTGGCAAGGTGCTGCTGCTTTTGTGTGTCTGGCCTGTGTGTAGCCAGGGTAGAAACATCAAATTCAACATGTTTACGCTGACAACTCTCCGGTCACGGTTCTATGTAACAATCCAGGGCAAGCAGTGAACGCCCCACAGATCCAACACGATGATATCCTTAATGGAAGCTAATGCATCAAACTGTTCGCCGTACGGATATGCGTCGGGATATAAGTATGACACGTATTCTCCTCCAATCTCAAGTGTATGCGAATCTCGCTATCACCGGATGAAATCTATATTACAGGCTATATTTGGACTTGGATGATCGGATATTCAGATAAAATAAGCGCATGACCGAAAATGAAGCTTGATAATCCAAGTATGCTACAGCCTAAGAATGCAATTATGGCATAAAATATTGTAAATCAAATCCATTCCCCCTCATGAGGGTTTACAGGAAAGACAACCATAGGGACTCCTTTGCTCCGGCCAACCAAATGAGCACGCGTACATACATCGTGTAAGAAAAGATGAATGGCAGGGATGTGTTCCATTCGTTATACAATTGAGCTGCAGATACATTCCGCTAAGGCTAATTATGCGGGTTCTGCGAGAGGAGCCTCGGGCTCATCCTGATTCTCCTCTGGTGCAGACTCTGCTTGTGTGGGTTCAGGGACGGGAGATGCTTCCTGCTCGACTGGGGGCGCTGTCGTCTCTGGCTCGGTCTCAGTAGGGGCTGCATCTTCGGTGCCGAGAACGGGCTCCGGAGCAGATTTAATAGGGTCAGTCGCGGTAGACTGAGGTTCAGATGTTAAGTCGGGATCATGAGCTGTGACCGGCTCGGAGTGTGGTGCATCATCCATTTCCACATCTCGTTGAGCTTCAGAGACGACAGAGTCCGCCTCAGGACCTGCGCCCAGGCCTTCGGCTGCCACCGGAGCCGACGCACTTGAGGTTTCTTGCGCCTGTACCTCGGGCTGGGCCGACTCATTGTCAGTGGGCTTAGTTTCCATTGTTTCTTCAGATGCTTTTGTCGCGTGCAAAGGCCCTTCCTCTTTTGTGGGCTCTAATGTTTCATTGACGGGATTCTCGGGATCGACAGATGGAGGAGCCAAGGTAGTCTCATCAGGGCCCTCGTTTTGGGCCTCAACCTTGACTTCACTGGTTGCCGGTTGAGAGGCCTGTTGAGCGGGAGTCACACTTGCTAAAGGCTCCGCCGCGCTGTCTGTAGCAGGAACCGAAACCTGCCCAGGAGCTTCAATTTCTTCTTTTGGCGCTACATCGCCGGTAGACTCTGTTGTGGCTGAGACAGACTGTTCAGCAGTGGGCTTTTCACTCTCTTGCGTAGGCAGTCCCGGTGTCTCAGAGGCAGAGGTAGGGGCATCCGCATCAGTCCGGGGGGGTTTCTGTAGCAGCTGCCGGTGGCTGCGAAGGCGATTCTTCCTGAGCAGCCTCAGCAGACGGCGCTTCAGGAGCCGCCTCTGTCATATCGACGTCTTGTGATTCCGCTGGGGTATCGGCGGAAGGTTGGGGGGTAGATTCGGTCACAGATTGACCACCAGGAGTCTCGGGAGACTTCGCGTCCAACATGGACTCGTCTCCCTCGTCGCTTTCGTCACCATCTTCGCCATCCTCATCATCATCGTCTTGACCAGACTGGTCAACCGACATCTGGGAGTCCTGACCTTCTCCTGAAGCAGGAGTACCACCCTCAGCGCCAGAAGCAACACTGTGCACTGTAGACGCATCGGCACCTTCTCCGGGAGCAAACATAACCTTCTTCTTGCGACCTTTACCAATTCCTTTGCCCTTTCGCTTGGGGGGAGGCGGTCGTCGCTTCGGGGGTTCCATCACAGCAGCTGAACCAGCCTCTGCAACAACGACACCCTCCGAATTTACAATCCCAACGCCCTCCACGACGGTCCCGGGAGCAGGTGTCTCGGGCTTCACGGGAACAGAACTCTGCTCTGCAAGAGTTTGAACATCCCCAGTAACCTCTCCCTCAATGCGATGCCCCTTGGGCACCCATGCCTCATAGATAGAGATATTGCCAGTCTCCGGGTCGATCTTCTTAAACTTGGTTCTTCTCATAGGCAGAGATCCCGAGCTTCCGTCGACCGAAGCACCGCCATAGAGCGACAACAATCCAGGACGTCTCTTAGCAAGGAACTCCACCTCCGGCGGCTCCATGTGCTTGGGAAGAGTTAGCCACTTGCGACTGGTGAAACTGCGGTCCATCTGGACAGCGCCCGTGTTTTGGTCGTCGGTTTTATTCTGGTCATTTTCCTGCTTTTCGGCGGCTGTAGTGTTCTGGCGAATATAGATACATCCTGCACGAGCAGCGCGCAACAATGCTTTGCTCACCGCAGGCAAGAGGTCGCTGTCGCGCGGCATTGGCAGCTCCGGGAGAACTGGGCCCCCGGGGCCTTGGACACCGAAGTCCGAGTCATCGACGGCCTTGGGTGCTTGGGAGTAGGTGTGTGGTTGTTTCGACCAGCGGCGGACAGGCAAACCTTCGAAGACGTCGTGGTCGATCTGGCCCGTTCGGGTGCGGTTAGGGCCGTCAAGGTGTCGCCCCGAGCGCGAGGACCTGAACTGTGAAGATTGTTAGTGATGAAGCTCTTCAATTGAGGGTGATCTTTCTTCAGTATCCGCGGACCCGGGGTAGCGGGTCGAGACTGGGATAAGGCGCGCGAATTGCAGGCGCAAGGTGAGACGTACAGTCGATGGCATGGTGAGCAACCCTGTGGTCCTTTCCACCCAAAGACACCAGACTTTAAGCGCTCAACGTGACCGGAGGAAAGGGTGCGAAAGCTGGGTGGAGTGGGGAGCTGGAGTGGATGGGCGGAGCGTAGCGTTGTTCCCGTCGCGTTGCGATGGCGCAGGATCGTAGGGAGCATCACGTGATGTACAGACAGCTGCATAGTGAGTCTCTCAATCAAAGATACAAACTGATATTATGAGATCTTGCAATTCGTGATAGAGCAGAGAGGATATTTCTATTGTGATATTCAGGGAGAGATGGTATTGCCTGTGGCTGTGCTCGCACTATAATACAGAAGAAAAGAATCCAGGCCAATCGCGCAGGTAACCATTGACTTGTCGAGTACTCAAATCAACGCGATGAAACAATCGCATTTCTTGCCATTTGTGAAATTTTCGCCGATTAGTCCCAACTAAGATAGGTCAGCGACCGGATTTTAGGATATACGGGATGATAGCCTATACGTACCCGGTGTCCTTCTGGCGAACGATGTTACCACGGTCGCCTGTCTCCTTTCCCTAGGACATTATTAGTTGACCTGTACAGGTATCCGCACGTTTCGGTACTGCTTACGCTCTTCTGACCCTCCACCACCAACTTGTCGAGTTGGTAGAATTGGCTGATGACGGTTTGCCTCTGCGATCATTGTTAGCTTCATGTTCTGGTGCGCCCGGGAAGGTCACAGGAAGGTTTCTGAAGCAATGCAAGGCATGTTGAGATATGGTTTCCTCAGATGTGCAGGGATGGTGTGAACCGTAGCCGATGCGAATTCACCCCCATTCAGTGAACCAGTCTCAACCGCGCCTCGATAAATCTTGACTCACCTTCAACAGACGCAGATCCTGAAGTCCAGCCTGGATCAACTCCTGTATCCGACGCTCCTCCGACTCATTTTGATGCTCACGGAAGGAGTCTCTCGTCTTGCGAAGGGCATATTCACGGAAGTTGTAGTTGGCGAACTGGGATGATTGGCGCAGCAGGAACGGAACTACACAAAAGTGAAGTTAGTAGACGGTGACAACATAAATGGAGGCTTTAGATGTTGATCAACCCCGATAAACCGTTCCCCGAGATCACTTACCAAAGACCGGGCCTGGAAGGCGGTATCGCGGTGCAAAGATGCAACAGACATGGTGAGGTGGCGGGGAAAGTGTAAAGAGATGTAAGGTCAATCGAGTGCGCTCTCCGAAGAATACAGAAACCGTCGTATTTCGCAAGGCGTCGCGCGCAACTGTAGAGATACGACGTAGACGGAGGTGGCGGTTCGGGCTTCCGCTCAGTCACAGGGCGATCTGGGGAAACGAGAGACGCGAACTCGCACGAGAGACGTCACGGGTGATTTCGGTCGCTATTTTCGAGCAAATTTCAACAGCAGATAGTTCGAAGTGGTGATCAGCGAGCAAGTTGGGGGATCCGAGTGAAGCGCAGGGCGGGAAATTCTTTTGCGTTCGGAGACGCCAATGACGGAGTTACCGGGCCGAGCTCCCGCGCTCCACGGTTCTCCGTCTTGCAGAACCCCCACAACATTGACACTTTTCGCTGCAACGCATCAGCCAGACATCAGCTAGGTTCATCCAACTCTACCTGATGGCTCAGATTCCTACGCCACCTGCGTCTCGACCGGGCTCTGAGGCTCCTGAGGCCGAGTTAAAATCCGCGCAAGCCTCCTCAGAGTTGCTTGCTTCATTGGACGCGCTGCTTGAGCAGTATTTACACCTACTTGACCAGCAGCAAAAGCTACAATCGGGACTTTCGAAGCATCTTTCTTCGGTATGAACTTACGTCCACTCAATGGACTCTTGCAAGTTGCTAATGTCGGACTAGGGGTTTCTTGCTCTGGCTCATGCAAACTACACCTGTCCTCCCGGCCGCCGTTATGGCCGTGACTACTACGACGATCGGATGAAGACGAACAAAAAAGTGTATGCGGCTCCAGATGTAGTGGATGATTGTGAAGTCGCTAATGTATGGCGTATAGTACCATTCAAATCGAAAAAGACAAGGGACAAGCCGAGTCTGAGGCCATAGCAGACTCCCAACACGAAGCAGAGAAATCTGGCATCAGCGATCTCCAGTACAAATTTCGAATAGAAACAATTACTAATTGCGACAACGAGGCAAAGACGGACGAGAAGGACGAGAAGGACGAGTCATCCGTGGAAAGCAAATGCACTGCGGCATTGCCACAGGAGGACACCGCGAAGAACAGAAGTAATGCAGCTTCAGCAAACAAGGATTCCGACGTCGTCACCGACACGGATAAACCGGCCGAGGAAGCCAAGAAGCCTCGCAAGAAATTCCGTTCCGACGATCCCATCTACTGGTACGGCATCCTGGTACCACCGTCCCTCCGCAACACTCAGAAATCCTTCACCGAGGGCATACAGAGTCAAGTGGCTGAATTGGCGGGAACCATTGTGGAAATGCGCGCTCTGGAGCAGAGGATCACCCAGCTACGCGCCAATCTTGGGGATCTTCACTGTCAAGAGTGATCGTCAATGACGCTAGGTGGGAGATCAACAGTCACATCGAGCATCTTATACATTATACATCTGTAGTCACATCATCTCATCCCCAATTCCTGAAGGCAATCAATGCAAATTTTGTTTGCCGGCATAATGTAATCCTCCGTGGCGTGACCCGCCCAGATCACAAGGTGGGTAGACCAAGGCCTCCAGGGCCACAGTCACGAACGGTGGATTCGGAGGGCGGCACAGGGGGGCTCCATTTTGCCTCGTGGTAGTATTTATGTCCCGCTCGTATGTTGACGCTCTGTGCTTGTCAGACAAGTGCATTGTCGGACGTACTAGCTGTTCAATTGATTAATATGTTTTACTAGTCTATTGACTCCGACCCGAGGCATATTTCTCCCCGCTCCATTCCACCAGGAGAAATCCCACTGATAACCCCAAATCAACCCTGGACGCAAATTTGGCAGCATCGAGATTGAGACGAAGCTGTGTCGAGTTCAAGGATCCACCGGCATCGAAAGAGTCTCCAAAATCTTCAGTTGTTGTAAGCGAAGGGCCCTCCCTCAATGTGAGACATAGCGTCGGAGACTAACTCCTGGAACGATCCCCACACTAAGCCCCGTCCTCGCGATCTGTCAAAGTGATTCGTGCGCTCGAGCCCGGTTTCCACTTCTTATTCGCCAGGGGTCCCAGCAATTCTGGGCCTTTGTGGTGCCTTTTTTGGTGCAGCGATGTGAAACCCTCCGTTCCCCTGATGATAGGATGCAACGGCGCTTTCTGGGGGGGCTGGCATCGCATCCGTCAGGGCCGACACAGCAGCTCGGGACTGTTCATTGGTTGCCACATGGGAGACTGATCGATTTCCACCCGAGTTCCTGATTCTGGGCTGGATCTTTGCTGGATTCTGGGACTGATGGGTCTCGTGAATGGCCGAGGGGATGAACCGAACGGGAAACAGTCATGAAGGCATCGCAGATTCTAAGAGTCGAAGAGTAGCTCCGGCCGTTGGACCTGGACCTGGGACTCCACCGGGCCCCGTGCACGGGACGGAAAATACGTGAGGTTTTAATCTAGTTCGGGGACTGTGTCAGGCTGGTGCGCCCTCCTTTTCTCTTTCTTTCCTTGTCGCGACTCTCTCTTTCTCGGGGCTTGAGGCTCTTTTCTTTTTTTCTGTCTTTGGTGCTTGGTGCTTGGTGCTTGGTGTAAGTGTTTGACTATTCTGACTTTTGATTTCTCTCGGTACTCCTATCGGTCGTGTTGGAAATTGCAGCCTGTAGACGGTTTGCACGGAGATCATGCTAAGAGACTCTGCCAGGCTCCTGTTTCAAAAACAGTGCTGGTTTGATACTGCCTGTTCGCCTCTCGTTGCTCTGTTCCAGTGTTTGTACCAGTGTTGTATGTGTCCGACAAGGAACGACTCAGTTGCTTGATATTGACTTGCGAATAGAGGCATTGAATGCCATTTCATTCATTTTGAAAGAGGTACTGGGATCCCATTCGCGACTACGATCGGCTCAGCCCAGATACTATCGGACTGGCCCTGTATCTTGACCGAAACATCCTAGTATCCGACTCTCGTTAATCCCGAATACGTTCTCTTCAACTCGATCCGGAGATCGAGATTTTGATATACATCACTTCCGTCATCTCGTACACCAGGAAGCGATTCAGCCTTCTTGAATCACATTTGATATCGATCACTTCTTGATGCCGCAGAAAGCCCTGACTCTGCGGAAATAAACACTTCAGTCCAAAAGTTATAGGTTAAACGGGCCACGGATCAATGAGTTCCCAGTCTCCCAACACCCAGGGCTCGGGGGCCAACCCATCCAGTCCCCAGCCCACCAGGAAAGGGTCCGTCAAGAGAGCTAGAGAGCTACTGGAGGCAGGTGTCTTGCCAAATCGAGTACTGCCATCGCCGTCTGTTCCCAGACCTCCGCCGCTCAAGGCCGCCACCCGTCAGACCCAGTGGCCTCTTCCAGCTTCAGGCCTTCAGCCACACCCTCTCAACCTTGAAGCGCGCTCCCAACAAGACCCTAGGCTCTGGACACCGCGTGCTCCCCTACCGACTAGGCCCCCCACGCCCAAGCGAGGCCCCTCCCCAACTGCCTTCTCCATCCATTTACTCAGTGAGGACTGGGCAGGACTCCGAGGCTAGTGTAAACTATCAATCTAGACCAGCTCGCTCATTTTCGCACCCTCAACCGCCACAGGCACTGGATATCCCTCGGCCTCGCCCTGGGCCAAAGGATGACTCCTGTGTGAGCCCTACCAGCACTTTTGATTTTGATCTGACTCCCCGAATATCAATCACTACGGACGACCTGTTCAGACAATCAACCGCTTCGTCTACAAGCTCTATTCCCATTATGCCCCCGGTACCCTCACCAGAGCCTCGTGGGCCCGCCGCGAGTCCGTGGACCAGAACTGCAGGTCTTGCAGCGCCCAATTCTCACGGCCCACGAGCCCGCGCATCATCCGTCTCTCCCATCCCGGAGTCAGAAAGGGAAATTCCTGATCCTCGCCGGACAACGGGGTCTCTCGCTTCAAGCCGTGCCATTCCCTCTAGCTGGGGCTCTGGTCCAGCAGAGTCAGAAATTCTGGGCGCTTACCTATATTCCGAGTCGGACGATAATGAAGAGAAAGCGGAAACCAGCGAGAGCCATGCCGAAACACTTGTGAGAAACGCTAGTCTAGGCAAGAGGCAGAAGCCTACTATGCGCACGATCATGAAGTCGAACCCTAACTCCGAAGTCTCAATCCCGAATATGCCATCGTCCCTCCCCCGAGAGGAGTGGAACAAGAACGCAGCTGCTGGTATGACCCTTGGAGCTGCGGTCGGTCAAGCACTTCACCAACCGAGTCCTCTGAGGCGGAATTCTACTTCGACGACGTCGGCAGAATCTTGCGTGGACCCGGAAAAACCTCGTTTTGCTAACGAGGTGGGTAACACGGCTTTTGAGAAAGAGGTCGAGGTTTTGCCCAGCTTGCCCAAGGCTGCTCCCACCATGAGCGATAAGCGACCTGGTGGACGCAAACCTCCGCGTCTTGACATGGGCGCTGTGCGAGACGCAGAGGCCCGCGGTAGTCTTTCAAGCTTGAGCGATCTGATCCGACGTGCTACCAGACTCGCCTCGAACCTCGACCGCGGAAGAACTGCCAGTCGCGCCGATCTTGCGGCGGATCCGGAGTACAAGGGATTCATGGCAGGTAAGTCTTTGGAAGATAGACATCATGACAGAATCAACGGACTGACACGATGCAGGACAACGCCGTCGCGGCTCAGGTTCTCTGTCCGATATCCTGACTTCATTTCCCCGGCCTGGATTAGCGACTCTTGACGATCGTACATCGTGGCCCATTTTCTTCGGACGATCGAACCTTTGTAACGTTGAGCCTCTTAATTCCAACGACGAAGTCCCCAATGAGAAGCAGTCTGTCAAGCGCAAATGCTGTGGAATGCCGCGAAAGTGGTTTATCGTCCTCTGCATCATTCTTTTCATTGTCGTCGTGCTTGCGGTTCTCTTGCCCGTTTTCCTCGTCGCCGTTCCCAAAGAGAACGCCGGCAGTGACAATTCATGCGCCACAACCAACGCCTGTCATAATGGCGGAGTATCCGTATCAAGCGGCTCCGAATGCTCCTGCGTGTGCGTGAATGGATACACTGGTTCACAGTGTACCACTGTAGGCGACTCCAGCTGTACCACATCCGAGGTCGACAATGGCACGATCTACAAGAACGCGACCATGGGCAATTTTCTTCCGACTTTGTTTAGCGCTGCCTCAAGCAGATTTGACATCAGCCTGGACTCTGTCACCATCATGGCCCTCTTCAGCTTGAGCAATGTCAGCTGCAAAAACGAGAATGCCCTCGTCTCCTTCAGCGACGTCAAGAGCCGCAGCAACACGCGTCGCTCCATCGTTCTTCCTCTCGATCCGCCCGTGGCTGAAGAAATCCCCTCTCTCACCGTCGTATCTACCGTCACCGCAACCGCGCTCGCCGCCCGCGCTGAGGCCACCATGGATGGTATTCTCTACGAGAGTGCCGGAGACCAGAGCACAAGGACCCGAACGGATAACATAGCAACAGCTACTCATATCAGCGCATCTACTTCCACGACGGCAGCTGCCGCGACGACCTCCACCGCAAGCGTACCTGACAAGGTGATCGAATTCTCGCAGGTCGCTGTACTGTACATTCTCGAGAAAACGGGCTCCATTGACTCTGCATTATTCTCCGAATCGGAGATCAGCTCATACTTAACGAGTTCCGACGGGTATAGTAATACGACCCGGCCCGAGCTTCAGTTGCTAGGAGAGTTCGGACTGAACTTCCAGACGATGAAGATCAGTGTGGAGAACGGTACTTCGACCTGAGTGCCCAGTTGAGCTGAGAATATAATCTCACGCTTGATGTTTAGTGTATATACCGTGGTAGGAGAGGATGAGGTGCCTCCAGACATAGTTTTTTATTGATATGAAACCATAATTTGGCCATAGGAGTCTCGGTCCCACTTCACAATTGTCGGGGATGTCTAGTCAATCCAATTTACTTCAGCTTACTTCAAGAAAAGTCTCACTGAACATTTACCAATTTAGGCTATGCCAAGACCCAACTTCCCAATTGGGACATATCGATCACGACATTCTCAGCGGAGGTTGCGTGCTTGGTCACGTGGTGAACGGCTGGTGAAGCCACCCACGAAACGACATCAAAACCGAGCGGGAACAGCACGAGCATATAAAGAACATGTTGATCGCAGTCTGGGACCTAGGAACGTACAACTATATGGCTCCGTCTATTACAGGGAAAAAATACCGCCCCCTGAAAATCACTAAACATGGCCCTGAAGATCTCCGCCATAAACGAGTACGGAGAGGGGCGCGGAGCTGGGTTCATCCGGGAAAGGGACAGGGAAAGAAAGGGCCAAGGTACAAGTAGCCCCGATGGAGGTACGTACCATGGGGCTCCAACGGTTATAGGGGGTCATCGTACTGTGGAAGATTGCCATTGAGGATTAAAAGTAGTCAGCGCTGGATTGCATTGAATCAAGCATGAAACCATAGCTCCTAGAAAACTCCCTGTTCTGAGATCAATCCGAAACGTGTCAGGGCAGGGGTGATGACTTTGATAGTCATCGAGTTCCCCTGGGTTCCCGAGCGGGGCCACGCAAAGGCGTGATCTGGCTGGATGAATCGACCAGGCCAAGACTTCAGTGACTCCACCACTGACGACTTCAGGGCCTCCGGGGCACGGTGATTGTCCTGCTTTCTTACCAAGCCATGGAGACGTCGGCCTCGTGCGCGTCGTACCCCCTCTTGGCCTAGATCTGTGGACAGGAAGCTTGGTAGAAGGCCGTAAGAAACTTGATAAGCATTACCTTTTCTTCCCCACTCGTCTTTCTTTCTTTCTCTTCCTTCATCTTCTTCTGTATATTAAGGGGAATTACCCAAACAACCTTCTCTTCACAATGGCCAACGCTCCTCACGGTGGTGTCCTCAAGGACTTGCTTGCCCGCGATGCTCCCCGCCAGGCTGAGCTCGCCGCTGAGGCCGAGACCCTCCCCGCCGTCGTGCTCTCCGAGCGCCAGCTGTGCGATCTCGAGCTGATCATGAACGGTGGTTTCTCTCCTCTTGAGGGTACGTGCAATTGATTCTCCTCTTCGCTTTCGCTATCGACTTCTACGACTCCTGCGAACCTGGCGATCACAAAGTGGGAGTCCAGAGTTCCAGGGGTTTTTTTTTCCCCCGGGGCGGGCGGGCAATCGGAGGGGTAATTACTAACGCCGATCTCGCAGGTTTCATGAACCAGGTTGACTACGACGGGTAGGTTACTTGGATCACGCCATTGGAATGGCAATTGGTATGACACATACTAATCCTCTGCATAGTGTCGTTGAGAACAACCGCCTTGCCGATGGCAACGTCTTCTCCATGCCCATTACCCTCGATGCCTCCCAGAAGACCATCACCGAGAACAAGCTCAAGGCTGGTTCGCGCATCACCCTGCGTGACTTCCGTGATGACCGTAATTTGGCCATCCTGACCATTGACGACATCTACCGCCCGGACAAGTGAGTGTCTACAATTGATTTTCCTGAAATTGCCCCTCCGGACTCCATCGCCGCATACTGCCGATCCCCGCATCCCTCTCTTATCCTTGGCAATTGATTTGCCCATTTGCATCCTGTGTTTCATTCTTGTTCATTGCTGGCCATTTTGTTCTCCTTGGTCACATATACACGTCCTCTCCCCCGCTCCTTTCCATACTCCTTAATGGTGGCGTTTGCGCCTCCTGATTCTGAATTACTCTACGCAATGAACGCCCTAAGGCGGCTCGAGCTTTTTATTGTGGGTCTTTGCTGACGTGGATTGTTTCCCCCTAATTTAGGGAGAAGGAGGGTAAGCTCGTCTTCGGTGGTGACCCCGAGCACCCGGCCATCAAGTTCCTGAACGAGTCCGTCCAGGACTTCTACATCGGTGGAAAGGTTGAGGCTGTCAACAAGCTGAACCACTACGACTATGTCGCTCTCCGCTGTAGGCGACCCTTCCCGAACGTATACAATCGGAATTGGAAGCTAATTCATCCCAAGACACTCCCGCTGAACTGCGTGTTCACTTCGACAAGCTGGGCTGGTCCCGCGTCGTCGCTTTCCAGACTCGTAACCCCATGCACCGTGCTCACCGTGAATTGACCGTCCGCGCGGCCCGCTCTCGCCAGGCTAATGTCCTGATCCACCCCGTCGTCGGTCTCACCAAGCCCGGTGACATTGACCACTTCACCCGTGTCCGCGCGTACGAGGCTCTCCTGCCCCGTTACCCCAACGGCATGGCCGTCCTGGGTCTTCTGGGTCTGGCCATGCGTATGGGTGGTCCCCGTGAGGCCATCTGGCACGCCATTATCCGTAAGAACCACGGTGCCACCCACTTCATTGTCGGCCGTGACCACGCCGGTCCTGGTTCCAACTCCAAGGGCGAGGACTTCTACGGCCCCTACGATGCCCAGCACGCCGTCGAGAAGTACAAGGATGAGCTCGGCATCGAGGTCGTCGAGTTCCAGATGGTCACCTACCTGCCCGATACCGACGAGTATCGTCCCGTCGACCAGGTTCCCCAGGGTGTCAAGACCCTGAACATCTCTGGCACTGAGCTCCGCCGTCGTCTCCGCTCCGGTGCCCACATCCCCGAGTGGTTCTCCTACCCCGAGGTTGTCAAGATCCTCCGCGAGTCCAACCCGCCTCGGGCTTCCCAGGGTTTCACTATCTTCCTGACCGGTTACATGAACTCTGGCAAGGATGCCATCGCCCGTGCTCTCCAGGTGACCCTGAACCAGCAGGGTGGCCGCTCCGTCTCCCTCCTTCTCGGTGATACCGTTCGCCACGAGCTCTCTTCCGAGCTTGGCTTCACCCGCGAGGACCGCCACACCAACATTCAGCGCATTGCCTTCGTCGCCTCCGAGCTGACCCGCGCCGGTGCCGCCGTCATCGCCGCCCCTATCGCCCCCTACGAAGCCTCCCGCAAGTACGCCCGCGACGCCGTTTCCCAGAACGGCTCCTTCTTCCTCGTGCACGTCGCCACTCCCCTCGAGCACTGCGAGAAGACCGATAAGCGTGGCATCTACGAGGCTGCCCGCCGCGGCGAGATCAAGGGCTTCACTGGTGTCGACGACCCCTATGAGGCTCCCGAGAAGGCTGACCTCGTCGTCGATGCCTCCAAGCAGTCCGTCCGCTCCATTGTTCACGAGATTGTTCTCATCCTTGAGAGCCAGGGATTCCTTGAGCGTCAGTAGATCATTTAACCTTGCCATTTTCTTTTGTTTTTGAGGCTACGTTACCCATAGAAACGTTTACTTGCTATTAATTGCAATTGGATTCCCGATTCCCCGAAATTAGATTCAATGTTAAAAAATCTTGGTTCCTGAATTTTGCTTCCTTTCTGAATACATAATAGTTGCAGCGCTTGAAAGACCACGGGGATTAGAGACGCTGTCAAAGTTGACTTGAGGCTGGGCCCATCTCGCCATATTTGGCTGAAATGACATCAAGATCTAAGAAGCTAAGACATCGTCGATCTACGCCTAGAAAACTTTGATATTGCCTTAGAAAGCGGCCAACACGCACTTTCAAATTCGCGAGTCTGGGATCAGAAGAAAGTGAACGTAGATTTCAAATAGGATCAATCCGGACTACAAATACTGTCAAATTAGGAAGAAAGGTGGTATGCATCTAAATTGTAGCATGCAGTAACTTAGTCGGTACCACACCCGCTCAGATACATGTACAAAGAAATTCATTTACATTCGAGCCGTGGCAAGCGTCAAATATTGGTGTCAATCACCCATGTACTGTTAATTATAAGGCCAGAACCCAGCTATCTACCTCCCCGAGTCTGTTTTGGCCCGTGCGCATCCTTTGAAAATGGGTGGTGGAAACTCGCCCGAATATGTATCTGTTACCAACTTTTATATATGTATACATTAGCTGAAGCCTTTGATCGAATGACTGACTTCAAATAAAGAATCATATAATTTTCAAGCGACTGCTAATTATTATCAATAAGAATGAATCTCACTACAGGCCGTGAGAGACGGGTCCGGTCAACCACTTCGAAGCACGTGACAGACACGTATGCAAACACTCCAAACATGATGAAGTCAAGGCTTCACGGACGAACCTCTCCTCCATCACCAACGCAACCATGCTGCCCAAACGAAATGCTGTCGGTCGAATACCGGTGCACATTCGACCAGTGTTTTCCCCACGGGCCGCCGGCCCAAGCACCATACACCTGCGACCATTTACCAATCGCACACGACTACTCCTGCTCTCACAACCATCGGGTCGCCCGCAACTGTCTTTCCTGTCACCATTAGCACCTACACGCCCACTTCCCCCTCTATCAAGACATTTACGCCAGCACTTTGCGCGACTCATCTCCACTGAAAGTCAATCCCACTTTAAAAAGCGCTTCTCTCGCGTCACCAAGCTCTCCATCACCTTTTTTTCTATGATCGTTCTGTACCAGGTCATCCAACTCGGCATCTATCAAGAAGACATTGAGCATCAATGGCCTACACCTCCAGAATGGACGCTGAAATCTCGCTGGTGTCTGCGCACTGCACAGGCTCTGCAGCACCCTGAATACATCGGCAAGCTGATGACCGATTGGCCCATGGTTCACGGGTTCCTGAAGGAGTTGGTGACACGCCTGGAGGACATGGAAGGTGAAGGCAAGGGAGTCGTGGAACAGGATGAGGGCGGAATTCTGGTCGAGGGCATCGGTCGTACCGGCCTCGATATCTCGATGAAAAGCGAGCCTTGGCGCCGTGGTTATTTCCAAGCTCTTATGGGGCTTGGAAAGGCTGCCGAGAACCTGGACGGTTGGTTAACTGACCGCAAGCAGAGAATTTCTGCGCCAGCGGAGTATGTTGTTGGTCCCTCGAACCCCCGGCCCAGGCCTGTCCCTGCGGGTGCTCAGACACCCCGGGAGGAAGACTGTGAATTGGCATCTCCTCCACCTGAGACCTTTTATATGAAGATCTTGACAACCAAGGGCTTCGATACCCGACAAAAACTCGATGCTGCCCTTGCGTATGCAGATTGGCTCGATTCCAAGGGCCTGGGTTCCACTGCTGGTGACATGTACACCTGGGCCCTGGACTTTGCTGCTGGTGGCTTGGAAGGCGATGTGAGCAAGGTCATCGATCTCAAGACTGGAATTTTGAAGAACGGTCCGGAGCTGCCTTCTGAGAATCTCATCCGTGTATCGACCGCTCTTGCTGTGCACAATGCCAAGCAGGGGAACCTCCCAACTGCGCTTTCCCTCTTCACATCTGTTCTTAAGGCCCGAAGGAGCCTGCCTATCACCCCTGATTTCCAACGCCCTCCACCTCTCCCCTCTTTCAAAGCATCCAACGACATTTTCTCTTCCTTCTTCAAATCCATCAAAACCGTCCTTGTTCCTGTGGAATACCCTAAACCCTTACCTTCCGGTGATGCGCCTCCTCTTCGCACACCAAGTTCTGCCTGTGATGAGGCTGGCCTCATGACTTACATCGGCGAAATTATCTACGCTTCATCATCCCGCGAGCAAGGCCTCGCCTGGACGCGCGACGCAGTTGAGATGGCTGAGACAACCATGCTGGACCGCAGCAACTCGGAAGACCAAGAAACACGCACACGATGCGCGCAGTGTCTGAAGGTCAGCCTTGAGAACTGGAAGGTCATGATAGCAACCCTTGTGAAGCGTGCCAAGAAGGAAGAAGAAGAGAGTATTAAAAATGCAAAGAAAGCCTGGTATGGTGGCGAGAGTGCTGTCAAGGCCAAGACTGCTGAGTTGCGCCGCTGGCAGGCCGAGGAGGCTATTCTTGAGGATCGGATCCGCAAACTCTTCCCTTTGCTTGAAGGGGAGTCTGGCTTGGATAACCTTGCCCCGAACAGTTCCCTTTTCGTGTAAATTATCTGTATTTAGTTGGCCTGCTGGGAGTTTACAGTATGTGGTATCGGTTTGATACTTGAGAGCCTCCTTGCTGTGTAAATGACGTCTGATCTATGAATGTATCAACAACCTTGACTATCTATCTTTTTTGCCTCTCCTTGGAAGTCCAAACACCGAATAGCAATTTTGAAACATGGAGTGCGACGACTGTTCCCGCGATTTTGACTCTCAATCTCCATTCAAAGGAGTCTATTGTGGGTTCAAAGGGATGCCCAAGACACTCATACTTCCCGTGTAGATCTAACATAAGATCTCATCAGCTCATCTTGGCCGCGCAATCTGCCCCGAATCTACAATTTAATGTCCAAATCGCAAGAAACCCAGCCTCAAGGCATCCACAGGCTCCAGAACTACGTCAATGCCCTATGAGATGTCCACGAGGACTACGTAAGATCAATCACGAGACCCGAGTATGGCATGATGCAAGCCTGAAGCAAAACCGATCCTCGTTAGGAATCAAGATAGACGTAACATGAAGCCCTCATCTTGGCACCCGCAAGATTCCGTACTAATGTAGAAAAAACCATGAAGAAAAAGCCAAGAGATTCCTATTCCGAGGTGGTAACAGATAGACAAAGACGCGCGAGAGGGAAACCGATCATCTATGTGCGCGTCATCCACCATATGGGACGACCCAGCAATCTTGGAATAAGAAGCCCTACGTAGGACAGGATAACGCGAATCCAGCACATGCCTCGGGCAATCTTAGAGAGATAGCCTTCCTTCCGTGGCCGATCTACACTTCTTCCAATGTCTCGGAATTCCAGCATTCTTAGGGCGCCACTAGAGTCGTACGTCAGCAAGGAATGTTTCGACGATCGAGTGGGACTTGCTTCTCAAAATTCATTGAGGGTGTATATATTGACATGGGCAGCTCATGCAAGTCAAATGGGTAAACACAAATGAATCTTGATGCGGCTGTTGCCTTGTTCCAAAAATTTTCATACGGTTCATGTTTGCTTCAGATCCTAGACATCAACCTTTAACGCCGATCAATCTATTTGCATACAATATTGCCGGCCTACGTTACGCTATATATACTTCCCAGAGTGTCCAACCTATATAAACCTACACCTACTTCCCATGAACACAAATTTAGACCACAGTATGTTCCCTCGTTCCCCTCAAAACCACACCAGGGCTGATCCGCAAAAGAAAAGAAGACATACACTAGCATGGCAATCGCACTCCCCCGTACCGAGACCGAGGTCTCCTCCATCCCCCCATCCGACAGCCCTCGCCGCAACCCTAGATCCCGCATCCACGAATTCCTCATGGAAGACATCCGTGAAGACATCCTTCTAGAAGCCGAACTCCTCCTCCTATCCTTTGCCACCGGAATCCAAGACGCCGCCGCCTGGCCAGACTACATGTGTTTTGCCTTGAACCAAACTGGCAACACGCTATTCCTCGCAATCGGCATTGCATGCTTAACACACAACCAATACAGTTTCCCCAATATCGGAGTCAGTTTATCCATGTTCGTCACCGGGGGGTTTTATTCTCGGACAACTCGGGAATATGATCGGCGTCCGCAAGCGTCTCTGGCTACTTATATCCAACTTGATCCAAACGCGCTCGTTTTCTGCGCCCTTATTGTCCAATACTCCTGGCCGATACGAAGGGACGGACCAGCTGCGATGGCGGTTATTGGGTTATTGGCGTTTTCATCCGGCGGACGGGTAGCTATGAGTCGGAGTTTGAAGATCACTGAGATCACGACGGCGATGGCGACGGCGGCGTTTGTGGATTTGGTTGTTGATCCGGATTTGGGCAAATTGAAAAATCGGTGTCGGAATCGACGGGTGGGGTTTTTGATCATGTTGGTGTCGGGGTGTTTTGTCGGTGCGTTTGCGGCGAGGGAGGTTAGTTCGAGTTTTCCGATATTGCTTTGTGCTGTTGGAAAGGCTTTGGTTTGTGTTGGGTTTTTGTTTAATCGAGCTATTACAGAGGTTCCTGGGTGTCATGAAGATTTGAAAGTTTGATTAACCTATATTTTTTAATTTGAAGTTGACCGCGTTTAATATAGTGTCAAGTGCTTTGTACTTAGTTTCAAGTCGTTTAGTGTGATGTGTGGATTACTAGGAGATACTCTGATGTTGTAAGATCCAAGGATCTGGAAATGAAATCGATTGCTACACATTGAATATGACTCCTTAGATCAAATTTTCAGCGCTAGTCTTAGAATTACGCATGATGTTTGATGTTTATAAATATGAGCATTATTGGTCGGTCCAGGTTTAAACTGGCTCAAGTTGCAAGGCTTTTGCATTTGTGGATTTCGATCTATGAAAATGAGTCCTTGATCGTACCAGGATTTTGATGCTCGCGCCCAAATATAAAGAATTTCCGCCCATATGAATTCCGCGGTCAGTCGGCACTTGCATTGGTTGGCTGATTCATTATACTTCCTTTCCATACACGACATCTATTTCAATTTCGGCGCATACGTGCAGGTGATTCTACAGCCAAATCATACTGTTCCTTCCTTCGTCATTTAGGGGGTGAAAATAAGGTGAGGAACGACACCTCAGAATTGAATCCTGAAGTCAGTCGAGACCGCAATGGATCTTGGAAAGTACATGATGCTATTTTCCAATTCAGAGAGAACTGAGGCACAACGGTAAATAAAGACTGCGTCAACCATGGATGGCATGCTCGGCTTAGCCGTAAAGAACTCGGAGGCTGTGACAGCGGCCTCGAGCGTTGCCTGAAATTGCTGGGTCCAAGCAACGCCGCCTTTGTACTCCTTCGTGCTCATACTAGAGTGTCTCGTTCAAGGCTGCACTTGGTGTATAGTTGAGAGCACGGGCTCAGGTGTTTCTCCTCGTGAACCGGCACAAGTCGTTGGCAATCGCTGCCGTTGGTCAGTCTTGGGAACAACGGAGCCTCACTCACTTCTTACCTTTCACTTGAATTTCCACTTCCCTCATATCTCCTTTGCGCCGATCGCTCAGTCTGGTCCTTCTCCCACGTCGACTGAGACGTCTTCTTCTTCTTCTTCTTCTTCTTCTTCTTCTTCTTCTTCTTCTTCTTCTTCTTCTTCTTCTTCTTCTTCTTCTTCTTCTTCTCCTTCTCCTTCTCCTCCTCCTCCTTCCCCTTCTCCTTCTCCTTCCCCTTCTCCTTCTCCTTCCCCTTCTCCTTCTCCTTCTTCTTCTTTCAATACCAGAGACATTGCCAAATCGCTATGGGGAAAGATGACTTCCTGAGAGACCTTGGCCAGGTCAAGGCCCCAGGTACATTCAAATACCTGAGCAAGGTCAAAGCTGGCGACAGCGATGGATCGATTGTTTCACCTTCGCGTACCCTAATGCACCAACCACTATCGACTACCAAGTGATCACAGGTAAGTCGATCGAAAGCTTGATTATCTCCCCTTTTACTCACCGGCCCGCAGAGCCTTACAACTACCCCAAAAGCCACCAATACTTCGTCTACTCTACATCTGATCCCCCGCTCGCAGTCATCGAGGCTCTTCAAAACGTCGTAAAGAACCTTCCTTGCATTTCCATTCGTGATCTCCTGGCTGCCATCGAAAGCTCGATTCATGCAGCGCTCAATGGCTCAACGTTGCAGCCATGCAACGAATATCACGATGATGAACAGATTCCCATCGACGATTCTGATGATCATCTATGCAACTTTGATGGTTTTGGGGAGTTCGACTACGACGAGCACGCTTTTGATGACTGTGACGCTTCCCTACCAACCTACAACGTTCCATCTTTCCTGCGCCGGAAGATCAGTGAGGATCTGCGAGCTGCCAAGAACACCGGCTTCAAGGTTGGGCACGTTGAAGTCACGCAATGTGGATTCGTGGTTTCGGTGGCTAGCCGCCTCAATAGACTTGGAATCTCCGAAGAAGTCATGGATGTTTGGCAAGTGCGTCCCAATGACTACCTTGGTCTTCTGATTCGTTACCCGCGAGGATACGTGAACATGAAGGACTTGTTTGAACAGGGTGACCCAAACCCTTCATTTATCCAAATGCATCTCGGGCTCTGTGACTCCTACAAGCCATCGGCTACGGCAGCTCTGATGGCCTTTCAGGGCAGCACGCCGACAGAAAAGGATATTTTAGACCTACGAGAGACTGAAACAAACAAGCTCAGATCCTGTTTCATCGGCCGCCAGCTTAATCGACTCCTGAACGAGCGATTCTTGGCTATTGCGCGATTTCGTCTCAGATGGGGACTCTCATGGACAGGCGCAGAAAACCCTTTCCAGGTCAGCCAGGGGAAGCCTCTGAATGACGAGGACGTCAGTTCCGAAGAACATCTGAAGCCTGATGAATGGGGGACTCCACCTCCCCCTTTGCTAATGGCCGACCATATGGCCGACGAGGGTTTTGTCTTGTCGAGAATGTCATTCCCCTTGCTCGCAATGCAATTCACCCTTCGACACTTTGTCAGATGCACAGAGTTCTGCCTCGTTTGTTTCTGCAAGAAGTTCGACGATTTTGATGCAATGAAGCCCTACGTTTGCTCAAGTCGACTTTGTCTCTACCAATACATCACTTACGGTATGGGGCCAAGTCTGGAATATGAAGTCAAATCTCAGCCAAGTGTTGTTGACTTGCTAGTATCCTTGGCTTTCATCAGAGCCAAGACCGGCAAGCTTGAACATTTTCCTACAGGGCTTGGAATGCGAATTCCCAATACGGAGACAACTGAGCCGGATGAGGTTCGAATTGACCTCCCAACAGGCCGGAAGGTCACTAAATATCACAGTGGGACGATTTATCCCCATAAAATGTTCAATTCCAGCAAGACCCTGCCCGGTATTAACATGGAGCTTTCTCAAGAGGGCAAGTCACGGCTCATCGAAGGCCAATGGATCGTTTTTGTCGGTCTGGAAGGGGAGAAGATCTTGCCAAAGGACCTTCATGGCATTGCCGAGTCCAAAAAACCGGCTCAAACGTTGTGGAGCTCTCATTTCCGCTTCGCTGGAGCAAACAGATGACAGCATCAGAGCTATTGGAAGCAAGCAGCAACTGGAGGGAAAGTGCACTACATGGTATACGACACAGCTTTTGACAAGTTGACCAAACAGAAAAAACAAAACAGGATCGTCATGCTTTTGGGTATGCTTCCCGGAATCGACGAGATGATAAATTATTTGGCAAGTCAAGGGCCAGATGCAACTCTCTCATCTTGGAAAGAAAGAATACCACCCGCTGCCTTGGTTCTGTTGCGATGGATTGTTGCGTCAAATAGATCATATATCGTCCAGGATAACAGCAACCCTGAGCACTTGGTCAGTGATATGAAAGACTATGTCCAATTTCGCCTGGTTCAGGGTGCCCCGGATAAAGAACAACGTTTCACCAGAGCAGTCAACGCGAAATCAATGACCGGGAGACCTCAGCACCCAACCATTTTCGCGTGGCATGGTAGTCCACTGTATAACTGGCATAGTATCTTGCGGAAAGGGCTTCATTTCAAAGACACGGTGAATGGGCGCTCCTATGGACATGGCGTTTATATGTCTTCAAATTTCAGAGTTTCATTGGGCTACACAAGACCATCTCAGTGGTGCTCGAACTGGCCTCAAAGCCGTCTCACCCTGTCATCCATAATTTCCCTGAACGAGATCGTCAATGCTCCGGATGAGTTTAAGTGCAGCGAGCCGTTTTATGTCGTGCACCGGCTTGACTGGATCCAGCCCAGATACCTTTTCGTTGGGCTCAAAAGGTCTGAGAATGACAGCACACCCTCAAGCCCTTCCCTTCCTTGGGTTAATGATACGAAGAAAAGAGTATCACCCGCTGTTTCTACCTTTTATGCGCAGGACCCTCAACATACTGCCCATGGGCCATCGGGAGCAGCCATTAAAATTCCAATGTCGGCGATTCGCGGTAAGAGACGAGAAGCGCTTGCTTTGAATGAGAGCGCACAGAAAACTACCTTAAAGAAAAAGGGGAAAAAGAAGACCAGCAGCGCCGTGTCTTCACTTCAATCAAATGCCGATGATAGTGACGAGCTTCAAAGTGTGGCGACGGACATCGAGGATCTCAAAATCCTTCTCTCCGATTCGGACGTTGAAATGATCGACGTACCTGAGAAGAGAACGCGGGCGAAGAATGTCATTCGACACTTTACTCCGAAGAAAACCGTCAAGGGAAAGGAGGTCGCCAAACATGTCCCTCCTGCCACCGACTTCATCCCAGGGTCTTTGACCGAGGGTAATTTACCGATTATGGCACCACCGCAGTACGCCACCACCTTCGCAACCAAGGTCCTTCAGAAACAACTTAAAACAACGGTCGAGGTCCAGCAAGAAGAGCCCCTGCATGAGCTCGGCTGGTTCGTGGACCCTACCTTGACATCTGGCAACCTCTACCAGTGGATTGTGGAACTCCACAGCTTCGAGAAGGCACTTCCTCTTGCTAAGGATCTCAAGGCTGCGAAGCTCACCAGTGTCATTCTTGAACTCCGCTTCCCACCCAACTACCCGATAGACCCTCCCTTCGTCCGCGTCATTCGACCCCGCTTCCTAGAATTTCAAGCCGGTGGCGGCGGTCATATCACCCCGGGAGGTGCCATGTGCATGGAACTCCTGACTAGCACTGGCTGGTCGGCTGTTACCTGCATAGAAAGTCTACTTCTACAGATTCGTCTCGCTATCACCAGCATGGACCCACGACCCGCTCGTCTCTCCCAGCGCCGCAAATTCCAAGATTACACTGTGAGTGAGGCCGTTGAGTCCTACAAGCGCGCTTGTAACATGCACGGGTGGAAGGTCCCCCAGGATTTGGAGTTGATGCGCTGGTGAATGTCACAACGTGCTCCGAGTGGAAGATGGCGTTGGGCTTGCCTAGTCATGAATGCTCACACTTGCTTCTTTATGAACACTAATAAATTGCTACCGATATGAGCCAATCTATCAAGTTTTTTTTTATTTGGGAATTGAGTGACTGGAAAAGGTAGATCTGGTAGGTCAGTGCTCATTGACTTAGTACGTAAATCATGAACAAAGTCTGACTTTTGTCTTTAGACTCAAGGGTCAGTTGCTCGCTTTCCAGATTCCGCCGCTAGATTTTTGATTACATGAGAGGGCCACTATGGTGAAGTGTCTTATGAGTGGGAGACTTCTCACGAGCCCGACAAGTCACTCCGATCTTTCCAAGTCCCCATTAACTCTTTGAGGTTGAGGCCTCTGCCCATGCAACTCTGATGGATATGAGGACTTGTCGATCCAGTGCTGGACAATACAAAAGAATACACCCTTGTTCTAGATACACAGCCTTGCGCTTGAAACACAAGTGTAGTTGCCTCTTCACGGGTCATCAATAAGGGTCAGTGTCGATCGATCTTGAACCTTCTCATCAATATACTGAGCACTTTGTTGCTCCGCGCATGGAACTACGTACTCTAGATCAGCACATATTGAGCAACGCATCACAAAAGGTGGATCATGTAGACTGGTAGAGATAGAAGCGAGCGTGGAGTTTCAAGCTCCGAAGCTAAGGGGAAAGGGTAAAACACGGCCAATCACCATGCTGTTCCTGGCAGGAGTGGGGCTGTACCAGACCACAAATGGACGACTTCGCTTATGGCCCCGATCGAACCGGTCAAATCCGGTTGTTTTATTAGCTTTGTGTTGAAGGGTCCTGTTCGGGCCCAAGCGGCTTAAATGGTTAGAGCCTCCCACCTAGGGGTTACCACCCCTTTCGATTCCCATTTTCTTTGAACGTGCTAAGTGTGTTCGTGACCGTCTTGTATAAGAAGTCTTCATAGAGCCTTGGCGCCACCCCCCCCAGTCATTTTAGGGGCTGTTCAAGACCGGTGACGCGTAGAACTGACATTCCAAAATGATATTTCGACGTCACACCAAAGCACTAGCGGTTGCTCTGCTGGCAGGCACTGCGTCAGCCATCGAATTGAATATCAACGACGAGCGTGAGTCTCGTGTCGTCGCCTTTGCTATCAAAACCTATTAATGGCATCTAGAATCTATCAAAAATGCCGCCGCGACTGCTGCGTACAACACTTGGTCTGAATACACGACCAACCAGACCGGACAACCCCCCGGCGCGATCCGTACCGACTGGGCAATGGGAGGTGCCCTGTTCGACACTATGATCCGATATTGGTACTACAGCGGTGACGCCTCCAACAATGCGGCCATCAGCGAGGGAATGTATTGGCAGCTAGGCGAGAACAATGATTATATGCCCGCCAACTGGAGCTCATACCTAGGAAACGATGATCAATCAATCTGGTCGCTTGCGGCCATGACTGCCGCGGAGCTAGGATACCCTGAGAGGTCATCTATGCCCTCGTGGGTTACGATCGCAGAGAATGTCTTTAATGATCAGATTGCCCGCTGGGATACAAAAACGTGTTCGGGTGGCTTGCGCTGGCAGATCTGGACTTATGAGTCGGGCTACAACATCAAATCCACCTTGGCAAATGGCCTTTTGTTCGAGCTTTCCGCTCGCTTGGCTCGGTACACCAACAATCAAACATACTCTGATTGGGCGGACAAGATCTGGACATGGAGCACTGATACCCTCATCAGTGATGAGTGGTCCGTTTCCAATGATGTTGACGTTGAGGATGACTGCGGAACCGCGGGCAACACCCAGTGGAGCTTCAACTACGGCCCATATATCGCTGGTACTGCATATATGTACAACTTGGTGAGGCCATCTTTGGACTTTCAATTCCAGATCTAAAGTAACTAACAATATTTATAGACCAACGGCAAATCTGAATGGAAGACAAACCTAGATGGCCTTCTGAAGCGTACCACCGCCACCTTCTTTCCCTCTAAATACGGCGGCAAAATCCTCTCTGAAGTTGCCTGCGAATCCACCGAAAGCTGCAACAATAATGAAATCTGGCTCAAGGGTGCCACCGTCCAAGATCTCGCTATGGCTGCCTTAGTCGCACCTTACACGGCATCCGACATCATGCCTCTGCTACAGGGATCTGCAGTGGGCGCCGCGAAGTCATGTACCGGCGACAAGAACAACACTGAATGTGGTGTGAAATGGTACGCAGCTTATGATGACTCCGACGGCATGCCCAGCCAGCTCAGCGCTACCAGTCTCTTCACTGCGAATCTTGTCTCATTTAGCAAGAAAGCTGCCAGTGTCCAGTCGGCGTCTACGAATACGACTTCGGTCACCTCGACTGGATCCGCCAATGGTACTGACCCGGGCAGTTCCAGCAGTGCTGGAGCGACGCAGACTGGTACGAATGCAGCCAGTGTGCTTGTCGTTGGCCCGGTCGCTTTTGTCGCGGCTGTTATTGCCGGTGCCGTTGCCTGGCTCTGAGCTAGACGACGAGTTTCCTGGTCCTCATCTTTCTTTCACAAATTGTACTATAATAATGTAAGTGATAGGTTATACTTAACCATCAAACCCACAACACAGAAATCGAAGAAAGGATTGTGCATGGTTGCAACAACTCTATTGACGTGGGCTAGAGTGCAGTTGGTAGAAAGGAAGCACTGTTTTAAAAATAAATCATAAACCGGTAAAGATCTGGAAACTCTGGCAGGGTATTTGCCTCTATACAGTAGCTCCGAGGTTAGGGAATTGTCGCAGTGGATTGAGCGTGGGTCTCGGATGGGGTGACAGCTACCCCAACAAGCTTCTCCACAGCCCCAACCCGTATTCCGGGGTGCGCATAGTCTCGATCAAACACTGGGAATTGAGTTTATCCGGCTAGACTTGCAAACATACAGTCTGCATATGCCTCTTGTGTCGTAGCTCTCTAGCTTGAGATGCTGCTTTTTGGCTCTCTTTCTGGAATGCGAGCGGTGTTGAGTCAAAAGGCTACCTATCTCGACTTGCCGAATTTCGATCTTGGTTATGTCCAAGCTGTGAGGACGACGCCTAAGGTAAAGTGAAGAAAGTAGCCGAAATAAAATGTATCATCTCTGGCGTGTTAGTTGAACTCCAACTGTCGCGGACTCGGTAGCTCCAGTACAGGCGTTTTACCACCAAGCCACTGTTCCCTGAATGGCTGAATAGATACAGCGTTCTCTTCTTGTCGAGCGCAAGTACCATGGGAAATTGACAAAAGTTCCAATTGCTTAATTGCATATTTCATAGGTTCAGTCTACACGCCACTCACCTACACAATTAGTATGGCTGTCGACAGGAATAAGTTCTGCGGCTAGAATACGAGACCGAGCGAACCAACAGTAAAACCCGGCAAACCACGGATAGCTGTTGCGATCGAGATTTTGTCCGATTTGACCAATCTTAGACAACGGCCTTCTTTAGAACACAATCTAGTAATTGCTTTTTGAGCCGTGGAAAGTGAATGTGTGTCTAGGCATATCGCAATCCACCAGGTGCTCTTCCGGGGTCTGGTCGGAACAGCCGATAGTAGCAATTCACTTGCTAATTGACCATGTTTTCGAGCCTTTTGGGAGTAAATACACGAGCAGCCACTCGTCCAGATTGTTGCTGTGGATTCTAGGCGTCAAAATCGTCGTACCACCGGTTCTGGGGACATGAGGGCATTAAGCATTCCGCTCCACAGTCCACCGGGCGCCACTCGACAGGTGCCAACCTGATCACTTGGTGTCACCCCCTTTTTTTCTAACGGGCAAAGGGCGAAAGTTTGGTGAATCCGAGGTTATCAGTCCACATCGCGGTTAAAAACCTAAAAATTCAAGGCTCGACTTCCAGAAGCGTCGATCCCCGCTGGCCCTGCACACTGCCATGCACGCGTCGCCCATGGATCTTCTTATCTTACAGTGCGGTCTGTAGCCAAAGAGGCCTAGCTCCCGAGAGGAGATTTCTAGTGCCACCGGATCGAAGGGAAGTTGTCTGCGTGTCTGCGTATCAGCCTTGGTGGAGCCATCCGACCCCGGGTCCCCGGTGAAACATTTATCTTTTTTACATAGGAGGATTTGGTGAGAATGAGCACAGATAGCGAGCTGGCCCACCATTGCCACTCCACATCGACCCATCCCTATCGGTGCCCCGATAGCAGCACACTCGGAATTCCTGAGACCGTGGCGAGGAAGCCTCGGGCTCATTCCCGGCCCAAATGACTCGGACAAGATATTGCTATGGGTCTGCCATGGACGGCTACGACCTTCCAAATACTGCTAGTATTGGGGAAAAACCGGGTGCCAGTTTACCCCAAGATCTCAATTGCCCCACTCTACCGATGGGCCTGGGGGACCAATAACTTGAATAAGTTTGAATAAGCTCTGGGCGGGGCGTGTGCCATGTCTGCCGGACCGCGCCAGCCTAATTCCCGGATCGACACTGGCCACCTTCGCCGATGCTCGGTGACTTTGGCCAATCAGAGCCCCGGTAACTTATCGTCCTCGGTGACCCAGTACCCCATTTCTGTTACCTAACAAGGACTACATACTGAACTCCCCGCGTTAATCGGACGTGGGGATGAATTCAAAGTGATGTTCAGCTTGTCGTCATGCTGGGGGCTTTCTTTTTTTACGGGCTTTCCCCCCTCCTTTCAATTTTAGACACTTCCTTCTTTTCATCTTTTCTGCTCCATACTTGCCATCATGGAAGGCAAGGGACTTGATGATGACGCGCAATTGGCCCAGATGGGCCACAAGTCAGAGCTGAAACGCCAGTACTCTTTGTTGTATGTGCTGCTTGTCGGCTCGTGTGTTGGGGCCCGACCGCCATGCTAATGATCGGCCCTGATGTATAGGTCTATGCTTGGTCTTGCATTCGCTATTCTAAATGTACGTGAGCCCCGTTGGGAATGGTGGAATTCACTTGAGTAGCAGCTGACAGTTCTTTTTGTTGACAGTCATGGACCGCGTTGTCTGCAAGTTTATCCTTGAGTTTACCCTCCGGAGGTCCTGCCAGTGTGATCTGGGTAGGTTCCTATTCAGCCCAGGCTCCGTCGCGATGAACACTGACAATTCATCCAGGGTTGGTCACTGCTGGTGTTTGTAGTTTGTGTATGGCAGCCTCGCTGGCCGAGTTCTTGTCTGCCTATCCTACGTGAGTAACTTGAGAGACTGCATGAGGAAAAATCTTCGCATGACTGACGAGAGGCAGTGCTGGAGGTCAATACCACTGGGTTGCTGTCATTTCCTGGGAGAAGTGGATGCCTCTTCTATCCTGGATCACCGGATGGGTGAATTGCTCTGGCTGGGTTGCCCTGGTGGCTACCGGTGGTTTGCTCGGTAGCCAGCTGGTCCTGGGCTGCATTTCTCTGATGAACCCCGTAGGTACCACTTGTCGCTATTGAAGAGTCTACGTCTGACCATTTTCACTAGTCCTACGAGCCCGAGCGCTGGCACCAGTTTTTGATTTACATCGCTTACAACATTGTTGGCTTCCTGATCAACACTTTCGGAAATAAGGTTTTGCCTTTATTCAACAAGGCCGCCTTCACTTGGTCTTTGTGCGGATTCGCCGTGATCTGCATTACAGTCCTCGCCTGCTCCTCCGGCGACTACAACAGCGGTGATTTTGTCTTCCGCGAGTTCATCAACGAGACTGGCTGTATGTTCACTCCATCATGTCTGTTGAAGTATGACAGCTAAACATGTTTAGGGCCCGATGGCATTGCCTGGTTGCTTGGTCTCCTACAGGGTGGTCTGGGCGTCACCGGATTCGTGAGTAGTCATTTAGTTCTGTGGAGTTGAAGGCAAAGACTTACAGATCATCAGGACGGCGTTGCGCACATGATTGAAGAAATCCCGAACCCTTCCGTCGAAGGACCCAAGATCATGATTGCCTGCGTGGGAATCGGTACCGTGACTGGTGTCATTTTCCTGGTCGTGCTTTTGTTTGTGGCCGGTGACATTGACGCCATCATCAGCTCCTCGGCTGGCCCTCTTCTTGCGATCCTCAAGAACGCTACTCAGAACAACGCAGGTGCCATTTGTCTGCTGATGTGAGTACTACCTTCTTGCCTGCAGCCTTCCTTCCTATGATTCTGACCGTTCTCCTAGCTTCCCTCTGGTTTGCATGCTGTTTGCCACCACTGCCATCATGACTACTAGCAGCCGCATGTGCTACGCTTTCGCCCGAGACGGTGGCCTGCCTTTCTCGTCCTACTTCTCCCAGATCCACCCCAAGCTAAAGGTCCCCCTGCACTCGCTCTATCTCAACCTGGCGCTGGTCATCATCTTTGGCTTGATCTTCCTGGGGTCCTCCAGCGCCTTCAACGCGATTGTATCTGCGTCGGTCGTCTGGCTGGATCTTGCCTACGGTATTCCCATCGCTATCCACATGCTCCGTGGACGTAACACTCTTCCTGAGCGTCCCTTTGTCCTGCCTAACGTTCTCGGCTGGATTCTGAACTCTGTAAGAGACATGTCACGACAACAGGTTGAATATGGCTGACTTTATGATAGATTTCTATTGTATACATTCTCATTACCACCGTCCTCTTCCTCTTCCCTCCGGATCTTCCTGCCACCGGCAGCAACATGAGTATGTTATCCGTCTTGTCATCCTTGATAACTCGTCATACTAACAGCAAGTAGACTACTGTGTTGCCGCCTTTGCTATTGTTGTCATCATCTCTACGATTACATGGTTCGCGGACGGACGCAAGAACTACGTCGGCCCCCGCATCGAGGTAGAATTTTTATCCGGTCAGGCTGGTACTCAGCCTGAGCAACCCGTTCCTGCTGTAGAACTCTACAAGGCTTGAAATAGAATTTTAGAATAGATCATTCATACTTCAAATAAATTGAGATGTACAGTTAACCTTGTTTCATCGATCTGCTATGTGCCACCACGTGATCCAGTCGTATTACGTCACTACCCAGAGATGCCTGAGGCTTTATTTCCCAACAATCCATGGCGGATCCACGACTCCGTTGAACTTACGATATGCTTGTCGAAGCAAACGTGAACTTCAAATACCTCAAGCAACTGCAAATACAAGTCCGGGCTGCTTTTGAATTTGGGAAAGTACCAGCCGATATCACAGTGCGGCAGATTTATCCCTCGGGCCACATAAGACTTCCCCGCCATCGAACAACGCAGCTCGGAGGCGACGGAAGAATGTTCCAAATCTCGTTTCCCTCGTTGAAGTCGTTTAAATTGTTCGGCGAAAAGCAGGCTATTAATATTGCGCCTGTCAATTCGCATGATATCGAAAATGCGCAAGAGAAGTCGGGGAGAGCGTTGAAGCACCTCCTCAAGCTAAACCATGCAAACCATGCGATTCTTTACAATGACCGAAAATTCCATAACCATGCACCACATGTAAGTACGAAAACATTTTCATCATTTGAACCTGCGGTCAACTAACCTGATGCATATCCAGCTTCTAAGTGCCGCCTTCCTGCTGGGCGCGGACGCGGATGATCTTACACGCGTTTACGAGAATGAGTCCAAGTTGCTTGATGAATGGGCTGATTCGCCGGCAGAGGTCACGAACGATGACTGGAGAGATCATCTAGGCCATCGAGAGTATGTGCCACTGTTCACTCCTTGCACACATTAGTGCTTCGAACTTACTGACAACAATCGTTCGACAGATATCAGAAGGCCTTTGTAGATTTCTATGAAGATGAGTTGGTACGGTTCAATTATGACTGGAAGAATGTCGTTGAGGAGTACCTCTTTTCCGGCGACAAGCCAGTGTTCAGTTCTCTTGCCGCTGACCGTTAGTCCTTTTCACTCAAAACGCCATATATCTTGGTGCATGCTGATTTGTTCGATAGTTGGACACCCACTTATCCACCTCGCCTTTGCATATGAAATTGGCAGCCGCGAGGTAGGAATGGAAGCACTGGGTCTAGCATCAGTATGCTACAACAAGATACACAACTACATCGACGACCCAGTCGCATCCCAACTCGAGCCATCGTACCAATCAACATCACTATTCGAAATCTTTGAGAAAGTCCGCTCAGAGAAACAATTCGATGGACTTTTCGCCACACCAGGTGATCACAACATGGAAAAAGTCTTCAGCGACCGCGAAGCCGTCCTCCTTAATCACTGGAACGCATGGAAGATCGTGAACCCCGTCGAGCAGTTCCGCGAAAGCCAAGAGCTAGCAGTGGCACTTTTTGTCGCCTCAAACGGCGATTTATCTCAGAAATATGACTTCTTCCTCATCCACGTACTTACGACGAGCCATGCCGTCCGGGTCCTCTTACCGGTGATTCCGGCGAAGTTCCAGATCCCTCTCGTCCGGCAATGGTGGCTCATCACGCTGGCCATCTTCATTGCTCAATTACGACCTGAGCTGCCACTCGATCGCATTCGTGATTTCGATCTCAAGGGGAGAGACTGGGATTGGACTGCTAAGCAAGCTGTTAAGGGCGAGTACTCCACAGATGCGCATTATGTCAAGGCTATCTGGGCTTTGAAGCAGACTGCAAACACCTGGGGTGATCAGGATAATTTCTATTTGAAAGCTGCTGTGAAGTTTGCAGAGGAGTTCAATGGCTGGGGTGGTTTCGTCTAATTCTAAAATTTGTGCAATCCATGTGTGTGTGTACATTCATTTACAGCCTCAAATATGATTGATACATTGAGCAGTCTAGTGACCAGTGGTTATCAGGACAAGAGAATCATATAACATTTTGACGAAGAAAAGGTCAACTGGACCTCTACACTGCCGTTATCCCCGACTTTCCGCCTTTTGTCTGCGGCTTAAGTTGGCCGAGCATGACCTGCTTAGCGCGCCATGCAGCCCACTCATTGACCGAACGAGTCCCATCATCCTCGCCCTCCTTCAAAGGTGGAACAATGCCACCCTTCAATCTTTGCATGGAGGCGCTGTTTCTTGGACGCACCAAATAAGCCACGCTTTCACGCGTCTCCAGCGCCTGTTCTCCAGGAGCTGTAACAACCCGATGCAAATGAACTCCGCCAAAGTCCACCCGTCCATTCAACAAGAGTATCGCCAATATTCACGATTGCATGTCCTGGCTCTGGCTTCACGTACAGCCAATTCTCACGACTATTCTCATTGTCTGCCGGCAGGATCTGTAATCCACCAACCACGTTGAATAGCAGCGTGGTAGACCCGATATCGGTATGCCCGCCGAGGTTGATACTGTATTTCTCAGAGCCAAATTGGGATTGACTTCGTAGCAGTCGAATTGATGTCTCGGATATTTGGTCCAAGGGGCTGAGTGCACTAAGAGTACCAGATTCAAGCCCCAACTCATCATCAAGACGAGATAAAATGATATCTGCGATAAAATCAGAACACGCATCGTATTTCTTGTTTAAAAAGGTCTACAATACCTATGATTGAATGAGAGTGGTCGATGAATTGTCGCAACTCAGTTCGTTTGGCTTCAATGGGGTCTGCGTTCCTACGCGAAGGACAGTTGCCGAGTATATCATCTTGGCTTATCGTATAAAGCTCCATACAATCCATTTTGCCATCATCTGTTTTGAGTAAGCCCTTGCGCTTGTATCTACTCACTTTCAGCAAAATACAATTGAGTTTACTTGGAAGCTGATTTCTTCTTACCCGGTTAGGTCTCGGATATCTCGCGAATCTGCCAAGTTCGCCTAAATCCAACAATTTCATATTTCTCTTAAACAAACTGGACCGAGAAGAACATGGTGACGGTGAGTTATTTTCTCACAGAATGGATCTGACTGGTAGGCCCAGGGTGTGATCTTCTATGTCCTTGTCCCAATGATGCAAATAGACCTGCTGTGAAACATCCAAACCTACTTCATTGTAGAATTAGCCACGATTTCGATCGCTCCAAACACCACTGCTTCAATCTTAAGAGAGTTGACGGAGGATCAAGAACTTGTACATTGCTGTACGACAGATTTGAGCAGCTTGAAAGCGGCCCAAGACCTACATGGGGGGCCTTACAAGAGATCAGAAATGACGTCGAATCAGGGGAAAAGTAAAAGTAGATAGGCCAAATCTCTTCAAAGATTTTGAAACGACACAGACCTTGAAGCGTGCTAAAAATGGCTGAAGAGTGTCTAATCAGCTCAGTTGTATGTATGCTGTATGCTCAGGAGCAAAATGAATCTTGAGGAAGTTCTCCGCATATAATGCATTGACACCGTCGACAAAACGGAAAATTGGCCGCTGGTAAGTAGCAAACCCACTTGAATTAATATCCACTAATAAAGCAGTCATTCCATGCAATGGGATAACTAATGCCACTTATTGATACCTCCATACTTGCAATCATCCTTGCGTTTCAAAACATGTGTTCTTGTTCTCCATAGTCTTTATGCGATCCTTGGGATGAACACTCCTTCTAGAGAAAGGAGAAGCCATGAACGAGATTCAGCAGGAAAAAAAAACATACAACAGCAGGGATTCGCTGGTGGTCACCCACCCAACTACTAACCTGCCGGCGTGTGGCTTAAGTACGGCTGAGCGGACGGGAAGCCCTGTTCTCCACACCCTATGGTCGTATGTATCGATTAAGACTCGAAACAAAAACATCAAGCACGATGTGTTGTACAGTGAAACGATTTCAGAGTCCACTTTTTCGTTTAGTGGAAATGTTGGAAATAAATTGATATGTGGTAGTGATACCAAGGTCCTCCACCACTCACAAAACAAAGGTAGTTTGAAAGAGTTTACTATTTGAACGTGAGCGTGTTTAGTTTCTCGGAGAGGTATTTCCAGCTGACGACGGTGGCCAGAAAATAATCCAAGTACAAACAATGTGTAAATTCACACAGGACAAGTGAGAGACTCTGTCCGATCATTCACTCATGGAACGATATGTATTTCCAATATTTGTGCTTCAATGGCTAATGCTCTTCAAGTGGGCACGTGATGCTGTTTGTATTGTTTGTACATACCCACGCGTGGAGCTCCAACGTTCGCGCCTCATATCTTACGAGCTCTACCCTTCACCCCAAGGCATGAGGCTTACCTCTATTTAAGAATTCCATGGAAGCAGAGATGTACAGTGATCCAGTGTCTAGCGATCTAGGTGCATCGCTTTACCTGCACGCTGAGCTGCTTCCAAACATCCGCCAAATCACCCTTTACATCTCGCTTGCCCAAAACCTAGCTCTTAAGGGGATCCGGCCAGATGTCCAGTTGTCAGAGTCTTGCAAGTCTGTTACAGTCACGTTAACAGCGCCATTCGATCATGTCAGCGAGACAATTAAGCTGCCGGCACGCGTTAGTGGCGCGACTCGGCGATCACTGAATGCCAATGCAACCCAAACGGCACCCTCCAGGCCGGAGTCTACTAGATCGAGCCAGGACTACTCACTGAGGATGCAGATCGATCCACATGAACAGGCTTTGACTCCTAGAGAAGAATTTACTGATGACCATGTGCCCTGGACAGCAGCAGACATGTCATCTTCAACTCGCATTCGGTGCTATGCGTGTGGAAATGCGTTCTTGAATGAAACAAGGCTCCAAGGATTTGGAGATGGTAAAGTTCCAGGAAGTGCACAGGGCTGGGTCTGGAAGGACCTCCCGAGCGGAAACTGGGCCGAAATGATGGACTTCTGGCACTGCCACAAACCCGATACCCATCAGGATGATGCTGAAGATGAAGCGAATGCAGCTCTCAGGATAGAGGAAGCAAATGCTCAAGTTAAAGGCTATGGAGCGTCGAGTCGCGTAGAAGCGATTTCTAGCAATGTTCTCATCGACGTGGCCACTTTCTTACTTGCAGAGTCGGATTGCGTGGGATTGAAACAGGTAAGACTTCCTTATATCTCTGGTCTTTTAAACACGCCCCAAAGCATCGTCCCGATTCCAATTGCACCTTCATTCACGTCTTCACCCCATCGGCCCTTCATCTGGGCAACTTAGAAGGAGACCACTTCTTTTCAATGGGGTGGCCTTCGATACTATTGCCCTAGATCGATACCAGTGCTTGTTCGAGGCTTTGATTGAGTGGTGAGAAGCCCAACCTGAGCCAGAGGGGTTCGAATGGCAGTCATCCTCTTTCGCGAGATGGATTTCGCCTTTCATCGCTTCACGGCGAGGGTTGTTCTGAACGCTGCTTTGTTGGAGTTGCTTTCAATGCATCCTTTTCGGTTCCAATGACAGCCTTGGGCTCGTCCTATCCAGTGCAATGGGAGGCTGCTGCGAACAGGAGAGGTACATTATGTGCACAATCATTGTTCAGTTCTTGACACGCGTGAATTAATGTACCATATTGAATTTTCAAATCAAATTTCGTGTGCTTTCACTCAACTCACCGTTGTCTCCAAGCATCGTATGCCTTGACCAAGGAGCTGACTCTCAATTCAGTATGATGAAGTCGAACCGAAATCATCTGGGAATATCTCTGCGCAAAGAACCCTCGCTTGTGAAAACTGCAACGCACTTATCGGAATGGCAGACCCATCAGCGAACGGATGGCGTCTTTTTAAAACCAACGTGTCACTTAACACAAGCAAAAGCGGAGAACCGTGGACAACACACTCAACAGAGATGATCGTTGCGGCCCAGCTGCTTGAGCTGATCGAAAGGGAAAGCGCACGTCGCTTCGTCGTTCATTGCGGTCAGAAGAGAGGGCTACTGGTAAGTGCAATCCTCGCTACAGTGACCGCCTATGTCCTAACCTCTGTCAAGCTTTGGGTCTTCAATCCAGATCTGCGGTACTCCAATTCTAGCTCTGGTCATACCGTGAACAATCAACAAGCGATGAAAGTCCTCTACCAGGAAAAAGAGGACGTTGATAGCCTGCTTGCTCCTGAGATTGGACAACCTAGTCCTCTATCAGTTGAAGAGCTGGAACTTCCCTCGGACATTTTCCAGACATTGTCCGATGCGCTTCTGAGAAGTAGCCAGATGTTACCAGTCTCAGCACGACGATTCAATGAGTGGCAGGTCGGACTGCTGAGTCGATTCAGTCGTGAAAAAGCAAGTTGAAAACCACGAAACACACGTTCCTCTGTATAGGTTGAGCATGAAGTCATGAGATTGGAATGATATTTGGATACAATTGACGACCATCAAAGCCCGACTCTGCCATGACATCTCAAAAACTTTGAGCGCGTGATCAACCCTCGAATGGAGTCTCAAAAGGAGGCTCCGCTTGAGGCGTAAGTCTCGCAATATGACGTCTCTGGCCATCCTCCCAATCAAAGACAGCCGAGTGACAAGCCAACCGGTTATCCCAAACAACCACAGTCCCAGCCTTCCAGCGAATCCGAGTTTGAAGGTCTTGCGACAACGCGATATGATCGAACAAAAACTTGAGCAGGAAATCGGACTCCTCTTTCTTGTATCCGACAATGTAGCGTGTGACTGGAGATCCCTCATATTAGCATATTCAACCACTCATCGGGGACAATGCCACTTACACTGCGGGTTCACATAAAGAGCCTTCTCGCCCGTCACAGGATGAGTGCGGACGATCGGGTGCTCGGATGTGATAGGATCGCGACGCGCGATACCACCACCGTTCAAGCTCGCATTCACTTGATCGATACCGGAGTGCACGGCCTTGAGACCGTGAAGACGCTTACGAAACTCAGGTGACAGGCGCTTGTATGCCTGTACCATGTCGCCAAATAGGGTGTCTCCACCAGTGGATGGGCCGTCGAGGACATAGAGGAAGGTCGTGCCCGGGGGCTGCTTCTCGAAAGTGACATCTGAGTGCCAGGTGATGGTGTTCGTCCGCTGTTCGAGGAAGTTGGCACCAGTGTGATCGTCTGCTCCTCGGAAGACGAGGTGGATTTCGGGGAATCCTTTTGGGGCGCCGGAGGTTTGGTGGATGTGGTGGCGGCCGAAGTAGCCCGCGTAGTCGACAGCGTCTTGAATGGGGAGGGAGGCGAAGTCTTGGTCACGGAACACTTGTGTGAAAATGAAGATTAGCATGCGCGCTACTGCGGAATGAACACGATTCACGAACCGACAACTCGTCGTTGAGCAACGTAAAGAGCTAGCTGGTCTTTGCCTGCTTTTGATAGCTTGCTCAACTGAACCCCGTGAACTTCCGAGCCGATGAAGGGTGTAATATCATCGATTTTTGCCTGGCCTGTCGGGAACAGGTCAGGGAAGGTCGGATCGGCATCTTTGCCATGGTCGTAGTGCTCAAAGTATTCCAAAGGAGGATAACTAAAGAACAGCTTTAGACATGCTTTCTGCGAGGTGGCCGGGATGGCTTACCGTTCAGTCTCGTTATCCCAAACAGGCAGATAGTGAGGAAATGAAGCCGGCGCCACCTTGTCTGTGCCTTTCAACTCTGTCTCCTTCTCGTACTTGTATCCTATCAAGTTCTCCTTGTTCTGCCCCGAGTTTGTCTTCAGGGGAACCGTAAAGGTCGGGGCGCGAAGACCCACGGTCTCAGTGAGAGCTGGAGCCATGATCGAAGTGGGTGTACGCTGGATTGAAGAAGCGCCTACTGTTTTGGGATCTCAGGACTAGTAATATTCGATTCAATCTTGCCTGGACCCTGAATGAGACGACCAAGGCTGCTATATACACCACTCGGCATCATCATCCGGGACAAGACACGACACGACTTGACTTATTGCGCAATCACTGCGGGGGTGCTCATTTCAACCAGTCTGCAAAACTGGAACAAGTTTCTCAATGATGGCGATCAAAGCGATCAAAGCGATCAAAGCGAATTCTCACAAATAGTAAATATACGCTGCGGGGTCGAAGGGACAAGTTGCGTTTGGACATATGGCATCTGACTTCGTTATACCTGGCCAGAATGGCGTGCTGAAATTGCGTGCGTCTACATGAAGCAGTCGCGACTTTGTCATGCGTTATCTGATTACGTGCATCTTGAACGGAAGATAGAATAGTAGTCTGGGGTCCTTTCGTTTTCCAACCCCTCAACGCTGGTGTCACTTTGCTTGGTTATGGCGTGATGAACAACTTGTTTTGTGCAACGTTTTTTTTTTCACCGTGAGACCCTTCCAAAGTAACAGATAAGTAAGATACAGTAAATGCTTCATGATTAAGGCTTGTTTATGGGCAATCCAAGCATGTACTATTCAAATGTCTTGATGTGAATGTTCGCGACATCTGGAGGGTACGACGGCCGAGGTCTGTAGCTACCATAGCCAATGGGAGAAATAACATAGACATATTGACGCTGCACATCAAAAAGAGACCAACTAAGAGCAACAGCTCGGTAATGATAGCGCAAGACTCGCGGCAGTCCCCACGTCGGTCTCCATACCAACTGTGGCTGCAACTCGCTCTGCCTCACGTCACTTTATCACGTTTTGCGTGATCTAGCCAAGCCCTCCTTTCAATGGCGAATTCAAAAACAGTGTTAGACCTATTTTGCTGAGAGTGGGAATATTCTGGAACTACAAATCTAGTTTTCCTTCAATCAGCAACGACCCATTTGTTAGACCCGCGGCTTTAGTTCGAGATAGTCTGGACGACGTCAAAAGCACTCCCACTTCCACATTTTTACGCGAGGTCGAGGTGCAAGGCCAACTCTAACTGGTACTGGGCCCTATCCCAAGTGGCTTCGAGACATTTTCCCATTTGTCGCAATAGGCTTCGAAAATGCGCACTAACTTTACCCGTCATGCATCTGATCAGACCGACGTGGGTAATCGCGCGATGAAGGGCTGAACAGGTGAATCTGCCACATTATGGCGTGATAGAGATGCTTCGTCCATGAAATTTATGTTTTTATAAGTGCCGTTGCCTGTTTCACTCTTAGATTTCTCAATCATTCCAGATCTCTTTCCCGATCTCACAGCAAGATGACGATGGAGGAGACCAAAAATGCCGGTAACGGTGCTGAAGACCCTGATACAAAAGGTTTTGTGCCTAGGATTTCTTCCACGAGTGAATCTTCCTTGGAAGATCCGCGCGGGCAAGTGAAGAAAATCGAATGTACATTTGGGTCGACCGACGATCCGCGGTATTCCAAGCCGATCCCGGAGTATGAGGGTGCTCATCGCTGGGACCCAGGTTTTGACTGGACAGAAGAAGAAGAAAAGGCCATTGTACGAAAGGTTTGTAGCAAAGCACCTGTTCATATACCGCGAAGCTGAATTGAAGCAGATTGACTGGCGTGTTTGTACATTCGCATGTATGACTTTCTTTGCACTGCAGCTCGATCGAGGAAACGTCGTGCAGGCTACTTCAGATAACATGCTGGGCGATCTGGGCATGAACACCAACGATTACAATACGGGCCAAACGATCTTTCTCGTCATGTTCCTGGTCGCTGAGCTTCCGTCCCAGCTCTTGTCCAAGTGGTTTGGACCCGATCGGTGGATTCCGGTGCAGATGGTTACCTGGAGTTTGATCGCTGCGTGTCAGGCATTTGTCAAGACTAAAGGAACTTATTTCACTACTAGAGCTCTATTGGGGCTTCTCGAGGGTGGATTGTATGTTTTCCCCTTGCTTACGATACGATCTTTGCTATCATATTCAGAGACTGACTCCGCATAGCATCCCTGACACCATCTTATACCTCTCTTTCTGGTATAAGTCAAACGAACTCCCAATTCGACTGGGTTTCTTTTGGTTTGCCTACGAATTCACCCAAGTGGTAAGCGCCTTCCTGGCTTTCGGATTCCTTCACATTCGCAACTCCGATGGCACTGGAGGCTGGCGATACTTGTTCGCTTTCGAGGGACTGATTACTGGTGTCATCGGTATCATTGCCGCTTTCTGGATGGCGCCGTCTCCAACCCAAACAGCCGGTCGCTTCCGTGGTAAGAATGGCTGGTTCAATGAACACGAAGAAAAGATCATGGTCAATCGCGTGCTCCGCGACGACCCTAGCAAAGGTGGCATGCATAACCGCCAACCGGTCACACCCAAGCTCCTCTGGCAAGCACTGAAGGACTACGATATGTGGGTGATCTACATACTCGGCTTGTCCTGGATGATTCCCAGCATCCCCGCCGCAACTTACCTGAGTCTGGAACTGAAGTCGCTCGGATTCAGCACCTTCAACACCAATCTGCTCAGTATCCCAGCTTATGTGATCTTCATGATTAACTTGTTATCTTGGACTTGGATCTCCGAGAAGTTTCAGATTCGTTTCTTGCTCGGCGTTGGTGCTGAGGCATGGTCTCTCATTCTTCTGATCGCCCTTGAATGCCTTCCAAATGGAGCTAACGCATGGGTGCGCTGGGTTTTACTCATCTTGCTCATTGGCATGCCGTATGTTCATGCAATTCTGGTGGCTATCACGTCCCGTAATGCAGGAACCGTTCGGACGCGCACTGTTGCGACAGCCTTGTATAACATGGCCGTGCAAGTGAGCAATATCATTGCAAGCAACGTGAGTCGACTATTGTTTTTGGCGGTATGGCAGTCAACCGACTTATGATGCTAGATTTACCGAACCCCCGATAAACCATATTATCGCACCGGTAACAAGGTTCTGATTGGAATTACCGTGTGGAGCATGTTTATGTTCATTGTGTGCAAGTTTTATTACGTCTGGCGAAACAAGCAGAACGCTGCGGTTTGGGACAACATGAGCAACGAGGAGCGGGAGAGATACGTCGTCGAGAACAAAGACCTCGGTAACAAGAGGTAAGTCTCATGTCCACTCTGTTTATGAAGTAAGACAACGACTAATCTTAAATCCGCAGAGTCGATTTCCGCTTCTTACATTAGATTTCTTCTCGCACCTATAAAGCAGCCGTTCTCAGTTGTAAGGCGGCGTTGATTTAAATGCATCGTTCTGCCTCGAGTAGATTAATAGACCAATGCACAGCGTCCAAGTACCAGACATGACTAGAAAGGATAAACATATGGATTCAACAAACCATGAAGTCGGTCTACTCGCCAATAACATATTCACACCCCTCCTCCCCGATCCAAACCTCATGAAGCTTGCCAGCCGGCACATCAACTCTGGCCCCAACACCGAACGTCTCTTTCTTCTGCTCGCGGTTCTTGGCATTGTCTTCTGGGTATGTGACAGTCATTGTTCCTCGACGGATTAGATGTGTGGTGAGACCTCCATGAGTATGAGGTGAGTAATAAGCACCACTTTTTCAAAAGAGTCAACTTCACCGTGTCAGACTATCAAATGAGAACCACATACCTCCCATCTGACCATGTGAAGACGTGCCGGAAACCCCAATCTCGAACGAGGCGCTCGCACTCTGAGCGGGTGCCGATCGGATATGTTTCCGACATTTGGAATAAACCTGGATTTCGAGAGATATGTACGAGTAGCTAGGTTGAAGTCCTCCGGAAATTTATAAGGTGTTATTATCGTTGAAAGCAACAGAGGGAAGGATGATGTCATGCTGTGTGAAATAGGGTCGGGTCACGTGGGAGGTGGTTCACTGAAAAGAATACAAAGGTACGAGGAAGACTTCTAGAAGAAATGATAGACCGAAAAAGTACTGCATCTAGCCTAGATCTACATTGGCGAGGTCTAGTGCTTGCATGCATGAGAGAAGGATCAGAAAAGTAGTATAAATTTAGCCATAGGGCACAAAGAAGTTAACGTCGAGTCCACTCGTATATCGTGGAGACTGATAAGTAGGAGATTCGTCAAATGCCGCGTTTCCGATCCCAAGTCTCGACATAGAAACTGTGGGGGAGACGAACGCTAGGGTTTGATGCTGCAAAATCGAAATTGTTCTCCCCATGCGCCATAGAACATTACGAAAAGTTCCCCGGAGGCCGCGAGAATCCCAGGAGGATGAAAATCGCCGTGAAGCATATATGCGCCGTGGAATGTTCGTAGATGCGCTGACTTTCTCACAAGGTCTTACTTGAATTCATCTTGCCATCATCGCTGAGAAGGGTCACGCGCACGGCGTGTGGCAGACATGGCAGCTTTTGCCTGGGATGACCCATATCTCTTGACCCTTCGCCGCACAGTTGGGGCATCGTACACCGGGCATCTATAAGTGTTCAGGATGGATTTTGAAACAAAGGGTACCCAGGACACTGGCTACCGGGACGATGGACGAACCTTGTTCACGGCGCCCGAGCTCGAGCCGCCACACTTGGAGTTGGTCATTTTGATATTGGAGGGGTGAACAGATAGATCTGAAAAATCACAAAGGTGATGATCGTTTGAGTTTCACGAGCTGAGAGAGTTCGACACCCGGAACAGCCAGCTCTTATATGGGCAGCAAGACAGGGGAGTAGAGAGTACCACCCCCGCGATCCAGAAAACCAAAACCAAAATCCTGTCGGCTAGACCTGTGACCAAGCTCAGTTCAGCAGGAGCAGAGAGACTCGAAAGTTGCCGTTGTTGGGTTTGCACCAGGCGGGTCCCCCCTGGTAGAGAGTGCAAGCTTCGACCTAGTTCCTCGATCGCCCAGTCACACGGGCTGAAGGTACGTCTGATGAATGACGGTCTTGAAGCGCAGGGATCAAGACCAAAATGCACAGGTCCAGCGCGGAATTATGGCACTGGCGTCTCTCCTAGGAACCAATGATAGGACGCTATTCGGTCCCTCCTGACGCCTCGGGATCTTTCTAGCCTTGTTCAGCATGTTCGTGACTCCGCGCTTGTTTGCTGATCACCATTGCATGTGTGCTTGCGCGGGCTCAGATGCCGATGTCGGCTAGACTGTGCGAGACACGCAGACTGGGTCCATTGAATCATTCACCGAGATCCACCTTCCTCGGCGTATTCTCCAGCCTGTCTCTCTCGGACGGCGCATGTTTCGTGCTCGATAGGTGCTATGGCCGAGAGTCCTGGACCCCAGGCCAAAAGTTGATGTATCGATCCTGCGTCCGCCCAGATCGCCGATGAGACCCGCTTCGGTCGGTCTCGGTGCTGCGACAGGCGTGTTGATTTGCCTGTGGAGACACAACGGGCCCAATCATTCCACTTTAGGGCGCTGGATGGCGCATTGATGGGGTCCGATTATTGGCCTATCGACCCCTATTCCTCGCGGGTTCTCATTTCCAGGCTTTCGGTCCAATCGTGGCGCGTGATGCATACCAAAACATGATCATTCTTAGGTGTCGAGGAGTTCACGCAGGTTGAACCCCTCCCCCATAGTCACTGTCACTGTTACTGTCACTGTCACCGTTCGGATACGTTGACCTCGGAGGATTTAGCGATCCTCTGGTCCAGTCTGAATTGGGTCCACAAGAGTTGATCAATCTGATGTATAGCACTTGGCGTGTTGATCTCCAAGTCTCTCCGGTCTAACCACTCTAGTGAGACCGGGGGTTGTCCAAATTCCCCCCAGCTGTCTGAACGCGGCCCCTCCATCTTGCTTTGCTCACCGACTCCTCCCACTCCATTTTGTCACCTCCCCCCCCAATCTCCCATTTACCCGTGGAGTGCGATGGCGCGCATAATGTAGGTAAATTTTCTTGTTTGCTTATTTGCAGTTGGACTGATGGCACCAATTACTCGGCTTGCACGTTTTAGGAATTGGCACTGCCGACGCGACAGGGTTATACAATCCATCCCCCCCACACGACGTGGCTTGTTTCGCTGGTCTCACCATGATGTCGATGATTGTATTATCTCATATGGCGTGATTTGGAATTCTATAGATGGAGGACGGCGCAGGCTTAGCGCGCATGCCGCATGGACCATACCCGAGCTGCGTCGCGTACAGGACTCCATGCACATTGGGAGCTGATCGTTGCATACATCAGAGCGGCTTAAAGATGCGATCAGTTTGTTCAGGTTTGCCTTCTGACTCAATTCATGCGTCCCGCTGCAGCCAGCCACTGATCTCCGCAGGGGACCGTGGACCTTGGCGTGGCACGGCGTCGTCTCGAGCCTCCTTGCCTCGTACCAATATCAAACTACCCGTCTGGTCTCAAAAAATATATGTGATCGACAATCGACGATCTATGATTTCATACTTAGTATAGACCCCTGAAAGCTTGGGAACTCCTGCGTTGCGTCCCGGTACCCCCAATAGATTCAAGAGGCGGAGCACACAATGTGATATTTTGGCGTCACAGGGCCCGCGCTTCGCAGCCATGGCTCGCATCCATCCTCATCTAATTTCATGTAATTGGTGGCAGGTTTCGGGCCTCAGTATCTATCTTAACGTCCGCACTGGGCAATTCCCGATGGAGAAGGTGGTTATTCTTACACAGCCCGAAAGCATACGAGCAAGGATAAGAAACGTAGTATATTGTCAAACCCCGAATCTCATGCATGTTTGACACGAAAGTGACCATAGAGCATGATCTATCGATACACGACTGCTTAGGCAACCTGCTTGGAAATTCTCACCAACAGCATACCCCCGGTCTTCTCACCCGTCGTATCATGAAGATGCACCAGTCTGTAGCCCTCACACAGGCGATCGAGCCGAATACAAGCCCACGCAGCCAGTGCATCGCGACCGATTTCGTCATCTTTGATTTTGATTCTGCAACACAGTCAGCACCGGGATGTTATCAGGCACGTAGGAGAAAGCCAAATTCCCCCAGAAAAAGCAAGATACGAGCTCAGGATAACGGGGATAGAACAGCGCGGCACGACTCCCAACTCTGTCGAGCGCGGTTCACATGGCTGAGCATTTGCAGGAGGCATCCCCGCACGGACGGGATGTTGTAATACAAATGCAAAGCTCCATGCACAAAACGGGATCATGCAGCACACGCAGAAATGCAAGGTGATGATTTCTTACCTGAGGAAACTAAGCTCTTCAATGACGCCTGTCACGGTAGGGAAAATCAGTTTCTGACCCTCGAAGTCCGGGTTCCGGCCTGACGAGCTCTTCGTGCAGCGACGGTAGCTGCTTTTCTCGGAGCTGGAGCTTGCGTCATCCTCGTCTTTGTTTGTATCTGTCGAGCTGGGGGGGTTCGGGTTCTTCGACGTGAAGTTGGCAATTAACGTATGGGTGGAACCAATTCTCAACATGATCGCTCGCCGGCAGAGAGAGGTCTTGCGCTGCGAATATCTCGAGCGTGAGGTCGAGGGTATGAGTGATGGGCTTGGAGGTGGGGTGGGCGCTTTGGTAGCCGGGGGGGCTTGAGTTCCCAGCCTTGGGTGCCCGCGAACATGCCATAGTTGAGCATCATGCCTTTGTCGAGGTTTTGCCAGTTCAGGGCTACAAGCTGGGCGCCTCGGCGCCAATAGAAGGACGGGTCGAGATTGGACGATGTGACGCGGAAAGCAAAAGGGTAGATGCGCATCATCGATGAGCGGTTGTGTTCGAAGAGGGCGTCTCGTTGGGTGGCGTGGACCTCGCGTGCTGCCTTCTCGGAGAGAGAAAAGACGTGTAACGGGGATTTTGCCTCTGTGAGAGGTGAGTATGCTGGGTGGTCACTTCTGTGCGGTTCGGCCATACCTGGTTGATCAAAATGACTGAAATGGTACGCCCGGGTATAGACAGCCAGTTTTGCCAAAGCCTCAAGAATCTTCGATGGCTTGACTGGCTTCTGATCCGGATCATCTGTTGATTTTTCGCTGGACTCTTCCGCGGCTTCAAGCGCCTCGGCCTTCTCCTCCGCGGCTTTCAGGGGAGTTGACTTGGTCTTGATCAGTATCTTCCTCTTCAGCTCTCCAAGAGTTGGTAGCTTTTCCGGGGCCACATTTGATGGCACCTCCACCAACATGCCCTTCCAAGCTTCGTTAATAATATCAACCATGATCTGCTGTTGCTCCAAGCTCGCGTGGACTTCGAAGCTGATAACCACTGGAAGATCGCTGACAACGAAGGCACTGTTGCGGATTGCATAGCAGATCTCACGGAATGAGGTACCTTTCGTCAGAGTGTACCCGTGCAGAACACGAGGTTCGCCTTTGATAGCCTCATGGCTTAGTGCTTCCTTCCCGGTGGTTGTCTCCGTCGTATCTTTGGTTGCAGGTCTGAAGAACCTCTGGTGCAATGCAGTTCCCAGTCTCGTCGAAACTGAATGGCTCAAGCCTTTCGCAGGCTTGTCCTTTCTCTCGGGTTTGGACTTGATCTTCTGCTTGTTTCTCGCCCCAAGATCCTCGCTCTCACCGCCACTAGAGTCACTACTGTCACTGCTGGCTTCACTGCCACTTGATACCGGTGTAAGGGGTTCCCCGTCCCAGACATCAATCTCAACAGAACGGCAGCCTTGTAAGAGGACCTATCAAGTTGTTAATATGCTGTTCAGTACCTTCGGCCAAATTTGTGGCAGAAAGCCATTCTCGTCTACTAGAAGATACTGACCGACGTATAAGCACTCGCCGCAGCATCGCTGTACAACTGATTCCCAGTCAAGTACGTGTTATGACTCGACGAGATAAAATAATCCGAGATTGGAGCACTGAGATCTGGCTCTGCGGGTAAGGCCTGAGCAGATGACCCGGCATCTTTCATGTACGCCCGAAAGGCGTCCAACGAAGCAAGATGATTCGTAATTGGCTGGCCATCAGGACACGGATCGCGCTGAAGTTCCAGAAATTTTGGCGTGCCAGCGCTCTTCCGGAATTCGTAGATCTTCTTTAGATGGGAGTCAATTGTGGCATGGAACGTATCGAAAGAGTGGGTTTGGTGAAGCGAAAGATGCCTAGCTCGCTCCACGAGGCCTTCGACTGTTTCCATCTCTGAAGTAGCACGTGTGGCCTATTGAGAAATTCGGGTGGATGAAGGTAGGGCTGGTAGACGGGCGAGGGTCCCGATGCAGGGGTGGTTGAAGCCCCGCGGTGATCTCGGGGACGCAGCGTTGATATCAGGTTGCTGCTACGGAGGCCTGTCAAAAGAGTCCGAGAGACTTCAAATTTACTGCCTCAAGAAATCAAAGCTGCTGGCACGTGCTGTGTCCCGCCTTAACTCTCCACTTTCGACGTGGCTCCATCTGAAATTGGTGAGCGACCATTCGAGCTTATTTCTATTCTAGATATTACCGGCTTATCCCAATCTCTAGGCTAGCTTTGTTCATAGTCTGAAGTGCTGGAGACTCTGATCTCCAGATTCAAGTACTGGCGATGGCTGGATGTTTGTTTTGGGATAATGCCAAACCGCAACCTGCCACTAAAAGAATGAAAGAATACCGGACTGGTTCTAGTCTAAACTAGTTAGTTCGTAGCCATCTGTAGCTACCTGCATTCGCCAAGTGCTTACGCTCAGCCTGTCACTCGGGGTCCGATGAAACCTGCTGAGAAATCGAAACTGAGTTACAACCCACCCAGCAACTCTACAAGAAGCCTCCGTGCCCAGGGAGTTTCTTTCCAATATCCAAAAGTAAATCTCAACACAGCTTTCAGTCGACCCTATCTTATTCGAACAGACATGGCCAACTCCGAGCCCGTCCATTTCTTCGACATTACCTCCACTCTCCCAGGTACCACATCAACTTCCCCGCAATCCATCTTCCCCAAATTGACAATTAAAAAGGAGCATCAAAATCATGGTCTCCAAACACCCTTAAAGTCCGAGCAGTGCTCAACTTCAAGGGCATCCCTTATACCCAGAGCTGGATCTCCTACCCAGACATTAAGCCCCTAATCACCGGCCTCGACCTACCCCCAAATAAAGAGGGGATCCCATACACCCTCCCCGCCATTATCCACAGTTCAGTCACCAACCCCAACGGCGCATTGATGGACTCTCTTCCCATCGTTGAACATCTCGACAAAGTATTTCCCTCGCGGCCATTGTTTCCCTCCGGCGACGCGAGCTACGCGTTGTTTATTGCCGTGAGAAAGATCGCGAGTTTAATGGGGCCTGTTATTTCTGCGAGAATTATCCCGCGCGTTCCAGATGGCCTGGACCCAAGAGGACAAGAGTGTTTTATCCGCACGCGCACAGAGTGGTACGGGAAGCCTTTAGCGGAGGTGCTGCCTACCGACCAGGAGAAGATTAATGAATTGTGGACGCTTGTGGAGAAGCAGTCTCGTGCGCTAATAGAGATGTTGCATGGTCGGGAAGGCAAAAAGGGCCCTTTCTTTGAGGGGGAGACTCCTGGATTCGCGGATCTGTTTTTGGCGTGTCAGGTCGCTTTTATGGAGCGATTTGATAAAGAACTTTTTAACAAGCTCGTCGACCTGGGCAATGGGGAGATTAGAGCCTTGTATGAGGCTTGTTTGCCTTGGTTGGAAGGGCAGGGAGAGGAGAAGGAGTGGCCTATTGCTCTGTAAAATGGCAAGACGGCTGAATCGTAGTTCAGCAAACATCAATGGCTGGTGGATTTTATGTAACTTAGATCAGTCTCATTGAATATAGCACACTTGACGATGTCAATCGACGTAATAATACATGTCGGATGTTCCCGACGCGCTCCTCTATCTCATATCCAGTCATGGGGTATGATATGTATGGCCAGCGCAAAAGAAAGTTTTCCAAACCAAATCGCTCCAGACGAACCAATGCATTCGCACAAATTGAGATGTGGCTTACAGACCGCGCAGGAAGTTTGATTCCTTAATCGACTTCCGGCGGGCATCTTCTGGCACTCCTAGTAACCTCCTGGCGCTTGTCAAGACCCTCGGTGGCATCGGTGATGCTGTCGACGGGTGCGTCACGGTTGTATGAAGCCGGTGTGATATCGAAGGCGTGGTGGTGGGCGGGGATTTTGGGAGGGAGGGCCTGAGTACGAGCAGCCAGCTTCTTCTCATAGCGCTTTCGTTGCTTTTTGTTGAGGGCTGTGATTGGGTTAGTTTCTGCCAACTGCATGACAAAGTCGATTTTCACGTACTGCTGGGGTCAACACCACCCTTCTCGGTCTTCGACTGCTTGCTTGAATCGCTTAGCAAGTCCCCACAACCAATCGGGGTATTCCGAGTCCTCCTTGGCGAAAACATCGGGCTTGTTGCGGAAATAGTTCAAGCCGTTCATCTTCGTCCCTGCCGGACAGCTGCTGGGGGCACGCGAGACGGTCTTGCCAGGCGCATCAGGATGCGCCTCAGTGTGCACACCATCAGGGGTGCTGAAGGGCTGGGAGACACCGGGGGTGGCGGATGAGATGGCGGACGGAATGGTAACACCGCTGACGGTAGGCTGGCGCGGAGTGGAAGGGGGAGGGGTGGCAGCCACAGAGGGATTGGCACCACTGTCGCTGTAGGATCGGTATTGGCCGCGGGCAATTGGGAAGCGACGGTTGCTTGTTGATACGGTCCATGAAACGGCTTGTTGCTGTTGGAGCCGGGACAGCATGCCCGTTCGGCAGCTTCTGCAAATCATTGTAGCGGTTCGTGGGGTATAATTGCACAAAAAGGTGATGGTGGAGTGTGAACCCTGAGATTAGGCCCGTATAAATGCCAGGGGCCAGGTTCTGTGGAGTTTTGACTGATGCTGGCGCGAACACGGAACGACAGAAAACTGCGGCGCGGATTTGATGCCAAGCCGGAGATGCATCACGTGACTATGTCAACCATGGCCAGTCAACTAATCAGCGTGCTCCGTTTCAAAAGCAACCATTGAGGAGGGGCATCTAGCGCTAATAATGCGATAGGAAACGGAATAGCGAGAATACACCTTCCTTGTCCTGTCTGGCGACGTCGACATCAAGATTACGTGATAGAATGCATCCGAATAAGTGTTGTAGCTGATTGGTCAATGTCCATGTTCTATCATGGTGGAGCTTTTTTTCGAGTCATAGAACATTCACTGAGCCTAATCTTCTCCATAATCCTGTGAAAGAGGATTGGACTCGGTGGGACCCATATGATGGCGGCAACTTAAGACTGCCTTTGCTCTAGGTAATAAACTTCTTTTCGCGGTCTTCTTTCGCGCATCGAGACACCATGAAAAGAATCAAGGTTGGCTCATCGTTCGTAGATCACACTATATGTATTTGCCGTCTCGTCATGTTCCTGAGTATGACGAGCCGCAAGGCTTGAGAACGAGTCAATGGACAATTCTAGATATCACTTGTCTGGAATTTAATTGCTTGTCGGCTCAGCCAACCCTCAAGATCTTGTATCGTTGGTACAATATTGAACGATCTAGCATCTTACAGCAGGCGATGATCGTATTTCCAATGCGAGGAATAATTGGCTCTCGCATTCATGGAGCTTCTGGTTGGGTAGCCTATAAAATCCTTTGAGAATAAGGTCAACTTGATATTTAACATGAGGACATTTCCTGCCGAGACAATGCTTCTGATTTTAGTTTTACTCATTGCAATCGTCGCCTTTCCATCGCCTTATGGCGCGAAAAAGACAATCCGAGAGTTGCGACGCCCTGGAGGTTGCCCAGGCTCAAGTTTCTCACCGCAAGAATTACAATATTCCTAGCTGCACTCAAATTATGTTCAGCCACGCCTTTGCGAATAGCTATGGCATACCTTACGTCGGTGAATATATGAAATCTCAATTCATTATTATTCAGAGTCGCTATTTCACAACCAGTGATGCATGAGCTTACCTCTCTCTTCAGGTACATACAGTCCGCCAAAAAACTGTGCTTTTACCCCCACAATTTTTAATATCTCTATAACAACATCTAGTCGACAGTATGACCGCTTCGGTCTCCTTTTTTGAGGAGGGGGGGACGAGCCTCTACTGTGATGCCTGGTGGCTATAAAATTTACTGAGACTACCAGAAAGACATGATTATCATTGACACTCTGATTCGGAGTGAGCACAAACTAATCTTTGGTCTTGACAACGTCCACTCAGACCTATGCATAGGCGAGTTCCACGTTACGTTAGAAACCCCGTATTTCAATGACCATGCTGCCGATCTTGCCATTGCTCATTTGATGTACACTATATCAGCTTTGACTTCCCGCAGAATATCTCATCGGTTAGTGTCGCTCCCAAACGATAACGGCACTGTGTTTATCTTGGCATCAGGAAACGGTGATGAAGAGTTCTGGTACACTGGTGTTCCACTCTCAATATACCAACACTTTCCCTAGCAACACAGCGTGGCTCTATGGCCATAGTCCGTTCCGCGAGTGTTGAACTGCTCATCGATGAAAACCTTGCGGGTATCTCATGGCCATATCCAATTCTCTTCACCGGTGGTGTTGACCCTGGTCTGTGGAGGCTTATTGCAAGCAATGATGCCTACGAGTTACCATCGTTTGAAGTGGACATTACCCCGTCGCTCGCACTGCTCTGTAATGGCCATGTCCATACATTTGGCTTAAAGGTTGTTGAGTTTGAGAGCTCCGCGGAAGAGCACGTCGGAACAGTTGGCGACAATTGGTATCTGTGTTTGTATGGATTGACAAAGACGGAAAACATACTACTGGAAGTGTAAGTGTAACTTCTTTGACCTAGATTGCCTTATGCTAAGACTTTACAGAGCATTGAAAATCATGTCCCAGAGCCGTCGTTCTCATTTTCTCCTGAACTCACAACGGTGACCCTGAGTGGAACAAAGACAAACTCGTCACTCTATTTCTCTCTCTCTCTCTCTCTCTCTCTCTCTGCGAGCCGAAAACTCTCAATTTAGTCCACAATTCGCACACCAACTGGTTCAAAATTGGTTTCATGGTCGCAGAATCTGTCATTCTCAAACATTCAATATATGACCGCAGAGACTAACAACCAATCCCTTGCCATGATTTCCACTGGAAGCTTCTCCAATTCCTTCTCAAAAGTAACCAATACGTACCACTACCCCATCCATCTCTTCACTGCCTATATTATTTTTCCATCATTGCCTACTCTATTCTCCCTCTTTACTCTGATGGATCAGAGCCTGGTCACATCCGGGCTCAATTATATACCTTCTCTTACCGGGACATCAACTGTAGGAGAACTTTCGCGACGAGCCAGAACGCATCCAGCATGTACTACTGGAACAAGTCTGTTGTCCAAGGGAACAACGCTGATACTGGTATCACAACGCAGTGGCTGACGTTCACCAGAAAGCCAGGAAACCTGGGAAATAGCGTCAAAAATTACTTGCGGGTGTTAAGGCAGTCGACGATTACATGCTTGTTGACCGAGAGAAGTGGGTAGGGCTGGCGGTTTCTAAGACGTAGCCCCTCCCTCTTCATGAAGCCGAGCCAATTGTCTGGAGATGAATATAAGTCCAGGTATACGTCAGAGCACTTCTAGGCATGGGCAATGTTGTCTCTACCTGGTCGTGAATACCGCAATACGCGGATTCAGATTCCGTGTTCCACACGCCCTTCGGCGAATACGTTTACTAGCAAGGCTTTTCTATGTAGCTCAAGGCCTGATGATGTATTGTCACCTATCGGGGTGATTGGGGAGATTTGGGCTGGAATCTTGACCGGTTGCTATCTTTACATCCGAAATTAGTCATAACATTTATTCACTTAGTCAAATTGGGCTACAAGGTCTTCAATCGTTGCGAAAGGCGACTTGTGATCCGAACAATTACATTAAGAGGAAACAGTCAACGAGATATTCCATACGATGAAGATAAATCGCACAATGCATCTCTAGTCACAATGCTAATGCCGAATCTCGAAAATCAAATTTTTGAAATCTACCTAGCAAACAAACCTAGAACCTTTGCTATTGCCAGTCTCGCTGTTAAATATTATAATGGCAATTCATACACAATAACCGTGATATCAAAACGAAATCAAACGTGAAAGAAATAGCACTACTGTGAAGACAGGCCACTAACAGCAAGGAACGTGCAAATATCCTGGCACGCATCTTTCAAGGATTTCTCAGTCTTCCATTTGAGCTCATTCCGCGACCTGTCGGCGACTGCCACGCAGGAACCCACGTCACCAGCTCGGCGTCCTGCCGCCTTCCTGGGAATTGGCCTTTCGATGACACTCTCCATAGTATTGACAACTTCCAAGACCGAGGAGCCGGAGCCGGTACCCAAATTAAATGTACGGAAATTCTCGCTCAAATTTCTCTCATTTGCATTCTTGAGCGCAGCAATATGCCCACGAGCCAGATCGGTGACATGGATAAAGTCACGGACTGCCGTCCCGTCGGCGGTGTCCCAGTCGGATCCGAACATTTGAAGCTCGGTGTACTGGCCGGTCATGACTTTGACAACAATTGGAAGAAGGTTTGTAGGTGTCTGTCTCGGGTCTTCGCCCAGGAGACCGGATGAATCACATCCCACGGGATTGAAGTATCGGAGAGCGACAATTGTCCACTCTGGATCCGAGGCAGCAAGATCAGCAAGAATGGACTCACAGATCCACTTGGTGCGTCCGTAGGGGTTGGTGATGCCCTGGCAGCCGGGCTGCACCAGTTTTGTTTGCCCATTGTGGTTGACAGGGGTCTCCTTGTGGACACAGAGTTCCTCCTTTAACGGAAGACCCGAATTCGCGAGAGTGCCATAGACAGTGGCAGATGAAGAAAAGATGAAAGTCTTGATGCCAAATTCGCCAAGATTGGTTGCGAAATCAATCAAACCGCCGACATTATTAGAGTAGTACTTCAACGGTTGGCTGATGCTCTCCTCCACAGCTTTGTATGCTGCAAAGTGGATAACGCCGGTAATCTTCGACTTGGCAGCACCCCATTGCGAGGGAAGGCGGTATTGTTCCAACAGAGGAGCGAGAGCCCTTGTGTCACGGTAATCGTGAGCATGCAGCCTCAAAGATGGCATCTGAGACCCATTTTCCTTGTGGAACTTCTGCGCCAAGAGATTGATGCGGTCGAAAACTATCTCGAAAGAGTTGCTGAGATTGTCGATGACAATCACATTATAGTTGGCCTTGAGCAACTCCAAGGTTGTGTGGCTGCCAATGAAGCCCAGTCCTCCAGTGACAAGGATGTAAGAATCATCCGAAGGGATTCTCCGAAGCAGCTCGTCAAGATTGTCGAATAGGACTGACGATTCTGTGGCAGGGGTGTACACAGAATTGGGCGACTCACTATCCGCAGGAGTGCTCGCATTTGATCGTCGGCTGCTTTCCATAATGACCGATGATGAAAACAAAGAACCGCTCAAGATGTGTGTAAAGAAAATAGAAAGAGTCCACAAGCCAAGAAACTTTCAATAGCCGCGGAGGAAACCTGCAGTGGATTATATATGATCTTTGAGACACTGGCTGAGATCCACCGGAAACTATCAGGAGCCCGCCCTCAGGATTTATACAAAACTTGCGCACCCTGTGTTGCCTCACTGCCTCAGACTCGTGTAGCTTTTATGCTATTGTCTCGCCTAGCAAATGAGGAATGGTTCGATGCCCAGGTGCCCGCCGGCAAAAAAGGAAGACGGACTCAGATCACTCGCATAAGCCGAGCTAAAACACGAACAAGGGTTCAACAAGGGCGTACCAAGAACCATGGCACACCAAGGAGCAGTCAGATCAGACCTCCATGGATAGTTGGTAATGGGCCACCAATGCAGCTGGCCCTTGGGTTCGTTCTCCATGGCCGGACAACTAGCCGACTCGGGCCGTCAAAGCCTTCATGTCCAGCTAGTGGCCGTATCATGCTACAAATCAACTGTTTTCACTATACATCTGATCTAATGATCAGACTCGACTACTGCATGTCACGGTCGAGACCCATCCGGTTCTATTTCGGGGGCCAGAGTGTACCATGGGCTAGACCATGTCGATTTTAATCAATTTTTTCTGACTACTAGTATGAATCGAGGCAGACAAGTCATCTCGCCCGATATTTGAGTAATGTGCTATAATATGCGATCCCATTTCGAATCCACCTGTTTTCTCCCCTACCCCTTCAACCCCGAACTAAACCATTTTTTTTTCACGATGTCAACGGCCAAAAAACACGTGAGCAGGCGCGGCTGTTTGAGGTCCCGCCGATCTCGAATTATTCTTGCCGTGATTGCCTTCATCGTGATTCTTGCTGCAATTATTCCCGCCGTCGTTGTCACCACTCTACACAAGAACAGTATGGGTCCGAAATCAAAAGTCTTTGTGCCACTCTATGTGTACCCAGCCCCGGGGGCTTGGTCTCCGCTTGAAGAAGTGTATGTTTCACCATTTCAATCCAGTCGAGCCTCCATCTCCCCGAATATCCTTCTCCGAGGGAATTCAATCCCAGCTAGCCGGTAGCCCGTCCTATACGGAACAGGGACAATGCCATGCTATTTGGGTACCAAATCTGCATAATGACCCCGGAGCGAAAAGCTCAGAAACTCCACGATTTGTTTTTCAAAGTGACCAACCAAGATTTGTTGCTAATACACCACAGGATATCTGCTCATCCCCATATCAATTTTACCGTCGTAATTAATCCGGGAAGTGGCCCAGGGCCCAATGCCTTGCCTGATGCAAATTACACTCGCGAAATTCCCAAGCTTGCCGCCCACGACAATGTGCGTCTTCTGGGGTACGTCCATACGACGTACGCCACGCGCAATATCTCCTTGGTGCGCAAGGATATCAAGACCTATGCGGCGTGGCCGACTGCATCTTCTAACACGGATTTGGCGGTTCGGGGTATATTCTTCGATGAAACACCCCAAGAATACAGTGTCAATTCCCAGGCATATTTGCAAAACCTGACCGATCTGACCAAGGGTTTGGATGGATTCGGTGCTGCCCCATTCGTGAGTTACACCTCTCCATTTTTGTTTTTCTTTTCCATGCTCCATACCTCCATGCATCGTTTCCTGTATGCGTTTCCCCCTTGCCCCGATTATACTATTGGCCCTGTTCTCGCGTGGCTCCCCAGTCAAACATTTTCGTGCCTGTGGTCTTCTCTTCCAGGGGAACTTAAGCCTCTCATTTCCACCATCTGCCAACCATTTACTCCATTCGGGCTTCCCAAGCGAAATCAGACTAATAATAACCAGGTCGTTCACAACCCCGGCGCAGTGCCAGACTCACGCTATCTGTCTACTGCCGACTCGACAGTCGTCTTCGAAGAGGCTTACAGCACCTTCCAGGAGCGGCATGGCGCGAAACTGCTCACGGCTATACCGGACAGCAACCGGTCCCACTGGAAAAGTAAACAAGCCAAAATCCACTCGATATGGAAGTCCCCGGGGCTGTATAGAATACCAAATCGTACCGGTCATATATACCGCGTCTCTGATCGAAGGGTATCGTAAGATACGGCAGTTTACCCACCTAAAGACGGGCAGATCACAAGTCTAAACCTAAAGCCCCTCTGCGACCCCCACCCAAACCCCCCCCCCCCAATGATCAGAAGCCCCGGAATTGGGAAACTATGGTGCCCGCGCGTGCAACACGTATCTTTGGCATCATTGGTAGAGTTCCAGTTTCCCCCCCGAGGAAGCCAATGTGGTGTGTCACATTTTGCTTCAAGTCCATCACTTTAAAATTGGGCGCTCGGGGAGTACCGTTGGTCCCTGAAAAGGGCTGGCGGAAGTTAACTGCGGAAGCCGACCCCCGGATGATTCTATGTAAGGCACTCAACCCTGATCTCGACCCCACTTCATCGGTATGAAATGATGACTGCTTGGGGAACCTACAGTATTTGGCTAGTCGCTTGGCATTCTTGGCAGGGCTATTTCTGGGACGCCTTTTGTGCTCTCTCTCTTATTCTCACTGCGATGGCGTAATATTTGGAATTTCTCAAGCCGGTAGATTCCGGTCCCGAATTACTCGGTGTACTTTGGGGGTAAACAATTGTGGCTTTGCATGGGGGCATCGCCTCATGCTGCAGTCTGGCTATACCTCTTTCTGCCTGAGTGAACTTGGTTACCTGACCCCGAACCCAATGAACGGGCCTCGTGGATCGCCTGAGAAATCGGTAGTTCAACAGTGGTCCCACCACCTTATTTTGTGATGCTGTCTCTAGACCCAATTGACCAGGGGAACCTAAAGAACTGCACCCGAAGTTCTGGTGAACTCCGAGGTTCAAACGACGGGGCTCGGCCATCTTGGCACCTTTGGATTTGTCGCACTACAAGGGGAACATAATCGTCAGCCTCTTTATGTACTGTGTGAGGGTCTGATGATGGATTGGTGGCCTATCGCCTTCTCTGACGGTGGTCAATGGGCCTAAGCGAAATTAATCTCCACATAGAGCCGCCTTGTCTCTATCGCACAATGTGTGGCGTGTATCTTCTAGCTAAGTTTGATAGGGCAGATCTAGTTTCCCGAGAGTGGGAAAACAGATCGGCTGAATCGCTGTGGAGGGAGTCTAGATACGTCGATTCGGTACAGCAAACTACTTACGGCCTTAGGGCTTACAATTGTTGAATGTATAAGGGGTCATGGCAAGACAAGTGGACACCCTCTCGCATGGAGCGTGATCAATCCAGGTCTTGGTGCATCTAATCCATGAGGGGAAATTTCTAAAAAAAAAAATGATAAAAAAAAATGAAAAAAAGGGAGGCCATATCGAAAAAAGCCAGCAAAGTCAAGTTCACCTGCGACACCGAAGGTGCCATGAGTTCTTGGTGAAAAGTCCGGAGAGCCAGAACACATACTCTCTCGGGGTATTTGCCGCCAATGTAAAGCTGATGTGGATGCTCAGGGCCGGTGGAGGCAAGGGAGTGGCAGTGGTGGTCGATTTGCTAATCGACTGGACGATGGTCGGCGTTAAATTAGTGTGATTAGCACTGGTATCCCCATCTTGTCTGATTCCTCGGTGGTTCTTCTTTTTTAGAGGCCAGAACGTAGAATCTTGACTTAGAAGCATCGTAGTATTTGGAATCGTGGGGCACGCAAGACTGCTTTACTTGCTTTGTCCGTTTTGCAAGCATTCTCTAATTGTGGTAGAGGATTGAAGAACTGAGAGAAATGGAACATAGAATGTTCCGTTCCGTAATCTTAGATTAACCCAATCGACTGATTCTCCCATCCGCCATCCCGGCCGCGCCACAACCGCCCAGGGGGGGGCGGCTGCACACTGATTGTATACGAGAACTAGCCCCTGTCGGAGTTCTCGGGTATTTTGTGCCAAGACTATAATTCACTCACGCTTAGCCTTTCTCAACAAGCGAACAAAACTATTGCCGTCTTGCCGTAAGCGCTTGGGCGCCAGAGTGCTTTTGTTTAATCAGTTGCGTTGTCTTGTCCCCACTCCTACGGTGCTCGTGCAGGCTGGGGAAAGTCTCAGCCTCGAACAATTGTATTGTGGCTTGGGCTATGTCTGAGGTGGATGCCAATGATCACTACACGGGATCGCGACCTTTGACTGACGTGTTCTATTTATCCCGTCCTGGGGTAAGAGTTGTGCATGTGGCATGTTGTCTCACGGCCGCAGTGCATCTGCATGCTCGACATCGTATTGCTCGCCACCACGGAGGCGACTTTCCGTTTACGGGATGTTGTTGACATTTCCAAGAGAGCTGCAGTTCAGGTACATGGCGTGGAATGCATTGCTTTATCCGAGGCTTGAGTCTGGCATGTAACAAGTAAGGTAGAGATGTGGAACATCACCGAGACTTGTAGGTGTTTCGTAGTCCTCAGTTCATTAGCATCTCTCGCTTATTTTATTAAACCTCACGCAAGAATGGGTGTTGCCAGCAGTAAAGTCCTCAACCTCGATTACGACATATATATAGATTAGAATTAGCGGTGCGAAGCTCTCCCTTCGCGTGATTGATGTTGAAACTGACTTTGGTTGAAACAACATGATCAATTCTTTCATCCCGCATTCAATGTGGCTGCAACATCTCCGGCGTTGTATGACACAGCTCGGATTTAAGCTTGAAATTCATCAACTCCGTCGCTTACCGCCGTTTGAAAGCCGAATCGAGTCTTTTTGGAGCCATTAGAAGATCCACGCTCAAGCTAGTCAAATGCAACGGCTCGTATCGATGACACTGTCACTAAGAAAGTCTATATTTCTGTACCACGGAAGCAGTAGTGTGGTCCGAAGAATCTTAGAGTCAAAACATGGTAAATAAAAGCCGAGGTGTTATGAAGAACTAGGCTCAGTGCCCTACTCGACAGGAGTCTCCAAGCTCATCAACATTTGTACTACTGGAGATCAAAAGAACACATCTGTCAAACTGGAAATCATATTTTCATCATACCATTCAGAGAGAACAATTAAGGACATATTTAAACAGCAGGTACAAAATCTCATCTTCCAGTAGGTTAGACAAAACATAAAACTGCGATCTTGTTCTCGCAAAGGCTTTTGGATGATGCATGTCATGTCAAATTAGACCATAGCAATGGGTGTGGACAGAGTGAATGTCACAGGTGAGCCAGAGAGCTTGACCCAGACGGTCAGAGGGTCGTTACCGAGCTGCTCGGTAGTAAAGCCCAGGGTGCTGGTGGGAGCAACTGGGAAAGTCACAGGGATAGGCTCAGCACAGTTGTTGTCGCTGGAGCCCACAGTGACACCAGTGATTTTGGAATTAACAGTGGTGTACTTGAGAGTATAGCCACACTTGTCACGGTTGTAACGGGCCAGGAAGCCAGCGGACATGTCAGCGTGCTTGAGAGTGACGAGGGGCCAGTTAGCGAGACGGACGAATTCTTGGACCTGAGTCTCAACCCAAGCCTGGAAAATGGAGTACTTGGCGGAAACTCCATTAATAGTGATACTGTCCACATCGGCGTTCCGCAGGTTGGCTTGGTGGAACATGTAGCCCTCGCGGTAGAGACCGAAGAGGTGGCGCATAGTGTCGGCCTTCTCGGTGGCGAGGAGGTCGTCGAAGGTACCGCTGCCGGCGGAGGTAGCAATCCACTCTTGCAGAGTACAAGCCGGAGTATCACAGTTATAGTAAATTCGGGTAGCCCAGCGGGGGTTGACCTGCATACCATCGAAACCATCGGTGGCAGTCACGGTCCAATAGGGCCAGTGAATGTTCTCGGTATTCAGGAGCGCAGGACGGGTGTTGTCGCCAACACAGTTGGTGATGCCGTTGTCCCACCAGGCCCGGAGAGCGTCGCCATTGTGCAGACCAGTGATGGCGGGAGGAATAATACCATTGTCGGTCCAGTAAGCACCCTTGTCGAGTCCGACCTGCTTGATCCAAGCCTGATTGAAGCTGATTTCCTTGTAAATATCGGAGTAGGTGGCGTTATCCTGCTCCTCGTGTGTGAAAGTGTGGGAGATGACACCGAAGCTGTTCAGGTTCTCAGCAATAGTCCACCAGTTCAGAAGGGGATCCATCTTGGTGCAGGCGGCGGTCCAATCGTAGACGGTCGGTTTAGCAGGCCACAGGTTGGTTCCGGTACCAAGAGGTTTCTGGAACTCAAGCGCGGTGTCCGGCGGAGAGTCGTACTCAATAGCACCGCCATTACAGGCAGTGTAGCCAGCATCGGTGTTGGAAGAGTTTTCAATGTTTCCGTTACCGTTGTGGCCCACCTCAGGGAAGTAGACACTGCCGGGGTTCATTTTGGCGAGGATAGTGGGAATCCATTCCTTGATACCCTCCATATCTTGAGTGCGAATGCGGAAAGTCTCAGCAGCTCCACTGGCGGAATAGTAGATATCGGTTTCAAGGAACATATCATCAATCTGAGTGTTCAAATTGACACGACGGTATCCAGCGTGCAAGCCGTGGGTAATCCAGGTAATCCAAGCGTGTTGCAAGTAGTTCGAGGTCGCACTCCAAGTGGTATCGAATGAGATGAAGAAGGTCATCTGCTGACGACCGTCAAAGTCATTGATGACAGCAGCAACAGTTTCGGTATCAACAACATCGTTAGCGGCAAAGGCAGCAATCTGCTTGGTGGAAGTGGTATTGCTGATAGTAGCAGGATAATGCCACAGGCCCTCAGTGCTGACACCAGCGCCGGTTCGCAGACCAGAGGTAGGGAAGTCACTGACATCGGTGAAAGAGATCAACTGCTCAACACCTGAATTACAGCAGCCAGTCACATCTGTGGCGCCAAAATCGGGACCGGGGAAGACATCATACTGAACCATGCGAACGCCGTATTCCAGCTGGTAAGCATAGAGCTGATTCCACTGGTCAGTGGTCAATGCACTAGCGTACGAGGACCCATACTCGTAGCTGACTTGCGAGGCAACAACGATACCACCGAAGTTACCTCCAGTGGTGGTGTTCAAAGTAGGAAGATTGACACCAGTCGAGGGAACAATCAGAGTGGTGAAAGGAATACCGTAGGCATTGAGACCGGAGGAGGCAACACCTGCGGAAGCCGAGTCTTTGGCGAAAGGTTTTCGGTAGCTTGAGTGATCCCGCCGCTCTCAAGCTAGCTAGAGAGGCTTTGCTGAAGGATGTCAAGGCTGAAAAGTCCCGTGGTCTTTTCAAGAAATCCACTACTGACCAGCTCGTCAAGGAGCTTGCTCGCGACTGGGAGTCGACAAACTTCCTTCTGGAATGGTACTGCCGATATGCCGACGTCCCACGTCCAATTCCATTCAGCTCAGGTTGGAACATTCAGACAAAGGTTGCTTTGGACACTTTACGTAACTCGCAAAAAGGGCTCAAGCTCCACAATTCGTTTGTTCATTGGCGTCAATCGAGCAAAGAGATGGGCTGTGGTATACTATACTTCATGATTGCTCTTCTCGACAAATGGATTTTGCTGCTCAGCGGTCACCATACTCTCGACATATTAGCATACTTGGATGACGCTAGGCGTATGGCTGTCGGTTTTGCATTGGCCTATTATCTCATTGGCGCTGTGCTTATTGACACCAAGGCACAAGAGCTACATGTCGCTATTGGTGGCAACACACCCACCGCCGTGAAAGATGCCAGTGAGATCCGTCCTTCACAGAAGTCAACCGTTCATTTCCGACGAAAGGTCTATTGGCGCACTCTTGGTAGCTTTCTTCTCTGGCATGTCTGGAGTCTTGCAGTCTCCCTGGCCCTTATCTGGTCGTTCCAGGAATACATGGAAGCCATGATCATGTTCTTCGCTTATGTTCTGTCCTACACTGGTCTGATCTGGTACCAGTACACTAAGATCTTCCTCGGCCCTCACGCACTCAAGCCCCTTCTGGTTGGTGTCTGCGTGGGTCTCCCGGTCGGAATTGCTCTAACGGTCTGCCTTCCCAAATTCCCATACTCACAGGTCATTGGTCTCGGATCTGGCACCTGGACTGTTGCTATTATAGCTTTCCTTAACTCCAAGATGGGGATGCCAGGCAAGATGCAGTCACCAGTCGCACTGGGGACGTCATACCATGCCTTCACCACTCCCTGGGCGGATCCCGAATGGTCGCAGCAGGAACTCCAGAGCTACTTTGAGACGGTTTCCTACCTTCCTGATGACTCTCGTTTCGCCATTCATCCCGCTGCCCACCCCGGTCTGGAAATCAAGAACATACTGCTTTCGCGTCGAGAGGAGGTTCGGATCCATGAAGCATTCCCCAACGCGAAAGAAATTGTTGAGACTACTCTCTCCCGATGGGAGAACGGCGGCATTACTATTGAGCTTGTGCCTCAGGGCTCCTTGGGCCCTGGAATTCGCGCTCTGAGCTGCAATTCAGAGGATCGACTTGAGACTGGCTGTCAGCGTTCGAGGTTTACACGATGAGAGACTCGACATTAGCGCCAACTGCCAAATTATCGCCGAGACCTTGCTTCATTCTGTAGCCGAATCTATTGCTGGAATCCCACATGAGTACGCAGTGCTCGCTGAGGCAATTGTTTCAGGAGGTGTGACCCACACTATGGCGCGCCAGCTTCGCGAGGAAGCCAATTCATCAGTCGTTGTTCGCTGGGCTAAGAAAGAGCTTCTCAAACAGCTCTGCCTTGGCTTCGAAGCTGACCTACACTGGGACAAGTTGCCAGAGGACGTCCGACTTGTGCTTCTCAATCGTTGTCTTGGGAGATCTTGTGCTCTTTCCAGCATTCAGCGACAATGGCTCCAGTCGAGTCTTTGTCAATTCGACACTCCTGATTTGGACACCCACATTGCCCGGTGTAATCTGGGAGCGGCTACTGCGATCAGTATCCTTGACTACTCAGTTGACGGAACTGGTGAGAATGCTATTCCCAAGGAGCCGGAGACAGCCGACTATATCCCGTACATGCCTCGGAAGCTGCCTGTCCCTCTGGCTATCGTGAGATCGCCCATGAGCTACATTTACCACGGTCTAGGAGCTGCTGTCAAGTTCATTGTCATTGCTCTGATGGCCGATCCTGAGTTTCAAAGGGAATTTGACCACGTCGCAAAGTCCTTGCCCACAATCGTTCGAGTTCCATCAGTCTTCTGCTTGAACATGCTCTGGGTCTACGCCAAGTTCGCCCAAGATCTCGGCCTGTCATTCTTCCTCTTTCATGGTCGCAAAAATGTCAAGCGCCTGTGGGATGATACCAAGGGAATGTTAATTCACGTGAAAAAGAACAGAGTCCTGATCCAGAGTCTGGACGGTACCTTCACTGCATTCAGACACCAGGAAACTGATGGTGGCTTCAAGGTGTACCAGTACGCCGGCGAGCACAACGCCGAGCCTAAGGAAGCCAAGTCGCTCAAGTACGTGAGCACTTATTCCAGCGAGATGCTGCTCCTCATCAAGCAGGAGTTTAAGGATGGGAAGGTGATCAATGAATACCACTACGACTATCATGCGCCTGAAAAGAGAGGCTTTAAGATGGGAAGATCCTCGAACACTCGCATACCTCTGGGACGGCGCTGCGTGACGGGCGAGAACTACCTTCAAAGTGTCCAGTACAACAAAAAGGGCCTTATTGAAAAGGGCTCATACATGAAAGATGGCAACCTTATCCGCTTCCTCTACCACTACCGCAAGCACGCTTCTTTTGGTGATGAGCTTCTACGCGCTGAGTTTTCCTTGTCCCACATCACCTGCAATGTGGCGTGGTGTGTTCCGCCTCGTCGTCAAGAGAAGAAGGACAACCGATGGATTCCACATTCGAAGGTGACCAGCGCTATGTTCGTCCAAAGAGATAGTGGAGACGTCTACCAGAGTACTTGGCTGTACGATCACAAGTTCCATCCCACCATTTTCACTCTACTTCATGGCAAGAAAGTTACGACTCCTCCCATGATCGAGCATGACTACCTGGGTGTTCTCTCCAAGCCAAGCTCTACCAGTTTTGTCAATGACAATCCGTTCGTCCACTGCAACAGCCTCCACTCGAACTTCTTCACTCGACTCCTTGGCTTGACCAAGAAGCGATTCAGCGTCTCTACTTCTCGTGCTCGTTCACTGATGTGGAAGGCTTGGGAGGATCGCGTTGACTTCGATGGTATCATCGTCCGATGGATGGATGATCGAATTCTCCGCAGAGATGCTGTCCTTGCCCCTTACTGGCGCAGTCGCGACTGGGGTAACCTTAAATCAGCAAAGAAGTTCATGGATCTTCGTGGAGATGCAGTCATGGCCAGCGCTGACCTGGATGATAACATCTCCAGCTGGACTCCTCTAGCTGTCAAGATCAGTGATCTGTTCAACTTCGGCCCCGGCGGTGACGCTGTTGTTACAACACGCTCTAGAGAAGCTGGCTCCGATACAAAGGATAACCTCCATGTCATGGCTGCTGATACTGGCACCTGGCCCAATGAAGGTGGTGGTGTCTCCGCCTGTCGACGAGACATGATCAACTCGCTGCGCAGTATCAAGTGGCACATAATTTGTGAGGCTGCTAATGACTTCGGTGTTCCCAAGCACCAGACCGAGCGGAACATTCAGTCGCTGAAGGTGATCCCGCTCTGGGGTCTAGATTTCCTGACGCCCACGCACGGTCTATTCGAGAACAAGCTGGACTCCGAGGTGGAAAATGTAACCTCTGCCAGTGAATTTGACATCAAGATGAATTTCATTCCAATTCTGACCGCATTGGTCAAGGGAGCTCGTGCTGTCAATCTCACCAAGGCGGACATTCACCAAGCTACTCGAGCCCTGGTCAACCTCAACACATACTTCCAGGATTCCCGCCATTGGACGCAAGTTTGGAACAGCGAAATGGTCAAGCAGACCTGGCGTGAGCTTTGGCTTACCCAGGACATGCCCAATACCATCCCATCCTCGGAGTGGTTAGACATTGAGCTTCCTACGCTCTCCTCGCTCGAGATTGCTCTGTAATTATGGTACCGCTATCTTTTCATTTTTTCTATCCCTGTTCCGGAAAAGATCCCAAGTGTTTTCCAGGCATCCCACCATAGTGTCAGTGCCTCGTACGGTGTTGTCTGCAAGATCAAGCGAAACGTCACTCTGCAGATTTGGGACCACGCCATCAGTTGGCGTGAGACCAACCTCTGTCTGTCTTCGGCTTTGTGCAAGCTTTCACCCTTCGTGCGAAACGCGTTACTAGGCTTGATGAGAATCACCTCGGTCCTGACTCTGCACCACGCAGACATTATCCTTCCCTGTGCCGATTTCTTCAATCCAGGGTGGGAAGTCGAGATCGGTACCTGCCAGGGCACAATCGAGCACCGCAACATGTTCCGCCGCAAGGTCGATCCCGTAGTCAACGGCATCACGGACATGCAGAAGTTCTCACCTGTCAAGGAAATCAAGTCCGAGCGTCCTACGGTCACCATGTTGTCACACGTCTGGTATGCCAAGGATATCAAAATTGCCTTGCTGGCTGCCGACATCATCGTCAACCAGTGGAAATTCGACGATTACCACCTGGACATCTACGGTGCCATCGACAAAGCACCAACTTACTCAACCGAATGCCAGGAGATCATCGCCTCCAAGGGTCTCCGTGGCCGAGTCACACTGCGCGGAACAGCCGATCCCATGAAAGTCCTTGAGAACACCTGGCTCTTCCTGAACTCCTCCCTTTCAGAAGGTCTTCCCCTGGCTCTTGGTGAAGCTGCTCTTACAGGAGCTCCCGTGGTCTGCACAGACGTCGGTGCCTCACTGCGTGTACTCAGTGATCCAGACGACTTCTCCCGCTTCAGCGCGGTCGTCGCACCGAACGATGCCCAAGCACTCGCCAGGGCCCAGATCTCCATGCTAGCGATGCTCGGTGAATGGGACAAATACACAGACAACACGGGCCCCTGTCCAATTCTCACATCCACACCCACACGCGAGGAAGTCGTCGCCATCCAGCGCCGCATGTACGAGCACAGTGAGTCCCGCCGCAAATTGGGGATGCGCACCCGCCAGATCGTGCAGAAGTCTTTCAGCGGAGACCGATACCTTCGCGAACACGAGCAAATGCTTTGGATCGGCAAGGCCGTGAAGCTCATGGCCAGCCGGGCCGCAGGAGACATCCTCGAGCCACAAATAGCTGCTGTTGACGAGGAGGTCATCACAATTCCCCCAAGCGCGGTCCAAACCTGGCGCTCATCCGCTGCGTCAGGAATGTCAGGAATGTCGACCTTGTATAGTTCTGTCTCGAACTACTCTCTTCAGGGCACCCGCAACCGACCGGATTCCAGCATCTCGGCTCTCAGTCTGAGCAACTTTTCAAATGATGAGGAGTCTTATTCTCGTCTTCCTATTTTTGCACCCCGTCGCTCGGCCCTTTCTCTTCTGTCTGCGGGTAACAGATCGCCGAATCCATTCTCCAATCATAATATGCTCGGCCCTTACTCTTCTGGGGCGCGTCAGAGTCACCTTTCCGCGCGGTCGATTTCGACAAATGGGCGGGAGCAGGTGCGTGGTTTGCATCGTGAAGATTTGATGCAATATCGCAATTCAGATGTCAGTATCATCATGCGAGAGGACTTCCTCCGCTCTGGTATGTTATGGAGCGGTTAAAAGTTGAAATTTGATTTGCACATACGTCCTGGGAAATTTTCAGCTCTCATCAATTCTCTCTTTTTGTCATTGTCTGATACCTACATTTACTACACTTGCGTTTTGTTGCATTTTGAAGCGATGGCTGTAGTCGAGCACTTTTCAAAGGATTTCCTTTGAGGTCATGGATGAATTTCCGTGACATCCTAATGTCGAGTCTTGTATATAAACATGACCATACTTGCAAAAATCTAATGTCTTCTTGTTTCAACCAATTGATATGTAACGCCGTCAAAAAACACCATATGCATATACTGAAAAGTGATTTCTACAGCCCGAAAGAGGAAGCGAGTATTTACCATCCAGAGAGAAGTGGCAGAGAGCGCTTGACTCTCTTCCACGCCGACTCTTCCGGCTTCGGGTTCGCGATGCGATGCCACTCGCCGTTGAACGCATTGATGAGCCAGCTCGAAAGACCTACAAGATAGGTTAGTACTGTGCTGCTTCAAGGGCTTAAATTTAACGTACGTTCATAGACCACTGTGTGTCCATTGTGGAAGTAAATGCTGTGGTCAGAATCAGGGAACACCTGCATGTCATAGTTGTCGATGTTCGCCAAGTCCAGTTTGTCAAGCAAAACAAGCGTGTTCTGGAGATGGACATTGTCATCGGAGACGCCGTGCATGATCATGAAACGGACGTTCTCTCCTAGTGCTGCAGCGTCCGAGATGCTTGCGTTATCGAAGCCTGCGGGGTTGTGCTGGGGCATGTGCATATAACGTTCGGTGTAGATAGAGTCTGTGTAACAATGTAAGTAACACTCCACAAGGACTCTGCTGCTCACGTACCATAGAATCTCCAATCCGTGACAGGCGCCACAGCCATGCCATACTGGAATGTTTGACCTGCATCCCGCTCAAGAACCTTAAGGGTCATGAAGCCGCCATAGCTCCACCCCCAAATCGCCATCCGGGATTCATCAACGTATCCCTTGCTAGCCCAAATTTTAGCTGCCTCGATCTGGTCATGCGCTTCATAGTGGCCCAAGTTGCCGCGAACGATACAGCGTGCTTCGCGTCCAATGAAGCCCGTTCCTCGGCCATCGACTGTGACGACAATATACCCCAAGCTAGAGGCAATGTAGGATTGAAAGTCGACCGTGAATTTTCGATCTACCGTTTGGGAGCCGGGTCCACCGTACAAGAAGAATAACACAGGGTACTTCTTGGCTGGATTGAAGTGTGGAGGTCGGCGTTCAACGACTTGCAGGGTGTAGCCGTCGATCGTGACGTTGGAGTAAACTTCCGCAGGGAGTGCATAGTCTTCAACCATCTCGACGAGCCTGGAGTTATCCTCGATGACAGTTTCGTAGACCACTTCCTCACCCTGAGTGTTGATCACTGCCTGCCAGGGACCGCTGGGCCCTTTGAGCTGAGCAATGCATAGCCAGCACCCTCGGAAAACGAGATATCGAAATAGCCGGGCCCAGAGGTATCAGTCAACGATCGAAGATCGGATCCGTCAAGTTTCACTTGGTATACATGACGCTGGGTGGGTGCTTCTTTTGTCGCAACGAAATATACAAGATTGCGGTCGAGATCGACGGCGGATGGCGCCGCGACCACTTCCCACTTTCCCTTTGTGAGCATGACAGGCTCAGGGTTCTCGAGGGGTGCGAAGTAAGCCAAATGGTCGTAGCCCTCGTAAATCACGGTATCCACGTATCCATCATGCGGTCGGCCATTTTCGGGGTCAGCAGGGATGAAGCGTGTTGTCTGCGAGGGTTCAACCCAGCCACCGTCGAGGTTTGCAATGTCGTCAGAGCGGATGAGCTTACCAGTCCGGGCCTTGGTGTCCATCAAGAAGATCTTGACCACGTCGCTCTCGCGGTTAGTTTCGCGAATAAGGACCTTGCCCTCTGACGCCCAAACAACTTCAATGATGATGCGGTCGTCATCGGCGAAATCCTCAGGCATGTCAAAGGAGAACTTCTCATCTTTATCCACGTCATAGAATTCCAAGTGGACAATGGGGTTCGGTGCCCCGGCCTTGGGATACTTGATCTGGCGAACTTCGGGGTAGTTCTCTAGTCCGGGAGCGGCTCCTTGCCCGAGGGACGAGAGAGGAAGTATTGAACGGGGTATTCAGGTACATCTGACTCATCAGTACGAAGGAACGCAAGATAGTTGCCATCAGTGGACCACCAAGTGCCACTATTTCCAGAGAAGACCTCTTCCTCGTAGACCCAATCCGGTACACCGTAAAATAGGTCTGCACTACCGTCCTTGGTGATAGGAATCACTTTGGTCGAGGACAGCTTGCGCAAGTATACGTTGTTCTCACGAATGAAGACAATCGCATCAGAGGAAGGAGACCACTTCGCAAGCTGAACGCGGCTGCTCAGGTCATCAGGGTCCAGCGGCTCAGCGGTTTGCGTCGCCACATCAAAAATCCAGTACTTGGCATAGAATGAATGCCTCCAGTTCGACTGAACATCGGACGCGATCAACACTTTCTCCAGGTTCGGACTCGGCCATGTCTTCTTCGGTGTGATCAACTCGTTGTCCCCCCAGAAGTAAGGCTTCTTCATCAAGACTCTGGTATCGGTATCACGGGCATCTTTATTGCGGCTCCGAATATCCTCCACACGCAGGTATCCATCTCCATTTCCTCCCTGCTCAACCAAAAGTCCATCCTCGCCTTCGGCCCCGCAATCCAGGCGATCGCGTGCGATGCGGGGAGCCACTCCCCTTCAACACTTGCTCAAGCGTGACAGACCTCCCATAGCTCGTCCCACCAGTCGCAGACTCCGGTTCGTGAATTTCGACAGTCGATATAGAAGAAAGTGCAGCAGCACTGGGTCGTTTCGTCGTGAGGAAGAGCACGAACGCGAGCACCCAGCCACCAACACAGAGGAACCCAAGCACCCAGAGGCCCCGACGCATACGGTTACTCGATGCGGGCTTCTTGTGATGTTGTAAGAATGGTTCATCGGAGCTAGGTTCGGCGCCGTCCTCCACATCACGGTATGGCGCTTCTGGGTCGGCCATCAGTCCCCCCCTTGTGAGCTTCGAGGAAAGCTGCGGATGCGACCGACAGCCCTGAATCAGAGGAGGTTTGAGATGCGGCGGAGACTGACCGCTGTCGTGTTAGCGGTACAGTCTCAGGGACCCCTTCATCTTGGAGTTTCCCCATGGTCGTTGGTTGTAGCTATCGAGCTGAGGTCCCCGATAGATGGAGCTTATCGGGAATGTGGAGCCGTGATCACGGGCGTCCCTGCGTCTGTTTATAGAACGGCGATTATGTTCAGGCTATCTTACAGCTTAAGGGCAATGAACGGGTATAGAATTGGTGACTTTTTTGCATCAAATTGGATCAAGAATATTTGAAGCTGAGGATGTGCCCGGCAAAACCTCCGAAGCGCATCTTGGCGGACAAAGCCTCGTGGCGCTATTGAGAACCCGATCCGTCTAATAACCCCTGGTCATGACCGGCACAGATAATGCTTATCGGACCGTTGAATTCCATGGACCAAGTTCTATTTCATTAGGTAATTTAGCAAAATAGCAGAAATCCGGGAGTTTGAAGTAATCATGATGGGACTTGAGCTCAATGTTAGAGAATTGTCCTCAAAGGTCGGAGAAATTGTATAGAAAATAGCCATCTGTGCGACCTGTCAAAAGGACATTTGAAGGCTAATTCATTCAGCAATTTGAATCAATAGCTACGATAATTAAGGCTCTACTGCCTGTCTAATCCACTGGACTAGGTCCACCCATGCAGGTGGGATATCTTCCACAAGTCGTAGAGTACCCAAGATCAATCTCCTTCCCGACCCACGGGCAAACCACTTTCGCGAAGATAGATGCATACCCAGGCCATGGAACAGCAGAAGAATACGAGCTATCCAGTCTCCCTGTCTCACCATCTCGATAAATGAGTCGCTGACCTCGAGGGGCCATCCTAAACTTCCGTTTCCAGCTGGCCATCTGTCAAACACAGCCACGAGCAGATCATACGTCCTTTGATACATCTCTCGCCGCGAGGGTTGACCTTGATCAATGACAGTCTGGAATTCTTCTACTTTGACTTTTGCCGATCTAATTGAGTTCGTTAGCTTTGGCTAATCCTCGCATGGTTAGGTTGGGATATTCTCACCGATGAAACTCGATTAACTTGGGATCTACACTGTGGGCGAATTTCAGTGTGTAGCTCGAGGGATTCCACCGTTTAAACTTACCTGTTGGTCGACAGATACTGCTCGCTTTCGCTACTCCGATGGATCCATCGATGCATGGATGCTTTCTCCTCTGGGTGGTATTCCTTTAACTTATCGATTAGGATTGAACATCCGCCCAGGAACGAACGAATCATCAGAATCTCGTGCAAGGGATCATCTGAATGCCCGTCTTTGCAGACACAGGGATACCCAGTGACGAAGATAAGGACCATAATCGAGCAGGCAAAAGTCGCCTCGAGGTTCTGCGGATCGTTGGCCAGGTTCTGGCCTAAGCCAGCGATGGCTTGGTTCTGGTATGTGAGGGCAATTTCCAGCCACGAAGATGGATCAACATCTAAAGATGCGAGATGGAGTGCGGCGACTGCTAATAAGCCGCTCATGACATATTCATAGTTCGTTGCGATCTGGGGAAGCCCCGTTTGCCAGAAGTCCATATCCACTTCATCCTTGGCGAGGGAAGGCATTGTTTCAATAAAGGCGTGATGAAATAGACGCATCTCTTGTAGCCTCGATAGAGGCGCAACGTCCTCATTGTGGGGAGTGCCAGACTGACTCTTAGAGGATATCTCATTGTTCCCGCTTGTTAAGTCCGAAAAAGGCTTTCGTCTTGGTTGAGGTGTCTCATAAGTAATAGTCCCGTAGCATACCCACACCGCTTCGGGTGTTGGTCCGCCGGGGCCCAACGCAAATTTGGATCCCAACACACATCTTGAAGCTATTCACACCCATTGTTCCACACCCACTATGGATCCTTCGTATAAAGCCATTGAGCAACGTATCCAGGCCGCTTGCGAAGCCGCCAGATGCCGAAAAAACGCCAAAATCACCTCGCTGGCGCGCGAATTCGACGTTCCAATGACCCGGCTGCGGGCACGTCTCCACGGTCGGCCATCTCGCTCTCAGCGTACCATCACCACCAAGCGTCTTGATCCCTCGCAAGAAGCAGCATTGATTAGCTGGATCAATACTCTTGATGGTCTCCACGTTCCACCTACCGCGCGTATGGTTAAAGCGAGTGCGAATGCGATAATCGAGAGAGATGGGGGAGCACCAGTCAACAAGACGTGGGTGTATGACTTTATTAAGCGCCTACCTGATAGCCTTCATTGGGTGAAACAAAAGCCAGCGGAGAAGGCAAGGGTCGAGGCTGAGGATATTAGTATCCTACAAGCCTGGTATGATCGTCTTGAGCCATTCGTGAAGCGTATTCCGCCATCGAATATCTATAATTTCGATGAGACTGGCTTCCAGCTTGGTCAGGGAAAGCCTCAAAAGGTTATTAGCCGCAATAAGCATCGCACGAGGCTATTCTCAAGCGAAAGAGGTGATCTCCTGACTGGAATTGAGTGTGTTGCAGCTGATGGATGGCTTATGGAGCCATATTTTATTGCACCAGGTGTCGTCCACCTCGAGCGATGGTATGATAGCGCAACCCTCTCAGATGAATCACGAATTGCAGTATCGCCATCTGGATATTCGAATGATATCCTTGCGGTTGATTGGCTTCGCTTCTTCCAGCAACATACCTATGACCGCGCCCGTGGTGGTCAGAGGTTATTACTTTTCGATGGTCATGGCTCGCATCTTACATGGGAATTCCTTCACCTTTGCGAACAATGGAATATTATCGCCTTCGTCTTCCCTCCGCATACCACGCATATCGTCCAGCCTCTCGATGGAAGCCCATTTCGAGCCTTAAAAGAGAGATTCCGCGCTAAGAATAATGCTCTCGCGCAGTGGGGTAGGGATGCAAAGGATATTAGCGTCTTCTTCCGCGAGATCACTGGCATACGGGAGCAGGCATTAAAGTCGCGCACTATTCGGAAGGTATTCGCAGACCGTGGCATTTATCCTTTTAATCCAGCTATAGTCATTGAACGCCTCGAGGCTGCAAGATCACCTACGCCAGAGCTTCATTGGCCTACTGGGGATACTCCACCGCCGCAACAATCATCTAGTTTACCCAGTTCCCCGCCTATATCTGCAACCCAGGCACGCCGCACACAAGGGAAGATATCTAGGATAGCTGAGCGTGAGGGTATTAACCCGAATGCCAGCCAGCAGATCGATCGGCTTTCCCGCTATGTTATCCAGATGGCAGAGGAGATCAGCCTTCTAAAGTCTACTATTCAGCACCAGCTGCCGCCTATGCCTTCAAATGCTCGCAAATCACAGAGGTATGTCGGCAAATTCGGTGCTATAACCACAAAGGATGCGAGACGACGGACTTCAGTAAAAAAGGACAAGGAGCATGCGGCGAGTGTTCGGAAAGGGAAGAAGGTGGCGCCTCCAAGCTTATTTTTAACCCCTGATTCAGCTACGGACCAAGTTGAAGATACGGGGACACCAAGTAGGATACCAATGACGCCTGGATATCAATTTGATAAGGGATATTTATAGGTGTGGAGGGAACAATGGGTGTGAATAGCTTCAAGATGTGTGTTGGGATCCAAATTTGCGTTGGGCCCCGGCGGACCAACACCCGAAGCGGTGTGGGTATGCTACGGGACTATTACACGCCTGCGCCCGTTTCAGACACAGACCGCACGCTGGCTGTTTTTCTTCACACTGATCGAACATAAGACCTTGTCATTACTTATATCGACCTATCCCAGAGGGCCCTTAGGCATGACTCCGATGGGCTAAAGGGGCTGGGCTAACCTTGACGTGGCGCTTTTTGCACTGCACACACCCTTGTCGAGACTTGGTGTGGCAGCGACGTGGAAGTCGTCGCATGTTGAATTTGTGCAACAGACATACTACGCGGTCTCTGTATATAGAGAAATACGAAACACGCCGAGTCAAGAGCGGCCGTTGGAGAACCCGAAAGTCGAGATACGAATTACGAAGTGGATCCGATCACTTCCACCACTTGGCTGCGCCGCGTAATTGCATAAGCAAGCCCCCACGGTTTTGTTCTTTGGCGAGCTGTTTACCGAATTTGGATATAACTAGGTGCCTGAAACGATCCAGCACTTCGCTTGGCTATTTTGGGTCCTGGAGCCGGCGCTATGGGAGTCCTAATCTCGGTATACAAGCTCAAGATCGTTCCTTAAACAGAATCGGAATGTCCTACCAAAGACGATTCCCAATTCAAGGTCAATTTGCCTTAAAATGTTGACATCATGGTGGCGGTCAAGTATATGGGAGAGTATAACTACATCCCATCCATACCGGCAGCTGTGATCTTCGCCGTGATATTCGGCATAGCATGTATAGCGCATTCATGCCAGATGTACCGCAATCGGACATGGTTCTTTATTCCATTCATATGCGGAGGCATCTGTGAGTCTACCGTCCATCAGCTGCTACATTGCATAAATTGCTAACATTCATTCAAGTTGAAATCGCAGGATACGCTGCTGTACCGAATTTTCTTCCCTGTGAACTTAAGCTCCCATCTACTCACACCATTAGCGCGCCATTTCTGCCAATCAATACCCGAACTACACCATCGGTCCGCTCGCAGTACAGGCCGTCCTCATCATGGTAGCGCCTTCGCTCTATGCCGCGACTATCTATATGACACTCGGCCGAATCATGATTGTCATCGGTGGAGAAAAATACTCGATCATCCGCCGATCATGGCTCACCAAAAAATATTTGTTTTCGGCGATGTGATATGCTTCCTCATCCAAGCCGGAGGTATGTATTGGCCCCTTTCTACCATCAATCTGGAATTGCCACGAACATGAACTCACAAATCGTCCATGAAGGCGCCGGTATGCTTGTCCAAGTCAGCACAGCAGCAAATGGCGAAAAGATCATCAAGATTGGCCTGATCGTCCAAATCATTTTCTTGGCTCTATTTCTTGTCACCAGTGTCAGCTTTCACATTCGACTCTCGAGAGGTGGGTCGGCATATTCGATGCAGGTTCCGTGGAAGAGACTCCAGATGGCCTTGTACATTACCAGTGCGTTGGTCTTTGTACGTTCAATCTTCCGGTTCATTGAGTACGCTCTTGGGGGTAGCGGGCCATTATTGCAACATGAGTACTGGTCGTATATCTTCGACGCGTGTCTTATGGTTCCTGTCATGCTTGTGTTTAATATAATTTATCCCGGTGAGATTGGAGAGCTTCTCCGGGAGAGGAAAAAGGGCGGTGATGGGATCGAGTTGCTCGAGGAGCAAAGATATCAATCAGGAAACTATCCGTAGAGAATCTTCACAAGCATAAAACGGCGCCAAGGGCTACAGGACATGATAAAGACACGAGGCTGTACAAGTCTCAAACGTTTGAAATTTCTATGTGAAAGTCGGATTCTTTTTTTTGTGGTAATTACTCGTCGCGATCACATCTTGATGTCGCATTTCATCATACAGCCCCGGCGGTATCTAGACTGTTTTACCGCGACAGAGCAATGTCATCAATTCTCATGATCATCTTCACGGTCTCCGCAGCCAGCTCAATAGCGCTGGTGCTGACCAGCAGGGGCTGCAGAATGTTCTCCTCGGTAATATCGTCCTTCACACCGCCGCTGCGAATGCTGACACCAGCGTTGTGCTGGCCCTGGGCGTGACGGTGGCGCAGCTCGGTGACGACCTTGATCGAGTTCAGACCCGCGTTCTCAGCCAGGGTGGTTGGGATAACCTCCATGGCATCGGCAAAGGCCTTCCAGCAGATAGACTCGGTGCCGCTGAGCTCACGAGCACGCATAGCCAGGGTCTGGGCAACTTCAATTTCGGGGGCACCACCACCAGCAATCATGGCGCGCTTCTTCACGAGACAGCGAATGACGCAGAGTGCATCATGCAGGGATCGCTCGGCCTCGTCCAAAATCAAGCTGTTGGCGCCACGGGCGACGATTGAGACGGTCTGGTTGGTAGGCTGGGCAGCTTGCTTGATGCCGGTGATCTTGACATAGCGAGCGCCGGAGGCCTGGACCTCTTCGACGAGGTCAGCGGTACCAAGCTTGTCCTCGGTGAAAGAGTCGACGTTGGCAACGGGCTTGCAGCCAAGGGACTTGCACAAGAACTCAACCTCGTCACGCTCGATGTCCTTGATGGCCAAAATCTTGAGTCGGGAAAGGAAGTGAAGGGAGAGTTCGTTGACGGCATCACGAAGAATAGACTTCTGGATCAAAAGCACGTTACACTTGGTCTTCTGGATCTTCTTGACCATGTTCAACAGGTACTGGCGCTCCTCCTTCAGGATCTTGTCCATCTGGCGGTAGTCGTTGACCACGATTTGGTTCTCCATCTAATTTTGGTCAGTCTTTTTCTTCGACAGAAAGAGGTTGTTGAACATACGTCGGGCTTGGGAGGGCTCAGCTGGAACTGAATAAGGCCTATCCGGGCCTTCTCGATTCTTGTGGGACCACCGCTGCTCTTGATGACAGGCTGGTTCATCACCAGACCATCAACCATCTCACTATCCTCAATTGTGCCTCCAACCTTCTTCACAATGCGAATGTTGCGCAGGTCGACATTCTCGGCAGTCTTGGGGTCCACAACCTTCAACACGGAGTCGACGGCCATTGGGCCCAGCAGGCCGGAGTGTTGGGAGACAATCTTGGACGAGAGTGAGGTAGAGGCGGCTTGCAGGAGGGTAGCGCGGTCGGTCAGGCTGATAGGGCGGGACATGTTGTGGAGGATTTCAACGGCGGCGTTGGCGGCGCGCTGGAATGATTCAGAGATGACAGTGGGATGAATACCCTTGGCCAGCAGACGCTCGGCGGCACCGAGCAGACTACCAGCAATGACCACAACGGAAGTTGTACCATCACCAGCCTCAACATCCTGTGCGGCACTGAGATCGACCAGCATGCGGGCAGCCGGGTGCATAACGCTCATGTCCCTCAACATGGTGTTTCCATCGTTGGTCTGCGGGGGTTAGTCGACGCGGTCGACGGACGAGAAAAGGGGATTGCGTACGATAATGGTCTGTCCCTTGGGAGTTTGAATCTATGCGAATATTAGCAACTTGCAAGCCCAGAAATGGGTGGTGTACTCACCATCTTGTCCATGCCCCTGGGTCCCAAAGACTGTCTCCGTGTTAGCCCCTCATCTCTGTAGATACAAATATTTGAAATGATCGTACTGTCCGAATAGCATCGGCAACAGCTACGAATTGTTAGCAGAAAGCTCACACAGGATCAATAACGCTTCACATACCTCGAGCTGCGAGAATATTAGATGACCGCACGGCCATGGGCTTCTCCTTGTCCTGCACACTGTTTAGCACCAGACCACACACACACAACTTTTCGAGCATAGCGCACCTTGAAGGAGGCATTGCCACCAGATCCCTGAGACACTGCGGTCGCCATTTTGAATATCGTAATTCAAAGCAACCAAATTAGGAAAGGATAGGGGAAAGTCGAGTTGGCGGAGGTGGAGGACACACAGGGAAATTCTGCGAGTTTCTGGGGCGGTGATGAAGCTTGGCGTTGATTAGTGAGTTGAGCTCGGCCACCGCAGCTCTGCTACATCACCAACCATCACCTCACGTTATACCAGAGCCTCCTTCTTCGAATTCCTGAGGGGTCAAACTTGCTGAATTTTTGAACGCTCCATCCTTTCGCTTTCAATTCTTTTTGTCTTTGCCTCGATTCCAGCTCCTCAGCCCTAGGCTGTCAACACCTGCAGCATGCCTAGCGCCACGGGATCGAACTGGGAGAAGTACCAGAAAAATTACGCCGACGACGAGGAGCCCGAGAAGAAGATCACTCCCCTCTCAGACGAGTAAGTTTTTTTTTCGCAATGGAATTCGGAAATGCGAGTCCGGGCGATGGCTGGCTGACGTCGACCGCAGTGATATCGCAGTACTCAAGACCTACGGCGCCGCCCCCTACGCGACCGCCCTCAAGAAGCTCGAGAAAGACATCAAGGACAAGCAAAGTAGCGTCAATGAGAAGATCGGCGTGAAGGTGATTATCAATCCAGCTATCTGGACCTCCTTTGGATCTCTGGAGCTCACACGCGTGTAGGAATCCGACACGGGTCTCGCACCTCCACACCTTTGGGATGTGGCCGCCGACCGACAACGGATGGCGGAAGAGCAGCCGCTTCAAGTGGCTCGGTGCACAAAGATTATTCAGGATGAAAAGGACTCAGACAAGAGCAAATATGTCATCAACGTGAAACAGATTGCCAAGTTCGTCGTCAACTTGGGAGAGCGCGTGAGTCCGACAGATATTGAGGAGGGCATGCGAGTCGGGTAGGTTCAGTCTTTGATGGGCAGGGAATGCTCTTGCTAACCCAGAATCCTAGTGTCGACCGGAATAAGTACCAGATTATGCTGCCGCTGCCGCCCAAGATCGACCCCAGCGTGACAATGATGACCGTTGAAGATAAGCCCGATGTGACCTACGGCGATGTGGGTGGTTGTAAGGAACAGATTGAGAAGCTACGAGAAGTTGTTGAGATGCCCTTGCTATCACCAGAGCGATTCGTCAACCTCGGTATCGACCCTTCCAAGGGAGCTTTGCTCTACGGTCCTCCTGGTACCGGTAAGACTCTCTGCGCTCGTGCAGTGGCCAACAGAACCGACGCAACTTTCATCCGTGTAATCGGATCGGAGTTGGTGCAGAAGTACGTTGGTGAGGGTGCCCGGATGGTGCGTGAGCTGTTTGAGATGGCCCGCACAAAAAAGGCCTGCATTATTTTCTTCGACGAAATTGATGCCGTCGGTGGAGCTCGATTTGATGACGGAGCTGGTGGTGATAACGAAGTTCAGCGAACTATGCTGGAGCTGATCACTCAGCTGGACGGTTTCGACTCCCGTGGTAACATCAAGGTGATGTTCGCCACTAACCGACCTTCCACACTCGACCCTGCGCTGATGCGTCCCGGTCGTATCGATCGTAAGATCGAGTTCTCGCTGCCTGACGTTGAGGGCCGTGCCAACATTCTGCGTATTCACGCCAAGAGCATGTCCGTTGAACGGGATATCCGATGGGAGCTGATTTCACGCTTGTGCCCGAACGCAACCGGTGCCGAGCTGCGCAGTGTAGCGACTGAGGCAGGCATGTTTGCGATCCGTGCCCGGAGAAAGGTGGCCACCGAGAAGGACTTCTTGGCGTCAGTGGAGAAGGTCATCAAAGGCAATCTCAAGTTCAACTCCACAGCGACATACATGCAGTACAACTAGAGATCTGCGAGGTTCCTGCATGAGCGTGGTGGATAGGCTGTATGACCATTCTATTTTTGTCATTTTGAGGCGTTGCCTCTGACCTGTGGACCAATTTTATAATCTACAACCGCATTTTGAAGTGCTAGTAATCTGATGGTAGAGAGGCCCTCCTAGGTCACTTACACCCTCGCATGTAAGCCAAACTGGATTTGCTCGTCAATCTAATGCAGCATTGGACGATTGGTTTCGATATATCACCCATTCATACCAATGGTATCTAGAAGAGCAATTCACTCATTGTTGCCAATTAGAACCCTCAACGCTGGCTCCTATTCCTTTTGCCCGGGAGATTTGTCGGTTGTCTAGAGGTACCGCTGCTGAATTTATTATCAGACATGTGCAGTAATTTCAATTGTACACAAGTAGATTTACCATCATCTAGGCAATTGTCACATGTATTGTGCCTCGTTTCGTTAGTCCTAGCCTTGAAGGGGTTCGCGATGCCCGGGAGACCATGGCGAGTAGTATATCTCGACGTAGGTATGCGGTATGTCCAAATTATTGATAGACAGAGAAATGATTCATTGAGGCTGGGGGAGATTTTCGAAATATACAAGTCTAATCTATATGAGTCTGAAACCGAACTTCCCCCGCGATGCTCGCATACATTCCCTGTCCAGGGGAGCCGAACAGGGCATGTTTGACTGCCATTGGTCGTCCTCGGTGGTTTCCTGAAGGTTCTTGAAAGTAGAAGGAGAATGCGCCAAAGAGATGTTACCCCATAAAGAAGCCGATCGATCAGCCGATCAGATCGGATCACCAAATCGGGGGTGCAAAGCAAGTCTCGACGCCATCACGCTGAACCCGTCTTCTTCCGAAGACCGTGCAGGAATGCCGAAGGAGACCCGGCTAAACCATAGACCACGGTCACGTGTGAGCCAGAAGCCCGAGGTCATGTTCATTGTGGAGTCAAACAACACTAATGCCTCGCTCCTCATTGGTCTAGAGCCCGGGAAATCCTGACCCAGTCGACGTTGTTAGTCATCACAGACGCCAGAGTTGAACTTCTCGGCTTAATCCTTGGAGTCGCCGCCGTAGCAGGAGTTCCCCCATTCCACCTTCCCCCCTCATCAATCGATTCCCACCGACTTCGGTGCTCTCTCTTGTTTCGGGTTAGAGAAGATATCTCTTTTTGACCCGTCATCATGAGCTCTATGAGCTTGCGGAGCCTTGCTCCTGCCTCCAAGGTGAGTAGCCGAACATGCGTCAATTTTCGGCCCGGCTTCGCAATGCATCTCTAACCTGCGTGTCAATAGGTTTCTCGGATCTTGAACAGCCAGAGACGCCTTTTCTCTTCTTCTCGGCCCGCCGGTACGCATTCCGCCATACCCTTCCATTCGTCTCGTCACTAACGCCTTCTATTAGCCAAGATCTGGTCCAACGGACCGCTGCGCGCCAAGGAGTCCAATAGTTACATCTGGGACAAGTACCCCGTGATTGTAAGCTGATACGCCGCATTGATTAAAGAGACGGGATGGACGTCTGACTATTGCAGGATCACGAGTACGATGCCGTTGTTGTCGGTGCCGGTGGTGCCGGTCTGCGTGCCGCCTTCGGTCTGGCCGAGGCTGGCTTCAACACTGCCTGTGTTTCCAAGCTGTTCCCTACTCGCTCTCACACTGTCGCTGCCCAGGGTGGTATCAACGCTGCTCTTGGAAAGTAAGTTGACTCTGATGAGACTTCTGGGCACGTGCCGAACCGAGACTGACTGAGATCTACAGCATGCACGAGGATGACTGGAGATGGCACATGTACGATACCGTGAAGGGTTCAGATTGGCTCGGTGACCAGGATGCGATTCACTACATGACCCGTGAGGCTCCCGCCTCTGTCCGTGAGCTCGAGGGCTACGGTTGTCCCTTCTCCCGTACCGAGGATGGCCGCATCTACCAGCGTGCCTTCGGTGGTCAGTCCAAGGAGTTCGGCAAGGGTGGCCAGGCCTACCGTTGCTGTGCCGCCGCTGACCGTACCGGCCACGCCCTGCTTCACACCCTCTACGGCCAGTCTTTGCGCCACAACACCAACTACTTCATCGAGTACTTCGCCCTCGATCTCCTGATGGAGGATGGTGAGTGCCGCGGTATCATCGCCTACAACCAGGAGGACGGTACCCTGCACCGCTTCAAGGCTCACCACACCGTTCTGGCCACCGGTGGTTACGGACGTGCCTACTTCTCTTGCACTTCCGCTCACACTTGCACTGGTGATGGTATGGCCATGGTTGCCCGTGCTGGTCTCCCCAACCAGGATCTGGAGTTCGTTCAGTTCCACCCCACTGGTATCTACGGTGCCGGCTGCCTGATCACCGAGGGTTCCCGTGGTGAGGGTGGTTATCTGCTCAACTCTGAGGGTGAGCGTTTCATGGAGCGTTACGCTCCTACCGCCAAGGATCTGGCTTCGCGTGATGTTGTCTCCCGTTCCATGACTCTCGAAATCCGTGAGGGCCGTGGTGTCGGACCCGAGAAGGACCACATCTACCTCCAGTTGAGCCACTTGCCCGCCGAGCTGCTCCACGAGCGTCTTCCCGGTATTTCCGAGACTGCCTCCATTTTCGCCGGTGTCGACGTGACCAAGCAGCCTATCCCCGTCTTGCCCACCGTCCACTACAACATGGGTGGTATTCCTACCAAGTACACCGGTGAGGTCCTCAACGTCGACGAGAACGGCAACGACAAGGTTGTTCCCGGTCTGTTCGCCTGCGGTGAGGCCGCCTGTGTGTCCGTCCACGGTGCCAACCGCCTGGGTGCCAACTCCCTGCTCGATCTGATTGTCTTTGGTCGTGCCGTCTCTCACCGTGTCCGTGAGATTTCCACCCCGGCAAGCCCCACAAGGAGCTGGCCGCCGATGCCGGTGCTCAGTCCATCAAGGACCTCGACTTCGCCCGCAACGCCAATGGCACCAAGTCCACCCACGAGATCCGCAGCGCCATGCAGAAGGCCATGCAGACTGATGTTTCAGTGTTCCGTACCCAGGAGTCTTTGGACGAGGGTGTCAAGAAGGTCGCTGAGGTCGACACCTGGTACGACCAGGTCAAGACCAAGGATCGCAGCATGATCTGGAACTCCGATCTCGTTGAGACCCTTGAGCTCCGCAACTTGTTGACTTGCGCGTACGTATCCCCGTGACAATCTTGTAGGCCATTCAGCTAACCGCATTTTTCCCAGTACCCAAACCGCCGTCGCTGCCGCCAACCGTAAGGAGTCCCGTGGTGCTCACGCCCGTGAGGACTACCCCCGAGCGTGACGACAAGGAGTGGATGAAGCACACCCTCACCTGGCAGAAGGAGGCCCACGGCAAGGTCGACCTCTCTTACCGTGCCGTTGAGGCCAACACTCTGGATGAGAACGAGTGCAAGCCTGTGCCGCCGTTCAAGCGTACCTACTAAACTTGATAATTGGGACGTGTTTGGAGGAGTCCATGAAAAGACCATGCTTTCTGTTTGACTTGTGTTACTTTACCATCCTGTATAGCCATATTTTTCCTTTACCGGGCGAAGAGTTGGTGTACTGAGAGCTTATTCCCTCAGTTGTTTCATATCACTGGATTTTCATTTTTTTTTTTTTACCAATTTTGTTGGCCTCTCGTAGTGTTCCAGCCCATTCGGCTTGCCCTTGCGGAAGATACTTACAAAGTCTACTCTGTCCAACTATGATTCTGGTTAGCTTTGCAGAGCCACGGGTATACAGGAAACATGTATGTTGATATAACCGAGCATGTCCAGCGCCGTAGGATCCATCTCGTCGTTCTAGGATAATCTCAAATCTCTCAGTACGCTATCATATTTCCACGGAGGCACATCCACGCCATGGCGCTCCTTTGATTGGTTCAGAAGTAGAGATATTCTCCTGGATAGCTGCGCGGGGGGCTAATTGCACTATTCCGCTTCACTGAGTCTTTTCGTGGCTGTTGGTCGACTGATTCAGGTACGGCGGGCAAATGTTCTGACTAGTATTTGACTATGTCGATCTCGCATATAGCCACGTCAGCCAGAGCCACTCAGCCTGCGGGTCTTTCGAGCACTCACGGGGCAAACTACCGAGGCGGCAACAGACAACCAGTGGAGTCTATCCAGATCGTCAGAATAGTATCATGTCCGATTCAGAAACGGGCACTCCAATAGACATTCCAGGCAACGGTCCCACCAATCCTACAAAAACAGAACCAATCATCAAGCCCTGTCTTGCACGGGTCTTCCATCGGTTCGTTATCAGCAGTTCTGTATCTCTTCGAGATCCACATGGATTCTCACTGACGGGATTGTTCTAGCTGTGCAGCTAGAATGGTATCACCTGCTTATTCTGCTGTTCGAGCCGAGACACCCATCGTGAGCATCCCAGAGATATATACTGCCTAGGGGACGACGGCATGCTCTACATATATATCCCCCGACCACTTTCTCAAACCTCTTATGGGAAAGGATAGATTGTCAGTTCGCTGCCAAAGGACCGTATTCTTTTGAACACCGTACCATAACTTCATATTAGTAGGCTGAGAAAACCCCGTGGTGGGGGACCCTGGGCGCAGAATTGACCGCCACTTGCGTATCCCCAAATGAGCAATTCCCGTGGGACTCTCAATTTGAGGGTTGACTAGAACGGAGGGCCCTTTTCGAGTAAAGATTACGAAGATCAGCCAAAAGACGTATTTTGACTAATCCCCAGGGTCATTCTAGTAAATTCTGCCACAGACGTCTGGAAACCCCACGTTTCTAGCTTGCGGAGACTAAACCTCTTCGGGACATGGAGCTTGAGCCACGAGGTGAAAAGAGACTCTCGTTGATTCAATCTGAGCCACGATGTCACTCCATAGCCCACGTCCATTGGCGCATCAGAGTTATACTAGACAATCCATTCTCTATTCTCCTCTGATTAGTCACTAAAGTGGGCTTGCCGGGTCCAGGGTTTTCCCAAGGCTTCTCCCAAAGCAACGCAATCGGGAAGTGGAGTGGGGCCAGTGACGAAGTGATGATCCAACATGAAGAGCTGCAAAAACGGTTCCGAATCTATATAAGTCCCGTCCGTCATTGCCCTTCTCAGCTCATTCCAATCATAACCAGAACAATACATTCACAATGTCTCCCAAAGTCCTTGTCGTCCTCACCTCCGCCAACGAGATCCCCAAGATCAAGAAGCCTACAGGCTGGTATCTGGTTCGTACCCCGCAATTCAAAACTAAAAAAAAAAAATACCTTTTATCGATGAAGGCGGGGGTTAAAAAATGACTTAAAAAACCAAACTACCCTGCCCATCCTCCCCGGATACCTCCATTACCTTGTAACAGAACTAAGAACTAATGATGTCAAGCCTGAATTCGCCCATCCTCACAATGTCCTGCACAACAAAGTCTCCATGACTATCGCCTCACCCAAAGGCGGCGAAGCGCCCCTGGACCCATCCTCCGTCGAGATGTTCAAAGATGACACCTCGGTCAACTTCCTGAATAATCAGAAAGCCCTCTGGACCAACACCGAGAAGCTATCCGACATGCTTCCCCGCGTCAACGAGTTCGACGCCATTTTCTACGTCGGTGGACACGGACGTACGTGAACTGCCCCTCTTCCCCAAGAAAATAGCAGAGACCAGAAACAGAAAGATTGAAAGAACACAATACTAACAACATGAAGCCATGTTCGACCTGACCTCCGACGCCACCTCGATCAAGTTGATCGAGACCTTCGCCGCCGCCAAGAAGCCCGTGGCGGCCGTCTGCCACGGCCCCTGCGTCTTCTTGAACACCAAGGGTCCCTCCGGCAAACCTCTGATTTCGGGCTTGCAAGTGACTGGATTCTCGAACGAGGAGGAGGACCAGGCCCAGCTTTCCGCTGCGATGCCATTCATGCTGGAGACGGAGTTGGAGAAGGTGTCTGGGGGACACTATGTCAAGGCTGCCGAGGCGTGGGGGGGAGAAGATTGTGGTGGCTAAGACTGAGGTGGGTGGGGATCTGATTACGGGCCAGAACCCGGCCAGTGCGACTGGGGTCGGCGAGGCTATTCTGAAGTCTCTTGGACTGTAAGCTGGTCGATTGTTGAATAATCTATTTTTTGAGTGAAGGAGAGGATGGAAAATGTTTCCAACGATGAGAATATGATATGATATGATACACGCACCCTACACTTTCACCATGTAAAAAGGGATGTGTCTCAAGTAGAAGCGATAGGAGAGAGGCTTTCAAAATTCAGTAACGAAAGGGGAATAGAGCAAAACAAAGCAGAAGAGATAAAACAGACTCGGAACAGGCAGAGGAACAAAACCAGGCCCAAAATTAAAATAGAAAATGATAACATGAGAACACTGAGAATGAAAATCGGATATCTTGTCCAGCGGACTGGGAAGGGCTCGAGAACGAAAACACGAGATTCAAGATGTTGCAATTATGGGAAATCGTAGCGCGGAAGTTCGTTGGGTCTCATATAATCCCAATTGACAGGGAACGAGACCTTTCAAGCGGCCGTGCGAGAATCCGGACTCGACGGGCAATTGCGAAGGACTGGTTCCGGTCAGATCAATGCGATTATTGGAGATTCAAGTTGAAAAAAAGGTAATGTGATCAAGGCGAAGGCGACAAAAGGAATCCAGATAGAGGAGGACATTTAATGGCCCTCCATGTTACCAGTTAGCTCGGCGACTCGGGCCTTGATGCGGGCGACACGCGACTCGATGGCTGGAAAGAATCAGAACCTGAAATATCAAATGGTGTTGTTGTTTTACTCACTCTCTTCGCCGCTGGTGTCTCCCTCATCGGTCCGCTCGGACTGGCTGGTGCAAGTCTCGGGCTCCTCACTTGCAGCAGCAGCAGCAGCACGCTCGGCGGCGTTCTTACGGATCTGGGCCCACCGGTCGTTCTCCTCGGCAAGGGCATTCTCTTGGCTGAGAAGCGCGGACTTTTGCTCGTGCCCGTTGGCCGGGATCTTGGGTGATTCCACCTCACCAGTGGTAACAGCAGGAGCAGCAGGGACAGCAGGGGCAGCAGGGGGCTTGGGAGAATCTTCAGGGACGAATGCGGGCTGGTCAACCAAGGGTCCCTGGTCAAACTTGGAGAACTCCTGGTCGGCTGCGTTGCGCTCGTTGGTGTCGACACGAGACAGAGCATCGTACTCAACACCACGCCGGGTCTGAGGAGGACCACGGCTTTCTGGAGAGCTGGCCACTGGAGCAGACTCTTCCATCACTGGCTCGACGGGCTGCTGGGGGGGTGGAAGGCTTTTCAGCCTCGGGCTCACGGATTGGAACCGGAGCAGGTGCAGAGGTTGCGGCAGCAGGCGTTACCGGGACAGGCTTCTTCTTCACTACCGGGGAGGCCTTGAGCGAAGGCGACTCCTGGGATTCCTTGGCTTTAGCCTCCAGGGCGGCGCGCGCAGCGGCCACAGAGGAGATCTCCTTAGCACCAGTGCTCTTCATCGGGGGCTGCTCGTTCTTCTTCTTATTCGTTCCAAACATGTTCTTGAATCCAGTGTTGCCGGTCTTCTTCTTCAGTTTCTTTGAATCATCGGGCGATTGAGGAATCACTTCGGGTGTCTGCTCGATCACCACAGTTTTGGAGTCCTTTCTGTTGGTCTCCGGAGACGTCTCCTTCACTAGCTTCTTCTTCACCGGCTCAGGCGAAGGTGGAAGCGGGGTTGCCATGGCAGTGTCCTTGGGAGGGGGCGGAGGAGGTCCGCTCTTGGAACTGGTGGTTGGAAGGGGGACAGACAAGGGAGACTTCTCACCTGCAGGTTCCGTGGCAGGCTCAGCCGGCTTCTTGTCATCATTGGCAGCACCGATGCCCGCCCGGCTGTCGCTCAGGTAGGCAGTCCGGTAGGTATTCTTGTCGTAATTGCTCGCCCATTTCATAGCCGAAGACGCTTCGTTCACAATGCCCGGCTGGAGGGTCATGACCGAGTTAGTCTTAGTAGAATAAGCGTCGCTACGGCCATTCGTCCCCGCCTCCTTGGCCTCTTCTTCTTGCTCGCGATGCTTCTTCTGAAGAGCAGCAGCGGCGGCCTGGATCCGTTTGTGCTGATCAGGGCCAATGCTGGTCTTGCTCTGTGGCGCTTGGTTGTTGGATCGCTTGTAAGACTCTTCAATAGGCGACACCCTCCTGGCCGAAGACTTGCTGCGGCTCAGCTTTGTTCCCTTGCGACTTCCAAAGCTGAAGAAACTCTTCTTCTCAACAATTTGGGCACCAGCCTCAGGCTCCGGCGCGGCACCCTTGATTTGCTCCTCAAGGACCAGCCATTTTGTTTGCCGAATGATTGTTTCAAGAAGTGCGACACGACCGAAGACGGCCTTGCGGGCAAGAGGCTCATCGCCAGACAAACTAGTAATCCATACCCACCAGAACGAGTCGTCCATGTCCAGGGTACTGATACTGGCCAGCTCGGCAGGTTCCAATGACGGCTCAGTTTGCAGTGAACGCTTATGCGACTGCGAGCTCTGGCCGCGAGCGGCAGCAATAGGCGGGAGAACCTTGTCCGGGGGCAACAGCAAGGGCCCAACCGAGCTGTTACCTTCATCTGAGAAGCCTGAAGACATGAAATCCGCCCAGGATGGAGTCGTGGGACGACCCAGGTCCCCAGTCTGTGATTGAGGAGCAGTCTTGATTCTGGCTGAGATCTCACTCTTGGCGGGTGTCCTATTCTCCTCATCCTCGTCTGACTCAATTGAACCACCGAATCCGATATCCTCAAAACGGGACCACGAGGCATCTCGCAAGCTGGTGGAATGCTTCGAGGTCGACACGGTGGACTCGTTCGTGGAGGCAATGCACTTCAACACCCGTAGACATTCATCAGTCAGTGCGCGAACGGGATCTTCATAGTTGGAGAATTCTTGTAGGTGCCAGTGTTCATCGCGATACTCAAAGTTCTTCGCCCTGCGCAGCAGGGAGAAGGGAGTAGGCGAAACCGTTTCAACAATCATGACTACTTTGGTGGTCGTAACCTGAAGCAGAGTTGGCGTTTCCGGGGGATATTCGGTGGCCTGCACAAGGCCTTGCAAGGAAATGGGCAGAGACGAGATACCACTGATGCCACGGGGCATATCAGGCGAGATAGAACGCAGATAGGCGAAGAACAAATGGCTCGTAGCATCGGCGGCACTGCCAAAGAAAGTCAGGAACTATCAACCAAGGGCAAGGAGAAGACATACGCAGCCCAGTTCTTATAGGCAGCTTCGAAGCCTTTGCCGGTGTCAACATGTTCAAAGGCCCACCACCCGGCGTACCGTGAAAGCTTGCGACCTCCCAGACCATTAGACTTGCCGTGCGCTGCAATGGCGGCTAAGAGATCGAAGAAATCGAAGATAATCTTGGTACGGGCGTCCGAGTCGACGCTAATTGGGATGAAGGTTGAGAAGGCGTCGCGGGCCAGATCCGAATCTAGTCTCGTTTCAGCAATTGTCCTCCCACGGGTCCTGCGATCATGTAGTTACCTTGTTCGCCAACCTTGAACAGTTCGTACGCCTCCCATGTCACAACACCTCCAGACAACCTGCTCCAACACCATTTCAAGACACCACAGAGAACCTGTGCCACCAAAAATCAGCCCACGCTTGTTATAATCCCTGGAAACTCCTCACCATCGGCTCAGTGAGCCGCAGCTCCTGCATAAACTCATCTCCGCTGACAGGGGCACCCTTATCGAAGCACTGGTTGAAATAATTCCGGACAAAGGTACGGGCGGCGCTGGGATCTGAGCTCGGGCGGAATGGCAGGAGGAGGAACGGGGTATCGAGAGCTACACGCGACGAATGGATCAGCAACCCGAAGAATGCGCATGGTAGCTGTCGCACCACCACATGGTTGAGAATAGAATCTACCCACCTCTGGCTTTCAATTCCTGCGTACAGCCTCTGATGAGGTCTTGCACCTCCTCGGGGCCAACCTCGGTGCGCTGCCAGGCATCCTTCCATCTGGGCTTTGTGGGGACGGGGTCGGCAGCGGTAGGTTTCGACTGCTTCTTGACGGCATTGGAGTCCTTGCTCCGAAAGACTCGACTGAAGAAAGGCATCTTCAAAATGGCGCGACCCGCTATAACTGGCTTCGGTGCGGCGTGGCTGGAGTCGGCGAGCTCCGTCTGTTGGGCGTCGTTTCGGGACTTATTTTCTAGCGTCAACAAACAAATTAGCCGCGAGTTTTGAAAGTGAACTGGGCCCGGGCGTTGCAAACTGACAGATTAATTCCACGACCAGATGAAGGGGAGCGAACAAGAAAATTATAAAATGAAAAAAAGAAAAGAAAAGAAAAAAGAAACCGGAATGGGGGTTGTCCTGCAGCCCTCAGGCTCAGGCCCCAAAAAAAAAGAGGGAAGGGTCCCCTGGTCTGGACCGGGGAAAGAGTCTGTGCTCGACAATTGGAGCGTGCAGAGCAATGATTGAGGAGATAGAGGATCAACCACAATTCAGAACGGCAGAACTGGCAGAAAGACAAGAAAGACCGATGGGGGGGATAAAATGTTGAGAAAATGAAGCTCAGGGGTAAAACGGGAGGAAGATCTGGAACTTGGAACTAACCTAACCGCGATGGTCGAGACCGCCCACAAAGAACTATAAATGAGAACGGGATTGGGCCGACGGACCCCAGGAAAGCGATATCGTGAAACGATACGGAGGCGTGAATCTATCCTATGACTATGGGTGTTTGGAAATCCCCAGTGATTTGTGCTGTGCTGAGAGTGGATGATACTGACGTCGATCATCATTTTAGAATGGGGTTCGACGATCCAGGGTTCCGTGTGGGTGCCAGTGACGGGTGATCGGTATCATGGACTCGCCTAGGCAGCAAATTATACATGAGAGATGGACCGATGGAACGGGCAAAGATTGGAGGTGGAGCTAGCGACTGGTCCATTGTGGCGGGGTATAGATGAAGTGGCTACGTCGATGAGGTATGAGGTTGGGAGAACATCGATACTTGGGCAGGCAACTTGGGTACTTGGGTACTTGACTAAGTTGACTAAAAATTGACATAGCAATGACAACTCTCCGTGATAACGGTATCGAAATGTCTAATGGTACATAGTCGAATCGTTAGGGTGCGCTGTGTCTGGGGCCTTCGGTGGAGAATAGACATAATCAAAGATATGAACGTGGCTATGGACAGAGGCTCAGACTTATAAGCTTAGACTTAGCTATACACTGTCTCAAGCTAAGGCTCTCCCCCCCAGACTCGAAAGACTGTCGACCCACCGCAACAACGCCCCAATATACAGCCGGCATTCTTCCAACTATTGAATGCTTAAAATTGCCGTGCCATTACCGCGAGTACAGCCAATCCCTGAGCTCCTCGCGGCTCCACTGTGATGAGCCATAAATAGAACGCCTCAGGCAGGGCTGCTGAGATAAGCGTCCCTTCTCCCCTTCTTTTTCCCTCGATTCTATCTTTAGAATCAACCTTTTCTGCATCGACTATCAGCCCCCCCATCTCTCCACGGTATCGCATCGGTGGTTCTTGTTTTTTCCCCAAACCGTGATCGTCATTCCTTTCCCTGTTGGTCGCGTGGTAATCCACTCTCCCTTTCCTTCCGACACGTTTCAGTGTCTTTCCCCTCGCGACTCGAATCGCGCGACTAAAGCCCAAGTCACAGGCAAACCGGAAAGAGCTTTAACTGGGTGTGTGGCTAATTTACTCTGCTGTCGAGTCGCCCGCGTTTCCGAGTCGCCAGAATTTCCTCGTGGACCACCCCCGAGGCGACTCGCTCTCCTGATCCCAGCAGTAGCCGCGCGCATCCTGCGCTCATAGTCGTCCGCGATGGGTCGCAGAAAGATCGAGATTAAAGCGATCAAAGATGATCGTAACCGTTCAGTGTAAGCAACGCACTCAACATGCCACCCTAAAGATTACTGACTTACCTTCTGTAGCACATTCCTGAAGCGAAAGGGTGGTCTATTCAAGAAGGCGCATGAGCTCGCAGTTCTTTGTTCGGTCGACGTCGCTGTCATTATCTTTGGTCACAACAAGAAACTTTACGAGTACTCTTCGTGTGATATGCCCGAGGCTCTGGGGCGCTACCACTATGTGAGTAGGCTTTGCTCTTGATGTCGAACCAACAGCTAATAATTGCCCGCCAGTTCGGATCTCCCCATGAACACAAAGGACCCGGTGACTTTGAAGGCAAGCGCGACGATGAAGATGAGGAAGACGAGACCACTCCCGCTCCCGAAGAGATGCAAGCCCAGCAGAGCCACCCCGCCATGCCGCCGCACCTACAACAGCCCGGATTCCAACACATCCACCATGCGCCGTCTGCGTCTCCTCCCATCTCCAATGGCCTTCCGATATCTCGACATGGCACCCCTTTGTCACAAGGTGTCTCCCGACCCACGTCTAGAAACCACACTCGTCGGGTCAGCTCGAACCTTGGCCCACATGGACATGCTACCCCGCCGCCGCCACCTGCTCCCCCAAACGGGTTCGCATACATGCCTAATCCCTCTATGTATAACCCCAATGTTCACTCTGCTATGGCACAGCAACGCCCCGGGCAGTACCAGCAGTATGGCCATCCCCACCCCGGTCCACAGGAACACCGCCTCAGGCGATGCATCACCAGCACGGCATGCCTCCACACCAGATGCCTTCCCATCAAGGTGCACAACATTTCCAGCACCCTCACGCAGTAACCACGCAACAGATGGGAATGCCGCCGGGGTCGCATGCTCCAGTACAACAGGTCTCGCAGGCCTATATCTCGGAGCCAGGTAGAGGCTCGATGCCACCCACATATGCACCAGAGTCCCAGGATCGCGCAGTTCCAGTAAACGAGGGCTCCCAGGATAATGTGCCGGGTGGTTTAAAGGTGGATCGTAGCCACTCTCCGCCACAAGGAAAATCGTTTTCAAAGTCTCGCAGTATCTTCACCCCAATTGATGATCGTGGATCCGTTCTTGCCCGTCATTTCGGAGCGGGAGCGCCGACATACGAGTCTCCTCGTGGGAACCAGGCTTTGAGGATGGAACCACAGGGTAATTCGCCCGACACAAAACCTACTCCCATGAGTGAGCCTGCACATCCCCAGTCAATGCCGTCGGCGGCAGATCTCAAACCTACTCGAAGTAGTAGTGGTGTACAAGCATCGAAACGCCCTCAACTCAAGGTCCAGATCCCGAGCGAGACCTCTGATCGGGGCAGTGCAACGGGTGAATCCGGTTCACGAGATTCCGCTGGCAATAACACGGTGACACCTGCCAAAGACAATCCACCGACGGGAGTAGTTCTACCACCACCATCGCCATCGGCAGGCGCAATTCTTAGCGCCGGTGCCCAGGGACCTCCAAATCCGTTTGCTCGCCCTCCACCACCGGGTACCACCACTCAGAATAACTCAAATGGCAACAATGCCAGCAATACGAACAATGGAAACACCCAAAATAGACACGAGACCCCAATATCCGCTCTCCCAAGCCGATTCATGTCCGACGCTCTTCTCCCATCACCATCTAGTTTCTTCGCCGACGACTGGGCCGCCTTTGGCCGCTCAGGACCGGACTCAAACTTATTGCCGAGCCCATTGAATTTCCCGACGCCAGCGGTACAAAGCGGACCCAGCTTCTCTCGTGATGACGAACAAGACAAAAAACGCAAAAGTCCAGACAGCGCATCCGGAGGAGAAGGATCCAGCAAAAAGCCAAAAACCGATGGTAGCTAAAGTTTTTGAAAAATGGATTTTCATGCGTCTGGCAATTGACGCGGTCTGCAATCTATCAAAAACAAAAGATATCCAGGTCGATATCCCCCCTTCCTCAATCCTTACCTCCACACCTCTACTTCGTGATCTCTTTACCTGATTTGGTTGAGCCTAGGATGTTATGCTCTTTATACCCCGTTCTATACCTTCGACTTGACCTTGATTCCTATCTTTTACTTCATACTTCAATGTTCTATTCGTCTTTGATCTTGATGATCTTCTCATGTCATGGACATTTTAAGTTGATTATACCAGAACGCCTTCTTTCCTTTCTCACTTTCTTATCTCTTGATTTACTCTAACGGATGTTCTTTTCCCCTTTCTTGGGTATCTTGGGTTTTGGACCGGCGTTGATACGCGCGGATGATGTATATAGGCTTTTTATCACTAGGAACGGAGTTTCAGTGTCTCCATGCCGTCATGTCTTGTTCTTGGTAGCGTAGGCTATACCCGATGTCATATGGTATGATGGCACGACATAAAGTCTGTCGTTAGTACTCGCTAGCGTTGATTGTGGAGCTGTAATGGCCGCAAGGTGATCCAGTAGTGTACCGGACCTCTCGGCTTGTTTGCTTGATCAGAGCTCGTCATGAAAGGGATCTTTGCCGGGAAACTTTGTTGTGGTGTTTTCGCAGAATGCGAGCAAATGACAAAGGCTGTTTAGGTGTTTAAATTTTTTAAATGTCTTTATATTGAAACTCCTAGACACGGGATAGGATACAACATCTCCAAATCAAATACCAGGAAATACCGATTCACCCCCGCATTCGCGCAAAGTGTGTGGAAAAACCGGCCAAGGGCAAAAACCACGACCGGAGTAATCTGGTATTTCAATCCTCAAGAGCATTCTTCCAACTTGCAATTCCCTAAAAACGAGCTACCGTTGGTTCTGAGAGACTCGGCTCAATATGAAAGGAAGCTAGTCTCAGCAAAGGAATGTGCAAAGAACACACTGTTCGACCAGAACCATCCACATTAGCTGTCTGCTGATAATGATCGAGGGTATCTGCTAGGTAGGAGTGAAGTACTTACATCAAACAAGCCGTCATTACAGTAGCTACCGTTGGTACAGCAGTTGCCGTCAGAGGCGGCAGCATGGGGAGCGGGAAACACGGTGTTTGCCGAGCAAAATTGAGTGCTGTTTTTCTATAGTTTGCAAAAACCTGCGTTAGATTCACGAGCGATTTCTCCTTGAAGGTCTTAGTTATTGGCGGGACATACCAAGATGCGGAGGGCTTCAACCGAGTCGATAGTGACCTTTTGGCCGTCCTCTTTGGCTGTGACAATTACCGGCGCAATCTCCGTTGCTGCGACGGCGAGGCCTGCAAGTGAAATGATAACGGCAAGGAACTTCATTTTGATAGTCAAGAAGCTTCTGTTATAGAAGGAAAAACGGATGTTGGAATGTTGATGATATGGAGCACTTTGAGTCGTTGAGTTGGAAGAAAGGCCTCGTGAGGATTCGAACTACACGTATTTATATTGGATAGCGCATGATAGACTATAGGAGCAATTGATCAAAGAATTTAGGATACTTGATGCGGTAAAAGCAAGGTCGTATGTTTCATTCTCAGTAAGTTGCTTTCAAGTTAAACTTCAAGGTCGGCACTTCCACCCAAGTAAGCCCCGCCTTGCCTGAATATTTGGCGCATTTGTTGGTCAGGTATACACTGTCAAAGCCAGTATGCCATAAAGCATTAGCTTGTGTGGACTCAGTTTCCGTGAGCTCACTCAACATGAGTCCATGCAATAAAGAACGACCCATTTTCTTCACCTGTTCCAGACAAAGGTAGGGTCTGTAGTTGCAAAGCAGTCCATTCTCAACATAGACTTACAGCCCTAGAACAGGCGAGAATGTATGAAGATGGCGCACTGATGCGCTAATGAGCACGGCTCCTACTCCTTTCTTGATCGAAAGAACATCATTTGACCCAGTTTGAAAAAAAAGCGCATCTTACTTCAAGCTTTCCCCGATCAAATGAAGGCATGTTGCCGAAACTTTAAGTTTGGAATGCGATACTGACTTGTGAGCGATAGCCAGGCTCAAGAGTAGGTGTCAAGCGAATCAATGTGTGGTATGAGCTGCTTAAACGCTGCAGAATCACCATGATTGAATCAGAGCGGCCAGTACTAAATTTCTACAGAATTTGGAGAGGCCATGATTCAGTCAAGAGAATCCCTTCGGGTAGGCATGCTTATTCTATACACACTTCTTATAATGGAGCCCATCAAAAACCATCAGTAGCGCGATTACATTTTGCTGGGAGAATTACCACTGGGATTCATACATTTTCCATGCAATCCCCTTTAGTGCCACAAGAATCTGGGATGCATAAGTGCATCTAATGACTTTCTGCCTGCTTTTGGACGCGCACAAATATGCAGTGCCGCGCTAAGTTGTGCTTGAACCTCTATGGCCGTGAAATTCAATGTACGTCTGTCTGGGATTGTTTCATGATCTTCATCGAACAGTCAGGAATGGTATTTCAAGATACCCTAGTCAAGTTGTATTGTCCATCCATTCTAATGATCGATTAATGATCACTGACGCTATTCAATTGATTTCTTATCCTCTTAGAGTCCTCCTCATTGCACCCAATCACTGAATCAAAGCTCTCAAGATGAATTTCAAGAACGTAATTAACCGGAAGAGCATCCTGCAGCACCAAGACCTCGAGTCAATGGAACATACTAGACCAAAGTATCGAGCAACGGAGTCCTCTTTTCAACCAGGCATTTGTTTGAGTCCGCCTCTCTTATTCCCATGAACCTGTTCTCCAGCCATTGAAGCCACTCTGGCGCTGAGGCAGCAATAGTGTCATCGTGGTCAAGGCCAGAATATAAACTCAAATGAACGATATTGCCAACGTTACATGCATATTCGTAGGCCTTCTCTGTAGCAGTCACATTCACAATCTCGTCATCAGTTGACTGAACAACGAGAAGATCTTTGTAGCCCTTTCTTCCGGTGGCCGCACCATACTCATTTTGAAATGCGATATACGCCTCATGATTGTGTTGGGTTATGGCAGCCGTGGGCTCCACAATGCCATGGTTTGGCAAATCTGCGTTCAGTCCCGCTTCAGAGATGTCGCAAAGCCCAAGGTCCGACATAAGCGGATAGCGGGCGAGGGCTTCTGGTGTAAGAACGGTTGGTTGAATAGGGAAGTCCAGAGCTCGGAAAATGTTCACGATCAGATCTCCAAAGCCCCATCCCACAATAGGTGGTACAGCTGTGAGAAGATCGTCCAGTCTAGCACTAGGAGCAACGGCAACACCTCCTACGTACTCGCCACTTTCAGTGGTAGCGACACGGGGGTTCTCTTCAAGGCCCCAAACCGCTCCAGCTCCTTGAGAATGTCCGACAGAGGCCCATCGACTAGTGAAGGCGCCTGGGAAAGCTTTCCGAGCAGCAACGACGGAGAAGTAAATATCCTCAGAGTTCAGGACTGGATTGCCATATTTGTGAGAAGTGTAGTTATTTCCCAGTCCTGCATAGTCTGTAGCGACTACAGCATACCCGGGAGCTGTAAGTAGCTGCCAGGAATGATAGTCATATCCATTGTAAGATGATGACGCAGCACAAGCAGGAACAACTCCAATAGTCCCATGGGCATACGCGACGAGGCGCGTTTCCTTGCGTGGATATGCCGTCCAGGGAAGCGCAATGAAGGCAGTCGCGGGCACCTTTGCTCCACCAACGCCAACGGATGTGTATTGCATCAACCACAGTGACGTTCCGGGTGGAATGTCATACATGGATGCATTTTGCTGCTGGAGCTTCAACAAGTCACCCGGTTGTGATTCAGTGAAGTTGGCAGCGGTTGCGTAGAAGTCATAGTCGAAGGGGACATCTCCAAAAATCTGGCGGTCCAATCCCTCGTATTGCTGTAGGTTCACCTGGCAGGCTTCATCACAATTGTATTTCTCGGCTTGAGCTTGAGTGATGTTGAGGTCGTTCGGACGAGTGGGATCCGCCTGCACGCAGGCAAGTAATGACGCCAGAACGACAGAGAGACAATGTAGGGACTTCATATTGACGTGAAGTGTACGGGAGGTGGAAAGAATAATGTAGATTACTTCTTCTACTAGTCAGGTAGAGGGAAGAAGTTAGCAAAAGTGAAAGAGGACGATGAATTATAGGCGCGCCTCGACCTTTGATTAATGCTCGATCATTACTAGCAACTCATAGTTTCAGGAATGTCCATGTAGCTATCACCCTGAGTAATTTGGGTATTCGCAACCCTTCATACTGTGTATAGACGCCACGGAACATAAGGCATTTCAACTTGACACTGTGCCGCTTAGCCGTTCTCTCATCGGCGGTAAAGTTAAATCTCCTGACCGTTCAGATCCTAGTACCTCGCTCATGATTGTCTAGGGGTCTCAAGGAATGTAAAGTTGCCTGAATGACCTTAATATGGACGTGTGTTGTGGTCTTCAGCCAAAGAATTCAAGCGGCGCACAACCTCTGACTCCTTTCAGACCACGGCACGATTTTACACCTCACCTAACACCAAAGTATCCTGCCCAAAGATCTAATTCGGTGTAGCCTTTACCCATGAACATATTTCTCCTATGCCGGTCAAAAAAGATTTAGACTTCATATGTCAATTGTCAGCCACGCAACTTCTGACACCTCTCGCTACAAAATAACTGGCTGAGTCCTTCTAATCACACAGGTTAGCTTACAGCGGTGTACCGGCTTCTTGGATGCCTCGGAAATATATGTAATGCACATTTGTGTTTATAGCGCTTGAGGACCTATCATGGCGCGAGGTCGAACCTAGGGAGTCAAAAAAGCACTTTAATGCACGGATCTACAATGTACTCGAACAGCCTACCTTATTCGGTTTGAAAAGGGAAATACTTGGGCAAAATGCCAATTGGTTATGAAGGGATGGCTCAGTCACTCACCAATCAGCGATCATCCGTGCCCCAAGTGAGCGTTCCGCGGAGAATTCACACAGCGTTTTCGGGGCAAAAAATAAACCATACTTCATGTCAACACTCATTAAATAGTTTACCTTCACGTAGGCATTTTAACCGATTGTAGGTTGCCGCTATAGGCCAATAACCTCATTAAACGCGGGCAGTAAAGGGGTTCTCTTCTTGCATTTCTGTGATCACAAGCGGTGTCACAAGCGGTGAAAAAAAAAAATTCTTCACATCTGAAGATGTAGCTGAATTGCATCATCCGTGAATCGAACACGGGCCTCGTCGATGGCAACGACGAATTCTACCACTAGACCAATGATGCTGGTTCATGATACATGGTAGCTTTTATTAATTCATGAAAAAACATGGACTCAAAATTTTGCACCGGTGGAAGCGATGTGATCCATCTGATCGATTGACAGTAGTACTGGCTACATACCGTGCAGTGAATTGAGGCGCATGTCTTTGCAGCTGACAGTGGCAACTTCCCTCTTTGAATGGCCAAAGAACGAGCTGGCCGATCTGGTCCAGGCAAGTCCCAGAATGCACCATCGAATACTGCCAACCTCGTTGATTCACGTTTCGCGGATCGTTCAAAATTACTCCTAAGAGTAAATTGGGGTTCCGATCAACCCAAAGTTGACCAAAGCAGCTTGGCAAATCGGCCAGACAATGTCAGTGCCGAGGCCTTGCCGCTGATTCGCACACTTTTCATTCAGTATATATGTCTCAATAGACTTATGGCACCTTTGGTTCGTATGAAAGCTTCAAATTATACCCAGCCCTCAGGCCTCACATCGAGATGCTGACTAGGAGAGAGTGGTGCTTAGCTCCATCTCAAACATTGTATAAGATCCTGGGGCCTGAGCGAATTTCAGCGCCTGACTCTGATGCCAGGAAGAAAGTCTGCATTTGAACACGGGGTTTCCTGCAGCATCGTAGACCGGGCTGAAGCAACATCTCGGTCTTCGGACAATATATGTAAATTGAACCAGGGCAGTATAAAAATTATTCTGTGTTTTTTTAAGGAGAGAGAGCCAAGAGGTTCCTAGGAGAAGCAGAACCCAATTAGCAGAATACATCTTAATTACAGCTCGAGAGAGGGAAAGGTGGGGTTCGGTGATTGATTGAGGGAGAAACGAAGGCCGCAGACGCCGAGATCAGTATATAAACGACATGACGCGAATGGCCCCCGGCTCATCCGTCTACACTTCGATTCCACCAAGGTACACATTAAGTATAAGCTTAATTCCCACGCAATGACTCTCACCGGTAGCTGCATGTGTGGCGGCATCCACTACACTGCTGATGGTTCGTTCATTGGATATCGAGATTCGAGATTAATGGGACTAATTGCGTGCTAGTGAACGAGTACATGTCGGCGCTTTGCCATTGTACTGATTGCCAAAAGGTGAACAGATCAAGTGTCTTTTTTTAAGAGACAATGAACAGAATCTAACAGCGAATAGTGGACTGGAGGCGCATTCACTTCTAACGCCGTTGTGCCCCGCACCAGCTTGAAAGTGACCAAGGGTCAGCTCTTTCCATGATCCTAATACCTCGTTCACGAAGCTGACATTGAATTTGCATCTTTCTAGGAAGCCCTAGCACCTATGATGCTGTCGGCGACAGTGGCAAAATCAACAAACACTTCTTCTGCCCCACCTGTGGATCGAGTCTCTACACCGAGCTAGAGGTCATGCCGGAAATGACCTGTATCAAGGCCGGTGGTCTCGACAACGGTGAGGCCAATTTGCGGGGTAATGTCGATGTTGAGTTCTATGTCAAGGATCGCCCGAGCTACCTTGCTGCTGTTGAGGGCGCCAAGCAGGAATCGGCGTTTGGTGGTTAAGTTGTACGCGAGACCGGCGTTTGATGCATGATGCGGGGAAGGAGAGCTGCAAGTGCGGAGTCAGACTATGCATTGGATATCACTTATCTAGAAGTACTCAATAAATTGATTTGAAATCGATAAGATGATTACTAGTGGGTTTTGCATATGGACGAGGTGACGTCGCCGAGAAATAAACTCGCCGTTTCGTCTCCACTTAACCCCTCGGTTTGAGGAGCTGACTCACCAGCTTCATTCTTTCATCGTTCAAAAAGCCCGCATTGAGCCACAAATTTGTCCCGATATACTTAGACTAAAAATCAGACGATTGAAAGTGTGGCATACCACGCCGTCACGTCCGAAACACTTTTGTCAGATTCTGCCGGTTTGAGCCTATCAAAATTTGAAACTTCGGAATAACTCAAACTTCTCATCCAACATGGCCCAGGCTAAAGTGAGCCAAATTCTCTCTAAAAGGGCACAGGAGGTGAGCAATGTGACGGCTACCAACCCTATGTGGGACATTTTCAGCAACCTTTGGTCCCCGTCGACCAACCCGGGAGGATACGTCAATGTGGGAGTCGCAGAGAATGGCCTCATGCACGACGAGCTTCTCAAATACATCAACACTAAGCTTGAGCTGCCAGCCAAATACCTCACCTACAACGATGGAGGGGGTGGGTCAAACAGACTCAGAAGCTCCATGTGCCAGTTTCTCAACCACCACTTGCACCCATTCACGCCTCTAAAACCAGAGCAACTGGTCATTACGAATGGGGTCTCTTCGGCAATTGAACACGTCTCATGGGCATTCGCAGACCCCGGCGAAGGGATTTTGCTCGGTCGGCCCTACTATGGCACCTTTATCATGGACCTCTCGCAACGCTTCCAATCAAAGGTAGTCACAGTCAACTTCGATGGCGTCGATCCCCTTGGTCCCGAAGCCGTGGGAAAATATGAGAAGGCTTTAATAGAATTCCAAGAAAAGACAGGCAAAAAGGTTAAAGCCTTGATGCTATGTCACCCGCACAATCCACTCGGACGCTGCTATCCGCGCGACGTGATCATCGAATTGATGAAACTGTGTCAGAAATACCAGATTCATTTGATCAGCGACGAAATTTACGCTCTATCAGTATGGGAAAACACGATCGATCAACATCCTCCCCCAGTTCAGTTTGAATCTGCGCTGTCAATCGACACGAGCGGAATTATTGACCCACGTCTTGTGCATGCCCTTTGGGGCATGAGCAAAGATTTTGGCGCGAATGGAATTCGCTTGGGCGTCATCATCTCCCAACATAATGTTGAATTCCAAAATGCAATGAAGGGCATATCTCTATATTCTTACCCGTCGGGCATTTCGGATCATCTGACGGCGCTTATACTGGAAGATTCGAAGTTCACGGAACCATATATTGAGCAGAATCGGAGGAAATTGTCAGAATGTTACGCATTTACTGCGCACTACGTGAAACGTCATGGTATTGAGTATGCGCCGGGGTGCAATGCTGCATTCTTCCTTTGGGTGAATCTGGGCAAGAAGTATCGCGAGTTGCACCCTGACATGTCTGAAAATGAGGATATTGGAGAGAAGGTCATGCAGCAATTGTTGAAACAAAGGGTTTTCCTGGCTAATGGTGCTCTCTTTGGATCAGAGACGAGTGGCTGGTTTAGGATTGTGTTCTCACACCCAAGAGATTACTTGGAGGAAGCTCTGAAGAGGATCGTCATTGCCCTGGAAGAGTGAAGTGATCTCAGATTTTGGAGAAGGTAATTTGTAATTTTAAGGAACATGTGAGGAAATAACAAGGCAATCAATTTCTATAAATTTAGGGATATTAAATCCAAATCCATGACTTTCAAACAATCTTCTCCGTGATACAATAGTCAACCCTATGTATATCTCAGACCTTGACATCCTCAGTCATGGCATAACGACTCCACCGGCGAATGACAGGTCCAAATTTGTAGAACACATATGGCACCGGAACCATGAGAGCGCTAATGCAGCCGAGAATGGTGAGTGTCCAGTGAACACCCATATTCTTATAAAATGGTATTCCGACGATAGTCATTCCTCCGGCAGCACAATAGCGCGAAACAGTCATAAAGCCCAGCGCTGAAGCCGCGTAGATACCGTACGAGTCGATCACGTACATGTAAGAACTGATGAAAACGCAGATAGTACCGAAACCGAAGGCGGACGTTGCAATGATAGGGGACCAGACTGAGATAGATGGCTGCGGTATGTTAGAAGTTTCTAGCAAAAGAGGGCAAGTACTACTCACGAAATCAGTCCAGCCCATCCAAAACAAACTAATAGGGATAAATGGAGCGCCGACCATGGCGAACCAGAGTCGGATCTCGGGCTGGGTATGCACACCGTCAAGAGCCCGGGGATCGACGGTTGGATCGGAGCCATTCACAACTTCGGCAGCCCGCGTGAACTCCTCCTTGGTACCTCTGTAGATGACCGGGAGCAGAAGTCCAGACAACAAGATTCCAATGTACATGGCCCCCCAGACGATGTTGGTCAGTCCTTGGGACAAGCCATGCATTTCGGAGAAAATATAGGTGTACCCGTCGAAGAAGGTGAACAGCACAATATAAAGCACAGTCATGTACAGAGAGATAAGCAGGATGATGGGTTCGTGGATGGTGATCAGGAACTGGCGCTCCATGGCACCACCAATACGGCTAAACAGCGCGATTTTCTCCATATCCATTTCAGAGCGGAAACGGGGGTCTCCCGTTATCTTGCACAGTTGCTTGCCCTTCCATTTCAGGAGAAGTGGGGAGTATGTTTCCGGTTGGAAGAGAATGATCAGAACAAATATAGCACCGGATGCGACGAGAATGATCCAAGCTGTCCAGCGCCAGGACAAAACGCCCGTCTGTCCCATGTATGAAGCAATGACTGGACCAAGCACGGGGCCACCGAAGGAGAGCACAGCGTACAAAGGGAAATACATTGTCTTTTCCAACGGATTCCATAGATCAGCGATTGTGCCACCGGCACAAGTCAAGGCGGACATCCAAAGACGCCTGCCAGGAATCGGAAGGCGAGTTGGGCGCCGATATTAGGCGCTAGAGCGGAACCCATGATGAAGATCATGAACAGGGTCAAAGACCCCGCGTACACGGCATTTCGACCAAGAATCTCCGAGAGCGGTCCACTAACCAGAGAGCCCGCTGCGAAGCCGAGAAGATAAAGACCTAACAAAGTCAGTCGCTGCGCACAAGGAAACATCAAGATGCTAATAGGGATAAGGAATACCAGTCACTAGGGAACCCACGACTTCACTAACATGGAAGGCCTCTATATTTTGAGTCAAAACGCCCGAGTTGATGGACGATGCCGCGCCAACAATAAATCCCAGCGCCGAGACCAGCAGCGTCGCTGTCAACCGTGACGCAAAGCTGTAGTTCAGCGGGTTTTCAGGATCATGTGGACCATCCCAGCCAAAAATGAAGAGATGAGCAGGCTGATCGGTAGATTCGGATTGCTTCTTCACATCGATCCCAGCGATGGAGTAGGCTAAGGCAGTTCTGCTCGAACCCCAAGAAGCACGTCGTGCTAAAGGGATCTGACCCGGTGCAGATTCATGATTGATTCGATCTGGATTTGCCACTGGGCCTGTCTCTGAATCGGCTGGAGTGGAGGCCTCTTTCACGGGCGAAGCGTTTTCCAGCTGCGAGCGAACAACATTTCCCAATCGTCGATACTGCAGGTAGGACTGCATTTTCACCTCAAGATTAGACTGTAGTTTGAGAATCCCAGGGTTGCTTTCTCACCGGTTACCGCCAATCGCCCCGTTCTTCTCGGGTCTAGGTTGACTGTCAACACCTCTGTTGGTAAGTCGAGCTGAAATATAATGAAGAATTACATCAAATTCTAGCTAGGGACTTTCAACGTCCTTTGGTTTCCTGTGCTGATTAATCGCAATGATCCAGCGAAGCCTTCTTGAGTTCCACCTGGTGGGTCAGTTGCTTAGGACCGAGTCTCCGTATCTCCGAGTTCATCAGGTATATGCCACGCAGAATTCGGACAGTAGAAACTGCGCTTTGAATAATGGAGGAGCTCATGGGCATGCATTATATGTGCTTTCTTTGTTTCATGATTTTTTTCAATCATATCGTGCAAGCATACAATGACTTTAAAGCAAGATCCGAAAAATCGGACTTGGATTTGAACATTCGCATAGCGAAAAAGCGGAGCCGCTCTAACTCGGCGATTAGCTTCTCGGGGAGGTGAGAGTTTCTCGGAAAGATGTCCGACCGTGAATAGTCCCATTTAAACATGACTAATAATGGTTGATTGACCACTACGAGGCCAGCCAGGAAACGCTGAGTGGAGTTCCTTGCAGATGAGGTGATTCCCTGTAGGGAATGTGCAAGAAAATTTCGCTGGGCATTACCTACAGGCGAATACCTACCTGTAGGTGAAGCCCTGATTGAATGCAGATCGTTGAGTATCTTGAATATGCTGTCAAGGAAGTGGTGCTGTCTATTCACCAATGTTTAGCCCCATTCGGTGCATGTATCAAACGCCGAGTCGAAGCCTGTAACCGCGCCTGAAAATGGGCGGACACTGGGATCTTGACATAGTCGAAACCAGTCGGAGTGAATCCCACTTGACCGACGTCATCTATATTCTACACTTGAACTGACGCGACACATCTTAATTTGGAATTAGGGCCGCGTGTCTCGAATTTGCCCTCTTATACAGCGAACAATAAATTCTGCGAGGTCACTGTTCGAACCTTATCTTCAATTTCCAACAATTCTCCCTCATCGCCGATGTGCTTACTGTTTGTGGAGCGAACTAGATGTACCAAACTCGGCCCCTTCCGGGCTGCAAACACAGCTACCAAGCAATGAAATTAGGAACTCTGACATGAGTAGAGCTGAATAAAGTCTCCATTTGCAGGCAGTATTTTCCGATCGATACGAGGAATACGGAGATGGAAACCAGGACTGAGAGAACCGCCTTATCCTTGAATTGGGAACCATCCCTAGAAGGGCCCACGAGGTAAGTACCTTTGAGCAAAGGAGCCAATGGAACTGGATCGGCTAATTGACGAGAAAACCCCCTAGTTACCTAGTCATACTACTATGATCTCAGGACATGAAGGCAAACCAAGGTTTCCTGGGCTAGAAGTGGTCCGTATCCCAAAGCGGAACTTGCCCTGGACCGTTCGTGGAATGCATATAAGTGTCGCGGCCTACCAGATCGTGCCCTTAGCTATCTGGCGAAGGGTCTAATCTCCTCATCATGCACCTCGCCGTGATCTCTCTCCTCGCAATGGCCACGGTTGCGACTGCGGACTGGTGGTATTTCGATGCCTGGGATGGATTGAGCTGCGGAGATGCCCCTCAGAATGGCCAGGTCTTCCTATCCATAGAGGGAACCGGAGAGCATGTGTGCATCAGCTTTGAAGAAGGCCAAAGGGCTTACTCGTATGCGGCTGGCTATCTCAGTGAGGGCACCGAGGCTTGGGGGGTTTCTTCACGAACACTGCGAAGGACCGAGCAAGATGCTTCACAACAACTCCTGCACAAATCCGGATGTCGAAATTCCCTATATCCGCTCATGGAAAATCATCCAATTCCTAAGCTAAGCTGAACGCCAACTATTCACATCATGGTACGTTCGAAGTCTTAGTGAAGGAAGTGCCAGATAATGGTGATTAACACTTGGCAGAGGCACGTTTCACTGGATCTTGGCGATCCGATCATCGACTTTCGTCTTTCTGTGTGGCATTCCAGAAGCACGTTTTTTCACCACATTCCATTCCACCCTTCACCGCGACGATATCAAGCTGCGACCAGTCATATTGCGTCTCGCTTTCACGGACATAAACGAACAGAAATGTTTTTATCAATTGAATGAAACAAGATTCCCAGATGCCTCCTCATGCCTTTGACGTGAGCCTCGATGCTTTCGAGCCCATTTTTGTGCACCACATATCAGTATGCGGCTGTAGAAGCGCACATTATAATAGTAGAGAACCAATGATCACTGAAGTTTCTGTGCGAGGGCCATGTTGCCACTGGCAGCAACAGTTAGTACAAGTTGAAAATAATGGATTCACTTTTCGGCTGGGCAAAGGGCATCGTACGGACGTGTTCCTGCTCACCGCCAGTAGAGACATACCTTCAGGCCGAAAACGGCAGGGCACCACCGCCTTCTAACCTCTCCACAGTTACAGCTTCGAGATTTCAGCTTCTGCACAAGAACGTGACACCTACTTGAACCGATTCAGATTCACTCATATCTCGAAGTGGCAAGGTCAGGAGATCTTGGTATCAGGACAGGTCTGGATGGAACTCTGCATCTACTCTTTGAACAAGAACTACAGCCCTAAGAATGACCTCCCCGCATCTGCCACCCGAAAGTCTAAGAAAATTCAAAAGAGAATCAAGTCGAATAGAATACCTACCCGAGCCGTCCACTCAGATGAGATCCTCGTCCATGGAATATACGACTCAAAGGGGTCTAGAGACATCCGAGTATGCTACATTGTCCGCATTCGGCCATCAACGTGGCCCGAAACGTCCCTGTGGGGGTGGGCAATGAGAGATAGATAACGTCTCTAAATGATGATTCCGCCGCCGAAAGCCAAAAGCGTCTATGATCAGGTAGACTACTATGTCATTATCTTGTCCGTCCGCGCTTCTCTCTGTATAAATGGTTCCCTGCATTAGTACTCACGCCGATGTCCCCCGAATTTCTTCCCAGGTCTACCCGCTGACCTGACAGAAGAGTGACGGCTAGGTGAGCCCTTGCGTTGGATCATGCATAGGGGAATTTCGTCGAGATCCTTCGGGGTCTCGCTATTTCGGAAACCGCTGCATAGTACCCGGAAGATCCTCTTCCTGGTGATGCTGCCATTCGCATTTCTTGCCATCATATATCGCTCACAGAGCTATGTGACCGAGTCTAAAAGCACAAAATGGCTAGCGAAGCCTGCAGAGCTTCAAGTCGAGCATATGCAGCTCCAAGCGGAACAAGTGCAGCCTGAAGGTAGACTTAAGTCCCTTTGTTCAAACCTTGAAGTTTGAAGCTAATCTTTATAGAAGAATCCTCCCCGAACGAAGGTTTGGCAGATACCGCACCTCATAAAATTCCTCTCGCCGCATTGACCGGAAATCCTCTGGACGTGGGAGAAATTGACGAAGCCGATCTTGCAGCAGCAACCCAGGAGGCACCCGACTCATCCCCAGTCGACCAGATCAGCCCATTGGACCTAGAGTTGCTCGCACAAAGTGCAGCATACGCCCCATACGCCCAACATGAGACCGCAGAAGACGTCACAATTGTTGCCGCACGACAAGGCGCCGATTCCACGGATTGGATAGAAGAATTCTGCGAAGACTAGTACATCTCAACCGCTCTCCATCCTGAACTAAAGTCACGAAACTAACCCAATCATCCAGTCCTTGTAACGCCTACATCTACAGCCTAGACGACGAACCTAACCCCGAATTCTTCGAGCCCTACTCTCGCAAAGGCCACGAAGCAAGCGCCTACCTCTCCTACATAATCGACTACTACGATGAACTAGCACCCTACACAATCTTCCTCCACGGCCGCTCAGAACAATGGCACAACGACATCGCGGGACCCGACACAAAGAACGTCCTGGCCAATCTTCGCTATGAAGCCGTCAGTCTGAAAGGCTACGCCAACCTTCGCTGCACAAATAGCCCCGGTTGCCCCTCCACACTATATCAGATGAATCCCGTGACTTTGGATTTCGACTATGAGTACTTGATTGCCCAGATGCCTGAGATTCTGTGGCAGCTTCTCGGACTCGATCCGAGCGAGGTCCCGGAGGATATTGGCCACCAGTGTTGTGCGCAGTTTGTGCTTACTAGGGAGAGGATCTGGGAGAGGCCTAAGAGTGACTATATTCATATCTTGCAGTGGATTGCGTATACGGATATGACGGATAATTATGGGATTGGGTGGTTGATTGAGAAGCTTTGGCACTTTATTTTTGGGATGCCGGCTGTTTAGTAAGTTGATTCCGGTTCCTTTTAGGCTTTTTTTTTTTTGGATATTGATGCTGACATGTGGTTTTGAAGTTGTGTTTCGGAGGAGCAGTGTCGTTGCGATTTATATGGCTGGTGCGGTCCTAATCCTTTGACTCATAACAAGGTGTTGACGCCTATTTCTTATCCGAAGCCTAAAAACTTTGATGATTATTGAGAGCGGATTGATTCTTTGTACGGTGCCTTTTTTTTTTTGTCAATAGCAGCTTTACCCATTTTAACAGATCATTCTGAAAGATGATCTGTACCTACTTCGAGCAATGGATATTTTTCGTCCACGTATGTAAACGGACTATGTGGACACAGGAGGATCACCAGAATTTTGCGTACCAACGTTTCTTTAGTGGAGATTATATAGCTTTCATGCCTGCCACTTGTGGATGGATCGCTATATCACACAAATGGCCAGCCAGATTGCAATTCTAGTGCAGAGGAGAATTTGAGCTAGATACAAGTATGAATTAAACATTGAGTATGTGCTGCAGATATAGTGAATGCAGACAGAGGCGATTATAAGAGTATTTGGAATCAGACATCGGCCTCGGACTTGCCCTCAGCCTTGCGCCGAGAATCAATCAACTCCTGGCGAGCTTTCTCCTGCTGAGCAAGACCGGTCTTTTGGATCGTATGTGTCTTGCTGAGCACGCGAGGGCGGATGAAGCATGAGAGGATGAAACCGACGCCACCGATGCAGGTGTAGAAGATCCACATGCGGCTCAACGAGAATGTGAATGCTTCGAGCACGACCGCTTTCTGGTGAGAGTCAAGAGTCTCAATCAGGGCTTTAGAGGAACCGGCGAATGAGGTGGATATTTCGGCGGTGAGTTTGGAGCCGATGGCGGCGGTGAGCTTCTCGGCTTGTTGACCCATGACGTTTTGATAGACAACCGTTCCTAGCACAACCGACATGGAGGTAGAGAGCTGGCGGACGAAGCCGAAGGTGGCTGTTGCGGTGGCCATGTCGGCGGGACGAATGTTGGCTTGGAACGCGACTAGAGGCGCCTGGAAATTGGGGCCAACACCAGTACCGGCGATGAGCTGGAAAATGACGATACGGGACCAAGATGCGTAGGGTTTGAGATCGATAAATAGGCCGAACCCGAGAGTCATGAAAAACATGCCTGCAATGATACATTCGCGATAACGACCAGTCTTCTTCATGACGATACCTGTGCCGGCGGAGACGACCGAAAGAGCAAGAACCAAAGGCAGGACGTAGACACCGCTGAGAATCGGGCTTGCCAAAAGGACGGTTTGGAAGTAGAGAGGGAGGTAATAGGTACCGGCGATGAAAACGAAGCCGTGACAGAAGCAGACCAATAAAATGAGGATGTTGTACCACTCGTTGAACAGACGCAGAGGGATGATCGGGTACTTGGCGAGCTTCCACTCGCACAATCCAGCTAGAGCCCAGGTGACCACACCGAAGATAATGAGGCAGATGACGGTGGCGGAGGCCCAAGGGTAATTGACACCTCCGAACTCCAGACCGAAAAGGAACATGAGCGTACCACCAATGATCAAGAAAGTTCCAGCCCAATCGATGTTGCGCAGACCAGCCAAGAATGGCGTTTTCGGAGATTCGATGTGCAGGAAGAAGAATAGGATGACGAGCGAAACACCTCCAACCGGCAAGTTCAGGTAGAAGCACCATCTCCAAGTCACGTCGGTAGTAAAAGCACCACCGATGATAGGTCCCAGCGCACCGGCAATAGCCCAAGTAGCACCAAATATACCATAGTACATCGGGCGGTCTCTCATGCTGAACAAATCCGAGACACTGATATTGGCGAGAATGATGATTCCACCACCGCCGATACCTTGAATGGCACGGCCACAAATGATCATAGCCATGTTGTGAGCCAACGCACAAATCAAACTTCCAACGAGGAAAACGATGTTGGCAAGCAGGATGATGTACTTTCGTCCCCAGATGTCACTGATTTTGCCCCAAAGAGGAATGCAGGCGGCATTTGCCAGGAGATAGGACGAAGCAATCCATGAATACCCACTCTCGGTGGCACCAAAAGCTGAAGCGATGGTCGGGAGGGCAGTTGAGACAATCGTCATATCCAAAGCGGCCAGGAACAGAGCCAAGCAAAGAGCGGCCATGACGATGATGATCTGCTTCTTGCCCATCTTCGCCGACTGTGAGGGAGCCCGGTCGAGCACCGCTCCGTCGGCTTTCTCGCGTGCAGCGTCATCTGCCTCTGCTTTGATGTCGGCATCCTGCTCAGTCTTCAAGGGCTCAGTGACCGGCTCAGACTCCTCGTGAGATTTCGTCTCATGCAGCTGAGGTGCGACTGTTGTATCGGCGCTAGACGCATCGTGATCCTTGTGGAGGTCCGCCATGGTGAATTATAAGGCCAAGGCCCTTGTAGCGAAAATAAACGGATGAAAGTAAGTTGCGGGGGGCCCGCAGAGCCGAGTCCGAGATGGATCGATCGATCGGCCGACTTTGCGATCGACGCAGGTGGCGCGTATGCGTCTCGAAGGTTCTCGGTGGTGAGCGTGTGGAATGAAATATTAAGTGAATGCTAGGGCGACATAGTTGAGAATTTGTAGGAAAGGCGCGCGCGTTTGAAATGTCAGAAAAAACTCCTCGGAGTTAGTACTGCGCGATCCTAAAGAGGTCGTCCCGCGGGAAGTTGGAAGGCCGAAAGACCGAACAGCCGCGACTATACCCTCTTGATACTAGCTACCGTGACTCAGAGACCTTGCATCTTCGAGAGCGGTCTGGTTGATGGTGTTTGTTTAGAACTCTTTCGTTCATCGGTAAGAGACAGGCATTTTCAGATTGGAGATTGTGAGCTGCAAATTGCTCACGGCATGAGAGCAAGGGGCTCTAAATGGTGGCTCCGTGAACGGGCTCTTCATTATTCTCCACGACAGGAAGGAATGTTAGAACACGTAGTCAACTGAGCTATATTATTCCGAGAACAAAGGATTACTCCAGGTCAATCGACAAACGAGATAGTTCGTGTGTGTGTATCCTGCAAGTTTCTGCATACGTTCCGCATCGACAGGTCGACTCAGGTTCGGATCGGAGCTGTCACTTCGCCGAACTGCAGAAGTGTCGTGGTCTGCAGGTTACTACGGATAACGTGGCGTCTCGAACACCCATCGTCAGGTATTCAAACTTGTGTCATGTGCAGCAGGCTACAAGACTACGAACAAGAGATCTGAGTTGATGCAATGGAGAGCGGCTAGATCAGTCTACCGGAAACGGAAACGAGTCACTCTATAGTGATCGACAAATCCGATCGGGCAGAAACTTTTGAAACCCATATGTTTGATGAATTGCAGATGATTGGATTACGTCCTGATCAACTTGTAATCACATTTCTTGGTAAGTCTATGATAGAACATTTGAGGGAGGGGGTATATAGTGTGGAAATGTCAATGGCCTTGGGACCAAAAACGAGAAATAATGTGGACAATAAAAGATGCAAGTGCAAGCCCAACATATAAGTGATCGAGAAAAGATCAATCCTGCAGTTGAAGAATTTCTGTCGTGATATTAGGTACTCACTCCAACTTAAACCATTTCCGTGCAAGCACTTACCGGTCAAGAACTCTTCAAAGCTCACAGTGATGTATCCATCTCGATCATCATCATATCGCTTGAACACATCCGTCATGCGCTTCAAGCTAATGCACGCCTGCACAAAGAGATCAAAGCTCATACCACCATGAATCGGACTCTTGGGCACACCCGATATTTGTTTCGTCTTGCTCTCGTACACCGTAAAGAGTAGCGAGACGAACTGCGGACTGAGGCGGTAACCAAAGGCGACCAGCGCCTTCTCGAATTCCGGCAGACTGATTCGCCCGCTTCGGTCTTCGTCGAAGCGATCGAATAGTTCTCGCCATGCAGCAAGATACTTCCACAGCGAGATGAATTCGTCAAAGTTGATGGACCCGTTGCCGTCTTTGTCGAACATGCGAATCATGACCTTGACAGTGCGCGGGTGGAAGGACGTGTAGTCTCCGTTGACAAGAGCGGAGCCCAGCTCATGCTCGGTCAGGGAGCCGGAGTGCGAGGAGTTCGCGGCCCGGAAGAGGGGCAATAGCTGTTGGGGATCATCGCTGGGCGCAGACAGCGGCGGGGGTTGAGGGGATTGCGGAGGTTGGAAAGAGGGAGGAGGTCTATTGCGCTGGGCTTGAGGAGGCGGACCAAAGCCGTAATTCTGTGGAGGAGGTGAGGGATGCAATGGGTGCGGTCGCTGCTGGCTTGGGAGAGGGTTTGCGGGCGAGGGTCGATTAGTGTAGGAGTGCGCAGAATGAGGATCTTGCGGGCGCGGGGCAGGGCTGCCATATGGCTTGGGCGTAGTGCTGGCGACGGCGACGCGGGGAGGCACGCCGCTCGGTCCTGACTGCGGTGGGCGAGAAGGGAGCGGTTTGTTGCTCTGGCTGTGATTCCCTGGCCCTGACACCTGCATACTTCCAATCATCTGCGCGACCTGGCGATCTTTAGCAAGAGGAATATGTGGTCAGCGTGACGGTAGATACCTGCTCAGGCTCAGCGTGTCTGAGCCATTATATCGTGTTAGCGATCAAAGAGCCTCTGCGTTTGCCTTGGAGGCTTTCACTTACGCTGGCAGTGCGTCGGGGTTGTAACTCTTGTTGTAGGCCATGGTTACCAGCACTGACGCAATCGGAGAAGCGGAGCGCAAACGAGTCAATGTCAACTTTGCTCTAGCGATGATGCGAAGCGGTGCAGTCGGGAGTTTGAGGCGAGATGGGGAACCTGAAAGGAATCTTAAGAGTTGTTCAGACCCAAAGCGGAGCTGTGGGGCGGAGGTTCATGGACTTTAGTCCAAGATCTGTCGAACAAGCGCTTGCGCAACCCTGTCAGTCTCCACTGGGGCTAAATGAGGATGAATTTTTCCCCTTTTTGTTCTTAACGTGTCTTGAGGTTCTCAGCCCTACGCAGTACGCAGGCTGCCGAATGGTGCATTCTCTGCTGTGACGCTGAGGGAGGGGATCTTGCATTGAATCCTGAGCACATACTCACAGTAGCCGCCGAGCTAGCGATCCGACGCCCCTGAACGGGCCTGGCCGTTGCTACCTAAAAGAGCCCCACTGGGGCCATGGAGGATTTCTTCTACAGTACGTTACGAATACGAGATATGGGGCTGTAGTATTTACTTAAGATCTCTGAGCGATATCTCTCACGTCTGGTGCTTGCTCCTCCAGCACTTGCAAGATCTCCTTCCACGCCTTGGCCTGGAAAGATTTGCCTTTCACTCCAGTCGTAAGGGCAATAGATTCACTAAAAATTGTCAGTGCTTGGCATTGCAAGAAGGGCATCAGGACGTACTCCAGATATCCATCGCTTCTCCAACATTTTCCCTGCGACTCTGCGCCTTGCACAGTCGCACTGACCAAAGATCGACACCCCTGTTCAGTCGTGCGCGCAAACAGTTTATACATCACCCACACAAGCCATCGCTCGTAGAAGCGGTTATATTGTCTTCCAAGGGATGACTGGCACAGCCCGGGGCTGACGGTATTGACAATAACTTGCAAAGTACCGTCATCGTTTCGAACCAGGTCGGCAACGTTCTTCATCATATATTCCAACAGCAATTTCGAGATGCCGTATTGTTTCGGACCTTTGAAATGCTCTTCATCATTCACATGCTCGAGCAACGCACCATCCGTTTGGAGACTTTCGGCTTTGACGCGCACAAACTGTTGACTCGAGACTACACTCAAGTGGGCGGGTTCAGTGGCCGACGAGGATTCTCGCAACTTGGGTAGAAGCAATAAGGCCAACAATGACGTGGACAAAGTGTTGACTTGTAGGATCTCTTCCCAGCCTTCGGGTGACTTTGTGTATTCACGGTTCCAGAGACCAGCATTCAAGAGTGCAATGTCCACCCGCTGAAGCTCATCGTTGACGCGTCTGGCAAACTTCTGAACACTTTGAAAGCTGTTCATTTCAAGCTCCCAGACTTGGACCACCCCAGGCCGATTGGTGTATCTTTCAAGAGCTTGTTTGGTGCAGTGACCTCGCTCGAGACTGCGACTGCCGATGATCAATGAGTCCACGCCTTGATTCAGAAATTTGATGGCGGCTTCGTAGCCCAGGCCAGACGTGGCTCCTGTCAATATAACAGTCTTGCCAGCGAATGAGATCCCCCGTGGGTCTGTCGGAGGCGTGTACTGCATCTTTAGCAGACGAAAAAGGCCCGCCATTTTGACTGCCCGAAATTCTAAATGAAGGCTCGAGAGTCGTAGATCTTGCTGAACAATGTTTACCGGCCATAAATTGACGACAGAAACATGCTGAGTCAGGAGCTTTGGCCCACAACCAATCATGAGACGAGTTTCTTTGCACACGAGCACACGAGAGGACCGCAGAACATATTGGCGAACCACTGTATCGCAAGGTACCACTTGAAAGAGTACTTTCGAGGACGGGATATGAGGTTCAACATCCATTGAAAACAAATCTACTAATTAGGTTATTCACGTATATAACTTGTATATCGGTGTCCAATCGAACCCCGCATCCCCTTAAGAGTCGATGAAGTTGCACAAACCATCTATCGCACAATTTGCAACATAGGGCCATCTCCAAGTGTGATTCGATATAGTCAATACTCCTCAAAAGATTAGACGACATACTTGAAGCGCTTCAAATCATCTCACCTCATCGCAAAATGACGAACCGGCAAACAAACATTGCAAACAAACCGGAGGAGATTGATTTCTCAGCGAAGCCGGAGCCACGTTTATTCAAGTATACGCGGGGCGATCAAATCAGGTACATAGAGAATACCACCAACAGCGCCATCTCGGCTCATTCACGAGTTGGTTAAGAATACTAGCAGTCGCCCAATTAACACAAAGAATCACTCGTCGAAACACCTCGAACCATAGCATCAGCATATATCAACATCCCCGCAACCATGGCTGCCAGCTTGCAGGGCCACCAGGTCCACCCCGGCGGCCGCACATGGAAGAGCCACTTTCCTAATGGTGATTTGTGGGTATTTGGATACGGGTGAGTTGATCCAGCTCTCGTCTGAGAGGGAGATACATTGGAACACAGGACAATGCCACTAAAGCCGTGCGCAGGAGCTTGATCTGGAAACCACCGCCGCACTACGGTACGTGAAATGTGCATCCAAAAGGATTATTGATGATCACATGGGGGCAACATAGCCTCATTCCCCGCCCCCACCTGGGAATGAGATTACCCATCAGCATCAGACGATCGAAAGTGAGTACCGAACCTGACCGCTACTGTACAGATCAGCGAGTCCCGGGCTATATCGATGGCTACGTGCGCCGATTCTGGCAGGTATGTAATCCAAACGTTTTTCAAGCATTTTCAAGGTTCAATTCTCAGATCCGGGAATGTTGATCGGAGTGCCGTTATCACGGCATCGAGTCTAGAGCAATTGGAAGCTGACAGCAGGCCCGCCGTGGCGTTTTTCTATTTCAGGCTAGGTATGTTGCTTACTGACGGCTGGGGCTTACGGGTCTACTGGTCTTCGCTTATTGTTCGGGGAATGAGAAGTCCTGATTCCGTCCAATAGTACCGATCACCGAGGCACACCCGAGAAGCCGGGGAGAGTTGTTACTGTTATTGAGCGAACCTTTTGGGAAACGCTTGATGATCCGGTATGGCCTTGATTCTCTCCCATCGTGAATGAATTGAAGACTTCACGGGGGGGGTTCTTGGAGATGCGGCTGACACATGAACAGCTAGCGAAGACCGAATCTGAATCAGCTTCCACGGGCAAAGTCTGGGGAGCTGCTTACCATATTCCGCCTTCACATGCGGAGGAGGTCCACAATTACCTCGACGAACGCGAGATCGATGGATACAGCGTGCACTACACGCCCTTCTACCCGTTCTCTGCGGGCTCCTCGAAGGTCGCTGGACACTCCGCTCCGATCATTTGTATGGTGTACATCGGGCAACCGAGCAATCCACAATTTCTGCGTGATCCTGCGCAGCGGGACCCTCAAGACGTGGCACAGGTTATTAGCGCCGGACATGGACAAAGTGGGAAAGGAACCGAGTATCTCTATCTGCTGGAGAAGGCGCTTGAGGGTCTGGGGCTCGGAACGGCGGATATACATGTGACCGATCTGGTGAGACGGGTGAAGGCAATAGAGGCTGCGGGCGAGGGCGAAGAGGAAGAAAGAGAGGCCGAGAAGAATGTCAAGCGATCTTTGGCGACGGCTGAGGTTGTGGCAAAGGGAGAAAATATTGAATGAGATATTAGATGACTACCGGGTGGTGGGTAGATATAACCATTCCGTGGGATGGAGGACATGATAGAGCCAAATGTATCGGACACGATGTCGAATCTCTCGAAGACTGCGCTATGCCAATCTCGCACGAGCCATTGCTCTTAAATGTGTAGGTACCGAAGAAACTTCTCATCCATCGAAGGCCACGAAATACAAAAAGCACGCTGGCGCGATTGAAACATGAGCCAAATTAATGCCAAGATGATCCTATTTACCACGGCAACACCCGGGGGCAACACTGCCTCGTATAAAACCAACATTAGGAGGAAATTGTCGTTCCATTTCAAGACCAGATCCCGTCGTTTGCTGATCTGCACTGCACCAGTTTCCATGTCTCGTCAATCCCTCTGCCAAAAGGAAAGCATTCGATGATAATTTTGTGCAAGCAATAAGAAACGCCAGTGGGATAAAGCACACTTCGTGACGTTAGTTGCCCTGCTCGGGAGCTGGGGCCTGGTTGTTGTTGCGCCAGCCTGGGTCTATCAATTAGTTTTGAGGACGCAGAGTCCCTGGGAAAACACGCTCACCACCACCGCCACCGTATCCGGCATTCTGACCACCGCCTAGAACATACTTAGAACTTTGAAAAGAACTTGCTAGATCTGGTTGAATAAGAGAGAAATACTCACCATAACCGCCTCCGTAGCCACCACCATAGCCCCCGTTGCCATTGTAGGGCTGCTGCTGCTGGCCATATCCACGGTTGTAACCACCACCACCGCCGAAACCGCCACCGCCCTGATAACCTTGACCGGGCTGCGTGTTGTATCCGCCGCGGCCTTGGAAGCCACCCTCGGGACGAGAGGGACGGTCAAAGGCCTTGTCAACGCGAATAGTACGTCCGTCGAATCTATAGGATGGATTCAGTGGCCTGACCATATGCTGCAAAAGGCAATAGCTGCCTTGCAACAACCTACTCCTGATTATTCATGGCGCTCATGGCGGCATCTGCTTCAGCTTCCGTAGCGAAACGTACGAAGCCAAATCCACGGCTGCGCAGAGTGGCGCGGTCCTTGACGACGATCTGTAAGGATTCGGGTTAGGCTGCGGCTCAATCTGAAGACTTGTGGGGGACCGTAGATCACTAACAGCTTCTTGAATCTCTCCGAACTGCTGAAATCCATCGCGAAGAGTATCATCATTGGTGTGCCATGAAAGGCCGCTTCAGATGGAGTGGCCGAGTCAGTATAGGAACGCAACGGGAAAAGCGGGGAGATGGCGGGACATTTTTACGAAAACCAAAAAAGCCCACAAGAAGTAGGCAAAGTGAGACCTAAAAAAACAAAAAAAAAGAATGGAAACTTACTGAACAAAGAGCTTAGCCATGATAGAGATATGAAAGCTTCCGAGAAACGCTGATTTAGCGTTAGAAGGGAGGGAGATGAACACTACGAAGCAGGACCGGGAATCAGAGAAGGGATGAAAAGGTGAAGGTTGTGACGGGCGAGAAGATCCTGGTTACGAAACGAGTCAGCAGTCAAACCCGTGTAACAATCACACTGCCTTAGCCTCAAGGCTCCCGCTTCTCTGGGCCAGGCCTGGCACCAATGGTACGGCGTTCACGGGAAATATGATGCTTGCTGTTGCTGTGTTTGGGGACCACTAAGACAGGGCATGTCCAACGCAGAGAGGAAGGTGCTAAGACTTTCACGAGCTGGATAAGGGTGGGGGGAAGCCGCAGTTTGCAGCTGAAGATAGTGCTCTTCTGGGCCTTGACGGCGAGTCCCACCTGTCTTTAACCAGAATTGATCTGTTCCCGGGACCCAGCGGCGTGTTCAGAGTGTGTTCAATCAATCAGATGTTACCCGAGGCTGGATCTGATTGAGGAGCCACGCTAGCTTGGTATCGGCTGATGCTGAGGCCGGTGCCCCTCACTTAGTTGCTGTTCCTTATGCGTGATGGCCTGAGGGAACTGCACATTCTACAACGGGTTGCACATCCCAGGTTACCCAGATGGTGGATAATCAATGGCATGGTCGAGTCCTGAGTAGAACCGACAAAACTCAACACCCCAACTTTGAGAAACCGGGGAGCACATGGGGGTCAAGCAGGGCCTCCGCATAGACTCGCGACCCGAGAATTTGCCAGGCCTCAGCTTGAGTTGTTCAAGCCGTATTTCACCAAGCTCAATGCATCGCGGGTTCCGGTGTACACACCATATTGTTAGAATCTTTGACGCCCCCCCTTTTTTTGGGCGATCTCGGCTGCACTTAGAAGGGTCTGGCCATGCACAATGCAACACACCTGGAACGGCTTCGCCCTGTCAGGCTTGGACTCTAGTCCGACCGCGATCCCCGACCAATACACGCGACGGTGGAGGGGCAAGAGTGGTCCACATGCCGCTTGGGGCAGTCCATCGGCAAGACTCCGGGAGGTAAACGACGATCAGCGCATGGTTCGGTTTTCAAAGCCGACGAGTTGAAGAGTATCTTGCTTGGATTTTTTCAAGAAAAGCTCATTCTTCGCGAGGACATCAAATTGGCACTCGAGAGCTGTGTCATCCGCTGAGTATGCGGCTTGCTGCACAAATAGCCCATCAAACGACGTGGTGTGAACCTTGGTACATGTAGAATCAGGGACAGCCCGAAAGGCGGTCTCCCTGCAAGGAATAGATGTCGTATGTTCAGACTGGACGGGGGGATCCTGGTATGCGCTCATGGACTTGGGTAAGAAGGGACTATCGCCCGTGGCTTCCCAAACACAGCCAGCCGCATTCCCTCTGTTTAGTCAATTCTGTTGCGGATTTCCATTTGTGCTTGAACTTTGAGAACTTCAAGTACGCCTCGCAGCTTGTGGACGATGGAAGAGCCTGAGAAGTCGATCTATCGATGGCTGTCACGAGTGACACATGGTGAACAAACCCCTGGTGCATCTGGTGCAGGAACACTGTCTGGAGCGCCATACATATGTCCTTCTCTCACCGGACTTGCTGAGAGTCCGGGCTATGACGGGCCAGCCTATCCATTGGAGAGTTACTCAGCAGTACTGGAGCCCACAGGTTGCGCCCCGCAATCCCAATGGCTTAATCCCAGAAAGCGGACGAGGGAAAGGGCCACTCGCCAGAAACCTCCTCGAGACGAGCCATGCCCGGCGAAACCCGACGAGTATGAACGTAAGCCACGACCCAAAACTCGGAAATATCAGTACGAATACATTACAACTGGCTCTCCAACAAGGAATCTGTCAGAAGTCCCTGAACCTAAGGCCAAAAGACAACGCCGGAGCAGGAAGCAGAGCATGAATGATGGGTTTCGTGCGACCAATGTTGCTCGGAAGAGACTTACGGTATAGGCCCTGCCAGCTCGAATGTATTGTCATCTCTTTTAACAATGCTTCAGCTCACCAGCACTGCGAATCTGGGAATATTCCGCAAGGGCAGGGCATCATCTCCCACCAAACGTCGCAACGGTGAGTTTAAATTCATTGTCACAGTGTGCCATGGGAAACAACTAAATGTGAATGGAAGTTCCCAATTTCGCATTTTCTGAGACAATCCTCCTGTCGCAGAACACTTCAGGCAATGGGCGGGTCTCTATGTCTGCCGTCAATGAACCGAAAAAACAAAAGGAAATAAGCCACGATTACGACTTGTCCAGTTTTCGGTCCTGTAACGCTCCAAAGAAACGCGACCTTGATCTTGACATTGCATCTTCACAAAGTCCAGCACAATACATTGGGCAATTTGAGCCGATTGACGCTACCAGCTCTCTCCGTCGTCCCTCACCCAATAAAATAACGTATTTTACAGGTCCGACAAAGATGACGATCGTTGCTCCCGATGCAAAAGCCTTTGACAGCCAGGCAGTAGAAGTCTCACACTATAGCCGGCCTGCTACGCCATATACTTGGTCTGCGAGTGGTCGGGCAACGGCGTCACTGGGTGCCGTTATTCAGGATCATTTGTTAAACACTCTTCATGTCGGCCTGTTTCCGAAGCTCCAAACTAGCTCAGAGATTGGAGTCGGCTCAAAGTATTACTACAGCCTCCATGACCTGAAGATGCTTTTGGAAGCCCGCAAAGAATCTTGGCGGTCGAATGACAATGGTAAAGAAGCAACTTTTCAGCCTGCCCCCATCCTCAACCCCTCACAACAGCTAGCGACACAGTCTCCTGATATTGAGGAAGATGCGGAAGGCTCAATCTTCAATTTCAACACTGCACATGCAGAGAGAAGTATGACCCCAGGTCTTGGCGAAACTCGCAAGGGCGATGCCCTTTTGGGGTCACAACTTCAGGATGATTTCAACGGAAATACCATCAGCAGTCTCCTTTCATCGCAGAGTCAGAAAATGAGCAAACCTCCCATTAGTGATGCAGATGCCTTCTTTCGAGCTTTAGATGCAGAGTTCTGCGCAATCATGGAACCTTCAAACAATTACCTGGAGCACGCTCGTCGGAGTTCAAAGACTGAACCAACGCTGGAGGTCGATCAAGACGCAGATACTCCATTGAGAACACAAATCACCTCATTCGATGATGAAATAAGCTCCCTCGACTTTGATCAATCTGGTAGCGGAATTGGGTATTCCGCATCACACCCGATCCCAGACTATCACGCACAGGTCGAGCTTGCAACACGTCCAATCAATCGCCGAATGTTACCCTTGCCATTCATGAGTAACGATTGCATCAAGAAGACTTCAAATCATGCGCCCAAGGCTAGCTCAACGCAGCCATGGTCTGCTCTGACGGCCGCATCGGCTGTCAAGCATACAACATTACCATCCGGGTTTTGGCGTCAGAACAAGTTATACTAACCAAGATCCGCAACATGCTTTTTCTAAAGAGATGCCAGTGAATATCCAACCCTTGAGATTGTATGAGATTCAGGCCAATTTTCGGATAAAGGGGCCTAAATACTATGGTGATGCCCACTGGGGCTCTTGGGCGCATTACCTCTTGAATTTTTACCTGATCATTTTTCCAGCGCACTTTGTATCTGCTCACGAACATGTATGTAGCTTCAGACGGGCAAGCGCTACAGTAAAGCTTATGTCAACCATGGAAGCTTCATTTCTGGTCTTGAATCACCAATCCAGCTCCTTTATGATTCCCACAATCTTCCGAGGACAAGCCAAAATCAAAGTATATCCCTAGCCTACTAGACATACCGTAACACCCAGTTCATCTGGGTAGCCTGATGGTGTCTTTTCAAGCCGCCCGATGAAGATCCGATATTTTAGTCCATAGTTACGCAATAAGGACATGGCGGGGGTGAGCCAATGATTTCAAGGAGAGTAACAATATATAGCCTCGAAAAAGGGTGCTCCTAGATCATTAGTGGGAATTTCAAGCTCACCAGACCCCCGGGTGTAAGCGCTGAACTGAAGCATAATTCAGACTGCACCACACCCCTGCGTAGTCACATCCAAGGCCTACATTCAAGCCGCAATCAACTGTCCCATGAGAGACATCTTTACCCCCTGTGGAGCACTCCGATGCCATTCATGATCATGCAATACGTGACTGTCATGAGAAATTGAAGACAGCTTCGGGGCATTGCCGCACCATGATTGATCACTCGTGCGCAAGGGGAAGCTCAAAGACGCAAGGCTCAGACAAAAGGGGCATTTCAAACCCCGCGGGACCTAGGTATCATGACGAGTACTCATGCACTCCACAATATTCCCTAAATTGTTTTCAGTCGGTCAGTCCGATATTCTGTTATCAATCATGTCAATCAAACCAACCATTCTCCTTATCCCTGGTGCCTGGCACGAAGCCGGCATCTTCGACACGGTAGCTGCCATCCTGCGAGCCCAAGGCTACCCAGTCGAATCGATGACTCTGCCCTCAGCAGGTGGTCCCGTATCGACGACTGTCGCAGACGATGCCGAATACATTCGAGGACGGTATCTCAAAGAGCTAGTCGCGCAGGGGAAAGAAGTCGTTATGGTGATGCACTCCTATAGCGGCATCCCAGGCACGGAAAGTATTCAAGGGCTTGCGCGAAAAGATCTGGAAGCGCAGGGTAAACAAGGTGGTGTTGTTGCTATCGTTTATATATCAGCATTCTTGATGCCAGCTGGTCAAAGTTTGGAGTTCGCATCGCCACACAAGGGTCTGGATCCTGCGGTGACCATCGAAGTACGTAGCTGCCAACATGTGTATGATCGACAACTACTGATGTACTGGATCTACAGGGAGATGTGGTATACCCCGTAAACCCGAGAGCGGTCTTCTACAACGACCTCGACGATGAAAATGCCGCGAAACATGTCGCGAAACTCGTATATCAGGCCAAGCCAAGTTTCTGTACTCCTCTCATGTATGAGGCCTACCGTGATGTGCCAGCACACTACCTCCTCTGCAAGCAAGACGCTTCTATCCCGCTCTCTGCGCAGCGAATGATGGCAGCTATGCCAGGGAGAGGCGTTGTGCAGACTTACGAGAGTGACGCGGGCCATTGTGCGATGCTAAGCGCACCACAAGATGTGGCTGATGTGATTCAAAATGCTTCTACAGAGCATGAGGTACGAATCGACGTTGTTGGAAATAGTTGGAAGAGACCTCACAATACGTGGAACTTTGGGGAAACAGATCTGCTGCGTTTTCACAATAAGTGTTTTGATTGGGTATCAAACAATCTCGATGGTGTGACATCTGAAAAAGGGAATGTAGAATATGCAAAGAGCTGAGTACGGGTTCTTCGTGTCTATGGTTTAAGGTGCCAGTCCTAGGTGAAAATTGGTCACTCAATACCCAGGGAAGCTCTGATTTTTCTTCCTGAACGCCAGTTGGGTGTATTGCAAATTATTGACCAAGCTTCCTCTCAGCCGAAGACTTGATGGGCGGCGGTGGGTGGGACTGCTGTACAAAGCAGGTTGCGAAGATGTATTCTCGACGTCGGTGATAACCGGTGATAAATGTGTGGCCTTCCATCTAAACTCAGAGAGTTGCCGCAGCCTCAATCACACCCGCAGCCTTGAAAGCGGCCGGGTTTCTCATGACGACCTCGACCGGGTATTTCCATTGCATGAAGCTAGTCCAGCCTGAAAAGAGTCTTCGTTAGCCAAGTATCCCGAGATCATCTTCAGGAGTGTACTAACCCCAGTATGCGCACTTCCTGCCAAGGTATTTGCCAATGAAAGGTACAAGGACCATGGACAAAAGCAACTCCAGTTGCTCAATGCTTTCCCGCCATTCTGCCTCAGCATCGGAGAAAACATCTGACATAGTGTCGAGGTTTGATTCAGAGGTCGATTCTGAAGGAAGTGAAGCGATCTCGTCGTCGGACTCTAAGCCGTAAGCGTCTTGTGAGGGGACCATGTAGGCGGAGTAGGAGAAGGAGGGATTGGACCCGGCAGGGGAAGCGGAGGACATGGTGGGCGGTTGTATTTCGAGGAATAGCAGAGAGAATGAATGAAAGAAATAAGAGCAGCGGCCTGCCTACTGCTCTGGTGAAATCAAAGCATCGGCGATGATAATCTAGATGGGGTCTGCGGAGACGCAAGCTGTTGACGGCTGATGTTCAACGTCAGGTCAGGTGATCCGGGTCCGCCTGACTCATTACCACGTGACCGTCCCGCGATAACAATCGTCGCCTCTCCAGTGCTGTGGATATCGCTATTCTGCGTCAAATTCGACATCCTCGACCTCTTGCTTAATTTGATTACCAGCGATATCCAGCGCCGGTCAAGTTCACCTCCAGCTGTGTAGTGAACCCTATATCACAACCACACAATATGGCGGACGCCGTACGTCACACCCTCTGGTCTTTTTTGCCGATTCTCCCACATTTTCTTTGATTTTGCCCAATGCCCCTCGATCACCTGGCTGACCAGGCCACTCATCTGGAGCTTCGATTGCTCGTCCCAGCACGGGTCCTTTTATATTCACGCTTCTCATTTTCATCACACCTGAAGTTTTTTTTTACCCCACCGCTAACCTCCTTCACCCGAATAGGCAGTTGAGCAGAAGCAGCGCAAGTCAGTCGCATTCGAAGAAGGATCCGTCATCATGGATACCAACGGCCAAGTTCAAGACGCCCCGGCTGCTGAGAAGCCTGCTGGTATGCATCCGATCTCCCACAATCCTCAGGTCAACTCCCGCACATTGGACTCCGGACCAGCTAACGGAGCATACCCACATACAGAGAACGATGTCGACGAAGTCACCGAGATGTTCAAGGGCCTCTCCAAAAAGAAGAAGTCCAAGAAGAGCAAGGATTCTGAGGCCGGCGAAGGCGAAGAGACCCCTGCCGCCGACGGCGAGTTTGACCCCTCCGCGTTGAAGAAGAAGAAGAAGAAGCCCAAGAAGGAAACCACCGATTCCGAGGCCAAGGCCGAGGCTGGCGCTGCCACAGAGGAGGGTGAGGAGAAGGCCGAGGAGCCCGTGCCTGAAGGCGACCCCGAGGCCGGCACCGGTATCTGGCAACACGACAACACGCAAGCCGTCCCCTACTCTCTTCTCGTCTCGCGCTTCTTCTCCCTCATTCAGAGCCACCACCCCGACTTGCTTTCCAGCGGCACCAAGTCGTACAAGATCCCCCCCGCCCCAGTGTCTGCGTGAGGGCAACCGTCGTACCATTTTCGCCAACATCGCCGACATTTGCAAGCGCATCAAGCGTTCCGACGAGCACGTCACCCAGTTCTTGTTCGCTGAGTTGGGTACCAGCGGTTCCGTCGACGGTAGCCGTCGCCTCGTCATCAAGGGTCGTTTCCAACAGAAGGGTATCGAGTCTGTCCTGCGTCGGTATATCGGTACGTATCCTCTCAACCTCCTTTCCACCCGAACCCCTGATCTCCAGCTAATACCTCCCAGTTGAATACGTTACCTGCAAGACCTGCCGCAGCCCCGACACCGAGCTCAACAAGGGAGAGAACCGTCTGTACTTCGTCACCTGCAACTCCTGTGGATCTCGTCGTTCGGTCGCCGCCATCAAGACTGGTTTCCGTGGACAGGTCGGCCGCAGAAAGCGCACTGGTTAAACGGGTATTGCACTGGTTTGGCATTTTCGCGGAGGAGGGAGTTTCTTGTATCTCTTCTTTCTGGCGTGTCACTTACTCGGATTTTGGCGGACAAAAATACGGCCCCGACACTTTATCTTGTATCAAGATTAGGGGGGTTGAGATGAAGCGATGATTTGAGGATAGAAATAGTTTGGCATGAAATGGACTGATATGACCTCCTATACTATTTTATACTAGAATTTGTTTACCACTATTATATTCCCACGGCCTTTTGGAGTGATCGTCTCAAGCGTGCAGTTGCATGGGTTCATAAAAGCAGACGACTCCAGCAGCGAATGGCAGCCAGACGATGAAAAGGGCGAAGAGTCTCGGAAGGATACTTTGAATTTAGTATTTGGCTAGGTATTCTGACACTGACGTCAGGTAGAGTAAGTAGCAGTAATGGAGAACAGTTGTATTGCTTCATGCCGAATATTCAAAGAATGGCTATTGGGGCCAATCCTGTTTGCATGACATTTAAGTACTTCAATAATAAAAAATTCGCTCGACTAGTCGAAAACAAAGAACGGCCACATTGCATTCTCACTCAAAGTCTTGCTCTGGATTGCAAACTTACGTAGGTCTGGCAATAAAAAAATGCACACGTAGAGAGATTCCTGATCCCATCGTACACTTGAACCAATCAAATATGATTCCCCTAACCGCTGGCAGTGCTGACTTTCATCTGGGCAGCAAAAGCGTTCAAGTTTCTTGTCTGTAGATAAACGGTTCCTGGGCCTTCGAACTTGCAGGCAAGACCTTCTCCAGAACTCAGACCGGAAATGATCCCACCAGATGCAACACGCTCAATTTTATACTTGCAGTTCCATGCGACGAGGTGGCCATTGTCAATGAAGTACGTTTCGTTTTCCTTGAGCTACAAAGAGCAGATGACATGAGAATTCAGATTTTCGAATTAGGGGATGCTCATGAACTTACATCCTTCTTGATGATGGCGCCAAAGCTTTGTAACCACAGTATTCCAGTACCAGAAATCTTGTAGATGAAAAGTCCAGCTCCACCGAAGACAGCCTTTGAGAGGCCTTGTGCCTGGTACTCGTGCTTCACCGCAGACGTTGAGGCCATGAAACAGTCTCTCGATATTTTCCATGTCTGTCCTTCTTCCAGCCGTAGGAAGAAGATATCACCCAGCACTGAAGGTGCGAGAAGCAGCTCACCAGGGCCCGTATAGTGTGACATAGATAGTTCGCCACCTGCCAGGAGCTTCTTGAAGTTGAAGGATACAGTTCCCCGAAGTGTCATGGTCGTAGACATGGCAATCATCACCCCTGGAACATCCCGGCAATTCGAGGTTAGCAACGGATCAAAACACATATATTATATGCAACGAGAAAACATACCTGGCTTGGCAGTCAAGGGGCAGCCCATTGCCAGTTGCAATGTCAGAAGCGAGTTAACATCGCGGTGACTGATCCTGTAGCTGCCTCCGTTAAAAGTTCCGACTGTATCCTCGGTGGTTCCCGTAGAGGATGCACCGGCAAACTCTCCTGGCGTGGGTGCGCCGGGTACGCGAGGACCAAGCTTTTGCACAAGAGTGGCATTTTGTGGATAGTATTGTGGCTGCTTCTCATTTGGAGGCGGACTGGGAATGAAAGGGGAGTTTTGCTTCACAGCAGCAGCATTTTGCTGGTAGTTATATTGATAGAACTGTGCCTGCTTTTCACTCGCAGGTGGGCTAACTGATGGTGGAGGTCCGGGGTACTGCCTACTCGCAGGGGCGATTGCGTTGGCGGAGGTGGGTAGTGATTAAAACTCGGGGGAGGAGTGGCTTGGGGGGGGACCCGGGAATGCTAGGTGATGTTAGAGCCATTAAGTTCGTCATGGTTGCAATCATACATGTTACGTGAGCTGGAGCTGTTGGCAGTTAATATACAATTCTAGTATGTATTGGAATTCTTGGAAGCAATTTGGCCCACTTACCCGACATGGGCGGAGGAGGATAATGCTGTTGTTCGGCCATTTTTGCAGCAAAAAGAATTCAGAGCTAAGTAGGCATATAGCAACCTGGCGATACCTTTGATTCAGTCTATTCGTCCTGTAGCGGCCAATTTGAGAGGTGTAGACCACTTACCGGTCTTGGTGCGGGGGAGGGCAATTGGAGAGAACAGGTCTTCTCCGCTGAGCACTGATGCCGTTCAATTTACCAAAAGGTAAGGAATCGATCTCACGTTGAATAAAACTAGGACTGAAGGTGAAAACCGGAAATCGACGGACGAAACCTCTGTAGAAGAGAAGAAGCGCTGCGACTCCGCATAGGGGGGTAGCTCCCCCGCTATATTTAGTTGTGGCAGGCATTGGGTGCGATCATCGCAGCCGAAAAAGCAGTTAGATTGGCAGGTGGTGACCTGTCGCCGTATCACAGCTGACTACTGCGGGATTATCCCAGCCGGCGCCTATAAGCCGTACATCCTTGACCTGATGGGCCAGACTCACTAGCACTAAAGTGGGGTGTTCCGCGGTCATTGGTCGTGCGCCTTAGCGCCGAGACGAGGCTAGAGACTACTAAGAAACTCTCACTAAGCCGACCCTTGAGTTGGCTTCCAGGATGAGTTCACAACTTATGCTGAATCAGGAGACATCACTCACCTCGAATTTGAAGCCATATCGACCGACATAGCCGAACTATACACTTTTAGCAGATGGAGAAAAGAAAACATAGCAGCGTATTTTCGGAATCCCCATTCCTTGATTCTTGACCATGGTGCTATATAAAGTGCTTTCATACGGAATTGCCGACAGCAGCTTCCAATATTGCCACGGTGCTTTCACATCCACATCTCTGGGCCCAGTCTAAAGCCGTTAGCCCTTCTCCATCTAGTACATGTATATTGGCGCCGTTTTCTAACAGCAGGCGAGTCATGCCTGCATTTCCTGATTGAGCCGCACGCGTCAACGGAGTTGAACCTGTGCTGGCCGTGGTTGTGTCAACATCAGCCCCATACTCCAAAAGCATTCTGACCAGTTCAACTCGATTGCAAGCTACAGCAGAGGAGAGTGCTGAAGACCCGCCAGCCTGCTTGTTAGCATTTGCACCATGAGATAGCAACAAACGGACGACTTCGACATGATTCTCAATGGTCGCACAGTACAGGGCAGAGCAGCCCAAAGAATCCAATACCTCTGTAGCTGCTCTATTGGAAAGAAGAAGCTCCACCATAGAAGTCCATCCTCTTTGGGCCGCTATGATCAAAGGTCTCATTCCTGGGACTTTGTCATTACCATTAGGATTTGCTCCATTGGCGAGTAGAGTCCGAGCGGCTTCAATGTCTCCAATATCAACCACTTCCATCAAGGATGATCTTCCGACACCGTTCAATGCATCGATATCAGCATTGCGTCGTTGAAGGACTTGAATCCCCCAATGGGAGTGACACTTTGCTGCAATAGTGAATGCGTATTGAACGGAGGATGAGTTCTCTGCTCCACTTTCTGCCCATTGCGCAAGCACGGAGTATACCAGAGCATCAAATCCACTCTCAGATGCCCACCAATATCCCAGGGCGTCTTCAGGCTTTGCGAGCTCATTTTGACGGTCAAGCTGATTGAAGGTGAGCAATTCTTGCATCGCGTGCACACCAACAAGAGCCTGCTCTTTATGAAGTCTTGCTACTTCGCAGAGGCCCAGGTCTTGTTGAACATTGAGTCTCTCTAGGTCTTTCTGCATCCATTCCATGCCAGGTACTCTTTGAGAGATGTGCCACGCCATCCATCCAATTTGTTTGGAAAATGAGTGCCACAAAGTTGTATTCACCCCCGATTCTTGCCATGTAGAGGATAGCGACATTATTGGTGTTTGCAGAAAGCCGATTTGAGTCTCTGACTCAAGAATCTTGCACGTGTAGATGAACCCCAGCAATTGCGAATCTTTCTTGTTTGATAATAACGCCCGACGACAGAGATAGCCAAGTTCGTACAGCGAATAGGTGTAACTATCTTCGATTGAGCGCTGACAGGTCCATTCCACAAGACGAAATGCTGTTGCCCAGTCGTTCTCATTTATTGAACGGCCTGTGCGCTTCCTTATATGGATGGAATCGGCTGCTAGTGCTGGCAACATGCTCTTTCGATTCAGCATAGGAACCATGCACAGCAGTGCATCTTCCCTTGAACCCAGCCTGCAGCTTTCGAAGCAACCGACCAACTCGTTGATTCGACTGCTTTCGGCCACATAAGAGCCCATGAGCCCGACATTGACGTCGAAACTACCACCAAGGTTGGTGAGATGGTCGAAAGCAGCCTTGATGAAATGAACATAGATGTCCTGGGCTGCCATGTACTCAAGATCGTTCTCTGTTCTCATCACCATTATATCGTTACCGTGTGCGAACTGATCAGCATCACATCCAAAGAGACGACGTGATGAGTCGATCAATTTCAAGGAGGCCATTCTTGCCTCCGTTTGTCGGAATATCCACTTGTGGAAATTATGGTATGCTGCTTCTCCCTGCGCCTCAGCTTCATCCACTCCGACAAGGCGGTAGAGTGGTTGAAGCCAGTCTTGTTCTGATTTGTAGAGTGACCATGTCCATAGTCCTAATATTGCCTCAAGGTACTTTGATTCCACACACCATCTGAGGGTATCACCGCTTCTCGATGGCTGTACAAGGCAGGTTGTCCGAGATAGTGTCCCGGATACTCGTTGGCACTCAACATCGAGCGGGAAATTGAACGACTCGCCGAATTCGATACCCCAACTCGACATCACGTCCATTGTAGTCTCAATTGTTCGAGCGAGGTTTTTTGCAGCGCTCCGAATGGGCATTTCATCCCATGCCATGGTAGAGCCATCATGTGACCCGGAGGTGAGCTCGGCTAGACGTACTCTAGTTTGAATCAGACGCTTGGCTATGAGTTCTGAGTCCCTTCTTTGCTCCAAACAAGAGCCGACCGACGCTGTATTACAATGATCCTGGGAGATCAAATCAAAAGACACCATATGTTCCAGCTTAAATGCGAAACAATCGAGCTCTTGCTGCTTGTAGGCTGTTATTTCCCTTTCATCTTTTAGTTTGTTTTCTTCTGGTGCCATTCTCTTTGTTCGTAGACAAGTCCTCAAGATTGACATAACAAGCGTGGCTCCCAAAGAGGCTAGAATAACGGAAGCATGGAGACCGCGAAGTCCGATAAATTGCATGATGAACCCGATGACGGTCAAAGAAATCGTTGAATATATCACGAAACATTGGCCTTCGTATCTGTGATCGCGAATCGACTTGATGTACATGACGGGCGCGGTATCCTCAGCCAAGAATGAGCCAAATACTTGGTCTCCTACCTTTTGGTTTCCAGGTTGGAGCCAGTATAACGTACTTGACTTTTTCGGCTTGAAGTAGTATTCTTTTGAGGACCGCTCGATGATCACAGCAGAAAAGAACATTCCGATGAACAGGAATGTTGTCCCTATTATGTAAAAAGGGAATGCGTAGCTGGGGACAGCCGATCCGTTCTTTTTAAATGTATCGGGGGACACAAAGACAGTAATGATAGAATACACGATGACACCTAGAAACGTCAATTTTAGCGCCCAAGGACGTTCGTATACAACAAGTGCTCACCTGTCTGCAAGAGTGATCCAACAATGGCAACACAGTAAGACCAGCTCTGGTCCTTTCTTTTAATTCCCTTGTTGAGAGATAAGTTGGGAACACCGATTTCAGGAAGGTAATACCGGTCAGGAGAGCACTTTTCCTTCCCTTTCTCAGACCAAGCCCCAGATTTGACAGCATCAAGCAGGGTTCCAAGCTTGAGAGATAGCTTGCCGTCTTCTACCGTTTCATCTTCCCAGGCTACAACTTCCAGCACCTTTGGTCGACCAAAGACCCTCGAAATGCCGCCATCATTGAAAAGCTCCGCCGTTGACTCGGAGACACATGGAAGCAATTCGCTTTCGGCTTCTGCAGGCCCTTCCTGTGCACGTCCGATGAATGCTCGAAGAGAGGATCCGCCACAGACTCGAATCACTGAGACGACTGTTGTCAAGACGCCAAGCGGCGAGAGGGCGAAGATCAGATTATCAATGAGGCTAATTGATTCGGAGAGGAACTGTTTGGTGAGCCGTTCGCCAAAGAGAGTAATCAAAGGTGCCTGCAGTGATTTTGTGCATGAGTATTCCTTCTATGCTCGTGATTTGCACGCGAGTATGTGCAACTCACCAAGTCCGTCGCAAGATTATTCGTAAAGTCGTCCCAATCATCAGCTAACACGAGGGGCGCTAGACAAAGTATGATTAAACAGTTCAAACGCATCGCAGCTTAAAATCAAATGACAAGTTCCTTTCCATCAGATTCTGGGAATTGCTCTATTTCTAAGAGCCACAGCCTCAACAGGCCCCGCCCATCGCTCGTGGGAAGGAGAGTGACTGGTCGAGTCATAGCCTGGTGAAGCGCCTAGTTCAGTGATCATGGCGAATCAAGTACCCGCACGCAGACTTTCGTCGCTATTCTTGTCTGGGTTGAAACCTCAAAAAGTACTTGCTGGGTGCTTGTAAGCGCCGCACTGGTGGAGGTACCTCTCTGGTCAGATGCCGCCACGCTAGTCGCGGCCCGCATGGGAAGCGGCACGGATGGCGGGGCTAGATCAATCCTCTGCCTCTAGAGACGAGTCATAAATCGGCATTTGTGTTTTTGGCTTAGCTTTTAACTTGCAAGCGGTGTTTGCGCTGTCGAACTTGCTTTCTCGATCTCTTTAGCACGAAAATCATCTCAGAAGCCGAGTTTTACTATATTACACACAATGGCCAGAGACGCACCTGCCTGCTCTCTGAGCGAAGCATCCCGATCAAGAATTTCAGTGACGCACTGAACTGAATGTGAATGCTTCATGGCAATTGGCTCACGCTCGGATGAACGCCGACAGCGAAGGACCTAAGCAAACCTTTGCTAGTCTCAAAGTCCTCAAATAGCATCATGGAAATGACAGCATTACATGTGTGTACTATTCTATGCACAGTTGTCGGCCACACCCAATGTAATCGTCCCGAATAATCGGTATGAGTGTGTTCGAGGCCCACCAGGTAATTCGAGTGAGGCAGTGAGAGTTGGGCCGCCAAAAGGGATCTGCGATGACCTTGGAGTGGCATTGAGATGGAAGCTTTCATGACGAAGGTTAAAGAAAGAATGAGAGATAATAACAATAGAGGTACCAGCACTAGGAGATGATGAAGAGCGAGTGGTATAATTCCTGCTATAGGACCCAGATTGTGTGACATGTTGTCCTACAAGACGGGAACTTAGTTCGAATGTCCATATTCCATGTATGGACGAGATATGTTTATCACAAGGCCAAATATATCACCGACATGTTCTCATAATTTGCCCAAGGATGCAAAGTGCATCAAGCAAGCCGCGATACAAATAGAAAAGAGTATTGATCTGGAAATGGGCTTTGCCATTGAGCCTTATTGTTCATAAAAGACAAAGTCGAGCCACCAACGCCGTTCCACTGAGAGATCTGAAAATCGATGCCCTGTCACCGCAAATCAAAAGACAGAGAATCCGACAAATGCGCAATTAGAAAATGCTGTTCACGATGTTGGAGCCAACAGTAGCACCGGCACCGAAGATCGCTGTATGCAGGTTAGGACCATCGGTCTTCCAATATCACAAGGGACACTTACCAGCATTGCCCAGCTTCTTGCCGAACTTCTTACCACCCTCCTCAAATTTGCTCTTTTGGGCCGGGTCGGTCGGGGTCGCGGCAGATCCACTTTGGCTAACATCCAGAGGCATGTTGCCGTAGTTAGATCGAGGAGGGACGGCTCCAGGCCCCTTCTCTTCAAGAACGTTGACGTAGGCTCTGGGGAAAATACCCTCCATGCCGGTACGCTCATTGCGACCGCGCCACCCTTGAAACGTATCAGCTCTAATCTCAAATTTAGCCATAAGCGGCAAACATACAGTCCTCATTCATGTGCTCAATGACTTGAACGCGATCATTCGGCATCAACGCCAAGTCGCCTGGATCGGTAGGGGTATAGGCATACAAGGCCGTGGCGAGACCAAGGATCGGCGGGACCTGGGGGTAAGCCGGCGGGGCCTGCGGAGGTGGGGAGGCATATTGGTTATGCATTTGAGCTTTCTCGTTCAGTGAAGCATTGGACATCTGTGCAGTAGGAGGCGAGTACGGAGGCTGAACGGGCTGAACGGGCTGAACGGGCATAGGCGAGGGCTGAGGGTGTAGTGGTGAGGTCTGTCGGGGCTGCTGGCGAGCCGCGGCCGCGCGAGCATCGCCCTCGTTGGGCAGATGCGCAAGAATGGAGGTAAGCTGAGAAGAAGTAATGACAGAGGTGTCGACCAGGAACTCGAGCTCCTGTTTCCCTCTTGGTCAGGACCTCTGAAACTTCCGAGGACTGTGGGAAGACTTACGTTGCGGACGGTGCGGAGCGACCGGGCGGTCATGGCGGAGGTGAGCTCGTTCGCCATACTGGATGAAAGTCCTCCTAAGGGAAGCTCTCCAAGAGTGTATAGAGGTTGGCAAGGTCAGAAAATAAGTCTCAGGAGAGGGTAGATGGAGAGACCAGAAAGTACTTGAGACAGGGGAAACGGGCGACTTGGCGGAGGTGGAATCGGCCCTGGTGCCTGGCGCATTCAATTCGCATAGCCCCAATCTCCATGTCACGTCCGGTCCCCACCACCAATACTTGCTCGTGTCATTCGAAAGTAACCAGAGAAATTGAACCAACCCATGTCTAAGGAAAAGGTGATAGCAAACACAGAAATCATATCAAACGACAAGACATCAAGAGTGAAGCTCAAGTATTATGAGTACTTATATTACCCTGAAGACCACCAAAGATAAGTTATATTACCGTATATTTCTGAAAGATCGTGACGCACCTTAGAATCTACGCTTCAATAAAACTACCTCCAATCGAACTACCTCCGATCGAGTTACCTCCAAATCGAATTATACTTTGAATGAATATACGTCTAATCTCTGAGCACTAGGTTTTCAAAAACCAGGGAATTCTGCAGGCGTATGTAGTATGCTTCGAATCAAGATATATATCATCATGCAGTAAGCGTCAAGAGCACCGAGGATGGCCAAGCGAAACCGTACAATAATTTCTCAACATAGGTAGGTCCACAAACTGAAACCTATTTGGAAAGGGCTGGTTTCGACTATCAAGCTCCCGCTTCGCCAAATCAATGATAGAAGCACTGATAATAGTTCAGAGCAGAATCACAAATGACGAGCAAGATAGAATGAGACTGAGATTTCTTCACTCATGGATAGACTCACGAGCCAGTGTGCAACAACCCGAGCAAATGAAAAATCGCACTCAAAACGTGTCAATGACTTAGTAATTGAATCCTTTTTTTTTTTTCGAAAATTTGAATCTCCTCCGTGTCTATTAGATGGTGATTGGGAGTCGGTAAGTGAATAAAAGGTCGAGGCAAAGATCTGGGCTCCCACCACTGGAGAAGAAGGTGTCCGGCTATTCGATGAGCATCATCGCATCGGGTCGTAGCGCCACGTCGACAAAAGCGGCAAGATACCGATGCCAACAAGCGACATTGGAATTTTCAGAGCTTGGCTGTCTGGAATATGCTGAAAGAATAGCCAACGAATCAGCGCTAAAGCTGATAGCGAAGGCGCCATAGGCATCTAGTACATGTTTGAGGATTATCTCGATGAGACCAAGCAGGATGACAACTATGTGTATGTACAACTTGCCAAGAGCGAAGAAACCAGTTGCTTTGATCTCCTGGTTGGAGCCGATAGTAGGCAGAGCCAGACACAAAACATGGTCTGGGGCGAAGAGTGCGAAAAGGACCGATCGAGATAGAAATATTTGCCAGCTTCATAAGCATCCCAAGCGAGAACCAGCGCGTCAAGTGTAAATAGCGGTTTCATGCGCTTGGCTGGCGCGGCATCGTGTTGCGACAAGACAAGCTCGGTGTGAAATCCACTTTCTTCATGTGTGTCATGAATGAGAAGGGTCAAAGATTTATTGAGGTCGCGACGGAGGAAAATGGCGGCGTCGAAGCTCAGATGGCACTCCACGAGAAAACGTTCAAGCACGCCAGGCGGAAATGCGAGTACTCATCCATTCAATATCATATACCAGCTTTATCCTCCATTGCCGTCGAGCTCTCATTCAGGACCCCAAGCAGCAGATGACCTCCAAGCTGATGACTTTGGCTTTCAAGACATGCCAGGATGGAAGAAAGAGAACACTGGTGTGCAGGACCAAGCTGTGAAGGTCATTGTTTTATCTTTTAGGCCCATTCAGAAACTTTCTAGTTTTCAGCCTCCTAAGCGTGCTGTGATTTGCTTCTGCTTTGATCAAAAGGAACTTGGGGCATACATCTTCGAGCAATGGTGATAACGCATACTACCGCACACGAGATCATCAGGAATTTGGCGGAAGGAAACAATGGAGCATCATTGAAACTGTCCTCTTCTGGCAGAGCTGACGTTTCGTCATGAACTTTTTCCATCGTATCAAACATCTTGGACTTTGCCTGCGCTGCTTCTATTGAGGACCGACAAGCAGAGACAACCCCAGCTTCGCAAAGGGAAATTTCCTTTTCACGGTCATCCTTTCCGTGCACGATGAAGCCTTGGTGTTCATCAGTTGGTGGTTTGCCATGTTCTTCCAGATCATTGGCTTGTCGGGATCGGGCAGACAAAAATGAGGACTCGGTATCGACTCCACGGGAGGATATTTGGCTGTCGTGAGTGGGTTGTGGATGGATAGAGCTCGCGGGTGCCGCGATAGCGGCCTGAGACGCGATGAGAAGTAGGAAAGGGACTATAGATCGGAGTCTCATGGCTGCTACAGACTGGGTACTGCAGTTCCGACGATCGTAACGGAGAGGTGAAAAGCAAAATCTCAAGATTTATAACACTGTTCCAGCAAAGGAGGAAACGTTTGAAATATAAACTTGCAGTAGACTGATTGGCGTTATCTTGTGGATGACGAACCCCCATGCTAAGGTTCACGATCGACTGAGACCCGATGTGGAGCAATGTAAGCAGGTGGCATAAGAGCCTAGCCCGAATAGTACTAAGACAATATCAGAAACAGAGGGTCAACGCCGGAGATAAGAGGTTGGTATCCGGGCTGCTGACGAAAACCACAAGGGAGCCATGGCGGGAACTCTTGGCGCTGGCTGGGCATCCTTGACTCTCGAATTTCCAGCTCTCGGCCAAGCTCCAGCGGTAGGCAACCTTTTTTTTTCTCCTTGACCTAAGCTATTTCAGTCTCTTGTTAAATCAGGAACGTGGCTATGTACTCTACCTTTGCGGCTTAGGTTCATCGACGCGCTTGATTTCAAGTAGCCTATTGAAAATATCCCTGCTCGCAAGGCGTGGGGAAATAGTTGACCTATCTAGAATTTGTCATAGACGGAATTTTCTCCGCGCTCAAGAATTCTCAATCTGCGGTGATAATAAGCCTCTCGGGAGTCCAGAAACAACACAGTCTAGTTCAGAGTCAGAAGCTCCATGTAGAAGGTAGATTTTCTGTGTTATGGACTAATAACAAACATAACAGAGCAGATGAAAATCAATCTGAATTGGTGATATTACCCATTTCAATCGTTCAAACGCTCTCTATTCCTTCAATGTTGTGACGGCTACCCCATCCTATACTCGAAAATGTTAGCATTTTGTATGGGAAGATCGTGATGGAGATGAGACATGCCTTTCCGAAGTCAGTGTCAAATTCAGACACGCTGGTCTCATAAACAAGATTTGGGTTTGGTGCGAGCGAACCAGTGTTCGCCGTCTTAACTAGCTCTCTCTTGTGCGCAGTCGTCGCTTGAACCCACTCCAAATACTCCGGTGCGCCTGGCATGATCACATTGTCTGCGAGAAGCACCGAGGTCTTGGGCACTAGAACATCCAATTCCTCAAGGAGCCACAAGTCCGGTCGATACAGCTTTTGCCAATGATCAATGAAAATCATCTCCACCTGTGTGATTTCTTTGCGATCACAAACAAGCTCCCGCAATACCTCGTCGCTGGCACCGACAAGGATGCGGACAGTATCACGTAATCCAGCAAGGTCAACCAGCTGGCTAGCAACAGCTGCCACTTCAGGGTTCTTCTCAATACTCAGAAATTGCTTGCCTCCGTTGGCTCTGATCGCGTCGCCGAAAAGAATTGCCGAGTAGCCCACATATCCACCTAGCTCGATCATCACTGATGGTTTGCGCTCGGCGATCAGATTGGTCACGAAGGCGCCTTTGGCAGAACCAACGTTCATGAGAGGATTGAATTTTGTGTGGTATTCATCGATAGCTGAAATGACCTTCTGCGGGTTTCCCCTAAGTTGCTTGACATCAGGTCGATTGTAGATGTAATGAAGAAGGTCAACTTCGCGGCCATCCTAGTCATCATTAGAGAAAACAAAGGTCATTATTTGCAATTCTTGAGACGGATATACAAGAGCAAATGTCTTTTGGCCCAAGGAATGGGAAGGTGGTGCGTTTGGTCGGTTGGACATGATCTTTGTAGTATGGCTTGCGGGTTGACAAGCACTGAGATATGATGCAATTGTCTATGCGAGGACCTGATGATTGTCTTTGTCTTCTACTCGAATCATTCAGTATTTCTGAGAGTTTTATACTTCTCCAGGAACGTATCATGTTGCTCGGGATTTCGGGAGACACTGCCGTTTTGGGTTCTCGGAGATACGCAGCCCAAAAAGGTAATCGCGGATCCGAGTTCAGCGAACCTCGCGTTTGGGGATTACCTAGCGTTCTTCCGAGCTGGACCGGGATATTATCATGCACTTAGACAGAAGGAAATCGCGGATATGCAAGATCTGAGACGGAAGTCATCACACCATCTTTAGCTGCTACCCGGTCATCTTGAATGCACTTCGGGGAACCGCAGCTCGGATTTATGTCCATCATCCGGGATGTCTTCACAAGGGTCAAAATGAAACTCTACTGACATGCCATGTAGTCTTTCTCTATGGCAGTCTGTCTATGGCGGTTTGTTTATTCCAGAATCCTACATTCTCGATATGAAAATCCTTACCTCTTGCTTCTCTTTCTTCGAGATGATCAAGGACTGCGGCTTCGATCTAGCGACACCTCCGAGATATACAATTCAATTTGCGTATTCAGAATAGCGCTGGTTGTTTCGTCGGCTCCATTGAACAAATTGATGCTCGATACAACTTATGGCTCCTCCGCCTTTTCCGATGACATGACTTGTAACAAGTGGTCCGAAATCATAGCGGCTCAAGTGAGGAGATAGATTTTGACATCGAGAAGGGCACTAGTGCCAGACAAGGGATCTACAGGGCATGATTTAGGTGATAGACTTGAGATGGGCAGGTCCTACGCAAAATTGTCGAACATCCTCTTTCAGCAACAAATCAGGAGCATCAAATTGAACAGATAGAGCAGCTTATTGCGGCCACAAGGAAATTATGATACCTCTGCTATGCCTGGAATACTTGGCTTGCCCCCAGCGGTCCTGGGCTCGCATCTTGATTTCCCGGTTCGGGGGTAAGTTGTGCGCCATTCAGGAACACGAAGTGAATTCTCATGACCAGTGCTGAAAATTGTCGAATACTAAACTACACCCTTTTTAAGTCTAGGGTTCCCCGTTTCTCAATGGTGTGGGCCTGGTGAGATGCTCCGCTTCGACACCCTAGTGGAAATAAATAGTCCAAACAGAACCATCCGCATTCGAAACAATTCGCCATACATAAAAGGACAACCGTTCATATTAAAAATTATGTAAAGCACTGACGGCACTTGTAAGGAGATAATCCTTCAAAAGACCCACGAGAATCACTACGCGACAGAACTAAAGAAATCACTCGCCGCGGAGGGCGAGAATACTTAGATCATCGTTGCAAAAGTTGAAAGGAAGATTTGGGGATATTCTGGGGCCCTGGTCTCATTGACGTCGCTGTGAATAGAATGAGCTAGTCAATTGAGTTTAGTGCGTTCGATGTGCATAGATTCCGGCTCAGCCTCACTGCGGGGCAGTCGGGGTCCTAAACGGGACTGGCGAGCAGGCCTTCAGCAACTTGGAAATCAAGATGACTCAAGTTAATTGAAGAATGACTAAATCAATCAATTATATCCAGAGTGGCTTTGAAGGTGTCGCTTTTGAGGGTTGCCTGCGATTGCCCTAGGGGTATGACATCAAGTGGGTCGGTGAGATCACAGCGTTTTGCCTATGATTTCATCTGGAGTATGGCTGATCGTTGAAATGAAGGAGATAGGCTCAAGGAGACTCGTAGTGAAATAGGAAGATGAATTATGCGAAAGTTAATCGAGTTCATACTTCAATTTCAACGAGTACTGACAAGGTATTATTGAGTGTAGGAGACAAAATAATGTGGCAACATCGCAAGGGTGCTCGAATCGCACCAGATTTTAGCATCGTCTCAAACCCATACTCGATCAATAAACTCTGTACAAATGAGCGGTATCACACAGAAATTAATAAAGATCATCCTCATAAGCTAAAAATTAAATACAAGGACGGAGATAAATGAACAAACCGAAGATTAGTATGGGATGACCCTAATCCCAAATAGGTTAGCGTCTGACTCCCCTCCCTCGAGAAGCTTCTGTGCCGCCAATATAAATTGCATCTTCAACCTCACGCGAGCATCGTCATACCCCACTACTCTCTCCAACCACCACACCCTCTAATCACCTTCAAAAAACACATACAAAATGGAAGACTGGAACTCCGTCACCAAGATCGGCAGCAAGACCCGCGGCGGCGCCGGTGGCCCCCGCGAGACCGTTGTCAAGGGCAAGAGCGCCTTGAACGCCGCCCAGCGCTCCGGCGGTATCCTCGCCACCGAGAAGAAGTACACCACTGGCAACCTTGTATGTGAATCGCTTCCACAAATTGTCATCTATACCGCCCACTAACTCTTCCATCACAGTCCGCGAAGGCGGGTGCTCCGAGGGCCAGCACTTGACCAAGGTCGACCGCAGCGACGACATCATCAAGCCCAAGACCGTCGGCTTCGCCGTTGCTGACGCGATCAAGCGCCGCCGTACCGAGGAGGGCTACAAGATGACGCAGAAGGAGCTCGCCACCAAGTGCAACACCACCATGACTGTCATCCAGGACTTCGAGCGGGGCACCGCGACGCCCGACCAGAAGGTTCTCGGCGCCATGGAGCGTGTGCTCAACATCAAGCTTCGAGGCACCGACATCGGTGCTGAGAAGCTTCCCCAAGAAGAAATAAGGAAAGAAGGAACGTTTGAGCCCATGGCTTCGATTTTCTCGGGATGAGACCCGGATAATTCGGAGTTCCTTTGCTTTTCTGGTTATTTCTGACGATTGATATGTCCTCTATTTTTTCCCCACGAGATGAAACGAGCTGTCTTTTTTGGGTTTCCTTTTCTTATGGTCGGATCAGCGCTGGCCTTGCATGGAAATGGGCTTAGAGAAATTTTTCATAAAAATGTATAAATGATACCTCGGAATTCAACTGGATTTACTGCATTTCAGGCCAAATTTTCTACAATCTCGAAGATGTCGCTATGAACAGATCAGACTATAGGGCTCCAGATTTCTTTCTAGTCTGGGGGCTGTAATATAAACAGGACTTGAATGCCGCAACCCTATCTGTGAATTGCAATGGCACGAGTGAAAAAGTCACATAGCGGACGTTTGCTAGGAACCACATTTTGATGACCTTGTTCACCGCTTCCGAGTAGATGTCGAGTTGTAGAATCCCGTAGGATCTTGGTTACTCAGATTTTGCATATAGCATGCCTTCGCGTCTACTCCAGTCCCTTGGAGCAGATCTGAACCCATCAGGCCCACAAGAGCTTTAATGTCAAGCCTCGGCCTGATCTACATGAATACAGCCTAGTATTCCGGCTAATGCTTGAAGTTTTGCAAAGCTTCGTATTGTCTATGTCGTGATATGCATATCCTCCGCGGTACCCTAGGGTAGCCCAGGGTGGCTTCACACGCACCTCAGCAGGAACTCATATCTGGCGAACCCAGAATGTGAAACAAGCCATCTTTTATTAAACCAAATCAATAACAAAGGGGGTACCAACTCCGGTTGATCATGTAATCAAGAAATGAGAAACCGTGCCTCGAAAGGTCATCATCTCATCTCGTATGCCAGACTCGGGAACAAAGCGCCCCGAGTCTTGTTCGCATCATAAAACACATACACACAAGCGCATGACTCGAATCTCCTGTACTTTTTCGCTCGTGTCTTCATTCCCTTACTTTCGCAGCTGCTCACGCTCGACCTCGTACATGAAGTCGAAGTAGGGCTTGTCGAAGTGGTGAATACGGACGTAGCCGTCCTCACCACCGGAGGCGTAGGCGGTACCGGCGGGGTGGACGTCGATGGTGTTAAGAGGACCGAAGTGGCCGCGGACACGGCCGATTTCGTCTTCGAAAATCTTGTGGTAGAAGCGAGCCTCGAATTTACCTTGGCGGGCGGAGGTGGTTGTGACATCCATCGCGGCCTGACCACCGCCCAGAATCACATAGTCCTTCTTGGGAGTGATGGCGGCAGAGTTGAGGGGGGTGTCGGCGATGTAGGTCTTCATGATGGCGAGGTTGCGAGCGGAGATAAGCTAGAAGGTGTTAGAGAAAGCCGTTTGTACGGATAACACACGTGGGCGTACCTTGGCGGACTTGTCTTTGGAGGCAGTAAGGAAGCAGGTGCGATCAGGGGAGAATTGAATGTCGTTGATCTGGTGGTCGAACTCGTGGGCCTGGACGTTCTCCAGCTGGTCACCGGTCTGCGCACCGTGTCAGCACTGGTTCACCGGGTACAAATCTAACAAAAGCATACCTTGGGGTCGTACTGGCTGACGCTGCCATCCTCGTGTCCCGCGATGATGTACTTGGCCAGGTAACTCCACCCCGCGACGGTCGCCTTGCTGTCCTCACAGGTAATCTTCAAGCTAGGCTCATCGGCCTGATCCTCGAGGTTGCCCAGCTTGCCATCACCATACTTGATATCCATGACGACGATGGTGCCGAGGAAACCCATACGCTTCTCTGTCACTGCCAACAGCTTGCTGCCATCCGGAGAAAACGCGACGCGCTTCACGGCCGTCGGGAAATCCCAAACCTTCACGCACTCGCCAGTCTTGATGTTCCATAGTCGCACAGTGTTGTCTGCTGATCCAGTCGCCAGGAGAACGGTGTTGGGGCTCACGTCGACAGTCCAAATAGCACCCTGGTGACCCTGGTAGGTTCCGAGACGCTCGCCGTTGGCAGACCACCATGCGCACACAATCTTATCCTTGGCAACCGAGAAAAGAAGGTCGCCATCCTTGTTGAACTTGATCTGGTTCAGGGACCGTTCCTATAGAGCAAAAGGTCGGTGTTAGTGTCGTTGTGGATCCAGCAGGAGATTTCGCACGCACATGGCCCGAGAGCAAAATAGGCCTCATCTTGAATTGGTCGAATATGTCCGACCGGAGATCGCAAAGAAAGGATCGACTAAGGAAGGGTGGTTGTAGAGAGGGCGGGTATACCGGGGGGGGGGGGTTCAATCTCGTCAACCTCACTTTCTTTGACTAGTGAATTTGATCGCACACTCGCCCAGTCAGCGCCAAGAGACTCGACCATATCGAATCCCGCTTTCCGGAGCCAGAGTTGTTCCGATATCTTCACGTGAGAGGTGCCCCTCTGCCCTAACCCTACAGACGGCGGCACGTTTTTCCGATCAACCGTTATGATGACTCATTTGAAGATCATTCATGCCTCAGGCCACAATCTCGTGCAGCAGACCTCCTTGCGAGATGCAAGATTTGTACGAGGACAAACAGGGAATGAAGGAGCAACGGGCGCGAGAGGGGGAATTTGCGAATTTATTGAGAAGACCTTGTCTTTTCTAATAGCTATTCCAAGTTTTGCCATCATCTTACATCGAGCTGGTGTGGTTTCTTAGGGTCCCAATCGCAAAAAGGGGTGACCGAGGGTGCTCGCCCCTAAAAGAAGCAATAATATTCATGCCGCTCTTCCCCGCCGCGGGTCCCCGCCATCACTTTTCCCTCCAGGCGCGCGCGATCAATTTTCGTCTCCCCACCCCGCGGTCTTCTATCTTCGTGAATAAATACTCCTCCGCACGAGGGATTAGAGCAATTATACAATCTGCTCTGTCTCCACCGAGTGGTTTTCTACTTTCGCCAGCCGCTGCTTCTCCTCGCACCTTCTGCAGCTCCGCAATAATGGCGTCCAAGATCGATGGCACTGCCATTGCCAAGAGCATCCGCGCAGGTCTTAAAGATGAGATTGCGAAGACTCAGGAGACAAACCCCCGTTTCAAGCCCAATCTCGTCATCTTCCAGGGTAAGTTCGTCCCGTCATATCTGAATATAGGAACAACTTGATGGCTAACTACAATGCTACCTATACAGTTGGAAACCGGTCTGATTCCAGTTAGTAACTCTCGATGAAGCAGCGCTGGAGAGCGTCCAGCTAATGTGGTCTAGGTACTTATGTGCGTATGAAGCTGAAGGCCGCTCAAGAGGTACATCCTGCCATCTTATTTCCTCCCACCCCGGTACACCAGCTGACGTGGAATCGTTCTAGGCCAACATCATCTGCACTCTGATCAATATCCCGGAATCAAGCACAGAGTCTGAGCTCCTCCAGGAGATCACCAAGGTCAACAATGACCCCGCCGTGCACGGTATCCTCGTCCAATTGCCCCTCCCGAGCCACATGTCAGAGCACACCATCACCTCGGCGGTCTCTGATGAGAAGGACGTTGATGGATTCGGCGCAATCAACATTGGTGAGCTGGCCAAGCGTGGTGGTCGACCGTTGTTCACTCCTTGCACCCCGCTTGCTGTGATGGAGCTGCTGAAGGCTAGTGGAGTCGACCCCGCTGGCAAGGAGGCTGTTGTGCTTGGCCGCAGCGACATTGTCGGCAGCCCCGTTAGCTACTTGCTCAAGAATGCCGATGCTACTGTCACCGTCTGTCACTCCAAGACTCCCGACATCGCCCGCATCGTGAAGAACGCCGACATCGTTGTCGCCGCCATTGGAAAGACCGAGATCGTCAAGGGCGACTGGCTGAAGCCCGGTGCTGTCGTCATTGACGTTGGTATTAACTACAAGCCCGACGCGACGAAGAAGTCCGGTGAACGATTGGTCGGTGATGTTGAATTCGAGTCTGCGGCCGCCGTGGCTTCACAGATCACCCCAGTTCCCGGTGGTGTTGGCCCCATGACCGTGGCCATGCTGCTCAAGAATGTCGTCAACTCCGCCAAGGCATACTTTGAGAAGCAGAAGGACCGTCACATTACCCCGCTTCCCATAAAATTGGAAACCCCCGTCCCCTCCGACATTGCGATCTCCCGCGCTCAGTACCCCAAGCCTATCACCAAGGTTGCATCTGAAGTTGGTATCGCCAACCATGAGCTGGAGCCTTACGGTCATACTAAGGCCAAGGTTAGCCTCGATGTGTTGGACCGCCTTTCCCATCGCCGTAACGGAAGATATATTTTGATTTGTGGAATTACGCCTACTCCTTTGGGCGAGGGCAAGTCAACCACAACTTTGGGTCTCACCCAGGCTCTTGGTGCTCATTTGAACCGTGTCACCTTCGCCAATGTCCGTCAACCTAGCCAGGGTCCCACCTTCGGTATCAAGGGCGGTGCCGCCGGTGGTGGTTACAGCCAGGTCATTCCTATGGATGAGTTCAACCTTCACTTGACCGGTGATATCCACGCTATTACTGCCGCCAACAACCTTCTTGCTGCGGCCATTGAGACCCGTATGTTCCACGAGTCTACACAGAAAGATGGCCCTCTTTACAAGCGTCTTGTGCCTGCTTCGAAGGGCAAGCGCGAGTTCAAGCCCATCATGTTCCGCCGCCTGAAGAAGCTTGGAATTGAGAAGACCAACCCCGATGAGTTAACCGAGGACGAGATTCGCCGTTTTGCCCGCTTGGACATTGACCCAGAGACCATCACTTGGCGTCGTGTGCTTGATGTCAACGACCGTCACTTGCGCGGTATCACCGTTGGCCAGGCCCCTACTGAGAAGGGCCACACCCGCGATACTGGCTTCGACATCTCCGTCGCCAGTGAATGTATGGCCATTCTCGCCCTGAGCAACAGCCTAGAGGACATGCGTGAGCGCCTTGGCCGTATGGTCGTGGCTACCTCCCGCAGTGGTGACCCCGTTACCTGCGACGACATTGGTGCTGGTGGTGCCCTTGCTGCCCTCATGAAGGATGCTATCAAGCCCAACCTGATGCAGAGCTTGGAGGGAACTCCCGTTCTGGTGCACGCTGGACCCTTTGCGAACATCAGTATCGGAGCTAGCTCGGTCATTGCCGACAAGCTAGCCCTGAAACTGGCTGGAACTGAGCCTGACGAAGACCATGATGCTAAGACTGGCTTCGTTGTCACTGAGGCCGGCTTTGACTTCACCATGGGTGGTGAGCGTTTCTTCAACATCAAGTGCCGATCATCGGGTCTGTCTCCCGATACCGTTGTCATCGTTGCTACGGTCCGTGCGCTCAAGGTGCACGGTGGCGGTCCCGAGATCACCCCCGGTGGTGCCCTGCATGAGGTCTACCGTACCGAGAACGTAGAGATTCTCCGCAAGGGTTGTGTCAACCTGCGCAAGCACATTGCCAATGCCAAGCAGTACGGCGTCCCGGTGGTCGTCGCAATTAACAAGTTCGAGACCGACACTGAGGCCGAGATCAACGTTATCAAGGAGGAAGCCATCGCTGCCGGTGCCGAAGATGCCATTCCGGCCAACCACTGGGCTGAAGGTGGCGCTGGTGCGGTCGATTTGGCCAAGGCTGTCCTGGCCGCCAGCTCCAAGCCCAAGGACTTCAAGCTGCTCTACGACCTGAACGGCACGATCCAGGAGCGCATCGAGCGTATCGGCCAAGCTATGTACGGTGCCGATAAGGTTGAGTTCAGCGAACTTGCCCAGAAGAAGGTGGACACCTACACCAAGCAGGGCTTCGCGAACTTGCCGATCTGTATCGCCAAGACGCAATACTCCCTCAGTCACGACCCGGCCTTGAAGGGAGCTCCGACCGGCTTCACGGTCCCCATTCGCGACGTCAGACTCGCTGTTGGCGCAGGATATCTGTAAGCTTCCCCCCCCCCCTGTCCTGGAGGGTTCCATCCTGCACATGCTAATCTCTATATAGCTACGCCTTGGCAGCTGACATCCAGACCATCCCCGGACTGCCCACGGCACCGGGCTACCTTAATGTGGACATCGACACCGAGACCGGGGAGATCGACGGATTGTTCTAGATGGAACCTACCCATGTAGGCATTTTATTATACTCATGATTAAGACTGAATAGATTGGCACTTGTATATACACCCACCGGTTATTGCCGGTGGACTTTCAACACATACATGACGAGGATACCCTGGCGTCCAATTGGAGCCGGATATTTTAGGAGAATACTTTTCAACACCGGGAGCAGCTGGAATTCAAAATCAATTGCAAATGACAGCTTCAAATCTATTTTCTATCAGTACAATCCAATGGTGCAATTCGGAAGATCGTTTCCCGAGGTCAAATGAAGACTCGGTGAAGCCGCGGAGAGACGCTCCGAGCTCCGGGAAAGCTCTCCAGCGGCGGGTCAGTGGAGGAAGCTCTGAGGACTCTGACTCGTCTGACAAGAAGATCGATCGTGAGTCAAGGATCATCCTGGAGGCCAAACCCGGGCATTTGACACCCACGAGTTCCCATTATAGTGAAAATCAAATCAAAACCCCACGAGTCACGAGACCGTCCGGCCTTCGGCGGTTTCAACCCAACGGTTAAAGAGGAACAGGCGCGCTGCTCTTCTCTCCGGACAAGGCTTTTTCCTCCTCCTTTTGCCCCAGAGCTATCCAGTGCATCCTTTTGCCAGGCTTCTCGGTAAATTGCCCTCAGTCCATTTGCCTTCTCTCCTTCCGGGCGCTCCCGTATTTCCCCGGTCATCCCCCAGACACGGAAGGGAAAAAGGGTTGGCCGAGTCCAACCGTGACGTGCATCGCGCCGAACCCGCTCCACTAACATCCTTTCTGCCGAATATCGTACCCTCGGTTGTTGGGCTTCGGCGCTTTACGAAAGCCCTGCCGACACTGGTCTCCGAACCAAACAGAGACAAAGGAAATTGTGCTGACTTGTTGCCCCCGTCCAGTATCGTCATGAACGTCCTTCGGTCCAGTTCCGCTTTGGCGCGCCGGTCCCTGACCCCTCCTGCCCCTCTCTCTATCTCTTCTCGCCTTCTCTCTTCTTCCTTTTCCCACCCCTCCAAGAGATCTATTTCCTCCTCTCTTGCTCGTCCTCAGAGTCTCTCTACTACATCCCGCTGGTCCGGACCGATTCCTTCTCTGCACCTCAACCAAACCCGCATGATGGCGACCGATACCAAGATTAAGGTTAAGAACCCGGTGGTGGAACTCGATGGTGATGAGGTACGGAAACCTTCTTCCCTTATATAGTCGTAAGACTACATGCATTGGCGGCGTATCACAAGCTTTGCCTGGGAGTTTCGGGTGCATTTTCGTCTCGTCCGTCATCGAACGCGGGGAAACACGGGGGTGCACAACGCTCTTTCATGTGCCATTGTACCGGAGCCACGGCCTCGTGCAGTGTCATTGCCTGTTTAGGTTATTTCTCGTTCTCGTTCGATCACTAATTGGCCCTCTTGTCTATAGATGACCCGTATTATCTGGCAAGACATCCGTAACAAGGTAAGCCGAGGAACTTTGACCCCTTTGTCCATGCTGGTCCAGACCATGCATGATCAGCGCCTGCTGTTGCATCTTGCATTCCCTTGCATTCCCCATGCATGGAAATGCATGGCAATTGGACCAGTCCATTTGTGAAGAATGAGGCTAACCTTGGCTTTTCCATAGTTGATTCTGCCGTAAGTGTGTCCTTCATGGGAAATATGATCTTCAAAGCAGTCCTCTAAAACTGCCTAATCAGGTTCCTCGATATCGACCTCAAGTACTATGATCTCGTGAGTCACACTTGCCTATTACGTCTTGATATGCTGCTGATCCTTCTGTTTAGGGTCTTGAGTACCGTGATCAGACCGACGACCAGGTCACCATTGATGCCGCCGAGGCGATCAAGAAGTACGGTGTTGGTGTCAAGTGTGCCACCATCACCCCCGATGAGGCCCGTGTTGAGGAGTTCAAGTTGAAGAAGAGTAAGCTTCTTCGCAACCTTGATTAACCTTTGATGATGAACCGGATGCTAACTCCAGCCAGTGTGGCTCTCCCCCAACGGAACCATCCGTAACATCCTGTAAGCACAGCCTGATCTACAATTGACTGCGGAGGACCTAGATTAACAATCTTCATAGCGGTGGTACCGTCTTCCGTGAGCCCATCATCATCCCCGCCATTCCCCGTCTGGTGCCTGGCTGGAACAAGCCCATTGTTATTGGCCGTCACGCCTTCGGTGACCAGTACCGTGCCCAGGACCGTGTCATCCCCGGTCCCGGTAAGCTCGAGCTCGTCTTCACCCCCAAGGGTGGTGAGCCCGAGCGCGTCCAGGTCTTCGACTTCCAGGGCGGTGGTGTCACTCAGTGCCAGTACAACACGGATGAATCCATCCGTGGCTTCGCTCACGCCTCTTTCCAGATGGCTCTCATGAAGGGCCTCCCCTTGTACATGAGCACCAAGAACACCATTCTCAAGAAGTACGATGGTCGCTTCAAGGACATCTTCCAGGAGATCTTCGAGAAGGACTACGCCAAGGACTTCGAGGCTAAGAAGATCTGGTACGAGCACCGTCTCATCGACGACATGGTCGCCCAGATGATCAAGTCCGAGGGTGGCTTCGTTATGGCCCTGAAGAACTACGATGGTGATGTCCAGTCCGACATTGTTGCCCAGGGCTTCGGCTCCCTCGGTCTGATGACTTCCACCCTCGTCACCCCCACCGGCGAGTCCTTTGAGTCGGAGGCTGCCCACGGCACGGTGACTCGTCACTACCGCGAGCACCAGAAGGGCCGCGAGACCTCCACCAACCCCATTGCCTCTATTTTCGCCTGGACCCGCGGTCTTGTGCAACGTGGCAAGCTCGACGATACCCCCGAGGTCGTCGCTTTCGCTGAGGAGCTCGAGCGTGCCTGCGTTGAGGTCGTCAACGACGAGCTCATCATGACCAAGGATCTTGCTCTGGCCCGTGGCCAGAAGGAGCGCGAGGCCTGGGTCACCACTAGCGAGTACATGGCTGCCGTTGAGCGGCGCCTGAAGGCCAACCTCAAGGCTCGTCTGTAAATATTTTTTTTTTTTGCATTTGTCTTTTGCCAACCTTTCTAAATGATATCTCTTCCTCCTTGGACCCGGAGGGTCTTCGGCTCTATCTGCAATGTACAGTGGGCGGATGAAATAAAATTTGCTATTGAACATCCCTCTTTTCTTCTTTCATGACTGTAGTACTAGATTTTAACGGAATTGCCATAGACTATGGCTGAGGTCCAGGAACGCCAACTTTGCCAACTTTGATCTTTTTTTAAAACTCCCGTGCCTTTGTCCGACAACACCAGAAAACTATGGCTCAAGGGCCAAGCCGGCTACCCATCTGCCCCATTTGCCTCTTTGCCTCTTTAGCAATGGCTGAAGTGCGTCCCGGGAACCCCCCACCCCTTCCTCCCCGCCATTGGATTATCGCTGGGGTGAGGACGAGGTAAAATTAAAGGTTTGGCCTCGTCAAGAACAGTATTGCAGCTCAGCCTCATCGGCGACTCCGAGCACCCAATATCCAGACGTGAATGAACTCCACCACAGTGGAATCTTCAAGCCAGAGGCTTGGACTAAGACTAAGTCTGAAGGGCAAAGATAAGAGATGATCCTCTGTCTAACGACTGGCACCTCATTCGCAGACCCAAGCCCCGAACGCAAACCTAGAAGCCTCCGACCCGACAGTCTGGACCAATCTCGGGCCCGACCATCGAGTCCATTGAAGTCTAGTTCATATCATACGTTCTGGCTGGTGGGTTGGCCTCTTATGTAATGACGGAACCGGACAACTGGTATCTGGGGTTCGATTGAACGAGCGATGCAGGAATACGAGCAGCGAGTCGGGGGAGGAGGGGGGTGTTCTCGGGAAGATGGCATTGTGGATCAAAGGTCCACAGCATTATTCTTGCACGAATGAACATTGAAATTGGGGACGTTGGTGGATCATGGGCTGTTGGTGTCAAAAATGTCTTTGACGCCATGGGGAATAAGGAGTTGCCTAATGCGGCGACGGAAGTTGGTGGCGGAATTCGCCAGTGGTAGAAAGGCCACACCCAAAATCAGTGTGCAGAGACAGAGAGAGAGAGAGAGATGGCCATTCTGGTTTTCTTGGACCTTCTCGAAAAATTCATTTCATTTCCATATTCATTTTGCTTTCCATTGTGGGCATCGTCATCTCATATTCTCGCGATCACTTATACTACGGCATCTGCTCTTCGACATTGCATACTTCACGGCATTTGGGTTGCATTTAGCAATTAGCCACTTCGACTGTCGCCAGTTCACTCTGACGTACAGAGTGATCGTACATTAGTCGCCATTTCACCTAAGCTGGCCACACAAATGGATTGACGCTTGTCTATACTATCTACGTCCACTTATTTGGGATCGTCGTCGCGCAAGTGTTCGAATCGTGAGGAGAATGCACGAGTTGCCTGTCACCACCGCACTCCTCGTCATCGCTGTCTTGCTGGTCGCCATCCGGTTGTGGACGCGGATCAGACTGATCAAGAGTCCTGGATATGACGATCTTCTTGTCACGCTTGCCTTGGTATGTCTACGATTAACCATGAGAGAAGCTCTGGACTAGAGACAAAAGACACCTTCATGGCTGGCAAGTACAATGCTGACCCTCTCTTCAAGGCGGCTTCCATTGCCTTCTACGCATTCATTCTCTGCGGTAGGTCTATACTCTACGGTTTATTCACATTACGAATGAGCAAAGCTAAGTCTCACCAGAACGCGAAAATGGCTTGGGCGTCTCGAATAAAGACCTGCCACTGGAGGTGAGAAAAGCGCAGATGCGGGTATGTCAATCACTTATATCACTTGAACCTCCGCCATCTGAGACTAACCAGCATTAGATGCTCTGGCTCTCCGTCCCATTCTACAACGCCTGCTTGATTCTCTGCAAACTCTCTGTCCTCATCCTCTACCGCCGCATATTCCACCGCCGAGCCTTCAGAATTGCAAGCTACATTCTGATCGCATTCCTAATTATCTCTGGTCTATGGATGGTAATCAGTGGCTTCGTGTTCTGTGTCCCAGTCGATGCATTTTGGTCCGGTCGAGTCCTAAACACCGAAACCCAATGTCTCCCTGTCGGACCAGTCTGGTACGCGAATGCAGGGATGCAAATATCCTCCGACATTGCAATCCTCATCCTGCCCATGCCCTTCCTCTGGGGACTCCACCTACCCCTCCGCCAACGCGTAAGCATCATGCTCATCTTCGGCATGGGTATCTTCGTCATTGGCACCAGCTCCGCCCGACTCTATGAACTATATCGGATGATTAACGGCCACGACTTCACCAAGACAAATAAACACGCAGCCACCTGGTCCTCTCTTGAAGCGAACGTCTCGATCATCTGCGCTTGTCTTTTACCATTGTGGCCATTCATCTCGAGGATATTCTCCTTCTGTTTCCGGCCTCAACCATTGCATTCCTCACCGGCTACCAGGCAAACTTCGAATACCACACAACTCACCTCGGTGCTTCACAGCTCCCGAAAAGCATCCTTCTACGGCCCTGGAGTCGGTTCAGATGGTGGAATCTTTTATAACGACTTCTTCTACGCTGGTCCGGGCACTTACTCAGCCAGTATCGCCAAGACGGATCATACCGAGACGAACATGAAAGATGGAGATACGGGAAGTGATCCGGATGCCATTCGTGTCGTGCGAGAGTTGAGGATCGGGTCGGATTCGGTGGCGCCTAGTCCGACGCTCTTGTCGGATCAAACCCAGGATCGGGATTTTGAGGCTGAGAGGAGTAGGGGGAGTGGGGCGGGTACGTGGAATGCTTCTATTGAGTGGGATCTCGGGGATTTTAAGTTCCCAGATTACAAGGAGAGGATGAATGCTCCCATCTAGGGAGTTGTAGATAAAGATCACGATTTATGATTCGACTAAACACGCATATGATATCGTTTATATTTCCACATCGCCTGGGCCGAGTATGGTTTCTCTCCGTCTGGAAACGAAGGTAGCCCTTTTTCTACGTGATACAGTTTGTGTAATTTCAGGGCTGCTGACTGATGAAGCATGGTGTAGCATGCTGGGAACAACTGATCCGGCCAAGACCAAACGTATTAACGAGGCATCCCTACCTGGGGAGTTTGTTTGCCTCTACTACATGCACTTACAGCGAATATTGGAGCTATTTATTTTTCAAGCTTCTTTAAACACTATCGTAATGTGCCGGAGGACATGAAGAAGAAAGGTCGCTATAGCCAGACTTCGGTAATTGCCACGGTAATTGCCAGAGGGCATTCTCATCACTAAGCCGGACGGTCCCCGTTCTCTTGAGTCATGATGTCTAGTCTGTGCGAAACGATCCTCATCATCCAAGGTAGATCAATTGGGTGCATTGTAATATGTTCAAATTCGATACATCTCAAAGTCCTAATACCCCTTGCCTCGCTTATAGGCATTGAGCAACGGCAGCCCCTTCTCTATCCGCTCCATATTGATGTTCACAATACTCAACGAGCGTGGTAGATATTCTCTCCCCAGTCCACTCACATGAGGGCTAATCTGCACATTTGGCGCATCCCAGAGCGGATTGTCAGCAGGCAAAGGCTCCGGATCAGTGACATCAAGCGCGGCACCACTCAACTGGCCAGATTTCAAAGCCTCAATGAGGGCATCCTGGTCGATAACTTTGCCGCGCGAGATATTCGTCACGTACGGCTTGCTGATCGGGTGCTTCGAGCTTTTAGATAGCAAGGTCAACTCCTCGGCGCCCAGCAGATGTGTTGTTTGCTTGGTTAGCGGAAGCGAGATCACTAAGTGATCTAGCCCCAGGGACAAGAATGAGCGAATCGATTCCTTGTCTGTGCCGTGGTGCCATGATGCTGGAATCGATCCATCGGGATCTCCAGTTCCGGGGACAATAAAGCCGTTATCATGCCGCGACTCTGGGGTTGGGCGTGGAGAGGCAGTAAACGCGTGGACTGTCATTCCCATGGCTTGTGAAAGACGGGCAACTGATGATGGTCAATAATGCTCGATGGGAAGTTGCGTGCAAAGATTGAGGATCTTAGTCTACGTACTTTGCCGCCCAATACTTCCGTATCCGAGAATCCCAACTCTCTTGTCGACTTGATCGTGGATATTGGTCGATAAAACGTCTTTTTTGATATCCCATCGTTTCTCTTTCTGGGCCTCATAGGTACGGATGTACTGGCGAGACGCGACAAGCCAATTCATGAGTGTCCACTCGGCGATGGGCGGACCATGGACTCCGGAGCTAGTAGTGATTGGAATATTGGTATCTGTCAAGATCGGATGACCCATAAGATGGTCCAGGCCAGCAGTCACCGTGTGAATCAATTTCAGACTGGGTTCACGGATGGTCAGCAGTCATACTTGTGCTTCTGCGTCGTGTTAACTCACTTCTTGGCGTCTTTGATGTCAGGAAGGTCTGCGAGGGTCACCAAAATGGTCGCGTTGCGGTATAGTTCTGTGACAGTACCCAACCAAGCTTTAGTCTCTCTTCAACTTCCTTGAATCTCCCCCACTTACCAACTGGGACTGGGACAGCTTCTTTCGGCTTCGACTGGTAAACAGTGACATCGTCATTAGGGAATTGTTGCTTGATTTCTGCCACGAATGCCTCTGAAATATCCAGAGAGATGACAAAGAGCAGTCGCTCAGAAGACACAGCGGTTTCACCCATTTCTAGAAATACTTTACGCAGTGAAAAAGGCTTATGTCAAGCAAATAGTGAAAGATAGACGAGCAGATCTTACGGAGGGGTGTTAGCGACGTGGCCGAGGGGAAGTACCCGCAGCAGTGCCGGCGGGAATAACATCCAGCAAGCCAGAAAAAACACCTTATCGCATTTCGATAACGTATTACCGAAGCGGGCAACGAGAGCTAGCAGAGAGAAAAAGAGATTCTGATTGGATGCCCAGGTGAAAGTGGCGAGCACCAAGCCGCTTCACGACGGGTTCCAGTTGGATATTTGTGACTAATCCTAGGTCCCCATCAGCTCGAAAACCTAGCCGGGACCGAAGATCTCTTTAGTCCCAGTTAGCATTTGATATATGATTTTTATGGACTTGTACTGAAGGATATATACTATCATTAAATGTTTGGACTAAGTTTAAACCCCTACATGTCAGTACAGCACTAGATCCCCGTATCACTTTATATAATGCTTGTGGTGAGAGAACCTGTGACACAATAGCAATCATATGGCCTTAGGCATGAAAATGCCTGAAGTGCATGTTGCGCCTTCATCACAGGGTTGGAGATAAAATAAGCAGAAGCAAACTTCCAGTTCATTCCGGTTTTGACCACATTTTAAATCTCAAGATGCTTATGTAAAAGTCAGTCATATTGCAGCGCCGCGACAACTCTCACACCCAGCTTACCAGAGCGTAGGAGTATGTTTGTGTGTGTTCATGTCACGTCTGGACTGCCAGACTGCCATCGAGCCGGCTCCATTTCACTTGATAATATAGAGAATTGGTGTAAGTAGAATTCATTAATTTTAGATTGTAATAAGGTCAATTTTATAATTTAACTTATGTACAAATAATGCAAAAGTCTAGCTCATTATCTAAATTATTGATAAATAATCGAGAAAAACGTCATCATTGACTTGACTACTATCCTTCTTCGCTTTCCCCCTAACCTCTATCAATATTATTCATACTAAGAATATAAAGTTACTTCCCCTTTTAGTATATCTTCATCTGTATGTACATCTCTACATTCAAGGAGAATGTCGAAGAACAAGTGGATAAAGTGAAGGCTACGCGCTCCCAAACGAATGTACCAGGTTCAATGCCTTTTTTTGGCGTAACGAAGCCATTGAGTCAGGCTGAGATCATGGCTGATTTAATTTCAGAGCAATGACAGACCTACTTATTGCCCGCTACTTCAATGAATATGATCCTGCGACCCACACTCTTCATGGACCTACATACCAAAAGCAGCACCACAGACATTGGGATAATTCCTGTCAAAGCGAGCTTGTGTGGTTTGCTATGCTTTTCTCTATGATGCGATTAGCTATGCTTCCATTCCATCGCGAAGATGACGAGCCCCCGCAGTTCCTGAGGAAACCTTTAGAAAGGGTTAGATATTTCCGGATCGTAACGACGCACTGCTTAGCGGTGACTGATTGTACGAAATGGCAACCCTTCCTAATCGAGGTACCTGTGTTTCACTTGAACGGTCACATCAAGGCGTGCAGCTCATTAGGTCAATTTAGTTATGACCGGTAGTTACTGGTAGGTCCACACGTAACATGTCTGATGCCGCCCTTCCCGGCCTATTTAATATGGTTCTCAGCCTTAAGCCCTTTTTCTAGGTTACGTTGCAAACACACGAACATCCCTGTTACCATCAATATCTCAAACCATCACATCGAACGAGAAATAGACAAAAGAGTTCTCACTCTAGCCAACGCGTCTTCACCATTCGCCACAGGTGGACACGGCCAGATTGAGGTACAATGAGGCAGATGGGCAGCCAATGAGTATATACATTGCCTGCTAGCCGGTTCCCTGTCGTAAAATTACTACTGACTTCGTTCATGGGACAATTTCTTTTAGGAAGTCATAGTTGCGATCCTTCCATTAGATCCATGGTAAGTTCGTCCAACGTTGATTTCCCTGAGCTCTGTCCGGCATAGAGATTTTCGAGAACGCGTTGAACAATACACGCTCGGTCCCTAATTACTGGCCCTACCGCCAAGACCTTATTGACAATCATTCATTGAGCAGACCGAAATAAAATCTAGAACACGTTCAATGCGGCTGGCAAGATTGAGTACCAATTGGCGCAAATAGCTTTGTCCCGCACGAGAGCCCTGGGCCATGGGATCCCGCAGCGGGACGCTGCGGACTAGACAAAGGAACACCGCTGGGTGCTTGGTTATCTCAGAATATGCCGCCTGCCAAGTAGGCTCAACTTTCGCAGCTTCTCAAAATAGATGTCATCACAATCTGCGCCGAAAACACCAATTGGCTAGCGGGGATGATTGACAGCCAGGCGACCGAGAACGGCTTCTTAGGAAAGGGACCTACAGTACTGTTCCGCTGGTCATTAGCCGGTAAATGGCGCTACTTGCAGGGTTCATCAAGCCCTATTCCTCGATACATGCTTGAACGGTAGGGACGGGTCAGTTGGAAGGGGAGCGATGCATCAGAACCTATTTTGATTAGCAAAATATGCAAGGCTCCGCCTGCTCAGTCGAAATTCAATATTTTACTTGGCGTCATCAAGAATCTGCCTCACTTGTGGCCTATTTGTCATGAACTGGAGAAATACTTGGATTGTGGAGAACATTAACTTTCAGTGCGAGTCGCGCTTGACGAATCCTTGAATTGTGGAGAACGATGAATATCAGCCGAGTCGCACTTGGCGAATAAGATTGAGAATGTCTTTATCTTCAAGTCTTGATACAAAATTACCTTGAAATAGGATTTCGTGCGAGTCAGAAACGACACGATTGATTGGGAATCTTGCTTCTGAGTATAAATAGTTTCTTTTCACGTCTTGCTCTTGTTGATATCGATTTGATTGAAGCTTTTATCCTTTTTTTTTTCACGAATAAAAGACAATTCAATATGGCGATTCATTCCACCCTCAAAGCAAGTCCGGTTGAAAACTTGCGCCCTCTCCGAGTTGTTGTCATCGGAGTTGGCTTTTCAGGCATATATTTGGGTATCTGGATTCCTGAATGGCTTCGAAACATCGACTTGACGATTTACGAAAAGAACGCTGGAGTGGGTGGCACATGGTGGGAAAATAGTATCCTGGATGTGCTTTTGATATCCCAGGTAGGTCCTTTGTTATTTGCAAAACTTTCGCCGGGGGCTTACGTGCAGATCCACTAGGTCTGACTGGCATCAACCACAGCACATTTTTACGTCTACAGCTTCGAGCTAAATCCAGAGTGGGACTCTTTCTACGCCTCGGCGCCAGACATCTGCGGCTATTTGGATCGAACCTGTAAAAAGTATGCAGTGGATCATTTCCTAAAGTTAAGCCATAAAGTTCAATCGTGCAGCTGGGATGGCGACAAATTCAAATGGTCAGTTCAACTATGCATTCCCAAAATTTACCTATAGCACGAACTTAAGCCAGTCAATTTGTCGTACAGGGATCTTGAGATACTTGAGATTGAGACTGGGCGGACTTTTCTTGATGAGGCTGATATCTTCATTAATGCAAGAGGTGCTCTAAATGACTACATTTGGCCTGATATCAGTGGGCTTTCTTCATTCAATGGAAAGCTCGTGCATCTGCTACGTGGGACACGAAGTAAGACCTATTAAGCTATACACTTAACAGCGTCTTCTTCTTGCACTACCCTGAGATCGTTGATGATATTGCAATCTTCACTTGCGTTTAGCTTAGTCGATAATAAAACTTTATATGTATGGTGTTCACAGCGTAAATGCATGTTAGTGGCAGGTTTTGTAATTCGACGGTGGAGGCTGCTTTCGAAGGTTCTTCCTCTTTGTGTATTACTGAAAATTAATTTGAGAAAGAAATCTGTTCAACCGAACGACGGAATAGAGAAACGGTATCTTTGAGGGGAGCTACAGCATGAATCTAAATTTACACATGCATCCCGTCATCCAAAGTCCTTGACCTAAAGTTAAAGGTGGGGCGACAGACGCGAAGGGCATCGGGGCATTCATGGCAACTTGCAATCCACTCAAGGACTACTCGTCAAGGAAAGAATCGTTCACGTCATTGAACATATCTGACTTGATAATGCTTCCCGCACGAGAATTCGGCGATCATAGGAGTGCATGGTGAGGACAATATGTGAAGAATTCGTTCGACCGGATCGCGGAACGTCAGCAACCTGCCGATCCTCTGACGCCATTTCTGGATTGCGAAGCTGGTCTGTAATTTAGGTCGGTAAGGTAAGCGGGGTGGATGGAAGATTCGGCGATCTTTGCGATCAACGTTCCGCTTACGGAGTTACGAGCCGGACTTTGTTACGTTCATCCTTCTTCCGGCTAATCTCCGGCACGTTTATAATTAGGTCCAACCTTCGTCCTTCTTACTTCCACAAACTTTTTCCTCCCTGCAAGACGTCGATATGTCGAATAAGAGTGACTGCTGTTTGAAAGGCTTTCGTTGGAATGGGACTCCCCAAAGGTCAAGAAACGAAACTCGCCGAAATAGACTGCTACGTCACAGGACGAATCCCAATGTCGCCATCATGCTCACCCATCTAGTTGTGTAGCGCTGTGCTCGCTCGCAAGGACCCTGACTGGCTATTACCTAATAGGACACTGTGGGGAGATGGAAATTCCAGTGGCTATCCCACGGCCGTTTTTATATAGAATTTTCGCCAATTTATCCTTCATTATGGTAACTTGCTACATGTACATTTTAGTCTAATTCGACTTTCGGAAGGCGATTAGATTGTTATGACCCCTGCAGCCACCAACTATTTGAGGGGCCGCAACTTACTCTCTCCGGGGCTTGAAACTTGTGGTCCATCCCCAAAAAAAGACCGATGAGACGCGGTGAAGATTGATGGAGAAGGGCCGACTAAGGCAAGGGATGAATTTTCTAGGCTAATACCTGGAAAGTCAAATTCGATTTCTATCAGTACCTCGTTCTGTTATTATAATTAAGTGAGTCGAGATTGAGAAAAACTGAAGCGCCAAACTGCCATCCAATTCTCCAACAACCTGGACTAAGTGGATTCAAGATGTGTGGGTTTCTAATTCCCGTTCTGTCCACTCCCACAGCTCTTCTATTTTCTGTGCATCGCTCATGGCATCCATCCGATTTGTCTCCTTAAAGAAGGGGATGTAGTATGCTCCAGATTTGACGCTCTCTGACTGGACGGTGCTTGCCCAAAGCTGATTCAAAGCACCTGTTGGTACATCCACTGATGCCACTTTGTTGAAAAGGCTGAAAAGGACCGAAAGAAGTGACATGCCTTTCATCCCTCTGCCAATGTCTGTCCGAACGAGTCCTGGATGTAGGCAGACAGACTTGATGGCTGGGTGAAGTTTCGCATAGGACTTGGTGAAGTATATATTGGCGAGCTTCGATTGACCATAGCGGGCCACAGTGGTGATCTCCGTGAGTGGCGATTTTGCTTGATCCAGAAGAATGGCTCCTTTCGGAGCCATGGTGTATATCTCGGAGCTGACGTTGATAATCCGAACGTCACTCCCGGGAATACTGGCCGTTGCTTCTAGGACCGGCAGCAGCAACTTGGTGAGTAGAGCTGGGCCCATATGGTTTGTCCCAAATTGAATTTCGTACCCCTCCTCTGTCAAGCCAGGAGGGGCGGCGAAAATACCCGCGTTATTCATGAGAATGTGGAGACGGTCATTATCAGCCAGAAAGGTGGCAGCTGCCTTCTTGATGGAAGAGAAGGATGCCAGGTCAATTTCGAGAAATATGATTCTTGCAGAAGGGACTTCTTCTTGTATATCTGCGATTGCAGCATGAGCCTTATCCTTGTTGCGGGCGCCCATGTATATTTTTGCAGGACTGTGTTTTGCTAGTTGCTTGATACTTTCTTTGCCGAGGCCATTGTTGCCTCCAGTGACGAGGATGACTTTCCCGCTCAGGTCAGGTATGTCCTTGTCGGGATTGAAAGTGGGATTCCTGCCGGAAAAGAACATGCTATCGCTCCTCACAGAATAAAATTGAATCGTAATATTGTATTACCATTAATTTTCTTTGAGTCGAAAGGTCGTATAAAAGTTGGGTTCAATGGGTTTCTGGAGTTTGAAGAACTCCTTGACGGGATAATGATCTGCCGATTCGGTACAATTAGTGAGCCGGCCCGATGGCGGCGAGCTCAGGAATGTGTAAGCGGGGTTGAACACTAACCAGACACTAACCAGTTAGATTTTCCCTGTCACTCATGGCGGATTTGTCATTCGAAACAATTGGCGAGGGCAATCCAAAACAGAGATTGCAATGGCATGCTTTTTGAAAGCTCAGGTCGAATATGAAAAGTGATAGTTTCGAACAAATAAGTACTGGAGTGGTAAATGCGATATCTTATATGCCTTGAGCTATCTGCATCCTTCTCTCTTACAGGGACAAGAGGGGAGCAACTATACGGAATATGACTGCACTTTTCGGTTTCTTTGTTTCATGATATGGAACCAAGAATTAAGCGGGATTCACCTACAGAGCATGTCTACTACGGCTTCCTGCGTCCCTGGGAGTGCATGTGTGTGTGTGTGCTGTGCTAGCGCCCCGTCTACATTACCAGACATCCATCAAGCCATCTCCATTTAAGTACTTCATAGTATTCCCTTGGATAAATTAGACCAAAATAGACGCAATGATCAGTTTGGATGGTACTTGAGATTTGTTCTTTGTATAACCGTGAGAGTAAAATACAGACACCCGCAGATGCTGACTCGGCAGCTGGTTACTCGAGCAAGCAATAGGCGTTGAATGAGATCAGCGACATTAATAAAACCTCTCCCTCCCCTTTTATCGGGCCACCCAAATTAGGAAGTTGGCCGTGATTTGGACAGGTGGGCATGTGCGTAGAGCGTTTCCTGGTCGCTCAAGTGCGGGTTGTGGCGAGGTCTACTTTTGAGCCATGCAAGTATTTGGTCTACATAGGTAGGAAATATGGATTTCATGAACTACTTAATGACCCTGCAGATGCTTCATGGGATCAACCTCCTCCTCGCACAATTGATTAAAGTGATAATTGATCATCTCATATCGAGGTCCAAGGCCAACATGCTGAGATGACCAATACTGAATCTAACGATGTGCTGAAACCATCAAACTTACACTTCTCTGTCACCATATACCTGGAGTCAATCGTCATGATGCCAAGAAGCTTAGAGCCCTTCCGAAATTGCAGTAGCAACTTTTTGTAGAAAGCACCTATAAATGGATATCAGCAACGGCAAAAAGTCATCACTTTGTCAGGAAAATCACTCCCAGTTCGCATCCAAATATTGCCTCATGATAATTCTGCACCTTATCTCTCTACTTCATTTAAACTCTCTTCGAAACATATTAAATAAAGTTCCATTCAGAAGTACCTCCCAGAAATAAGTCTCTATTTCGGTTGTATATAGCTCAGCCGGGTGAGCATCTCCTTGTGGATTATAATTTCCCCCCCCTTTCCCTCACAACCTCAGTCAGAACGTGAAAGGTTTACGAGTCTCTCACGTATCTGGCGCACAAGGTGTAAGCCCTTTCGCCAGGCGAGAGATCTGATTGGAATAGTACGTCTGAGGTTTTGGTTGATTAGTAATAATATCCTCGCTGGTGCCTTGCGAAGAAACACGGGAAACGTACAGTCTCTGCTCCTGCACCTAGAACACGGCTCCTAAGAAGCCTCGGAAGCAATCCAGGTCAGACCTTGTTCAAGGTGATCTGCGCATCCTTATCCGGGATGTCCTCTTGCAGGAACAAATTTGGCAAATGGGGGTTTACTGCCGCTGGGCATGCTATACCGACTAGGTCACACGCATTCTCTTGAATCGCTGCTTCTGCTCCAGCGCGGCTGCGGAACCCACCAGTCAACATTAGACGGAGGTCTGGATATTTCTTGCGCGTCTCTTTCGCAAATTCGAGGAAAAAGGCTTCGCGAGCTGCGGTGCGCACACTTTTCCCTTCAGACATAGTGGGTTTATCGCCCTCGGCCATCTACATCGTGAGTGGATTAGTGTAAGCAATGAGGAGATAAAGTAACTGCCGAGATTGCGTTTGGCTTTTTCGGCACATACTCTTGGATTTTCGTAAGTTCCGCCCCTAACTTCAAGGAAGTCAATACCTGCTTCCACGAGCATTCCAATCTGAGTCAAGCTGTCCTTGAGATATGCGGTGCTGTGATCGGCCGACTTAAATTTGACGCCAATACAGAAATTGGCCGGAACAACTTTTCGGCATTCTCCCAAGATGTCTAGTAGAAACTTGGCGCGTCTTTCGGCAGAGCCACCATAGGCATCGGTACGAAGGTTGAACTAGGCCAGGTTTTAGTAAGTCGAAGTTTGGTTTGTTCCCCCAGATATGATCCACCTTGGAATTGCAGAATTGATCTATTTTGAAAACCTGATGAGATTAGGTGGGTGATGGAGGAAGACTTCTATTGAAATGATCACTCATCGAGGCCGACCTCCCGCAAATTTGTGGGTCTTAGAACGTTAGTGGCAAATCGATCACCCTATCACAACTCAGAATGCTAAGAAATACATCGCATTCAATGAAAGTACCAAATTAAGGGAGGGATAAAGTTCTAAGCACTATTTCTTACCACATTCACTCCGACTCCCTTGGTCATCCGTGAAACACATGTCACATTTCTATCCTCAACACCCGACCTGCCTCAGGTCAGATTAATAAACGCCTCGATGGTATATAATAGAAAATTTTGCCGTGCATTAGTGTATAAATTCCAGCAGCCCTTTCCGTCGGTCCTTCAGAGGCCCCTACCTGATTTTGAATTCAATCACTAGCCGCATTAACGCATCAAGCTTTCACTTTTTAATCTGCCCTATACTCATGCAACATGCTATCATCAAAACGCTCAATCCTTATCACGGGGTTCGTCACGCTGAAAGGAACTTTCCTGCGCCCTGTACTTTATATAAGTGATCAAGCTGATGGAATTTACTTCGAATAGTTGCTCACGAGGTGGAGTTGGCCATGCTCTTGCCCTTGAATTCGCTGCTCGCGGTATGCGTGTCTTCGCAACCGCTCGCTCTACCGCAACTCTCTCTACTCTAGAAGATAAGGGAATTGAGGTATTCAAACTCGACGTGACGGATGCAGGAAGCATTGCATCGTTGAAAGACGAGATTGTGAAGCGAACTGGTGGCAAGCTTGATATGCTGTTCAACAATGCTGGCACAAGTATGTCTTAAACTCACCATTTCCATTCTGCTGCGACTTTCGTTTTTCTCTCTCATCCTGACCGGTCTTTTTGTGAAAAAGTGTACGAAGTCCCCGCGATCGAGGCCGACCCTTCTCGCGTACGTCAAATGTTTGATGCCAACGTCTTCGGCCTTTTTGATATGGTTTCAGCCTTCAGTCCTCTTCTCTTGGCTTCCATTTCATCCGGTTCAAACAGACAAACACCCCCGACTATCATCAATACCTCATCGATACTTGCACGCCTACCATTCCCTTTTGCTGCTGCGTATAACGCGTCGAAAGCAGCCGTGGCTTCGTATAGCGATACTCTCCGGATCGAGCTTGAACCACTTGGCATTAAGGTTGTTACCATATTCATGGGTGAGGTTGCAACAAATCTCATGTCATCTGACAATATCTCCTTTGGTTCTGATAGCATATACCGCGATGCTCAGGACGCTACTAAAGAAAGGACTCAGAATCATATCAAGAACAGTCTGAAGCCGGAGGCGTTTGCAAACCAAATCGTCGAACATGTATTTTTTAAAAATTCTGGATACAAACAGGGCGAGTATTTGTGGAAAGGCACTAATGCCGCGTTGGTCCGGCTTTTGAGTATCATAGGGTGGAGAAAGATTTTTGATGGCACTGTGAAACAGGCGGTCGGGTTTGATAAAGGTGAACTCCAAAGGTCTATCTTCGACAAAGGCCAGGCAAAGGCAAAGGCCAAGCAATAAGATTGGCTCGTGAGGAAGTCAATCAGGGATTGCTAACTACCTGGCTTGATCATTTCCATATTCATGGTAGATCAAGCAAGAGAAGCATCAAAGGACCTACCTAATAATTTTTTTTTTTTGGGAGACATTACGCAGTCTAGGGAGACAAATTATTTTTGATTTGATCGTTTTTGTAACCTATTTAGTCTAATTCCCCCATAGCAATAATTCGTTCCTCTTACAGATAACTCCATCTTCAGTCAACTTCTCTGACCGACCGTAACGGGTCAACAATCGCTGCGGTCTAAGGTGTGAACGCATTAGATCATGGCGGCAGCTAGGCAAGTATAATCTATGTCTGTTAGCCTATAATTACTTTTTTTCATAGCTCTCCCCGCCAAACATAAGGTTCTTAATACTATCTCGATATCACCTGAAACAGAATTAACCACAATTCTTGAAACCTCCAAACGTCGTGGGTGAATTTTTGAAACCATGGAAATCGATCTAACTTCAGCGGAATCCAAGTCCAGCCCTTTGTGACAAGTGGTAACTTACAGCGGCAATGCGCCGTCAAGTTTTTTGTAATTTGAAGAACGCCAAAATGCCACCAAGGTAAAACAGAGTATCGCTATCGTCAAATGCTTAGAAGGGTGCTCCTTCTCATTTCTAGGCGGAACCAGCACGACTGGCATTAACTTGATATTCTCAAAGATCGTGTGAATTTTGAAGCAAGACAGTAAAGAAAAAGATCCTTCGCTTCTTGCTTATTGTAGCCAATGGCCCTGTAAAATGGATCATGACACGATGTACCTTAGGATTTCAGAAGCACACAGAGCCTCAAGCGGTCGAATATACCGTCAGGGCCGCAGTTCCAAGAGTCGGTTTGGGAATGAGTTAGTGACACATGCTGATTGCACCACAATCTTCTCGTATTCTCCTAACCGTCGTTGTGCCTAGCTGTAGACCTTACTGGGCCTGTCGCGCTTGTATCACTTAAAGCGATAGCGGTTCTTGGAAGCACGTGTCGCTTGGGCTGAGTGTGTATCATTTAAAGCATCGGATCTGATATAGTCATCGAAACATCCGTTGGTCTGTAATTCTTGATCTGTTCGGCTTGCTTTGATAGTTGGTTAGTTTGGCCAAGCCTTGCAGGTAATGGGCGATAGATGAGAAGACGTGATGAAGCAGAAAATAGATTGCGTGAGGCGTGAGGCGTGTATTTCACGGATGGCTGAGGGACTCGGAGTGAACAAGATGGAAATAGTGTAGAAAATTGGTCTCTTCCGTCTCGTATTAACATTAAATGATATACATTTCGGGGTATTTTAAGTTAAAGTATAGTACGAATTTTTCCTTGCTTGTCGTCTCTAGTCTGGTGTTCTTTCGAGGCGAGAAACAAATGAGCCGGGTTAGGTTCTCTCCTAGTGGAACTACATGTTGTAGTGGGCGAACTGCTGACTGCATGAAGGAACGGTCTATCGGATGACTAAGGCTTTTGTGATATATAAGACTTTCCATATGCAGGATAAGCAAGACAGACACTCTTTCTCTTCCAAACCACCCCTACGTGTTCTCCTCCCCTATGGTCCTCCCTCCTTGTGTGTGTGTGTGTTGCCCAGTCTGCGTGATAAGACAGCTATCGAGCCGTCCCCATTTCAATGTATATTTGCAATGAGAAGCCTTCGATAATTGTGCACGTTTTCATTGATCAATTTCTTGTACCACTCCGGTGATTTCCTGCCAGCTGCTTTAAGCTTCAATAGCGATGAGCGTATTGCACCTACCCCACTTTCTGAATAAAGTACTGTTTTCAAACAAGAGATAGTGCAACATCTATGTGTCTGAAACAGGCAAAGTGCGATTGTTACTATTCACCTCAATAAAATAATTTATAAAAATCGATCAATTCTGTGAATTATATATAATGTTCTCGTTTTCTGTTGAATGAGTGAATGATCTAGTAATTAAAAATACAAAGTATGGAATCGCTCCAGAATGGTAACACCGAACACATTTCTCTTTACCAAAAACCCAAAATTCAAACCTCGCAACGAGAATTGATCATCCATGGATTAAGAGCTGGCATTGAGCTCGCTCAAAATCTCGTCAGCAGCTTTCTCGGCTACCATGTAGGTAGAGACAGCCGTGAAAGTACCGGGGATCTTCGGGTAAACCGAAGCATCGACAACACGGAGACCCGAGACACCGCGGACACGGAACTTCGAGTCCAAGACGGCCATCGGGTCGTCATCGGCGCCGATGGGACAGGTGCAGGAGGCGTGGTGGCCCCAGGCGCCATCCTTGACGTAGGTCTCAATGTCTTCCTTGGACTGGACGGCGTCCCCGGGGAGAACCTCAGTGACGTGAACAAGCTGGCGCTTGAAAGCATCACGGGCCAACTCGACGGCTTCATAGAGAGCAGTAAGATCGGCTTCGTAGTCACCGACACCAGTATCAAAGTAATTGAAGGTGATCTTAGGCATGTCAAGGGGGTCAGCGGATTGAAGCGCAACCGTACCGGCGCTGTTGCGGGGATGAGCTTTAAGGATGGCCCAGGTAAACCAGTTGTGTTCTTCGGTGGCGTTGATGCTATAATCAGGGAAATAGCCGCGGAAGTTGACCGGTCCGCCGAAGCAGAAAATGTCAAAGTCCTCGTTAGCCACCGAACTCTTGTACAGCATGGTGGCAGCGAGACCGGGGGATGAGTAGATGCCGTGGTCACCAAGAATAGGAGATTCCCACTCCTTGATGCAAGGATCAGCCTGGTCATCGATGCTGAAGGTGCATTTGTTCAAGCAAGAAAAGTCTTTCTCGACTTTGCCCTGCACGGAGATCTCATAGTGGTCCTGGAGGTTGGTACCGACACCAGGGAGATCCTTGATGACCTTGATACCGAACTTGTTGAGTTCGTCGGCGGGACCAATACCACTCAATTTGAGGATCTGGGGCGAGTTATACACACCGCCGGCAACAATCACCTCACGGGAAGCAGTGGCGGAGCCGGGGATACCAGCAAGAGCAGACTTGGACATTGGGCTGGCTTTGTAGAGATGCTCGCCATCGAGAAATTCGACACCGGTGGCACGGGGTGGGCTGACAGTCTCATTGAAGGTCACCTTCGTGACGTGGGTATTCATGCGGACATCAAGAGGGTACTTCTTGGAACCATCATCGTTCTTAGCATCCCGCACAGCGATGATAAATTCGCGAGCACCGTTTCGGTGGGCATCATCGGTCGCGATAGGGATTTGGTAGTACCCAGGTTCGGTATCACGGGTTTCGGTATCCGCATTGGCATCGCCAGCCAGCAGAGTGCCAATGTTCATGACGTTGTCGGTCAAGTTTCCAAGAGCAAAGGCACCACCAGTCAGCATGCTCAGCAGCTGAGGGTCCTCCAAAACAATGCTGAGGGAGCGGTCTCAGTTGACAGCCAGCCATCATAACCGTGGCCCTTAGCTCCGGGCAGCAAGTAGCCATTTCTCTCCAGCTTGATAAAGTAGTTGCGCATATTCTCAGGTGTCCATGAGCTATCGCCGGTAAGAGTCGCGATGTACTCAAAGTCAGACTGGTGGGGATAGACTGCGATCAAGGCGTTGTGAGCAGTGCATCCACCGAGGGTACCTGTACGAGGATAGAGGGTTCCTTTCATTGTCGAGCCCTCGGGAGGATTCAGGCCGGTGTATAACCCGCCATCAGGTGTCTCGTAGCTCGTCTTCCAATCGCGAGCCTGACGCTCTTCATCTTCATAGTGGTGTACGAAGAAATTCCACGAAAGCTTCTCGTCCTCAGAGGCTCTGGCAGAGTAGGCAGGTATAGTATAATTGTAGTTCTCTCCCTGATCATCGCCAGCCTCGAGGAGAAGTGTCTTGTGGCCGGCCAGGGCAAGGCGGGCTGCCAGAGGACCACCACCAGCCCCAGAACCAACGACGACATATTCATACCCAGTGATGTTAACGGCCTTGGCCAGGCCGGCAGTGGCGGCCAGCAGGCCGAACAGATGGGAAACAATCATAATAGAAAAGGAAAATGAGTGACTATGGGTGAATTGATTTTTCAACAGGAATCCAGCGAGGTCCTAGTCTTTATATCCAGTTTTGCTTATCCCCTTAGAAGAAGGCATCGCACGTATTCAACATTGAGCATTTCCGAAAGAACCGTTGAAGACATGCCGGGCCTCCACTAGCTCGTGGCGATCTATTCTCAGACCGTGTGAATAGCTGAGCCTAGTACCTCTACAGAAGCAATTCCGAATGATCATCGGTAGTTTAATAGCAGCGTTACTTGTCATCCCTGTCGATCACCAAGAGACTCCACATCTGTCAGGGGTTTCTCTTTCCTGAGCCAATGGCCACTGAAGTTTTATTTTCGCCAAGAAATTGCGGAGTTTTTTCCGGGAATTTTTGCCGCCGTCGTGATCCGAGGCCCACTGGACACACCGTCTTTCTGCAGCAACGACTCTCATTCCTCTCTACGGTTATGATATCTACAGTTGCCTATGCGCATTGCTCTTCACTGGAAACGTGGGGTTTTTGCGCTCAGCCAAAGTGGGAAATCTAAACTGTCAGGCTCCGCGATACACTCAGAAACTCTCGTCTCTTCTTGGAACGGGTTGACAGCTACATTCGTATCGCGGCTCGGATGTGCGGTCACTAAGTGGGTACCATGTGGCATGCCCCAAGTTTTAGCTTGTCAAGACTTGCCGAGGGCATCTTTGCGTTCCTTGATTTCCTCCTCTATTCATTGACAATCGTGCGTGGCGGCAAAGGAAATTCCGCGCCTCAAGTCCCGTTGAGGAAATTGCCCCTGCCCCTTTTCTTGCCTGTGTGCACTTTCAAATTGGCCCTACTATTTGCATTTAACCATAGGTTTATTCCTCGGAAGCTTTGATCCAAGTACAGCCAGTGGGTACTATACTCTATTTTTGATTGTACTTCAATTAATCCCAACAAACAGGGTTTGCTAAGTGAGCCACAGATATACCAAGGCCACGAGCCAGCGGGGTACTAGCAGGGTCCACAGGTGATAACGAAAAAGGACCACCGGTCTTGACACGGGGTGGGAACCTGTTCACCATTCGCATCTTATTGTATTGCACTCCCTTCGTCCCAGGTCCCACAAGGCCAAAGAATACTTCCCATAGCATTGCTTGAACCGTTCGTGATCGATCCTGAGGTGAAATGTGATGATATACCTGTGGTATAGCGTTGTTAGTTGCATAGAGAAACACTTTCGTTCGAGTAGATGGTAGACTGAGGCCTTAAAGCAGGGAAAAACTTCAGTTCGAGTATGCACCAGTGAGCTCAGCGATCTAGAAAGTCATTTCTCTCGCAAGGAAGGCGCACACCTCCCACTCACAAGAAAAACTGAATCTTCAACATACGCTAAGCAAACGCAATTTCCAGGACTACCTCAACCGTCTCAGTCACAAGACTCAAACAGCATGTATTCTGATTCTCAAAAACTAAATTATCCAGAAAATTTGCGACAACTTTTGTACAATGAAAACCGCATATGGGCATTCATCACACAGCCTATCTGGACTAGCATAAAATCCAAGCGCTTGTTTTGCCCCAAGTGCCTTCTTATGCATTCTCCCCCAGAGTCAATACATTTATGCCCCAAGCACATTGCATCAAATTATGCTCAGCATCACTTACAATACTCAGGCAAAGCTGAATGTAGAGACTATGCATTGTCCCGGACTAAGAGCTACTTGAATATCAAGGCCTATGACTTCTTATGAGGACAGCTGCTTAATTTTTCAGCAAAAGATCCGGAAAGATATATCGTCTGAAAATTATAGGTTATACATATAATAGCATTTGAATAGGTAAATCACTTGATGTGGCAAAGAAAACACCATCGCGACACCCATCACCCCAATTCTCATACACAATCACCGTTTCCGCTTTCTAAAGAAGCAGAGCTCTTCATCTTCTAATCTCAGAACGGTATAGAGACCATTTGAAAATAGAACGGCATCGATGATAGCACTGGCACTCATGGCCCCGGCAACCGCCCCATTCCGCACATTGTTGACGGGGTGGATCATTGAGATACCACGTTGGATTTGATCAACATTCAATGAACCCATCTTGGGTAGGCCCTCTTCACTGTTGCTTTAGTGCCAGCCACTTATATCGGTGAGTTCAATGGCTCTTCAAAACTCCCAGCCGTCGATGCAATTTCTGTAGCTTTTCCACTTCCAATAGCGGCGGTATAGTAACTTTTGCAAGGAATTCTCGGGTCTATTCCAGTAACCATCCCTCACGTTGATTTGTGCTTCGAAATTTAAGACCATGCTCAAGGATACTTGACATCAACTCTGTTGCAGGAAACCGATCAAATTCGATGCTTATAGGTAGCGTCTACGGTATCAAGTCTTATAAACCCAGCATCACCAGTGCAGCAGATCAGCTTCTCCTTCCTTAAGTAGATTTTTACTATTTTCCAGACCGTGCCTAAAGAGTCAATATGGCTTGCTGACTCCTGGAGTATCTGTTTGCAAGATTGCGCTGATTCGGTAGGGACAATTAAGGAGAATAGTAGACAATAGTACACACCATTGTCGTCATAATACCTCATAATTTGTGGCACCCGCCCCGGGTATGATCCATGGGTTGAAGACTTCTGAAATAACAATATTGCAGGATCGTGAATGTATAGCCGCATACTCTTTAGGAGTCTTGCTCATCAAATCATCACCCACTTGGCTCAAGGGTACCCAGGGGAGGTGGTGAGGTTAGGACGCCACGAAAAAAGACATGTAAAAAAGCAAAAACAAAAACATACAACAGCAGGGATTCGCTGGTGGTCACCCACCCAACTACTAACCTGCCGGCGTGTGGCTTAAGTACGGCTGAGCGGACGGGAAGCCCTGTTCTCCACACCCTATGGTCGTATGTGCTAGGTATGGCGTAGACAAAAATTATATTTGTTATTCATTTCAGCTATTTCAAGATCACCTAGGCGATAACTAGAAGAGCGCCGCTTTAGCGTCGCGCGACCAAGGGTGAGAAGGGTGAGTGCGCAATAGATAGGGTGAGAATCAGGGTGAGAAACGGGTAAGAATTCTGCGAGATAGCGTAGTGGCCGCTCAGGCCGCTTAGCTAGGCTATAGCGATACATTATTAGATATAGCCGCTAGAACATATCTATAGATTCTGAATACAAACGATATGACAGACAGAAGTGGGAAAGTTTCATTTTGCTACGGATCCTCGAAAGTCTCTGCTAAAAGCAAGATTAAATCATCTGATTGAGCCAGTGGAAGATGCTTGCTACTTCTCCGTTCCATAACCTCGATATTCAGAAAACGCATGGCGGTAGCTGAGGTCTCTCCGAAGCTCTGTAGCTCAGACCCGGTGACATTTCTGTTCAAGGGGAAGCATTGTGAAGGCGAACCCTTTCAATATCTGCCGCAATTTCGGCATCTTGTACCTGCAAATTATGGTCCCTGAAAGCACCCGCGCTCGGTGCAGACTGTGCCGTGGAGTCGGCGTCCAAAGAGACATGCTGTTGGCGATAACCCGTATACGATTTCGCCCACGCGAAAGCGAGGATTGCGTAAGTCCTTGTCCGAACAGAGTCTTCCTGGGGTGTACCAAGCGGAAACATCCATGGGTAGTATGACTTCCCATGGCACCCCTTAGTTACCCAAGATGCGTTATGCACAAGGTTGAAAGCTCGAATGAAGGAGTCACAGCCGTGGCATGACAGTTTGGAGACACCAATATAGGTGAACGCCTTTGGGAATCCCGGTATCGCCTTTTCGTATCTCGCGATCGAAACAAGTAATTTGACCTCGCAATGAACACTGTTAATCTTTGGAATTGTCGTCTTACCCATTTGAGTAGTATCCTTTCTGATGATATTCATATCCATAACAAGGGTTCCTAGCTTACCGGGATCGCTACGCTGATTGTCATAGGCAAGCGCGTCCCGCAACACACGTTCCCAGTCTGAGCTAGTAGTTGGAACCTTAGCGAGTCTCGTGGACTGTTCACGAAGAGTCTCGAGAGTGCATCTGCAAGTGAGAAGGTCCCGGGTCTTAACTGACACTGTGGCCCTTACAAGAATCTCGATACTGTTGAAGACGGAGTTGAATTTGCGCATATAGCGCTCAAGCTCCGGGAAATGCTGGATTTTAGCCATGTCGACATCTTGGCGAGCCTTTTCGCTGCGGAGATACTCGTTGATGTCCCGCCTTGCATCACCTAAGAAAAAGTATAGCAACTGCCACTCCTTGTCATTCTTCGGCTTGCCGATTTGCGCGCCATTTCCTTGGCCCTCCTCACGTGTAAAGGTCGATTCCACCGTTCGGATGGACTTTGCGGCTTTGTAAAAAGGGTGATTTGGAACGAGGTTGGAGCACTCTCGCACGACCTGCATGAATCGCGAAAATTTCCCGTTGACTCGGCTCTGCAGCCTCTGCCACACGAAGCTGAGACACAGTTGTGAGAATGCACGATCCAGTGACTTGAACTCAGTGTCCGTAATTGGGCTCGTGGGTGAAGTATCTTCTTCATGGGGGGGCCCTCGTTTTCTGGAACCGTTCCGCGAGTCTCTGCATCTTCTTCCACATGTCACGGAAGTGTGTCTCGGTTTCGCGAGGCACATCGGAATTGGAAGACATCATGAACGTGAGGGTTCCTCTGCTTGCATCATGCCGCACGGCGATAGCAATCACCTCATGCTTTTTGCGTGAAACGCATAAGATAGCAAAGGCATCCAAAATCTCGCGGATTCGACGGGGATAAGTGATCGGTGGGTACCTAGCCTCTGGTCTGCTCTCGTTGCGCGCTCGGTGAGTCGGGACCTGAGAGCTATGGAGGGTTTCAATCTTGTTGATAGCCGCCAACAGGTCAGACACATGCTGTGATGTTGGGACACCAAGGAAAGAACCTGGGTCTTTAGTCTCCTCTTGCATAGCTTGTTCGATGCTCTGTCTCCGTTGCTTGAGGTCCTCTTGGCGTGGAAAATCGGTCATGTCAACTCGTTCCTGACGGCCGCCGCCACGGCTTTTCCCTTTTCCTCGGGACCCACCTCTGCTGCTGTGTGACGTCATTCCGTGTAGTACTAGACCATTTTCAGAAGTAAGCCCAAGTCCCATATCAATCGTGGTAGACGAGGAAACTCACGTCAGAATGTGATGAAAGAAATTTGAGGAGGTGTAGATGCAGAAAGCAAGCCTGAGAAGTGGCTGGATATGGGCTGTGAAAAGAGTGACATGATAGTCAGGGAGAAAGCCGGCATGCGTTCGCAGGAGAGGTTACGAGAATGATTCGAGTGATGAATGTCAGTTCTGAGGATTTTGTTGGTCTCGATGCTAGTGAATGAAAGCAAAAGGTAGGTGAGGAGGGCGAAGAAGTGAATCTAAAAGTGGTAAGGTTGTGATGATAGTAAGATATGGGATCGTGAATCTTAGACAAACGACGAGAGAGGTAGCAAACCATGTAATGATCAACACGTTGGTGAAGGTTAGAATGAGTTAAATACGAATTTAAAGCAATGGTAAAGTGAAGAGGGCTTTAATAGTCAAGCAAGAGTTCAACTTAGTAAATCCGGAAGATTTGGGAATTTTCTACGTCAGGATCCTTGTTCTGCAAGGGCACAAAACTTCATCACGATTAGGTTCAACTCATTTTTCTTCCTATTTGCTGGTACCTGGCACCCTATGAATATCGTCCCTTGGTCGGTGTATGAAATACTGCTACAAAGAACTTGGGTAGGCATGAATCCCTCGCGAAATTGATTCGACTGCTGGCTGCGTAGTTGGGGTTTCACTTTTTTGCATTATTCCTTCATTCGGTACGCTCACAGAACATTCCAACGAGATTTTCGTGTCCATTTTTTGGTCTCGGCCCTTCTAAATGCTTGGATACCGAGACTGGCTAAAGGAATAGTATGTCCTGATCCCTTAGTGATCACGTATAGTGGCGTGAGTACAGTAATAATAGTCCCGTGTTATACCTACACCGCTTCGGGTGTTGGTCCGCCATACCTCAACGTAATTCCACACCTTAACGTAATTCTTGATGCTATTTAGCTTTATTCCTCCACCTACTACTATAGATCGGTATTAAAGTAGTATATAGGATCTAATAGTAGTCTGCTTAGTGTCTCTACACTTTCAGCCTCTTCCGTAGCTAATTTAGGGGTTAGAAGCACGCTTAGAGGTGCTATCTTCCTACCCTTCCGTACGCTTGCCGTATATTCTTTCTCTTTCCGTCGTAGTATAGCGCTTTATATGCTTTATAGTTATAGCACCGAATCTGCCGATCTCCTTCCGTGACTTAGCGAGCTTTTAAAGGTATAGGCGGGAGTTAGTGCTAACTAGTAGACATAAGAAGGCTAATCTCCTCTACTATATCTTTATAACCTAACGGGGAAGCCGATTAATCTATTAGCGATTATCTAGGCTAACACCCTTATAATTAGCTATCCTAGATATCTTATCTTATATATAGCGTGCTTAGGCCGCGGATCTTAGTAGGGAACTTCGTGAACTAAATAATTAAGGCGGCGGAGTGTCCCTAGTAGGCTAATAAAGCTCTAGCGTAGGCCATCTTATAGTATTAAGGCGTTAAATAACCGAAGCTAGTGTTAGAGATAGGGTAGACTAGGTAAGAGATAAGATGGTAAGGTATGATAGCACCAGTGTATGGATAAGTAGTACTAAACTAACCCTTAAGGAAGGAAGATTATCTAGAATATATATCTTCCTTTTGTACATCTGTGGGATCACGTGGCGCTCGCTTCTATGTAGGTTATCTGCGGGTTATTAGGGGGTTTCTCCCGACATAGATATTGGATAACCTCATATTATAGATCGTACCGTAACAGCTGCACCGTAACACCTTTACTTCGCTATAGGATCATCTCTATCTACTATATATTAGTGATTTTTTTTCTAAGAAGAAAAGAAAATGGAAGAGAGAAACACTACTCATAATACCCAGTTTACAGCTATATTATCATATTTCTTATACGTAGCGGGTATAAGATTCCGGTGGTATACGATATTCTCTTCTAATTCCCGCTCCTCTTAGTACTCGCGAGTGAACCCACCTGATGCGGCACGTGTGATACGCTCCTTAAGGGCTTTCTAGATGGCTTATTCAGTAAACATTGTTTTTGTAGACTTGAACAAAGCGAAGAAAGCGCCTGAGGACCGGTATTTATCCTTTTCTGTGGTGCAGAGTGGGTTAGCCTCTCACCCCGTTCTCACCCCTCTCACTCCAGTCTCCAGACTTCTCACCCCTATCACCCACACTCACCCTAGGACGGCTTGCATCACTGTTTTAGAAGCAAAGGGCTCTTTAAGAATTGGTCATGCAGAACTAGCGGCTTAAGTACGGCTGAGCGGACGGGAAGCCCTGTTCTCTACACACCTATGGTCGTATGTGTGACGCATGACTACCTTTGGGACTGAGGGGGAACGTGATCTGGAAAGAGCCGTTGAGCTAACCCGATTTGGGATAGAAGTGGTTTTGTTTCGTAGTTGCTCGTTTCCCTCTATCTCTTCCTTCTCGCCTTGGTCGGTAACAGTATGTGCTAGATCTTTGTTTTCTTAGAAACATAATCCCAAACACGACCAATGTGAACGACGCCACCATCATTGTCTCCGATGCATGTTGCATCATATATGCTTCGTCTGTCACCTTTCTACCTACCAACTAAGCATCCAAATTTTTCGTTACCTCCCCAATGCAAGTCAATTCGTCCGACTCATCAAAGCCATTTCGATTCATCGTTTGACGCTACTTTTCTTCCAAACATGTACGGGCCTAGCAAACCCCGCCTCGTCCCTCTCAACTTGTAGTATCCTCTCAAATCCCAGCGCTTTCAACTCATTGTCGAACGGTGGCCTAATCTTAATGGTCTTATAGGTCTCTCTCAATTCTTTATTTCTCTTTGAAGCTCTCGCATAATTGCTCATCGGCTGCGGCTCCACGACGAGATAACCTCCATCATTCAGTATGCTCTGTATGTGCGCAAATAACTTCAACATTCCAGGATCCCCGTTGTTGAGATGGATCCACTTAGTCACAGATAGCAGTAGGACAACGTCGAACTTGCCTAGCGCGGTTCCTGTATATGCGGACGCATCCACAAAGTCAAAGTGCTCAAATGTGCACGGTCCGTCGGGGTACGCTGCTTTCGCCTGCTCGACCAGCCACGGGTCGATATCGACGCCGACTGAAGCTGCCGCGCCGCAGTGCGCTATCGCTTCATAGGTCAATTTACCCGCGTTGCAGCCCAGGTCTATCACTCGCGCATTGCGGAGGATATCTGATGGGAGAATGGAAAGGCGCTCGTCCGGAACGGTGGGCGCCCGAAACTTGGCGTAATATTGGTGGTAGTTGCCATGACGCGCGGCGAGGTGCGTAGCTTTGAAGCGCTCTGCATTGGAGAGTTCTGTTGCAGGCGGGGCCTGGTGGTGGCATGCTCCTGCCATATTTGGAGATTGTGAGAGCACAGGGGCACGTGTTGGTAATTATATTGATTATGTCGAAAAAGGAATGTGTAATGATGTGGCTTAGATTAGGATGCACCCTGGACAGGCCATCTATCCAGAGTTCAAGGTGTTGAAATTTTATGATTAATACCAAAGTTTTGTTGCGCGAGATGTTTGTAGGTTTTGCATGCATATGGTGCCTGAGGCATACAATACCCAGCTGGCTGCTAGATTATCACTCATCCCGGGGCTTAGTGATCACCTAGAAGAAGTGATTTAAGAATGGCTAAATCAGCGCCTAGCACTTAGTAATGGATGTTACATACAGCTAGTAATTAGTACTATGTTGAAGAGACCATAACGTCCGGGCAGAACCCCACTGTTCTACTCTTATGTGATAGATAGAGTGGGCCTTTTATTAGATCTGACGCATGGTCTAGCCCATGCAGGAACAATTGATCCACTAATTAGATCTGTCCGGTCTTAGGAAGGGAGCACTACAGTATATTCCGAAGTACAATAGTGACAGGGGGTGAAAGGGGATTTAAAGGAGCTGACTTTCGGGATATCCACAAAATGACGTCAGCTTTGCTTACTGTTTTCCCCCGCGTCGTAGCTGCTCGTGCAACCCTCACATCCATACCGAGGCCGTACTCGACATGCCTTTCAGACAGGCGATTCAGGGCATTCTCGATAAGGCCGACAAGGCTTGGGAGGACATCACCCATCAAGCCCCTCAGTCCAACCAGCCTACCCCACCGCCAATTCCAACCTCCAGCAAACCACAAGCTTATCCGCAACAGCACTCGCAACCCCAGATCTGTACTGGCAGCCCAATCTTCATCCTCAAGCGCCAGTGTCCACCAACTTTGATCACGAACAGGGACAACATGGATGGGGCAATAACGAGTCGCAGAATTATGTCGACAGCCCACAAAACTCGTTCCATTCAATGCAAGGCGATGCGGTGATCGTGCGCGCTCTGATCAACCACGGGCATCCTGACCCTGCTCAAAAGTTCACCAGCGCCAGACTGTCGAGTCGCCAGACCCTTAACCGACCACGAGGCTGTCTGTCGGCCAGAATTACCGCGCCGGTGGCCCGAGGTATCTGGCCTGCCTTTTGGCTGCTGCCTAAAGACCCCTTCAAGTGGCCCGAGGATGGTGAAGTCGACATAATGGAAGCATGGAATGGGGATGCTATCAACCACACTTGTCTGCATTGGGGCCACTTCAACGGCGAGGACTGGAACAAGCATAAGGTTCTCGAAACCCCCATCCCCAACATTAGCTCGCCGGCGGGAGTGAGGTACGATTTCATCTGGGACGAGGACGAAACGACGGGTCAGGGGCGTTTGGTCTGGTTAATCGATGGCAAGCCCATCATGAGGGCCGAGAAGCCGCCTGGCACGAGGAAGATGAGTGAGTTCAGAATCCTCATCAATATCGCTGTCGGAGGCAATGTCTGTCAGGGAAATATGCCCAGTGATGGATGCTACGAGACAGTAATTCGTGAGTTGGCAATGTGGGACGCGCCACCTGGGGGGTTGGAATGAATTTGACAGGGTTTGGAGGGATTCCAAAGATGGCAATACCATGTAATGGAACGGAAGGCGATGTTCACTGCCAAGTCAATCAACTATATCCACATACCCCACCCTCGGAAAAAGCAATCTCTGGCTAGGCGAATAGAATCAGTCGTGACATAGTGGTAGACTGGGTTTGATAATTTGAACAAAGATGCAACGCCATGCATCTTCGCTTGTGGTCGATATGCTCGCAATTCTTCTCCTTGCGTAGGAATCAATCAATCCTCACATTGTTCTTTTGTATAACTAAGCTAATTGTCTTGTTCCTGTTGACCTCTTGGTCGCTCTTAAGTCCTATATTCACTGATTCACATGAAAGGTCGAAATAAGCGTGATTGAGAGCCACCAAATAGGTTAATTTGGGCCTTCAAGTGGGTCTATACAAGTACGCCACGCTCTGCTCCACATTCCCCAGATTTTGCTCTCGGTCTCTGGGAAGCCCTCGGTCAACGTGTGGCAACACCCGCCAATAGCTGGAAGCGTATCATAGCCGGACTCCGAGCCACTCACGAATAAGGCTACTGCTGACGGATTCACAGTTGGGGGCCACAGTTCCAGCTGAGCACAGTCCTCGACACCCAAGTTTCCCCTGTGGAGACCCCAAGGCCACTGTGAGTTTCGGGGTTCCGGGTGGCGGATGGCGCAAGCCTTACAACGCCATCGTGGGCAACGGAGCCTTTTAGCGCAAGCCCATGCCGCTTTCCAGGGCACCCAATGTTTGAATCTGGTTGTCTGAAGCGCCTGGTTAGCAAATAGCTTCTACGTTTGGCTGTGGCATTCGACCTGGGCCATTACGGTCGCAATCCGGGGAGAGAGCATACATGGTTCGCTTTTGCCACGAAATGGTTCTTCCACGGTTGATGAAGGTCAGGCCTATTGCGGTGGTCTCCCCGCAGTGAGCAAGCTAAAATGTGACCCTGTTACCGGTTTGCCGCTGACCGAAGAGTCAAAAGGTTTCCTTTGATTCGTCTATGATAAGCATATGCATAGGTGCTTTTGATTCACATAAATAAATAGCTCTTAAGCCGCACTCGTCTCACGCCTTGGCTTTTATCTTTGTTCTTGCCTTTGCTCTTGCTCTTCTTCCCAATCCCGTACTCAAAGTGTCCCTCCTTGGACTGTATCGTGTATAGCTCTCCCGTGCGCAATCGTGGTAGCTTGACCTCAAGGCCCTGTCGCCCCCGCATTGTCCCACTCTATTACCTACGATGGCGCTGGCCTACCAGAATACAAATTTCGACACCGCAGAAGATGACACCAAAAAAGAACGTGTCCTAGATGCCGAAGACGGTCATGGCGTCGTTTCTGAATATGAGGATCCTTTCGGAGACGAAGAGTTTGCCGAGGTGAAGTATCGGACATTGACATGGTGGTAAGACTTTTGCGCCTGGACGTGCACCGAGTTCTTAGCTAATTGAATCAATCAAGGCAATGTGGCATGAGTATGTTCTAGCATCGACCCTCGTCAAACCCTCCATTCATGAATCTCGATGAAATAACACGAATTTGCACAGTCATGATTGCGGAGACAATCTCTTTGGGAATTCTGTCACTTTCCTCGGCCGCGGCGACTCTTGGAATGGCCCCGTAAGTTTGGTTTCTTCCTTTTATCCTTTTATCTTTTCCTCAGTAAAAGACTATGCGTTAGTGAAACTAAGATGTTTGCAGAGCGGTAATCCTGATCGCAGGACTGGGCCTCTTGGCCACCTATACCGGTTTCGTGATCGGGCAATTCAAGCTGCGGTATCCCCAGGTCCATTCTATGGGAGATGCGGGAGAGATCATGTTCGGAACATTTGGCTGGGGTCGATTCGGACGTGAATTCCTGGGCACCGCGCAACTCCTCTTCCTGATTTTCGTGATGGGAAGCCACATTCTCACTTTCACCGTGATGATGAACACCCTGACCGATCACGGCACGTGCTCCATCGTGTTTGGGGTCGTTGGCTTGATTATATCCTTTATCTTCGCATTGCCACGGACACTGCGAAAGGTCTCGTGGTTTTCGTTCGCCTGTAAGTCTCGCGACAACGGATAGGAAAGGGACAGACTGACAATGTCCTCGAACAGCTTTCGTTAGCATTGTCTCGTGAGTTGTCATCAATGGGCTACCCTTTCCCACTTGCTGATATCGCTGCCAGTGCCTTGTTGATTACGATGATTGCAATTTCCATTCAAAGCCCAGGCAATGGCCACGTGGACGCGACAACGAAGATTAGTGTTTCCACCGGCTTTCTAGCAGTGACAAACATTGTGTTTGCCTATGGTGAGTTTTCATGTTACTGTGGAACCAGAAAGACGAATTCTCACATTCACATCGAACAGCGGGGCATGTTGCTTTCTTCGGCTTTATTTCCGAAATGCAAGACCCTACTGATTACCCCAAGACGTTGTATATGCTTCAGGCAACAGACACCAGTTTGTATATAATAGCCGCGGTGGTCATCTATTATTATGGGGGCTCTGACGGTAAGGCTTTCCTGTCACTGTGTCGACGAACGATATATTGACGTAATCGGGATCCCAGTGAAATCGCCAGCCTTGAGTTCCATCAGCCCTACCATGTCAAAGGTAGCCTACGGAATCGCGATCCCAACGGTATTTACCCCAATATCATATTTTCTCATCTTTCCTGAATATGAAGCTGATGCTACCCTGGTAGATTGTGATTGCTGGTGTGATCAATGGCCATGTCGCAGCGAAGTACGTCTACGTGCGACTGTTCCCGGGTAGTGACCGAATGCACAAAAGAAATCTTGTGTCGATCGGATCCTGGGTCGGAATCACTCTGACGCTGTGGGTCATCGCCTGGATCATTGCTGAGGCCATCCCGGTCTTTAACGACTTACTCAGTTTGATTGTGAGTGCTCCACTCATGGCCCAGCGAAGCTTGGAACCCCCACACTAATGGCATCATCTAGACTTCCCTCTTCGCGAGCTGGTTCACCTGTAAGTTAATTCACTCAAGCGTTCACAGGTCGGTAGGAAAGTCTAATTTGAATCTTAGATGGTCTCAGTGGCATCTTTTGGCTGTTCTTAAACCGGGGACAATACCTGAGTTCCCCAAGAAAAGTATTCCTCACTATTCTCAATCTTTTGATTCTTGGTATTGGTGGCTGCTTATGCGGAATGGGCCTGTGGGTGTCCGGAAAAGCGATCCACGACCAGAAGAGTGGCTCTAGTTTCTCTTGCGCAGAAAGCAACGGCTAAGCCAGAACCTCCTCGCACGTCCAAATTTGGATGACATTGGCTGTGTTATTCGTGGAATTCAAAGTATATATATGAGAGCTTACCACTCAAATTGAATACTTGGATCGAGCAATCATGTGTTGAATAGTATCATTGATTTGGGAAAGAACTAGAATTGCCACCGGTTCATTTGGCTGAACACAACAACTTGCCAAGTCCACACGCTGTGCGACCTAGTTTTTGTAAATTGATACGTACCATGACATACAGAATTAGCCACATGCCTGCGCCCTTGGTATCGAGCAGCTCATACTTGTATCTTCCTTGGCAGATGGTGCAGTGGTAGCACAATTTAGCACAGAAGTAAAAGGCCATTTTAGAGCACCAGGTGATGACATTCAGCCGCATGACTCGAGGACGGGCTGTTCACTGGCCATTGTTGTCCTCCCATGGCCATGATTCTTCCCCGCAGGGCTTTTTACACACGACCCTCAAGAATCAAGACAAAGACGAATAAGTTACCAGTGAGGTTACTGTTTGTGGAGGATTTAGGCTATGTGCGGGTCGCTGGACAGAAGAACGGTTGAAGATACTCAAAAGCATTTACCAAGATGTCTGCCCATTACCATAATCCTTATTTACTTGATGTACCTTTCAAGCCTTTGTGTATCTGTAGATTTAATCAACTAACGCCCTCTGATGTAGCCAATGAAACTTATTGAGCACAAAAAGCCCCTTCAAGGAATTCTCTCAAAGGTTGGAGATGGCCGCATTCTTCCACCTCATAGCCTGTTCGATAGCCTTCGCGACAGCAACGCATTTCTCCTCACCAAATCTCCCACCGACAACTTGTACGCCAACCGGCATCCCATGTACCAGCTCAACATCATCTGTACTATAATCAGCACCTGTAATCATGAGCGCAGGATATCACACTCTTACACTGCTCTTTGTTGAACTTATCGCCAGCGTTGCGCGGTATATAATCCAGCCACTCTTGGCTTGGCATGTCTTTCTCTCTAGAAACAGACGTAGTGGGTACAGTCAGGGCGGCATAGCCAAGTAAGTTCCAGACACTGGTATACCCGACATATGCATTCGACTTGACCCAAGTCCAGGGCTTGTATCCAACCCAGGGCGTAATCGGCATGATAATGGCGTCGACACCAGAAGACGCCCAGCGCTCCAGGTACTCTGTTTCATACAGGTACTTGTCGGCGTTGAGCTAGCAAGTGTGTTAGAGACTAAAACTACCACTGAATCACAGGTCTTCTTACCTGATGAGTCTCCGAAGTAGTCAAAACATCCTTCTCCGTCCCAACCAGCATGCCCTCAATTAACGGCTCACCCGTCATCTCAATCTTCTTTCTAGCCCCCTCACCCCCGTCGGACAAGATAGCCTTTTCCCAAAGTTCATACGCATACTCGTGAGAAGAAGCATCCCATTCGAATACTATTAACATGTTAACATAATCAGATCACGAACACTGAAGTCGCACAACATACCTTCATGTCCAATGGCTCTCAACGCATCCACAACTTCTTGAACCGCTCTTTCAATAGGGGGCTGAACCTTGACCACCCCATCGTCCACCAAATAGGCGATCTTCAACCTCTTTGGCCTGAGAGATGTCAAACTTCTTCGCCAGGGCACCGGCGCTGTATGTTGATCCAACTCCCAAGGCGCCGCGCAAGGCAAAGCCTCCATATACCGCTCAATAGTCGCGAGACTACAACTCATTGGTCCAGCGACGGATCTTACGATATCCTGACCGGGACTGTGCTATAATCAGCGTATGTACTTGCTACAAATGCAAACAGAAAAGCAGACAAATCGGGAAAAAAAAAAACACTCACTGTCCCCGCTCATAAGGATGTCTCCCAGGACTAGGCGACAGTCCATAAAGTCCACACAAACTGGCAGGAATGCGAATCGAGCCACCCAGATCGGTCCCGATGCCTAGCGCACTACCCCGTGCCGCGACGAGCGACCCTTCGCCGCCGGAACTCCCGCCAGAGATCAAATTGCGATTGAATGGGTTGACGCATTGGCCGAAGACATGATTGTAGGAGTCGGACATCATCATTGATTGAGGGATGTTGGTCTTAACGTATAAAACAGCGCCGAGGCGGCGGAGGGTTCGAGCGACTGATTTATCGGCTGCGGCGGGGTTATTGGTTAGACCAACCCATCCTGGTTTTTTGGGTTAGTGAGGCTTTTGCATATGGGGGAGATATCCAGGTACCGATTGAAGTGTCGACGCCTTTGACGGAGAATAGGTCTTTGACGGAGACCGGGAGGCCGTGGAGTGGACCGAGGGTTTTGCCTGTTTCGTTGAAATGTTCATCCATCTTTGCGGCTGTCGCGAAGGCCTCTTCGAAGAGAATCTCCGTGCAACATGTTGTTAGTTGGTGGGCTAGAGAGGCGCGCTTTGCGAAGGCGCGAGTCAATTCTAAAGAAGATAATTCGCCGGATGATAGTTTTCGAAGAAGGATGGTGATGTCGGTTTCTTCTGTCAGTGCTAGCTCTGCGGAAGTCAGGCATTTGCGAATATACGGAAGTGCTTCTGGTGCAGATTCAACGGATGGTATTTCGGCAAAGCGCCATTCCGGAGGGATGAGAGCGAGCTGTTCGGCGCGCTTCTTCGCTGCAAGGTCTTGGTATGTGGGGGCGGTAGTCATGATACGATGGAATGTTTTAGATGATCTAGAGGTATCAAGGAAAACATATCATTTGAAGTATAAGCATAGAAAAATAGAAAGATAGATGGACAGATGGATAGAAATGTTGAAAGATAGAGCGATCACGATAGCAAGGGTGTAGTAGACAAGAGCTCCGAGTGCGGGGGTAGATTCCCTTCCGCATTGGGAAGGCTATCTAGCAGATGGACCTCCTCCACCTCCGCTCACACTGTTCCTCTCCATCCGGGTATCTCGGAAACTCACAGGACTGACAATTCCGCCAGTAATTTCGTATAATATCGCGCTGCGCTGGAGTGCAAGCGTTGATTCCCGTCAGGAATGCGGGCGTCGCTATATGGACGTAGTACCTCGATGTAGTGGGCAAACGTGTAATGGCATCACAGACCCGATCGACCATGGACGAGATTGTGTTAGCATGTATCCTCGACCCGTTATGATGTTCTTCGCCCGCCTGGCTAAAGGCAAATATGGACCCCGCACCACGGAAGACAGTCACAGCTAGACCGCGATCACTGGAGTCCGAGTCAAGAGCCAGTATCTGGTCCATAGCCAGGGAGCACAGATCGAGACTAGTACCGGCTTCCCCTTTGGCTAGCCTCACAAACAGCCCGAAGGTATCATGCGGACATCCAACCGATTCAAAGAATACCGGAGTAAGAATCTCACGATGCCAATCGTCAAACATCAAGCCGCTATCTCTCACAAGAGCTCCAGTGACATCAAACCATACCAGATAAGCCAAAACATCGCCAAGACCAGGTATGCGCTGAGTGAGATTATCGAGCTCGGATTTATTCCGACAGTGAAGATCGAGAAGTGACCGTGCGCCTTGCAGATGGCGGGTCCATTTGCCGAAGGAGCCACAGCAGACTTCGAAAATGGCAAAGGTTGCAATGCCGAAAAGAGCGATAGGGTGGCCGGAGTCGATCACTTTACTGAGGTTTGAGAGGGCCACGAGGTGAGACTGGATGGACTGTTTCTCGTCGTTTCCTTCGAGGCGAGAGCGCGCGAAGTTGATTGTGCGGGCAATGAGTTGAATTGCTTCATCTGGAAGGTCAAAGTTGCTCGATTTGATCTCCTCGTAGTAGTGGGAGAGCATTTCGATGAAGCCGTAGAGGTTGATGGGGATGGCATTTGACTGGGAACTTGGAACATTTATCGTTGTCGCACTTGAAGCCGAGATACCTGTTGACTCTGGAGATAGCTTTGAGATTGTACTGGAAGGAGTATTTGATGATTTGTGTGGTGCCGTATTCTCCTTCTCGCCCATCCATACTACTCTCTGGGGGTAGTGACACGCCACTCCACTTTGTAGACATGCTCGGCACCGCGGACGATTGAGATCACATTTGATGCTTTTGGATCGACAATTTTGACAGTGCCGATCATGCCGAATTCCACGCGGTCTCTTTATACCTGTCATGACATCTCGATGCCGACGGTCGCGAAATGGTCGGGAGCGATGAGAGATACGGATGCGGGGAACACATGAGTCGCCCATTCGGCGCTAGTGGAAAGATATACTTCGGGTACGTCTTCGACTGCGCACATGCATGTTGCGCCTCTGCAGATTTTGAAAGAAGAAAAATCTCAATTGAACGGGAAAGAACTAGCTATTGAAAGAGTGACTACTAATCTAAGAATCTATCTACGAACCGCAAAGGCACGGGCCATGACTGCGGCAGGATCCGATATCAAGACATGAAAAGACAGGCATTGAATGACAGACAAGCATTCAACAAACAGCATGGGAACGGTGAACAGAACGTCAAATATGTCCTTTGTGACAACCCACATAATGTGGAAATGATAAACGCATATCAACGATGGGCAGCGCCGCACTGCCCGAGGGGAATCCGAGTCCTAGCGGGGTAATGACCGCAAGAAGTTGCCTCGCTTTGTCGCTGCTGCAATTTTTCCCGCCTATCTCGTCGCTTAGTACTCGCGTTGACTTGCTCCTGCTCACAGGGTGCACGGGTAATGTTTTCTGTAGACTTGTCGCAAGGCTTGGGCTTGCGTCTCTTCGGCTTTTCAGTGCGGCGACGGCCGCCTTGTACGCGTCGTCCGCTGCTAGCGGTGTGAGTTTTGCGAACAGGCCCAATAGGCCAATGAGCCTTGAAATTCGTACCAATGTTTGGGCCACCATTCCGATGCAGGCTTGCGCGGCGGGAAAGGGAAGTGATGCCCTTGCGTTTCTTGAGGAATTCGACAGCAGCAGTAAGGGATACCTCTGAAGCGAGACTCTCGGCCGGAGACTGCCCGCAAATGGATGCAGCGATGGCACTCGCAATAGCCTCAAGCTCTGCAGGTGAATTGATGACACCATGGTGTCCAAAGGAAGATAACCAGTCCATTGGCGAGTGGGGAGTTGAGTGCAAGGATGCTGGCGAAGGCGGGTCTATCGGCGTCATCGGGCCACTATGATGTGGGTTTTCCAATTTCCCGATCGAGGCACGGCGGGCGACATTTGCGAGCGAGGCAGTGACACTTGCCTTCACATCTGGCTGGGAGCTCTTGGAAGAGTCCGGAGATATTCCAGGCAATGGTTCCGACGCAGATGACGATTGAGTGAGGGGAACAAGTCCCTTCGTCAATGCGGCCGACGCACCCAGAATATTGGCGTTCAGGGTAGCCAGATTGTACATGCGGGCGGCACCAAACTGGCTTTGCACAGCAGGATCATGAAGCGGTTGTCCCATTAACGGGAAAGGCTCAGCAAGTGGTATTTTGATCCCGACGCCCGGTAGATGTGCATCTGCAATGGGTGGGATAAACCCACCCGTGCAAGTTTGGGATTCTGCGGCGATCAACCTTGGGGAATCATCATCTCGCTCCGATCTACTTCTGTGGTTCAAGTTGACACTGGGGGGAGCAATTGTGGCAGATAACATCGTATTCACCGTCACGGGGTATATAAGTAAGTGTAACCGGTTGCAATCCCATGACCATGTCGACACCAATGTTGCAGTATACTTGAAACCACGAAGGTAGTTCATCAAGGGCGATCAAGGGTGCGATCTGGCCGCCTGGGCGGAAGATACAGAAGCGAGGACGCGGGCGAGGGAGGTCATAATAAGCGGGATATTCCGGCATGGCTCGGAAGAGAGAGATAGTGGTTTATACTCAAAGTTGTAAGGATTTCAGTGGAGAAAGAAGGTACGTAGAATAAAGACAGTAAGCTTTCAAAATGAGAGGATGCCACGGAAGACAAGTGGTAAGCGAGCAGATAGATGGGAAGAGGAAGAAGAACAGGCGAAGAGGGGGGGGGGGGGGAACTACATTTCCCTGGTTGACACTCAAGGAAAGAAAGAACAACAAGGTGATGGAAAGTGGCGGGATGGAAAGTGCAATCTTTCATCTCTATATTTTGAGCGGAGAGAAGGTGCCGTTTCGACAGTTGAAACCCAGTTGGGAATTCAGTTGGGCAGTCACATTGATGCAAATCACAGTGGGTTGTTGCATATTCTGAGGAATGACCTCAATATTGCGCAGCTGAAAGTTCTGGCACGAGGAGTTGGTATTACATTCGATAATGACAGCCTCTGTATGTTTGAGCTTGGGCAAGCCAACATCGTACCAGCACGGGTCGGAGACGCACGAACCATCACCAGGCCTCCAGGTGTTGACAGTGCCTGTAAAGTCAGACCAGACAAAGTCCTGCATCACAACAGAAGCATTATTTGCTCGTCCAGAGGTCACTCCGCCACCAAGTTGAGTCTGAGAAGAACCCTGGTTGGAATAACTCTGAGTGACAAAGATGGGGAAAGTGACATTATAAACACGAATGTTCTTCCATGTAATATTCTTGGCGATGCCTTGACCACCCATCCACGACTTGAAACGAGAGGCATAGACAGCGTCAATTACAGTAACATCTTCGAAGTGAATGTCCGAGACATGAGCGTACTCTGACTGGTCTTCCCCAAGGGAGCCGATACTCATGCCATGGCTTTGGTACCCGATAGTGTTCCTCTGGAAGACAACATTGTGTGATCCTGACTGCACAGCAATAGCATCGTCGCCATTGTAAATCACACTATCGGTAATGCGCACATTGGTGCCAGTCACATCAAAGCCGTCTGTGTTGAACGGAAATGAGCCTGTAGACTCGGCATCGATGAACGCGTGGCTGACATCAATGTCGTTTCCCTTCAGTTGCACATTCCATGCGATGGGTTTCCGAGATTTGAAAAATTTCAAGGATCCTTGCGTAGTGTCGAAGCTCATCAGATGGGGTCTGTCATCGATTCCAGTGCCATTCACTGGGTTCGCATCCCACCACGCCTGTCCGTAAGAGTTGATCCAGCCATTGTTGACGTCGGATGAACCAATGTAGTCAATCCTGGGACCTGAAAAGGAAAACCAGTACTTTCCATTCGAGTATAGAGTCCCCCCCGGTGCCATTGACGATCTTTTGGACTGTTGTAATGTTCTGAGGCAGATGAAGATTCCCATTCATCTGAATCTCAATGTTGCTTAGATTTGTTGCGCTGATGGGCTGAAAGACATTATAATCGACACCTTCTTGGAAGACAACAACCGCGTTGGAGGAGCATCATGCAAATGCTTGGTTGATGGACTCAGAGTCATCAGCTGTGCTATTGGAAGATGGAATGACACAACGATGGGGGCGACTTTCCGAGCGTCCAATGCTAGGAGCTCCGAATACCAAGGAAAACAGCGTGAAGAAAGCTGTTGTATAAATCATCATGATGAATGATGGAAGCTTCAGGATGGAAACCTACGACATGATTACTGAAAAGTATCTTCCTTCTTATATCATTTGCGCACAGACTATGTGTTTTTAATGTTTCTCGGCAATTAATAAGAGATCGGCACTACCCCAGATGCATCGAGCGTTTCCTTCCCCACAATACGGAGAATCGTGGGGGGGGCTCCCGGCTTCGGATGGATGGATTTATAATTCAGCGTCCAGGGATGGCACTTTTATTGGCGGAAATATAATTGCCACGCTTGATCGACAACAGCTTGTGAAGGGGCTCTAGCCGCAATATTGGAGGTTCCCGCGACAACCTCCATAGCTCAGATATTCCGTTTCTTCCATGGTGAAAAAAAAAATAAGGTCAAGATTGTACGTAGAACTGACCCGCTAGAGATTGTCAAGTTCCTATGAGAAGCTTCAGTAGCCACCTAGCTTTATGGCCATCATATTATGACCCAAGTGATACCCCGGGACCGGCCGAGGCCCGATAACAGCCTTATCGGACCGGACCCAAGCCTCCGTCATCACCTCGAGCTTCCCAGCTTCCTCAACACCTTGTATAATCTATAACTTCACCATGGCCACTCTCACAGATCCAAGCAACTCAACTCGCTCAACACCAAACATCTCATCCGCCTCCGCCACCCTCCAACTCGGCAGCTCAACCACTATCTCCGCCCCTTCCTCCAAGGTCTGGTCCGCCCTTACAAACACCTCCACATGGCCCAACTGGAACTCCTTCGTGCCGCGCGTGACCATTCGCTCGCATCCGGGTTCTGAATCTTCCGATCTACCTCTTTCTCCAATCCTGCAAAATGGAACACGAATGATCTTCCACGTTCGTATGGATCCTTCTTCAAGCAAGCCTCAAGCTGCGACGGATGTCAATCTTATTGTTACGGAGTTTGTGGAGCCAAATGTCGAAAACTATACTCCCGGAAGAATCGTTTGGGCTTCTGATTTCGATGCACCGGGGACTATGGCGCGTTCGCTTTTGAATGCGGAGAGGGTTCATGAGATTAGGGACGTCGAGGGTGGGACGGAGGTGAGGAATTGGGAGTGTCAGGTTGGGTGGGTGGTTTATGCGGTGAAGTGGATGTACGGGGGAAAGCTGAAGCATAATTTCGAGTTGTGGGTAAATGATTTGAAGAAGTTTGTTGAAGCAAGTTCCTGAGTTTCTTTCAGCTTGAGAACTTGAAAGGCAGCTGGAGACCGGGTATTCACTACAAGCCCTACACACGGACGGATCACTTTGATGATGGGATCTTTGAACGGTCCAATGATGTACCTTGATTTCACAGTTGAAAAAGTAATCTTCCGTGCATATCTCTCGTACAAATCCTTCTATTTAACGGGGTATAATCTAACATGAACTAAGCGAAAGGATCCGAATGCTCCCCACGATGCACCATATATCCAGACAAATGCGATGCAAAATATGACAAAAAGGAATATTAAGGAATGAAAAATAGAAATGGCGGAATCAAAGATCAAGCAGTGGCCAGAGCAACCCAGTCCTGGGCAGTAATGCGCTGCAACGGATCCTTGACAACCGCAGGTTTGACCAGCTTCTCAACAGGCCCATTGCACGGAACACGAGCTCCGTTCGCGCCGTTCCTCGTGAAATCGAGAATCTGGTGCCCGTCGCACGCCATCAGCTGGCGCCGTCTCCGGTCACCTGGGTATAGGAGCATATCACCCGTCGCGCAGGCAATCAGCGTCGCAGCGAGAGAAAAGACATCTGACGCGGGTGATAACGCGATATTTCCCGACGTCAACGACTTCAGAAGTTCCGGGGCTGTGAATGGAACCGTGACAGCGTACATATCGGTGATTTTGCTGTTGATGTCCTCCTGGTCGGAAGGAATGTCCAAAGCCGACGAAAAGTCCGCATAAAGCGGGTGGTACGGGAAAGCGTCCAAAGTAGCATCAGCATCGGCACAATCATCAGACACGACAGGTCGAAGTAGGATGTTCAACGGTTTAACGTCTCCGTGAATTAATCCAGCCTCATTGTGAAGCCAAGCCAAGCCTGCGATCAACTTGTGCGCCAGATCAAAGAACGAATCCATTCCCATGACAGGCTCGAACATAGTGGCGGTCGAGATGTTCTTCTGGCGCAGATCAGCCTGGTTCTCCACGTATGTCGACAGTTCGAGAGGAATTGCCGCCATCACGAGGGCTTCGGTTGCGGCCTCTACGCCAAAGAATGCAATGACGTGGTCATCGTGGCCTGGAATGCGATTCAAGCGGGTCAAGGTTAGGGCTTCGGCTTGGAGAGCTGCGCGCGCATCGCGGCGGAGGGGTGTCTTGGCGGCTAGAACACGACTACTGAATGCGGGCGAGGTGGGAGGAGTGTCGGTGCCAATGGGCGGTGCAGGTGGCGTTGAGGTTGCTTTGTAGACAATGCTAAGGACGCCACGACCAAACTCGATGGGTTTGTCATCTGCGTCGCGGCAGATCTTTAGATCGTCGATGAAGCGCAGCGGCTTGGTTATAGTCTGCTTGACTAGTGATGCGTCTGCGCCAGCTTCCAATTGATCTAGGGAATCGCGATTGCTTGATTTGCCTATTGGGGTCACTGGCGGGGTGAGGTGTGCCTGTAGTGAGAGCTCATCGCCAGTGGTGTTGAGTGACAATTGCATTGGGGGGGGTCGATGTGGGTCTTGCTGAGGAAGTCATGGTGTATTTGGAGGAATCGTCCTAGGAGAGCAATAGAAAAAAGCAAAAAAGGTAAAGGCGATAGGCAAAAGGCAACCCGACCAGGGTCCAGAGGCCGTAAGGCGCAGGTAATCAGTGATATCGGCGCCACCGGCAATTATTGCTCTGTAGCTAGCCTCTATCTCACTGGATCACTAAGAAGTATGACGCAGTGGCAAAAAAAAAAAAGAGCAATGACACGAGCGACGAGCTCATGACTCGATTAGTCGGATTCGAAGTACAACTTATACTTCATTTTTGTGATTGAGAATGGTAATGGTCACAAAGAAAAGAAAGAAAATGCAGAGGATGTCCGGCGTTGCAGTCACGACAGCCTAATAAAGGGCGCCAGAAAAGAAAAGAAAATCGGGGCCGATGACGGGTCTCGACCAGAGCGGGAAACGACACTGACAGTAGGCTATCGACTCTGGATACGACGGTAAAAAAGGCAGTGGGAAATTACCGCAGGTAGCCCTGGTTCGCGGGTCCACCAGTTCATCTCCTCCTGAACTGAACGCCATCACGCTAACATCAGCTTGTGTTGATTTGCCGTTTCTTCCCGATCAGTTTTTCTCAATCTTTGCTTGGACTCAGCCTCTTCTATTGAAGTTTGCTCAGGGTTTCGCGACGGATGCGTGCGGCTCCACCGCATGCGTCACTAACGGCGATTCCACATCTCGGGCATTACCAGTGCAACTAATATTGAATATAAAGTAATATGAAACTAGGACCATTATGACTTGCTTCTTCGCATCGAGTGGGTGACTCACGGTCAAAGGATCCAGGAATTTGGTGTACGACTGGGTTAGGTCCTTAAAATGAGCAATGCGCCGCCGACCAATCCATCGGCCCCGTGGTCTTACCCTTGTCTATCAGTCCGCGCCCCGAAATCCGTTCCTGTTTGGTATCGATCTATACTCAATTAGGGTTTATCAACATGACAGTTCAGGGTGTCTTCTATATCTTGATTCCTGATCCTTCAAAGAGAACGGGAACTCGGGAGATGACGCCTGGGTGCATTACGCTACTGCAGAGGTGGGTCTTTTACCCTAGGGTACACTCTGATGGGTCTCAATCGTTTGTTTGTATGTGTCAAGAGATGCGGCCGTGACGCGTTCTAGGTCGTCGATGGAGGGTCCTGAATAGGGTCCTAGGAAGGCCATTTGCCTTTATTTACAGTGTAGCCCTCTTTGTATGGCCTTGGGGAAGACTCGCTTGCTATCAGTTCGGCGAGACATGCGACAGACCGTTGAAACAGTAGTATTCGGCGTGACCTGTAAGCCACCGGGCGGGGCGTGGGGTGCGCGGGCTAGGGCTACTCGCTAGTGTAGATTTGCAGATAGGAGTGTTGGTTTATGTTGGGGCCATCATTATTTGCAGTAGTGCACACGTACACGTGGTATTTTTGGTGGTCTCGGTGTTTTATAATCCGGGGATTAGCGAAGTTTGAGGGAATTCCCCGATGCACCTCCAGTCGCGGCCCCGGTCAAAGTGCCTCCGAGCAATCGATTGAATTGCATCGGAGAAACATCCGGCCCGCTGTTTTGATACTGGAGAAGGATGTCCCAGATAAGAGATACTGGCAGCCGCCTGATACGCGCATGGGAGAGATCGTAGTCAATGTTCTCTTGGAAGCACTCGTTCGGATCCAATGTAGGATCGGGCAGCGCCACAGTGCCGTAGCCGGGCTTTAATCGCTTCATGGCGTATTTGGCGAGGCTGGGGAACTCCTTGACGATTTCATTGGCGGTTCGTAGAGGAAAGATGACATTGTAAAGCTCGGCCAGAGTCAGTTGGTCGCGAGTGCTGAAAATCGACGAAAGGGTATCAAAGAGCTCCAGGACCTCGACCCGCTTCTCGTCGGAGAGCTGACTGAGTTTCTGTACTACCGGAGGGTTGGGATCTGCTTCAAAGTACACAAAGGTTCGCGGCAGACGAGGGAACTGGTCATCCGGGTGGATGCGCAGCGCTTCGAATGGCCGCCGATCGTGGATGAGCATGGAATTGTCAAGAGAGCCGGCGTCGTTTAAGAGACGGCCATCGTCCGTTACGCGATCATGACCCCGGATCACACGGTGATGGGTGCCTTTTAGCAGCTTCTCGACAGTATCCCTCATTCCCGCACATCTTTTATCAGCCCTATGGAGCTCTTCAGTATACTTGCTGGTGTCGGCAGCTATGCGTGCCAAACTCCGGCTGGTTTCGTCCTCCTCCAATTCCATTTTGGCGACGTGGTGGCACCACCACGCCTGTTTATTGTCAAGGTTCAGAGAATATAAAGCAGCTTGTGCATCCCGTTTGACGACTTTATTCGTGCTCGACTCCTTCGCAATACGATCCATCACAGTGTCATGCCATTCCACGCGTGGTCGTGGCATATATACCTGCGAGAGCTTGCCTGGCCGAGGACTCTCCGGTGCTAATTCGAGTGGAGGTATCTCCCGGCCAGCAGGGGTGATGATGTTGTTTGCAGCGGTTCGCTCAGCGACTCGTTTCCTGCTGAGCATGAGATTGTCCCAGGACTTCAAGCTCTGCCAAGTTTCATTTTCGTAGGTGCTAGCCACTTCAAACGCGTGCTGGGCCACGGTCTCCGTCAACATGGATGTCCGCCTGCGGTCTATAACGGTGCGCGGGAATACACTGCATTTGGTGTTTCCCGGAAGTGAGGCTAGTATTCTAACACTTCCATACATATGCACTCCCCTCTGGTTCAGGCAGCTTTCCATCATGACGCTCCACCATCGCGCTGGTGTGAAATGATCTCTTGTGCTGCGCTGCTCGGGTAAGTTGGCTAACACCAGTAGTGTATTGTTTCTGGGCAGCACTTGGCCTTCCATATTTGAAGGCCCTTGTTCTGGTAGATATTTGGCGAACACCTCGCTCCAATCATATAATGAATAAGGATCCAGGGAGACCATCTCGTACCCTCCTCCGCTCTTGACAAGCCGCGTGAGGCTTTTCCCGTAATATTTCTTGTTTGGTTCAACGAGCAAATGGCGACGAGGTTTGAGATATTTGTTGACTTGGGAGGAGAAAATGCCCGTGGAGGGCCACAGATCAAGGATGTCGATTGGGCTATTTTGCTGCAGGTACGGTGACAGTCGCTTCAGAATGTCATCTGCGCAGTAGTTCAGTCAGCGATTAGATCGTTGGACTCAAGTCAGATAGCTGCAACTTACTTGTAAGCTCCTCATTGACAATTTCTGCTTTAGCAAGCTTCTGTATGCCGAGGTCACTGTACACGTTCGTCTTGAGCTCGTTCGAGAGCTTGGCGAAGCGAGTTGCGATCGCCCATTTTTTCGCTGACATGTCGGAAGCGCACGATTAAAGGCAATGCGAAAAGAGTCAAAAATGTTATAAAGAGCGCTCTGAATCAACTCTGTACGAAATGGGCATCGTGGGTGGGTTGGCGGTGACTTGCAGTGGCGTGGAAAGGTGAAGCGCGCATCTCTGCGATGTCCGAGGCGGAGACGTCCTTGAACCTTGCGGGTTCCGCATTTCGTCCCGGCCAGGCACCAATTCCTTCAATCCACCTCGATATCCGGCCGCCTGGATGCGGCAGCTTCGTCGCTGATACAATCTGGATCTTACTCTGGCTCCCACTCATCTGCCCAGTTTGTGCCGAACATGCCCCTTCGAACCCGCAGTGGGTGAGGGGTCTTTATCTAGAGCATCCCACTTCCTTCCGCCTTCCCTTTGACAAAACAACAGCCGGCATGGCTTCCAACACCCTGGCGGGAGGCACCGGTGGAAGCCCTCCGCAAAGCGTGGAGAGCATTACCAAAACCGCCCAGGACTACGAGTACAACGAGAGCGTCCCGCTACGATACTGGCTGAGGACCGCCGCCACGCTCCTCCGCGAGGTCAGTACGATTGACTCTCTTCGTCCTGGTGTTGCAAAGCTAACATCTCCTGCGCTTCCAGGCACAGATTTACGAACGCGAAGGGCGTGACGAGCAAGCCTACCTCCTGCTCTTCCGACATGCCCAGCTTGTTCTCGTACGCCTGACGAATCATCCGGACGCCGCAAAAGATGAGAACCGTAAATCACTCGTTGCCGCGGAAAAAGAGGTCGCCAAGAATCTTCGTAAATTGGAGGTCTTGAAACCGCGGATAAACAAGCGATATGAACGCTATACTCAGTTGATGCGCGAACGCCATTCGCGAAAGGTCTCGGAATCTGTCGTTCTCCCAGAACAACAGAAGCGACCTGCGGATGCCGCACTGACTGGCGTGGCGGAGCCGTTAGAAGCTGGAGAGAATCGGGACCTTGCGGTTCGATTGGCACAATCTGAGCTTACCCGCAGAGCTACTCTTCGGCAATCTCAGAGCGACGAAGGCCGACGCGCTGCCGGTGTCTGGGGCAACTGGGAGACTGCATTGAAGGCAGATCACCGAACAAGCGATCACGACTTGAGCCAGCGGATTCAAGATATTAGATTCAACATTGACCACAAGCAACCTGCACAGCGGCCCACTGCGCGAGAAGTGCCCTCGGGTGTCGCATCAGTCGCCTCGGCTTACCAGTATCCAACTGTCCCACGGTCAAAAGCCTTGGAGTCCAACGTGTCTCCCGGCCAGATCGCCATTCGGGATAACAATGCCGAGAGGCAACCGCCTCCGGTCCTTCCACCCAAAGAGCATATTGCGCCTAGCAGAGCTAGTTTCATCGGCGGCTCAGTGCGCTCAGAGGCTCAAGATCTTCCGCCACGTCCGTCCAAGGTGTCACCAGGGCCGCGGCCCCCCGGTAAATTACGAACTTCTGAAGACATGACTTCCACCCGATCCGAGCTCGACCCTGCCAGTTACACCTTCAAACCCTCTGCATATCTGGAAAATGGCACTCCCCTCCGTTCTGTCTTTCTTCCAGCCAATCTCCGCTCGCGTTTCCTGTCTCTTGCCGGCCCTAATACTCGTCGTAATCTTGAGACATGTGGTATCCTCTGTGGTACTCTAGTCTCCAATGCTCTTTTCATCTCTAGACTCGTGATTCCCGAGCAGATCTCCACATCTGATACCTGTGAGACGACCAACGAATCCGCCCTTTTCGATTATTGTGATTCGGAGGATCTGATCATGCTCGGGTGGATTCACACACACCCCACGCAGACCTGCTTCATGAGTTCGCGTGATCTACATACACACAGCGGCTACCAGGTCATGCTTCCCGAGAGTATCGCCATTGTGTGCGCCCCGAGCAAAGACCCTGACTGGGGCGTTTTCCGACTTACTGACCCGCCGGGGCTAAAGACAGTCCTCAACTGCACTCAGACGGGTCTGTTCCATCCACATGCGGAACAAAATATCTATACTGGGGCATTAAGACCCGGACATGTTTATGAAGCCGATGGATTGGAATATGAAACTGTAGACTTGCGGCCGAGTGACTCGCAAGACTGATTAGTTGTGTTTTTCATGTTTGGTCATGTCATTCAATGAATATGATACCCGCGGCATTTCATTATGCTAATCATCCTCCAGTTAGAGCTACATTCAAATACTATTTTTTTTCCATCATATTTCGTTGTCGAAGTGTGCACGCGACATATCACTGTTCCGCTCGTACAGGTTCCCCTTGGTCGTACTCGATGGCCAAATGCTACTCTTCGGGCCCATGTGAATGCTCTTTTTTGGGATTGTGTCGCTTCGCAGCTGAGCCGGAGCTAGCTTTCGCCATGTTTGACGGGGTGGGAGAGCGACGGTCGCGAGACTGGCGGTGCCGATGTGTACTGGCGCTCTAAACATCCACGTCAATGAGTGAATAATCGCAGCAAGGATCAATGGTGGACGATGAACGCACCACAAGCCCGCGGTTTCGAACATCTTGCTCGTGGCTATGGAGGCCTCCCTCCTCCATCTTCGTGATCTCGTCACAATACTTGTCCGAACGGGAAATCTTCTTAGACATAACTGCAGTGCAGACACTCTGGATATATTCAAAGTTCGGGAGTTCAATAGGTAAAAAGGGCAAGCAGGTATTAGATCCATCCATCATCTGTTACGGGTGTCATGTATTCCCCGACTTGGGCCCGACTTATATAGCATTCTGGTCCGCCACTGTTTCGTCATCTTACGATGTTCGATAGCGAGCCGGAAGTTTCCCCCGTTGCGACTAAGATGTTCGACGGCAGTTTCTCGAATTCCAGAAGCCAAGACATCTAGGCTTGGGGAGTTGACAGCTGCCCGGTGCTCGTATAATGTCCGTCCAGCATTCCAAGTGGACCTAGGGGAAGTACAAACCGTGTGATAGGATCGGCTGCAAATACTATCCAGTCCTTGCTGTGCGACTTTGCTGTCTTGAATGATGCATTCCAGGGATGTGAAGCTAACGTGGCTGACTTCCCCAATGATAAGCGATAAGTCAACCTTTTGAAACACGCAACACACATCATACCTTAAACCTCATACATCATACGACACCCTTTCTTCACATTGGCCTCAGCAATTGGCAATTGCCCGTATGTCGTCCTCATCGCAGGGAGATTTCCCTTCAGAGACCCCTACTACCTCCAAATCCTCAAGATCCGGCTCTCACACGCCCCAGCAAAACCCTCCCAATTCTTACAGTCAAGCCGCCTCGTACTTCTCCTACCCAGTCAGCCACGTCGTGTCGGGGCTCTATCGTCGCCTCACAGACCCTAATATCAACGAAGCTCCCTCAACTATGCCGTGGTCCATGTCATCCTCCTCCTCGTCGGTCTTCACCCCACGCCGAACAGCCTCACCGTTCCAACCTCCACCCCTCACACCCCTCACTCTTACAGTCCCTAAAGGCCAGGACCTCCTCCAACAGCAGCTCTTGACACGCGCACTAGCAGAGGAAATCCGCCTACTCGTTCCCGCACGCCTCCAACTTGTTGAAACCTGGCGTCTGGCATACAGTCTCGATCGCGACGGCGCCTCCTTAGCGACCCTTTATGACAACTGTGAGGAGTTCTCCCACCGTAGCCCGCGGGCGGGCTACGTCCTAGTCGTACGCGACTCCTCCCCCGCCGGCGCCGTCTTTGGAGCATACATGACCGACCTCCCGCACCCCGACTCTCAGTTCTTCGGCACTGGCGAGTGTTTCCTCTGGCGCGCAAGCGTCCTGCCACCCCCGTCTACCTTGGGTCTTGCATTTACCGGCGACGGACCCCAGACGGAAGAAGCTCTCGAGCGCGCTGGTCTCCCGCCGCCCCCTTCTGCAGATACCACCAACGCCGGACGATGGAGTACATTCCGCAGCGACTCTGCGGCGAAATCGAGAACCGCGTCTCCGGCCCATAATCTCAATATGAATATAAAAACTAATCTTGCCGCTGCTAGTGGCGGTGCGCTGGCGCCTCCGTCGCCTTCCTCTGTGGGATCACCTTCTCGCAGTGGAGCGAGCACTCCTGAGCGCATTCGCTTCAAGGCTTTCCCATATAGTGGTGTGAATGACTATATGATCTTCTGTGAGACTGGGTTCTTGAGCTTAGGAGGCGGGTAAGTTTATCTATCCAGTCGGTTCAAGTGACTAGACTAACAATGTTTCATAGCGATGGACGATACGGCCTTTGGGTGGACTCTAGCTTGGAAAAGGGGGTTAGCTCTCACTGTCAGACATTCGGCAACGAGCCACTATCTGATGAGGGAGACAAATTTGATATTTTGGGCATCGAGGTGTGGTACGTTGGCGCGTGAGCTGCGCCGTAATTCTTTGAGTGCGCAGCAAAACACGTGAACTTGGAACTATGGTGAAAAACAAAAGACTGGCATCAAGAAATATGAAATACCCGATGCTGGGAAGCGAGCGTCTATCATATAAGCATTTCGTGGATTTGGCGGATTTATCCTCAGGGGCGCGTCTTATTAGGTTTATTTTCGAATACCCGAACAGTGGCTCTGCCGCTGCTCTTGTTCGGTTTCTTTCATGGAACCTTTGTTTTATCTAGTGAATCTTCATTTTGCTTGGTCCTGTCATTGACTCCTGGATGCCGTGTGCAATATCCGCATTCTTTCCGTTCCAATCAAAGAGCTAGATCCGGTAAGAGTGCCAGCAGTCCAAGTTATAGCTTTGCCGGAGGATTAAGCATCTTCTCAATCTCTGCAAACTGGTAGTAAAATTCCAGACTTTCCGGATTCAACAAGGTCCCAGATGGTTTAATCTTCTTTCCGGAGACAATCTGCTTAACGGGTAACTCGACCTTCTTTAGGTTCACGGTGACCTGCGTAATATGATTAGCTGGGCACTACGAGTCTGATAAAGGCATTTCAAGAGCTTCTGGTGCGTACCGGGATAGCAGGGGTCTCGAAAATGTATTTCGGAACATGTCGCGCACTAAGCGCCTTGCGAATAGCATCTTTGATGCGCGTCATCAAAGCCTGGTCGGCCTTGAAGCCAGGACGCATGAGCAAGAACAACATCACGGACTCATCTGTATCCTTGGGTCTCCGTTGACCAACACAGACCGAGTCAACAATCTCCTCTGAAAACTGGGTATCGATCACGTTGTAGATCTCCGCAGATCCGAATCGTACACCCGATGGATTCAATACGCCATCTGATCGACCGAGGAAAAGCACTTGGTGAGTAGTTGGATTGATCGCGATGAAGTCCCCATGCGTCCATACGTCTGTGCAACAAAAAGTTAGTGAGAATTTCTCCGCTGAAGACACGAGTACAATTCACTGTCAAAGCGAGCAAAGTAGGCGTTGAAGTATTTCTTTCCATCCTTATCACCCCAGAACATTACCGGCATGCTGGGGAATGCCGCAGTCGCGACAATCTCACCAGGCTCACCATCAGGTGCTCTCGTTCCTTTGACCTGGTTGACACCTTCATCGACCTGCTCAAATGCAGCGATAGGGATACCCAAGCTAGGACCCTGGCATCCGCCAACGTAAAGAGGGGAGATCGGATTCTCGAGACCAAAACACGCTGCAAGATCTGTGCCTCCGGAAATATTGGCTAGGAGTACATGTGGCGGGAATCCTTCGTCGTAGAACCATTCAAATAATGACTCGGAGAGAACCATGCCGGTGCTAGTGACTCCTTTCAAGTGTTGAAGATCGGCAATCTTGCGAGGGCTGATCCCGTTCTTTCGTAATTCATGCATCCATCGAGGTGATGTACCGAAATGCGTGACCCTGCGATGTGATTAGGACGATTGTGAGATATTTTCTGCATGTACGTACTTGTGTTTTTCCAGCAATTTGACCAGAATTGTAACATCCGGCAAAAACGGACTTCCATCGTATAGAATCGGCCTCGCGCCAAAGATGAGCGCAGAAATACATGACAAATACATGATCCATCCAGTCGTAGTATACTGCAAGACAGTAGCGGAAGCATCCATACTGCGATTGAGCCTGGCCTCTTTATGCGTATTAAGTAGGACGCCCCCGACACAGTGAACAATACATTTTGGTTCACCAGTAGTTCCCGAAGAGTAGACAATCAGGAACGGATCACGAAACCCGACTCGAGTAAATTCCAGCTCATCGGACGACGTCACGGAAAGGAATTCCGCCAGTGTTCGGGTTCGTGGAATGTGCTTCAGATGTGCAGGACGATCCCTGAACCTGGGAATAGCAATAACGCCCTGGAACTCCCTGATGTGATCCAAGCCTTGCACGATCTGAGTGATTTTAGACCGAAGATCGACTTGTTTCCCATTATACACGGTCGTATCGTCGACGAAGACCCATCGAGGATCGATCTGGAGCAGACGATCCAGGATTCCCTTGACGCCTGTATCCGTTGACGTGGATGAGAAGAGGGCACCGAGTGCCGTGGTTGCAAGGAAGATCGTCATAGTATCAATACTATTGCTAGCAACAACAGCCACTCGATCTCCCCGCGTCACACCAGCGACTTTCAAGGCCTGAATCATTCGGCCAGTCTGTCTTCTCAATTCCTTCCAGGTGAGATGAACAGTCGGCTCGGCGTCACCCTCTCGAACCTCTGTTATGGCAATCTTGTCATCTTCCTTGCCAATCTTCGTTATGGAGTCACCGGGACCCGAGGTGAAGAGGACGTTCTCGGCAAAATTGAGCTGAATGCCCGAGAACCATTCGGGAATACTGTCAATACGAGCGGTTTCATCGACAACACGCTCGTAGGTCCCTTCGTGGATGATGGGGAAGTACTTCCAGCAAAAGTCCCAGAATGAAGAGCGATTTCTGATGGACCATTGGTACATGGCATTGTAATCTGGTAGTTTCACGCCTTTGGATTGTTCTAGACTTTGCTTGAACTGGGCCATCGCCGTGGACTCGGGGTTTGGGTGCTCCCAGAGCTTGCGAGAGATTGCCGTATAGGCCGACATGTTCACTGTGTTTTGAGGCCGGTGAAGTAAATTGAAGTGGATGATGGACTCGGCTCTTGTTGTAGAAATGAACATTCTACATGTGCTACGGCGGCAATCGGGAATGTTGCGCCGCGGCTTAGGTTCGGCTACATCAAAATGCGGGGTTTGCGAAATGAAGTGAAATGAAACCATTAATACAGCTAAATTAACGAGCTTTCTGACCCTTGAACTAGATGAGGGGCATCTTCTGGCGTCGTTAAGTGTATCTTCGGAACAAGTTCATCTCAGTCTCACCATCAGGTATTTTTAAGTCGCGTACCGGCTGTCAGTTATACTTCTTGATCCGCTGCTACTCGTTGCCGTACATAAAGGAATGTTCAAATTCAGACGATCCGTATACTTGGTACAGAGCTGGAAGTATGCTGGCGCCTCTGATCAGGACTAGTTGAGTTTGGATTCAACGCTTGGAGGAAAGTGAACGCAAATAACAATTGAAGCAGACGAATAATATTGAAATCGGAGTTCCTGTAGAATAACTATGGGATTAGTCACTCTTGGACGTTTATGAAAACCCTTACAAATACATGAAATGTGCTTATCTCCTGCGAGAATCCCTGGAAGCTTTCGGTGATACTCATGTTCAAAGCCTAATTTCAATGGGGCCTTTGCTAATGGCCTTCACCCGCTTCATTTTCTTCGGCATAAATCAGCTTCTTATGAACTTCTCTAGCTCTCCCGAGCGCATCGAAAAATGCTGCATTACGAATAGGGACTCGTTGATCAAATGCCTTAAGATCTTCGCAGATGTTGCCGTCTTCTCTGACTCGACCGGGCTTTATTGTGACTTTGACCTCACAAGTTGAAGCCTGTTCGAACAGAAACTCGGTAACGGAAACTGGCCAATGATCATCTCACATGGGCAGCCTGAGTGAAGACAGCAACGGGATGAGGAAATCGGCAGGCTTTGGCTGGTCGTAAATGATGATCCAGGGATGAAAAGCGACAGACCCGACATATATCCCGAGATTTTCTAGATTTCGGACTTTCTGGATTTCTCGGAGAAGTTCGGCTTGATCGTGGTGAAAGTGAGCATTTGCTCTCTCGATGCCCAAGAGATCGGAGATGGCCTGCATATCTGATGATTGGATGGATATTTGATGGATGTTTGGATTTGTCAAATGAGCATCAAGATACCGGATGTGTACAGCTCTGACAGACCCGGAAAATCAGATACTGAAGATGTGTGTAATGCCAGAGATCGGAGTGTGAGAGATCTTGAAGGGCGAAGAAGGCAAGAGGGCAGGAAGGAAGTGAGAGATGGAACACGAGCTGAAGAGTAACATGTCGAGTGAGATTGACCGGGGCGAAGTTCAGAATGAGAATTGTTTACTTGCAGATAGCTTGAGCTAGGCTGAAATATATTCTCATTAGTCTAGGCATGCGTATCACCGCCAGTATGGCGGTGCAATTCTTTCAACAAAGCTCACGCACTCGTAACGACCAGGACAACTTCGCCTGCCAGAGATCCTTTCTCCAAATTGCTAGGGATCTTCTCAAGATAATCAGGACTCTCTCTTACAAAAATAGCATCATCCAAATCCCTTTGCAGATGACAATAATGCCTCAACTCTCTCGATGCCACTTCGGTATCGGTGATCCCGAACTTCACAGTCATCAAGTAAAAAGACTCGAGAGCATCAATGTAAGCAGCGTTCCACTAGCGACTCCGATTCACGGCTCCCTGCAGTATCCTAGGTCGGAACTTGATTCTTGCTCCAATCTCGATAAGCCTAAAACTGTAATTGAGCCTATTGACATTACTATTAGAATAGATTATTATCGACCATGGAGAGGGAATGCTTATCACGACGGCTTTACGTCAATTTCCTTCCATGGACCGTAGCCCTGACAGAATAGAACCGAGGCAGTCGGACAACTGAGAAATAATCAATAAGATAGAATTGCAATAGGTTGCCTGTGCATGTACGCTTCAGCCCCGCAAGGAACTCGGCTGACTAGGTAGCAATAGAAGGAAGATCTTTCTTCGAAATAGCCTAGGTTGTGATAGTACTATCTTCTGATTAGATAGAATCATACTTCGTTGGAGACCGAATTAGTGGCATAGTGGTTGACTCGGAAGGGTGGAGAACATAGAGAAACAGTAAAATTGGATGGGGGTGGCAGGCTTGGTGTGAATTATGTTGGCCCCGCGGTCAGCTCATTTCTCGTTCTCTTGGCTAAGTTAGCACTTGACTAAGTCACTTCCCGCTTGAAAAGGGCCAATTCATCCTCAACCTTAGTATGTTGATCATAAGCCTATCATTTGGACATCAGGGTCTTCCTCAACTCGATGACCATAGGTCAGTGACTGGATTAGCTTGCGTTTTGTTTGGCATCTCAGACATAAGTGGCTTTTGGATATGTTAACATATGACCCTGATCCTGCACCGCATTGACGAGATTGTCACCCGAGTCTTGGCGCATCTCTTTTCACTTACGTCGCCTGTCAAACGAGGTCATAAGTGCGCTCACTTACTGCGTACACCCATGCTAATGTAGCAGAGTGGGGAGCCCCGCCTAGCCCTGCATGATTTCTATTTCGTCACGCGGCGATGGCTGAAGCAGAGAAGCTAGACCGACAACTAACTCCGCCAAGGGATCATCTTCCGCCGGAGAACTTCCAGTTCCAGGGTGAAACCATTCCCGCCCAGAGAATAGCGCATGTAGCCAAAGAGCCGGTAAAAAGTCTTACATGTACTCAGGGAAATATTCAACTTTAATTCCAGCCGGGGAAACAATCTTCAAGCTCCGAACCATATTTGCTCTTCAGGTTGAGATGCATATCCAACTCAAACGCATGTTTCAGCGATCATGACTCTATCATGAGCTCTGAAAGCCAGATACCGAGGTAGCGAGCCACCTTCTCTACGTAGACGTAGCACATCCATTCCTCCACTTTCTTTCCCTTGGTCACAAGGACTTGAATGGCTTCATCAAAGTAGATGCTCATAGAATTCGGCTCTGTTCCGCTAGGGTGTGTTCTATGCTTTATTGGGCTTATAGCCGGCCTGATATATCGCCCACATTCCTTTGCGGGCCCCTTTTCGTCAAATCCCCAAGCTTCATGCTTGAAGGAGTGAGATTCGTTTGGGCCAGCACACATCATTCCGGAAGAAAGAAAAAAAAAGGCTGAAAGTTTCCCATGCACTAATGCTTCATACTGAGTTTAACTCACAGTATTACCTGATTTGGTCCAGATTGATTAGAACCATATATGCACCGAATATTGACTTCATCTATATGTCTTGTTCTCAGCGCAAGAAGATTTTTGATGAGTCCATTCATGAAAACATAATTGGTCTTCACCAGATCACCCGGACTGGAAATCCTTCAGCTCCCCTCTCGGGAAGATCTGCAAGTCCATTACTCCAAATAATGCGGGGGGGTCGCAAAAGACAGCATGGATTTGCGTCACATAAGATAACAATAGCCTGAGTCGGACCGGCCATCTATACTAAAACATCTTAGTTGGTACACGCCGAAACGTGAAGCGTTTCAGGCTGATTTTGATGCTGCTAATCCTCCCGGCTAAACTGGACCCTCGTCCTTGAAACCTCGCACTTATTTCGACATTAGGCAAGACTCTGTCTTCGGACCGGAAGACCCTGGTTCTAAAGCTCTGCGGAAACAAGGAATGGCGTTGTACCCCGAAACTCGTCGATTATTTAAGAGGCTGCCTCCATTACCCAAGAATCGCATCAACTACACCACAAAATCAGCATTGCGTTAGCATATTGCATCGTTTGGAAATTTTCTTAAAGGAGAGATGCATTTCAATATTGCCGCGCTATCTTTGCTCGTCGGCAGCAGTCTGGCTGTTCCACTTGACGTTGAAATTGAGAAGCGTCAAAGCTGCCCTAGCGTCCATGTCTTCGGCGCTCGCGGGACCACTGTGCCCCCTGGCTACGGGTTAACCATCACAATTGTCGACGAGATTCTGAGTGCCTATCCGGGCTCCACATCCGAGGCAATCGTTTACCCTGCATGCGGTGGACAATCCTCCTGCGGAGGCGCCAGCTATTCTAGCTCGGTTTCTCAAGGCATCCAGGCTGTCGCGTCGGCTGTGAATGCTTACAACTCTAAATGTCCTCAGACTAAGCTTGTTTTAATTGGATATTCCCATGTCAGTTATCATTATTAGTAAAGTCGCTGATATCGGCACTGAAACTTTTTTGACTTGACTTGATTCCTGTTATAGGGTGGTGAAATCATGGACGCGGCTTTGTGTGGCGGTGGTGTGCCTAATCAAGGATACACTAATAAGGCCGTCCCGTTGTCTTCTTCGGCCGTAAATATGGTAAAGGCAGCCATCTTCATGGGAGACCCGCTGTTCAAGACTGGTTTGCCATACGACGTTGGAACTTGCGCTGCAGGAGGTGTAAGTCTTTTGATCCCTACCTACCCGTTATCCAGGGTTAAGTCTGATATATTGAATTCAGTTCGATGCACGCCCGCCGGCTTCTCGTGCCCGTCAGCTAGTAAGATCCAGTCGTACTGCGACGCTGGCGACCCGTACTGCTGCAACGGCAATAACGCTGCAACTCACGCGGGCTACATAAACGAGTATGGATCACGGGCACTTACCTTCATTAAATCCAAGTTGTCCTAGGATATGTTGCAGTGGGGGAATATCCCTTCCGACAATGGTTCCCATAGTTCAATGTCACCATCATGATCCGGAAAAGATGAAGCTTTCATGTCACAGGCCCAAAGGGCTGGATCCAAGTGACCTTATCAAATTCACGAGAAACCAGGACAGGGAGTAAACACATCGCTTATGCCATTAATTGTCAGCTCGAGAAAAGAACAGCTTCTGTTCATCAGTAGGAAGCTCAACGAAGTACTGTCATTGAACCTACGCACCTTCTTTCGACCTCCACAAAAAAATGACATCAAAAGTGGAAATCAGAGCGGAAACAACAATGAAGAAGCGATATAATGAGTCTAATTCGCGTTAATTTCGGAAACGATCCAAATCCTCCCCAAGGGACACTTCCTACCCATTTGTGGCTTTATCGTAGAATTTTGCCAGTCACTTTTTCAAGGCTCAAAGAAGTCTGCCTCGCGCCCTCGCCACTCAGGAGGAAGCAACAAGATCACGAAGAGTTCTAGCCCTTCACGATCTTAAGTCTACCCTCTTCAAACCTCAATATGTATCTTGGATGCAAAATATCTGACCCAAGGAACTATACTATTAACTAGATCTATGCTATCGCCTCTAGATACAAACTATCTCTCAGTCAAATCAGTGAATATGACACAATGATGTTAGTAGTACCCAAAGGGCAATACGATATATCTTCAATATTATAGGTCACAGAAGATATATCACTTTGCTTCCTTCGTATTCGAGTCAGCATCCGAGTGGAAGCTACTGGTCTAAATGACAACATTAGCCTCAGCGTAATCACAATGATTATTACTTCTATCAGTTAACGAGGCTTCTTCCAGTGCGACTTAGGTAATACGATCTGAGGCTAGAGCTTCTACCGTACTAGGTGGTATGAAGTTCCTTTGCTTTGGCGCATTATGAGGATGACCATCGCGGTAGCTGATACTCGCCAAGGCGTCTGCGGATGCGCCCCAGGTCATTTGCATCTGTTGCAATGAATTGTTGGAACGCTCATTACCGCACCGCGGCACCAATCACCACGATAGTCGGCATTACAAGATCAATATGAGTAACTAAACTACCTCGCTCTGACCGTAGAAGACTTTGTGTTCAATTATTGATGGATTACGCGAATCCTAGAGCTGTGTTTCCAGGCCTTGTGGTTGGTTTCTATGAATGGTTTCTGGGTTGTCTTGTATTTCCTAGCTAGCTACCTAAGCAAAAGGTTCAGGCCTCTGTGCGATCTGAGAAGAACAAGACAAAATCGTCGCATCACTAACCAAGCAGCGCAACGAATCCCCGAAAATGGCAAAAAAGCTCAAGCAACTTGGGGAAGGAAACAACAACAGGGGGGTATGGCATGAATTCAAAAGACATATTGAAATATCAAAGATGGTGAGAAAGCTTGGAAAAACAGGGATGGAGCTTTCTAGTAAGGAGAGTTGACAATGTCTTCTCTCCGGAGGTGGCTGTGTCTGCCAGCGCTCTTGCGGGCAGGGGTCATGGGGCCAGCGATGCTCTCGCGGGTAGGCTTCTGGAAGCTACGCTTGGCGACCATGTTGACCTCGTTGGGGAGCGCGACAATGACGTTCTTGTCGGAGTTGAAACGGAAATTGTCGGCCATGACGTTCTCCTCGTAGCGTTTAATAGTATATGGGTCCTTGCGGCCGGCAATCACCTTCTTCATGCTCCAGGTGATGATGAAGGGACCGGTGGAGGTGATAATGGAGGTTTCCTCGGAATCAACACCTGTGTTGAAGCGAGCCTGAGTGAAGGACAATGGCTGCTTGGTCTCGTGCTGGAATTGCGCAACGTGGGCGGGTTGCAGGCCTAGACGGCGAGGCTGAGGCTTAGAATCCTTGGCGAAGGGCTTCTCGAATCCGAGCTTGCCTTCGTTCTTGCCGTCCTTCTGCTCGGCGTCAATCAGGAGCAGATAGGTGCGGCATGTAGCAAGCACCCAGCGTCCATCGGCAGAGACGTCCAGACCGATAATGGCCTCGCCAAGGGCAGGGATGTGTGTCTTGGCGTTGATGCCGAGGCGGTCGAACATGCGGATATCACCCTTGTTGGAAGCGACAGCGATGTAGCCCTTCTCAGTCGTGGCAAGAGCAGAGAGAAGTCGTTCTTGCTGGCATATTGCTTCAGATCAGCGTCCACCATCTTGTTACCGGTGACACGTGGGTCAATGCGATAGAGAGCGTTGGAAGATGCGCCAACAAACGTCTGAGCAGACGTCAATTGTGAGAATTTCTGCAAGGTTCATTAGTATGTTCAGAAGGACTGTATGTATCGAACAGATAAAACTTACGCTCTCAGGACCAAATGTCTCTACGCGAATATCGTCGTGGACCTTCCACTCATCGACAACCTTTCCGGTCTCGAGATCCATGCGGAAGAGGGAGTTAGGATCGTCTCCGTTCTGAAGAATCAGGTTACGGTCCTCTGCGTGAAGCATAACCTTCTTGGGACTGAAGAGCCTGCCCTTGGGAGTTTCCACCTTGGAAATATTGGTAGAGAACTCGAGGTTGTTATTGTCGGTGTGCTTGAAGACACCGATCTTGGAACCACGAACGACGAAGGAGCGGTCGTTCTTGAAGCCAACTGCCAACTGAGAGTTGACGTTGCCATCCGCATCTTTGAGGTTAACATCCTCTTCCTCCTCGTCACTGTCGTAGTGCTCGCTGCGCTGGCCATCGTCCTGGGACTCGTTTTCAGATTCTTCTTCTTCCTCTTCCTCCTCCGCCATGTCAGCTGCATCCTCCATGGTGAGATCTTGGAATGCTTCAAGAACATAATCCCGATCGGATTCCTTAGCCTTGGTCCACTTCAACTCGTTGAGCTGTTCCCACAGAGCCTGCATGATACCCTGTTGAAAACGCTCCAAAGAGGCCTGATCCTTGAAACGAAGTAACCAGGAGTAGACCGAACCGTCCTCGGCAAACTGGTTGAAGATAAAGGAAAGATACTCAAAATTGAAGACGGGGTTAATATCTGCTACAACAGCTTGACCCATCCACTCCTTGTCGTTGCCGCTGATCTGCAGCCAATACTGCCAGGTGCCGACTTCTGACACATTTGCAACCACCTCGTCCTCTTGCATCTGGAATGTTCCAGTGGAGAAGTCGAAGAGGTGCAACTCAGCCGTCTCTTTCGCGAGTTCTTCCTTACTGTCAGGCGCCGAGGCAGATGGCGGGGCAGCCGTAGGGGTTTCGTAGATCTCATCCGACCTGCCCTTGCCCTTTGACTGAGCGTACTTGACTTCTTCCGCCATCACGGCAGCTGACTCTCCAGACGTCGGAGAATGGACAGGGCTCACAGAAGGGATAGGCCTCTCCTCTTGGTAGGCAAATTCTTGCAACTCGGTTTCAGTAGCTTGCTGGCCACTGCGGCGGAATTTGCGCTCGTACTGGCACTGCAGAGCAGCGATCTCGAAAGTGGCCACCTTCTCCGAGGGCACTGAAGGGTCACAAATGAATTCAAAAAGATCACCCTCGTCACCACTGAGATCGTCCCATGCAAGCACCTTGTTACCACCCTCACGTACTTCAGAACGAAAGTGCAGACTCTGGTCCAGCAAGAAAACCTTTTCGTCCTTGTCCAAATTATCCCCAGCACCCTGTTCGTCCTCGTCCTCCGCAAGGTCCTCCTCGCCTTCCTCGTAGGCTCTCTGGATCACAAGTTGGTATTGGTATTCCTGGCCAGTTCGCCGGATGGTCGCAGCGGCGTCCTTGAAAATGAGCTCGGAAACGCCTTTTGGAGAAAGTGGTCGGACAAGGAACAGTTGGCCTTGAGGGATCTCGATGATAGATTCTTTGGAAGTATCACCAAAGATCAGTTTTCCCACTACATTTACAAGTTAAATATTAGCCATTCACGCCCTTCAGTGGCAAGAAAATGGGTGTTGGTATGGAGGGGATCGGCGCGGGCACGCGTTTTTCTTACCGTTGCGGAGCATAAACATGGTCGCGAGGGGCAGCAACCGAGCTGGTTTGTTGTGGTTGTTAAGGAAAGGGGGAGGAGGGTGATAGAAGGCGGCTGGCAATAGAATAATAAGTGAAGCAGTACCCTTTATACGCCACCTAGAGGACTGCAAGCAAAGTCGGAACGAAAGAATGAAGTTGCGTGAATCTCAAGAAAATCGACTTCGTCATCGACAGTGGCGCTGTGGCTGTGGCTATGGCTGTTGATTATGTAATGAAAATATGGATTTCCCGAATAGGCAAGCGATGTAGATGCTGTCTCTAATCTTCCTTATCTTCATCTTCATACATTTCCTCCTCCTCCTCCACATGCTCGTTCATCCTCTTCAGAGTCGCCTCATCATCTTCCTCCTCCTCGCCATCGTGTTGGTCTTCCTCGAAGTTCCCGATATCCTCGGCGTCCCCGGCATTACCCTTTGGATTACGAAGTGTCCCGCCCTTTCGTTGAGGCATAATCTTCATGAAGGCTTCACCCCAGTCACCACATTCCAGCCATGCCAACATAATGTCTACCACATGGTTTGTAGTCATCACCGCGCGGGACGACATCTTGATATAGTCACCAATGGGCAGTTTGGCTGTCTTGACCCCCGCCTCGAGCGCACTCTTATAGCAGATTGCCTTGTGTCGGTTCTTATCAACCAATCCACCAATAATGTAGGTATCATATGGCCTAAGTTCATGCAACGTATTATCACTGTCACTGCTGAGGTAAATGACCTCTCCATCCTCGGGTTTGGCATCGGCCTTTTTAGCGAAGGGCCCCTCGAGCTTGCCTCCACGAGGCGAGGCCATCTGCTCCTTCGCAAGCTCGGCAGCACGCACGAAATTTTCGGGAATGATCTTGATTCCCTTCCAGTTCTTATAGGGAGTGAGGACTGTGTCGAATCGCTCCTTCAGTGATCCGCCCCATGAGCTGAACATCAGGTGTCCGCGCCAGGGCGCGCGACTGTTCTCCGAGTAACAGCGTGTGAGCTGGGATGCGAGAGAAATACGCTCCTTGAAATTCATGAGCTCATCGTAGTTGCAATCAACAACAATGGTGAATGGTAGTAGTGTCGATCGCTTGTGTCGGGATCTAGTGGACTCCCACTGCTTGCGCAATGCTTGCACAGCTTCGATGCCGCCCGTTGCCATTGCCTCATCACACATTTTTCGCCGACGTTCCTTCTTCGCTGCCATCTGTTCTCTTCTCCGTTCCTTGCGTAACTCGCGTTCTTGTTCGTATTTCTCTTTGCGGCGGAGCTTCTTGAGGGCGTTCTTAGACATCTTCGGCGCGGCATCGGCGTCGTCGGGTATAATTTCAGCTTTAGAATCATTGGCGGCAGCTTCATTGTCGGCCGGGAGCTCAGTAGACTTGGGCTTCGCGGTGTCGGCAGCAGAGGTCTCGGTGTCCTGAGGCGTGTCGACGGCCACAGCACCCGTCATTGCAGGACCAAACTCTTCAGGCGTTGGCTCATCATTTTGAAGCTTGATCAACTTCCTAGGTCTTTCTTCCTCGTCCATGATGGCGACAGAAACTCGACTTGAAACGAGAAGTGGGCGGGCAACTTGTGTAGATCGTTGGGAGAAAAGTGCACCCACGGAAGCCAGCCAATGATGAGCCTACCAGCCCACATTACTGTCCGGCACCACGTGACCACATGTCACCAACTTCTCCGGCGACTCCTCGCTTTGCATTCAGGAACCCCCAAAACAGCCCATTCCCGCCATTATGCCTCAGGATATGCCCCCATTGGGGGGCTACGCCCAAGTCCAGTACAAGGTATGCTATCTATGGGCAATTCCCTCGGCTCCCAGTGCCTTCCGAGCCCGTGAGCAGTCGATGCTAACCCTCGTCCGATCTCTAGCGGAACATCCCCGCCCGCGGTTTCAAGCCATGGCAGTACATGCTCGGCATGCACGCTATTATGGCCTACGGTTTCTACAGATACTTCCAGGGTGTCCGTGAGCAGCGGTACGTTTCGCGCACTGGCTTCCTCCGATCGAACCGAGCCGCGACTAATCGGGAGATCGGGACTGGGAGCCTAAACTTCAAAAGATTGAGCCGAAGACTAATGTCGTTCGTTTTTAACCTTTAGTGAGCTTGCGCGCGAAAAGATGTGGTCTCGTCTGCACCTGATGCCTCTCCTCCAGGCCGAGGAGGACCGCGACCAGGTCCGCCGCTACTACGCTGACAAGGCCCGCGAGAAGGAGCTTCTCGGTGAGGAGACCAAGGTCTACAACTCCGACCGGTACGTGTCTACAAAAATGGCTCCCGTTTTGACAGATTGGGGGTGATTGCTAACTCGTGAATTCAGTTTCGTTCGCCCTACTTTCGGCTACCTCCCCGCTAGTGTCTCCCAATGAACACATTAAGCGTCGTGTTTGCCATTGTGTCTTCCCGTGATCGGACATGGACTGTGTGCTAAAAGCGAGCCCTCGGTTTTGTAACGGGATTGGAGTTGATCTGGTTGGTTAACGGTCTGGAGATCAGGGTGGCAGAAGTGCCTTGTCTCGAAGGCATCGAGATCAACACTGTAGATATTTTGTTTTCGAAGAAAGCTTTAGTTTTGTCTTGCAACACATCTGGTTTCATCTGTCTGACTCTAGCAAAAGCCCTCCATCGTTCGTAGTAGAAGTTTCCTGGGCGAAAGGCACTTGCACACGAGAGCTTCAATGTCATTGATGTTCAAATGTGCTTGAGCACCTCTGTATTGATTGTGTTGGTTTTCTTAGCCGTCTATGCAGTTTAGAGGCCCATCTATGAATGCTCAAAGCGCCGCCGGGGGTAGTCGGTGATGTTTGCAAATGACAAAATGAAAAAAGGAAAAACAAGGTGCGCTTATCATGCGAATCGCGAGTACTAGTCCCCCAAAGCCACTCAAGATCATAAAAAGGAACATTGGCACCACTCACGACGACATGTGTACTGTCAAGGCTCGCCGATAATATTTTGTTCAGGACGATGCGTGCAGTCTGGTAGTTCAATAGATGCCTTCAAAGGGAACAAGATATGTCCAAAAAGACGATGAAAAAACTGCCCGGCAAGAGCTTGGCAAGAAATGAGAAAGATGTCAATGCTCTTTGATAATATATTCGTGGCCTGCCTGAAGGCCACCAGTCCGCATCTACCCGAACATATCAGCGACACCCGAAAGGTCGGGCCCGTCGTTGATGTCGACACGGTGGTTTTCCTGCTGAGTCTCCATCTCGTTGGTCATGTATCGGGATTGAATTGCAGAGCGGGCCTTGCGACGCTCCTCGCGCGAGCCAAGAATCTTTCCTTGCTCAGCAACGCTGACACCGCGTAGGGGCTCAAGAAGCTCCAGGATCAAAGCACGCTGTTGACGAGGTGACACGCAGCGTTGGAGGGCAGCCTCTGTGTGAGCGACCTTTTCTTCGGTAATGCCAGGCAATGACAGGAAGGTGGCGCGTGGTCTCCGACTAGCAGTCCCATACAGAACCCAGATAGCGGCGATGAGCTGCGCCAGGTCTTTCTGCATGTCCACAAAATAGGATTCGTGAACAGACGTGATGCACGCCTGCAGAACATCAGCGCAGATGAACTCTCGAATGGTCACTATGGTCGGGCTATTGTTAGGCGGGGCGAAGTCGGCGAGAATCGATCGAACCACCCTGGTAATGATACTACAGCATCTAGTGTCGCGCATACGGAGGGCGTGGGTACAGAAGAGCATGACGGGCTCGAAGATCTCGGGCGAGGAGAGAACAAAGTATCGAATTGAATCGGACTGTTCCGGGGTCGGTTGCGGTGCACTCGGATCTGTCTCTGTCCTATCGGGGTCTGGTTTGGGAATATTAGCGTCGGCTTCTTGATGATCTTGCCAAGTACGGCTTTCCAGGGGTTCAATGTGAAAGCGATTTTGCTCGAACGAATATGATGAATAGCGATGGGTTTTCTCACCTCCTCTCTGTGGGTCAAACAGGCTGGCGACCATGATAACCGCCGAGTAGGTCAATTGCCGGAGGACACTCTCTGATTTCATCTCATCGGTGAGGTCACCATCAGAAAGTCCGTTCTTTCTTTGTTCGATAAGTTCCCACTCGGTGGTGATCTTAGTGTCAATGCTCTTGAAAAGAGTGGACAGCATAGGAGGAAGGAATTGGTTGCGGTACTGCACCGGGCAGTCATCGATCAGGCAGCGGGAGATATTAAGCAAAACGGAGTATTGGTGAGAAGACAGATGCTCAGCATCTTTGAAAAGAGCCTCAGAAAGAGGACCAGGGAGCTCAGCAAACCCGTAGAACTGATGTCGCAGTCTGCTCATACTGAAGAGCATAGAGTAACCCGATTCACGAACAGCTCTGATCTTGCCTCGAACCGAGGACGCAAATCCTTCAAGGGTGGCCTTGGATGCAGTAATCTTGGCATAGAAATCATCCCGGCTGCCGCTAGATATCCCTGCTTGCCAGAAGCGATCCGTGAGAATCCGCTCAACCACGGCCCGCATATCATCACTCACAGCCCAATTGGTGGGATTGTGGAATGCATGAGCGTGGCTGACTAGATGAAGCAGAGTGGGAAGGATTTGTGGCATCAAATCCTGCCACATATCGCACGCTACGCGATATGCCGGAGCGGATTTCTTCAACTTGTCAGTGGACACTGCCAGCATGGTCTTGGTGCCACGCAGAGGCAGCATTTGGAATTTCCGGGTCATCTCCTCTTGAACAATCTTTCCCTCGTGATCCAAGATGACATCGGCCCAATCTGCCAGTCGATGTGCTTGTTTGGCTTGCATGTAAGACCCAACATTCTCAAGTCCGAGCATTGTACAGAAACCCTCAAAGGATGAACACATGCGACGGAATTCCTCGTCCTGCCAGGCTTCCCTGATAGGGTTGAGGAAGGCTGTCAAACGAGCCTGACGCAGATTTGGATCAATATTGTTTGCTCGTTGCATGATGATGACGAGAATGGATGTCAACTCCATCTTGAGCTTGTCATCAACCTGGTTGGCCTGTGTGATCTCCGTGATCTTAGGTTCAAGTAAATCGTAGAAAGTCGAGAAATAATCGGCATAACGGATCGCGAGTCGTCGTAGTTCGTGGCTTGCAAGCCCATGAAGTTCCTTCACCGCCTCTGAATAGACGGGATAAGAGGGCTGATCCGGAAGTCGTGTCATAAGGATATGTTCAAGGACCTTGAGAGCAAAAGCAGGATGGTTGTCCAATGCTCGGGATGAGATGTCAACTACCAACTTGATCACTCGCTGTTTCAGAACGGGGTCCTCGAACGGTCGTTGCATTAAAGTTGAAGCCCAATCCTCCACGGCACGCTCCAACTCACTCCTTTCCTGCTCATCTTGCTGAGGGGTCTTTCCATGAGAATCAAGCCACTTATTGAAACCCTTGATAACGGCTTCTACAACAGCAAACTGAGCATCCGCGCGCATGAGTGACAGTGCAGACTTGCTGAATGTTTGCATGCTGAAAGGCTTAACGCCATCATAGAGATTGTTCAGGTTATCATCCACTTTGCTTAGGATCTCACGAACAGCATCCTGCGGACGCTTGATGGTAATGGACTCGATGATCGATGAGCAGTAGCGTCTGTAGTTTCCAACAAATGCGTGTCGCTCGGGGGTGGTATCAATATCTTCAACGAGGAACTGTACAGTGGGGTCTTCGGAATCGGTTGGGAGAGATTCCCAGCGGATCAACCTTTGGGTGCAAATATTCAGGAAACTGGGAGTCTGGCTCACCACGAAATCATCGGTACCGATATTTCGAATTGGAAGTAGTCGAGACCAGAGATGCAGGACAGGAATAGATACCGTTAAGCTCTGGTGCTGCATGATGTTGATCATGAAGTTGAAAAATGGCGGAAGATTCAGCCTGTACGTCATATCCTGGAAGAGTCGGTCGTCTTCCAAGCAGCCAGCCACGTAGGAGACCATCTATCATCACTGTTAACCAAACATCGAGAAGATTAGTGCGATCAGTGTTTTCTTACCTCCGAAAGCTTCTTGGATACCAAGTATTTCGGCTCATCAACATCATCCGGTCCTACGATTGACCATTGATATAAAGTTTGAAGAGTATTGAGATATTCGGCGTCGAAAATCAGGAAAAGAAGATCACGCGAATCCTCGCTGCCCATATTGCTTCTTCCGTAAAGCGCGTGCAATGCTTCAATTGCGGCCTGATTCAAGTTAGTGTATTGAACGTGGAAAATACTTTCAACCCAGTCTTACCAATAGAACCTGTTCGTCTTGACAGGTTAAGGCTCTAAAGATGCTGGAAACCGCCCCAGAGGCTGTAACAGCTTTGTAGATAGACCAAGAGAGCGCTGATCTCAAAGCGGTGAGGGCCTTGACAGCCGCATCTCTGGCCTGGGGCGAACTCGACACATTCTGAACGCAATTGTCTAAGAATTGGCAAATCCGGACGAGCCAACCGTCTTCACCATACCGCAGCAAAGCATTGGTGTTCTTGTCGGAGTTTATCTGCTCGACAATAGCGGCGGGTGTGAAGATTTCCACGAGGGCCCTGTTGAGCTCTGACCCACGCAACGAAGATACAGTATCTTCACGGAAGAAGACATCCTCCGACAGGGTTTCAAGTACCGCGAGAACCAATTCATTGTGTACCAAAGAGGATCCCCAAAATTTCACGAGCGCAGCGTCCATATCCATCCAGTCTAAGCCCCAGCTCTTCTTCGCGGCCTCTGACCATAGTTGCGGGATCTTGTTGCGGAGATAGTTGGGGTCCTCGGGTCGAATGTTCTCGGCGAGCTGGAGGATCATTGATCTTAGATTCGCAGATTCTTCGGCATCGGCGCTGGTAAATGATAGGTGGCGCAAGACATGATCTAATAGTGTGAGACCGAAATATCGTACAACTGGGGCATGGTCGGCGCGTGAGGCGAGGAGAAACCCATTGCGGGCTGCCGCGTCGGTTTCTTTGAGGGACTCAACAAACGTCAAGGCCTGTTTGCGGAGCTCGTTCGTAGACGTAGGACTATGGATGACCTCAAGCGCTCGAATAATGTCGGCCATGCCGGCCTCCGAAAGCTCCTCGGCAGCCATGTTGTCGGCACGCCGAGTGCAGATGCCTAGGAGCGAAATTATGCGAAAGGCGCGTAATGAGAGCAAAGAGTAGCAAATTGGAGAGGGGAATTTGCGCGTCTTCTCTTCATCCAATTAGCAGGCCAATTCTCATGGTCTGGTGACTCTAGCTCGAGTGAGTTCGCGGTGTTTGGTATGGCCGTTGACTGTCCGTGGGGGGATTATTGGCAGTACAGAGCAGCAACGGCCATTCAAATATGTCAAACGGATTCGCGTTAACAGAGGCAGGTTCGATAAATGACTGTGGTCGGAGGGAAATCAGAAGGAGAGTGTTGAGTTAGTGGTTCTTCCAGGGCGTGGGAAAACGAAGTTGCGGGAAGGCAGCCGGCGAAGTTTGATGAGAAGAGCGGGCTGAGAATTTCTCCACGGCCGTGATAGACACACCGCCCCCCCCTTCTCTTTGGTCTTTCGTTCAACTCATCGGTGGTTTCACTTTGTGGTTCTTGAAAAAATGGATACGCATGTTAATTCTCACCAGCATCTTTTTCAGCCGCCATGTCATCACCTTTACCCCTCAATCGTCACCGGTTGGTTATCTTATCTGCTCTACACGCGATCTGCTTGTTAAGCGCTATTCCCGTGAGATCAATGGAATTGGTAGGTTGCTGATAGTGAAAAAGCAAGAGTAAATTAGAAACGCATCACATTATCGTACATTGGCCTCGCTGGCATTGTTCCAGGTAGGTCATGTCATCAGAGGTGCTATTAAACTCGCCTGGTTGGCGCTTGACCCCTTCAATCTTGATATCTTGTTCGCCTTCAGCATGCCACCATCGCAGACGCTGGACCTTGATTGACCGAATCTCTTGATAGTCAAGTTCCCATTTGCCTCCACTGACAGCAACGGCGGTGTGACTTTCAGGAAAATGGAATTCGGGCAGATATATCTCAGTTGGCGCGTCAGTGGCAGTAGCCATATTTGCGGTCAAACTCATGGTAAATGTGCAATTTCGGAGATCAAACACATGGCTTTTGAGGTTCCCATTGACGTAAATAGGACTCGGCCGAATGTATGCCTGTGCAGCACGGTAGCCTTTTGGTGGTGGAGAGGAGTCACTGGATATTGAAGGAGATACAAGTGCCTGCTTCAGATTACGTGGCTCAACTTGTGATTCCTCTGCGCTACTGTGGCTTTCAGAGTAGGCTGGAGACTGGCGATCGATTGAGTGAAGGGTCCCACCAAATGGCAATTCTAAATCGTCATGGGAAAGAATGGACAGGTCTTCCCCATTCCACTGGTCTCCCCATTCATGATTGTTCTTGAGTAAGTTTAGCTGGATGAATACGAACACTCAACGGGATACAAACCTCGGTTTCATAAACCCACAAAGTGAATCCATTGGATGTACTACCCTCCAAGGCAAAGTGGTTGGCATCCATGGCGCTTGTTTGGCTGCTGTAATCGCCCGTCTGGTAGGCGTGCTTGTCATCCATGTCGTATGGAATGCCAATTTCAGTGAAGAGGAGAGGATGATTTCCCATGTAGTTCAAACTCTCATCTCGAAGGAATTTGAGTTGGTCGCGCAGACAATTTCGAATGGCTGTCTCGCCAATCTTGACTGCAAAGGCTGGCGCCCAGTACTTGCCTCGAAGGACCCCCATGACGTCAACGTTGTAAAGCCGATTCCTGTCTTTATTAGCTTGAACCATTCTAAAAAGGGAAAAGACACCAACCAATGCTTGGTCAAAAGGGTCAAACCGTCGTAGTAATGGACCGCATGGACCATGTTGGGATCATCATCGAGCGTTCCCTTCAGGTCTGGGGGCACCTCCATAACAGGCGGCTGACATAGCAGGATGGCCTTTGGCCAAACACCTCGAATGGCATCTCGGTATGCTCGGTAGTGGTCCATGAAGTAAGTGTTGGTAAATACCTCATAATTTAGTTTGGCACCTGTCTGGGGAACCTTTGAGAAATAGTCCTTCTGCAACAGCATATCCGTCTTCGGATCCCAAACTCCATGCTGAGCCCAAATACATTCACCTAGTTTCCAACAGGCATCACGTTTCCAGCCATATTTAGTGTCATCATGATCGGCTGGCAGCCAGGCACTTTCACCCATAGGGTCGACAAGCTTCGAACCAGTTTGGTGCGGACCAAAGCCACCAAATGCCCATGTTGTAACTTCACAAGCGCGGCCAGAGCCTGTGAGAATAGCCTGGAAAGCAGTTGGAGATGTTCCAAGTTGAAGCTGCTGTTCGGGTGGGATGACAGATATATCCTGAAAACCCAGGAGGCCACGGTGAGGCTCATTCATGCTTTCCCAGCCAATGATCACGTCATGTTCCAGATCACCAGCTTCATGAATCCTCTGAGCCAGATACCTACAAGCCGCAATGAAGTGGTTCTGCAAATAATCCTGGATGTTCACGCCATCGATGACAGCTTTTGGTGCAAAGTCTCGTCCTGCCCAGAACAGTGTGAACATGGTCTGACAGACAAGACGAGTGTAGTTGGTACTCCAAACCATTTTCGGAAACTGAGATGGATCATCATAGGTGTTTTGAACAAGGGCTGCTTCGGTGTTCTTGAAAGCCTTGGGGTTCAGCCCTGCAGCGTAGAGCGTCCACATTGGGGCTCCGGAACCTCCGGACAATCGTGACCACTTCGCAATGTTAGAAGCTCCTATTGCGGATGAGGGGTGCATCAACTTACAATATCCTGATGCGGATCCATGAACACATAGAACTCATACTGCTTGGCTATTCTAAGAATCTCGATGGTAAATGCGATCCATTCCTGATCGTATATGCCGGGTCCCGCATGCTCGATAGCCTCCCAGGTGAAGATGTATCGGATCGCATTATAGCCCCACTTACGTAGCCTTTCAAAATGCGAGTGTGCATCCTCTAAGGAAAACGGTCGTCCCACAAACGAAACGTCGTCCGCATCGAAGAACTTGTCAGACACGAAGGAGGGGATATCAGGAGACTTAGGGTATTTGGCGTCGCCGGCGACGTTGATGCCTCTCAGAATTATCTCCCGATTTTGAGGATCGCGAAAGGACTTCCCATCAACGTGAAGATGCAGTGCACCCATCTTGGACGTTATCACAGGGCAGGCAATGGACAAGCTTCGGGTGGGTGCTTCCGGGCAATCGGGTCGATGCTACAGTGCACGATTCGAGTCGGATACTGCGAGCAATTAACTTGGAGCTCTTGAAGCTCGTGGTTTCAGGTCAGCGGCCTAAGGACGTTCAAGGAGTTCAAAGATCTCGACTGGCAAAGCCCCCAAAGCTGCAGGTCAACCTCGGAGCGGTCAGCTGCCACCGAAGTTCGGCACCAAACGGTGATGAGGCACAGGTGTACGAACACGTGCCACCAGCTCAATCAAATTGTCCGGCTTTGACTCGCTCTTGATCGTTCGCAACAAAGTGGATGTCCAAGACGAAGAGTAGTGAAACTGGGGATGATAGACGATAGCGATAAGGTGACGTATCTACGCTAACCGATAACCACCCAGCTCCACCACACGAGAACCTCCCCGCTCCCATGCTTAGAGGCGCGCTCGGGGATCATGTCGAACAAGGCGGCCTTGAAAGCTGTGCGAACAGCCTTGGATTCCAAGGACTTTGAAGCAGCCGCGGAGAAGTCAAAAGCTCTCATCCAGCAGGATCCCAAGAACTACCACGCGTATGTCCTGAGCCTTCCTCTGATCTGGCCTTGCTAACTCATTCTTTCAGCAACGTGTTTCTCGGCCTAGCATACGACAAATTGAACAAAAGCGATGATTCGGAACAGGCGTATCTTGCAGCTACACGCATTAAGCACGATGATCGCACTGCCTGGCAGGGCCTGATTACTTTGTACGACAGACTGGGTGGTCCCAAGCTGGGGGCCTACCGCGAGGCCATCATCAAGCTCAGCCAGATTCTCGCAGATGGGTATGGATCGATTGTTGAAGCAACAGAGCCACTGGCTAACGTATTACGCAGTGACGAACAGGGACGTTGTCAAGATATTGTGGATAAGTACACGAGTCTGGCACGGAAGAGCGGCACCAAAGCTCAGTACAAGAGCGCTCTTGAGCTCCAACTTCCCAGTAGTCCACTGTACAGCTTCCTCGAAGGACGCCTTCCGCATCCCGCTCACACCTACCTCCGTCTGGTCGAAATTACCGAAGCCGAAGAGAAAGAATACATCAATCATGAGATCGCAGTTCGCAAGACGCGTCTTGGTGCAAAGAAAGATCAGGTCACACTGGAGGTAAAGCGGGAAGCGTTCAAGAAGTATGGACTGGCCGATTTTTATCGGGGTTTGATCGATTGGACCAACGACGACGAAGTTCGACGTGAATACGAGGAGAAGCTCTTACGACGCGCATGCGATGAGCTCGAAGTCGCCTCTTCAGGCGAAAAGGGCGCTAAGAGGGGCGTGGCACTCCAGCTGGCTCGTGACATGGTCATCATCAAACATCCCTATGAGCTCGCTTGGGTAGTTTACCTTGAGTGGCAGGATGTTGAAAGCTATGAGCAATGGGATGTTGGCATCCTTCGGGAGTTTATTGAATTCTTCCCGGACAATGGCCTTGCCAAAGTTCTCAAAGGATTTCTTGCCAGTGAAATTTCGCCATTTGAGAAGGAGGAATCGGCAGAGGAGGAACTCGACTCTGCATCCGTCAGCAAAGACACCGATATCACTGACGGTACTGGCGACGTTGCGGCTCAGGACAGATTGATCCTGATGGCCGAAGGACTCGATATGGCTAGCTCTTCGCCCATTGCTCATCGTATCATGGCGGACCTGTACCTCATGCTGGAAGAGTACGAGAGCACCGTTGACGTGGCCCGAAAGGGTCTGCTCAATGTCAATGAGCTTGTCAGAACCACTGGCGCAAAACTCACTCATATTCGCGATGCCTTGAATATTTCTCTTGCCAACTCCTTGATCTACCACCAGTCACCGCGCTATCACCCAGAGGCCAAGGGGATTTTGGAAGATATCTTGAAGAGGAAGCCCAAATCCACGATTTGTCTCCTTGGCATTGGATTGGTCCTAAAGGTCGATCAAGACTATCCGGATGCAGTCAGCTTCCTGGAACGTGCCTTGGCGCGTGATCCTTCCAACATCAAGATCCGCGGTGAGCTCTATTGGTGCAAAGCGCTGAATGGCGATTTGGAGGGTGGCCTGAAGGGTTTGCAAGACTCCCTTGCAAGTCTGCAGGAAGAGCAACCCCAGAACAAGACCTTCAAGTCAGAACTTCTATATCGTATTGGCTATTGTCAATGGGAGCTTGATCCTTCTGTAGCAGCCAGAAAAGATCGCAATGGCGCCTACGCAAACTTCCTTGGATCCATCAAAGCAAACATGAATTTTGCCCCAGCCTACAGTTATCTTGGCTTTTACTACGCGGACTACAAGAAGGATAAGATCAGAGCACGCAGATGTTTCCACAAAGCATTTGAACTCTCCGCGTCAGAGACCGAAGCCGCTGAACGCCTGGCTAGAGGATTCGCCGATCAGAAGGAGTGGGATCTCGTCGAGGTGGTCTCACAGCGTGTTGTCGACTCGGGCAAAGCCAAGCCTGCACCAGGTTCCAAGCGCAAGGGCTATAGCTGGCCGTACGCAGCACTTGGTACAGTGCAGATCAACAAGCAGCAATACCCGAAGAGCATCGTCTCATTTCAGGCGGCTCTTAGGATTTCACCTGAAGATTATCACTCCTGGGTTGGTCTTGCTGAAAGCTACCACCACTCCGGCCGATTTGTTGCTGCTACGAAGGCATTTGAGCATGCACGAACCCTAGAGCACAACCTTTCCAGCGATGAGCAAGAGCAAATCTGGTTTGCCCGGTACATGCTTGCAAATGTCAAGAGAGAACTAGGCGAATACGACGACGCTATCGCTAGTTACGAAGACGTCCTGACCACCCGACCTGATGATGTTGGTGTGACCATTGCCCTTCTCCAGACACTGACCGAAAGCTCGTGGAAGAGCTTGGACCATGGTCTCTATAACCAGGCCGCCGAGCTTGCCTGCCAAGTTATTAAGGTGGCTGGCTCACTCGTGAACGTCCGGAGTGACATTTTCAATCTGTGGAAGGCTGTTGGTGATGCCTGTGCAAACTTCTCCTATATCAGGAAGAAGGTTGATAAATTGTGTCTGACTGACTGCAAGGCTTTGTTGTCTACTGAATTGGATCCTGTTGCTCTTGACATCATGACTGATGCTGATGGAGTGGGAATGACCTGTCTGGACACTATTGATGGGCAGGATATCGCTCCGTCTGATTCTTGTCTGTATCTATCCATTCTGGCGTACAAGCGTGCGATCTATGTTTCCTTGCAAGACAGTCACGCCCAGGCTGTGGCATGGTACAACCTTGGCTGGGCGGAATATCGGGCCTACAGAAGCAAGAATTCACGCAAGTTCCTGAAGACGGCAATGCGCTGCTTCAAGAGAGCCATTGAGCTCGAGGCCGGCAATTCGGAGTTCTGGAACTCGCTCGGTGTCGTTACTACCAGCATGAGTCCCAAGGTGGCACAGCATGCCTTTGTGCGTAGTTTGCATCTGAATGACCGTAGTGCTCAGGTGTGGACCAACCTGGGAGCGCTTTATCTCCTTCATAATGATATTCAGCTTGCCAATGAGGCTTTTACTCGTGCTCAGTCGACCGACCCAGACTATTCGCAAGCTTGGGTTGGCCAAGGGTTCCTTGCACTTCTGTTCGGAGATCCCAAGGAGGCGCGGGGTCTTTTCGAGCACGCATTCGATATCTCAAGCTCCTCCGTCATACTTCCGAAGCGTCAATACTCGGTTACCCTTTTCGACCATCTGCTCTCCGACCCGAAGTCATCCAATGAGGTTTCCGAGCTCATTCAGCCATTTTTCGCCCTCCATCAGCTGTGTACCCAAGACCCTTCGAACCTTCCGTTCATGCATCTTTCTTCATTGCTCGCAGAGCGGATGGGGGAAATTGCCGACGCCGAGTCTAGTCTGGAGGTTGTCTGCTCTGGCATGGAGGCGGACTTTGAAGAGTCTGAATCCCCTGCCTCGCTTTCAAAGTTTGCACAGGCGAACGCAGATATGGCTCGCGTTTTGCTTGCACGCCATGAGTTCGAGCAGGCCGCAGAGAAAGCAGAGCTTGCGCTGACTCTCTCTGGAGAAGAAGATGCTGAAAAATTTGACCCAGAGGCATGCAGCAAGCTTCGTCTTTCGGCACACTTGACTGCCGGTCTCGCGTACTATTATACAAAGTCAATGGACCAGGCCATTGATATGTTCCGCGATGCCCTTCAGGAAGCAAACAACGCCCCTGATGTGGTATGCCTTCTTGCTCAGGTCCTTTGGGCCAAGGGCGGCGAGGAGGAACGGTCAGTTGCACGCCAACAGCTCTTCGATTGTGTGGAGAACCACCCCGACCATATCGGGGCCATCACCCTCCTTGGAGCCATCGCGCTCCTTGACTCGGACAAGGACGCCATCGAAGCCGTCGAGTCCGATCTTCACAACATGATTACGCGGGATGACATTGACATCCACGACCGCGCCAAACTTCTCAAGCTCCTTTCTGCAATCTCAGCGATGGGATTCACCGACGATGCTGCTCTTCCCAGGACATACGTCTGATTGGAGAAGCCACTGCAGCCATTATGCTGTCTCCAGGCCAGCCACAGGGCTGGATGGAGTTATCTGACGCTTCAGAGAACCCGTACCCGGGTGAGATGGCCATTCAACGGGCTCTGCGTTGTGTTCCTCCACATGGCAATCTCGAGGCTGCCGATCTCAGCCAGGCTTATTCCCAAACAAGCAAAACTGGAGATGCGTTCCGTGCTATCATGGTTGCGCCATGGAGACGCAACGGGTGGGAACAGCTAGAACACAATCTGTCTAGCAAAGCATAGTCAGCTTACTGTATCATTCCTGAAAACAGATAGAGAGAAAGTGCTGTATACAACTGCAATGCATAGATTAAACGAGATAGTGAAATGTTGCATACCTCTCAAACTTCATGTGTATCATAAGACAGTAGAGAAGCAAGCGTCTGTAGGCACTTGGCGATACATAGTGTTGCATTTTCTGTTGCACTGCTATCAATCGGTCTGCATTGCAGTAATTCTTTCCAGTAATCGTGCCTTCCGACCCTCCTTCCACGGGTTATCGAGCGCTTCGATCTTCCCACCGAGCAAATCGACACTCGCAGGTTTCAATAGAATCATTCCCCTGGCAACGGGGGCATCCCGAAGCACAAACTTAGCACCAATGGCGAGCTTTTCCAGAGAAATTCCCTCAACACGCTGCATTTCGATCGCCACTGCCTTGGTGCCCACCGCATCTTGAAGTATCAATCGATGCGGTCCATAACCACTATGTCCCGAGGCGTTCGGAGCTGCAGAGTTGCCATTGTTGTTGGCACTGCTATTTTCTTGGGCTTCCTGATCTTCGCCAACAGCCACTGTGCGTACGATTTCGCGTCCACGAATAGCTTCTCCGCGCTCGACGCGCTCGATTGCCTCTACCTGGCTCCACAGACTCGTGCCGATGTCTTCAATGTCGAGGACTTGAACGGGAATCGGGCCCGCAAGACGTCGCTCTTGAACAGTCGGGTCATAGATATCAATAGGTAATCGTGAAGAAGAATTGGTCGTCAGAGACTCTCTGAAGTCGGACGCGAGTACGCGGAACAAAGCTGTCTTGGTGAGTGCTGCGGTAGGAATATTGCGCTGCGTCTGTCCAGATAATCCCAGGACTGCATTGAGCCATGAAGGCGATACAGGCAAAGCCTTGGTGCTCTGAATCTGCGCCGCAATCTGATCTGCGCTCATCGTAGCTGTGAGTGTTCAAAGAGTGTAAAAGCGGAAACAGCTCGGAGCTCCCCAGCACGGACCGCCGCTTAACGGCGTTGACCTGGCCTCGCGCATCCCCATTTCCATTTCCTTAACCGCGCCACCATGTCAACACTTTCCTCCCCTCGCCCATCCATCGCTTCGTCGCGTGCACACTCTCCAACCCCTACATCCTCCCGACCATCCCTCGATGCATTGAACACAAACCTGGGGCCGAGTCGGAGCGCTTCCTCGACCCCATCTACTGCGCGAGCCATCTCGCCCAACCCACGCCGCAACCGCTCCGCTTTACGGGACTACTATAACCTCAAACCTCCGGGTGTAGATGGACTGGGTCCAGGTGACCCCCGACGGTCACGCAGTGTCCCGCGCAACACCGATGCTGGAGACATCTCCAACCCGTCTACACTGGCTTCGGGGACCGAACTGGATAGCGTGGACTTCGACCCCCAGCGCTATGTCGATACGCTTTTATCCAAATCTTCGTTAAACACCATCTTGAAGGCGGAGAATACCCTGGTTGGAGACATCCGCACGCTAGATGGAGAGCGCAAAGCGCTCGTCTACGATAATTACTCCAAATTGATTCGCGCCGTCGAGACAATAGGCAAGATGCGTCGCAGTATGGATGAGCGCGGTGCACCGTTGACCATGACGAAGACCCTCGGGCCTGCTATTGCGTTTGTGGCGGAGACCGCGGGCGGGTTGATCAAGGAGGGGGAGGAAATGAGGAAGCAGATCAAAAAGGCGAGGAGGGATGAACCGAACAAGGCGCAGAAGGATACAGTGCGGTGGATGCTTTCTGCACCACGGAGGTTGGAGAAGCTTCTCGAGGAAGACAAAAGGGAAGCTGCGGCGGGGGATTGGGCGGAGATCAAGCGGTTCCTCGATGCGTGGGGTCAAGTTAAAGGTGTTGCTGAGGTTCGGGAAGCTTGTGAAAAGGTCATGGCCCAACAAAAAGAAGATGATTGAGCTTATCCCGGGAGAGCTTCGATCATGTCAAACCTTAACTTGAGCTTTGTTACAGCAGGAGTCATTGTAAATAGAGATACCCAAAACATTCATCATCATGGCATGTTACATATCAGTCCTTCATACTTCATGAAATCATAGTAGTTCGTAATACCAGACAGACACTTGAGCAAGTTCATAACTTTCCCGAAAGCACATCTTTGCTCGAAAATAAACTCGCTTTCAGCCCATAGTCATTCTTCGACTTGATATCCAGATACGTATAAGCATCGCACTTGTAGTAAATGGGCCTCGACTCCTTATCCACCAACCCCGTCGCCACGAGCGTCTTCAAGACACGCTTCACATCTTCTTTGTCCGAGAAGTCGCGCGTGTAGACACAAATTAAGCGCTCTTGTCCCGAGCCATCATCCGTCGCCACTTTCGCTGCATCGCCTAGTCTGCCTTCATCCATGGCTGTAACGACTGCCTCCCAGGTTGCGTCCACTTGGCTCTTTGAGGGAAACAACATCCATTTACCCGACGTAACGCCTGTTTCCTTTGCTAGATCAAAGATGTTCTGTTCCAGAGTTCGACGGATAGGATTCAATTTGCGAGTCAGAGCAGCGGTAGTCTTAGCGCCTGATTTCTCGTGTGCAGCGCGGAGGGTTGAGCTCTGCTCTTCATATGCTTCTAGGAGTTCGGTGCCTTTTCTCGTGAAAGCAGGAATGTCGCCTCCTTCTGTAGCATGGGATGTTGGACCCCACATCCAAATCCAAGGCCCTACTTCGGTAATATGCGTTGTGGAGGGGGGGAGGCGCGACAAGAAAGAGGATATAGATTCTTTGGGGCCGCGTCGGTCCTTGGGTCGGAACGTGGGCGTTGGTGAATTGTCTTGGGACATTGGCTCGGGTTTGCTGTGTGGAGACGGAGCCTGTAGCTCATATTGTACTGTTGAGAGGAGCCTGGGGTGGATCTTTGACCAGTAATGCTCCGGGTCGTAGGTTGCTGCTAGATGCTCGAGACGCGCTTGTTCGTCGTCATCGCCTGAGTCGAATTAATTGGGGACGTCGCGGAGTTTAGAAAGCAGACTTGCCATAGAAGCTAGAGTCATCGGAGATTATCTCGGGCGCTGTTCCACTTGCCATGATAGGGTTAATTTGTTGGAAGCTGCGGAGACAAGAGAGAGCATTCTGGTGCTTGATCGATAAGAGATGGAGCTTATCCGTGTGGGGAAATCATGGCAACGTAACTACAGCCCGCGTCAAAGACCGGGATTCTACTCGCATGCTATTAGTGCCTTTTAGAGCACTCAAACAATAGAAGACAATTGGGTAGCGCTATTCAATGTTTCATTTTTGTTACTTCTTTGACATTCTTCACATGGATTCATTCTATAAAACAATACAATGAACTCAATGGACATCACAAACGCTTTGACGTCAGTTTCCATCTCTAAGTTCTCTCTAGTTTTCTGAGCTTTCCACTTTTGTTTTTCTGTTGGACCTCCGGAATATTCAAACGTGTACAAAAGCAAACCAAAATATGAAGGCGAACAAAAGGAACGCTAACGGCGAGGGGGGCAACACTTCGAAGACGAAATGCAGTTATCCTTATCCGAGTCTTCCTCCCCCACCTCCTAAGCAACAATCTCGATGTCAAACCGAATGCTCAACATGTTGAGACCTCCTGTAGTAATACTTGAAATGCGTCGAGTTCCCCGGTTAAAGGCACCGAGTACAAGTGCTGCAACCAATTTCCCACACTTAGTGCCTAACAACCCCTGATACTGCAGAGTACCAAACTCCCAAGTCCTATAGGGATAAATATCATCCCAAGAACAGTGATATTCCTCGGCATATAGAAAACCTTGACAGAACTCAAGAGTATTTTTGTTCTGGACGTCATGAATATATACGTGTCGAAGCGTATTAATCGGAAAGTCTCTCGCGTAGACACCGTGCGAAATAACTGACATTCGCGGAGTTTGCGGTTGATCTCCGCTTCGAGCTGTGTGGATAAAAAGCATACCTTCTCTTACTCTTCCTCCCCAATAACTAAAGTCTTGGAAGGTATCCAGCTCCAGATAGCTCTCCCGGTAGATAGCGTCATTCTCACCTGGGTTAGCTTTAAACAATCCAATGGCATCGTGAACATCGTCATTCCATTCGCGGAAATCTACATGCGCGTTCCTTTCCGTCCAAGTAAGGCTCTCTTTCATCTTCCACCCGAGGCGATAAAGATCCCCCAAGGTTGGGGTGCATCTAGGAATAGAGCATGGTTTGTCGGATGGGAGTGGAGAATCAGAAAGCCAACGCTGGCATAAGGCACCCTGGTCCTCATAATCCTTCCTACTGCGATCTGGGCCATAGCTCAATGATCCTGAGCTCGATGATCCTGAGCTCGAAGAAGAGCTAGTAGAGAGCGAGGAACTAGCTCGCATTGCGTAATTAGTATCGCGTGTGTACCACTAGGTAGGTCAGCTTGCACTGAGCGTATAAGGTGATATTGAACGTCTGAGCACTAAGAAACAGAAAGATTTGCATTGCTTGGAGGAATAAGAAGCATGGGACTGGATAGAGCTTTAATATACGCCCAGTCTAACAAAGAAGTGAGTATGTCCATTTCACAAGTTTTGCTTCGTTCAAAGAAGAGTTCCACTTTCGTCGATTGAGTCACTTTGTTCAGGTTCGCGCTCTTTATTACCCTTCCTTGAAAGAAAGATCGTAGAAAATCGACAATATAGGAGCAGGTGACAGGTCAAACACCTCGATCATGCTGTCATCTGGCAAGTACAAGACACTTCATGAACAAGTCGATAATGTAAGGCCTACAAATGGCCTACAAATCGCTTTTCAACAGTCAATTCCAGGAAGACGAAAAGACTTGAACAGTAGCAAAGAAAACAGTATTCCATTCAAATCAATCGCAGCCAAGGAGTAGAGCAGCAGTGACTACTTGGCACCAGTAATACCTGGCCACACCTTCTGCACGAACTCAGTGAGGTCAGATTTCAATTTCTCGGGCTGCTCGAGGGCCGCGAAATGACCACCCTATCCGATAGCAATTTAGTCAATGTCTCTATCAAAGATACTTAAGTCAACCGTACCTTGTCATGCTGGCCCCAGTAAACCAGGTTTCCGGTGGTCTCCACCCAAGAACGAGGAAGGCGAGCCAGCTCCATGGGGAAGGAAGAGAATCCGAGCGGCTTCTTAATGTACCATCGAGGAGTGTTGGTGGCTGGGATTGGAGGAGGCGGGAAGTTCTGTGAATTTTGTCAGTTGGCTTCTTTTGTTTGTTTTTTGGGAAATGCAATCCATCGATTAGTAGTACAAACCTGGCGATAAGTATAGATCGACCGAGGGAAAGTATTAGTGAGCCAGTACAGTGTAATTGACTCAAGAATATGATCCGGGGGCAGCGGATCGTCTACCCATTCCATGAATTTTTCACCGACCCTGCATATTTTTGTTACCATACTATTTCCAATGTCTTTACCGTCCGTGACCTTACCATGCAAGAAGGGCCATCGGGCTCGATGAAATGACGTGGCCGATGGTGCTGGGTCGAGTCCCATGCTCCGTCGAATAGCCACTGCCCATAATCTTAAAGTTGTTCATTCGCTCGATGCCCTCTCTTTCATAGGCATCCAGAGCATCATCGGTCATCCCATCAGGGCGATTCATGAACGTTACGTTCACTGTTTCGTGTGAGCAAGAATTCAATCTCCTGTAAATACAAAGGCCGATAGCACTCACGATGGACGGCTAAAAGAGAGTTAGTATGTACTAAGAATATGACAAGTGAAGTCGGCTATGCATACCTTTGCAGCTTTCATAGTCGACTGCCAGGGCTCTAGCAATTCGGCTCCCAATGTCTCCACCCTGGGCCACATAACCGCTTTCGAAGCCAATATCTTTCATGAGTTGATCCAGAACGCGAGATATATCCTCAGTAGAAAAGTTTTTGTCAAGCGGAGGGCCAGACGAAAATGTATAGCCTGGTAGTGAGGGAACAATCAGGTGATAAGGCAAAGTACTTGGTGTATACTCATTCTGGAACAGCTCAAGAATGGGGAGGAATTCCAAGAAACTTCCTGGTAAATGTATAAGTCCCCATTCCAAGGCGGGTATAAGGATGTGATCTCACCAGGCCATCCATGGATGAGAAGAATAGGAATCGCATCCTTCCTCTCTGAAAAAAGTCCGACAAAATGAATTGTCATCCCCTCAATCTCCGTCATCCATTGAGGGAAACTATTGATTCGATCCTCGGATGCCTTCCTAAATTGCAGACGTTAATGCCTAGTGGAAGGCGGGGCAAAGCACCTTAAGTCTCCAATACCATTTATAAGAGCGGAGCCACAGCTCTCGCATTGTCACCATCCAGTGCGTTGTGATCCCATAGCGACAGTCCGTTTGCGAGTTCTCGTAGGTAGGCGGAGCAAGCTTGGCCAGCTTGATAAGAGTCTCCATCTCTTTCAGCCGATCCTTGGGGATGGCAACTTCGAAGGGGGGTAGGAGTCACCCTCGCCGTGGAGGGCAGTGTACTAAATGGCTTTGACATGATGGAATTCTTAGAGCTGAGAATTCGAGGGACGCGTGCCGAGTAATAAATACGAAAACCCTGGAGTCCTTTCTCGGCTCTCTAGGCAGAATGAGTGTACAATGCTCCTCGCGGGACCGCTACCTAGTCATGTGCTCGTGCGGGGAACTCGAGTGCGCGCCGATCCTAGACGCGTGAGATCGAAACTGGCTGAGAGACCAAATGGGACAAGGTCTAGACGTGCGATAATATTTTGTCAAACCGGACTTTGCTTAGGCTGAGGCTATAGGCAGCGTTCAATGCAACGATGGTCTATGAAGCACCCATCTTTCCACCTACTCAAGCTTATTATGGCTATACCCCCACATTGAAGATAGCAAAAGAATACAGTATAATGAAGGCACAAAAGCTAGTTTCATCCACATCTATAGTTAACATTTGACATTTGAGTCTCGCGTTGGATTCTCACCGCCCCACTTTCGCTCCATACACATTTTTTTTTGGATCGGCAACCGAATTAAACATCAATCCAGCCTAGGGGCCCAACAGGAACATCGATTGTATTGGCTTCGGGCTCTACGTAACTTCTGGGTCTCGCGTTTGAGCTGCGCAAACCTGAACCAGCCATCTATACCTTGTGACCTTTTAGAAGATCGATCTCGAATTCCCGATCCCCGCCATCATTGTTTGATTCGATATAAATTAGGCTCTAAAGAGCTAACGGCCGCCGACATGGTTGAGCACATGCAGCATCCCAAATCAGCGACAACGGTCTTCTTAAATCAACCCCCGAGCTGCCTCGAATTCTGTCCTGAGATCCCAGACCATTTCGTGGTGGGCACTTATCTCCTATCAGAAACGAAGAAGGACAATGGAGAGATCCAACAGAGCAAGACCGGAAGCGTGCAGCTCTGGAGATTGGACCCAGTCACAAACACATTGTGAGTGTAGATTATTTCATTCCATTCCGAGAACAGAGCACCACTAACAATCACCAGAGCCCAAGTTCAAAGCCTTGCACTACCATACGCCGTCTTCGATCTTCATTTCCATCCTAGAGATAGGAGCAAGTTCTCTATTGCTAGCAGTACAGGAGCAGTTGCACTATTCTGTGTCACCTCTGAATCCACACAGCCAACTATCAGTCATATCTGGACAAAACAAGTCCACGAGGATTCGTCCATCCCAACGCTCTTTCTCGCTTGGACGCCGGAGAACTGGTTCTCTCAGTCCAAAACCGATGGGTTTGCGGTCACCTTCTCCGATAGCCGGACAGCAGTCTTTGGCACGGAAGGCGATCTCACAGAGGTTGACAAGATCACAGAATGGGGTTCATTCGAAGCCAAGCAGATGATCGAGGTCTGGTTCGTTGCGCTGGCTGCCATGCAGGGAGAAACGACCGGAAAGAAAGATATCATTCCTTTCATGTTCACGGGGAATGATTTTGGATCCTTACATACACGCCGTTTCGAACAACATGGGGAGGAATCGCGGGATCTGGAAGAGCCACTTGCGCCGGTATTACTTGAGCATGATGATCGAGCTCGTCATCACACGGCTGGCGTGACGAGTATTCTGCCACTTCCTGTTCCGATGGTAGATGATGCTCCGATTCTGTTGACCGGGAGCTATGATGAGGGTTTGCGGGTCTACCATGCTACTCGACGGGGAGAGGTGCTTGCTGAAGAGGGTCTTGGTGGTGGCGTTTGGCGGCTCCAATTGCTGAACTCGACGGAAACCGACTCTGCTGGTTTAGAGTCCATGGAGAGACGCTTCTTGGTGCTGGCGAGCTGCATGCATGCTGGAACTCGAATCGTGCGAGTGACTCAGACGCAGCAGGGTCCGACTTCGGAGTGGGCTATTGAGGTGCTGGCGGATTTCACGGAGCATGAGAGTATGAACTACGCTAGTGATGTGTGGAAGGGCTCCAACGCCGACGCGCCAAATGCGGCGGAGCTGGTTTGCGTTTCAAGCAGCTTCTACGACCGTCGCGTGTGTGTTTGGAAAGTTCAATTATAGCATGAGACTTAGTTCTTTGAAAGACGCAAGGGCACTAATTGTCTAGGTACGATTGTTGTCATAAATCGTCTAGATTAAACCAGAATGCAATAGCGACAGGTATACTAGTACATCCGCACCCGAGGACCGATACCGAGAAAATGAAAGAGTAACTATTCGTATCCAATAGAGAACCGCAGTGCGGTAATTAAACAATCGTCTCCAATTCCCGAGCGTAGCCCAGTGTATTCTCGATGACCGTGCCACTGGCAACCAGAATGTCTCTCTCAGACCGCGCAGCCGCCTCGGGCTCAACGGGGAAGTGTATCCGTCCATCGCGAAGGATCCAGCCGCGCTGCTGAGCAAACTCGATGACTGCGCCTTCGGACTCCAGGAAGAGGAGGTTCTTGGCGTTCGAAATGGGAAGAGAGGGATAGGCCTTCTCCGAGCAATCGGCGATTTCGCTGCGGATAGTACCAATCAGGACCTAAAAGAGCATAGATTTAGTATCAAGTTGTACAAGAGCTGTACTTCCGGTAAAAGCAGGCGCAAACTCACGTTCGAGAACAGACCAAAGTCCTCCGAAGGCACGCGCTCGGACTTGGTCTCCCGCCACACCTTATCATAGCTTCCCTCCATCAAGTTGCGCTCCAGCTCAACAGGGTACTTAATGTATGGGTTGTCTTCCACACGACCACCCTTCAAGCTGGCCTCTTCCACTAAGCCTTCAAGCACAGTGTGGAAGTTGGCGCTATCACCCATGCTCAATAGCAGCAAAAGGTACAACCCTGTGATCTTGCTACGCTGGCTACTTGACGAGTCCACCTCTGATGAAGTTTGGCCCGGCAAACCGGCATGTCGCTCAAGGTCGTAGAACGGCTGAAGCTGCTGGTAGTACCTTGTGAAGGTCTGCGCGTCGGTCTGTCGAATGGAGGCGAGGGCGCCCAGCTCAAGAATTGTGCGGGCGAGAACAACAAGCTGGGGAGGTGTGGAGGGAGTCGGGATCAGGGCATTTTGTAGGAGAAGGGCGCGCTTGGCTTTGCTGAGGAGATCGTTGGCGGCATCCAGTTGCTTGTGCTCAAGAGCGTTTGTGAGCTGCGGAACGATGGTCTTGAGATCGGCCATGGTGTGGCAATTTGAAATAGAAAGATATGGGAGAGATGATGTAACGCTAAGCAATCAAAGGAAGCCGAATGACTGCACCAGCAAGCAGGAGAATAATGGAATGCCGAGTTGGACGATGAGAGTTGTCGAAGGGCCATGACGGAGCTGCTGTAGGCGGTCACCGTCGCCACACGTGACCCTGACACATTAAACAGAGCTTCTAGCCGGATCGTCGAGCTTCTTCTTAGCTACAACCATTCTACACTAATTCCGTTTAATTCTCAAGAATTCAACTTCACGACGATGGAAAACCTCCATATTACCCATGCGCTGTAGCATTATGGCTCTGGAGAAAGGACCAACTCGGCCAAAGTTTGAAAGATTGGTGTTCCCAGCCCACTAACAGGATCCCATCCTTGCGTAGCATTCCAGCTTGCATAGGGAACATGAGGAGCACTGGCTCCTGTCTGGCTTGTCCCATCGCACCCTCGGGATCCTCCAGTTGTAATGTCTCTGAGCCCAGCCTTACCGATTGCGTACAACCATGGATTGAGGAAACCCATCCGAGGCTTTCCTTGCGCAAGACGGAGAGAGTTCAACTGGGACACTATGCCGGCGAATACAGGTCCCGCAGCACTGAAAATTATCAGCAAATCGTAGATGTCGTCTCATTGGAATCGGCTACCTGGTTCCGCTTATTTTGAGCCATGTTTCATGATCGCGAATGAGAAAGTTCTTGGCCTGGGCGGCGATATCTGGGATTCCTCGGCCCTTTGAATTATACAGATCCTTCCAGTGATCACGGTCCATTCGGTCCAAGAAGCCTTGTACTGCCTGATCCTGGTAAGCGGGTCGAGGGAACAAATCGGAGAATCCACCCCCAGAGAAATCAGCGGCTTCTTCTGGCTTGATCCCATACGTTCCACCGACAGACGTGACAAATGGACAAGATGCTGGAAAACCTGGAATGAATTTGGTTCTCTTGGATCCATCATTGCTCTGACATGAACTTCCTACTCCGGAATCCCCACTGCTGAAGATAACCGACACGCCTCGGGCGCCAAGTTGAGCAAATAGACTACATACTGCACGTGCGTATGATGGAGGCACACTCTGCTCAGATTCTCCGTATGAAGTCGAAAGAACCGCTGGAAGCTGGTCACCTGGTAGATCGATGAGATAGTGCAGCTGTTCCAGAAATGGCTCGTTTCCAGAGTTACTTGCATCTGGCTGATCTGCATCAGGTACAAGAGGAGCCCGACCACCCGTGCTGTAAAAGGTCACCAAGGTACCGCGTGCCATAGCACTAGCGTACTGAATATCCAAGCTTGCCTCGGTGGTCATTTGAGGGGAGTTTTCATCATTGATTCCGCCATTAATGGTGACCACTGTGAATTCCTCTCCTATCTCACCTGTCAGAAACCGGTTTCTGAAGTGATCAAAGTCATTGTGGCGGGCATATTGGTCCAGAAATCCTGAAATACCCAGTCGATTCCATGGAGAAGGTGTTGCTGTGAAGCCATGGAGACCATACAGCTCTCTGAGACAGTCTGGTCTAATCACTGTCCCGCACTCCGCCTTTAGATCCTCTAGCGTGGCGATTATTGGTTGATTGATCGGTAGGGTGCTCAGTGGGACGAGGTGGCCGAATCGCGTTGTTGGTTGAATCAATTGAATGTGAGGGTGTACATTGCTCGGCACAGAGTAGCCAAGAGTTCGAAGAACTGTACTATCCGTGGCTTCGTGATGGTAATTGAAATACTCCGTCTTCATCATACGCTCTGCTTGAGAGACAGGCGCCCTGAAGGTGATCCAATTACCATTTACCTTGGTCTTGCTGGGAGAGACGCGCTCTGAATCTAGCCATGCTAGGATCCGATTCAATACGATCTTGTCCGGTCGCATGATCTTTTCAATCTCTGCTCGTTTCATATACTGTCCATAGTTCCTGTGACCTGGCGTTGAGATATCGATCACATTTTGCTCGAAGTCGGTATGATTTGGCTGATTTATGGCAAGACGGAAGGTTAGGAGGGTCGACGGTAAAGGCTTGCTGCCTCTCAGCCATCCCGATGGCATTTCCTCCAGCCGTTCCACTATTTCATAGCCTTCATTTATTGTTGAGGCCCATTTGGCAAGACAGAGTGTAAGAACCCAGATTTTGAGAACATAGATTGCCACTCCCATGGTGTTTGTTAGTATATTAGAGAGGTGTATAGTGGCCACATTGATAACGGACTGCAATTGAAATCAGGCGATGATGAAGACCTTGGTCACCTTGGCCGGTAACTTGTCAAAGCCCGATCCAATTGCAGATTGAAAATACGACTAAGCTTCTATGAAAGAATTATCAAGGGAGTTGTCGGGTATTGAATGGTGATTGGATGCACTGGAGCTTCTTTTTTCGGATGTCAATAGGTGTCAATAGGTAACATTACCAGATCCATATTACTCCACCATTGGACAGACTGCTCCTGTTAATCTCGAGGCTATAGGATATGGGGATCGAGCACAGGAAGCGCAGGAATGCCTTCAATGTTCACAAACTTCCCCAGCACCCTGGACCGGCTCTGAAGGAGCAGCTGGCTGGTACCCCAAAGGGAGACCATGCAGTTGCAACTTGAAAAATGGCGCACGATTCGTTTCTGTGCCAGGGATGATTCGTAAGAGATCTTCACTCTGGAGATACACGGTTGTGAATGACAAGTGATGGGGTCTTGTCGTCAAATGCCCTAAGAATGGAAACCAAATGGTGAATGCTTACTGACAGGTGTTGACCCACTTCACCGAATCTCTTATCCCATTGCACGCCCTTCCGCCTCACGATCCCCCACGATCGCCCCTCTTATATTTGCCAACATGTCAAACACCTCAATCGTGCTACCGCGCCCGGGCGCGACTATCTCCGGTGAGCCACGGTCTATTCAAGCTCCATCCGAAGCTGCCTTCGTCGCAACTTTCGGGAGCCTTTTGCCCGCTGCATCATATACACAGACCCCCCACGGCAGAGTCGCATATTATGAGCTGTCCCCTTCATCACCCGCGCCTACAGACTGCAAAAACCCAGTCACTCGCGTACTTTTCTTGCACGGTGTACAGACACCTGCGATTGGCCTGCAGCCGTTGGCAAGCGTCTTGTCTTCGCAATTCCCGTATGCTCAATGTGTACTTGTTGATCTGTGGGGTCACGGTCTCACAGAAACACCGCTTCTACCTCACGACGCGACACTATTTCATTCATTGGTAAATTCATTGCTGGAGCTTCTCGGATGGGACAATGCTCACTTTGTGGGTTATTCGTTTGGCGCGTCAACAACGGCCTCTTTTGCGGCTGCCTATCCCGAACGTGTAGCCTCTATGGCGCTTGTTGCGCCTGCTGGTCTAATCCACTCTGCGCAATTCGACGAAGTGCAGAGGAGTTATTTGCGTGGAGGTGAGGACATAGAAGATAGGGCCCGAGAATGGATTGTGGAGTGGCTTGAAGGAGGCAAATTGGTTGTTCCCTCGGATTGGAAGGAGAGGGTCCAACGGGGTGAGGTTGTTGCCGAGGCAGTTCGCGAGTGGCAAACGAAGGAGCACAAAGGGCATACTGCCAGTGTAGTGGGTATTGTCAGAGATGGGGGGGGTTCTGGACAAGCATGCCGATTTCGCTGAGGCAGCAAAGACGAATATTCGGAGTCTATGTGTTCTAGGGGAACTGGATGACTTATGCAGCGTGCAGGACTTGAAGGATATCGGGATGCACAATGTTCATGTTGTCCCTCAAGTGGGCCATGGAGTTGTTCGACAGGAGGTGGCAGAGGTGGCTCGACTCATTGAAGAGTTCTGGAGAACTATCTAGATTTGGAGGCAGTACCCCAGGATAATGTCGATCAATTCGGTGAGATCCGTCAATCACTTCCAATATGATATGGTTTTCATATATTCTGTAAGTACTTTCAATCTTTGCTCAATTGCCTTCAGCTCCATCGGAAGTATAGGATTATGGGCCTATGACTCTCCTTCTACCATTCAACTGCTTCTCAGCATGTCTCCGGTCACCTGCTTTGAAACTTCTCTTAACCCTCTTTTCTCATGTTGCGTCTAAGGAGTGAAGACTTGATCGCCTATTCAGATCGATTTCATTTATTTCAAGGAACGCCTGCAATGTGGCGCCTGTCATTTATGCCGATTCAAGTAAAGTTCGTTAGATGTATGCGTGATAGATATGTTCGAATCCCACCCCTTCTTCTTACTTTTGAAGATTTAATGCTACGAATTCTCTCCCTGCATGACCGAAGGGCTCGTCCTCGGCAATAATCTTATTCCATAAACGCTGATAGATTCCAAAACACATCTATCCAAAACCTCAGCCAGGGCAAAGGTGAGTAGCGTCCATTATCGTTATGTTAGTGCGAATCTAACGCCGTTTTGCGCTAGCTCCATGAGGTGCTCGACATTGTGTCGTTGGACACACTGCTTGATTTGGACGATGAAGAAGACGGATATGAGATCAGCAGGAGTGTGTGCAACTCTATGCTCTCGAGATTGGAAATCAATCTCGAAAATCTAAGAAACTATTTGTATGGAAATCTATCTACCTGTTTCAGCCGCAAAACAGCTGCTGTCCCCGAGTTCCTCCTAGTGGAAATCTTCTCACTTGAACCGCTCTCGTAGAGCCATACTATCAATGTTTGCCATTTGCTGACTTAGTTCTGCTGATATGTTTTCGAGGACGGTACTCGAATATAGAGCAATCTATGCTGTAGCCACATTTAAAAATGACCCCGCTGCTACAATTGGCTTGACAAAGGTTGAAAGAATCGGCCGGACTATACGAACTTATTGCAGTATGTTAGACGGGGATGGACCATACGTCAGTGAGGAGGAAGACTTGAAAGTGATCACCAAAGCGGTTGAGCGTCTCCAGAGCATATCCTCAAGGGTGAGAGGGCTATTGAGGAACACTATGCGCAGCGGCGCAATTAGACGTGCGGTCCGTCAAGGAGTATGGTATTTATCGGCCGGTTATGCCGAAGGTTCAACCAAACCTGATGTACTTTTTGCCAATCCCACAACGCACTGTGAGATTACATGGATTACGCCTGATTTGGGCCAATGTTACCGCCAAAGTCCATGGATATGACGGCATTACAAGATCGACATGTAGGTACAACTTGATGCCTTGGCGCCTAAGTGCTTATCGGATCATCGAAGTTCCGAGTGCCGAGATGCGGGATGATCGACGTCACTGCGTAGCGTGAGTGCGCCCTCACCAGTGAAAGAGAAGGGCTGTTTCTCCACTATCGAAGAAATTAGATCGTGAAGCTGCAGAAGATCCATCCGAGTGCTGTGTTGTCGCCAATTGTTGTGAACTGAGTGGTGCCGTGGAAAGTGTAGCTGTCATCCCCAGATCTTTCCAGACCAAGTGGAGATTGCCGATTGACAGCTTTCGGACCTAGTCCTTGTTAATACATCTGACGATCCTTTCTGAAGTTTTCGGAACTTTCCCCTCTGGAGCAGAAAGAATATCCGACTCCTTGCTTGCTGCTTATTGCTTTCATTGTACCCGAAATTCAATTAAGGAGGTGGCACGATTCGCTGAGTTGGAGTCGACGTCATTGCTACATTCCAGATACCGCGTGATATACTTCCCCAGCTTCCGAGTCCGACTTCACTTTCTTTTCCCCTCTCCTCGATCCCGCGTTCTACCATGGCTGAGCCGGATATCCAGCATATGCGCCGCATGTCGGCGGAGAACCAGACCATCTTGAAGTCGGAGATTCCTTTGAAGGAAAGGTTCTTCCGTTACTTCCAGCATGAAATCACCGGTACGTCTTTCTCCGGTCTTTAAACCATACACGATCGTAGGGAAGGGGAGAACGTGATGGCTAACCCGAGAAATATAGCCCTGCAACAGCAAATGGACAGTCTGGAGGATACATCCCTTGTCGGTGGTGAACGTGCTGATGCAACTGACCACTGCCTGGCCGGCATCGTGCGACTCTCCAACGAAGTCAAGGATGCAGCGAGCTACATCCCAACTTACGACCAACGAGTCTATGCAGAGGTATAAATATAGAACACTTTGGTATCACAACTCCAATGCTCATTATCACAGGCCATCAAAGCCTTGCAGGACAAGTTGAATGAGACCCGCGCTGCCTTCGAACCTCGAGCGAAATTTGCCTTCAAGACGAAGAAGAATGCGTCTGCCATCTCCCTGACCGATGCTGCGACACTGGCAGCGGAAGGCCGTCGTAGCATTCCCGGCTACCGTTCGCCAGGGGCCTCCTCGGTCGGTTCATCCGCGAATCACACTCCGAACTATCCCTCCACCCCTCTGAACGAACCGGACAAGCAACACCAGGAGAGACCGGAACTCGCACCGACGTCATTCCCGGGAATTTCAGTCGGCGAGCACGAGTCGAAGCCTCACTCCGAGGCTAAGCCCGCCTCTGCCTTCGCTGCTACTGGCATTACCTCCGTCTCAGTGAACAATCACGTCGGTTTACACATCATGCTGCCGGCCTCTGGCTCGGTGTCTTCGGTCCTGCGTCCATTACTTCGTTAGAACACTGTATTGTGGACATGTCCATTCCCACGGCTAACAGTAAACCCTTCGCCAGCTTGACTATCAAGGGCGTCGAAGAAAGTCTTTTGATCTGTGGCCAGGTCACTGGCCCCGCACATATCACTGGGGTGGAACACAGCATCCTCGTGGTGTCGTGCCGACAATTCCGCATGCACAATTGCAAAGATGTTGATGTATACCTCAGCTGTTCGAGCAATCCCATCATCGAGGAATGCTCAAATGTCCGGTTTGGCAGGATACCGAAAGCATACGTAAGTGTATCTCTTTCGAACCTTACTTCGACAATTAGCTGATTCTCTCTTCAGGCTTTCCACCACGATCGCCCCGACCACGAAGATCGCTGGAGCCAAGTCGAAGATTTCAAGTGGATCAAGCCTGAGCCCAGTCCCAATTGGAGTCTCCTGGATCCAACCGATGCTATTGCTGAGGAGGTCTGGGCGGAGAATCGTTCCCGGCGGGCCGGGTTGGTCGCTCGATGATATTCTGCATGCCATCAAGTTGATTTAGTAGAGAATCAGCGGTCCTCAGTCCTGTCTGCCATGCGATTGATGAGTTCTCCTCGCCGTGAAAATCAAAATTTATAACATCTCTTAGTCTGACTGTCAAATCAACTCTCTTTCAATCATTTTATGAATCCAATACTATCAAAGTTAAAAAATATAGGTCTTTACCTTAAGTAACACGCTGCGCAGAGACTGACTGGTTACCTCGTGAACTTTGTCACGGAATTAGCGCAGGATGTCACTGAGATCATTGAACATCAAGACGCCGAGGAATCTCCCTATTTCTAGTTTTCCTTTTCTTTGTTTTGTTTTGAAGGTACAATAGGAAATTAAATGACCCAACCACAGATTGAAATCATCTTAGAGTATGGTCCATCTTCCAAAGGTAGACCATACGTTATTTCTCACCCTGGGCCGTGCTCGCTTGAGCTATGTAAAATGGGGCAATTGGCACTGAGACAATCATTTGACAGTTTTGTTATCTGATATGTTCTAACACAGACCACATAGCTGGTCCAGTCAAAACGACCACTGAGCGGGAGATCAAAATTCCACCTTGAAAGCCAGGACCTGATTATCAACATTATATCCAGAGGCATCCTTGTAAGGGAACCTGCCAAAGTTCATATATCCTGGAAGACGTCAGCACAAAACCAATTTCATCAAAAGATCACAGACTCACCGTCCTGAGTAATGAAATCATTATCACTCCAGCTGAACAGGAAATACTCCTTCCGCCCACCAGCAGGCACAAGAGCCAGCGATTCCCACTTCTCATTCAGCAGCCACTGATCCTGTGCACCGCCATTATGGAGTCGGAATTTACCCAGCTCCGAGTTAACATTGAAGTCCAAGAAAGGACAATACTCAGCTGGAGTTATACCGGAATTGAGCACTCCCTCTGAAGAAGCAATTGAGCCAGTCGCGGTATCAAAGTCATCAACTCCTTTCAGATCGGTGGCACGCGCCTTCTTGCTCAATACGGAGAAGACGTCCGCATTTCGGTACACGGATCGACTCTCGTCCTGACCGTGTCCGAAGCCGGAGTCGCGCGCCAGCACTAGGAAGTCACCTGTTGGGAGTTGGTGGATTTCAGACTGCGCGGCGACTTTGTTTGCTTTGCTGGCGTGAGAGGAGGTGTAGTCAAAGTACTTGGGGAGCATTACGACCCATTCGTGGACATACTTGGGGATTCTGCCGGAGATATCATACGCGAGCATGCGGGCCGGTTGTTTGGTTTGCTTGTCCGGTCCGCCCTCCTGGTCGAGAGCGGACTGCATGAGCGCGTAAAGGGTCTTTCCATCTGGGGAGGTGGTCAATCCTTCGAGACCTTGGTTGTTTGCCCGGCCTGTTGTCGTGTCCTCGGGGTTTGGGACTTCCGAGGGGTTGTAAAGAGGCGGCGTGTCCGAGTTGAAGCTGAGGGTTTCATTGCGGCGGGGGAGATAGGCTTGCGGGGGTTGAATTGCTAGCTCCATCTTGCCCTTGGCACTGAACTTGTAAATATATGGGCCGTACTCATCGGAGACCCAAAAGCCGCCATCTCTCGCAAGTGCCAGACCTTCTGCGTCGACTGAGATTCGACGTCCACCTTTTCCGGCGCCGCCAAAGCCGTCTCCTGTGTATGTTGCTACAGGAAGAGGCGGGAAGCCCTTGTAGGAACCGTATCCGGTAATATCAGCATCTAGGCCAGTGGTTGGCTCGCCGTCCGGTCCAGTCAAGAGGATCGTGTCAAGATACTCCAGCTGAATGTTGGGGTCAGAGGGGTGCTCGGGCGTCGCATGAGGAGCTAGCTTGAGCGTGACAGCAATCTTATGGATGCGACTCTGGAAATTGAGAGTACCATTTGTGTTCCTAAGGGGTGATGTCAGTAAAATGTATATTCTCTTCTAAAGAAGTATAGTTGATCTCACCAGCCGCGATCAGGGATGGCCCAAGCCGTGCCATGGTATTTTCCATTCTTCTTGTGCCAGGACGATTGATCAATCGCAACAGAGCTACCAATTCCGCCGATTGTATCTCCGTATTTATCCCTCGCATTGGATGGAATAAATCCATAGCCCGCCAGCCCAGTATACTTGTACGTCGTACCGGCACATGTAGTCTGGTTGACAACATCCGTGGCGGACGCAGCCACAGCTAGGAACGAAACTACCCAAGTCGACTTCATGATGTACATTTTTGCGATTCCTAGCGGGCACTTCGCGCTGCTTTATACAAGCTCTCGACTCCGAAATTGCATGGCCGGATGGTCGGATGAGAGCACAGCGTGCTACACGCTAGACCGAGGGGCCAAGACATCGCACTAGTCAACGTGCGAAAAGTCGCGGTCATCATTCGCCGATCGACATGGCATCGCCAAGATAACTGGCGACTTCGGTTATCAATTGGTGATGTTGTTCATGGAGATCGAAATTACATGCAGGGGAAATCGTCCGTCCTTGCCGACCCGGGTGTTAAGAGCACTTGGTAGCGTTCTGGCGTTCGGCTGCGATCTTGTCTTACTTTTTGTGACACTCGCATTGCTCGTAAACACATTGTTGTTGATATTTTTACGCTAGGTAAAACTGACGGCATTGGGAAAATTACAACTAGTGGGTCCAAGTGGTTTGCAAGGTGGCATACTTTTTCCCATGCAAGCCCAGATCTTGGAAGATAGTCTGATCACCTATAGACGAAATTAGTGACCAGCGGTAATGTGATGGCGCGGGATGACGCGTCTGGTTCTTACCCTGGAGGGCCTCGACACGGTGTTCATTTTCCTGTTCCATGCTCTTCAATTCCTGCCCTGGCTCATGCTCGTGAGCTTCCTTGTTTCCTTCGGCGGTCGTAGCTTTGCCCAGGGAACCTTGTGCCTCGCCAATCATCAAAAACTGTGCATTGGAATATTCAATGAGCTCTGGTTCCAAAGGAATCCATCGGAGATCTCTGAACTTCTCCAGCACTCTACTAAAAAGTTAGATCGACAATTCTATAAATTCCAAGGCATGCTCAGAAGTGACTTACGATGCGGGATACTCAGGTTGCTTCGGTAGCTGCGCAAAGCTTGGACCAGGATACTTCGGATTCTTTGATGAAACAATCCAGGAACCTTGATGGTGGATGCCAAAACTATCCTGGATGTCACCTAGCTCGGCGGGAATTGTCAGCACATAGGCGAGGTGGGAGGCTCGCTTGGTCGACGTGATCGCATAGACGCCCTCGGCATAGGGTCTAGATTCGCCAACGGTACGTTCACCCCGAGTGGCTGTCTCATAAGTCTTGGCCGCGAAGAAGTTTTCTTGCAGATCTTTGATGGTCTGATCAGCCTTCTCCACAAATCCCATCTCTCTTTCGCCGGGCTTGGTGGGGAATTTCTTCTTTGGAAGCATCAGGAGACGACACCGAGCGTTTTTGTCAAGTGGTCTTGGGTCGTGGTCTAGTTCACCACCGAGAGGAGTTGGCCGGAGCACAAAGAAGCTTCGGGCAACATCTTCGAAGCCATGAGGATCTTCGACGTTGACTCTTGGGCGGAAGAAGAAGTAGATTATTCCCTTTTCCAGGATATTTGACGACACGGCATGTTCTCTCTCTTCAGATTTGTGGACCCCCAACTCTGTATCGGCTTCAGGCTTTGTGGTCTCGGCGGCTGGATTGTGAGTTCCGGGAACTGTCTCAGGCTTTGATTCCTCTTTTATCCCTGTTTCCTGGTCGCTGTGAATCGCAGCTTCTTGGACAACTGCGTGCTTCACCTCAGGCTGCTTATCAACAGTAGTCGGAGTCCCCGGAATAAGTGTAGCCTTCGTCTCAGGGGCTTCATCGACTTGACTGGGTGTGACGTCGACAGGCTTTGCCTCCCGTTGGCCCTCATCAATCGTCTCTGTCTTAGGTTGAGAACCATCTTCAGTCGGGGCCTCTCGATTGGTTTTTTCGATCTTCTCTTTCTTGGTTTTAGAATTCTTTTCACTGGAAGCCTTGCGTTTCGATCCAGGGGTTACCCGGTCCGAGGGGTCAATTGAAGAAGTGATAGCCTCCTTCGCCTTCTGGGCGGCCTGACGCGTAGAGGTTCGAGCAGGCATAGCCGACTTTGGCGCCGTTTCTTAGAAAGTTTGAGTGATTAAAGATTGATGTATCGATTGATGGCATCAATATATGGAGAATGAAGAACACGTCCATCCTCGCGCCCCAATTGTGAGAGGCCTGGCGCGTGCTTGACGACTCATGAGATACAAATGACGTCACTTTGATCGTTTATCACGTGTACTCCTTCTCCCTCAAACAATGAGCAAGTGATGAGACTGGAAGATGGTAGTAGAAGTTTCAATCAATATCCATCTCGTCGGTCAGGGTAGGCTCGTTGGGTACGTCGGTACTGTATCCATCGGTCGAGTGTAGATCGGAGCTCGAACTGTCGGTGGAGCCAGTCTCGCGGAAATCGTCGAGAGAGGCCATGCGGGTTTTGGCAGCATCAGCCGATAACTTATGCCTTTTCCGTCGTCGTTTCGGACTGAGTCCCGGTACAGGAATTTGTTGCTCATCGAGCATGGATTTCGCTTTGGTACAAGAAGGCGGGCTTTTGACATGCCCGGATCCGCCAAAGATGGGCGATTTGCGCTTTTGGCCTCTTCCCTGATTTGGAGGTAACTTGACTGTCGGATTGATGTCGGAAGAGCGGCCCATGTCGTCCATCCACTCCGTCAAGTCACGCTGCCATCGTTCGAATGGGTCTGGTAAACACGGTAGTTCGGTCCGTGTAGTGATGGAACCTGGTATATCGTCGGGTTCTTCAATATCGTATGGTTGAAAGATCTCGTTTGCTGTGTCCTCGATGTCTGCAACTTCGGGAGCGCTTGGGATGCCCTCGTGCGTTGGTGTTGAAGGTCCCGAGTCATTCAAACTATGGCCACTAACGTCTGTGGGAGGGTGAGTCGCAGTGTAGGCATTCAAAGTGGGCGGAGACTGCGAACCGTCAGGTGCTTCATGTGATGGGCCGGTGCTTTCCACGTCCTCCATGGAAAGATCTTGTTCGGGATCTTCCATCATGATGAAGTGGGAAAATTGCGGTTGTAGATATCCACGCTTCTGTAGACGTTGGGGTAGCAGATTGCCACATTGAATGTTGCTGCGATTGGAATAATGTGCTGGGTTTATGACTATACAGAAAACGGGAAACTCAAGTAAGAAAACCATTAATCGCCAGAACGGGTCGAGGATTAGATCGAGAGAGTCACCACATATGGGATAAATCATTGGTCTTCCACATGTTTCCAGCGGGGAGAGGTTTCCTTCTCCCAGATCGCCACTCACCTACACTGGTCGACATCCACCCCACCAGATTATAGAGAGCCAAGAGCCTTGTGCCTGTCAACCGCTCCGAGATTCTACCTTGATCATTCATTCATTAGCAATTAAAGAACACCGATATAGTTAGCCCCAGACATCATGACCCGGACCCCTGGCTCACCGCCTTGGGCATGATTGGCTGCCGCGATTCGCTAAATAGAGTCCACGTTTAGTTTACCTTGCTACGTCTACGTTTACCGCTCTAGCACAGGCATCCACGACTGCAGCTTCTACCTTTCCTTTCCCTGGTGGATGCGGTGGCTGCTTCTGTGATCTATTCCTAACTCTGCGGAGCTTGCTACTGTACAGTGCGGCTCCGGCCTAATCTTCAAGATGCAGTCCTCTCCAAACATGCTCACCAAGGTACGCCCCTCGATCACCGCGAACGCTTGCTGTTCCATCTCCGCCGCGCATTTTCGCATGATCTCGGTCAATTGAGTTGTCTGACCCTCTTCCCTCGCGCAGTTTGAGTCCAAATCCTCCAGAGCCAAGGGAATCGCATTCCACCCCAAACGGTCAGTCTGTCCCGCGGGGACACCTACACGTTCAAAACAACGGCACTAACCCCAAGCAAAGGCCATGGATTCTAGTTTCCCTTCACTCCTCGACCATTCAGCTATGGGACTACCGTATGGGAACACTGATTGACCGATTCGAAGAACATGATGGTCCGGTCCGAGGAATCGATTTCCACCCTACCCAACCCCTGTTTGTGTCTGGAGGCGACGACTACAAGATTAAGGTCTGGAACTACCAGACCCGGAGGTGTCTTTTCACATTGAACGGCCATTTGGATTACGTGCGCACGGTTTTCTTCCACCCCGAGCTCCCATGGATTCTGTCGGCGTCCGATGACCAGACCATTCGAATCTGGAATTGGCAGAACCGTTCATTGAGTGAGTGATGCCGACGCGACGGTTTCGCGTATCTGCTACTAACAATTGGCTTCTCGTAGTCTGTACCATGACCGGTCATAATCACTATGTTATGTGTGCTCAGTTCCACCCCACGGAAGACCTCATCGCCTCCGCCTCTCTCGACCAATCCGTCCGCATATGGGACATCTCTGGCCTGCGAAAGAAGCACTCCGCCCCAACCTCGATTTCCTTCGAAGACCAGATGGCGCGCGCCAACCCCAATCAGGCTGATATGTTTGGAAATACCGATGCTATCGTGAAGTTCGTGTTGGAGGGCCACGACCGTGGGGTGAATTGGGTTTCGTTCCACCCGTCATTGCCATTGATCGTGTCGGCGGGTGATGATCGACTCGTCAAGCTCTGGCGCATGAGCGACACCAAGGCTTGGGAGGTTGATACTTGCCGTGGCCATTTCCAGAACGCTTCGGCCTGTCTGTTCCACCCTCACCAAGACCTCATTCTCTCCGTCGGCGAGGACAAGACCATTCGTGTGTGGGACTTGAATAAACGCACATCGGTGCAATCCTTCAAGCGCGACCAGGACCGATTCTGGGTCATTGCCGCCCATCCTAATATGAACTTGTTTGCTGCGGGTCACGATACTGGTGTGATGGTCTTCAAGCTCGAGCGTGAGCGTCCAGCATCCGCCGTGTACCAGAACCAGCTGTTCTACATCACCAAGGAGAAGCATTTCAAATCTTACGACTTCGTGAAGGGCGTCGAGTCGCCTGCCATGCTTTCATTGCGCAAGCTTGGCTCTCCTTGGGTCCCCCCCGCGCACTATCTCCTACAATCCGGCCGAACGTGCCATCCTGGTCACTTCGCCTACCGATAGTGGAACATATGAGCTGATTCATCTTCCTCGTGATGCCACTGGAGCTGTCGAACCCACCGACGTCAAGCGCGGTCAGGCTACTTCGGCTGTCTTCGTTGCCCGTAACCGCTTCGCCATCTTCAACCCCGCCTCCCAACAGGTCGACATTAAGGATCTCAGCAACTCTACCACCAAGACTATCAAGCCCCCGGCCGGGACAACAGACATCTATTTCGGTGGCACTAGTTGCCTCTTGTTCATCACCCCTACCACCGTTGTTCTCTTCGACATTCAGCAAAAGAAGCAGCTGGCCGAGGTCACTGTTAGTGGCGTGAAGTACGTCGTTTGGTCCAACGATGGTCTGTACTGTGCTCTGCTTAGCAAGCACAATGTTACTATTGTCACCAAGACTCTTGAACAAGTCAGCACATTGCATGAGACCATCCGCATCAAGAGCGCAACCTGGGACGATGCTGGTGTTCTGATCTACTCTACCCTGAACCACGTCAAGTACTCGTTGCTTAATGGGTATGCTACAACCCTCCCCCGTTCCGACTGTACGCAGGAATGACTGACTCTTCTACAGTGACAATGGAATCATCCGCACTCTTGATCAGACCGTGTACCTTGTCCGTGTCAAGGGACGCAACGTTTACTGCCTCGACCGCAACGCCCAGCCCCAGATTCTCCAGATCGACCCCACCGAGTACCGATTCAAGCTTGCGCTGGTTAAGCGAAACTACGACGAGATGCTGTCGATCATCAAGACTTCGAGCTTGGTTGGTCAGAGCATCATCTCCTATCTTCAGAAAAAGGGCTACCCGGAGATTGCCTTGCAGTTCGTCCAGGACCCTCAGACTCGCTTCGACCTAGCTCTAGAGTGCGGAAATCTTGAGGTTGCCATCGAGATGGCTCGTGAATTGGATCGTCCCAACTTCTGGAGCAGACTCGGAGCCGAGGCTTTGGCCCACGGTAACCACCAGACTGTTGAGATGACTTACCAGAAGCAGCGAAACTTCGACAAGCTTTCCTTCCTTTACCTTTCTACCGGTGATCAGGAGAAGCTTTCTCGCATGGCCAAGATTGCTGAGCACCGGGGAGACTTCACTTCTCGTTTCCAGAACGCCATCTACCGCGGGGACGTTGAGGACCGTATCCAAATGTTCAAGGAGGTTGACCAATATCCCTTGGCTTATCTCACTGCCAAGGCTAATGGCTTCACCGAGGAGGCTGAATCTATCCTTGAGGCTTGCGGCCTTACCGAAGACCAGATTGCTCTGCCTCCATTGGACGAGCCTCTCAACATTCCGCATCCCATTGTTCCGACCTTCAAGACCAACTGGCCTGTCAAGACTGCAGGTCACTCTTCCTTCGAAAAGGCCTTGCTCGGTGAGGTTGGTGCTGATGAGGAGGCTGCTGCCGATGCTTTCGAGGTTGAGGAGGAAGAACAAAACACCGTTCTTGCTAAGGATACTATGCAGGATGACGAGGAGGATGCTTCTGGCTGGGATATGGGTGATGATGTTAATGTTGAGGAAGACGTTGAGTTCGTCAACGTTGAAAGTCCCGAGGCTGGTCCGGGCAGCTCAGAGGCCGATCTGTGGGCTCGCAACTCCCCCCTGGCGGCTGATCACGTCGCCGCTGGCTCATTTGACAGCGCCATGCAGCTGTTGAACCGCCAGGTCGGTGCTGTACACTTCGCTCCTTTGAAGGGCCGATTCCTAGAGGTCTTCAAGGCCTCGAAGACTTACCTCCCCGCAAGCGTTGGCCTGCCACCTCTGGTCAACTATGTGCGGAGAACCACTGAGGAGACTGATAGCCGCAAGGTCCTTCCCATCATTCCTCGGGACCTCGAGACTGTCGCCACTGTCTACCTTCAAGAAGGTTACGCGGCCATGCGTGCCAACAAGTTGGAGGATGGCGTGGGAATTTTCAAGAACATCCTGCACACTCTCCTCATCAACACGGTCTCGTCCGAGGCCGAGGTTGAGCAGGCTAAGAAGATTATCGCCACAGCTCGCGAATACATCCTCGCCATGTCCATTGAGCTCGAGCGCCGGACTCTCTCTGCCGACGACCCGGATAGCCTCAAGCGAAGCCTGGAGCTGTCCGCCTACTTCACTATTCCTAAGCTGGAGGTTGCCCACCGACAACTGGCTTTGATGGCTGCCATGAAGTTCTCTTTCGCCAACAAGAACTACAACTCTGCGCTGGGCTTCGCCAACCGGATGCTGGCTAACGGAGGCTCCCCCAAGCTTCTGGAGCAGGTAAGATACTCTCTTCTGTCACATAGGGGTTTCAGTTACTAACTTCCATAACCAGGCCAAGAAGATTAAGGCTCAGTGCGAGCGCAACCCGTCAGACCAGATCGACATTGAATTCGACCAATTTGCCGAGTTCGACATCTGTGCCGCCTCCTTCACTCCAATCTTCAGCGGCTCCCCCTGTGTCGTCGACCCCTTCACCGGCGCCAAGTACCACGAGCAATATAAGGGCAGCGTGTGCCGGATATCCCAGGTTACCGAGATCGGCGCACCGGCCAGCGGCCTGCGTCTCTTCGTTCCCGGTCAATATTAACTCCCCCCCATGACGTCTGACGGTTTTCTCTACCTTTCCTTGACATGAAGTTTAAAAATGGGTTCTTGCTTCCGTCTTCTGGTACAAGAAGTTAGTGTATTTGGCGGCGCTTTATTCCAGGAGCTCTTAACTTCCTGCAGCTCCATCCTTTCCCCTGTCTAGATGTCTTTGTCCCTGAGATTTTATAATTGTTAGCGGTCTTAGTTTGTATGCCATTGTTTTACAAGTTCATCTTAAGTCCAACTCATAGACCTTGATGTTCAGAGCCAATGCAGTGTGGTTGTGGTTGTAGTATGCAGTATGCAGTATGAATAAAAATCAAACAAGTCCTCTCATGCAAGAAATAGTATACACAGGGGAGAGAGATCTAAAATCCCCGAACGCCGTACCAATATCATTCAGCCATAATCAATCACCTCAATCACAGCGCCCATCCTTCCACCCAGTCCTCCACCTCTCCTCCCAGAATCGACAATCAAATTCCTTCTTTCCCAGTTTGCGATTCACCTCATTATGCGCCTCGCAAAGCCACCAGCCAAAATCCTTCCGGCCACCCAGCTTCGGCTGGTTGCGTCCACTTGGATGCGCCATCCACGTCCGGAAGTCGTCCGCGCATACCCAGCATGGGTACAGCTTGGAGAAGAACTTCAGGAATCCGCGCATATTATCTTGGTGCTCGGCGTTCGCAGTCTCGGGATAGGTGGCGGCCATGGAGTGCAGCAAGGTCCATGTTGAGCGGCCTAATTCTTCGACGTCCGGGGGGGCATTCGGGGGGGGTTCGTACTTGGGGAGGGAGTTGCGGGGACGGCGCGGGGCACTGTAGGTGTGGTGCTGGTGTTGGTTGATGGGGAGCTGTCGGATTTGGCTTGCCTGGTTAGGTTCTTCCAGGCTGCGACGGAGGTGCAGGTGCGGCAGCTGGTAAGGATTGTTAGTATCCTTTCTGTTTTTATAGACGGCGCATTAAGGTAGAGCATACGGCTTGCCATCCTTGTCGAGGACAACGCCCTTGGGCAACGGGGCCTTGGAGTCGTCCGACTCTTTGCGCGAGGAGCTGCCGGCGGCCTCAGTGAACGAAAATGGATTGCTCCTGTTGGGAAGCACCTGCTCCGGGGGACTTCGGCCATTGTGAATGTAGAATTGGACGTTGATTGGGGTGGAAGGGAGGTGTGCGCAGAGAGAGAAGTTCAACTTGATTTCTAATACGCGGCGGCGGAGATCCGGAGATCGCTGCCGACGATCAGGAACAGCCCCATTTTTAGCTACTCCGCTTCCATGTCTGCAACGTACACGCAGTCCATTCCAAGGCCTATCTGTGCTAAGCCTGTCTGTGAGCAACATGCTTCGTGGTCAATAGGATGACGCTGTGGTCTTTGCTTCGAGTATATTGTTCAAGTGGCAGAAATCCATGTAAAATGCGCCTGCCAGGCGGTTCTAGAGTTGTTCAGGCAGCCAAAAGTCTCAATATTTCCCGACCCGTTGCTTTCTCGCGGACCCTGATGGCAGCTAATACGTGTCCATGGCCATATCTGGACTCAAAACGAGGTTTTTGCGCCGGTGTGGCTTGTTTGCGCTCGACAAATACGAAAGCCAGTGCTTTGAGTAATTGTAGCCGAGCTGGCACTTTCTATTTAGCTTACATTGACAGCTGCTGTAAATAAAGGAACTTTGTGTGTAGCTTTCCCCAGCGCTTGGCTCATCTCTCAGGTTGGGTCTCTAGCTAGAGCAAACCGTCTGTTTGGCATCTATATTGAGATCGGTGTTGTGCCGACTTCCTATATCGCACCTCTTCCAGAATTCAGAACTTCCTCTCTCGATGCCCTTTTCGCGATACCCTTTTCGTGAAACAACATGGCGGCACCTTTCATCGCAGCTGAGAACTTCGAACAAAAGCTCCACCAGTACTTGTTGATGTTTGAAGAGTTCGGTCGGAAGAAAGTTCGTTCTATACCTCGACTCCATGTATCACAAATGCCGATGACTTGAGCTCATAATACTCCAGTCTTGGTACTCGGACCCCAAAAAAGCTTGGAATCACTATCGAAAATTTCAACTGCGGTCCGATTCCCTCAGTCACCTTCCGCTTCTCGATAACCGACGAATTGTGCAATGTGGGTAACACACTACATGGAGGTTGTGCAGGCGCTCTGATCGATGATCTAGGCTCGGTTCTGCTGGGAGCTATATCTAGACCGGGACTGTTCTCTAAATTTGGAGCGAGCAAAAACCTGAACTCCACATTCATCAGGCCTGTCGGACTAGGTGAGGAAGTAAGGCTAGTCAGTGAGCTGGAATATATTGGTGATAAGCGTGCATTAATGCGGGGAAGGCTTTACAGGGTGGGTACGGATGAACTATGTGTTATTACCGAGAACGATAGGGCGAATACGGACCCTCAAGTAAGAGCTAGGATGTGAAAGAGAGAGAAATACTGGAACCAAATGGTCAACAAAGTGCCGGTAGCCCTACACAATTTCTTGCCTACTGCCTTTTCTTGGAAGTGAGGGTAGTGTTGGATGTAACCTTCCGTTATAGTTAGACCTTCAATACCAGCTTTCTGCTATGGCAAGTGTGTATCCATCTATGGAGACGTATGTTCCTGCGTTCCAGTTCATACGTCTAGCCAGTGTGAATATCAATGCCCGTATTGGCTAAGCCACACATGCGCGCTATGGAGTTATGAAGTATATTCATTTGACCTGCCTCACTATATAATTCTCGGCTTGATCGGCGACTGGTATACCACCTTACCAATACTCAAGGTACATTTCGCACATGTGCATTCTTCACTGATACCCACATCACTCACGGAGCCCACGCTTCGGCCCAACAGACCAACGAGACAGAAGATCACGAATAGAATCGGACTTTGCCATCTTCGAGGAAATTAGGTCCCATGCAGTCGTCTTGGTTTCTGGATCCGGGATGGTTGGATCCGCTCCTGCGAGCAGAAGAATCTTGACAGCCTCGGAGTTTTTGCGATAGGCGGCAATGAACAGCGGCGTGGCTCCCGTGCGACCGCCAGGTGCATTGATATCAAGCGATGGGTTAGACTCAATCATGGCTTTGAGAACAGAAGTCATGCCAAAAGATGCAGCATAGTACAGGGGCTGGGTCGTTTCAATTACTTTGACATCAGCTCTGGGCAAAAGTGCTTGCACCCACACGCCGAAGTTGCCGCGGCAGGGTAAACTCTTGCTCTCGAATAATCGATTGACAAGACTTTTCTCGTGCTCGCCGAGAGAACAATCTGCGGCGTGTATGGCCCAATATTTTGCGACATATTTCAATAATGGGTATTCTTTCAGGCGTGCGTGACCTTCGTCGGCAGTCGGCGCGTACCCCGTTTTAAAATTATCGAGGCATAAGTATGTGAGACACAGGCGCATGATAGTGGCACTTGCAGTTGTTGGATCCAACCTGAAGCATTTCACATTGGATGTGCGAATCCATTCAGATGTCAAGAAATTCTTCACGGACGAGTGGGCAAGACTGACATATCCCGATGCATCTACTGTTATCAATCCTTGGCTGATATTGAGAAGAATCTTTGGAGGAAACAGCATCATATCTTCGTCTAGTGCCTTCGAGCCCTCTTCAACTACCACTGCTTCGTTGAGCTGATTGAGTGTGACGGGCGTTTTAACGAAACTGAGCCAGAAGAGAGCTTCGCGGACAAATCTTTGGTCGTCTGGAGCTATCCTAGCCAATGTAGTCACGTAGCTCTCGCGTAGTGTTCCCGGCAAGTTATAGAGAGTTTCACGCATTGCTCTGGCGGTTCTTTGTAAACTCAGATTGTCGAGTGATAGCTGGACCCAGCGGAATCTAAGACACGGTTAGGCGAGGGGATCCTAATTGGGTGCATTTTTTACGCACGATCCGTCAGCTTTATAGAGCAAAGTTTCTTCGACTTCCGCTTTCAGTTTTCGTGGCAGGCTTTTCAAAGTTTCATCTTGTTCGAATCGGTGCTTTATGAAGGTATCGATGTCACGTCGCATCATCTGTGCGCTCACATTAAGAGTTCTCGCGTACTCTGGGAGCACCGTGGTCGATACGGCTGTTGTCGTGACAAGAATGCGAAGATTCGGAGAAGAATTAGCCAGCCTTAGAAGCAGAGGCTCGACGACGTCTACTTGGGAGCTTTCATTGATTGCATCAACAAGCAAGAGGACCGGTTTCGATCCGGAGGCGCATTTGACGACCGCGTTCTCCAAAGCTGAAATCTCGATGGGTTGCCTGTGTGTTTTATTCTGGGCGGTACTTTCATACAAATGTCGAATTTCATCCAGTATCAGCGGTTCGTAGCCCGAGAGCTGTGCTACCAGTGATCCCAGAATGTTTCTAGGGTCTTGAGACGCAGTATCGCCGATTGTGACATAAAAGTACGCAAAGCGTAGACTTGAGTTTTGCGAAGCCAGTGTGAGCTCTTCGACTGTTTGAGCACTATGTGTAGTCAGTATAACGTTAGAAGGCGACGCGCGCTCTAGGGTACTGACAAGAGGGTGGTCTTTCCAAGTCCAGCTAGAAAATCCAGTTAGAACAGTAAGTGGCGGGAGGGAGCTGTGCAGGTTGGAAATTTCTACATACATTTTCCGACGAGGAAAAGGATCTTCACCACGTCTTCTTCACTGGATACCCAGTCGTGCAGGTGGCCATCGATAAACCACCTTCCCGTGCTAATCTTTTGCACTTTGGATGCTCGCAAGTGGGAATTTCCCGGGTTGACTGGAGCAATCCACTCGAAAAGGGCCTTGTTCGCCATCTCATTTCGCTCTTGATGCCGAATACTCAAATCCTCTTTCAAGCTGCGGGCTAGACTGCTTATCTCACTGTTCATTGCCCGGTCCACCGAGACATGATCCGCCGTGAGGACCAATATCAACCACGACTTCACCCTTTCCAGTTTTGCCAAGTGCTCGTTGGTGTCTTCTTGGGTGAAAGGCCATTGCATCTTTTGTTTCAGTCGCTTGAACTTGGTCTTTGGCGTTTCCAGATCTGCAAGCAAAGATTCGAGGAATTCATTCGTTGTTTCCAAAACCCTCATCAAGACATCCTGATCAAACGAATCGGGCAACTCTGTCTGCTCCAATCTAGGCTCATCTCGGGGGGCTACTTTGGATAAGTGCTCCAAGATGCCTTTCAAAGCAAAAAGCTCTTCGCTTAGCTGGCGGATCTCTGACTTTGCACTCTGCACGGCTTTGGCGTAATTGATCAAACTCGATATGATTGTGCTGACATCCATAATCAGACCGACTATAGAGATAGGATCGGCCATGGTTGCAATATGGGTTCACCAGAGTGCAGATAACCAGTGAGCCTGAAATAAGCGATAGTGAATGTAATGTCCTTCAAGGCCTCAGGAGGCTTGGTCGATCTGCGGTAGAGTATTTTGTGGCCTGGTGCGGCGGGGTAGCGACCCTGTTGTCCCACGTCGTATAGGTCAGCATCTCCACTATGCTGATAGTTTAACGCTGGTGAATTCTCTCGCTAGCCCTGTCCAAGCCAATGCCAGTCATTTGAGTATGTCATCACGATATTTGTGACTCCCTGCACTAAGCTGCAGGTATATGCGTATGTTTGCATCTGCATCAGTGCATGAGAATCGAGTAAATGGGGAATACCGGAGTACAACCTGTTCGAGCGCTCTTCATTGGTAACTGATTTGTATTTCGTCGGGATCCGTGTACTGGGAACAAGGAATGAGTGGGAATTTCTCCCTCATTGAAAATAGCGTTCTACCAATTCCATACTCCGCCGTAGAACACACAAGTATATTCTGATGGCTGAGGAAGCATATATATATATATATATATATATATATTTTTTTTTTTCCAATTACCCACGAACTAGGGAAAACTTGAACATTTGTATTGAACAATAAGGATTGATTAATCCATTTACATTATCAGGAGCTGTCCCTAGCTCGATTGGCTTTGTATTAATCGAAGCTGTCAAACAAACGGGCAGATCGCGGTCTTTGTCAGCCTTCCTTCGAAGGTTCACCACTCCCACCTCAACAGATACGCGACCAAGTGCGCCCAAAGCTGTATACTTGCATTCAATCCCTGACAAGATCCACAGGCTATTTAATCGCGGAACATACCTCAAGTCGCGTCGCAATACACGCAAACACGCAAATACACGCGCGCTGTGAATGAGCACGCGCCGGCCGAGACGCCAATAATAGACATGGCGCCACAGTATAAGCTCTCCGATTCGGAGTCTGAATCCGATAACTCTCTCGCTCGACTTCTATCCGACGAGGCTCTGGAGAAAGGGCTGCGCGATGAAGTTGCCAGGATCTACGCGTCGGGGAACATGGAGAACCTGACCGTGAAGCGCGTGCGCCTCGCCGCTGAAAAGAAATTGGGTCTTACAGAGGGTTTCTTCAAGACTACAGATGATTGGAAAACGAGGAGTGACCAGATAATCAAGGAGGAAGTGGTAAGGTTCATCTAAGACATGCCAATAGAACAATTCTGACTTGCAGTCTTGGATATATAGGAGAATCAAGACAATGGATCGAAAGAGAAAGAATCGCAGCCTGTCGAGAAATCGCCTTCGCCTCCACCCTCGCCTCAGAAGGCCGCTAAGCGAGCAAAAGCCGAGAATGCTCCTAAGCCGAGGAAGCGCCAGAAGACACAGACTCCCATTTCGAAGAATTCCGAGGATGAGGTATCTGACAAAATAGATGATGAAAGTGAGGAAGAGGTGGCAAAGCCACAGAAGCGAAAGGTGCCCATGAAGAAGGATACCAAGCCGAAACCCAGGAAAGAAGAATCGCCCGAAGCTTCAGATGTCCCCGATGAAAACCCCGACACTGCCAAACCGACTGTGGAAGCTGCGATTGATGATTCCGAAAGTGAGATGTCTGTGGTCCTGGACGAGGAGCCTAAGCCTGCGCGCAAGAGGTCAAAGAGCACCGACACCGCCGGAAAGAAAGAGAAAAAGAAGGGCATGCCTAAACCCAAAGGTAAAGAGCTGGAAGTTGACCCAGACCAGGAAGAGATCAAGAGATTACAAGGCTGGCTTGTCAAGTGCGGGATACGGAAAATGTGGTGGCGAGAGCTTCAGCCGTATGAGACTCCGAAGGCGAAGATCAAGCATTTGAAACAAATGCTCGAGGACGCAGGAATGAAGGGTCGGTATTCTTTGGAAAAGGCCAAAGCGATCCGCGATGAAAGGGAGCTCAAGGCAGATCTGGAAATGATCCAGCAGGGGGCAAAGCAATGGGGCACTGGCGGAGAGCAAGGTAGCGATGAACCTCCGCCGCGTCGGGCTGCTGCGCGAGGCCGACAGGCGCTCGCATTTCTGGAGGATGAGGATGAAGAAAGTGATTAATGTGAACCAATTGTCGAGCAGTACAGCCGGCGATGATCAAGGGGTCCAACCATGTTATGACATCCATAATTCGGGATATCTGTCAACTGGTTGTACGTTGTCTGGGTATATAGGCCGTAGATTCAATCATTTGACGGATTTAGTCCCGCTCATGCGTTGGGCGGCCAAGCTGAAGACAGCGACGGACGAAATAAAGAGTACCAGATTGTAGAACTGTCGTCAAAGTTAGTATATCCCATGAACGGGAACTTGGGGGTGTCGTACAGCCGTGCGGGAGTACTCGTTCTCCTCAACCTCCGTCCGAGCCTCGACGAAGAGGCGTCGCAGGTTAGGGAGATTAGCCTGCGGAAGTATTAGCCTTGACGATGTCACAGATAACGTAACGGGTAGAAATTACCATGATGACAAGTAGTGTGAGAAGTCTAAGAGCGGAGGCAGTGACGGAGTAGGGAGGTAAAGCGGGAAGGTCCAGAGCCCGCCATTTGTGGACAACTTTTGGCCCAAACACCCTTTCTCTTCCTCTGCATTGTCACCCCACACATTCGCCTTCCTTTCTCTCTTTGTACCCACAAAAAAGAACATGGTTTAAATCTGCCGTCTTCGATCGCTACCTACCACCTACGTCGCGCGACCGTGACAGCCCGATTCCCCGCAGCTCCCCAACGACTTTTCACTTCCCCAATTGTCATTGGCGGAGGCACGACCTTGTCGCTGCTGAAGCTTCTTTTGTCTGAGCATGGCGATGAACAAGATCCGAGGCGCCTTCGCGGTGCCCCGGAAGGGAGAGACGTTTGAATTGCGAGCTGGCCTTGTGTATGGCTTCCCCCTCCAGTGATGTGGCCATTAGGCCATGACAAAAGAACAATAATGCTGACGATTAAAATAGCTCCCAGTACGCCTACGAACGGTACGTCGGTCCTGCGAAGCTACAGTTGAAGTTGATGGTATAAGGAGATGAGAACGATGTGACTGAAAACCCAACAGGAAGGAGTCCATCCAGAAGACAATCATGGCCATGACCCTGGGCAAGGATGTCTCTGCTCTCTTCCCAGATGTGCTTAAGAACATCGCAACTGGCGATCTGGAGCAGAAGAAACTAGTTTACCTCTACCTCATGTGAGTATCCCCTCTTATCGGGAGAGGGCGCATGCTCATGGGAACCTTCTTCCAGGAATTACGCCAAATCGCACCCGGACCTTTGCATTCTCGCCGTCAATACCTTCGTACAAGACTCGGAAGACCCGAATCCCTTGATTCGCGCCCTCGCCATCCGGACGATGGGCTGCATTCGCGTGGAGAAGATGGTGGATTACATGGAAGAGCCGCTTCGCAAGACCCTCCGCGACGAATCGCCGTATGTTCGCAAGACCGCTGCCATCTGTGTCGCAAAGCTTTTCGATTTGAACCCAGCTATGTGTCTTGAGAATGGTTTCTTGGAGATGTTGCAGGAGATGACTGGTGATCCTAATCCGATGGTGGTGGCCAACTCGGTCACTGCGCTTTCTGAGATCTCCCACACGGCCCCCGAGACACAGGCGTTGCAAGTGACTCCTAATACGCTACGGAAGATGCTCATGGCGTTAAACGAGTGCACGGAGTGGGGGCGAGTAACTATTCTCTCGACCCTGGCAGAATACCGGACATCGGATGTGAAGGAGTCGGAGCATATCTGCGAGCGTGTTGCCCCCCAATTTCAACATGCAAACCCGAGTGTTGTTCTTGCGGCAGTCAAGGCTGTCTTCTTGCACATGAAATTTGTCGGCCCGGAGCTGGCGAAGGCCTATCTGAAGAAGATGGCCCCTCCCCTTGGTAAGTCGCAAGTGCAATGACTGATAAAGAAGAATTTCATTAATTGATAACAGTGACTTTGGTTTCTTCGGCCCCCGAGGTGCAGTATGTGGCTTTGAGGAATATCGATCTTCTGCTGCAGAAGCAGCCCGATATTCTCAATAACGAACTTCGTGTCTTCTTCTGCAAATACAACGACCCCCCATACGTCAAGTTCCAGAAATTGGAGATTATGGTGCGGATAGCCAACGACCGCAACGTTGACCAGCTCTTGGCTGAGTTGAAGGAATATGCCCTTGAAGTTGACATGGACTTTGTCCGCCGTGCTGTGAAGGCTATTGGCCAAGTTGCGATCAAGATCGAGAGCGCCAGCGAAAAGTGCGTGAACACTCTGTTAGACTTGATCAACACCAAGGTAAACTATGTCGTTCAGGAGGCTATCGTGGTTATCAAGGATATCTTCCGAAAGTACCCTGGCTACGAGGGCATCATCCCTACCCTGTGCCAATGCATCGACGAGCTGGATGAGCCTAACGCGAGAGCAGCCCTGATTTGGATTGTGGGTCAGTATGCCGAGAAGATCAGCAACGCTGGCGATATCCTCGGTGGCTTCGTCGATGGATTTAACGAGGAGTTCTCCCAGACTCAACTGCAGATCCTCACTGCCGTGGTCAAGCTCTTCCTCAAGCGGCCTGAGAAGGCCCAGGGTCTCGTCCAGCGTGTCCTCCAGGCTGCCACTGCCGAGAACGACAACCCGGATGTCCGTGATCGTGCGTACATCTACTGGCGCTTGCTGTCCAACACCAGCGATTCGAACGCCACCAAGAACATTGTCCTGTCGGACAAGCCTCCTATCGTCACTACTATCTCCTCATTACCGCCAGCTCTCTTGGATCAGCTGCTCCAGGAACTGTCTACTCTTTCTTCCGTGTACCACAAGCCCCCGGAGCAATTTGTTGGACACGGCCGCTTTGGTGCCGATGCTGTTCAACGGGCGGCCATCGAGTATGTTTCAGATTCCTTAAAATTTCGTGTCTAAACTAATATTGTCTGATAGGGAGCAAATTCAAAACGCACGCGAGAATCCTCTGGCTGCTGCGGCGGCCGCAGCAGTCAGCGGCGACACCCCTCTGCGCCGGCGCAAAACAACGTCGAGAACTTGCTGGACATTGATTTCGACGGTGGTGCCCCGGCATCTGCACACCCGGAGGCATCCGGAGGCATGTCTGGCCTCGAGGGTCTAGCCGGCACCCCGGTTCGAATGCAGTCCCCCGCTGTCGGTGCTCCGGCACCTCAGTCAAGCAACAACTTGGACGATTTGCTCGGTGTATTCGGTGACTCTGGACCTGGACAGCCATCATCCAGCAATGCGAACGGCAGCGGCGCTGCCGGTGATCTTATGAATGGGTTCTCTGGTCTCGATCTGTCCGGCAATGCACCCGCGGCGGACAGTCAGGGTAAGAAGTCTCACCAGGATATCATGGACCTGCTCTAGATTTAGGGTATAGCTGGTTGTATTCCTCATATCCTGGTGTTCCGCAAGCGAGGATTTGAACAGAACGAGATAGAATGGTTGCTACTACGTGTTTAATTTTCCCCCTTTATTTGCATTCCTACGTCGGACTCCAAAAAGGCTCATGTACAATTTTTCACTGAAGAATCTGTCGTTTGTAAATACCCCTGTCAACTAAGCCCACGTATGCAACCGGCGTGGCGTACATGATGCATATCAGCCACTCCCGGAGCCAAGGGAGATAACAAGAGATAATCCCGATCAAGGATAAACGGATAAAGAGATAGAGGGGCAGGATTCCATAGAACTCCACCGAACGTGGCGAAGATTGGAGTGATCCGAGGATGCGGGCTGTATAGAGCCATTACGGCCAGCCGATTGGAACGCGCGATTATCAAGCACATTTCATTCGCGCACTACGTATCAGAATCAAATTGTAAAGAACCTATTTCCCGAGCCATTGGCAACTCTGATGCGATTCATGACCAGCGGAGTTATCTCGGCGGGACCCGTGCTTACCAATTTCGAATCGAAAATTCCACTGACGTCCCATACAATTGTGGGTGGAGATGGGCCCGCTGGTGAGGGGCGAGTATAAATGGGCCGGTGGCCCCAGGATAGGGGACTCTCAACATCTCCAACCTCAAGACACAGAACCATATACACAATGGCACAGACTGACTACAAGTTTGAGGGCTGGATGGGCCTCGACTCCAGCGCCGCCGAGGGCAACATGGTCTGGCAGGAATTTGAGCCCAAGGCGTGGGAGGAGACCGACATTGACATCAAGATCTCGCACTGTGGCATCTGTGGTTCGGACCTGCACACCCTCCGCAGTGGATGGGTAAGTATGATGTCTTTCCTGTCGGTGTCTGTATGCTGATTTCTTCAAAAGCGTCCGACTACCTACCCCTGCTGCGTCGGCCACGAGCTTGTGGGAACCGCCGTGCGCGTGGGTTCCAAGGTCACCAACATCAAGCTTGGAGACCGTGTTGGTGTTGGTGCGCAGAGCGACTCCTGCCAGGGCCGCTTTGGTGACTGTGAAGAGTGCGCGATGGGCTTGGAGCAGTACTGCTGCAAGCGGGTTATCGGCACGTACAATGCCACTCACTGGAACGGCGACAAGTCGTACGGTGGCTATGCCACTTACAACCGTGTCCCTGGCCACTTTGCTGTCAAGATCCCCGATGCTATTTCCTCGGCCGCGGCTGCGCCCATGTTGTGCGGTGGTGTGACTCTGTACAGCCCGCTGAAGCACAACAACTGTGGTCCTGGCAAGCGAGTTGGTATCATTGGCGTTGGCGGTCTTGGACACTTCGGTGTGCTCTTTGCGAAGGCCATGGGCGCCGACAAGGTGGTTGCTATTTCGCGCAAGTCTGGCAAGGCCGAGGATTGTCTGAAGATGGGCGCGGATCTTTACATTGCGACAGATGACGAGCCTGACTGGGCGACTAAGCACGCTCGGTCTTTGGATCTGATTGTCTGCACTGTTTCGTCTACTAAGGTAAGAGGCTCCTGGTGTAGTCGAGCGATGGGTGAATTAAAGTGCTGACATGCCATAGATGCCGTTCACCGACTACCTAGGACTTATCCGCACCGGTGGCACTTTTGTTCAGGTCGGTCTTCCCGAGGACGGTGGTCTCTTTGCGCCCGTCCGAAATCTTATGCGCCGTATCAAGCTCGAGAGCTCGCTGGTTGGCAGCCCGGACGAGATTCGTCAGATGTTCGACTTGGTGGCTCAGAAGAACGTGAAGCCGTGGATTGAGGAGATCCCCATGAAGGACGCCAACAAGGCGATTGTGGACATGGAGGAGGGCAATGCGCGCTACCGCTACGTGCTGGTGAATGAGTAAATTTAGAACATTGGAGTACATAAAAAGATAGACACATAGACACGAGAAATGAGAGACGCAAATCAAAGATATAGAGATCCGCACGTGACGCCGCTGTCGGAGGCACTAGACCCAATTCGGAATCCCAGATCGGAGTCGAGGCACTCTCCCCGCCAGATGATTCACTTCTTTCCCTTTCTCCAGTCTCACGTCGTTCTTGGTTCTCCTTTGGTCAATTGGATCTGTTTTTGACCTCGAAAATATGGCTCCTACTTTGTCGCAACAATACCTAAGCACACGAGGTGCTGAGTACGGGGTGAGTAGAAAAAATAGTGGGGTGGCTCACGCATATGACTCTTTGCGCTTATGCGATATACCTAACAGATTCGAACATGGCTAATACGGCTTTACCACACAGCTCTCGTTCGAAGATGTCGTCCTCAAGGGTCTTGCCAGTGATGGCGGCTTGTTCGTCCCCGAAGAAATCCCAACGCTGCCCGCCTCGTGGGAAGCCGAGTGGCGCAACTTGAGTTTCGAGGACCTCGCCTTCGAGATCATGAGCCTGTATATTTCTCAGGATGAGATCCCCGCCGACGATCTCAAGGACATCATCAAGCGGTCATATGCTACTTTCCGCCACCCTGAGCGCACCCCATTGTTCGATCTCGACTCCAAGCAGGGCCTCTACTTGCTTGAACTTTTCCACGGCCCTACCTTTGCATTCAAGGATGTTGCGCTTCAGTTCCTGGGAAACCTCTTTGAGTATTTCCTTGTTCGCAAGAACCAGGGCAAGACCGGCAAGGATCGGTAAGTGTCACTCATCTTGATCAATTCACAGCGATCTAACCCATCTCACAGTCATCACCTCACCATTGTTGGCGCCACGTCTGGTGATACCGGTTCCGCTGCTATCTATGGATTGCGTGGAAAGAAAGACGTATCTGTCTTCATCACATTCCCCAATGGCAGAGTTTCAAGCATACAGGAAGCTCAGATGACCACCGTGTTGGATGCAAATGTACACAACCTCACCGTGGAGGGATCGTTTGATGACTGCCAGGATATCGTCAAGGCTCTCTTCGCTGATAAGGACTTGAACTCCACCCACAATATCGGTGCCATCAACAGGTAGGTCGATGATGTCCAATGAGTCAGTTGACTCGATACTCATATCTTAATAGCATCAACTGGGCCCGTATCCTGGCGCAGATGACATACTACTTCTACTCCTATTTCTCCTTGACCAAGTCCTCGTCTTTCGTGCAGGGCTCCAAGGTCCGCGTCGTCGTCCCCTCTGGTAACTTCGGCGATATCCTCGCTGGCTGGTTCTCCAAGCAGATGGGTCTCCCCGCCGACAAGCTCGTCATCGCCACCAATGAGAACGACATTCTCGACCGCTTCTTCCGCAGCGGCGGCCACTACACCAAGAAGGCTCTCGACGCCTCCACCGACGGCGTCAAGGAAACCCACAGCCCCGCCATGGACATTCTCGTCAGCAGTAACTTCGAACGTCTCCTCTGGTTCCTCGCCTTCCGCAGCGCCAACGGCAACACCGACTCCGAACGCCGCCAGCACGCCTGTGAGAGTGTCAGTAAGTGGTTGAACGAGCTCAAGTCCCAAGGCGGCTTCCAGGTCCCCGCCGCTGTTCTCGACGGTGCCAAGGCCGACTTCGAGAGTGAGCGCGTCAGCAACGATGAGACTATCTCTACTATTCGAGACATATACTCTTTCTTGCAATGGCTATGTCCTCGATCCTCACACTGCTGTCGGCATCGCGACTTCTCGCCGCTCTATCCAGCGTAACCCTGGTGTCAGCCACATCTCCCTGTCTACCGCACACCCGGCCAAATTCGCCAGCGCCGTCGACCTTGCTCTGCGCGCTGAGAAGGGCTATGACTTCACTACCATCCTGCCAGAGGAATTCATTGGTCTTGAGCAGCGTGAGCGTCGCGTTATTGCCGTTCCGGCCGGCGCGGGCTGGGAGGGTGTTAAGGAAATTGTTAAGGCCGAGGTTGAGAAAGAGCTGCAGGGTTTACACTAAATTCATCCCATACATCTTTGATGTTATTGCATAGAATATCGCTTTGATTCGTCTGCATTTGTGCTTGGACTTTCCTATTGGCATTGTGTGTCAACCTTGAAACTAATGTACAGACCGAGTTGAGCACTTATGACTGAAAATACTCTTCGATCGTTTTTTATTTAGTGCTATCCTTGACGAGTGTTTCACATACACATGTGAGCAGCCGTAAAAAACAAGACCTCTACAGTCAATCTCTCCGCTGTGCTACTTAGGCTCGAAGGCTCTTAGCTTGGCCAATATCCTAAGATACACCAGTTGTACCAGCGCAGGGTACTCCATTGAGCCCGTCGTGGTACTCTTAGCTCTCGCATCGAGACTTCATGTCAGCCAGTGTCCCGCATTGAGAGATATTTCACATGTGGGTGTCATGAATCAAACCAAAAAAAAAAATGAAAAAAGCCTTTGGCAAAGACTATGACCTCTACTCTTCCAAATCAATAAACAGAAACATACCCCGAGGGGAAGGTTGCACGCGAATGCTACCTGGACATGGTACCTTGCAAATTCTCAAAACCTTGAAGAAATTTAAAATAGCAAGATTACCGCAAACGGCGAATATGTCCTGATGCTCGCTTTTCGAATTTTCACGAAGTCCCGAAGCAAGATACAATTTACTGGCAGGAGGATCTAAGGTCGAAACTGGCAAAGTAGTCATGGACATTTGCCTTTGTAACTTGAGTAGGAGAGTAAAAACAAAACCAAGCAAAATGTATTACCATTAGAATATTAAGTCTGACTCGAAGTGGAAAACAAACAAAATCTCGAAATGACCAAGCAACTTCATCTCCGCTGGTCCTGTCAAGGCAGAGGAAGACCAAGCGGGCCTTTATCGCGCACAACAGCCAGGAAAAAACAAAAAAGCAATGATTCTGAACCACTCCAATCTCCAGTCCCCACCACGAAGAGCGGGAGATTGGGTGGAAACAGGTACGGATTTTTTAACGCGCCAAAGGGGAGGCAGCTAACTCAGTGGCTACCTGATTTACAGGAGAGCCATGAGGCCGACAATACCAGCCAGGAGGCCAGCAGCGGGCTTGACAGCCGAGGCAGCACCGGTGAAGGGATGAGCGATAGCGGTCTGAGACTCAACGGGAGCAGAGGACTCAACGGGAGCAGAGGACTCAACGGGAGAAGAGGACTCCACGGGAGCAGAAGACTCGACGGGAGCAGAGGACTCAACGGGAGCAGAGGACTCAACGGGAGCGGAGGACTCAGCGGGCCGGGCAGGGGTGGAAGACTGAGCAACAGCGGGCACGGAGGCAGCGGGAGCCACGGAAGCAGCAGGAGCCTCAGAGGCAGCGGGAGCCACGGAAGCAGCAGGAGCCACGGGAGCAGCAGGAGCCTCGGAGGCAGCAGGAGCCTCGGAGGCAGCAGGGGCCTCGGAGGCAGCAGGGGCCACGGAGGCAGCAGGGGCCACGGGAGCAACAGCGGGCACGGAGGCAGCGGGAGCCACGGAAGCAGCAGGAGCCACGGAAGCAGCAGGAGCCTCGGAGGCAGCAGGAGCCTCGGAGGCAGCAGGGGCCACGGGAGCAACAGCGGGCACGGAGGCAGCAGGAGCCTCGGAGGCAGCAGGAGCCTCGGAGGCAGCAGGAGCCACGGAGGCAGCAGGAGCCACGGGAGCAACAGCGGGCACGGAGGCAGCGGGGGCCACGGAGGCAGCAGGAGCCACGGAGGCAGCAGGGGCCACGGGAGCAACAGCGGGCACGGAGGCAGCAGGAGCCTCGGAGACAGCAGGAGCCACGGAGGCAGCAGGGGCCACGGGAGCAACAGCGGGCACGGAGGCAGCAGGAGCCACAGAGGCAGCAGGGACCACAGCCGGGGTGGAAACAGCGGGGATCACAACAACGGAGGTGGAACCACCGGGGATCACCACAGCGGAGGTGACTTCAGCCGGGGGGAACCACAACGGAGGTGGACTCGGCAGGGGGAACCACAACGGAAGTGGACTCAGCGGGAGGAACCACAATGGAGGTGGACTCAGCGGGAGGAACCACAACGGAGGTGGACTCAGCGGGGAGGAACCACGACGGAGGTGGACTCAGCGGGAGGAACCACGACGGAGGTCGACACAACCGGAGGAACCACGACGGAGGTGGACACAACCGGAGGAACCACAACGGAGGTGGACTTCACAACGGTGGAGGAAGGAGCCGTGGTAGGGGGCTGAGTAGCAGCGTGGAAGGTCATGGACTTCTCGCACTCCTCACAGACAATGGTCGAGGTGAGAGTAATGGTGTTGGTCTCAGTCACGGGAATAGTGATGACCTTGGTGCCAGAGGTGACAACCTTGGAGGTGACTTCATATGGATGTTAGCTGGAAGTGTTGCATAAGACCGTAGATATCAAATCTTACCAGGGCAGGTGGTGGTCACAACGGTGATAGTCTTAGTGGTGTGCTGAGTAGTGGTGGTAGACTTCACCGGGGTGGTGGTGGTGACCGGGGTGGTGGTAGTGACCGGGGTGGTGGTGGTGTGGTAAGGCCTAGTCTTGGTGCTGGTGGTAGTGACCGGGGTGGTGGTGGTGGTGTGGTAAGGCCTAGTCTTGGTGCTGGTGGTAGTGACCGGGGTGGTGGTGGTGGTGTGGTAAGGCCTAGTCGTGGTGCTAGTGGTGCACGGGGTGGTGGTGCTCGAGTGAGGCTTGGTGTAGGTAGGGGTCGTGGCGGTGCTGGTGGTGCCCGGGGTGGTCGACCAGGAGGAGTGAGCCTCAGAGGGACGCTGCCACTCCGAGCTCCAACCCTCAACCTCCTTGTGGGGAGACGGCTGAGCAACACCGGCAAAGGCCGGGCTGGCAGCAAGAGCCAAAAGAGCAACGTTGCGGATCATTTCGAAAGATTGGAAAGATTTTCCTGAAAGACTTGGACAGATCAAAAACGAGTGAAGGTGAAGGATGAAAGAGATAGATGTGGAATCGAGCAGCGAGGTGACGACTTATATGCCCTCTTCGACGAGACTCGAAAGTCATGACGGAGATGGCTGCCATAGTTGTGAACTAGGATCGCAAAGGCTGCCCTGGTCCACATCTAGGTGTCTTTTGGCTGAAAGCAGGAACTGCAACAGGTGTTTCCTGGAAAGCAGAGGCACCATTGGACGGCTATAGGATAGAAAGAGTGGGCAATGATACGTCCATATGGTGGTATAAGATGCAAACGTGACATCCTGCAGTATCATCTTAGGAGAAAATACCCCAGAGCTCCACAGGGTGTCCTAATGCGGAAGGGCATCGGACAGAAAGCTTTTCGATCAGAGATCATGGATCTGCCAAGGCCGTGAGTTAGGTATGTAGAGTAGACAAGCGCCATGTTGATTAGGAATGTCAATTAGATCCCATGTTAATGAGCCTTTTGTCTCTTTTTTTTTTTCGGAATCAAGAGACCTTGAGATATGGCATACGTTGGACAGATCCGCCGGGTAGAGTCAAGTTGGAACAAAAGCATTGACAAGAGCAGATTGGATGCGGTGGTTTAATCAGGACGAATCCGGAATAATGGCCACACGCACTGGTCAGAGGCCGGGGTGATGGGAAGCGGCCGAAAAATTGCGGGACATCTATTGTTCGCCAATCCCGGCGATCTCTCAACTCGTGCTGAAATCCGTGAGAGCTCACGCCATGAGACAAAGTGACAGCCATGATGACCATAAACAGCCGCAAGGCCTTTGCTGCTAATCGAAGCGTTTCCTCGGCGGCCCAGGAATGTACGTCACCTCCATTGCTTGCAGACAGGTCTTTCTAATTGGCTGTTGCAAATAGCACGGAATGTGAGATGGACAGTCAATCAAGTTCAAGGCTAGCAAAATCTCATCTAGGAAAGGATCTGTCAAATTGGTGGATGAGAATTGATCTCACAGCAGCCATAAATGTTCAACAGGTTGCAGGTCCATGACGACGTGATCGTGACATTCGACCGGATTTGAAGCCGAGTCCACAGCGATGAGAGTGGGTTTGCACAAATGGGGCAATTGAGCCTTCTAGCATATACCAAAGCCGGGCAAGGAGAGTGAAAAACAGTCGAGTGGACCTTGTACCTTAGCTGTACACAAGTTTGGCCACTGGGCCAAGTCTTGCGGTCATCCAGGGCTCTGCCATAAGTGGGCGACACCGCAGAGATTTCCCGACCGCAAACGGCAAGGGTAGCTAGTAGACTCAGACAGGTCCAAGTGGACAGCCTTGAGGTCCGTGTTGGATGGAAAATGGCTGAACTTGACTGAACTGTCCGTTTCCGGCATCATTGATTGCAATCACGTGACTAGGGCTCAGACGCGTCGCGTTAACGCGACGCGGCTTCATGTTGGGTCGAGACGGGTTCTTCATCACATCATAAGTCCGTTGAGAACAATCACACAACATGCCGCACTCGTTATCACCTGTCGGCTCTCCAGAACGAAAGGACGAGGAAACGGCAGATGCCCCCGTAGCGCCTGCCCCGGCCGGAGGTGTCAAATTGGAGGATATGTTTGACGGAGACGACGATGAGTTCCCGGCTTCCAGTGCGCAGGATGTGAAGATGCAGTCTTCTCCGGCTCCGACGCCATTAGAGTGAGTCCACTCACGCTCTCTCTGAATCAGAAATTAGCTGACTTGAAGAATGGTGATAGGCCTGCGCCTGCGCCGATTGGTGTTGACACCGATGTGATGCTCATGTTCTACCAACGTCTTTTCCCGTTCCGATATCTCTTCCAGTGGCTGAATCATGGGATTGTGCCTACCCGAGACTTTGGCAACCGAGAGTTTGCTCTAACTCTCCAGAACGACGCGTACCTCCGATACCAATCCTACCCACCGCAGACCTGTGAGACTTCGCGCCAAATCACTAACACATTCGTGAGCTGATTCACTTCTCCATAGTTTTCGAAAGGATATTCTTAAGATGAATCCATCTCGTTTCGAAATCGGCCCGGTATACAGCACAAATCCCCGGGACCGCAAAACACTCCGAGGCGGCCAGATGAAGCCAGTGTCCAAAGAACTGGTCTTCGATATCGATATGACGGACTACGACGACATTCGAACATGCTGTCAGAAGGCGAACATTTGCCATAAATGTTGGGCGTTTGTCACAATGGCAATCAAGATCATTGATACCTCACTACGTGAAGACTTCGGATTCGAACATATTCTTTGGGTGTATCTCCGGTCGACGTGGCGCTCACGCCTGGGTTTGTGACCCGCGTGCGCGAAACTTGCCTGATGATCGCCGCAGGGCGATCGCGGGATACCTCGAAATTCTCCGCGGAGGCTCGTCAAGCGGAAAAAAGGTGAACCTGAAGCGGCCGCTCCACCCACATGTTACGCGGAGCCTCGACCAACTCAAGAACCATTTCGCTCAGACTACCTTGATCGACCAAAATACTTTTGCCAGTACTGAGCAAGTCGAACGACTCCTCTCATTACTCCCAGACAAGTCTCTGAACGAGGCTTTACGGAAGAAATGGGAATCATCCCCAGACCGCCCCAGTACTAGCAAGTGGGCAGATATCGATGCCTTGGCCAAGACTGGAAAGAGTAGTACTCTGAAGCCCGCAACTCTCCGAGACGCGAAGCAAGACATTGTTCTCGAGTATACCTACCCCCGCCTGGATGCCGAGGTCAGCAAGAAAATGATTCACTTGTTAAAAAGTCCCTTTGTTATTCACCCGGGCACTGGCCGAGTCTGTGTACCCATCGACCCCAAAAAGGCCGACGAGTTCGACCCTCTTGCCGTGCCTACCGTGATAGAACTTCTCGCGGAGATTGATGCTTATGACGCGAAACATCCTCCTGGCACACAGGAGGTCGAGATGCCCGATGTGGAGGGAAGCGCGATGAACTCAGATGCCAAGAGTACTCGCAAGCTGCAGGATTACGAAAAGACCCGTTTGAAGCCATACGTCGATCACTTCCGTTCTTTCATTGCTGGTTTGCTCAAGGAAGAGCGGGTGGCTAAGCGGGAACGTGAAGAGACCGGGCCGGCTGTGAAGGCTGATCCGATGGAATTTTGATCTCTTTCAGAGTCGGTTTTGTTGACTTACGACCTTATGCATTTTCATTTCCATATCTTCCTGGTGTCTCAGGTATGTTTCATCCGAGCGTTCTCTTTGGTGTTCATGAGCCTACATCTGTACCATAATGCTCTGAGTTTGACCCTGGAAAACTCAGGTTCAGTGAATCAATTCCTAATCCTGATATGACATCGAAATTCGTAAAAATGTATTATTTGGTGGAAACCTACTGTTCAGTTCAATGATCGACATCTCGAAGTCTGTTGCACATCTTCCAATTTTAGCTCCAGAAAGAGTCCAAGGAAGAGGTTTGCGGTAGCCATTGTGTAATAGGGGGGAAGGAAATGATTTAGAGCAAAGTCTGTTTGTATATTTTAAGATATTGGTACATATTTGATTTAGATGGGAACACCATTCTCAACCGATTGGCTTGGAGTATTACAACACAAGGAAAGAGAGAGGTGAAAGGTGGGGAATATCAACCATGAATGTTCCTGTTCATGGCGATTCCTAGGACGGTTGATTTAAGGGGTAGAGATCGAAATCATCACTTAAGCAGAAATGAACTTGCGGACGTCTGGAACATAATATTAGCGATAGACCAGCGATGTCCACGAGAGATAGAAACTTACTGTCCAACCACCGGACGTACTCCTTCTGCTCCTTGAAAGCAATGTAGTCGGTGACCATGTTCTGGAACTCGAGGTTAAGACCACGCTCCTCGAGGTAACGGCCCCAGAAAGCGAGCAGCTCAGGGTCGAGGTTCTCGGCGGGAGGACCGGCGTAGAGGCTCTGGCGGGCCCAGTCCTTCTCGGCGGTGCTGGCGTTGGCGACCTCCGCGTTGGCGAAATGGGAGATCTCCTCGATTTGCAGGTCACCGTCCTGGATGACGGCCTGGATCAGGAGGGCACCGTTCGCGGGCTTCTCAATGGTGACATTGACGCGAGCGGGGAAGGTAGGGGGCAGGATCTCATCCTCGTTCTCAACCTTGTTCTGCTGGCTGGAGAACTCACCCTCGTCGCCGAGAGCGTCGTCGTGGAGATCGTCCATCGGGTCCTCGGAAAGGTTGTTAATGTCGGCGACGGTGAAAGTTACGCGGATACTAGATGGAAAACTTAAAGTCAGTATCACATAAGGGACAGAGCATTGCAAGTGGGAAAACATACGTCTCGTTGCCGAACTTCTTGGTCAGGACAACTTCCTGCTCGCCCTCGACGTCCTTGGCGGTCCACTCGCCATTCTGCAGAGTGTAGTCAATGCTGGCCTGCTGCTCACGCGCATCCTCGACACCGGAAGCCTTCTCGTGCTTGACTTCCTCCTCAAGCTTGGCGATAAGCTCCGCGTCACCTGAGAAAAAAAAGGCATTCAATGATCAGCGAGGCTTCCTTCCAAATCCGATTTTGAGATCAAAAACGATAGTTTGGCGATAAATGCCATTTACATACCCTCACCAGCGGGCTCACGGAAAGCACTGGAAGTGGAAAAGGCAGCGTAGGCGGGCTTAGTGGCCTGCTTCCAGGGCTGCACGAAAGCGGGCTTGGAGAGAACAGCCGGGCGCAGCGAAGTACGGGCGACTGAGCGCGAGAAGCGTGGGACGGAGCGGGTGAAAGCACGAAGAGACAACATTGTGGATGGAGATGATAATGTGAAGAGATGGGGGAAGCTTCCGAGGAGAAAAAGAAGCTCCGATGATGCCACGCCAAGCCCGGCCTTTTTTTGGCACCGCCTGGAGGATCTGCCGCCTTCTACGTTCTATTGAGGACACGGAAAGCACTTCATCATTTGAATGGATTGAAACTATTTGCAGGACTTCTGTATACCCATAGATGCCACCCAGGTACGCCAATCTTCCAGTCAGACGAGAGAAATGGAAGAAAATGTGAAAACGCAAGATCTAAAGGATATCCATAATCATGAGATGCTCTTAGGCGGGAAACTTGAGGACTGCTTGTCTCCGGCTTGGGTCAAGCGAACGAACTTCAACTGGCTCAGACCCGACCACTGTCGGTTCCAGTTCTTAAGACCAAGGAGAACATCGAGATCACTCATGTCCGGCATCCAGAACCCAGTCTTGAATTCCTTCTGCTCGGTCTCGACCCGCTGGGTCAAGGCTTCCTCACGTCGGATCGGCGGCCGGCCCTTGCGTCGCTCTTGCTGAAGCTGTGTGAGCTCTTCCTCGTCACGATTGATGTACCTGCGTTGTGTTAGCCATGGTTTCAAGTGGGATGCGGAATCCCACATACTTGATGACCATCTCGGACAATTCGGTATCAGAGAGGGGATTTTCAAGCGATTGAGCAGCTTCGTAGAAGTACCAGATTCGGTCGACTAAAATAAGTCAATAAAGGTGCAACCCAATATCGAGAAAACTGCTTACGGTAAGGCCGACGGCCTTTGTCAACATTTTGCCCATGCTTGATTAAGCGCTCGTCACGGGCACCAGCACGACGTAACCGGTGGGCGTCGCGACTGTTCTCGTGCATGGAGCCAACGGCCCCACGCTTCTTCGTAATGTGCTTCTGCACCTTCTGGAGATTGCGTTGAGGCATGGTTGTAAGCTTATCGTCACTGTGAGTTTCAGCGCAGCGCAATAATTATTTTCAAAGGGCCTGCAGAATTCGGCGGTGAAAATGTGAGTACCGCCTTCCCGATTCTGCCAAAATCGCGTCTGCGCGTCGAGGGCAACAAACGTGAACAAACATTCCCCAGCGATGGCGGTATTTCCTCGGTGATCTTTTGCTCTTTTACTTCATCCTCTCCTCATGACCTTTGTGAGGCATTGTTTTAATGAACTTGGACCCGAATGTTTATGCTTCTCGAGTAAAAACGAGGACCCGAGGACCCGCCCTGAACGGTGCCCGTCATGGGTATCAAAGGTATGTTGAATTGAGCTGGAAGCAAAGGGGGCCGGACTAACCAGGTCCAGGACTTCATGGTCTCTTGAAATCCATTCAAAAGCCATGTCATATCAAGAAGTTCAGTGGACAGACTCTTGCAGTCGATGCCTATGGCTGGCTTCATCGCGGTACGGTCGCCTGTTCCGTTGACCTGGTCCTGGACAGACCGACCAGGAAGTAGGTGATCATGATCCAAACTCAGCTGTGAGAACAAAGGCTCATTCTTGTTATAGGCATATCGATTTTGTCCTTCATCGAGTGCGCATGCTCCTGTACTTCGGTGTCACACCCTATCTCGTGTTCGATGGCGACAACCTCCCTAGCAAAGCAGGCACGGAACAAGATCGGCACCGCAGACGTCAGGAGAGTAAAGTTTTGGGTTTGGAACTACAAAAGAAGGGACGATTGCCCGAGGCCTATCAGGAGTTTCAGAAGGCTGTGGACGTCACGCCCTACATGGCCCGTCAATTGATTGAGGAATTGAAGCAGATGAAAGTACAGTTCGTGGTGGCGCCTTACGAGGCTGATGCACAGATGGTGTACTTGGAACAGCAAGGTTTGATCCACGGAATCATTTCAGAGGACTCCGACTTGCTTGTGTTCGGAGCCAAGAGATTGTTGTCAAAGTTGGATCAACATGGTGATTGCATTGAGATCAACCGGGCCGATTTTACTGCATGTCGCGAGGTTAGCCTCGTTGGATGGAGTGATGAAAACTTTCGTCAAATGTGTATTCTGAGCGGTTGTGATTATTTGGCGAATATCCCCAAGATGGGACTGAAGACTGCCTACCGCAGCATTCGCAAACACCGGACGATTGAGAAGGCGCTGCGCATGGCTCAATTCGACGGCAACTTTCAAGTTCCCACTGATTATCTTGCAAACTTCAAGCAAGCCGAGCTCACCTTCCTCTACCAGCGTGTGTTTTGTCCCAACGCCAAGAAGCTCGTGACCCTCACAGTTCCAGAGAAAGGTATCAACCTTGACGAGCTTCCCTTCATTGGAGGAGATGTGGAAGCTGAGATCGCGGCTGGCGTGGCATGCGGAGATTTGGATCCGATGACCAAGGAGCCGATTGTGTTGAGACCGGTTGTTGCAGGTAAATTACCCATGGGAATCAGTCGTCGTCAGACACTGGGTTCAGAGCTGAAACCCAGCAAGTCCATCAATTCTTTCTTCACCCCGAAGCGAACCCCGCTGGCCGAGCTGGACCCGAACAGCCTCACCCCGTCGCCAAGCCAGCAGCGCCTTTTGGAGCGGAACGCGAACAATTCCTGGCAAGCCAACTCCGCTCCCTTACGCTCTAACACGGTGAGGTCTACTCCACTTCGCGCATTGTCAGACCAAGGTCTCAGCCCTATGATTCGCAGCGTTGAGCGCAATTCTTTTCTGGCTAAAGCCGCACGCGCCTCAACTTTGCAATCTACCAAGCGGCAAAGACTCTGTTCGGAGACCGAGGACGACCAGCTCCCAGCTCGTCCTGACAATCGCAGCCGATTCTTTGCCCCCCCACACAGAACAGGCAAGCCCCAGTGGCCTGAAACATTCACGGTCCAAGAAGCAACGGAAATCGACACTTGATGTCTTTTCCGATGAAATTGCAGAGGACATTTTTTCTAGTATCCCCGATCCGGCTTCTCAGGGCGAGGGCGTGGAGAACCGAGCGGAGACTGAACAGAGTGGAGCTGAGGCCCCATCCGATCCCCGGATTGCACAAAGTGGACCTTCCACCGAGGGTCAGATCGAACGAACCGAGTCCACTCCCGTAACGAACAGGTCTGGCTGTGCTCTCAAACATGCTGTTGCACGGCAAAATTCGACGGTCTTGTCAAAGTACATGTTCAACTCTGGCTCCCGGCCCAAGTCGACACTTCGCTCACCACAAACGAGAATTCCTGTGACTCTATCTGGGAGCAGGCTAATGCCAACGTCTTCTCCTTGGACACCTCGCACGGCTATCCCAAGCAAAGTCCCTCAACGGCAGCGTATGACTCCATTGCAGCGTATGGGACAAGCCGCTCTCACGCGGTCGAATACTATTAATTTTCCCACCACGCTTCGAAAAGCCGACTCTCTATCCACTGAAGCAGATAGTTCGCAAGACACACCAACATCACCCTTCGCACCGAAGCATGTTGCCCATGGAAGTGAGGACCACATCATACCGGACAGCGAAGATGAGGAAGAAGACGAGCCGTACACGTCTCAGCGCACACCGCTTGACCTCAAGCGTTTCTCATTTGCGGCGAATTAGGTACTATGCATTTTTCGGGATTGTGCAGGCGTCTGGGAACAAACCCAATTGGAAAGGACATATTTTTTTTCCGGTCTATATTTAACCAGTTTAGGCGTGGAAAGGGCATATCTTTCCGTAGCTGTCAATTGGGTGTAGCCTTTAGTTTACAATCCACTCGACGATCAAGCTGTTCCAAAATGTCGAGGTTCCGTGTTTGATGCTAGGTATGTACCAGACGAATGTAGATGAACGTAGCCCGATGAACCGGGGGCTGGGGGAGGTGGAGGCGTCGACCCGCGTGGGGCGCCAAATCTAAGCAGCGATGATGATCAACGCTAGTCTGTATCGGTGTTAGCTTTGGCGCCAGGGACCAAGATTCCGTCATATCGGGCAGGCGGTCAGATCTGGTTTCCCAGGAAGCGGAAAAGTAAACAAAGGCGGTTGGCCCAGCCTCCCAGATTCCCATACTTGGTCTCCATCCCCAGCCTCCAATGCTACTTGGGAAATATCGGCTTGTTCTGAATTGCAGCTACGATCTTTTCTCCCTTCCCCTTCCATTCCTTCTACACATTCCTCTCCTTGTCTCTACTTGCTCTAAGCAAGACATTCTGACCCTTGAGGTTTACTAGGTGCGACCTGAAGAAACGCCTGTCCTCTGGTGTGCGATCGACCTCGACCTCGACATCACCAGATCCAACTCGATCTTCGATCTTTGCATCTCACTTCCCACATTTCTCTTCCGCATTCCATTCCAGCTTGACGTTCTGGCCGATCCACGGCCATCTTCCTCTCGCTGAGCACAACCCAGGCCGCCTGAAGGCGTACTACGGAGCTTTGACTCTGCCTTCGCATCCAGACACTCCTTCTCGGAGAGCCGAGAAGTGAGTAGATAGACGTCCCGAGAAAGAGGCAGGCTAGTTGCTGGCCCTCGTGAGTCATCATGGCGATGCGTTTTGCAGAGGGATGGGCCCGTAAGTGATTATCATAACAACAAACCGAGACCAAGAAAAAAGAGCTGACAATACATATAGGATTCATTCCTATGATCGGGTACCATCATGTGTTGATGATTATTATCGCTGTTGCTATTATCTTGCTATGTAAGTTGGAGATGCTCCGGATGACTTCCACGTGTGCCGCTGGAATGTGTCTAACTCTGTGCAGCTCTCCTGTTGGCCGGATGCTCTTCATCTTCTCCACAGATTCCCGATATTTTCTTGATCTCGATGTACTATGAGAAGTACTCGCCCGTCTTCGACAAGTCGCAGGTCGACCCCGGCGTGGTAACGGCCATGTCGAATATCGTCGGTGCTGCTGAGCTGGAAGTTCGAGTCGGATACTTTGGTATCTGTGTTCAGCCCGACCATGGCTCATTCATCTGCAATGCAAACGCTACGGCCCTGGCCGAGATTGTTACTGTGGACCAGGACCCACTCAACCTGATCTGGGTTGCCTCGACTTTTAAGGATGCGGTCGTATTCCCGTACCTCTTGTAAGTCAATCATCTATTTCCAGCTTGTCATTGAGAGCCCGTGCTAAGAATTTCATAGGATTGTGGCCGTTATTCTCGCCTTCTTCTGCTTCATTCTTCTCGCAACTTTCCCCGGCTGGCACGAGGAGCGCGATGAGTCCGGCTCCGACGTCGAGGTTAAGCCTTTCCCGTCACGACCCGTCTCCCAGGCAGCTCTTGCCTTGATCTTCGTCTCCTCTGTGTTCGTGCTCGTCTCTGTACTATGGCAGCACACGGCATCTGTGGCCGCGAGTACAATCGCACAAGACATGGGTAACGGCAGCGTTAAGAGCGGCGTGGGTACTTCAGCAATGGTGCTCGGCTGGTTCGGATTCGTCCTACTAGTCGTCGTAACTATCGGTCTACTCTTCATGATCCTCAGCATCAGTCTAATCAGGCAGTTGTCCGATGAATAATGATCCGACTGGGTAACCACCGGAAGTTTTCTTTTGTTGATTTTTTACGGCGCATCTTTCTTCTCGCCACTATTACCTCTGATATCCGACGACACGAATGGGAAATGAATAATATCTATGAGCACACGGAAATGGCTCACATATGGCAATGAAATGTTATGGAATATGGAACACGAACCAGGAATATGAGTTCCTATGGGAAATGGGTTTGGACAATTGGGATCATACGAACATACCCCGAAAATCGGCATCCTCGCCGCTTGTTGAAACTGCCAAGTATTTGGAAAGCAAGATCAAAGCTGCACTATCTAATTTTCTTGATTTCTTTTGAATATACTGATGACATAAAATGAATGTTGTCGTATCTCTTTTTTGTACAGCCTAATGGCCGGTGTTCATGGAACTTGGTTCTCTTTTCTTTGCAAGGCGTTCTTCTTCCCATGTACAAACATGTCTTTTGAATTATCAATGTATCTCTGGCGATGCTGGGTTGATTTACTGTTTTTTGTTTCTTGCATAGATATGTCGTGCCAAAATTGCGTGGTATTAGATAGTTCTCAACCAGAATGGTAAATTGAATCGGCTGGAAGTCTTCCGAGATTTATGAGAGAATGGCACTTTCCTCGGTCGCCGTAATATCTTCTCAGCCCAGAGACCTTCTAAATCCGCAGTTAGCTATTCCATAGCAGGAAATCCTAGTATGAACGTCCGAGAGGGACGCTCACTTATGACGTCAAGTGGCCTGAACAATAAAGCTCATCAAGTTACGGGGGACACTATTAGATCAGTTCGAAGACTCAATGTTGAACTGCTTCTTGCAAGTATAGTTGATTACTTCTTTTGAAGCGGGGACGCCCACGACTGTGTTCTTCTAGAATGACGTCCGTTGCCCTCTCCTCCGAATTTACGAAGATACGGGCTCGGGATGACATCCGACGTGACAACCTTATTTCCAGCGAATTTGGATATTAAGTCATCGACTATGATCTGTGGCTACTAGCTACCCGTTAAATACCCCATGACTCGCCTCAATCGGCCTGGGCGATACCTTTCAGCAATCGCTTAGAAGAAGGACCATAATGGAGACTTTACGAGACACGGCATTCGGCAAATTAGTACGACTTTGCACACGTTACCAATGTATGCAATACCCTGAAAAGCAGGATGCATCGGTGTGGACAGGGTACCTGAAAACCGAGAATACGGAGTCGAAATTGGAGCCTTCTACGACACTGAACGAGAGCGAGAACCCCGAGGATCTGGAGGCGTTCGGTCTCTATACAGTCAGGTCGCAAATATCGACTCGGTCACGGCGGATGTCCTGTGCATCGACTGTACAAGATGACAATCAGAATCGATCAAATGACCAAGCTCTTGTGATTAGCTGGCGAGGTCCCGATGACTCGGAGGTATGGAGTGTTGAACTATGAACTAGATCCTTGAGCTTTCCGCTGTTTATATGTAGAACCCGCAGAACTGGAGCATTACTAAGAAGGCCCTTGTCAGTGGTTTGATCTGGTTACTTACATTTGCCATCTATGTTGGCTCTTCGATTTACACTCCCGGCATTCCAGGTGTCACTCAGCAGTTCGGTGTGAGCAGTGTCGCGGCTGTATCGGGTCTGACCCTTTTTGTGCTTGGATATGAACTCGGTGCGTCACTTTGCACTTCGTACAAGATCAGACGGCTAACGTCCTTCAGGACCAATGGTCTGGTCTCCTCTTCCGAGATTCCCATGATTGGGCGAAGTCCAACATACGTCTTGACGCTAGTCGTATTCGTCTTCTTCCAATTTTGGGCGTCATATATGCCCAGAACTTCGGCATGCTGCTAGCCTTCCGCTTTTTGACGGGCTTTGTCGGATCCCTCATGCTAGCTATTAGTGCTGCGTCAATGGGTGACATTTGGAGTCCCAAGGTGCGGGACTATATGATCGGTATCTGGGGCATGTTCGCCATTTCAGCACCCGTCCTGGGCCCGATGCTCGGTGGGTTTGCAGCATCCGCCAAAGGCTGGACATGGACAATCTGGCAGCTTCTTTGGGTCTCGGAATTCACACTCGTTCTATTGTTCCTCTTCCTCCCGGAGACCTTTACACCGAATATCCTCGCCCGTCGAGCTCGTCGGGTACGTCGCATTACAGGCAACTCCCGTTACATGTCTGAGTCCGAAATCGAGATCAGAGAGATCAAACCAATGGTAATTTCTCCCTGCTCCTCCAACCGTCGAAAGTAGCTCACAATTCCTCAGGACGTTCTCTTCGAAGCCCTCGTCCGCCCCTTCCAACTCTGCTTCCTCGAACCCATCGTCTTCCTCCTGAATTCTCTATATCTCCCTTATCTATGGCATCCTTTATGTTTGGTTCGAAGCCTTCCCAATTGTTTTCGAGGAAATTCAGGCTTCAACCCCGGCGAAAGCGGCCTCGCCTTCATGGGCTTTCTGGTCTCAACGTGCTGCATCACTATCCCAGGCTACTTCTACTGGAAATACTACTACCAGTCCCGTCATTTCGATAAAGACGGAAACATAGCGCCCGAATATCAGATGTCGCCTGCTTGTGTCGGCGCCTTTGCACTCCCCATCTCTCTCTTCCGGTTCGGATGGACGGGGAATTTTGAGAGCGTGCATTGGATCGTGCCAATCATCGCGTCGATTTTATTCGCTTTTGGGGGGGTGTTTGATCTTCAGTTGTATTTTCTGTTATCTTGCGCATGCATATCCGAGATATGCGGCTTCGGTGTTGGCTGGGAATGATTTCATGAGGTCCTCGTTTGGTGCTGGCTTTCCACTGTTCGCGTCGGCTATGTTCCATAACTTGGGTGTCGGTTGGGCTTGCACATTGCTTGGGTGTCTGACTTTGTGCTTCGTGCCGTTTCCGTTTATTTCGGTGTGGCGAGGGAGAAAAATATGAATGGCGAGCCAATACGCTCGCCATGATATATAGCATCAGGGGTTGAGGTATTGGGCTCAGGATATTTCAGAAGTTCCTCGCATCTTCCAACCCTATGTAATCCAAGAATTGAATAGACTGATAAACTTACGATAATACTACCTGCAATAATTCTTCGTACCAGATAAGTCAACACTTCAGTTTTGCTTCAAAAGCAAAGACCCTCTATCACAGGCTTGGCAACCTCGGCGGCCAAATAACTGTATCGGGAACAAGTTGACGCCGATCACATTAGCGATGTCGTATTCGGACACCGAATACGCAAACAATAAGCGAGTGCTGCTTCTACCATGTGAAATGGACCGGCGATCGATCCCAAAGGAAACCCACTTGGGGGTAGCAAAGAGGATCCAACCTGACTGGTCCCGAATAAAACGTATCGACCATCACCAACTTCCCTTCGCTAACATCACCGTCGATCGCGAATGTCCGACCGCCGCCATTTGCTATCAGGTTATGAGATGTCAAGCTTTGTTGTTGTCGCCACTTGAGACCACTGATCTTGGATTTTCATTTCTGTCACATTTCGAGGGAGAATAAGAAGAACGAATGATTGAACGGTCAAATCATACTTATCAACCATGTCCAAATCCGATATCGAGAATAGCTCGGATTCAGATACGAACGCCGTGGCTAACCCGGTCAAACCAACAGTCTGGCAGCGTTTCAGAGCACATATGAAGAGGTGGTGGTGGTGTTACTTGATCGGACTCGGTGTTGTCGTCCTTGGAGTCGTCTTACCACTGTTAGTCAACTTCGCAACTACAAGAATCAAACCACTTACCTCCGTCCAGCGTCTACCTGGGCGTCCCGCACTTCGCCAACTCCTACATAAACAACTATAAGTACGACTACGAAGGCCTCTCAATCACAAATCCCCGCCCAACTTCATTCCACGTCCGCCAATCCAAGAAACTCAGCATGGGCGGCGGATTCAGCGGCAGCGGCCACTTATCTGCGTTCAACGCCAGCTGCAAGATCCCTTCTACTGGAGAACAATTCGCGGTCTTCCCCGTGCCGACGATCGAGTTCAGCAATGGCGCGACTCTGGATATCGACCAGGATCTAGAAGTGACATGTGTTGATTGTTTGGCGCAGTTGGCGGTTGAGGCGGCAACGAATCAGAGCTTCAGAGTACTGGTGACTGGGACGCCGGATTTGACGTTTGGGGTGCTACCAACTGCTCACTTGGATATTCACAAGATGATGAATATGAATGGGTATAATGTCACGGGTGAGTTTGGTGGGATAGGTTTGGTGTTGCTTGGCTGACATGTTGCAGATTCGTGAACGCAAATGATGCTTTCAATGTCACGACCGTGGATCTGTTGGATACGCCGGTTGATGGATTCAATGTGAATGCTACCATCAGTCTCCGTAATCCCACGCCGTTCATTGTGGAAATGGTACGTGTGCTTGTGTTTAACAACCGCAGCTAGCTAATCAGGACAGGGTCATGTCACATTCAACCTCAGCATGGGGGGGCTTCGACTTGGGCTACGTTGATCTCCCCAACTTGATGCTTCAGCAGGACATCTCCAGCACCATTGTCCTAGGAAATATCAATACCTCAATGCTGGTCCATGAGGCTATTCTGGGCAGTGGAGAGCTCGGTGAAGTCACCCTCGACATCAAGGGTCACAGCTGCGACTATAATGGGCATGAAATCCCCTACTTCGCAGCAGCCATCAAGGCCGTCCAGGCATCGGCAACCCTTGATTTGCTGCAGTATGTCTCAAGTCTTGACTCGCTTTAGATATCAGATGTGCTACATTTATCAAGGTCTTAAAAAAGAAATAGAAATAAAGTAAAATTCACAAAGTAAGAGACCTGGAGTAAGAATGACCTCTCCGAGACGCCCGAGCCATCTATGATGCGCCGTGACCAGATGCAAGTTGGAAACAATACCAAAAAATAATAGAAGCCTTGTAGGAAATGAAGCATTCTAATCTGATGCTCAAATCAAGTTCAGTAGTCCATTGAGTACCCACCACCTGCATTGCCACCCTTGGACTCATTCCCTGGCTCGTATCCAGTTTGATCGTCCAGGGACTTGTAGTAGGGGTTCGACCCGCCACGACCTCGGCCACGGCCCCCCCGAGCACCTCGTCCGCGTCCATTTCCACGGCCACGACCACGACCAGAGCCCTTGCGGGAACCTTCGTCGTAGTTATTGCGATTATTCTGGTAAGGATGGTAGCCGTGGGATTGGCCTTGCGCTTGCACGTAGCCTTCGTACCCATTGGTCTGGCCAGACTGGGGGTAAAGATCTCCTCGTTTCGGTCTTGGAAGCGCCTTTTGAGACCCTTGTTCATGAATTGGCTCTCCCACTCGCCCTCCTGTGGGTTCTCTGCCTCGACCCGGAGAACCTCCTTCTCCCGATGATAGCTTCAAAGGTCATGGCCGTTTCAGCGGGGACAGGGTGCCAATTCTGGATTTTGCCTGCATCAATCGGGCGTGACCCTTTGCGAACGGCTAGAACAATCAGAGAGGGTGGAGTTTTCAGTGTAGATTGGTTCTGTAGCCGGAATGGGCTTCACCCGAGCCGCCCAGACTCTGTTCTCATAACACCCAATTCCAGTGACCTGCCAGCTTACTTTTTTGCCCATGCCTCCAATTTTCTCCAAAATAGACTTCGGAGCGGGACGAGGGGCAATGAGGATGCTGTTAGCCATGTATTTTAGGTTATTTGCTTCGGACATTCCTGGAGGCAAAAGCGGTACGAGCAGACTCTCAACCATCTTGTTTGAGTCTTGTGCAGAAAGCAAATACCCAGTGTAGAAGACTGTCCGCTTAATACAAATCCGATTCTTTGGTCCAGAGGAATTGCGCAACGCAAGGTTGTGTGAATTGATCATTCGCTGCACCTCCGCAACTTCGGTGGCCGGGTCAAGATATCTGGTATCTTCTGAGACCTGGATCACTTCAGCAGTCATGGGCGTTCGAGGAGCATCGGGTTCATTTTGTAATTTTCTGTTCACATCCTCGAAGAAATCCCTGAAACCGGACACACTAAAGCAACATTAGCACATGTGATACTGTTGAGTCCTTGACCAGACTCACTGCTTGACACGGTCCTCATAAACACGAATTTCTTCAGCCTGTTTGTAAGTAAAAATGAGATCCTGTAGGAAATTCTGTTTGAAATTCATGGTCGAGCTGAAGCGCTGGCCGTTGGGCCCAACCTCGGGCTTCAACCCCACCAAATCAAAGTCAAGCTTCTGACTTGCCACCATGCGTTTGATGGGCTCGCCAAAGTTGGCCTCGCCCCGGCCCGTCAATAGCACAGTCAAGGCATCTTTCTGTTCCATGCTAAGTCTCACCAAGCGGATCTTGTATTCGTCAGTCATGAGCGCATTGCAAGTGAACGGCGAGTGCATACAATCTGCTCATTCCAACATCCTTGCCATCCCTGAGGTTCCTCGATCTCGGTTCCACTTCCTGTAGCAGCAAGGATGGTAGGATCGTGCCACCAGCCGCCATTTGCGAAGCTCTCATATGCCTGAAGGAATCCAATCGTACTTCCATTCCATAATTGCGGGTTAGGGAGTGGGCTTAGGAAAACTAGACAAATGAAGTGTTAGCGTCAGCTTTCTTGACTTGTGAGTTCGGAGACGCGGGGGCCTCACGAGTATTGTCGAAGTCATATACATGGATTGCTCGAATTTGAGAGACAGCTGGATTAAGTCAATGGAAATTCTTGCTTGCGCCAAAAAGTGCAAACAAACACGGAAGCTCTTTGTTCAAGACAGACCAGCGCTTCAGCGAGGTCGTGGTGTATGCACGCGGCGCATTTGCGGTCATGCTGGATGTTGTGTTGCCCAGCTGGGCTAGTCTCTCAGATATGACGGCCTTTGCAGAACGCATCAGAGTATTTTGATCCGGGCTCTCAGCAGGTAGAGGACTGTCAGTGGCAAAGCATGGTGTGAGACTTGGAGAAGGCAGTCGCAACTCCGACGCAGGCGCCATCTTTTTCTGCCGTGGGCGGTACCGGTGCGGTAGCTTCCTGTCTACATCGGCCTCGGCTCTTCCTTCCTTTCGCCCATGGAGGAGGACTTGCAGCGGAAGATTCTCCAAAGGACACTCAAAGAAGTGGAGGATGAAGAAGCTGAAGGCGATCCTTGTGTCATTTGCCTGGAGACCATCACTGAGCCCTGTGTTGCGGTTCCATGCAAACACTCCAACTTCGATTACCTATGTCTCTTGAGCTGGCTAGAACAGCAGCCGAACTGTCCACTATGTATGGACCTTGATCATACGCAGAAGTGCGATTAATGAACTTTGACTGATTAAAGAATAGGTAAGGTTCAACTCGCGAAGGTGCAATATGATCTAAATGACCCGCGGGGCGCCAAAACATACAATGTTGCTCTCACGCAACCGTCGAAAGAGTCTCACCAGACCTCTGGAATTCGTTCGCGAGCTCTCGCAGGCGGCCTCTTAATAGATAATGTACGAAGGCGACGACACAGACCCCCTCCGCGCCAGCCTTTAGCTCCCACGGATGATCCTCTCGCCGTGCGACGAAACGTCTATCGCAACCAACTATACTCCCTTCGAGTCGGGTCGAATCGGCTTTCACAATACACGGAAGTGACACCGGAACAGTTCAACCGCGATGAAGCGCTCGTTTCGCGCGCTCGGAAATGGATCCGCCGCGAGCTACAGGTCTTTGCTTTCCTGAATCCGGATACCGAAGATCAGCCATCCGGCCCAGCTCGTCCTGGACCCCAGAGGCTGGAAGAACGTAGAGCCAACAATGCTGAGTTCCTCCTCGAGTATGTGATTGCGATTCTGCGCACCGTCGATATCAAGGGTAGCGCGGGGCAGGCGGAGGAGCTACTTCGAGACTTTGTCGGCCGTGAAAATGCGCGCTTATTCTTACACGAATTACTGGCTTGGTTGAGGAGTCCTTACACGTCCCTACAGGACTGGGATCGCCATGTGCAGTATCCAAGGCCTGCGCAACGCCAAATTCCTCCGCAGCGTTCTTTGGAAACAGGCGCCGGCGGAGACAGGTCAAGGTCGGAACGTCCTTCTCGTCCGCCGTTTCAAGACCCCGGAATAGCCCGCCGTCGTAGTGCATCCCCAGTTCGTGAACATGATCGAAGTCTCTTCGATCGGATTTCGAGACCGGGAGACCACAATCCTTTACATGTTTCCAGAGCCCGTTCAGATCGTCGCCCAAGGCCACCGCGGAACCGAGACCGTCTAGACCGATATATACCTGACTGAAAGGCCAAAAATACGACGAAGTTATCCAGTAGGACAACGTCATGACAGAAACGACCCTTTTGCCGCTGCAGAGTCCCGTTCATCTTCCAAAGTAGCTCAATCCATTTCGACGATTGAGTCAGTATCAGATAATACAAAATGTATAAATTAATTGCCTCCGATGAATACTAAATCTATCTCTGCCAAAACATATGCAATCGTGATATCATGAATATAAGGAAAGCTGCATCTTGTAACTTATCTCCTTCGGAAACGTCCTCCGCCTCTCCCCCGACCTCGGTGAATTTTCAATGAGCGATAGTTTGCATGAGCCTGGGGATTAACTTTCTTAGGAGGCTTCGTCTTCTTCTCCTTATCCTCTATCTCAGGCTCTGGAGCCTTGACCGGTACCTTCTGAGTCTTCGGCATAAGCCCTACAGCCTCTTTGATGCGCTCCGAGAAGCTCTTCGCCTTCGTCAACGGCTTAGGCCGCTCATTAAATTCAGGATCATCATCAGAGTCCAAGTCAGGCTCAGTTCCATAATTCGATTCAGCTTCAATGCTATGCAAAAAAGCAACATCATTGGGGATCTCGAGCTCTGGCTCTTCGCCCTTGGCATCTACAAGCTGTGTCTCAGGAACAGCTGCCAATTCATCGTCGCTGTCGATGGGTGGTGCGGCCTCTGGTTTTGGTTTGGGACGAGGCGCAACAGGGCGCATGATGACCCGGCGAGTCGTGCGCTTCTGGCCTTTCTTCTTATATGGTTTGCCCTTTTGTTCTGGGAAGTGGTCTTCTGGGGCCATGTCGACGGCTTCGTGTTCTGCTTCGATTTCTCGAGCATGTCCCACTCGTCGTCATTCCGTTCTTCTTCCATTGCGCGGAGACCTTGGACGATGTGCGAGAGGCCTCTTCCGGCGTATTGGACCGGTTTTCTAGACGCGATGGGACTAAGACCAGCGTTGTTGTGTGTGGACGGAGGGAGGCGGTTGAAGTTAGAGCGGCGGAGGAAAGATGGTGTTTCTGAAGGATTTGGCTCTGGTGACGCTGCGGTGGCGGCTGGCTCTGATGAATTTCGCTGTTCTGCTTTCTCGTCTTCCGCCTCTACCATGGCGGCATAGCGCATCGTGGTTGGGGTTGCGAATAGGTTGGCTAGGTAGAATTGCTTCGTTGAAGATGCCGGGGTGCGCGACAATCTGGAGCTTTCCTCCTCCTCATCCGGGACTTCTGTGATAGGTTCGAATGTCTTGCGTTTGGAGGGAGTTTGGAATCCTGCTCCCAGCATGTCCTTTTGCTTCTTTGCGGAGGGTGTAGCATGACTCCCGCCTGACTCGGACAGCATGTCAAATAGACCAAGGGTTTTACCATCACGCTGGGGCGTAGGGCCAATGGCCGCTTTCAGAGGAGACGGTGCGGGGAGACTCTGCCGGTGCGTGCTGGGACTGAACAATCTGCGGAAGGTTGAGGGCGAGTCGTAGGGGTCTAGCTGCGAGGGATGGATCTCTTTGGTGCGGTTGTTGGAGGGAGTCGCGAAGAGTCCTTTGAATGATTTGCGTGGAGTATTTTCGATTTGCGATCCAGTTGGACCGGTAGGTGACGCATATTTTCGTTTCTTAGAATGACTTTCCGGGTGTTCATGTCGACGATTCTCGCGTCGGGCTAGAGAGGCCTCGAGGTTTTTGAGTCGGGTATATTCTTTGTATTTGGCGGCTATAACTAATAGTGAGCTTCAATTGCATTGAGAAGCGGAATCTCAAGCTCGTTGACCCAAGCTCGTCGACCACTCTTACCAATTTCGGGATTCTGTTTGATGTCGTCTCGGCCAGCCTTTCTTCCACCGTGCGTTGATGCGAACTCTTTTTCCCAGACCTTCAATGTGGCACGAACTGCAACCGCCTGGTCTGCGATCTCAGCCCGAGAAATGAGGGCGTGGTCAGTCATTGTTGCATTGCGATGGTGAAAGGAGACGCGACCAGAATCCCATTAACGCGGTGACGTCGCGTCGGCCCGCGTCAAGTCTCGGGTCCATGGTACTTCCGCCTAAACTCCATTTACCATGAGTAAAGATCGTACCTGACTTTTGTTGCGTAACAAGCTCCACGTTCTTGATGAATTCCAGGTGTTTCTGCTCCAACAAATGACCGTCCGGATCGCAGCGCTACCAGAATGTGTGCGCCTACCAGGCTGCAGCATTACAGTATACATTGCAGCTGGTCGATGAATGTCAAATCGCTCTAGATACGTGCAGTTGTGATCTACACCTTCAGACGTATTCAAGTTCATGTGAAGTAGACACAAAAATTTCCAAAACGATTTCATATAATATATAGGCAGGTGGTCCACTTAGATTATCTTCTCGGTCGAAGTGTCCTTCCCCGCCATGGTGACCTGCCCAAGCGCTAGACGATGCAAATGGTACTTGCACCCCCGCATCATGGCCTGGACCCAGGCCCAGGACTATATAATGGCTGGTCTCGCTAGGCAAGAGCCGATTATACTGTCCCCCGATAAATGTCTAGTATGACTATTCGTTCTCTCAAAATGCCTGCTACCGGCGAAAAGTCTCCACTAGATGCTGAGTTCGATCAACTCGTCACTGACATCCTCGAAACCTGGAAGATTCCAGGATTGTCTATTGCTGTTGTACATGGAGCTCACACTCACTTCAAGGTAGGGAGTGGCTTGAGTGCGACTGGCTCTCAATGCTAATTAACTCTAGGCTTATGGACTGGCCGAGTTCCCCGACAAGAAGATGACAACCGATGCACTATTTCCGGCTGCTAGTACCACAAAAGCTTTCACCAGTGCAGCCACGTCTATGGTCATCAAAGATAGCAAAGAAACCGAGTCTCCAATTGATTGGGACACGCCCATCTCTTCTCTTATCCCAGACGACTTCGTCCTGGCGAATGACTATCTCACCACGCACACCACGTTAGAGGATGCGCTCTCCCATCGAACAGGGCAGCCAGGCCATAACTGGATGCTCAGCTATACGCCAGAGGATGCAACTCTTAAGGACCTCGTTCGCTCATTGCGGCACCTACCAGTCTCATTTCCTCCGCGGACTCATTTCCAGTACACCAACAACATGTTCGTCGCAGTGACACATGCCCTGCAAGAGAAAACAGGCATTCCACTGGGAAAGTTCCTGAAACAGCGAATTTGGGAACCACTTAGCATGAATGAAACCTTTCTCGGAGTCCCCGAAGCCCAATCGAACCCATCAATTGCAAAGAAAATTGCAGAAGGATATACTTGGACACCCAATAGTGAGGATGGCTCTTATTTTCAAGAAGGCCGACCAAGCTGGGGAGCCAATACCGGCGCTGGAGCGATAGTCAGCAGTGTACTTGATTACTCCAAATGGATCAGGGAGCTGATTGAGAAATCTGGACCTCTGAAAGGCCACGACTCTCTGATCAAGCCCCGGACTTTCCATTTCGAAGAAGGGGATGTGAACCTACCCTCACCACACCACGCGTATGCTCTAGGCTGGTTCGTGGATAACTACCGCGGCCAGAACTTGTATCATCACACTGGTAGTTGGCCCGGGTATGGTAGTCTCGTGGGCTTCCTCCCCGACAAACAATTCGGCTTCGTCATGATGGGGAACTCAGCCTCGGCCAGGAGCGGGACCATGAGACTGGCTGTTCATCTTATTGATAAATTGCTTGGACCCTCCAATGACCCACTTCTCAATGAGCGGATGACTGCTTGCTTCAATAGACAGATCGAGGAGCGCGAGAATATGATGAAGGATTTACAGCGCAGTACAGCGGATGTCAAGAAGCGACTATTTCCTAGACTTCCTGATCCTCCTATTCCTCATTCTCTTGATCTGGAGGAATATGCGGGAATGTATACGCATCCGGCCAATGCCTCTGTCACTATCAAGTTTGAAGGCGGCGAATTAGTTACCGAGAAGACCCAAGGTGCTATTCCTGGTGTCTTAGGTCTGACGCATGCTAGTGGGGAGTTCTTTGTCGGTAGGATGAAGTCCTTCAATCTTGTTATTGAGCCTTTTGTCGTGGAGTTCCGGATTGACTCCACTGGGAGTGTGACGAAGGTTGGAATGGATCTGGAGCCAAGTTTGAAAGGCGAGAAGATTTGGTTTGAGCGTTGCGAAGCTTGATACTACCGAGCAATGGATTGAGCAACTTGAAGTATTCTTTGTGGTCTTGTAATTTTGGAAATGAGAAGCTGTCAAGCGTCCTTGACGCAAAGCAGTAAATACCCAGTGAGAGGAAATCCAGAGCGCATCACCAGCTCGTCAGCCCTCTCACCCTGTCAAACCCACCCCTCAACTGTGACTCCGGATGTACAACCTTCCCTTGCAGGATCGTATACTTGACCAGACCCTCACAATGTTCCGGCCTCACACGCGCAAGCCAAATCATCTGTTGATCCTTTTTCCGGTAAACAAGCACATTCGCAGAAAACTTGTGCCCACCAACGTGCGAAACAAAGAAAATGCCCACGCCGCCAGGCCGTGAATCATCCGCATCACGATCAAGACCCAGTGGACGAAGATGCCGCTCGAGCTCACGCTTGATAAGAGGCGCTGTAATTCCGCAGCGCGCATCTCGCCGTCGGTGCGAACATAAAAGAACCACGTAGTCCAATTCGCAGGGGCGGCCTTTCATGCCTGCATCTGGTGAAACAATAGCGCTGTCAATTTTCTCGTCTTGATTGTCTATGTAGCGATTGACCAAGTCTGGAACGTCTGTTTGTGACACAGAGTCGACGAAAGTGAATGATGGGAGAATGAGAACCGTTGTAGAGGTTGAGTTGTCGCCTGAGTGGTTAGGAGATTGAATATTCGAGGCCGAGACCATGATGCGCTGCGGGATGGTCAGTAGAGAAGCGACAATGGAGACAGTTAATACGCACGCCAAGCTTGGACTTTGCTGACGATCCATCGAATGCCTCCATAAGACTCCCCTTTTTCCTGTTCGACTTTCTCCTTCCAATCGGACCGCCCCGTGGCGACCAGGACATGGGAGTGGAATTCTTTGATTTGGCCATACAACGGTCTTGAAGTCTCAATTTTCACTTTGTCTGGGAAATGCGTTGTGCAGTCGGCACAGTCTTTGAGGCAGTCGGGACCGTCCTGCACGGGCTCCACCTTGGGGAAGAGATAGTCGGGGGTCCGACCCAGGGACAACAATGAACGTAGCATGACCACGACACCACGATGCGATGTGAATTGCCACAAGTCCAAAAAAAATGACAGTGAGGGATGTGTGCTGGTTAAATGAAAGTTGACGCATTTCGGTCTGACTTGTCGGTGCCTGGAGTAGATATACTCCAGTATCTCCGAGCAGAAGCTCCGAATGGGTTAACGCCGAGGCAGGCCCGATTGACTTTTGCGCCTTTGGAAATTGACGTCGGAGGTTGGAATCTTCCGCTGACTAGTTCATCTCTCGACACCTCATATCTAATGCATTAAACATAATTCACCTTCATCATCACGATTTACTTGCTTGTCTTGCAATACTCATGAACACTTTATTTCGCTTTGAGAGCGCTGAGTTGATCAATTCAGCCCAGTCGAATGTGTCGAAGAATGTATGTTGCACGGTAACCCCGATAATCAGGGCAAAAGAGAGCATCTACAAAAGGCAATCAGCATGAAGTCTCGGCGCTGAGAGACCCTGTCTGGATGTAGTTGTCCACTCCATGCCTACTTATTGACCCTCACAGGAACAGTCAACCAAAGCTGAAGAGTCACATTGGGGCCATTCCGCTTTGTACTGAACCAGATGAAATGATGAAAAAGATGATAACCGATATCTGAGTAAAGACGTGGTGAAGGAGCGTGCAGCCTTGCTAACCTGACCTCCGCTCTCCTTTTCTGTACTCCAACTTGCCAAGTAAAGCTCAGGAGACACACCGAGGCAAGACCCGCCAAGGTACTCACACAGATCAAATGCTCAGTTGATTGGATGCTTTTGGTAGAGCAACGCGCATCGAGCAACGCGCAGTCTCTTAATGACGGGTTCTGACTAACAACCTTATTTTCAACTCTCAACAGCCAGTACACGAGAGTCGGACAGAGCAGATGGCCCTAGTAATAGGTCCCTAGTCCCTAGTCTGCGGTCAGAAAGGTGTAAAAAAGTATGAGAATTCGACGACGAAGAATTGAAGTGCACTTTCATAGCCTTTTACGGCAGTGAGGCAGATACAATCGATAGTGGGGGTGGATCGGACACACTTTCCGTGTTTGGGAGTGCAGAGCGGGCCATTCCACGTAAGCCGAAGCTCCCTAACCCAACATCTCGGATCTAACGATAACACTTTGTATGCTTTCGTGTCCCTGACTATATCAAATTGATATTCTATGGCAGACGTTCAGGTGTTCGGGAACCCGCAGGCCGAGCGGCCGCGCAAAAGGCGGCGCCGCACCATGGCCTGCACCCAATGCCGCAGCCGCAAATTGCGTTGCGATCGTGAGTATCCGAGTTGTGGCCGTTGTACTAAGAGCAGGACACCTACAAAATGTACCTATGAAGATGGCTTCTTATGGCAGCAGCCCGCCACTGTGCCTGCTACGGCTTTCGCTGCAGACCGGGGCTCCACTGTCTCATTGGGCCCGAATGAGCAGACCCCTAATCAGAGAACCCCAAACTCGGGTTTGGAAACGGCCTCAATTCAATCAGATACCCTTCATTCGACAGGTGGTGCTGGCTCCGCGCCAACCCGATTTGAAGACCCTCATCATTACCACAATGGCAGGGCAAAAGGACACCACGGCCGTGAACGTGGCTTTCTCGAGACTGTCCTAGGAGCCCCCAAAGCCGCTGTCAACCAAGAACCATATGTAAATACGGGCCTTCTGCAGCGGCCAAAACGTGCTTTGCCTGAGCCAAAAACATATTTCGCCTTGCGCGTCGACGGCGAAGGTATTGATGATGAGAATTCTGAGAACGAACTTTCGCCGACGCAGCAGCTTGATCTGTCGCCTCGGATCATGATGAGAGGCCGTGAAACTAAGACTCGTTTCAGTGGCTCAGGAATATATGCAAATCTCGTGGCCCAGGTACGTTTTTTGCAGGTCATTTCTTACCTTCTGAGACTCTGATCAGCGTTCAGTTCCCCGATATCCGATCCTTCGCAGAGGAAATCAGAATATCAAACCCTATTCTTTCAAGGGTCCGACCTGACCTGGAGAGAGTCAAGCGTGGCCTATGGAAGGTCAAGCCGCTGAATACGCCATTTCCGGAACCTACAACGCTGTCATTGATTTCTTTACTGCCGCAGCGCCAGGTCGTCGACGAACTAATCGGTCTGTACCTGACTTACATCGAATCCACACACCGCATCTTTCACATCCCTACTTTTCTGAAGGAGGTAGATGACTTCTTCTCCAAGGTCGATGACCCGAACATGATCTCAACGGTATTTGTGGTGCAGCTTCTGCTGGTGATTTCCTGTGCTTGGAATCTTGCAGATGCCAGCAGTTTGCAAGAGAAAAGCTCTGTTTCACTCAAATGCTACACGGCGGTGGAGTGGGTTCTGCACGCAGAAAGGTGGATCGAAAATGCGCGCATCAAACGCTTTGAGATCAGTGCTTTACGGCTTTACATTCTTTTGGTCACGGCTCTAAATGCCCATGGCATGAAACGCAGCAAGGCCTGGGTCACCACTGGCTCCCTAGTCCAAAATGCCATGCTGTCGGGGTACCATCGCGATCCAAGCAAATATGCGCGGATTTCCCCGTTCAACAAGGAAATGCGACGGCGTATCTGGACCACGATTGTGGAGTTGAACCTGCAGATTTCCTTTGATCGAGCCATGCCACCGTCAGTGCAAAGCTCCGACTACGACACCTTGCCCCCTCTGAATATCGACGACGAAGAGATCAATGAGGCTTCTACCGAGGTACCGGAGGACCGGCCCCTGACTGATATCACCGACTGTTCGTTCCAGGTTGCCCTTACGCAGTCTCTACCTCTTCGCCTCAAAGCCTGCCAGCTGATGCACTCTCCTCGCATTAGCTGTCGATACGAGGAAATCCAACGTCTTGACTTGGAGTTGAGCCGACAGCTCTCGCGAATTCCTATCTGGAGTGCGTCCGATGCCAGCGACATAGTTACCCAGCACAAAGTCAGTTTACGAAAGGCCACGATGGAGTTAAAAATCGCGCAGGCTCTGCTCTCGATTCACACTCCGTTTGCGATTGAAGCCAGAGAGGAAGCTCTTTTCGCCCCCTCGGCTAGATCCCGCTTGGATGCCGCAATCATGATACTTTCCACCCAGCGCCAGCTGCACGCGACCTCGCTGGCGCTGTCACTTTGCACCCTTGGGGAGTGGATACTTCAGGCATTCGTATCCATTTGCCAACATTTACATACCATGGACCATCAAAATTGTACAGTTTTCCAGCATCGGAGCTCTAACCATCCACTGACCAATCCTTAGCTCTTCCGTCACATCCGTCATCTTCTATCTTCACGATGCACACTCTGCCAGGTTTGCCCGATTCCCTGTTATCCTTGGTGGAGGCGGCCCTCACCTTTCTCGAAGGTCGGTTCTTACTGGTCGTCAAGGGTGCTAAGGACTATTTTTTCCTGTCAACCATTGTCGCACTGGTCAAGGCCAAGCTCTGGCCCGCCCAGGCGCTCATTTACAAACAGCAAGTGGTGGAGCGGGTACTGTCCTTTGCGCAGACCATGTTTTCGCGTCACGCGACCTGTGAGCACTTGGGAACGCCAGGTATGGGCAGTTTCAAGAATAACCAGGTTTGTCTCACGTATCACACCCATTAAAGTACCTTCTGACCCACCTAGGTGGCTGCCTTCATCGCAACCCCCGGAATGGCAGCCGTCCTTCCATCCGACTTCGACGGCATCCTCCCGCCGCCCAACCACGACATAACAGTAAGGCTTCTATTCCTTCTGGTGACCCTTCGTGCTTTTCTCACAGTCCTGCAGCCACCCGGAGAGTTCGACCCCTTTTTAGACGTATTTGACTGGGAGGATCTGACAGGAATCGCTCTCGGCAATTGATATACCCAGATATGCACAGTATTATAGGCGCAGTGGATCAAGGTGATTACCTTCGATTTGGAATGTGTAATAGATATCATGATTGCATCACCGGGCTACATCGTAGATCAATGTTCGGAATCAGGTCCCAAATGTTGGCCAGGGGAGCTCAGGAGCTTGGCCGGGTCCACAGTGAGATCATGGGCAGAGTGACGATCGGTTGCGACTGCAAGGGCATGTCGATCAGACATTATTAGCCGCGGTTGCAGGACTGGAACTATATCAATAGGCTATGGATCACTGGCCCCGGAGATGCAGTACAGTACTGTAGATCATTGCAAGTTGATCAATGCGAGCCGTGCGACTGAATCGAGGTTACAAGGCTCCCGATGATTGTGGCGCCGTGATAAGGGTATACAGGCATGAATTGTAGTCCAAGTCGAGGTCTAGGTCTAGGTCTAAGTCTAGGTCAGGGCCTAGGTGGCTCAATTGCGTGCGAAGTTCTTAAAACATATCATTGGTGCATTTGCACGGTGGGGAGATCAGATGAAGCCATTGGTGAGAAAAGGAAAAAGACCAGAAGAGCGGAGATTAACGAGGGACTAGACCCAGCAAATCAAACTGGGTCGATCCATCGCGCCAATAGACCGTGGATAACGTGAGGGGAACTCGCGCTGTGACAGGCTGTACAGTGGGGAACAGCGACTTACAATGACTTGTTCTTCTGCCTGTTCCACTACGTGTCCACAGGTACCTCAAAGTCAATCCGAGAATGGCAGCCTAAAACACTTGGCTTTGGTTTAGTTCGATCAACGTCCGGACTGTGCGGATCTTCATTGCTGGGTTGGTCCCTTTTTACCGCCCAATTTTTTTTTCACTTTTCGATTATCATTTGTTACTAAAATCTTAGGCTACTTATGTAGCGTGCCATGTGCGCCTATGTTCCAGAGTGTTTCCTGGTTTCCCTCCTTTTGCTCTCCCGATCTATTGTCCTTCCCCAACTCACCATGCGCTGTCCGTTCCGATAAACGGCCCAATTGCTCACCCCAATGACCTCTTAGGCGGCAATTGACAAACTCTCCCTAACCGGTGAACCCGCAGCGCGGGTTACACCTGTACATATCTACAACATCAGAAGAAAGCCGCATCGCAATGTACTCATTCGAGGGTCTTGCTTATCTCCGACTCATGATTCTCGCCTTGATCACCTTAGTGGGGGCGAATCCAGCATCAGAATGGGGTCCTAAAGTATCACGAGTGTACAACACAACTGATGAAATCCCGCTTCCAAACCAAGGCCACATCCAAGTCCACGATCCAAACATCATCCAGCACAATGGCAGCTACTACCTCTTCAAAGGTGGCCACCATATACCTATATTCAAAGCGACCAATATGACCGGTCCCTGGTCTCAAATCGGCACCGTTCTCGACGCCGACAGTATCATTCACACTGGAAATCGGTCGCGACCATGGGCACCTACCACTGTCGAGCGCGACGGCACATTTTACTGCTATTACACGCTAAGCACGCGCGGCTCGCGTAAAAGTGCCATCGGAGTCGCCACCACGGCCACGCTAGAAGGGAGCCCGTGGACCGACCACGGAGCCGTGATCCACACGGGCGACGGGGAGAATTCGAACGTATGGCCGTTTACAATTACTAATGCGATTGATGCGTCATTTGTGACGGACAATTCAACGGGGAAATCGTATCTGAATTACGGGAGTTTCTGGCATGATATCTGGCAGCTCCCGCTATCTGATGACTTGCTGTCGATTGAGGATCCTCGGGAGCCGGATGCGATGCAGTTGACTTTTATTCCGCATGAGCGCATCAAGCCGCAGGAAGGATCGTGGATGAGTTATCGGGATGGATATTATTATGTTTGGTTTAGCCATGGGAAGTGTTGTAACTTCCAGGGGGGGATTCCCTGCGCGCGGGACAGAGTATAGTATTCGAGTTGGAAGGTCGAAGAATGTGCGAGGGCCTTTTGTTGATAAGGAAGGTCAGATGCTGCTTGATGGGGGTGGGTCGATTGTTTATGCGTCGAATCATGGGAAGGTGTATGCGCCTGGTGGGGTTGGTGTTCTGGATGGAAATGAGACGACGCCGGATATCCTTTATTATCACTATTTGAATACCTCGATTGGTTTCCTGGATAGTGTTTGTGTTGTCTGTTCAGATTGTGGGATCTCAATGTGCTGACTTCCATTGCAGGAAACTCATTTGGGCTGGAACATGCTCAATTACTCGGATGGGTGGCCATTTGTTGTTGATGGAATCTTGATGGCTTCTCATTCAGGGGCCGTGGGATATCTTCCAAATTGCTTCTATCTGACCATTGTGATGAGTATGTTGGGATTCCTGAAATATTGAAGATCTCTGCTAACTGGCCTAGTTTCATGGCTGTACATATGGTCATAGCGGATGCCCTGGCATGGCATCACCCTCGATACTCCCTGTTCCTTTTAGCGATTGCACCATAAAACTCATTAGAGGTGGCGTTTTTGCTTTTTTTGAATACTGATTATTTCTTGAGCGTGCGAATTTCTGGGCTAGCATCATGCTCCACCTTGTGTAGCGACTTCTGAACTTCGCATCTATATCTACAATACACAAAGATGTCACATCCAATCACCGAGTAGCGTCTGTCATCAGATTGAGTCGGTGGCATCACTTTGATGACTTATCTGTCTGAAGAAGGGCTTTCATTGACGTGATTTGTTGACTGGCATAAGAAGTGGACATGAATATAGAGACACAAAGAATGCGAAAAGATGAAGATATGGCGAGACGCTCGACTGAGATTTGTGCTAAAGCTATCGTAGCCGTTCCGGGTTACATGGCCATTCAAGATCATTTCATTGAGAATGTATTTGAACGCGCGCGATTGCCATACGGCTTGTAGTGGTCGTCGATCACATGGGGGGTCTTCCTGATGGGCAAGATGACTCCCGAACAAGCTATAGGGAATTGCGGGTTTCTGGCAGGACAAGGCAATCTGGTCGGGTTTGAAGTGGTTCAGTCCGAGACCCCGAGGGTAGATGGTGTGAGTTCAGGCGATTTAACTTTTTGGAAGGATCGTTGCAGGGCGATAAAGCTGTGGATGACATAGTGGCAATGTTGATTAAACTCAGCTATATATATTCACCGATCAAGAGGAAAGTGAGCATGACCGAGACCTGCCGAGGTCGCATTGAAAGGCATAATTATTTCGGATTGATTCTTGCTTCTTGGTGGAGAGGAAGAAAAAACCCAATGTGGGGTGTGGGGGTACAGTTATTCATGATAGGCGGCGATGGACCATGGAAGTCACTTGACTACCAGAAATGTATATAAGTGCACAAACAACTCCTTCGCCAATGAAATGATGCAGTAGAACTTCAAGGTTGAAGTAGTTTAGTTTGTAGCCCCGAGAGGCGTGATAAGACTTGCTTACAAGGGCTTTGAAAGAATTATGCGCTCCTGGCTCTCGTTGACGCTCTCCTCCAGCAAAGTCGTCCCCATTCCTAGACCACCCTTCTTCCTGTTATTTTTGAATTCGCCAGCACGGAATTTCGCGAGCTCATGTGGTTCGTTGCCGGTGGACTCGGTATATTTCGAGTTTGCACTTGAGCCGAAACGGCGGAAGAATGGCAAGGGTTTCAAAGATGAGAGAGAGCCGGCGACAAGACCTAGGTTGAACTCGATAACCATCCAGTATAAAGATGACGCTGAGTCGTCTGTGCTAGATTGTTAACATTTTAAGAAAAGGTATCAGAGGTGAGCTTTCGTACACGTTAAATCCGTAGTCCCTTTACGCAAATAATCCAACGTGCTAAACCGGACGACAGGGGCGATGCAGGCGATTATACCTATATTTGAAATAAGTATTGAAGCATGTTGCACCGTCTGCACTGACCTGTTCCGAATATTGCCATCAACGCAGCGATTTTTCTCACGGGCATTTGCAATCCGCACAGAATTGACATGGGTGCAATTAGCATAATGATATCCGCGACGAATATCAGCACTGCTTGGTATAGAACGATTTGGAACAGCTTGAACTGAGAGTAACAAGTTGCGTTCGTGATTGTCAAGTCAAATGCGGCCCTGTAATAAGCCTAGTCAATAGACGTGGTAGACACTGCTCGTTATTGAGCATGTACCTTGGAGGATCACATTGAAAAGCCAGAACCAAAGATCCGGATACCGAAAATAGTACTTGGAAGACCATCAAGCCCGCAGTAAGCCATTGCATCCAGGCTGATGGCGTGGTGATGTGGTAGTCAGCGTGGGTTATACTCCGAGTCTCTGAATCTAGTTGAATTGACGAAAAATATACCTTTAACAAAGATTCGTCGAATAAACAATAGCAAGCTAATCTTCACCGAGAGTGAGGCGTAGAGATAGATGCACATCGCTGCATAGTATAACTATTCGCGAGATCCAGCTCAGTAATATGTTCTGACAAATTCTCACAGAGCCTGTTTTAATAGTACCTTGAGCCAAATTGCTCGATCTTGGGCGGATACAGTCTCGAAGTGCCGGCCTTCTCCATAATAGACAACGGCAATCCCTAGCCCGTTGAAACATTGTGTCACGACCTAGTGATCCCCGTTAGCCATTCCTGTGAAATTATTTCTATGGGTGCAATGGGACTCGGAACTGGGACATACCAGCGCGATGCAAACGGCAATATCATCAAGTCCAAACAGGTTGACGATGACCGCTCTTGTGTAAAGCTGAAGGTGAGTTAGATTGACTATGAAAATTGAGATTGACACGCTCTCCGGGCGGGGTCTCACTCTCAAGCTGACGACAATCAGGGACAGAAGTCCCGTGCTAAGAATCAGCCCATAAGTGAGGGACTTGAGATAACGCTCATCTGCTGTCAGACTAGGCTCGGCCGCTGAATTAGACATAGCTTTTAGGAAGGTCAGAAGCTTCTCTGCATAGTGATCGCGCTGAGGGCGTAGAAAAAGCGAGATGCAGACTTTTAATCTGTAAACAAGACGCAGTGTGATTCCTCAGTAGGGAGTACAGGGAAGAAAAAGAAAAACATGGTAAATCGATATCTCCGAAATATTCAAGTACTTTTGTGCCTTAAGCGCAAGTCACATATCCAGATCAACGTACTGTGTCGTCAACACGGTCCAGATCCTTGACCGTCGACTATCATCGCTAGTACATAGGCCAATTAAGTCGGGTCCGAGTCTGGGGAAAGACACGGCTGGAAATTAGGCAAGTGTCACTTTCCAGTTTAAGTATAGTAGACATCTTGGTGAATAGAAATGGGGTTCCATCGGACCACATGCCACCGGACGGGACTGCGCCCCCCACTTTCCAATCCAGGTTAGCTAGTGGGAAGGATTCAAGGAGCGTTCGACTCTGGGAAACTGTTGGAAGGGTCTGGACAACGGATGGATTGAACTACTGCAGTAGCTGCATGTCAAGCCATCCCCCTTTTTCTCTCTGAGCTATCGAGTGGCGGGTGTAGGTGACGAGGATGAGAGAAAGGAATGATCTGTGCTGTCAAAACTGGATTTTGGGTTCTTTCAAGTCACGACATGTCTACACGATGGTAGAGAGATCATGTACCAGAAATAAGCACGAGAATCAAGGGCTAACCTTAGGGTCGAGAATCCTCAGAGTCTTAAGCCCATCTGTGGTAGGATGGTGACTTACTCCGCGGCGCGCATGTACTCTTCGGGATGGTGGATCAAGCCGCTCGCGCATCATTCACTTGCTGACCAGCCATTTCGAATGATCATTTTGCTAGAAGATACAAGGCTACAAGAAAAAACAAGTGGTGGAATATCACAGTTACCGGCTGAATCAGAATTATACGGTATTACCTCGCAATTTCCCCCTCTGAGAATTGAGATGATGATCCTCTTCAAGAGGTACTTTTGTAAAATATCCCCTCAACAGCAACGGCCGCTCATTGATTCACCAGCTGAGCCACGATGTGTGAAGCAATAAAATTATCATGCTGTAATCCATCTCTTCAATTTTTAAAAGACTGACCACGGCCATCTAAATCTGATAGGTGAGGCTAATTGGGAGGTCCGGACTCTGCTGGATCCTGTGCGGGAGATAAGGGGTCAGGGATGGGGAAGGGGGCCATGGGGACTAATATTACCAGTACCTTTTTCCGACCAAGCGATCGAAGCTATCGAATTCTCTTCACGTGTCCACTACGGGTCACATTTTACCTCTTGACACCTCGTGCTCATCATACCCATCAAACTCGATGTCTTCGTTCAATCAAGAGACGGATCATTTCAAGGTTCTCATAGCTGGTGGCAGTCTTGTGGGTCTCGGCTTGGCCCTAGCTTTCGAGCGCGCCGGGATTGATTACGAGCTGTTTGAGAAGGGAGATTTCGCACCGCAGCTGGGGGGCCTCTATTGGACTCCACCCGCATACTATAAGAATTCTAGAGCAATTGGGCGTGTGGCCGGACATCGAGAAGCAGGTTATACCATTGAAGCACCGAATGCATTTTGACGGAAACGGGAATTGCTTCGAGGACTCACATGTGTTAGGCAATATCGAGGAAATGTGGGTCTATACTGATCGAAGAATCCGGCCGGGCGTCCACAACCAGTATTGTGGCAATACAAGAGATCCATTTGCTAATTTTGAAACCCTTTCGGTATGATTCAATAGTCTTCAACGTCCTATCGTTTTCTTGGAACGATGCAAGGCTCTAGAAGTCCTGCATAGTCATGTGAAAGACAAGTCAAAGCTGCATTCTCAAACAGCAGTCGCTGAATATGAAGAAACTGCGGAGGGAATTGTTTTGACCACGGAAACTGGCGCCCAACACCATGGTCACATTCTCATTGGGGCCGATGGAATTCACAGCAAAGTCCGAAAGCTGATGGCTGACAAGATTGGCGTGACAAATCAATCCCTCGCTCAAGATATCAATGAAGGTGTGTCTGATCTAGAGCAAACAGATTTGAAGCTTGATCAACTAACTAAAATCTAGCTTTCACTAGCGAGTACAACTGCATTTTTGCGATTTCCCCGAACAAGCAGTATCTACCTGATGGCATGGTTCACAATGTATACTACAATGACTACTCTGCAGTTGCGGCCGCCGGTGTGCCTGGACTTGTGTTTTGGTTCCTTTTTGTCAAAGACTCAAAAGTCAAGAGAACACCCCACTGTCCACGGATTACCGATGCGGACGCAAATGCATATATCCAGAAGTATGGAAGCTCTCTGGTAGGCCCTGGGTATACCGTGGAGGATCTCTGGGAATCTCGAGTCAAGGCCTCAATGGTACCTCTGGAGGAAGGTGTCATTCCACAATGGTGTCACAACAGGGTGGTTTTGGTGGGCGATTCCGTTCATAAGGTATGAGTACCTTCGTGATATCAACACGCTGGTAGACTAGGAAGAGCTAACTAGCCTTCTTTATTGCGACAGGCAACTATCAATCCTGGATTAGGTGGAAATACAGCCTACGAAGGTATTGCTCGTTTGACCAATGGTCTCATACCTTTGTTGAAGAAAAACCCAAAACCTTCTCTTGAGCAATTGACCGAGGTTTTCAACCAGTATTTTATTGAGCATTCTCCTCGCGCCAAAACAGTTGTTGATCTTTCCGGTTCGATCACGCGTTATGAAGCCCAAGACACATGGGTTCTCAAATTTGCAGCTCGTCACATCGTTCCCTGGATTAGTGACAGAATCAAGGCAAACTTGTACGCCATTTTCTCGAAAGCTGGACCTTGGTTGGAATATCTTCCATTACCCGCTCGAGATATTGATCTTAAAGCAGTTGCCGAGAAGCCTGCACAGAGCATTGCTCCAGTGTTGATCGCGGGTACGGTCATGGTGGGGGCTGCTGCCATCATCTGGCAGACGTGTAGGGGACCCTTAGCCTCTCTTGTGATAAGGTGACTGTTAAAGATTTACATAATCTCAATTGCTTTGCACAGATTTCTATTGCTCTCGGCCGTGTTCATTTCTCACTTCTCAGAATTGGAAAGCTTGGAAAGCAGATTGCAACCCCACCTCTCGGCCGAGTCGAGCTGTTCTTCCAAGTCTTAGACCCAGAATGACGATCATGAATATGAGAACTTGGCTTAAGCTATTTTTTTGTCTACGGACAGACCCTTTTGAAGTTCAGAAAGATCGCTCAATGTAGAGCATTGTATTTTACTGCGTTTCTTTGCCCCTCTATACCTGAACACACGTCCTCCACACCTTTGATCTGAGAACTGCCATAATGTCGGCAATATATACCACCGAGACGATTTCTGAAATTAATGACAAGCTAAAACAGACAGAACTAAAGGTATACTGAGCAAACACCGAAGTCTAATGCTTAGCTATGGGGCTTATTCAGCGATGTGCAATGCATCCCACTTCTCTAAGAACCTGTCAAGCTCCGCTTCATCATTTTTCTTCGATCTTAGATAGATCGCAAAATTAGGGTACTGGCTGCTAATATCTTCTGCTTTCCTAGAGGTCCATTTGCCCTCAAGGTCGGAGAACAAGGCGTCCGTTTCCGAGGGAAGCGTGACATCCAACTCTTTTGCCGCCATCTGGATAGCACGCAACATCGCCTTACCAATAGGCCAGCGTCGTGCAGCCGCCTTAGACGCGATACAAAGATTGATAAACGCCTTCTGACTCTCCGGATTATCGAGATCCTCGAGAAGAGTGCTCTCTGCCATTGAGAACGATTGAATCTCTCCAGCCGTTACTCGATCGTATCCCCATGCGGCCCGATGTACCTCTGCCAGGCTTGCGATGTTTCTAGCTGCCGTAAGCCTTAGATTTCTCACAGATTGATAGTCTCTAGGGTCCAAGGCCTCTTGAATAATCTTTTTCTCAACATAGCCATTGATACTCATGATAATCTGGTTCCAATACATGCTAAATCTAGTGTAAGCACGAGACTGGATTGTGAGAGGGATTATAACATACTGTAGACCCAGCGCATGAGGGGTCTTGTTGTTTTCCTCCCTCATGCAGTCGTTAAGGTCCATTTTCCATGCCTCCAGACGAGCGTGTAATTCATCCACAGCATCTCGCACTTCTGAGAAGGACAGTTTCTCTAAATGAATGGGACCTTTGAAAAGCGAAGACGATGATTCGAAAGTAGCAATATTGAGATCCGCAAGAGCCTTGACCATCGAGGCTGTATAGGCCGGGACACCGCCTACTAGAGATGGATATGGAATCCAGATGTCGCTGGAGTCGCTTCGGGGACTCGGGTGCATTCCACAAGGCGTTTTCGGAGCTCGGATCAAAGGTCGTTTGTGAAATATGAGAGATGTCGCGCTGCACTCGTATGGTCAGCAAGTATCAATAGCAGACTGCCATCAGAAGACTAACGCTGTGATGTTGTAGAGGCCCCAGACTGTAAGATTCACCACCTCTGGCGCGTATGTCGACTCTTTCCCCAAATCGTGTTGCTCGATCAGATCGTCCGCTACAAAGGCCAATTGGCCTTGATACAGCCACCCGCGTCGGTCCTTGCCATTCATACAAGCACTGCAAGACATCAGCCAAAGGTTTCTTCATCGTGAGGAGAGGGTTGCGCACGATGAAAAGAGAATACATAGCCCGTGGATCGTGGTCAAAGTCACATGGCCATCCTCTTTCTCAAAAAGATCTTTCGCTTCGTTATAGAAATGCTGGCCTTTTGAGGGCAAATCTCCCAGATTAGCGAAAGCCTCAGGATAATCTGAATAGGCCTGAATAAATTAGCCCAGACTCCTTCTTTCGATCGCGGCGGGAACATACACAAGCATCTGCCAAGATGGCATTGACAAGAAAAGGCGAACAATACAGAGCACTCTCCGTATCCCCGGACTGCATGTCCTTGATGAAACGATCACGATCCATGAAGTTGAAATATGGGTGATACCATGTGAACCAGAGCGAGACTAAGTGGGACACAAATTCATCATCATCCGACACTTTGGTCCAAGGTCTAGCTGGAACTTTCCATAGCGGATCATCAGAGAGTTTTCTTACATCCATGACACTGCGCCGTGGTTGAGCTGTGGAATCCCTCATGATCTGAGCTAAATCAATCAATTCAGGAGTCTTTTCAAGTTCATCGGACATACTCTTGTCCATGTAATCTTTGATCTCACCTAGCGGTGCGTTACTGCGAATGAGATTGAGTAATTGGATTACTTGACGGTTGCTGGAACCGCGAAGGTTGCTGACAAGTTGCACCAGCAACTCGCGGTCATCCTCGAGGCTTTCTATTTTGCGCTTCATGATAATTCGGCGCCTTTTATCTGAATTTACATCAAAGACACATTCTGTGCGTCTTTTGGTGCAGGATTCGCAAGGTTGGACGCCATCGCACTAAATCGCTAATGCTTAGAATCTGTGCAAAGGGGTGGGAAATTGATATCCCTAGGGTACCTTTGACTTGCGGGCTCTGCATGCAGAACAAGCAAGTGATGTATTTTCTCTCTTCGGCAGCTTCACATCTGGATTTCGGCTGGGTCCCGACGGATTGGGAGCCAATTGCTGTAATGATTTCGAGTCCATTTGCAAAAGATGAGCCTGGATCTGAGCTAAGGCGATTTGTTAGAGACTCGGTGGCAGAGAAAAATATCTACAAAAAATCGAGTTTTATGATTGAGACCACGGCAAAAAAGGAATCATACCTCTGTCCACCGATGTGACGGGAACGAACTCCTGCCCCTAAGAATCAGGTCCATGGCAGCGCTTTGGCCATTGCCTTGGGCTAATCAGCTGTGCTGAATACCCACATAAGATCCCCCTTTCAAGCTACCGGGACTTATCTCCGACCATTCATTTCCCCGGAGTTTCACCGAATCAGGACTGGATATTTCATTCTGCAGTCTTTTTCAAACCTAGCCGCACGCTTATTGGTTCGTGTGGGGATGGCTAGGCAAGGTCAAGCTCAAGTATCGAGGCAATACAGTAATGACTGAGAGTGGCAATAAAAAGGCGAGAACTGGCTAAGTAGCTGTGCATGAATCAGAAAAATGAATCGGAATTTAGAGACATTTTAGCCTTTCACTTGATGTCCCCTCTATCAGCAGTACAAGTTTGACGCAAGAGATCGACGCAGACGATGACGATGGGGAAAAGAAAGAAAAAGATTGCAGGAATCAAGTTGGAAGGATGTGGAGTTTAACCTGATTTCAAATCAGATGGTAAAACAAGACTGCGCAAGCTTATTTACCGAATAGGCTGATCATGAGCTGACCACTATGGATCCCATCCACCGTCGACACTATACACCTGCCCAGTCGTATACGACGCGGCATCGCTCAGCAAAAACACCACTGTCTGCGCCACCTCATCAGGTGTGCCGACGCGCGGAATGACTGTGTCGGGAACGGTAGGCCCGCCCTGGATAACAGCCGCCTGATCAAGCAACGGGGTCTGAATCGAACCACTACACATCAAATCAGCGATTCCGTCTTCAATGTCAAGTTTCCGGGAGTAAAGCTCTTACGGCGCAACTGAGTTGACCCGAATATGTGGCCCGACTTCCTTCGCCACAGATCGCGTCAACCCAATGACCCCATGCTTAGTCGTCGAATACGCCGTATGTAGCGGGAACCCACGCAAGCCCTGAATGCTCGACGCAGTCACAATACTGCCTTTTCCCCCAGGTGCAGATGCCATGATTGCCTTTACTTCGGCACGAAGACAATACATCATGCCGGATAAATTAACCCGTACTAGCATGTCCCACTCATCGTCTTCCAGGTCGATGAACTTTCCCACACCGTGGTTCTTCCCAATCGCACCAGCCATATTCGCTGCACCGTCGAGTTTGCCAAAATGCGAGACTGTAGTCTTGATCCAGTCGTTGACGGCGGATGACGAGCCGATATCTACGACGGTCGAGAGAATAGAAGGATGTGTGTCGGAATTGGTGATGGTGCGCACGGCGTTGTTGAGGGTCGTTTCGGATATGTCAGCTAGGGAGAGACGTGCGCCGTAGGCGTGAAGCTGCTTTGCAACGGCTAAGCCGATGCCGCCAAGGCCTGTTACAACGTAGACTTTGTCTTTGAAGGATTCCATTATTGATGTCGCTGTATAGGTATAGATGGAAATGGGAAGAGTGAGCCTGATGCGCGTTCGCGGGGTCTCCGTTAGAGCCTTTCCTGTGACGTGTGTTGTAGTATGCGATTGTGGGGCAACCTGCGGTGCAGTCACTCAATAATACCTCGGGCGCGAACAAATCACGATGGCTTTGACAAGCGGACACCAGTTGCTCCTGCGGGGTTTCTCCGTTTTCGTGGGGGTAATTAACTTTGAACGTGCGGAGTACACTGAAGGTCCCAAGGGTCTTATTTATCACATAATTTATTTCTAAGTGCAGGAAATACAAATTGTCTGGATTTGATCACCCTCACGCTGGACAGATCTCCTGGGTTTCGGGGAAATGCCATGGGGGATACCAGACTGAGGGGCTAAAATGGAGTGAGACGGGAAGAAAAGTCGCGATTTATAATCTCTTGTAGAACGAGTTAATCATCAGGATTGGGATGTTTTCCAGCAATTATAGATATTGAACAGACAGTTCTTAGTTCAAAGCATCTCTTCCGGCCTACCAGTCACGAAACAAAACTTTGATCAACTACGTTTTAATAATCCTGGACATTGACATGGACCTTACCCCAAGCCCCGTTCCAGCATCCGCAGTTGAGGAACAGCCCCCGCAGGCGGGCACTTGGCCCCAACTTGGCCCGAACATCAATCTGGTCTATGCAATGGATAAGCTTACGTCGGGCACTCGCGAAACCCAATACATGCGAATATGCCGCGTCACAATAAGAATTCAAAGAACATCTCGCATTGCCTCTCATAGTCTGCCACATACATGATCAATACAATCTTTAGCTCCGATGTGTCGGTATACCGCTAATCCAAAATCTCAAAGCTTGAAACACCATGGGTATCGAACACGAACAGAACCAGAAACCAGAAACGAAACATCTCGAAACGGACCCCACAACAAACAGACATCACATCATTGACATCCAAAGGCCACTGAAAACAAGTCCACTCAGTAACAATAGCCACGTCCTCTTTTCGACCACTTCCCGTCCCGCCCACTAGCATCGCCACCATACTCAACGTGCTCCGCATTCAAACAATACTGCACCTGCTGGGCTTGCTTCGCGGATGTGGAATTGCAAACAGCAGTACACGGCTCCGGATTTGAGTATGTCCACATGCGACCACCGGTACAACAACCGTCTCAGGATCGAGTACATATCTTTATAATGGTTTGCCGTTTGGTAGAGCGGGACAGCGGTGTAATCCTTCAGGTTGCCCATAGACGGAAAGGCATCGCGGGAGTAGTAGCATTCGGCAGGCTGAGTAAAGATTGTGCTGTTGCTCACGTCCATTTTAAGGGTAGTGGGCGTAAAAGACGGATTGTATGAAGGTCAACTATCGTGCAGACGGCCCGCTGTACCCCTGAGCGCAAAGGAAGAAAGTAGAGCGCAATCTCGAGGGTGGGATGATCTGATCTCTCTTATATTTCAGAAGCACGGACAAGGTGCTCGAGCTCACTATTTAAATACCCCCGGCCCCCTCAAACCTTGACGCTCCGCCAAGGCGCTATGGGAGCAATATTTTCCTAATAGGGCTGACCTCCACTGAATCTAGCTGACGGTGGCTTCAGCCACAATTTCATCAGCTAGTCAATACTAGGAGCGATCGAGATGCACAAATTCCCAAGTAAGCAGTACATGCAAAGGCATCTATTGAGCACTCAGTCGACGCTCAGTCCATACCCAAAAGAGCGCATGGCCCCACAGTACTGTTTACCTTGCAACCTACTTGTTGATGGACCTTATCTTTCACTGTGCCCCTGACTTTTGAGGTTCTCGATCTTTCAATCTCGTTCCCTCTCAAATCATAACGCACTGGAACACGATGACGCAATAATGGATGGCTTGGGTCCTATCTGCTATGGACCAGCGCAGAGAAAAAGCCTTCCTCGGTCATCGGTCCACTAAGATCTGTCTGTGCCCAAGTACTGAAGTATAAATTGAAGCTATGTCCCTCATTTCAAGCTCCCGCACAGATTCCCGTCCTTTACTTCCATCTCCCCTCCACTTGATTGCTTCTGGCCTTTTGGTGGTATTCTTTAAGGCATGGGTCGAAAGTCCTTCTTTGCTCACAAGATGACGACGCTAAAGATAATCACCGATAGCAAGTAGCAAAGAGCAGCTATGTTTTTGGCGCGCGTGCAGCTAAGGACTCCGTCCGAGAAAAAGATGAAAGGATACCCAAGACCAAGAGGATGTATGCCGAAGCTGTCCGTCTTTGATTGAAGTGAGTCGCAATGCAATTGTTCATGAGAAGTGCCCGCCGTATAATTTACTCACTTGCTCTAAAATTCGTTCAGCAAAATGGAATCAAGGGCTACGACATCGGGGCAGACTGTACCGAGCAAGCTAGGCTTGCCTTGGGAAGTTTGAGTTGTCCTTCTGAATTTACCTGAGCTATGGCTAAAGAAGGTGCTCTGGGCATGTGTTGTTGATCAAAGTCTAACTGTGACACAGGCTGTAAGACTCCAGACTATACGCTCCTCAAAGAATTGTTTCGCTGGTATAGTAATTTTACAGGAGGCAAAAAAAGTAAAATGGCGACCAGTGATGTCCATCGGTTCTCAATTGTGCTTAAAGGCTGTTTGGTGGAATTGAAGAATTGCAAGTCAAAATTGTGATGGAAGACTGGAGCGAGATATGTAACGTAAGCTGTGGCTAAACTCCAAGGCGCAAGCAATCCAGGTTCACCCAGACTGGACTAAGCCCTACCAAGTCATCGCTGACATCACATCACTGACGCCAATTCCATTTTTATAATCTCTCGCGCTCTTTCTTTTCCTTTTTCCACCAGCTTCCTTCCCTCTACGTGATTCCTTCCTACCTTTCTCTAGAATCATTTACAGCCCTTTCCTCCCCTCATCATGTCGAGATTCAGGATCCCACTTGTTTCGGCGAGCTGCTTGAACTCATTCAGCGGCAGCGGCCTCGTCTCCCCGGCCGAGTCTCAAGCTTCCTCATCCGATATCCCATCTTCTTTGGCGAGCCGAGGAGACTCGGGCATCGGCCTCCTCTCCTCCCTCGAATCCCAAGATTCTGCAGGCATCCAGTCTTCTTCGGCGAGTCGCATAGACTCTGACACTGGCTGTCTCTCCCCAACCGGGTCCCAAGCTCCTCCCTTATATTGGGACTCTACTCGGTTGATTTCGGTGCAGTGTTGCGAAGATATATCCGAGACTCTGAACTTTATAACCCAAGAACTGGAAAAGTGGCAAAAACAAACGTCCGACTTCCATCGCGGGATTACGGTCTACCTCTTCACAGACGTACGTCGTGAGTGGGGGAATGCTCTTTTTCAAGCCATCGATGAGGAATTTCGGGTACGGTGAGGCTACCTCTTTAACCCAGATTTGACTCTTTTCTTCGAAGACTGATCTTTAAAGAAAAACCTGGGACTCTCAAGCTCGGACATTGAGTCTCAAAATGCCGACCCAAGGACACGACATCGCTCAAAAATGGGTCATTAATTCCGTCGTGGATTGGAAGGACGATGCAATCATTAGTAAGGAAGAATGGAGAGGTCTGAAAATTGGCTTTGGGACTACTTTGAAGCTACCCACATCTCTATTCCCGAAATTTCAGAAGGAGCCTGATATCTACATTCGGCCGTACGACTCCGATTCAGAATTTCTTCCCCCAATTGCTTTCGAAGTTGGGTGGTCAGAAACTGCCCCGAGGCTCAAGGACGATGTCCGCATTCTCCTAGAAGGAGGCGGCGGCCATATCCGGGTCGTGATTGTGATCGACTGGTGTCTACAGAAGGATGGTCTTACTGTTACTGGCAAAGTGGATCTTTGGAGGCGAGGCTTAGATGGCCGGCCTATCCACGAGCAGTCCGAGGTATGTGCAAACATTCGATGGCCTATTCCAAGTATTTATGGTCTAACATCTCCCAGGATATTTACCCTGTTCCAAAGCTGCTTCGAGGCCAAGTTCAAAATCTCGGAGTGACTCTTGACGACTTATTCTTGACTACCCTACGAGCCAATCAAGACCCCAAAAGAATTGCATACTTCGATATCGGGCAATTGCGTGAGGAAGCCGACAAGGTCTTTAAAGAGCTGGAACTCAAAACCGCTTGACGTTCTATCATCTCTTATCAACTTTGTTGCTCTTATTGCTGATATTATGTTTCAATGCCGGTCAGCCATCAGCCTATATCATTAATAATAATTCCTGATTCCTTTCTCCAAAGACTAGTAGTCAATACTAGGGGCAATCGAGATGCACAACTTCCCAAGTACGATTCCGTCTCCGATCATGCCGTCACGTAACAGACTACAAAGCGCCCAAGAGGGCTGGGATCTTCTCCAATACAAATGGCCGAGGCTGATTGGAAAGCACCAGTGATACGATCTAGATGATTTCTAAAACGCTAAATACGAAGCTCAATCATGGGCTACGCGACTACAGCTTCCCCACCGCATTGTTCCGTCTCCACATCTTCTTGCGCCGTTCGTGGCCTGCGTTGAAGTCGTCGACCCACTTCTCGTCAAACGGAGGGAGTGGGCGTCCGATGCCATTCTGTGGTTCACCGGCGAGTTGGCGCATAGCCTCGAAATAGGCCTTGAACTCCGGGTTGATGACCGTGAACGCAGGCCCGTCGCCTCTCTCTGCGATGCGATCAGTCTCCCACTTCTCTTGCTCGGCGAGACTGGGGAGAGTGGCTTTGCCTGCTAGTACGCGCGCAGCGGCCACAGCTTGCCACTCGAAGACTTTGAATGTGAGACCAGCTCCGACCTGTGGAACAGATTAGCGTTGATTCGACTGGAACTTTGTGACATGCGACATACAGCTCCAACAAACACCAGGGTGGGATCGTGGCGGTAGAAGGTATGCTGATACAGATCCGGAACACGATTGCTGCGCGTTTGCACGTTGGGTAGGAAAGGAAGTGTCCAGGTGAATCCGGTTCCGAAGAGAATGTTGTCTACGCCAGTCTCGGATGAACCATCTTCGAAGTGAACCGTTCGGTCCTCGATGCTGATATGCGAGATTGGCGCCCTCTCTTGAATCATGGGGTGCTGGAATGCATCATTGCCAAAGTACACGTTATAGCGACCGCGTGTCACGCAGTGAATAGGTGATTTGGCGGTACCAACCAGACTGACTGCCGTGTCCGCAGCCGATACTGACGCTCCGACTGTCACGACTTTCTGTTTCGAGTTAATGTGATTCGACTATAAGTTTCATGAATACAGACATACCTTGCCACGATATTTTGCCGGTCCACGGTAGTGTTTGGTGTGTTCGATGCTGCCCGGGTACCGCTCTGCAAACTCTTTCAGCCCCGGGATGGCAGGGATATAAGGTACTGCATAGTGGCCAGAGGCAACCACGAGTGCATCGAAACTTTCCGACCACCAATAGTCAGATTGACTCCCAACGGGGCCTTCTGTGCGTCGAAGAGTAAGGATCCATTTTTGGCTAGCCTGGTCTTTGATCGCCCGTTCGACAGTAGTATTGTACTGCACAAGATGGGCGTTGCCCTTTTTCGTGAACAAGTCCTCAATATACTGTCTAATGACAGAATGATGCCGAAATGGTGTATCCTCGCCGTGACGCTCAATTGACCACTGCGACCGGACTGAAGGGATCTTCTCCTGCGAGAACTCCATGGCACCTACGTCCACGTTCGTCTCCAGTCCAGGATAGACCGGTGAATCAGTGAAACGATCCTGGCTTACCACCGGTGTACGGCACGGGAGCTGCTCAGGGATCTTCAATGGCGCATCTGCTATGCGCGCTGCTAGACCATCAAGGTCGAACTTTTGTGGTGGCGCATCATCTCTTGAGACCCTGCAGCCGTTAGATATTATACATCGATCGGACTAGTGAAAACCTACCAGCATCCACCCGCCTTCTCCTGTCTTTCAAAGACACGCACGTTGAATACCTTCTCCTGCATCAATGCATCGACGGCAATGGCACCTGACGGCCCAGCGCCTATCACGGCCACGCTTTTAGCCATATTTTTGAGTAGTTATACACACTGTAACCGCGACTCTTTGGGCGCAGCGTTCAAACAAACTCGTCGCTCGACCTTTTGTCTATGACAATCGAGTTCTCTCAGCCGAGCTTGGGGAAATGTCTTATCTGGGAATGTATGGTTAGAATTCGTCACGCCATTCAGGCTGCTATTGCGCAAGTGCAGATGACGCGAAACCAATGGAGTTTAGCTTACCCAAGATTTGAGTCGGGGTCTATGATGCAGGTGTTTCAGGTGTCTGACGCTAGATGTCAACGTTAATGTTAATTTCCGTGGAAATATCTTATTACCCAATGCCCTGGGTTTTCAAAAGCCGAAACTCGGCTTCTGGTCTGCAAATCTCAGTGCGTGGGTTCCTGGCGCCGAATCCGTGCAATTTATTGGACAGGCACTTGGGTGGGTCGCAACAGGAACCGCCACCTGTCAATTGGTAGTTTCATACATCCGTTGCATTCTCATTGCGCAGTTCAAGCTCACAAGACATGACATGAAAAAGCGATCAAAATAAGGCAGGTGGCAAGTTGTGAATCAGGGCGTCATAGGTTGTTGTCGGCGAAGCCATCATCACACCAAAGATGCCATCCACGACATTGTCCACAGGCTATACTGACATAGTCTACCGAGGAGAGACAGACGTAGATCAAGATCCAAGACAGCCAATGATAATCGGTACACGGTCAACCTTTCAGCATTTGTCGTTGGATCTGAACACGGTGCATTTTATTTGTTTTCCATACGCGGCAAAGTTGCCGCAGATGTAGGTAGCCTTTTCAAGCTCATTTTGATGTCTTATAACCACAACCCGGAAAAGAAGGGGGGGCCCTCAATAAAAGCCTGCACTATACTAAACATAGATGCTCGGTCTTACTATAGATGATCTTCGCTCAGACTTGACCTACCAACCCGAGGCTCTCAATTCTGGGACAAGCGGCCGCCGCGGCTGGGTGGTCCACTTAACTCAACTCGAGATCTACACGAACGTGCTCGCGGAAGTGCGCTACCTTGCAATCTCTTCAGCCTTCTGAGGGCGGCATTCACGCTGGTGACGACTTCTACTACGCGCACGATCTCCGTCCCAGCTCCATTCGGATTGAGAATGGTCGCGGTGGTCTCTGCCAAGCGGTCAGGAAGGCTTTAGAGGATGCGGGCATGCATCCGATTAATCTAGGCGCGATACCTACGCCTGCACTCACTCATTTTGCCCTCAAGAACGGCAAGGGCAGCATCATGGTTATGGGCAGTCATATTCCTTTCGAACGCAACGGCTACAAGCTTAATACATCCAAGGGAGAGTTATTGAAAAAGCACGAACAGCCCATTAATAATGCTGTGGCAAGTACTCGTAAAGAGCTTCTCAGCCAGCCCTACGCTAAATCTCTATTTGACGATTAGGGCATGTTTTGCAACGTGTTACCCGACCTTGTGCCTGCCGTATCGGAAGGGAAAACAGCCTACATCCAGTGCTACCGGGATTTCTTCGAGGGTCTTAGGCTGGAAGGCATGAAACTCCTCGTCTACCAGCATTCTGTCGTTGGTCGGGATCTCTTGGTTGAATTTCTCCAGATGTTCGGCGCCGACGTGACTCCTGCCGGTCGGAGCGAAACTTTCTTGCCGATCGATACTGAAGCTATTGACGAAGCCCAGCTCAACACCGTCCAGGATATCTGCACTGAAACCGGACAGACATTTGACGGAATAGTGTCGACCGATGGTGACAGCGATCGTCCACTTCTCCTTGCTCCTGAAGGAGACAGACTCCGCTTCTTTAGCGGCGATCTGTTGGACATGATTGTTGCTGAGTACCTGCGTGCCGATGCCGTCGTCGTGCCGATTAGCACTAATGATGGCATCGACCGCGGTTCTTTAGCCGGTATCATAGAGCCCAGGACGAAGATTGGCAGGTCCTTATGTGATCTCTGGTATCCAGAATGCTGTCTCGAAAGGACGCCATGGCGTTTGCGGGTGGGAGGCTAATGGAGGTTTTCTCACTGGATTCGATATTGACCAAAACGAAAGGATACTAAGCGCACTTCCTACGCGCGATGCGGTGCTACCTCTGCTCTGTGCTCTGTTCGCGGCGCGCAACAAACAATGCACACTACCGGAAATTGTTTACGACCCTTCCCGATTGTTTCAGCCGCGCCGCATTGATTCGCAAGTTTCCTCGGCCAACGAGCTTATCATGAAGCACTACTCACCCCCTGAGGCCATCATACAAAAAGTCTCATTCGACAACGATAACATCATTGCTTTTGATCCCGGTCACGCCACCCTTCGAGTAACAGAGCCACATGCTCAGCAACTTGTCCTGGTGCGTCGAGAACTATGTAGTATATTCTCGGCCAAATTTGGATTCTCTGCGATCTCCTGGATTAACTTCACCGACGGAATACGCATGATTTTTGCCGATGGCGATTTCGCTCACATACGTCCGTCCGGCAACGCGGATGAGCTTCGTATATATGCAGTCTCCAGTAGCCGGGAGCGTACCGACGCCATCATTCGCATGGGTATCGCCGAACTTGATGGTCTGCTGAGGCGATTAGGAAGCATGGTCTAAGCTACCAGTAGACTGCTTGTAGGCATCAACTCTAGATAAGTCTTGTAGACAGTGTACTCTCAATGAGAGGATGTCATATGGTTCTTATACAATGATGAACTCTAATTGTTGCTTTAATTCTGTCAAGAGACATGAAAGTATCTGCGTCAAGTATGATTCTCGATAAGGGCCGGCCTTGAAGGCGTAGCAGAAATTTAGACCATCAGTATCTACGCAACTCATCAATAGCTCAAACCCTTCCTATTTTTCGATGAATAGAGAACGAAAGATAGTTGACTTCTCTTCCTTTCCTCAGAGTATCCATCGGAAATCCTCATTCCTTCTCCAAGAATACGACTATACTTCCCACCTCCGTATCGAAGGGGAATTGCAGCCCCATGTTCATCAAGGTCGCACCAGAGTAAACACCCTTTCCTTCAACGCGATACATAGCTGCCGAATCCACACCCTGGAACCTAACACGGGGAATAGAGTTATTGATACGAGGAGCAGTCTGGAAGTAGAAAAGCACCGCTTGCGACCCGTCCTCGGAGATGAACAGAACAGCCGGCCAGTTTGAGTCTTCTGGTAGACTAAGACGGTACATGTCTCCCTTTAGAATAAGCGGGTTGACCTTCTCAGCAAGCTTAATGAGACCCGGTAGAGCTGCTTTGTCTTCTGCGGGCATGTCGGCTGGATTGAGTTCCAATCCAAATGAACCACCCATCATAGCCACGTGGCCGCGGAATGAGACAGGAAGGGTGCGTCCAGTTTGCTGGTTGGGGACTGCAGAGAGGTGGGCTCCCATGGCACTGGGTGGGTAGACGAGAGACGTTCCGAGCTGGATGGTGATGCGCTCCATGGCGTCGGTGTCGTCTGAGGTCCAGATCTGAGGGAAGTACTGTAAAACACCGGCGTCGAAGCGGCCACCGCCGGAGGCGCAGCCTTCCCAAAGAACATCGGGAAATCGGGTAGTCAGGGTATCGAAAACGCGGTACATTCCAAGCATGTACTTGTGGTCGGTGGCTGGGGAGGGCATCTCATGAATTCCACGATTATTGTCCCATTTAATGTAGGAGATGTCCGCGCTGTTGAGGAGTTTCGTCATAAAATCGATAATGAAATCTTGTACCTCAGGCAGAGCCAAGTCAAGTACCAGTTGGTTGCGTTGCAATGTGCGAGGATAAGACCCAGCGTGCATGGCCCAGTCTGGGTGCTCGTGATACAGGGTAGAGTTGGGGTTGACCATCTCGGGTTCGACCCAGATTCCAAACCGCAGACGAGTCGAAGTATTCGCAGCTTGGAGGCCTGTGATTTGGCCTATAGGCGAAGCGAGACCATGGGGGAACTTGGCGGGATTAGGAGTCCAGTCGCCGAGACCGGCATTATCCTGGTCGCGCGGGTACTTGACACCAAACCAGCCATCGTCCAGAACAAATAATTTGATGCCCAGGTCTGCTGATTCCTGGGCAAGATTGACAATTGTGCTCGCATTGTAGTCGAAGCCCAAACCTTCCCAGCTGTTGAGCAGAGGCGGCCGATCCGAGGTGGCGAACTTGCTCTTGATAAGATGGTTGCGGTAGAGACGATGGAACATACGGGACATGCCGCCGATCCCATTACTGAGAGTATACAGAGACGCATTCGGGAGAGGTCAGGGACTCGCCAGGCCCAAGCGGCCAGGAGAGCTGATCTGGGTTCAGGCCAAGGAGAGCACGGGTAAAGCCTTGCGAACCTTTCTCGACATCGACGGAGAAGGAACCGGTGTAGACGAGCGAAAAGCCCCATGCTTCACCACTATTTTCCGTAGTTGCTGGGTCTACCAGTGCCAAGAAAGGGTTATGGAGATGCGAAGAGTAGCCTGTGCTACTTCCGACCCTAAAATTTATGAGGAATCAGTACAGAGTCTTCGATCGAAAAGAACGACAGGAGGATGAACATACCCCTGTGTGCCATACTGAACCTTTCTTCGCTGAGGATGGGCCTCTCGTGCCCAGTCACCGCTTAAGGTGATCATATCAAGATCCTCGAATGGAAAGTCCACACTCATACTAGCCAGCGCCTCGACGGTGATGTTCCCCTTGCCCATATTGGTGACATTGACACTTCGGACAACGGCGTCGTACTTGGGAAAGATAGAGTAAGAAAGGTCCGCAGCCACAGAGCTATAGTTGTCATACAGATGAACAATCAAGGTTGTTACATCGTCTTCAGTGCCGAATGTAGCCGGCAGGCCCGGTAATCCGGGTTTTCCCTGCACCAAGGTATGAGACTGGTACTGCAAATCTGACACCGTATAACCCTCGGTTTGCCGAACACGAATTGCAGGGTACGGAAGTCACCACGGCCTTGGTCGGGGAATTCACGACGGATTCTGCCTATATTGCCGACCCAGCCAGTCACCGAAGTGACGATATCAGTGGGGATGTCCCCAGTGACGGTGCCTCCGAAGTGATCGGATATCAAGTCGCCTGTACTATTGTCTACGTGGAAGCGATAGGAAACATTGTCGCCATTAAGGGCAAAGCTTGTACCGTCCACAACAACTGGTTGACACATGATCAGAATTTGGTCGCAGATGAGTCGAGGATGAGAAGATGTCCATATAGCTTACCATTACTTGAGGCAGCTTGGGCCACGGTTGGGCAACCGAGAAGCGCCACCAGCCCTGCAGCAGGCGCCAAACTATTTGCGAAAAAGGACCATCTTAGCCGTCCTTTCCTGCTTCAGGATGTATTTTCGAAAGTTGAGTACCACGAAATGCGGTCACATACCCTTTTATAATTTCGCACAAGTTCAAGAATGTACCGACCCATCATCCCGAAGACGGATCAGCAAGCCAATCAAGAAAAAGTTGCAAGGTCGGACTCCAGTGAATGATGTAGTATTTCTCCGGTCTTCACGACCCTTTTACACGGTGCGGGGAGCAGCGCCAGAAAGCGGAGGAACCCCGATGAGGCCGAGCTCAGCGGAGTGGAGTGACATGTCAATAGCGGCGGTTTTGAGTGTGTCTTATTGGCTTGCAGATGATGAATTCCGCCTCTCCACGACTGCCAAGGCACAAGTGGACTCAAAGGAGTGTAGAAAGAGCCCCTGGTTGCTGAACCCCCGCTGTGGAGATCGGCGTACGGCATCTCCTGGAACTTGCGGTTTTTCCAGCCATCCGTTGTGCAGAAGATCCGAAATGAGAAGGGCTAAGGCCTGTGCTGCGTGTCGGTAGGCGGTACTTCCCGGTCAAACACGGCCTATTGACTGACGATGTTAGTGAGCGGCGACGGAAATGTGAGAGTCGTGCACCGGGTCGGCCTTGCATTTTCTGTGTTGCTCGAGGCTTGCCATGCTCGAATGGTGAGCCGGGTAAAGGCGCACACGGTCACGATCAGCCCAGTTTTGCCAACTCCTTCTATGCACAACAAGTAGACAATGGCGCATTGCCCACCAAATCGCTGTGTGCAGAGCTCGTGCAGCTCTACTTCGACTATATTCATGATCAATTTCACACTTTATTTCACCCACCAAGTTTTGTGGAGGACATGAATCGAGGGCAAGCCCCTCGCATTCTAACTTGTGGCATGATGGCGCTTTCGGCACGGTTAGCTGTTCTTATTTCGTGCACTCATACGGACGGATGCTTATGATGAGCTTGTTTTAGATTCTCAACAAACGCACACTTTGCCGGGATAGATCCAAGGGAGAGAGGGCAGGGTTATGCAAAGGAATGTGAAAAATTGCTAGACTGGAATGATGTCTCATTGACCACCATCCAAGCCTGTGTCTTGCTTGGCGCCATCGCTATCACCAATGGCAAACCTGCTCTTGAAAATATCTACTACGCTGTTGCGTGTCGGATGGCCCAGTTGCTCGATCTTCCGAATTGCCAAGCGACGAGTAGGGTCGAGCAAGAAGTCAACATTCGCAGTAAGCACTAGTGCTCTAATTGAGCGGCCTCGACACTGACAATCTCTAGTGTGGTGGGCTCTTAATATGATTGACGTGTGGTCTTCATCCGGTGTTCGGCTTCCCAGGCTTCTAACACCGAGAGAAGACGTGCCTCTACCCATGGACGAACGTGCTTTTCTTGGGATGAAGCGGAGTCAAGGATTTGATGTCGCCATTGACACGGACCGGAGATCATCACTACTTGCTGAAATGGTCCGTTTGAACCGCATCCTATTGCAGATCAATGATTTGAACATCCGTGCATCCGAAGAAGAGTTAGATACCGAGGTGATCATCAGCAACCTTGAAGATCTTTCGAATCAGCTGGACGTGTGGCTTCAGGAACTTCCAGATCACATGCGAGATACGCGGGAGAATATGGAGCGGTACGCCGCCCAAGGCCTTGGGCGCATGTTCGCGGCCATCTACCTTGGATACTATCACTATGGTCAGATGTTGTTCTACCGATTCTTGCAGGACGACTCAAAAGGATACCTCACACAGACGCGATACTTCGCAGACAAATGCAAGCAGCATGCCAGCAAGTTATGTGACACAGTCTATGCTTCTGATGAGAAACCAGGGTGCGATGTCAAGTATAACATGATCGGACACGTTCTTGTCGTTTCTTCCACCGTGCAGATTCATAGTTTGCTGTTCGATCCTGATGATTCCAATGTCGCACTCGCGAAGATGCGTTTGCAGAAGAACTTCATTTTCCTAACTCGTCTACGGGACCTATGGCCAACTTTGGATTTTTGCATGGATCGTTTGATGGCTTTTCATGAGGCATGTAGGAATTCTGCAGATACTAGTTTCCGTATGGACCGGTGGATGGTACGCTTTCTGGTTGAGTTTGCCAGCCCGATGGGTGACAAGGCAATAAATTCTGATGGGAAAGATCCGTGGTCCCTTGCGGGCCTGGGAATCACTCCTCTTTAAACGAGCTCGAATTCGACAATGATTCACGCTACTTTGAGGACCAAACAGGAGATGAAGACGCATGTCTCTAGCTGAAGGGGCAATAATTACATCGCCTCTCTGCTATCAACCAAACTCGTTTACAGCAAGCAATATTACAAAAAAGTGTACAGTTGATGGATTTCCCTCCCATTTGGTATCGAAACCGCTTGCCTCTAGCCAAGTCCCAAGATTCTTTCGCTCAAGATGGATACTTCCAAGCTCTTGAATTAAGGACAGCGATTGGACCATCATGTTGAACTGCTGAAAGGGTGACCTAATCTCACGTCCACCGCATCTTGGCCTTCCGATGGCAAGTCTTTGTGGTACTTTGTTTTGTTCTTTTCAGATTGCCGAGAATTTTGAAATATGCTTCTGTGATGTCACATATTAGCTCGCGGCCATCTGTGGCTCCCCGCAACAGTCGGAGTTGCAAACGATGCAATGAGAGAAAAGTCCGGTGTGATCGAAATACCCCTTGTGGTGCATGCGTTAAGACAGGGGACCTATGTGCTTTTCCGAGCCCTAAGCGGGCACCACGGACCCTTAATCGGCCTCCGGTTGGCGAGCTACTTGCTTGCTTGACAGAGCTGGAAACAGAAGTTGAACAGCTGAAATCTTCAAAGGGTCTTGAATTGGAAACCCATGAACAGGATTCCATCAAATCCTCTCATTTGGATGGAGGTCAAAACATTCAATCGCCGGAGTTCTACCATGGTTTTTGTGGTCTGCCACTTGGAAAATGGCATGGCAAAAGCAGTCGCCCGTTGTCCCAGGATTCATTTCGAGATTGTTACCTTCAACCATTGCAGATCCAAACACTTTTGCGTATATATCAGAAAAACGGCATGCCTTTGGTTGCTGTTCTTCACCTGCCTACCATGGCGAGGATAACTGAGGATGCCACACAAGGCTTGAGCATTGATCCCGCTAGGGAAGCTCTCATGCTCTCGATTTGCTTTGCCGCCGTGGTCAGTATGGAACCACAAACCCCCATTTTCCCACCACCCTGGCTGAGTCATTCAGCCTGGACCGTAACGCAATAGATCTGGCCAGATACCTGGTCCGTAATTCTTTGTTGCGACAGTACCCTGTAAATGTTGACGGAGTCGACCTTGAGCCACATATGATTGAGCTTCCGCCTGAGAAGCAGGGCTTTACCGACATCACCCTTTGCCTTGTAACCTGTTTCATGATTAATGAAGTGGAATTATCGACACATCCTTTGAGCACAGTCGCATCAATGCAAAGCAGAGAAGATTGCATCAAGTCTGTGGGGGCAACTCTCCATGAGCGATATCTGAATCATTTCGATCTGAGGATTCCATTTCATTGGGTATTCGCCACAATCGCTCGCCTCCATTTGTCCAAAGCTTGGGTATCGGTGCATAAGCAGCTCTCGTCCTCTGATCCGCGTGAACCGGAACCAGAGTATAGAGGGTCGGTCCTTCGAACTGCTATTGAGCTTGTTGAATTTGCATATTTCTTGCAGACTAATGATATCACTAGGCATTGGGCTGGCTCTGCAGAAGTCACAAGCAAAAGGAGGCCATTGTCCACATTCTTGACGAATTAAGTACTCGTCCGAATGGTCCCGAGACGGATCGTGCTTGGGAAATAGTGACCAAAACAACGTCCCTCTGGATGCAAGGTCCTGGGGCCGTGGGAGGTGTGCCTGAGAAGCCTTTGCTTGAACTTATTCAGCGGGCTGATATGCTACGAGAAGAGACGCTGAAGGGCCAAAATGGACTAGAAATGGCAAACTTGGTTGGAGTGCCTCCTCTTGTTGAGGAAGAAATGATCTCAAAGTAATGGAATCGAATTGCAAAGCCAGTTCAAAATACCGCCAATGTGGATTTTTCTGAGTCATACATTGATCCATCTACCCTCGCATGGCTCCAGGGAATCTGGCCCTATCAAAATATCAATGAACTGCAATTTGCCCAGTGATTACGCTTAGTGCGTCATATCCCGGGTAGCAGTCCTCTGATGAAGCCTCCCCAGCCAAGATCTCGCCGTAAATCTTCGAATCCTCTTACCAAAAAGAACAAACACGACGACCGCAAGATTGTTAGCGAGTAGAATACCTCCAAATATCCCCGCGATCACAACCGCATATCCCCTCGTCAAGATCCAATCCAAGAGATATGAGCCCATGCCAAATGAGATAGCCTGCTTGCCCATATTCATGGCAATCAGCATCTCGGACGTATTGGCGTAGTATGAGTCCACTGCGTACGCAAGCGTAAAGGTAAAGTAGAAGTATGACCCGAATTGATCCATAACGACCCCGGCGAAGTATCCAATCCAGTGGAGATCGCGCTGTGCCGTGAACCCGTAGACTACCAGTCCGGCGGGGCGAGGAGAAGTGCGGGAAAGAGGGCTGGAAGACGCATTTCGGCTTCGCGAATCCCATGGTTGCGTTTTGTGCGGTAGGCGGCTAAGCGGTCGGAGGTTGACGTGAATGGGAGGGCGAGGAGGTAGCCGATGAAGGAGGCGACTGCTATGAGACCGGAATTTGTCTGTTGTTCATTAGTACTTTTACTCTCTGGGACAAGAATTCAGTGTCCGTACCTCACTCCAGTTATAGGGTGGTGCGGTGATTTTTATCGGGAATGTGTAATTAAATGCGAGGGCACCGAGGCCAATATACAGTCCTGGACGAAGAATTAGTACATAAGCTTGCCTCGATATCTCTATGGATCGCATACCGTAGGTAGTAATCACCCACAATACAGCAGGAACCAAGAAATACGTGAATGACCGAGCGATAGTCATGAAGAAATCAGGCTCGGGGTCAATGGCGCTCCAAGGCTTAAGAGTAGACAAGAAACTCTTTCTTCGAGGTACCGATATAGACGAGACATTTTCAAGCTCTATCGCCTCTTTTTCATTTTTCTCAGACCGATCAGCTTTGAGTGAATGTGACGATGAATGCGTAAGCGACGATTGCCCGGAGCGGTGATAGGTCGATTCCTCGACGAAGAAAAAAGCCGCTAGTAGAAGACCGGCAGCAAAGGCTGCTTCGACGTAGAAGAAGAGTCGCCACGAGTAACCTCCTGCAAGCATGTAACCAGCGTATAAAGGGCCTGTCGATCCCAAACACAGACACACTGTTTCTTGTTAGAAATCAAAATCGACGGGCACCGATTCATTTCGACTAACAAGTATAGTAGCCCAACTTCTTTCCGCGCTCGTGGATGAAGAATATGTCGTTGACAAGCTGCACAGGTAGACTCTCGCAGACGCCGCTATGGAAGATTGATTAAAGACTCAATGTGTATGTTCAAGTGCGACCAACCTGCTGAATCCGTGAAAGACACGGGCAACCATGAGGCCGGTGTAGCTCGTAGCCCTCGAGGCACCGATCAAGCCGGCCACAAACTGATAAACTTAGGTCGAGCTTTAGATTGATGTAAACAGGTTTCACATACCACAGACATAGACAAAAGCGCCACCGGGCGTCGTCCGATCTTCAAGTAAAGGGGTACAAGGAGAAGCGACCCTAAAAAGCCATCAGCAACCCTCGAGTCTTCTCAGTGCTCAATCATACCAAATCCAAATGCCAAATTTGGATAAGAGATCAGTCCAGACGCTTGAGCCGGCGAGATCTCGAATTCTTTGCTGTATAAGCTAATGTAGACGGCCGGTCCGGTCAAGGAACTGTTCCCAAGAAAAGAGTAAAATGCCACAATAAGGAGGATGGTATTTTTCTTCCAGATGGGCCACTGCGGATCAACCTAGCATTAATGCGAGTATCTTGGATCAGCAGTCGACGGGGAACGCATACTTGAAGAGGGTCGTTGGGATCCTCGGCCGGTACAGGGTACAGCGCCTGGCCGTACGCCGTGTCATCGCCCTCAACCGCACTCAGATCCACCGTTCCGGGGATGTCGCCATCATGAGCGTGACTGTGGACTATGATTAATGCTTTGCACCGGTAAATTGTCAGGATATCTTACCTATGCACAAGATGCGGCCTTTTGGCCGTCGTTCCTTGCTCTGCATGACGGAAGACGAATGGAGGTAGATCTACTTGCAGCCTGATTTCAAGATTATTGCTTGCCTAAAGAGAGTTACCTGCAGGAGCTATGGCTAGGAAGAATGAATGAAATGCAGAGGCGCTCATGCTCCTTTTCATTTCGAGTAGGCTTGTTGGCGATGGGGCTAAACCCCCAGAGCTGCTCTTCCCCGCATTGCTCCACACGTTCCCCGGATTTCGACCTGTCATCGCGACTCGTTGAATTGATTCATGGGGCAGGCCCCACACGCCATAAACTGGGGCTGCAAGATGGTGGATTGATGTGAAGAATGGTTTTGATCCTTGACTTGAAGTCTAGTCTATGTGTCCCACAACATCGATGAATCATTACGGAAAGAAGTTTTGATTGACGGCTGTCAGACTGAAAGATTACTTAGTAGGTCTAGCGTGGATGTTTTCTGTGCTGTCTCCAGGGCTTTGGGCTGCCACTATGTCCTGTGCCATTGCCAATCATCGCGTTCCGATATGACAGACATGTCGTCTGGATGGAGAAACCATGTGAGGTTTTAAGAGTGTGAATCACACGCATCAAGCATCCATGTGTTTCTTTTCTCGATTTTGTCACATATTTTCCTATGGCAAATAATTTGTGAGTGTTACGCAAAGGGAAAGCTTTATGTGCCCGCGATTTGCAACTTCAGCATCAGACTAACAAGTTCTAGAAATGGACGCTCAAGGTGCTATGAATGTAATCGGGATTAGGAGTAGTCTATCCAGTAAAAAACAGTGACATATTTGCAGTCTCGTAATGAAAACACCCTAAATGCTAATCCGAGATCCGCTTAAGTAAAAACATCAGTAGCAAACCGCTCCTTCGTCCTCAAAGCTTCGAAGAATCTTTCAGCAGCAGTCTCATCATCCATCCCGACCTCACTATACTCAAACTCAGGATCCTGACCCGCCTCCTTTGCTTTACGGATAGTCTCCGCTCTCCGCTCAAGGAACACCTTCTTGCAGACATCTCGTACACCATTCCCAACACCAGTACTACCACAGACGTAGATCCGAGCACCCTGATCAAAGAGCTCCGTCAACTCTTCTCGGTCCTCTAGCATACGGTCCTGGACATGTTGACCCTTTCCTTCGTCGGGTCGGCTGTATGCCCAACGGACGTCGACAGCGCCTTGTGCGGCCCATTCGGCTAGCTCGTCGGCGTGAATATCATCTTGGCCCTTTGTGCGGCAGCCGATGTACAGGATAGCCTTGGCAGGTTGGTCGAATCCAGCGGATGATGAACGGCCGCGGATCTTCTCTGCGCGTTCCTGGACAAAGCCGCGGAATGGAGCGAGGCCACTGCCTGCACAAGCCATGATCATGGGGGTTTGAAGATCAGATGGAGGTTTGAAGCCGTAGTGCGAGGGGCAAACGGAGATGTGTGCGCGTTCGCCGGTCTGGAGTTCGGAGAGATAGTTTGAGGCGACGCCTAGATAATCTGATGTTTCGCCGTCAACGAGGCCTGAGAGGGCGGGGTCCTTCAGGACGGAGAATGTGATTGAGCATTCTGAGGGATCGGAGAGAGGCGATGAGGAGATGGAGTATTGGCGCACGCGCATCGGTGGGAGCATGGCCAGGAAATCGCCGATAGGGAGCTTGATTGCTGGGTAGCGCATTAGGAGATCCAAGGGGCTAATTCTCTTGCGGACGATCTCATTGGTGAAGTGGGTTGGGCTAGAGGCAAGGTAGCGGAGCTCAGCTTGAGTTTCGGCGTCTTCGGTGGCTGCGTCGGCGAGAAGGTTCATGTCGCGCTTGGAAGCAGGTTGAGAGAGCTCGACATAGGTGGAAAGGAGCTCGAAGGCGGAAATAGGAATATCGATAGGGATTGAGCGTGGGCCTGCACTTGTCTCTGGTTTTTGGATGCGCAAGACTGCGTCCCAAGGGAGGTCGAAGCGACGAATCGCGCGACGCACGACGGAGCTTGGGTTGACTGGGAGTACGGCCAGGTAGTCACCGCACTGGTAGGTTGTGTCTGATGGCAATTTGAATTTCAAGTGTCGCTTAGCAGGCACGCCTGGCGGTGTGAGGAGCTTGTTCTCGACGACATAGCCTTGTTGAAGCTTGAGGCCAAGAGTCGATGCGCGCACGCCTGAGCTTACATCAACTTGCAGCGAGGATTTGGGCTTCTCGGTTTTCTGGACTCCACCAAGCTTTTCGGCGACGGCGGGCCAGAGATTTGTTTCACCCCAACTGTCAAATGCAGTGAACATATCGGAGTTAGCTGCATCTGCTAGGCCGATGTCACAAAGCCTGGAAGCGCCGTTCTTCTCGGCGAGCTCGTTAACTGCCTTGGGAATGCGGTGGAAGGTTGTGGCCCAATCGTCTGGAGTGATTTAGTAGAGGTACTTGCAAATAATAAAATTAGTGTGATACTCACGGTGACCACAGCCGAAGACTGCATAATTCACACCATCTAGGTCACGGCCCTTGAGTTCATTCAGCCACTCAAAGAAGTGGGCAGCATTATCTGGCGGCTGTCCCTCATAAGAGGCCGTGATGAAGACAACGGGCTCATTCTTTGGAATGTTCTCCCTCGCTGAGTCCAAGGGACTAGTTTCAGCTGAATATCCATATTCGACTGCATCGTCCGCCAATCGGCGCGCGAATGCCTCGCAGGTTCCCGTGTTGCTTCCGTAGAAGATGTGCATAGGCTTCAGGTTGGCGCCGGCAGGGACAATTTTAGGCTTCCTTTCACTGCCGGTAGCCTCGGCCTCCTTGTGCAGATCCGGGGTACCACCCAACATCAGACTCAGATTAGTCGGGTCCATGTTATGGCGGAGGGTGGCCCGCATGTAAAATCCTTCGGGCTTAATAGTAAGCGTCTGCTTGAGTCGGAGATCATAGCTTGGGTCATCCATCTGGAAGTTGAAGTTTTGCATCAGCATTGCGACGAGAATCAACACCTCCTGCCAGGCGAACGGACGACCGATACAGCCGCGCATGCCGTTACCGAATGGTTTCCAGGCATTTTTGGGCAGCTTGTTGAAATTCTCGTCGAGCATTCGCTCCGGGCGGAATTCATCCGCATCTTCGCCGTACACCTTAGGATCCCGCTGCATCTTGCCTGGCATTAAGACAATGGGTTCGTTCTCGTGCAGGACGTACTTGCCACCGCCCAATGTGACTGGATCTTCCTTGTTCTTCTCCGGGTGCGCATGCATCCCGATCATTGGGGCTGTCGGTTTCAAGCGAAGTGTTTCTCGCATGACGGCCGTGAGATAAGGGAATTTTGACAGGTCATCAACGGTAACCTTGCGTCGCCCAAGGACTCGGTCGACCTCTTCTTGGAGCTTCTGGTACGCACTGGGAGTTTTGAGTAGGTAGTAGAACATGAACGATAGCATGCCCGAAGTAGTTTCATGGCCTGGAGCTGTTAGCACGTAATAAACTCGCTATAGCGCCCGACACCCACCGGCAATGAGGAAGGTGATCATGTTGTCAATGATCGAAGAATCGGTCATTCCTCGGCCCGTCTGAGGATCGCGACCGAGGATGAGAGCATTGAGTAAATCTTTCTTGTCGATTGGATTGTTCTTCCGAGCATCAATGAGCTCTTGAGACAAGTTGCGGAGATAATTGACATCGTTCCAGTACTTGGCGTTTTCACTGGTAGGAAGACTATTGAGGAGAGCTGGACGGCGAGCCCGGTTACCAGACCCGGAAAGAAGACCAGTCATCGCCTCAATGAAGGGATGCATTTCATCATGATAGAATGAGTTGAAGCGCGTGCCCATTGAGCAAAGTGCGATAGTATCAAGGGTCAAACGGGTGAAATCCTCGGTGACGGTGATGGGTACATTTGGCCCGTTGCGCGCCCATTTCATGACGAGCTGACTGGCAATGTCGTACATATCTAGGTGAAAATTAGAGCTGTCCACATGTCCTCTGTGATCGAACTCACCATCGAACATGCCGCGAATCATCAACGGCCCGAACGCGGGGACAAGGACTCGATGCGCGATCGCCCAGTTCTCCTCGCCCGGGTAATTTGCGGTGAACAAACCATCGTTTGTTCCATTGCGAATTTCTTTCAAACCGGCGATAACATATTTGGTGAATCGCTCCTCGTCGCAGACCTCGTCGACAAGCTCATGTGAACTGAGGAATACGCGTGTCTGGCCAAAGGTAGTAAATCGGAAGATCGGGCCTGCAGCTAAATTAGTGGTGTTCTGATCTGCAGAGCGCATGCTGTACCATAGGTCTCGGCGAGTCGCTCGAAGCTGTTGAGGGGCACGTCGGCCTCGATCTCTAGGAGGTTGCCGATAATAGGGACCCCTCTAGGTGCGGGAATAGGGACCTCTGCACTCATTGCGACGGTCGAATGTAATGGACAGAGGAAAGAAAGAGTAGAGAAACAGAAGTTTATGAGATCACGGATCGAAGATCAAAGCGGGATAGGGATTCACCAACTCCGTCCGACTCGGTGTTGTCGCAATCGGGAAGTTCAACCGCCGGTCCTTGAGTTTGAAGTTCGGTGTGAGGCTGACAGTCAGTTGCGCCCGAGGTCGAGCCGGAGAATATATGAATTATAATCGTCTTTATGCACAAGGGCGACTGCCCCTCCAAAATCGCCTCGTGTTGTCAGACGTCGAATGTTTCAACACATTCCCACGACAAATCACTTAAGATGCGCACTCCACCAACCTCGGTTCTTTCACGAGCTAACCGATTTACTTGGCAATTTGTGGTCGTTTTTCCATCATAAGCTGCTGCTCCGTACCCAATCTATTCATGGGTTTTTTATGCATTCAACGGCAGGACAAGCACCAATTCCGATCTTGTGGAATAATCGTTTGTGAGTTGTACACTGTGTGCAACCTGCCCATTGTGGATGCCTAAAGCTCCCCAGTCAATTACCTCACCATAGAGCGCCAGTGGCGGCGGTGGCTTCGGGCTGATAGCTGTGCCTAATTATAGAGTGGACCCATCTGCGAAATGGACTCAAAACAGTGAGTTCTCGATTCATACCATTTTTTTTCTAAGATGTTGAATGGGTAGAAGAAACAATGAACAGCCGGGGTTGACGGAAAATATGTACAGATCATGCATTTGCGAACGACTGCTCCCGATGTGTAGGGACTATGGCAGCATAACAGCCTGGAACGCCGACGGTTTTGACCGGGGTAAAAGAAAGACCGAGGAATGGATATCAGCAAAAGCCACCTAGCGAGACGGCGAAAAAAAATTTGAGAGAAAGGTCATTAGGGCGGTCCCAGGATCCTTAGACACTCCCCCCCCCAAGAGAAGGGCAGTGGTCGCATCAAGCCTTGGGCCACTGGCGTCTGAGAGACCGAGACGGGTAAGGTTCGCAGAACCATTCATTAGAAGAAAGGTATCGTGCGAGGTTTACTTGACCTGATGATAGCCGCTGGTTCGCCACTCGCTTGCCTTCCAGTCGTTCTGGTAGTTTTGCATCTCGTTACGCTCGTTGTTGTACTGGTCGTTGCCGAGAGCATGCTCGAGGCGGCCCTGTCGACGCTTGCGCATACAGTATAGTCCCAGTGCGACGATAACGAGGCCGGCGGCGGCGGCGGCTCCAACGTAGACGCCGACGTGGGCGCCTGTCCCTAGGTCGTCCCACTTCTCAGCGAGAGATTTGGGAGGGTTGTTGATGTGGTCGAGAATAGTCGAGATTCCTCTGTGGGAGTGGTTAGTGGTGGCTGCAGGATACGCTTGAGAAGGAACTTACTCCGCAACTTTGATGCTCTCCCAGTCTCCGGAGTGGTCGCCGTAGCTGTACTCCTTGCCGGTGTGGAAGTCCTGGACACGGATCTTCTGCACCGTCATAGTAAAAGGTCCTTTGCTATAATCAACCAAGCCACCGGCCCACTCAATAGTTCCCGGGGCCGCACCCTTCAGACCAGCGGGCCAGACACTAAATTTGACCTGACAGGGTGTCTGCGGATAGTTCTTGCCCTGCAGGGTGCTATTCGTCGAGTAAGGAACAGTACGAACCAGCTCGCCATCAATCCACCACTCGAGCCTGTCCGAGTTCCAGTAGGTCGTATAGTTGTGGAACTCGGTATCAGCGTTCGCGACGGCGTGGAAACCGCCACGGTCGAAAGTAGTGTTGTTGCCCTTGCCGAAGAAGTTGCTTTGCACCTGGCTGGTGTTATATCCGACCCATTCCCAATCGATTTCGTCCAGATCATCCGACTCCAGCACCACACTGCTGATCACACCACCGCCCACGGCCATCTTGACCCAGGATTCGACCACACCGAAGAAGATATAAAAGTTTGACTGGAGCAAGGTCGATTCTCCTTCCTTGCTGATGGTGAATTCGGCTCCCTCATCGGTGGTAGTATAACCGCCGGTCGTCATGTTCCAAATGGTAGTGTCGAGGGTGGTGTTGAAATACCATTCATGCGTCGTACCCAGCGCTGGGTCGGCCGGACAAGACGTCTTGGTCGGGTCACAGAGGGTGGATGTTTGAGCGAAGGCATTGCTGGCCAGAGTCGCCAGCACGGCGAGGTTAAAGAAGGTCTGCATGGTGTATCGAATTTGCTCACGCTCCCCTATACTGCGTGGGCGATCCCCGAAAGGGCACAAGGAACGGCTACGAGGTGGAACCTCGAGGTATAGTTGAAAAAGGAATGGATGTGCGAAAGAGACACACAGATTAAGGATCGAAAGGTGGAAAGCCACCAGCAGCACAGATTCGTGGGAGAGTTATGAGAGGAAGAGCATAAAGAAAAGGGAAGTTTGGGGGGAAACAACGCCACTCGAGACCAAGTGGGCTCACGACATGGGCGACTAGTGCTCGATTGGGGATTAGCTCCAGGGACTTAGAATCAGTCAGGGCCCTCAGGACCCTCAGGGCCGCAGTAAGGGGAAAAGCTGGCAGCGGATTATTGTGAATTGAGCGGTGCTAACCCAGGGCGAGTTAGTGAAGGTCTGCAGCCCGTACATCCCCTGGGCCTAATCGGGAACTGTGGCGGCCCCGTGCCTGGATCTAAACCACATTGGTTTTGGCCCGAGTCCGCATAGGTCTTGCTGGGCTGGTTATTGGTCGATAAGAGTCAGATCTACGGCTTGAGAACAACCATTCGAACGTTAGGAGGACGAGTCCAAGGATCACTCGGATCGTGTTATCTGTGAATCGTTTTTCCTCGTGTCGGGCTGATCCCCTAGAGACAAAGGCACCGAGCCAAGTCAGCCAAGTCAGCCAAGTCAGCCAAGTACTTAGTGACCTTTGGGTTTTGGTTAGCTCCGAAAGATGACCCGGTCTGGACTTGCCATCTCTGTTCGGGCGACCTTGGCACGAAGTAAAAGTAAACAAAGGGCCACTTGCATATCATAATCAAATGATGAAATCACATCGAGATAATGGTGATTCCTATTGCTCTCCCTTGGTTCTAATTCAAGACCCTAGACAGGGAAAAAAAAAGAGCCCCCCTAGTTTTCTCCCACTTTTCCCACTTGTGCCACCGTGAATCCACTGTACCCACCTTCAAGCTAAGACCCTGTGGAACCCCCTCACTTTCCAGGTTTCGTGCTTTCCGCTATCTTTCCACTGTTCGGCAACCGTTCGAACAGCTTTTGCGTGGACTAGCTGCTAGCTGCTCTCAGGCCGGCCAGTGCATCTTGCCGTTCATTGCGACCGTGTACCTAACAGCTACTAAGCTTTGCGGCGTCGGCTGTTGTGTGCCAAGTGCCGTGTCTCAAATGAGCCCGCATTAAATTTTGCACAGCCTCTGCCGAGCGTGAAATTGTTATTCATGGGTGACACGGACATTTATCATCGATCTTGTACCACGCACGCGCTCCGTCAAATTTTGACCCCAGGGTCGATCGTCTATGTATCAAGTCATCGGGGCATGTGCGATATTGTTGGTTGCTAGAGAACATATGTTGAACTACATAATATCCACGATTATTGTGTTGGGTTGCTAATTCTAGCTGTCGTTTATGTGTATAGTTCAACACGTACTGTACCCTTTTACAGAATGCAGTAATGAAGACAAAAAGTTCTTGCTTCTAGCTATGAAGATATCTAATGTTCCGCCCATACAGTTGGTGACCTAGGAATGTTCTCTTCCTTCGCATTGACACAAACACACTCCCCTGTAATTTCATTCTGCAAAGAAAATTTGGAGGGTCTTTCGTCTCCCACCCCATCTATCCCTCCCAAAGAAGTCATTGCTACAAGGTATTTCTTTTCTTTCTTTCACCGCCCTGCCATGTATAGTCTCAGAAACAGGGTGCAAACCCCACACAGCAGCCACTACTTCGATGTCCGATGCGACTTTTACAGTATTTGGAAACAAGAACTTTCTTCTCATCCAAGCCCCCGGCTCGATCATAGCGCTGCCAGATTCTTCACCCATAACGAGTTGTTGCATCGGTTCCACATACCTATAGCGATTTAAGATTGAAATTGTTCTTTGCCATCCAGGTAGCGGATCTGGAGATGTGATAGCGCAGACATTCCTCGTGTCGAAGTGTTATGTCTGATGAGAGGTGATTCTGGCTTGAACGAGATTCGTCATGTCCAATACGCCCCAGGTTGCTCAGATGATATCCAGGAACTTCTGGATATCCGTCGAGGAATGCTCAATTACAGTCTTCACCTCACAATTTGAGAGTGCTGCTGTGGTGTTCGAGTATGCCCACGTCACAGACATGATCTTTTCGTATCCGGGGCTCGGATCTGTCGCGAAGAACTCGGGATTCGATGCCATAGGAGACAACGACGCACTTTCGTACGCACGAGGTGTCCATTTGAAAATGAGATCTTTATTCTGCTCTGCTTTGATCTCAAATTTACCAAAATCGGTCATCCTGCGGACTAGCTTGGGCCAGTCCGGCGTCACATCGTGTTCGATTTGGGTAAGAGTCGAGACACCAGTCTTGGCCGCGGAGGTAGTAGACGAAAAGTTATCCTTGTTGAGGCCTAGAAGGAAGTTATCTAACTTGTCAAGGATCTCTTATTGTTTGTCAACTCTATCTTTCGTCAGTAAGCCATCTCCAATAGAGGGGGCTATGCGATGGCACTCACACTGGATCCCTCAACGCAATATCAGGGAGGACCAAACCATTTTGAAATGCTCCAATGATTTCACAAAGAGATGTGATTCTCGACCGCACAAAGTCTACTTCCTTTTGTGACCACCGGAACCGACTCAACCCCCTTGGCGCTGACGCATACCTGATTCACCGTTTAAGCCATGCTTTTATAAGTTCTAGTCAGCACAAGTACTGGTGTAGATATATTGGTTCCTAGATAATTAAGTCTCGCTACAGATCCAGGCTTCAAATCCTTCAACTAGCGGCTTCTACTTCAACATTGTCCCGGACCAGTCTGTCATATTCACATTCCATGCACGATGCCCATTAAATACAATCCAAGCTGTCACATTACTCATTACTCATTGAACTTCATGTTTCCCGATCCCAAAACGAATTCCCTCATTCAGCAATATACACCCTCTGAGGCCGCCGCACATCATCACGATACCGGCGCGACGGCGACTTTTCAACATAGTCCACGTATGGGCCACGACTGCGCCGTCTTCTGCGGCTGCTCGAGGTACGAGTCACCGGAGGACGATAGCCAAAATCTGGCTCCTTTCCGCCACTCCAGGTGCCGGGTAAGCTGCAAACCCGCCACAGCCAAAGGATGAGCAGGGTCCCTGCTATCGAGCCAAGGACGATTCCAGCGATTCCTCCGCCGGATATTGTGCTGGGGCATCCGTCTGGGGCACGAGCCACGAGGGGAGAATTGAGAGGAGCCTGTTCTGGTTGTTAGATGCAAATCGGCATTCGGAGCCGTGGTTCTCTGTCGGCCCGCCCGGGAATATGGATTTGCGCCGTGGAATGTAGACTGCACTTACCATCGATTGAAGTGGGGTTAAGTAGATCCTTCTTTCAATGTTGTCTTCGATTAATATCGTTGCTTCTGGGCTTTTTTTTTTCTATTGCTGTGTTGGGATCGATCCCACACTATGGAAAAGTGGGTCTGCAACGATAATCCTCGATCGCGTCAATGCATTCGGACCCAGAATGAACTCGTGGCCAGGCACAAATAAAAAAGGAGGAAAAAAACACTGGTTCCAACCCAGATCTCGCGGGGGTTTTAAAAGAACGAGCGAAAGAAGGATCTGTAAAGTTCCCCCAACCTCCTCATCCCGCGTCTGACGTCAATCGAGCGTCGGCCTTGGCAGCCGTGACTAGCAGCGATCCTCGGATCGTGGAATCCTGAAACCCGGAAACGTGAGCATTTCGACTCGCCCATGGGCTATTGTCGAACCTGATTTGCGTGCTTTATCTGCACTGTTGCTTGGTAGGGCGTTCGGCCTGTCCGGCTACGTGAGAATCCTGCAGTCTGCGAGGCATGCATGTCGCACGGCTGTCACATTGCGGGGCCGTGGAACGATCTAGCTTGGCAAGTTCCTTGAAAGGTGATGTCCACATGCTTTGATTTATGCTGTGCTACGAAAGAGCCGCGGCTCTTGGTATACCTTAGTTCCGATCCAAATGTCCTGGCGATGGGGGCACCTCGCCGGTTTCCCAGGCCTTCGCATCCTTGCCGAGTGCGAACTCGATGTGTCCGCCCTGTGTCATGACATCCTCGTGCTCGAACCAATTCTTCGCCCACAGCTGACCGTTGATCTTCACGCTTTGCACGTAGTAGCCCTCGTCCAAACCCGTGGCGGAGATTCGCAGAGTGCGGTTCCCGTTGACGGTCATATTGAGGTCGGGGAACCAGGGTGAAGCAAGCAGGTAGGTGGGCTGTGTGACGATCGGGTATATCCCGAGCATCTGCCACAACAGCCAGGAGTTCATGGCGCCCGCATCACTGTTACCAGGGACGCCGTAAGCAGCGTCTTTGAAGCTGGGTGGTCTTTAGCATGTGATCTTTTGTACTGCGAGGGCCATCTTACTACTGAGTAGCCAGGCTGCGGGATTGCTTCACACTCTTGGACTGCTGATTGATGTAGTTGTATAAGTAGGGTGTAGCAAAGTCAGGCTCGTTTCTGCATGTCTATGGTCAGTTTGAATTCTCCCATTGGGTTTCCATTCAATGCATACCCGATGTTGATCAAGGTCGTGATACCTGCACCATTGGCACCGAGATTCTGAACAGACATGTTCGGTTTAAACTAGATAGCTGTCAATCTTTATTGCAAGGTTTCGCTCCATCTCACCTACCATCAAATCTAGGCGATCCTCAAACGTATCAGCCCCACCCATCAACTTGACAAGTGTCTGCACATCGTGAGGAATCACAAAAGAGTATTCTACCGTCGCGATCAGTCATCTTGCTCTCCAACGCCAGATTATCCCACAACTTACCCCACGGAATCCCCTCATAGGTAATGGACTGCCACTCACATCCATCACAAAGCAGCGGATCATAGTCACTGGTATTGAACTTGCCATTGGAAAGCTTCGGCGCCAAGAATCCGGTGAAATTCAAACTCGCGACACTGGGATCCCAGATATTCTGCCAGTTCGCCGACCGATTCAGATACGTCTCGACATCACCAGGCATCTCACCCCTGGCGATCTGGCTGACAGCGAAGTCATTGAGCGCGTACTCAACGGTTCGCGAGATACAACGGGTATTGCGGTCTTGCGAAATATATCCCAGTTCTTTCCAGTCATCCAGGGCACCGCGGCCTTCTTTCGTACTAGCCGTCAAGTCTGTAGGGTCGAATGTGTTATAAGGAGTTACTTCTGCATCTTTCTTCATGGCCAGGTATCCTTCGGTCCAATTAATTCCACCACGAAGACCTTTGACATACGCGTCGGCGAGGACATTGTCGGCGTCGGAGCCACCTTGGGTGAGACCGTTCCAGTTGCTGGAGCGGCCATCGGGCATGTAACCTTCATGTCTGCTTCTGTTAGAAGCAGGTCAGATTGAGAGATCCGGTCTCCTTACTTGTAGATATCGATAACACCACGAATCATAGACTCGTAGTACTCGGGCTGGAAAATATGATAAAAGCTCACGGTGCAGCGGAAAATATCCCCTAGTCGAGGTTAGGATGAGTGCAACCAAACTAGCAAGGCCAAGACTTACACATAGTATAGAAGTCATCCCAATACGGCTCTCCTGAGTCCCAAAGAGGATTCTCCCCGTGCGGTCGGAAGGCATCATGTGAATAAAGTACAGCGAGCTGTACAGCAGGCGGACATGGCTCAGATTTGCCGTGTCATCTAGCGAAACTTGAACTTTGTTGAACACATCCTCGTTCCACTCTTTCACGGAGTCGGTGACGGTGTCATTCAGTTTCCAAGACGGTATCTCCTTTTGGATATAGGAGCGAGCCTTGGCAGCTGAGATGGAAGAAATTCCAACGCGCGAGACGATATGCGCAGCAGCGCCGTCTTTCCAGCTAAGGAGGAGACCAATGCGGTCATTCATGGGGCCCGATGTGATCCTTTGCGATTGATCGAACTTTGCTTGTGCCATACCGCCATTATCATGGTTGTGGTAACGTGGCATGGGAGATGTGTTGTCTCCGGAGAATGCATGGGCAGTTTCTGGTTTCTCGGAGAATTCTCCCCAGAAGTAAACAGTGAAAGGTGCACCTTAATTGTTCTAGTCAGATGAAGTTACTAGGGTTTGATGAGAGACTCACCATTGTTGAATCCGCCGATGTAGGTTCCATATCCAGAATAGGCCTTCCCATCTTCCTCAATCTGAATCTCGCCGCCAGTGAAAAACTGTCCATTTGGATCACCTGGTGATCCCGGAAGATAATGAGAGACATCAACCAGGACATGTTTTTCGCCCTCCGGGAACGAATATTCCATGATGCCAGCATGGCGTGAAGCCGACAACTCAATGGTGACACCACTCTTCAATTGAGTCTTGAAGTATCCCACTCTTGCCGTATCTTTACCAACCTAAGACCAGTCAGCATCGCCGTTGAACTAGAGTAGGCTCAGTAACTGACTCTCGGCTGACTATAAGTCAAATTATCAAGCACATTAACCGGTGCGTCAACTGTAGTCAACGGCATCTGCGAAATCAATCCATACTTCGGCGCACCACCCGTACCACTCTCATGCATCATACTGACGCCCGTCACATTGCCATCGGGCGTCCATCCACCATTCAAAACAGCCGTATTCCAATCCACCGCAGTCGTGTCGATTCCGACCTTTGCAACGCCAAATGGACGCGTCCCGCCAACGAAGATGTCCCCACCGCCGAACCCCGTTCCAGCTTCTGGTCCTTCGGAGCCAATGAATGCGTTGACATGCTGCGACAGGTCCGACGAACCTGTGACGGCACCGGCGAGGAGGAACATTACCCCTAAGGGAGAAAGCCGAGAACGCATAACGGGCCTTATCATACTGGGATCTGCAAGGCTCAGAAAAAGGACCTCAGCAAGATAGATACGGCTAGCAAATGAAAATCTGTGGGAAAGGGTAATTCGAGGTGTCTACGTCGCGTCTGCCCGCCTTTATACATTCCATACCGGACCCCGATCCTTCCCTTATGCGGTGTGAGGTGTAACCCTGAGCTTCGACGTCGGCGAAGAAGCCGAGCTCCGGGCTATGAATTGTCGATCCAGGAGAGACATGATTACTGCGTTGGAGCTTCTACCCCACATGCGTGGTGCAAGCACGGTGTCGGAGTTGGGGTATTTAGGGGGTTCAGGGTCTCGCGAGCGCCATGACATCGTTGATCGGCGGGCAAAGGGCCTAGCTCTGGAACAGATGTAACATCTGAAGTCACGGAGATTAAAAGGTCAATATGTGGGTTTGGCGTACTTAAAGCTTGGTCGGTGCTCTGTGCGGGGAACTGGGTAAAGGAACAGGCCTACATTGGGCTTGGGGTATTCAAGGCCGAGTGCCTTTTTGAGCGCAAACAAAAGGAATCCACTCGGCGTAGGGTTGAGATACTCTGAAGAGGCCTTAGTAGAGCGGCCCGCGGCCAGTGTCATGATTCAGCATACGAAGTCTACATGTCACGGAATCGTAAATAAAAGGTAGGCAGAAAATATTCATTCAAATCCAATACTCCCGACCCATGATATCTTCAAAAAGAGCAGGCAACCCTATCCAGCCAGGTTCCTATCCGTTGGATGCAGGCAAATAAACACGAACATGCAGACGCCAATTCTACTCATTACCGACCCTCAATATAGTCTCTGTTCTCGATCGTAACACTCTTAGTCATGTGGTTGACCTTGTAGACGCCCACAAGACGAGAGGCCAGTTCAAACTGTTGATAATTTAGTATGCGCGACTGTGGATAATCGGCCGTCAGAACTTACCATGTTATTTCGCAAGGAGATGACGATGAATTGGGCATTCTTCGTCCGTTCCTTAATGTAGGAGGCCACGATAGAGACCTGGGTTCTGTTAGTCGCGCGACAGGTCGAAATAGCAGACATAACTCACATTACGGAAATCCAAAGCAGCGTCAATCTCGTCCATGACATAGAGTGGTGTCGGCTTGTAGTGGTGGAGGGCGAACACCAGCGCTAAACTCGACAGTGTCTTCTCACCACCAGACAGGTTGCCAATGTTCTTCCAGCTCTTCTTTGGGGGCATAACCGAGAAGAGGATACCCTCAGAGAAGGGATCCAAGGAGTCGACCAGTTCTAGCTCGGCGTTACCACCCATAGTGATCATTTGGTACATCTCCTTCAGACGGAGAGAGATGATACCAAAGCCCTCCATGAATCCGTTCAATCGAGATGATCGGAGACCATCCAAGCGAGCCTTCGCGCTGTCGCGGGATGTCAGAGCAGCGGCCAGGTCGGCAGACCTAGCTTCGTGCTCCGCAGTTCGGCGGCGATATTCTTCAAGGACTGACAAGTCAACAGAAGCGTTCTGGACCTTCTCCTCCAGTGCAGCAATGATAGCCTTCAGAGACTCCTTGTTCATCGCGTCCAGCTCGTCCTTGGTAAATACTTGCAGCTCGATGGGGTCTTGCTCTTCGCCCAGGTCGTTGACATTCTGCACAGACAGCTTGGAGTGCTTCTCTTCCCAATAACGGCTGCGCTTCTGGTTTTCGCTGAGGGCCTTCTGGTTCTCTTCCAACTTGTTGCGCATTTCAATCTCGGTGGCACGGGTCTCGTTAAGCTCGGCTACCTTGTCGTCAAGCTCCTGCTTAAGAGCCTTCAGCTCGCCCTTCTTTGTCTCAAGAGCCTATAATGGAATTAGCCGGGCTCAACACAGAACGATTCGATGATCCTTACCTCTTGGGCCTCGTCGGCCTTCTGTCGCCAGCCAGAGGCGTCATTGGTCTGACTCTCCACATCGGCTTCAAGCTTCTCCAAGTCTTCGGTGACCTGACGGATCTCCTTTTCAGATCCATCACGCGCCTTGGTGTGCTTGTTGATAAGCTTCTCGTTCTTGGACTTCTGGACCTCGGCGTTGGAGATCTCCTCGGCCAGCAAGCTGATCTGCTCCTTGAGACCGTCGACCTTGGCCTTCTGTCCGCGTAGACGAACACCACCGACTTCCATAATCTTGCTTTGAAGCTCTTGGATCTCCTCCTCAATGCCACTCTTTTGGTTGTTAAGGTCTTCGATCTCCTCGTTCGTGGCGGCAATCTGCTCCTCGAGAGCAGATGCCTGAGCTTCATCAGTTTTGGAAGGTTTGTGCGCCGCACTCAGCTCCTTCACACGTCGCTGGCTGTCGGCAAGACTACGCTTGGCACTGTCGATTTCGATCATGATTTTCTGAATCTTTGTGTCGACACGCGGGATCTCCTCAGTCTTGTCCCGCATTTGGGATTCAACATTTCGCTGTTTCTCTTGGAAGTGCTGGAACTTTCGCTCTAGCTCCTCCAGATCTGCCTCCAGACGAGTGACTTGCTCCTTAGTGGTGTCGGCGACTTGCTTGGAGGACATCCCGCCTCTTGCAACACGGGTACCACCACCACTCATGGTTCCAGAAACATCAATCAGCTGGCCGTCCAAAGTTACCACACGCCACCGGCGGGCACCGTAAGCAATGCGGTTTGCTTGCTCGAGGTCCTTAGCAACCAACGTGTTTTGCATGACGCTGTAGAAGGCTGACGCGAACTTTTCGTCCTTGGGCTTGACCAGATCAAAGAGACGAGGAACACTTTCGGGAGTGTAGATCGTTGACATGTCACGGCGAGGCAGGCGGTCTAGAAGAATGAAATTGGCTCGACCGAGGTTGTTCTTGCGCAGGTAGTCAATGCATTGTTGACCAACTTCCACCGTCTCCACAACCATGTTGTCAAGAGCTGGGCATGCTGTGGAAATCGCAACATCATACCTCTCGTCGATGGTTCCCAGGTTACCCAAACGGCCGTGGAAGCCATCGATACGACCGGACTCCTTGAGACGCATCAATCCTGTCAAGACACTGCCGCGGTTCTGGGTGCTTGCAAGGCTGCCTCGGGCCTCGTCGGCCTTTTGGCGAGCGCTAGAAACATGTGCACGGACTTCAGGCTCGCGGGCAACGTATTTCTTCAGGTCGCTCTTCAGCTTCTCCACTTCAGCCTCCAGAGTCTCTTTCTGGGCTTGGCGCTCCTCGAGATCGTTCTGTTTAGCTTGCAAGACTTCCTCGATCGTGCCAATCTTGCTCTGGGCCTCCCTCAGTAAAACGGCGCCGGCATTACTCCGCTCACGAAGAATATCAAGTTCACTCTGCGCGACGGCAACAGCAGATTGCTTCTCGTTGATCTTCTCGTTCCAGGGCTCCAGAGATTTTTGCTTGCTTGCAATCTGATCGGAGAGACCCTGAGTCTTGCCCTTGAGGCTTTCTCGGATGGAGTTTAGCTCCTTCTCCTCCTGCTGCATCTCCTGCTCGAGCTGAGTCGTCTCCTTCGTTTTCTTCTCGATATCATCGGAGTACTTCTCTACCAAGCTCTGACACTCAGAAGCTGCGAGGCGGGTCGTTTGCATGGTCTTCTCGAGCTTCTTCTGCTTGCCAAGCAAGAACTTCTTCTTTTCTTCGAATTTGACGTTTTCTTTGTCGTACTTGGCCATTTCCTTCATTAAGCTCTGCGCTTCTTTATCCATAGTCTCCCATTCACGGACACCACGCTTGTAGAGCTTTTCGAGTTCCTTGATACCCGATTCGTTGCCTTCGTGCTTCTCAAGCTCCATGTTCAGAAGCTCTTGCATCTGGAGGATGGCCTCTTCCGTGACACGGACATTATCAGCGCACTCGTCAATGTAAATCTGGTAGAGAGCTGATTGCTTCTGGGATAATTCGTTTTCGTCGCGTATATAGGCGAGCGCTTTGTTCTTTTTGTCCTCCAGGGCAGACTTCTCCTTTTCAACATGCTGAACACGGTTGTTCTTCTCAGCGCAGACTTCGTTCAGGGATTCCAGCTCGGCTGCGGCTTCGTCGATGGGAGTCTTGTATTTGGAGGTTCCGATGATATCCTCCAAATACTCAAGAAGGCCTTCGTCATGCTCATTGGCGGCTTTCGCCTTCATCTGGGCGATCGATTCGACCTCACCTTGCAAGATCAGGAATCGCTTGTGGTCGAGATCAATGCCACGTTCGCGAAGGAATGTTGTCACGGCAGTGAAATTGGTTTCCTTCTTGTTCATATAGTATTTGCTGGTATTGTTCTTGAACGCGCGACGCGAAACGATCAGTTGGGAATCTTTGACAACTTCGTGGCCACCCTCGGGAAGATCGAGGACTTGCTCGAAGTGCACCTCCACTTCACAGAAGGGGAGATCGGGATGTTGGGCGGAATTATGGATGAGTGCCGAAATCTTGCCCTGTCTCATCTTGCTAGCACGGAAGCCAAACACAAAGAGCAAGGAATCAATAACATTGGACTTGCCCGATCCATTGGGCCCAACTACAGACGAAAAAGAAGCGTGGAATGGGCCAACGACCTGCTTGCCCGCGTAGCTCTTGAAATTCACCAAAATCAAGTTCTGGATGATCATGCGAGGCTTAGCTTCCGCGGGCTCTTCGGGAATAGTAGGTCCTGCCATGTTTCTAGACTTCATCACAATATCCATAGGCTTCTCTAGCACTGTCGAGTTCGGGTTGATGTAGGAGATGGTCTTCGGGGTTTCTGACGACTTGGAGGGTGTCGGTTGGTTGACAGCCGGCGTGTGGGTAATATCGGCGAGGGGAGGCACGCTTTCACGGTTCGCGCGCGGTGTCGCTTCTGGCGATGCGGACGGCTCTGGAGTAGGGAGTGAGCCCTTTCCCATTTTGGGCGTGATTGAGCCACGACTCTTGCGGGAGGCCATACTGTGTCTTTTTATCGCCGCCTTATTGGAAGGGGAATCAGGATCCGCCTCTGCAGGCTCCAAGCTCTTCCTCTTCAGTGCCGCATGGTTGGAGGGGGACTCGGGGTCAGCGACCATGGATGCCATGCTTTCGTCATTCTCGTCGTTCTCATCGGTCTGTTCCTCCTCTTCTTCATCCTCCTCAACCTGTGAGGCGTCTGAGTCCTCGGTTGCGACGGTCGACTGTCGTTTGCGCGCGGGTTTCACTGTGGACGGGGTCGTGGGCTCTAGTGTCATGCGCTTTGCTTGGGAGGCGCGCTTCGTTTTTCTTGGGACAGGGGTATAATCTTCCTCCTCTCCAGTCTCATTGTCGTCATCTTGAGTAGAGGCAGTTGGGGTCACATTGCCGGGGTCCTCCGACTCGGAAGTCTCTTCAACAACGTAGCTCCTGCGGGGAGCGGCACGGCGCGATCGCCGACCTTGGGTGAGTGAAGCCATTATGCGCAAAGGAGGGGTGGCGCCTGCTTCATAGGCGCGAGGGGTGATGCTTAAAGAGATAAACGGAGTTGTTTGGCGGCGGAAAGTGGGTTGTTTACCTCACGCCCGAACAGGACTAGCGTCACAATTCTGCCATAACAGTGCTTCCACCGCTATCGTAAATTACACGTAATTTACCTACTGAATACCCCTCCGCGGAGCTTCCTGCGCCTGCGATTCTTCAGTTCGACAAGCACCTCCGGCATAATGGCGCTGTGGGAGGATTTCGATCACATTTTTAGCTTCAACAAGAAGTACCACTACGATGCAAAAGTCATCGATCAGATTGTCAACAACCGAAAGGCGCTAGAGAACCGACTTTTCGCCGATCGGCTTCTGGGCCTGCTCGGCATCAAAGGAGGTATGCTTTGAAAGTCGCCGACTGTCTCGAGCCATGAGCTGACTTCCGAGCAGTGACCAAGGTCTACCCGCCGAAAACGAATGCCGACCTCCGATCACTTTTTAATCATATCATCTCGTCCGAGCTCGACGTCCACCACAAGCAAGCGTTAATCTATTACATCCTCAAAGATTGTCGAAGTGCGCCAGATGCTGCAGACCAATTTGCGCAGACATGTCATTTACCGCAGAAGTACCAGCTCTTCATTGATGGTCTCTGGAACATGGACCGTCTCGAATTCCGAGTTCGTCATCTACCCTTGTCCCCATCATCCGATTGTATCTCTAACGGCTCGTTAACAGCGTGCACTCGATTACCTCGCCGACCCGTCCCTCATTCCCACTTTTCCCGACGAGATCCTCTTTGCTCTGAGTCTTTCTCAACTCCCGAAGCATGACGACAGTCTGGCCATTGCGTATTATCTCAATGCTGCGCCGCCACTGGCATCTGAGAAAGTGCAGCGGGCATTTTTCGAAGTCATGTGCCGGTCCAATGTCACAGAGGCTTTCTATTTCACCCGTAAATACGATGAACACAATCGTCGCAGCTTATTCGAGCAGTTGACCGAGTTCGTCCACAAGACTACTCCCGGTCAGACTCGGAGCAAGCGTGCTATGGAACTGGTTGGGCTCCCGCTGGACGAGTATGAAGAGGCCTGGTTCGAGGAGGCCTTATTGCGAGGAAATGCGAGCTCACTACTTGGGGCGAAGGACACTGTAATGATGCGACGACTGGCAATTGGGCGGATGGACGGTCTCGGGACCGAGTTGGAGTCTTTGGGAGGCAAGAAGGTGGACGGGTTAAACTGGGACGATCTAAGGGAAAGCATGCGACACACGCAGACCATATACCCGGAGTAATTCGTTGCATTTGAGTTTTGGATAGGCAATGGAGTTCCGGAAACCTTTGATCATGTTCTATCAGATTTGTTTGACACATTTGTAAGAGGGGAGATTTCAAGTTACGTGGACCGGGGCTTTATCGCAGCAACTTAGAAATATATATCGGCTTGTAATGTCCCCGTGGAGGACAAGTGAATCGGGTCGGGCAGATTTGACAACTCATTGCCGCAAACTGAAGAAAGTCGCCCTGCTCTGCGCATGAATTTCCCGAATACTGGATTTGAGCTCAAGTATGTAGCGATTTATCACTCGAGTTGAGGCGCTCGAGGCTGGACTTCTCTCCCGATAAAGGGCCGATAAGGATAACGGAACCACGAGTCGGAAAAACAGCTTCACTTCACCTCACGCGTTACTACTCTCAACCACGTCCCTCTCTTCGTCACTGTCCCTCTTTCCTAACCCCTGTCAGCCTATTTTGATACTCATTGTCTTTGAGGGATCCAAGCATTGGCCATTTGGCCATATATAACCCGAATCTGGCCCACAGGGGCGTCGTATCCCTATAACTTCGACAAAACCGAATTCATGAGGTGAGGGCGCCAAGATGGTGGTGTGTACTTTCTTCCAGCAGGGTCGCTGCAAGTTTGGAGGTTTGTATGTCCTCAATCAGCCTAAGGAGTTGCTGCTGACTGCCGCGTAGACCGCTGCAAGTTTGAACATCCTGGACGAGCCACTTCAGGCTCATCAGGCAATCGGTTTGGAGCTCTTTCCGGCGGATTTGGAGGTAAGTGCGAACGATGTGTTCTCATTGATAGTTTTGCAAATTGTGCGAGAAGAGTAAAGTAGTGAACATGGCCCTGCCAGTACAATGGCCCTGCCAGTACATTCGCTAGCATCTCGTCTTTTGTCCCCGGTGGTTTCTCAACCCCCTCCAATTCCCATCAGAATCTACCTCTTTTGGTCTTTGTCAAATTTCACTACACGGATCTATATGGCGTTGTCGCGATCTTTGAGTTTGAAAGTTGATCAATCTCTCTCTCCAGGCCAAGCATCGACACAGGGCCAACAAACAACAGAGTGAGTGCCACAAGCGCTGTCAAACCCAATACCGAACTGACTCGTCCCAAGTTACGGGGTGACCGCAAGCGATATCAAGCTTGATCTGACTGCAGGTAAAGGTCGGCCAGAATGGGTCTTCTCTGCCTATGCACCGAACAACAAAGTCCCACGGCAACTCTTTGGCGGCCCCCAGCGTGAGCTGAGTATGGAGGAGCTGCGTCTCCGTCACTATGAGGCAACAGCAGCTGGGAATATGAACCAGGCCATTCAGGAAGCCCAGGCTTTATGGCAAGAGTCTGTTAAGCAAATGGATGTCGCTCTAGGCGATCTCAACGGTGCAGTCAAGTACATTGTCGAGGGGGCAAACGAGCACCCCAATCGTATCGATATCTGCCAGGGTCAGACTGGGCCCCAGACAAATCAAAATTCGCCGTTTGGCCAGCCTTCAGCACCTGCCGCGCCTACTGGTGGCTTTGGTAATCCTACTCTCTCTGCTCCTTCGGCCTTTGGCAAGCCTACGTTTGGACAGCCTACGTTTGGACAGCCTGCACAACCTTCGCCATTTGGACAGCCTGCGGCGCCTGGGAACCCAACGCCATTCGGCCAGCCATCTGCCCTGGGAGCTTCATCTGCCTTTGGGAAACCCTCTACTCTTGGGACGGGAACTGCTTTCGCGGGAAGTGCTTTCAGCCAACCATCTGGCCTTGGAGCCCAAGTTGGGCTTGGTCAGCCAACATTTGGTCAGTCTGGCTTCGGCCAAGTAGCTAACCAATCACCCTTCGGCAATACTGGCTTTGGGAGTCCCTCCCAGCCAGCCGCAGGAGGAGCTGCACCCTTTGGTGCCTCAGCTGCTGCCTCACCTTTCAGCCAAATTCAACAGCAACCACAACAGCCATCTGCTCCATTTGGCCAACCTGCCCCTGAAAATCCATTTGGAGCTTCCGCACAACAACCAGCAACATCCGGCTTCGGGCAACCGTCTGGCGGCGGCGGGTTTGGACAACCTTCGCAGACCGCGTCACCATTTGGCCAGCCTCAGCTGCCTCAGCAAGCACAATCATCGCCGTTTGGTCAGCCCCAACCGGCTGCAACCCCATTTGGAGCACCGGCTCAGCAAGCTCCAGCTCCGTCACCCTTCAGTCAGGCCGGGGCTCCACAGGGTGTGCCTGTTCAAGGAACCAGCACTGGTCCACGAGCATCCATCAAGGTCGAAAAGCCGGACGAATTGAACCCCTTACCGAACTTGCAGGGTCAAACAATGCGTAACCCAAGTACCCGTCAGTTGACGATGTGGAAAGGTCGTCCTGTGAAGTACATCAACGACAAGCCTTGCTACCTTCACCCGCAAGATAACCAGACGTTTGTCCGCATCAATTTTCCAGACGGACCGCCTGAGGAGGCCGCACTACGTGACTCCCAGGGAAAGCCGGAGGATTATACCCCCGAGATAGAACAGATGTACCAATTCTATCTTGACAACGGGTACTTCAAGGACGGTATAATTCCGGCAGTCCCGCCAAAGCGCGAATGGATCAGCTTCGACTTTTGATCTAGTCTTCCGGGCGCGCTACATTTGCCATTTTTGCCTCCAAGGTCATGAGCCTGCATCGTGGGTTGATGAAAAAAGCGTAATGGAATGGATTAACATTGGTCAATACCTATTGTTTCTTCTAGGTCATCACGAAATGTATCTACGTTATGCAGAAGTCTACGAGACAAGAAAATCAACGATTTCTCAAGATGTTTCCAATTTTTTTTTGTCACCCAGGTACAAGCGGGTATCTACCAGTCCCGGCATTAGGTCCATAGTAAACGACCTACACGATGATAACGGCGCAAGCACGACACCAGAGGTATAAGGTCCACGACCCTCCCTGATCCAAAGCAAGCTAAATAATTTAAGCAGCAATGGTGACCTCAACCTCAACACCGGCCTCGATGTTGATGATGATCTGCTTGACAGTCTCGGTGGGGGCGAGGAGGCTAGAAATAATTTAGCGACATGTTCCGATAACACACATGCTCGGATAACTCACTCGATGAGACGCTTGTGGATGCGCATCTCGAACTTGTCCCAAGTCTTGGAACCCTCACCGTTGGGGGTCTTACGGGTGGAGATGTTCAGGGTCTTGGTGGGCAGACGGACGGGGCCCTTGACCTGGAGGGACTTGGAGCGAGCACGGTCGATGAGCTCCTGGCAGACCTTCTCGAGGGAGGCGACCTTGCGGGAGGTCAAGGTGATGCGGATCTTGTGGACCTTCTGCAGAGATTGTTAGCATTGTCCAGAGTAGATTGACTTGGAAAGCCATTGAAGATTTTTTTGCGACAGCGACAGCGATGTTCCCCGCCATTGCGGCGAACGTGATCCTGTGGCTGTCACAACACTTGGGCGTGCACGTACAGGGCCCTCGCCGAAATCCTTCTCGGGCTTCTGGAAAGACATCTTGAGATTTGTGTTGTTGTTAAGGCGGAATTGCCAATCAAGAGCTGAACTGCAGGGCTCGGTAAACTGATGATGGCCGGGTTGGAGTTTGTGGGTGGATCGTGAATCGCGAATCTTTTTTTTCGTGCGAAAGTCTTGGCACTTCGGTTATCTTGCGCTAGGCTGGTTTGGGGTGATAATGAGTCAGCGCCATCTCGGGGACCAAATGCAGACAGGTCGTAGCCAGTCTTGTTTAGGGAAGTGGGCATGGCTATGATGTTGCTCTTTTTGTCTGTTGCCGATATTTCTTCTATCTCTTCTTGACCAATTAATCTTTCATTCTCAATCTTACAAGTGTTCATTGGAATGGCGGAGTTTCCGCCATTGGCCCCGGTGCCCTCCCCCGCAGTGCGGAGGTCAATTCTATCTGATGACTGGGAATCCTGCCTGGATGCATGGATGATGCTTCTTGGTATTCGCCTAAATGCTTCAGAAGAACAGTTCAAAACTGCCGGCTGCAAGGACCTTCCAGTGGTCTCATTCCTGGACTCGTTCTACCAATATGCCGCAGCCGGGGATCCTGATCTACAAGCTGGACCTAAAGCTCGACAATTACGAAAGCTCTGCTTTCTTGCTACGAGACGTTATATTCTCGGGCTCCCTAAACCCCCAGAAGGTCTTTTGAATTGGCAGTTCCTGGGGAACCTATGTTGCTGTTATCCATCAAGCAATGCATTGAAGACGTCATTATCGACTGCCTGGGATATGCACCATGAACAGATCTCGTCAAGCTTAGAAAAAGCAAAGTCTATGGTCACCAGCCAGTTATTACTTGGTGGGAAATCAGCAGACTCAAAAATTACATCAAACATTCGAAGTCTCACAATCCTGGCCTCGGTATTGCCGCCTTGTGGCCAGCTTCTAATGGCAGGATCGGACTTTTTGGATACCCTCGTTGAGGCCTACGACGCGCAGCCACGGGAGCAACTCCGAAAAATTATTGTTGCCAACGTTTATGTGGGCCTTGTCTCATTATTGAAAGAGCCATCGACCAACCTGTCTCTACTTCTTGACCAACTGTTCGGCCTCAAAGCAGGCGCCGGAGTCGGCACACCCAGGATGAAGAAGGAGGCCACCCTTTTGTCCGATCTTGTCTGCAGCTCAGACGTACTGCAACGCCTCGAAAAATACCTTACGAGCCACCCTCAGAAACGAGGAGAGGACCTTCTCGCCAGCTTGCGAGCTTATCAGATGGAAACGAGAGCCCTTCACCACCGGTATCAAAGACGAAAAAAGATCGACAAGGGCAAAGGAGTCTCATCAGGATCTCTTATTCCGGACGAGCTCCACGCACACAAGATGTCACTTGTCTCCCAAGTGCAAGATCTCTTCCCAGATCTCGGATCCGCATTCGTCGTGCGTCTCCTAGACGTCTACAACGATAATCCCGAAACAATTATCTCCCATCTACTAGACGACTCCCTCCCCCAAGAATTACAATCTCTCGACCGATCTGAACAGCTCCCACCCCAAGCTAAACCAGTCTCCCATCTGGCCCCCCCGACCAACACCACCAGTCTCCCCTCGGCAAGCTGCTGTCCCAACCCGTCGTAACGCCTTCGATGAAGACGTCGACATTGCCGAAATAAGCCGCACAGGCGATGCAGAAGGCAAACTCCACTTCGGACGCGCAGACGCAGACCAAACCGCCGACACTGTCTTAGCAGACCGCAGCCAACACGCCGTCAATAAAGCTGCAATTTTGTCCGCACTGGCAAGCTTCGACTCCGATGACGATGAGCGCGATGACACATACGACGTCGCCGATGTAGGCGGCACCGTCGACGCGGCCACAGCAGGCATAGACGCTGAAGCGGATGCCGAAGCTCAGACCCGGCGTGCGGCAGATCTGGATATGACACTCTTCCGCGCGTACAAGGGCAATGCGGCGCTATTTGCTCGGGACTCCGCAACGCGTCGCTCGCAACCTCGGGCTACGCTGAAGCGGGATACCAACATGACGGATGAGGCTATTGAGGGATGGGCTGTTATGTTGGCGCGGGATCCGAAGAGGCTTGCGAAGTTGGAGGATAGCCTAGCGGTTGATGCAGGCGGTGCTGGTGCTGGTGCGCTGAATCAGCCTTCATTGCCTTCGACATCTTACAGGAGACCGCAAAGAGATGATGATTCCGGGGATGATGGGGAGACTGAGCATGGAGGGAGCCGTGGAAGAGGTGGTGGCAGTGGCCGGGGCCGGGGTAGAGGTCGCGGTGGTCGAGGGCGAGGAGGTCGGCCTCTGGAGCCTGATAGTGCGGCGGCGCATCAGAGGAAGGAGCAGAATAAGGCGAGTCGGGCGAATCATAACCGTCGACAGCAGAGGGCTAAGAAGATTGCGCGCGGAGGTGGTCTACCGGGTTAATCTAGGTGATTTGATTTTGCATCCGCATAGCAAGGCGATTAGACGTGCTAGTTATCTACCGATTTGTACATGACATAGAGAAACGACATTGACTCATTCATGTTCTGGAGTACGCCCTAAAGGCTGTATTTGAATCATGCTTCATGACACTAGGAAAATCGTTGATAAGCTGCATGAGAAGGATATGGGTCTTATCAGTGATGCGAAAAGACACCCTCCTGCGCGATTGACTTGCGACACTCCTCCATCAGACGGAGCTGCTTTGCCACATCACCCAGCCGGCCGATGACTTCCTTATTCCCATCATAGAAGGTAAAAATCGCATATGGGATACCTGTGTCTTCGCAAAATTCGAGAATATGCTTCTGGGCGCGTCGGAGATTGTGGCGTGGCATGCGAGGATAAAGGTGGTGAATCGCTTGAAATTGGAGCCCACCGTGGAAGAAATCCAGCCAGGTAGGGCAGTCTACGTCCATAGTGGTGCGAAGCATCTTCTGAGGGAAGGACTCGTGGACACCCAGATCGGCGGTGGACATGGCGAAGTGGGACAATGTGATCTGCACATGCAAGGGCGAGGACACGATGTGGGACACCATAAGGAAGATGAAGCGACTGCTGGCGTCCGGAATCGACTTGTACAGCACGAGGTAGACATACCAGTACCAGAAGAATATCTGACCGGCGATTTCGAAGTAAATGTGCCACCAGGCAGGTCCTTTCTTCGGGGCCTGACCCTTCAACAGGTACTCCCAGCTGAGGCGGTACAGATTGAAGCGGGCCAGCGCCATGATTGGGTAGTATGAGTAATTCTGGACCTTGAGCATCCATCTGGACGGGGCATCGAAGGTCATTTGCCGGTCGTAGTATGTACTCTGGAGGCTGGTGAAGAAGCGGTGAGAAATAGCAAAGAAAGGCATATGCTCGATGTCCGGATCGTGCTCAGGCTCATTGGTGACAATATGATGCACATTGTGGCTCCGCTTCCACCATCCCAGACTCAAACCTCCGATCCAATCGGCGATTATGATGCCGATTGTGGTGTCAACGTGGAAATTGTGTGTGATACCCATATGGCCGGCATCATGGGCTGTGAAGACAAGTTGATGCCAGAGGCATCCGAGGAAGAATCCTGAGGTGGCCCACCAGCCGATTTGAAGGAAGAAGTATGACAGGCCTGCGAGGAGGGTATAGCGACAAAGTTCGATGAAGTAGGAGAAGTAGTTGCATTGGAACAGGCCCTCGGCTTGGAAATGGGCATGCAGAGCGCGGTATTTCTGCCTAATGCTTTCCTGATTTACAGTATCCAGCGAAGGGTACTTGGCAATGTCGAAATTGATTTCCTGTTGTGTTCGAGCGTCCAGGAAGGCCGGCTTCAGCTGGGAGTCTTGAGTTGCAAGAGTGGCACTGGAGCTGTCGGTTCCTTGCGAAGCGTTTCTGCGGCGAACGGGCTTCGAATCAATCGCATCAAAGATTGGAGAGGGCGGTATGGATCCATCCTGGCTAGAATTGTCACGGCTACTCAAGTCATCCTCACTTGAGCACACGTCGTCTGTATACAGGCGGAACTTGCCGCCTTGAATCGGGGGAAGGAAGTTGGACCAAAGGCCGTCGATTCGTCCGATCTGGTAGGAGGGCATGCGTTCAGTAGCTTCGTGAGAATGCAACCTGCATGAAGCATTAGCAGGAGCTGCACCAACTCTTGTGGGCGACATACGCATTGATCTCGTCTGTTGCATCCCTGCCGACCATATGCTTGATCGCCTTGTCTCCGCCAGGGTGATATTTGATCCAGGCGTCCACCTTGAGGACACGACCATCATAGATGATGATATGCTTGCCCTCCGCAATCAGGCCTTCGATATACCGGCGACTCAATAAGGTGTCCTTCTGGGACGAGCGGAGCGCGGGCTTCTCCATAGTGAAAGATGCGGTGAAAGAATGAGGAGGGTTCTGTGAACGTCGGGTATATGGCCGTCTGAGATCTAAGCGAACATGGCTCTGAGGCTGGTATAAAGCATTCAATCGTGCAGACAAGAGTATGATGAAGGGAAGAGTCAAGGCAGAAACATGAAGAAATGTCGCAGGGGCGGAGGTGGATCAACAAGCGGGGACTGATCGGCCGCGGTCGCCCGTGATGGAACACTTCCACATTTCAACATTGCATGATGGCTCAAGTATTACCAACTACATTTCTCTCTTGAATGAGCACTAACTCGAATAGGTTTCGATCTCCTCGTTGGTTCAGACATGGCTCCGGTGGGACCAGGTACCCGCCCTTTTCCTCGTTCCTGGTGGCATGATCTCATCGATTCGGACATAGGATCCCAATACTCGCGCGGAAATAGAGCAGTTGCGCGATGCTGGCTCTACCGATGAGCTGGAGCTGCGCCTACGGAATCGTAAGTACCCATTCCGTGGCTTTGGATAGCGTCCCTGATTGAGCGTTTAGGTATCGAGTTTGGAACGGCAGGCCTACGCGGCCGTATGGCAGCTGGGTTCTCTTGCATGAACTCATTGACGGTGATCCAGGCATCACAGGGACTTGCCAAATACATCCAAGGACGTCCGGAGATTGCCCCCAAGGGCGTAGTCATTGGACATGATGCACGCCATAATTCCGATCGGTTTGCCGTGCTTGCGGCCAACGCGTTCATTGCTCTGGGGATCCCAGTCTGGTTCTTCGACCAGGCTGGGCCGACACCGATGGTTCCATTCGGTGTAAGTTTCTTTGAAGCCGCTGCTGGTATCATGGTGACGGCGAGTCATGTAAGCTAGTACCTTCACTAATGAAGTAGACGTGTACTGATGAGGAGATCTGCAGAATCCGCCACAAGACAATGGTATGTCTGTTCCATCTATCTTCATCAGACATAATCAGTTGCTGACATTAACACTAATCTAGGGTACAAGGTGTATGATGCACTATCTCAAGCTCCATTGTGCGCTTTTCTTGAATTGACTAACGCATTTACTTCTCAGTTACTCGACCAATGGCGCTCAAATAAATCGACCCGAGGATGGCGAGATAGCCCGGTCAATCCGTGAGAACCTGGAGCCTTGGCCAACTGCGTGGAAGGACTTGCAACCCGGCGACCTCTTGCACGCGGACTCTTATCAGAAGTTACTTCCTCATTACATTAGCAGTGTTGCAGCCTACGCGGTCAGTCATCCATTTAGAGCCCGTCGAAGGACAAGACTAATACCTATCAGAAATCAACGATCACGAAATGGCAGTCTCCAAGACCAACTGTCTACACACCTCTTCATGGCGTAGGGGGCTTGGTTTTCCCCACTCTTTGTGAATCGCTAGGTATCGATAACTGCACGACTGTTCCTGCCCAACAGAAACCGGATCCCGATTTTTCTACGGTCAAGTTCCCGAATCCAGAAGAGGCCGGGGCATTGGATCTCTCAATTGAGAGCGCCGATAGAGAAGGGAAGACTCTGATTATTGCTAATGATCCAGATGCGGATCGGTTCGCCGCGGCAGAAAAGGTCAAGTAAGTATTACCTGATAGCTATCATAACAAACCGTTGACGTTGCACTAGTGGGAAATGGGTTCTGTTCACAGGCAACCATGTCGGAGTCCTTCTCGCATCCCATGTATTCGATTCGCTAAGTAGTGCGGATGACCTGTCAAAATTCACGGTTTTGACTACAACTGTCTCCAGTGGTATGCTCGATAAGATGGCTAAGGCCAAGGGTATCCAATTCAAGGAAACCTTGACTGGCTTCAAGTGGATGGCAAACGTTGCTCGGGACCTGGAAAAGACTGGTCAGACCGTGCCATTTGCTTACGAGGAGGCGCTGGGCTATATGTTCCCTTCTGTATGCTATGATAAAGATGGCATTACAGCTGCCTCGGTTTTCCTTGCTGCGGAGGCCAAATGGAGGGCTCAAGGCCTGACAGTTCACGACAAACTCCAACAACTTTTCATCGAGTTTGGCCACCACGAGACACTGAACAACTACTTCCGATCTCCAAATCCCCAGCTCAGTACTGCGCTGTTCCGTGGGATCAGGAGCGGCCGATTCCTTGCTGACAAACAGTTTGGTAAATTCAAAATTCTGCGCTGGCGAGATCTGACGGAAAGTTATGACTCTGCTTCGCCCGACAACAAACCTGATTTGCCTGATGACCCTACCAGCCAAATGCTGACCCTGTGGCTAGAAGGTGGAGTGCGCTTCACTCTTCGGGGATCGGGTACAGAGCCCAAGGTCAAATGTAAGTTCCGACTGCCTAGTCAAGTCTGAAAGAGTGCTAACGCCTCGCAGTCTACATTGAAAGTTGTGGAGCTTCTCGCGACCATGCTGTCCAGGCTGTCTGCGAAACATTCTCCATCATCCTCAAAGAATGGGTCCAGCGGTACACCCCTTCCATGGCACATAACGCGCAGCTTCCCACCTCGTCAGGTCATATTTTCAATGTGGAGTGAGACTCTCTGTTTGTTCCTGTGAATTCAGATCACTCACAGGCCGTGTTTCTATCTGCGAAAGCCTCGGGTTGGTATCAGGGAGGAAGCTGCACGGAATCAAGGTCAACAAATGACCTTTAACTTTCCAAGTAGCCAGTCTGAACAGTCTCTGAACAGTCTCACGATACAAAGTCGAGCAAACGCTTCACTTTGGTGTAACTAGAAGCTGCAAGGTCCCGTCTAAAATACACCATTGAGCCATTTGTTCTTTGAATAAATCTACAAAAACTAGCGCAATATGAAAGTTCCAGGCAAACCGCATGTCACGTTTCACCAAACGGTTGACAGATAGTTGTAAAACTTGGTTATTGACTTGGACCCGTGGCGTGCTATATAGCGAAGCCTCGATCTTTAGATAGGCCTTCGTGATCCAGGACTCAAGCACAATTTACCCAGATATATGAAATGAGAATGGCACATCCTCACAGAGCTCAGCCTGCCAAGACAGAACCAGCAAATCGGCCAAATAGATACAATCTAGCCGCATGTCATCATGAAGGAAAAGCTCATTCAGACCCCCGAGATCAACACCGAAAGCTTCAGATGAGAGCATGCGTTGAAGTTCCACTGTTCGTCTATCCCCACATACCATATACGATGGAACAGCCAGCTTGTGATGACCACCAAGCTGCCCCCGAAGACAAGCCTACCAAAGACCAAGAATCCCCTGCTAGACACAATTATCATACAATCCCACAGGCTCACCAATACCACAACCATCATTGTCGTCGTCACTGTCATCATGACAATCACCAAACAGTGAATCATGACCACAAGAGGAGCAAAAGATGCTACCATGACCACAATCAGGCCGCGAACTCAACTCAACCCCAGCCTAGAACGTCGCATTCGAGACCTCAGCCAAAACATGGCAATCGTGGCAAGAAGTATGCTACGTCCGATGAGAAAGATCAGGATCATACTTCGCCTCAACAAAACACGAGATGGATTTGGGGACCTCCTTTGCCTGGGTTCGTCCTGGCTCGGCCGATGCATGCCCCAAAGTACAAGCGCGGTTGATGGGATATGTTTCTAGCAGAAGAGTAGACCCACAATTTTTGTTTTACTGTTTCATGCTTGCTCTCACTTTGTTTTGTGGCTTGTCAAATAGATCTGGATGAAAGTATGATTCTTGCGGAAGGAGCCCCATCCTCGCTGGCAAGTAGATAAAATAAGTCTTTAGTCTGAGCTTGCTTTCCACACAGTCGAAATTGCCTTTTATAGACGACTATGTTGAAGAAGCTCTGTATGGCATTTTACAACCATTTCAATGCTGCCTTCGGAGACGCAGGAGATACGATATACGGCGATCAGTAATATCCCATAATACGACGCTTATGTTTCTGATCATCTCCAGCAACTATCACTGTATATGAGCACTTTATATTGATTTTGGTGTGTTCCCTTCTTTTGCTAATTTTACGACTGGCTCTATCTCCTGCTAGTTTGGGGAGCTTCAGCTCTGGCAATCTCCTATCTTGAAGACCCGCAGATATGGAAGCAGTCCGGCCTCGCTTGCAATGCGACACAAATCTGGCCGCAATCTAACTGATCGTACGAAATCAACAGCAATATCTTGAATCGAAACCAAACGAATGCCAACCCATCGAATGGAACTAAGCCAATTGGCGTACCTAGTATGACATCACACCCAGCTGGCCTGGCTTTTACCCATTGATTGAGTTCGCAGCCAGTCGAGATGAGAAAGGGGCCTACTATCTCGCATTATTCATCTTGTACGGGGTGGAAGCTACGTCACCCATGATCAAGAAGTTTGGGATTCAGGCCCCGCCTTATATGCTTTACATATTGAGGGGCGGATGCTTATCATTTCAGGTAACATCTCACTGAAAGTTCAATGTGTGTTTCCCTTGAAAAGCTCAATTTCTGGACCTCTGTATGTACATGATCTCGAACCGCATTCTGGATGGACATCCCACGACCTCTTTGGACATGTTGAGCTAGCACTCAGCTAATAGAAAAGGGTTCGCTTCCTTCACACATCGTGATCACACTAATAGTAAACGCATCGCACACCTCTGCTTAATCGGCAGGCCGGCTTCAATCTCTTGATTCATGATATCATACAACGCCGGCGTCAACTCATTTGCATTTAACGTGTTGAATCCAAGAGACTTGTAGAAACCTTCATTCCATGGGATCTTTTGAAACGTGGTAAGAGTAATGGATGTACAGCCACAAGAGACTGCCCATTGTCTCGCCGCTTCCATCAGCCGCCGACCAATTCCCTTGCCCTGATAATCCGAATGAACGGAAACCTCACAGATATAGAGGTCTTGGTCGGTGTAAATGCCATTCAGAAATCCCACTGGTACGTCATTAGAATCGACAGCTACCCATGAAGCACCAGCCTCGATTAGTTCGAGATGCTTTTCTGTAGATTGAACATCTCCGTTGGCAATCCATGCAAGATCTGGGAATTGTCTGAATGCTTGCGCTGCTGAGCGCTCCACGGCTGGTAGACCTGGGGCATCCTTTGGCTCTGTTGGTCGAACTGTGATGACTGTAGCAGTAGACATGCTGTTTATACACAAGCAGTGTTGTTTTGTATCCAGCGGAGACAAGAACTCCGATGCTTCTTCAGAAAAAGGCACTCGAACGTTAACACGCGTTCAACCAACGGCTGCATGGAACTCGAACAGTTTGCATACGTACAGGAAGACCTCGGACTTTGATTAATTGAACATATATTATATGAAGATGGGGAATTATTTTGGTGATCACACAATGGGACGTTGGGGGATGTCAGCGTATTTGTAACCCTGGGTCCTGGAATCCCATTGGATACTGTGGCAATCACCACTTAGTAAGCAGTTTTCGGGGACCGTAAATGGACAAGATGAGAAGCTAAAGTCCAACAGAGAGGAAGATACAAGGGATGATAAAGGGCCGGTCGCAACAGAAAGCTTTGTTGCCTATTGTGGATATCCCTTAATCCAGATTCCAAGTCATACTTACCAAGGTATAAGTGCTCTATTCACTGTTGTGTCAACATCGAACGGAGATATTCTGCAACTGAAGAGCCCTAGAGTAGAAAAACGGTGTAAGTGAATGTCAACATTACCAAGAAGTTGACTCTAGAACATTGCTAGCTCAACGGCTATAGCACCCTGAAGCCTGTTTGACCGGTTTTTCAGTATGCGGAGTTTATAGAGATGATTCGTATCAAATCAAATTCTTTTTTCTTCCCCCTTCTCTCCATGCATCTAGTTTCTTGAACGACCTGTCATTCGGCCATAAGTTAATTGATTAATGTACCTAGGGGTGTTGTCGGCGTCTTCTCAATGATCTTGCAAGTGGCTAATGTCACCGGTTCTCAACCAGTGATTATCTACTAAGCAATCAAAGAGCCAATGCCGGAGAAGATAAACGCTCTAGGACTCGAAGCCTCTACTAATCTTGTCCTTCTTATGCGCACCGCCTGCTGGTGGACTACAGAGTCTGATGATAAGATTATTGATTCATTTGTCGATAGCTTCTGGAATAAGGTCATTGTACATAGGCTTTCGTATACTAGAGACTCCTGCGTGGTCTCACACCTCCACCCGCTAAGAGGAGGTGTGGGTGGAGGGTCCGGAGGGTCACCCGCGGGTATGTGCTAGGTCTAGGCTAGAGATTTCTCTCAATATTCGTGGATTCTCTTACCCCTCCTATATTATTTAAACAGAAAAGGGAGACATTATCTTCGACGAAAAGTTCCGCGGCAAAGTCTATCTCGAAGGGGTACTTTTAGGGTTAAGCTCTAAGACCGGCTCCTATAAGCTTAGGTGTAACTTCCTAGCGGGAACGGTTAACCGCGGCCGGCAGAGATCGATTAACAAGTAGGATAAAGCCAATCTCATGCGGCAGATATGGGAGGCTGCCATCGGCCAACATGAAGCGTCTATGCTTCCTATCTACGTTAACATCCTGCGAAACTTCCCGTGGGTGCCAGATGTCGAGGCTACCGGCCATGATACCAAGACTGACATATATTTTCGACCAGATGAGAATCTGCGTTGTTGTATCCGAGACCTGATTAGATGCAACAGTGCGGAGAATAAATGATGGTGTAGACTCACGAAGGAAGCCTGGAACTTTTACGTAATGTAGCAATGGAATGCGGATGGTGACTGCGGTACTCGCGCTATAAAGATTTTCCGTGAGAAGAGTTCCAGGTAGGGTGAGATAGAGCACGCTTTACTGTGGGTTGCCAACTTTCTCTCCCTTTCACTGCTGCTATTAGAAGCCCAGTATATTAGGGATCGAGCTTTGTTCTGATTTCCTGCGCTCCTCGCACACTGTAATCCATAGACGCACATGACTCTTCTGGCATCTCCACAAATTGCCCGACCACTGCAAGATTGGCCATGCTCTCCGATATTATGCCTGGGCGATCACTGTAGTTTAGAGATAGCAAAGGTGCTGTTAATCTTGGCATCAGCCGCGGGATGGTGATTGAATCTTTGAAAATGGGGTGTTCCAAAGGGACGTCCAGGTGTTGTAGCAATTCAATCATGATCTCTCTCCTAGAACAGCGGAGCATCGGCTTTCTGACGAAGTTTCCTTCACGCTCAGGGAACGAGCCATAGGCCCACAAAACCTGTACATCGTTGGTCTGATGCGGAAAAAAAGGCTGATGTGGGATATATAGACAGAGGAACCAATTGCTATGCCGAAGTGAGATCAAAGACGATGAACCCCCTTGCTATGCGTCAACACCTTGAGCAGGCTGGAAAATCCGATATCTTTGATTGTGATTGTGAAAGATTCCAACCTGGAGTCACTGATGCGGGTGCAAAAGTTGTATGGATCGCTGAGATTCGGGCTTACTCCCAGCCAGAGCGACCAATTCTCAATCGAGCTTGTCCTCTACGTCCAGCAATTCTAATGAAGGTGGTATTGAATTGGTACCTCCCGTGGATCCGGACATGACTGATCCAGGCGACATGATAATGATGTCGCGAGGGCTGACGCTGACAATACTCTTGGATCCGTTCTTTATGAATTTCGATCCCGAAACCGCACCATTGTCTTGGCCTGGGTCCACGGTCATGTCAGTGAATTTGCTATTGAATCGAAAATCCACCCCTTGATCATGGAGGAAGCGGGGCATCGGCCCAATGATGTCTTCAGATGGACAGTATCGGCAGCGCTCGAGCATGGCGAAGGTGGTTAGAGATTGGAATTCACGAAAGTACCCGCGAAGGCATCGACGGAACTCCACAGCACTATGCCAAGGACAGAAGCTGAAGCTTTCGCCCCAGTCAAATACTAGCAAAACCATCAAGCGAAGTCGGCCTGAAGAGCATACATAGAAGAAAGCTTTTTTTCAAAAAAACGCCTAATTTCCCTCCTACTCAGGCTCTTCTCAGGCTTCATCATGAAAACCACCAACTGTGCCCGAACTTTTAAGCCGACGCTGAACCTGCTGTTATCTATCATCTCCAGGTCATGGCCACCTTGGATGAAAAGGCATGTAGGAGCTAGACCTGTTTTGGCTTTTTCAATATTATCCATGACATTCTTCCGTGAATCTGTCATCGAAGGCACTGAGGTAAAGATTTCTTCGATGCAGGTATCGCTCAAACTTGGCATGCATGCAGCTCGATGGTCATATCCGCTCTCTGGATCACCCACGACAGCAAGGCCATCTCCAGAGTCTCTGCGGGACTCTACAAGGTGAATACAGGCGGCAGGAATATTTGAATCCCGGATCAAATGAATTGCTGATGCCGACGCCGCAATGCTACTTCCGAGTAGCCAGGCATTGAAGCTGCTATTATGTGCCGGGTCTCGCAGATTAGGCTGGGTAGTTTTCTGTTCGCAAGCATTCGGAAGAGTTTTATTAATCGGTAAAGTGCCACTTGGGCATGGTGTGTGATGCATAGTCGCCAGAGTCGTTACGTTAAGATGCTGTTGACGTCATTGGCCATCAGAGCAACTACTGACCGCCTCCCGTTAGTATGGAGAGAGTCTCTACCTACAGCCAAATTATTTTCCGAATAAATAACTATGGCATCATTCTACTTCTATCAGGCAGTGATATTGCCAGCGATCTTATACGGGTGCTCGGTATGGTGCCCTCTAAACAGCGATCATGAACAACGGATATCACGATCGGCACCAGTCCCTCAGGCCTCTCTTGTTGTCAATTCTTCTCTCTATTCCGATTGGATCTCTAAAACGTGTCGTATAATAGTGTTGGCTTCGCCACACAATCCCTAATAGTCGCAGCGGTAAAAATTTTAAGGCCATGCCCAGTTCCTCCTGAACAGAGAAACGAAACGGCAGCCTGTTTGTGGTTCTAAAAAGTGAACGTTCCCATCTCCATTTTTGTGAGTCAAAGTTTGAGGAGACTGGAGGTCGCTTTGGTTTGGAATATTAACAACGTATATGTTATTTGCGATTTGAGTTTGGGTAATTGATTGCACAAACGGCAATGACTGCTGCATGGCCTCGATTCTTGAGGTGGCGTGGCTGACTTCTTCGTGATGTACTTCGAACGCTATCACTTTTTTTTGCCGAGGACCCGATGTGAGACAAATGCCACTGAAGGCAAAACGATGTAACACGCGTTAACTGTTATCGTAATCTACCACTGATCTGATCACTCCAAAACACCATAACGTAATTCCCACCATGCGCTAAAAAGCGTTTGTACTGCCACAATTAGATGCGCACTCCTTTTCCATATATATATGGTGTAACAACAGAACAATTTATTCATCCACCGATCGATCCATACTCCAGAGAAAACTTTGCCATTTCAGTCCCCGTAGCTTAAGCTGCAGCCGGTGAACCTATGACCACAGGATGTTGAGTCTCGCAAGTCCCTTCTTCCGTGTCGTTTCAGGCTCGAGGTTGTCTTGGCTGAGGTAGAATTGCATCAAGCCGACAATCGGAATGTTCGCCAAACCGAGGATGCGTGTTTTCTTCCAGCCTTTATAGCCAAAGTATAGAGCGAGAAAGATTGGAACGTTGATGTACGACGAAATGAATGATTTGGTATTCCAGTGGCCATGGATAAATGTGCTGAAACCCCCTGTGAGAATTAAAACGAGGATCAGCACAAGCGAAGCCCAGGTCAAGTAAGGTTGAAAAGGGGCAGCCCACGGAAGCTCTCTGTGGCGGTCAATCCCCTGCTTCTTGCAACCGTAGTAGAATCGGAGGTATACGACACAGATAATTCCCCAGTCCACCAAAGTCGAGATCGCCACAAGGGCCTGCAACCAGCCAAAGACTGTGTTTGCTGACTTGGAGACGACCATATACCCCAAGCACATAAAGACCCCGAAGAAGCTGATGGCCACATAAGGCACACTGAATCGGTTCAGCCACGCGAAGACCGCAGGAGCATGTCCCTGGATTGCCATGCCAAAGAGGATTCGGGAGCCGTAAAGGATGAATGAATTTCCAGCTGACCAGGCCGAAGTGAGTATAGCGGCATTAATAATCGAGGGTGCATCGTGTATCCCTGCCCGACGAGCGGCAATAACGAACGGGGATTGGGAGGCTGTGCCGGTTACATGAAGGAGGTTTGGGTCATTAGAAGGAATAACCAAACCAGTCATGAATATAGACAGGACATAGAAGACAAAGACGCGGACCAAGATGCGCTTTGTTGCCTTAGGGATGGCGTGCCTTGGATATCTCGTCTCAGCTCCAGCAACGGTTATATTTTGAGCTCCTGCGTATGCAAACACTGCATTGTTCAGAGTTGACCAGAAACCGAGAAATCGACCCAATGTACCCTTGATACCAAGATACTGAACGAAGGGCCCTGGGTCTTTCCAGTATCTGAATCCAATCGACTGGCCACTTGGTCCTCCACCACACGTAATCACAAGGGCCATAATATTTAGCCCAATGATTAGTAAGATTTTCAGCATTGCAAATGCAAACTCAAGCTCTCCGTAGATTCTGATGAACAATAGTGCAGTGACGAGTATCAGCATGCCGAAAACAGTGATCCATATTGCGCTGCTGACAGCAATCCAAAATTCAACTAAGATCGACGCTGCCACGATCTCAGCAGGGATAGTCACCAAGTATGAGAATACTTGATTCCATCCATTAGCGAACGACATGGCAGGGTCGAAGAAAAGTTCTGCATATCGGACAAGACCTCCACTAAGAGGCACTAGAGTGCCCATCTCTCCAGTAGTGAGAACAACACTGCAGACAACAAGCCCAATAATAGTATACCCAAGGAAGGCACCTAGGGGTCCTCCCATTGCGAGTGCTTGGCCAGAGTTGAGGAATAGACCTGAGCCGACTGTGCCGGCCAAACCAATCATCTGAATGTGCCGCTGGTGAAGGCCCTGCTTCAAAGTATATCTTTCGTTGAATCTTTGCGCAATATCATCCGTTTCATTATCAAGTACTGGAGAGACGGCTTCTTCTGTAAGAGGAATATCTGAGCCTATTTGAGACGACATGGTTGTAGATATTGCCGAATGAAACAAGTTGACGGCGGCCAAGATGTCAGCTATGAGTCGACGGGAGGTGGCTTAAAACGGCCTTCTGCCCCTTCGCCATTCGATACGTCACATGTAGTGTTCTAGGCTTTGAGGGCTGCCAGATAAGTTAGTCACGGGATACGGAAGACGACAGAGAGGTTCGGGTCAAAACCTCAGAGCCAATGATTTGACTTGCCGCGTTAAGTGCCGCCGAACTGACCGCCCAGGTCCACACCAACCAACCATATTTTTACAACAATAGATCATATTTTTTGAGCGTCACATGATCATTAATCAGGTTAGACTGCAACTATGGAAGGCATCTAAATCATCTTTACGTTCAGGACTTTGGTCTACAAACTAAAATCTGACCAATTTTATTTGATTTTGTAAGCCCAAGTTATCCTAATACTGGCATTTTACCTACGCTGACCAACCTTACAGGCCTACCATGCCCAGCGGGCGCCCCAAGATCGGCCTGGATTCATACAAAGATCAGGTTATCGCGCTCGTGCTCCAGAAAAACCCAATTAGAGAAAATCATGACTTCGTCAACAAAGAGCGTGCAAAGGTTCTGGGCATTCTTCTTTATAATGAGATTGTCAACGGAGACCCTGAGTGGCGGAATATGCTAGGGAATGATTAGGAGGACAATTTGGTTGTTATCGACTTAGAAGATATGAAACGGTTTAAAACGGCCTCGGCCGCTAGGAGTAAGCTCTGGCAATCGAGGTCTAGGCGCGTGCTACCTTTCTAGTTGGAAAAATAACCTAGTACCTCTCTAGGATCGGTATTTATATATAATAAGAAATAAGCGGGTATAGAAGAATACGTTTCTAAATACCTTTTCGATCTGTATATATAGAGTTAACTAAAATCAGAAAGCCCGACTAAATCCCTTCTTTATAAATATTATGTACGTGCTTATTAAAGACCCGCCTCTCTACCTTTTAACGCGCTCTGTAAGGGTATATTGCTGATAGGGCTTAGGGCGTAGCCGTCGCGTCTAGTCCCTTCGACCCTTACCTATAAGAGGTTTCTTTTATATATAATTATTAGCTTCTGTCAGGCTATAAGGGCAAAGCTACCACGACGCAGATCGTGGCCCCTTAAGTCCGTGGGATCAACCTTAGTCCGGCTAGGTCAGTCGGTGCCGGACAAAGGAAGAAGGTCGAAGGTCGTAGGATAGGCTATAAGCAGATATAGCCTAAACGAAGGCAGAACATAATCCTTAGGATCAAAGGAAGAAGAACAGAAGAAAGATAAGGAAGGTAGTAATGACTTTAGAAAAGTCGAAATGACTTGATTCTGTTAACTAGGAAAAGAAGACGTATTAATAGGCTAGGATAGCCTGTATAAAGTTGAGTCTACGAGAACAGCTGCAGTGTCGCTTCGAGAAAAGTGCAGAGCCATGTGTCAAGGAAATCGTCCACAGCGATCGAGAATGGATCTTATATCCCGTTTACCAGATTCGTCAGGGGGGTCGCTGGTGTATGAATCGTGTAGTCTTGCTTGGTGATGCAGCTCACGCGGTAAGCCTCCTTTCATTCTATTATTCGTCTGATCTTACTCCTGACAGTATCTATAGATGCCCCCGATCTACTCCTCAGCATCCTACGCTCTTGATGATGCCATACTCTTCGCCCGTGTATTGGCATGCTATCGATTCGAGCCATTGTACAACGTGTTCGATACATATGAAGCACTTCGTCGCAATGCAGTTGATAGCGCGTTCGTGGAATCCAATAAAATTTGGAACCAAATGAAGGATCGGGGTTCCATGGAAGCACGGGTGAAAGAGTGGAAGATGGCATCTTATCTAAAGCACGACAACCACAAGCTGGACAAGACTTGGACTAACGACATGGCGATGATACCAATACCAACTCCAAAAGCTACTGAATCCCTGGTATCTATGCAGTCTTTCTTGCAGACGTCCGTGGAATGAATGGATTACATGGTTGATGTTTCATCATATAAGCACAACCAAAGGCATCTGATACTTGTGATATTTTGTACAGATTAGCTTTCAAGATGGCGAGAAGAAGCATTGTCAGAATTGTGGACTCAATACGAAGTATTAATCTAACCATCATTCGTCAAGTCGTCAAACTATTCCCATGACTGGCGCAATATTCAAAACCCTTGCCGATTTTCTGTATCCTAGGATAATTCACAGCATGTTTCAAATGTCCGAGTTTTGCTTCTTCTGAAAGTAAATCTGGATCCCCTGGCTACCTACTTTTGACTTTCTCTAAAATTACCCGTAATCGTCCAATTCCATCATCCCAGATCTTCTAGAGAGCTGCGTACCCATTCTCTCCCAATCATGCTCATCTTCCTCGAGGCAGCTTTCCTGAGTGGGGTAAAAACTCCTCTCGTGCGTCTCACTGCTGGCTTTGGTACAGCCCGATTCTTAGTTTCCGTGGACAGTAAGAATGTCACCCATGAAAAAGGTTTCGGCCACTACCAGAAGAAAAAGGGCAAATTCCAAAATCATCAGACCTCTTCTAGTCAATATTAATTGAGAAAAGTCCTACATCGCGTCCGATTCCCTCCATGCGGGCACCGCCGTGAAATGGAAATGGCCCGTAAAGGCGCATGCTCTGTCCCTCGGCCCTGAACAAGCAACGTTGCCCTTGCATGGAGGGTTTTTGCCATGCGTGGCCAGTGGTTCGGTGTGACCAGAGCGTTATGGCGATCTCTTCACTCAGTCTGCTCAATCTGATGCGGGAAATGTCATGAGCCTAAGGGCCGGAGCTGCCATAAAAATCATTGTACCAAGACCAGTCAAATACGTGATCTAACATCGCCCTTAAGATGTATGTTTAGCAGCTCTTCTATTCGCGATTTGAGCAATTGGACCCTGGAACTTGAAGCACTTGGGAACGATGACTCATCGTACTGGGCCTAGGCAGCGAGCAATCGATATCTGATAATGTGCAAGTCGGCTTTCTTAGAACTTTAGGACATCGTCTGATGCCAAATGGGTTTTTGAAGGAGACTTGATTTCAATTTTCTTTTCCAAGCTCTCGACTAGATTCATTTGTCTACATTTATATCTGGAATACTATGAGTTAAAGAATGTGACGCCCTCTCCCCATTAAAAACCCTAATGCTTCCCGCAGGGAAGCACTAGCATAGAGAGTGTCTAGGGAAGAAACGCGACTTTACTCTCCAGGACCGGGAACGGAAAGAAACCCATGAGAGCCGAAGCCATCGAGTAACCTTCAGCAAGCCACAGTGTGGAGCCCCAGTGGATTTACATCGCAATGTAAACTGTAGATGGAGAGAAAAGAGAAAAGAAAAAGGGGTGGCCGTGGTGGGCCAGACTTATTTATTGAGAATTTCCGCGCTAGAGCTGATTAGGCCTCGGCGCGGCAGTTCTTCCGGAGCGATCTCGCTTTCCACAAAAACTAGGACATCATTCTGGTTGTAAAAGCCCATGATGTATTTTCAATATAGGCTATCATAGTCCAATGAAGGATACAACCTCATCAGTATGAAATGATGCTCATTTCTCAAGCGCAGCTGTAAGAGCAGGACGGCGAGTGGGAACGCCCTCTTATAATTCGTTTCGACGGAACAGTCAAATTTTGACCAAGTGGCTTAGCTGTTCTTATACTTTTCTTGTGCGGCGTCGACTGATAAATAATATCTTTACACACGCCGTAAGTGAAGGCGGCAGCTTGTCGGCGAAGGCACATGGGCTGAACAGATGGGCGTGTATCTAAAGACAATCCACCGACCGATAGCATTTGAATTGGACTTGACAGTAGAATAACACGATACGGCGTGATCTGAAACCTAACACGTGGCGATTCCACATAGGGCATCATATGTCACACGATATGGCAACAGTAATGAGCCACCGCAATCTAGGAGTGAGTGGATGGAAGCTTATTGGCAGGAACTGAAGGGGTTCCTGGCTGACGATAATTGATTCTTCTCAATTGACTTAACATTCTTGTGATATGAACTCTTAACTACCGGGTCTCCTTTCTGAGCCTTGATATTCGCGAAACTGCTTCAGACAAAGTCGGGTAAAATGCGACTCATTCGGGAAACAGCGTTGGTGAGAAAGTCCCAGCGCAGAATTAATAATATCTCAGATAACGATGCAAATCTCCGTTTATTATACAATTGTAGGCCAAATCAACTAAATAGAAATGTTTGAGACTTGACCCAGTGCATGGCCAATCATGTGCGCGACATCCAAGTCCATAAAGCGACGAGGCGGGAACCCCAATGGAGATAGTTGACAACCCGAAACGCAGAGCTATCAACGTTAAACTCAAGGAGGTAAAATTATTGAACGGAGTGGTGTCAGTATCTAATTTTTAAAAGCCGGCTTAAGTGTGATCAGAATAAGACCAGGTTTTTCCCAGTCTGTAAAGAGTAGACTTTCCAGGACAAGGAGGTGCCAGAAGTCCAAAAAAGGTGCAAGAATTCCAGAGCTCTTGAAAAATTACCCAATCCAAGACTTTGCATATTTCTCATCCGGTCGTGTATGAATTCACGTTCACCGATGATGTCGGTCTCACAACCCGCGCTGAACACCGGCCATAGAATGAGGATGTTTGCAGAAGAAAACGACTCGATGTGTTGAATAGCGTAAATGATATGCCTGACATCATTTCTGACCTTGACGTGATCTTTTGGAAGTTGCTGGACATGGCGATGCAAGTGCAGTAAAGCGGAGTGTACAAAAGCAAGGTGAGTATAAAGTAGCTCTGTAGCAAGATGACCTTTACTGCATATTGTTGCATCGGAGACAGTAGCGTCCACCAGATCACCCAGCTTCGTCTCGAGTATCTCGGCTTGCGAAGCCGCGTCATATGACATTGTTTTGATAGGGGAGGATGAATCCTGATGATGTGCCAGAGATGACATTTGCACGAGAAGCGGAACCAGCTCCAAGGCAAAACCACAAATGTCATCAATCTGTCCAGGAGATTGGATTGAGACTGTATCCAATAGGCCGCTTTGAGCCGTGTGAAGTCCCGACAAGCTTGCCAAGACATCCATCGTTGCGAACCATTTCACCAAACACTTAGCATAGAGATCTTCTTTGAAGAAGTCTTTATTCTGCTCCACGAATATATTGAGTAGTCGCATGACCCCATTGAAATGGACACCCCACGTATGCATATTGCCATTGCAGACATCATTTGTACACAGCGCCATTGCCGTGGTAATGATTTCTGGTTTTAGCAGCTGGTCAGCATCCAAGAGTGCAAGACGCAAATTGGAAATAGCAAGATTCGTGAATTTTAAACAGGCAATTCTTGCCCTCTGGCTAGGTTCTTGTGGAACAAGACGACCGTGGTGGCTGCAGGCCGCAGCTAGCAGCCCATATAAAAGATGGGGTGTTTCTGAAGCGGCACTGATCATTGTTTGAAGAAATACAGGCGGAGCCGCTGGAAACAGCCTGAGGGCAGTCTCGGTGCAAAATATATGCATGAAAAATCGAGCTTCTTTTGATGACAACTGTGGGGAGAAGTAAAGAAGCGGCTGGTGGACCAGATTGTCAGGTTGTATTATAGAACGTTTGATAGGGACAAGGCAGGCATTCCCGAATCGGGTGGCCTCGCTTCTGAGATATTCAGTATTTTTCTGATGATTTGGCCGGGAACTCTTTGCTGTCAAGCTAATAAAGCCCAACTCATATATGCAACCCTTGGGATACCGACCGCAGCGAGAACATGTGGGAATACGCAAGTCGCACTAGGGAATCAATACAACGGAAAGACATGGATACAGAAGCTAAACGATGCTTACCTTCACTTTTTTTCGGCGACATTCAGTACAACCATCACGTCTCCTCTGTGTTTGACGACTAGTTGAGACGGCCATCGTAGAGGGTCACAGATGACACGCGATCAAGAAGACAATTTGCCAAATGCTGTGAAGCAAACGCAATGACACTATGTTCAAGCGCACGGTATTCCATGAACATAAGGTAACTTGTTCGGATGCAGGACGCAAATGAATGGGTTATGACGCTACTCACACTACTGAAATTTAAATTTATGTGGATCTAGGCTCTAGTCCGAATTTAGATATGCTTCCGATGTGACCAATGATCGATCTGTGATCTTTTTGCGCCCCGCACACATCATCACCCCGCCTTGCTGTCGGCATGAGAAATACGATTATCTAAGCGCTAAAAGTGTCAGGCATTTTTGGTCGAATGGTTTCTTTTTAATACTTGGTTGCAATCGAAGTCTGTGCCAATTTGCCTCCACCTCTAGTACATCATAAAATTTGAGAACAGACAAACAGTGAATTTGTAATAAACTGACGTAAAATCTGACTTTATCATGCGTATGATAACATGTTCATCGGAGATTTGAGTCAAAGAGACCATAGAAACCATGCTGAGCATCCTCCACGATAAACGAAATTCTCACTCACAGTCGTCCCTCAAAGCCTTGGTGATAGCCTCCATACCAGCGACAAGCTCCTCCCTGGTTGGCCAGCCGAAGCCAAGACGGAAGTATGTATCAGGCATTCCAAACCAATGACCTGGTCCGACATACGTCTGATACTTCTTCAGCAGTCTTTCATAGAAAGCGACTGTGCCGCCAGCTGGTTCCTTCTTCATCTGAGGAAAGCACACCACTCCACCTGCTGGTTCAATCCACTCCAGAAGATCTTCCCTTTCAACCCAAGATTTAACCATATCAACTCTTGTTCCCATTTCTTCGTTCGTCACCGCCAGAATATTGCGCCTGTTCGACAATAGCTGTGTCGCAATCCACTCGTTGATCACGCTTCCACTAATACTGATTTGCTCTTTTGCAGCCAGTAAAACTTCCTGGAGCGTTTTGTTCTGTGTTGTGACCCATCCTAGTCGAATACCTGGCACACCAAAAGACTTGGACAGAGAGCTAACGCTGAGAACATGATCCCCAAGAGATGCTGCAATGGGAAGCTGTGTGCCATAGTGCACATCCCGGTACGTTTCGTCCACAAGTAGGAGACAATTCTTCCTTTTAGTAAGAGCGACAAGCTCGTCCAAAGCCTCTCTGGTAATGAGGGTACCAGTCGGATTGTGTGGACTAGTGATGGAGACCAGTTTAGTCTTAGGGGTGATGCAAGATTCAATGAAGGCCACGTTCGGCTGGAAGCCAGATCCAAACTCGAGGTCAACAAAGCTGATATCGCAACCAATGGCCCGCGGGGTCTCTAAATTGGTCGCATAGTTGGGTCGCACAACCACGATGTGATCGTGGGGTGTCAATTGCGAAGTCGCAATGATAAAAAGGGCTCCCGAGGCACCACCGGTGATGAGAACATCATTCTTGCTTAAGCCTGCGTCAGACGCAATAATTTCTCGGAGTCGAGAGTCACCTTGATGCTCGTTGTAAAGAAGGGTAAGATTCGGGATGCCCAATCCAAGGGATTCAAGTGACTGATCAGCGACAGAGCTTTCGGACAGATTGTACTTGATCTTGTCATAGCCATACTCTTCTGGAGATTCAATCTCAATAGGCATTCGTTCGTATTTCATTTTGCCGTGCAAGACTTTCGGGAAAGGGGACTTCGGAGGGCTTGATAGTTGGGTACTAATCCGGGTACTTGCTTAAAATATACCTACTCCAACCTAAGGCTTTAATCATTGGATAATATAAGCATGTCTTAGCCCGATAACCATTCCTGCAATCATTCGGCACGTCGCATGATGAACCAGTTTGAGACTAGCCGTTTGGAAAAAAAAATTTAATATGGTTGGATCGACAGAGGTCTACGCATCAACTTCGATTTGTAACAGATCTACGATCTGGAGCTTGCCTTGAGCGAGAGATTGGCACTCAAAGGTCGATTACCTTCATTGATTGAGTAACTTAGCTTTCAACCCAAGGAGAATCAGATCACTCCAATAGGTCAAGCATTTATTTCGTGCGAATCCTCGGTGCTCCACTCACGCTGTATGGTATGGTATGGTAAATTGGGTCTTTACAAGACAGAGAAGATCCATACGGCTCACGAGAGTGTCTTCCCAACGCAAGGCCAGCTCTTGTATTCTGCAAAGAGTAATTGCAAGAGGGTGCCTAATTCTAAGGAAATAAGTGCTTTATTCACTAATATTGCCTTGTATAACTACGTCTTCAGTATTATCGCCTGACTTATTGAGTCATCCGGATCGCTGCAGCAAGTCCATGAATGGTTCTTGGTGTAGTTTAAGGATAAAATCGAAGCGATTACTAACAATTCTGTTTCTAGTCATACATGTCAGACTTTGACGTTATTTTTAGTCGGCTGTAGGCACTGAGACAAAGAAGCGAGCAGTAAAGTCAAATGTAATTTGCTTCTGACTAGTTAGTGACCCCGGCTCAGATCAAACTTCGAAATAAGTAGAAGCCGTATGAGCCCAGATAACCAGATCTTCGCTCATACCAGAAGTGATATCATACTGAATTATATGTGCTGAAAGAGGAAATTTGATAAACATGACGAGTTCATTTGAATTATGTAAAGCTATAGACATATCTACAGCTACTGTCCTACGTATACTCGATCATCAGAAATAATGGAGGTTGAGGTTACAGGGACCATGAGTAGTCAAGAAGAGACGATAAATGATGCTACTCTTGAAATAGTATGAAGCCAAGGTTCAGCGCCATTACAACGACTTTGTGTTGTACCGGCCTCTGCTTATAGCTCGACGATCTACCACTGCCTATTCCAATGCAGAAGATACTATCACGAGTCTCTATGCTCTATCTAGAACGCGTTTTCTGACACCCATTCGAGATGAAATATCGGTATAAAGTCAAGTGCAGCGTGTAAATTTTAAAACCACTACACGGTCGGTACGCTGTCATACCCGTCAAGCATGAACCTCCGTAAAGCCTCGAGTCCATCAATCATGACCTGACGCTCAGGCACAAAACCAAATCGAACAAATCCTTTGAAGTCAACGCCCCCACCAAAACACTGACTTCCGGGTACGACCATAGCGCCAGTACTACTTTGCAAACGCTGACAGAACTCTACAGCATCCAGGGGCTGTTTGTTTTTCCCGAAGAACTTCACAAAGGCTGTTGTACCTGCTTTCGGACGGATCCATTCAGCAGCCCATGCAAAGTCTTGGATGAACTTGTCCAAGAGCTGAAGGTTGCTGCTAGCAAGTTCAAAATTGCGTTGCAGTATCCCATGGATGACCGGGTCGCTGAGAGCAAAGGTAGCAATCACATCGTCAATTTGACTAACGGAAATTGTTGTATAGTCTCTCGTACTGGCGCATGCATTGATGATCTTGGAGCTGTTCGACGCTATCCAGCCAAGGCGAATCCCAGCCAAACTGAAAGCCTTCGACATGGAGCCGGTGGCAATGACATTCTCATATCCAAATGACAGAATTGAAGGAGGAGCTTTATCGGCGCCAAGAGAATGGAAGAGAGGACGGTACACCTCGTCACTGTGAATGGCAATCCCGTGCTGACGGGCGACGTCCACAATTCCGTGAAGATTTTCACTCGGTATAATAGCGCCAGTTGGGTTTTGAGGGTTACTATGTAGATTAGTTTTCGAAATTCTAGTTTTTCATGCAAACACGGCAAGAACCATCTTTTCGGCTTACTTGATAATGATGAGCTTGGTGCTCGGCCGGATCATCGATCTCAACTCATCCAGATCCAAACGCCAATTGTCCTCTTCCTTAGATCTCCAGAGGCTGACCTCAGCACCGAGCGACTCTGGGACCGCATAAAGTTGCTGATACGTGGGATAGTGACAAATAACGTGATCACCTGGGTTGACGGTTGAGTAAAGAGCCAGGAAATTGGCTTGTATCGCACCGTTCGTCACCAAGACTTGATTTGCTGATAGCGACGCCAATTTCGAGCTATACAGCTTTGCAATATTCAATCTCAAGGCCTCCGAGCCACGGATGGCTCCGTAGACTTGTTTCCTAGAAAAGTCAACAAGATGCGTTGGCTTCTCCGAGAAGTCAAGGAGGTCATTCAACGAAATTGAAGCGCAACAAGTCTCTGCAAGGTTGAATTTTGCATCGTTCTCATAATCATCCATCCACTATTGACGGGTCAGTGGGTGCCAACTGTTATTTTCTTGAAGCAACTTACGCGCTCGACGGCGAATTCGGCGATTCTGACCATGTTGTTCGTAGTGTGAACAGATGATCAGGGGGCTAAGGGTTGTTGGTTCAAGTTCCAAGAGCAAGGCGGAAATATATTAAACTCTCATCCCTCTCTTGCCACTGATCAGTCACCTGTTTTTCATTATCTGCGAAATGTTCCATCGATGATATCCCACCGTTGTCAATTTGATTGGCTCAATCGCATACACTTCCGCATCAGGCGGGTTTCCTAATGTTTTCTCCTCCCAAGACCCACTCACACACGTGAGTGTGAGCTTTTTTACTCCGCGCAGGAAAAGCTAGATGCGAGATATGCAAAATAGTGTATGCACTTCTAAAATGTCCGGGCGAGCCTGAGGCCATGCTGAGGCTTGTCTTGGCCTGGGGAACATATCCATCACCACGGCACTAAATCATGAACCGCGACCATCACCAAGGCATACTCCACAGCCCAAAGATACACGACCTCTGATTAGCAAGGTCGGCTATATAACGGAACTGAGGCTTAGGCTCGAATTTGTCTCAACTGTGTTATCCTTCACAAAATTAGGGTCAATTTCGGAAAAGAATTGATGTAGATTTGTTTCTTTGGTTCAGAACATCTTAAACCTCAAACTTCTAAACCGTGAGATTGGCACGATTGGACTTTATTCTGTCATCTCGACCACCTGCGTACATTCTCACGTCCGAGTGGTCATATTGAATATCAATTCGAGGCACGGCAAATATTCTTCTTTTCATGATATATCATTTTCTAAGTCCAATGACCGCCAAATTACGCGGACTTTCACTGTAGTCAAACACCGACTGAACCCAGCAGTCTTTGACCAAGTCCTGTTCACGAAGGAATTGCCACCGATCCACAACAATGATAGCCTCGACGAGCTGAGCACTAAACGCCATTAAGCTCCACACAACACTCATATATTTCCTTGTGTGGAAGTACTGAACTTCGTAGCAGTGAATCTCCTCGTCAGTCAGGGTGGCAATATGCTCTTGCACCTGGAAACCATATGTCGGGTCTCGACTCATCTTGATGGTCGCAGCACGAACATATGCAGTAAAGGACTTGAAAGCAGCTTTAGGCAGCGCTCCGATGATAATTGAGTTTGCTCCAGCTTCTGGGTAAGTTTCGTCAAGGGAGGTGTCTTCCGGCACAGATGGCTTAGGAAGAATTTTTCGATCAATGAGAATACGCTGGAGAAGAGCACGGAAGAAGTGACGGGTAAATGATACTTCACTGTCCTTGGAGCCCCAATTGTATGGAGCTTGCACGGCCAGTGCACGAGCTGTGATGTTAAGCTTCACGCCTGTCGTCGCGCCAGGACTTCGGTAATCCTCGTAGTATTTTGACATAGGAAACCCATGCGGATCGTATGATGTCCCAGTCTCTTTGAGTCGAGGGTGGAGGGATTGAATGATAGGGAGGTCATTTCTGGTTGGACCCAGTCGTTCCGTCAACAGATTGTAGCAACAGCCGATCATAGCGACAGCCACAATCGAAGGATTTAGAATCAGGGATCGTAGACCATGGTGAACTAGGTTTCCGCAAGAGTGAAGGGAAACGACCATTAATCTAGCATCGCGCTCTCCTTTTTCTTTCCCATCAGAAGCTCCAGCCGGGGATGGACGGATAATGTGGTCGATAATGGGCTCCAAGTACCCATCTTGGATTTCATGCTCAATATAGCTAAGAGTACCACGGGTATGGATCTCAGGCTTCGGCGACTTTTCTGGCAATGGCCTTTTAGTGGTAGATCCAAGTAGCTCGTCGGGGTGAAGGCTAATCTCGCCCAGCATCTCGACAAAAGGGACATCTGAGACCTGCGAGCCGTCTATTGTAGGTAGGGGGGTATCCGTCGTTTCAGAAAAGGTCAGTTCCGGGGTTTGGTCGAAGCCATCGCTTGAACTTTTCTCCTTAGTAGAATGTTGAGCATTCGGGTTCTTTGCCAACTTGGCTCGAACATCCATGCTTTTGGCACCGCTGATGTACTGATGCTTGCGCTCAATTGCGATGATATGCTTGTAGTAGGGCGAGCTGGCCAGCGTCCGTCCAAGATAGTTTTGTCCAGACCCAAAATCCACAATGTGAGTGACTGGCTCACCTCGGCACTTATGGACAGTATCTGATAGAGATGCGACATGTTCAGAAAAGCATTGAACCTCGTGCACTTTTTTCCGCTTCATATGCATGGCAACTTGCTTTGGTAATTCGACCCTCTCCGAACTTGAGATGCACATCTCTCGTTGGAGTGTAAGTTCACGGATGTTGGCAATGTACTCCAAGAGACTCAAGGGAGGGAAGGCTCCTCCTTTCCAAGTACGGCTGCTTTGATCTTTGGAAGGCTCGCCACCGCTTCGTAACTGCTCAATGTCCTCCCGCAGGAGTAGATGAATGATATCTTGAACATCATGGTGTTCAAAGAAAGATGTCCAGTCATTTGGCAAGAGTGTTGTATAGAGATCGGGGTCCCGGGTCAGAAAGTCAACCATATGCACACCACCGCACAGATTCATGAAGAGCACCGATGAAGTAGAAAAGCCGAGGAGGGCCTCGATGTAGGCATCAGGGTGCTCCCACGCCCCAGAGATAGGTAGGGGCGATTGGAAGCCATACGAGATAGTGATGCTCACTTTTCTCACCAAGATCTCTCCGAGGATCCTTCTTCGCGGGAAGTCATTATTTATTGGGTCCTAGCTGAGCGGGACCCGGAAAAAGTCATCGAGGACCCAGAAGAATCATGACTAATCCTGCGTCCCCGTCAACTACTAAATCCAGAGAGATCAACTGCTCTGGTGTCAGTTTATTGCAGGTAGCCTCGGCGCATCTCGGCGTATATATCTCGGAACATAAGGAGGCCTGCCGAAAAAGATCAAAGCAGGATCAACACTTTTAAATTGCTATGGAGGCTACAGAATAATACATAAGCACGGATATAGTCTACATAAGCTAACTTGATTTTGTCAGGCATGGATAAAATCAAATCGAGCTTTCATTGGGCTTGTAATTCAATTGAAGTTCGTCGCCTTACACTTTCAGACCTTCTTCCCCAGTATCTCCTTGTACAAGCGGCCACGCCCATTTCAACATTTCATCAAGCGTGTCATAATCATGAGACAAATTAATAGAGTCAAGATAGTCTGTCTATCTCAGGCGGCGGCTCGACTGCAAATGGTGCGGAATCCACAAGCCCGGTAAAGTGGGGCTTCAGCCTACTCCCACCAAAGTAAGCATAGATAAGGCGCTAATGTCCTTCAAAATCTCTTAGCTGGACAAGTCTCTGGATCTTAAAGTTACTCATTTCATTTGCAAGGTGGATATGAAAGCCTCAAACCGGTAACATATGATGGAATGTCGTCGGGTTTTCCCCATGAGCCATGACGCGTAGTCCCTTTCTTTGTGCCCGCATTGAATCTAGAATCTCATCGACAAATGCGACCACTTCACTGATTGAAGGTAGCTTTTCATGGCAATGTACAACTTCGATCTCGTTCATACCATGACTCGAAGGCTGCGAAGACAGAGGAACATCGCTCGCCGTACTGTAGTATTCGCCGGAGGGTGTCATTCTATTGTCACGACTCTCAACATCCTCTTTAAGACCATGTTGTCCGCCCTGAATCTTACTCTTCGACCAAAAGAATGAAAGAGCCTTCTTCTGCGGTTTCCTCTAAGGAAGCTTGAGTAGGGATTTTTAGCCTTTGATCTCATTCCAGTTCAAAGTGGATAGCCAAAACACTCACTCTTGTACTAGCCAGCCATAGCGCCTCTCTCTAGAATTTTAAATTGTTGATTGATGAACTATGAGACAGCGACTGAGGGCTAATTAGAGGGAACGACTTACTTTTGCACCTAGTGCGGTCGAACAGATCTCCATTCTGCTCAATAGCGTAATAAGTGTGTGCTTATATTAAGCACGTTGGAAAGAATCTGTCGAGAATACATGCTTTGTCGAAGTCCGCGTATGGACCTCGATTCTTTCCTTGGCGAGTTATTGCGTCCTTCAACCTTGTTGGGTCCTTCAGCTCCCATTTGCTCTCAAATTCCGGCAGCTAGGAAATGATACTCGAGGAGGAAAGTAAGAAGTGAACGAGTCGGACGTGGTCACGTTATCAACATCCAAGGAGTAAAAGTCGATAGGAGCCGCTCGATCATCTCAGGAGGGAGGGAAATCAGGTAGATTTTCTGACTTATTGCCATTGACATATTTTCGCCATTTTTCTTTGGCTGATTCTCGATGTGGCAGTTGAACATCCAAATCATCATCTAGATAAGGGTCTCTATTTTAGAGGGTACTGTTGAACATTACCATGAATTTCAGCGGCAATGACTGCTCATGACGGCCAATTGATGGGTCCTAGGTCATCCGATCAACTAGAAGCCATGCATCAAAGGTCTTGATGCAAATAGAAATCGAGGAGGGCTAAGCCCTCGGACGGCATAGGTGAAATAGATGATACATAACTTGGCCACCGAGCCACGGATGCATACCGCTTGGGTTTGTATAGAACCACGCACGGGCATGCACAGGGACCGACCGCACAGCACAAAAGAGGCCATAGACGTGTTAAAGGGTTGATTTGCAACAATAATCCGATATGGTGTAGTGGCTAACATCGCCGTCTCTCACACGGCAGCCGGGGGTTCGATTCCCCCTATCGGAGTTCTTTTTTTCTCGACGAGTTCTGCTCACTTTACAGCTGTTATTGACGGCAGGATGTTCTTTCTTGAAAACACATCGTGTCATTGACGTCTTCATCCTTAAATTTATTTCTAAATCTATGTCTCCTGTGTTGCCATTGATCTTCATTGACGGATTGGGTCGTCACATCTCAATCGCCGTGGCTTTCGAATTGCTTTGAAAGTAGTGAGTTCAGCTACAGGTAAGAGGACCTAAGTGTAGGGAACGAATTTTGGGACGTCTATATTCCGGAACCAAGGAAAAAACATGAAATGCTACATGTAGTTTGCTAGCTTAGCTAGACTAAATTCCAAAAAAGTAGTACAGGGTGTAAGAGGATATCGGCAACAAGTCTAGAAGTGGATGGGCTTGGAGTAGGTGGCCATAGCAGCCTCCTTGAAAGCCTCAGAGAGAGTGGGGTGAGCATGGCATGTACGAGCGACGTCCTCGCTGGAAGCACCGTACTCAATGGCGAGGGTAGCCTCGGCGATCATCTCACCGGCACCGGGGCCAATGATGTGGACACCGAGGATACGGTCAGTCTCAGCATCGGCAATGAACTTGACAACACCCTCAGTGTCAAGGTTGGTCTTGGCACGGGAGTTGGCACTGAAGGGGAAGGAGCCAACGTTGTACTTGACACCGGAGGCCTTGACCTCAGCCTCGTTCTGACCGACCCAGGCAACCTCGGGGTGGGTGTACATAACGGAGGGAATGCAAGCATAGTTGACGTGGCCGTGGCCGGTCTTGATGTACTCGACGACGGCAACAGCCTCCTCCTCGGCCTTGTGGGCAAGCATGGGACCGAAGGTCACGTCACCGACGACACGGATGTGAGGAACCTTGGTGCGGTACTCCTGGTCGATGACGAGACGGCCACGCTCATCCTTGTCAATGCCGATGCTCTCAATGTTGAGACCCTCGGTGTAGGGGCGGCGGCCAATGGCGACCAGGACAACATCAGCATCAAGGGTCTCCTCCTTGCCACCCTTGGCGGACTCAACGCTCAGGGAGACGGTAGCACCGCTGTCATCACCCTTGGTGACCTTGGTGTTGGTCTTGAACTTGATGCCCTGCTTGGCAAGGATCTTCTGTGCCTGCTTGGCGATCTCGGCATCCATACCGGGGCCGCCGATCTGGCCGAGGAACTCAACGACAGTAACCTCAGCACCGAGACGGGACCAAACAGAGGCCTATATGTCAATCGTGGTCAATTTATAGCCTTCAGATCAATGAATTGTGGGACCCACCATCTCGAGACCAATGATACCACCGCCAATAACAACCATCTTCTTGGGGACCTCCTCGAGGGCAAGAGCACCTGTGCTAGTGATGATGCGCTTCTCATCAATGTTGAGGCCGGGGAAGGGAGTGGACTCGGAGCCGGTGGCGATGAGGATGTTCTTGCCGCGAACAGTCTGCTCACCGCCGTCGAGCAGGTCGACCTTGATGGTGTTGGCATCAACGAAGGAGCCGGCACCCTTGATGTAGTCGACGCCGTTCTTCTTGAGCAGGAACTCAACACCCTTGGTGAGACCGTCAACGGAGGTGTCCTTGGCCTTCAACATCTGCTGCAGGTTCAGCTTGACATCGCCAACCTCAATACCGCGCTTCTTCGTGTCGTGGAGAATCTGGTGGTAGAGGTGGGAGTTGTTGAGCAGGGACTTTGAGGGAATACAGCCGACGTTCAAGCAAGTGCCGCCGAGCTTGCCGCGCTTCTCGATACAGACGGTCTGCCAGTTTTCCAGTCAGTGCCAGATCACAATAAGTCAGCCAGCTTGAAGTATGGGTAAATCGCACCTTCAGGCCCTCCTGACCAGCCTTGATGGCAGCAACGTAACCAGCGACACCACCACCGATGATGACGAGGTCGTGATCCCCTAATGACCGGCAGACCGGATGTCAGCAAACCTGCTCGGAAAAGCTTGCGAAACGACCGGGAAGCGATCTTAGCATGTACTTACCAGCCTCAGCAGCATAGCCGCGTTTTGAGACGCCAATGAAGAGCGAAGTGGGAATAGCGAAGTTAGAGGCCTTGGAGCCAGCGCGGAGCGCAGCCCGCGGCGTAGCACGGGGAAGGACGGCGCGGAACATGACGCGAGGAAAGGTATCAGAAAGAATGAATTATAATAAAAGACAATCCTCCAAGAAGTCCGGAGGAGGGGAGAGGGTTGCGCAATTGAGGTGTTTTCAAGGTTGACCGGGAAGGAGAGGACTGAGCTTTCTGCGGTATTTTGAGATTCGCCGCCGCCGCCGGTTATGTAAGCCGATCGGGTCGACTCGGTAAGGCTACGTTTTTCCCGGACAACGATGCCGATTTTTGGCTTTGGCAGCTCTAGGGATCAAACAGAACAATTATCGGATCGGTAAGTATATTGCGCGGAATATCTTGATCAGTTCGATTGTCTATTTAGTACCTTAGGGGTGCGTCATGTTCCGGGGAGCCTTCAGACCTTTTCCGCCGTCCTCCCGCCCGGCCACATCGACCCCGGAGAAATCTTTATTATTGTGGCTCTTTAAAGTTAGCTCACCGAAGGCATTCCCCAGATACTTCTCAGTGCCCGCGGGTTTTGCAGCAGTGGCTAGGGTTTGCCGGACCTCCGCCGACCCCTCACGGTTATACTCGGACCCAGTTGATATCAGCCTAGCCTTGTCTCATGCGCGCGACCCGAAGGAATATCATGATTGTTGTAGCACCACATCTATCCAGTATCTTTTATGGCTTCTTAATGGAACGGCTAACGAAGGCCTTTATATCCCGAGTCTGTGTTCCTCCGAACCTTACCGCAACGGGAGGGTCCCGCCCCCGATGAGATCTGTTGGGGTCGATGTTATCGTTTCTGCCGTCTTTCCCACCAGTCCTGAACATTGTCCGTGCGAGAGTATCCAGTTGAAATGCATTTCGGGCCCCATCTTACATATCCTCTATGATAGTTTACCGGGATCCTAGAAAGGTTGAAAGGCTAGCTGTTGTTGCAGCCAAGGGGAACTGATTTATCCTTGCCAGTAATAGGGTATCACTAGAGTAAATCCGCGACCTTGGGATAAAACAAGTTTTAGCGAGCATGGATGACCATTCTTAGCTCTGAGTTCTTTCGCCTTGTTACATCCTCACCATTCTCCTTAGGTAGCTCTGCTATGCCAACGAGAAGCGGAATTGCCCCGCATCCAGCTTTCTTGGCCGTGACTACAAAAATGGTGAGATCTGTCTCCAGTCGGCCCTTTCAACTCGGGCTTCCTGCCACCTCTCGGTGACTTATATTGTTGGTGATAAAAAGGACGGTGACTTTCGCCAACTTTACGACCTTGACCGGCTTCGACCATAAGCACAGGACAAGCAGCGAAAATACAGTAGCTTAACCAGGTCATTTCATCTCATGATAGTATAGCCTCATTCAGTTTCTTCAAATCAACGCCATATCTCATGGTAGTTTTCCAGTACACATCTGCTTAAAAATCACAATCAAAGAAAAACATATGGGCCAACGCTACATGTCCGCTCCAACGAACGAATCAACGATTGCCAATGCTTACAAGGAAAAGCTAATCTCTGGGGCTACCAGTCATACCACGAGCCCTTTAATTGATCAGGCTACCCGTATTGTGATTTATGGGAAGTAATGGGATATGTCTTGAGAGGTCGCTATAGCTAGTTTATCCTCGGAGCTGTTCGAGAAGCTATACCAATCTTCAACCAAGGAAATCCTTGCAGTATAGAACTTCAGGTTAAGGGTTTCGAGCAGAACGATGAGACTACACTCAAAACCACAGATACTTTTTTGAGGGAACTGGGCTCCCATCAAGTCGCTCGAGGAGAAACGGCCAAATACGGAGGATTAATTATTCTCCGAATTAATAGGAAATTGATCTCTTTTGCGCAAATCATTGTAGATGGTTTCTGTAGGCACTCCCAATTTTTCTCTTTGAAACTTTCTAGTCCGGCTACGTGTCACACATTTGACCAAAGACAGACGCACCAGTGGATCTTCCTGAATAAGACCTTCGCAAATCTCCCGCACACAAGACTCACTAATGGGGCACCTCCTGTCTCAGTAATAAAATTCTAATCAAGTTGACGAAGAGTCCTACATAGCAAGACTCAAAGCCGTAGATGAGCTACTTGAAGAGGATAAATGGCCTTTTATCGGGTTCCTCCTCTTCCGCACCTACTTCGATGACGAGGCATTGTAAGACAACTTCCAAGATCAACAAAACCTGATCACGGATGCAGCTATCGAGCCTGCTCCCGCGGATTCTAGATAATCGCGGGTTTCGGACAAGATGTACCTCAAGCAAGTGTCTGATGAGGTGATGGGAAACACACCGCTCGAAGGAAACGCGCTGGCGTATCGGATTTGTGTAGAGCCCGAGGAGGTCGACGGGCCGCGAAACAACCTTGAGCCGGGTCTCCACACGAGTTTCTGTCTTATGGTTGATGAGGAATGTATGCGCTCTGTGATCGGTTGGAAGGGTGATGGCGCGAAAGCCGTTAATAATACGCTGGACGAGGAAGATATCTTATTCTGGTGTGTTTAAAGTTGCGACTGCGTCGCTTTTACCAAATTTTACTGCGCACAATTCGAGTGTGACGAGACAGCAGAATTGGTGCCAGACGGCGATACCGTATGAGATGGTAACTTTCATGCACAAAATAATTGGGCAAAGATTGACAGATTGTTGAATAGATGAGAATGGTATCTAATTGGGGGTACTTCTTCTTGGAATTCATTCGTCATGCGGTTTAGAACGATTTTGAAAGAAAGGAGAGACAAAACTCGGACAGGTGGCCTACGAGAGGGAAAAGACGTTAGACAATCACAAAGACTTCAAATTTGATTGAAAGGGGGAGGGAAAAGAGCAAGTCTGGCGAAATCTCGAAAGCGAACATTGCTGGAGAAATCCAGTATCTTGCTTCTCGATCCCTTTTTTCAATCCGAATGCCAGAGAAGATACAAGACAATTCATTTAATAAGCAAAATCTTGATGGGAAGATCTTACTAGGTGCTCCTCCCGGCTTGGAACCCCCAATATCACGTTACTACGCCATGGATGGTCTACTCAAATGACGTCGCTGGCGGGGCGCTGGGTAGGGCTTGGAAATGGCTTGGATTGGCGGTTTGGATCGGCGAACCTCCGACCGGCTGCAGATCGACTGCTACCTTCAGCAAACCCAAATATCGGACTCCAGTTGAAAAAAACAAACGGCTTGACGCGTAAAATACAGCTCAATGTCCCACCACTTCACGCTTGGGTCAAAATTCTAAAGTGTCACTAGGACGAGCCTTGACTTAAGTCTTAGAAGGGGAAGGGGACCATTAATTACCCGAGATGGGGCGGCTTGCCGAGCGAAGGGGTCAAAAATCTGGAGTTCTCCGCGTACCATGTATGGGGAATTGACTTCGCTTCTCCGGTTCCTGTGCCTGTGGAGACCCGAGCTCATAACCTATTGGCTCATCGGCGCGAAAATTGGGGAGAAGACTGTTGTTTTCTCCCGGCTTGGCTGCAATACTTCAATGTAAGCGAGACTAGGAATGATAGCATCAAGCCACGGCCATGCAAGGTTTTTACGGATTCAATGTAAACACAAGACCCTAAGAAACGTTTCCATTCCCTCTCCTCCAGGTCTCCCACCAGGTCTCCCAATTTCCAGAGGCAGCAGATCCAATATGTCTTGTTCCTCGTGGATTGCCGATCTCAGCACCGGCTAAAAGCACAACTGGACGCCCCGCTGTTCCATGTTCTATAGGAACGCGGTGCCGACATCTGCATGTCTAAGACCCGGATTTTCTCGTGTGGAGAGATCTGGAATCTCCCTTTGACCAGGACCTCACTCGTGTACCATCGGAATGTAACAAGATCCGAGCATCTGCCGCCCCTGCTGTTCGTGGAGTGAGACTTGGCTGATCTTCGTGGGGGAAATTTCCGGTATTGGTCATGGCAACTCGGAGTCACGCCGCTAGGACACTCTTTAAAAGGGCGCGGGGGACCCATGATGTCGCGCAGCTCCTGGACGTGTTTGCCCTTGCTTTCGAAGATTTTACCCCGCGGGGCAGGGTCTTTCCGTTGACGGCATTATATACTGGTGCTTTTTTTCTTTGCTTTTTGCCTATTCAACGCCTCATTTAATCTCGCCCTTAAACCGCCGTCATGAGCGACAAGATCCCTTCGTGGAATGTCGTCCACAAGCTGGAGAAGCGGAGCCTGCTCATCGCAATTAATTGTGTCGCGGCGCTCTCAATTCTCTTCTTCGGTTATGATCAGGGAATGATGTCCGGCGTCAACAATGCCAGTGACTATATCAGCTTGATGAAATTTGGGTATACAAAAGATGTGGACGGCGAGCCGACTCCCGTCGTCACGAATTCACTGCTGCAGGGTGGCATCGTAGCCGTCTATTATCTGGGTACACTCGTGGGGGGGTCTGTTTGGTGGTTGGCTGGGAGATCGCATGGGAAGAATCAAGTCTATTGCGGTCGGTGCGGCTTGGGCTATTGTCGGTGCGGCTCTGCAGTGCTCTGCGCAGAATCACGACTGGATGATTTGTGCTCGGTTCGTCAATGGGATCGGAACTGGTATTTTAAATGCCATTGTTCCCGTATGGGCCACCGAGACAGCTGAGCATACTTCGCGTGGACAATTTATCGCGATCGAGTTCACGTTGAATATCTTCGGTGTCGTCTTGGCCTACTGGCTTGAGTTCGGCTTGTCGTTCATCGATGGTGGAAAGTCCGCCTTCCGCTGGAGATTCCCCATCGCCTTCCAGATCATCTTCCTCTTGGTGCTTTTCGGGGCTGTTTGGTTCTTCCCTGAATCTCCTCGTTGGTTGGTGAAGGTTGGTCGCGAGGAAGAGGCGCGCTATATTTTGCAGCGTCTGCGCGGTAGCAGCCCCGAGGATCGGGTGCGGGCAGAGGCTGAGTTCCAGGATATCCTGAGTATCGCTGAGATGGAGAAGACGGTTGTCCACGGTGATTCGTATCTGTCAATGTTGTTCGGTTACAAGTCTGGAGACTTGCACATTGGCCGTCGCGTGCAACTAGTCATCTGGTTGCAAATCATGCAAGAATGGGTTGGCATCGCAGGTGTGACGGTCTACGCGCCGACCATTTTCAGTATTGCTGGGTTTGATGCAACCAAGAGCCAGTGGATCAGTGGCCTGAACAACGTGTTCTACATGGTATGTTCGATTGAACCTAGACACGAGCTCCCAGCTGATAGTTCCCAGTTTGCCACGCTCGTTTGTGTCTTTACTTTAGATCGCATCGGTCGCCGATGGACCCTGTACTGGGGCTCAGTTGTCCAGGGCATTGCCATGTTCCTTGCCGGCGGCTTCTCGCGTCTCGCCATCAATGCCAAGGCAGCTGGCAACATGAGCTCAGCGTCTTCGTATGGTGCTGCCGCCGCCTCCATGATCTTCATCTTCACCTCGACCTTTGGTGCCACCTGGCTGACAGTGCCTTGGGTATACCCTGCCGAGATCTTCCCACTAGCCGTCCGCGCCCGTGGCAATGCTTGGGGTGTGGTTGGCTGGAGTATCGGTAACGGATGGCTGACTCTTTTGTGCCCCGTCATGTTCAACGCAATTGGCGAGAAGACTCTCTATGTCTTTGCTGCGAGCAATGTGATCACGATTCCTATGGTCTGGGCTCTTTACCCGGAGAGTAATCAACGCACTCTGGAGGACATGGACCTCTTGTTTGCGGCGCCTACCCCTTGGACATGGGATGCGGAGAAAAACTTCGCCCGACTGAAGGCTGAGAATCCGGGGATGGTTCAGAGCCTCAGTCGGATGGGAAGTGTGATGGATCCCGAGACTGGTAAGATGTCGGTGGACGCTGCCAAGTATGGGACAGCCACTGCTGCTGAGCATGTGGATTACCCCTGACGAGGATTGAGATGAAGGAAACCTGAAGGGGACCATTTACTTTATGCCTTATGACCCAATGATGGAATCTCAAGTTCCCAGTTACTCATAATTTATTGAAAATCTTCAAATATATCCGCTCCAAAGTTTGCAAGCCATTAACTCTGACTTGGGTCAAATTGCCGCAAACAATTGTATAGACAAGCCAAAGACCTCATTGACTGTGTCCTTGAACATGATGCAGCTCGGACAAGGAGGCGAACTAATCAATATGACAGCCTCGGTCAATGGAACTGGCAGTGGCGTATTAGCAATATCGACCAGATCAGTATGTTTGTGATGTCGTTGATCTAGAACCATCAGTCGACCTTCTAACTCCAATTAGGGTCCGGATGTGGGGCTAGTAATCGCCGGTTCAGGGTCCTTTCAACCGACTTGAGCTTCAAGTTCAATGCTCTAATCTTAAAATGTTTTCCCAGACAGCTCAGCCTTTGGATCGTTCTTTCTAATTCTACGAGATGTAGGTCAGTGCGACATTGATGCGTCCGTATCACTCCCATTCATGAGTATGATGATGACTTCACTACTGTATACTAGTCAAGATTGAGTCATTATCATTATAAAGAACGTCATAGACAACTTACTGAGCTACGCGCTAAAACCTTAGTAGGTGAGCTCGAGATGATCAAAGATGCCTCCGAGGTGGAAGGTAAAGTCAAGTGTTCTACGTCAATAGCGTATCATATTAGGTGTATGTAAATGCTTAGTCATATGTATTGAACGAACAAGCATGACAGAGTCATTCCTACTGCATCATTTGACTGATCTTGCTGTGCCGTTAGTCTCATTTTCGGTTTATGCCTGTGAAATAGTTCGCTTTACTGCAGGTTTTTTTTTCGCTTGAAATTACTCTCGCCTTGTTACCCGCCGATCCAATACCCTTTTTTGCAGCGTCCACATTTCGAGATTTCTACGAACCATGACATCTCGTACAATCTTCCACCAATTCCCCAGGTGGGTACGCCCGATTACTTGCGCCATCTAGCGCTGACACACACACATAGCGTATTCAGGGAATGCCCAGTCCAGGTCATTGTCGGTCCTGAAAAGACACCTTACTACATTCACCCTGGAATCCTATCATCGTGCGGCTCACGGTTTTGAAGGCTCGTATAGATGGACCATGGAAGACGAATGGTGGACACCATTGAGTGCGCGATGAGCTATCTATATGTTGAAGATTACTGCGTGGGTGGACCGGACAATATTGGTGAACAAAAAGGGGAAAAGAACGACGATGACCGAATTGGTAGAGCCCATGGCATTCCCATCCATCTATATGTCTCTTGACTAATATTCACTCTAGACTGCCAGAACTGGCCCTTTAATGGAGAAGAATCATTGGTATCTGAGTCCATCGTGTTCGACGAAGCGCCGTCAAAACGACCACTGACCCCTTTAAGTCGGCGTCTGCAAGTCGGGTTGCCAGTAGAGACTATGCAAACAGCCCCGGCAGCCTTCGCCAACGAGTTCCATAGTTGTGATGAGCGCCTGGGTGATATGGCTCTCATGCACGCCAAAGTTTACTGCTTCGCGCATCTGTATTTAATCTCCAAGCTCGAGGATCTGGCCCTGCAGCGTCTAACGCAGCTTCTTCAAAATTGCGACATACCGACCAGCCCATTTTTCTGCGGCTTGCAGATGCAATCCGCCTTGTCTATGGCTCAACGCCGAAATCGGAACCGAAGGATCCTGCGCGGGAACTGCTATCTCAGTATGTGGCACTGAATTACACCATTCTCTCAGATGACGACCTCAATTCACTTATAGCAGAAGGAGGCGACTTTATGATAGATGTGTCGTACAAATTAGGCCTGCGGATATCAATGCATGGTACATCCGCTCAGTCTTTCGAAGGTCAGATTGACCACCTCGAAATGAATATCAAGAGATTAGAGCAGGAAGCTCAAGATCAAGCACGCTTACTGAAGCGAGCAGAAGAAGAATTCCAAGAATGGGAGAGCTGGAATCGAGGAATATCGAAAAAGCTCAGGAAGGCGAAAAGGGTAGTGGCACCATCCCAATTTAGCGCTGTTCGCGAATCCTCAGCCTAGAACATCTGTGATGAAAGACTGAGCGATGTTGCAATACAAGTTCACAAGCTAGAGAAGTGCAAATTGTACCATCCGAAATTAAACGTCCAAATATACAATTCGTCCCAATTTGAAAATTTTCTTTATCAAATACATGCGGTGTGCTTATAAGGTGTCGGCATCGAGGACTTGGTGAACCCGCGGAAGATTCATCAGATTTGTATTGGTCAAACCGATTTAGAGAATGACTGTACAGGAACCGTTTTTAGTCTGACACTTCAATGATGTCTTCTCATGAAAGTGAACAAGAAGAGTCTAGGTACAGAGCGGGAAATCAGGCGATCTAATTGGCCACTTCGAGAACAACTTCCTTCGCAACAGCTGAACGCCATTTAATCTCCTTCACAGTCCCGTCACTTCACGACATTTCCCTTCATTCTAACGTCCACAAACCCTCATACAGGGAGAAAAACGTTCAGTCGATTCGAGTTGATTCAAAAAGATCGTCACGCCTAACGCGTCTTAACGCGCCCCGTCAACCCCGGATCTCGCGATAAGCGGGCTGATAAATCCAAGCACTCATCCTGCCCAATCACCAACAAATCACTCGAACCAAGCCAAAGCATCATGGCAGACACCATCATTCTCCCCGCAGAGCCCTGTCCAGATCAAGAGAAATTGCCATCAAGAGGCATAAAGTCAAGTTCAAACGCCACCCTCCAAAAATCCCTCCGCCGCATCTCGCTCCACCCAACACTAACGCCCTACCGTCGTCGCGTCTACCGCGTCCTCCTCTCCGTACCAGAAGGTCGTTGGACCACATACTCTGCACTGGCAACGTACTTGAATTCGAGTGCGCGGGCGGTGGGCAATGCGATGCGCACTAATCCCTTCGCGCCGGAAGTTCCGTGCCATCGTGTGCTGGCGGCAGATCGGTCGTTGGGTGGGTATAAGGGTGAGTGGAAGGTTAGCAAGCATATCGCGGATGGGTCTTTCGGTGATGAGAAGAGGACGAGGCTGAAACAGGAGGGTGTGGTTTTTGACAGGGAGGGGAAGGTTGGGGGTGTGTGTTTTAAGGAATTTAAGGATTTGGTGGCTAAGTGAGGATTATATTAGTCTTGCAATGGCAGTTGATGTGTCTTGGGAGCTATAATAATTCGAAGGCGTTGAAGATGTCCTGTAAGTCTCTCGTTGTGCATGGTATCAAGTGTACTGCTGTCCTACCAGCGCATTTAATATATATACGCAGCACGTCTCCAATGGCCCCATTTGGGAACATCTAATTGCATATGCACCCTTCAGGCAAGATTCCAGTCCGACTAGCATACCAAAAGTGACTCTACTTCAAGAGCAGATGAGTTCCTGGACCACCCCTTTATGCAAGAATAGCGATTGAGTTTGTGATTTCCCATACTCACGCCAAGGGCGATCATCAACCGAATTATACTGCAGATACTCGACAGCAGTAGTAGACTTCGACATCAAAAAACGGTCTACACTACACCAAGTACTGGGATCACTCGATAAATATGGCTTGAAGTTGATTAAACAATCTCAGATTCGTAGCATCATTCAGTGAGCAGGAGAACGATATTTGAACTCCGTCTTAACATGCTTGGAGCGAGTTTGCCCCGAATTTAGAGGCAAACCGCCTGAGCCGGAACACGGCTTTTTGTCATTGAATTGATTCTAGAGACGGGATGCGGGGGTGTGCAAGGTGTCACACGAGCACCAGGGTAATGCTTCGGGAAATCGAGTGCGCAGGTTGCGCGATCTACGAGTCATGTGCCAGAGCAGGCTCGGATCTGATGGTTTCTAGGTCGGCGATCCCTGAGTCTGGCGGTTTCGGCTTATCATGATGTCGTAGTGGGTAGGTTTAATTGAGGAAGGATTCAAGGTGCGCTAGTGGGCAGTGGATAATTGGCGTATCTACGGTATAAGAAAGGGGGGGGGAAATGGGCACAGAACAAGTGCTGATTTTGACCGTATGATTACTTGGCTACAGCTGTATGAGAAGATTGATTGGGTAGGTCGAGGTGGGGATTCGGTCTACTTCGGTGTGGACTAGCGTGGTTACGTGGTGCGGGTTAAGGTGCAACGAGTTCCAAGGCCATTCCCTGTTCCTGTCCTTCTTTACTTGCAGTCTAGTGCTTTCAAGGTATGATATAACTGGGATTGATTCTGTCGATTCGCTCAGCTATTGGTAAATCTGAAAACAAAAAGACGTTGGGGATTAAGATTCTAACGCAAAAAACGCGAATTGCTATATTTCCTTATGATCGTCGCCCGTTGAATTCGTCCCGTGGAAGTAACCTAAACGGGTAATAAGAAACCGTCTATCCTGTGACATCACTGCCAATCAAACCCAAACTAAGAAAAGAAAAGTCTCCTTCTATACAGAACATGACCCGAACAATGCATTCTATCAAAACATGCGAGGACAAAAGTATTCGTGAGAGCGACTGTGTTGAACGCGCCGTAGCCGCGATAAATAGCGAATGCAAATAAACAGAGGGTCGTTAAATCATGAGATGTGATGGTTAGGGTCCGCCGGCGGCGCTCATGCATCCTTGGAGGACCGCTTCAGCGCTCGCCGCTTTGGCACGTCCATGTGGTGGTAGGAACGCAAGTGTTCAACCAGGTGGTCCTGACGAGGGAAGCCATTGCTGCCTTTGCGCGAGCAGTTCTCGACAGGGCAATTGCGAAAGACAGGGAAGTGCACGCTTGACTGATGGCGCTTCAAGTCTGCGAAGCGAGTGAAGGACTTGCCGCAGCTGTCGCAACCAAAAGGCTTGGCAGGTCTACCAGAGAGAGAGAGTAATGTGAGCTGAATTGATTCCTCAACACCGCCCTGGTGTTGCGTCGGTGGAAGAATACCTCCCGCGCACGTAGAAGGGTTGCTTACTTGGATTGGGAGGAGTCGGAGCAGGAGTCATCAAATGATGACATTTGGATGTTAGGCAAAGGGACCTCGTCCGCCTGGGTCCAGCTTCCGTAGTTACTTCCGCAGCTACTGCTTGCGGAACTAGGCACGCTGGTGGCCATGGCGGCAGGTTCATAGACATGCCCGTAGTCATTCATGGTGGGCACCATGTACGGGGAGCTAGTGAAAGAGTTGGAGAACGACGAGACCTTGGGCACAACCTCTGACACAGTGAAGGGATTGGTGGCATCGAGGTCGCACAGGTTGTCGTAGACAGGAGGAGGCGGACCATAGAAGAAGAAGTCCATGCCCCCCGGAGAGGAGGAGTAGGAGTCTGTGTAACTGAAGTGGGAAGACTGCATGATGTGGATGTCGATGGGAGAGGAGAAGGAGAGTGGCAACGAAGTCTAGTTTAAAAGGGAATTGGGTCAGACTTCTAGAAGAGCGGCAGAAGGTGTCTAAAAGTGGGGAAGAGGGGAAACCTACCATCGTGAGACGCCGGTATGGATCCTGCTGAAGGGCTTTGATAGGAAGATGGGGGCTAGATACATGTCCTTTTGTTTTTCCCTGTTTTTTGTGGCACCTGGCTCATTTATACTATCCCAGTTGGACGCTTCTGGTATCGAGTCCAAGATACGAGGGCCCCCATCACCGGATCCAAAGCCCCGATGGGTTTCTGTATGGCTTCACCCGTCACGACCGAGCGGCCTACTGGTCGGAAAAGAGCCCATCACACAGCCCCCGCCGGCGCTACATCATTAGGGGATCGCTTGCGGGAATTTCTGCGAATATTCGCGGATCCTCGACCATGCAGTAGCGTGCAAGTGTGCTGGCTCTAGTACCATTCCATGAACGTTCCATTATCCTTCTAGCGTCAGGCTCTAAGCCTCCGAGATACTCGGAAATTGATGATTGGTGACGTCGTGAGTCCCCGGTCCGCGATGATCCATTCGAGATGCAGCTAGCGGGGAGCGGTGTCAGCCAGTGAGAACCAGTGATAGACGAGAACAGGCCAAGGGAGCCAATCCAGAAGTCGACGAGGCTGCACGATCGAATGTTGCGGTCAGACGGGTACGCTCGAACCTCGCATCGAACCCCTCAAATCACACATCTCGACCAACCCGAGCGATCCTGGCTATTTTCGGCCCTAGTGCGGCTTCCAGAAAACTTCTAGCGTCCCCGAGGACAGCGCTGACGGGGGGCAACATCTTCTAGCCCCCTTCCCTTTTTTTGGGCTTTGCGGCCCCCCGTTTCAAGTTGCTGCGTGGCGTGGTTCTGTGTATCTTCGTACATGGGCACAACGATCTGTGAAAAAAAAAAGAACACAGCAAAAATAATCTCCACCATTCCCCCCCCCTGAAAATACCCAATTATCTAGGTTTCCTAGCGGTGGGACGGTAAAGTGGTCGTCTCAGATTGTCTTGACGCGAGTTCGAATCGGTAACAACGTGCCGAAGCGTCATCGACCCACGATCGCTAGCCTTGCGAAACGACGATAACTGGATCGCCAAGCGCACACCCTAGCAGTTCCCGTATCTGGGGTCAACGCTGGTCGTCCTTTGATCGACGTGATGATATAATAGGTGAGCCGCCTGCACCCCGGGAACGACGCTAACCGCGAACCGCTTAGTACGCACAGCCCCTTGTTCACCCTTCTAGAAAGATAAATCCCGCACTGGGCAGCGCCAAGCTGGCTGAGTTGCTAGTGCGACTGTTGATGCATCATGCAGCCGGTTCCTACAGTGAGGCTTCGTCACTGCCCCGGGGCTTGTTCCAGACGAATCGATCCAAGGTGCAGGTGGGCCCGGTCAAGAGAGTTCTCGGTTGCTAGCTTGACTCGTGATGCAAGCACTGGCGAGGTACCGGTACTTATGTTATTGTCCAGTTCCAAGGACTTGAGAGAAGGCACCCCCAATGAGACACGTAGAGAGCAGGGCAAAGGAGGAAGTCCGCCCGGTACGCCCATGCTACCTTCATAGTACACCCCCATGAGCTACACATTACTCACAATTATATCCTTCTCTAGGGGGGTTTTCTGGTGGTGTCTCCAAGGATGTCTTGAGGATGGTTCATTGCACAGGAATTAAGTAAAATAGCACAAAACTCCCGTGTCCCTGAGACCCATTTCATTGTACTCGTTGCCCGATCCGGGTACCTGCAAGAATAGAAACCAGAAACTAAACTCCCCGAGGTCCCCCATGACACAAATCCACTAATCCACCCATGCTGTCAAAGCGCGGGAATCGAAAAGACGACAAACGCCCTGGAGCCTCAGGTTGGAATGAACGCATTATAACTCGTCCTCGAGGTATTTGTACACAAACTTGAAATCAGCCTTGCGCCGGTTCATCCTGGGGCAATCGTTAGCGCGTGGTCAATGGGCGGCATGGTAGATATTCTCGACTAACCATGTGCTTTCGTAGTCGAAGAACCGGTAGGTGCCTTGTTCAAACTCCTCCGTAATGTTCTTCGGCTCCTCATGTCGCTGGAACCATGTTTGGTACTGCTTGTGGAAGCGCCAACTTTGGTTCTTCAGAGCCTTCGCGGCCAGATATTGCTGATATGACCCTTGACGGTAATAGAACAGGTAAAACAGCGTGTCAGTGTCAATTCGGCCGGTATCGTACAGCCGGGGGTCGTCGAAGATAGATAAGGGCTCTTGGGGGTAGTAAAGGGGTGTGTTGAAAGGGTTCTGGGGCTTGTAATGACGGGGCTTCTCAGCATCCCCAGGCTCCGGACATGTCGTGAGCGAGCTGGCAAGAAGACGCTGAGTGGCTGGTGAGGGATTCGTCCCAGCCCGTTCTTTCGTCACATCGAATGATTGGATCAAATCTTGCAAACCCGGAGGCAGATGGAAAATCGCCTCTTCACTGTCGCCATCTCTTGGTGCCTTGCCATTTGTCGTCGGGCTCTCTTTGGCGACATCTGCCTTGGAGGGCGCGGGAGACGCTGTCCCGGAAACCAGACCGGCCGGGGTCTTCGATCGCCCCAAAACAACCTCATCAGATGATGCAGCCGCAGCCGCAGCCGTGGCGCTCTTGGCAACAGGATTCACGGAAGACACAATAGGCGAAGCGGTCGAGGAAGCCCTGGAGTCAGGAAGAGCGGCCGACAAGGCCGGACTAGTACCAGGAGGCGGGGGCAGAGGTAAGATACCAACTCCACTCTTGTCGCTTGCGGCCGCAGCGGCCGCGGCCGAGGCATACTTGAGTGTTTCGCCGGGGAGTCGTGTGGGAAGCGGCGCAGGCTTCATGCTCGGCGTCGCACTAGCAGAGACGGATGGATGAAGAGTAGCAAGAACAGGGAGCGGGGATTTCATTTGCGTTGACGGGCGTCGTGTCGTTGTCGGATCCGTTTTCGGCTTGGGCTTGGGTTCTGGCTCATCATCTTGAACAGACTGAGCGTCCTGCGAAGACCCTTGATCATTGTCTGCGCCGATACCGAACTGGGCCTCGACGTCTTCACCAATATTCAAGTCATCATAGAGCGTCTCATCCTCTCCGGAGTAGTCCACATTATGTCCTTCATCGACGTAGTACTTGATGCTCTCCTTCAAATCTTGTACAGCGCCAACCTCCAAATTGCCGTTTTGCAATGATCGATTGAGAAACTCGAGCTTGTTGACATGCCACTTATGGCGCTCCGTCAAGTGCGAAATATCGGCCATGCGTTCCGCCTTCTTCATATCCTTCTTGCCCTTCTTCAATTGTGCCTGTAATACTTCCTCCTCAGCTTCCATGGCCTCGATGCGTAGTTGCAATTCGTCCACCATATTTGACAAGAAGTCGCTGGCTTCCACTTTTCCTTTTCCTTCGGATCGAGTCTCGACGCGGCGGATAGACCTTCCTTGGAGTAGGCTTTCGTTTTCATCTCCTTCTCCACAGCCTTGAATTGTTCCATACACTGTAATCTCATTAGCCCTCCGTTGGTTCCCGTTGCAGTCAATGGGAGCGCACTGTCTCAATTGCTTTTCGCTGCTCAAGCAGCGGGCCCTTGTCCTTTACTTCATTGCCAGACGCCCATGATTTGATTTGGTCACGGGATCTTTGAAGCTTCTTGATTTCGCGCTTGAGGTTCTCTTCGAGCTTATCGCGTTGGGTCGGATTCGTAGCTTGCTTGACCTTGCTGTAGATGCTTTCAAAGACCTGGATCCCTTCGGTGACCTTCTTGAAAGTCTTCTCGATCTCTTGTTGTGTTTTTCGAGACGTCATGGTGGTCTGGATTGGGTGTGGACTGTGCCGTCCACTGGCGTGACTTCGAGTCGGTGGGGGCGGATTCGCGGTGCACGCTCGGCCAGTAAGGTCGATGCTGCACAGTCAATCGGGAAGGGTGAGTTGGGTAGAGAAGAGTGGTGTCGCCCCGTTGAAAGATCAAGAGGACAGGTGGTTAACAGTGGAATGGTTCGTCTCTGCTGCGAATGGAAAGCTTCGTGGTTGCCGTATCAGGAAGGCGGTATCAGGCAAGTTCAAAGCCGGGGAGGCGCAGAATCGCGGAGAGTGCGTCTCGTGGGAACACGCGCTTTTTGACCTTGTCTGCGCTTAATCTTTCATCGAAAATCCCAGGGATCACTTTGAAGGATCCGCCAATGACGCCAAGTCCTCTGTGATGGTTTTAGTGACTCTTCCAACTCAAGATGTGAAGCACGCGACAAAGCACATGCGGGGTGTGCAACAATGGCTAACACTCTGCAGATATTCCTCGCCAACACGATGAAAGGTTCGGCTTCTCTCCAAATCAGTCGCGATACGTCCAGCTTATCATTCAATAGTCGTCATTCAACGAGTCAAGTCGGCCTCGGTCAGTGTCGACTCGGAACTGATCTCCACAATCGGCAAGGGTCTGCTAGTCTTCGCAGGTGTCGGCAAAGAAGATACTCAGAAGGAAGCGGACCAGGTGGTGAATAAGGTGCTCAAGGCCAAGTTTTGGCCTGATGAGCAGGGGGCCCAGGTGAGAGTATCGCGGCGTGGACCCAGCCTCAGTATTGACTGGTGACAATATGCAGTGGAAGAAGAATGTCCAAGACATTGAGGGAGAGATTCTTTGCAGTTTGTATCCTTGCCAATGGCGATGCTTATACGCTTGCTGATCGCCGAATAGTCTCGCAATTTACCCTCTACGGCAAGATGAAAGGAAACAAGCCCGACTTTCACGATGCGGCCGATCCCGATACTGCGCGCAACCTCTACGATTATTTCTACAAGAAAATGAGCAGTTCATATGTCCCGGACAAGGTCAAAAATGGTGTCTTCCAAGCAATGATGGAGGTCGAATTGAAGAACGACGGGCCGGTGGGTGTCGACTACCGCAGTGAAGATGCGGCGGTACATTTTGCCTTCCTGGCTCCTTTTCTTGCGCCGCAGTGGGTTCCGTACTGACTTGTTCGTTTCATAGGTCACAATTGAGATTAATACCAAACTTCCGAAGAAGGAACCCAAAGAGCCCAAGCCCAACACAGGCAATGGAAAGGACAAAGACAAGGAAGGAAAAGAGGGAAATCAAACGATCGAGTTTACGATTCCGCCAGAATTGCTGGCCTAGATAGAGCATTTGTATATATATACCCATTGCATAGAAGGCGTCTCTTTTTTTGGGGCGGCGTGGAAGCTTCTTGAAGAACCGCAGTTAGAATTCACCCCCACAGCATTTGTTCTTTCCCCTCCGTACTCATGACTCTCTGCTCCTTGCTCTTTACTCTATAAAAGCCTTCCCTCTCTTTCCTCAATCTCTGATTCTCCACTTGTCTCCTCTGCTATCTCTCAATACTTCGTCATGGCTGAAACCAGTATGTGCTTCGCACCGCTTCAGTGCGGGGTCCGATCTGCCTTGCAAAGAAATTGACGGCTTGCTGACCTCCCCCCTCACAGAGCGCTCCCGCGTCTTCTTTGACATTCAGATCGGTGACAGCAAGGCTGGCCGTGTCGCTTTCGAACTGGTCAGTATTCTTCGTGTTCAGCGAATGCGCATGAATTTGGGTGCTCGGAAACTAACGTGGCGCAGTTCAACGATGGTACGACATGCCACACTTCGCTCATTTGATCCGCACCTAACCGAACAACAGTCGTTCCCAAGACCGCAGATAACTTCCGAGCTCTGTGTACCGGCGAGAAGGGCACTGGAATCCAGGGCAAGCCATTGTCCTACAAGGGTACGTCGATCCTCTCTAGATCCAGCCAAGACATGTGCTAAGCAGCTCGGATCAGGCTCAATTTTCCACCGTGTGATCAAGCAGTTCATGATCCAGGGTGGTGATTTCACGGCATTCAACGGTACCGGCGGCGAGTCGATCTACGGCGAGAAGTTCGCCGACGAGAACTTCGACCTCAAGCATGACCGACCCTTCCTGCTCTCCATGGCCAACTCTGGTCCTGGCACCAACGGCAGTCAGTTCTTCGTGACCACTGTTCCCACTCCCCACCTGGATGGCAAGCACGTCGTCTTCGGTGAAGTCATCAACGGGAAGAGCATCATCCGCAAGATCGAGAACATGAAGACCAACTCTGACAAGCCCGAGGTCGATGTGACTGTGGTTGACTGTGGTGAGCTGACCGGCAGCGACTACGAGAACGCCAACAAGCGCGTGCAGGATGCGACCGGAGACCCCTATGAGGATTTCCCGGAGGACCACCAGGGTGAGGAGCTGAGCGCTCCCCTCGCCTTTAAGATTGCTTCCGATCTCAAGGGATTCGGAAATGCTGCTTTCAAGAGCGGCGACTTCAACCTCGGTCTGGAGAAGTACCAGAAGGGTCTCCGCTATCTGAATGAGTTCCCCGAGCCCGGCGAGAACGACCCCAAGGAGCTGGCTGAGCAGATGAAGTCTCTCCGGTTTACGCTGCACTCGAATTCTTCGCTCTTGGCCAACAAGCTCAAGCAGTTCCGCGATGCCAAGACCTGGGCCGGCTACGCGATCCAAGTCGCCGATGCCGCCAAGGCCAAGGATGCCGATAAGGCCAAGGCCTATTTCCGTCGCGCGCAGGCCCAGGAGGGTCTCAAGGAGGAGGATTCCGCGCTTAAGGATCTTCTCGAGGCTCAGAAGCTGGCTCCCAGCGATGCCGGTATCACCAATGAGATCGCCAAGGTCAAAGCCACCGTCAAGGCTCGCGAGGCCAAGGACCGAGCTGCTGCTCAGAAGTTCTTCTCGTGAAGCCTTTTGTGTTAATACCTGTTCACTGCAATACGATTCACGATTTTTCGACCTACTTCTGCTACACGATGCATGGTGTATGATAAACACATCCTTGTTAGGAACGCTCAAGAAAGAATTACTAAAGCTCTATGCCCTGTCACTTGCTCTTCGCTTAATACTCGTAAAATCCATCTTCACTTTCTGATTGTAAGACCGACTCTCGTAGTTTGCGAAGTTTCAATCCAGGTAGGCGCCTGTGTACCCTCGAGTCATTGGAGCGCCTGTAGCGTCGACAGATGCTATTTCGTCTCTCCGCCATTAAACTATCACGCGTGAGTAATCGTACGTCGGGAGACGATCAAGAACAACTCAAATGGCCCTTTCTATGCTTCTCCTGTCATTGAAACTGAAAATGGATTAAAGAAATGTTTCCCAGTACTATAGTGCTTAGTGCTGCGAGTCTCAATCATGAAGCCGACGGACTGAGCCGGTCAAGCCTCCCACCGGCCAACCACGACTTATCTTATTATGGTTCTCGATCGCGATCATCACTACCCGATTGGAGGAATGACAAGAACTGTTGGTCCCAGTGGTGATAGGCGGTTCCGTAGTTGCATGTGCCTGCAGCCTGATGTTGCCACTAGCTTAGTCTAGACTCTGAAGCGCAAAGCGCAATGTACTCATCCGCTTCACGGAACAGCATTGGCTAATTCGCGATCGCGAGTCAGTGATTGCATGTCAGATCAGAAATTCACTGTTTAGCGGCAATAAGTAAGGGAGAACAAAGTATCGGTGAGCGCTCCGTCGGCGTGAGGAGAGAAACGGGCGTCGCCCTACTGTGAGTTACGAGTGGATTTCTGGCAAACATCGCCCCTGTCTCTTCTTGTTCTATTGGTGCCTCTCATTCTGACTGCTTGGGGTCCTTCCTGTTCGAGTAGTACCTGGACCTCATATCATCCTTCCAAGAAGAAATTCAAATAAGACCCGTTGGGGTCTACAACACATGGCTGTCGGGATCATAACGTGGCCGCTCATTTCACCACCAACTGGTCTTATTTCTTGTCCTAAATCGCCCTTCTACATAGAGAAAATTTCAGATATATCTCTTTCCAACCCTCGATGGCGTGGATGATGCTTCCCAAGTCAAGAACATAAAGAGTTTGGCATCTTCCCGCTCAATGTAAGCCCAAGCTCTCCTCTCTCTTTCTCTCTCTCAAGTTCTCATAGAGAATCCTCTAATAGCTCGGCTTAAATAGGTTAACATTAGCTGACCTGGCAAATGAGATCCTTTGTCTCATCGCCAGGGACTTAAGTCTCGAGGACAGGCTGAGCCTGTGCCTAGTGAACAGAGAACTTAGACATCGTCTCCTCTTAGTAGTCCTGACAAAGGTTTCATTGAAAAGCGATCGTGAATTACACGATTTCACGCGTCAAGTCTACCAAAACCCATATTTCGGTAGCCTGATTCAATTCTTATCATTTGAAAAGATATGCAACAGCCCAGTGAAAGCCCAGGAGTTCCTTCCAAGACAGTTTCAAAAAACCGTGGAATGGCTCGCTAGGGATATCTATGACGCGACCATGACCACTGAGCTCGAGAAACAACTCAGACAGGGGAGTAGTGACGCATGGCTTGCTATGCTAATTCCCTACCTCGCGAACATCAAAAGTCTTAATATCTATTCCGCGATATGTGGAAATCATTTCCTCACGGCCGTTTCTCGAATTGCAACAGAAAAGGAATATCCAGATGGGATATCAGATCCACCGCTGCAGTTCTTGCGAGAATGTACAGTAACACCATTGAGCGCGAATGAGTCTCACATCTCACCAAAATTTTTCTTCCCACTTTTCCATCTACCGAAATTGCGGGTATTTCGCGCGCGGAATTTATACGATGAAACCAACACTGGGCATAAACCACTCCGTATCATATTACTTCCCAAAAGCTCTCAGGTCAAGGAACTACACTTTCAACGAGGCTGCTACAATGTGAAGGGATTTGCGTCATTCATCAAATGTTGCACGAATCTAGAAGTCTTCGAATATCAACAGTCCCGTCGAGACGAATCATCACTGGACTGGTGGTTTGGACCTTACCATGCGCAACCCATATACGAGGCTCTTGTGACCCAGAAACACAGTCTCCGGGTTCTGGAAATGAATGATCACGGAAGCATAAGTCGCATCTCCAGAAATCAGCCGGAGTTGATATCCGATGATCTATACGAGGGATTTGCAAGACAAGAGAAATGGCTTGGGTCACTACGAGACTTCACCTCATTGCGGAAAATCCAGCTCCCGTTCCTTGATTTACTGGACTTTGATAATCCACAAGGGCCCAACTTGAGCCTTTTGGATGTTTTACCGCCATGTTTGGAGTATTTGTGTCTTGCAAAGATCAAGGCCGGATCATGGCGTATTCTGCAGACAAATGTTGCTGGCATGCTCAAAGTTCATCAGAAACACTTCCCAATCTGGAAGGCGCTGGAAATTCGTCCATATATACGTGCTTATCATAAGACAAAACAGGGAGGAATGACGAAAGATCGCAAGAGAATGTCTAATGGATCATTGCCGCCTTCAGCTGATCGGATGCTCGAGTCTATAAAGATGGATTGTCAAGGGAAAATTCAGCTGATCGTTCGTGATCAGACCGATGTTGATGTTGACTGGTGGACGAAGTGTAGTCATGAAGGTTGTGGTGCTCGAGCGTGTTACGATTCACTTAGCATATATGCTTAGCTATACTGGTACCTGATTGAGACATGTGTGCCTATCTTTAGTTGCATATCTTGAGAACACTAGCGGATAACCAAAGGTCTATATCTTGACTCTGCTCTTCTTGTCTTTTGGCAATCTCTCACTAGCATGTCTCTACTGTCTCATGCTCATCTACAAGCCACTTTGAATAACTCTATTCTCCTCTACCTTCTACAGCTGATGTTTCTCACCTTCCACACCTTTCACCCTTTTACTTGACACGTACCCTATGGACGCTAATTTTCCACCGATATATCTTCAAAAATTGCGTCGGTCACTCTCATTTTCTCCACGATTCTTGATCTACTTGAGGAACACGAGGTCATAGTGCTGACTCGATATATAATTGTGATGCTTGCGGCATCGATTATCTACGTGTTTCTGTAGACGAATTTGATGCTTCACAAGTATTTACCATTATTCAAACTCTATGACTGCATGTTACGGTTCATGGTGGTGTGTACCGCACGAATTTGGTTAAAAGGGAGACATGGACCGCGATCATGTTTACATCAGTAAGTACTCTCATAACCCATTGCCCTTGTTTCTTTGGCCGTCTCTTGAGAGAGATTGAGATTATTTGCCTACTACTATCTTGCGTGTCATTGTCGACGTCCTTGACCTGTGAAGCTTACATCATCCTAAGCATGTGCACAGTTTCCTCGCAATTTTGCGAAGCCTACCGGGAGGCTTTGATATTCGTTATTCTGGTAGTAGGTCTGGTAGTAGGAAATATTCACATCTGCCATACTGTCGGACTATGGGGCCAAGACGGCCCAGCTATACGAACAAAGATGGCATGCAGACCTGAACAGGTGGTTGCTGTGCTCGATCTCAAGATTTTTTGCGCTTGGAAGAAGAAGGACCGATCGACCCAACTCCAAAGGCGAAGGACAGTTTCCTTCACCTATTCCGTCTGAATCGGACATAATACCACCTGGAGGAGCTTTTGCGATAAATTAAGTCGCCTTTGCATTGTTTGTTTTCTCGTTGTTTGAGCATGAAAATATCTCAGTCCTGCCCATGATAGCCTGGACGGATAAGATTGAATGATGTATGAAACTGATTGGAAAATAGCCATAAGAACGCATGTAAGCACGAATTTGCCTTACACTGACCTATCAGCCGCTTCCAATCTAATACGTTAATGTATGGACGCATTTTCCCGCCTTGTCTCAGCCAAAAATTGCTCATATCGAGGTTTGCAGTTTCGTCGCCATCTTTTGCCCCAAATTATCATCGGACCACCCATACAGACAGATAAAACCACCAGAATCCCAAAGAAGGTGAATGCCCAGCCGTAAGATGTCGCATCGATCAATGGCTGTACCGAGTACGAGATGGCGAAGTTGATGAGAGAGGAGCAAATGGCGAGGACGACAACAAGTTCACCCGATAGCTGGATACAGATGAGCACTTTGATCCGAAAGAGAAGCTGTAAGAACGCAGTGGGCTGTATATTCTTACCCCATCAAAACATTCCATCGCATAGGCCGTTGCCAAACTTGTGATAGATACCTGTTGGGCAATCAGACAGCACAGCGCGACTGCGATGGCCATCCAGTGGTCGCCGTTTGTGGCAGCCCATCCATAAAGGAAGTATCCAACAGCGCCAAACATCAATGGAAAGATGTATGTCCAAAGTCTCATTTCCGGCTCCTTGTACCCTTTATTCCGACGTGCCAGTGTGAGCACAACCCAATCGGATAAAGACCCGACTCCCATTCTGATGAAATTAGCAAAGTGAATGGAAAGCTTCTCTTTCTCAGGAAGGCGGCATTTGAAGACTTACCCGATAAAATTGCCAAGTAAGAGCAGCAAGAAACAGCAATCCTGTTGATCCTGCGCTCCAGTTGTACGGGGCATCGGTCATGATCTCCGAGATTGTGTTGAACGAGACTATTCCTGCAGTGCAGCCAAAGGCAAACTGAATGCCGGCGAGCACGATATTTGGGAACGCAAAGAGATAAAATGGACGACGGAAGTACTGGAACCACGTAGTCTCATCGTCGGGATAGTAGTGAATCAATCCGATCTTTTGCCGGTACGTCCGTGGGGTGATATCTTCACCAAGACCATTACTCGTCACTTCTGACATTGGAGGCCCCAACTGGTCATCTTTTTCAGGCTCGTCTTGATTGTCGGCTTTTGCGCTAGGATGAGATGGATCAAGTCGAGCGTTGAACCGATATCGGGGGAACATTGTATCGTCGAATGTGAAGACGAAAAAAAAAATCAAGACACCCTTCAAGGGTCAGCTGGTCCATGAGTGTATCAGAGTTGACCACTTACACACGCAATCGCTACGATAGGGGAGCTCCAACGCCAGCCAATTCCATCGGAGATATAGCCACCTAGGATCAGGCCTAGAATAGACCCCAGCTGTTGGAAGAAAATGTAGATTGCGACCATGCGACCACGCTCATGCGTGAAAAACATGTCAAAAATCTGTTGATAGTTAGAACACAGGCTTAACGGGCGTAGAAATAAACAAGAGACTTACCGTAAGCTGAATTAAAGCCTGATATGCCGCTGTTCCAATACCTTGAATCGCCAACATGACATAGTACTGGCCCGTGCCAGTGTAGAAGCCTCCCCAGACACTGCCCCCAAGGAGACAGACCAGACTGAGGATATAGACAATTTTACGGCCCAATTTCATTGCCGTGGGAATCCATATGATGTTAAAGAACCCCAGTAACAGGTAATTCAGAGCGCTACCGCCATTCATATTGGTTAGGCTGACACCAGTACTGACGGATATCAAAGTCCAGCTTGCGCCCCAGTTATTCTCACCGAAGGAGAACACGCAGGCGTAGAATGATATCAAGAAGAGAGACCACAACTTCTTCGTGCGTGCCCAGTTCTACCGCATGTTAGAATATGATGATTGCGTGGAAACATTGGTCAGAAGGCTTGCCAGTGGATCTGCTGGAGAGTTGGTAGGCTGTGGAAGGAGGAGAATGTCCTGGGCTCCGGCATGGGCAGCATTTTGGAGGGAGTGAGTAGCTATGCTGATATCAGTAAGATTGTATTACGAGTAACGTTGTTGACATTTACCATCTACCAAGTAGATCGTGCCCGGGACATCAGTAAGGATATCATCGTCGTGTGCCATTTTTATCATGGACCGAAACGGTGGTCGCCTACTTCGGGGGATCGCAGTACCTTTTATGTCGACTCGATCCGAGACTCTGATATCGGAGCCTATAGCGGAGAACTATGTGACTCCCGAACCTACGACAGGAATACGACTCTTCAATGATGGCCCCATTGGTCGGAATGAGCCGATGAGTCGTGATCGTCATCCTAATTGGTAAGATAGGAATATCAATGCGGGGTTAAGTGATATGGAAGCTCTAAGCGACATAGCAAGCGACGCCATTGCGATTCTTGACGATTGGCGTCTCATAGTTTCCGAATGGCAGACGTATCGCTAATAACGGCCGAGCGGAGAAGCTTACCCCGGTTAAAGGGGCGGGAAGGTCCACGCGATAATTCACAGTTCGATAAGCCTTGTACCCATTCGGAATGGTACGAAGTCGACCAAGCTAGTGCATAAAGAGAAAACTTGTAAGTGTTCCAGCCGCCGGAAGCTGTTCTGTGATATCGGGGTTGCACTTTTCCTCTGACATCTCGCGTTCTTCCCGCACTCGACGGTTCACCTTCAAGATGTCACCGCCGCCTCTCAGTCAGACTTCTTCAATTCTGATCATTGGAGCTGGAACTTGGGGATGTTCAACAGCTCTTCATCTGGCCCGGCGAGGATACCAAAATGTCAAAGTTTTGGATCCCTACGGTGTTCCTTCACCCATTGCTGCTGGGAACGATATTAATAAGATCATGGAACACAAAGAGCTCAAAGGTAGGAGAGGCAGGTTTTTAGAATTAGATAGGAATGATGAGCTGATGAGCACTAGATTTACATGCAGATGCCCGAAGCATAGCATTTGCTACATGCACTCGAGCGGCGTTGAACGGATGGAAGAATGACCCCGTCTTTATGCCTTTCTTCCACGAAACAGGATTCATTGTGTCGGGGAGTACACCCGCCCTCATCCAACACATCAAAGAAGATGAGATAGACTCCTCCGAAGGCGATTTCATCGCTCTGGAAACAGCTCAAGACTTCCGCAATACCATGCCACCAGGTGTGTTGACTGGCGATTTCCCTGGCTGGAAAGGGTGGTTCAGCAAGGAAGGTGCGGGATGGATTCACGCTCAAAAAGCCATGGTATCTGCATACAGCGAAGCAAAGCGATTGGGCGTGAGTTTTGTAGTCGGTGACTCCACAGGTAATGTCGTGAAACTGGTCTACCAAGACGGCGATGTGATCGGAGCAAACACCGCGGATGGCACAGTTCATCGTGCAGACCATGTCATCTTGGCTGCCGGCGCGGGTAGCGACCGTCTACTGGACTTCAAGAAACAACTACGTCCCACTGCATGGACCTTGAGCCACATTCGCATGACCCCGGAAGAAGCCAAGCGCTACCGGAACCTTCCAGTATTGTTCAACATTGCGAAGGGTTTCTTCATGGAGCCAGACGAGAAGAACCATGAGCTCAAGATATGTGATGAGCATCCAGGATATTGTAACTTCATCCCAGATTCTTACTATTCCGGCGAGAAGAGAAGCATTCCGTTCGCAAAACATCAAATCCCTCTCGAAGCGGAGGCTCGAGCAAGGGACTTTCTACGTGACACAATGCCACATTTGGCTGATCGACCATTCTCATTTGCACGAATTTGCTGGGACGCTGACACCCCCGACCGTGCGTTCTTGATTGATCGTCATCCGGAGCATCCATCTCTTCTGATTGCAGTAGGCGGATCCGGGAATGGAGCCATGCAAATGCCGACGATTGGTGGATTTATCTCGGATGCCTTGGAAGGGAAATTACAAAAGGAACTGAAGCATGTAGTGCGTTGGCGACCCGAGACAGCCGTTGATCGCGACTGGCACTCTACGCAGAACCGCTTCGGAGGGCCCGATAGGGTGATGGACTTTCAAGATGTGAAGGAAAACGAGTGGACACGGATACAGGAGACTGACGAGAGCAAATTGTGAAAGGTCAAATGCATTTGATAAGTCAAAAACCAAGATTTGTGTTCGAGGTCATGACATTATTCCATAAGCAATGGAAGCAGGACACTATTCGGTGGTCAAGGCACAGGTACCCATATCAAGCGTGGCCACATCAGCCTCGGGCCTAATATCAAAGTCGAAAATATCCATGGGTACACTGAGAGTAGTGCACGCGTTCGGAATATCAACAATTCCAGCAATATGACCCTGCACAGGGGCACAACTCAACAAGAGATAGATTTGTTCATCCGAGTAGCCGTAGCGTCGAAGGTACTCAATGACTCGCAGGCATGTCTGTCTGTAGGCCACTGTAGCATCCAAATAGTGCTGTTTTCCCTTCTCGTCGACTGAGAATCCCTCAAAAGTCAGATAACGCCCGGGTCCAAACTGGGGCTCAACTGGGCCAGCATGGAACATAGGTGATTTCATGTTCAGTTTCGCCATTCCACCCTTAATTACCGTGAATTTAAGTGTGATGACGCCTGCCATTTCGATGGCACCGCAGAATGAAATCTCGCCATCGCCTTGAGAGAAGTGCAAGTCTCCCACAGAGAACTTAGCACCAGGGACGTGAACGGGAAGATATACCTTGGAGCCGCGCGAAAGGTTTTTGATGTCGCAGTTGCCGCCATGTTCGGGCCGACCCTGAAAAGCCATTAGAATATGCATGGTGCGTATGTGTTGCTTTGGTTGCCCACTGGAATTGTTCTGGCTCCCTCCTTCGCTACTCTCTCCTTCACATCGTCGGCAGAGCTACCGGCATGAGCGTTTGTGACATTCGGCGGCTGCGCGACGATGCGATCGGCGACCGTGTTTGCAGCAATTAGCTCGCCCTCGCGATGATTCCATTCAGCCAGAACCTCTGCCGAAGGAGCACAACCCAAAATACCGGGATGAATCAACCCTGCGAAGCGGACATGCGGAATGTGCCGAGATGAACAGAAGATGCCTTCAAAGTCCCAGATTGCCTTCGCGCTGTAATGGAACAGTTAGCGACAAGTCGGTTGAGAGGACGGAATGGGCGCACGCTTTGGGATAGTGCTCATCCAAGAAGCCGCCACCGTTATTACGATCAAAAATTCCAGTAAAGCCCCATGGCTGCTCTTGGAATGGCTGGACATCCTGGATCTCGACAAGCAGTACATCGCCAGGCTCGGCGGTTTCGATTTCAAATGGACCTGAAAGATAGTGAATTTCTGTCAGGTCGACATCTCGGACGTCATCAGCCGAGTCATTATTCTTGATCTGCCCGCCTGTCCAGTCTAGACATTCGATCTTCACGACTTCATTGTTGGCGATCTTTCCACATGCGGGGACTATTGATGTTCTTAGCATGAGCTTGACTCTAGAGTACATTTTAGTTATTCACGCACTATCTGGGTGCCATCGGTTCTGCACAACGTCAGTTCTGCTCTGCGTTCATGGTTCTGGGTGGTGTCCACTCACATGCAGTCCAGGCTGCTCCCGGGCATGCTTATCAAGGTCGACTTTCAGAGCTGTGCGAATACCCTTGATACCCATCTTTATCGTGGCTTTGTCTGAGAGCTATGTGACTTCTTTTGGTAAAAAATTGTTTCTTTTGAAGAGAAGAATGAGCCGAACAGGCGCAGGACAGACGAGGAGGAGATAAGAGCAGGTTGCATGCTTCTCCGCAGAGGGGTAGGTTCTCACCCACGCGATAACCTGTATATACCTCCAACCTTCACGCCTACCAGACTCCACTTATGACAGAGTTAAGAGATGACGTGGGACATTATTGGCTTTCTTCCTAGCCTGCTCCTGTTTCAGTGGATGATTGGAACCTGGTTACCCCGCTGAAGGTCCCGAGGCAATGCCTGGTGCGCTTCCAGCCATTGGTCTGACTTCATCATTATCGTATCTCCGCACCGAGCTATCAGGTCTTATCTTGAGTCAAACTTTTGAAATAACCTCACCTATGCATGCCTGATTTCTCCGCGGCATGGATCATGATAAAGGGCAAAAATTGATCGCGATATTGCTGTGCCTTGCTTAATCAGCTTCTGCGATGCGGCTCTATGGCCCCTGTTCCCCATTGCAAGAATATTAGAGAACGCACAACCATTCTTCCACCTCTCGACATGGTATGTTGTACCGTCGGAAAGACTTAGCATTGGTATCTTGACTGATTGTGCTTCTGGTTGACTGTGCCTTTGTGATAATTTCAGTACATACCATCATTACGGCGTTAAGCGCTCCTTGTCACCTCCATTCTCTAGTTCATGGGAGATATTTTCTCCCGACACGCAAAATGGCAGGCCCAGTGACTGTACTGTCCTCAACTTTTGCCCTCAGCTTATTCATGTCATTTATTGTGAATTTGAGGTTTGGTAAATTAAGGACATGAATCTCAAGCAAGCATTCTTTAGCGAGGAGCCTGTAGAAGCGTTTCCCGCAAGAAGACTTACATGTCAGCCTTCGTTATCACGAGCTCTTTGCCTCCCTCTCAAAGTTCAAACTTGGGTCTATTAATACATTCGAGATCACTCAAGGTCTTGAGGACGTGTACAAAAGTTGGTACGGTTGTTATATCCAAGTAAGAGGTGACAAAGGACACAAAGTGTACACACATGCACCATCGCCCATATACAGCCACGTATGATAGAAAGGTTTGTATAGTCTCAACATCAAAGTAGGGCCCAGATGAGATCAAGGTCATACCATGCAAATCTGGCGAGGGTCTCGGAGATGCTGTTTCTCTACTGACTGGATCAAATATAGAGAAGTGTAACCATGAGCTCAAACCTGTCCAATATTGAGACCAAGAACGATACAAGCCAAATACTTGACAATGTTCAAGTGCATAGCCATTTCACATGCTTGATTGATCGATCTGAATCTCACTTTGGCGCTGTCGGTGCCGATATCCAGCAATTTCACCACGCACAAGATCCGAGCAGCCCGGCCAAATCGACTTCGTAGCTCTGAAAAATAGCCTACTGTATCCACCCTTGATCTCAACTATAAATGCAAGGCTGAGTCTGCTCCAGAATATATCCTACCACAAGTTCTCGTTGCCTTCTCATCAACATTCTCAAGACAAGATCAAAACCTCAATCTGATTTCTGAACAAACATGTCTTCCTCCATCTGCAAAGTGGCTTTGGCCCTGGCCTTCGCGACCACCGCACTGTCGGCTGTACCTGGGCAAGTTGTCGGCTCTGGAAGTCTGGCGAGTAAGTTGGTTGGTAGTCAGAATTTTGTGGGAAATTGTAGGTCCAAACCCACCGGAGCCTTCATCGTGACAGTATTGACTCGAACATTCTGACAGGTTTGGCCCATTATTCTGTAAACGAGTCGGATACATGCATATCCATCATCAACTCGCATCCGAACACTCTGACTCTGAATGAATTCTACGTTTGGAACCCACAGGTCCAGCGCGACTGCTCAAATCTTATCCCCGGCGAGAATGTCTGCATCCGAGCTGGTACTTTGCAGGACTGTGGTGCTTGCAACGCTTCCAATTAGTGCCGGGTCCGCGCTCAGATGGCCACAGCATCGAGATTTCTTTGCCGCCAGCAGGAGGGTCACGTTCCGGGTCCATGATTGGAGGATGAGAGGGAGCTTCGCGGATCGAGCAATGTATTCCACTTTATTTGCTGGTCTAGTATAATTTCAAGCTTCGGCAGGGTTCTAAATGAACTAATGAAATTCGAGGGATATGATGTGCAACATCTGCAGCTCTAGGTAACTTGGAGTCCCAACTCCGGTGCTCTAAGCAATCATCAGAGAAGCCTGTGGGGTTCTAGACCGTACTTTATCTATTTTAGTTTTGAAGATTGGTAGGATTAGTCGAGAAGCGGGACTTGTTCCTCAGCGGGCCCGAGTCTCTTCCATCGGTGGGACTGGGTTTCGGGTCAATGGGATCGTAACCGACACGCCCCCGGAACAAGACATTGCTCTCCACCAAAGATTGAAACAAAATATTTAACAATCATTTAACCCCCGTACTAGCTTCGTGTCGTCGAGGCGTCATACACTTCTAGAGTTTCGAGTCAACACAGTCCTGACCAATAATCTAGTCGTGAAGCAATCAGCAGAGCTCAGTGGTGCCTATTTAACCTTCGGTATAGTACCCACATCAGCCATTGTTTTCGATAAGCTAAAGTCTGTGATTTTCGTAGCCGGGCCAAGACAGTGAGTCCATTGTAAAATGCTTTGATCGAAGCCTCAGATGTCTCTTCAATTTCTTTGTGTTCCTGTCGCAAAGTAATCCTATAATTGGCGCCTTATGGCTCTTAAATGTCATTTATGGCTACATGAATAATTATATTGGCATGATACCTTCAAATTTTGTTTGGAGGAATCCAAATGGATAATCTGGGGTTGCGGGGAAAGGGTGGACCTTACCGGGTTTTGCGTCTGCGGGGCGATGGATAACCTAACCGATGTATACCCAGGTAATTGAAATAGGATCATCCCTGTCGGGAAAATTGCTTGTTTTCATCTCACTTTACTACTCGATTTCCAGAATTTATAATATTTTTATCTAAACAATGTCTGACGCAACAGAAAAGGCCCGAGAAGCTGTCGCAGCCGAAGCAAGAGAAGCTTCGGAGACTGAACATGTGGAAGACACTACGCAGTCGCCGGAGATAAATCTTGTCTATGAGGGAGAAGAAGAACCGAAGTTTCATGCGCAGACTTGGTTCGCTCTAGCGGCAATGATTTGCCTTAACTTCGTCCAAGTCTTCTGCTTGATGGGTCCTCCAGCAGGGGTACGCAAATCCAGGATACGAAGCTTGAAAAAAAGCCATTGACTCAAACCGACGATCGGCTAATGTTTATTCGTAGCTGTCCTATATCGAAGAAGATCTTAACAACACCGACGCCGGTACATGGGTCCCCAATGCCCTTTCGCTCGTCCAGGCTGTTTTGTCGCCTGTCATCTCTTCGGCGTCGGATGTATTTCAGGCACGGAAAGCTCTTCTCGTGGGCCCTGCGATCATCTCGTTCATTGGATCTGCGATCGCACCCGGATCGTCCAGCATTTATCGAGTAATCGCGGCCCAGGTATTGATTGGATTTGGTTTTGCTACTGTGCCGTTGGCATATTGCGTACCAAGTGAGATTTTGCCTCGAAGATGGAGACCCAGTAAGTGAAACAAACAATTAAAATCTAACTCACCAATGAGGTGTGCAGACTGATTAAAACTTCTTTGCAGTAGCGCAAGCTGCGATGAATGTCGCGGCAGCAGGTGGTGCTTGTTCCGCGCCTTTAGTGATTGGTGCTCTGACCAAAGCCAATGCTCATACAGGATGGCGGAACTTCTATGTAAGAATTCTTCGCATAGTTGGAAATTATCTTTCTCACAAAGCATACAGTGGATTCAAATGGCTTTATGGGGAGTGACTGCCATCTGCCTTTTCATCGGTTATAAACCACCGAAGCGACACAATCACCTCGATCACCTGTCCATTTGGCAAAAATTAGGTCGACTGGATATAGTCGGATTCATTACACTTACTGTTGGTCTGACTTTATTCTTGACTGGACTCAACTCCGGTGGTAACTTGTACCGATGGGCTTCTGCGCTAGTACTGGCGACTATGATCCCCGGTCTGCTCTGCCTCGTTGCTTTCGGAGTCTACGAGTGGAGATTTACGAGGACGGGCATCCTCCATCATGATCTCTTTCGGGGAGGTAAAAATGGCGGTAGAACGTTTGCTATCTCTGTCGGCCTCATTTTCATTGAAGGCATTCTGCTATTCAGCTACGTGATCTTCTATCCTGTTTTGTATACACCCCGACCTCCCTGATACGCTTCCGTGAATATTACTGACAAAGTGGCATTAGAACAAGATCTTTATTCACCGATGATCCTTTGTTAACGGCTGTAAGGTCACAACCCTTCTGGATTGCAGGCGGAATCAGCACAGTGTTCTACGGTTACTGGAGTACCAGATTCCGAATGATTCGGGAGCCATTATTTGTTGGATTTCTGCTACTCACAGGAGGGATCGTGGGTTTGGCCACTATTCAGCCAGAAGACAGTTTAAATGCTTTGATCTTCTCTGCCCTTGCTGGTATTGGATTTGGCGGCCCCATCATTCTTCTTATCGCGGCGGTTCAACTCTCGACACCGCACCACCTCATCGCGACCGCAACGGCAGCGACGACATGCTCTCGAGCCATAGCCGCGGCTGTCTTTACGGCTATCTATGAAACTGCATTCGATACACGTATCAAAAAAAATCTCCCAGCGGATGTCGCTCAAGCTGCGTTGAAGGCGGGGCTTCCCAGCACTTCCGTTGAAGCATTCATCAAAGCGTTGTCATCTAACGACACAGCCGCGCTATCGATGGTTCCAGGTGTCAACTCAACAATAATTTCCGCCGGAGTAGCTGCACTGAAGCAGGCATACGCGGATTCACTAAGAGTTGTTTACATTATTGCAGCCCCCTTCAGCCTTCTGGCATGCTTGGCATGTTTCTTCTTGGGAGACCTGAGGAAAGTCATGGACTACGCGGTTGAGGCACCGGTTGAGGATCTGCACGCTAAAAGACGCCATGCTCATGGTCCAGACGTGTAGCGCTCGCTAAGTAACCTGTCGCGTATTCGAGAATTCTGGATTCAATTCGCGTTCTGCTATATTTAAAGTTGGCTTGAAATTGAGACTGAAATAATAAATCAATGGACACAGCAACGGTATAACTACCTCTGGTCCTTTTAATGAGTCTTTGTTCATGAGCTTTAGATGACTGTCCACATCATATGCACCTTGCCAGCGAGACCCAAGATATCTCGGTGGCTTAAGAGAATTTTTTGCCTTCAGAATTGGCATTCTGAGTATCCTTCTCATCGATGACAACGTTGAGCTGATCGATCTTATCCAAAGAAAGCTGGAGGAAATCGTGTTTGTTTTTCCATGTCACCTGGCTCTCTGCAAAGCCCTCGCTTTCCGCAGGGGCGGGCGGTGGGTCAGTGATTTTGGTGACTAGATAAGCAGTGGAGGCCTCGGCGACTCCGTACATGAGAACACCGATGAATGGGACCTTCAAAATCACAGTAAATCCAAAGGCAAATCCGAAAAGAACGCCCTCACGATCACGGAACCAGCGCTTCTTCTGCTCGGAAGTGAACTTGACGCGACGGAAGTATGGTTCGAGCTAGACAGTTGTTAGCGAGGCTCTTGAACTTCCGCCAACATGCACAAATGACTGACCAGCTCTCGCATCAGACTTCTGGATGCGAAATAAGTGTGGAGAAACCTGACAATGTATGACTTGGGCAAGATAAGGCCAGCGCCGAAGATGGCAGCGGCAGGTGCGGTACCCACATGGGTCCGGAACGTGTAGAAACTTGCTGCGGGCATCACAAAGCGACCAACGACGGGGGTCAAGGAGAGTAGGTAAATTCCAAGAAGCATCCCCATTTTCTTGGCGTATCGGTTAGCGAACGCCACGATGGCCTCCGTCTTGGGCTTCGATGAATGAGGACCGCCCTTGGTCGCATACATCGCCAATTGAGGATAGTACATTGCCCGGAGTTGATTCGGATCCTCTGATTTGTGCTTCTGGATATATGTCATGTCGACCCACTGGATGGACTGCATGAAGCTAGTAGGCTAGTCAGCAGCGGTAGGCAGAAGACTTCATAAAGGACACCTACATCTCGTCCAGAGTGGGAGTCACGTATCCCATGAATGTCATCAGCATAAAGGGCACCTGGAGGACAGACTTAGACAAGAAGTCCAAGCCATCGAGCAGCTTGTCATCCCAAGTGGCGTGGTCAAGATTGATAATCCAAGACAGCAAGTACAAGGTAAACTTGAGGCCGATGATCTTGGGGTTTCGATTAGCCACGTAACATCCAAAATCAGACTACCAAAGCTTACCGGGATTTGGATGATCAACTGGATGATGATTCCCACAGCGACTGCTAGGGCTGCTTGGCGGAAGTGTTCATATTTAAAAAGCTCGGGGTTTGTCAAGGCCCGGACAGCTACAAATCAAGGTTAGCGACATATCAAAAGAATGTTCTTGCTGGAGATTTGCCTAGAACAGGCATCTTGTCCACAATAAATTCACAAGAAGACACAAGAGCAACTCCTGATATCAAAATATGTGAATGAAAGTAGTAGGGATCAGGATCTTGCATTACAGCTTCACTTCCCGAATAGGCAGCAGGTCAAGTGGGAAACATACTCCCTACCACAGTCAGTTGGAAACCGCGGATCACGGCATTGGGCTCGAAATTCGACATGATCAAGCCCTGCCCGTGCGATCTGTCGAGAATTTATCGGTTGACTTTTGTCAAGGATGAGACAGGGAAAGGCAGGGTCAACAGAAAGTCCAGGCATCCATTTTGTTGCGTCATGTCACATGATTTTGAGCCTGAGGCCTAAGGCCACAAACCCGTCTCCGCGCAAACACGCGCGGACATGGGGGGAAGATAAGCCGCAACCCTCAGCTCCTCACCATGCGCGCTCAGTGAAACTGGCTCTGGATGCCGCCCTCGCTAACTTCTACCCTTGATATTGTTCCGCGACGATGCCCGAGCCTCTGAGTGAGTCCTCGGGTCCAATACAATCTATTCGTCGCTCGGTCACTCTCCCCACGAAGTTAACCCTACCGGCGCAACGTGGTTCCAGCGCGCCAAACACTGGAGAAAACGTCATTTACTATCATGCCTCGGCAAAGATTGTTCACTTCGCTCCCAGGGCTCTCGTACCAATTCCGTCAAGTACCGCGCCGACCGATTTCGATTACCCAGTGGACACCATCGAGACACTTCCCATGGCGCTCAGCCACAGAACGGACTGTCGCAACTGCACCCTTGAGGCTGGAAAAGGTACACGGGCTGACTGTCTTCCTAAAGTGCGGAAATGTTGTCCATGCGATTCTGAAGAACTCTCAGTGTTGGTGTGTTGACGGCGTTTCGAAGTTTGTTTTGCGCATTCGCCCGCTCACATATTATCGCATCGAGCTGCCGTATGACTCGAAAGAAGAAAAGGAATCAGTGGAGGAACTCAAAATCTTATTGCCAACTGTACTGCGATACGAAGTCACGCCATGTCCTTTCAAGCGTGCCTTCACTGTCGAGATCCCCGAAGATGCAATGGCGCCGCGTCGCAAAAAGGCTTGGCGACCAAAGGACCGCAAAGACTGTCTTCTTTCAGTCCCCGGAGGCAACCAGAGCTCGCCTTCGGAAGGCAGGTCAGAATGTCTCGACTCTGCCAGTACTGGAGATGACACCGATGGATGCGTCACGGATGATAGTATGGGCCCCCAGGCCGCTAAGAGCACAACACCGGAGCCTTCACCACCTGGCGATGAGTCCCCAGTATTCACCAATACCTTTGAGCTCCCGATACAACCGAAAGTCGCCGGGCACTCAGTGACTGAAAACCCGCAAACCTTCACCAGCCTTCGAGCAAAGTTTGATTCGAGACCTGTGCCAGGAGATCCCTTACCCCAAGGGGAAACCCAAGTTCCTGCACAGATTGAATCTGCAGAGCAGATACCTGTTGCAGAGCTTGTTCAGGCTTCGGCTTTAGAGGCGAGTCCGACGGTGAATACTGCGCCTGGTTTGGACGAAGTTCCAATTGAAGGAGAGATCCTCACTCAGGAAGATGCTCCGCCCCTGACTTCGACTCGTGACAATACAGTTCCCCCAGATGAGCCTTCAGCCCAACATGGAATTCCTTCCGTGCACAAAGAGAAAGAAATGGTTCCTCCTTGTCTTGTTTCAGACCCTGGCAAGGACATAGAAGCATTAACAGACGCCCAAGCCGGTGACCATCTAGTTCTAGAGGATAGCATACCGACGGAGCCTGCATCGCAAGGTGAAAGCCTGACCACAGAGTCTATATTCCCAGAAGCCTCTCCCGTGTCCAGCTCAAGCGTTGCCCCCAAGGACCTTCGAGTTCTGCAAGAAATCTCGTCTAATCAAAGTGCTGTTACAAATGCCCATACTGCAGAGGAGGCCCTTGTCGCGGCCAAGGCCACCATCCCTGGGATGAAGTGTGCTTTGGACGTCCCGAACTTGAAACTTCCTACTTTAAAGCCACGTTCGATCTTTGATCGCGAACTCGATACCGAGCATGACGATTCGTTCTCGTCTACGACTGATTCATTCCACTCGGCGGATCCTACCTCGCCCTCGGATTCAATCTCCACTCATTCAACACCCGAAAAACAACGTGACCTATCCGAAGCAGGATCCTACCTATCTGGGTCAACTGAGAATTCCTTACTGTACAAGCTGGATGACTTCCCAGCCCTAGACACTTTAGCGAGCAATGGCTCTCCAATTGCATCTACGAATTTTGTCTATTACGAAGCTCGAGAAATACCCCGAAAGCCTTCTTGGTCGACTTATTCGGGTATCAAGACGGATTCGCCGCCTGTGGCCAAAGAGGCATCTCCCCCAATGGATCTCAGCCATATGAGCACCGAGTTCCGCCGCCGAGCACAGACAACGAGACAGCGCGATGTCTCCCCGATGCCTCCCTCTTCCGCGATCTATCAACCAAACAGAGGCCTAGAAGCCAAGTCTATATTCTCAAAGACCCTCGCCCTTGTGCTTGTTCCGCCGATATCTCTGTTTATCATCTTGCTGCATATCACGGCGCGAATTGTTATCAATCCTGCTGCTAGTTCATTCTCAGGTGAGCCCACGTCAGGCTCACGTCCAGCCATAAACGAGCCCACCACCAAGGATGATGATTTCGATTTCCCTCTGGAGCGTGAAACTTCTTCTGAATACGAAGACGCAGAGATTACCAGGAAGTTAGACCCCTGGGAGCTCGACTAAGTGACGACTTCGTTTTTCCTGTGATACCTCACCCTGTGTCTTTTATAATTTCTTCTTTCTCTTCTTTTGCTATCCTACCCCTGTTTTAATGTGTACCGTGTACCCTTTCCACATGTCACACCACGATTTGATTTCCTGTTGACGAATAGTCGGACATTTATTTGCATAATGATTAGGGTGGACATATTGGCTGGATGGATTTCCTGGACTTTCTTTTTTGGATTCTAGCGTGTGCATACATACCATAGTGAGGCTAGGGTCCGTGTCAGGACTATGCCGGTGGCTCCAAGGTTAGCTATTTAATTCTTCAATTAAAGGAATCCTTGACATGACCTGCATGAAAAACAATCATTTCCTCGGTATTTGAGCCGTCGTTGAAATAGTCGAGTGAAGTCATGCGCTGTTCACGCATCGCAGGGCTAGGGCCCTTCCCGCCTTTCGCACTGGCCTCCCATAACGCCCTCTCCAAAACCACATCAAGGCGCGTATCACTTGGTATTTTAACAGCTAGCCTGCTGGCTTGCGCCTACTCCTGTTTGTGATCACCGAGGAGCTAATCGTTGTCATCCGGTTAGAGATATGCTCGACCTCAGCCAGGTCCTGCTGATGAGCCTCATCGCCGGGGCAGGCTATATCACGTATCGTAGATCCAGACACGATCTGCGTGAGCCACCAATGCTTTGCAACGGGATTCCTATATTCGGCCACTTGCTTGGTATGATGCGGTATGGAGTTGGATATTGGACAATGCAGGCGTGGGTCGCTCAGCACTTTCAGAACAAGCAAACATCTAACTAATTGTCTTTGCAGACAACAGAAAGCGTCTTATTCCATCTTTGGAATCAATCTGCTGTTCTCTAAGATCTACATCATTACTTCACCAGAGCTGATGCAGTCCGTCCAGCGCAGCAAAGCTCTCAGTCTAGACCCCCTCTTGGATCTTGCCGTGCTCAGATTCTCTGGTATTACCAAGAAACAGACTTTGGATCTCATGCTTGACACCAGTTCTGGCGGCCAAGGTTTTGCTCAAAAGCTCATGCATGCATTGGCACCCACGATGATTGGAAAATCATTGGATCAAATGAACATTCGGATGGTTCGCTTCATGACGCCCCTCATTGATGAGCTGGGAGAAAAGCCCTCGGTTGATCTTTACAAATGGTGTCGAGACGCTATTACTGATGCCAGTAATGATACTATGTTTGGGCCCATGAACCCGTTCAAGGATAAGGAAGTATCCGATGCATTCTGGTTAGTACTCAACGCACAATCAAGTCTGACAAGGCTAACTCGGACAGGGACTATGAAAAGAATCTGGGCGCGCTCGTGGCCAATGCGTTACCCTGGCTCATCGCACGCAAGCCCCTGAAGGCCCGCTGCAAGATTGCGGCGGCAATTTTGAAATACCACCAAGCCGGCGGGGTTGAGCTAGCATCTGAGTTGGTCAAAATGAGACACGCCTCAATTCTCGGGGCGGGGATCTCACCAGAAGAATATGCACTACTAGAGACACCTCTGCCCACAGGATTTCTTTCGAATACCGTTCCCGCAGCATTTTGGTCTATATTTGAAATCTACTCCCGTCCAGAGCTTTTGAACGATCTTCGCAAAGAGGTCGAACTAAATGCCCTCTCCGTTCGGACCGACGGCACGCTTGTTATAGATATTGGTGCCCTCCGGGGAAGATGCCCGCTTCTATTATCTACATTCCAAGAGATCCTACGGATGCGCACAATGTGATCCCCTACGCGATATGTGACTCAGGACACACTGATTGCCGACAAGTATCTTCTCAAAGCCGGTAACCTTGTTACTATGCCTTCCATTGAGATGGGAAAACAGCCCGAAGTCTGGGGAGAAACAGCAAATGAATTTGATGCTCGGAGATTCATGAAAGGAGTGGCCTCAGCGACCCGCTCAGATGAAAGAGAGCCTCGCCGTCTTGGTGGATTTATGACATTCGGTGTCTCGCCCACCATCTGTCCTGGTCGTCATTTTGCCAGCTCGGAGATACTAGGAATGGTAGCTACCATGATTCTGCGATATCATATATCGCCCGTGAGCGGAATCTGGGAGGAACCAGAGAAGGTTTTACATTCCCTGGTGTCTATTATGAATCCCGTGAAGGGTGCGTTTCCAGTCAACGTGAAGCGGAGGCGAGAATATGAAGACACCAAATGGGACTTCCATGTGGAGGAAGGCAAGGGGCAATTTCCGTTAGTAATTGGATAGGTCATCAGATCAAAAGGATATCTCGGCTTGTAGTTCACAAGTGCATAAGAATATGTACACCCGGGAATAAGCTCGTAAGGAATCATTGACACGAAGTTTTGCAAAAGGACCACCGATCAAACGCCAGTAAAATGCAAGATAAGCGATGCCAAGGCATTGAAACCGCAATAGAAGCAAAAATCCGCTCACGCCTTGGTGGCCTTGGATGCACCCTTGCCTTTCGCCTTGCGCTTGCTGCGATCACGCTTCTTCAGGCCCGTCATGCCGGCCTTGCACACATCCGCATACCGAGTGTAGAACGCCTCAAGCTGATCCGCAGGAACAACAGTGGAGAATTTGACTTTTGAGGCTTTGGAAACCTTGGTCTTATCGATCTTGCCGTCTTTGCCAATAGGTTTCTTTGCGTCGGTGTTGCCATTGGAAGCGCGGATAAGGATAGAGGGTTGGCCGTTGGTAACGCCGTCGATCAGGGGCTTTTGAGAAAGGAAGACGGAGCCTCGGGCTTTCTGGGAAGTCTTGGAGAGGAGCTCGGTGAGAGCTGAGAAGAACTGCGGTGACGAAGTTGTTAGCGATACCGTAGGTGGTCTCGTGGCCGAATGTGCGGAATGCTCATATAGAGAAGGTAGGCAAAACAAACCTCGTCGGTGGCCATATGAGGCGCCATCATGAATTGAGAGAGTGCGATGCGCACAGGAATCGTATTAATGCAATCTGGAGCAAGAAGACAACGCAATGACCAGCGAGGCTCGTGGGGAACGAAACTCCGCTGTGGGCGGGCTCGCCGCCCGTGTGTTCTGCCGGCGAGAAAAGTGGCCTGGAAAAAGTTCGGTCACCGCCCGCAGAGCTTCGTCCATTGGTCTCTGCTTCTGAATGCTTCTAGATCCAAGTCACCATGCCGCGTCGAATGCATAATACGACCTCCTTGCCTCGGGGCTTGCGCTCCGAGCTGGGGATCAGGGATACTTACGGGGAAAAGAAACGCAAACAAAAAGGACCCGCTACGCGGAAAGACCGACGGAAGGCAGAGCGCGACAATAAGAAATCGCGAACGGCAGTGGCTCCGGCACAGAAAAAGTTTCAACGAATTGAGGAAAGCGAAGATGAAGAGGAGGATGTGGACGATCTCGATCTAGACGAGGACGACGATATTTCCAGCGACGATGCAAGACCTACGAAAAAACCAAAGCCTACCACCGAGGCAAAGCCGAAGCCCGCGTTAAAATCGAAGAAGTCTAAGGACCTTGAACCTGCTTCCGATAGCGACAGCGACGACAGTCAGGGCTATGAAGATGATGCTATGAACGAGGATACCCCAGAATCAACCGTCCATGTTTCCGCCGGCGTCAAGTCTAAGTTAGCCCAGGACGATGCGGAAATTGCGGCGCTGGAGAAGAAGCTAGGCTTGAAGAAAGGCAAGAAGCTTCCGAAGGCCTTTGCAGAAGATGGATTGGAGGACTTGATGGGAGACTTAGGCGAGGAGTCGGAGGACGACACCCGAAAGCGCAAGCGAGAGGCTGATGAGTGGTTGTTGAGCAAAAGGCGAAAGGCACAGGCTCTCCAAGCGAAGGTGTCTGAAGATGAGGAAGATGAAGATGAGGAAGATGAAGATGACGACGATGAGCTCGACAGCGACGAAGACGACAATCTCGATGATGAAATCTTCGGGATGAAAGTGATGAAGACCACGAAGACGAAGGCGAAGACAGCGATTTCGAAGGATTTGATGAGAAACCGCTCCCCAAGAAAAAGGAAAACCCTTATATCGCTCCAGTCGCGAAGGCTGAGACTACGCAGAAATACATTCCTCCGTCGATGCGAGCTCGTCAAGACCCCGAATCAGAGTCACTTACTCGACTAAGGCGCCAAGCCCAGGGACAGTTGAATAAGTTGTCCGAGGCCAATTTGATTTCTATCGTTGGCGAGTTTGAGAAGCTCTATCGTGATTATCCTCGTCAGAATGTGACCTCCACTTTGATTAATCTACTGATGGGTATGATCTGTGAGAGAGCCGTTCTCCAAGACACTTTCATGGTTCTCCATGCAGGTTTCATTGCGGCACTATACAAACTCATAGGCATAGACTTCGGTGCCGAGCTTGTCCAGCATGTTGTTGAGATCTTGGATGCGGGTGCTGATGAACGCGGCAAGTTCGAGGGCAAGGAGATCGTCAACCTGGTTTCCCTTTTGTCGCAACTGTACAACTTCCACGTTATTGGCAGTACATTGATTTTCGACTACATCCGTCTCTTCCTGGGGGACATTAACGAAACCAACACGGAGCTTTTGCTCAAAGTCATTCGAAGTAAGTGATTCTACAAGGTCGACATTGGAATTCGTCTAACAGCTGCATAGACTGTGGTCCCCAACTTCGACAAGATGACCCTTCATCACTCAAGGACATTGTCTTGCTCATCCAACCTGCTGTGGCCAAGGCTGGCGAGGCTGCCCTTTCAGTTCGCACTAAGTTCATGATCGACGTGATCACCGATCTCAAGAACAACAAGGTTAAGTCTGCTATTGGCGCCAGTGTGACCTCGGAGCACATCACCAAGATGCGCAAGGTTCTTGGCTCGTTGAATAATTCTCGTGTCATTCGTGCTTCCGAGCCCATCAGCATCAGTCGTGCCGACATCCACGATTCTTCGAAGAAGGGTAAATGGTGGTTGGTCGGTGCAAGCTGGAAAGATGATCCCTTGGTTGCTGCCCGGAAGGAGTTAGCCGGCGCGGAAACCAAGAAGGCCCAAGTCGAAGAAGATGACAGCGAGGCCGAGCCCGACCTGGGAGACCTAGCCAAAGCTCATCGTATGAACACTGACGTCCGTCGGTCTATTTTTGTGGCGATCATGTCTGCAAACGATTTCCAAGATGCACATGTCCGCCTTCTGAAGCTTCGCTTGAAGCGGGCCCAGGAGTTCGAAATTCCTCGTGTTCTCTTGCATTGCGCAATGGAAGAACAAGCGCACAATCCTTACTATACTCTTCATTGCCCGACGTCTCTGCGGTGAACTAGGCCGACGCATCAAAATGTCTTTCATGTTCGCTCTTTGGAACATATTCAAGCGAATGGGCGAGAAAAGCGATCTCGACGAAGATGACGACTTTGACCCTGATGATGAAGAAAACGGAGTCAGCATGAAGGCCGTGGTCAACGTGGCCAAGATGTACGGTATGCTCATCGCGGACGGCTCCTTGACTCTAGGCATTCTCAAGAACCTCAACTTCGCCTATCTCCAAACCAAGACGAAGACTTTTGTTGAGATCCTGATCATTAGCATCATTCAGCAATCGCAGAAGACTAAAAGGGCGAAGAAGAAGGCAGATTCCAGCGAGTCTACTTGGGACGAGGAGTCATTGATGCAGATTTTCTTACGTGTGCAGGAAACCCCCCATGTTGCGAAGGGTCTGATTTACTTTGTCCGTAAGGTCGTCGCCAAGAGTGATATCGTCACAGACAAGGAGCAAAAGTTGGTGCGCTGGGGCTGCAATGTTGCTGTGGATGCCCTGAAGGCTGTGAAGGACTAAGGCTTGCATAAAGGAGGCATTTTGTCTTGTAGAATATACCCATGGGATTATTGTTGGAAGTTGCATTGTTTTGCATTGCGGCTTGAGAAATTGTAAGGTTCCTTGCACATGACTCATCTCGGACTTGAATGTTGTGATTATCATATAAGTGCCCTTCTCATGGGTCTTCCGACAGTAAATCCCATTTCATAACAACTAGCCAGCGCTGGTTTATGTCATTTAAAGAATCGCCGTCAAGGGCAAGATCCTTGGTCGCACCAAGTGCTTGGCCATCATGCAGTTCCATTTCCCATGTCAGGCCTCGATATATGCCGACTAAGTCGCCCTCTTGGACTGATGAGATATGGAAATGCCCAGTGTGCGAGCCATCACTGGTGCAAAGTTGAGAGCGAGGCGATCCCATTGCCATGATATTTAGAAATTTGCGCTCTTGTTCTGTTTCTTCGGATGCCTCTATTATTTCGGCCCGGATGAGCGTCAATGGGCCGGAGCTGCTCAATGTTCCCGGGCTAACATGAACAACGCGAGCGGTAACAAGATACTTGCTTGAAGCATTTTTTGTTTCAGAATGCTTACTTTGGGCGATGCCTTCATGCTTGGAGCCCATCTCAAGAATCCAGCTTCGAACCTCGGCCGCCATTCCGCCAGGTGTATAGACCGGCACTCCTGCGCGACCTCGACCGCGACGGCGCAAGGTGCGCGAGGAAGGAGAGAACGGCGCCGGGATATTTTCAACAGCGGCATCCGGTGACGGCTCACGAGGAAGGACAAATGCTGGCTTTCGTCTCTCAGGTGGTGGAGTCGGCTGCGTTGCGAAGGGCGTCTCAGCTCTGAAGGGAGTCTGACTGGAAAGCGGCTTTTTATTGGAAAGAACAAAGCGAGGTTTACTGCGGTAAGGAGTTGTCGTGTTTCTAGGCGTTGATGGCACCGGGCCCGTCGGTCGCGCTAGCACGCCTGGTGTGGCCTGTATATCATTGTCGAGACCTACCGGTCTCGGCGCGACACGAGAAGCGGGCGTCTTCAATGGGTCGGGAGTGGCTTTCTGAGGCACAGGCGATGTTGATAGTGTCTTGGTTTCTTGGTCCAATTTATCTTCCAGGGAGTGATGCCCTCCGGAGAGTCGGCGCCGTTTGTGACTGTCTGGCACGGGTGCAAACACCGCTTCGAAATCAGTGCTCAGATCGGCGGGGCTCGCTGCCTGCTCTGGCAGAGAGCTGTCGATGACATCGTCTGCCAGCGTCGTTCCCTCGGCATCTTTGGGTTCGATGTCTCCGAAAGGCTCGCCACCATCTGAATCCTCAATTACGTCCCTTTGCCAACGCGGTGGGATGGCATTCCGGGAGGGGGCTGGGGTGCGCGTGCCAACTGGGACGGTCAAATTAAGATCGTCATCGTCTTCAATATCGAGATCCTTGTTCCGCTGTGGTGTGCTCTGCGAGAGCAGAAAGCGAGGGGAGTTGGCGAACTGCGGACCAGCGCTACGGCGCGTCGATTGCTGGCGGCGGGATAAGCGGAATGGAGATGGAGTCTGTAGGATTAGGTCAATACTGAGGATTCAAAAATTCACAAAGGAGACTTACTCCTGCAAGAGGCATTGATTTAGGTCCATTCACGGTGCCAGAGCCGCATGGCGTGTGGCTTGTTGAATAGGATTCGCGTAGTTGGAGAGCGAAGTTGGAGAGAGTAGTTGGAGCCGGAAATTGCGAGACCTCAAGGTGGCCATCCCGCGAAATGCATTGTCTTACGAATGTCCAAGTCTTCAATCACAGCAATTCTAGTTATGGAATGTATTGACTCTTACCCCCCCCCAGAGAGACATACATCCATGAGATCACTACTGGCCTTCCGAAAATGATGCAAAATACTGACCCTGAAAAATGGACCTTTTGTGTACCAGGTCTACGACCACCAGTTCTGTCACAAATCTTGCCCAGATACAGTTCCCAACTGTACTACTTGCGGTGACTTTTTCACGAGCAATATCGATTCTCTCAATAAAGATGCTTGGAAGACATGCCCCAGAGCGTATCGCTCCGTGTACGATGAAGCGCTGGAGTTGCTAGATGGATTTCCCGCGGGATGTCACTGCACCAGGCAACTTTGGTCTCAAATTGCCGTGAAAGGAGTCATTTTGACGTCGACAAAAAGTCAAGAGAGTTTCTGAACAGTTCTACATACTTCTTTGAGGAATTAAATAAAAAGATCTTTAAGGACGAAGATAGATGAATTTGAGCCTATTAGGTCTCTTATTCAACCTCTTCTTAAGACCAAGTAACAATGCAGCCATTTTTACATCTCTCATTCAGAAGTATGTACAACAAGAAGTTAAACCCTAAGAAGATGCTCTCTTCCCCAGTCCTCATTCATCTCGGACGTGAAAAGTCATTCAACGTATCAAACCATTATCATGCCAATTTCGCATCACGCGTTGGGCTATCCCTATGCACAGAAAGAGTTATTTAGCAAATAGCTCCGGGTCTTCAAATCATCATGAGTCTCAATTCTGGGGGAAGATGGGCATCGGTATACGTGAGGAATATACAGTCCGGAAAAAGTCGCCAAAAGTACAAATCAAACAATGCAAAGACAGACTGCTTACATCTGCTTAAAGTACTCATCGAACTTCTCCTCGGTGACTTTGGTGCAATCAAAGCCGTAGATTTCACGCTGGACGTCAGCGTCAGCCCACTTGTCAGGCACAGGACCCTTGCCCTCACGGAGAGCAGCGAATTGACGGTCACGTTCCTCCTTGGCGGCACCATCTCCCAAGTGCAAGGCGCGGCCGGAGGCAGCGGCCATGTTGACCAGGGCCTCAGCGCGGCTCTTGCGGACACGCTCGTAGACGCGGAGAGCCTTGTTGATGGACTCAGGGCTAGTATCGGGGAGGCGGGAGAGGGCAACGCCGAGGACGGCGCCGTCCTCGATGGCCTGGGCGGCACCTTGGGCCAGATGAGGCAGCGTTGGGTGGCAAGCGTCGCCAACCAGGGCCACGGACCCGTATACCCAGGTGGGGAGGGGGTCATGGACGCGCAATTTCCACTCGCAGACCTCGCCCTCGGGGACGTAGTTTAGCATGCGCTGGACCATGGGGCAGAAGTCGGAGAAAACTTCCAACATGGCTTTCTTGTCACCCTTGGTGGTATATGTGGCGTTAGTAGCCGCGGCGAAGTTGGTATCGGGCTGGGTAGTGGAGAGGTTGTAGATGGTGTTGTTGGAGACCGCGTAGGCGATAATGTGGCGCTTCTCTCCGATCCAGCGGGTAACGCGGGTGTCGTTGATCAGAGCCAGGAGCTCAGGATCGTCTTTGATCTGATCCTTGTGAATCATAATACGGTAAGCGGCCTGGTTGGTGTCCTTGACACCCACGTTGACGTCCAATTTCTTGAGCATCTCGACACGGGTGTTAGACTTGATGCCGTCGGCACCAAGCAGAATGTCACATTCCACCTTGTACGAGGGCTTGCCTTCATCCCGGGAACAGCAGTAAACGACGGACGCTCGCCGGAAACGTCAACCTTCTCTCCAGTTGTCGCAAAGTGGAACTTGATGGCCTTCTCCTTCAAACAGCCCTGGTAGAGACCGTCGGCCAGCGACGCGCGGTGTCCCACCATGTGCTTGTAGCCATAGGTTTTCTCAATGTAGTGCAGATCAACGTGAGCAAGTTCAGCATCAGTGGCGCCAACTATTCAAGTGGTCAGCTCGTGCTTCTCTCAAGTTTGCTCTCACAGTCAAATACCTCGCACGGATGTATCGGAGATGTTGACAGCCTCGGCCTCAATGGGCTTCCAGACACCGAGCCCATCAAGCACGCGAGCCATGTTAGGAGCCAGCTGGATACCAGCTCCAACGAAGCCAAGATCATGTGCGTTCTCATAGACATCGATGTTCTTGAAACCACGCTGGGCCAAAGCAAGGGCGGTAGTGAGGCCACCCATGCCAGCGCCCAGGATGGCAATCTGCAGATCTTGGGGAGTCTTGGTCATTGTGAAGGTCTATATGAGGGAATGAATCTGAGAAAAGGAAAGTTGTTGAACAGGAAAAAGGCATTCTTTAAATTTCCCTAGCTCTCCGAGCCCTCGAGCCATCTCATTCGGCGCGCCAGTCTACAGAATGACCCAGGCGGGAAAAATCTCATCCGTTCCCACACGCTCCCCACACGCCCGACTTGCTGGAAAGTTGGGGTGTGTCCACCGCTGGGGATTTTTCGTCAGAGCCGGTTGGGAAATTACCCGCCGTTCCTCTCATAGCCAACTCAGAGAATACTAAGGTGAAAATATTGCCTGTACTGGGAAAATGTCGTCTATCTCGTCAGTGTAGACCCCCAAGATCTATGCCTCCCGCCAATCAGCGCATATAACTTCATTCAGACCTACGATAACATCGAAAGGAGATTTTTCTTAATTAAATCTAATTCACTGTTCGTAAATCTCCCCTGCAATCAATATTTCACGGACAAAATGAGATAGAGGCGTGTCCGGCCCAGGCGGATCATTGCCCCGCCACCCCAGAGTTCCCCACATTCAACTCTGGACTCTCGGTGTGTAGTCTCGTTCTTGGGGTAGCCAAACTGCCGGTATTGCCACCCCTCACTCATCGATGACTTTAATCTTGTCCCACAATGAGATCCATTTGAAATAGTCCTTCACCATTGGCTATCGTCCTGGTACCACACTTTTGCTTATTTTTGCCTTGACCAGGTCCTCTGGAATTATGTGGAGAATATCTACAGTAGTGCTGCAGCGGAAGATCTCACAGCCATAGCAGGTATGGTACGCGTGGTCTTCTTTTTGGGAGCATAGAGCGTCTGAGAATACCGGCTTCGATGCGTACCACGTGCATTTTTGGGCCACTGCTATCGCACTATTTCTAAGTGGAAAATGGAAGAAAGAGCCTTCCCTTTAGAACAGTGAGTGGCCACAATTGAAATGGGTGAATTGGCATGCTCTTTAAATGAGACATTCCTATAAAAAAACACTGTCGATGAATGATCCTTCCATTTCTTAGGTCCAATGGGATTACAATAAATAGATATTGGTTGTGACGTGTGTGCTCGCAAAATGTCTACGCACCAATCGAAAATAGCGAAATCAGCTGAGAACTGTCGGATTGCTCGGGTGGAGGCGACTTCAGAGTCAGTCTACTCGTGACGGCACTACGAAATATTTGCTGGATTCAGTTTGAAGCTGCCTCGATATCTGGCGTGCGAACGGCCTGCTAAAAATTTAATTAAGATTGTCAAGCTAAGTTTCTCGGAACTGATCCTAATATTTGTGCTTATCCGCTATTTGACTATTTGGTTGAGCAGTACGTACATCCGATGCCCGCGCGTCTGCTCGTAGGTGCGGACGCTCCTTCCTTGATTAGGGAGGCAAGCAATATAAATTGGCGGATATAGATGAATATGAGGACTAGAGTCTGCGGTGGAGTCCTACAAAAGTCTAGAAATCTCGAAGGGTCGTGATCGCATTCAAAGGGACGATCACACTACACAGCTCCATCATTGAACATTGAATTACCTAGTTCAATTCTTTGAGTTTTTCCCCGCGTGTACAAGGTTTAGTTTGAACGCTTTCACGCAGTTGAGACGTCTTTGACAGATGAGTCCACTATTTCCCCAAATGAAAAACGGGTTCCCGTGGGATCTTCAGGGGTCGACACTCCACAGGAATTTGACTTGCTTCGCTGACGTCGGTTTGAACGTGAATTGAAGGGAGTGACAAAGAAACTTGAGGGAACTTCTCATGATTCTCTGAACTTTTCAGGGGTCCTCGCCGTGCTCCTATTGACCCTACGACGCAGCTTTCGTACCGCTCGTCAATCCCCTGGCTCGAGGGCGTTCTACAGGGAGGACGGGTTCCACCTGTGGAACTATCCAACCTTAGCACAAAGCTACCAGGCCAGCGATCAACATTGAAATTGCAATCAGCATTCAAGGTTCCTGTTTGGTGGGGTCTCACGCCTCTGCAAAACGTATCCGGGCGGCACAGTGATGTCGATCTCCAACGTCCCGAGCCCCAGTGTTACACCTGTCATTGAGAATGTGGCGGTTGAAGGGTGCCAATGTCGATCTCTCGGGCTGCTTTTTGCTAATTGAGGTCTTTTTCTTGACTCTCGGACCCTGAAATGTCCCTGGCCCTTGCTGCGAACCATGTGGCAAACTCCTTCTCCGGGCGTGGGCTGTCTTATCATGAACACAGCTTTCATCGACACGGTCGTGGTCTCTGACATACTATCTAAAGGAAGAAATCCCCAGGGCCAACACTGCTACCGAGCTTAAGCCCTCTCACTGGGACCTCACGATGGAAAAAACTTCTGTCATGGACATCCGAGCCTGGAGTGAAGGTGCAGATCTGCGGAGTTGCTAATGAACATGACCCTCATTTGGAAGCTTATGACCGGCTAGGACGTGTTCTCCTCTGAGCAAGCTCACCCCACTCTCGACTCAGTAGTGGAGGTGCTCTGTTGACGTGAGAGGATGACCTGTACCCCTCTAATCGTCATTGGATTATATTGCCCATCCACGGGGGTGTTTAGCATCCACCCTACTTCCTGTCGTGTCTGTCGGGCTGAATGTGGAGCTTATCTGGCTCCTCAACGTTAGGCGACTAGGTCAATGAGCAGGAAGAAGTTACGACTTCCCTGAGAGTGGCATCTATAAAGAGCAGTCCATGTCAATTGGCTTTCAATTCTTCCAATACCCCAAGAATCTCTTTCCGTTGTTTAGTTCACTCCAGTCACTCCTTACCGGTTCAATACTGTCCACTCTTTATTGCTCTCAGCAACAGTCACTCCTTCAATCCAGAATGAAGTCCTTCGCCATCGCCGCCTTTCTGGCGTCCACCGTCGCTGCTCTGCCCACCGGCACCAGCACCTTCAGCTGCATTCCTTCCGGTGCCGCTCCCACTGGCTTTGTTCCTGAAATCCCCTACTGCTCCTCAACTCCTACTGCCATGCCCACTGCCATTCCTACCCCTAGTGCCAGTGCTCTCAGCTCTTTCACCAGCGGCAGCAGTGCTGGCAACGCTGTTCACAGCGTCTTCACTGTGACCCAAGGCGGCAAGAAGATGCTCGTCGAGCTTGAGCAGGGCTTCGCCCAGAAGCTCACCGGCCTGAAGCTCGGCAGTGTCACCGACACCATCGGTTCCGTCTTGGACATCGCCAACTCCCCCAGCCAACTTAACACTAACGGTCTGACCTCCGGTGTTCTGACCGTCGCCACTACCGAGGGCAAGTACGCCCTGGTCCAGCTCACCTCCGAAGTTGAGACTGTTCTTTCTCCTCTTCTGTCGGCTCTGGGTGGCGTTACCCAGGTTGTCGGTGATCTCGTCGGCACTCTCGAGGAAGTCGGCAGCCTTGCCAACCTGAAGCGTGACCCTGTCTCCGACATCATGAGCATCACCGGTGAGAACGGCAACAGCATCCTCGTTCAGGTTGAGCCTACCGTCCTCGGTCTCCTTGGCGAACTGAACCTGGGCTCCCTCCTCGGCGGCGGCTCCAGCCAGTCCTCCCCTCTCGGTTCCGTCGTCGGCGAGGTCCCCATCGCCGGTGACCTCGTTGAGCAGGCTACCTCCCTCGGCGCCGACCCTACTCAGCTGATCGCTGTCCTCAGCCAGGACGGCTCTTCCGCTCTCCTTGTCAAGGTCGAGAGCACCGCAACTGGCCTCTTGTCCACCCTCGGCCTCTCCAGCCTGGGCCAAACTGTGGGCAGTGTCGTTTCCTCTACCCCTTTGTAAATTGAACTGTCTTGCCCTTGAAGGGATTTGATCATTCGCTTCTACGGGTCCTCTGTGGTTTTGCTTTCCATTAGCGGGACTAGATGTCACGCCAAAATAATTTGACACAAGGAGTTACCCTAAATCTTCTTTCATTATGCTGTACCTATCTTATACGTGAAAGCATAAGACATTGAATCTCGAAAATGGATTGTGCCTGGTTATAATATCTAATGCGAGTGTTTGCAAAGATTCGAGAACAGTTCGCCCAAAGGTCTGCCGTGAGCTAGAAATGAAAGCCGATAGCATCTGTGCATAGCAATCATAAGGCACAAGTCCATCAGGCTACTGAAGGCGGGGTGGACTCAGGATTACGGGCAGGTGTTCACATTGATGTGTGTCCTCGAGACATACGGATCTATCTCAGAAAGAAGCTTGAGTAGCGGCCATTTCAATCAACGAGACATCTATATTAATAGTAGAATATACCTTATTCTCAAAGGCGGAAAGGTGGATTGTTGATAATATCGACCGAGGCCACTGTGATTTTGGAGGCGGGCGCAGTAATTGTGTGCTGGGCGACTTGAGAATATCTTTTGGCCGTGATGATTCTCCTATTCAGCTGTGTCTGAAAACCGAATAATTATGGTATTGAAATTCCGTAAAGGCAATATCAATTGATGAAAATGGGTATTAATGTGCTCAAATTTGCATGAGAAAACCAGAAATACTCATGAATCAAGGATGCATTCCGCCCCAGTAGTTTTCCCCTTTTCCATCATAAGGATTTGACGCTGGCTTGCACCGGGGATTGCTGTAATCCTCCACAGTTCCCATCGGCCAGATAGGAACGACGCAGATTTCGTTATCTTCGCAACCACGGCATTCCTTCCAAGTAGTCCACTCAAGATCTGCGATCAAACTTTGAATTGCATTCTGGGCAGTGATGAGCTCCTTCTCAGCCCAGGCGCTCATAAGCGTCGAGCAGACGGTATGAGCAACGCTGTAAACAACCCGCGCAGCAATTGATTTTCCACCCTGTAACTGCACAGGCAAGAACTGCGTCGCACATCTATCAGCTTCAAGCACAGAATCACGCTCACTGTAGTCGATGAAAGGAGACAAAAGCCTCTCGACGTGCTCGTGCAGAGCGTCAATTGTTGAGATCTTGGTCGAGGCGAGATAGGTCAGTTCATGGCTGTACCGAATGACAACGGCATCTGTCGTGGCACGCCAGTTCCATGAAGATTCCCTAGCATCGTGAGTGAGTGCAAGAGCTGTAATTTCCTTCTGGATTGGCTTCAGCTCCGAGTATGTCAAGTGCGAGAGATGAGGAAGCTTCGGGTCCTCGGTGAAGAGGTCGACATCGTGTGCGAATGCAGTCACAAAATTCTCATAGTTGATGAAGACTCTGTTGGCGCCGATGTCATCGTATCGCGCAGTCACAGCCCGCATCCAGCCGGCCGCGTCTCCGCCACCAGGGCCACCACCAGGTCCGCCAGGGCCTTGTCTCTTCCTATCCAAGAGTCCGCGATGCTCATAATTCTCCCGGCCAGCCTCGCCGTTTTCATGCCCACCTTGAGCTCGTGATTTGACTTGTGTAATGCGCACGGGAAGGAGATCACGTTCAAACTTGCACAAAATGATCTCAAAGCCAGCCTCCATGCGGAGGACACCGTCAATACGCCCAGCCCAGTCATTCTCTGCCATCTCACATGCTTTGCGGGCACGATCACCTTCCCCTGCTGGACCTCTTCCCACTGAAGTGTCGATAGTGCCATTGAATAAAAGTACGTCCTGCGAATCGAGGGTCCCCTTCTGCGTCTTGGCGGCGGACATTCCGTCGATGTACAAAAGGCGGAGGTCCTGCACTGCTGCGTATGTGTGTAGATATCCTGCTGAAGCTTCCCCATCGCGCTCTTCAAAGGGTTGGGGACCAAGACTCCTCTCATTTGAGCCATGAGGATGTCTCCGACGCAATTCTTCGCGTTCGCTGCGATGCTCATCATCCTCATTATCACCACCTTCACCTGGTGGTGGCCCACCAGGACCATAAGGACCACCAGGGCCTCCGGGGCCATGCGGACCACCACGCGGCCGAGCGAATACCATAGCATGTTCCGGCTCAAAAGCAAGCCATTCTGTTCCGTTCACCGGGTCCGACTTCGATGTACCATGATATAACTGCGTACCAGCCGGGACGGTGGCAAGGAAGAATGAAACACCGTTATGATGCAGCGAAGAGCCCCATTGGCGCATAGAGTCGTGTATCACGTTGAAGATGTGGTGGGCATTTTTCACGACCGGGTCGGAGTCGGATGTTGTTGAGGCTGTCGAGAGGCCCAACAAGTATACCGCGAGTGCGGAGAGTGGACGCATTTTTGAAAGAATGATCCTTTTTCCTGACTTTTGCCTGACTTGAATGAGCCGGAAATCAACAAATTTAAGCTTGAAAATTGCCGGAGTCGTCATCCTATCAAAGCCCCATTCAGCTTAGGGCTAGTCGGATCATTAAGCCGCGTCATCGCGTTAGGCGTAATCCACTAGTCGTTCTGCGTATTTAAGACCGAACATTCGGGGCCAATTGTGTTCTATGTTTGCATGCACAGTGATACATTACACACAGAGGGTTAGCTTGCAGCTTCTATAGCCCTCAATGGTCCTTTTAAGGTTGTCTCTAAATGAGTGTCAATCTCCACGTCCGAATATACACAAGCCAGAGGACACGGGAATTTATTCCAAATATTGGCGGGATCAATAAGATTTAACTAGCAATAGCCATCTGATACACTTGAACTTGAATTATGATGAAATTTTACAGAAATTTCATACTTCAAGGACGATCTAAAAAATCAACACCAACGCGGCCAAAGATCGACAAGATAAGATCATGGATCTCTATCGTCCGCAACGCGTCATCACCACCACCCAAACCTCACAAATGAACCCCCTCCAAGCACGATCCGTTCCGCTCTCCACCCGGCGGACCCTCCTCTTAACCCTCGACGCCTTTGGCACAATATTCTATCCCCGTCCACCAGTCCCCGAACAATACACCGCGATCGCGCACGAGTTCGGCCTCTCCGCCGTCACCGCGCCCAAACTCAGATCCGCTTTCAAAGACGTATACCGCGCGCAAGCTAAGCGCTATCCCAACTACGGACGTGCGGATGTGCTTCGTGGGAAATACGGAGGCCCAAGACAATGGTGGGAGGAGGTGATTCGGGGTAGCTTCGCGCATGTTCTGTCCGGGCCGGAACATGTTTCACAAGACTTCGAGCTTCCAGTTGGAATGGTTGATACTCTGCTTGATCGATTTGCTGGAAAAGGAGGGTATACATTATATGATGATGTCGTGCCGTTTTTTGCGAGGATGCGAGAGCTGAAGAGGTCACCGTCACTGGCAAGAGACTTTGATCGGGTGATTCTCGGCGTCATTTCGAATTCCGATGATCGTGTACCTGCGGTGTTGAAGGAGTTGGGGCTGAAAGTCGGTGATCTGCGTGCTGATCAAAATTTGTCCAGTATGCAGTTGCCTGGGTTTGAGCAACGCATTGCGCATATTGGAGACTTGGGCGGCGGGCCAGATGTTGATGTGGATATGGTGATTACTAGCTATGAAGCTGGTGAGGAGAAGCCTCATCGGTTAATCTTTGATGTCGCGAGAGGGCAGGCGACCTTGTTAGCGCACAACGCGCGGACTGGCTCTGCTGTTACTGGACAGGAAGGGACGGGCGATTGGGTCTGTGTACATGTTGGTGACGACTATGGGAAGGATTATCGAGCTGCAATTGATGCGGGCTGGCAGAGTTTTCTGCTTCGGGGAGACGGACAAGAGCATCATGCGAAGAGTATTGACTCGTTAGTGGATTTGGTTGACGAACTCAAGATTTGTTGAACAGCATCTGGTGAAGGCATCAATCGAAAGACATGAAACCACGACATATTCTAGGGACCTTACGATTCGGGATCACATAGGATACATGGTCCTTCATTCAGATTACATCTCGCTCAGTACATGATAATATCCAGAATCCAAATCCCCCTACAGGATATCAAAAACGCCGTCCCGAAGCATATGTAGATCCCACGCCATGAGTAAAAGCAAGATATAAATGTGACAAGACAGAAAAACACGCTCAATCCCATTGTCCCTTTCCAGCCAACGCACCAAGACCACCACCGGCATGCTTATTCAACAGCTTAGCAATATTAGTACCACCATTCCGCTGCTTCATACGCAGCTGTCTCTCGCGCTCTTGTTCACGGGCAGCAGTGTAGGAGTTAACAGCACCCCCCCTTCTTCGGACCAGAGGCACCAGGTTTGGAGGCGCGGTTTGTAGAAGAAGAGCTGGAGGTGGATGAAGTTGAGCCGCCGGTGACGCGGCGGAGGAGCTGCGGTGGACGGAACCCGATGGGGCCGTCTGAATTGCCGCTATGGAAGGCCTGTTTGGTGTTGGAGGATCCTGATGTCGAGGCGGAGTTGGACGATGCTTGACGAAGAAGAGCGAGGCGGTCGACGACTGGGCCGCGAGTGCGGCGTGGGTGCCTGGGCACGGCAAAGCCATCCTTAGATTGGGAGCTGCCGTCATCTGAGTATGCCCCTTCTGCGCCGGAAGTATTTGAGTCGCCTTCTTCGTCGGCTTCTTCGTCCTCGATAGAGGCGTCCTCGTGGAATGAGTCGTATTCGGGGGTCTCCGTCAGGAAGGACAGGGTTTCGCGTATCTCGGCCAGAGTGGCGGGCTTCTTGGACAGCGCGCTGGCAGGAGTGCGGCGAAGGTTGGGCGGAGGTCGGTTGGTAGCATCTTCGGCAATCGGCTCGAGAGGTCTCTTGCGCTTGTTGCCGTCTTGTGCAGACTCGGCTGGTTCCTGGAAAGCCAAATTTTGTGATTCGCTTTGAGAACCACTCTCCTTCTCGTCCAGGAAGTCCAACTCGAAATCATCATCCATTTCACGATCTTCAATGGCCTTGAAGAATGCAGCCTTCTTTGGATTTTCGGCAAGTGCACCGATCTTGTCATCAGCAAGAAGAGCACGGCGCATCTTCGCAAATTCGCGTTGCTTCTCGCGTCGACGTGCTAGTCGTTCGTCGTCCGAGTCGTCAAGATCGAGGTCATCGTCGGCATTGCGGCGACGGCGCAAAGCGCCGGTCGTGATGTCTCTCATCAGCTTGTTGACATCCTTCTCGTCCCGGTTTCGTTGGTGCTCACTGAATATGTGTCAGTAGGTAATCATAAGAGCTTGGCAAGCGATACGTACGCGTTTAATGCAGCAAGTTGTTTCTCATCAACAACCTCACCACTCTGGTCATTGATCATTTGCTGATCGTAGGCATCTTCTTCACCGTCACTGTCATCACTGGCACCTCCAATACCAGCATATTCATCTTCGGACTCCTCCGCAGCCTCATCAACAATCCCCCTGGCTTTGCTGTTCTTCTTATCGAAGGCCATAGTTGATTTCTTATTGGTTTTCTTCATGACATCAAAGGCACTGGAGTTGATCTCAAAGTCGCCTTCATTGTCCTCTTCTTCAACAACAGATAACTCGGCTGCACGACCCCTTCGGAGCTGCTTGCGTTTTCTTTCAGCGGCCGGCGATTGGCTTTGCCCCACAAGGACGGTATCAACAGTCGACACTGGTGGTGTTTCTCGGAAACGCTTCGCAGGGTCGAACGGCGAAAAAACAAAGCCTTGGTCTTGAGTCGGGTCGGGAAGCTGTGAATACTGCGAGAAACGGTGGTTGGCAGGGGACTCCGAAACGGACACGCTGGCCATGTTCTGCTTGTCATTGGTCATGAAGTCATGATCATTGGATTGATCCTGGCTGTCTCGAACGAGAATTTCGGAGTCTTCAGCCTGAAGCCCGGGGATGGGCCGGCCTGGTTCGGGAAGAGAGAACGGGGCAGCCTCTACCCCAATTTGTCGGACGCTTTCTTCATCTGCCAGAGTGCCGGCGAATGCTTGGGTTAGCCCCATAGACATGCTGGGAGACTGCATGCCAGGGAACTGAGGTCGCTCGGCAGACCGGGGAGCATTGGATGGTAGCCTGACTGGGGTTGATGGTACTTGTGGTTCCTCATCGTCTTCGTCGTCGCTGATCACGCGCATTCGATGCTTGCGCCGAGAACCCGAGACCTGGTCTTCAACATCAGATGGTGCGATTTGGCTTTGCTCCTCCGCAGAATTTTCGTCTCCATCGGCCTCCTGGTCAAGGATATCTGATTTTCCGCTGACACTCTTTTCATCATCTTCATCGTCGTCTTCGCCAGATCCATTGTCGTCAGAGCCTGAGAATACGAAGTCATCATCATCTTCATCATCTTCATCTAGACCTTGCGCCTTCTTCCTGGCAGCTCGCTCATGACGCGCAATATCATCGGCCTCTTGACGGGCCTTCTCCACCAGGTTCTCGAGGTCATCTTCCATGGCAGCACGTTCTTCAGCTGTTTCGATGACAACGCCCTTCGCCCTAAGCTCTTCCATACGCTCACGCCTCTCTTTGGCAGCTTGCTGTCGAGCTCTGTAAAGCAAACCGGCGGAGAGTTCCGCGGAGGTCATAGAAGTAGTCTTGCGGGTTGGCGATGTCAAGTGTGCCAAAGCCTTCAGTTTGGTCATCGAGGATGATTCCTGCATCTGCCTAGAGGGCAGATTCTCGAAAGCAGCAATACGACGAGCCTTGGCAGGCGACGTAACCACCTCGAGATCGTCGCTATCGGAATCATCCTTGTTGTGCTGGGCGACATCGTGTCTGGACATGAGTACACGAACCGACGGCCGCGTCATCTTGCGTGCCTTGGGCTTGGTGGCGTTTGAGTTGAGCTCTGAAGAGTCCAGGATAGCTGTACCAAATGGTTTTCTGAGTTCCTGAGGCGAATCAGTGGCTTTGACAAAGACCTTGGCTCGAGTAGATGTAGCGGTCTCCGCAGAATTTTCGTCCCCGTCGATCTCCATTAGATTTTCTTCAGAGACCTTTGTCATCGACTTGTCTGTATCAGAAGGTCCAAGGATTGGGGAAGTATGAGGTGTATCGTTCTTCTTTTGAGCAACCTCGCCGTCAGACGATTGCTGCGAGCCAGCTGTTGATGATGAATTCAGGGTAGGAGCCTCAACAGCTGAGACATTGGGCTGCATGAAGTTGAACCGAGCAAACAAGCTTTCCTTGGTGATCTTCTTTTTCGTTTGTGCTTGATGTGCCAATTGCATATTTTCGACTCATCCGCTGGGTCTCCCGGCTCATTTCCTCCAACGCTTTTTTGCTGGCTTTCCGCGGTTGACGAGCATTTTGGCTAAGCTTTTTGGCAGAGCTGGGATCATCAGCTTCGTTGTCCTCATCAGAAAGCATCTCAGAGCTGAATTGTTCCATTTGTGCACGCTTGGCGGCCTTTTGCTCTGCCTCGATCCTTTCACGTTCTTCGCGCTCCTTGCGCTTTTGGGTGACGAGAGCAAGGAATCTAGCATTTGATTTCGGGTTTCTGTCCATTTCTCCGTCTGCACCTTCATGGTTGGCGAGTTCATCGCGTGGCGATGTTGGGGAAAAGAACATGGGAGAGGCGGTGCGAGCACGAGAGTGTGAACGTCGAGACTGATCGCTCGGCGCTGGTGAATGTTGTGTTTTGCCCTTGGTCTTTCTTTTGGATGCCGCTGTGGGGAGTTCATCTCCACTAGATTGTTCGGGTGTGGGGCTTCTCGTTGCTTGCACTTGTTCGTTCCGCAGGGCGTTGGACAAGCGAGAGAATGCCGTGTCTTCCTTGGGAGGAGCATCTTTGTTCCCTTGCATGCGAGCCGCCATGCGACCTTTGGGTCTGACAATATCATCTGAGTCTTCCGAGTCAACATCTGAGTCCGCAAGATGGTTTAGTTGACGCGTCTCGGTAGCCGATATGCTTTTAGTTCTGAAGTCCAGCTTCGAGATCGGGCGTGTTGTCGTGGTGGGGTGAGTCTCCATTTCCGAGTCACTGTCGAATTCTGCCATCATGGCTTTGATCTTCTGTCCGGGAGTTAATATGTTGAGTGACTCGCTAGCTGGGGACGCGGAGCGCGTCGACCGCGGTGTAGAAGGTGACGACATTGTCGGCATGAAAGGAAGGGTATCAAAGGGGTATCGTAAATGACGGACTATTTTGAGTGCGAATCGGTCATAATGAAGCCACTGTGAAGAAGAGGGGAGCGATTGAAGAGTTGAAGTGGGAGGACCGAAGGGCGCAGAGACTGAACGCGATGCGCGAAGCACGCGTTGCTAGGCCAATCACGTGGCCTTATCTTATCGCCCACTCATCTATTTAGACCGCATTGGTTTGTATGGTATGGCATGGTAGTAACACTCTGGCGTTGGTCTATTAACAAGTCGATTTAATTTGCAAACTGTGCTGCTCATGCTCCGTAGCCATTTGGCTCAAAGTACAAAAAGGTCTTTCCCATAATGATTCTCTGAAAAGACGCCGCGTCCATGCGCCGATTCCCGATAGTAAGAAGACAAATAGCGGTCTGCCTCCACCACTAGATTCTTTAAATGTGAACACGACTGACTAGGGTTCCTGCTAGTCTGAATAAATCGGATGACAGAGCTCTAGATGTCGATGTCGATGCCCAGGTCCATATCTCCAATGGCCTCGTCGTCGTTCTTGCGGTAACTGATCATGAAGCCACTCTTGGGCTTCTTCGGGGCCAAACCGGAGTTGGGTGTCGCCACGGAAGGAGTGCTAGCCTTGGAGTCTTCCTTGGGTGTATCGGCGGGAGTGCCATCGGCAGACACCGTCTCTTCCTTTGGCTTATCAGAGAGATCGTGGTGAGTTTTGGCGATGGTCCGGACACGCATGAAGGGATCAGTGGAAGCTTCACCACGGGCAACTGCGGCGGCGGCCTTGCGAGCGGCTTTGCGCTCCTCAATTTGAGCACGACGAACGTTCTCGTGGTTGAGTTTCTGGTTGCGCAGATTGATCAGGTGGACACGCTCTGCCTCCGAGAGTGTCTTGTCGGCAGCCGGCTTGATCAGAGTGGTACCCCAAGAGAGGTTGGGGTTGAGAATCTTGTCCAGCTCCTTCTGCAGCTTCTCGACTTCGTCCTCATCGCCATTTGCCTTGGCATTCTTGAGTTCACGCTCCAGGTCAACGCGGCGAAGAACGTCCTTCTTCGAGTCAAAGGCACCCTGCTTGCGCAACTTCTCGTTTAGTTCAGCAGCCGTGAACTGGTGATTGATGAGCCGGTTGATATCTGCGACCTTGGAGGCCAATTTTGTCTGCGTGGCCATTTTGCCATCCTCAACAGCCAGTGTCTTGCGGTAGCGGTTATACTCAGCCTGAGTGTGAGTCAGTCACGAGCCCGAGATAGTATGAAAGGGCAAAAGGGACAGAAGGACGCACCTCAGTGAACGCGGAGTCGGAACAAGCGATGAAAGGGAACTCGCGGACAGCCTTGCCATGAGCCATCTTGGCGTACTGGTCAGTAACAAAAGGCCGACCATTCGTAGCCTCCATTGCGTACGGCTTTCCCGTAGTGAAACCTGTGATTAAGCAGATACGATATTCATTGAGGCCAGTGTCCGCGTTGGGTCCAATGTTGACACGACTGTAGCAGCCGGTGATAGCATCTTCGAACCCAGGATAGAAGCAGACCTGAGCAAAGTTGCTCCGGCCAACACGAGCACGTTGAAGATCGCGGAGCTCGGCAGGGGGGGTCATCTTTGGGAATGGAGGCCGAGCGGCGGTTATCTAATTCGAGGTCGCTTTCGGCCTCAGCATCCTCGTCAGACATGTCAGACCCAACAGAACGAGAGCGGCGACGGGATTGAGGGATATCGCGGCGGCGAAGTTCATCTCGCTTGCCCTTTTGTTCACGTTGACGCTTGTAGGCGTCGATAGCAGCGGAGGTTTCTCCAACTTTGCGGCCACCCAGAGTCGTCTTCTGTCGCGAGCTCTTCCGCTGGTTTTCGTCCAAGCCAGCAGAACCGGCCTTGCGCTTAGCTTTACGCTGTTCCTCACGCTCTCGCGAAGCTAGGAGGCGACGCAGAGCCAGATCCTGGTTATGGCGATCAACTTGCTGGGCACGCTCAGAAAGCAACTCCTCACGCTGGATCTCGGGCATCGCAGAGATCTCCTGCTTTTCCTTCGCAGAGTAGTAGAGCTTGTCATAAGGGAAGATGGGGCGGTCTTCTTCATCGCTGGCATCTCCCGCTTCGGAGTCAGACTCGGACATGGCTGCGGACTGCAGAGAGTGTTGGGACTCGGCTTCAGATCTGTTGCGCGAACCGGCGTATCAGTCAATAGTTCGCAGGCACTAAAAGAAGTGAGACTCACATTTCACCATCCTCTTCATCTTTCACTTTCCGCGGCCTGCGAGCCGGTTTGGAAGTTCCTTTGGTACCCATGGCTGGGGAGCGGTCACCGTCTAGAGAGTGAGGAGAGGCAGAAGGTTCTGGAGATTCATCCTTTTCTTGAGGGGGAGGGGAGTTTTCCTCCTCGGAGTCACCAGCCAGAGCCAGCAGCTCAGCGTCCAAATCGTCCGCCATTATAAATATATCTTTTCGGCCTCAGGCCCTTTCTGCGCCCCAAAGGCAATCGCAATAGAATTGAGCACCAGTAAGCTGCGTTTTTCAAAGATCGGGGCAGGCTGTGAGGCGGAACACTCCTGGCGAGGCGGCGCAAAGATTGCAGGTTCCAAAAGGATCAAACCGAAATGGCCCCCCAAAACCCGTACGTTGAGATTACCGGGTACAAGTGGCAACGGCGCGAGGCTTCGAAAGTCGATGGGGACGCGTGAAGGTCAGTCGCAAGTTGGCCTTTGCCGTTCATGACGTTCGGCTGCCAAGACCACAAGCGCGCGCCTGCGCCAAGCCTTTTCTTTACAAGCGACTCCGCCACCAGCTCTCTTGCTTTAACTTCAATACGAACAATGGAGACCCTTCCTACACTACGAAGATGCCTCTTAGCTCAGTGTCGACGATCATCTCGACCACTCTCGCCAGTGTATCTTGATTTCCTCGCACCCACAGTTGTGCGCGCCCAGCGACGACATGCGTCAACCGGCACCACCGGCAGCACCAAACCTCGATACACTCTCAGCAAGAAGCAGAGAGAGTACCTTGAAAGCGCCCTGCGAGTGAATCAGGCTGGAGAAGTCGCCGCGACCCTGATTTACATCGCTCAAACACCCCAGATTGTCCGCTCGCACCCTCATCTTAGGCCGTTGATGAAGCACATGTACGATCAGGAAGCAGGCCACCTGAAGACATTCAACGGACTCATTGCGAAGCATCAGATTCGTCCGACGGCCATGTATCCGCTATGGCATGTGGCCGCGAGTTTCCTCGGATGGTCGACAGCCGCTTTGGGCCGTGAAGCGGCTATGGCATGCACCGAGGCAGTGGAGACGGAGATCGGATCGCACTACAATGATCAAGTGAGGGAGATTTTGTCATGGGAAGCGGATGCTGCCAGGCGTGGGGAAGAGTTGGATGATGAGTTGAAGGAAATGCTGTCCATTTTCCGGAGGATTCGCGATGAGGAGCTCGAGCATTTGGATCATGCTGTGGCCAATGATTCCAAGGAGGCCAAGCCTTATGATCCTTTGGTTGATTTCATTCGATTTGGCTGCAGAACTGCCATTAAGATCACCGAGCGGGTTTGATGAATGTCAAGCATAATTGCCTTGGCCTTCGGGGGATTCCACCCGGCTCAAGTGCTCATCCAGATGTTCCAGGTTATACATTCGCGATCTGTGGCTTCGACCTTTCTCTCCCCTCCCGCACCCCAACAAACACGCGGGCACTTGCTGTCTTCTAGTATATATCCTGTGCTGTATAATTATCTGTGTACCAATACAAATCACCTCACCTCCTGCGGACACCTGGGGGACCTTATGGAACCATATGTGCAACTAATCTTCGCCCTTCGAATGATGCACTTTGTCCAAAATTCCGAATGGTGAATTCCTATTCCTCGTAGTGTCAGTAGCGAGCTACACATTGACATCTAGAAGGTGAGATCTCGATGTTGTTCAAATAAAGGGTATCATTGAAGAAAGTATCCACGCCTCGTCACGTCTAGGTCTATAATGTCCCACCCCTGTTCATGACCGGACCTGGTCGTACATGCAGTGTACTTGAAGAGCTTTACTTCTTCTCGAGGTACTCCAAGAAGCCCTGGGAAAACCGGACTACTTGCTGGTAAACCTCTTCGAACCCATTAGCACCTCCATAGTAAGGGTCCTTGACGACTTCACCCCCACCCGCACGATCATGCAGCTTGCCACCTTTTCCAAAGTCACCGAATAAGCGCACCTCGGCGACCTTCGCGTCCTCGCCATGGGCACTAATCTCAGCATCCTTGGCCGCGCGGGTGCTTTTCGCCGAAGACTTGGCATCGGTCTTCTTCCGCAGCATCGAAATCACGTAGTCTCTCTCATCTAGCAGATCCCGCAGGTTATATTTGTCCATGGCCATCAGGTAGTCAAACTTGAGGAAGTCATCTCGGTTGACCTTGCGGGCGGCGTGGGTGTAGTTGGTTATGCCGTGGCGGCGCAGAGTCGACATTGTCCGGGAATCCGGGGGTTCATCGGTGTGGTAGGCGCCTGTGCCGGCCGAGTCGATCTCGCCGATGATGGGGTTGCCCTCGGCAACGTTACGGAAGACACCCTCGGCCATAGGTGACCGGCCTACAGGGTGTTAACAGGGACCGAGTAGGGCAGGGCAGGCCAAGACCGGGTGGGGGTAGCTTACAGATATTGCCTAGGCAGACGAATAACACGCTGACGGGGCCATGTTCAGAGGGAGACATGGTGACTTTGCTGTCAATTGCAAGAGTGTTAAAGTGTGTGTCGCTGTTCGCAGCATCCGGCGGGGGTTCATCGTTATCGATAGGCCCTAAGCTCCACCATGTATTTGTGCCCTTCCAGTCTATACGGCCTCTACGTCATCAAGCTACTGTTCTCCAATGTCTCACATATGCCTCGAAGAATCCGGGGTAAAAAAACCAAAAGTCTCTTTTCTATTCATAGTTGGCCTAGTACCCTTGTCTTACTCTTCAGGCAACACCATAGCTAAAAAAAGAATTAGAAATCCTCGCCAAAAACCATTGAAGGCTGAGCCGTGGCGTGGCGAGTGGCTTAGTGTGGTCCAAAGGTGGTTCCAAAGTGGTCCAAGTGCCTGCCGTTGGCCCAGTGACCTGAGTCGAACCCACCATAACCACAATTCCAAGGTCACCTCTTCAGAACTGCGCCGTGGATCGTTCATGTTTCAAGATTCGTTGTTGGACAATTTCAAGATTGCTGGTGTGTGTTTCTGTGTGCCTTGTACCTGGTGCCTCTGGTCTTTTTTCCATCTTCTTTCTACCTCATTTGCCTTGGACTACGCGTTATCTGCAACTCGGGGATTAATTCACATGCCACAGTGGGTCCGAGACTTGAACGCCTATTCGCCTACCTACACTCCCTCTTCATCTGCGATCGCCCGGGCGTCGTAAACAAGAGTCCTCGGCCACTTTCTCAGTTACCTTGTGCCATCGTGAGACAACTTCCCCTCGCATTCCCTCAGATATCTTCTCCTCTCATCTTTGCTTGGACCTTCCCCTCATTCTGAAACCACGCCGAGAGTTTGGGGTCCTGTCTGTCCAGACTAGTGAACCAAAGCTTCCCCCTCGCTGCTCCTGGCGCAATCTCCAGCCGTGTCCGTGTCCCCCTGCTACAGACTAGCAGTAAGTCTGAGGGACGGGCTCAGTTCTACCGAAGTCAAATCCGAGGCTGAAGATGGCCTACAACCGAGTTGGTTAGTTCCTTGTTTCCTTTCTGGTGTTTGAGCCCTCAGCGCGCATCAAAGAGGACCTCGAAATCGTGCTGGTCATTTTTTTATGGCATGGTTGCCGTGCGACTTACTCCCTTGATTTCACGAACGGATTCTTCGTGCTTTGGAAGCGCAGTCGAACAGAAAAACTAACAATGCGTACTCCAGATCCCTTTGGGGACGAGTATCATCATGAGCCTACCATGAACCCTTCTCATGTCACCAGCTATACCAATCGTACTCCGTCTCCGGGACACCCCTTGAACTCCTACCAGCTTGAAGATAACCCCTACGCTCCTGCAGGGCACCTGCCTATGCCCTCAAGCGATCGCCTCGCCGACCAACCCACCGTGAGTTGCTCCGTTGCGCGCGCACGCGCACACATAGCACTGACATTCGGTTTTAGTACTCGGTCGAGAATATTCAGAATTCTTACGGTCACAATGAAGCCTACGAAGGTCACCAGCCCTATGGATACAGCCATGATTATGCGATTGACACCGAGGCGCACCACGACGCTTACTATACCCACCCTTATCAGCCCGCGCTCACTCCGCACGAAGACTACGACCTAGGTTCATACGCCGAGCCTACCCACACCCCTTATGATGACAATGCGCCCATGTTACAGACGGATGAAGATCCCTTCGGGCCGGACCCGTACAGCGCTGATTTCCAGGATGAGCCTCGCCCTACCCCGAGCCCTGCTCCCATTCGACGATGGAAGACCGTAAAGGAAGTTCAATTATTCAACGGGAATCTCGTGCTGGATTGTCCGATTGCGCCGAAGTTGCTCAGCCAGGTGCCGCACGCTGAAGCCCCCGGCCGTGATGAGTTCACCCACATGCGCTATTCCGCCGCGACTTGTGACCCTGCGGATTTCTTCGAAGAGCGTTTTACCTTGCGCCAGAAGCTTTTCGCGAAGCCCCGCCACACTGAGTTGTTTATTGTCGTGACTATGTACAACGAGGACGACTTCCTGTTCGCGCGTACGATGTCCGGCGTCTTCAAAAACATCGATCACATGTGTTCGCGCACCAGCAGTAAAACCTGGGGCAAGGATGCTTGGAAGAAGATCGTGGTCTGCGTTATTAGCGACGGTCGAGCGAAAATCAACCCGCGGACCCGTGCGGTCCTGGCCGCTCTGGGTGTGTACCAGGACGGAATTGCCAAGCAGCAGGTCAATGGCAAGGACGTGACAGCCCACATCTACGAGTATACTACCCAAGTCGGTTTAGAGGTTAAGGGTACTCAGGTTCATCTGAAGCCCCGCTCAGGTCCGCCTGTGCAGATGATATTCTGTCTCAAGGAAAAGAACCAAAAGAAGATTAATTCTCACCGCTGGTTCTTCCAGGCGTTCGGTCGTGTCTTGGATCCCAACATTTGCGTCCTTCTCGATGCTGGTACCAAGCCCGGTGGTGACTCTATCTACCACCTGTGGAAGGCATTTGACGTCGAGCCCATGTGTGGTGGTGCTTGTGGTGAGATCAAGGTCATGACTTCAAAGGGAAAGAAGCTCTTCAACCCTCTGGTTGCTGGCCAGAACTTTGAGTACAAGCTTAGCAATATTCTCGACAAGCCTTTGGAATCTGCATTCGGTTTCATTTCCGTATTGCCCGGCGCTTTCTCTGCTTACCGATTTGTCGCCTTGCAGAATGACAAGAACGGTCAGGGTCCGCTCGAGCGATACTTCCTTGGTGAGAAGATGCACGGTGCCAATGCCGGCATCTTCACCGCCAACATGTATTTGGCTGAAGATCGCATTCTATGTTTCGAGATTGTGGCTAAGCGCAAGTGCCGTTGGTTGCTTCAGTATGTCAAGTCATCGACAGGTGAGACCGATGTACCGGACCGCATGGCCGAGTTCATTCTCCAGCGCCGTCGTTGGTTGAACGGTAGTTTCTTCGCTGCTGTCTACGCCATCACCCACTTCTACCAGATTTTTCGCAGTGATCACAGCTTCCTGCGCAAGTTCGCGTTCATGATCGAGTTCATTTATCAAACAGTGGCGATGATCTTTGCGTGGTTCGGTATCGGTAACTTCTTCTTGGTCTTCCACATTCTCACGACATATCTTGGTGACGACGACCTCCTCGGCACCGCCGGTAAAATTTTGGGTATTGTCTTCGAATGGCTCTATTTGGCAACCTTGGTAACGTGTTTCGTTCTCGCGCTCGGTAACCGACCCGGTGGATCGAACAAGTTCTACATGACTATGGTGTATTTCTGGATCGTGATTATGATATACCTGTCCTTCGCGGCAGTCTTTGTCACAGTGAAATCCATTGAAGCGGAAGTCGAAGCGGACAGTTTCACTATTAGCGATCTGTTCACCAACAAGACCTTCTTCTCGATTATCGTCTCACTCGGTTCGACCTACGTCATGTGGTTCATCGCATCATTCATCTTCCTGGACCCCTGGCATATGTTCACCTCGTTCATCCAGTATATCCTGCTGACCCCGACCTACATCAACGTGCTCAACATCTACGCCTTTTGTAACACCCATGACATCACGTGGGGAACCAAGGGCGATGACAAGGCCGAGAAATTGCCGTCCGCACACCTCAAGCCCGGCGGCAAGGTCGACGTCAATATTCCTCAGGACGACGGCGATCTGAACGCGCAGTACGAGGCCGAGTTGCATAAGTTCTCCATGAAGCCGCCGAAAGAGGTCCAGATCATCTCGGACGAGGAACGCCAGGCCGACTACTACAAGGGATTCCGCAGTGCGGTCGTGTTGGCCTGGGTATTTTGTAACTTTGCCCTCGGTGCCGTGGTCCTGTCAGCCGCTGGTCTGGAAACCTTCGACAAGACAAGCACGAGTACGAGCTCGACCACGGATCTCACGCAGAACGAGCGCTCGCTCATTTACATGGAAGTTGTCTTGTGGAGTGTCGCTGGGCTTTCCTTGTTCAAGTTTATCGGTGCAATGTGGTACTTGGTGGTTCGAATGGTAATTCTGTCTTTCCCGATCAAGATTCATATGCTAACTCGTTTCCCAATAGTTCCGAGGCGTTTGATTGCATCATCTTGTTCCAGCATAACGACCTATCTTACTTTCTTGATGTTTTCAATATATCCCCTGATGAGTTGAACTGAGTTGATTACCACGGCGGGCCCGGTCCGGTATGAATCCATGGCATGGAATCTGACTTCGTGTACTATGTGTGATGAACCTTGAACGGCATTTTTGTCCGACGTTGATATATTTGGGATTTCTTGTTTTTATGATGCCCTTTTCCTTGTCCTTCTTTTTCCTTCTCTTCTCGGGCATGGATGCATGGCGCGTGAAATTACTGCTGTATCTATAGGTAAGAGTGATATAGATGGATTCGACACGTCAAAATGACGCTCAGACTTGATAGTTATACAATTGTTTCAATTCTGGTTTTGTTGCTCTGTTTTAGGATTCAGCTCCTGATCAAGCTCTGTAAAGAATCAGCTAGTTTGATTCTTCGAATGCACGCATACAGCGATACCGCCCAAGACCAAGATCAAACCCAGCCACGTTTCCTTTGCGATGACCTTGCGCTCCACATACCACTCTCCAAGTACCGTGAACAAGAAAGCGCTCGAATTGGCCAGCGGCACCGTCAACGAGAGCTCTGTAACACCATCAGCATCTGGTCTCATCTCGACACCCAATTCAAAAAACCTCCCACAGGGGAAAACGAAAGAAAAAACATACCGTGTTTCCCCACCAGCAAAAAAAACCAAATACTCCCCGTCAAATTCACCACCAGCGGAATCGAATAAGCTGGCGTCTTCAGCAAATTCACCACCGTCCAAAAAATACCGACAATCTTCTTCTTTAGCCAAGACTCATTCTCCCTCCTCTTCCACGCCGGCGTCGGGATATTATCCTCATCCTCATTTCCATCCTGCTCATCGCCTTGGTCTTGGCGCTGCAAACTCCCACTCCTCCTCCTCACACCTTCCTGTTCCGCCGGTAGCAGTTCCTGCTCTTCTTCACCGTCCACAGCTTGGTGTTGCGAATGTGATTGTGATCGTCCGCGCGGGGATTGGGACTGCTTCTCTTGACGCGCGTTAAAGTCGGCAGCGGCGCGACGGATGAAGGGTGTTGTAAAGCCCCATGCTACGCCGACGAGGAGGAAGGAGAGAACGTAGTTGAAAACCGAGGGGGCTGGTTCGGGAATGCTTGCATCGGGGTCCATCTTGGACTGGGACTTTGATTTGGGTCCTGTTTTGGAGTTCAAGTCCAGGTCCGAGTTCAAGTTCAAGTTCAGGGTGAAATGGGGGGAGCTTTGGTCCGAGCGTTGCGATAAGGGCTGATAGCGATCAGATGCCCAATGCAGATATCGATGCGGCCGATATAGAGAGCCTCGTACCTTTGATCTTTTGAACTTCCAGATCTTTCAATCTGAGTCAGACCAGAGCTTAGTTCCGGGCCGATGTATACGTTTGGTCCAGCCTGGCGAGGAGGGGTAGCAATATAAAAAGCGGGTCGCGCCCATGTCTTATTACTCCATTCTCAGATAGATCTTCCCTGCTTTTCACACGCAATGGCAATTCCTTCAAGCCCGAAGCTCGATGGCTTCGATGTGCTTCAAACAAATTTCAAGCATGTTGGAGACCATCCCATTCGGACCGACATTCTCGTCCCCGAGAAGCCTCACACGGGCAAACGGCCAGTAATTCTCCGTTTCCACGGCGGCGGTCTGGTAAGATATATATTCCTTTCCCCCCCTAAGCCATTTAGAGAAAAAAAAGGAAGAATTCTAAATCTAAGCCAAGGTCTTCGGAGACTCTCTATTCATGGACTTCTGGCCTCACTGGGTCTCAGACCTAGCCCTCGCCCACAACGCCATAATCATCAGTCCAAACTACCGCCTCATGCCAGAAGGAACCAGCGCCCAGATCTATGAAGACATGGAAGATTTCTGGTCCTGGCTCCACTCCCCCATCTCTCGCGGAACTACTAGCCGCACACACTACGCCTACAGAGGTCGATCTCGACCGCATTCTGACCGCCGGCGAGTCCGCCGGCGGCCTGTTAAGCGTCTATCTGGCTCTGTCGCATCCAAACGAGATCCGCGCCGCGACAGCCGCCTACCCGGCCGTCGATATAGGTTCAGATGACTATGGACGTCCGCGAGCGAGTCCATGCTTTGGAAACCATGTTCCCGAATCAGTGATTCAGGCGGAAGAAAGCGCTGCTCAGATGGGGACGGCCGAGTCGTCGATTACGAAGGAGTCTCGCATAAGGTACATGCTTGCCGCGTTGGAGCATGGCATGCTGAACCAAATTTATGAGCGCGGCACAGAGGGGGTTCCGCGGGAGGTGTTGTATCCGATGGTGAAGTTGGAGAAACCCGGGTTGGAGATTCCGGTGGGTGGCATTGCGATTATACAGGGTCGGCAGGATAGTGTGGTTCCTGCTGGTGGGGTTGAAAAGTTTGTGGAAAGGGCGAGGGAGGTTACGAGGGGCAAGGCTGGGAATGAGGGGCTAGTGCTTACTATCCGGGATGGGGAGCATGGGTTCGATGAGGGGTCAAGGTATAGTGAGGAGTGGTTGAGAGATACGTTCAAGGTTGCGGTTGACGCTTGGGTGAAATAGAGGTCATAGCCCATCCCAAGCAAGCCACAATGTGGCTGCAGGGGAATTTTGGCCGATTGATAGTCGTTCTGATTGTGATTTGTCTCAGAGTAGTGTTCATTTTCCGTCATTGAGACCCCTTCCATTTTCTAGACTTCATGAATTCTTGATTTTGTCTACCGTAGAATTGTGTCTAATTTAGCAGAACGACGAACGGAACGGGAAAATGAATGATGGAAATTAAATAGTGATGTAGCCTTGGTGGCTAGTCTAGATCTATAACGATGGTATCAACAGAAAGAAATCAGAAATCTAAAGGACAGTTGTACAGGTAGAAACACAAGGGACCGACAAAAAAAAAGAGAATGAAGCAAAGTGAGAGAGATCACTTGCTGGCCTTGGAAGCCTTGGAAGGCATGAAGCGCGCAAGCTTCTTCTTCATACCATCCATGTCCCACCTCTTGACACGGAAAAGGTAGTAGAGCAAAGTGGCCATGAAAATGTTGAAAAAGATGAAGGCCCAGACAATACCATAATTACGCCATCTCTGACTGTAATAGATGTCATCAGACGCAAGGAACTGATCCGCGACAGAGAGAGAGCAGTATTCGCAGCCGGCAGTTGCGTTGTGGTTCATGACCTGTCCTCCAGCTGCGGTGGCGTATTCTTTCAAATACTCCCAGCATGTCTGACCAGAAGGAGGATCGAAAATAGAGAGCTCTGACTGAGAGCACACGACTTGGCGATCGTGGACTTGGGTAGCGGCCATGGCTGAGACCCAGTAAGTGAAGGGGAGACGCGGTACATGAAAATCCAGAAGCCGGGCATAGCAGAAGGGGGCTGCATCACACCGCAGAAAGTGAGAGACATGGCGAAAAGAAGGACGACGACGGCACTGGCGGTTTGGGCGTCGGGAAGGGCAGCAATGACCATTTGAGCGAATGTGCCCGCATAGATGAAGAACTGGATGCAGAGCAGAAGAACAGTCACTTGGCTCACTGAGCTAGGAATGCCGACCACAGCGTAGAAGTAGCACGCGTAGATTAGTATTCCGGTGATGATCATGTACGGAACTTCGACAATGACGTTGGCGATAAGGAACGCCTTCCAGGAGTAGGCCTTGCTAGGTCGCTCGCGAACCTCATAAAGGGATCGTTGGGTCACAAAGAGGGGCATCAACTGTTGGACCAGAGAGGTGAAAATAGTACAAAGCATGAACACAGAGTAGACAATACACTGCATGCCTTGAAGCGATGTCTTGGCCTGGAAGAAAGAGAATCCAATGAAGAGGCCAGCTGCGACACCAAGAGCCCACTTCGACATAACGTAAGAGGGCATTCGCCAGTATTGCTGGAAGACACGATAAGTGACTTGCCACAGTTGGAACCAGAAAGGCATAGCGAATTCGGAATGACCGGCCGCGGTGTCGTCGTCAACTGGGGCTGCCTGTCGCTCTTTATGAATGCGATCAATCTCGGTCTGGACGGCTGTGCTCTCATTGCTCTTCTTCCATACGTCGAACCAGTCTTCGCCATCAGAGTTGGTTCCTTTGTTCACAACATCAAGCATGTATTCGGCCGGGTTCTCGCTGTCGTCACAGGGTCGTGCACCATTGGCCTCGAAGTAGTCCAGCAGAGTACAAGATTGTTCGCCAATTGGTCCGAAGTAGACAGTCCTTCCACTGCGCGCCAGGAAGAGCAGTTGGTCGAACTCCTGAAATAGGATAGCTGAAGGTTGGTGAATCGTGCACAAGATTGCTTGGCCATGAGAAGCCAGGCGACGGAGGAAGGAGCAGATTGCCCAAGAACTCTGGGAGTCAAGACCACTTCATCGAAGTCAGTAATTGCAAAAAAAAGATCAGGCCAAAGCTAACTTACCTTGTGGGCTCATCCAAGAATAGAAGAAGTTTAGGCTTAGCAGCCAATTCAACTCCAATCGTCAAAAGCTTCCTCTGCTCAACATTCAAACCCTCACCAGGCACACCAACAATTGCTTCAGCAAATTCCTCCATCTGCAACATACGAATAACATCTTCCACGTAATCGTACTTCTCCTGGATGGAAACACTGGCCGGCTGACGGAGAAGAGCACTGAACCGCAGAGACTCGCGAACAGTGGCAGTCTCAAGATGAAGATCCTGCTGCTGGACATAACCCGTCTTACGCTGGAAACTAGCATCGAGGCTTTTGCCGTTGACAAACATATCACCAGTGACAACACCAACTGATGTTCGATGAGCCAGGACATCCAGAAGCGTAGTCTTACCAGCCCCACTGACACCCATCAAGGCAGTAAGTGTTCCAGGTTTCACCCATCCAGAGACATGATCCAAAAGCTTACGTGGCTCTCCCTTGATTTCAATATCATAGGAAACATCGCGCCAGGTGAAGACATCAGACTGTGCCTCGATCGCACCCATACCACCATTGCCTTCTTCATCGGAGGTCGACTGCTTCACGGGCGCGGCATCGGTCTTTTCGACATCGGAGCCGGAGTTCTCATGACCACGGCGCATGTGAGCTGGCTCATGGCCACGTCGGAAAACCAAGGCTTCGGCGGTAGACGTCGTGGATGAGTTCAATTCGCAGGCCACGAAATAGATGACCATGAAACCGATCAGGAAAGCAATGAGAATACCAAAGTTTCTCCAGACATGGCTAAAGGTGTAACGGTAATTTTCCCAGATATAGCTATCGCCATTAACAGTCAAATCGCCTGCCACCGAGCCGGTGGTGGAGCAAGAGAACGAGTTGCCAGACCTATCCGCATATGAAGGGATGAGCTGAGCACAGGGGAAATCGCGTCCATGGAATTCGTTGGCGATCAAAATCTCAAAGGCGTAGTAGATCGGATTCAGGTAGTGAATCCATTCGAACCAAGGATGCATGGATGGGCGCGGCAAGACAAAACCAGTGTAGACGACCAGAGCGAGGATCATGACTCCGGCCAAAGCCATAGCTTGAGATACAGTTTGGGTCACTGCAGCCAAGGTTCTGAAGACGGCGGACATAACGAAGGTGATGATGAAGGTTATCAGGAAGTAGAGGAAGAAGTTTCCAGGTTCTCGTTGGAGGTTGGCCAGGAAGTAGAGAATGATGTTGAAAGCCACTGCAAGACAGAATTTGACCGGGACATCGGCAATGACACCCGCAATAGCTTCTGTGAAAGGATGGTAGAATGCGTAGGAGTTGTGCTTTTCCACAATCGGTCGTTGAGAATAGAGACTGTTGATTTCGGACATGGCTGTGAGGGCGTTTAGTAGAACTGCAAAGAAGAGAGTGGCTCCTTTTTCCTGGAAGCCGGCGGTGGTATTGGGAGCGTCGTAGAACACAGAACCGATAATCAGTGCCATGATGATATTGCTGACAACGGTCGAAACCGTTGCAGCCATATCATTCCATAGTCGTTGATACGCACGCTTAGTATTGAGCTTGATTTGCATCGGGACACTAATAATGTATGGGGACTTTGGCCGAGTGTGCTTGGCTTGCCGACCGCGCTTCTTCTCCTGGAACTCCATAGCAGCAGCGGAATCTTGCTCGAGGGGATACTCCTCCTCGTAGGCAGCGATCTCAGCTTGCATCTTCTTGTGCTCAGGGGAGTTGAGCCATGCATTTTCAAAGTCTTCGGCGGTGCGAGGCACGCGTCCTTCCATTCCGGGTTTGGGTTGACGTTCTCCCGGATTAGTGACAGAAGTAAGGAAATCACCAGTTGTCTGTCGTGGGGGACAGCTCCAGCCTTGAGTTTCAAAATAGGCCTTGGCAGAGGCAGCGGAGCCAAAGAAGATCTCTCGACCTTCATACAAAACAATCACTTTGTCAAAAACATCATAGATGCTTTGACTGGCCTGGTAGGCAGCCACAGCGTGAGAAGCGCCAGTCAGGTCCGAAAGCAAGCGGAGAGACTCGACAAACTTCAGCGCAGTGGCAGAGTCCAATCCACGCGTGGAATTATCCCAAGCAGCCAAAGGGGAAGCAGCGAGGGCCATTTCAGCAATACTGACCCGCTTTCGCTCACCACCAGACACACCACGAATGAAATCGTCTCCGACGCGAGTATTATAGGTGTGGCTGAGACCGAAGACAGCCATTGTCACTTGTGCCATGTAACGGGCATATTCCTCGCGGGACATGCCCTCGAAACGCTGAGAAGGTGTTCTGGTAGCGGCGGCAAATTCCATAGTCTGTCCGACTGTAAGGTGAGGGAAGTGTCTGTCAACCTGCAAAGTGGACAAATGTTAGATGACGAGAACAGAAGAGTAGTCGATCTGGCGTACCTCTTGGTTGTATACCACCTCTCCTTTAAATTCCTTGACCATGCGCGATTGGGGAATTCCTATAGCCTCCCGTTAGCAATGTAGACAGGTCGGCGAGAACAGAAGCTTTTCTCACCATTATAATGAATCACACTGTTCGAGTCAAGTTCCAATCCGTGAGTTTCTCCACACATGGATTTCAAAAGAGTACTGCATCCTGCACCCGGCCGACCGAGAACCAGCAGTAATTCGCCTTTCTTAAGTAGTCCAGAGAAGTCCTTGAGAATGCGCCTCCGTGGAGCATGGGAACTCACGGATCTTCTGTGGCAACCGCAAGGGCGAAGACAGCATTGACGACACGGTCTCTTGAAATTGCAAGGCTGCGCCAGATCCATAAACATTCAGGTTCTTGAAGACAATGCCCATATTCTGTCCCGCTCGGCCATTCCTGCCGGCATCGGTCATGGCCGCAGCTAGCCATTTTTGCAAATTGAATTTGGGAGACTGAGGATCTAGAAAGGGATCGTGTTCGGCGACGGAAGCGAGGCGGTGGGTATGCACGGTAGATTGTCGACGAGATTGTTGCGTTGCAATGCGTGTGAGAGTCTCGATTTCATTTTGTTCAATAAGGGAGATAGGTTCGTAAAGGGGACCATCGGTTTCTGAAGAGACCCTTCCTTCGGAAAGGGTAACTGACGACATCTTCACAAGATAGGCACTTCAGAATGCCGATCTTGGAAATCAAATTGGGCAATATTGGAAGAAGAGAAATACAATGACAAGCGGGCTGGCAAACGATTTAAGTACTGATCGATACTGGACCCAGATCCTTTTCTTTGACATTCTCGCAGAAACCTAAAAATTCCGCACATGGACAGCACTATTGAAGGCATCATTGCACATTCGGCTGTGCTATTGCAAAATCGGCCCCGGGAACATAGTCAATCCCGGAACCTGGACTGGCCGAACTCCACCGCAATTTCATGCACTGCCATTTGCCTCGGCCGCCCTGTACCCGAGCCGATAGACTCCACTAGGGTCGATCTGCGCTGTTCGATTGGTTGAAGAAGACTCTGATCTGTTCCGATGACTCAGCGGATGCTCACCCAGCTCAATTCGGACGAATTTGACACCGTTTCCGTCCGGGGACGGACGAGACTGTCGCACAACGGTGAGGATTGCGGTGGATCCAAGACGATTATAGACCCGTCACCCCCCACAGCTCGCAAGGCCCATGACTATCCAAGTTACACAACTACGGGCTTCTATTACAAGGCTCAAACGTGAGGAGCATAATCCCATCCATGTTGCGGAGAGATCCATCAACGAGAAAAGTCCAGTCGCCCGAGTGCTTTTAAGAGCGACAATGGATCATCCGTGGAAAATGGATCCAAGGGTCATGAACGGCCGTGCCTGCACTGCCTAGATGCCTAGGGGAGCCTAAGGTGCTAGACCTTCATCTCGATCCATGCATTGTAAACTTCCCAAGTGGAGCTCGTCTTACGGCTAGTGCAAAGATTTCACAAAGTCCAGTTGCGAGCAAACGAACAGCCCAGGTGGTTTCTCAATCTCTAATTCGACATATTCATGCACTATGACAGATGTGGAAAGGATGCACAACATTTGAGCTCTGGCGTTCCAGGCTAAGATCGCAACCATCGCCCCGCTGATAGGAGACCTCCGCTTGGATGCTCAAAAGTACAGTAGATTAGCCGTTGAATGACGTTGAGACCTGAGATCGGTGCAGTCAGAGCTCCAGTATCCGCCTCCCAAGAACTTGGCATCATAACGAACAAGTATTGAGGCTGGCCACGCATAAATCCGTGTAGGTCTAGAATTATGCGCACAATGACGACATAAAAAGTACCGCTGAGTAAGCGGATATCATGCCAATCCCAAATCCCATGGATAGGTTTCGGGTCTTGCCTCATCGGTAAGATCGTATCCCTGTTAAAGAGAGTCTTCAAGATAAGCTCTGTATGATCCAAATCACCTGTGATGTAAGCGGACCATGACCGCAATAGGAATAGGTCCGAACACACAGCCGCGATTTTAAATCCTCAGACATTTGTGAAATCACGCAGATAAACAACATGATAGAAAGATGTCTCAAAAAGATCCTCGCTAGAGATCTACAATGACATCTGGGAAGGTGGGGGGATGAAGTGGAGACTTATGTCTTCTCGGCCCATATCATCTTATCGGTTGGGCTAGACGAGTTGTGTGAGGCTACTGGCGCTTTGACAAACTCGACCATTTCAACAGCTTACAAAATCACTCTATTGCGGAGTTTTGCTGACATCGTGCTGGTACTGGACATTACGTGGTCTGTGTCTAATGGTGGAACAATGCGAGACGCCAGCCTCCACGCCTTGCGCAGCCTTGCGTCCAGGTGGTCTGAGGCCCGCATGGCACGCCTGATAGGCCGACCCTGTCTATATAGCCCGATATTCCCCGCACGCAGGAGATAAACTCTGAAAGCTATCGCCCTTCATTGCTACCATGACTAGCTTCAGAGTGGTTATCGTTGGGGGTAGTATCGCTGGGCTCACCTTAGCCAACATACTAGAGCGATATGGCATTGATTACATTGTTCTCGAGAAGCATGATGATATCGCACCACAACTCGGAGCGAGCCTAGGCTTACTACCCCACGGATCGAGGATTTTAGACCAGTTGGGGATCAATGACAAGCTGAAGACCCATGCAGTGCCGGTGCAATATACCATTGACTTTGGTCCAGATGGGCACCAGTTGAAGGCCGCGGAGAAAATCGGTGATCTCATGGAAGATCTGTCAGTGAATTTAATCTCACCTTGTTAGTCGAGCTGACCATGTGCGGGGTAGACTTGGATATCGCATGTGGTTCATGGATCGGCAGCACATGCTACGGGCCTTGTACGACAACTTGCAGGACAAATCCAGGATTCATGCTTCTATGGAGGTCCTCAACATCCAAGAGCTGGATGATGGCGTGCAGGTCGGGATGAAAGACGGATCTACAATCCGTGGAGATATCCTCATTGGCGCCGATGGAGTACATAGTCGCACGAGAACTGAGATGTGGCGCCTTGCGGACATGGAGGAACCCGGTTTTGGCACAACACGGATGAAAAAGTGTATGATTGTCTCCTTTTGCGATTTATTGACAATGCTGAAAGTGGCCTCTCAGCAATCTCTTGCACATATAGATGTATTTTCGGCATTTCGAAACGTCCACATGAGACCCTCGACGGAGCAGCATATAAAGCCTTTTTCAGGGGTAGGTCTTATCTTTGTCCTATGGGACCCGACAACAAAGCGTATTTCTTTGCATTTTTCAAAAACCCCGAGACCAAGATTCATCAGGATATCCCGCGCTATTCAGAAGACGAGGCAAATGAGTTAGTCGCTGCCTATGCCAATGACCACCTATTCAACGGTCATACATTTGGCGACATTTATGAGCGTCGCATGAGTAGCGTGCTCGTGCCCATTGAAGAATTCGTGCTCGAAAAAGCTTCCTACAAAAGAGCCGTACTAATCGGGGATTCTTTCCACAAGGTACATATGCATTGCCATACCGAGCGGGATAAGACGATTAAAATTGCTCACTTGGTTGCAGATGAATCCATTGACAGGACAAGGTGGAAATGCCGCAATCGAGTCCGCAGGATTCTTCTGCGATCTTCTGAAAGAAGCACTCGAGGAGAGTCCATATCCGGATTATGATAGAATCCAACGCATCTTCCACGAGTATGAAAAGGAACGCGGTTCCAGATCAAAAAAGATGATGGAGAATGTCAAGAAGATTCAACGCATGGAAGCTCTTGATACCCCCTTCCAGAGATATCTTCAGCTCAATGTCGTTTCCAAGCTGGGTGGCTTGCACATTGCTCCGCTTCTCGCATCAGGTTCTACGCCTGGGCGTACACTGCGATACCTACCGAAGAGTACCCGGCCATCTGGAGCGGTCGCATTAAATGAGCAAGTCCAAATAAATGCACATGACCGGTCGACAACAGCAACTGTGTTTTGGATGGGGTCGATGCTTTTTGTTGCATTGCTTAGCTCGCTTCTGTCTCGAAGACAGGGTATTGGTCGGGGCCTGGACTATGGACCTGGGCCGTTGCAGGTCTACAAGTCTTTCATCACGATCGCCATCAGTGGGTTCTGGGCAGTTGAATCATATCGACCAGGACTCCTCATCTCACCCCTGTTCAGGTACGTGGCTTTTGATAATCAACAGATAGAGTGTGATCGCTAACCGTCCTAGCTCAATCCCGTATTTGGTTGCCTCGTTTGCACTTGGATGGGAGATTGTCTTACCGGTCTATTTCGCTATCCACATCTACATGAGCGGACAACAACCATTCTATTATCCTTCCCCCAGAGCCATTAATCTCTGGGCTGCGAAAGCCCTACCACTTGGAATATTGACCATATATGTTCCAACTGTGGCTGCTGGTGCCGCCATTTTAGGACAGAATCCAAAGAAGAAAGGACCTATCGGAGGGGAACAGATGATACTGGCTGTCCATGCTAGTCTTCCCCTTCTTCTTCACCTTGGCAAGCACTTCTTCCAGATCGGCGCCAAGGAACTCTCAATCAGTCAGATGCTTTTTGGAGCCCGAGACACGAGATACATATCACGCTTCTTTAATATTATGATTTTTGTTTCCAGCACGTCGCATTTGGTTCTCGCGAGCATGTTCTTCCCCCGAAACGTGTCTGATATTCGCAGCTTGACTATCACACCCTCAGTTCAACTTGTGCAGGTCGGGTGCTTGACTCTTGCTGTTGTGGTGTGGTGTACATTTACAATTTGGGATATGCGCCGCGTGAACCTAACCAAGGCTTCACCTTTGTTGACGCTCATTTCTACATTACTTGCTAGCTTCATCATTGGTCCTGCTGCAGTTTTCTCTGCCCTGTGGAAGTGGCGTGAGGCTGTTTTAGAGGAGGGCAGGCAGAGAAAATGAGGTACTGTAATTCAATGGAAAGATCAAGCCCGAACGAAGTAATATTCAGCCCGAATACACCAGATAAGAGAGTGGATAAAATTTTAGGCGGTTAGTAATCTGCGGCTCTTGCGAAACTAGGACGTTGCCTGTGCCTTCAGGTGTGTAATTGGGGGCCAAAAACAGACAATTTAAGTGCGGAGTTCCCCATCCACAAACAAAAATCAAACCCATTCAAGAAGATCCCAGCCCAAAAATGGCGTCTAGCACACCGTCTTTTGGAGCTCGACTCTACACAGGTATCTCTGTGACTCTCCTCACCCTGTGGGTTACAACCGCCCTAGGCTTCACTGCCCTCGACATCCTGAACACAAGCCGCAGCCTCGTGGAACCAATCGCCTCCGTCAGCCTGTTAACCTATCTGATCTGCCGCTTGATTGCATTATTGCAGCCCACCCAAAATGATTCCATTGCGCACCTGCTCACCGCACCCCGCCACTCTCGTCGGGAGGCATTCGCGATGCTCCTGTTTTGCGGTACCTGGCTGTACGAACTGGTCTACAAAGCCATGCTGATGTTCTTCATGACCATATTCGGTGGGGCTATCGCCGCAGCTATCTACAATGATGGATTTGAGTCTACAACGGAACAACAAACTCATCCAAGCGATTCGGATGTGGCTGGGTCTGCGTTGGCAGAGATTGATGAATTCAAAGAGATGGTGGGCATTGACCCGGTTCAACTCTTTAAGCGGATTCCTCCCCAATTTTTGGTTTATTTTGCAATTTTTGCGTGGATAAACTTTGGGTCTTTGACTCTTTATGTCCTTCGGCTTGCGTGGAAGTCGGTGAAGGTTGTTTTGGGTTCGCCATCGACTACTATCTCCCGGGAGAAAACAATAGGTTGACTGATGATGTTCTCTCTGTTAATGTGGTTCATACCCGTGTTTTTGGTCCAGAGATCTCAAAGCACTCAAAATATAGAGCTATATAGCTACAACAGGAGCTATATTTCTTCGTATTGCAATGGGAGAACCTGTGACATCAGGCATCACAATTATCTGAGTGCCCTTCGACGAGGCCACACTGGTTCCAGCTAAGAATTGGAAGGATTAGAGTGGAATTGAGCAGATTTATGCAAGAGATTGGGTCAATCTCAGGGAAATAAGAAACGAGCAATCATAGATAATAAAACTTACAAAGTTCCAGCATGAGAACCGGCGCCGACATCGGCAGCGGCCGATCTTTCAATTGACAATGTTTCATTGAGAAAGCACAAGCACGAAAATGCGGTGGTTTGTCCCTGGCGATTTAAAGGATACTCCCAAGGTGCACGGACGTATCCAACTTCAATAGTGAAATTAAATTATCATCTAATTTCCAAGTCAATGCTGCCATCTGCATTCCCTTAAGCTATGGGTCTCTAGAAATCTACAATAGTCGCAAGAGCATATGTATCTTTGTTCTCTACCGCATAAAATTTTCATTCACGAGGAAAAGTCATGGTCACAGGTTACATCGTGCCTGGATGATCTAAATCGTTCTACCGCTAAATGTGGCAACTTTTAATCTATCTTCGTAGACAAAGTATTATTTATGAAAGTTATTCGCATGCCTTGTTAAAGCTGGCTTATCAAGTCACCGGGCAAAAGATCAATTGCCATTATAATCGTTCGCATCTTGTGCTTTCTAAGAGCCCGAGGGTCCTCGTCAGTTGTCGAGATGTCTTCTTTCTTCAACTCGATCAATGCTAACCCCGAATGAGGAACAAGCCCAAAGTTCCGTTTTAGATGACGGTACCCTTGACTTGTTTCCTGTCGACATTGTAGTTCTTCCACATGGCAATCGCCGGGAAAGCAAGAACAACGAGACAAGCTGCCGTGATGCACTCGTACTTCTGGCTATAAGCCCATGCATAGTTGATCGCATTCCTTGTCTCACTCCCTAGAGGATACGCCAGTTGGGCAGCTGATCCACCGGCGTAGATAGTGGCGTAATCCTTCTTGGTCGACTCTGGAAGGGCTCTGAGTAATGCTTGAGGGAACGTATTAGCATAGATGGCGCTTGCAACGGCGTATCCAATGGCTCCACCGACACTCGAAGACAAACTAATCATGGCAATCATCAATGGGACACCGTCACGGTCAGCGGCAGCCATGACGGCCATTTCATCCCCGATAATAAGGGTTCCACCCCAAAGGCAATGAAGATTTGACACATCACCAGGTATCCAATATCACTTTGTGAGCCTCGGAAGTGGATCATGAGAGCTGCACCAAGCAACAGTAGTGGCGCACCGAAGAAGAGACAAACATTCTTGAAGTACTTGGTTTTGCGAATCCAAATGCCAAATAAGACCGCCCAGATGGTTGATCCAACGCCGTAAATCTGTGTCATGTATCCCGTCTTGGATGTGTCGAGGTTGTAAACCACTTGCACATAATAGTAAAAGTATTGATCCCACGTGTAGAAGTTGAAGAAAATGATGGCCGCCAGGATACAAGCTCCGAGAACTGTGCGCTTTTTGAACAACTCCCATCGGATGAAGGGGATTCTGGCCCAGTAGGTCTCCCAAAAAGCAAAGACCGGGAAGAGTAGTAGTCCAATGACTACCATAGCGATAAAAGTCGCGGAAGAGTACCCGGTAAAGCCGTAAGTTTGGAGGCTGAAGGGCAGGAGGAACAAAATGAACGCAGCCATTAGAATGAAAGCACCAACGATGTCAAACTCATGGATGTAGTGGACGATAGACTGGATCGTGGTTCGTTCGCTTGAGGTGTGCGTAAAAAGTCCCAGTTTCTCGGCTTTACGTTGGTAAAATTTAAAAACGACGGCGAGCGGCACAAAAATGATAAAGGTGATGATGGCGAAACCTCCGTAAGACCAGCGCCAAGTTGAATGAATGACGAATTCCTGGGCGATGATGGGCCCAGCAAAGGCTGTGCAGATGGTCGGCGTACCGATGAAGGCATAGACAAAGGCTCGATTCTTCAGTCCGGATGCGTCAGCGACAAACACGGAGAGAATGAAATTCAGGGCCGAATAGCCAATCCAGTATAAGGTGTAGCCAGCCGCGAATCCATTGGGACCATCACAGGAGGCTATTACGATCAGTCCAATGATGAAAACCGCCAAAAATGTCAGGAACCCCTCAGTGCGGCCCCAAATGTTTAGAGTCTTTGCAATGGGAAGTTGAAGTACTCCTCCCACAATGGTCGACACTATATAAGCTTGGGATATTTGCGGTGCTGAAGCAAACTCTGCGTATGCGTAGTAGATCATGTTGTTGCTAATTGACGATTGCATGGACAGGACGAAGAAGCACAACCAGATCCTGTAAAGGGTTGTCCTGTGTTAATCTCGGCTAAGGCTCATGGGCAAATGAACAACTGCACTGATCCATTTGATGGAACAATTTTAGTCCTTCGGGAGACACACCAGGCATATGTGCCATACAGGGCTTTCCTGGACCATACCAGAGCAACAGCTTCAGCTTTCTGAATCCCAGCCTGCGCGTGATGGGTAACCTCATCGGGGTGCTCAAGCACTTCTCTCACATCCCTCTGTTCTAAGCTCTGACCATCTGCATTTCCCTGCGCTTCCAGCGTGACCGTTTGTATGCCAACAGCGTTCTCGGCTTTGTCTGTATTGTGAAAGGCCATTATGTTGGCCCGGTTCTGGCAGCTGCGAGGATGTTCGAGGCTCGAGAGTGGAAGCGTAGAGACGAAAAGGGGAGCGACCAGGCCGGCTTGACCAGCTGTTTATAAATGCATGCGGATAACGAGGGCCAGGGGTTCTCTCTCTGTTTAGCAAGCATCTGAGCGCTTTTGATCTGCATATGGTGGCCCGCATAAATCCCCTCAACTTGAGGGGCGCCTACACATCTGACCGCAGCTCAGTGAGTCTACTCCACACATTTCATCATAGTCTTAACTAATCCCATCAGCCGAAATCAAGCTATTCGTGTGATGACTATTTATGGCTTGGTGCCATTCAATGTCCTTCATCCTTGACCCATCTGTTTGAAGGAGACTAGAAAACAGAGTCTGGTTCGGGTCGAATTGCTTTATTCATACTTCCGTCAATTTTATCCTCACGCACGATGTACCGTAACTGCACCTTCAAAGTCCTTACCTTTACAACTTCAACCAGCCCGACCCGCACCATCAATGGTACTGTGTCAGATACACCTACCATGCGGCATCGTTCGCTATCGAAGCCCGGCTGGTGTCGAGGAAAGAACATTTCAACTTGGCCTGTGAACAAGTCACCTACCCCGTACGAGGTTATGGAAATGCGACCAGGCAATCAGTACTCGAAATCGCGGTTTTACAGCCTTGTCAAACTATACCATCCCGACAGTGTGGCAAGTCCGGCCAGCAACAATTTAACAAATGAAGAACGGCTGGATCGATACCGTCTGATTGTGGATGCCCATCACCTTCTCTCCGATGACACAAGACGATCTGCCTACGATACATACGGCCTGGGCTGGAGTCTGAAGAGCAGTCCAAGACCCAGGATGTCACCGTATGATGGACCCTTCCGTGGAGGTCATGGTTATTCTGGTAGTTCTGGTGATTCTGAGGACGAAGAGATCATCTGGCGCCTCTTATTTCGCAACAGAAGATTTCAATGTCTGCTTTTGGTGGTCCTTTCGTTTGCACAAGCGTGTCTATTCCTAAGCTTTGTCGCTCAAGTGCAAATGGAGACACAGCGAATGGATCAACTCTCCGGACAACTGTTACGTCGCCACCAGGACCGAGCTCTCAGCACAAAATCCTTCATGGCCCAAGCTGAACGGCTACTACTGAAAAGAGATCCATCTGGCCTGGGGTTAGCTCCATTCGAGGAAGCTTTCTATCGAGAGATGCTTCCGTACTGTGCCTACAACGTATACTAGTATATAGATTTGTGCTCGGTTTTCTGGAAATTCTTTTCATGTGAAAAGCGTCAAGGGTGATTTTCTCACCATGCGACAATTGTGCCCTTGGACTCTCAAGATCGCGTGGCAATAGTGTAAGATCCGAATGCTATTCTGAACACCAAAAAGTGCTAGTCGATCATAAGAACATTCCTGCGCTTGAGAAGTTTTGAGAGTTTATTTCCGAATTCGGAATGGTGGAGTAAGTGGAGTCTGGGCACTCGGTCCAGTAGCTGTGATTTGGAGCATGCTGCTCCTCCCGCTCGGCCCTGAGAAACGCGGGTGGAGTAAATCCCATAAACCCTGCCAAGAAATTTGGCGTGATTATGTTGTGAGACCATGTGATCTCGCGTGGTGGCTGCAATTTTGAGCAAATTTGAGGTTATAGATAGCCAACAGATCATTGGAGTGTCTTTCTGCGTAAGGCGCAACGAGCTAAAGAGTGGTTGTCACAATGGTCATATAATCACGTTCCAAGGAATAGGTGCATCTGGGGGGACAATAGCTCAGGATACTGTCTACATAACTGTTTTGAATTGAATCCTTCGGGACAGGTGGAAATTGATAGAGATACCCAATCTATTCACACCCCAAAATCACCATGTTCGATCCCATACCCCATTGTGAATCATACAACACGTTGAACCTCAATATACGTTGGCCAAAGCATTACGAATCTCAGGATGATAGTCACCCAGTAGAGCTTCGGCACAATCCCGGCACAAGCAAGAAGACTGAGGATTTTTGTTACATTACCAGAATCCCCACGTGAGTATAGTACCAAGAGTACCCTTCCACTTTGTGTTCAAATTTTCCATTAAAGCGGCCCTCGCATCGTCACAAAGGCCTCTGGACCCGGAAACAACAATTCCGACCGTCTCCCGTCCCGCCTCCATCTCATCCTTAAGCAGCTTCGACAGATGTAATCGATGACCAATCTGCAAAGCAGTGCCATTGAACTCATCCAGAGAGAGATAGAGAGGAAGGGAGAGAGTGAGGGAGAGAGAAAGTCCTTCTAGACTATGATACATCTCCTTTGAGGCGATGTGTCAGAGTTACCAATGGCTGCTAGTGGGGTAGATATGAATACTTACAAGATACCTATTCTCGGCGTTTAAGTCCGATTTCTACTTCAAGAAAAAAATAGTTATCCTTGTCCCTTGGATAATGTCTAACGAGTGGAAGAGGCTAGTAAGATGGATCTATCATCATCTTTCTATATTACCCTCTTCTTCCCTATCGCCAGAGTAAAAATCTTCGATAATCATAACATTATAGCTTAGTAGCCTTTATGTACTGATAGACCTCAATTCTCGCCCCTCAAGGTCCTGGTTACTGTTCGATATTCTAACTCTACGTTAGACAGGAGGATTAATTCTTTCCTAGTGATTCTTCCTTCTCTAGGGGGAGAGATCAAGACTGCCATTCTAAATCGACCTTCATGTGTGGCCGTCCGCACCTTGATTTTCCCGGCAGTACGACTATCACAGTGTGTGACAACCGTCTCGGGTGTCAATGGCTCGTGATGAAGGAAGAATTACATTTAACTTTGATTCTGTGGGACTACACGGAACCAGGAATCGCATCATGACAAGACAACGCAATGGACTCCACATCATAGCATCACCACGCAATAGAGCTGTAGAATTATGATTGTGCACGTTCCAAGAAGCAATCACCCGCTACAACTCTCAAGCTGGTGCATCGTGCGATTTCATTTGACTTCTGACCCTTTACTAGACATATATGGCCTTGCAAGAATAGAGTGGCTATGTCCGCTTGTAACGACATGAACCATCTTGGATATCTTGAGCTTCGCCAGGACTTCCCTTCCATCTCATAGATCTGACATCCTATAGGAGTTCCTCCATAGAAATCAAAACTTCAAATATCGAGCAACGGCATGACCGACACTTTACTCCAGTAATCCATCATCAGCATCGACCTCTTTCACAATTGCGACCCCAGCACTAGTCCCGATACGGTGGGCGCCCGCTTTGATTAGTTTCATGCAGTCGCTAGCAGACCGAATACCTCCACTGGCTTTGATCTTGGTCTTCTTGGTTCCACACCGATCAGCAACAAGACGCATTATGGTGACATTTTCCACAGTAGCACCACCGCCCTTAAGCCCGGTACTTGTCTTGACAAAATCCACTTCCGCCGTGCAGCAGATCACAGTAGCAGCAATGATCTCGTCCTCGTTAAGTTGGGAAGTTTCGATAATTGCCTTGAGAATCACCGGTGGAGGCGCAGCCTTGCGCACAGCCAAGACATCCTCATAGACCGCCGTGTACTTGCCCTGCTTCAACATCGGATAGTTGATAACCATGTCCAGCTCCTTAGCACCCTGTGCCACGGCATTCTTGGCCTCCTCCACTTTCTTGGTTGTTTCGTAAGTACCCTCATGAAAGCCGACAACGCAGGCCACGGCTGTCTTTCTTGCATCTTTGAGTTTCTCAACGGCCCGAGGAACGTTCTCTAGACGGACACAGACGGAAGCGAATTCGTGTTCCAAGGCTTCCTCGCAGGTCTTGTCTATCCGATCTGCTTCGACGCCCACGGTCAAGAGTGTGTGGTCGATCATCCTGGGATTTCCGATGGGATTGCCGGCTGTGCGTATGTTCGGGCTGGCAACTCCCCTCGCAAATGGGTGATTAATTCCGCCCATTCGGCGTTTGTCGAAGGAATGGATGTCATGTTAGGTGTCTTCGGTCATTCAAGGCCCAAAGAATTGTCTTTACTTGCTTCCCAACGAGGGGAAGAAGAGGGGTACCGTCACGTGAGGGTGTTGGGCTCATTCCATGATGAATATCCAGATTCTATCCTACCAGGGTCTAACACTGGGCCAAGGCAGTGATGTGTGACATTTGCGGCGTTGCCCTGGATGTCTTGATTGTTGATCAGCGGTAAATCCATAGATATTAATGGGAGCCGATAGCCAGATAACAAAATACAGATACCCTAATTGATGATTTTTAGATTACTCTGATGTCCAGTCATGGAGCAGAACTAGAATTGCGCATATATTTAATTGCATGGTTCACCATGACGATACAATTTCAGACCACAGGTGGAAGCCGTTGCGGGCACTTTCCTCAAGTCTTCGCTCTCGTCTTTAGTATCTCACAAAAGAATGAAAATCTTCTCATCCACGGCATGAGCCACTACCACACTCCGGGCCTCGGACATCGTCCACTCTACCGATGCGTCGGCCAGGACCCGACCCGGGACCGGGAGGACCACCGCCACCACCACCGCTTCCACCCCAGGTGCCTGAGCTGACACCAAATCGAGAGCCAGATTTCGACGCGGTTTGACGGTTGTAGACATTAAATTGGGAAGCTTGGGCTGCGGCGTAGGTATCGAGCTGTGAATTCTCCGAAATTAGCATCTCTAGGCGGCAAAGAAGAGGGAAATAACCAAGGCCTCGCAAAGCGCAGGCACCCGGATCAAGAGGGCTCCTCATACCGAGAATAGGCTCACGAAGTACAGCCCGAGGAAGGTGTAAGCACTCTCGAAGAAGCGAACGGCGCGAACGGAGAGCGGCGGGCTATTGGTGTCGCGGCGAGTTAGCAGAGTCCTTCGTCAGGCTAAACCGGGTACTAGCTGGTCCGAGTAGAGACCTCACCTCTGGAGAGCCCGTCCATTGGAAAAGTAGGTCTGTTGGGGCTTTTGGGAAGACATGATGGATGGGAGGATGGAAAGAAGACGCACGAGGAAGTTGAGGTGGAGTTGGCCTGGTATCGGGGGCCGATAAGGCAGCGATCTCCCGTCAGCCGCAAGAGTTCTCTATGATTATGCCTACCTCTACGCTCCGTCACCCAAGTGTCAGTTGTTTTGAAGACGGAATCATCCAGGTGATTAAATTTGGGCTCTGCGCCGAATTTTATGATTCTTCAACTAACGCTATAGTAGAGACCTACGCTTGAGTCGTGATATTTCACATTGCTTGTAACACTTGAAGCAAGTCTCACATGTTGAACATAATACAGCATCTCATCCTTCCACATCCTCTTCGTGCTCATCAACAGGTTTCATGTCATCATCCTCCACAGGTGTACCGCGTAGCTGGGCTTCGATGCGCTTAATGCGCTTTTTTTCCTCATGAGCACTCGTATCACCGAATATAAGATCCATGTCTTCAAGGGTCTTTCCACGTGTCTCCGGAATGCAAAAGAACGTAAAGGCCAAAGCCAGGAGACAAAATGCTGCGAAGAAGATGTAAGTACCCCACGTGATGGTATCGAGCATGTCTGGAGTCACGAGGCCGATGATGCTATAGAGATAATTAGAAGAATCAATGCCAGGGCGAGGAAAACTAAGCTCACAAGTTACACATCCATGTAGCAGATGTCGTAATAGATATGGCCTTCGAGCGAATCGACAAGTTGAAAATCTCCGACGGAAGCACCCAGCCGATGGGCGCAAATGAGTACGAAAAGTTGACATCGTAAATGTATATGAATGCGATTGCTGCGTATCCGGCAGACTTGTTTGCGGACAAGCTGGAACCATATCCACCGAGAATACCCCCGACGAGAACAAGCGAGATGCAGGTCCCTGTGGCACCTGCCATGAGAAGAGCGCGACGTCCGAGCTTGTCGATGAAGAAGAGTGCTGGGAGAGTACTGAGGCAGTTGACAATGCCATATACACCAGTGGCGAGGAGTGAGGTGGTGTTCCCGTCCATACCCAGCATTCCAAATATCGTGGGGGCGTAGTATATCATGGCTGGAATGAGTTAGAAACCACTCGGGAAGTGAAAGCAAGCGGTTGTGCTTACCATTACATCCCATGAATTGTTGGAAGAACATAACGCAGCAACCTATAGCCAACCGCTTGAAGCGGGGCCAACTTGTCACTAGTGAGATGTACTAGCGTACGTTATGTTAAATTGGAAAATGAAAAGGGGCGTAGGACCGTTACCTGGGCAGCATGTAGCTTGAAACCTGACAGATTGGGGAAATACTCCCGTGCAAAGGTGTTCTCAAGCATGATGGACGCCCGAATCTCTAGATATTCATTTTGAAGAAGAGGACTATCCCGCGGCTGGCGACGCAGTCTTGAAAGAGCATCGAGACATTCATCGTCGTGCTCCTTCATAAGTAGCCAGCGGGGCGAGTCGGGGAAAAACAGCATTCCAATTCCTAGAATCAGTGCCGGGGCTATCTGAATTGCAAGCGGGAGTCGCCATGATGCCTCGGATTGACCAGTGCATCCGCCAACGGGAACATCATGGTATGGGTCAAAGGAAGGCTTTGAAGGGGTTCCTCCTGTGTAAGGGGTATTCGGCGCACAACGCGAGCCTCCAATATAGTTGGTTCCATAGTCGATCCAATAGCTGACCAGAATGCCAACTGTCACGGACACTAGAAAGGATTAGCTGAGCCATCCAAGAATAGTCATGTGGTATCGGAGGCTCACATTGTTGTATTACAACAAGTCCTCCCCTAATTTCCGGGATGGATACCTCTGAGATGTATAATGGGACCACCATAGTCAACATGCCAATAGCCAGGCCGGCAATTGCTCGACCTAGGGGAGATTAGGGGAAATGTCAAATTCACCATGAGAGACATACCAGCAAAGAGCATTGGGATATCGACCGCACCGCATTGAATAGCAGATCCAATGACGAAGATCACAACAGCCACATTAATTGATAGCTTCCGCCCAATTCGATCGGCAACGGGCCCATTGATCAGAGACCCAGCCCATGCAGCTAAAACCATGTCAGAAAATTTCATCTTCAGGTTTTTCAGGAGATCTCACCAAGTAATAGAGTTGAGACGAACCATCCTTTGAACCCAGAGTCACTGTATACTCTTGGAAATGCAGCGCCAAAGCTTTCCATCGTGATGACACCTGAGATTACGCCCTGGTCATATCCAAACAAAAGACCACCTAGAGTCGAGAACTTTTCGAGTCAGCAAGTTGTGGTTCTCACAGGAATGACACTTACTGATGCCACGCCACATAGATATGGGTTTTCGAGTACTAACTTGAGTCCGCCCTTCGATGGGCGATCTATAATGGAACCCATACTTGTCATGAGAGCAAGAAGCTAGAGCACAACAGAATACACAGCACCTCGAAAGCCAGTTCTTTGTCGTGACTTTATACTCATCACCCCCACGCGGGAAAATCGAACCTTGCGCCAAGGATCACAGTACTCCGAATGTCGGGATCACCCCGAGTTCGAGGTTCGAGAAGCATGGCAAGGCAAGGAAAGCCCAACAAGAGACGGAGCGATGTGCTCCGACATTTACCCCACAAAACTCGAAAACCTGGGGAAGATCGGAGGCCGTTATTTGCTGGATGGACCGACGAGATTTAAGTTGTCAGGTTGATGCGGGGAAGCTTCCCAGTTCCCCTGAGCCCTGGGCCCTGAGCCCTGATAGCTGATCCCTGATCCTTGATCTTTGGCGAGATAAGGCTGGTGACGGTCAAGGTGCAACTGGTGCCCACGGCTGTACCAGCAGACCAGTGGTCAAACACCAACTGGTTGTGTTACCCGGCAATTTAGCGACAATCCCACTCTGACGCTGAAGGGTCTCGAGCGAGAGGAATCAGGAGGCTGGCCAAGTTGTGGGAACTGAATGTTGGTCGGGCAACTTGACATGTGAAGAGTTTTCCATCTCTGATTTCCGTACAATTACTTAGATGCCAAAGGGAGGGTAAGGATATCTATCAGTAGAGTGACGGGATTCAATCTGAGCAGACACGCCATTCAAATCCCGCACGGGTTGTGCAGGTGCAACTTGCACAGTCATGAATCGGTTGATGACAGATCTCATCAGATCAGGCAATGCTACGTCTGACTGCGCTCAATTGCGCGCATTAGTGCATTAGCTCAATGAGGCTCAACAATGCGCAAAATACGCTCACCCGCCGGAGCCGGAGCTTCCCTACCCCTGGTCATATATAGCTAACTCCTGCAAGGAACAATTTGCCAAATACTCGACTCATCCAAATTCCAGTCTCAACCATGACACCCCTGCGCGTCGGTGTCCTCCTCGTGGACTCGGTCCAGCTCCTAGATCTAGCAGCCGTGGACCTACTCTTCATGGCAACCCCTGAATACCTCAAGGAGATAGGAATGCCCAAGCCACTCCAAGATCTAGGCCAACCATGCGAAATCCACTACATTGGCCGTGATGGTCTGAACGCTCAATCCCCAGTGACATCGCAAATGTCCCTCCGCCTGACAGACTCCTTAACCGACGCAGCCGTGGCACCAGGAAGCCTTGACCTTCTCTACATACCCGGACCTCCGCCGAAATCCATGCCACCGTCCATCGAATACCTCGACTTCGTCCGCAAACACGATGCAGCAGCTACGACGATCGTAACAATCTGTACGGGCATCCTAGTTGTCGCCCACGCGGGAATCACTAAGGACAAAACCGCAACAGCACCACGCTTCCTCATCCCATACTTGAGAAACCAATTTCCCGAGACGAAACTATGGAGCGATGCACTACGATTCACCCACGATGGAAACCTATGGACTAGCGGTATATCAATTCCAAGACCAGAACCTCCCACTGTTTAAGAATCCTACTCACTACAAGCTAGGCGGCATAACAAACGGCCACGATCTCATCGCTGCATATCTGTACACCATATACCCGACACCGCTCGTAAACACTGTCCTCGCCGTCGCTGATATTGCACCCCGTCCGCCAGGGTATCAAACCACAACTTTTGGCGATACGATGTACGTCCTGGTTCAGATCATACGAGCGATCCCGAGCTTGATCGCGCAGTTATTCATCAAAAAGTAAGAAGAACATGATTGAAACGAGACAGTGGAAAATTATCAATAGCTCAATCAAAATCGGAAATCTTATCCACATCCAACTCCACATCAATTTTGATTCTGCACGTAAAGAGCGGATCTACCCGATCTAGACCCCCCATCACCCACCGACGTCATCACGAGATCCTAGCATTCGAAACTTCTTGAGATTCACATTCACAGTCACATTCACCCATGAAATTGTTTGAAGAAATACAGTATCCAGAATCCGCGCCTCGTAGATTCTTGATTCCCTATTCCCTATTCGCGTCTCAATCGAAAAAGCTACAATGCCAACCCACCTTTCCATCCTGGTGTCCGGCGCCTCACCACTCGACTACGCGCGCTACCGACACGCTTCACTATATTTCGAATTCGAGAACGAAGAAAGTCTCAAATCTGCCCTAATGGAAGTCGTGGGATCACCGGGCTTTCTCAGTTTCTCAGAACGTGTGAATATCGAGCTTCCTGTTTCTTCTACGGGTATGTAGCACATCAGATTCACGAATCACGGATCACGGATCCCGATGCAGGGTTCCAGTTCGGGGTGCACTGTGCGAAATGCTTGAAAAGCAGCTAATGGATTTTGGAGATATCGCGCGCGTGGTCCGCGTCTGCTCATTATCGGATACAGTGGCTGTATCGTCAATACGACGGACTGTTGCCGAGACGCCGATTATGAATGATGCGGACTGGAATAGTCAGAATTGGGTGGGTGATGCGCTAGCGAGGCTTGTGGAGGCGGGTTATTTGGATGAAGAGGCGGAGAGGAAGGGGTTGGATGAGATGGTTGATGCGGTCATGGAGGCGAGTGATGAGAAGTGTTAACTCTACACTACTTCTCCCTGGGTACCTACTCGGGTACCTGTTTACTTATATCTTATGTACTATCAGTGGTCTTGTCCCTGCATTATAGATCAAAGCATTCGTTGTTGAATTTCTCGGTCCTAATGCCCGAGCAAACAATTTGAAGACGCAGAACGCTCGAACTATGCATCATGCTACCATGCTTGAATAGGGTCATCGGGCAAAAAGTAAGGTGGAGGGAAAGGGTCAAGGAAGGACAAGGATAAAGAGAAGGGCAAGGATGTCCGAAATGGAGGAAGATGCCAAGTCCCATTTCGGAGAGAGGGCAAATTTTGATTCATTACTTTCACCGACGCGAGTCACTTGGTTCCCAGTGAATGGGCTCAAAATCTTGGTTCTGGAAGTGCGCTTGATTGTAGGGGGAGCTTCTCAAAGTAAGAGAATATTAGCGGCGACCAGCAAAGGAGGGAAAGAGGCGCTCACTTTTTAAAAGGGGTGGTCACTGGCAGGGAATGGCTCAGGTTGGGTTTCATCACCAACGGATTCAAGCGGATCTGCGGGCCTTCAGATCTGTTGGGTAGAGTCGTCATTGGGGGCGGGGCCGAAGGCATCACAGGTGGAGGTGATGAGACGGGAACTGGAACGTGATTCTGAAGGGGTGACTGGTACATGTCCTGGGGAGTGGATATTCGGAACGGGCTTGCTGGCGTCTGAGGTACCGATGGAATTGGAGACATGGGCATGCCAAACCCAGATCCGGGGTCTGCCATCAAATTGGGAATGGACATCAAACTTGAGTTAACGTCGAAGGAGAGAGCACCTTGGTCCCAAGGGGTATAGTTTGAAGTCATTCCGTATTGGAGGTTAACCATGGGTGTCATATCCACAGTCTGCTCGGCGCGGTAAAGAAGATCATAGTGGCCACTGAGAAGGTCAGAACGGGCGTTCGGGGCTTTTTGAGGCGCGGGGAAAACTTACGGTCGATAGAGCAGGCGGACAGTGGGTCCATTCGGGGTAGATCCGGAAACCAGCCGGTGAGGCGTCACTGCGTCGCCCTCACTTCGATCAAGGTAGAGAATCTCGACTCCAAACCCGGATCCTTGAATGACACCGTCGAGCAGAGCTTGGAGTCCGACTTGATCGATCTCCGTCTTCAAAGGGTCGATGTGTTTAGCACAGTATTCGTCCAAGGGCCCGGAGAGAAAGGCTTGGTATTGTTGAGGATTGAGTTTCATCCAGGTGCTGGTGAGTAGCTAGAATAAAATTCACAAAGTCAGCGTAGATTGTGTATGTGTGTAGGCGTACATACTCGGAAGTGAGTAATGATGGAATTTGAGTTGAATTCATCATTGAAGGCATTGACCAGGTATGTTTCATCCTGCTCGCCATTCTGGATAGCCGCCAAGGTTTGTGCGAATGCATCTTCAGTGGCATCCACAAAGATCTCGTATAGAGTGGGGTCGAGGCCGACCTGAACAAGCAATGTATTAAGCGATTCAATGCGACTCATTTCACGCTGAACACGTATGGGGTCTCGCAGAGCGTAGAGGGTTTCGAAGTATCCAAAAGTCACCGCTAGAATCATCAGATAGACTCTCTGTCGAACAGACGAAGGACATACCGCGCCAACCACAATTCCCATCGCCTTTCATGATGCGGGTCATCGGGTGGGTAATTGCAAGAGCCTGTGTGCGTTAGTATGACCGCGTCTTCAGTCGACCACGATAGCTAGGTAGACAAACACTTGTCTTTGTAGCAAGAGTCGGGTCGGCATTGGCATAGTCCATAGCAATGCTATGACTGGACTGCTTTGTTGAGACTAGGGGCCCCTGAATCCGTCAGCCTCTATCATGCACAGGATTGAGACATCCTACCTGAACATCCGGCTCGAACTCATTAGACAGCTTCTGGAAGCGCTCCATCTCATCCAACGGCAAGGCGTTCAAATTGGCGTTACTCATGGTGGGTCCCGGGGCAAAAGCCGCAGAAATGGAGAACCCTAGTGGAGGAAGAAGGGAAGGGGGGAAAGCGTCCCGGTAATAGTTCTGTTTTTCCGGGAAAGGATGGTGAGGACCGAAATGACTCCAAGGTTTTGATAAGGACATCGCATACAGCCTGGGAAGGTTTTAGGAGCTCAAAGGCATCTGGGGGAGGGGAATATATTAGCCATGGACCGTGATAGAGGGCGGATATCAAAGGCCACACCAGCAGAGAGGTCCGGATATGCGTCTTGTGCAACCCCGAGTGGTCCCGACAGACTGGGTCGAGGCAACTATAGACATAAAATCAGCACGATCTCACGAATGCAGATGTCGAACAAGATATTTGGTGGCTGTGTGACTGGCTCCCCCGGATACTACGATGATTGGACGAGACAGAATTGTGACGAAGGGTCTAGAGCAAGAGACTGATCATCCGGGAACCCGGCCAAGACCGTCACATTGAAAGTGCGCCGCAAATGATGTCAGCGATGATCGGGGGGGAGCCTTCAACGGGCAAGTGGTGGGCAGTACGGGAGGATCATCAAGGCTGCCGTGTCAAGGGATGCACGAACCATCCTGGGCTCCACCGTGTGCAGGGATAGCAAAGGCTCGGATCATGTCTCCGGAGAAGCATGCGGGTACAGAGGGGATGAAGGATGGGCAACACATGCCGAGACCAGACACCAGAAACCAGAAACCAGAAACAACAGCGATCGGGGGAGCTCAGACCTTTCTCAACTAGCTTTCACGGGTCATCCAGAGTGGAACACCGAGACCGCGAATGGGGAGTGTTTCCAGGCGGTTGGAAACGGGAAATGAGAAACGAGAAACGGCAAACTCAAGAATGGCTGGTCCAGTTTAAAGGAAGGTGGAAGGTTGAAGGTTGAAGGTTCAAGGTCAGTCGAAGGACGTTTGAAGGTCGAGAAGTGGGGAGCAAAAACGATAAGCTAGCAACTAGGGAATCAAGGAACCAAGGACCCAAAGGTATGGAAGGAACCTGAGGACTGGGGGGGGACTGGGGACTCAGGACTAGAGAGAGAGAAGGGGGAAAAAGGGAAACAGGAGGGAGATGAAGTAACACAAGGCCCCGGAAGATCGTGAGTTGTCACCCCTCAGCAAACATTCGATCCTGCAGCGTGGATTTTAGATTTGGGAGTTGGAATTCGGGCTTTGGGATTTAGTAACTCGAACGAGAATTTGGACGTGGCCTGAAACTCTGACCCTATAGACTTGCTCTTCACGTACGCCTCCCCAACACTTCTAATCCAGATCTGGTGTCCATAAGCGCGAGGGAAAAGACCAAAACACAAAAGAAAAAAAATAGAAACAAAAAAAACGAGTGCTCCCCACCGTCTCCCGATCGCCCCAATAGTACTCCCGCTCTATCTCGGATTAATCGGACACGCCCCAAAACTCGGCTAGCCCCTTTACCCGTCTGAAAAGCGGGGGTTCGTGGTGTTTGATCGTGTTACCCCCATGCAAGTTTTCAGGGCTCCATCGCTCGAGGTCTGAGCATCCACATCACATCAGACCTCAGCCCTGAACCGTCACCCGACCATCACCAGGGTTGCTACGTGAGAGGAGTGACTGGGCTTGGGGCTTAGAAGGGGGAATCGTCATCCCAGCAGAGATCATGGGTGTGCGATCTGTGCGGGTTTGCTACGGAGAGCTTCCGAAACCAGCCTCGAGGTACCGGCTGCACTAGGGGTGTGCAATCACCAACTATCTCAGATTGAATGGCCAGATAAAGGTTTCTCAGCTCCCTCGACCTCACACCACCACCCCCTATGCAGACTCACATGCGGCGCGGAGGTCCTTTCCCCATTCTGATCGATAGGCCGCGTAGCAACCCTGGCAGGTCCAGCAGATCCCAGTTATCGGGATTCGGAAGGCCCGTTCCAAGCGCCCTGATCCCGGGACTCAAACTTGATACGTGGATTGAAGGATTAGTATAGCGGTGGACTATTTCGTTCGTAGAGTGAAAGCAAAACAGAATCCTGTGAACTCGTCTCATCGTGATATTGGATTTTAGCTCATGTTGCTACAGACAACTCTAAATTGCGGGTCATAGGTCTTGTAGAACAAGGGAAGAAAAAGAATAGACCGCTCAACGGGCAACGCGAACGGGCCGCTGCAGGCAGCAAAACTCGGTGTAAGATGGGCAATGTGCTCCCACGTGGGTGTGGGTGTTTCTTTGTCGCGGCTCAGCCGCAGGTACGCAATTAAACAGCAAGTTTGCCTCCGAATGGCTTGCCGCGCTCCTTTCGCCGGGTCCGCATGCCCATGGGCCCGTCATCATATCCCGCGAACATGGACCCGGTGGTCTCCTCTGCCCGAAATCCCTCGCCGTTGAGGGCGGTCTGCCACAGGCTATGCAAGGATGAGCTCCACTCCTCCAACGCGCGCAGCCGTTCCACGTCGCTGGAACTCGCTACCTCTACCGTGCCGTTCTCTTGGTCGATCTTGGCATTGAGTTTCTTGTCGAGGATCAGGTAACTCAGAATGTCAAGCACCTCGTGTACTGAGATCTTGATGTGCTTGGAGATGAACTGCAGAGAGAATCGGGTGTAGGGTGCGATCAACTTGAGCACCGCCTTGGTACGCATGTTGCGGCTGACCTCGTCGATGTTCTCGGCAATGAACGGATCCGCCAGTACGTCGGGATGCTTGCTAAGCACCGCCTCGTATGCATGGATGTCATCTCGCTGGAAGGCATCCACCAGATCTGTCATGGCGGATATGCGCGGATCATTCTTGTACGGCTTGGTCTCCTGACTGTCGAAGGGGTTGATATCCGACTTCATCAGCATGGTCGTCAACACCAGATACTTCAGCACTTGAATGCGTTGCATCGAGCCAGCCTCGTCGTAGTTCCGGAACGATTCAAAAAAGTCACTTTGGGCCTCCTCCCAGTTTTCTTCGCTCATGTGCATTTTGCCTCCGCATTCCCGGATGATCCCCATAATCTTCGGGTGGGCACGGCCGACCGCACGCGCAGCGCTCGCTGATAGAGTGCCTTCAAGCGTTTGTTGTTTTTCGTCTCGGCGTACATCTGAATTTCAAGAGCATAGAGTTCAAGCAGGTATGTTCCCTTGCTGGTGTCGTCCGACCCATCCTCGCGTTGGCACGCCCGATGCAACTCCCGCACTTTCTTGCTAAGCTGGCCATACTCTTTCCGGTCCAGCCAGAGTCGAGCCAGTTTGATATTCGTTTTCAACCAGAGGCGTTCGTTGTTGGTATTCTGGAATGAATCAAGAGTGAGCGAGTAGAACTCCTCCATGCATTGATAGGCCTTTGCATCGTCGGATCCCTTTTCGATGTAGTCGAGCATGTTATTGATCGATTTCTCAGAGTAGTTGCGTGTGACGGCGGATTTGACATATGTGAGGAGTTCGCGGTAATGTTCGACGGCCTGTGATGTTAGATGGATCAACACCTGTCGTGAGGACACCACGTACATCGCTGTATCGCCCAAGCTTGAATTCCAGTTTGATTGCCTGTTTTAATCCTTTGAAACCCCTGGTTTTAATCAGTCATGTTCATCTCCATCGAGCATCCGCCACAAACCATTCGCTCTTGTCTTGCTCCATCGCTGGTAACCCCAAGAACTCGTCAACGGCTTCCTCGGGGTTCTCCGCCTTCATTTGCTTTGCATTATAGTATTTGTTCTCAATTCCAATGTCGCCAGACTCGTCATCGTCGGATCCTTCGTAATCAAAGTCGTACCTGCGGGCTGTCAATTTGGGCAAAACACCGGACAGCGAAGGGGTACCCACTCCTCATCAGAGTCTTGCATGAAATCATCATCGTCAGACATGTTCACAGATGTGCAAGGAGAAAAAATGAGCGCGGAAGAAGTTTTGTGGAATGGGAGAGGGTGATGGTGAGTGTCGCGGGGATGTGTTGGAGAAGCTGTGGTTGGAAGATAGTAAGAGCTGCCTCCGCCTTTGCTATTGTAGCTCCCCGCCAAATGGTCTCCGAACCCTGTCCCGACCTGGTAGCCACCACGAATCTGCCAAGGAACTTGATACCATCACAAGTCAAAACGGAGGTGAAATTACTGAGAGAATATACATGCACTTTTGGCCTTAATAGTTGTTAATCTGGAGCCATTTGGACGAAGCATGAACTGTGGACTGTTGACCCGCCCTGTCTCAGTCGAACCTGGGTAGCTCCCTGTTACTTTATCAATAGAACACTGTAGTGCTCTTCATTAAGAAACTCACATCAGTCTGTATCATTGCCCCGGATCTCTAAGTTTAATTGATCATCCCTACCTTACAGTATCCCTGGCTGAGATATCCGATGATTCAATACAAAGTTGCCAATCGAACCAAAGTCATCCCAAACACCTGTAGCTGATCGCTCATTCAAATCAGAGACCGGCGCGAGACAACAGCAGCAGCAGGGACACAGGCCTCCAGTGATCCCAGGAACAGTGATCCCAGGAACATTGCAGTCGAGCTAAGTGGACCAGAAGGGGAAAAGCGTACCTTATTCGCCGATCCCTTCCAGGGCGCGATGTCATCGACTCCGGTGGTGCTGAATTCCTCCCCCGTCTTCTTCCAACCTTCCTCGTGCCTTGTCAGACCTACGCCATTCGCAGTTTCATGACTCATTTTCTATACTATATCACCTCCTCGCGATCACATTGCCCCTTGAGTACCCACCAGTCGCAATGGAGCTGTGCGGGCGTCAGAAAGTCGTACAGCGCAAGATGGTGCTCCTGTCAGTTTACCTCGAGTCTGGACCTTTCGCGCGGATATTGACACCTCCAAAAACAGCGGCGACGGTGCTTGCGGCAAGACTTCTGCGTTGAACGTCTTTACAAGAGGGTGCGCTCATTCCCCTTTCCCCTCCCCGAGCTGCCCCCGCGTCTCCGAAACAATGCTAATCATTCCCTTTCAAAAGATTCTTCCCTACGGTTTAGTAAAAGCCTCCTCTATCACTCCACATTTGACAGATACAGATCATAGGCACTAACCACTTTGATCTGCTGCTCAGTGAACCTACGGTCTTTGGTATGCCCCACCCCGAGCAGAAGGTGGAATGTGTCGCTAATCACATTAACAGAAAACTACGTCCACGGTATGCCATTCGTTCTACTCGCGCACGTCTGATTCTCACGCGCTTAGATATCTTCGTCGACAATGTACATATGGAACTGTCGCTATGGGATACGGCTGGTCAGGAGGAATTCGACCGCTTGCGCGCGCTGTCTTATGAGGACACACACGTGCTCATGCTCTGCTTTAGTGTCGATAGCCCAGATTCTTTTGAGAACGTCGGGTCTAAGTGGATTGCTGAAATCAATGAGAACTGTCCTGGCGTCCGCGTCTGTCTTACCGCGCTCAAGTGCGACTTGCGGAAAGATGATGAGATGAATGATAACCCCAACACAATTTCGTTCGATCAGGGCCTGGCTAAGGCGAAGGAGATTGGCGCTGTGAAGTACTTGGGTATGTCATTTTGTGTCGCGCTCTTTGAAGAATTCGCTGACGGTTTCAAGAATGCTCTGCTGTCCAAAACCGCGGCATTAGGGAAAGCTTCTACGAGGCGGCCAAGGTTGCTCTTGAGGTCAAGCCTGCAGATTCAAAGAGCTCGAGTTCGTCATGTGTGATCCTCTGATCTAGCCTGACATGCGTAATGCTCTGTGTCTATTTCCCCTTTGAGTTCTTGATTCCCCATGCATTTTGTCATCTCTACGATGTACTCTTCACGTCTGACCTGGACTGCCAGATGTTGTCAGCGTCGTCGCATATTAGCGAGGTTGGCTTTCTATGTTTGAACTTTCGAAATATACTATATAATTCCTGTTAAACTGCTCATCTTCCTTATTGTCTTATCTACTCCCACGTCTCTCATACTTCCTGGTAGATATCCAGGTGCTTTAGAACTTGAGATCCTCTTCCTGAACAGAATATACTTCCTCAATCTTCTCCCCTGACGCCCCGTCACAAGCAAAGTCCTCATTCACTCGTTTGACAAAACACTCAACAAATCCATTCGCAACCTCATCGACGCCAACAGAAACACCAACCCCCTCAAGACTAGTTGCCTCCTTCCCTTCCAACCCACAAGCGACAATCTGTCTAAAGAACCACAAAGGCTCATTCGTAACATTCAACCCAACTCCAAAGCTACTAATATTCCTCCTCAAATGCACTCCCACCGCAGTGATCTTCTTCGCCACACCATCATCCACCCAAACCCCCGGATCCTCAGTCACGAAGCCCTTCACCTCGTACCTCTTCAATAGATCAATGACACTATTCTCTAAAACCCGGATATGACACCGCGGTGTCAATCCAAGTCTCTTTAAATCCAGGATCGTGTATGCTACCATTTGACCCGGTCCATGGTACGTTGTTTGACCTCCGCGTAGCGTCGGAACGTACTCCGCTTTCGCAGTGGGACCAGGTTCTAATAGAGAGCGGATTGGTTCAAGGGGTGGCGGGAGGGAGAGCGTTGCGGAGGCGCAGGTATTTGAAGGCGGGAGGTCACGGCGACCCGTGGTGTAGACCGGGTTTGGGGTGAACGTGATGATTGTCGGGTCCGGTGGTGGTGGGAGTGATGTCAGGTTCAAGATTGTGTTTTGTGAGGATATTGATCCAGGGGAAGCGAGTTTCTTGTGTGTGAGAAAGCGCGTGGTCAGGGCTTGTTGGAGCTCAGAGACCCGTTTGAAGGGCGTTGTATGTGGGAGGTGGAGGTGGGCGAGTCTCATCTTTAAGGAATAGGTGCTGATTTCGAGGTTTGAGAGAGAGAAGAGAGGATGCTAGGTGCTCATGGTTGGTGGAGTTTTCCGAGGAGTTGAGAGGTTATGGGTCTTAAGAGTTGCGGAGAAGCTGGGAGCTCCGACTCTGATAAGGATGAGGTCTGAGCGGCCTGTTACGGTTTGACCATCCAACACCCACCTTAGGAATTTACGGAATGGCCGTCACTGGTGGGTGTCTTTGTATCCATTTCTTTTTTTTTTCCTTTCTCGTACTGCTAGTGGTTGTGTTCAATCTAGGCTGATTACCAGCTTAGGACATCTCCAAGTCACGTTCAATTCGCAATCTGTTATTGGTCTCACAGCTAATTCCAGCCATCCATCGACACAAATTCGAACGATCCGACATAAATGCGTACAAACTCGTTTTATGAAAACCCGATCAGATGGCACGCGGCCTCGGCTATACGCCATTGACAAGGCCTTCCTGAGTCGGCTCAATCGGAAGCAGAATCCAGTCACGAACTCCGCCTTTCCAGTCCGCAATGCGACCCTCGCGGACTTGCACAGTCACAACCCGAACATCGCTATCGATGGCCAAGCTAGGCCGTCTCAGGCTCGGGTTCTGAGCCTGCTGCTGACCAAACAGGGTGATCTCCTCTTCCTCGAATGTATTGTTCTCCAAGTGCCGCTCCTTGCACCACTTTTCTTCTTCCGAGTCAGGCTCGAGGAAGCGGGCCTGGCCGGTGATGGTGGTAGAGATGCTGGACAAAGCGCTAGTGTTCAAGTTGAGGAGCAGGCTTGCCAACGATGAACGGGTCGCCGCGGGCGGGGGAGATCCTTCACGCTCACCGTGCGAGTTGGCAGTGCGAGTCGGTGGACGATGAGATACCCAGTCATGGACCAGCAGGGACACACGCGGGTTAGACAGCAGGTGGTTGGTCTTGCGCGATGAGGGGTTGGTAGTCATGATAATGGTCGGGTAGGGGTCAAAGGGGGTCGAGGGAAGGTAGGTATAGGACATGAGGGAAATATGGGAGTGAGATTGTCACATGTTGCCAGATGAAGCTGATTGAGGCCATGGTCAGTGCAATTGTTGTGGTGAGGATGGCGGTGGACATACGAAGCGGGAATTCTTCAGACATGAGACCACCTCGGATGGCAACGAGGCAGCCTCGTGCTGGTGGGTAGCTGTGGCCGAAGCCTCGTAAGAAAGAGGAGGATTGCAGTCAGCCATGATGCCCTTGGAGGATGTCGAAGTGAAAGATGGTGGGATGATCGAGAGATCTGCCGGGCGGTGGCCAATCGCGTGTCGACGTCATGCCGGATCGGTTTGTCCGACAACTGAGCTCATTCTAGCTACATAGTCGAGCGAGGTACTTTATTATGATCCGATCGTGTACACTGACATCGGTGAAGGATTGTGGGGTAGAATGGAGTACAATTGGAGCCCGTCGTCATGATGGCGAAAAACCATACCTGACGATCGTCCGTTGCTCAGGCCTTGGGAAGAGGCAGATAATCGCCGATATCCGCTGCAGTCCGCCGTCCAACGGCGGATACTTCAGATGCGAGGGTCAAGTTAGGGTAATGACAGAGTGGTAAAGACAGGTCATTGGAGAGAATAATCGTAATACCGTCGTTCGATAGTGGAAGCCGTACCGGTCTCGATGTCACTATTACCCACCCTGTTACCCCGTTCCCCAATCCCCCGATGCCCCGGTTTGGGACAGCTTCACCTTTCCCCGCACATGCACCGTAGCTTGCCATGGTCAGCCCCAGTCTCTAGCCGTCTCTAGTCAAATCAATTCAGGTGGATTCCCAACACGGAGTCTTTTCTCGAGAAATTACACGAAACATACTCTAGCCCCGGAATTCCCGTCGATCTCGCGTGCCCTTTCCTCCTTCCTTCGCTTTTAGCCTAGTCCCTGTCCGATCATCTCCTCTTTCTTTCCCCTCTTCGTTCTTGTCTCTTCACGCTTTGTCTCTCCTCTGACTTCTCGCCTCTCTTCACTACTTTCTACTGTCTACACTCTCCTTATTCCCCCCACCTTTTGCATTTGCGATTCCACTTGGTTCTGCCGTCCCCTTCCTTGAATTGTTGCCACAGCTCCCCCTCCCCTTCCTGCTTTCAACCAAATCCGTCTCGTTTTTGTCAATCTACTTCCTCCCCTAACCACAATGCTGGCTCCGCGTTTCGTGAGATCGGCGACGTCGCTGGCACGACCCTTCAGCTCCTCGGCGGTGGCCTCCCGTGCCCCTTCCATTCGAGACCTGACAGCCGACTCGGCTGATTACAACCGACGGCAGAAGGAGTTTCGTGAGAACCTCGAGGAGGCTCGCAGAAGAAAGGAACAGCAAGAGAGTCAGTCTGTCCATGCTTCTGCCTCTACCCCTTCCCGTGAGTCCGCTCCCACTGCTCCGCAAGTGAGCAATGCGAGCCACTATAATCAATCCCGCCCTGTTTTTGATGCGGCCAAGGCTCTTGATCACGAGGCAATGGGCTCACTCGCCATGCATCGTTCTATAGGAGAAGAACACTCTCAAGATCCCCAGTCTAAGCGCAATCCGCTGTCCTCGTTAATCTACGGCACCAAGGAGGGTCAGCACTTCGACAAGGATATCCAGCGCTCCTTTCCGAGGTTTTGGCCCGTGGCAAATACGTCCACTCGATTGTGTTCCATGATGTCAAGCCTGACAAGGTAGACGAGTATGTGGAGCTAGTGGGCAAGTGGTACCCCCGCATGGCCGGCACAGAGGAGAACCGCGTCAACCTTGTTGGCAGCTGGCGCACCCAAGTGGGTGATAACGACACCTTCAGTGAGTCGACCCTCGCCCATGTAGTGGAGCAGACCTAACCCAAAAAGTCCACATTTGGGAATATCAGCGCTATGAGGGCTACCATGTCTCCCTGCACAACATTTCGCAACACCCCGAGTTCCCCGAGTTTGATCGCAAGTTGAAGAGTCTCATTAAGAGCAAGAAGACCTCACTGATGCAGGAATTCTCATTCTGGCCTACCACCCCGCCGCGCCAGTTGGGAGGAATCTTCGAGCTTCGCTCGTACACATTACACCCAGGCAACCTATTAGAATGGGAGTCACACTGGCGACGCGGTCTGACCGCCCGGCGCGAGGTCATGGAAGGCGTGGGCGCGTGGTTCGTGCAAATTGGCGATTTAAACACGGTGCACCATCTTTGGCAGTTTGCCAACCTGGAGGAACGCAAAATTCGACGAGAGCAGTCCTGGAGTGTTGAGGGGTGGGCTGAAACCGTGCACAAGACCGTTCCTCTGATCCAGACGATGCAGAGTCGGATTCTGGTTCCCATGCCGTGGAGTCCGGTCGGTTAAGGGCCAGAGCACAAGGGTCATAGGGCGAAAAGCTAAAGGACCAGGCACTCTGATCAACTCCACCTCATCCGGTGCTGTTGATTTCTTCTTGCTACGGCGCTCACTGTATGGCCAAGGGGGATGGATCATCAAGCTTATCAGGCATCTATGCTTTGTATCGTGTATCTAGGCATGGATTCCCCAGCATACATTTCATATTGTTTATTTTCTTTCTGTACGAAATCTACACCTTTCTCAAACCCCAACCGAAAACAACGGCCTCGGGTAACCCCACTTGTTGCATGGACGATCATTCGGTAATGAGGCATCTTATTGGCACCGCGGAAAGAAACCCGGTCACAGCGATTCGCTATCGCACGTGCTATGCCGCGAGAATTGTAGACGTCGAGGCGAGTTCAGATCATCAAGGGAATGCCAGTCAGGGAATCTCGTGGAAGAGTCAAACAGAAGCAAAATATTTGCATGTTGATTCAGATCGAAAATAAACTGTTGGGGTATATACTCTGTATGTGATCTCCACCGCGGACCAAGTGGCCTCAAATTTTTCCGCTGTTTTGCTTTTGGCGCTAATCTCGACGAATCCCGCTCTGGTTCTCTAGCGGGGCCTTGTTTCCTTGTTCATCAACTGGCTTTGGCCTCTTCTTCTCTTTTCCTTTCGTACACTTCACTCTTCCAGCATCTGTCGCTCTCCTCGTTCGCCCGCTCGTCCCTGAACCCGCACCGCAGTCGTCGCGTCCACTCCTCGGCCGAAGCCACTGAACTCCCTCGTCCTCCGAGGACCTAGTACTCCTCGAGCATATGCGTTGAGACAAAGTCGTCGGACACAGTCGCCAGGATGGTGTACATTCGCCAGCATCACCTTCCCAACCTTCGCAACTACAAATATGCCGGCATCGACCACTCGCTCCTCAGTCGGTTCGTCCTGAAGCCGTTCTACAATAATTGTGTGATTGGTCTTTTCCCCATGAGCATGGCGTGAGTTCTTTTTTTGGTTTCGAAGCTCCAAGCTCGCGCATGAGAGCTTTGCGGGCTTCCTGGAATTTGCGCCGAGGCTAACTCTGCTCTCTTGTTTCTTCTTCGCGACAGGCCCAATGCCGTAAGTCCTGCCCACGAGCCTCTTGTCCAACGCACGCCTTAATTATTGGTAGATCACCCTCACTGGATTCATGTTCGTCGTGATCAATTTCCTCACCGTTATGTGGTACAATCCCAATCTCGACACGGACTGCCCGCCCTGGGTTTACGCCAGCTGCGCGCTCGGCTTGTTCCTGTATCAGACTTTTGATGCCGTTGACGGCATGCAGGCGTACGTTTGATTCTTGCTTCTGGCGTTTGGATCACGACTGAACTCTGAATTTAGGCGGAGAACGAAACAGAGCGGGCCTCTGGGCGAGCTCTTCGATCACAGTATGTTTTGAGGGCTACTTAATTATGGTGACGAGTACAGAGGCTGATCTTTATTATAGGTGTCGATGCCTGTAACACTGGACTGGGTGTACTGATTTTTGCGTCGGCTATGAACCTTGGCCAGTCGTGGATGACCTTCTTGGCTCTTTTCGGATGTAAGAAACGTCCCGTGTCCTTCCCCTCGCATGCAGCTCTAACATCGTCCAGCAACTATGACCTTCTACGTCCAGACTTGGGATGAGTATTACACCCAGGTTCTCACTTTGGGAATCATCTCGGGTCCCGTCGAGGGTGTTCTGACTCTCTGCTTGGTCTACGCGATCACCGCCTACATGGGCGGAGGCAGCTTCTGGCACCAACCGATGCTGGAAAGCGTCGGAGTGTCTAAGCCCAGCTTCCTTTCCGAGCAGGTGTACAACATGCCCTGGACGCAGTGGTACCTGGTGTACGGCGCGTTCGTGCTGTTCTTCGCCACCGGGTCGAGTATCATGCATGTCATGCAGGTCCGTCGCCAGCGCGGTAAGGACCCTCTTGCGCCTCTGTATGGTCTACTCCCCATGTTGGCCATCTGGACGCTGGTCCCTGCCTATCTTTACCTGAACCCTGCCGTCCTGGAGAACTACACCATTCCTTTCGGTCTATATGTCAGCCTAATCAATGCCTACGCCGTTGGTCGCATGATCGTTGGCCACCTTGTTCAATCCGGTTTCCCATATTACAACGTCCTGCTTTTGCCGCTCGCTCTCGGAGTTGTTGACAGCGCCGGTCCTGTTTTCGGGCTCTGGTCGACTGCCGTGCTGGGTGATACCTTCAGGCAGACAATGTTCGTGTTCGGATGTCTTGGTATGGCCGTCGGTGTGTACGGTAGCTTCGTGGTAGGTTCCCTTTGAATTCCTGTTTTATGTGTCCCGCTAATTCTTCCAGTTCGATGTGATCACCACCATCTGCGACTACGTCGACATTTGGTGCTTGACGATCAAGTACCCGTATCTTGAGGAGACTGAGAGCAAGAATGGCTCAGCAGTCAAGGTCCAGGTCGAGGGTGCGTCGAAGAAGACTCTCTAGAGAAGGTAAAGTCTGCGTGGCGAATAGTTCAACCTCGATCACGCGATCGCGGGGCGAGGCGGGGAAGTTGCTCAAGAACAAGGGTAATGTGGTGGCTCATGATTGATTTCAGCAGTACATAAGTTTTCAACACCGGTGCCTTTCTCCGTGTGGAGTTATAGAATATGAGACGTAATGTGTGATGCAATTAGAAAGTTCCTGAAGATGCTTGTTGACACGGGTAATCTGTAGAAGCTTCAAAGCACTTGACTGCCTGCCCGATCCTCCAGGCAGAACCACGTATTCACGAAGGCGGAGTGCATAGACCCTCCTGATTGGTGGGTGCTTCCCCTCGCGCCTGCCCGAATCGGGGAGTCAAGCGAGGGCACAAGCCCTACCGCCCCATCGACAAATCCCTTCAGACTTCTCCTGGGATCCATTCCACTCACACAAGGCCATCGCCATCAGCGCCATTCATCAACTCACTCGCTGATCTTCTATCGTCAAGATGGTAAGCTACCACCCTCGTCGTCGCTCTGCGTCCAGACTCTCGATATTCTCGATGCACACCCAATGGAGGACCTGGACGGGGCTTGACACACGCCCCTGCTCAAAAATCTTCAAAAGCTAATCACCGTCATCAACAGGTTCTCGCGGTCGACCTTCTCAACCCCACGCCTCAGGCTGAGGCTCGCAAGCACAAGCTCAAGGTACGAAACCCTCGAAATTCGACATCCGATGCACAAGGCACAAAGGTGGACAAGGGAGATGGATAGGGATAACCGAACATGGATCCTTCGCCACCCAGCCCCCGCCGACGAGAAGGAGAATCACTCGCCCGGGAAATACGAATAGAACGCTGACTTGGACATCGCTGTGCAGACTCTTGTGCCCCAGCCCCGCTCCTTCTTCATGGACGTCAAGTGCCCCGGCTGCTTCACCATCACTACTGTCTTCTCGCACGCCCAGACCGTCGTCATCTGCGCCGGCTGCTCGACCGTCCTTTGCCAGCCCACCGGTGGCAAGGCCCGTCTTACTGAGGGCTGCTCTTTCCGCCGCAAGTAAACGAGACGCGCAAATGAAATTTCTTTTTTTGTCTTGTTGAAACGCACAGAGGATAGCATGGAGCAACTAGGATGAAAATACCAGTTCCGGGTTTTCGGTCTCCGCTTCGGTCCGGTTCATGGTTCTTTGTTAACGGAGACCGCCGTTCAAAATGTCACATACCACCTTTTTTCTCTTTTTCTATAACCACCTTTCACGGGAAAACAAAAACACCCTTGACAAGGAAAAGTGTCGGGGGTTGGAGGAGACAATGATATGATACGATCCATACCAATTTCTTTCTCTTTATGCCCCCGGAAAAACCAAAAATTGAAATGTGGCGTTTTGATCGTCTCCGTTGTCCTACTTGCTCCGCTTGATGATGCACCACAGCGTCTTTTTTGGTTTAATGTTTTCGACCGATGACAGATAGAGGATGGAATGACTCGCGCATTCGACAAAAGCACGCAGCATTCAGCTCAAGGAGTTCCGGATATCTGGCACAAAAGGCACTTTGCTTCGCTTGTGCCGTGTCTTTGTTTTTTGAAATCTTTTCATGTATTGCTTTTCCTGTATACTGGTTCCTCAATCTGAGTTGTACCTGATACTGGCACTGCGTAGAAGGTAAACGTCAGAAGTTCAAGTAAAGTACCTTGTAGTTGGCAAGCGTCCATGTCGGCTGTGAAAAGCATTCATCACGTTGACGTAGATCTTCTCAAGGGTCTCATAGATGAGGAACCTCGAAAACAGGTCCCATCGATAGCCTAGTTGTGGCCAAGACCGCTAGATTACTTCCATGCTAACCACCCTCCATCACACCACTCAACCCTCCCCACGACTCATGCCAGACAATAGTCTCTAACGTCATAACGAGCCCGCATCAGAAGACCCGTTCTCTTTAGGTTCTTCCCTGCCCCGCAGCCGAGGACGTGCATTAATCTTGTGTTGGGTTCCCCACCTCGACTACGTAACTGAACACGGGTTTCCCGGCCAGGTACATCTCAAGACATGACATCATATTCTTCATACCCACCATGGAGAGCCTGCCATATTGGGGAACCAGTTGGAATGATGGCGAATGCAACTAATTCATGAAACGACACTGATGTCAATTTAGAGGTTTCTCGGGTATTCGAGGGAGTCCCGCGAGAAATGACCGTTATATTCGTCAGAAGTGGCCCTGGTGTATATACTTCAAGATCTAGCATTAGAAATATAGAGGGGTTCAAGACAATGTTGGAGTCAAACAGATAAAGGGTCTATTTCGTCAATTCACATAATAGTCATAACGTTTTCTCTAATGATACATTGCGAAAGACAGGACAATTCATCAACATTCAAGAATATTAACGAGAGACAAGAGAACAAAAAAAAGATATACAGTCATCACATCAATCCTGGGTGGCTCATTTCTTTGTCGTAGAGACCACCGGATTCGAACATCGCTTATCGATCAAACAAGGGTAAAATGAAATCAGACAAGCTATGCTAAGCCCTCTGTCAACGCCCGCGCCTTAGCCTTGATGTTTGCGCCAAAATCAACAGGGTTGTTCGGGTCACTGCCTGTCATAACTGAGACCTTGCCAGACGAGTCATTGAGGAGTACATAGGTGAACTGGTTCCGTCCTACGACTTCCAGTACTTGTTCGCGCGCTGCTTGGTCGCCAGCTGCGTATTTCTCGGCATCGATGCCCTTGAGCTCTTTTTGAGTGTTGCGGACAAAGTCCATGAGGAAGTAGACGGTCGGATGTGTCACCGGTGGTTGCATTTGGGGGTGGTCTTCAAATGCCCTGTGTGTTTTAGTTAACAGTGTACTTCGAGGCAGGACGTAGGTTCGCAAAGGCGACGGAAGTATTCCCGAACAGCCAGTGTTGTATTCACTTGTTGGGAAACCCATAAACATACTCGAGAAGCTCGGTCATCTGCGCATCGAGCCGCGCGAGGTCGATGTTACCAGTCTGTCCGCTCATGATGTACTGGACTGAGGATGTGTTTGGATGATGTAACGAAATCCCCCCCCCGAAATGGCCGAGGAGGGGAGAATCTTACATTTCGGCGCTTATCTCTTATCGGAAATCCACATCTTCGCGAGCCTCATCTGGACGCACTCACTCTTTCCCCAATGTCCAAAGCCAGCACTCGTCTCTCGCTTCTCGCAGCCAATCTATCCAGTCAGTCTTTACCAATGGCGCCGAACCCTTCATCGACGCGCCAGCCGCTCAAGTTGCTCATGTTGCACGGCTACACTCAGTCCGGTGCCCTTTTCCACGCAAAGAGCCGCGCCCTCGTCAAACACATCCAGAAAGCATTCCCTCTACACGAGGTCGACGCCGTTTATCCCACTGGGCCGCTGCGTCTCAAAGCGAGTGATATCCCGGGCTATGAACCGTCCGACAATGCGGCAGAAGAGGAAACCGAGGCTTACGGCTGGTGGCGCCGGTCAAATACCGCAGACCCGCCATTATACCAGGGTATGGATGACGGACTTGCAGCCGTTGCCAAGGTGATTACCGAACAAGGTCCCTTTGACGGCGTGATTGGGTTCTCACAGGGGCGACTATGGCTGCGATGGTCGCGGCGTTGCTGGAGCCGGGTCGGAAAGAAGCATTCGAGCACTTTGAAAAAGATTCATCTGAAGGCGCTTCGGGCATTCCCTGGCCAACGGCTTTCGAACAGTTGCAAAATTCGCCGCTCAAGTTTGCGCTGTTGTATAGTGGATTCCGGGCGCCTGGGCCGAGGTATCGGGCATTTTACGAGCACCCACCTATTCAGACCCCGGCGTTGCATATCCTGGGGACTTTGGACTCGGTTGTGGATGAGTCGAAGAGTCAAGCATTGATGGATGCTTGTGCTGGGGAGCCGGAGAAAGATGGGTCGGTGATATTCCATCCTGGTGGTCACTTCGTGCCCAGTCAGCGGCCGTACCTCGATGCTGCAGTGCAATTTATTCGGAAGCAGTTGGAGAAGAACGAGATCGCCAACGGTGAGAAACCGAAGGACGAGGGAGATGTGAATGATATGGATGTGCCGTTCTGAAACATCTTAGAATGAGTATATACATTTGGGTGTATATCCTATATAGTTTAGATCTCTACGAACATAGACCATTTTCACACAGCTTCGAAGAATCTCACCACCAACAAAGGGTGGAAAGCCTTTGTATCTACGCAGAATGTTGAGGGATATGCGAGTGAGCCATAGACAATGTGTATCAATACAATTGAGCCCTAGAAATTTTTACTTTTAAGTTGCCCAGTGACCAGGCTACATACGTACGTGTAGGTCAATGAACTTCGACACCATGGTGTAACGATTAAGGGTCTACCGGTTATTTTACAAAGGCAGCATTCCCATCCGTCCCGAACAAATCAGCGAGCCTTAGCCTTCTCTTGAGAGGGCTGGATGCGAGCCATCATCTCCTCCTTGGTGATCAAGTGGTCGACCCGTTCCAACAGACCAAGCAAGCTCTTCATGTCACTGCTCCACTCGTTTAGCACATCATCCGCATCTCGGGGCTTAGCAAAGTTGACAAGTCGCGCAGGGCGGTCAATCTTAGCGTAGATGGTCTTCGAGCACACCAGCTCGCTGATATACTTCTCCGTCTCCTCCTCGGTCAGATCGAGAAGCTGGGTCAACCGGCCCATCTGGATACGGGTGTAGTACTTGGCAACCACACGCACGTTGTGCTCAATGACCCGCTTGCGCAGATCCTCCCATCTCCGGCTGGCCTGGTTCTCAGTGGACTGCTTGGCCTCGGCGTCAAATACATCGGTGCTGCACAGATGAGGACCGAACTGCTCGGCGACCATGGGCCAGCGCATAAGCTCTGGAATAGTGAAAAGCTTGATCAAACGAGCCTCTTCGGGGACCTGGGACAGGCGCGAGTCTTGTTGGATACGGTGCAGAAGGTCTGACTGCTCATTGTCGTATGGGGAAAGGACGATATAATAAACGATGCGAGCAAGGGACTGTCGTGCTTGTTAGTTTGTGAACAGTTCAAGTCAGGGTGATGGAACACATACTGCACGCAGGTGCTCGGGGTTCTTCGCGACAGCCTCGGTATCAAGTACTTCCCGGTAGTTCTTGCAAACATCGAGATACTTGTAGTCGTGGTTGGCAAGGGTGATCTGCTGGTCGTAGAAACGGAGCTTGAGGTCGGTCACATCGTCGTCCACCTCCATCGGCGGCTCATCTGGTCCACGGGTCTTCTCACGCTCTTCCGCTTGCTTCTTGAGCTTCTCGATTTCCTCAGCACTCTTCTTAGGCTTGCGGTTGAAATACCGCTTGTTAATCTTGCGGATCAGGATTGAAGCCTGCGTCCAGTCTCCACGCTCGATACACAATCCAACCTGCTCCAGGATGAACTCTGTCTTTTCCCTTCGTGTCATCGATCCAAAGGTCTCCACTTGCAGCTCGCACAGAATATCGGCCGCGGCGGTAAGGTCACCTTGTGTTTTCTTGATGTTTGAAAGGATCCGGGTCACGCGGGCACGCTCGACTTCAACGAAGATCTGCTTCTGTTAGAAGCATCCAACAAAAGGATGGGACGGCAAACATACCTTGCCCTCGGTGACTGTCCGCAAAGTCTCAATAACGGATAGCTTGACATCCACGCTAGGAGTGTCATCAAGGAACTTCATCACCGCCTGCACCATCCTCGTCGTGGCCTGCTTGAGCTGGGCATGTTTCTTGGAGAGGAGGAGCACTTGGTCATTGAGGAGATTCCAGTCGCCGGAGTTCTTGGCGATGGTGACGATGGCGATTAGGAGGCGCGATGTAGAGGCAAGGTCGGAGGCCTGGTCCAGAGAGTTAGTGTGCACTTGGATGTTGGTGGAATGGAACAGATCTTACCTGTCTTGTCTGCTTCTCCAATACCAACAGCTTGTCGATGGCACCCTGAACATCGGTCTACAGATTTTCATGTTAGAGTTTACTTGGAGCTCTGAGAGACGCAGACCGTACCTTTGCGAGGGTCTCAGCCTCCGGGATGACCTTGTCGGCCTCCTTTGTGAAGTCCTTCTCGGGCTTCAACAGGCCGCCGTCAGACATGGTGACGAGTGTAAATAAAGTTCGTTCGAGGTCGTGAGACAATGGTATCAAAGTAAGAATGGAACTCAGATGACACGACGGTGTACCGAGGAAGCAATTCGTGGATGCAGGGCAGGAGATGATGACGCCGGAGCTCTGGGGCGTGTTTCCGCCCTTGGCTGAGCTGCAGCTCCGCCGCACGTGACCAGATCAACACTTAGCTTCAATATGGTCAAGTCGATCAAGGTTGCATTTTATTTTACTGGGAAGTTTTCTCCGAAGCTTTTGCCCTTTCCAGATATATACTTGAGGTTTCTGATCAATGGTCTATTAGGGCTAGATGATATGATTGTAGATCAAGTCTTCATTCATTTCAGATTCAAAGGACTTCATTAAGACTGGCTTGTCGTGAGCAAGATTCAAACATCTCTGCATTTGTTTGGGGCTTCGAACTTTGACTAGCCTCAAGCACCACTCCTTTTTAGAACAGATATGAAGTGCAATTCTGGCTGCCTTAGGATTCAGGAACCAGATTAGCTAAGCCTCCAAAGCACGCAATTTTGCTCTAAGCCGCTTCGGGATTTGCAGATGTATAGAAAAATTTCCGTCAAATCCCATCGTCGATCTCTATGTGCGCAGTCTGCTACTGATAACTGCGCCCCTGTTTGATCACCAATCTCAACACAACCCAGGACTATCGCCCGCAATTTCTGCAGGGTGGCGCGACAATCGTGAACAGGGTCCTTATCAGCGGTTATCACCAATCGTGACTGGCCTTTTACTCACTCCGGAGTATTTCCTCTTTCTCCGCGGAAACGTCGAGGAATTGTGCATAGGTTGTGCCAGCCTATCCAGGCTCTACTTCAATCATTCGGGACAAATTATATCTGAGTTCCTCCTAGCTTGCTTGTTGAACAGGCTTGGAGCATTAATTCGAACCCCACGATTTGGAGGGGCAACCTACAGTTTGCGGCACACGACATTATGAAGGACGCCTCAAGTGACTTCGGCCCATCGCCATTGATGGCTGCATGGGATGCCCAATCCCAGGTTCATTTAATTGTCGGTGCCAATCCTTTGGCTGCTGCTCGATGCGCCAAGGTTCTTGAAGCCGGCGCAAAGCCCGTTATCATTGCGCCAGAGACGGCCGACATGCATTTTACCTTGACAGAACACATTAACAATGGCTCTGCTCAATGGGTGCGTCGGGAGTTTCAGGATGATGATCTGACCAACCTGGGCAGAGAGGAAGTTGATCGCGTAGTGGACACGGTTTTCGTCACTTTGGGTGGCAACAATCAATTAGGTAGGTCCTCTCAATAATCTCATGCGCGATGCACTGATGCTAACGAGGGTTTCAGCCTCTCATATCTCAAAAATGTGCCGGCGTCTTAGGATTCCAATCAATGTGTCTGATGCCCCGGAACTATGCTCATTCACCCTGCTTTCAACTTACTCAGATGGCCCGCTGCATATTGGAATTACCACTTCTGGCCGCGGTTGCAAGCTTGCCTCGAGACTACGACGCGAGATTGCTGCTTTTCTTCCCGCAAACCTGGGCTCTGCTATTGATCGGCTTGGCGCCGTGAGGCGGAAGCTCTGGGAGGAGGATAATGCGGCTGGACTTGGTGAGGTGGCAGCAGAGTGCGACGACGACGATACGGCAGGCCAGGCCCACACCTTCAATTCCCTGGTCACGGAAGGCGATGTCGCTGCTGCAAAATCAAGACGGATGCGCTGGTTGTCACAGATCTGCGAATACTGGCCGCTCCGGAAGCTGAGCTCTATTACCGACGCCGATATCGACACCATCTTGAAAGCATATTCGTCTGGGAGGGAAGACCCACAAGATGCCAATGGAATCAATGGCGTCTCGAAGAAAGGCAAAATCATACTTGCTGGTTCCGGTCCTGGATACCCGGACTTGCTCACTCGTGCCACATACAATGCTATCCAGAGTGCAGATATTATTCTGGCTGACAAGCTCGTCCCAGCTCCAGTTTTGGACTTGATTCCTCGCAGGACAGAAGTCCATATTGCGCGCAAGTTCCCGGGAAATGCCGATCAGGCACAGGAAGAGCTTCTGCAGATGGGCCTCGCTGCGCTGAAGAAAGGACAGCAGGTGCTTCGATTGAAGCAGGGTGACCCCTACCTCTATGGCCGCGGGGCTGAAGAGTTCGAGTTCTTCCGTGGTGAGGGCCATATTCCTGTGGTGCTACCTGGCATCACTAGCGCCATGAGCGCATCTCTTTTCGCGGACATCCCCGCGACTCATCGCGGCGTCTCTGATCAGGTGTTGGTCTGTACAGGAACTGGCAGGAAAGGCGCCGCCCCCAATCCGCCTATCTATATCCCTACCCAGACTGTGGTTTTCTTGATGGCCCTTCACCGCTTGTCGGCCCTTATCGAGTCCCTTACTGCATACCCCGCTGAGGACACCATACGCTCCAGAACCCTCTGGCCCAAGGAGACCCCTTGCGCAATTATTGAGCGTGCATCCTGTCCTGACCAGCGTGTAATCCGTTCAACGTTGGAACACGTCTGCATGGCCTTCGAAGCCGCTGGCTCACGGCCACCGGGCTTGCTGGTGGTTGGTGCCAGCTGCCATGTCCTTCACAACCCGGACGGCCAAAAATGGGTGATTGAGGAAGGATTCCATGGATTGGACGAACTCCACGGAGAGAAGGATACGGTATTGACGCCCTCGGAATGAGTATTTATTGGAGGGAATATGCATAAGCATAAGCATGATTCAGAGCGACCGAGTTGGACGATCGTGTACATAGACAGGATTCAGATACCCCATGTGTAAATGTGAACAAGAATAATTGATTATTTACCATCAACATGATACCTATAGACAGAAACTACTTGGTGTTGCTGTTTAAAGTACTGTAACAATGCCATTCAACTGAAGAAACAAAAAAGGAAGTATAGATCGATCCGATCGGCAATGACGCCATCTTCGCGCGACACCGCCTCCGCACCAGAATCTCCATAATTCATCTTCAACGCATCACAGAGCATTCAACAAACACCATGGCGCCAACATCACACCTTCCTCTTTTCGGTGGAATCCGGTGCGTTTGAATATTCCATCCCAATGATTCCATTTAACACCTTGCAGAGCCTGGGATTCCAAGGACTGGACCTCCTCGGATGACCGCGTCCGCGGCGGTGCCTCCCACTCAACCCTCACTTGCTCTCCGTCCTCTCTGGTGGCCAAGTTCCATGGTAACCTCGATATCACCACCCTCGGTGGCGCAGGCTTTGCTTCACAGCGTACGACCGGCGAAGACCGTACCTGGAACTTGTCGCGCTACGATGGCATTGAACTTGTCATCGACCACGCAGATAACAAGCTCTACACCCTTACTCTGAAGGATGAGATTCTTCCTAAGCGACCCGATGGTCGCGAGCAGAGTACTTTGAGTTGGGAGTTTGATTTCCGGGCCGAGGGACGCACGACCATATTTGTGAAGTGGAGCGATTTCCGTCCCACGTATCGCGGCAAGGAGAAGAAGGACGTTGAACCGTTGGATTTAAAGAATATTAAGAGATTCAGTATCATGATAAGGAGGTATATCACTATTCTTTTCTTTCATATTGCGGGCTGGTATTGACTGCTTCTAGTTTCTTTGGTGAGCAAGACGGCGACTTCGAACTTGGCGTTGTCTCAATCGCGGCTTTGCGAACTGAACGTTACTCGGACAACCCCGATGAGGCGAGTGAGGAGGAAGAATTCGATGAGAAGACTGATGCTGATCGGCGCGGGCGTCGGGGGCTGTTTGGGTGGTTGACTCGATGTCTCGGGGTTTAAAATCATCAAAACTACGCAATTAGGAATTATGCAATTTCGGGTATTTACGAAATAAAAATGTTCATATTATCCCATACCATCTCAAAAACGATTACTATTGATTGGGAAAGTTCACCCACTCTGAAAAGTCCATGCCTCCAGGAGTAGGCATCTGCTGCTCGATCGGGAATAGGCTGCCCCCAAAGCCGGGGTCGTTGAAAAGCTGCTCCGGGAATGGCATGAAGCCCTGCTGATGCTGTTGTGGCATCTGCTGCTGGGGATTCCGAGGTTGAACCTCGAATCCAAACTCGCTCATCATTCCAGATGGCGAGCCAAGCAGTCGGTTGATCACTTCCGAGCATCGAGCAGCGAATCGGTTTGTGCCGAATGATGGGTGGTTCAAAAGGGCTTTCGTAGTCTCGATGTCCTGTAGCCAGCTTGAGGCGTCGGGGTTTGAGGGGTCAGTCGTGAGGAAGACGACAGGAATGAGGCCGGCTTGGAAAAGGAAGTATCTGTAGAGTATGAGAGAGGTTCGTATTGAGTGAGAGGGGAGGGAAACATACAGCATATACCAAGCTCCTAGTCTCGTGCAAATATGGCTATCCATGTATTCCGAGATGGAGGCAATTGTCAGACGCGCATTCTGTAGACAGCGCATCCGGCACTCTGTCTCGCACGGGTCTTCGACTCCTCCTTCGGAGGAAACTGATGATCCATCGGAGCTACCACTGTGGGGTGCCCAGCGCCGAGCTGCCCAACGGAGCAAAATCGGGCGGTAGATGAGAATAATCAGGTTCCAATTTCGCCAGAGCATGCGGTTGCGAACGAGTGCGAGATTGTCGGCATCTGGATGTGAGGGATGCATAGCAAGGGGTTGTAAAGGATAGTGGAAGTATGAAGGCAGCCCGTTGTACCAATCTTCCATGGGTTTCTGGAGATTTAGGGTTTCTTCGGGCGTGATGCTAGGGGTTGAGATAAGACGCTGATAGACGCTATTGGTGATGAGATGGAACCGGGATTGTGCTATCAAGCCAGAGTAGAGGGTCGGGCCGAGTGATTCAGAAGGTAGTGAGGTTGTTGCTGGGGTCAGAGCCTTGATAGAAGTCAGATGTGTTTCTGCCGCCGTTGTTGCAGTTTATACATACGTCGTCTTGAATGTTAAGAACTTGCTTGGCGTCCATCACAGTTTCATCCGGTAGAAGAATTGGTCTGCCAAAGGTTTTGGCGGCGCCGCTGTCGAAGATGAAGACTCCCCACCATAACCGGCGTCGCATTTCCCTCTGGAGAAGACTGATCTTCCAGCCGTGGAATTCTTTGTGAAGACCAAGGCTCATGGCCATGCGAACCGCCAGTCCTAGGTAGTTCCAACCAGTATTGGGCTTGTTCCGTTTTTGAGCATAGTTGCTTAGCAGCAGCAAGGCTTGAACCAGGGTAAGATTACCGGTCTCGAAGACAGATGCATGTTGCAGGCACGTTCGGGCTTCTTGATAAAATGTAATGTCAAGATCTGAGCTGTCGTCACCGATACTCCAAGCGCCAAGCGCTAGGATAGTGTTTAGTAAGATCTGCCAGGCTGTGCCATGCGGACGCAGAGATGGGTCATTGAACTGGGCTCGAAAGGTAGGTTCGTGAACAAAAGGGTAGCTGGAGTGATAGTTGAGGAAGTATGCATCAATGAATGCTTGCTCAATCAAGCCAGAAGGTGCACTTTCAAGAAGCTGTGCTTTAAGCGGGACGCCACCTGAGCTTGCGGAGCGGACTGGAATGTTCAAGTCAAATCCGTGGTCGAACAGTGCTCTGAGCGGCACCACGCTGGAAGAAGCCCCAAAGTAGCCCGCCCCTTCGGGCTTGATCGACAAGGCGGCCATGCCATCTGTTAGGTCACCAAAGGTCAATTCTTTCTCAGCCCAGTCAAATCCATCGGCCTGCTGCGGTAGAGCCTCTGGGGCAGGCTCGGTTCGCTCCGCTTCGGGTCTAGCAGGGGTTGAATGTCTGGAAGAAGTCTGGGATGAAGGAGCCTGTGGCGGAGCTGGTTGGTTTGACAAGAGAGAACGAAGAGTCGCATCCAGATCTCCCCCAGGAAATAGTCTGCTTAAAGCGGTCTCAAATGATGAAAGGCGATCTTCAACATATGTCAAGTGTCTACCAGACGTTAGTCTTCCATGTTTTTGAGCCTGATTGATCACATACTGTCGCGTGAGAGGACTTCTTGACACTTTCGGGCTATATTTGCATTCCTTGTTCAATTGTCGACATTGCACGCAAGTCGGGCGCTCTTTAGAGCACTTGGTGATAATTAGCTAATTATACATGGCCTAGTCCATGAAGGAACATACCCTTGACTTCCGCAGGCGGCATTCATCGCACTATACCTCATCAGTTCAAGCGGAACCAAGTACATGGGCATCCAGTCAATACATACAGCGAACGAATGGGAATCCCGAGTGCTAGCCATACTTATCGAGGCAAGCCGGATTGTTTAGATCGTGTGTACAATGCGCTCTGATCATGACAATCCACGATAGTCATCTGCTATGAAGTCAGTCTATCGGATCATCTGTGTCTTATCCGCGATAATCCGCGATAGGTGTCGCGCGACTTTGGGTACGCGGATGTATAGCAAATCCCATGGCGACATCGGGAATGCGTCTACCGTACGGCGGCTGGAGGGCAACCTCGGACATGGTATAGAGAAACTCACGATTGGCGCTAAAGCGAACATCGATCCACTCCGAGCAGGCAGACTTGCAATGCGATGAGGATGCCACCTTCAAAGCTCCCCTCAATGGGTGGGGAAACGGTCATGTGATAAGCGGAAAAAATCTCACGTGTGCCTAAGGCAGAGAATCGCATTGGGCATTTTGTACTTGTGATTCTAGATTGCAATAATCATGTAAAGAAACTGTGAACAGTTGAAATTGCTGGTGATCGCATCCAGCTCACAAAAATTGAGTAAACAGGGGTATTTTTCCGACCTAGTTTACAGTTACGCAGATCGACGTATCAGATATATATCGCTGACTTGCTTAAAACACCGAAAGCCAAGCTTTTTCTTGCAAGTAAGTAGAAAGATATAGGCAAAAGTATCTTTGAGCGTTGTCAAAGCGAGGAGACGATTATTTAGAGCACTTTACCGGGATATATAGGAAAGAACATGCAAGGGTGATGGCTGTTGGAAGTTCATCGCGTGCAACAGCTTTGATATTCTTGGCGCGGAACGTGAGGGCGGCCAATCATGTCCCCGCATACATTTTTTTCTTTTCCACAATCTCTAGACTCATGTGCATAATACAAGAGAACTCGAGTCATCAAGAAGCAGGGAAATTCGATTGAGAGTCCAGGATATCAGAAAGTTCTTATTGCCCTTGAGTCCAAGGATCTGAGGCGCCATTATGCCGTCGCAACCCCCGTTTCCGCCGCTCCTCGCGCCATATCTATCAACCCAGCCAGAGGCATCGCTCACACTAGTCTCCTCCATACTTGGCGCAACATCAAATTGGCTGGTGCTAAGATTTCTTCATGCATCATTGAGCACTTCGTCAACCCTCAATGTTTCCCTTGGATTGGGAGACTCGCACAATGGAACCAAGAAGGTTGTGCTCGTGAGCTTTTTGCGCAGCTGGGAGTTTTGGAGAGCAGAAGCCAAACGATTGGTAGGTCTTGATAAATAGTCTTCCCTTGAAGATGGCTGGACATGCTGAATTTTGAACATGGAGTCATTGATTATGAGCACACGTCATATTAACAACTACTAGGGTCTTGATCTTGCTCGTTTGGCAGATAAGAAACAGTTCGCATTTGTGGACGGCCTTTCAGAGCTATTCTCTGCGCCTCAAACGGCAAGTACTATGCCGAATGTATCTTCGGTTGCAAGTGGCCCGACGCGCACATCTCTTCCACTTCGGTCCCAGCCTGGTGCTGTGCCTGGGAGAGGACCTCCCTTAGCAGCATCTGCATCAGCCATGAATAACGGCGATGCCGCCCACAGCCAGACTCAGCAAGGTATTGCGAAGAAACTCCATTTCTCTGGACGAGGCATTGTAGCCCTCGATGCACTCGAGGAGAGATTGCATCGGTGATCCAAATGCAAAAGGGATCAATGGAGGATGGAGAAGAGTTACTGCTTATTGTCGACCAACCGGATTGCCTGCTTGCCGCTACGGGACCGGTGATGGGAATCGGTGCTACGGAAATGGCGGAGTGGGTTTCGGGTCTACAACAGGTAAGTCCATGAAGACGAATGGACCAAGCGAGGGCTGACGTTGTTACAGCATGTGCACGCGACAATCGTCACTCTGGCTGCTGATTCCCCGCTGATCCACAATGCATCCACATCTGGGCATCAAACGGCTACGCCAGTAGAGTCGGAGCATGCCGCATTAGCTATCAGTTTGGCGCATCGGGCAAGGTCGGTCATGCAGCTCCGGACCCTGGAGACAGGAGCCGCAAGAGACGTGAGTGGCGTGCTCAGGATCAGCCGGGGAGGTGGCGCAGACGATTCTCTGGAAGAGAGGGAGTTGCTGTACTATATCCAGCGGGATGGTGGGTTGACAGTGTTTGGGCGTGGGGAGTCGTGAGATTGGGTACTAAATATTAGTTTTTTCAAAATGCAGAAACAATTTCCATGAGAAGAATCTGGGCCAGTAGCCAGATCCCCCAGAAGAGAACCGAGTAGGAAGAGAGATATCTTCACATTTGAACTGTCACGACATGGTATATTCGCCAGCCATAAACGAGGAAAAAGGAAATTCATGCATGGTTTCCCTTTATTTTATGCCTTTTCACCCCGCGCAAAAACACATTCCAAATTTTTCCCATGCGATACGGGGATCGACTTCACACCAACTCCACGGGAAAGCGTTCAATACTTCGGAATTGCCAGTTGCATTTCGAGTTAGTCTATCTCGCGATGCTAGGCCATGTCATGCCAGGATGTCACCCCTCATATTCTTTTCCAGCCTCTCCGAAAACGAAAACGCGACGCCGAATCGGAAAATATTTAAGCGGTCTGGGGGCCACGGGCGCCCTTGGGGGTACCGGTCTGGAAGCCGTTCAAGAAGCGGCGGTGGACATCACGCAGGGAGCGCATGCGGCCGGAGCCGGTGGTCTTGCGGCGCTTGGCCTTCTCGCTCCAGTTGACTATTGCGACAGAAGTGTAAGCCTGGGTTTCTCCACTATCTTCAAGGTGTGAGGGTGTGCGTACACTTGCGGGTCTTAGCAGAAGGGTAGCCACAGTTGGCACAGGTGGACTTCTGGATGTGGAAAGACCGCTTGCCTATTGTCGAAGAGAACACTATCAGTAATCGTGTCCGAGGAGATGTCCAGCCATGGTATCCTGATCGCCCATTTCCATTCTCGATGTATGTTTGCGACTTCGGGACCGGATTGACAAGGATTGTGGAATACTAACCACAGCGGCGGCACAGAGTGTGCGTCTTGTTGTGGCGCTTTCCGAAGCTGGAGGTACCCTTAGCTGTGGTGGTTGTTAGTCTCGAGTGTTTCGACGGTGCGGAGATTTGCGGTGCGAGGCTTCGACTTCGAACGTACTCATCTTGAATTAAGGGAACTGTAGGAAACGAAGGGTCAGTAAATGGGGACGGGTAGAAGGCGTAGAGAGCGCCGGGACAGCATGCAAGCGTACCTGGCAATTCCGTTGAAGGGCTGTTGTCGGTGTCGTCGTCGCTAGGCGTATCGAAACTTCCCGCTGGGTGGTGATGTGTCGGCTAAGCGAGATGTGGGCGAGTCACGGGATACCAGGGCACAAACCCTGTCCCGTGATCCGACATCATGTGACGTTCAAATGGAGACCAAATATATCACGTGATGACGATCAGGATCCAACTATACACATTAATCATTCGATGCCCCAGACTTGAAAATAGTTCAATACTTCAATCTTGTACATTGATTTGTGCAGTATGACAGGGGTATTTTGGTACAACTAAACGCCAGAAATTCACATGCTAGAAGAATCATTTCTCGTCTTTTCCGATGAAGTTGGCCATCGGATCATCCGCAGCCAGCCGACTGCGCTTGTAAGATTCCATCTCTTCCTCAGTGATCCCGGATTTCAGCTCCTCGATCGTCCGCTTCTTTCCATTCATTGGATCCTGCTCTTGACCAACTGTGCTGACAGGCTCGGGCTTATGATTTTCTTGAGTAGGCTCTTCTTCATCTCCCCCAGTCAGCATCAGCATGTTACCCTCTTCTTCAAACGCCTTCTTTCCGTCCTCGCCAGTACAGTAGCTGTTTTTGACTGTAGAGTAACAGCATGCATAGCCCCACTTGAACTCAAACCACCAACTGCCGAAGACAGAAGTATGGTTATTGGGCATGACATCTTCAGCGTACTTGGACTTGATAGCATTCTTGGGTGCACCCTTGATAGCACCGCTCTCATCGTACTCAACGAATCGCTCGTTCTCAACAACCATGGTGTCTCGTAAAGGACTTGGCTGAAGATGCTCACTGCCTCCATATTTCTCCAAAAGGGCTTTGCGGTGAGCCTCGCGTTTGGTATCACTCTCTTTCTGTTCTTTCTTCCGAAGCACCTCTCCTGATGTGGGGTTGGCCTGAAGATGAATTTGGGACATGCCTTTCTCCTGGGAATCCCAGGCGTACTGCTGAGCCTTTTCAAATTCGGCCGCGTCGCCGGAGGCTCGGACAAAGTTCTCTTCAGCCACAAGGGCAGACGCCTGATCATCTTGTGCACCCATATCCACCATGCGTCGAGTCTTTGGATCGTATTTCGCGGAATCAAGGTCGAGATTAAGCAGATATTTAGCGGTGTCTTCTCGGATCCGAAGGTTGCGCGTGGCTGTGCTTTGTTGCCGACCCATGTCGGATTCTTCGGCGTATCGAATATCTTCCTCCAGACCCTCATTCTCGTCATCCCCGTCCATCAGCTTCTTCAGGTCTGCGCCTTCTTTTGCGGAGCGCTTCATCGACTCCAGCTCTTCGTATTCGTCGACAACTTGGCGGTACTCGCTGGCATCGTAGCCATTCCACCGATCTCTTTTAGCATCCCAGCCCATGTCAACCTTTTGGATAACCTCGTCGGCCTCAATATTCTTCCCAGTCCATTTGGCACCCTGCTTTCGGGGTCGACTCAGGCATTCTTTGGTTTTATGGGTCATTGCGCCGCAGTTCTCACATGCGCCTTTGCGGTATTTGGTCGCTGCCGGACCCGCGCGTTTTCCTCGGTCGTACCACTTGGACTGGTCTTGGGTAGTCTTGTTCAGACGTTGATGCTCGAGATAGTCGTTGCCTGAATCATCGTCGACGTAGAACGGCTTTTTCGAGATGAAGGAGGGAATGTATTCGTTGCGCTCCTTGGACGCCACATCGGCCGGTTTGCGCGACATTGTGGTGACGCAAATAACTATGAACAGACCAGCTGCCAAAAGTGGTATGGGAATGGGGAAAAAGATAAAAAAAAATAGCTCCCGTTACACCGCGGCGAGGGATATGAGATCAAAGTAAGACGCCTAAGGTTGGAAATAAGTGGTCATGTGACCTGGCGTACCGGGCGCGTTGTGTAATGCGGGCGCATACCTCAAGTTCTCATTAAGGCGCGTTGCTCTCGCCGACGAAACATGTTTTCATGGAACACAGCTCCAAGCCTCAGACGAAATGTTGCTGATGCCCCCGGCTCAAAAAAACCAGCCTGATGGAGCCTTTTCGCGTGCGTCTCAACTGCATCGATCACTACCAGGCGACCGCGTCGGAGCTCGACCCTGCGTTGCCCTTTCGAGATGGTGCCTCTGAAAAAGATTTCAGGCCAAAAGTGCCTGTGATACGGGTGTTTGGCGCGACTGAGACTGGCCAACGGGTATGCGTTCATGTCCATGGCGTATTCCCATATCTGTATGTCGAATACAATGGTTCTTTAGCACCCGAAGCAGGTAAGTTCAATACTAGCGTGATTAAGATAATCTCTGCTAATTTATAACTTTCAGTCAATTCGGCCATACGCACCCTCCACCTCTCAATAGACCATGCCTTGGCGGTTAGCTATCATCGCAACGCCTACGACCGGAAAACCGCATACGTCGCACATATTTCCTTGGTCAAAGGGATCCCCTTCTATGGCTATCACGTCGGCTACCGGTTCTTCTTCAAGGTTTACCTCCTCAATCCTTTCTCTTCTGGCCGACTTGCCGATCTTCTCCATCAGGGTGCGGTGATGAAACGCCCATTACAACCATACGAAGCCCACATGCAATTCGTTCCGCAATGGATGTGCGACTACAATTTGTACGGGTGTGCATATATGGATTGCGAAAAGGTGAAATTTCGTTCACCCGTACCAGAGTATCTGGAGTTAGTCAATCCCGACCATCGATGGCATGACCGCTCTATCCGTCCCGAAGACATACTCGATGACCCGGCCCTCCAAAAACAGAGCCATTGTCCACTAGAGGTGGACGTCTGCGTACAGGACATTCTCAATAGATTTGATGTCAAAGAACGTCCCCTGCACCATGACTTTAGCGAGCTTTTGAGACCCGTTGCCTTCAACGAACGCCTTGTTCCCAGCGTGGCTGGACTTTGGCAGGACGAGACCCGGCGACGTAAGAAACGAATGGGTATAACGGACCCCGGCAGCACCCCTTTCAAACCGGAAGAACTGATTTCGATGTCTGCTGATCCTAGAAATCAATCTAAGGGAGGCTGGGTACATGAGGACGAGTTTCAAGAGTTGGCCTCACAACTGGCTAAGGAAGAACGGCGAGCTGATGGCGACACGGATACATCATTTGAAATATTCACGAATTTCGAAAAAGAACAGGAATGGATTCAAACCGCCTTGAATAGCGTGGAGGATTTCTACCCAGACAGACTGGACAAGTCAAAACAGAGTTTTCGCCAGGAATTGGATGAATTGGCCAGAGTTTCCGTTGATGAAGACCTTGCGCGATCTTCTCAGCCTGATGGGCAATATCTGTCAGATGATGAGCATAGTATCAAAGAAGACATCAACGAGGAGCCCAGGGTCATTGAAGATCATGATATTCAAGAAAGTTTCTACGATGGTGTATTTGACGACATTTTTCAACCACATGATGACGCACCCGAGGAGCTCGTGCAAGGGGGCATCTCGAAATATCCTTACGACGAATTGACAAGCGATTCACCTGTATCGAGGCCAAAACCGAGCTATGAAGACCACAGTATGGACGGAAATGTTAATAGTATCCTTAAAAGGAGTTTCACTGATCTTGCTCATCACGACCGCCCATCAGGGAAAAAGCCGAGATTCTGGAGCAACCCAGGCTTGTCTGAAAAGAACAATCGCGGTAGCTTGGGCGAGGTGAACCCGAATCTGGATTCGAAACCTCTGTCATCACAACCCACATCATCTTCGTCTCAAAAGACAGTTCGGCCAAGATCTCACATGCCTCTATCCAGCAGTCGATTGAACTATCCCGTTGTCAAAGATCCCTATGACCCTTTGACGATTTCACGGTTTAGCCAAGATGATGGCCCATCGAAGAAGGGAAATAAATCTTCACAGCACCTACCATGCTCTTTCCCAAGTGGATCTGCCACCAGTTCTTCAGAGAATGGCGGCGGTGGAGCAATCTCTTCTATTCCTCGGTCTTCTACCACTGTAGTAGAATCGGTTGCTCTCAATTCGCATGTCGCCAAGATCAAGGAGAATCTGTGCGACTCCTTCAGTTTTCCTGAAAACACGACTGTCTCTCTTTTCAGGTTCCCCGCCCCTGGCAAAACTGAGGTTACTTCGACAATGCATGACAATCACCGCCCATCTGTTGTCTATCAAAAGGCATATTACAGCAATGAGACAGATGTTCCTGAAAGACCACGACAATACGCCGGGCGAGAATTTCGATTAGAAAGCGACACAGTGCACTACCTCCCAGAATTCGACCTATCAGCAAATCACCCGGCCATGTTTGGTCTACAATCACCGATTACCTTTGATCGGGAAAAACAAGAAAAGGTCGACCAGGAATTGCGGGAATCTTGCACCGCAAGAACGTGGAAATTTGCACCGGTTCCTCCTAGCCGGTCTGAAGTTGTCGAGTGGTTTAATAACCTCCACGCGTCTCAAGATTCCACCTCATCTAAGCCCGCAATTGCCAATGCCGAAGCGAGGCCTGAAGCAATGTCACAGATCGAAGGACCAACACAAAAGCCCCACGGGTTCAAATACTCTCAAAAGGCGAAGACTACCAGCGTCGAGCACCAAGCCCAGTACATGAGCACAATGAGCTTGGAAGTACATGTGAATACTCGCGGTGCTTTCTCGGCACACCCCGCGGAGGATGAAATTTCATGTATCTTCTGGGGTCTTCACTCTGAAGACGAGGATATCGAGGTCAATAGCCACCTACCTGGTGTCCACATCGGAATGATCTACCAAGGCGAAGGCGAAAGACCCGAATCCAAGATCTCGAAAGCGCTCAAGATCGATATGGAAAATGAACCCACAGAGCTTGACATGATCAATCGTCTGGTAGATATCGTGCGCTACCACGACCCGGACATTATGATTGGGTATGAAGTTCACAATGGCTCCTGGGGCTATGTCATTGAGCGAGCTAGGAAAAAGTATGATTTCGACCTCACCGCGGAACTTTCCCGAGTAAAGTCGCAGTCTCACGGCAAGTTTGGACGGGAAGAGGAGCGTTGGGGTGCTGATCACACCTCTTCCGTACAGATAACTGGCCGACATGTCATCAATATTTGGCGTGCGATGAGGGGTGAGATGAATCTGCTAGGATATACCATGGAGAACGTCGTCTTCCATTTGCTTCATCGACGGATACCACACTACTCGGCTAAGGATCTCACAAAGTGGTATCAGAGCGGGAAGCCTCGCAACGTTTATAAGGTTGTGGAGTATTTTACATCGCGCATGCAGATGAATCTGGAAATCCTCGAGGCCAATGAATTGATCCCGCGGACAAGCGAGCAGGCTCGTTTGTTGGGAATCGATTTCTCTTCGGTCTACTTCCGAGGCTCTCAATTCAAAGTCGAGTCGCTCATGTTCCGAATTGCCAAACCCGAGAACTATCTGCTGGTATCGCCTAGCCGAAAACAAGTTGGCCAACAGAACGCCCTGGAGTGTCTCCCCCTGGTCATGGAACCGCAAAGCGACTTTTACACCAGCCCGCTGGTGGTTCTTGATTTCCAATCCCTCTATCCGAGTGTGATGATCGCGTATAACTACTGCTATTCGACTTTCTTGGGAAGGGCATCACAGTGGCGTGGCCGAGACAAGATGGGCTTCATGGATTACAAGCGTCAGCCAAGGTTGCTGGAACTGCTCAAAGACAAAATCAACTTCTCACCGAACGGCATGATGTATGCGAAGCAAGAAGTGCGCCAATCCCTGTTAGCAAAGATGCTTACGGAAATCCTTGAGACTCGTGTGATGGTCAAGACGGGTATGAAGGCAGACAAAGATGATAAGATTCTTCAACGTCTATTGAACAATCGTCAGTTGGCCCTCAAGCTTATCGCGAACGTCACATATGGTTATACGTCTGCATCTTTCTCGGGTAGAATGCCTTGCTCCGAGATTGCAGACAGTATCGTACAGTCTGGCCGTGAAACACTGGAGAAGGCTATTGCCTTTATTCACTCGGTGGAACGATGGGGTGCTGAGGTGGTATATGGCGACACTGACAGCTTATTCGTCTATCTCAAAGGCCGCACTCGCGATCAAGCTTTTGATATTGGCGAGGAAATTGCACAAGCAGTAACAGGTATGAATCCTCGCCCGGTGAAGCTCAAATTCGAGAAAGTCTACCACCCCTGCGTCCTTCTGGCCAAGAAGCGATACGTCGGCTTCAAATACGAGCACCGGGACCAGAAAGAGCCCGAGTTCGACGCCAAGGGCATCGAGACTGTGCGACGCGATGGAACACCTGCAGAACAGAAAATCGAAGAGAAAGCTCTGAAGATTCTGTTCCGAACAGCAGACTTGAGTCAAGTGAAGTCTTATTTCCACCGCCAATGCAGCAAAATCATGCAGGGCCGTGTCTCCATCCAGGATTTCTGTTTTGCCCGAGAGGTCCGGCTAGGAACATACAGCGATCGTGGCCAGCTCCCCGCGGGTGCGATGATCAGCACAAAGCGCATGCTTGAGGACCCTCGCCAAGAGCCTCAGTACGGTGAGCGCGTGCCCTACGTTGTCATCACCGGTGCACCGGGCTCACGTCTCATCGATCGGTGTGTGGCGCCCGAGGAACTCTTGCACGACGCTCAGCTCGACCTCGACGCTGAATACTATATCACCAAGAACTTGATCCCACCTCTGGAGCGCATTTTCAACTTGGTGGGCGCCAACGTGCGTCAGTGGTATGATGAAATGCCCAAGGTCCAACGGATTCGTCGCGTCGAGGCGGCTTCTTCTTTAACTGGTCCGAACAAAGGACTTGGCACGCTGAAAAAGACTCTAGAGTCATATATGCGCTCATCGTCTTGCATCCTTTGTAAAGCCAAGCTGTCCGATGCCACTGTGCCTGTATGTGGTGATTGTTTGCAAAATCCCCACCTTGCCCTACTGGACGTTGTCTCGCGGCTACAGCGGGCGGAGAAACGTGTCGTTGACCTTGAAGCTGTGTGTCGGTCCTGCATGGGCGTGCCGGCTGGTGATGAGATTCGCTGCGATAGCATGGATTGTCCTGTGTATTACTCTCGTACCCGGGATGCGGCGCACTGGCGACATTCTCGGGCTGTCCTCGAGCCTGTCGTGGAACTGCTAGAAAAGAAAGGAGATGAGGGGTTGGATTGGTGATAATCTAGATTCTGGAGTTCGTTCCTGTTCTGATAGTGAAGGATGGCGTTGGAAATACCCTACATGATGCATTTTACTTTTTCGAACTGGTTGATAATTGAATTGAAATGATTTTGACTTGTGACAAAACTACCCATTGAAAGAGGCACCCTTCCAACTTTTCTGGTAAGTAATGCTTTTTTTGTCACTTTACTAGCAAACCAGATCACTGTCGTCAGCGCTCTCATTCTAATGCATCAAATGCAAGTTCGCAAGTGATTTCTCTTCTGTTTTCGTTCCACTAACTGCCAAGCAGACATAGAAGGTGCGTCAAAATGGACTTTGGGGAGTCCGTCTCTACGATTTCTTCGACCATGATGTCGACCTCATCAGTCTCTCCATTGCTATTGACCTCCTCGATAATAGCCTCAGTCTCCTCTGTTCCATCATAGTCCAGATGGTCCCTTATTTCCCGGGCAGCAGGCGTCACTTCATCTGACCTGATGTCCTTGTTCTCATCCTCGTCAAGTATCATCAGAGAGAGTTCTTCATCAATGGCATCGGTGAACACAAAGGATGCTGAACTGGGACTGGAGGGTGTAAGGTCGATCAAATCAACGACATCACGGTGTCTTTCAGAGGAAGATCTGTGGCCGGAGGGTGAATGCTTGCTGGTGGGCTCAATGGGCGTTTCTTTGATTTGGTCCTCATCCATATCTGGAACGTCCAACAAAGCACTGGCCATATTAGTGCCTCCAAGCCCGGGGTGAAGTAGCAGGTCTTCGACTTCTGCGTGGCTGTACACCTTGGAAGAGATCTTGTCCTTCTGGTATGTGTCGAGCCTGTCCTTTGTCAACCGACCTGATGCAATCACGCCCAAATATTCATGGAAGATCCACGGGAAGCTAACAAGAGGTGAGTTCGGCTCTCCATGAGCTGTGTCTGTGTCTGGATCAGGGCCACTAGAGCGATGGTCATCGTCGTCAGAGAGCGCCAATTTGTGACGCTTTGCCAGCGCCTCATTTGTCACCTTGTGAGTCACGTAATACATCGCGATGACTAGCGGAGCAACATCTTCGAGACTACGCCCGCCAACGTGATCGAAGCACTGCTGACGGAAACCAGCTCGCAGAGTCTCGACGATACGGCCCAAGTCTTCATGCAACTTGTATGCTTTGACGATGCGACTGTGATTCAGGACAAATGTAGACCAAACCTCAAACTCGGTCTTGATCGCGAATTGTGCCATTATTCGCAGCATCGCCGCATCATACTCTTGTTTCAATTGTGTCGCAAACCCCGTGAATGTCTCACTCGCTGGAACGAGATCAGACTTCAGAATGCGGGAGTCAAAAGGAGCGGATAGATCAGGTACAAAGTGGATGGTCTCTACTGCGTCGTAGAGTCGACCCAGAACCTTCTTGGATAGGTAACTCCTACGAGGTTCCCTTTCCATGAAGTGTGGCCACTGCCGTGGTTCAAGATTCCCAGTCATCTTTGCAGGTTGACCTGTCTTGTTATAATCGACAGCTACGGAGTGCATGTGTGCCAGTTCTACACACCTCTGCTCAAGGACGCCGCCCTGCAGTGTGTCTGCCCAGGCCATGTGGGCATTTGCAATTCTAGGGAGGCAATTTTCCTTCATGAAGGTGACGAAAAACGTCGTCATGTCATCAACGGTCACATCACGGTTTAATTCGGGGGCTATCTTGTTGTTATCCACCATTGGTTTCGTGAACCATCTCACCGGAATTAGGTCCGGATCCCACATTACGAGGTAGTCATCTCCATCTAGATCTCCTCCGGCACACATGCTCGCAAGGTCTCTATCTCCAGTCTGGGGAAAAACAATCACATCGACAAGATGCCGCAGTCTCGGCTCATACACTGCGCGCACCACCCGGATATCCCCCGGGTGCAGAGATGGGTTGCGTGCAAGAATGCACACTCCTTCGATAATCTTGGGCTCTCCATTGTTTTCAGGAGAGGTAACTTGGACGAATATCTCGGGAAGCGCTGCTAATTTGTCGGCGTGCTTCGCGCCGGTTGTCTCTGCTCTCTTGACCTTTGCGTCAAACCAGCCCTGCAGAATGCCAACTTCATCCAGGACACCAAAGAGGCTGGCTCCTTTCTCAATGACGATCTTAGCTTTGTCTTTCAGTGACTTGAGATGCCAAGCCTTCCAAAGGGAAAGCATAGAGCTGACAAATGGCTCGTCGACCCGCCGGAACCCGTCTTGTAGGAGATTAGCCAATGTCAATGTTGTTTGGTTAGGGTCCACGAATCTTTGAAGTAGAGCGATTGCCTGCGAGTCATCTGTCATGGCCTGATTGAAGCTCTGCAACATTGCATCTTGTTTAGCAAGAATCACATTCGTAGGAAGGCCCAGAGCAGCGAGGATCAGAATCAACTGGCGGTTCAAAGTTGCAATGGAGTACGAAGAAGAGCGAATAATTTCCAGACTGCCATGAGGGCAATCAAACTTGCGCTGGCTGGGTCGAATGTGTACCTGATTCGGCTGAGGATCGGAAGACATGACCAACATTCCTTTGCACCCCCCCAAGACGGAACTGGAAAGCTGATGGGGGCTCGCCATTCTGGGTCTTGAGCTTCAATTTATTCATGGTCATTTGAGCCAGGAACTTCGAGATCTTGCCGATACCATCAGAGAAGTTATACCCATTACGCGTAATGTCCGGGATTACTTCAATCTGGACATTCGAGGCCCCGACAGGGCGGGTCGTGGAAAAGCACTGGCCCAGTCGGGAGGTGTACTTTGCAATATTCCGGATATGACTGAACTGGCCCATCCAGGCTCTGATGTCGGCGACAGACAAATTTGGAACAGATGCGAAAAACCAAGCGCCTTGTTCTCGAAATTGGGAGTTACCGAAAGCCAGAAACTCGAAGTGGCGGTCTCCCACAGTGATGCCCTTGACAAGGGTTGCCTTGACCCGTCTGTAAACCTCGTCATCTACTTGACTGATGGTTGATCTGATCGCTCCGATATACAGTTCGTCTGAGAACCGGACTCGAAGGAAACGGTCAGCAAACTCACTGAATTTTCTCGTGATACGATTCGAGGTATCAACCGTCGGTGTGTTGAAATAGATGGTGGCTGGGGTAACTCTAGCAGTCCGCATGAAGCAGCAATAGTCCGATATTCTCGAACTAGTGACACCCGTAGCAGCCTTAATGTGGAAAATTTCCATGGGATTGAGGTACTTTCGCTTGTGTGTCGCAACATGCTCAAGCAATCGCTGAGCTTTGAAATCCCCATCTTTCATCAGTCTGACGATGAACTCACGAGTCATATTGAACTCAGATAGGTGGCCATGAGAAATGCAAACCTCGAGCTGATAACGAACAGGGAAAGGTAATAATACCGTGTGCTCATCGACAAGATCCCCCAGATGTCCCCATTTTGGATTCACTTGTCTATCGATACATTTCCATATCGGCTTGAGAATACTTTGAATTTCATGGAAATGGGCCCCATCTTGGAACGTTATGTTATGATCTCGGAGTACATCTTTGATGAGTATCCGGCTTTTGAAGTTGAGATCGCTGGACTCTAGTGTGAGTTTCAAGACGTTCCACCGTCCTATGAGAAATTTTAGTCTGAGCAACTAACAAAAGAACAAGTTTGGGCTCACCGATATCCATGATATCGCCTGAGGTTTGCAGTTTGGTCGGGGTGTCAAATTCTCGTGATGCGTTATAATTTATACGGGTCTGCCGTGTCCACGTATCCGCCTCTTTCCAACTAAGGTCCTTAGTGAATGTAGTTTTTATATCGGATAGCTTGCGGTAGTAGATGCCTGGGTAATTCAGGAGTATGATGAAAGAGAACTTTGTTTTAGGGGAGTGGGTCCCAGTGTTATTGTGAACCTCCCACACATCATTCAATTGACTGAATGGAATCTTCAGTCGAAAGGATATCTGGGGGTTGACAAATGTAGCATTTATCTTGAAGCCACTGGGCGTTGGTATCTCTTCGTTAAAGCCGATGTAAAGTGCTCTTTCCTGAGCGTTGATCCACAGCCTAACCAGCCAGGCGAATCCCTTGAGGAGATTGATGGTAGACGCATCTTGCTGGATGCCCACCGCAAGCTGGGACGCATGGAGCTCCTAATTGGGCATGTTAGCAGCAACCCGATCCATCGAATTCTGGCATGAGACTCACCAGCCTCTCAAGATATACGAAGTTTGAACGAGCTGGGCCTGGGGCCGGGTTTCTCTTGAAGTCGGAAATCAGGGAAACATTAAGGTACACAGGGCGTCCAGAATCGAGCTTCACATAGAAGACGCCACGACTCCAAAAGTTGTGGTATGGTGGAGGCCTATCATTCAATCCAAAACCATCAGTATCTAGCACATAGCATCTATGGCCCTGTGTCACGAGACAGTCTTCGAAAAGAAGAAAAAAAAATAAGACATACGTGAAACGAACGCGACCCTTATTCATAGGGCGGCCGTACTTGTCGACAGTGATTTCAATCGAGGTGATATTGCCTTGCTTGTAGAATGATCTCCAGACTGCGAGTGTGCTTAGGGGCCTAGGAAACCCGGAGAAGGAAATGGTGACAGACGGCCACATCTTCCACGAGTCATCGACCGATCCTTCGAGATTACCTTTGGCATGTTTGGCTCTCTGAAATCGAGATCGCCCCGACATGATGAGGGTTGGCCGGTTGCACGGCCTTTGAATTAGTAAAGTCAGGGACTGAGGACTATTGTAGATTGCTGAGAGATTCAGTAGAAGTGAGTTCGAAGAGACTAGGAGGTGAGATGATGTAGAAGGACGATCTGATAGATAAGATTGATGTAGAAGGACGATCTGATAGATAAGATTGATTATCTCACCTTTGACTGTAGTGATAGTAAATGACTTTGGTAGTGATCACAATGTGAAAGGTGTGAACGGTGTAGATGAGGCCACACATAGAGTGGAAGACGGCGATGGCGACGTGAAAGATACCAGGCCAGATGTAGGAGAGCCCACAGGTCTAAGACTGAGTGATCCGAGTTGGGACAAGATCAAGACCATGGGTAGAACGATTGAGGAGAAGTGAAGATGACAAGTGTAGATGAATTGGAAGATAGTTGGGAGCAATCTCGACGGAAAGCATTTGAGGAGGAAGTAAGTTCGATCAAGAGTGACTCGGAGGAAAAAAAATAGCAAGAAGGTGACAAAGAAATAATTTCTGAACAGGATAATCTCTACACGGAAAACGTTGAACAACGGTCTACACAACGTTCCTTATGATTGACACTTGAAGACCAATTGAGAGTGACAAGGACGACGCTGAGATAGCGAGCGCGCGCAAACCAAATTGGATCAATCTTCGGTACTTTATTTACATGAAAGCAGGATTTGACTTTTAGACATGTACAAACTCATAACGTCGTTATAACAAGTAGCTTCAACGGTTCATTGCAGGGGTGGCCGGTCGTTCGAACCAGCAAAAGTTGTACTGGTAAAGATGAAGTCCTGGGAGAATTCCAAGTCCATTTCCAGATCAAAGTCCTGTAAGTGGTTTCCATTGGACTGCGTGTGCTTGGCAGACTCCTGTTGTGACTTGGCCGGGGTATTGGAGTCCATTTCTGCGAGAGGATGACGGCTTGGCGATTGATGTGTGGGAGGTGGATTAGACCTAAGGGCTTCTGCTGGAGTCTTGAGTGGTGCTGATGATAGAATTATTGATCTTCGGTTACCTTTTGGTCGCTTGGGGCTGGGTCCTTGTAAGTTGGAGGCAAGTGAGTCAAATGACTCTGCGAGTTGTGTAGCCTCGTCGTCATAGACTTCTGACTGGCGTCTAGAGGTGGCCTGAGCTGTATCGGTACTCCTGGTGCTTTGAGATTTATTCGCGGTTGGAGGCTCAGTCGTTGGTGCAGTGAACCCCATGACACCCATGAGACGACCAATATGTTGCTGTGCTTCGGAGAATTCCCGAGCCTTGGTGGCACGCTCATTTCGCAGTGATTGAACCTAGTTTGAATGTCAGAGGCGATCTTGGCTGGAGACTGTGCGTACTGATTGCCATACCTTTCTCTCCAACTGGTGTATGTGCGTATCCTTCAATTGGAGATTTTTAGATGCATCTTGCGCGGCAGCAAGCATTTTGGCCTGTATACGAGTATTCTCCTCCTTGAGCTTGGCAATCTACAGGATGTAAGATTAGCCCGGGGTGCATGCAAGTCAGCAATGCTGTAATGTACCTCTGATTCCGCCCGAGAAACGTCAATTTCACGTTTGTGCGTCAAAAGTTCCGTCTCCAATTGGAGCTTCTTCTCAGTCTCTCGTAATGCTGAGCACAATCTTTCAGCTTCGATATTCTGCTTTTCCACCTAGAAATTATTGATCAGTATCTAAACAACGTTGGAAGTGGAAAGTATCAGTACCGTTGCTTTCATAGTCCCAACTTCCAATCGCAAATGTTCGTTCTCTGTCAAGAGATGCCTTACTTCATCCTGTTTCAGGTCACAAAGAATCTTGTTTTCCGATAAGTGAGATTTGAGCTCTTGAAGCTCCTTTTGCAACGATGCAGACGTTTCAGATGACGTGGTTTTCTCCTTCAAAGCAATCTGTAGTGTCCGTCGCATCTCCTCATTCTCAGATTGAAGTCGACGAGTCTCCGCTTGAAGCTCTTCGAACTGGTCATCTCTCTCCGTGCTGATGGCTATCAAATTAAGCTCTTTAGAACGAGCAGTTTCTCGTTCCGTTTGAAGTGTATTGTCGAAATTGCGGCGCTGGTCTTCAAGTTCCTGATTCAGAGCCTCTATCGACGCAGTCAGCTCTTGTACTCGACAAGAGGCATTTTCTGCATTCTCTCCCATGCGTGAAAGATCGTCTTGTAAGCAAGCAATGGCATGGGAAGATTGATCTAGTTGCTTCTGCAGATCTTCGCTTTGTTGTTTCAATTCTTCATTCTCGGCAATTTGATGATCTCGTTCTTGCTCCACTAAGCGCAGGGGTCCTTCGACGTCGTGACAGCGACGTTCTAGATCAAAACAGATGTCTCCGATTTTCTTCATCATGTTATCGTGAGAAATCTGGGCGTTGTGCATGAAGATTTCCGTGAAGCCAGACCGCCAATCCCGAGTTGGAGGACCGGCGGAGGAGAAATTTTGCGTGTCGCGCAAGTAAATTGTGCTTCGGGATTCTCTCGAGTCTGCTGTTGAGAATGAGCAGGTCTTGTCGGCAAATGACCTTGCCGAGCGCTCGACAAAACATTTCATCAGCATGATATCTGTGGCATTTCCATTGGTCGTCAATGCAGCAGCAAAGTAGATTTGAAATAGACTGAGAAGAATCTTGTTTTTCAGAGCCGCGTAAGCGCAATAACATACTTCGGAGCCGCGGCACTCGTCTTGGCTCGGAGTGACAGGGAATATTCCGAAAAGGTTGGCAATGGCTTCTTTCGTGGATACTGAGTTAAGAAGCGAAGATACGATTGGTCTGGATTCGGTTGACTGGAATCCTGAAAGAAGCAATGCGGCCGTATGCAAGCTCGACAGGGAGCCTCGATGTGGGCTGTCGTCCTTCAAGGCATCCATAGTGAAGCGAAGGAGCTCGTAAATGATTGATTCATCGCAATTTGCCAATGATTCTGTTAGTCGTGACACTAAATAGGGTGGCAGACTTCCAAGTGCTCCACGGCTATCACTCGAAACAAGCAAACGGAGACCGAGGTCTCGGATGTTAGAAGGCAGTGCAGCCACTGGAAGGAGAGAAAGCAAAAACGTAACTCCCATCACCTGGGTATCCCGGTCAAGACCATCCTTGGCCACCTTTTCGCACAACTTGGCGATCTTGGATGAATTGTTCAATACCCACGCATCTTTCTGCTTAAGCTCAACGGCATCTGACACACAGATTGCGAGACGAATGCTCTCGGCGGCCTGGGATGGGGGTAGGTTGCAATTGGAGGAACAGGCAAGTATCACACGCAACACGACCAGATCTAAGGTCTTTAAGCCTCGCTTGGCGCCAAAGAAATGCTGTATGTTAAGAAGCCAAGATGGGGGCTCTAGTCCGTGTTGAATATGGCGATGACTTTTTTGGTTCGATGCAATTCGTGCAAATGTGGCTAAGCAGAGTAGATTGCCCATGTGGTCGTCGATGTTGCGCAAAGTCTTGGTAAATTCAAATTGCAGGTTAGACATTACTTCGGAGGGGACTTCATCCAGGATGCGCGGCGACGATTGAAGCGTATTCATCAGGCTGTGTAGGGGCGCCAATGTCTTTGCGCATGGCTTTCTTGCCATTACATGGACCAGCTTCGTGATGAATCTGGCCAGTCGAGCAGGTGCTACCACACCGGATGGCAGTGACGATGATAGTAGGGCAATACACGCTGGGTCGTACTACGACCGTCAATCTCTGGACGAAAACTTGATAGTCATCAGCACTCACTTCAGATTCTCCGGCATCAACTGCCTTTTGGAGAAATGTATCCAATATTTCCGGATGACGCTTTAGCAGGGCATCGCGAAAGACCGTTGTATGAGCTGAGATGCATTAGTCTTTATACAAGCCGTATTATCTGAGCACCGAGTTCCTTGGTATCTCTTACCAAACGCAGATAACAGTGGGAGAGCCACCCGCGACCGTGATAATCCTTCGACGAATATGTCGGCCAAAAGACCGACTTGACAGGATTTCTGAAGCGCCCATGAGTCTATTGTAGAGGTAGCGACCCGCTGAGTTAGATCATAGAGGTCCTAATTTCATGTTATCACGCTGTGTCTGATGACCAGAACAAGGTTAGCGTACCAGTAAAGAGGGCGCGTAAGGCGCGGTCACGACGCGTTCAATCTCGCAGATGAGACATACGAGCTCAGTCATTGTGACTCTCTGAGCTGAGATTGTCGTGAACACTAGGCGGTGGTTGATGTCGTTATCGCCGATGGTCACGACACGGCAAAGAAGTGTTGTCGTGGTTGCCCCCTCAACGGGCAATTCTGCCACCCCAAGTCTGACCATGAGGCTCTTGACGGACGATCTACAAACTACAGTCTTTACGTGATACTAGAGTAATTTGGTTTTGTGAACATAAATTACTATTAACGCCATTGTCTCCATGTGTACCTGAGATTAACCCCCACTTACCCCCACGTTCGCGGACTTGCCAGCGTCGAAGAGAAGAGCCGACTCGGCCGAGCCCCGAAGGCGGGGAAGAAGAGGTGCACACCTCATCGGAGTTCTTAATGTCGTGAACAATTACTGTTGTTTTGGATTTTTATTTTCATATCTTGGAAATTGTTCTGAAACCTTCATCGCTCTACGACTCGTGAGAGCTTCGGTGTCTCTCCTTCATGACGATGCGAGCGCCATTCATAGTCCCCAGGGGCTTCTCCACTCCCCGCATGCCCCAGTGCCGACCCCGGATCCCACAATACCTAAGTGTCCAGGCAAGCATAGCGGTTCGAACGAATACTACTTCCAGTAGAAACAACAGCCAGAGTCAAAATAGCTCCTCGAGCTTCAATTCCGATTCCGCACTCTTCTGGACACCCGCCAAAAGTCTCCTGGTCTCCGCAGTCGCTGCGGGGTTGGGCTATGGCTACGCCACGTATAATCAGACACCGCAGGCGCCCAAGAAAGTGCAATATGGCTCAATGAAGGACTTCGAGAAGGTACCGTCCTGTGCATTAGGTCACTTGCGCAATCGGACACTAAACAATAGTAGGCCATTGCGGAATTGCGCGCCAAACTCGGCGATGACACAATCTCGACCGACGAAGATGAACTTCAGCATCATGGATACTCAGAGTGGTCAAGCCTTAACGCAGAGCGTCTTCCAGTCGCCGTCGCATATCCCACGTCCACAGAACAAGTATCTGAAATCGCCAAGGTTTGCCATAAGTATCGAATGCCCATGATTCCTTACTCCGGTGGCTCAAGCCTGGAGGCCAATTTCTCCGCCCCATATGGCGGTATGACTATTGACTTTGCATTCATGAACAGGGTCTTGGAGATCCACGAGGATGACATGGATGTTGTGGTTCAGCCGTCGATCGGGTGGATGGATCTGAACGAGAAGATCAAAAGTACTGGCCTGTTCTTCCCTGTGGATCCAGGCCCGACGGCTATGATTGGAGGTATGGTTGGTACGAACTGCAGTGGCACAAATGCTGTTCGGTATGGGACGATGAAGGATTGGGTAATTAATCTCACGGTTGTTCTGGCCGATGGTCGCGTCATCAAGACTCGCAGGCGCCCGCGGAAGACTTCTGCAGGGTATAATCTGACTGGCATGTTTGTTGGATCGGAGGGTACTCTGGGCATTGTGACTGAAGCCACTCTGAAATTGACTAATATTCCCGAGGATACTCGTGTCGGTGTCGTTGCATTTCCCAATATTCGTGACGCAGCATCGACTGCCATGCAGTTGATTAAGAAGGGTATTCCTGTGCAGTGCATGGAGATTATGGATGAAGTGCAAATGGATGTCATCAACCGGGCTGGTGGTACTAAGCGGACCTGGGCAGTGTCTCCCCATCTGTTCTTCAAGTTCTCTGGTACAAGGGCTGGCGTCGCAGATAGCGTGAACCTGACGACGAAGCTTGCAAAGAGCAATAACGCGGATGCCTTTGAATTTGCCAAGAGTGAACAGGAGGCTCATGACCTGTGGTCGGCCAGAAAGCAGTCACTGTGGAGTATGATGTCTCTGCGCAAGGAAGGCTCCGAGGTTTGGTCAACCGATGTGGCCGTCCCCATCTCGCGATTGCCCGATATTATTGGTCTGTCCACCACGATTTGTTTCTTCTCACTACATCTACTAACTGTCTCAGAAAAATCCAAGGAGGAATTGGAGAGTCTCGGAATGTTCGCTAGCATTCTGGGGCACATTGGCGATGGTAACTTCCACGCAAGCATCATGTATGATCGCAAGGATCCTGAAGAGCGTGAGCGAGTCGAGAAGGTGGTCTATGACATGGTGGACCGCGCTCTTGAAATGGACGGGTCATGCACGGTATGTTCAGCCTCTAACCCAGTGGTGCAATGCTAATGTGATCTCTACAGGGTGAACACGGTGTCGGCCTGGGTAAGAAGGGTTCACTGAAGAAAGAGCTGGGTCCGGAGACCATCGATGTCATGCGCAGTATTAAGCGATCTCTTGATCCTCACTGGCTGTTGAACCCTGGCAAGATCTTTGATTTTGAAAAGGATGCTTGAACACGAGTTATTCAACTTAGGTCTTATCAGTATCCACATAGACAACATGTAAATATTTTTCACTAACTTCATACACTTCTTACATCCGCTCCAACTAGCTATATCTCAGTTACAGTCATCATCCATTCACACTCGCGAATAGGTATCCTCAGCCCGCGCCATAACCGAAGCTTCCTACTGTCTACGGTGTGATAGTGGATAACTTTAAAAGACCTTGGCGCCAAGACCGCGCGTACAGGCCATCTTCCATTTTTATTCCATTGCTTCTGCCTACAGGGACTTCGCACTGACGAAGGCCCCACAGGAGAGGTCCTTCGTGGGCTTGGGCTCCGTTCCGATGATATGGATGGAGAAATTCGGCGGAGAAGCAGGACCTCGAACGAAAAACCTCGGAAATCTATATGCGAATTCTCTAATTGACGTTTTCACGAAGAACTTTTACTCTTACAGCTCAATTCTTCGAAACTCGAGCGCGCTGAAGCTCAAATGGTGCTATCGAGGTGCGCATCGACAACCTTATCTCTTCTGACATTGAAAGGGATATGTGACGGCCTGAGTCTTTCTAGCCATGATGGAGTATCACTGGGGTATAGTCGTTCATTCAGCTAAAGCTTGGCAGTAAAAACCATGTGCCTCTGTCACTCCTTCGTTAGCCTATTCGTCGTGTAAACTTCTAGAGCGTCTTTAAATCACATTCTTGAGGGGCTGCGACGCTAAGAATCGTCGCAAATTATCCGCAATTAGCTCGGTGCATCCCTGGGGCCTGCCACCTGCAGCATGAGGCGAGACAATCAAATTAGGAGCCTTCCAGAGACGGCTGGACTTGGGAAGAGGTTCGGTCTTGAAAACATCAAGTGCGGCACCGCCAATCTCGCCCTTCTCGAGGGCATCCACCAAAGCATCCTCGTCAATCGAAGTTCCGCGGCCAACATTGACAATCCAGGCATGCTTGGGAAGCAGCTTGAGTCTTTCGGCGTTCAAGGCATTATTCGTCGATTCAGATCCAGGCAGAATCATAACAAGGGCGTCCGTCTTGGGAAGAAGCTCACCAAGCTTATCTTCGCCGAAGACCTCGACACCATTTCGGACTCCAGAACTGCGAGCAACACCCTTGACGTTGGCTCCGAGGGCTGTCAGAAGCGGAGTGAGGGTCTTTGCGATGCTGCCAAAGCCCCAAACGAGCACATTTGCGTTTTGCAGAGTGGTGAAATCATTGCGAGGGAAGGATCCACCAAGGTGGCCGGGCCATTTCTCCTGTAGTTGATAATCGCGCATCTCGTAGAAGTGGCGGGCGCTGTTGAGGAGGAGACCGAGGGCGTGTTCGGCCACGGGGTGGTCGTGCAGACCGACACCGGTACAGACGACGATGCGGGAGGTGTCGAAGCCGGCATTCAAGACATCATTGGGCCCTGCAGCGAGAGATTGGATCCATCGGAGGTTCTTCATGCGCTTCGCGGCATCCTTCAAGTTGTCCGCGGCATTGGCCCAGGTCACCAGAATGTCCGCGTCGATCAGGTCCTCCGGGATGGGAACCTTGACATCATATGGGTGTAGAGAGACAGAGAAGCCTTTGAGGCTGTCAACATCGAGTGGCACTGAGGTAGGGTAGAGAAGCTTCATTGTGAGAGATGTTTGCAAGAACAAGTTGGACTGTTGCGGAAGATGTTGACCCCCTCCACCCTACGCTCCGCCCGCGGCGCCCCACACTCATCGTCATCGGTCAATATCCGACGGGTACCCGAGTCAGTCGGTCTTCACGCCGATGCTTCGGGGAATGCTTCAAACGCCGTTAAAAGGCTACTGAATGTATGCTAAGCTATCTTGGTGAAAGAACGTGCTTACATGCCATCTGATCGTCTTAGGAAGCTATCAATGGCGAGGTGCACGTTCCTATCTTCCTGTTTGTGCCCTTGAATTGTCTTAATCGCTGGCTTCTGTCCTGGGCTGGCGGTATCAGAATGGACATTTCTGGGTCATCAAGAAGCTAACAAAATCCTGACCGCGTTATCGGGAACTTATTTGCAGGTCTCGAAAATACGGCACGGGCCACATCATTCGTGGAATAATTACACATGCTTACCCCGGATTTATCTCCGGTAGCCGCCCCCACGCTAATCCCCAATTGTGCTCCCTCCCGTGTTCTATGAGAATATCAACATCAATTCAAGACAGTTTTGCCGTTGATGCGCTTTCCACTCAGCTCGTTTCCTTGAGGTCGTTCGTCTCAAGATATCGTGGAGTAGGTCACGTTCCCACTTCGGAAGCCAAAAGTCCTTGGAAGTTTCGACATGACTAGTTTGTTGGGTCAATCCCGCTCAGTGGTAATGCATCTACGACAGAAAATGAAAAGAAAAGAGAATTGTAGTATTGAAGACTCATATCCATAGCGCGTCATCTTGTTCCGATTGTAGAACCTCAAAATACTGCTCAAAGAGCGCAGCACTCCACTGACAGGCTGTCCCGGAGCTAGGAATATCGAAAGGCTCTCTTGTTGCTTCTGGACTTTTATCGGCGCTTATTCCATTAAATGACCGTTGAGGTTCCGCTGAGGAGGCCAGTCGCCCAATCACTTGGGACGCTGCGTTGAATGCGGGTGAAGCCATGGTGTCAGCTGATGGAACTGGTGCAAGTCTCTCTGTTACGATCGATTCAGAGTCTTGAAGCTGGCCATCCCCATTCAAAGTCGACCCAAATAAGCCTGGATTGCTCAAAGCCAACTCCCTCGTGGTCAAAGTCTGCGTGTGAAAGTCTACGATACGACTCCAGCGTGGACATCCGCGAGAGTCACGGATCACATCCCAATATTGGAAGACTTCCTCAGCAGCCGTCCATGCCGCGTTCGCTCCATCCCCAAGCGGCGAGAGAGCTAAGCTGATGAGCAGGTAAGTTAAAGCATCCCACTCAATGTAAGTCTGGAAAAGCCATAGCCACTGCTTGCACCGCTGCTGGAGGCGCATTTCTTTAGCCCGCCCAAGAATCTCCACGCAAGTTTCACGAAGGCTCTGTTGAGTAAGAATCTGCTGGTTGTATCTGTCTCGTGGCTTGATCACCGCGAGCTTGAGTTTTGCAATGATCAAACGACTAGATTCAGCAGTGACGAAATCCAGGGGGATGGAAGTGTCACAATGTGAAAGGTATTCGAGCTCTATGCGTTCTTTGAAGCGATCAATCGCTTCACACTTCTCTTTGGAAGTTGAAATGGTGGGATAGGAGTTCATTCCGGTAAATTGATCTGAGAAGAGTATCAGGCGTGTGAAATAGCTGATTTCGAGTCTGACCAAACTGAACAGCATCTCACTCTTTCCTGACTGGGAGTTTGGTATTTCACTCATGTGTGGGTCGAGGTTAGCATCTGAGATGCTCGATGGGAATTTCTTCTGGAATTGAGATTCCAAGATGTGTGGCTCTGATCTGTAGTCTTTAGCTATACGAGTGTCAAGAATGAAGATTTGCCACCAAGTTCGACGTTGCATTTCTGCTTCAAATGGCGTGAGACTTGCGCCTGATGTTTCCTGGTTCAGTCTGTTTTCAAACGCTGCTGTTATGGCAAGCCGGGTGAGGCTCTTGACGTCAGGGCCTCCTACGTGGAATCTGGAACAAATCTGAACGAAAACTGGTTAGCCATTGGGAATCTGGCTGTGATGTAAACTAGAGCCCTACACTGTAGAGAGTGAGTGCTTGCAGAACGGTCATGTCTTTGGATTTCCGAACTTCAGCATGTGAAAGAGCCGTTTCGGTTGACTCTCGATACCTTTCTCCGTTAGTTGAATACTGACTTCTTGTATGGCCGTTTAAGTTACCTTTGCAATAGTATTCGTCTTTCATCGTCTAGAACCCTCTCGCATTCTTCGGTTGACAGAGTCACTACGGCCGCGTAATAGACTGCAAATAATAAGCAGTGAATTGATGGGCTGTCGAACGTTCGGCCTTGTACAAATTCGACGATCTGGCATTGAACACTCGGAGCATGGATTATTTTCAAAATCGGGTGCACCCGCTCTAGGAATATCTGCCACAGAAAAAAGATCTTCTCTGGCGATGAATGAGATTTTGATTTTGGTGCATGATGCTTTCGAGATGCAAAGTCCACCCGTCCATCATGACCGTGACTTTCTGAGCTCGCCTGATTTCCAAGCACATTGGTTGCTGCCGAATGATCGATCTTACCATTATCTTGATGAGGCGGCTGCGACTGGGCAGGCTGAACGATCTGCCAGATCTGTGACAAACTTTGCTCGACAGACTTCAACGTACACTCGATTCTCTCGACTCGAGTAGTAAGATCTTGGCCTACGAGGCTCTGACTTCTATCTCTGGGTAAAGTCTTCCTCGGTGGATACGTGCACCGAACTTTGACCTTGACGCGGTACGAGCACGGCAGGACTTTGTCACATTTGATCTTTCGGCGTCGGCATTCCAAGCAGGATTTGCTGGTTGATGAATGATGACTCATTTCGGGGCGATTATTTCCCTGCATATTGCAGGTGAGTTCGCAAGCAAAACGTAGTGAAGCAAGACCGTAGCTTTTGGTTGGTGATGGCGGTGATACGGAGAGTAAAGCCGCATTTCTAAGCATCACGTTGGCTTGCATATTAGTGGGGCTTAATGAACGACGAACATTACAATTGGCGCAAACGGGCGGTTTCATCTGACATAGTCAGTCTCTGATTGGCTATAGCGGGGAAACGGTCAAAAAAGTCCGTTCTATTCAAATGGAGGATCTACCGTGAGCGGCAATCAGGAAGCATACTATCAACGTGTGGCATCGCAACTTTAAGACGAGAGGAGGCCAAAAGAGAATATAAATATGCTTTTCTCTTCTGTTTGGGTGTATCATCCAAAGAGCCTGAAGTCATTCGAAAACGTCCTCCTACCCTAGTTCCACAATGGGAAGCATTTTGAAGAACGTCGCGGTCGTTGGGGTATGTGCACCCCACCCCATTTCTATATCTACAATGTCGATGTTCAACGAGAACTAAAAAATTACGTCAAGGCCAGCGGCAGCGTTGGCAACATTATTCTCGACGCGCTTATCTTCTCGGCCAGCTTTTCTGTCACTGTCATTTCCCGCAAAGAGAGCGAGGCACTCTTTCCCGAAGGGGTCACTGTTCTCAAGTCCGACTTCTCGGAAGCCAGTCTGGAGGCTGCCTTCCGGGGACAGGATGCCGTGGTCTCAGCAGTAGGAGCCACGGCTTTCAGCGAGCAGAAGGCATTCGTTGATGCGGCCATTCGCGCTGGAGTTCAGCGCTTCATCCCCTCTGAATTTTCCGCGAGTAGCCAGAGTGACGCTGTGCTGCAGTTGCTACCTCTACTCGAGCAGAAGAACAAATTGATCAAGTACTTGAAGAGTAAGAAAGCTTCGGGCTTGACCTGGACTGGGATTGCCACATCGGGCTTATTCGACTGGGTAAGTGATTGACTTGTCCATGCATCTTCGGAATCAGCATTCTTACTTCTATGCCATTTTCAGGGTCTTCGGAACGGCTTCTTGGAATTCGATATCTCCACCCGCACCGCTACGATCTGGGATGGAGGGGACAAAAGCTTTACTTTGACCAATGAGAAGCAGCTAGGGCGGTCGGTGATCTCTGTTCTCGAGAATCCACAGGCAACTAGCAACCAGTATCTTTATGTCGCTTCTGTGGAGACGACCCAGAATGAAATTGTCAAGACTCTGGAACAGGTGACTGGCGCTCGATGGACTATCAAAAGTACCACCACGAACGAGCAGGTCAGTGCTGCTGTCGAGAAGCTCACTGCCGGTGATTTCAGTGGTGCCCTTGCGCTGGTTCCGGCCACCTGTTTTGGGAACACGCCTGGTCTTTGTGCAAACTACGTCAAGGAGCAGAAGCTTGCAAATGATATGCTAGGACTGGAGATGGAAAGTGTCCAGGATACCATTATGCGCGTTGTACAGTAGGGCTTCTGGCTATGCTTGGATATGTCGTCATTAATGGAATTGATCCACTGCACGAGAACATTTCGGAGAAGTAGAGCGACTCCGGTAAAAAAAAATTGGGGCGGGAATAGAGTAACAGCCAATCAACTTGTCCCTACAGGATCTGGAAAAGGAAGGGATGAGTCAGCGTGGGGCAGGCAATCGGCCGCGAGCCGACATCGCTGTTGATCACGCTTGCCACACGTCGTTTCATTCACAACACTATCAGAGGGTAAGTTAAACTATTCTGCTATTTTGTCCTTTCTAGTTGTCGCAAATATGCAATTGCGCTTGAGATCTCTCTCCCGGGGATCGGTGAATCAATTGAGCACCAACGCGTCTTTATCCACTCGGCGGGGCAATGGATGAAGCCTTGACTCAAAGATCTCTGTGGTCCAAGTGCCGATTGGATACATCATCGCATGCACATCTGCTTTCCCGGAGACTTTGGAGGTGATCTTGTAGCGCGAAAAGCTGACGTTGACCAAGATACCCTCGTTTTCCACATATAGACAAGATGGCGCCCTCATATCCCAAGAAGAAATGCGGTATGTCTTTGAACCTCTCCCACGGCGATGACGCATGTTCTAACTTCCTCTAGGTGTGCTCGGTGCCACCGGCTCTGTTGGCCAGCGCTTCATTCTCCTGCTGTCTGACCATCCTTTCCTGGAGCTCCACGCTGTCGGTGCCTCAGAGCGTTCCCTTGGAAAGAAGTACAAGGAAGCCGTCAGTTGGAAGCAGTCCTCTCCCATGTCGGAGAAGCTCAGCAACCTCGTTCTACGCGAATGCAGCGCCGAGCAATTCAAAGACTGTGACCTTGTCTTTTCCGGATTGAACAGCGACGTCGCCGGCGAGACCGGTAAGGTTCCATACTAAACCTGCATTTGCCGGGCCTTGCTAATTTTCTACAGAGATGGCGTTCATCAAGGCGGAGATTCCCGTCTTCTCCAATGCGAAGAACTATCGCAAGGACCCCATCGTGCCGTTGGTCGTTCCTACTGTCAACCCCCAGCATTTGGATCTCATTCCTCACCAGCGCAAGCACTTCGGCTTGAAGAAGGGTTTCCTGGTTTGCAACTCCAACTGCGCCGTCATTGGTGTTGTCATTCCTTTTGCTGCCCTACAGGCTAAGTTCGGCCACGTCGCAGAGGTCGAGGTGTTCACCGAGCAGGCTATCTCGGGAGCCGGCTACCCCGGTGTTCCCAGTTTGGACATCGTCGACAATGTCATTCCCTATATCAGCGGCGAAGAGGACAAGCTCGAGAATGAGGCCCAGAAGATTTTGGGTAACTTGAACGCCGATGCCACTGCCTTTGATGAGCAAACCGGTCTCAGCATCGGCGCTACTTGCACTCGGGTTGGTGTCACTGATGGCCACATGGCATTCGTTTCCCTGCGTTTCAAGAACCGTGAAAAGGTCCCCAGCGCCGAGCAGGTCGTGGAGGCCCTGCGAGAGTACCAATCTGAGGCTCAAAAGCTCGGCTGTCCCTCTGCACCTCCGATGGCCATCAAGGTGTTTGACGAGCCTGATCGCCCGCAGCCACGTCTGGACCGTGACATCTCCGGCGGTTACACAGTGAGTGTAGGACGTGTTCGCGAGGGTGTCAAGGGTGGTCATTTTGATATCCGTTTCGCTGCGCTGTCTCACAACACCGTCATTGGTGCCGCCGGCTCATCCATCCTCAATGCTGAGGTAGCGGTCATCAAGGGTTACGTTTAATTGTAAATACGAAAAGTCAAATTCCTCAGCGATGCCACATATTACATTTCTTTAGTACGGAACACATAAGCAGTTACATGGAAATTTTGATGCCTCAGGTGTAAACATGCCTTGAATGGGCGATGCCCTATTGATGACTAAGTGAAATCTGGATCGGTCCTATTCTGGACTAGCGCTCTAGGGCTCAGCCCACAACCACCGACTTAAGCGAAACACCCTTGATTATCACGGCTGCTTGTTCCTCATCGTAGTTCTTCGACAACCAACCCCGGGAAACAGGTCGACAATTTCACAATGGGACGCGGACCGTAAGTCTCACACACCTCATCAAACACTCGCCAATGATAATCTGGACTCGCCGACCATCGTCTCGGGACCAGCTCGTCGTATTTCGCGAGTTTCGAAAAAATTTGCTTCGCGATGGACTTGAACTAATCATGATGTCTTTGCAGTAAGAAGCACCAGAAGCGCCTTAGCGCGCCCTCGCACTGGCTGCTGGACAAAATGTCCGGCACCTATGCCCCCAAGGCCTCCCCCGGTCCTCACAAGCTCCGGGACTGCCTTCCCTGATCGTCTTCATCCGTAACCGGTACGATTCGACTCGCCCTCGCTCTACGCACGAACAATTCGAAACTGATTGATTACATAGTCTCAAGTACGCCCTGAACGGTCGCGAGGTCAAGGCCATCATGATGCAGCGTCTGGTCAAGGTTGACGGCAAGGTCCGCACCGACACCACCTTCCCCGCTGGCTTCATGGATGTCATCTCCCTCGAGAAGACTGGCGAGCACTTCCGTCTCATCTACGACACCAAGGGCCGCTTCACCGTCCACCGCATCCAGGCTGAGGAGGCTGAGTTCAAGCTCTGCAAGGTCAAGCGTGTTCAGCTCGGCAAGGGCGGGATCCCATTCTTGGTTACGCACGATGCGCGAACGTGAGTGCAAACTCCAAAAGTTCCGTGTCATTCAGTCGTTGGACCATGATTTGGTTGATCACTGGAGGACTTGGAATTTTACTCTGTTCCAATCATGGATACAGTAAGACCCCAATATTAGAACAAAGTTTTGCTAACTTGCGCTCCACAGCATTCGCTACCCCGACCCCGTCATCAAGGTCAACGACACCGTCAAGATCGACATCACCACTGGCAAGATTGTTGACTACGTCAAGTTCGACTCCGGTGTTGTCATCATGGCCACTGGTGGTCGTAACATGGGTCGTGTTGGTGTCATCACTCACCGTGAGCGCCACGATGGTGGTTTCAACATCGTCCACGTCAAGGATGCTATTGACAACACCTTCGCCACCCGTGAGTCCAACGTCTTCATCATTGGCCAGGAGAAGCCCTGGATCTCCCTGCCCAAGGGCAAGGGTGTCAAGGTACGTTTCAAGTCCCCATTCCACTTATCTCCCGACTTCAACTAAACATCTTCAATAGCTCTCCATTGCTGAGGAGCGTGACCGCCGCCGTGCTCACGCTATTGCCAACTAAATGTCTCCAGACATTGGCAATTAGCATGCGCACCATCTCCACTCGGTGATGAAAAAAAAATTAACCAAAACAGTAGCTGGGAAACGGCGTCTTGTTCTGCATGATGCTTGTTCCGTAGATTCGAGCCATAGCAAACAAAACTTGGGCGGGCTTTCCGTCTCGTTTCCGAGTGATATCATGATACCTATTTTACGTTACTTCCCCTCAATGATTAAATGATCGTACTCTCCGGATCCCGTCTCGCAGCCTTATCTCTTCCGTGTTGTTCCCCTCTGCCTCTTGCCCTACTGCTTGTGACTAGAACCCGGTTTGATACATAGCGCCGGGTCCAATCACCGATTCTGGAGACGTAGGAGATGTATTCCATGAAGTTCCTTCGCCTATCTAGAGCGAAAACCGGGTTAAACGGTTCCTTCTCTACACGTGAACCGTGGATATTCCATCAAGAGACTGTCATGTCAAATGGCCATCGACCCGCCTGAAACTATTGAGATGTAAAATGAATTGAGGGGTTTTGGTGCTCGAGAGTTCTTGTTACAATCACGGATCTATCACATTCATAATCGTCTACTTGGAAAATTCGAACATGTCCGAGAATGTAGGAATATATCTTGATCGGGCATGTGCCTGCTCAATTCCAAACAAACTTATTTTCGATGATGAGTTTCCCCAGTACCAATCTGGACCAAGAGTGCGCACGCCAGGGCTGTATATTCGATCTATTGAGCCTGGGAGATACCTGAAAATAGCAATGCCGAGGTATCAAGCCCACGGGCATAATGGACTACACGGGATACACGGGAAAAACTTTCGGCCTCCCGGGCCACGGGAACCAGTGACTGGATAAGGATTGCGACGCCAGTACTCAAACAATATTACTGACTTCGGGAGTTCTCTCAAGCCAATCGCACCACATCACGTAATTGAGGGCTGATGCATGTACATAAACCCGAGACGATCAAGTTGATCACCGCTGCGTTGAAAGAGTAAGGAGATCCATTGGACCAATCGACGAGACGGTTATTTTCCTCCAGGCCGTACGGGCGTGTGCTAATGCGATGCACTTTTGAAGTGGGGAATAGCCAAGATGTCCGGAGTACACCGTGCCGTCGGATTGCACAGGGCAGGAGACGACCTCCGACACCGCAAGCGAACCGATGTTAAAAGGCATCCTAGGGCAACTTACTAAGCGAGTATCTTGAGGCAGACGACAATGCACACCCTCCTGGCTTATCTCTAATGGCGCATGGCTCGCACCGATCGCTCGCAACCGATGAGCGTATGAGAGAGCAAGGAAAACGGCTTGCACGACCAATAAATTTGATCTGCACGGCAGTCCGGCTCGCTAGAGTACTGTACAGTAGCCCTGAGAGCAAGGTGGACGCGGCAACGGGCCCATCCGAACCCCCCTTGTCCTAGCGCGAGTCTATTGTATTCGGCCACATGGAGCCTACAAAAGGCGCTCGATGGTGGGCCTGGGATAATTGATCTATCGAAATGGGCCGGCGTGACGCTTTCGCCTCTCCACAGGGAGAAGGTATCTGGGGGGCCACGACGCCGGAAAATGCACGACAGCATAACGCTGTGGATTCTTGTCTGCGTGGAACCGAAGGGGGCCCCATTGGAGGGAGCTTTTTGATTTGTCGCACCTTTTTGAGTGGCTGGCCCGGCCATGCGGAAAGTATGTTGTCTCCGGCATTGAGAATTTTCTGTATGCCATTTCGTCCACGGCAGCTGGAGAAAAGGAACTAGCAGCCCCTCCGGTGCTCGGTCCCCTCGCTCAGATGATTATCTCTCGAATGAAGCGAGGTGCGGTGATTTCAATTCACTGATGAGGCTCCATCGATGAGTTCGATGATAGAAAGGATGACGCCGTTGCTAACTATAGTCATGAGGAGAAAGACTGTGTGTGTGTGTGTGTGAGAAAGATAAAGAGAGTGGGCTGGAGACTATGGCAGTGAATCGAGTGGGGTCTAGAACATGCTTTGGAAGGAGCTCGGAGATTGTCGTTTTCCCCTCCGGTTTGCAGTGCACTGTTTGAGTCCGAGGAGGGTCAGAAATGATCGTGTTGATGCCAACATTGACCAAGCATGTCAAGTCATTGCCATGCTCTTTCCGATCCACAGCAAGCTCTGGGGTGGATCTGTACCGAGATGCGGTGTCCCAGTGCCTTGGACCTGGGTTCTGTATCCGCGACCGTCGAATTCCTGAGCTTTCAATTATCACGTTTCACGTGGCGCACAGAGTCTAAATGACGTCTTGAAGAACGAGGTAAGGTAATATTTCGCCCCTGGATAACAGATCCAATGACACACCAATTACCAGGGGCCGGTCTGGACTTTGTCCACCGGGCGGGGCGCTGGAATGAACTCCTAGGATTCTTTTGAAAACTGTTCATTCGTAATCGTGGCGGTGAGTGAGTCGTAGGGTTTGCAAACATCATGATGATGTGGTTGATCAAAGAGGACTCTCATTTTTCCCCTCCTGTCGGCCTTTGTTAAGGTTTCCATCCCCTTCGTATAGAGCCCATTTAACTTCCAGAGGCCCTATAGATTACTCGACACCAAACTCCCCCCCCCCAAGCGGTGTGAAGTGAACCGTGCTGGGCATTGCCATTCTCCCCAGACCGCAACTACCGACGGATCACAACCGGGGTAAGTTGGGTTGATCGGAGTGCGAGGGGCCAATGATCCTTTCGATGAAATCATCTGCGATTGTGGGAGATGAATGAACAAGATAAAGAAAAACGAAACAAAAGTGGCGAGGAAAAACAAAAGTGATCAATACAGTATAATACGAGAAGTCCAAAAAGGAGAAAAAAAAAGACAAGATGACGGGCAGAGGGTGTCCGCTTGGGCGCCTCCATAGTGCCCGACATCAAGTAAATCCGAATTCCATCATGATCGTCCACGGCACACTCGCTACGGTTTAGTGTCCTTGGGTTAGCGTCCCCACGGCTCTGCATATGAAACCATGAAAAGAGATGAATGACCCACGATTGGAAGAAGTGCAATACATCCTAATCATTGCCCCCCCCTAGATAGGGAAAGGTAGTTGATGCATAGTTCCTTGAATCACACGTCGCATGCCTGGCCACCGACTTAGGTTTCGGGCCTGACCGTTCGTTGTGTAGCATCGGATGCCCGACTAGAATCATTCCAGAAGGTCCCATTGACCGCTCCCCCAACCGATTGACCCGTGGACCGGGTAGCGCTTCTGCAGAGAAGCAGGCAAAGGCTGTCATATTAAGAATTGAGCTGCCCCAACGGGTGTTCGGCATAGACGGGTCAGACGGGAATCGAGAAAAGCGGGTATCGAGACGGAAACTAGATTGCTCGATCCAGCTAGTAGCTACTCTATACAGTAGCAGAGAACAGCAGAGCATACATTGGAGACCATTCCTCACGGTGGAGACCTCCCGGCCGATCTGGGGCCAATTCGAGGGGGCATTCGTGTTGGAGGTCAATCATTGCCCCCTTTTTCCCGACTTTTCCTGGCCGTCGGGTCTCCCAGTAGCCTGGAAACTAGGACTCACCTTCCCCCCGTTTTTGCAATTTTATCCGATTTTTCCCCCCCTGGTGATGTGTCGAACGTGGCGGAACGGCAGGGATAACGCTTAAAATCCATCGTTTCTCGCCCCTTCCGATTCATCCAAAGACCCTTGTTATTTCTTTCCCTGCTATTCCTTAATCTTGCATGGTTTCGTGTTCGTTTTGGTATCTTACAAGCCACCGCATCTAGTAACACCACTGACCTATAATACTTTCTTTGTTTTTTTTCTCTCTTTCTTCTTCGTACCTGTTATTCCTTTGCGCCGTCACATGAAGCTCGACTGGCACCTTGCTCAATGTGTTGGCTGCCGGGGTTCAGGGCTATGAGGTAACTTCCGGATTCACATCGCATAAATGCAGTCCATCGGCACTGAAGCAATGTTCGCCCCGGAGAAGAGACCGTATAGCAGGAGTAAGACCCCGTTAGCCGAGATGTCGCAAAGCCTACCTGGACGAACTCCAGAGCCGATTCTATCGTACCAGTCTCTGTTCCATGTTGGCACGGAGTTTCCTCGCTTCACTGTGACTTATCGCTGGTGGGAGGATGAAGCTACGACTGTGCTGTGGGCTTTCAAAGTGCCCGAGATCCGCCAGGTCATCCGTTATGGACTCTTTCGCGACGAGAACTATGCACGTAACTCGTTGCTGAGTCGCAATGCGGACGCGATTGATGCGTTTCTTGTTGCGCTCTCAGAGCCCCATGAACACAAAGTCCTCGCGAATCTATCCCACATGCAGAGGGTAGAGGAAATCTTGCGACGTTCGAGTATCTCGCCGTTTCAGCCCATTCCATGGGGCTGGTTCCCTCTGCCTCCAGGGCATTCGCTCGACGCCCGAACGATCGCTGCGGCAATGGAGGCTGAGAGTCAATTTCAATTCAGCAGAATTGCATTTGAGGAAATTGTGCGCGCCTCTCTTGGGTACAGCGCCGTCTCAGTCGAGTGGTTCCTGCTTCAGCATACCCATCTCTACATTCATCTCTTGGATCATCTGCAGACTTACCCTGAAGAGATCCCTCTTTACATCGATGTGGAAAAAGTAAGCTTGAATTTTGTTCTCGTCCGGTGGAATCGCTCTCATCTTCCTTGACTAGCTATTGCGAAACCGAAGCCCATTCGCCCATCGAGCCCTTGTGCAGTGCATGCTCATTGCTCACCCAGAAGCAGCACTCGATATGCCACAATCTACAGACCTTGGCTTCAATTTTATTGCCGGTCCAATTCAACGCCTTTTCAAAGATCAGCCGCCCAGTCTGACGACCATCCTGAGGATCTTTAGTGTCTTGGCTATCCGCTTTCGACAGCAGTACATCCACACGTCCAAAATAAAATGGCATGCACCCTTTAACACGGAAATCTTATTTTTGGAAGACTGCTTGAATTCGACATCAGCCATGGATCTGGCCCGTACCCTGACAGGTACCGACGAGATGGACTTTTCCAGCTTGTCGCGGCAGAGTATCGTGGCAGATGACGTTGTGGTTAAGAGACTACTGGGCAACTGGCATTCTCTCAGTGTCTCCGTCTGGGAATGCTGTTCCTCACTCCCTGATATTATGATCCCATATTTGCGCGAATGTGCACAGGTCAGTTTTCAAGCGGTCTGTAATTTAGGCACATCAATCTCTGACCGGTGGAGCCCGCAGATCCTCTTTGATAAGTGCAATTACCACTCTCTAACGGCAATCTTGCATGGAATGCACCGGTATAGCATTTCCACGGCGCGATCCCGCGGCTTGAACAGCACTGTTGGAGGAATGGTCGTTCTCGATCCTATTCTCCCACCAGAAACAACATTTCTCACCATTCCAACCCAGAACTATGCCGCTTACCGTCAACACTACCGTGAGTATCCGGGTATTCCATTCCTACTGCCACATCTTCGTGACCACCATCAAAATGGCGAAGGCGTCCTCCAGCCACTCATTCAATACCTGCAAAATGAACACATGTCCAAGGCCTGATGATCAACAACCCACTCGCGCTCCTCGCCGATTTCGGTGAGAAAATCGAAGTGAGAACGGCGCGTGGCGTTTGTAGCTGCCGGAGATTATGCGGTCCAACAGTGGTGATCGTTTCGAATTTTTTTTCTTTTTTTTTTTTCCTTGGGAAAGGGGAAACGTCGCCGCAGTGCGCTGTTTGAAACTAGTTGATCTGCGTTCCAAGGTTACTCATTAGATTGCGTCTGTTTCCAGGGATCGTGTATCTCTACGCTATACCCATTGCTAGCATCTTGCAGCGCTGGGCGTCTGGCGTTGCATCTTTCATTCAATACGAAATCTATACGGGCACGGTGTTTTACCGTGGCTAATCCTAGGAGGGCATACAACGCCATTTAAGGATATTGCGACGTACTTGCAGTTAATCGTCCGGTGACAATCCTAGAATGGTTCCTGCCACGCCTTCACTTGCTCCTAGCCGTTGCCTCGCTCCAGTTTCTCTACATTGTTGCCAATCAGATTGGATCCACTGCGCCCGAGCCGCCAGTTTTATTTGGTTGGGTCATTTACAAGGCCTCCAGGAAGCATACACAGCACCTCTGATCACCAGAACTCATTTGAGCCAGTCATTCTTTTCCCTTGCATCTCTTACTCTTTCTTCCCTAGCGCCTTAGGCGCCTTCGCAGCCCCGAATGCGCCACATAGATATAATAGGCGATTGATGAACAGGAAACCGGTCGCCCCGATATTTCCCCACGTCAGCGCGTTCCATGCCCCGACATCAACAAATGCTGGCCAGCCCATGGCCAAGTACGTGGCGTAAACATGCCCAACGTCGGCAATGGCCAGCCCAATCAGGTAGTTGCGCAACACCTTAGGCTCGGTGCTCGTGTACAATACCCCGATCCCCACTAAAGACAACAAGAAGTATACATTTCCAAGTTGGTAGGCCAGGGCGATAGTGCTGGGGTGGGTGATCGGAGCTTCGACGTGCGGAGTTTGGCCGGCAACAAAGCCGTTCAGGTCGTACAAGGGCGCGAGGGCTCCAAGAACACTATACAAGGTAGTAAGTAACAGATGTGGTTGGAGACGTAACTGTTGGTACCTACAGTGAAAGAGGCTCAAGCACACCGAAGACGATGTGTGGCCATGTTGGGAAGATCGTAGGCATGCTGGTTCTGCGTAGGGTTAGTGCTGCCGCTGCTGCCGCGGAGCTCCGAAGGAGCTTCGCGGCCGGATTGGTGGTAAGACTCACTTCGCTCGAGGTACAAGAGACTAGTGGTGAGGGGGAAGATATTACAGGCTCAGGCGGAGCTCATGAGGGTCACTTTGAGCACAGAATGGCATCCCGAGGTGGATCTTTAACCTCGAGAAAGGGCTGACGTAGGTGCAATGATCCACTCACCGCCCGTCGAAAACGTTATCGTTATCAAAGCTTCGTCACTTCTTCAAAACAGGTCAATGGCAGTCATCATGAACGGCCCAATGAATCAAATATCTTGCATTATCCTTGCAGTCCGCGAGTGACTGCAGATGACCAGAGGATGGATTCCAACGGGTCTTTACGGCCCCTGGATGAATCCCCGCACCGCGAACTTCCCCAGCTCTCTCTACGTATAGCGCCTCTACGGGAGCCGGTCTCAACTCGCACCCTCAGCGCCCCTTCACCATTGGAGCCTAGAGCCAGCGGAACGCGGGAATCGACTGCTATATCAAAGGGTCCAACAGGTGGTGGAACTGTCTCTGCCAATCCCAAAGCGGGTCTTCCAACCGTCACCGAATTCCTCAATGCCGCGCGAACTAAAAACGTCGAACCTGCGGACCTCCATTCGAATGTGGAATTACCGCCCCGGCCAATTCTACCTGCATTTGTTAACCTTCGTGCGCTGGAGCGCTTCCCATTTGCATCTTCCTTTGACGATGACGCACTCCATGGTCAGCGCAAGCGGCGGCGCTTAGACCTTCAGCCCGAATCTTTTAGCGAACACCTACAACTTCCCATCCCTCAAGCCCAGAAAGAGCAACGCCCTCCACCATTTGGTCCCTTTGCTATCTTGAATGGCTTGAACGAGCCGCCGCCTAATGCTGCTCTTCTCCCTCCCATCGAAGCTGGCTCTATTCCACAACTTCTGACAAAACCATCCAGAGGAGATGCTGCTGTTGATCCTGGTAGCTTAGTCTCTGCAAATGGCCCGATACCTGAAGGCCAGCCGACAGAGAGACGTGAAGCCCGGATTGAAGAACTCCTTGGCACTACTCTTGATGATAATGACAATGATGACGCACATGATCATGAAAATACAGAACGACCTTCGCTACCGGATATTGACCATATTACCATGAAGGGACCACGTGAGAAAGGAATGATCGGCGATGATAAGACCCCAACCCCTACAGACGGCGATACGCCTTTATCCCCTAAAACTCGCGGCCGGTCCCGCAAAAATTTGCGGAAGTGGACTGAGGAAGAGACGACTGATTTACTTCGAGGAGTCGTCAAGTGTGGCATTGGCAATTGGACAACCATTCTGGCGCAGCCCGAACTTAAGTTCAACAAAAGGACCGCTTCCAATTTGAAAGATAGATTCCGAGTCTGCTGCCCATGGGCTTACCGTGCGTCCGATCCGAATGAAGCGACCAAGCAATTGCGTGATAGTCTCGCCAATACCCTTCTCAAAGCCCATGCCCAAGGCTCCAGTGATTCCCTTGGCAAGGCACCGGGTAAGATTCAGATCCCGCCACGACCAACACTTACGCAAATGGGGTCAGAGCGAAGCTCTGGGACAGCAAGCTCTGGGACAGCAAGCTCTGCCAACAGCTCGCATAAGCCCTCCACTTCGAGTAGCATGTCCTTAGCGACACCGGACACGGATCCCGGGACTGTACGCAGCCAGTCGATGTCATCTTCAACACAGAGCACACCTCACTCGGAAACGTCCCAAACTACATTGGAATCACTGGGGTTGCCCGAAGCACACGTCACAACAAAGTCGAAGAGACGATCCCGTCGTCCATTCACTACTGCCGAAGACGAAGCCCTTTTGAGAGGCTATGCCGTACACGGGTTCCAATGGACACTTATCCAACAAGACAAGCATCTCAATCTAGGTCATCGCAGAGCGACCGACCTTCGTGACCGGTTTCGCACCAAGTTTCCCCACGCTTATCGTGACGGCGGTTCTGTCAGTGGGAATTCACTTCCACTCAGACAGGGTCCACCTACCGGTACGCTTGGACCGGCGCCTCGTGATCGTCTTTCCAGTGGCGATTCAACCCCGACTAAAGTTCCTTCTATGGCGCCCCGTTCCACGCATAGCCGCAATCCATCCGGCGTGTCCCATACTAACCTTGGTCCAGTTGATCCCGCACTCCTTCCCCCTCCTCAGGGATTCCTCGAGCCCTCTGCTCCCAGTATGCCTGCAGTGTCAGGTCTGCTGTCTTTCTCTTTGGATGAGAACAACGCAGGGCCGTCTTCGCCGTGGGAGGATAACACACTTGCTCCCATGGTCTGGGATGACCTAGGCTGAAGGGCTGCAAAGCAAAACAAAAGTTATGTCTATTTTCTTGTCATTTGTTTGCCTTTTTGAAATATTTGGACCTTTCATTACTCGTTTGATTTCGCATTTCGGGTGTTTTTTTGATTGTCTTCTGATATCCCTCAGTACACGATGGCTCTGTTTAAAAGTCCTTGAATGAATACTTCCCATATAAAGACATGGCCCAAAGATAGAGGATCGCTCATGAGAGATGTACGATGGAATCCACACCGAGTGAGTCGGATCCTACAAATCATCAAAGTAGTACGATCAATACTCCCAAAATAGTCTGAATGTTCAAAGTTAGTTTCGTGCCTCCAATACTGCCACTTCCACTGGAAGAGTTCATATCGCATAACCTCGGAAGAGTACCAAGTTAGATTTCAGACACAGTCGGATCAAGCAAAATTGCAAGAACACAACAGAAAAGGCAATCGCATCTCATACAAGTCTTTATTGGCTCACATTTTGCTTTTCGGGCAGACAGTGTCATTGGTTAACGATGTCACGGGCAAAGAAAAATGTCCGAGCGTAATCAGAGAACAACAAGGCCCCAAAAAGGACTAGACAGAATTTGAAAATCAAGAAACCACGCTCAAAATTGCTAGGGTGGATGAAAGAGAACAGAAACAAAGAAAGCAAAGAACCCGTATGCATATCATTCTACCACGCATTGCGGTCCCAGTTCGGGTCTACCATAATCAATTAGTATACCAGCCACATGGAATTCATAGTCCAAGAATTCAATGGAACGAAGAAACTCACCCTGTATAAAACTAGCGAGCACCTTGCTCCCCGTCTGCAGCAGCGGGTGTCCCGCCACAATCTGCAGGAACCGCTGAAGCCCCTCGCGTCGGTGCTCGATGACGTCGTCGCTGAACCGGTTGGTGAACACCTTACCCGGCAATGGCGGGATGGTAACGCGCGTACTCTCGCGCTCCAAAATATCGCGGAAGTACTCAAAGTCCGAGTATCGGCGGCGCACGACCGAGTGCTTCAGCTTGAACGCGGGGATATTGGTGCGGCACACGATCTCGTATGAGGTGTACATGTTTCGCGACGTGCCGTGCGTTTGCGGGTTGCGCACCTGGTGGGTCGGGTCGTTAGCTGTTACTTTTCTGGGGAACTTGCGGATATAGCTTTGGATGAGGGGTTGGGCACGAGACACTTAGGAAGAGTGCCACATATGGCCCTGTGAAGATATAAATTGGCGCGATAACTTACTTCAATCTCAAGGAAATTCTCCGGTGGCCCGTAGATCTCCTCAAAGGTCTGTTGGCGCGACTCGGGGACGGACTGCATGGTGGGCTTGAGGGAGTGGGTTGGGCTGAGAGGGGATGGCGCGGACGAGGCCGAGGTTACGATTTGATCGGATAAAAGGGATGCGTGAGGCCTCAGTCGCAGGCTCGCACAGTCTTTTGAAGAGTCGTCACGTCGTGATAAGGAGGAAGTGGGGAGCCAAGTGGGAATCATCTCGCTATCGGTGACGATGATGCGGGAAAATATTTGATCCGCGATCTGGGGCTTATCGCCGTTCTTCTGCTATATATACTTCTTGATCTCCATATATTCTTGGTTGGTTTTATTTCCATTCTAGATACTGCCATCTTTTCCCATATTTGCACAGCATCGCAAATAAAACCAAAGTTCTACCCAAGATACTCAAGCATTGCCTGAACACCAACACTTCGGCCTTCGGGCCATCATTTCGCGAGTATGGTGGCAAGCAAGTTTCAGCCGGACATTGTGGCTCATAGGGTGGTGGCGGCTGGATTTGATCAAGCTGAGAGAGCGACAAGGGCTGATCTTGGATTGAGAGATCTGATCCGGCGGAATGAGCTGCCTTGAAACGGTGGTAGACGACGAGAGGAATCAACCCAACGAAAACCACGATGAACCCCAAGGCACCGAGGATAATACCAGCCAGTGCACCCCCAGAGAGTCTTTCTAGATGAGAGCTTGAGAAAGAAGATATAGACCCGATGGCCACCGTTCCATCATTTATGCAAGTGGCCAGAGTGAAGAATTGAAATCTTGGTTCTGTTGCACACCATTCATTCATCCTGCCGACTGTATCTACTCGAAGGGAATGATTAGTATGAGAGTTATTTTTGAAGCTCCCTGAGGAAGGGTAGTACCGGATATGGTTTCATTTCCACAATTGGAGAAGCAACAGACGTAGTTGAGCATGGCATTAGTCTTTGGCTCGCACCAACAATACTTGTCGTTGGACGCGCAGACCGAGCTCAGCTCGATAACAGTGAGACATGAGATCTTGAATGATTTTATGTCAGCCTCGTCCATCACTTGAGAATTTGATGTAGCCTGATTTGTCTGACTCAAAGAGACGACCACCGCCCATACCGCACAAACACGATTAGAGCTGTTGCTCGGATAACATGAATCAACGAAATCGAGAAGAGTAATTTAGAGTGCGGAATTCGTGGAAACGAGCCTGGCTGTTGCAAGGGAGAAGTGCAAGCTTCATGGCGTGGGTGATGGAAGGCTTTATTTAACAGGCCCAAGACAAGAATGTGAGACGGCAAGAACGGCTATCGCCTAAGCTGAGGCATATGTGAGCTGCCTTCCATTGTTTAAAGCAATAAAACGCCACGAGGCTGCCCTTGAGGCCATGCGCCAACATTGGGCTCACCCTGAATGTTTCCAGGCCGTCAAAGTCCCTCGGGCAATCTTACATGCTTTCACGCTTATCGCCATCTTGAGCAAGACTTGAAGGATAATTAAAAGAGCCTTTAAGAAAAACCCAGTTCTATCTCCATAATGATCTGAAACTAAAACTATAGGTTCTGTCGCTGTACCTCTCTCGCATGCGAGAAATGAATGCTTGTAGCAAGATGCCGTGCAAGGGTGGCCCTGGTCCAATAAGGCGATACAAATTACAACACTTCTGGGGTCTGACTTAGTTCTTTGAGCCCTTTCTGATCCCGTTGGCATTTCAGAGAAGGGTTGGGTAAGTGCTAGGTAGGAAGGCTATTTCAGATCCAACCCCATAAGATGGACCTTACATTGAAAGCTAGGAGAAAACAGTTCAGAAACCAGGTGCTTTATTCATGCTGTTGAATCTAATCCTGGAAAATCAGCAATGTTCTGCTTCCACAAAGTCACAAGTAAACTATAATTTGACAGCGCAGTCTAATTTTATTGATTTAAATTCTCATCGACGTTAATGTGGAGGACCAGAACAACCAGATGTGCTAAACCGAGATCTTTGTGTTTGTCTCAAATCATATGATATCTCTTCACTTAGCAAACAGTCAAAATACTCCTTGATGCTTGAGCCAATGTCAGAGCAAAGCATCTAATAAGGAACTGGACAAGCCGGTCTGCGGGGCCGACCTGCCCCCGAAAGGCGTGATAAAGCCAGTATTTACCAATGAGACACAAACCCCCCGCTGGGACCAGCATTAATGATACGTGAGTCAAGACACTGACACGTACTTTTAAACAAAGCTTGACGCAAGAAGAAGTATTTGAGCTCAGTCTTCTCCGCGAAGGATCTGCATGAATATGAGCCATACATGACGGGGACCATTGGGAAGTTGCTGGCTTGTCTCAATCGTCAGACTGAAGTTTCAGACCATGCCCAAATTGATTTCAATGTTTACTGTGAGTTAAAAGAGCAAAATCAAAGAACGGCGAGTGCTAATTGGGGAAAGCGAACTACTTGGCGTTCGATGTCATGAGTAAATGACAGCCCGCTAGACAGTGATGAAGGCTGTAGACTGATCCTATGCAGGTGACTATTCTTTCGGTAAAACATTTGGATTCCTCGACAAAGAAGAAGACTATCACAATCTTATTGCTACTGTCGATGCAAGAGGAGAGGTTCTAAATACCTTAGGCCATCTCCCAAAATGCGTCAGACCGATGATGTTGATCCATTCTGGCCCCCGGGCTTGCGGGCTACCTCAAAACTAGCTTCAACTAGCGAGAATGCTACCAACGCCGAGGCGCCGGAGACGAGCAGAAAGATCTACTTTGGTTCTTGTTCAAAGCCAAGGATCCGGAAACCGGACAGCCACTACCGGAGCAAGAATTAATCGCTGAGTCCAACTCTTTCATTGTTGGCGGAAGTGATACCACAAGTAAGACATCGACAGATGTTGTGGATACTGTGTCTCACCTGCCCAACATATAAAAGCATATCCAGTTGGAGCTGGACACTGCGTTTCCAGGTCCCATGTTGGCAAGCTGGGTGAGAATCCACTTCCATTTCTAAATGCTGTGGTCCGAAAGGCAATGCGGCTTAAGCCTAATAGCTCTACAGGATGAGAGTGAGTAGTTTCATGTGGAGGAATCATGCTTGCAGAGAAAATTATACCTGAAGGAGTGAGTAAACCGACATGCCTGCATGTAACACGCACTCACTAAGATGTAGGCCCTCGTAAGCGTATCTACGTTGTGTATTCACCATGACCCTGCAGTTTCTGCAGTAAGTAAGCCTAAAAAAAAATTTGGAAGATCTTGAGACCGATATAATTCCAGGAGGCCGACGACTTTGATGTTTCGCGATGGATGAATGATAGTGCTTCTGAGTCTTCAAATTCATTTTATCCATTTTCATTCGGGCCTCGAGCCTGCATTGGAAGGAATTGAGCTATCTTCCTAAACCCACATTACTGTATAGATAGCTAATATTTCAAAAGTTTTGCGCAGATGGAGATCCTGAAAACCCTGGCAACACTACTCAAGTTTGACATTCAGAGAACCAGTCTTGCCGAAACACGGGTGCGCGAAGGCTTCATTGTCAAGAATAGCGAGTATGAAGTGAAGATTAGCCTAGACGCTGATGGGGAGAGCCCTACTAAGAGCGTGACTGCATGTGTACTTAATATTCAGAAACAAAACTCTCCGCCCTTGTTTAAGTATGTTGTGGATCCTATTTTCCCGGAGTTAAGGGAATTAAGCGTGAAGATGACATAAACTCGGGAAGCGGCGGTGACTTATCTATGGGCGTGCTATCGATAAGCCTTCTCCTCATCAACCTACATCATGAGCTCACCAGGGTCGCCCCCTGACTCAAGGGAATCAGCTGGAGATATGCCAGCCTGGCATCCGGCACAAGAGTGGCTGGAGGAAGACGACGAGGTAGACATGGATTACCACCCTGCGTTGGAGGGAACAGAGGACGAAGATGGCTGGGAAGAGACGGAGATCGAGGACGAGGCTATGGGCCTCGGAGTTTCGGACGGTGAGATTGGAGCGGGCTAATTGGCCCCATTCTGAGGGGATGATTCTAACAAGGCTCTCGGTAGACACTCCGCACATTAGTATCGGCAATATCCAGATTGAGCTCACTACAGGTGGTCCCGACGACGGAGAAGAGGAGGGCAATGGCGGCCAGGCTCGTAGTAAGTTCAAAGGCCTAGATATATTCTCTAGAGAGTCTCCGTTCACGATCTTTCAGTTCCAGCATCCAGATTATTTGAATTACTCGCATCGAGCGGCCTTCAGCATATTCTCCAGTCCAATGGATGGATACCCAATCCGACCGGGGAGGAGGAGGAGGAGGAGGAGGAGGAAGAAGACGATGATGACGAAGACGAAGATCCAGACTACTATTTACCGACGTTCCGACACCGATTAAGAGCAAGGCGGGCCAGAGGAGAGCCTCAATTCCCCAAGGTCCCCAGTGATGCGGGGACCGAACTGATGGGCGAGGGCCACTTTGGGACCGACCAGTACTATGTCGACCGGCTCAAGAAGCGCAAGGCGGCATTTGCCACAAACCTGATGTGGCGAGAACTCGGCGTGGATGCATATGGAGTTCGGAGGAGGGCCGACCAGGCAATCTCACAGGTAAGTGGGTTGTGGATACACCCGAACCTCTATGGACCACAACTGACCCAAACATTCCATACAGAAAATGATACCAAGCTCCGCAGCCGATAAAATCATTCATTTTGATTCACGCAGTTATTCCGGTCAGTTTTCCGACGATGGAAACTTTTTCTTCTGTTGCGCGCAAGATTTCAAGGTTCGGATGTACGACACATCGAATCCATACGAATGGAAATACTATAAGACTGTCCGCTACCCACTTGGTCAATGGACAATCACGGACGCTACCCTCAGTCCCGACAATCGTTTCCTGGCCTACAGCTCAATACGTAGTCAGGTTTACCTTGCCCCAACAGACCCAGAAGATGACTCTGATCCGAGTCAACTAGACTTTGCTCTTTCAGCCAACCAGGGGCGACGTCAGAGCTGGGGTAGCTCCCATTTCGGAGTTCGTTCTGATACTGTGCATAGAATGTCATTCGCTAACTATCAACCAGATATGGTCTCTGCGATTCTCTGGAGATGGGCGCGAGATCGTTGCGGGCACATCCGAGGACTCCGTCATTGTCTATGATATCGAAACGAAGCAGCCAGTCCTCAATTTGCGAGATCGTCACCAGCATCACGTCAATGCAGTTTGCTTCGGCGACAAGTCATCTCCTCACCTGCTGTACTCAGGATCGGATGATTCAACGCTACGAGTCTGGGACCGTCGGTCAATGGGCGATGGGCGTGAAGCTGGTGTTTTCATGGGCCACACGGAAGGTCTCACATACGTTGACAGTAAAGGCGATGGCCGATATGTTCTCTCCAATGGCAAGGACCAAACTATGAAGCTCTGGGATCTGCGGAAGATGATGACGACTGCCAACTTCGACAATATCGACCCCAGCAGTTTCACAACTGGCTTTGACTACCGCTTCGAGAAGTATCCCGAGAACTTCTATGAGCCGCATCCGTATGACTATTCAGTGGTCACCTTCCGCGGCCACAGTGTCCTCAAAACCTTGATTCGCTGCCATTTCTCGCCACCTGGAAGTACAAACTCTCGCTATGTCTACTCTGGTAGTGAAGATGGAAAGGTATACGTGTATAATATGGATGCCACGCTGGCTGGTACGATTGATGTCGGTACAGCCACGCTCAACTCGCGTCCCCGGGAACCAGATGTCTCTGCGACGGCATATGAGATGAGTGGAGAGATGCTGTGGAGAACTTGTGTTCGTGATGCAAGCTGGCATCCGAATGCTCCAGTACTAGCAGGTAATATTCCTTTTTCTCTAAGCTTATCTGGAAACCGGAACTGACATGCACGTAGCAACCTCATGGAATGGATGGGGATTGTCTACAGGCACATGTACTATGCACTCCTGGAACGATGGTGCTTCGAATGATGAAGGTGACCCACCTATTGGCAAGAGCTACGACGATAGGCTTAGATACGTTTCCGAGTTCAACGACTACCGGGAGATTGCCCCAGCAGCCCGCACTCGACGACCGCTGCGTAGCCGGCCAGTACGCCGGGTATTTGTCGAAGAAAACGAAGATGCTGAGTGGTGATCTGGAAGACAAAAAGTGTGGTTCTCATTTCCAAAAAGATTCTTCTGGGCTCATCTTTTTGCAATTGGGGGGATGGGTACCCGTATATAGGTCCACATTTAACTGTAGGCATAACGATTTACGATAAGTATACAATCGCAACTTTGGTCTATACAAGTCGCGCCTGCGTAAGCTGTAGTTTTGGTGCCAGTAGCTACTAGGATGACTTGAAAGGGCCATTTATTAAATCAAAATAACAGGAACCCCCTATTGGTACAGGAACAATGCTATGTGGTATCTCAAAGATGACGACGAGGCACTCCTCTCATCGCATCCCAAAACGAAGTGCTAGGGTGACAAAGTCACCGGCAAGACAAATTACGGAACGGCTCGAGTTGGGACCCGAATTGTTCAGATCCGCCCTTGCCCAACGCCCATCAAACGACATTGCCATTGGATTTTAGTTATCAAATGCGGCTGTTCCGTTTTGATGGGCGGTTTATTCCTCGTGCTCATTTGTTCGGTCGAAGTTGTCCGATTAAATTATCGACAAGTTGACACGTTTATGCGCCACCAACGAGGACCTGGTTGACGGGGATGTGGACTGTAGAGATGCAGTGTGAGTGCCGGTTTGCGGAAAAATACGTTTCAAAGATGAAGATTGCCATCAGTAGCACTTACTCAGCTTGACGAAGTATCCAATGGCGCCCTGGTTTCCATGTTAGTCAATCTGTCGCGTGCGATCGATCGCTAGGATCTCGCCAATGGGAAAGTACATACCATAACCAAGAAACCCATGCCGACGGCCTGGCTAATCTTAATGAACTCGCGCTTGTCAGCTGTAGACTGTGTCAGCATTATCGAGTTCCAGCGCACTGTGACTGTCACAAAGATGTGGACGAACGCTTGGTGCAGCGGCGAATGAAGAGGGTGCCCTCCCGGACAAAGTCCTTGGGGATATCAGCAAGTTCTTGGAAAGTCTCAGACATGGTGATGTGTGAACAAGAAAAGGAGTGAACGGATGAAGGGGAGGGGGCTAAGAACGTCTGGACAAATGGCCTTTCTGGGGTTTCGGAGGCGCTTCGGAGAAACGTGGTTCCGAGTCGCAGCTAAGCTCAAAGTCGCGCCGTCTTTCTCCCCCTTCTTCTCGCTCCCGACTAGTTTACCCTGCCTGGATTGTTTCTATTTCTCCTTTTGTCCCACAGCTATCTGTGCCGTGCGCTGCTGTGGCCAGTCTCCTTTTGCCTGTATTCCGAGCTTGGAAGAGCATCTCTGTACGCGCCCCTTCACCTGGGCCTGCTAACACTCGGGACACCATTGATCGCCTCGGATTGTACGTATGGCTGTGCTTTTGCGTGTTTTGCGTGTCGATTTGCCTTGATGGTCTCCTGCCATCGCTTGGAGGTTACCATGCGATAGGCAATACCTTGTCATCTGAATGTCGCTCGAACATTGGAATAGGAATCATTCTCCATGCTAATTGTCGTCCTGTATCTACAGACATGTACTCTCCTTGAATCCGGAAGCAAGAGGCAATCAAGAAGAGAAGGGCCTGTGTATTAACCAACCTCGCTTTATCCAAAATCGAAATACTTGCTCAGAGCCTGTCCACCCGGACTTTCTAGTTCACAATGGCTACGGAAGATGATAACTTCGATATTGACATCTATGGGGATGGAGGAAATGAGCAGGGAGATCAGAACCACGACGACTCAGAGCTTGTGCTAGATGCTCCGGAACCTACGCCTCAGAAGGCTCAATCAGGGCCCCAGACCCAGCCTGCGCCTAAGGCGCCTTCGGAAAGTGTGGCACAAATGAAGCCTCAATCCCAACCAGTCCCTTCGTCGAATGGAGATCACGATATGTTGCAGCACAACACCCCGCAACAAGGTGTCCCGACTCCTCAGCAAGGCGTGAAGCGCAAAGAATACGATGATCGCCCGATGGATGACGCTGCTACGACAGCTCTTCTCATCTCAGACCTTTTCTGGTGGACAACTGACGATGATGTCCGCGGCTGGGCAGCTGATGCTGGTTGCGAACTTGAGCTTAAAGACGTGACCTTCAGCGAGCACAAGGTCAACGGCAAGAGTAAAGGGTAAGAGTAGCATCACTTCGATCCCAATCGATTCACTGACTCTGTGAGCATAGCCAAGCTTTCGTGGAATTCACCACTCCCCAGGCTGCCACGGCTGTTAAGCATAAGATCGAAGAATTCGGTCTAACAGGCCGGAAGTACATGGTCAACTACACCAACCCTCACAGTAACCCCTTCCGGACCCTCCCCAAGGACGCCCCAATGCGTAAAGATGGCAATCGAGGACCTGGCGGCGGCTTCAACGCCGGCGGCAATAACAACAACATGAACTTCGGCATGAACAACAACATGGGCGCTGGTGGCTTCCGCGGTCGTGGTGGCTACAACAACCGAGGTAATTTCAACAACCGAGGCGGCATGAACAATTTCAACCCGATGGGCGGCTTCCAGGGCGGTGCTGCTCCCGGCGGGAATATGATGGGCGGCTTCCAGGGTGGTCCTATGGGTGGTGGCATGCAGAACTACGGCTTTCACAACCGCGGCGGCATGATGGGTGGCGGCATGCGCGGCGGACCTGGTGGTATGCGCGGTGGCCGTGGTGGAAACATGGGCGGGAACATGATGGGCATGCCTGGTATGAACCCGATGGGCGGGATGGGTATGAACCCCATGGCTGGCGGTATGAATCCTATGATGGGTATGGGTGGAAACATGGGCATGCAAGGTGAGTAACTAGCATCACGTCTTGTTACGCTCCTTTCGTCCGGTTCCTTTTCGTCCGAGCCTGAGTCCCCCTTTTCATGATCTTGTGCTGACAAGTTTCTTTGCACTTCAGGTCAAGGATTCCAAGGCCCCAACCCTGCGTTCAACCAGGGTTTCTTCAATAACCAGGGAGCTGGAGCTGGAGACGCATCGTGGAACCCCCATGGTGCGAAGCGCAGTCGACAGGAGTAATCTCTTCGTCACTTATCATTTTCTTTGTGGAGCTGGCTACGGCGTTTTACCAGTCCTCAATCAGTCATGTTATCGGCTCTTTTTCGCTCTCGATCAAGTTTATGGAATCATCATTCGGATCGACTTTATTTGACGGGGATTTTCTTCGCGGCATCGGGAGGGAAATGGAACATCTAGCTAGGTAAGGCTCGTTCTGGCTCAGGCGGCTTGGATATCGTCTTTTCTTTTGATGTATTAGATGCAATTCGATGGTGTTCTTTCTTTCTCTATATGTACTTTATAACCACCAATTGGTTGATGTACTGACATCTCGGTTTGATGTGGTTTGATATGATGCTTGTTGTCATCGACAAGTCTTATTGGAATAGCACATGAATTTGACACGACTTACGAGATGAACAGCTGCGCATGAGGAAAATGTGACACCACAACGCTAGGTAAACACCAAATTTGGCGCTGAACAAGGCTACCCTTCACACCATGCTAAGCGTCCTTTTCACTCCATCTCTAGGTCGGCGCTTGCCCCTCTTTGTGCCTCTCCATATCTACTCAGCAAAGCTGTATGAACGGGGTCGATGATACCTTCATGAGCGATCTTAGCCAACTACCACAACTGGGGGAAATAGGCGGCTACGTCATCATTAATTAAATTACATGTATTCTTCTGACCCAGCTGACTATGTCCTGGACAGCGAAGAGAAGGCAGGCCTGCAAGAACCCGGATCATATTGAGATCAACTATGTAAACTATGTGAGCTGCGTGAACTCGAAAATAAATATTAAATCTCAACTTTGGACCAGTCAAGAACGTAGAAAACCCGAGAAACGTGGTGTTGAAGCTTGGTAACTCGTACTCATCCATCCCTATCCTCATCGTGGCCATGATATTCCTCAACCAGACAAACCCAACTTCCCACCGACATTGCCCAGACCAAGACCACTGAGAAGGTTGTCAATTCCCAACCCACCAAGAAGCCCTCGAACAAGACCTCCAAGACCAAGACCATCAAGGAGTTTACCAAGAAGTCCCACAACCCCACTTAGGAGCAAGCCAACGGCTGCAATGATCTGGAACAGAGGTTCGGACAGCAAATACCAAAGTGGATTGATCTTCTTCTTTGCATGAGGCATGTCAGCGATGCGCCGACGACCATTCTCAATGGTGGTGGAGATCGTCTGCGAGAGTTGCTTCAAAAGATCTGCCAGCTGGTATTCTTCCGGTGTTGCATCGCGCGATACACTCCGGGCTTTGGCGGAGGCTGCAATTTGTCCATCCGGGTCCAGACCTCGAAGGGCTCCCTTGCATTCTTGCAGCATACTTCCGGCTTGTTCAATGATAGGCTTCACTGTCTTGACTAACTGTTCTTCATCAAGCTCGTCGCGGGGTGTTCGATCTGCCCGCTCAATATGCTGGCCAATTCGTTAGTGACATGCACATGAGATAAAGCAGAGGGGCCTTACCTCAGTGATCTGCTTGCATAGAGGTTCAACGGAATCCAGCGTCTGTTGCACAATTGAACACATCTTCTTTGCTAAATCTCGATCATGTTCCTCCTTTTCCTTCTGTTCAAGTTCCTCTGGAGACAACTCAGGCTCTTCTTGTTCGGGCTCGGGCTCGGGCTCAGGCAACTGCTCTAGCAGGGTGCATTCGCCGATCTTGTTGCCATCGTTATCCACGATGTAGCCATTGTCATCAATGGTTTTCCCAACCAGAGACTTCAGGTTGCCCTCCGTGAGTTTACCGATGAGGTTGCCATCTTCGTCACGCACTTCTCCGTCTCGGTTGACCTTCCGGCCACTCATTGGATTGATATCGCGCGGCTTTTCCTCTGGAGTCCAAGGCTCTGACCGACCGATGACGTTTCCAAGTTTGTCGATCACTTCTCCATCTTCGTCGACGGCTCGGCCTTTCAATCGGAGGGCATCTCCTTCAATGAGTCTCCCGACGATCTGACCGGTGGAATCGGTAATGGTGCCGTCTTTGGTGACCACTAGGCCCTCAAGCCCATAGAAAATACCCTCTGGCTGCTCTCTCTCTGATTCAGGAATCAGTTCGACAGAGCCGAGCACTTTTCCATCATCACTCCAGACTTGACCTTCAGCGTCGACTTGCTTGCCAGCAAGCTTCTTGGGATTGCCAGAGATGAGACGTCCCCACACGGATCCATTTTCATCAACGACATTTCCTAGTTTGTTGACCTTCATGCCTTCAAGACTGGATAGATCTTGTTTTTCTTCTTCCTCTTCTTCGGGTGGAGTATAGGGCTCAGCCCGTCCCTTGACATTGCCTCGTTTATCGAGAATATCCCCATCATCGTCCACAAGGAAGCCTTGCAATTGTTGAGGATCTCCTTCAATAACCTTGCCGACAACATCACCAGATTCATCCTCCACGAACCCGGTTTTTCGAACCACCAGATCTCCCATACCTCCAAAAGGCGTGATGGTCTCGCGTTCATTCTCGGGAATCAGAGTAACCCGCCCAATAACTTGGCCACCATCCCCCCAAATTTGGCCTTCGGCATCAATCTTCCTGCCGGCCAATACTTTAGGATCACCTTCGCTGACTTGAGCAACAGGGACTCCATCTGGACCCATCACGTTTCCAATCTTATTCGGGGTCAGGCCTTCCAATTCTGAAAGATCGACGGCTTCTTCCGGTTCGGGCTCGGGTTCTTCCCAGGGTTCTGCTCTTCCCAGAAGGTTGCCTCGTTTGTCAAGGATATCACCATCATCATCAACAGCTCTTCCAAGAAGTTTTCCAACTTCACCTTCGACAACTTGTCCCACTTTGTTTCCGTTGGCGTCGTGGACCCAGCCTTCCTCAGCAACGAAAGGCTCTTCAAATTCCGCGAATGGACCCTTCTCTTCCTCGTCTTCCACAGGAAGAGTCTGAGCTCTGCCGATGACATTTCCTCGATTATCCCAGAATTGGCCTTGGTCGTCAAGCTCGACACCGTCTCGAGAGAGCTTTTTGGGGTCACCCTCGACAAGTTCCCCAACGGGGATCCCATCGCTATTGATAATCTTGCCAAGTTTGTTGCACTTGAAGCCTTCAAGCGTGGAGAGGGGTGGTAGTTCCGGGATGGTATCTTCGGCAGTTTTTTCAGGCTCTTCCATGGACTCTTTGGTAACCAATCGAGCTTTGCCTAGAATATTGCCATCTTCGTCTAGGACCAAGCCCTTTTCGTTCACAGTGTTACCAATGTTTTCTGATAGATCACCGTCCTCCAATTCACCAAGTACAGTTCCACTTGGATCGACTATTTGTCCTTCTTCATTGACTTGGAGGCCATCGAGAATTGAGATATCGTGTTCGACCCCTTGTGCCGTTTCTTGCTGCATTGCCATTGCTTTATCGGCAACCTCCCCAGCTACCACCTCCACTTCTCCTATGATCTCGCCATCATCATTCAGGATCTGGCCTTGTTCATTAGGTATTTTTCCGGCCAAGGCTTCAGGGTCTAGGTCTTCTTTAATCTGACCAAGGACGCCACCATCTTCATCCAGTATCTTGCCTTCATCATTGATGGGTTTATCCTTGAGGATGGAAATTCCTGGCAGCGACTCGCCGACGGAATCTTTCACTTGGTCAAGTTGCTCGCCAGACTCTTCAGAAGAAAGTAGCTCGACACGGCCGACTAAATCGCCGTCGTCATCAAGAATCTCGCCATTTTCATCCACAGTCCAACCCACCAGCTCATCAGGATTGCCTTCGACGAGCTTCCCCAACACTCGACCAGATGGGTCTTTGACTGAGCCGTCTTCCGCTAGAGGCAAGTTTGCGAGGTCTTTCAAGCCTAGGGCTGCTTGGTCAGGGAGTGCTTCGGTCTTCCCAGCCACTTCTTCGCTGAGAAGCTCCACACGCCCAATCAGATCACCATCCTCATCAAAAATCTCTCCATTTTCACCAACAGTATGACCGGCAAGATTTTCGGCCTCACCCTCAGCTAGTCGGCCAATTTGATTGCCGTCGTCATCGAGGATCATTCCGTCTTCTCCAACCTCAAGTCCAGACAGAGCAGACAAATCGGTGGGTAGAGGTGGAGCTTTCTCCGTGATCTCTCGAACTTCGCCTCCCGCTCCATCAGCAGCTGGCTGAAGTGTGGTCGTGATGCTCTGCACACCCGTCTGCGCGCCACTTGCTGCTTTTTCCTTTACAGAGTCAGGCAATTGAGAATGGAACTTGTTGGCCTTATTCGCAAATGTTGCAAGACCCGAGGCAGCATCTTTGCCACGTTGGAAGTATGATTTTCCCGTTGATCCAGAAGCCTGCGGTGACTCCTTTGCGGCGTCATCTCGCTGTTCCCCGTTCACTTCATCTTCTCCTTCAATTGAGCTTGTTTCATTGTCGACCAACTCTAGCGGGCCTTCATTGTCTTCGTTTGACTCGGTTGGTACATCCGCGTCCTCAAGCTCCACTTCATCGTCTGCCTCGACCTCCTTTTGCTTTGGAACCTTTTCAGTCGCTTTTTGTGGCTTTTGAGGTGAAGCAGGTGCCGGAGACAAATTCTTCAAACCTGGAGGCTTCGACGATTCCGTCGGAATGCCGTTGGATTTGGACTCGGCGGTCGCCTTCCGCGCAGGAGTTGTCTTTTTGGACAATTCCGGCTTCTTCCTTTCTGGTAAAGATTTTTTAAGAGCTTGGCCCTTTTTCAAGGGAGTGTCAGGTGCACCCGAGACTTTCTTGTCAAGTCTAGGCTTTGCGTCTGGAGTCGCCATTTTTGCAGTCGTACTATTGCTTTCGCTGTAATTGCAGGTATCACTTTCTGTCAACTACTAGTTTCAAAAGAATATTTGTGCTTGAGTCAGCAATTAGCTTGTACAGATGATGTCTTTATAAGGTCTTCGGCTCGAGTGCCAGCCACACCCCACAGCCAGAGACGTATCACTCAACGCGCAACGAGATCAGTAAGCGAAGCATCGGGGTGATATGATGGCAATCCAACAGTCCAATCACTGTTCCCATTGAGGTGGTTGGAAACTTGTTGGAAACTTGTTAGAGCAACATTCTTTGAAAGTATGGGTGGAAGCTCTAGTGTCTTGTCGTCATTCCCGCCATCAAGCAACCATGGACCCAGACGTCGGAGAGTGGCTGGAATGTCTTGGCAGTATGGCTCGCCACGACACCATTCTTCGCCATAGCTTGAGAAGCCACTTGTATTCGATCTAATGGACAATTTTGAACTATGAAAACACATTTTTTGACTACCGGGGCGTAGGTAGCTTGCCTGTGGCTAATGCACCGTTATCCCACGAGCGCTTTCATGTTTTCGGCTGACGGAGCCAGCCATTGACGGTAATAGAGAATGAGAGCTATCAGTTTTCATTTGTATTCAATGGTATATGCTAAAGTTGCAATCATCTTGATACTACAAAGCAATGAAGAAGGCCATGGAGGCCTCAATGTCAATGTCAATGTCAATCTGATACAGATGGCCGTCACATTTGCCTTGTTTCTTATATCAGGCCCTGCCACAAATGAGCCTAGGCTCCAGATGGCAAAATAGCACAAGGTAAGCACTCACAATAGAGAAAGAGTCAGATCACCCCGAATACTAGCCTTCAACTCGACCTCAATGTCAAGGTTGAGGTCTAACCTCAACCTCAAGGATGTATTTTCCGGCTTCTCTGGACTTTGAACTGGCTGAATTGGTTCCATGCCTCGCCATTGTACTTCGTCATGGAGCTCCTGTCCTGAAGGAGCGGTCCGAATCATCGACGTCGTCGGCTTTAAATGATCAAATTGGATTCCTCGAGCAGGCGGAGCACGCTGAGTGACAGGGGCTGTTGGCCGTGATTGCGAGCGAGGAATATCTTCAATGTCCGAGTTTCGGTCGTATTGGCCGGAAATCACGCTAATATCATCGTCATCCTGTGAAGCGGCTTCCGAAACCGAGTCACTTCTTTTTTCATGAACGACTCCACGCCGTATTTGCCCTTGATCTTTTGATGGGACGATCTTCGTAGTTGACGTCCGACTCGGAGCCATTCTTTTCAAGCTCTCGCGATGTGATGTGTGGAATTTTGCAAAGAAAGCCAAATTGCCAGGAGCAGGAGGAAGATGCGACTCTCAACGGGGCGTCACTTCCCCCGAAAAGGGTTCATCTCCGCATTTGATGGGCCCACACACGAGGAAGTTTGGTACTCGACTTGGCCGAGTCCCCAGATCTCCAAGAGCCAGACCATTGGAATATCGAGTTTCCAGGCTTCTTTACCAATATTCCCTTTCCAATATCAGCCTCCACTACCTCATTGCGCGTCATCTTGTCAAGTGTAGAACCCTCGGCAGTAACACCCCTAAGTTGGGGACATCGTAATCAACCCCTATTGCACCCAAGGTAGTTGACGTCAGGAGGCGAGACCACATCCGTAGATTCAGATGATACTGTAACGTAGGTCAAGTCAGGACAGCAGGGCGCGCTGAATGGCAAATAGCTTTCGACACTATCTCCACTGCCTCTATCATTGTCGCATCGCTTCGATTGCCCAAAAATGAAAGCGCCAGGGGAGACTTCCCAGGACGAAGTCAGTAGCAGTGGCGCAAATGGTGTTGCTCCTTCACAAAAACGTCGACCCCCGAAGCTTGCCAAGTCAACGACTCCCTCGGACGGACAAAGTGCAGGAAGTCAGCAAAGATACGGCGGTCCCGAGAGATCAAATCGCAAAAAACATCGAAAATTACCGAATGGCGTTGCCCATGAGCAACGCGAGAGTAGTTTGAATACTTCGTCTGAGGAGCAAATCTCCGACGAACCGAACACATCCCCACGAGCCGTGATGCATCATCAGAGCACGACCGTACGCCGAGAGTCGGCCCAGTCCGCCGAACCAGATCAAGTCCAAGTGGTTGGCCGAGAACAAAGATCCAATAGTCCAGCACAGGTACGAGAGACACGCGTGCAGCATATGCTCAGTCCGGAAGTCGATGGCCAGATTGTCCAAGCCCCAAACCGACATGTAGGGCAAGCAGAGGGTAATCTTACGAATGGGACCAATGCGAATGCTGGCCAAGTGACACAAACCACCGAAGCAGTTACGAAGCCCAAGGGCAACGATCAGTTGAGACTGAGGCTGGATTTGAATCTTGACGTGGAAATCGAGCTGAAGGCGAAGATTCGTGGCGATGTGACCTTACAATTACTACAATAAGTGTTGGTAGGCCTAGAATAATTCTAATTCTTTGATTTCTTTCTCTTCCACTTTATATTACACAAGATCGTACATTTAACCGCACACAAAGTCGTACACGGGTACCTTTTTGGTCAACTAATGTCCTATACCGAAACGAACAAGTCATGGATGATGCCACTTCGGAGCACCATAATAAAACGGATGTGCCAGTCTCGTTGACCAATCTTGCAGGATATGAATTCTTTTGAAACATCCACGAGCTTGATAAAAATGGGGGACAAATGATCAACTGTAATTTCACGTACACCTGATGCTCCAATTAATGCAATTTAGTAATAGCGCAAATGAAGGAAGTATGCCGTCCGAACCCTAGGGACTCTCGTACAAGTCGATCTGAATGAGATAAGAAAAAGATCAACCACCCGCCAATGCTTCAAGAAGATACAAGAATGAAAGCCACTCAACTCCTTTATACAATACCCTCGGCGGTCTCAGCAGGGGGTCATTGCATGTTTGGATCCATTTCAATCAGGGAGCAGCGTAAGGGCTTTCCCTTCTTGGAAGATTGTAGTCTCCCTGCGTGCCTTTCCGGGACAGTCCACAGTCAATTTCAGCGATCAATGAAATACAAGGTGCATAAGTATCGTGGTTCTGGCGTCTGCGGCGTCAAAAGTGTGATCCTGCGCGAACTTGTCTCAGATCACTACGAAGGGATTAAGAATCCCGATTTAGTGGTCCTGCTTTGATGGCATTTTCGGCGTACATCCTCGATTCTTTTTTTTTTTTCTAGTACACGTGCGGAACTAGAATCTTGTATGATTTTTATGAATACTGTATTAAACCACTGGGTAAAGAATAACCTTCCTTCTTGAAATAAGATGCTGAAACTAGCTGTGGCCGCCTGCAATTCTTGGTCTTCCGCCGAGCACGGTGCAGATCAGAATATTTGAACGAAGCAACTTGTAAAAGAATGGTTGCCTTCCTAGATCATAAAGATGGATGGGCCGAGTGCATCAATGTAGCTGATCAATCTGCCGTCGATTACAATAGTGAGCTGCTCAATATGTTGTTGCAAACGAGCAAACCAGTCTACCCACTTTCTTAGAGAGGCCCGCCTATTGCCAAGCCATGGCAGACAAAACCCGGGTGTGGCTTACATCAGTTCAGCGTGTTGCTTTCTTTGGGGCTGCTCTGGTCGAACGTCGACGCTTTTCTCCATTTCCACTTGACCTCCTCGACCGCTTTGCGAGGGGCTGAATAATCTCCTCGTCCACGCTGTCCTCTTCGGAGAACAGTCGGTGCTTATTACGTGAGGAGTATTTCACCGGCAGCTCTGTCTCCTCTGCCTGGTTGTTGACCTCTGCAGTCATTTCTTGAAAAGGCGCATTCGAGAACTTAGAAGGAACATCGCCTGAGTCAGAGGAGAGTCCATACTTCTGTTCCGATGGAAAACCGACTCGAAATAGTTTCTTTGAAATTCCTGGAATTTTCTTTGTCTCAGTCTTATCCTGATGTTGAATGGCAATAGCCTTCAGCTCGTTGACTCGAAACGTCAACTCATCAACAGACTGCTTCAATGTCGAATTCTCAGTGATAAAATCTGCGACTCGATCTGTGAGACGATCAAGCTTCGACTCCATCCGCTGAAGAATGTCTGTGTATTCGGTCGATACGCTGGAGACTCTCGGATTCGGTGAATGACCTCTGTTGGCAGGTTGCGTTGCCAGGCTCCTCTGCACAAGGGACAATTCCAAAGCTTCTCTCCATGTAGGGAAAATGGCGTCCTTCTGGGCCTCGGTAATTGCCAACTCATCCGGCTCAAGTTCTTGAACCATCACCCAGAAGTAATGAGGTTTCAGTTGGTAAGCGTAATTGCCACCAAGGTAAAATACTTCGGCATTATTGCGAAGCTCAGTCCGAGTTTCATGATCTGCTGGGTCGTACTGCCGGATAAGGTCACGGATACGTCGTGGAGAGAGCTGTGAAAAGGTTTTTTTCATCACTTTGCCACTTTTTGCGCGCGTGTATGAAGGGAGCGCAAGCCCTTGTGAATCAACAGCTCCGACCAGTGGAATACCAGACCCAGAGTTGCCCGTGGAACCGGCCTGTTCTGGAGCGGAGGAGATAGGTTGAGTCGGCTGTTTACTATTTTCTGGCGTTTGTCGAATCTGTTTCCCGGGGTGTTGGCAGTCCTGTTCACGCTCACTGGCATATTCTGAAACCGGATTTTCGGGTGGCACATCACCAGCCTTCACTTCTACCTTCTCATGGCGCAGATGCGAGATTCTTTGTATCAGTCGGCTGACGGCTCCATCCCGAACCAAGTCGTAGTATTGATTGACAATCACAGTCGTGTCAATTTCTTCGGAGAATGCAACATACTTAGCTCGCAGGGATGGCGAGGCCAAAGGATGCGCTGCGTCCCGAAAGAAGACGGCGAGACTGGACCACATGTCTGCTCCTCGATCGCTAAGTTGCTCCTGATATGTGCAGAGATCTCGAACTTCTTGCGCACTGAAGGAAGTTTCGTGATTCTCATGACGGCGAAGAATCTTTAAGGCGGTTTGAGTGAGCTCGTAGGAAATTTGGTTCGGCCACTTCTTCTGCTGTGGATCAGGAGCGTTTGATGAACACGGCACCAATTCTCCAACGAAGAACAGTGTTTCAGGATGAGCTTCATATTCTACTTGGAGTCTTTCAAGAGCGCCATCCGCGGAAAAGATGTTCATATATCGGCTCAACGTTGCACGATTGTCTGCCTTTGGTAAGGATGCCAGCTTCTTCTTGACTTGTGCAGAGACAAATGGGATACAAGCATTCTTGACAAACTTGACAGCATGCAATGAGGTTCGGGGCCCTGTGCCCGGAGTCGACGTGTAGTGCTTGTAAACTGCCCTCACCTCTTTGCCGGTGAAGATGGATCGGCCCATTGCAAACTGATCAGTGATGGGAATAGCGGTCTCGATAGACGCTGAGATTGAAGTTTCAGCTGAACTTGGAATGATCCTTGAGGTGAAGAACTTTGAAAACAGATAATTTTGAGTCCTTGAGAATTGTAGCAGCATCTCCTCTGGGAGATCGTCGACCCGGCACACAAGAACTGAGAATGAAGCCACCCGTCTCAACCCCAAAGGACTGACGAGGGGCACTGGGTTGAAATATGGTGTCAAGTCGGAAAAGGGTGAAGATTTTGGGTTGGAAGGAAGATGAGGTAGGAAGAAAGGAGAGATGAACAAGGTTAGAGTGCAAGTAGGAATGTGAAGAATACACTGAAGAATTGTGGCTGCTCTTAACTGAGTTCTCGTTAAGTCAATTTCCTAAAATCTTCAGATACGTGCTAGTCCCATCACCACCCATCCTGACTTGCTCCATACACCCACGCTATATCACCGGTAAGGCTGATCTCAACCATACTGACTAAAGACTAGCCCATTGAGTTGGCTCGGGTTCATATATCCCTGAACTGACTCAGAGCCATCTTATCATATCTCGTCACTCCTCCTCACTCACTCCTCACTCACTCCTCACTCACTCACTCCTCACTCATCTGACCCAACCATCCATCTATCCACATACCGATAAACATGCATACTCTCTCACCTCGGTCACATTACTAGCATGGGTGTGGCTGTGTGTGTTCTCATATTGGTGTTGCCCAATCTACATTTCCAGACTGCCGTCGAGCCGTTACTATTTCACTACCTAGGGATAAATATAGCTTGACAACAACTTTCAAGATCATACATGAGGCGAAGATCCAGGATTGCAATGATGTCCACCGGAGTCTTACTAGCCCGTCGGACGTGGGGAATCTCGTGGCTTACGAGCAAGACAATCAAAGGTTACAACATGAATCAACACATCGGGAATTCCATAGATTGAATTGATTTTACTAATAATATAGCAACACACTAAGGCGCATTCCGTTCATTTACAGGAAACCCCTTAGGAATCGGAATAAACAAAATCATATCATCACCAGAACCAAGCCAAAACACACGTGTCGGATATGCAAGAGAAAGACGCCAAATCGTATACATTTGTGTGAACCAGTGGTCTCGTATGCAAGGCCGAGACAGAGAAGTTGAAGATGAAAAAGCACGTGCATTGTCTCGACTATATTGACCATATTATGAACATGATCCGAATGTAGTCGGACACGATGACGAGCTGTTATGTAAAATAGAGAGAAAAAGCAGGATCGTCACTGATAGAGAAGGTGAATTTATCCTTGGGTTTTTCAGGAAAAAAATATGAGGAGGATTCTGAGATGCGATTCAACGAATGCAAGCGAGGCATTCAGGATAAGATAGGGGCATGTTCAGCGAAAGATCAGAGCAAATCAGGTTATCTGCCTTCGTTAACTCTTCATCCCATCCTTCTCCCACTCATGTAATAGTCGTGAAACTTCTCTGAATGACACAGGCTTGGTCAGGAACATATCCACGCCAGACGCCAGGGCCTCAGACTCATCTCGCGAACTGCTCAGTCCAGTGAGAGCAATGATGATAGCTGGCCCGCAGCCATCTCGCTCTCGTTCGATTGCGCGGATTGCGCGAGTGGCTTCGAAGCCGTTCATGACGGGCATTGAAATGTCCATGAAGATAATGTCGAAGCCACTGGATACGCGCTCGACAGCTTCGACGGCTAATTTGCCGTTCTCGGCTGATGCGAGCTCGGTAAGATTGCGTTTTTTCATGAATGTCATCATGAGGTTCAGGTTGATGTGGTTGTCGTCGACGACTAGGACTCGCGCTAGTTTTGTGGAGCCCGTGTTGTTCTCTCCGAAAGGTGGTGGGACAGGAGCCGCCGCGATGACTTCAGGCGAAGAGAAGAGCACAGAAGGTGAATCGGGTGTAGCGGCCGCAAGAGAAACTGCCTGGCTACGAACGGCCTCTTTCGGAGACATGATTGTATCGAAGGGGTTCTCGAATGCTAAGGCAACCGGCGAGGTGATTGCTGAAGAAATTGGTGGTGTTCGCAAGGGCATTTCCATTGGATTCTGATGGACGACAGATGATGGAGTGACAACAGTTGAGCGGGAGTTCTGGAAACACTTCATGACGCTCCGAGCTAGTTTGTGAGGACCACAGGGACGTCGAACAATGTCGATCGAAGATGCCAGACCTAGCCACTCTGACTTTGCCCTGCTATAATCCTCGGCTTTGCTGCCCAATATTAGGAGAGATGGCAATAATGCTGAGAGTCCAGTGTGTCGTAGAACAGGCAATTCAGATTCCTCCACGATGAGCATGTCCAGCGGAAGGTGAGTCGGCCATTGCACGAGTTGAACGCCAAACCATTCTCTCAAATATCGCCCAATCTCAGCCCAAGTAGAGTCTTGGTCGATGTGATCCGGGTCTGCACCCCAGATTGCAGCTCGTCTACCGGCATATTTTTCACGAAGAGAGATGGTTTTCGCTAAGATCTCCCTTTGTTGAATCTGATGGCCATATGGTTCGACGGGTGGGTCCTCTTCGCCGACCGGGCGGGCGAGAGGTAGAGACACGCGGACCATAGTGCCTTCGCCAGGGCGACTGCGGATGCGAATGTTGCCATTCAATGCCTTCACAAGACTTCGAACAATAGATAGACCGAGTCCTGTGCCTACCGCAAGCGAATTTTCTTGAGCGAAAGGCGTATAAAGACGGTCGCGCAGGAATTCTTCCGAGATACCCCGGCCAGTATCCGTAACTGTCAACGTAACCAGGTCTTCTAGGCCCTGTCTCCGAGATCGACCTTCAGAATGATTCGAAGCATCCAGACTCAATGTGACCCGGCCTTCTTCGGTATATTTCATGGCATTTCCGAAGATGTTCATGATGATCCGTCGCAAAGCGCCGGGTTGTGTACGATAAACCCAATCGCGATGAGCAACATCAATCACCACTTCCACCTTGTTTGATGTCGTAGCTTTGGGTGTGTTCTGGGATAACACAACCGGTAGATCGGCCGCTGCAGTAGAATTTTGACCATAGGCAAGACCTAATGTGATACCCTCCACGACCTCTTCGGCTATGATCGAAAGATCCGTCGCGATGTATGTGTCAAGGTGAGAGGCCAATTTGTCTGTTCCTTTGAAGTCTAGTGGGGATTCCTTCTTTCGTTTCATCGAGCGCCATGTTCTTTCGAGCGACACAACCTTGCTGAAATCGAGTACCTGGTTCATCGTATCGAGCAGAGTCCTGCCACAGGCACAGAGTGTTTCCAACAAGGAGTCTTGAAATTCATCCAAATTTGTACTGTTCAAAAATTCCGCCGCGGCCAGAATGCCATGTAATGGACTGCGCAACTCATGTGAAATACTGCCGATGAAATCCCCTTTCTGCCGATCAGCGATCAGTGACTCGACCCGACTGTACTCAGCCATGACGGATGATCCAAACCCAAGGACAGAACTTAATTCCACAGCAGAAGTGAACACCTGGGTCTCGACAGTCGTCCAACAAAAACAACCCGCAAACCACTGTGAACTCACAGCGTTCCACAGCGGTACGAACATGATCTGCGTAGCTCCGGGAAAGTATTGATTGAGCATGGAGTTCTCCGCCGCCTTCCGCCTCTTACCCAGGGGTTTCGTAGCGTCGACTGACCGCGCACCTCCCGGCGGTGACTGAAGTGTATTGAAGGTCGGACTATCCCGGGGTCGTTGGTCATCGTCATCGGAAGTCGAGATCAATCCGTCGCGGTGCAGAGACCACAACTTGCCCTGGGGATAACGTCGAAGGAGTTGACGCAAGAAAGTCCGGTCCACACGGGCAGGTGGAGTAGCCATCGAGCCGGCTCTCGGGGCAAATGGATCGTCGTTAGTAGACATGGAGAGAACGGTCGCAGGGCCGCTGCTGTCGTTCGTTGAACAATCGCTGCCACTTTCACCATCCATCAACGGAGTCTGCGTTGCCTCTCAGGAACAGCACACCGCCATCGTCGCTCAGGTCGAGACTTTCGCGCAGCAAGTTTGCAGCGCGGCGGAAACACCATGAGTTCCCGTGTGAATCATCCGGAGGAAGCCGATTGCGACTGCTGTTCGTAATCCATTCAGGCAAGGAGCTTCCGACTCCTGATGCTCCTCCACCAGAAGCTGTGTTGTCGTATTTCATATCGTAGGCGCCGGGGCTGAGGGAGCGAGAGTCATTGCTGAGAGAACGGTCATTTGATGGACTCGGCGATGCGATTTGAGAGGCATTGTCCTGACTGTTACTACCGGGAAACCGTTCCCTCGGTGGACTGGTCGATGCTGTCTGCGATACGTTGTCTTGACTGTTGCTTCCGTTACACCGATCATTGGAAGGACTGTGTGAAGCCACCTGAGATGTTTGATCTTGACTTTGGCTGCGCTGGTCCTCATCCGTCCCAGTGGCACGGTTGCGAGATGACGGAGTTTCGGACAAGGGCGGGCAGCTATTGGCCCGGGAATCATCGGTGCTATTCACAAAACTCGAGCTCCCGTCCACAAAATAGCTCAATCCTCTTGAAAGACGAGCAGCTCGACGACCCTCCGAGGCCTGGCGACAAACTTTCATATAATCCATGATCAAGAAGGACAAAGATCCCAACGTATCCCGTTCCAACTCCCCAAGTCCATCGCGCGGCTTCGTGTCCAACACAAACAAACACCCCAGGTTGATTCGATTCTCAGTCGTTAGGGGAGTCCCGGCAAAGAATCGAAAATGCGGAGACCCCGCAACAAAGCTTGATTTGTTGTACCGTTCATTTTCAGCCAGGTCGTTCACGACGAGATGGGGGATAGATAGGAGTTTCGCGGTCCGAGGGTGGTAATGCAACAACGTCCTGTTACTGACGGTCAAACATCTTGTCGTCGAGGCGAATCGTGGTGAAGAGTTCGGTCGTAATAACTTTGAAGGTCAACATCAACTTACCTGGCAGCATTTCCATGATTTCTTACTGGCACTGGATCCCAGCCAAAGCTCGTTTTCGTTCGTACGTATAGAATTATCATTGAGGCTCACAGTTTTAGTGGCCTCGGCAAGAATGTACTGCGCATCTCGATCAAACACGCAGATCATTGCACGATCCACGTCCAGTCTCAGCGCCGCCAGTTGACAAAAGGAGGTGAGAGTATTGTTCGACGATCCCAGAATCAATGCCTCCGGTCCGGCAGCCGTCGATGGCCGCGACGTGGCACTGCTGTTCGACGCACCCGAGTCGTACGCGTCAGGCTGCGAATCTGGGGAGCCGGTTGAGCTACCGTTCCTGCCCGAACTCGAGCCTGTTGAGGGTACATCTTCGCCTGAGGGTAGCCATGAAGGGACGACGTTCGGAAAACTGGCGGGGCGGTAAAAGCGGTAAAGTTCTCGCACCCTGCGATCCGCGCTGTGCTCAACGCTCGTCCTAGAAGACGAAGAGGGAACTTCCATAATTCACCGCTTGCGCCGGAGAAGGGTGGATGCAGTGGTGCATCGTCAGGCTCCGAGTGTGAGCAAGAGCAGGGATCGCGTTCACGATAGATCGAATTCTTGATCGGGAAAAAGGTAGTCAGATAGTATGAAGAAGAGAGTCTCACACAGTGTGGGCTGTTAGGGGACAATCATAACAGGATCAGTCATCGAGCGGAGATCATTTTTGAGAGAAAAAAAATTGAGTGGCTCAAGACCTCCCCACCGCCCAAAAGAGAGAAGAATGGGGGGAAGATCTCTAAATGTCAGGTGGAGACCAAGGGGGAAAATAGTCCTGACGATTTGATTAGCTCGGGGGGGCAGCTGTTCGTGCGCTGTGACTCAAATCGGTACGCCCATTTCTTTCTCCACCATTGCATCAGCCGGGCGTCCCTTTCTCGCGGGACCGGAGAGGAGTCTGTACTTCTGTGCATCTGCCGCAGGACAAAGCAATTGAGTCTGTCATTGGGCGATTGCGCAGATCAGGCCCCTGGGTGGAACTGTGTGGTGGAGGCTGGCGTTATCCAACGCGGCGGTGGACGACTTTGGGTGTGGAAGAAGCAAATGGTGCGGTGGAGACCCAGATGCCAATCACTTTACAACGATCGGTTCAGGCACAAGCCAGGTGGAGACTTCACAATTTGCTCTCTGCTTTCTGGCTGGATCGGGTGAACCACTCAAGTGTTCTTCCCCCCCCGTTACAGTACTCCCAATGCGGTTCGAGTGATTTTTTTCCCCAAGTCAACCAGATCAGCCAAACTATATTGCGGTGCACTTCAGACGCCCCGACGTCATTGTACACTTCTCGACATTGAAACGCCTCCAATCGGGCCATGGCGTTGGTGGAGTAGTGCAAAGTCCGTGATTCGTAGAAGCTTGGATGGGTGGCGCATTCTTTCCGTCGGTGGCGGTGGCAAGGGCACTGGGACAACTCATTACACTATGATTTGGTCGCAGTTCAAGCCTCATATCCACTGCGTAAATCGGATGACACCGAGTGGTCACTACATTCTACAGGACGAGAATTTCATGATGCTCCCAAGCCGCATGGTTCCGGTGGTGAGATGCTCCTACCGTGTGAACGTCGTTGGTGCCGCGTCTAAGGAGGCAGACCAGTGCCACCGACGCAGATCGTGGCCTTCACCGCAGGCGCGGGTTGGGCATCCACTTCGCCAATCCCGAATTGGTACCAAAATAGTTGCTCATTCCATGATTTATGTGTATGCACCTATCACATGCTGAAGAAATTTAAGACGTGGGCAGATCAGAATCGCTCCATCAGGCGTTTGCGAACTGTCCACATGCGAGCCCGCTTGCCATAAATATACATCGGGATGGTCATGAGTAGGAAGAAAATCTGAATTCCGCCAATGACCAGGAACACCAGCCGGGAGCCATCGGATTGGAGCCAGTCGACGATGAAGAGAGAGAAAACCAAGCCGTGCAGCACGTCTAGGGAACACGTCAGTTGGGGTGTCGGGAATAGAGGATCGGGGGCTGAACATACTCTTGCTAAAGTTCAAGGTCACTAGTGCTTCGCCGGCATATTGACGGTAACTGTCCACGCAGAAGGTGATAGCCGTGGTGCTGCCAAGACAGCACCCAAAAGAGATCATTCCAAAGAAGATGGTGGGTACAATCCACGCATCCATCAACTGTGCACTCCAGCCGAAGCCCATCAATCCAATGGCCGTCGAGATTGCAATAGGAATTGCCATCACTAGACGGAACTCGGGTTCGTAGATGCCACCATTGCGCCGGGTCATGAACTTCACAAGAATGTCCGAAACTTTACCAGCCACGGCCGTGCCGAGCAAACCGCCCACAAAGGGTGAAATGTAAATGAGACCGGTCTGCAGCGCGGTAAAGCCATAGTGGTCGCTACTTTCGTAGATAACCGCGACGGACTCGGATAGTACGATGAGCCATCCGACCGAGAGGGAGTAGATTGCTGTCGACCACAGCACGGATGGGTAGGCGAACAATATGAAAGGCCGAACCGCAATCTTGAACCAGCTATCATGGGCGATTCGTCCGTTCCAGACCCTCAGTTGTTGAGTGTAGGGAATCTTGGGTCGTTCACGAAGTCTATTCGTGTAGTGCATAGATCCGGTGACGGGTCCGGGAGAGTTTGATATACTGCGCGCCGGCGATAAAGCATCATCTCGAGCTGATTCCATGTCGCTCGGGGTCGGAGGCGGGATGACCGCCAATGGAGGGCGAACAAGGCCATCCTCCCTCTCCACGGTGGGAGTTGCGGGTGCGGTAGCGATATTGTCATGGGCAGGGGGTGTCTGTCCAGTATCAACGTTTTCTCCAGCATCGGAGTGTTGCTTCTCGTTGTCGGCTTCATCCTCGACGAACCCGACATGCACATTCCTATTCCGTCTCGTCGGTCGGGGTGAGCCGTCTTTCGACTCTGTCGCTTCGTCTGCCAGTTGGAGATGTAGTTGGCGACCGCGATAGAATCCATGACTGACAAGGTCCGACATGGTTCGGTGCGCTCCCGGACGTTTGTGAGCGCGGCGGGTGCGCGGACGGGGAGTCCGATCCCAGAATGTCTCGGGGACGAGGAAGAACAGCAAGAAAAAAAAAGCCACCAACGATTATCGCAACGATCCAAAACACCCAGCGCCACCCAAGACTGCTAATAACCGCGGCACTGGCCAGCGGTACTAGGTTCTTTCCGCCAAGCAAGAGTAACGTGTAGACGCCAACGCGGTATGCCCGCTCGTGCAAAAAATAGATCTCGGCAATCGTGGCGGAGGGCAGGCATTCCACCGGGCTGACCGCGATACCCTGGAAGACACGGGCGACCACCAAGCTCGCATAGTTCGGAGATAGGGCACACCAAACTGCGGAAATAATGAAAAGAATCGCCCCCATGAGATAGACTGGGCGTTTACCAAAGAGAATTGCAGTTGGAGACATAATCACAGAACCAATCCCAAGTCCCAACATGTAGAGACCAGTGGTGAGGGCGACTTGTTGCTTAGAAACATCGTATGTATCTGCAACACTACTGAATCCCGCCGCCAGGATGGGTGTCATTCCTCCACCAATCAAGCAGTAGAGTCCCAGAGATATCAATGCACTGTCTCTCTGCCATACAGGCCAATTCAGTGGATCATTGACCGAGTCATCGGGTTGCGGTTCCAGCAAGATCTGTCCATCGGCTGTTTTCTTTTGCTGGGGATGTCCCCTGGATCGAGAGGAAGAACGTGAAGGGGGGGTTGGTCGAAGGGATGGATGAGGTGGAATGGCGTTCCGGTTGGTGTCGCATACCCAGAGGTTCATTACGATCAGCTGAGAGAAGAAGAATGGTTCCTACAAGGCACCATATCATGTCAGCTCCACTTTTCTCATACTTCACTTTTGGTGGCCCCTACCAGGCACTTCGTCGGTCTGCTTATCACTGAGAATTCCCAGTGTTGACTTCGAACGATAGGAAGTGGAATCGTCGGTGTTCTCAGAGGGCTTTTTGGAACCTGCGAAGAAGCGTCTCCATCGCGGTGTCTCCGCCTGCTGTGGGGTATCATGCCGACTCTGTGTATCCTCAGCCACGGACGGTAGTGAGTTTGAGGGTGCATCCATGTCGAATCTTGAGAGGTAGGAGATTTGAGCAAGGTGATAGCGGGAGTCTGCTGAAAGACAAGACCGTTAGCGAAGCTAATTAGGGCTGCCTCGGGCCAAGTACACACGGTAGAAGACTCACTCTATCTTAGACACCGCTAAGTGCACGGATCAGGCCAGCCGTGTGGGCCGATAAGCTCCAAGGTTCCAATCCAAGAAAAGGTCGCGGGGCAAAGTTGACGGTGATCAGCGCTTGCGATAGTTCCCAAGCAGCTGCAGAGGGAAAATTCCATACATAGCTTTGTAATGAGGAATCCAAGGGCCTGGGAGGCAAGCAGCCAGAAGATATCAAGAGAATAGGGGGGGATTTAGAGGGGAATAAATAGCGAGAGGAAGAGAGGAATGGAGGAAGTTGTCATGGGGCAAAGGTGCAAGATAGACAGATCGGCGTCTCGATGTAGTCAACGCTCCTGAGCTCCCCACAGAGGCGGTGAGCGGTGATTCGCCAGATCACCGTGGGGACTTCACTTGGGCAACTTTGGATTATCACTCACTCATATTGTTTAATGCATCCCTTTCGATGGTCAACACCGTGGCTCGCAGAATCAGAGCCTTCATTCATCGCATCTAGCAATATTGGAGTCCGGTAGGCGCACGTTTTCGGCCAGACCTGCCGCCCAAGAACACAATGGCGTATGTGGGCATCTCACTGGCCCAAATTAAACCTCCCGGATCCACCAGTCCGCGCAAGATAAGGCGATCGCCCGGTGAAAACATGCGAGAACATGGCTTCATGCATGAGCTGCGCGCACGCTGAAGTTAAACCGAATGCGGCCAGCCATTCCTGAAGTCCCGCCAAGCATCCCTGGAGCCCCAGATTCTAAGTTGGAATCCAACGACCCTCCAACTCTCACGCTATGTCCCGCAATCTCTTACTTGAGAGTGGTTAGGTGTTGTTTACTGTCCAGATGATCTCCCTAGCTTGGGTATAGTCATCTCAGCTGACTGTACGTGGCCGACCCGCTGCCGTCATCATGCAGTTGCCGGTCGCGGGGTCGGGCATGGAAATCTGTCCCTCGGTGAATCATGTACGGCCATGAGCTTCACCACATGTATCCATGTGCTCGGAGTTGCGAGTGCCATCACTCTGCCTGCAGTTGACTGTTGTTTCTTGTCTGTCTTGAATATAGACGTTTGTCCGTGCAGATGACGCCTTTGCGTGAGGTCGCTGCAAAGGAGCGGGGAGTTTGAGCAGATGAATACTGACTTTCATGGCTCATGCGACGTTCATGCCCCGAGGTTGCCGCCGTTGCGGGCTCGACTGTAGATCCGGGAAGAAACTCTGCATGAATCCGGACACGTATCAGCACAGTGCCCTGTTGATGAAACAACTTCTTCGCCGACAACATTAAGCTCGACCGTTTCATGCATTGGGTCTATATCCTACAAGTGTAGGCACTCGTGTTCATTTGCTCTTTTCCCTGCATCTGTGCGACATTTGATCTACTCTGGCACACGGCAGATCCAAGCAGGTATGTCGAACACCTGATTCGAGTGAAGCTTGATCAAGTTACACCCGCATGTATTAAGGCCAAAAAATACCTTGGAGTGCCGCTTCCACGCACTACGGATCTTCGTTGCCTGGAACAGAAATCTACGACGATAAGGAGGTTGGTGCTGCAGCCTACAGTGACGAGACTTGCGCCCGAAGTACCGTACATCGGCAGAGATGGTTCAGACGGTAAGGCACGGGCCGACAATGCAAACAAGCGATAAGGATATTTGAAAACAGGACAAGGTATCAAAAGACGGAGCTTGTCGCTCCAAGCTGGCCCATCAAGCGAACTTTTTGGTGCCGGCTACATTACTGCTGGAAAAAAAGAGGTTATATCATAGGGGTCAAGTTCTGGAGTAGTTACGTGGCCCAACCAACTCCCCATGACCAGCGCGTTTTCTTCCCTTTCTAGTCTTTCAGTGATCATCCCTTTTGCAGCATGAGATATCCAATTGGCAAGTGGATATATCAGAGCAGTTGCCACTCCAAACAGGTAAAAGAATCAGATATCCTGCTACCAAAAGAACCGGGGAAACTGAACTAATCCATCACCTCGCTTCTATCCTCTTTATCATTTTAGAATGATCGAAAAAAACCTTTCCCATGAAACTTGAGCTCGTCTACGTCACTTTTTACTCTGTTTGAAATTCCTATTGCTATTGTCGGTCCGTCCTGCTTCGGATAGTGTTTCGTACTTCCATGGGATGGGCTTGACAGCTATACTTGTTCAGAGGGACTGGGAGAAACAGGACTTGTTTGCATTGACTTCAAGTTTGAAGTATCTGTGAATGGCTGCCTGGACCAAGACAGTCTTGTTGACTTGACTCTCGCTATATCATCGAAGGATACTTTGGTCCAATAGAGCCTTGTGAGATTCGATCAATACGAAGGTAATGGGCGACTCATAATTGAAGGGGACACTGTAGGCTTTCGAAATAAACCTCGACTAGCAAATGAGTGTCTTGATCAATTATTCTCCCTTTGATCATAAGAATCATTACAGTACAACAAATTGAAACGAAAAGTGTAGACCCGCCAATCCGCACCACTTTAATTGGGGCCGCTTGCGGTGGGGGTCACGTGGACCCCCTTTGCGGATGCCGCAGCAACACAGCAGCCTCTTTGCGTTCGCTACATCTTCAGGTCGTTCCTTTGCTTCGATATTGTGTCTTTATTGTCTGTCCTAAACACTTTCTTCATATTCTGCGACCACGAATTGCCCGACGGCCGCGCTCACACGTGAATTTCGTTGCCTGGTCGTCTGAAGGCTTCGTGGCATCCTTGAAATCCAACTTTTCTCCAGCCTCAACGTCCCAGTCCATTAAACGGACCGTCACACATCTCGAATCTAAATAATTTTACCGGAATCACCGGCGTGTCACTCGTTTTGCGCCAGAAACCCGCCATTCACAATGAAGATCCACCTGTCCTCCCCGTTGATCCTTCTCCTCCTTCCCGCTCTTTCGGCAGCTGCCAGCATCAAACCCAGCAGCACACCTTACCCTTCTGCTTCGCGAGGCTCTTATGACCTTACCTCGCGGTATGTGGACACCGAATCGATTTCTAACAATGCCGCCAAAGGAACACAGGACGTCCCGGTAGACGGCAAAGACGGGCGACCGCACGCGGGCCCGTGGGTAGAGACTGGCGCGGAGCGAGACCGAAAGACCGCCAAGGCTAGTGATGATGTTAACCTGGTTTCGACAACATATGATTCCAAGGTTCCCTCATCGGAGCACCTCAGTACAGAAGAAGGCAAGACGATCCCGCACTCCAATGGCGGAGTCATGGATGATCCCAACCGCACAGGCCCGAGAGAGGGAACCAGAGGTACTGAAGGCGGGGTTTCAGAGAAAAAAAGGAGAATTTGTATAATGCGGAAAAGGTGCCTGGTGGTCCCAAGGAAGCCCTTCCGCTGCCGCATAGCGAGGAGCAGAAGCTGCCATCGGACAGTGACACCGCCACCGGGACTGGCGGTCGCTCTGCAGAGGGAGCCGGGACCCTGGGCATGTTAGAGGTATGAAGTGACTCACCAGATGAAATCTGTTTTCCAGCCAAACATACTAAGGGCCATCTACAGAAACCCGCCGATCTTCCCCAGAAGCCGCACGATATCCCCCACCCCAAGTCGCCTTCTCAGGCCAAAGATGACCCTCTTGCCATTGAACGTGGCTCCGCTGGCTCGGGCTCAAGCTCCTATCCCGGCTCATATCCCAGCTCGTCGAGCACTCACGGACAAACCGCAACCACGAAGGAAGCCAGCGACGGACTGCATTCTCTCCTCTTTTCGTTCACCATGATCATTGTTTCCGAGATTGGTGACAAAACCTTCCTTGTCGCAGCACTCATGGCTATGCGACACCCCCGCCTTGTTGTGTTCACCTCTGCCTTCTCGGCCTTGGCTGTCATGACCGTTCTCTCTGCTATTCTGGGTCATGCTGTTCCGACGTTGATCCCCAAGTCCGTCACCAAATTTATGGCCGCTATTCTATTCCTGATCTTCGGTGCCAAGATGTTCAAAGAAGGCCGTGAGATGTCCCCTGACGAGGGCGTCGGCGAGGAGATGCGCGAGGTCGAACAGGAGTTGGAAGAAAAAGAACAAGAGCAGATGCGTTTGGGCCGTCGCCGCTCTTCTGTCACTCCCCACAATCTGGAGGCTGGCCGTGTTGGTGGTCGACCCAAGTCGCGCGGCTCTGCCAACCGTCTGCCTTCTCCTCCGGAAAGCATATCTTCTTCTTCCTCGCGTGGCTCATCGCCTCGTCCTCAGCAGCGCTGGAACGATTTCTTAACTGGGGTCAGTAACCTCTTTTCTCTTCTTCTCAGCCCTGCCTGGGTGCAGACTTTTGCCATGACCTTTCTCGGTGAATGGGGCGATCGCAGCCAAATCGCCACCATCGCCATGGCTGCTGGTCAGGATTACTGGTGGGTGACCATCGGAGCGACCATTGGCCACGGTATCTGTACTGCTGCTGCCGTCATCGGCGGAAGGGCCATCGCTGGCCGCGTCAGCATGCGTGTTGGTATGCATCCAATCTCCAGTCCTTTGCTCTGTTCCTAGGCTTATCATCATCACAGTTACTCTTGGCGGCGCAACTGCATTTTTGTTGTTCGGCGTTATCTATCTAATTGAGGGTCTTTTCTAGAGCTGCATCGGACGGTGGGACTCATCTTGATCGTTCATGGGTTTTGGGTGGTGGGTCTTTATCGGTGTAAAGGTCAAAAGGTCAAATCAGTCTGTGACATAGCATTGTTCAATAGATATAATCTGTGCTTGGCCCACGAACTGGCCAATTTCACAATGAATATGATGTTCGAAACATGATCAAGAAAAATATATACCTATGCATGGGTTTCGTGATGGTCGATCCGCGCCTGCTCTCCTTTGTATCCATATTTCCCGAATAGATATTAGCGTCAAATGCATGGGAGAATAGCTGGCTGAACATTTGCTTGATTGGGCGAACAAGCATTACTTTGCGAACCAGGTTGACGGCATTGCATACATTATCTTTCAGTAGCACGGCCTAAGATACTTCCCGTATGTCACCCTTGACTTCCGGCCCCACTTGGCAGAGGCTCAAATGTAGCCTGAGAGTCAAGGCCTTTCTCAAACCTTATCCCCAGGAATAGGGTCAGGAGGTTAGGGTTTTAGGGTTTTCTGCCTCAGGCACTCAAACTCACCAGAACTGGACGAACCTGGCCCGGGACAATAAATAGTCCGGACGACCGCCTCGGTCACCTGACTCACTAGCCCAACCGTCTTAGGGTTTCCCGTCCTTGCCACATCACAACAAACTCCTGAGCTAATCTTTTTTCATCCTCTTCTCAACCATCCCAGACGTGTCTAGCTATCTCTATACTACATTTGACACCCACAGAATCCTTGTGGAGAGGTCCAAAAGGAATCTTGTCAAGTATACAGAGCGGCCGCTTGGCACACCGCCCAGATGGCACGCGCCGGTGTTCCCAGGGCTACACCCCCGCGTCGCGTTACGAGAAGTCAGAGTCGGGAACTCAATGATTCGTCTGGATTTGCACATGGTAAATCAGCGTCTTGGCATGATGCCCACAATGCAAAACCTGGTAGCAGTCGTGAGTGTCACTGCCCTTTATTCTGCTCTCGGTCTTGATCTCCGACCGCGCGCGCATCTGTGCCCATGTGGACCCACTATTGTGAAATCAACAATGATGTTTTACCATCATTATTTTCAAGTTTCACATTCATCTGACTTTAATATTGTGTCATGGCTCTCATTTCGCGTCTGATCATCGAAGCGAACAACACATTCTGACCTTCCTAGGGCTGAGCATGGTAGCTGAAGAGACACCTGCCTCGAAATACAGCACTTCCGTGGTTCCCGAGTCTCCAGGAAATCCAGAAGGAAATAGCAATATCTCCGGCACCACATTCTTACCACAAGACTCGTCGCTTGAAGACGATGAGACCGATCCCGTCGTCCTTGTTGATGAACTTTCTGATCTTCAGTCTGCTGCCACCCGGTTGATGGACCTGTTTGTCTCTGATGCTTCCGACCCTCGGAACGTTGTTGAGGCTGCGAAGCGACTCACCGATCCGCGAAACACTCAAAGCAAACGCTTGAAACCTGCCACTAACAAGCTCATCAGTGCAATGAAGTCTTTCAGCAGACAAGCCTTTATTGATGTTTCAGAAATTAAGAAACTGATTCCGTCGGTGCAGCCCGAAGACACTGCCCAACCATGGAGTCCATCGCCAATTTTGTATCAAGCCAACTGTGCGCGACTGGCTCTGGATGTGCTTCTTGCAACTCTTGGCTCCCAGTCTCCTCGAGAAGCGATCGAAAGACTGGAGAGCCGGTTTCCGGCCCCGTTCATGGATGCCATTGTCAGAAGGCCTCAGTCTAAGCCCATCGGAGCGAGCACTGCCGAAAAGCAGACCTTTGAGCTTGCGCTTGAAATCCGTACACAGTATTTTATCATGGAGCTAGAAAGGCGTCAGAATGAGAAAGACTTTGACCCGCGCGCAATTCTGAATGGAGTCTTCTATAATGAGCTGGCTCTTGAAGACGTCGATTCCAAGCTTGAGCCTGGCTACCTCCGGGGATTTAAGCTCATGGATATCTTTGAGGACGAAAATGGATGCCTCCCTGATCGCTTCCATGATGATGTGATTGATCGTATGGGCGAACTGGAGTACGACCTGCTGGCTCAGGATCAGTCTCCTCAAATCCAAGATCTGAAACGAATATCCTGGACACGTTTTGTCCAACGTACCGCGCGCTTTATCTATACACGACTCAAAGAAATCAAATCAGACTTGCTACAACAACCCAAGTTGGATGAAGTCCACGACTTGTTGATCGAGGAGATTGAGCGTCGCGAGAATAGGGATCCTGAAACCCCCGAGCCTCGCGAGTCAGTTGTTCCTGCCTCGGTTGAACACGCAGTGCATGAGTCTCCAGCGGTCCAGAACCACCAGACTCCCCGTGAGACATCAATTACCGCGTCGCCAGAGCGAACAAGGCAACCTCTGGGCGAGACCAATTTGCCCCCTCCCAGCCCTATCGATCACCTCGCAAAGAAATCACATAAGACTTCGGAACGGCGCGAATCCGCCAAAATGTATGTTTCAGCTCTTGCCCAAATTCGCGTAGCACCTTTCTAACTTCTTACCCAGATCGCGCATGTTGACCAACTCTCTCGATTCTCTTGCCAAGCGGAAAGAGACGAATCGTCACAACCAAGATTTGTCGCATTTGGAGTCTCAACATACAAGCCGACTTTCTACTACGAGTGGGCACATAAGCCCTCCAATGCCAGTATCGCAGACACGCGAGGAGATCCCCCAATCTCCTGAACTGCATTCCCCTCAGCCAAGACACCCCCGTCGCGAAAGCGTTGCCTCCAATGACCGGGACTTAAATTTCTGCAACGATGATGAGACCTTGAACCTCGACACGCTGGAGAACGAAGCTGAAGCGACCGCCAGTCCTGTTATGAGACGTACCAAGCCGAGAGACCTGTTCTTTAATAGTTCGCGTGAAGGCCAACCTCAAAGCTCGCAAAATCAGGACATGCTATTACAATCAACTGCAGATATTTGGGACTCCCTCACCCAAACCCAAACCCAAACTCAACGCCCAGCACAACAAGTCCAGCCCCGCTCATTCATCGACCGTCAGGCCAATGCCACTAGGATCTCGTGGACTGACAGCGTCGATGGCAACCCCCAGAGCGCGCAAAGACGCCGCGAGGAAGCTACTGCTGCCACCAACGTTACACGCAAGCGTCGTCGTATCGATTCTGATGACGACTCCGACTCTGAGGATGACCCTTTCGTCCGTGATGACCGCACCATCGACCCTGCAAGCCGGCGAGCGCAGAAGCCCGAGCAAGCACAATCTGTGCGGAGATATTCCAGCAATCAGTCTGCGGATGCTCAACTTCAACAAGGATTGAATGCGGCCGATCAAACCCAGCCACCCGCTTCCACGCCGACCAGCTCACATATTGACGCGACACAGGCCATGATGAATGAGGCCCGTCACCGCGAACAAACCGCGCAGAATTCCAGGACTCTGAAACCAGCCATGAAGCGGCCTCGCAAGAGGTGGACTCCCGCGGAGGAGGAAAAGCTCATGTGGTATATCGAGACTATGGGTACTTCCTGGCGTATTCCTTGGCGGAGATCAAGGCCAAGGACAGCTGTGCTCCGAACCCTCTTTGGTTGGATCTGAGTCAACCCGACATCAAAGACAAGGCGAGGAATATCCGACAGCGCTACATCAGGGAAGGAAGAGAGCATGAGCTACACGATAACTTCAAGGCGGTCACGATTGACAGCGCGGTCAGGAAGAGATATCCAATTAGGGAAGGCTGGTGATGAGGATGGCTTCTTTGGTCCCCTCTGACTTGATTTCAACTGCGTTGTTACTTATCAATGCTCGCAATACTCATTGTCCAGGAGACGTGAGAGGGCACAGCAGTGAAACCTTTCTGCTTCACTATCAATATTCCAACTATATGATCCGGTTTTAATTCTAATGCATATTCTTGCAGGATGCACAAGGCTCAGTAATTGCTTCTGAATATGTATGTTGTATCGAGAAGGATATCCAAGTCCAATCCACGGAGAAACGACAGAAGGAATTTCAGAACAGATGTAGAGCATCGTCCATCGGCCCAACAAATACAAGCACCTCAGATCCGCCAGCGGATCACTGTGTCATCGATAAGAGCCCGAATCCCAGGAGTAATCGGGTACATGGTATATGGTACAATAAACAGAGAGATAGCATATTACAGTCAGTCTATGAGCCCTTACAACAGCAGACCAAGGCCAGCGATTGCAGCGCCAATGACTGATGACCCGGCGTGCATTGCGTTCGCGGCATTCACGGTTGGCGATGCCGATGCACTGCTGGACACAGAGGTAATGGCTGCAGCAACAACAGATTTGGAGGCGATGGCGCTAGTACTGGCACTGACACTGGCGCTGGCACTGGTGACCAAAGAATCGGTGGCGGTCAGGATAGCGGTCGGCACGGATGATGGGTTGAGGTTTGTTGGAGCGACAATGATGCCGCCGGCGATTGTGGACGCACTTGCCGATGTCGAGCTAACCGAGGTCGAGGAGGCGGAGCTGGAATCGGACACTTCAATGTATTCGCCGATGCTGAGGACGTTGTAGTAGTCATTACCCCCACCTGAGACGTCTTATATCAGCCTCGATTTTCAAACTTCTCGCTCCTAGGGCATTGGACAGTGTAGTTCAGAAAACTTACATTCATCTTCGGGCCAGCCAGGGCACGTGAGATCGCACTTGTCATCGTCCACCAGGGCCGAGCTTGGTGGGAACTCGTTTCCACACAGACATTGGGTTCCTCCGGTCAGAGCAGCGATGCGGAAACCGCCCTGCTCGCACTTTTCTTGGCAGTAACCCAGACTTTGGAAGGTAAAGTCGCCCTCATCTTTAAGACCAGGGACTGAGGAGTAGCAGCCCATTTGGGAAACGGTGGCCGTCACCAAGGCCGGCAAGGTGAGCGCAAGAGTAGCGAACAGGTGTTGAGAATGCATTTTGAAGCGAGTGTTGAGAGGATGCTAGAATGAAAATGAAATGCGAATGAGTGGATATTTAGCCGAGAGAGTGAAATGCGCAATGAAACGAGGGATGCAAGAGAAGCTTATTTAGAAGGAACGATGAGAAGAGGAAGAAAAGAAAACCCCTGTCAGAATGTCTCAGCGCGTTCGACGGACAGATCCGTTCCGCCCCATCTACTGTACAAAGGACCCATTATTTCGTGGAGTTGAAACGGAGGCGATGACATCGCGAACCTCCCCAATCGGGCCCTGAAACACTAACCGAATGCTCTATTGAACCTATTTGGGCTAGGGGTGGCGGCTGTATTGGGTGACCCTGGTACAGTATTGATCTCCCGGATTCCTTGCTTGTCTTGCCCTTTCGATGGACAAGGGTAATAAGCCGCGCGAGTCACTGGTGAAACCGATCTTCGCTTGTTCGCTGTTAAACGCCACTTGGTTCGTTCGGGGAGGGTTTCATCGCTTCATGTGTGGGGAATTCCACAATTTTGAGAAGCCCCCTTGACGCTGTCCAGGAGCTTTCCCCCCCTTGGTGATCCTAATTGATCGGCCCGTAAGCTGAGTGAGAGAAGATTCGGGGGCGAGACAGGCTCATACTGTAGATTTCACGTGGACCCTTTCTTTTGGCGAGTTTTTCGAATTTGGAAGAGCTCGGGATTTTCGCTTGCCCTCGCGTGTTTGGAGGGTTCCACGTTTCTTCTTAGCTTCTTCCCAAAGACTCCACACCCGTCCACCGGGGGCTTAGGAACACATTCCTTGGCTCGGAGCTGTAGGACTCAAGACATCAGACATCAGTGGCGATCTCACCGTTACCTCACGTCGTCGATGTCATGTGCGATCTTATACATCTCGAAAACCATGCATAGCCGACCTATCGGCAAACACCAGCCGAAACTGGCCAGTTGAGGCAGGCGGCGGCAGCGGCAGCCAGCCGACAGAGAGGGGAAGATAAGATAGTTGGAGATAACCCCGACTATTTATCATAGAAGGAACCCCGAAACTCACCCTCGTGTCATGCATCGAAAGAGTGGAGAAGGTTACTCAATTGGACCATGAAGACATCCTCCCTTCTCGGACTGGCCTCGCTGCCAGCTGTTCTCGCGCTGAACATCCCAGCCCAGCAGGTTCTCTTTCCCGGCGAGCTATCACGCAATTCCGCCGAGCTCTCTGATCGAGAAATCTGTCCGCAGGCACCGAAAGTCACTTTGCCTGACGATGGTCTTGAATCGTCACTAAAGTTCCTCAATGATGCTGCTTTTCGAACCCGCCAGGCTTCGCGGCTCTCACGGGCTGTGCAAGTACCCACAGTCGTCGGCGACTTCATGGAGGATCCATATGACGAGGCATTCGAACCGGTAGTGCAGTTCCAGAAATTGCTGGAAGAAATGTTCCCTCTTGTGCATGCAAAGGCCGAGATTGACCATATCAACCGGCTTGGGTTGGTCTATACCTTCCAAGGCGTGGACACCACCCGGAAGCCCATTCTCTTTATGGCCCACCAGGATGTAGTCCCAATTGATGACCCTAGTGACTGGACTCATCCCCCATTTGATGGCTACTTTGACGGCGAATGGCTCTGGGGCCGCGGTTCCAGCGACTGCAAGAACGTGCTCATCGGACTAATGTCCGCCGTTGAGGAATTGCTCGCACAAGACTGGAGCCCGTCGCGTACCATTCTCTTCGCATTCGGGTTCGATGAGGAGTCCCACGGGTTCCTCGGTGCGGGTTCGATTGCCCCAGAATTGGAGAAGAAGTATGGCAAGGATAGCTTCGAGTTCATCCTCGACGAGGGTGGTATGGGACTGCAGTCCCTCGAAAGCGATTCCAACGAGGTGGTGTACGCTCTTCCAGGTGTCGGCGAGAAGGGCAGCCTGGATCTTGTCCTAGAATTGGCGGTTCCGGGCGGCCACAGCTCGATCCCGCCTTCTCACACGGGGATTGGCATCATGGCTGAAATTTTGTACGAGCTGGAGCGACAGGAACTGTTCTCTCCCCGTCTGGATCCCTCTCATCCCTCTCACGGCATGCTCGAGTGCCAGACTCGGTACTCGCCTTCGCACGTTGAACCCTGGCTCGCTGACAAATTGGCCGAAGGTGACGCAGAGGCTCTGGGTGAGGCCGTAGCTAGCTCGCGTGGTCCGGCTGTGCGATACACGCTGCAGACGTCACAGGCCGCTGATCTGATCCGCGGTGGTGTCAAGACGAATGCTCTGCCTGAGAAGATCTCCGCTGTCGTGAACTACCGGGTGGCACTACACATGACACCCGATCAGCTACGCGAGCGTGCTGTGCGCATCATCAGCCCGATCGCCAAGAGTCACAATGTCTCTCTGCACGTCGCGTTCCCCGAACTTGCTGACAGCCAGGACAACTTCTTCGGTGGTGACGGCGACCGCACGCTGATCCTCTCGCCTCTCAACGAGCTTCTGTCCCCGGCCCCAATCTCTCCCTCGAATCCACTCACGTCCAAGGTTTGGGCTCGGTTCTCGGGAGTCGCTCGTAGTGTCTTTGAGTCGCACCCCAACCCTCTGGTCAAATCGGAGGCGAAGGCCGAGTCGTCCCCGACTGTTGTGGTGACGGGTGATATCATGACTGGAAACACTGACACGCGTTTCTACTGGTCTCTCTCGGAGAATATTTACCGCTGGAGTCCCTCGCGTATGGGTGGTACTTTCAACATTCACACTGTGGATGAGCGAATTCGGTTGGATGTTCACCTGGAGGGACTGATGCTTTACTATGGTATGTTCCAATTGTTCTCTGAATCTGTTGTGCCACTTGACTGATCTGCCTTGTTTTCAGATCTGATCCGCTCCTTCGATGGCTGGAATGAAAAGTCCGAGTGAATAAGAGGAGGAGAACGGAAAGAGAGAATATTACCTGTACAGTCTCTCCGAACGTATCTGTTCAAAGGCCTGCGCAGATGATTTGTGGCAGCTTATCTATGCCCACTTTGCATTATTCTTCTTCCACCGGCTGTATAGGGAAGAGAGACCGATTTACAGGGGACTTGGAACTGGACAATGTAGTTTACGCATATTGATACTCGGCATTCGGTCCTCTTCCACAAATCCATCAAGATCCTTGAATTGAAACGGTCAACACATGTTGAAAACTTAGAAACTGCAAGTATCGTAGATATGCAGCACCATGGAGTCTGCATAATGACTAAATGTTCAAGTCAAGAGAACCTTCCTGCCAGCCTCCAGCTCATTGATCTTCTTCAAGACTCGTCGTCTGCGCTTTGTCTTTGCTTCCTCGCCGACAAGGTCCTCCAATTTCTCATCCGAAAGGCCATTTACCCACAGCGCCAATATTATGAACTGTCAGCTTCTTCGAATCTAGACCGTCTTGCGTACGTTTTTGCCGGCTGTGACTCCAGTGTTAACCCTTCTCAATTCGTGGGACGCAAACATGAGCTATACTTACCGTTTCTGGAGATCATCATTGAGGTAGTGGTTCAAGGTCATCGGCATTTCTTCCCACTCGACGCTCAAAAGGAAGTCAACGAGCACAGAGCTCTTTCCACTTGATTGATCACCCACCACCACAAGCTGCGGCAAATCGATATACTCGCCTACATTGCAGGCAAAAAGCTTGTCAATCTTCTCAAGTAGTGAAGGATCTGCGAGCGTAGACTCTCATTTTCTGTCGGCTTCTTCATGATGTTGATGATGATATTGATGATATTGATGATGATGTTGATGATGATACTGATGATACTGATGATGTTGATGATGGTGGTGGTGGTGGCCGTAACCAGCAGCAAAGAGGTTATGGGTCTGATTTGCAATAATGAAAGAGGAAGTGGGGTGACTCAAGAAGTGGGGTGGAGCAGAAAGGAGATATGATGTGAGGATAGACGTATGTAAAGAATGAACAAAAGCGTTATACACGGGAAGCTTCCTTTTCTGTGAGGGTTAATGTCAATCAATGCGCAAACAGTCAAACGGGCGAACTTGATAAGCTTGATTGTTCGATTGCCTCGGGGGTGACTTTGTCATGTCTCATTCAGTGCATCTTTTCTTTTCTTTCTCGTTTCATTCTATAAAGGTTCCAAGCGCATAACACCGGTTGTATGACTGGAGCTATTACTTTAGGTAGAAATACTACTTTAGCAGGAACTTTGGGCCCCAGTTTCCTACTCAAAATTCTCCATTCTCCGTGGAATTGTACATGGACTGTTCAGAGTGATTTACTGAGATATTGAGAGCGGAAAATCTTAGTATCATGGAAAGCTTCCAGTGTTGAAGTATCTTAACGCGAAGCTAGCTTACTTTGACTTTGAATTGTAGTTGAATACTATTATGTCATGAGATCAGTTCGAAGTGGTGCTTAAGAATACCCAGGGTGGTTTCATCAAGGAACCCTTTAACTTCTGGCCCTTCGAAAATTCAAGCCACAATGTTCAAGGTAAAAGCCAATCTTTCCGAACAAATTTCATTATAATGAAATAATAATACGGTATACACAAGAAACCCCACGGAACGAGCGGACAACCAAGGAAGCACAGACTTCCTCAGACGGGTATCAAGCGCGAAACAAATAGGGTATTGTACTCTTCCGCAAGCAGTCAAGGTCCAGTGCGGCCATTCCTCGTCCAATCATCAAGATCCAAGCCTGCGTACCTGACATAGGATTTGGGAGGAAATGCACCGCATGGAAGTAAAAATAGTATAAATAGATGCAAGAAGTGAATGTGGGTTTAGGATGTCACAAGGAGGGGAGCGAAGGCTCCGCCAACGACGGGTCGGGCAACGAACGTGGTTGTGGGGTAACTGGAAGAATATGAGTTGGGTTTCATGAAAGGAAATTGGAAGGTTGCCTTACTTTCCAGAGATAGTGTCGTACAGATCAGTCAAGGGACGGTTGGTGGGCGTCTCGTTGACCCAGGTTGCCAAGTCCTTGAAGAAGGTAGCGCGAGTGCTGGTCGAAGCAATGGCGGCCGAGAAGCATTGCCAGTCTGACTTGGTGTAAGTGTGGCGGGTATCCAGGGGAACACCATACTTGTTAGCGACGGTCGGGTAAAAGTTGCTCTGCATCTGGTAGACGGAATCCGGCACGAGGCCCAGACCCAGCTGAGCGTCGGCATAGAGGTTGTAAAGGAGGCCTGGAGTACCATGAGGATTGGGTTATGCAATGTCAGTGGAATGTGGCTTACCGTGGGTGCTGTTATCTCCATAGGACAGAGTGGTATGCGGAGGGTTGGCGTCCTGGGCAATCGCCAGAGTCTGCCACTTAGAAATGTAGTTGTGGGCGATGCTGGAATAATTGGCGGCATCGTCGCTGTGGCCAGTCATGTTGGCGATCACGGACATGGCCTGGATACCAATCATGCCCTTGAGAGCGAGGTTGGTTTGATTGCTAAAAATGCTGGTCAATTCTTCGATCATTGAAATAGGATTTCTTTTGCACTCACGCTAGGGATCCAGCAAAGTCATCAGTGGAGATTTGGTTGGCAGGGTATAAAGCATCATCCACCAGGTATGTGGTCCACTTCTTGAGGAGGTTGTAGTGAGTGTTCAAATAGTTGACGTCGCTAGCCTTGAGGGCATAAGCCAAGGTCATGATGACCATATTGCCGCACTCCTCCAATGGCATCTTCTCGTCATTTCCGTCGTCATGACCAGTGGCGTTCGGGTAGGCCGAGCCCATGTCGTGCATGGCGTAGGTGTTAGGGTACTTACCGGCCTCCTGATTCTCGTACAGCGGTTCCATGACAAGCTTGAGGAGTTCGGGGTTCGAGTACAGGAAGATAGGATAAGCCGGGAAGATAACATCCACAGTGTTCATGTTTCCATCAGACGAGATCTCCTTCAAGAACAGGTACATTTTCTCCTCGGTACCAGCCAACTGAGTAGCACCAAATGCCTGACGAGCCGAGAGGGAGGTGAGCACGAGATAGTCATCTCCACCAACAGCAAGGGAATCTTTGGCAACCTGGCTATCAAATGAGCTGGAAATCCCGCTCGAGTGCTCGTAGTCGCTGTGGAAGAAAGACAGCGCGTCGAGCTCAGAGTCGAAGTAGCTTTTCCAAAGCGAAGGGACCGGAGCATACGCCGAGGCGCCTTGGAATTGAACGGCCTCATCTTGAGCAAGACCAAGCGAGAACAGCGTGCTGACGGGAGTGTCGCCAACAGCACCCAGGTCAGACGAAAAGCCGAAGACGGGCCAGTTGTCATTGATGGCGCGGAATTTCGTGTCTTTGGTGTTGGCCAAGGAACCATGCGATGAGAATTGACCACGCACGACAACATCTTGACCGGACTGGTAGCTCATGCCATTACTGAGATCGGTAGCCCAATACCAGTGGCCCCATTCACTCTGCTGGTTGACCTCGGAGAATGCCAATTGGGTCTGGCGGTACACCTTGTGGTACGCGACATCGTCGGTTGTACCGTAATCCCACTGCGCAGTGGTACTGCGATCTCCCGAAACCCATTCTAGATTTTGTCAGGTATCATGCTACATGTGGTCCTGAAATAACCTTACCAGCTGAGATATCCGCATAAACTTGCACATTGTGCTTGCTACCATCCAAGGAAGACACTTCAACGTTCAGGTATGAGAAGACAAGGGATTGGCGCATGAGATCGGTAGGCGTAATCGGCGACATGAAGGTGATGTTCATTTCCACTTTGTCCAGAACGTTCATGGTGAAAATAGTCTTGGTTGAGGTATACTCGAACCCGGTCTGATTCACCGTTTTGGTGCCCGGCAGGCCCATCCATGTATACGTCTGACCGTCCACACGGACCATACCAGCCCAGCCAGTGACCTGATTTCTATCAACGCGCCAACTTATTAGATAGATCCTCGATGCCATTGAGAACACCAACTTACTGCCAAAACACGGGCCATTCGCCGGCGAGGTAGCCTCCATCTCCTCCATCGCTGCCAATGTTCAGCCAAGTACTCAGGTACGGCGACTTGACAGCCAACGGAGCCGCCGGGGGACGAGCTGGAGTGAAAGTCGATTGCGCTCCCACAGAGGCAATGAAGGAAGCAGCCAGCAGACCGAGGCGAGACAGCTGCATAGTGACGGGTCGGAAAGATTGTCGACGAAGAAAAAGGAGTGGACGAGATCACAGGCGATCAAACGAGGAGCATATGAGCCCTGTTTTGTAGTCTGAGTGCCTCGGAAAAAAAATGATAAAAAAGTAAAATAAAATTAAAACAAAAAAGAACTTTGACAGCTATGCTGCAGCAATGCTTACAATGGATGCGCAGAGGTAAGGATCGACGTTGTGTTTACCGGAATGCCAGGGACATTTTTATAGTTGAGCGCCCAGGGGATAAAGGAGAGAGCTAGGGCCCGCATGCCAGAATGTCCGGCCCACGGCGAAGAAAAGAAAGGAAAGAAAAGCGGAAATGGATTAGTGCAATGGGGATGGTGATTCCATCGAGCAGCAGACCTGCATGTACTGGAAGTCCCGCGGAAAGTCGGCTGATCCGCGTCAGTGGCCAAGCCGCGATCTCATGCACTAGGCCATATGGGAGGGCCAAATGGGGGATGCGAGGGGGAAAAGAGCACAAGGGGGGGATAGGCCCAAGACTGGGAGACCGTGGTTTGGACAAGTGAAATTCCGAGAGCGAGAATGGTCAACAAGCCAAACATCAATGGAAATGCATGTATCGCATGGAACAAGCAGCGGTGTGTGGACCCACGGCTCCCGAGTCCAGAGGGACCGTCTGCGCAAGAGTCCAGGTGACTGGGCACACGGGATGGCGCAAATAAAGATGTGGAGTCAAAAACGAGTGTTGATAAAGCGAGAGTGAAGGAGTGCGGAGAAGTGCAGCAGGTGCCCCGGTTAACAGGGCAAGCGACACCCCCGCGAGATCAGTGGAAAGTGCCAGGTGTGATGCCATCATGCGACACCCGACCATGATACATCGTCTACTCGGGCGAATCTGGACATTGGGGAAATCGGGGATATTCTGCGGGGAAAAGGGCCGATCACCCTGGGGCACTGGAGTTGGAGGATTCTCAACTTTGAGCATCTTGAATTTTTTTTTATTATTTTTTTTTTTCATCTATCGTGTACAGAATCACCACGGAAAGTACGACATGGAGCTCAGATCTCGGGGACCTGCAGAAGGAGACTCATGGCTGGACGCTGTGTTCAAATCAGAGATGTTCCCCTTGCAGTTTATCCCTACGCGGCAGCTCGTGGGACCAAGTACCCAGTACCCATCTTCGAGTCGCGTAGCAAAATACTCGCCAAGTACCTGGGTACCACGGCAGATCTACGTCCCAGGCCTCCTTGCCGATCTCCTGTGAGACATCATAATTCGGCACTCAGGGGCTAGGACCTGCTCGCTTTCCCCGCCGGCCAAATGCCTAGTTGTATTTTTTTTTTGTTTTGCTTATCATGGAATGTGCGGGGCGGAAATTAAGTGATCACAAAGAAACGATGTAACATCTTTCATTGGCCGTGTACCATCTGAGCGCGGAGTATATCACTGGCACGAATGAATACCAATCACCGACTGTAGTCTCTACAGGATTGGGCATCATCTGCAGACCCGCAGCTCGGTGATTCACATTTCTAGTGACAGTCTGCATGGCCCGTGGTCCGTGGGCGTCAGCACGGTGCAGACCGATTCTCTACGAACATGGAGAATGTCCCATCTAAGACGATATCACAGTAGCACCACCAGTAGAGGTTTTCATTTCAGAATAATGTCCGAGCCACGGCACTGGGCCAATTCCTTCCCACACTTAATTGAAGCAACAGATCACCCTGTAGCCGTGGGCTTTACAAGCGCTTGGCCTGGTCTCAGTGGCCATCCCTTGCACCAGAGAAGCTGTCATCCACGAACGTGGCCAAGCTGTACTACATCTGCATGTTTCTCAATGACCGGAACGAGCACAAGAGACGGGGACATGCGTCTCCTTACCAACTGCATTACCCGCTCGGTGTGAGCATCTGCATGAGACCATTCTCTCACATCGTGCAGACCGCCGAGATTGAGCCATGCATGACGGAGAGGACTCAGATTTGCGGTCTGACGGAGAATCATCGGAGATGACGTCGGATATGCATCCCGAGGTGGAGAGGTTCGATGCTGTACTCAAAACTAGGATATCCCAAGTCCGAGACGTGACATCAAGGTTTTACCATCCCGTGGTTCCGCGATCTCTGGTCCGATTCAGGAACATCATCAGGCACATAATTACAACTCGGAACAACCGGCAAAATCAGAAGAATTTGTGTAAATTTCATAATACACACTAGATATTGCGCATGGATTGCACCCCTGGTACATATTAAAGACAGGTTCATGTACCAAATCATTTTCTTCGTGCCCACGAAACATAAACCACAGAACATTACCACAACCATTCAATTGCCACTGGAAGCATCCAACCTACGAGCGCGCAAGCTCAATACAAAATTCCCCCCCACTCCGTCCCCCCACTAGATGACATAACCTCTTCCGCAATCGCCTCCTCGAGCCTCTCATTATAACGTCTCCGATACTCCGCCTTGACCAGCTCCAGATGTCTGGGCTCCCAATGCAGCCTGACAAGACGCGAGATCAATAGTTCGGATCGCTCGCGACCGGACCTGGATTCCCGAAGGGCTTGGTGAAGAAGAAGGGCGTCACGCATGGGACGATTGATTGCGCCATTGAGGATGTGGGCAAGGGTTTCGCCCTGCATGATCGTTAGGATGGGGTGACTGAAAGGAAAAAGGGGGAAAAGAAATGGGTGTACATACCACCAGGTTCCGCGACTTGGCGATCATAGCGCGAGCGAAATTCTGCCCATAATATCCCTCGTATGTACGCAAGACCTCGCGGAGATGCGCATCGCTCCGCAAGACAATGATGTGAATCATAGCGGTCTCACCGCCCTCCTTCGACACTAGCGCGCGATGCAAATCCGAGACATCCTGACGTATGAGTCTGGTATCTATCGGCTCGCGCTCATCCTGGCGGCGTTCTTCGAGAGCAAGCAAGACGGCGACGCGGAATTTATCAGCGCGCAGCTCAGCACGCATACAGCGCTCCAAACTGTCGTTATACCTCGTGTCGCGGAAGCACGACTTGATCTCGCGGATAGCGGCATTGGAGCGACCGATGAGAGACTCGATGAGGAGTTCGCGACGAGATGTGCCGGCTTGGTAATAGCAATTTGCCCAGTATGCTTCTGATTCCCAGCGGCCGAGGGCAGTTGCGTAGGCAACTTTGCCGAAGTTCGAATTTCCTAGTTTGAGACGGAGGTGTTTGGCGAGGTTGATTCCTTTGCCGTGCATCTTGACCTTGTTTTTGTATTCTTGTCGGAGGATGAGGATCTCGTCAGTACTGAGACGGGGTAAGACTTGGATGATGGCTTTGTTATCGATGTTGCGGGTGTGATTGAGGGCGCCTTGCATGGTTAAGGCGTCCGATGCTGCATCGTAGAATGATACGCGCTTTCTGTCGCTTGAGGGAGAGACGAGGACCACGGCGTCGCCGCGCATGGATGAGCTCGACTCGTGTCGGTCATGGCCAGATGGCCGGCTACGGCGCTTGTCATCTTTGCGATCATCTCGATCGCCATCACGATCTCGCTCTTTTTCTTTCTCCTTGGTCTTGTCCTTGCTGCTTCGGATACGAGTCTCTTTTTCGCTTCTCGAGCTGCGCTTGCGACGGCCGGATTCGGAATTCGATGTACCACCACCATCCAACTGCTCAAAGTCGGAAATGTCATCGTCACGCGAAGGCATCATAATCGGCGACGGCATGGGCGACATAGATTGATAGGTCCCACGGTAAGGCTCCAGTAAAGGACTCGCCGGCGGATGTCCAACATGGCCATGAGCACCAGCAACAGCCAGATTATTCCCCGACGACACAGAGAGACTATGAGGCCGACCACGCCCGCCCCCGGGGGTGATCTCAACAACCTGAGGCTGGTGATGAGACGGCTGAAATTGCGAATGGGGAAGCGGAGGAGGCTGCGGCTGCGGTTGCATTTGCGATTGCGGGTGCGACCTGTCTACGAATTGAGGCTCATTGCTATACCTGTACGGATATGCAGGTTGATCTGCATACTGGGACTTGGAGAATGAATCGCGTGGCTTAGAGAATTGCTCCTGTGGCGAAGCAGTGTACGGCTGCACGGGCGTTGCCTTGGAAGTATACCGGACGTTAGGATCGACCTGCGCATACTGGTACTGTCCGGGCTGGGCATAGTTCACCGGAGCCGCATGAGCGTCGGCGGCAGAGGCAGTGCGGTAATGCGTCGGAACATACGGACCAGACGAGGGTTGCGCATAGGCCGGTTGCTGAGGACCTACGTACTGCGGCTTAGGGTATGATGGTGCCATCGTCGCAGGACCATCAGGGTACCCTGAGCCCGCGGGTAACCCCCCGGGCATGGACGTCGGCGGTCCAGCCTGCGAAGAAGGCGGCACGAAGCCCGGACGCTCACACTCGGGAACAGCCGCCCAGTCCGTGCCTTCTCCAGGGTAGCCAGGCTTGCGCGCACCAGGTTGAGAAGGTGGGAAGCCCGCCGGCTGCGCATACTGGTACTTTCCGGGTCGCGCATAGCTAGGATGACTTCCAGGGTCGTCGCCATAGGCTAAGTGATCATCCGAATCCGAGCCCGAGTCCGAATGATCTCGCCGGCTCGGACGAACAGGCGACACAGGTGGGCGCTGCTGCGAGCGACTGGGATGTTCGCGCGGGTGCGCAACCCTCACATCATCATCTGAATGCTCATAGCGATCATCACGATCACGGTCATCACGACGGCGCGAATTATCCGCACCTCTCTCGCGACGTTTCGAATCATCCGAGTCCGAACGAGCATCGTAGCGAGCGGGGCTACGAGGGGCACGAGATACCAGACCGCGCGGATTCTCGGTCTCGGCGCGAGGATCGCGCAAACGACCCTCTTTTAGCAACTTGTACTGGCGCTCAATCTCGGCCTCCTCGTCAGAACCATAGCTTCGACTAGCCGACTTGGAGGATTTGGGAGCGATTTCGACCACTGGTGAACGGGCGCGGGAACGCTCGCGGGAATGCTCGCGAGAGGGCGAGGGCACTCGGCTGTCGCGCGACCGGGAGCGTTCGCGGCTGCGACCAGGGGACTTGGAGCGGGTGCCCGACCGTGGGTCATTGACCTGGAGCGACATCGTTCCAAGGTCCGGTGGTGGAGATGGTGCCAGATTCGGAGATGTGTTTATTACACAAAGTATAGGAGGCTTCTGGACAGTCAGGAATTTGTGCAAAGCTCGTCCGACCTGTGGAAGCTTGTTCTATGCGGGGTGTAGAGCGGGAATCGAGGGTCCGGACAGTTCTCCAGGCTTGGTCTACTACTTTGTAGTAAACATGGACTTGAGGCCCGCACAAAAGGTGAAGGGAAATGAGAGAGAAGAAAGAGAAAAGAGTTCAGCTCGTATTGCGGCAAGATGACCCCGACTTTCCAGACGTGTAGCGCGTGGATATGCATCTCATAAACGGCCCCCATGCAAGATGCAAGCGCTAATTGGTCTCGGCACAAGATCTTCAGCCGCTCGTAGGGCGAAGGCGCCAAGGCTATGGCTTTTATCCCAATTCTCTTCTCTTGCTATTGATTCTACACTCTATTTAGTTCTATCTACACTTTATTATGTATAAATTTGAAATACTCTACGGGCTATAGATTCTCAAAATCATGGAAAGCTTGATTGGCTTGAATACGGGTTGGTGCGACACATTTTGTCAGAAGGGAAATAGGGAAAGGAGAGACAGTGGAAGAAGTAGAAGAAGTGGAAGAAGCGGAAGAAATAGAGATAAAAAAAAAGGGGGTCAACAGACGAGACAAAGAAGATTGGGGTATGTGCGGAAAGGCAAGCTATGCGAACAGACGAGGAAAGATACAGAGAGCTCGAGACAGGGCTGCTTAACGCGTACGGCGACCGTCGTGAATGGGTCCCATGCGACCACCATACTGCTTGTACTGTTTGGACGGCAGAGGCGCGGGCTGGCCGTTACGATTGAGACGATTAGTTCTCCAGCGCTCGTACCAGACGACGCGACTGGCTTCGCGCAGTTCCGATCGCCATTCACTGAAGACAGACTCCTTGAGGCGCACAAAGTCGCAGTGCTCCGCATTGTAAGGATCAGCGAAGCCCCAGGGGAAACGTCGGCCCACAGGCTCTTCGCCGGATGCCAGGGAGTGGGGATCGGGCGAAAGGATCGAGAATGGTACATGGGGGTTGGCAGATCCAGATCCGTTCGACTTCAAGCTGGCAGGCGAAGCGGGAACTGGGGGAATAGTCTGGTTATCGTTCTCGGCGTCGGTCACCTTGTCTTCCTGGTCCTCTTTGGTCTCGTCATCTGCTTCCGCGGGCTCTGTAGTTTCGGTCTCCTCGGTGGGAGTGGGCACGTCAACGATAGAGTCTTCATCGGCACTCTCCGAAGAAGTGTACTCGTCCTGATCTTCAAGGGTCAAAATCTCCAGCGGGTCAATGTTGGCCTTCTTCAAGCTGTTCCAAACCGCCTTGCGGAGGTAGCCCATGTGGGCTGCGGTGATAGTATCAGCCTTGCTGATAACGGGCACAATAGTGGTCTTGCCCAGGATGGTGCGCAGCACCTGCAAGTCCAGATTTTGGTCCAGAACGCCAACTACGGGGGAGTCAGAGGCCTTGGGAGTGCCATTGGCGGCACGCTCGGCGGCAGCGATATTCTCGTCCAGGTGAACAGGGTCGAGAAGCAGGAAGGTACAATGAATGTGAGTATCCCTAGCGCCGGGGGAGCGCACGACCTTCATCTCCTCAGCGAGCGTTTCTTCAAATTTGCTCTCCAAGAAGCCGGTCACACCACGCATCTGGATATCAACCACGTTGCGCTCGAGACCATTTGAGTCCCACAAGGTCAGACCGACCCGCTCGCCATCAATCTCAGTCTCCAGGTACTGAGAAGTGAAGCCTTCGTACGTGGATTTCTGGCTTTCGAGCTCCTCCAGTTCCTCGGGAGTGCGTGAGGGGTGCTTATGCGCGGGCATAGTCAAGGACTGGCGCAGGAAATTAAGAAAAGATGTCTTGCCCGAATTGCGAGCACCCACGACCAGGACACTACTCACGATTAGTATCAGTCAACTTAATTGAACAGTATCTCTCTGTGGGGACTCACTTGTAAGGAGTGGGGTCCTTGCGACGGCGAACACGGCGAGGACTGTTGACGGTGCTCACGGCACTGCTGGCGTAGCTGTAACGGCCGCGGTGGGTCATACTTTCGTTGCGGGCATAGGGGTCGATAATATCGGCAATGGGAGAGGCCACCCGCTGAGGATTCACAAAGCTCGACCTGGGCCGAGGCACAGCAGGGACCTCAGGAATGTTCTCGCGTGCCTCACCTCCAAATGTCTCGAGTTGCGGGGTGGGCGAGAGATCCGGCAAGCGGGGAGCATTCCGGGGCGCATAAGATTCGCGCTGACGACGCAGATCATCCTCCATTTTCTCAGTCTTGGACATCTTCTTGCGGCCGGAGACTTTGCGTTCGCCGAGTGGCTCGGTGGATTTGGAGCGACGAAGGAATCCGAGGGAGGTACGGCGCGCGTTCAGAATTTGGGCGTTTTCCGGCAGCGCATCGGAAGGAGTGCGCGAAGAGGGGGTGGTTGCCATTTTGGGTCGTAGCTTGTTTCCAATTAGCTATTTGCTCTCTTTGTACCTTTGAGGATTGGCGGTTTCAGGTCCAGCTCCTTCCTGTCCCACACTTACTGGCAGGATACGGGATACAACAACTTAGTATATCTGAAGGACGGATACTTGAGTATTGGCCTCGAGAACAGATTCCAATGTGCAGTTCTCCTCAAAGCGCTATGCGGCGAATTCAATTCGTCGGTATCAGCTCACGAAGAGTGGTTTCACGTCCAATTCGGGCGGTTCAAATGAAGGAATCAGCGCGAATGGGCTAAAAAGGGCGACAAGCTCGCAGCCAGTGTGAGATGTCGGGACTCCGCTGTACGTCGCTACTGGAGGACAGAGACAGGGGAAAAAGAGTCGAAGAGCGAAGAGAGAGAGAGGAGGGGGGGGGGGGAAAACAGAATTGAAATTCGGGGCTAGGACAAAGTTTCTAGCTCTCTTTTTTTTTGGGGCGGGACTTTTTGGAGGAAATTTGGGTAGAAAAATTGAGAAACGGCCTGCTCACAGCGTCCGGCTATTGCGGCGCATGGAGAGAAGAAGAGAATAAAGAAGAGGGAAAAAGGAGGTGGACGAAAAGGATGGGCGAGGTTCAAGATGCGGAGAAATCTTAGTTTATTGATACGGGGTTTCCATCTTAATTGCGCTTTTACTGGACTCTTTCTCGGAGGCGATTGATCAAGTGACCCAATAATGATTTAGCTTCAGAGAAGCGGATACTTTGCACCACCTGCACGATATATCACGGTGACAAGAGTGGTGCCGACTGTTGACACAGAAGTAGACAGGATTCAGGGGTAAAACTTGAGCCAGTCGAGAGTCCGAGTAGGCTTCCTCCACCCGGAGCTGGACGCGGTTCGTCGGGGGCTAGCACCAGACCGGAAGTCGGACTGTCGATGATTCGGGAGCTGGCCAGTTCTGTCCAGTTACTACACTATTCCCTTGTCTCTCTCAGAGCTGAACAGCCAGGACCATGTGGAAATGAAGAAGCCCACGAGGCCCCTGATCAGGTACGTGCGTAACGGGTGCGGTTGGTCTCCACTGCGATCGCCGTGTTTTAACCTGCACGGTCGAAGCCCGTCAGAGTCGCGACTGTCAAAGCGACCTTCACTCCGGGCGCGCGCTCATCAGAACATGGCGGATCAGGTATCTCCAACGGCATTCGAACGATAAGAAACATGGACAGCGGGGTTCAGCAGCGCTGGCGGCTCCGTAGTTGGGTCTTGACTTGGTCCTTAGCCGATACTAGCTGCAGCACCACGTTCTCAGAGCCCCATGATTGACCTTGCATACCGTAGCTAGAGCTAGACCAGCAAAATCAGCCTCATAAGATCCCCTTATTCCCAGAGATTGCATACCCATGCGCAAATCACTCAACGTGCAGCTATCGCCCAACATCCGACTCAAAACCCGAATCAACCCGATCCGAGTCACCCCTCTACCTCCAACACAATCAAACAAACAAACACTGGATGAGTAAGGCGTTCCCCCCAAAACATCCCCGATCTCGCGAAAGCAACGATCCCGACGTGGGGTCCTCATATTCTAACCGCGGAACCTCCCCCTCTGGGACGCGTTCAGGGGTAAAAGCTGAATAGAAAGCAACTATCGAATCCCCCATCCACGGGTGCCTCCCGCGTAGTTCCCCCACCAAACAAAATGATTGTCTACTGCGTACCCAAATCCCTCTTTGACACGCCCACCGAAACCGAAAACGCGAAATTGCCTGCGCGCACGTTCCAGCGGCACAGCTGTGTGGAACCGATGTGGGGCGTCGCGGGGTCTTTTCCTTCAATCTTTCCTACCTGAGTAGGAGTGGAAGAATTAAGCGGTAGTCTATTTTGTGACTTTGGCTTGGCTTGAACTCTCTCCCTTTTTAATGAACTGATCAGGACTCTGACGATGAATGGAATCAATGATCGTGATTGGTGGGGTAGTCTAGTTCCCTTCTAGGTGCTATAGTTACTATTCAACGTGTGACCGTATGAAATTGAAAGATCAGGACGTCGCCTTCTCCTTCTCACTCTCTTTCTTTTTCTCCGCCCAGATCGTAAATGGCAATACCACGCAAGGGGTAGACGGACATGTATGCATGCGATTCAATGTCTTGAACTTGGGTCCGTTCGGTCCGGCAACGTATTTGGCTTCTCCAAAGATCGATGGTTCGTTCGGGGGTTTGTCGTCTCCCCACTTTCCGTTGAAGTTCAGCCAGGAGAGAGGGTAATCGGTACTACCGGCAGAAAAGGTCGCTGTTGATGGGTCGTAGGTGTAGGCGTAGGAGTTGAGAACAGGATCCCATAGGACGCCGCGGTCTGTGTAGTCTAAGAGGAAGCCGGTGGGGAGGTTGATGCCTGGGATAGTATGGTCGTGTTGTCTGGTTGTTCAGCTTTGTACTGCTCACTTGATTTGGGGGTGGGTGACTTACCCTGCAATCGCGTAGTTGGCATGCGTACCATTGCCAGAGTATGAGTATGGTCGAATACCCTGTTTCTCCAATGCGTCGTAGGTGAATGCCTGGCCGCTGGCGTGCTGACTGAACCAGATGGACTGCGGGGTGCTATTGGAGAAGCGGATCATATTGTGCTCCCTGTTCATGTTTATGTCTTATGTCAATGGAATGGAACGGGAAACTTGCGTCAGTCTACTGACCAGTCACCCACATGATCACCAAATTCCAGGCCCAGGACTTTATCGCCTTTGTTGTATCTGAGAGCGTTGGTAAATCTTATCATCCTGTAGTGCAGCAGACTTACGCGTAAAAATAAAAGTAGAACGCATCAACCTCGCCACTACCGTGATCAACTACAACGATCGCACATCCAGTCCCGTTGCCGGTTCGCCCATCACTATCGGGGGTGATACCGCGGAACCATGCCGGCTCAGGAGTCGCAGCGATGCCCTCGTGGGATGTTAGGTAAACACTGGTATTGCCCATACTATTGAGCTGATCGAGATTGTGGAGGGTCAACGGCGACGGGGCATTCGCAATCGCAGTCCAGTTCACCTTAGGGGTTGTATGATCCAATTGGGCTTGAAGATCACTTGGTCGATAAGGATCTTGACTATGCAGCCAGACTAGAGGAGCTGTACGTAGTCAGATCTGAAGTTATGGCCCCAAAAGATTATGTGCTTACCGTAGTCGTATACATACTGTGGGATAGCTGCAGCCGTACTGACCGGGCAGATCGTAGATAGAGTAGCCAGCGGGGCGAACGCCACCAGATTCGATGCCAAGCGCATGGAGATAAATTGTCCGATTGATATACGCGTAACAACCAGGCAGTCGAAGCTTTCCTTCGAGAACGAAGTGCTCAAGCGGTCGCGTCCGCAGTCGAGTTCTTATCTATTTAACGATCAGCATGGTCTCGTCACAAGGTGCAACCAGCTCACCAAGATCGTGAGCCTTCAGCCGGGGCCGGGAATCCCTAACCCTTGAAAGGATGACCGATGAATGATGAGTAAGTACCGGTACAATTTGAACCAGCTCTCCTTCACGTCACGTTGATTTTGATTTTATTCGAGTTGATATGTGGCCAAGCGTCCATCACACCATCACACGGTCCTTGCACCGCATGGTTTCCCTCAAATGGCGATAAGTTTCCATAGTCGGAGAGATCGAGTGCACCAAAGGGAAATTTACAAAGCGGTGGGTGGCCCCTAGGGATGCATTGGAATGTACTGCTCCATACTTAGTGCTGCGCCACAGACCGACAGTTCCAGGAACATGCTCGTATGAGGGGTCCTTATTTGCCCGCAATAGGGTTACAGAACTTGACTAGTGGCATCGACTGCAGGGTTCGTTCACAGGTGACGGAACTCTCAAGCTTATGACATGGTCATCTGATAAGATGATCATCACCAGATCTTCAGATCAGAGACCCTGGACCCTTGGTCCCGTCATTCAACTCTTAAGTTCATCTGCAATTCACTCTTGGATTTCCCCTGCTCCATCAATAATCGCGGATCCCGCCAACTGCGAGCCTGAAGATGATCAGCCCTATCGACCCGCAAATTCAACAGGTTTACACATACAACACGAGGACATGACCAGGTTTACTAATGTGATCTGATCCATGCAGCATAAATTCGCTAAGAGATAGGTGAACACCCATCTGCAGGTACCACTCTAACGCTCTAGTCTACAATTTCCCACCCTTTGCCTTCTCAGCCTCCTCCTCCTTCTTTTTTTCCTGCTCCTTCATCGACTTAAAAATGCTCAAGTCCAACGGAATCCGATCCCCCAACCACGTCGCCCTTTGCGTATGATTCCTCTCTTCCTCCGACTCGTCATGGGTATTAGGGTGGATCAACGCACTCAACGGGCCGCGATGAATGACCAGCCACGGAACAAAAGCGCCAAACTGCGCCGGCGAGAATAGATTGACTTCGAACATGGCTACCGGATGTGGACCGACAGGTTTGTCGAAAAAGGTGTAGATTCGTAGTTCGGGGACTGGTGGGTGTTAGGTTGGTCCTGGTAGAGATGGTAGAGATGAGATGGGATGCTTACATTCACGACGGATACGTTCGTAGAGTGCTCGGGCGTGTGCGACTTGGTCTGGGTTGCTCTAATTGGACATTAGGCCTTGTTTTCGTTATGAAGGTGAAGCTTTTCGAACCTGGAAGTGGTAGATGTGGATGTCGAATCCGCCGCGACGGCCTTTAGTCAACGGGTCTGGGAATTCTTCGTAGGCTTTGCTGAGTACGCCGTGCTGGGGATTCTTCAGTGATTTGCCGTCGTCATTCCTCTCCCTGGTTGGCGTTAGGTCTCGCTGTAATGATTGATCTGTGTTTGACTCGGACCTACTCGGATAGCGGCTCCAGGTTTTCATAGCCTTCCAATGGAGATGGATACGTGAAAGCAAATTGATCCGTCATGGTGAGTGTGCTTCTTGCTTTGAATACAAGAATATTCAGGTCCTTTTGTGAAGGTAGATAGTCTCCTCTGTCGGTCAACAATAGCTTTCTGAATGAGCAAGGTCGATAATATATCTATCGAAGATAGCCCCACAATTCGAGGGAGACTCGGTCTTATCAATTCGCGACACGTCTGGTCTTTTGGCTAGTGAAATTCAGCTAAATCTTAGGTAAGACACGAGTGATATCTAAGCATTTGCGATGGCTTGATCACTTATGTCGTCAGTTGGAAGCCCTGAAGGGCACAATTCCGCACTTCTGACAAAGCTGCGGAACACGGTGGGTCCATTCTTAGCCTTCTCCTGCAATCACAGTACATCTCATTCAAGGTTGGGACAGTTCAAGTGAACATCAATATGGAAAGCACTGATATGTGTTGTGTACTCATACAATCATAACCAAATATCCAGGAAGACTTCCCGGGGTCGTTAGGATTTGAAATGCACCTGGTATCTATCTATATTACAGTTTTTTTTTTTTAAAAAAATGAAAAAAAAAAAGCTTCCATATCGAGGCCTACTTCCAAGCAGCCTGGACGTCAATATGACCGTCGTCGTCTATGACCTTTCCACGATCCCACTCTCGACTTTCGCCCTTCTTTGACCACTTCACCTCATCGGGGTGGCGCTCGCCATCCACCCCAGCGAAGGCGGCATTACTCTTCCACCGATCGATGGTCGCATCAGTCATGCCAGCTGCACGCAATCTGTCTTCACCCTTTTGCCTCCACTTGGCACGGTCGCGAAGTGCTTCAAGAGCCATATCCCAATCGTCTTCCTTGGTCATGAGGCCTGCAACGGGGCGGCGAGACAATTGCTTATCTGCGGAGTATGCGTCATCGGTGGGTTGTACGTCGAGCGTAGGGTCGTAGTCCGGAGCAAAGTGAGCGTCGATGTTGCTTGTACTATGTTTGTAGGCACCTCGGCCTCGCGAGCGAATTGTTTCTGAGTCTTTTTGAGGAGGGAGCGGACCAACGAGATCTTCTAGAGGGTCCGACTCATCGTCGGATCTCTGGTGGAGTGGTGGAGTAGTCGAGGATGGTTCGTGTTCCGTATGCCTGGTTCTATCCCAAGAGGTACGGCTTCCAGAATGTGCGACCTCGTCCCCGCCAGGCCCTCGACCCTTGTGTGTCCTATGTGATTGTGATGAATGCGTACCGGAGGAAGACTTGGGTCGTCGGGAACGCCGCTCGCTGCGGTGGCGTTCAGAACTGCGATCACGACGAGGAGAACGGCTGCGAGATCTCGAGTATGATCGCTTCCGACTACGCCGCTCCGTGCGTGATGAATCGTGCCTATGGCTCTCTCGTCGTCGATCTGAACGATTCCCATCTCTATGTTCGTCTCTCACTCGCTCGTAGTCGTCCCTCCGTGGCTGCCGCCGTGAGTGATCGCGGTCCGTAGATATAGAGCGACTCCGGTGTCGTCTCCGATGCGAGCGATGTCGATCCTCATGGTCCTCTCTGCGAAGTTTATTGGTGTCTCGTGTACTGCTCTGGCGATCTTGTGTTCGAGAAGTTTGCGACCTAGAGGTCGAGTCGCCATTGGCCTTGTTCTTCAGCAGGCGCATTCGATCCCGCGCTTCTCTTTCCTCCTTGCGCTTCAAGGCCGTGTTATGATTGTCGGTTTCTTTGATAAGGTGTCGCAAAAACCGGGTGTTAGGCTTGGGAGCATTGCTTGCGGGCCTACGAAAGAATCAAGTTAGCATACATTTTGTGTCGGGAGGGGCGCAGTCGATTAGGAAGCACGTACTTCCGAGGTATGAAGGCTGAGAGACCTTCGACCGAGTACTTTTGAGAATTTTCTCTGGCCTCTGTGGCGAGGATCTGCGCAACGTAATCGTCGTCCATGATGTCGCCGAGGCCAGCCGTCGGTCAGAATTGCAGTCGCCAGCGTGTGGTGATGATTGACGCCTCAAAGCGACCAGGTCAACCGGGCCGAGGACTAACAAGATTAGAGACTACCTTTATATTATCATGGAAGCAGATACTGGAAGCAAAATGGAGCTGCGGTGGTAAAACGGTCGATCTGCATCTGCCCATATGGAGGCACTTACCGCCTTCGTATCTGTTATCGCAGATTGTTTATGTTCCCGCGAACGTTTGTATGCAGGAGTTTCAAACACCCTCACGTTGATCCCTCTAGGCTTGAAGCGTCGCCTAACGCGTTTTTAAGAATGGCGAATAAAATCACTGAGTCCCTAGCGGCACTTCGACAGCTGAACACAGACCAGGGTGACCTGAAAAAAAAAGCTTGCGATCATTCGCATTAGTGAACCCATTTCGGACGTTGTCGATGCAAACTTCTCTCCCTCAAAACGAGGCTCCGACGTCTCATTGTCCAATCTGAATGATCCGACGCCGGCCTCTCTAGAGGCTGATCTCACACACTACAAGGTTCTTCAGCCCGCGCCATACCAGGTCTTCATTTAAAGGCAAATCCTGACGTGATTTACTCTCTCCAGGAACTCTTCTCCAAATTACGATTCTCTTACGTCGAGCAGGTAACAAAAGAGAAATTCCTCCGAGCGATCGTGGGCGATCCACCGCTCGTGGTCGGACACAACGAGAATGTGGAATTGGAGACACAGCTGGCGGAGGTGAAGGCAGAGCTGAAGGCGAGCAAAGAAGAAGCGCGCCTGATGATCGAGGAGATGGAGATAATGAGTCGAGATTTAGCGAGCCGTTAGTATTCAACTCGTTGATGTATAACCCGTGCTGGCTGACAAGGTCCGATGCGATGCGATAGGTTACAAGAACGTCGAGGTGCAAATGGAACAACTATCGACTCTTCCAGACGTCATTGAGAACCTCGAGGGGACGATTGCAGGGCTTCGCGCGAAACAGGTCGCTGGAATGGATACCTCGGATCCACGCTCGTCACAGAACCTGCCTCTTCCTGCGACTTTGAGCCTCTTGGCTGAGCGAGAGGCGGAGTTGGCGGCGCTCAACCGACAGATCGCCGCTGTTCAGAACACATTGCCTCGGAAGACTAGAGAAGCCGAGGCCATTGAAAGGGAGTGTACGGTACTCGAGCGACGCAAGGTTGAGGCAGTTGCACAAGCTCGTGAGGCACAGCGGAAGAAGCAGGAGGGAGAGAGCGACGGCCTCGAAGAGATGGGCCGGTGGTATCGAGGTGCCGAGGAGACACTGAAGGAAATTGTAGGCGTAGAGGGCTGAAGGTCAAGGTGGGCTCGACAAGCTTGTGAACGATTACACGATTACGGAATCCGGGAAATTGGGGATTGGCGTTATATTCATTAGGATCTACTGTACATAAAGAGGCCAGACTATGGCAGACGCGATGGGAGGATGAGCATTCGGGTTCCGAATTGAAGCCATCTGGCTGTTTTGATTCATTCAGTTTGCATGATCATACAAAATGTGGATATGCTGTAGTCATCACGAACATCCCAGAAGTTTTGAGGTATTCATAGGCGAAACCCGACAGTACTCCCGAATTTTTTTTAAAGAGATGATTTACTCCTCATCCTCCTCCTCGGCGTCACCGTCACCACCAGCGGCGGCAGCGGCCTTCTTGCGGCGAACACGACCAGGGCGGCCGCCACCGAAGGGCGAGGTGAGAGCGAAGTCAATGTGCTTCTGGGAGTCCAGACGGACCATGTAGGAAGGAACGTTGACGATCTGCTTGCCGACACGGATGTGACGCTGCTTGATGAGGACACGAGCGTGGTGGATGGACTTGGCGAGGCCAAGCTTGTAGACGCAGGTCTGGAGACGGCGCTCAAGGAAATCCTCAACCTTAAGGGCAAGGACGTAATCGAGCTTCATGCGGGACTCGTCGAGGACACCGATACGCACAAGACGGCGAATCAGGGCGTTACCCTCGAACAGACGCTTGGGGTCCTTCTCATCGAGAGTGAGGAGCTCACTATGCGACCGTTAGTTTCACACTTCTGTGCATGACCGAGTATTGTTCCTCCACATACCGAGCAGCACGACGAATCTTGGACAGGGTAAGCTGGACACGCCACACCTCGCGCTTGTTGCGCAGGCCGTACTCTCCGACAACCTTGAGTTCCGAATCACTAGAAAAAGGTGGTTAGAAATGAACACACGACATAACCAGAAGCACGCTTCTGATTAGTGGCCGGAGAGTACTAACAGACGGGCCGACTCGAAGGCTGCAATGAAATTAGTTTCAATTTCACAGATATGCGGTTTTGAGAAGGTGGTACTTACGGCGACGGGGGACCTTGTAGGTCTTGGAAGAAACACGACTGTACGTAAAAAGCGATTAGATGAATGCAATAAATGCGTTGCAGACGGTAGACTCACGGGGCCATGGCTGCTGGTTGTCCTGGTTGTCGCGAGAGGTTGTCGAACTAGCACTTGGAAATGATTTCACGGATGGTTGGACGTGAATCCTCGCTTCGTGGTGGGTTAGTCCCAAAGTAGTATAGCGGCTAGGGCTGTCGAGCCCTAGTCATCACGTGCGTGCACACATCGAGTGTTCGGGTTGCCGCTTCACTTTCGACTAAGGTAGCCCGTTGTCGACAATTTTCACCACAACACCAACCACACAACCGCCGACATGCCTCACTCCTACGGTCTGCGCGCCGGCACTCGGGTACGTCTGCGCCCTCGATATTCGATAACTTTTCGCCCGTTTCGAGGGAGATGACATACTAACTGTGATGACAGTATGCCTTCAGCCGTGCCTTCAAGGAACATGGTATGATTCGCATGTCCACCTACCTGAAGACCTTCCGGTACGAATCACGAAAACCCGCAATCGATCTGGATAAAAAGAACGAGATCTGACGAAATTCTAGTGTTGGTGACATTGTCGATGTCAAGGTCAACGGTGCCGTCCAGAAGGGGTCAGTACAATCCGATTTTTTCTTCTTTCCTTTTTCTCCCCGCTCGCCCAGCGGCACACCCGACAATTCGAATTTGCCCAAGACTCCCCAATGAACCCGTCCACAATATGCGAATGAAAGGGAACATGAAAAATTGACTGTCAGAACAGTATGCCCCACAAGGTCTACCACGGTAAGACCGGCGTTGTCTACAACGTTACCAAGTCCTCCGTCGGTGTCCTCCTGTACAAGCGCGTCGACAACCGCTACCTCGAGAAGCGCATCAACGTTCGCATCGAGCACGTCCAGCACTCCCGCTCCCGTGAGGAGTTCATCAACCGTGTCAAGGAGAACGCCATCAAGAAGCGCGAGGCCAAGGAGAAGGGTATCCACGTCCACCTGAAGCGCCAGGCTGTCCAGCCCCGTGAGGGCCACCTCGTCTCCGCCGCCGGCAACGTCCCCGAGACCGTTGTCCCCATCGCCTACGACACCCACATCTAAGCGACTCGCAAGGAATGGGTCTGGGTTCGGGTGCGCGTGGTTGTTTGGTGTTTTTTTATCTGGGTTACTCTCCGTTTTCACACCCGACAGGGTGGAATGGATTTTGGCTGCATGAGACGACACGTGAAGGGTCTCCGATGCCCGGCACATACCTCGCCTGTGCATTAGATTCCCCTGAATGAAACAAAATCAAAAATTTTCTGAGTTCACAAGTTTACTTCCACGTTGAGTAGTCTGCGAAACCGGGTCCATCTAGAGCGTCTTGGTGATTTGGCACGTTTTCGCATGGCGTATGCCGCACCAGCCGCGTGCTATAGTGCAGTAAATTTGGGTACCGCCGAAACGCAGCCATTTATCGAATTTCCATTTACATAGCTGGATTCGAGATTGAACGACAGGGCCTCTACATTGGCAAGACAGATTCTCGCAGATCCTGTAGTGGAACCAAAAGCCTGGCCCGCGAGCGCCCGACAACTCCGCGAGAGCTGTTTGTCCTGGTGTTGAGAAGCAAGAACGCAACCCTTGTCAAAGAGTCTAGACTTCCCATTTCACGGATATATAGCAATGAGTCGAGGGCCGTCCGTGGCAGGTACTAGGTCTGGCCCTCAACGGCCACAGCTCAGGTCTTCCCCATAGTACAGTCAAGCGAGCCCATCAAGCGCCCGACAACGCCGCGATAGCACATGTACTGGCCGTTCGAGAAAGGTCCCGGCCCATATTAGAGTCTAGACCTCCGAATCTACGAACCTGTAGTCAAAAGCAGCCCTTACCATGTCCAGGCCTGGCCCTCACCGGCCAAAACGAAGACCCTCTCCGCAAAGCATCAAAATGAACGCCCAACATCCATGCAAGTCTAGACCTCAGATCGCCACAAGGGTCCGTAGTTCGCCCCAAACACACCACGTCTGATCTCATGCCTCGGGGCATGACAGTGGCAGCACCTGAAAATTCAAGGAAAGAAAAGAAAAGAAAGGTCTAGAGCTCTAGAGTTGTCCCCCCCCCCACTGTATCTTTCCCTCATAGTACTATCCTCACCGTTTCCGCGAGCCTTGCACTGATCTCACACCGCAGATTTTCCCCTGTCAAAAATACGCACTGCCACAGCACCATGTAAGGTCCGCCTCGTCTCGGGGGTAATCGCTCGGCCGAGCATCTATCAACTGCGCCACGCCGTCTCCGGGCGTCACTGCGATGACCAAATTCACCTGCCAAGAGCAGGACGAAACCCGTCGCACCCAGGCGAAGGCTCAAAAACCCCAGGGGGTCCGAGCATTTTCCCATCGGACTCTCTCGTTCTCGCTCAATCCATCCGGATCGGCCGGCAGGACTGTCATGACACTCCAGGGATGTGTAATCACCGAGTCCGAAGCGGTAGAACGATAATACCGTACGAAGCATGACGCAGGGCTCACAGGGCTCACAAGGGCTTATCAGGGCAAATACAGTGGAGATTTAGTAGCCGAGTCCAGGTCCTGTCAGGTGGACGTGTGATCTCCGAGATCCGCAACGGGGTAGCGTGGGTACAGAATACAAAAAGGGTCTGAGTTTGTCAAGGGTTCAAGAGGCAAGAAAGACCCCAGGGAAAAGCCGATCCGCTCCATTCTGACGCTTTTTCGAAGTTTCGCCACTTCAAAGAAGCACCAGACTAGTTATCTAGTGTGACGGGGCGTTTTGGACGGACAGGGTGCGGGTGCTGTTGATGATGCGGATGAGCCCTGGAGATCGTGTCCATGTGGGTTCGGGCTTTTTACTTTCTAGATATGGTATTTCAAAATGGCAAATGCTTTCAGGAAGGTGTATTTTGGCCCGACAAGGGCTTCGGTGCGAGTCACTGGTCGGGTCAAATCCTTGCTAGTGGCTACAGAGCAATTATATATTTTCCATGGCGGGGTCGGACGGAAGTACTTGTTCCTCGGTGATCTGGCAAAGGTGAGCTAGACGAATTTGATTATGAAAAACAATAAGATTATTAATTAGATCTTTGTAACTTGCTGACAGACCACCATGCAGCCTGTGCGCCAGGAGTGACCTCTTCGCACCCAGGTTGGAGAAAATAAATGCGTGGTCTTGGCGTAACCGATGCGCTTTTTTCTTGGGAATGATCGGATCGTCCGCACCGCAAGTCCGAGATGAACACTCTTTGACGGACGTAATGACCCCATGATGGACGGACGGAATCCTGTGGAAAAACTAGTCGCATGGCGGAGGTCTGCCTTGATGCCCCCCGGGTGAGCCACACCGGGGCTTCACAGCCACAACAGCACGAACGCCTCATTTCGGATCGGATCTGTCATTCCAGCAGTCTTGCGATCCATTTGGTCGATACCCGGATAATTGAATTTCTGTTTTCTCCCTCCATACCGAGGCCTAGCTCTTGTGGTACATTGCAAAATTCAAGCAATTAATCCCCAGGTGCTCGCGGTCGAATACGGTGCTGATGCTGACGCAGGGTAAACCGCGCTATGTGCGTCATGGCTTGCCCCTGTTCACCTGCCGACTAGGGCCCGTTCCTATTACTCAGCCCATGTTGAGCCGGATGACCCTGGTAAGATCAGGCATCCACCTAGAAATAGTTTGAATCGGACGCTCGAGAGTTTAGTCTGGCCCGCTCGATGGCTGATCGACATCATTGCCGTTCCCATCCCCGGCTGGATGGTAGCGCGCGGCCCCACTGGGTCGAGGCCAATGTGGAAGGTCAGGATTTGAGTATGACAGTTCGGCAATGGCGGTCTGGTCCCATGTTTGTCTTCGGTCTATCGTGTCTGAGCTGGGTACGCGATGCACATCGAATGGCGACCCTGGCCAAGTCAAGTTGGAGGGTACGTTGGGCTTCAATAACTACGGTTGCTCCCGGGCTTAAAGCCCAGGTGAAATTAAGATAAAAATAGACTCGAGAGCGATGGCTTTCCCGAAGAATTTGGAAACCCAGGTCAGGGTATACTCTAGGGCCAAGGGTGGTAAGGGGTGATGAGGGCAACGAGGGAACGCACGACTCGCGCAAAGGTTGACACCGCCACAGTCAAATCTTGTGTCCGAGATTCATGATCGACGTACGGAGTAATGGGGTTTAATACGTGGTAAGGTTAAGGTAATCGGGCTCGGTTCCTCGTTCCTCGCGGTATGGGTCCTTTCCCCACCGTTCCCGCCGTTCTAACGTTTGTTACCACGATACAACTGGCTTCCTTAGGCCATAGGAGCGGTGGACAATAGACTACACCGACTTTCTTGCATTGCCGTTGCCATTGTTCGCATGATCGGTCCTGTCAGAAAGAAGTCAAGCTTGCAGCTTCCCGAGAGCCTCGAATGCATGAAATGAAGTGACCACCCTGCATCGCCGGGCACCGTGTGCTCGGTATATTCTTTTCCAGCGAGACGAATTTTACCGGACCTGACCTGACCTGACAGAGTTGTGTCTGGAGTAGCCACATCTGCAAAGAGGGTTATCCTGGTCGATTTTCTTTTCGCTGAATTTCTTTGAAATTCATTTTTCACGTATTTGTTTCCGGGACCATGGCCTGTTCAGGCGACCAAACCAAGATCGTCCAAGCTTCTTTCGAGAGGGGAAAAAAAAAAGGAAGAAAAAAATAAATTCAGAGATTTCTATTCGCCTTTAAACAGCTAATAGCAGGGTAAAGCCAGCTCAAGACGGGGTTGGAAAAGTCTTGGCCCATGGGATGTGGATCCCTCCGTTCGGGGTGAGCAAAACTACTGACCTTTGGAAAGTAAACGATGCCCGCCCCAGGTAGAGCTCGAACCCGGGTGATTGAGTAGGCTGAAATTCCCATGATTGTGCCTTGCCAGATGACTCTGGGATGCGTTATAAACTGGCTCCGGTTTCCAGCACTTGAGTTGTGGTCATATCATCTCTCCGCATCGTCCTTACCCTCCATCGCAGACAGCCCTAGCTGCTCCGGCCACGAACATTGTGTTATCCAGTCAAAGTCACCAGTCCACACTGCTCCATTGAACTCACTATCCGTGTGAGAATCTATATACCAAGAATTTCAATCCATATATTGAGAATTGTCTACTCTCGCCTTGCATACTACGGCGCCACATCCAAGACCCATCAAGATGACTCCTCCAGCCAAGTAAGCTACCTCTGCGCCGACTCTGCAGCAGCTCGCAGTATCATGCAGCATGCCCATCCCAACCTTCTTAACTTTTTGTCTCTGCCCAAGAGTCTAACCATTTACTAACTTATGGACGGACAGAAACAATGACTTTGCCGGCATAGGCGCATGGGCCACCCTTCCGAAGGGTGGTCCTTCCCCAACCCTGAGCGTCGGCAGTTTGACTTCTGCCTCATCCACCAGCTCGGGCGGCAAGTCTCAGCAAGGGTCCTTCCCCCATGCTCGAAGCCTACGAAAATTCGCCCACTACCTCGCTGTCGTGGTCGCACCTGAAGGTCACCGCTAAGTAGGAATTGCCACCATCGTCATTCTCGACATCATCAGCGGATACGGGCTATACTAGGGAACGGAGATGGTTGAGAAGGCGCTAGGTTTCACAATTCTGGGTCGGGGATGGGTCATGCGTCACGGAGATCTCTGGGTTTCTGAACGGGTTTGGTGTTTGCGGCGAGGCATAATCGGGTCTTCGGTGGGGCACAGTCTCCGAGCGTCGGTGGCGGACTTTGGGGGGAGCTGTTTTGTCTTCATCTTTGTAATTCTCCCTCCCCCTCTGCTTTCCTTGGGTTCTTTGTTTTTCTTTTTTTTTCCTTTTTTTTTGTCTTTTTTTTTTTTGCCTGAACAGGCTTCACATGAGATTACATAGATGGGGAAAAAAACTAGATTTCTTATTGGCGTGGGCTCCGTGAAAACTCTGCCATGTCCCTTCAGAGCTGACTGCAGTATGCATGCCCTGGTTCGTACATCGTCCCAGGCACTCCAAATCAGCCAAGAGGGAAAATTGAATTTCGTAATCGCTAATGAGGACTGAGTTGAGGGCGTAGAGTGGTCACCTTCCTTTGGCCCAGCTGTTGTACATTCTTTGGCTCAACCACGGAACACAGAACGGGTAGAACCGAAGCTATGGGTCACAGATCGTAGATTGACTTTGACGTCTTCTTTCATGTTTGCAGTTTCCAGTCCCGAGAAAGAGATTACACAATCCAGGGACATGACATGAACCCATACGCGTAAGGCTGACGAGTTCCTTATTTCTCAGGGTCAGTGCTCCCCACCGAGCTCAGCTGGTCTCTTCCGTGCCTGGGCAAAACTCTCTTGGTTAACCCGAGAAAGAGGGAAAATCTCCATTACGTCTAAGATAAGGATTCTCGATATCTGCAGATCATACAAATGGTCAACCAATTCCTATCAGCCATTATGCCCAGAAACCCGACCTGAGTAACCATTGGCCAATGTCGATCGTGAGTTTACGAGTAACACTGTCCACCGTTGCGTGTGGCGATGGCAAGCAAGCTTAATGATCGACCCGGTTCAAGTCTCCCCCAGTCGCTGACTCTGGTAACAATCTCCATGGATTTCTAGTCGATCCCCGTTGATCACCGTTCCTGCACCCCTGCCCTCATCCTACTTGATCAGGTGGGCGATGACTTTTTATTTTTATCCCTCTCGGGCCGCGATAAGTGTACAAAGAACCGTCAACAGCCTGAGAGATGCGGCATGGATATGGAATGCGATTATGGAATCGTTTATCTTTTGCTGCCTCACTTCGCAAACCCCATATTCAGATCATCCGGGCCCACGCGGGAATGAGTATCCGCACTCCCCCACTTTCGAACGCCCGAGTGACTCCCTTCGTCATTGGACGTCGGGGAGCTATCCCGTATCCCATTTTCTATACGACTTGTCCGGAAGTGTCTGTCGGGCCCGATGGGTTTCGCTTAGCAAGTCAGTTGAGGGAGATCTGTGCTCGAACGCTGTCAAAAAGTCCCGAACATGACCGAGACGGAGCACCCACAGAAAGTCGCTTCACCCATCTTGAGAGAACCAACAATGACCATGGAAATTTATTGGTTGCTCGTACTCACCACTCATATGAAGGCTATGCGCTTATAGACGGCGAGTCCGAGTTCTCCACTGCAGCTTTTTAATGTACCTTGCAGTGAACCCGCCTCATTGTCCCGTAACTGGAAGCGGATGCTCACGTTGCGGAGCGCCACCAAAGAGGGACTGGTGCATTGGCGCATTCTGTTTTCCTGACACCCTTGATTATATACCGGATCCCCCCTGTAGATACCATGTTGTCACCGCCAGTTTGTTTCTATCGTTCGCGGGACGAGTAGCGAGGCCTCGACGAGGCGGTTAGCAGAGTAGCAGGTGATAAATGATCCTGGATCCTCGTGGACAATACAGGCAAGAACGTGCCACGTATTGTGTAATTCGGGCCGACGGGAATTGTAATAGAGTTCAGGGAAAAGAGGGTTGCTCGACGTGGTCGCTGAGATGAGAATCTTTCAACTCCATATGTGCGGGTGAAATCCTATGGGCGTACACCGGGACCAATCAGCATACAGTTTTCTCAAACTCAAGAAAGGGCAGTCTGTCGCGTCTCTGATGTACATGATACATGCATCGTATTCCACATTGATCGGGCGGTGAACGCTTGTTGGGCGGAAGTACTTGAGGTTCTTACAGTATGGAGTGGCAGTGCGCGTTCCCCTCACTAGAATGGGGCGAAGCAGGCTCAATCATTCGAAGTCCCGGAACATTGCAAGCTCGAGGTTAGATCGACGGTGGAAATTGGATGTGCTCACCGTGTCTTCTCTCCTTGATTTTTCATACTGTCATCGGCACTCGGGCACTCGAGCCCTCGTCTCGCCATCGTCTTGCCCTCAGGCTCCAACCATCCACCTAACTCTAGAGTTGGCCCCTGGCCGCGATCGCGATAGCGGATGTCCGAGCAAATGAAGATCATGAATATGAGCGTTGAAGCACAGGCTAAAATTTCATTTCCTGTGTTCCTCTTTTATTCACTCGAGTCGGCATAGCTAAAATACGCCTCCCCGACTGTGACGATCCCTGACTGCCGTAATTCTCCTTAGGGGTTTTCACCCAGGTGAAGCTAGTGCCCCAATCGGAGGAGTGGCTTCTTACCTGGCACTCGCAGGTATAAATCTTCACCTCTCCCCCACCCAACCAACTTACTGATTACCAACAGCGACATTTTTTCCCCTTCTTTCCCTCTATATACTACGCCTCTCCACCATTTCAGGCCGGCTTCCTGGTACCAGGCCTTGGTCCTGGTACATACTTCAAGTTACTCTATCGACTTGCAACTCCATACTGCCAACATGGACCAATTTACCAATTCTGGGTTTTCCCTTACCGAAGACGACGGCATGGAGTCCTCTTATCCCACGCAATCAACCGTGAGAGATGACTCTTGTTTTGCCATGGCACCCTTCGACGTGTATCGTGATGGATCAAGATATTCCGTGAGTTCAAACTTTTGGCTCACAGGGCAACCTATTTCGAGCTTTTCACCTTAGCCTTTGGGTACCACAGGTAGCTGACAAACTCTTTCTTCATAGGAGTCCCTCGAGTCCTCCGAACACGGCTATGATCCGAGCAACCATGCACCAACAGCCTCATCGGACACAAGCTACACGGCCATGCACCCACTTAGCTCCGTCCCTCTCCCTTATGATCGGTCACCACCGCCTGGTCCTGTCCCCTCTCAAGACAATGTGCTGCTTGGAATCACCGGCGGCGATCAGTCCGTATTTGAGGCCTTCGGGAATGAGATCATGAACGCAGAGCTGGGCGACCTAAATGTGGACCAATTTAATACCTCAACTTTCCATGAGCGAAATGCCCAGACAAGTGCTATGATTGGACTGAATAGCATTTCGGCAAATGTCCCACAGCCGGCAGGCGAGGAGCATGGCATAAGGCTGTCTCTCAGGGATACCAATGATGTCTACAGCAAGATTCTATCCCGCGAGAAGCTAAGTTCCCATGAGATCCAGCAGACCAAGGAAAGCCTGAATTTCCTGAGGGACCACTTGGATGCTTTGGCGAAACGTCAGAATACCCTGCCCCCGCCGCAGCCTCAAATCCCGCCATCGTCCACTGGCTCATTGGCCGCCGCCAGATACAAGTGTCTGGAATGTGATAAGTTTGAAACGGACTTGAGAGGAACCTTCACCCGCCATGTCAATGACCAGCATTACCCGAAATGCATGTTCATCTGTCCTCACTGCTGTGAGGTCCGGAAACCTAGAAAATATCAGCTCAGAGATCACATTGAACACAAACACAAGCGCGAAGTCACCGAGGAGGAGCTCAATGCCTGCAAAAGAGATTATGCCCCTCCTGCTCAATGCCCTCTCTGTTATGTCCTTATCAGTTCATGGAAAGGATTTGAAGAGTGCTACTTTGCGCACTGTTCAAACGCAGCAACGACATCTTGTCGCACGAGCATTGACCAAGCAACCACTGGAAGAGACGGTACACCCAGCATCGACCTGGCGCAGCTGGGCCCAAACCCTGCACCAGATCAAGCACCGAGTGGATCAAGATGTAGCTCTGGAGCTGGGGGCTATCCCATTTCCGTCTCGCGAGGGAACGACCCAGGTCCGTTCCTTCACCCGTCTAGAGGTAAGGCCTGCCCCAACCAAGGCAATGCATCCCAGACCCCAAGCAAACGACATTCCACCTCAGGTCATAGCCATCCTGCTCTTAACCGAGCAGGGCTGCCTGATCCCAGTGCACGGAACACGGGACCAAGGTCAACTGGGCCAAGACCCGCCTTGAGCTGCCGACGATGCTCACACAAATTCATCAACTGCCAAATGTGTCGCAATCGGAATGAATCGACTCCCTTCTGCCACAAATGCCCAGATTTCTCGAGGATTCTAGCCATATTTACGATGGCTAGAGCCCACCATGGACAAGATATGGGTGGCCCACCCCAGGGACAACGAATGTTCATCAACCCAGCTGAAACCCAGATCAACCAAGGGCGTCAGGCCAGAACAAGTTCTAACCAAGCAATGCAAGGGCAGTTCTTTTCTGGTACTCCACAATTCAGAAGCTCAGAATATGATCCCAATGGCAGCATAGGCCCGGGTTTTGATGGCCAACAGAGAACCTACCAGGCTATGCCCGTGTTGGACCTTGATCAGCCCGTCTTCAGCGTGTCTGAGATGGCATGGCCATCGTTGTTCAGTCTCAAGGGAAATTCGCTCCACGGTACATTGCTCGAAATGCTTCCAATGGTAGATCTGGATCCATTCAAAGAGTGGCTATGCAAGCCACTGCAAGGCCTGGGATCATTGGCTCTCAGTGGTAAGTCAATCTTCATTCACACAATCGGCAACATCATAGAACGCAGTACCTAACATTAACAGGTCTTGACTTCGTCACTCAGTTTGACCCGCCTTCAAGTAAAATTGCAATGGTGAACCCGGACTGCCAGTGCAAGTGTGCTTGTCGGGCCAAAGCCCGAGCTGAGCTGGCTTCGGGCCGCAAAGTCGAGATGAAATTCAAGCTGCGCCCCGTATATCGTGGTACCAGTCATCTCCGCAGCCGGGTTGAAATTGTGGTGAAGCTTTTGAAACTCCGCTCAACTGTTACTGAGTCAAAGGCCAAGAGAGAAGAGGCCAAGTCCGCGATCACGCATGCTCTCGAGCCAACCCTGATCGACCACACCGAGGAAATCCCCGAATATGTTTCGCATATCTCGGATGAGTCAGATGCCGAGTCTGTGTTCGATAAAGATGACGATGACACCGATGTACAGTCTAGGTCCTCCTCCTGTGCGGATCTCCAGACTCTTGTCCCCACCAAGTCGAGCTCTTCCACCTCCTCGGAGGATTCGTCTGATAAATCGTTGCTGTCCTGCAAGAATGTCGAAATTGAAGAAAACAATGATGATGATATCCTGATCGAATTCAACTTCGACCTGGGTGTGGCTATTTCCAAATTGGAGAAATGGACAGGCGGGTCGTCCATCAATATCTTCTCGGACATGTGCGTCTCGGACCCTGGTCGACTGTTCGAGTATCTCACTGCATATATTTTATACGTTATAATGTCTTTGGCCCATTCGCGAGACCATAGCAGTCTACGCCGCTTGGACAACTAGACGAAACTCTTTGCAGTTCAACATCATGAGCCACCCGCCCTTCATGATACCCCTTTGCTTGCTTTCCTACTTAGTTGTCTGCCTTTCATGTTTTTTGCTTCGCTCTCCGCACAGAATTTTTATAAAAATATCCTTCTCTTCTACCCTCCCCAGCCATGCCAACATGGCGGATAATTCGTCTTGGTGAGTGCGTTCCCTTGCCCTTTCTTTGGCCCTGCATACTCATGAATAACAAGACGAAAAGTGTACATTCTGGGCCATCTATATCAGTGTGTATAAATAGAGACTAGACATGGGGAGTCTCTTTCAGCTTGTCAATTGTTCAAACTTTCAGATTTTCTCATGGGTGGCCCCTGCATGATGTTATATTATTTACTGCATTTTCATGTATTTCAGTCGGAATTTTTTATTTATATTGCACCTTCATAGGTTCATCGAATTACGCCTTTTGAGGGCTGTATTTTTGACTCCATCCCTTCAGGAACAGTGATGAACGTGGGGAAATGGGGGCATGCCCAAGTAATATGACGTCATCAGTGCGGCTCAAACAGCCTTGGCACTTTGGCATCTCGATGGTTTCGTTAAGTGTCTAGTACAGCGTCATCTCAAACTGGCCACCGGCTGGAACTGAGTACGGAACCATCACAGCTGACCGAGATGAGTTTCTCAGACTCATGTGAATCCTAGATCATTATCAATCGAATGGAAAAAGAAGAAAATTCCCTACCCCGATGAATGATTTGAACTAGCATACCAGAAGCGTAATGTAGTATGGAATGCCATAGTAGGGGAAACGATCCTACTTCACCCAAGCACAAGCTACATCAGCAAATGACCCTGGGTGGAAGGAATAGAGAGCATCAAATCAGAAAAGAAAGGTCTGAGACTAGACGCTCATGAATCATAAATTACGCAACGAGATCATTGAGATTCTTCTCAACGGCTTTCATATCACCACCAACAACCTGACTGAACTTCTGCCCATCCTTGAAGAAGACATAAGTAGGCATCGCGTTGACATTGAGTTCTTGAGCAATTTCCGCCTGTTCATCGACGTCGACCTTGTAAAACTTGACTTGCGGGAAACTCTCGCTGAGCTTTTCGAAGATTGGAGCGACGGCTTTGCAGGGGCCGCACCAGGTTGCCCAGCAGTCTACAACAATGGGGTCTTTAGAGTCAAAAATCTTCTGCATGAAGTCCGACATGCTGTGTGACGCGTCAATTCCGTTGGTGCGGGGTAAGCGGGGATTATTGACCTTGTGATAGAGACGATAGACATGATTGTTTGAGTATCGCAAGCGAATGTTTTTGAAGGGCGAGGATTAGGAGTGATGGTGGAAATTAAAAGAGGATGATCGACCTTATAAGAGATCGGATTGTTCCGAAATTCAAGGTTTCATGTAGTAACATAAGGTGGTTCAGATTGAAAGAGGGGATATGGCATGATGTCTAGCCTGATCGGGACTGTTACGGTGCCGCTTTAGTGCCATTTAAAGGTTGGGAGATCATCAACTTGAGACGACACTGTGGGAAGAGTGATTTTATTCAAATCTGTTAGAGATTGTTCAAATGAACCATGGCTTCTTTCTGTCGTGACGGTTGGCAAAAATCGCTCGTGGTTGAAGTCTAGGTCGAGGCACACTTGGCCAGGCCCAGCAAAGGGAGCACAAGAAAAAAGTCTTGAATCAAGGCCAGGGCTTTTCTGTATCATCAGCTATTGAACGAACCTCAATTTAGCCAAGTACCTACTACTTCAAGTCTCACAGAGGACGCAACTAAGGTAGTCCCACAAAGCACAATGAAGCTCACTCTACCCGACCATGGTTATCCAAATGAATGTAGACACATCAATGAAGTGATGTGCGTCGCGACTGTCAATGAGGAAATTAACCTGCACAAAGTTGAGCTGAATTTTTTACATTGCTAATTTCGCTCGCCTTGTCTGGAGACGATGAGCGTGTCCTCGACGATCGACCAGCCGTTCTTGCAAATGAACACCTATGTAGTGGTCGCCGAGGGGCCCTTCAAAGGGCATTTGGAGTTCATGAATCATGACTATTCTAGAGTAGTATATCAGTAAAGATATCTAGAATACGAAGATGTGGTTTCTGTTGCAGCGCATAACGGAGTTACGGGGTTATGTCCGGTCGGTTTTTGGAACGCTTCTCCTCCGGTCCAGCATTCCGAACGTGATGAGAAAATTTATACTGATGAGTAGGAAACAAGAGGGTCTTCATATTGAAAAGTGATAATCCAATCTCTCTTCGAGAGTGTCTTTGTGATTTTGGTCCAATGAGTGTTCGGCGCCAGAACGCAAACTTAGCGTCTATAGCAAGATTGGTCCCGGTAGTTCTCTGAGACTCCATAACCTTATGTTGAGACAATGTTCACACTGGATTTATAAGCCGGGGTTAATGGAGTTATGTCCAAGACAGTTCAAGATCAACAAGGAGGGCGCTAATGCGAAGTCGTTTATAAAGGGCCATCTCATAGCCGCATACCAGTTTGTAGCACCACTGAAGCGCAAGAAATCTCAATCTCACGATCGATGCTATAGTATGGAGGGTACAGTCATTATTACCGGAGCTAATGGCTCATTGGCCCTTGGTTTTGTGGATTCATTCCTCGCCCGCTATCCTCAACATACATTGATCGCGACTGTGCGTAATCCGTCTCCAAAAGACGACCCCAACACAGCCAAGCTCATGCAATTAATTTCGAAACACTCAACCTCCAAAGTCATCATCGAAGCACTTGATCTTGGGAGCCTTGCTGGTGTACGGTCTTTCGCAGACAAGCTCAATGCTAAGGTATCCTTGAGAGAGCTCCCACACATCTCGGCCATCGTTTGCAACGCGGCCACACTATCACCCGAGGCCGGACAAAAGTACACATCAGATGGTTATGAAGCAACATTTCAAGTCAGCCATCTGTCTCATTACCTCATGGTATTGAAGCTGCTTGGAAGCATGGACTTTGCGGTTGGACGTATTGTCATGCTTGGCTCTATTGCACACTATCCGGAGAAGCCAAACCATCTGTCTTCGCTTAGACCCGGCTTTCCCAAAAATATCGAAGATCTCATCAAGCCAGCTCCGGATGCTTTGTCACTGGTCCACGATAAAGGATTCCAGAGATACGGCACCGCAAAGCTCGCAAACGTGACATTTGCGGAAGATCTAAATGAACGACTTCGCATGGTATAAGAGAGCTCATCAAAAAAAATCATCTATATACTAATGACGGTAACTCAGGATCCTAAGCTATCAAAGATGACCGCCCTGGCGATGGATCCTGGAGGTCTCCCTGCGTCGAGAGCTCAAGCGATCCAAAAATCGTCCACTCGAAAGCTTTTTGCCGTAATCAACATTCTCATGCCGATTCTGAAACACCTGACCTCCATGTTCCGCACAACGGAAGATGCAGGCCGAGATCTCGTCGCTGTCAGCATGGATCCGGCTTTTCAAGGAAAAGGGGGCTATTACGTTGGCCAAAATCAGGATGCTCCTGCGGCTATCAGTAAGGATAAAAAGGAGCAGGAGAGGTTGTGGGCAGCATGTTGGAGATGGGCTGGTCTCAAAGCCGAGGAGACAGTGCTTCAGAATGCCACTCTTTGATGCCGCATATCTAGTTGTTCGACCACTCTACGCCAGGTATCAGGATTGTTGATCTTAAACGCGCAATCTGTTCCCATATAGCTGTCGCTTGAATAATGCCTTTTCAAATGAAGTTCCGCTTTCGGAAAAGCAATACTAATAAATGAAGTACTATGAAGAAAGGTGTCCCTTTATCAAAAGTAGATCTCTTTACCTGCCCATTCAGGTAGAGTACTTGTATACAAGATAAGAATCGCCGGGAGTGGTCTAGAAAACTTAATCTCTGGCTTCGATCACGTACGGGAGCTTTCATATTTGCTCACACTAAGACCAGTCCCCTTTCAGAAAATAGCGGCGAGCCTGGGGCCCGTGTAGAGTCTGCGTAGGGTCGTCGACGGAGCTTGATTGGTCGGCGAGGTGGATGACGCGACTTGCACTAGATCTCGTGGAACTTGATACCAACCAAAGATCAAAAGCAAAAATGCAGATACGACGACTGCCTAGCCCGATCGAGATGGGTGTAGCGGGCTATACGCAGCTTTTGGGTGGGGACTCGGCTGCTGTGGTCGTAAAGAGCTGAGATGGCGCTTCCAACCCCAGAAATGTGCTATCCCGTGTGCGTGGGCTTGGGTGGCCAAAGAAGGCAAAGTGAGATCCCAAAAGGTTCGGAAACTTCCTAGCAAGGTCCGCCCCGCGTGTCAGTTGAAGTTGAGTGGATCACTTTTCTGGGCCTCGTGGGTCCTTCAACTTTAAGAATCATCAGCGTAACTTCAGTGCTGCCTCGTCTGATCGGGACCAGACCAGTGTTCGAGCTCTGTACTACTGATCGTGACACATAAATCCGATCACATCAAATTAATGAATTGAATTCCAGGTAGATTTGCAAAACGGGAACAATATTTGAAGGCGTTCGGCTAAAAAAGCAGTGGTGTCTCGAACCCCCCATTTGCGATTATACTCTAATATCACGACATCGCGCCAAGGATTGCGTGTTCACCAATATCAAGAAGCTCAAAGACAATTTCTATATTATGCCCATGTGGCCGTCATGACTTTTTTTTCTTATTACAGTGCGATCTTGAGTTTTTTTTTCTGGTCTCCTTGTTTCTCTTTCCAAGTCTGCCTTCACATTTAGTCACATTCAAAGTTTCCTTTTCTCCGAAATTGGCGAGAAGCTGAGCTAGCTTCGACTATGACTGGGAAAACATCCACCAAGATTGGCCATGCTCTGGCGGCCGCTCTGAGGATTGACCTGGGATCGGAAATATACTCTGCATCCGGCAATGGTCGTCATGGCTACATTGAGCCCGATCCGACGACCGGAGAATGGATCAAGGCACACACCCCAACAACGAGACAAGTTGGGCGCTACTTTTATAACATCTTCCCTTTTCTTCACTGGATCGGGTACTATAACTTGCAATGGTTCATTGGTGATCTGATTGCAGGTAAGCAGAGAGATGGAGATTTTTAGAAGACCCGCATTAAAAGGCGTGTACTGACTGTTCTAGGTGTGACTGTCGGCGCTGTTGTGATTCCCCAGGGCATGGCCTACGCCGAGTTAGCCAATTTGCCCGCCGAGTATGGACTCTACTCCTCGTTCATGGGTGTCCTAATCTACTGGTTCTTTGCAACTTCCAAAGATATCACGATCGGAGTAAGTGGATCATACCCCTGTCGATCTCCCGACAGCACACTCACATCTATCAGCCCGTCGCCGTCATGTCCACTCTCGTCGGTACGATCATTATCAAAACTCAAAAGGAACACCCCGGTCTCTCAGCCCCCGACATTGCTTCCGCGCTCGCAATCATATGTGGCGCCATCGTGGCCGCACTTGGATTTCTCCGTCTTGGATTCATCGTCGACTTCATTCCCTTGCCCGCGATTATGGCATTTATGACTGGGTCTGCGATCAATATCGTCGCTGGTCAAGTTCCAACTCTCCTTGGTGAAACTGCAAAATTCTCAACACGTGGAGCCACCTACGAGGTGATCATCAATACACTGAAATATCTGCCCACGGCCCAAATGGATGCTGCCATGGGCATGACTGCCCTCGGCCTACTTTATGCGATTCGCTGGGGGTGCAATTACGCGGCGAAAAAAATACCCTGCAAGAGCCAAGACATTCTTCTTTATCTCAACTCTCCGAACTGCCTTTGTGATCCTCTTCTATGTCATGATCAGCGCTGCTGTCAACCTCCACCGTCGCCATCATCCCGCCTTTAAGATCCTCGGAACCGTGCCCAGAGGCTTTAAGCACGCGCACGTCCCCAGGCTCGACAAGGAGATCATTAGTTCCTTCGCTAGCGAGCTTCCCGCCGCTGTCATCGTTCTCTTGATCGAGCATATCGCCATTTCCAAGTCATTTGGCCGAGTCAACAACTACACAATCGACCCATCTCAAGAGTTCATTGCTATTGGCATCACGAACCTCCTGGGACCTTTCTTGGGAGCATATCCTGCTACTGGGTCTTTCTCTCGCACTGCGATCAAATCCAAATCGGGTGTCCGTACTCCTCTTGCCGGTGTCATCACTGCGATCGTGGTTCTTCTGGCGATCTATGCCCTCCCAGCCGTCTTCTTTTACATTCCAAAGTCATCACTATCGGCTGTAATCATCCACGCCGTCGGCGACCTCGTCACTCCACCAAACACGACTTACCAGTTCTGGCGCGTGTCTCCGATCGATGCCATCATCTTCCTGATGGGCGTGATCGTCATCATCTTTTCCACCATCGAGATCGGGATCTACTGCACCATCTGCGTCTCGGTCGCAGTCCTCCTCTTTCGACTCGCTAAAGCCCGAGGCCAATTCCTTGGTGCTGCTAGAATACACTCCGTCGTCGGCGACCATGTCTTTGACGATTCAGCCACTATCACAAACGCCAAACTTGAAAGCGACCGAACAGTCTATCTCCCCATTTCGCGAGAAGACGGCCACAACCCTGAAGTCAAGATCGAACAGCCATCCCCGGGCATCTTCATCTTCCGCCTTTCAGAGGGCCTGAACTACCCCAACGCAAACCACTACACAGACTACCTCGTCAAGCATATCTTCGAAACAACCCGTCCCTCAGACGAGAAACCAAACACTAGCATCGGCGATCGACCCTGGAATGACCCGGGCCCGAAAGCCAAGGACGAAGCCGCGATCCTCGCCCGCCCAACTCTCCGAGCCGTCATCCTGGACTTTTCATCCGTCAACAACGTCGACGTCACCTGCGTCCAGACCCTCATCGACGTGCGCAACCAACTGGACCGCTACGCCGCACCTCACCGCGTACAATGGCACTTCGCGCACATCCACAACCGCTGGACCAAGCGCGCACTCGCAGCCGCTGGCTTCGGATACCCCACACCCGAATATCTCGCAACAACACACAAGTGGAAGCCCATCTTCAGTGTCGCAGCCCTCCACGATGACCCCTTCACAGTCGCGAACAAAAGGAGGTCAGAAGAGCTGGCCCGAGATGTCGAGACAGGGTTCCAGAAAGAAGCTGCTGCACAGTCCACGGAGAGCGAGATTGAGCCTGCAGATGAACTGTCTTCGGAAATACGCCGGGCCAGTGCTGGTTCTAGGTCGGATACGAAGAAGGCTATTGTGGAAGGTGTTAATCGGCCTTTCTTCCATGTTGATTTGACGACTGCGCTTCATAGTGCGATGGCGGGGTCGGGGGAGTATTAGTCTTGACGTGGGGAGTTTTACTTGTCTATTTGATACCATATACGAATGCTGACTAAAGGGGGAATTCGGCATTTAATGATAGAATTGTTCGTAATTGACTATACCAAACATTCGTCACCGGTCATTCTCTTATCGTACAATATGGACATACATGGATATACAGCGAAGTTGGTGGTACAAGGAGGATGTTCATGATCCTCGACAGGGAGAAAAAAAATAATATGTCTCTCGATCATACTGAATGATTGATCAGGACGCTGAACCTGCAGGTCACAGATCAGTGGAACTAGGTGACGATCAACATAACCTAGTGAAGAGTCGGTGTTGCAGCACCCCCACAGCCACGCGCCCTCCTCCTCTCTAGTAACGCGCTGTTGTGCAAATTGAGAGTGGAGAGCGTGGAGACTGTTTGGTTGAATCGTTCTCCCACCGTCGTCTCGCTTGTTGGAATCCTCTTCGCGCGATTGACGGCATGTGGTCGACTCCGCGCCAGAGTGGAAGGCGTACAATTGTCCATATTCATATCGGAGAATCGGGTCATGGGCTTAGGCCTTGTCGGCTTCATGTTAGGCCTGGGACCCTGTGACACGTGTCTAGGCCCACGGCGGGGTTCTGTTTGTTGCACCGAGAGAGCGGCATTGAAGATGTCTCGAATGTTCGGGGTGTGGGCATTCGGAGTGCCGGGAGCGCTTTCCAAGGCTTCTTGGAACATATCCGGTGGCGTCTGCGCGCCTGGAGTCAATCGGGATCCACAGTCATTGGTGGCTACTCCAGGCGTACAAGCCTGACTGGGGGGGCTTGCTATCGGAGCTTTGGCGAATCCAAGGTGGGCGAGGAATTCCTTGATGTTCAATCTTTCTTCGGGACGGACAGCTAAAAGGCCGGTGATCAAATTCTTGGCTTCTTCGGAAATGGGATCCCAATCGGGCGATGCGAATTCGTACTCTCCTCGAAGGACCTTCCGAGCCATAGTCTGGAAGTCCTCGTCGAAGAAAGGAGGGAAACCGCCTAACATGGTATAAAGAAGGCAGCCGAGAGCCCACATGTCCACGCCGGTCGTGTACTTTTGTTCGCTGCATAGTTCGGGGGCAGCGTAGCCCATCGTGCCACAGGGCGTCATGGTCGGGACTCCACATATCATCTTTGATAAACCGAAATCGGCGAGCTTGACCACACCAATATTTCCCTCCTCATCATCACCTTCGCTACCGACCCGTGGGTAGAATAGGATATTCTCAGGCTTAATATCTCTGTAACGCATGATAGTTAGCTTTCCCGTATGTTGAATTCCTCAACCAGGACTGGTCCTACCGATGAACGATGCCCATGGTCTCGTGCAAATAATCCACCGCCTTGCCAACTTGCTTGATGACATGTCGGCTTAGATTCTCGTCTAGAGAAGTAAGTTGCGTAATTTGATCATAGAGCTCGCCTCCCGGGCAGAGCTCCAGAACCATATAGCTGAATTGGCGTGTTTCGGAAGCGTCGATCAGGTTGACCACATTTTCATGCTTGAGTTTCCGAGCAATCTCGACCTCTTTAAGCAATTTTTGTTTCTGCGACCGGGTCAGATAACGAACGTTTCATAAAGCATCAATTTAACTCACTTGCTTCTCGTTCATTTCATACTTCTTCATCACCTTGACCGCGACTTCATTGAACTCGGACTGGGTATCGCTCGCACGATAGACCGTGCTAAACGCACCATCACCAATTTTTTCAATCAAGCGCCAGCGCTCAAGACCAGGATAATTCGGCATATTTCTCGCAACACTCTGAGCCTTGGAGCCTCCTAGAGAAGACCGCGAGCTATCATTCTCACGTGACTCTATCGCTCTGGCGCGAATACGCTCTATCACACTTCCACCAGCGGACGAGCCGGACATTGTACCGGCTGTCCTTGTTTGAGTAGTAGTTGTAGTAGACATGAATGGTAAACCAGATAAAATTTTTCCTAGACGAGTAACTCGGGAAGAAGGGGCAGAAATAGTTTATTTAAATTGTCTGCCTATAACGAGGTGACGGCTTGGCATATGACGTAGCCGCGTACTAGTTGGAGCGTTCGCAAGCAGGTTAGCCGCGTCATGTACAACTGTAATTGTATTCTTAGGGTAACTAATGCGCGGGAAAGGCTATGATTGTGGGGTTGAATCCAAAGAAAGGGGCCGTTTGCCACTCGCTAGGTACCATTTTTAAAAAGACCCTACCGTTTGCATGTTCAAGAATTAGACATTTATCAGAGTCGGCCAGTCATTCAGCCACTCACCGGGGCCAATGGTAGACAGAGCTTATATCTCGCACGATACATTGACTCATTGGCGTCATTTGGAAGATGCGAGGCAGTGGCGACCTTTTAAATTGAATCATCTCGGAAGCAGGGGATAAGATGTTGATGCCAACTCGGATTGTGATTGGCTGGTCCCCCAGACCGATGCGAGGCCGAACGATCTAGTACCTGTCATTGGTGGAGTGTTTGCCGCAACACTAGTTCGTGATGAAATGATCGTCGACCAGGCGAGTCAGCTGACCCCTTCATCATAGGTACGCCTGGGATTTCTTATTTCAAGGTCCATCCTTGCACTTAGTCTAATGAAAAATTGATATGACATGCCCAGGAACGGTTACTCCACTCGAGTCCTCCAATGAACTATAATTTCTATGGGCAGTGACGATGAACACTGCCCCGCTTTCAACAACTCTCACGACAATGACTTCACTACGGGCGTAAGATAGCCCGATGGGTAGAGGTTCGACTGATCCCAGTACATCTGATACACGCCCGACACGTTGGTTTCCTTGAGGCGGAAGGAGTCGCTCAGGGTTCCACCAGCCTCTTCCCACATGAGATAGGTCCCATAGAAGAGGAAACTCTCGGTTGTCGCAGCAGCCGGGGTACTAATTCCATTACCGGTAAATCCAACCTCCGTGATCGCATTAGCAGTGGGCTGGATATAAAAAAGGGTGTCTGCGTCCAAGGTGACACCAGAAGTGGTGGCGGTGGTGAGCTCGGTGTTACTGATGGTAACTATCGAGAGTTAGTACAGCGATCCGAGCAAACACCATCATTTACATATGATGCCATTATGCCCGGGAGCTGATTTAAGGCTCTGTCCGACCCACGCTTAGGGCACAAGGTCTTTACATGTGACATCTGTGGTGACACTTCCGTAGGTCCACAGGACGAGTCGCCAGCATATGCGAGGCCTAGGATGAAGTTAGATGTTTGCTTCACGCATGAAAGCTCTGAAATACCGACCGTCAGAGTAGAATATTTTAATATACGACGAAGCGGCTCCGTATGCGATCAGACTGAAAGAGCCTGTCGGGTTACGCTTCTCCAGAGCTTCACCCGCGGGCGCAGCCAGGGAGGTAGAGGCCAGAGCGAAAAAGGTGACAAAAGTATTAAACTTCATTTTTTCTTTTTGTGATCCAACTCTAGGGTCCTGATTATGATAATTCTGACCCTTGCGCAGCTTTTATACTTCTAGCGAAGGTCGGCTAAGCGGTCCTTATTGTCGGCGATATGATGGGGCTACTGTCCGGTGACGCGGCCGAAGGGACTTTAAATTAGTGCGTTGCGCCCCCAGTTGGCCAACACCAGTAGAACATCTTGAAGAAATACTATTCATTGTTTCACAATCCCTGCATGAGAAATATGTGCCTTTTGACTTCTTTGTTTGCCCATGTTCAACCGCACTGAATACTTTAACTTCTTGGGGGTTTGGAGCCCACGATCGATCAATTAATGACACTTCTAGATTAAGGAATAATCCCCCTCAAGGTGAAAACGGATTCAAAAGATCCTACAAGAATAGTAAAGTCCTAACAGCTGAGGGCAACGAGGAGCATCCGACAATTGGCTACTGGAAAAAAATAAGCCAACTTGCAAGCCCAAAACGACCTAGTGTACAAGCCTAAAATCTTGGCCCGACGGGTGTCAGCCGAAATGTGGACCACTTAATGCTGACGCGATCCTTAAGTGGCCCTCACCTGAAGACACGTCCCATCTGTATGACGAAGTCTCCAATTGGGGTGCCACTGATGAGACTTTCCAATGGTCGAGACCTGTGAGCCAAGAGTCGGAGGCTTGGGGCGGGGCATTTGTAAGTGCTTAGTGAGCTGACTTTTTCCTCTTTGTTCAGGCTACTTTAGTAGCGTTAGACACGTTCTTGGGGCTACAAGATGACGAGTCATTGATCATTTGATCTGATAATGCCTTGGCGAAGCGTAAGCTATGTTGCCTGGGCTGACCGAAACGTAGCTCGGTAGTTTTGGAATTTGCACCGTCTGGTGAATGCGCAGTCCTCGGAATGGGGATTGGACAGCAGCATATCATTGGAAAATGAAATTTATATTCACGTCCAACCCTTTTCTGAATGCTAGCCAAATAATAGCTAATAGCGCTCCAACAGCCACAGCCGACGCGTTTCCTCCGGGATCTCCCTCAAACGCACGATTTCGGCACGCTTCACAGTAACATAATTCTTCACAAGCTCAGTCCCCAGAAGATCTTTCAAAGTATTCGAGGAAGACGCCTCAAGGTGATCTAGACTTTCCTCCAAAGACTTAGGAATCATCGTCGTGATACCGAGATCAACCCGCTGGAAATGACTCAAGGTCGCTGCGTCCACGGTACATTCCTTCACCCTTAAATCTAAATTCGCATCTAGCCCTATCTTGCCGGCTGCGAGAAGAGCGGCCATAGCCAAGTACATGTTCGCCGACCCATCTAAAGACTTGAACTCCCAGTGACCGGGTCCGATTTTTCGAACGGGCGCTTCGCGGTTCTGGAAGCCCCAAGCGACCCATTCGGAGCCGGCCCAGATGCCGGAACGCACTCGCTCATAGCTTGCTTCCGAGGAGAGAGTAAAGGCAGTGATGGATGGGAAGTAATCGAGAATACCAGCGAGAAATGCGTCTTCAAGGGTAGGTGGGTTGATGGAGATATGGGCGTGTGCCGCACTGCCGGCTTCACCGGGAATAGGGCACGGATACAGCGTCGCGCGAAGGCCGTGCTGTTCTGCGACGGCGGTGATCACTTGTCGAGCGGCTATCAGTGAATCTACAGCAGCAAGAGGGGTATCGGGAGGAAGAACGAATTCGAATTGACCGGGCGCAGACTCGGCGTGGAATTGTTGTAGTTTGATGCCCATGGAAGCTAGCGTGCGAGTGATTTCTTCGAGGAGGGGAACGAGCTGTCGCGTCTCAGAGGTCATTTGCGACCAGGAGTGAATGGTTGTGGCCGGGCTATACTCAGTGATGTGGCCTGTGTTTTGATCTCTAATTGCCTTCATGAAGACTACTTCGATTTCGAAGCCAAACTGCAATTGGATCTTGTGTTCGGTGTGGATATTGTCCGCGATGCTCTGGAGAGTACTTCTTGGACAACCCTCAAATGTCAGACCCTCTTCTGATCGCCAGAATGTCATGACGGATGCACTTGGTGCGGTTGTTGATGGTAGTCCTCCGTTGCGATATAGACTGTTCAAGTCTGGCTCCAAGTAAAATTGACCTGTAGTGGATCCTCGCGAAAGAACGGTGTCATCATGTAACATGCAACAGGCCGCTTGGGAGATCCCTACGCGGCGTTCTTTGCGAGCAATGCGAGCGAATTCCTCCACTGGAAACATACGCACACGAGTTGTCGCAGTATAGTCGAGCCACTGCATCCAGACACTTTCAATACCCGGATTTTTCAGAAAAAAGGCATTCAAGGGGTCGGAAGAAAGCGACGGTTGGACCTTGGTCACCGTAGCGCCATGCACAAAATCCGGCTCCAAGCCTAACTTGTAAAGTCGATTCGAGTTGTGAAAAAGAATGTCTGCTGCTACCACCTTCGCCTGTAAGGCACTATAGTCACCATGCTGAACATATTCAACAAGGACCTAGAGAAAGGATGAGCATTGATTTACTTTGGGTAAGTGGCAGTCCTAACCTTCTCAAGAGCTTGTCGAAATTGCTTGTTCGCCAACCAGTAAGTTTCGGGGTGATAATGGCCATCCGTACTCCACAGCAGTCGGTTGGTGGGTGTGATCTCGAGGCTCTCCCGCAGAATCTTCTCCTGGGCCTCGCGGCTGACCATAGGAAACACTTCACCGAGATCAAGGTAGACGTTCGGGTACACACAAGCCAGATATCCCGCCTCGCGCGTAAAGGGATAAGCAGAATGCAGCAGCACGATATCTGCATTCTCGTACTGTTCGATCAAAGGCTGCAAGTAGGCCGGGTTAGCTTTGACAAGACTGATATCATTGTCTCCCAAGCCCGTGTGAAATTGCATAGGTTTCACAACACCAGCCCTCTTTTTGAATGAAATAGCCTTGAGAGTCTGCTGAACCAACCAGTCATTCAGCGGCTTTTCTTCAACGCGGTAGCCAGACCTTCGAGTGCCCGAATCAAGCACCCGATGCAACGAAGCGGTCAACAAATCCTCGTCGCCCGAGAAGGGATCAACATCTAGACCAGTACGATAACAAACTACGGATTTGAAACCGACCACGGCTGGGTCGTCCATGGCGCGATCGATGGCACCCAGAAACTGCTGACGGAATTTGCTCCACACCGTTTCGCCTTCCTTACGCTCAGTGCTCATCAGATCCCCAATGACGGTGGCCGCAATCGCCTCAATGCGAACGATGCGCTTCGTCGCAGAGACGGTGAACTGGTCATGCCAGTCGTAGGACTCGACATCCTCGTCGCTGAGCAGGTCGTCCAGGAGCAGAGCCTGCGTGCCTTCCAGGCTGCGGCGGATCAAGGCGTCGTAGTCATTTTCGACCCAGTGACTGTGTGCTGCGAGTACATCATCCCAAGTTGCACAAGGCGTGCCGTAAAGCCCTGCGAGCTGGTTGGTGGCGCGGAGAAGTGGCAGGGTCGTGCGGGCATTTTCCAGCGCGCGACCGTGGGCTTCGGATGTGATGGATTCAAGCGGGTAGCTATCGTAGTCGGAAGCCACATCACGACTCAGCAAATTGTGTGCATGGTTGTCGATGATAGGGTGCGTCTGCACCAGATGGCGGAGAGATTCGAGGGAGGCCATGGGCGGCATTGGTGGTGCGGAGAAGAGGGAAGAAAGATACGACGGCAACTGTTTACATCTTTGGGACTGGCGAGCGGTCGGGATCCATGCAATCATTGTTGGACTAACAGCTAGCTACCTACTGGGGCATGCATCGAATGTACAGGTCAGAGGTATCGTATGGAAATCGCACACACGCTATTCCCATGTCACTCGTTAACTACACTCCACGCGGTCAACTCCACAAGCGGAAACGCTGCACATCAGCTTACTAGCGTCATCTTCTTGACACGTTAGCAGTTAGGCCCGCGTCTGCTCGGCGAGTTTTCCTTGACTGATCGTGAAGATCTCTCGCGGTGCTGAAATTGGTTTGCGTCTCTCACGATTAAATGAGAATGGGTGGTCAGTCCGGCAAATGGGGGGTCGAGCCATGAAGACCACACAACATTGTGGCACCGAAACTTCCGGCATGGACCCGCAAGTATCGCTTTGGCGCTCAGTATTACGTCCTCTGTAACAGGACGCAAAGTTAGGATTCTTGATCAACTATTACACCCCCGTCGGCGCGCACATCAGGGATCTCCCACAGATCAACCTACTCGGTTAATCTTCGAGCTGATTGAATATCATTCGAAGGGTTCTAAATCTGTTCAGAGATCCCCACACGAATAGATTCATGCCGGTTCTCCACTTGTTGAGTCCGTTCCGCTAGACTGAGATTGACCTTGGTCCTGCACCTCAGCCTCTATCCATTGGTCCAAGATCTTCTTGACCTCTTTGAAAGAAACCGGCTTCGTCATGAACCGATCTATGCCCGAGTTCATGGCCTCTGACTCGTCATGAGAACTACTCAGTCCGGTCAGGGCGATGATTTTCGATGGTTTCATATTGTTGAGACGCGATTTCTCAAAGGCGCGAATGCTGCGTGCGGCCTCGAAGCCGTCCATTATCGGCATGGAAATATCTAATGCCTGTTATTGAATGACACAATAGAACAGAAGTCAATGAGTTGATGTCTTACCCATGAAGATGAAGTCGAAGCCCTGCTGATCTTGTTTCACGGCAGAAACTGCGAGACTGCCGTTTTCCGCTGTATCCACGGTACCAAGGTCAAATTTCTTCAAGAATGCGAGCATCAGGTTCAGGTTGATCTTATTGTCTTCGACGACCAAGATGCGGGCTTTTCGAGGCTCCTCAGAACAATCGGTATCGGTAGTCTCCGTGTTGGGAGTCGACGATGGATGTGAATCTTCACTGGGCGTTGCTGAGCTGGACTGTAACTCCGACTCTTGCGATTCATTACCAGAGGACGAATCCTCATCCAGATCCAATTTCGCAAGTGGCTCTGCTAAAGATAGGGTCTCGATCGTCTCGTGTTTCGTATCCTTGTCGAGGCACCTCTGGATGAACCGGGCTAGCTTGTGAGGACCACATGGAGGATTGATGATGTCAACAATCTTGGACCCAGTAGGCCATTGGAGGGAAATGGAATTGCGACCGATATAGTTGCTGCTTAACATTAAGAAGGCCGCGTTCTTTCCGGTGAAGCAGCACTCCATCTCGCTTTGGGACGGCACTTTGTCACTCAGGATGAGGTCAATGGATTCCTGTGAAGATGGCGAGACCAAGATGAGACCGTACCAGTCGGTCAGATAGCGGGACAAGTTCGCCCAGGATTGGTGGTTCGGGGCATCCTCTGGCTCCACATTCATAATAGCGACGCGTTTTCCACCGTGTGCTTCTCGTAAATGGTGGAGTTCACTTTTCACTGGCCATCTTTCGCATGCAGATGGAGACATAGGTTCAGATTGACTTTCGATATCCTCGGGCTCCGATCGAGCGAGTGGAAGGGTGACTTTCACGGATGTTCCTTTTCCGGGGCGGCTATTGACGTTGATAGAGCCACTCATAGTTTTAACAAGACTGCGAACGATGGAGAGGCCGAGACCTGATCCGGTCGCCAAGCTATCTTCTTGCGCAAAAGGGACGAAGAGTTTCGATTTCAAAAAGTCCTCAGATATGCCCTTTCCAGTGTCACTCACAGTTAATGTCACCATATGTTCCTTGTAGCCGGGACGCGAGAAGCAATTCTCCGATGCCTCCTTTGCCTCGAGTTGTAGATGAACCTGGCCTGCCTCGGTGTACTTGATCGCATTACTGAAAATATTCATGATGATTCGTCGAAGGGCTCCAGGTGGCACGTGATAAGTCCAATCATTAGGTGCAATATCGATGAGCACGTCAACATTGGGGCGCGGAATGTTAGTGTCGAGTGTACCTTCATTGGCTTTCGTGGCAGCTGCCAGTAGAGCGGATGAATCGGTCGAGTTTTGACTGTGGAAATGACCCAGAGAAACACCTTCTACCACCTCTTCGGCCAAAAGAGAGATATCGGTAGCGACGTGAGCGTCGAGGTGCGCTGCAGATCGATGCCTATTTTTCAATTCCAGTGGTGAAACTTTTCGTCGCTCCAAATGCTGGAACTTCTTTTCCAGAGAGATGATTTTGCTGAAGTCTAAGACTTGATTCATTGTATCGAGAAGAGTTCGGCCACAAGCATTGATGGTATCCATGAGTGAACACTGGTAGGCGTTCAAATTCGTACCCTGGAGAATTTCGGACGCTGCCATAATTCCGTGAAGAGGGCTACGCAATTCATGCCTGTGACATGTTGTCAGTAAATCTTGTTAAGCGTATTGCCTGCACGAAGCGACTTACGATATGCTACTGAGGAAGTCGGCCTTCTGGCGGTCGGAAATGAGCGACTCGACACGATTACACTCGGCCATAATCGATGAGCCAAAGCCCGATAGCGAACTCAGCTCAACTGCTGGATCGAAGACCTTGCTTTCGATGTTGTTCCAGCAAAAGCAACCACCAAACCACTGCGAATTGGCCGCATTCCAAAGCGGTACAAAAAGCACCTGGGTCGCCCCAGGGAAATACCGGTTGAGCATTGCCGTCTCTCTGAGTTTCCACTTTTTCGGGGCTTTCGAGCCCATCTGAGCCCTTGATCGGGGGCGGCCTTCACGCGAGGGAGAAGAATCTTCACTGTCTGAGCTGGACTGTTGGCCATCGCGATGTAAGGACCATATTTTGCCTTGTTGATATGTGTTGAGTAGGCGATGAAGGAAGTCCTCATCGAGCTTCGCGACAGGGCGGGACACGGCGGAGTCACCGTCTGGACCGAAGGGACTGTCAGGTATTGAAATTGCTAAGAGAGAAGCCGCTTTGCCGATATCCTGGGAGCTGGAAACATCACTGTCGCTCCAGCGGTCGAGCATAGCATCACAACTAGCTTCCAAAAATGCCACACCACTATCACTCTCAAGTTCGAGACTCTCTCGAATCAAATTTGCTGCTCGTCGGAAAGTCCACGAGTTCGACTGCTTATTCTCGACAGGCTGGCTAAGGCTCGAAGATTGGCCTGAAACAGAGCCATCGAAGCTAGATGACATGAACTGATCGTTTTTGTCTGATGCCAAACTGGGGGAGCGCGCACTGCCACTTGAGCACGAGCGTCGAGAGCTCGTACTGCGGGTTTTCTGTCGGCTGGCTGAGGACCGACGAGAACTTGATTTTCCGCTTGACGCATGACTGTACCGTCGTTGAGCCAAATCACTGACTGGACTTGAAATGGTTGACGTGGCATTGTTGAATGTAGAGCCACCATCCACGAAATAATTCAAGCCACGAGACAGGCGAGCTGCGCGTCGGCCTTCGGAGGCCTGTCGGCTTATTTTCAAGAAATCCACAACAAGCGACCCCATGTGACCCATTATCGCCCTTTCGCTTTTCGTGAACTCGGCGTGAGGCTTAGAATCGAGGACGAAGAGACAGCCGACATTGATATTGCTTTCCGTGGTAAGAGGTGTTCCGGCATAGAATCGAAAATTGGGGTTCTTCTGTACGATTGAAAGGGTTTGGTATCGTTCATCCTGGCTCAAGTCGGATGATACTAGGAAGTTATATTCATCTCTGGCTAGGTCGGATGATGGAAGAGCGACGGTATCCTGTTTGTGATATGAGCATTGCACTGCCAACGTTCCATCTCAACAGCGCGGATAAATCAGAAATCTGATCTTGGAACCTACCTGGCACATATCCCAGTCGCTCAAGTCAAGGGTTGAGCATTTTGGCTGATCGATGTCATCCTCAGTTGACTTGCCGGATTGTGCTATGATGAATTGCGAGTCGCGATCTGAAACACTGGGAAGGCATAGTCAGAGATACCTCCCCGATGGGGAGCTCATCTGTTTCTCACCTTATGAATGCGCGATCGACGTCTAAGCGCAAAGCGGCCAACTGTGCCAGGGATGTCAAGGCGTCGTTGTATTCGCCGAGCACCAGTGACCCGGGTAGGGGTTTCGCAGTAGCCGCAGCTTCTTCTTGCGGTAATAAAGGCGTAGGTGATGGCTGTGGTGACGCAGATGGTGAGCGGACTGATGCGGAAGCCGAATCAGTGAATTGCGGATGGCCTAAAGAGGAGCCTCCTTCGCTGCCGGGTGTGGGGTATTCGTCGATCGCAGCGAGACGCTCCGGTCGAAAGTAGCGGTACACTTCACGCGCTCGGCGACCAGCGCCGTGATCGTCATCTTTTGCCGGGGTTTGAGGGTCCTGGGTAGGATCCTGGGCCGCTGACGCCTCCATCGTTTGTTGAGGTTGTAGGCAAGTGAATTTCCCTTCTCAGGACCTATTCAGGTTCAGTCGTCGCCACGTAAACAGTATGTTCACAAATAAGGTGTATTAAAGGCGTCTCGTCGATCCTCAAGGGAAAAGCGCCTTGCCGGAATGACAAAACCACATGCAGTTCGGGTAAGTGTGGAAGAGGGAACATGAAATTAAAATGAATAGGCGAGGCGACTTCCGATCGGATTACGATTCAAGCATCGTGGTACTAGCGAGTGCGGATGCCTTTTCCCGATCCTTTCACGAGTAATGTCATAGGTCTGCATATTGGGGCTTCATCTAGTGGAGAAACGGCGCAGCCTAGCCCGATTGGTGGAAGACGAAGCGACACATTTCACTGCTCATGAGAGACGACTGGCGAAATGCGTCCAGGCTAGGGTTGGCGAACGGCCCGAGGAGGTGGATTCGCGCGATGGTTCCAACGCCCCTCGTGGAGACATCTTTCAGGGCAGACCGTAGCGGGTATGGATATGCACTGCGTCGTCGAGCCACTAAACTAGGCTAGGAATAGCGTTCCGCATCCATGATACCAATCAGAGCTGTCGGCTCAAGAATCCGCCAATTATATTGCTCTTGATGATCAACGGCGGGTCCCATCCCGGAATGGCTAAATGTCGGAGATGGTTTTCCAGCGCCCTTTGCGCATCCGAGATGTGGCTAGAAACCGCGTCGGGCTCTCGAAACATCTTGAAGAGCAGTGTAGCCAGAGCTTCGCGTGTCTTGAAGCCTCTTTTGGCGTAGAGGCATAATATTGAAACATGTTCAATCCGGTCGCGATCGAAATGGTCTCGATCATGCATTCCTCACACGGGATACCGAGGTGATCCGATCACATTGCGGGACTATGTTCTGTCTCCATTTAATGAAGTACCCTGTTTCCAACGCTTTGGTACAGGGTTAGAACCTGTTTAAATATCCCTTGTCGAAAGTTAGTCGTAAGAGAACCAGCGCTTGGTATCAGAGACACCCAGTCACGAATCATAGGAGTTATCTTCTTAGCTCATAAGGGGAAGGTGTGAGGCACTGTAAAAGGTTCCGTCGAGTCATTTCATCAGTCCGGGAAGCTTCGTTCTTATACGCTCTTTTAAGGCATAGGGGCCCAAGGGAGAAGAAGTTCAGTTCGTATATTTTGTTCTAGACGTGGCGCCACCGCTATCCACCTCTACCAGAAACTGCCGCGGTCTCCAAGTTGCACCAGCCCCTCCTCCAGCTGCGCATTCCAGCTTCCCTGCATTGCTTTCTTCAGCGTTGGCGTCCGGTCTCCATCTTGACTTTTTAATCACCCTAAAATCGTTTCGACATTCGCAACATGTCGGACTTCTCGTGCACATCAGTGATGGGAGTGAACTTTGAACTGACTGCAAGGTAGGTTCCCCCACATCATTCAATCTGCGGTGACAAGCGACTCAAATTTGACCTTTTGACAGGTACTCAGAACCACAGCCGGTGGAGCTAGATGCCTTTGGGCTCATGTGGTACGCTTTGGAGTTCTCAGGCGGCAATTCAAGAGAGATTAAGCACTGACCTTTTCGGTCAGCTCCGCAAAAGACGGTATTTTGCACCAGCTAGTCGCCATCAAAAAACTCACAAAGCCATTTGGTTCCGCTATGCTGGCGAAGCAAGCTCTTCGTGAAGTCAAACTTTCAAGACATTTACGACATGAAAATGTCTGGTCTTTCCTTCGATCAATGCGCTTTCGAAGCTATGAACATCACTGACATGATGCCAGATTATCGGTCTTGTGGACGTATTTATATCACCCAAGGAAGACCTGTATGCTGGGCCTAGGCCAAGTTTCAATGTTTGATCACTGACCCTTTCAGATACATTGTCACGGACCTTATGTGGACCAACCTTCAAAGACTCATTGAGAAAGGCCCCCTTGACAATGATTTCTCCAAATATTTTCTCTATCAGATACTGGTAGGGTGCAACAGTCACTTCACCTGGATACAGAAACTAACAATTCTGAAAGCGAGGATTAAAATACGTTCATTCGGCGGGCATCATTCACCGTGATCTCAAGCCGAGCAGTATACTCATCGATGAAAATTGCGACCTGCGAATCAGCAACTTTAGTCACGCTCGACTGCGGGATCATCAGATGACAGGCTATGTCTCCACAAGATATTATCGCGCTCCAGAAATTATGCTCACATGGCAGGAATACACGGAGAAGGTAGATATTTGGAGCACGGGCTGCATATTTGCAGAAATGCTACGAGGCGCCCCTTTATTTCCGGCTACCAGCCATGCCGATCAGTTTACGTTATTCGTAAATCTCTTGGGTAACCCTGAAGAGCGCATCGTGGACACGATCAAAAACAGACACGTAAGTTTGCCTTGATTGGAGCTGCCTTGTGAAATAGATGGGCTAATTCACCAATAGACAAGGTTGTTTGTTCAGTCTCTGCCCAAGTGCAAATGTGAACCTTTCGTTGATATTTTCCCGGACCTCAACCAAGATGGTATGTGTCTTTTACCACTTCTTAGCTGATGACGGCCGGTTTCTGACACCCGCAGCAATGGAACTTCTCGAAGAAATGCTGTATTTCGATGTGGAAAAGAGGACCAACGCGCGGGACGCGCTGTCTCATCCATATCTGGCAACTTACCACGATCCTGAAGACGAGCCAGTAGTCAAGATACCATTTGACTGGAGTTTTGATAACGCCGAGGTAACGATTGAAACCTGGAAAGCCGCAATGTAAGCTCACTTGCTTTTGATATGCTACTTGCAATTCTAATTGAAAGCCTAGATACAAGGAAGTTGTTCTCTTCCGTCAGCAGGCTCTCCGATCTCGACGCTCGGTCAACTTTCGCAGTGCGATCATCCAGGCATCCAAGGACCACGTGGTGAGCGCAATCACCCCAGTGACAACAGACACGGAGTCGGATGAGATTTCACTTCTCGGGGACGGGAAATTTGATGATGTACTATCTTCCTTTTGTAATGATTTTAATTCATGACTGTTGTCCCTTTCTCAGTCAGGCGCCTGATGTTGTGAAATCTAGTGAGATGCACTCAGATGAGCGGATGAGTATTCACAGTACCACAGCTTCAAATCGCTGTACTATTCCTACTATCTTATCCGAAATAATATAATATACTCAAAGTCAGATACAAAAATATCTAGTATTGTCCTTCAATGGTCAATGTACCTGTTTTAGTGACCAAATACTCGTTGACCGCTACCTCTTTACCGCTCTCCTTGCCATAGCCAGACTCCTTGATACCTCCAAATGGCGACTCGGCAGCAGATTGGTTACCTGTGTTCATCCCAATCATACCAGCTTCCAAGTTTTCGAACAGGCGCCACACACGATCAACATTCTTAGTGAAAGCGTAGCTAGCCAAGCCCATACTGGTGGCATTGGCCATCTTCACTGCCTCTTCCTCGGTTTCGAAGCGATAAAGTGCGGCAATGGGAGCAAAGGACTCTTCCTGTGATATTTGCATTTGCTCTGTCATTCCAGACAGAATGGTAGGCTCGAAGAAGTATCCCGGGCGGGAAGTCATTGCTTTGCCACCCAAAAGTACTTCCGCACCCAGGCGTCGCGCATCTTCAACCTGGGCCAAGGCCTTATCAATACTGCGTGGAGTGGTCAATGGACCCATTGTGGTGTCAGAATCAGACCCATGGCCAACCACTAGAGCAGTGGTGCGCTCCTTTAGCAGAGCGGCAAAATGGTCATAGATGCCTGCTTGGACATAGATACGATTTGCTGTGATACATGCTTGACCGGCGTGACGCCACTTTAAAGCCATGAGTTGTTCAATCGCTTGGTCGAGATTGGCGTCATCGAAGACAATGAATGGGCAGTTACCGCCCAGCTCCAGGGTTACCTTTTTGAGACCGTGAGCGCAGTGCATGGCGACCAACTTTCCCACTCGGGTCGATCCTGTAAAGGTCACCTTCTTCACGAGCGGATGTTTGCACAGTGCCTCGCTGAGAGATGGCGTGTTCTCCAGGTCTGTCGTCAAAATGTTCAGTACACCGGCCGGGATACCCGCACGACGCGCCAACTCTGCGAGCACAAGTGCCGAAATGGGTGTCTCGGGACTGGGCTTAACCACCATTGTACAACCAGCCGCCATAGCAGCACCAACCTTACGGAGCACCATGGCCACTGGGAAGTTCCATGGCACCAGCGCAGCCGCAACACCGATAGGTTGCTTGATGGTGAACAGTCGGCGATTGGGCGCGGCAGGGACTGCCACGCTGCCGTGGATGCGCTCTGCCTCGCCAGCAAACCACCACAAAAAGCCAAGTGAGTAATCCAACTCTCCATAAGCTTCAAAAAGCGGTTTTCCCGTCTCATGGGTCACGATTTGAGCCAGGTCATCTCTTGCCGCTGTTGTCAGCTCCCACCATTTGAGGAGCCATTTGGCGCGTTGGCGCGGATTCACCTTCCGGAAGTCCTCGAAAGCAGAGTTTGCCGTTTCGACAGCCGTGTTCACATCATCTGTCGAGTTTGCGGGGCAGCTTGCCCATGCCTTGTCGGTGCCGGGGTCTGTATGTCTTGTTAGTTGCGCTGAGCTCCACAATTGAACAATGAGCTTTTACCGAGCACTTCAAATCGCTTTCCACTTCTCGCTTCAACCCATTTATCTCCGATGAAAGAGTCGAAATGTAAAAGAGTTGGGTCACTCAGCTAGAAGCAAGTCAGACCATTTCTCACTGCCGCAGGTACCGGGTGCCGTTGAGTATCTGCGGGGCTCGGACATCTCGCCGATCGCTCCACCAAGCTTCAACACACCATAGTAATGAGAACAAAGAGAGACCTACTTTGAATGGTAGATCGTACTTGGTCGCCATGGTGTAGACTTCAATGTGTATTCGTAGACAGAATGAGGGGCTACGTTGAGGTCGCGGGGTTAATTTATTATGTTCGTGAGGGGAAGATACATCACCGAGGTAGTAGAAGACCCCTCATCGACAACACATGGCCCGGTATAACGGGCGACTGTCCGCAGGACGGCTTCTTTCTCAATCCTACCGGAAGCTTATCGATACATTTATTTCTAGCTGTCTTCTGTTCTGAGAGGCTATCAGAGACTATATTTCATGAAGCGGATCTTGAACTCAAGGACCCGAGGAGGGTACCCGTGGACCCTAGAAAATATAAATTTGAGTCGCTGATAGTTGTCGGATCCAAGTGAACATATGAGCGGCCCGGCTTAGTTGAAAAGTCGCTGTTCTCAACTTGCGCTGTAGCTCCTGGTACTACCTGCTTCGACTTTTCTCCACAATGCGAACCGTTTCCTCTCTTCTAAAGTATTCATCTCGCGACGTGAGGAAGGAGAGTCGCTCCTCGATAAGCTGATAAGGCTTCCTCAAATAGGCGGAAATAGCCTATCTAACCAGGTACCACATGATGTCTTTTTGAGGTGGGCTTTAGTTGTCAGCCACACCCCTATAGAAATTATTAAGTCCTGAAATATACAAATCCCCGGTAAAGATTCAAACGCCACATAGGGTTGACACATTTCCATTTTTCATCCGGTCGCCTCATGGATAGTCCATGCTCAGTCGCAGCCCGTTGATTATAATGAGGGATCCTAGATCACGTCTGCTGCTTCTACGAGTCATGCTCTTGAGTTGACATCCCACCGAAAGTATCGTGCATTTGAACCTCCACAGCTATCCGAGAGCAGCGACCCGGTCCCAATGGAGCCCACATCCTCGCTTACACTACGCTTACTATCTCAGCCGGCGGCTATGATCGTGAGGAGTGAAGACTAATCTCTCACTCCCAGTCCGAATGGCATCGATTACTTTCAGCCAATTGAAACAATCAGGAGAAGGTCAATCTGACGTATGGATCTAAACTTGCCCATGAGCGTGTGCGATTGACAAAGCTGGAACTGCGTCAGACTCCACTGTTTGTTCCCGATCTCAAGCAACAAAGAATCACGGACCAGGTATCTGGCCAGATCTATTGCGTTACGGTCCAGGCTGAATGACTTAGCCAGGGCGGTGGGAAAATGGGGTTTTGTATCCACATAGACTCAGCTTCGGACTTAGTATCTTTACCAATCTTACAGTTCATTCTCCATAACCTTACGGTCCAGACTTCTTTACCGTACGAGTCATACATCTTGTGTTGTTTTGTACCAATCTGTGGGACTTTGTGTTATCACTGCGGGTACTGCTTTGGCCAAGATTTGAAAAACCCACTTCCACGGGCTCGGTTTTGGCTCTACATACGACATGTCCATTGATGTGGATGACATGAAAAGACGTTCGAATTGTGTTTCCAAGACCACCAAGCAGGGAGCCCAAGTGTGACTTGTTCGGCTTCCTCTGGAAGCCGCCCAGGCCGATTTGAACGGGGTCTGGCGGGGGACGATCAATAAATTTCAGGGCTGACCACATACGATGACGTGCGTCTAGTTTAGGACTCCTAGTGTTTTTGAAATGTCAATCCATCGCCATGTCGTTAGACTCTCCCAGAGTACAGGTCTGTCTTAACAGATACATTTAGACCCCCTGATTCGCTAGATACATGGTCCTCTAGTGCAGGACTTGGAAAATAAAAAGGGGCAAAGAGCGACGCCAGAGACACGTTGACCATTGCAGGACCCCTTGGAAGCTGAACCCCGACTCTAGTCGACTTTTTGTCGGATACTAGCGGGAACTCCATGTGATGGATCTCATTCCATAGCCAATGAAATTATTTTCTGACAGATTCATCTGCATGGGATGGCCTCTCTCGGGCTCCACGATAACTTTCGTCAGGGGGGGAGTTGAGATCTGCAGAACCCTTTCGCTTTGGGGAATGGACCCATGCTAAGATCATACTACTGTAATGAGGCTGCGTTACCCACTTGCGCAATACGATTGCGCTCAATGGTGAAGGTTCCTTGATCAGCTGTCCCCGATCGACCGAAATCGGCTGATCAGAGACCGATTTTCTGGGTGGCCCACTATAGCTTCAAGTCTATTTGGGACCGGCACTTAACCGACAGCGAGACAAACCCACTGAAGGGGCCTGAGATATGACTCAAGGAGAACTTCCGAACATCAATATGGTCCGATCCACCCAGTTGGATTCCGATAAAACGGATCAGCTAGCTCTCATCCCTCGCAGGGGTCTTAAATCTCTTTTCCTGAATCTCATTCTGCTTGCAAGGTTGCAAGTCTTCCGTCCTGGCCAAGCATGATGAAGTCTCTCTGCCAATTTGGGAGTCTGTTATTCTTATGCCTTGCCCAATGGGCCGAGGGTAAGGTCTTGCCGGTAAGCTCTGTGAACACGGTTCGGTTCGAAGTCAACTTGACGTGGGCGGACTGGCACGATGCTCCAGGTACGCCTCGAAAAATGATTTTCACCAATGGCCAATTCCCGGGCCCTGAGCTTCGATTGCATCAAGGTGATAACGTCGAGTTCTACGTCAATAATAACCTTCCTAACGCAACAACGATCCACTTCCACGGTATGACACCCTAGCCCATGTACAATCGCACCGTTTATATTTGATTCGCGACAGGAATTGACCAATTGGGCACACCGTGGTCCGATGGCGTTCCAGGTTTGTCACAGAAGCCTATCCCTGCCGGCGGAAAGTTCCTGTACAAATGGACCGCCTCACAATACGGAAGTTACTTCTACCACGCCCACGCTCGGGGCCAAATTGAGGATGGTCTCTATGGACCGATCTATATCAGCCCCGATCACTCGGTCGAGAAACCATTTCACCTATTCACCAACAACACATGGGAACACAAATTGATGGAAAAGGCTGAGAAGCGGACCTCGCCTGTGATGCTTTCTGACTGGCGCCAGCTGACTTCAGAGCAAGTGTGGAACGCCGAGAAGGCCAGCAGACGCGATGCGTACTGCTCTAATGCGCTCATGATAAATGGAAAGGGCTCAATCAAGTGTTTGAGCCAAAGTGCGCTTGACGGATATACGACTGCAGCCCAGAGAACAGTACTTGGAGGACAAAATTTGACCGATATTGGATGTCTGCCTCCCTCGAATACTATGGCAGAAGGCTCTTTTTCTCACAATCTGAGCGCCCTCCCGCCCACTGTCTTTTCTGGATGTAAATCTCACCAGGGCCTCAGTGAAGTGCTCAAAGTTGACACAGTTCAGGGCTACGTGAGCTATGATTTGATCAGCTCTGCTGGTGTAGCTACCTTGATGTTCTCTATTGACGAGCACAAAATGATTGTCTACGCCGTGGATGGTCAATATGTGGAGCCAATTGAGGTTGACGCGATTACGTTGGCAAACGGCAACCGATACTCCGTCATGGTGAGGCTTGACAAGCCCTTGGGTGACTACTCGGTTCGCTTGGCAAACTACGGCGTCAACCAGGTTCTCAACACCACCGCGACCTTCTCATATGAGACACGCCATGCGACCCCTCAACACAAGATGAAGAAGGGCCCTTCGAAGCCGTCAATCAGCATCACCGGGTCGAACACAACTGCCGAAACCGTCATCCTAGACGAGTCGAAGGTCGTCCCATTCCCAGCTCATGCTCCCTCCAAAGATGTTGCCCAGACCCATATTTTGAATATCGGCCACTATCACACCTCCTACCGCTGGACGCTAGGGAACTCAAGCTACCCCCTAGCCCTGGAACAAGCTCAGCCTCTGCTCTACCACCCGAACAGCTCAGTCGCCCACAGCGACTTGACCCTGCACACAAAGAACAATACCTGGGTCGATCTCATCTTCTACGTCACCTCTCCATTGCAACCTCCTCATCCTATCCACAAGCATTCAAACAAGTACTACGTCATCGGCCAGGGCCAAGGTGTCTGGAATTACTCAACCGTGGCAGAGGCTATGGAGCACATTCCGGAGAGCTTCAACCTCAAGACCCCACAGTATAGAGATACATACGCTACTCCGCCTGCCTCTACGGGCCCGACGTGGCTGGCGATTAGATATCACGTCATGAACCCAGGAGCATTCCTGCTGCACTGCCATATCCAGGTCCACCTGAGTGGCGGTATGGCACTTGCGCTTCTTGATGGTGTGGATAAGTGGCCAACTATCCCGGAAGAGTACAAAATCGCTGAGATGAGGAGTTGAATTGACGATACGGCATGATCTCAAGCGATCTAGCTTGTGAAATTTTCAAGTTTCTATCTACTAATTCAAGTCAAAATGACTAATAAAAAGAAACAAGTATCCATCCCGGTCCGATGTCTTAGTGTCTCCCACGAGAAGAATTGCATCTACTTGTCGAGAGTACTATGGACTGTAATGAAACTTGACCTGCTCATGTTATATGGTTCAAGAGTATGCGCGGAAAAAAAGTCTGAGTTTCAGGAGGTAGCGGCTGTATCCGTGTTTGAAAAGCTCGCTTGAGTGTTGTATTTACATGTAGTCCGCCAACGTATTTGTCATTCGCTCCCATAAACTGGTAGAAAGGTAACCCTGGATCCAGTACCCATCATCATGCCTATCCCCCTTCCACATAACCAACAAGTCATCCACATCAAAACCAAGACGCTTCAGAGGCCCATAAAAGGTGATGCTAGCGTCCACAAGCACCGGATTACTCTCTTGAATCTTGAGATCAAAAAAAGGCTGTTTAGCCCAAGAAGACACAACAAGTTGTGATGAACTGGAACCAAAGTCCCGAGTGACACACGGGCTGTTGCTCATTGAAGAACATTGTTCCATGATTTGATGGAGACATAATGGCTCTCGGGCATCATCAATCGTGTGGCGGATATGTACTGCCCTGTCCACCAGAGCCGTGGTGTCGTTCTGAGATCTCAGGCCATTAAATTGTCGCGATGGCACAGGGATCCGGAGCCAAGGATTTCCAAAAGCTGCCTCTGTCTCCAAATGACGCTGAATGTTTACAATGATACTGAATGTGGAAAGGTCAGATGGATCGATTGAGGCTTGTTGGTAAAGAAAGGCCAGGACGAGATCGTGTTCCGTGACTTGGACGCCTCGATTTTCAGCCTCATTGGACCACGTGTTGATTGCAGCCTGCGGTATATGAAGCGTCATATTGACGCGAGAGGAAGTAGGACGAAATTTGTTTTGCAATTTATGCGCGACAGAGCTGAAGGCGCGTCTTAAAAAGGGGAACCAGCCAGTTCTAACGCTTTCAGCGTGCAGCCGAGCGATTGGACTGTCGTTGATGTATTTCGACTGTTCAAATGATTTCTCAATGACAGCATCCTTTAAATTCAGCGGGGGTCGAAAGCTTGACACCATTATCGGTAAATAGCCGTCCAGTATGGAGCAGTATGCTCGTGCTATATGAAGCATCGCTGGAAAGCGGTTAGAATTTGTTCCACAACTCCGGAGGCATGACGTTGGGGATGTATACCATTCACATCGCCAAATGGAGCTTGAACTTTGAAGCGCAAAATGCTTCCGTCAATCAAAACCACAGTCTGAATAGTGACAACGCACTGTCGAAGTAACTTGATTACATTAAATTTGGCGTCCAGGAAATTTTTCACGTGTGACAGTTCGGCGCTTTTTACAACGTCGTTGATCCGTGGTGTCTTCACCACATCTTCAACATGCAAATTAAGCTCAGTGCCTTGCCAAAGCTCGGATAAGTCATTTTCTTTCTCTGAGGACTTGAATTTGGTTCGCTATTGACAACCTGGTGAGAGAAAGAACAGAGGTGATGACTGAAATCCACTCACTAGAAAGTTCAACTTTCCGCCAAGCACAGGAAGATTTAAGAGGAGGACGTTCGCTGCATTTTGGAATTCCGCGAGAGTAATCCCTGCGTGAAATATCAGGATGAGATCATTCTCTAGAAATCGAGCGAGGCCTTTGTCGAGTATGGTCAGATCGAGTGACATGTTGATTGCGACAAGAAGTTGACTGTCCTTGTCAGTTATGTTCATCAGGGTTGAAATCCTTTTCAGAAGTCTCCTCTCATCAAGGAGCGTCTTGTTTGTGTCTTCATTCCTTATTTGGCCCTAATTCCAACCCACTGGCATGCCAATTCAAGGGATGATATTTCCTAGACCCCAAAAGGTTCCTGAGTAATCCCAGCAACTTGATTTTTACAGAGAGAGAAAAAATCAGAGGGTAGAAACAAGTAGTGCCATGGGAACGGGGAGATTTTGAGGAATTTCACATAGAATACATGTGGTCGGCGCTACCTTTTTCGGCCTTTTATTCACACCAAACTATCCACACTGGAATGTTTTTCGGCCCGCGACCGGCTATCGTCCAGCGTAGGCGTGACCTCTCCAGAAGTATAACGAACAGTCACATTCGTAGTTTTCAAAATACCAGCAACGCCATCTTCACTCCCCCTTGAGATACTAAGACTATCGCCGTGGTGCTTGTACTTGCGCATATCGAAGTCGCGAGCGGCATTTATATCCACACGGTTTACACCATGGGGATCCGCCATTTCGTAATTTTCCTCTGCATCGGATTGCAGCTGCGATGCCTTGTGAGTTGAGAACATGCGTGATCCCGGGAACTTGCGAGAGCCGCTCGTTCCCGCTCCGTAGCCCGATGTCCCTGCATTCCGTGATGTGCCGAGGAGTCGGGGTAGGTATCTGTTCGCGATGGCTTTCATAGATGGGCCGCAAGCTGTGACGACGGCGACGTTTACTTCAATGGCGAAGCTGCAGAAACCGATCGAGTAGGTTGCGTCTGGACTGACTGTTTTCGAGAGGAAGGCTTGAGCAAGGATGATGATACGCCAGACTCCAATGGCGGTCGCACTGTTGGAGCAGCATTGGTTAGACTAGAGAGAGTGGCTCCGGGGTTGGCTGACTTACACTCCTCCCAGACATAGAATCAGACAGACAGCAATTTTCTTCCTGATCGGCATCTGTAATTTCACGGTAATGATGATCGGGATCGAAAGGACCAAGCAATCTGTGAAAAGATTCAATGCCGCCGTCGACACGTAGAAGGCACCTTCGTCAATACATTTGCTCCCTGGAATTGAAGTGTCGTAGATGTATGCCACAGGTGGCATTGGAAAATGTCGACGAAAAGCACAGCGAAGAAGAGGGCGATGACGATAGCTAAAGAGGCGTATATGAGTACTTTGACAAGCCGCGACCGTGAGTCTAGTCGATGCAGAAACACTAAGATGGACAGCTTGATTATTGACAGGGTCGGATTATACATAAGCTGGTTGGCAAAGTTCCACTGCCATCCTGTGTTAGTCCTCGCTTTGCAATTGCACCAGCGGTACCTACAATTAAGCCCCTCTTCACATCGTAGTCCACTGGGATATCCCATTTATGGATGCCAACATAGTTGGATTTGATATCTGCGCGATACACTTAATAACTATCCGTCGAGCCTTTGGTGAAAGCACTCTCACAGTACCACGAAGTGACGGATTGCGCAACTGCAAAAATCTGTTCCAATCACCATTGAAGATTAGAACACAGTGTAGAATATGCAGAATTAAAAGTCCATACATAGCCTAAAACAATCAAATACTCATCTGTCACTCCGTCAGCAATCAATATACCCCCAACAAAATATGTTTGTAGATTCACGGGGCTTTCCCGTACCACCGGATAGGGCAGAGCGCTTTAAATAGCGACTCCAAAGCCGCAAGACAATCGAAAGACCGCCGATAATCGGAAATGCGACCACGATTCCTAGTGCAGTATTCTGGTGACTAGTGTCAATCATTCTGGAGCATTTTGCGGAGGTCTGCAGCAGAGAGAGGGCAGCCGGTAGGGGCTCTACTCTTTAATGAAGAACGCAAAACCGCCACTCCTGTTTTTAAAGTACTGGTAGCCACCTAAGATCTGAACCCTGTAGCGGGAGCTTCCTTTACAGAATACGGTTCCAGACCGGGGAGCACGTTTACTATTTCCATACGGCGTTTAGATGGCCTAGAGCCCCGACGACCAATGACGGGCAGCGCTCGCTCAGCCCTTCAGCAGTGATCTGAGACTGTAACTAATTTGCTTACGGAGGATCCGATGGAACGGAGAATCATGGTTGAACAAATGTAGACAAGGTTTGAAAGGATTCCTGAGCGCTATACTCGTCACAAATATGCGGGGATTTGACTCTGCGTCCCACCACATACTGCGGTGTGAGCCTGCGCCTGCAGGATTACCAGGAGAGTATTCTTCGTTGCTTCGATGCCTCGCCACCTAAGCAAGCCTCGTGGTGTAACAAGGATTAAAGGCTGCAGTGGTATTGTCCGGCATTCAGAGTAGTGAGACACTCTAGCTGCGATGCAAGCGAAGGATCCACTTTCGTACTTATTCCCGATCGCTTCGGGTCAACCTGCTCAAGGATGAGTGAGCGATATTTGTCCGTGCAATACAGTCGTAGTGAGAGTTAGATTCAGTTCCGCAGGATTCCATCGGCGGCGGCTGGGATACTACATCGACTCAAGTTTCGGAAGTATGCCGTTTTCGGATTGCCGTCCATTTTGCCCTTTTGAATTCTCGGTTCAGGGGAGCCGTAGCCGTGAGCTTATTTATTTTGAAGAACCTTTGTCCGGGGCAATGTCGGCTAAATGCCTTCCAAAGCAAATTGTATGACTTCTCAACTCTGTAAAAACGGCCAAGCCCGAGGATCCTCCACTGTCAACCCGGGTAGATCGGGAATGTTCAAGAGAACCTACAATTGTTCCGCGGAGGCCAATCTACGGCCGGTAGAGTCTTTATTCCCTTCAGCGTACTTCCCTTCGCGCCAAATTTTCTAAGGCTCAGTATTCCTTAGCCACGTAACCACTTAATTGAATTAGATTGTCCCGTGTAATTCTAATGCAGGGGCTACAGGGATCATTGCAGGGTAAGCGAAATTGTTGACCAGTGGGAGAAGACCGGCGATGCACGCAAAGGTGGGGGCCCTTGGGCAGGTGAATGGCTCTCGATCATCGAAGCGGCGGAATATCCGAAGCCCTCGGTCACCCTAGTCACTCCAGTCACTCCAGTCACTCTAAGCACCGATACAACCGTCGCAGGTTGCGTGTGGCGCCCACTTTGTTGTGAAAGAGTATCGCACTTGAAAGTGTCAGAGTAGCGGCCTCCATCAGGCTTGCAAAATCTCCGAGGCTGCCGACCACATTTGTATCTCGGACATCACTTTGGCCGCGACGCCCAATAGCAATTAGATTCACTGTCGGTGACGGGTAACTAGACAAAGGTGGAGCTCACTCAGGGCTTCAGGGAACCTTCCGAAGTACTCTTGTGGGTCGTCCGCCGTGGCGAGGCCGACTAACAGCACTGAGACTTGCTGGACAACGCGCGAGCTTGCTTTGCTAGATTTACTGATAGCGGTCGGCTGTGCTTTTAAAGGCTCGAGTCGCCACATTTCCGAAAACCTTCCTGCAGATCCAAGTGAAACATCCATTGAATCGACTTTTGTGATGGCGCCCATTTCAGCTTTCACTGGAGCTCTGCTCGGCGCTTTATACCTGGCACCTCTGGGAAGTGCCGCCGCTGTCCAGAGAGTGTCCTCGGTATCCGATGCCGGAGCTCCGCTCTTCACCAACGAACAACTGCAATTGACCGAACAGATCCTGTCCACTGCAGCCCCCAATCACACCGCTCTGTTTGACTTTGCCAAGAACAGCAGTTTGAGTGCCTGGGCTCACGATGCGTGCAAGGTCTTCCCTGGAGATGTCGCATGGCCCTCAAAGTTTGTGTGGGCCCTGTTTGATGAACTACTGGGTGGTGCCCTCATTAAGACCGTGCCTCTGGCGGCTGCTTGTTACTCCTCTTGGCCCGAGTATGATAGTGATGAGTGTGACACTATCACTACGGATTGGACAAATTCCAACCTGCAGTAAGTGATGAAATGGGGGATGGATTCATTTTCAATCACTAACGGGTTCAAAGCGCGGCAGATCCGGCCTCGGTGATGTGGCCCTTGTTCGAGGGCAGAACTTGTCTCCCCACGACGAATGCATCTGCCTCATGCACGGTCGGTGGCTACAGCAGCTATGCCGTAAACGTCAGCAACGTGGCTCAGATCCAGTTGGCTGTCAACTTTGCTCGTAACGCTAATCTCCGTCTGGTCGTCAAAAACACCGGTCATGACTTCAATGGCAAGTCTACAGGTGCCGGTGCCCTGGGTATCTGGACTCATCACTTGAAGGATATCGATTATATCCCGAACTATAAGAGTCGTACCTACGAGGGTCCTGCCGTGAAGATGGGTGCTGGTGTGCAGGCTCATGAGATTTATGAGAAAGCCAACGAGCTTGGTTTCACCGCGGTTGGTGGTGAAGGCAAGGTACGTCTATTGTTTGATATTCTCGAATTTCGTAACTTACAAGCAATCGTGAAGACTGTTGGAGTTGCCGGTGGTTATGTCCTCGGTGGCGGTCACTCGCCCATGTCCAGCATGTACGGCCTGGCTGCTGACCAGGTCTTGGCTCTCGAGGTTGTTTTGGCCAATGGTCGGTTCGTCACCGTGACTGAAGAGTCTGATCCCGATCTCTTCTGGGCCATCCGTGGTGGCGGTGGTGGTAAGTCTTCACTCTTGTCCACCTTGAAACTTTGTGTTAAGTTCTTTACCAGGCACCTTCGGTGTTGTCACCTCGGTCATTTCCCGTGTCTACCCCAAGGTTGGTGTCACTGTATCCACCTTCAGCTTTGGCACTGGGACCAACGTCTCCGCGGATACCTTCTGGGCCGGCGTCCGTGCTTACGTTGAGCGATTCCCTGCCCACGCCGATGCGGGCACCTACGCCTATTTCTGGGTCATTGCGACCGGGAATGACACTTTTGAGTTCTTGATGAACCCCTTCTTCGCAACTAACCACACCCTGGCTGAGTACCACGCTCTCGTAGAGCCTTGGTATAAGGATCTGGCAGATCTTGGAATCTATATCACTCCCAACTCCACCTACTACGACAACTACTACGACGCCTGGATGGCTGGCTTCCCCCTTGAGACCGTCGCATCCTCGGTGATGATGACTGGTTCTCGTCTGTTCCCTCGTGCCAACTGGGAGACCGCCTCCTTGTTCAACTCAACCTTTGACGCTCTGCGAACAACAGTTACTGCCGGATACTCCCTGCTCGCTTTCAACATGAAGGCCGAGTTACAGGATGGCTACCCATCCAACTCTGCCAACCCGGCCTTCCGCGAGACTCTCCTGCATGCCATCACTTCGACCAGCTGGAGCAGCACCGCCAACAACACTGCCATCAAGGAAGCAATGGAGACCTTCACCAACAATATCATGGGCATCTGGCGGGCTACCTGCCCGGATTCCGGTGCCTATATGTCTGAGTCCGACATTCTTGAGCCCAACTTCAAGGAGGCATTCTACGGTTCCAACTACGCCCGCTTGTGGGAGCTGAAGCAGATCTACGACCCCACTTTCCTCTTCTACACTCCCACTGGTGTTGGAAGTGACAACTGGGTTGTAAACAGCGAGGACGGTCTTCCGGACCAAAATGGTCGTCTGTGCCGCGTCTAATGTGAACCAATTCTTGCTTATGAGGTGTTGTAAAAAGCTTCTAGATTTCATTGTGTACATACCTGAGTTCTAATAATTTGTAGCAGTCTGCGAGACTAGCATTCAATCAATTACGCTCGTACACGAAAGTCTGGTATTTCGAAGAATATCACATCCGTCACATTAATATCTAGGCTTTCACTCTCAAGGGCTCGACGATTCCTTCTGGTAGGCCCAGAGCCGCCCTCGCGTGGGGCACATTGCGGGGCTTGTGGTAGGGCCTCATCGCACCCCGCGTCTTGCGCGTGCTTATTTGACTCAACTCTACACTCTTAGACAGACCCTTCCTTGTCTGACGCAGAAGCTTTTGCTGGAAAGGGATTTCTCAAAGTATTTTCACACGGCTTGGAGGGGCCCTGGTACCTTTGCAAAGCAGGCTAACCCATTACCTGTTCTTTCACGTCAGGTTCTTTAAGCCGAATTCAATTGCTACTGTCTAAGATTGGACCTTTCGTCGCATGGAAAATAAACAGCCTGGCGCATTCAAGGTCTGTAAATGATTCTTGTGCGAGACGCGTTGCAGCATGGGATGGGTTGAAGCTTGAGCTTGAGTTCATGGGGCACTACAATGCGCCTAAGTTGGAGCTGGGGCATGTGTTTGATGAGGAAAAGGAAAATTTCTACTTGTTGGAGTATAAACCCCCAGACAAGGGTGCATCGACACACTGAATGACCACAGAAAACACATACAAATCTGTGACACAATGGCTAGACTAGGCTCAGTCTTGTTTCCTCTTTTTCCATTGGCGTAAGGTAACAGGACCGTGAGGTGTATTGCAATTGAATGGAATTTATATATGGCTTGAAAGAAGACAATAGATACATCCCAAGGTCGACGCGATTGATATATTTGGGATCTCTGAGCCCAAATTTCCCCAGGCTCCCATCTACATCGACCGTTCCGTCCTCCACTCTTTGATCGAGTCCGAGTCTCATACCCTTGTGCCCCAATGGGTAGTTATATCATTGTCAATGCGGTATATCCCATGTTGCGAAATCACTAGACATTGTCAGAAATGTCTTAAGGACCCTCGCGAGCAAATCTGGGGAGAACGTACCTCAGCATTGTTGTAGCATGGAGTGCGACCCTGAGCGGTGAAGATGGAGGCGCAGGAGAAAGATCCGCCTGCATTGCACTTTGCTGGGGTGTCTTCACCACTTTGGAGCAGGCGACTAGCTCCTGTACACAAACGTGTGCAGTCGTAATCATCGCCAGTCTCCGCATTCTGTCAATAGTGCTACTAATTGAATGAGAAAAAGCCTTCACTAACATACAGATCCATAGAGACAACAGTGAGAGCCATCTGCGAACAAGCATTGGCATTGCCTTGGGCCTGAACAGGTAGCTGCCAGGCCAACGCTTGCAGTGGCACGGAAGACCATTATGCTAAGAAGCTTCATTCTGAGTAGCGCTGTTGGGATTGGACACTTCGGAAACCTTGAGAATAACTGTTGAATGTATTTGAAGATACTTCTGGACTCCTGTGCTCCTATTTATATCTACAGTGTGCACTTAGAGGCTATAATTTCTCCGAGAAAAGATGCCACCCAATTCCTTCCTTGGCAACTAGAAGCCCGTCTCTCAGTGTCCACTTCCTTTACAAGTGAATCCATGGTGGATTATCCTGCGAAGGAAGCGAGCATTGGAACCAAGAGCCAGGTTCGCTAAAGTACCAAGTTTGGTCTCGATGAGCCCCCGTACAATTGATCATGGTACATGAGGCCCATACCGGTCCAGTAAAAGTTTCGCATTTCTATTGAATTTCTACACTGTTACAGATCACAAATCGTTTGATTTTGATTTGGGAATGAAGTCGCATTATCTATGGACACAACTACGAAACTGTTTGTTTGCTGGGATTCTAGTAGGCGGGCTGTTATCGGACTCCGACGATTGACGCCTTGAGAGAAGACTCCATCAGTGGAGAGGAAGGATCTTCCTTCTGAACCTAATTTATATTGAGACAAGACATTTGGTTGGTTCGTTGGAAAATAACAGTGGTGATCAGCTCTTCTACGTTGACTGCTTGTGCATTATCGTTTGAGTATTATACTTCCAGTGGCCTTCACTCTGATTTCTTCTTCTTCTTCTTCTTCTTCTTATAGTTGCAGGGCGTCAACTTCTATCTGAGATTGTCATTTCTATAGAAGAGAACAGGAGCGGTAAGTCTCACTGATCGACAATGAGACATTGAAGACGTTAAGGACTTGGTAGCGTATGTGGATACTTGATGGACTTGTTCTTCACTTGCTCAGACACGAAGAAGCATGCAAACCTCTACTCTTCAATTTCGCCCGTTCATCCTTCATGTCAATCGCTGGGCGCTGTGGAGACCCAGCTGGGCACGTGTATGGACTGCTGGGACATGGGCATGTCTTCACCGAACTTTATTTGAGGCTAAAAGTAATAATGGGGGTTACATTCCCCGAGGATCTGCCGACAGTTCCAATTGCTCGCGATGAGCTGAACTTGAGCCACGCTAGTCTCACATCGGGTCTGCTCATGGACTGGCGAATGACCATTTCAACATGCTTCAGTGTGCGAATCCCAATGTCCCCTTTAACGATAGTCGCTGAATTGCCAATGGTATTGCAGCTGTTTTCGCTTCACACAGTGAGCCGATGCCACGCATTGCACTTTTCAACTTACTTACAATTGAGCGAGTAAGAGAATTGATCACAGGATGTGAGTAAATCAGGGAAGTGAGGAGTGGGATCGTTACCAAGGTACCTACCTATGCGAAGGCCAAATGCCCAGAAGGACGATCAGAAATATTACCCTGAAGATTGAGAGCGGTGAGCTATAATAAAATTATCCGAAATCCTTGATCAAATATAATCAACCCGACCACGTATAGAATACCAAATTTCTTGGAGTTGAGCTGGCTTGAAACAGGAGACGAGGTGTAGGAAGAGTAGGCGAGTTCATGCTCAATGCACCAAAGGTTATATTCACATCTTGGACCATTAGTAATATTTTTTTAGCATCAACTTGAAATATCCCGATCACCTGAGAATATATTCGTAACTCTGCCCACGCTTCACTTGTCGGTCCTTGCATGAGCCATACTATCCAAAGCCAACCTTACCGATATCGTCATTTTTCTAGTCTCTCTTTATCTGGGTCTCTATCTCTCTTTTGCCCTTTTTCTAGGCTTTCTGAACCTCATTATCACAGAACTGATCGTCGAAACTAACACTAACAGACTCGATGTTGGTTCACGGCAACGGGACCATTACGAATGCGACTCTTATCAGTGGTGGGAGTTCGTATTCGTTGAACTATACTTTGCCTGTCCAGCAGTGGACGGATGTTAATCTGGTCGCGAATGGAAACAAATCTTTGCTGACTGTCGGCAATGGCAAGAAGACCATGATAATGAAATTTTTGGCAAAGATTGGGGTGAATGGGGAGTATCATGTGTGGGCGCCTATCGGGGTAGAGGCGCCGTTGGCGAGGATTGGGGAAGGGTACCTACGGTCGATGCAGAACATTGTGTTGAAGGGGACTGCCTTTAAGTGAACAAGTAGAGAAGATCCGTTATTCTCCAAATTTGGAAGATATTTGGATGTAAATAGTGTGCTTATTTATTTAGGAAAGAAGATGTTACCCGTACTTTAACTTGTGGGTCCGGACAAGCTTCAAGGGTCCACGTCTCGGATGTTGATTCCTTCCTGATGTCTGAACATCACTATCTTTGACTAAACACCTCTTCCCGGGACAAGTAGTTTATTTATGGCTTCCTCGCCCGTAGACTGCCTCCTAACCCAATGCTTCAGCCTAGCCCGGGGCGTGACATATCTATGCTCCGTCGGCACCCCGCCTTCTATGCGGAAAGGAACCCTGATGTAACAAGACCCTGATCAGAGCTAGCAATTCAGTGCACCAGTCATGACCAACTCTAGCGGACATGGGTCTAGAAAGAGGCGTATAGAACTGGCATCTAGATTGGCCGCTAGCTGCAAATGGATATCATCGGCGCGAGCAAAAACCTGCCCCAACCAATCACAACCCGGAATCGACCACATGCCTTCATTGCTGGATTTGGGCCCTTTCCGCAATGTCTTTTGGCACTTTGGGACTTTTGGACTGGGCTCTTCATATGACCCTTCCCTGACCCTGGGAATCTGGATCATGTCCCTTCAGTCCATTCTCAACCTCGTCTCCTCGAGGGTGCCACCATGAAGGTCACCCTCTGCGTCCTCCTGTACGCGACCATCGCTGTCGGCTTCCCGATCAAGTTCCTGCTCACCGGCGAGACACCAACCATCATCTCCGATCGCAGTGAGATCTTGCGCACACAACGGCCTCTGGCGGTGCAGGTGTCACATACCCAAACCCCGCGCCCGACGTTCCAGGAGTACATTGCTCGTCTACGGTCCGGAGCGGGAGCGGATGCTCGAATCTCAAATGATGGCAAAACAGCCGATGCCAAGACCGCGCCTTCACATTCCGATTCGCACTACAGCATCTATGGCTCGTGGGTGGGGAAATCCAGTTTAAAGGAGAAGTCGGGCGATGCGGACGAGGAGGTTACTGGTCACGCTCGTATTCTCACATACCTCAAGCCTGCGGAAGTGCTCGATGTCATCGATAAGCATGGACCCGAGTCCGTCGCGCTGGGACTCTTTGTTCTAGTTCCCGTTGCTTATTTTGTTCTGGAGCTGCTTGAGCTTGCCATCAGGTCTTGTACCCAGGAACGATTTCCACATCGAGGACGTGATCGCGTGCGTCTATTAGGGCTGGAAAGACAGCTGCGGACAAGAGTAAGCAGCATCGCGAGATGCTGGTCGAGAATGAGAAGCATTGGTGGCAGGCGAGGCGGGCTAGGTATTGAGCTTGAGCTGTGACGCGGGAGATGTGTTGTGAATACCTTGCTGTTTTTTTTTTTTTACTTTTGATTTTCTCGATACCCATTAGTTTCATTGAATATTGCCAAGCGTGAACACCGTAACTGTGTTTATCTATTCTCCAATTCCGTCTGCAGCGTATAATCAAATTTGGCAGGTGCGAATACTGGTGCATCAAATCAAACCCCGGCGCTACGAGACGAGATGGCACTGTTCGTTTTCAAGTACCAATTTAATGGAGGATGGCAATACTAGTATGTAGATTGTGAGACCAGTGCAGCATCTTATTAGAATATAGTAGTCAAAAACACTCAACAGCATCAACCAACACCTTCTTAGAAAACAACCTCGAAAACTGAACATCAACTACTCCTTGCATGGAGCGCCGAACACAACAATAATTTTAAGCCGCAACCTTGGCAATCTTTGAAGCCAACTTTTTGGCCAGCTCCTCCTTCTTCTCAGGCGTCAACCCTTTCTGTGCCAATTTCTTCGCCGCCTCCTGCAGATGCTCCTTAGCACCATCCGTCACCTTCTTGCCAGTCTCAACATACCCCGCTCCACCCGCCACAACGGCCTGTCTGACACCATTAGTATCCTCCGCCATAGGCGTGTTCTTCACACCATTCTGCATAGCCTGAAGGTGCTCAAAGTTATACGTATCCTCGCCCAGACTCCAGGCCATAACACCGCCGATTTTCTTGGCCTGCACAATGTCGGTGAACTTTTGGGTGATCAGGTCGGGAGTATCCCAGGTCCAGAACAGGTTGGTCTCCTTGTCCCAGTAGTATTGACCGCCTTCTTTCTCGTCAGTCTTGCCGTCTTGCTTGGCCCGGCGCCAGGAATCGGTGATGGAGATGCCCTTGCAGGTACCGTAGTCGGAAAGACAGCCAGCTTGGCAGAAGTCGTCGCCGGAACCGCTATAATTCATTGTGAGTTGGGTAACATAGTAGGAAGACGCCAAAAGGGAAGATTCAACTTACCAGTTTCCGTAGGCGGAGCAGCACGTGCCATCAGGACATTTCGTGCCTTCGCTAAAGCCACATTTGCCGTTGGTAGAGGTAGTCAGGTCACTCGGGGGGAGCACCCATCACGCCCTTCTCGAACGTCAAAGCACCTGATTTGCCATTGTCTGAGCCGTCGTCGTTCTCAAGCTTGACAACCTTGCAACCGATGGGGTTCTGATCGCAGTCGGAGTTGGGGTCAGTGGTGAACCACTTGGCATAGTAGGCGAAACCGAGGTTGAGCATCTCAGGATCAGCACCAAAGTCAAGGTAATCCTGGATCACGTCCAAAGATCCCTGCACACTGGTATGGTGGGCGGTAACATTGTCACGACGGTTCATCAGATCGTAGCTCATGACGTTGACCATGTCGACTGACTTGAAGATCTCGGGACCCGTGTCACTGTTCCAGGCGATCATGTCCGGCTTGCGGCCAGGCACGGCGATAGAGAGAGTCTTGTTGCCGATTTCCTTGCGAATGGCAGCGAGGAACTTTGGATAGGTCTCGATTTCGGAGACCTTGTCAGAGTTGGGGACTTGCTTATAGTCCTGGCCGTTGCCGCCGGGGTATTCCCAATCGATATCTAGTCGTCGGTTAATATCTTTGCGGTGGTAAAAACTATCAGGGGCTTTTCATACCGACGCCGTCGAAGCCGTTGGCATCCAGCATCGAGGCCACGTTCTTCGCAAAGCGCTCACGACTGGCATCGTCCTTGGCTCCCTTCGAGAAACCCGCGGTGTCACCCCATCCACCGATGGCGATCATGACCTTAGTATCGGGGCTGAAGCGCTTGCGCATGGTCTCGACAGGCTCGAAAGGCGTGAACGAGGGAGCAGAGTCCGAGTTGAATAGGTCTGTAGCAGCAAAAGCCATAATAGCATGATCGATGTCTGCTGTTTGATCCACGCCGGGAAGATCGCTCGTATGATATCTACAAAACAGATGAGATAAATATCGAGGAGACCCTTCCAATTTCACTTACTCATCAATGTACATGACAAACCGCAGGCTAGCAGCGGTTTGAGCGGCCAATAGGCCAAGTGCAAGTTGCTTCAACATCGTGGAAGCTGGTGACCCGATACTGCTGAGAAGGAGAGTAAATTTTTCTTAAGAATAAAAAACTCCAAAGTCGAAGGACAAACCCAGCGTTCGACAAGGAGTAGAGCAGCGTCAAGCTGCAGTATATCAAAGAGGATAATGAAGAAGGAAGAACTACATTCAATCAAGAAAAACACGACTATATGCCGCAAAAAACATGTTCAGAATGATCTCCGTCCTAACGTTGGCCTCAACGCCCAAGGGGTCATGCCTTTTCCTAGATGAGGCATAATATGCTGTCGATAGGCTCGAGCTACATGGCTCATGGCTCATCCCTGTCCATAGGTGGACCTTTCAGAGAGGGCAGTTGCCCAGCAATGCTGGGGAAAGGGAAGTTCTCTGTGATGTAGGGCGATGGAATGTCGTGTGAGCCGAGTGGCGCCGGCTTCGATGGTCACTAGGTGGAACACAACAGGTCTTCCGAGCATCAAGTATGCTAGGTGAGTTTTTTTTTTTTTAGTCTCCACTGGCGGATAGTCGCGCGGAAGAGGTGGTCAAGTTGGACGTTGAGGATGGTGTAGACTTCGGTTGGAATGTTTGGTCCGCTGTGCATTCATCCCCCCTCTCATTGGCATTCCGTTGTGGAGCTGTAATTCCGCGACAATGCTCGAATGGTAAGAATTACTGCTCGGGGATTTTGACTCGTTCTGGAACTTCTTGGGCCTGGCCACAAAACGGGAGCTCGGGTGGTTGGAGGTTTCACTACGAGGTGATGGGAGTGAGATGAATGATGCATGAGATTCTGTAGGCATGAATACAGTGATCTAGGGGTATAAAGAAAGCCCAGAAAACGCCGGATCTATGACACACTGGCGAAAATGGTGGCAGCACTGGACAAAAGCATTAGTTCCAGTGCCGTCGAATAATGGGACGCGCTGGATCCCATGGACCGATGACCACATTCTTATACTTCTGCAGGCTGATGAGCCACCAGCTGCAGCCTCCCAATGTGAGTGCAGTCAGGATACTGCCAAGGACGGACCCAATTATGGCGGATGCCCATCCACCACTTAGAGTCATGCCAACTGCGCCTCCAGCAATGATGACTAGAGCGAGGGAAAGAAGAACATGGCCTGTCCACGACTTTTGCCGCAGTTGGCGACGGAAAATGGGGAACAACCCGAAAACTTCCATGGAGAACAACATCAGACTGAATACATGGGTAGTTGATGGTAAACGAGACGCGAGTACCGTTGAGGCCATCACGGCCGCGTTGGTCGAAAGAGAAGCTGGGAACTTGGTGGCGCCTGCGCCTTCACCACGTCCGTAGTCAAAGGAAAATATGTTCATGATTAAGAGCCAGCAACTCATCGCCCAGATAGAGTCGCTGGCGGTAGACTTGGTAAGGGATTTGAGAACAGGACTAAGTCCCAGCAAGGAAAAGTAGATCAAAAATGCCGACTTGACCGTCGATAGTCGTTGGCGGTTGCGTGACGAGAATAAGGAGGAACGGTCAATCTGAGACTCGTCGCTGCCACCCATCGCACTGGAAGGAGTTGAAGCTCCAGCGTGGGAAGAAGGGTTCAGCAGGCCATTCAACTCGGGACTCCGCTGGGGCATATGCTCTTTGGACTCGTTACCTGCCATGGTCAACCCAAGACCATGGATTGCATTTTCGTCTGTGCCATTTGCTTGAGTGTCATTGCCGGACGCGTTGACAGCGCTTGTCATGGAGCTTGAACTAGAGCCATCGTCACCAAGGACACCATTCGTCCCTTGAGACAGTTCTTTTTGCTCAATCCAGATCCAATTGTCCCAAAGAATCCAGCCCATGGCAGTTCCAACACTCCCCCAGCAGACTATCGAGACTGGGCTCACGCGGTCTTGAACGATGCCGACAAAACAGCAAACGAATATGACGACCGAACAGACATGTTGCACAATAACGGTTGAGTCTGCAACCAGTGGCCAGAAGTCGTACGGTCGGACTCGCGGGTTTCTTTGAAGATGGTCGAGAAAGGTCTCCGTATCGGTGTAGTTGTCGGGATCTGTCCGGCCCCGTCAGTACAGCCCCATAGAATCCACATCATGCAAACATACAAGACTGTTTCACCCACAGAAGCTTTTTCCAAGCACCCTTCCGTCTCCGACGTCCACCACCTAATTTCCTCACATCTTTCTGACTCGAAACGCCGCCAAGCACCCCACGTGGAGGCCGTAACGTAGATACTGTCCCATCACTATTTAACGAGCGCAAATTCTCATCATAACTCACAGGCGCCGAGCGAATCCTTGACAAGGATGGCCCAAAGTATGCATCTTCGGGCGCGAGGCGGTTGGGATCGGGGATGCGCTCCTGTTCAGGAGCGTTGGACCCCGGGGCTCGATAGGGGTGTGTGTCGACGGGAATGGGTGGGGGCAACGGAAACCGCGATGAGGGTGGGGGAGTCATCGAGCTGACGAAACTAGTATTGGAGCATGGTGTTGGGAAGAAGCAATTGGGCTTTAAACGTCCAAATGAATCGTGATGCGGAACGCGCAATCCCACGTGTATGGCAACGTTGAGGTCATGTGATTTAAAGCTACTTTCTGCCTTGACGATCGGGCTTCAAATAGTCTAAAATGCAGAATGTGCTGGGGAATCTGATGGTTGATAGCTAAGCTCACGAATGGCTTTCAAAGAAAATGAGACATTTCAAATCGTGAGTTATACATTAATTTCGCATCGAGTCAAACAATTATCAATTTTCGATTCACCTTCAATATTACCTTCACAAACGCTTCGTGATCTTCATTCCCGAAGATTCAAGCGCTCAGGGTCCGGAAGCTCATTCTTGACATCAAAAAGCATTGAAACAGAGAAAGCTTCATGTATTTGTCCCTAAGGAACTTAATCAACCTCGCAGCAGGTGAGCAATCGCTTCGCGCATAGGTGAAGTAGCAAATAAGACCTCCTTCGCCGGGAACGATCATGTAAACGAGAGATTCGTTGAAATTACCAATTGTGTTCTAATTAATACATGACGGTCTGCCGAAATGAATACGCATCCTGTCACCATTTCATCTGCTGACAGCTTCTCCGAGACGGACAAGACATGTGACAACGGGAGATTCAGGGGTATCACGCTGGTGTTTCTGTGAGCAAACTCACAAATGGGCAGCGGATTTGGGTAAAGAATATGACTTCCAGGCGGAAGTGATGTGACGAACACCATGCAGATTTCTCCAGCACATCTATCGGACCAGAAGAAGCGTGCTATTTTGTGAGTCTAGGAAGACCAATGGGTGGTTAGGATTTGATGAAGTATAGAAAGGGGTATCAATGCTTCAGAAGTGGGTGAAGATATAGAAAGGTCGCCCTGGCCCGCTATGATGAGCTGGGCTGGTTATTCTGTGGTTGATCGAAGGTATTATTTTGGACGAGGTTGCGAACCGCCTGCGGTGCCACCACGTCATCGACGCTGTTCCTGCGGCCCCAATTTTGAGGCTGTCGTCGGATGAAAGCGCCAACGGCACCCAAGTAGCCCTCATGACGCAAGAAGTATGCTTGCTTCTCGCCTTTAGACCAGAAGCGGATGGCATAAGAGAGGGTGTTCATGGTCTGGCGGTGACCACGAATGAAGGAACCGCCGAAGTAGATGTGCTTGACTTCGTGCTTCTCGGACTGGAGGTAGGCGATCTGACCGATGTTGTTACTGGTGTATGTTAGCTTTGTGCCTTTTCAAGCAGAAGAAAATGCGTACCTAATGGCATATAGAAGGCTCCGGCTCATGTCTTCGGGACGGAAATTGACCCCGCCGTTGGTCTGCTTCGGGTCATCGTCGTGGTAAAGACCCTCGCCGTCCTCGGCACCTCGCTCGGCAGCGTTCTTCAGGCGGAAAACTTTGCCAAATGTGCTGGCAATGGCTGTGCTCTTGAGCCCAATCTTTGTATAGTCCATTCCGTAAATATCGCCCACCAGCATGTCCACGCCGCTGTTGTCTCCGCGATCCGCCATGGCCAGCATGTCGTCAAAGGTGCGAGCGCCTGTCAGCAAGGACATCAACCCCCAGAAAGTTCCGCCACCGAGATGTGTACCTCCGACACGCTGGAATTGCCTCGGGCCGGACACCTTGATCATTGACACGCCGGACCCTATGTTGACCAAGAGATAGGGGTAAACGTCCGGCCGTGCCTCAGCAAATTGCATCGGTTCACTGTCGGTGTCGCTATAGGTGAACACTTCGTTGGGGATTTCGGTGATGAAAAAGTCTAGGCCTAGTGGGAAGATTGGTTAGGAGAGTCTCAACATCCAATTCCGGTGAGCCGGGGACCTACCTATGATCAGACATTCCATCTCCTCCTCTCGCAGAATGTTGACGTCCAGCGCCTCCTTAAGCTTATCGTAAAACTTGTATGCGCCCCCTCCAGTTGCCACAACGCACAACTCGTCACGCGGGTTGCTATTGAGCTGCTCGTGCTCCTCCTTGAGCTGGCGAATGAAATTGATGCAGATGTCAATCCGGTGAGTTTCGAAGTTGATGAAGTTCAAGCGACCACCATTGTCTTCCGCGTCGAGCTCCCGCGTGAAGTACACGAGCTTCGCAAGCGATCCGCCGATCTATATGGCAATTGTGGTCAGTCACGCCGTGCTTCAAAGTTTTCGCAGATTGCGGGGTGCCGGTCGCAGTGCGGGGCAGATAAAGTCCAAAACTCACATCGACGGCGACATGGCTCACAACTCCGGTATGGTGAGGGAGCCGAATGTCTTTGTTCTCGTAGTGGACCCCGTCAGCTTCAACGGGACTTCGAGAGCGGTCGTCGTCGTCGACGATGAAGGCGCCCGTGACATTGATCTTCACGGCGCCGGGGTTGGAAATGGCCTCCTCCACCCTAGGCAAGCGCCCTGGGCGCTTGCGGCGGGCATCAGACTCCGTAAGATCGGAGGGAGCCATATTTAGATTGTAATTGTAGAGTCAGGAGGAAGAGAAAGGGAGGAGATGCTCGTGCCCAGGCTTACGGCGTACTTCTCCTTCTACCCGAACTGCCAAAATGGGATCCACTCAACAAAATCCGTGCCGAGGGCTTTCCCTTCCGAGGTCCCTGAATGTAACCTCCCTCGTTCCGTATGGTTATGTCAAGTACTTAGGTAGTCAGGACCTCGGGAGTCAAGAGGAGCTAAGTCACATATCATATTATTTTCTCTTTCTGACCAATTACATACAATGACATGCCGGCTTAGCTCAGAACGCTTAATATTTACCTCTTAGGACTCAGGTACAAGACTTCAGACTAGCTAAATTTGATCGACAATAGACCTCTCCACCTAGCGTATAGCCCGCTGTAGATTTTACGTTGCAAGATCTATACTTGACTAGAGACCTCTCCACTTTAAGCTAGCCGACTGCGATCACGTAGCTAGAAACACCTTCGCGCAATTTCGAGGGAGACTTATGACAACATTTCAATAATTCTATTACCTTCAGCAACACCTAAATCATGTGCCAGATTTCCGTTGCAACTTTATTCAGCAATTTTCAAAGTGTACGTGGTCCTTTGGCCGTTATTTTAACCTTCGGGCTTATACTAGCATTTCGCAGGCTAGTCCCAAACTAGACTATGCATTCAGACCACCATTGGGCAGAGAACCCTTTCTTTCAGTGCGAGTATCATCAAGCTGCGCATATGGAAGCCCTTGTGCACTTCGTCATTGCTATAAGTATGAGCTAGAGAGTCGATTCTCATGCGAATATCTCATACTTGCATTAGTATCTCCAAATAAGTTGAAATTCTTACTCTAATTCCTGAGTCACGTCAACAGATCATTCGATAGGCCATTAGCAATCTTCAAGGACTGAGATGACTCTGGAATACACTGTGCCAGAAAAATGAATACACAGAACCATGAATAGTAGAAATTCTGGCCTGAGTTTTTTCCAATAAGGCACGTGTACGGCTAGCATTTGCTTGTAGAAGTGTGACCGTGTTCTCTCCTCCTTTTCTTCTGTTATCTGTTTTCTCTCTCCACTCTCTCTCTCTCCTTTCATTCAGTCTTCCACCCTTTTAGCACTGCTGAGTCAATTCAATTTGAACTTCACAGTCCATTGCGGTCACTCCATCTTATTTCTCACTTACGTGAGCTGCTTGCAAGGCAGTACACCCACATCCTCTCCTCGTCTCCCTCGCAAAAAGATCTCCCTCATCCTTCCACAATGGCTGTTTGGGATCACTTTGAGAATTCTGGCTCTCACCCGCCCCACCCGGTAGACACTATCATTGCCGGATTGGCTGATGTTAATATTACTGAAGAGAGTGAAGTTGGTGAAGCGAGTGAGCTCGCTGGTCTTGACCACCCTCCCAATCAGTGGCTTGGCCCTTCCGGTGATTCCATCAAGGATGTTGCTGCCAGAGGCTGGTCCGATCGTATCCCGTTCGAATACGCTGACTTATCGAACCCTGAGTTCGCCGAGTGGGCATGCAATGCCAAATGCTACGAATGGAAAGGTGAATTTGGAGATGTCGGTCCGAAAAATGAGGAGCTCGAGAAACAGCTTTTCAACGCCGACAACATGACTCGAGCTGGACTGCAGCTTGACCGGTATGTTCAATTACGTGTTGTTTAGGTCTGACCCACTACTTAGCATCAATATCCAGGTTAAACGAGATCGACGTTCGCGTGGAAAGCGAAGATCGTGTGCACCCCATTGTCAGTGTTAGTACCACCCACCACTCCATTGAATCTTATCGCTGCCTTTGAGCGTAGCTAATCTTTATTTGCAGTGGGATCACGCCGGCTTGCACCCTATTATGAGACAGAATATCGATCTGTGCCTTTACACTGCTCCCACAGCCATCCAAATGTACACCATCCCTGCCATTCTCACTGATAGGGATCTGATTGGTATCTCTCAGACTGGTCCGCTGTCAATATCTGATTTAGTACGATGTTGTTGCTAAAAGATACAGGCTCTGGCAAGACAGCCGCATACCTTATTCCAATTCTGTCTAAGCTGATGGGAAAGGCGAAAAAGCTGGCCGCCCACGCCCCGACAACGTCGGGCCTGACTTTGACGCAAAGCTGAATGGAGTCCGAGCGGAACCTCTGGTACTCATTGTATGTCCCACGCGAGAGTTGGCAACCCAAATTTTTGACGATGCTCGTCGTCTTTGCTATCGCTCCATGCTGCGTCCTTGTGTTGCATATGGCGGCGTGCCTTCTCGTTTTCAGCGAGAGGAGCTTCGAAAGGGATGCGATATTTTGATCGGTACTCCCGGTCGGATCATTGACTTCATGGGACAGGGTCACGTCTTGTCGCTTCATCGGGTCAAGTAAATGACCTGGACACTTACATGCATCCTTGAATCTAGAAAGCTGACCTCAAGAAAGGTACACCGTCATTGACGAAGCTGACGAGCTACTTCATTCCGACTGGGAGGACGATTTCAAGAAGATCATGTCAGGTGGAGGTAAATTTCAACATGAGACTAGGATCTCGGTTTCTTACTTTGTGCAGATGCCACCGAAGATGATGATCACCGCTACATGATGTTTTCTGCTACCTTCAACAAGGATTGTCGAAAACTTGCTCGTGAGCATCTCGGCCAGAACTACGTTCGCATCAGCATTGGACGCCCGGGCAGTTCGCATCTCAATGTCGAGCAGCAGGTAAATCACCCCTTCCTATCCGCCTCGTCACGATGTTCGTTGAAAGTTTAGCCCACTGACTGTATTATGAGATCATCTACGTCGAGGAATCACGGAAGAACGACGCCCTCTACGACCTTCTGTTGAGCATGTGCCCGATTCGCATTCTCGTTTTCGTCAACAACAAAAAGCAGGTCGATTATGTCGACGCATTCCTCTATGAGCACGGTCTTCCCAGCACCTCGATTCATGGTGATCGGACCCAACGAGAGCGAGAAGATGCCATGTGAGTATCTCCAATTTCGGATGTGATAAATACTTGCTGAATTATTGAACAGCCGCTCTTTCAAGACTGCGCAGTGCCCCATCATGGTCGCCACGGCTCTTTCTGCCCGAGGTTTGGACATCCCAAACCTCATGCATGTGGTCAACTATGATCTTCCGAGGGCCAATCACGGTGGTATCAACGAGTACATCCACCGCATTGGTATGTTCAGCTGATGCGTTTCTTGTTCCCGCCTTTGTTTTCCTCCCAAAAGTTGATAAATTCATTTGCACAGGGCGCACCGCACGTATCGGAAATGAAGGACTGGCAACTTCTTTTTACACCGACAAGGATAAAGACCTTGCCTTTGACCTGGTGCGAATCTTGCTGGAGTGCAACCAGCCAGTTCCCGACTTTCTTGAGCATCACATTCCAGCTGGTAGTCGTCCTGTGTTTGACGACGATGAGACCGACAGCGAAAGTGACGATGACAACAGAGCTGATATTGGCCCTGAGAACGAAGACGAGATCAATGTTGGGGTTGCCGCGATCCACCACAATAACGGAGACAATCAGGGCGAAGACGGCCAGGTTTCCTCCCGTCGGGAGGCCTTTGGTGCAGACAAAACCGGTCCGGGCGGATCTCACTGGGCTACCAACGACGTGACGCTGTAAACAGCAGATGCACTTCCTGGTGAAGTTTGAATTAACCTGCCCGGGATTCCCCTTTCACTCTCCCGGTGTAAGCGGTGATGGTGATCAATGAAAATTCTGACTGAGGGCTTTGATGGGCAGATTGTTACAAGTGATCATCTTTCTTGTTTAGTCATACCCATCTGTCTATCAGGATCTCTTCCCTCTACCTTTGCCTATGGCTAGTGCTGATGAGAGCCGTTGTCGTGGGCTGTCCTGACAACGAGCTGTATCATCTATTCATGCTCTTGAAGAAAGTGTTGCGACTCCCTGGGTTGAAACCTCTTGCCCTTCGAGCCCTCCACCTCTAATTTGTTCTTGTCTCATAGCTACAAGACGAACGATTTCCAGTTTCTGAAAAAGTCCGCCGTTTCTCAGTAGTTCAAGGAAGGGGACAGTTGACACCTTCCTAATTGTAGAGCAACGTGCTTGCTTATACTTCAAGCTCCGCTCAAGGATTGCTTGGCTCATCTGGCCGATTTCATCCTGTTAAGTCTACATCGCCTGTTCACTCCTTTCTCTTCGCCAGCTCATCCCTCGTCATGAAGAGCCACATATTTCTATCGCCGGCCGCCCTCGTCTTGACCCTGTTCTCGACGAGAAGCCTCGCCCACGGGCACTACAGCGACCAGCAATGGTACGAGCCTCGAGAGCAGCACATCCTTGATGCCCCCGAAATTGCAAGGCCCATGCCCTCACTCGGCATCGACACATTTCAAAACCCAACGCACAACGACCTGGGTTTCTGGCATGGTGCGGGTGAAAATTTGACCACGCAGTACCAGCCTGGCTCCATGCGACTCTTCCCAACCGACCCGGATCAAAATTTTCATACACAGTTCGAAACGAACGGGTGCTTCAGTTTAATCCCGTGGCAAGATCAATTCCTACATGTTGAATTTGTCGGCACCGATCGGTTCACTGTTTCCTTGAACGAGCATAACGTCGACTGCTCCCCTCGTCGTGCTCCGTTCCCGGGTGTACCAGACAGTATTCAGGCATCACGCTATGTGATGAGAATAGGGCACGGTGGCTCCAACATTGATGAAGAAGACCCTGAAGAGGACGAGACTATTCGCAAGAAAGACGGCGAGAAGCAAAAAAGCAAAGACAACTGCCGCGATGAAGATGTGCAGTCCCCAGCTGCGCCGCCGAAGAAAGAGCTGTTCATTCCGCTCTCTCACTTCCACATCGATCAGAATCGCGTCATATCTGTCTCTTTCTCCGGCTTTTATACCAACAAGTCCGTCACGCTGCATCGGGTTGAGATTGTTTCGAGTGTCCCGCCGCCGAGGGAGGAAAATAACTACTTCAAGGTTCCTGAGAAGCTACCCACAGGAGACTTGATTCTGCGATGTACTCGGCCAAACTCCTTTGCGTTTGGAATCGATGATGGATCGCCTCGCTTTGCGCAGGAGGTTATGAGGATCCTTGATGAGGAGGATGTTCGGGTTACATTCTTTGCTGTCGGAGCTGGACTCAGGGATACCACCACAAATCTCACCACTTTCTATCGTGAAATGCTGGCCAAGGGGCATCAAGTTGCGCTGCACTCATATACACACCCCAGGTAAGTTGGGTCTCAAAGAGTGCATGTAATTGATGTACTGACTTTGATCAGAATGGAAGCCTTGCCCACACTTGACCAGATTGATGACGAAATCATCCAAGCCCAAAGGACTCTCCAGGAACAACTCGGGATCGAATGTGAGTTGGAACTCGCAATCATGTAACCAGCAGCTCTAACAATCCTACCAGCCTCCTACTTTAGACCCCCATTCGGAACCGTCGGCGCGCGGATGCGACAGCAAATAGCAAAGTACATCCCCAACGCACACATCGTCAACTGGAGCGTCGACGTGGAAGATTGGCTCTGGGCCAACAGTTCAACTCCAGAGAGGCAGCTCGACGCATTCTATCGCAGCGTCGCACGAGGCGGCAATCTCGCCGTGATGCACTTCCTCAACCCCACGACGGTCGGGTATCTACCCCAGTTCATTCGACATGTCCAAGCCTCTGGTCTCAGGATCATGCGTGTTGATCAGTGCATGGAAGATCCCAACAGCCCACCAGTATTGTGAGGATCAACATTAGATACCAACAGAGAGGGATCATGATGTGTAGATTGCCTACGTGTATTCTTATACTGTATCCTTTCATCGCCTTACAGACGGCTTCCCAGTCCATAGTGTTTTATTCAGTGTTGTTCTCTTCATGGGATATAATAAATTGTTTAGAAGCGCCAGGTGTCAAGCGCACAAGATCGTCATCCGTGACGCCGGCTCTATATGAGAATATACTCCAACACCAACACCAGCCAAGATTTGCACCACCCGAGAGAAAAAATAAATCATGATAGAACAATATAGAGATAAAGACCCGGTGGTGATGCCATGCATGTGAAGAAACCCTACATCCTAACTCCCGCCCCAAAAAAAAGGGAGATCCAAGACAAGTCAAACAGCAAATATTTTATCAACGCCAACGCTTAAGCTCATGAAGTATCCCCAAACTCGGGTGCTCTACACAACCCCTTTTGATCCATCATCGTGCGAATCCGGCTTGTGAGCCAGCCTGATGCCGCATTGCGGTGCGGGCTGCCAAGGCGTGGGTTGCTGCTCGTGAAACATGTGTTTTCGCGGAAACTGAACTGCACGCAGGTCGTTTGTGCGTCGCAAACCTCGCGACAATCTTCGAAGGTTGTTGCGAAGGGTTGTTCCTCGCCTGATAGATTGTCCCAGCTCAGGCGGCTCCGAGAGATGGCGATTTCGGGGTAGATGAATTCGCGGAAGAGGTCGCTGTGGAGGAGGAGACGTTTGTTTTTCTGAGGTCATTAGTGTGATGATTATATAGTGGGGGTGTTGGAGAGGGATTTACTTCATGCCATCGTCTTTGTTCAAATTTCCAGAGATCTTCGATGTCTTCGGCTTTGAGGTGGTGCAGTGCGACGGCTATGTAGCACCATGGTTCACGGTATAGTTCTGTTGTGAACTCGTCTAGTTCACCCAGGTTGGAGTTTTGTAAAATCGGCCAGGAGAAGTGTAGGTTGACGCCGGCATCGGCTAGGACCTTGCCCAGGACACAGTCGCCAGCCCAGTGTCCGTCTGTATAGTCGTCGAGCTCGGCGCGGCGTGTCTCGTACTGTTCCGAGACTTTTGTAAGAGCTGGGTTGGAGAGCATGAAGCCTGAGCCACCGTGGGCGAAGATGACATCTGCGATTTGAGTCTCGGTGCCGAGATAGTATGGCTGTTTGTGGTCGAACTTGGACAGCCAGGTAAGCAGCGTCGGCCAAGAGGGGTAGGTGTCAGCTTCCATGAAGACAAACCACTTGGCATCGGGCTTGTACTTCAGTGCCTCCTGCGCCATAGGCAGGAACTTCCACTTGTCCAATTTCCATCCCGGGTTATTTGGTTTTCCAAAGTTGGTGTTGTCCTCGTCGGCGAAGTCCTGCTGTTCCAGACCTTTGCGCCCCTTGCCAGCAATGCGATTATAAATTTCAAAATCCTGCACGCGCATTTTCACATCGGAGTCGATGGTACTCAATGCATCGTAGATCTTCACACCCTCGATCTCCTCCTCAAAGTCGGAGTAGATCACGTAGTGAGGGATGCAGCTGAGGGTGGTTTTGAAGTGGATCGGGACTTTCTGTCGAGCTTCGGTGACACCGGTCTTCATGACAACGAGGATATCCTCGATGCCTGGGAGAGGCGGGCATTTCGTAGATGGCTCGCCGGCATACTGGATGTGAGCGTCGGGGTGGCTGGGGCGGGATCGTCGATACGGGAGGCTCGATTGCAAGGAGAAGATGTGGTATAGGAAGAGAAGCGCAACAGCGGCAGCGACGGCAGTGACGCGGCGACTGAATCTTCGAGGGATCATGATTGAGGAGAGTACCTCGTCCAAAAGGAACAGGTCGCCTGCAGCTTTGGAAGGTGGGCGCTAAGTGATCGACGCCGCGCACGGGCTGCTGACACACGCCGGACGCGTACAGTGTCCGATTCTAGATTAGAATTGGGCATTGGCATTGCGGAATGTCACAGCTTCGATAACAATAAATTTTGAGACAGTTGGCTTTTTCTATTAGCTTCTCTTCTTCTGTTAAGACCCAAGTGTTTGGTAACGCCCCCTGTTCATAGTATAGGGGCATCTCGCTATGCCTTAGTGATCGTCATGAAGATCTACTTCACTGCCCCATTCTAATTACTCCTGAATGATTTTTAGTGGAATGTGCCACTGACTCGCCATCACCTAATTTTTTGGTGATGCCCCTGGCACTTGAACTCGACGTGTAATCAACGTCGTCTGGGTACAAGAAAGTTGATTGGGCATTGATCATGCCTACCAAAGAATGCATAGATCCGGGGATCTGCTTTGTCACATTCTACGGCATTATATGTCGTTGGAAATAGCTCCTGTGCACCTGAGTATGCTCTTATCCCCGCATTTGAGTGCACTCGAGACCTGAGTCAGAACTCGACATCAACTTTGAAAAGGCACAAGTGCATGTGATAACCTTGAAAACTCCTTTGTTTTGATCTAGACCTAGCTTCCACCGTGCCGGGATGTGGCTTAGCGCCGCCATTCTCAGCCTTTTTTGGAGGGGTTAGATCACTCGCAGGGGTTGCTGTGGTTTTTTCATCCGTGGCGGCTGTGCTTCGAACATGTGCGTTGGATGGCCCCCAACAGCAACGAGTAATGTCTAGAACTTTATGCGGGGCCATGATAGTCTTCATGGCAGGGCTATGCAGCTTGACGTGTTCTGGTGATTTTGGCTGCCCTTCCAACGGGCGTTGAGGGTCAGGAAGCTAGGATCTTTTCTTAGTCTTCCTTAACGCTGTCATGATAATTAATTTAGTTCCACAGTTGCTCTGATATGCTGTTTCAGACACTCCATGGACTGAGCAGTACGCTTATTATACACTGGCATCTCGACAAAGAACTCCTTTTATAAGAGGTCACTGGTGTGAAAGGACCATTATTCCGATGCATCCACGAGAAATGCCATCATTGCGCCGCTGCCTTCTTCTCCGCGATCCTCGCATCGTGCAACTTCACCAATTCCGGAATGATCAGGCTCTCAATCTCAACGCCTTCCTCGATGCCCACCGCAGGAGGCTGATCCGTCTCATTGACTTTGCGTGCCTCTCCTTTCTTGATCTCGGCGAGCCCAACTTGATCCTCCGCGCCGGAGATACTCTTGCTGCGCCGAGACTTTGGTACTCGGATCCATCGCTCGTACGGCGGATCTGGCGTAATAAATACGACCTCCCATTTGCGGGTCGAGAGCATGTTTCCAATGACAAGATGGTGTGCGTAGCGCTGCAAAGCAGTGCGGGCCTTGTAGACCAGCAGCGCAGGGTCGGTTTCCAGTTTAAATGAGACAACCATACTCCCATCAGGGGCCCAGCCGTCCACAAGTCTGTGCAGGAATTTCGGTACCGGGTCAAGGTGGACAACCAGCATCTTGCTATTCTTTGCAGGCTCGTTCTCGTTCTCGCCGGTGTAAATCTCCTCACCGGCGACTGCATGATCCCGGAAATTGGCTGGGATCTCCGAAGATTGAATCTTATGTTCTGCCATCCGGCTGCGCGGGATGAAGAAGTCACTCACGGCAGCCGCGAGGTAGAAAAGCGCATTATAGCCCAGAGGCCGCATCAGCTTCGCCATAGCGCGTAGTTCGAACATGTACTCCGCCACTGTGGTGAAAGGCAAAAGAAGCAGACGGTTATTCTGCTTGGCATAGCGGTATTTGCGCAAGACATCGCGCATCTGATTCTGGTACTCATTGCGCACGATGATCGAGCCATCCATTGAGCCATTCGAGGGCGGCGCTTCATCCATGAAATCCAAGAAACAGTTGGTCGAGTGGCTATAGTGCCGCGAATACGGCAGGAGACTATACTGCCGGTGCAAGAAGAGAACCGCGTACCCCTGTTCCAGGAAGTACTCTGCGGAGGTGGCTCCGCGAGTACCAGCGGAGAAGTTGTCGATGAAGCGAACTGTTTGCGCCTCTAGAGGCACTGTCGTTCCACCGGAGGTAACGAGTACCACGCGGCGGTTTTCTTCGACATGAAGGTCGATGAATGCGCGGGCCAAAGCCTCGTGCCTGGGGAGTGCCTTTGGCGGCGGGTACTCACTGAAATACACAGACTCCGCCTCGGCGGGTTCCATGTCGCCGAGTGAGGGGCTCATGGTGTAGTCAATTAAGTTCTCGATATGAGAGCCCAATGTGATAATAAATTGGGATAGCTTTGCGTTGAGGCTATTATCTCCGTGTTCTCAACAAAAAAAAAAAAGGTATGCTTCGCCGAGTCGGGAGAGTCGGGCAAATCAGAAGCCGAGGATGCCGCGGACAGGAGGGGTACGGGTGGATGCAACCGTGGTGTCTGTCAACTCCACGTTGCGCGATTCATTAAATCCACGCCGTTCTTTGCAATGATAATGAATGATAGATGGCTTGGTTCTTTTTGAGATTGTTTAGGGATGGTAATCTCCAGCTCTCATGTTATCGCGGCGAAGTGTGGTAATTGACAGTAGCGAAGGTTAGACTCTCCTGTTTCGGTGCTAGCGCTGCCGCTGGACCGATACTACAGTAGAGCTTTGGCTCCGAAAAATGGTCGCTCAGTGGATGAGAATCACTGGATCTTGAGATGACTGGTGCTCGTCGCTGATGCCGAGGCGTCCGTTTCTGTCGATGGTCACGTGTTGTTCGCGGGGATTTGGTGTGGGCCCCTATGGACACTTGGAATGCCTTAGGCCCACAGTCCACGGGAATACTATAATCCGTCCTCTGTTCGTACGGCCTTACAGTACAGTATTCACCGAGTGACGAAATGGCGTGGTCTGTCGCCTTAACTCCGTTTAAGACAATACACACCGTACCTCCAGCAGATTCCATATATTTGACGGCAAAGCCATCGGATCTTTCTTCCTCTTTCTTCCCTCAATCAGACGCGTTGGCAAAATGTCAGTTCACTTCGAAACGGATGTTGTTCTTCTCACTTGTGCGAGTGGCAAGCAGTGCTCCCGGCTAATTCCTCTTCTCTACAATCAATGGAACCATCTACGGCTCGTCGTGAACACTTTGTCCTCCGAAGAGTCGCTCAAGACGAAGTGGCCTAATGCGACAGTTGTACGAGCCGATATGTCCCGAGCTGAAGATGCGCGGCGTCTATTGTCTGGAGTCACGACTGTGCTATACATCGGGCCATCTGCTCATAGCCACGAAACTGAAATCGGGTATACTATGATCGACGCTGCACGCCACGAGTCCCAACAAGGCACTTTAAAGCACTTCGTTTACTCCTCCGTGCTACATCCACAACTCCGCAAGTTGATGAACCATGATTGCAAGCGCTACGTGGAAGAGTACCTGATTGAATCCGGGCTTAACTATACTATTATTCAGCCGAGTCATATCTTAGATCAGTTCCCGGTGGAGCATTTGCTGCAATCAGAAGACCCTGTTTTCCCTGCCAGCTTTGATCCGCAGGTAACATTCTCTTTCACGGTCTTACAGGATTTGGCCGAGGCCTTTGCACGCATTATCAATGAGAGAGAGAAGCATTACCTGGCAGAGTACACAGCCTGTTCCAGTGGGCCAACATCTTATGCCGATTTGATTGCGATGCTAAGCGAGGAAATTGACAAGCCTATCCGGATCCTGAGAAAGGACTTCTTCGAATCGTCAGACCAATTTCAAAACACACTGGCTGGCAAGTACGGCGATGTTCCACCAGGTACCCGTGATACGATCCAGCGACTGCTACTTTACTACAATTTTTACGGGATCAAAGGCAACCCAAACGTGCTGGGCTGGCTAATTGGACGGACGCCTACAACTGTAAAGGACTTTTTACGCCAGAGAATCCGGGACTTTCAGAACTCTTAGAAAACCAGTGTAAGGTAGTTTAATGAAGCCTGAAATATACTGCCAACGATGGAAATACTGTTTCAGGAGTGTATTAGCGTATTTCATTTCTTATCCCCGAGAATTACCCAAAGTCCGAGGTACGTAACCCCGTCGGTCCCTAGCGCAAAGATATGCGCCAGTTTCCCGGATTTGCGAACCACTTTACGTATCTCTTGCCATTTTTAAATGTGAAACAAGCCTAGGCTGTATATTCAAAGTTACAAAGATTGTTTTGTACCATTATATAAACCCTTTAAGTCCGGTTTTCAGCATGGGTGTAAGTCCCAATCCTCCCACGATGAGTTTCCCCTACAAGCATGTCCTGCTCATCGGAGCTACCTCTGGCATTGGATATGCCATGGCGAATAAAATGCTTGAACATAACATTAAAGTGACTGCCGTGGGCCGTCGCCAGGAACGCTTGGACGCATGGGTACAGGAAAATGGCACCGAGAAAGCTCATGGGAAAGTCTTTGACATTAGCCATCTCGATGCAATCCCCCAATTTGCAGCGGAGTAAGTAAAACCCAATTACACTCTCTTATATGTCGTTGCCAGGTCTAAAGACGCGCAAACATCGAATAGGATCACCAATCAATCCCCGGATATCGACTGCGTGTTTATAAATGCTGGCTTCCAGCTTCCGAGCGACTTCACTTCCCCCCAGACCGTTGATTTGCCTGCGTATCACCAAATCATGCACGTCAACTATACGGCTGCTGTGACTCTGGCGACTGCCTTTCTCCCTTTTCTGTCGGAGAAGACAACTGCGACAGGTCTGATCTTGTGAGCTGCCCCCCTAACTATCATATCAAAGATCAAAGCTAACAGGACACAAATAGCACCCAATCTAACCTCGCGATCGTACCCGCGGCCTCCATGCCGGGTTATTGCGCATCCAAGGCTGCTTTGAATACATTCGCCATGTGTCTTCGGTCTCAACTAGCAGAGGCCAAGTCCAACGTCAATGTGATTGAGATCTTTCCCCGGCTGTTCAAAGTAAGCTAAATCAATTTCACCCGTCTTTGCATCGGCGAATGGCGATATGCTAATAGAGACGTATAGCCGAGCTGCACGACTACATGGGGCCCGAGAAGGGCCGTCAATTGGGAATGCCCCTGGCGGAATTCACGGAAAAGGCCTGGCAGGGACTAGCTAGTGGTGACGATGAGGTCTACGTCGGGTGTATTGGGCCGGAGGACCGCTTTTTCAGCATCGCTCGGCAACGCCGTTCTGCTTGCGAAGATTTTGCTCAGATGATGCGGAAGATGCACTAAATTTCACACCTCAGGAGATTCACGCAGCTTCCAGCTTGCACATACAAGGTTGACGACAATGTATAGAGTAGAATCACATCATCTCGAAGAATGTGTCTAAAAGACAGTCAAATATCTAAATTGCGGCCATCTTGCAGCGCCAGTTCCTCATTGATTGCTATCTCGTCAAGGTTAGGGTGAGATTTTCGACCAGATGATCGCACAAAGCTTCAAGCATGACTGTTGTGATGCTACCGGGTCATCCGCCTCGACTAGGCTGTGCTTCTACGCCGCCAAACATGCGTATATTGGAAGATATTCTCTGGATGGTACTTCTATTGCAGCCAGCAGCCTGTGCCGTTTGCGATATTGACAGCTCCCCACTGTGAATCATGTCATACATAAGCTTATGCTTCGAAAGGGGTAGGTTTGGCCCATCTTGGGTCGACCACTCATGATTGAGTTGTTGAGAACGCCGTCTCTCATGAGGTTTCTTTGAAGGCAGGACTGGGAGGTCCCAAGGATATTTATTACAAGATAAAGCGGAATTTGAAATACAGTATAATTGAGGGGACCCCCTTCCGGACGAAGAACTATCAAGTACTCTGTTTCATTCTCATATTGGCGAGACTCAATCTACTCAATGTAATACATTACTTTCAGACCTTCGGTTATGGAAAATCAAGAAGCAAAGTATTTTGACCTTCATCCACGCTAGCAAAGTGTTACCGATTTGTGGAATCATTCAAATATGCACCCGGTAGATCTCATCACTAGTCGAGCGGACTGCGTGCACTATAAACATTGATGTACCAGGTAGGGCTACGAGGGTGCAATCATTGCAGGTAGCGGCTGCGCAACGCCTGACTGATGGTGCTCATTCGGCTGGCCATGCCTCCATGTTGCATGTTGCTCGCCAAAGCTTCTTCCAGAGCTGATTGTGTAACGCTGGCATCTGCAGGGTGCATGAATGATTAACAAGAGGGATGTATCGTGAAAGGGGGGAACTCACCATCGAGGTCACTAAAGCTACTGCCCATGCTGGGGGGTACCATCGCTAGCCTCTCGCCCTGACGCTGTAGACTTGCGAGAGCTCTGGCGGAGGGCCATCCCGGCTCGGTGGGGACTCAATGGGCCAATCCTGCCACTATCTCCCTGTGTGTGACTTGCTGGGGCTCCAGAGCTGATAGAACTCGTCGATGACTCCATATTCGTAGGCCCTCTGGGCCCAGATCGGTCTGCCATATGTCGCCGTGCAGTAGCAGCACGTTCCGCGTCGAGTCGTAATGTTGCACTTAGCTCTTCACCTGGCCGATCTCGCCGATCTCGATGACCAGGTTCGGCATCACGAGCCATAGGTAGGAATGCAGGAGTGTCATCATCATCATCTACTTGCTCATCATCACGCAGACCAGCTCGTTGCGTGGAAAATTTCCCGAAGCGTCGATACCTAGGCCCTCTGCGACTTGAGTCTTCCTCTGAATCGGAATCTTCGGAACTTGAAGAGTCTTCCTCCTCGAGAGGAGGCGATCGTAAAAATGAAGCCGCAGGTGGATTTTCCTTTTTTGTAGTTGATGGGCGGGGAACATAACTCTCCCATCGTTGCTCTCGACCATCTGTAGTCGGGGTGTCGTTACGGGATGTATCCCGAGAATGCTGGAAATGATTCACGGTGGTCGTCGAGGTAGAACTACCACGTCGGCCAATGGGACCTACATGGAGTGTCAGATGCTAGGGCTGTCCCACGTCTTACTCTACGGAAAGGATTACCTCGCTGGGGGATATCCTTCTGCTGGGATGCTTGTCGACTAGGGGCTCGCGGGCCTGTGCACATCATCAGCGACACCATCCAGACATGCGAAATCGAGAAATACTTGTGCCAATGTTTCCTTTCTGAGATTGCCCGGGAATGCGGTACTGCCTGATACAGATCCTGGGGCTGGCGAGGGGGAATTTGACTGTGCTGTAGGCACTTTGCGCATCTGGGCGCGGACTTGAGACAGCTGTCGGTCATAAAGCCATGCGGCTTGCTGAAGGAGAAATTGTAGAGTGACATCAAAATGGTCGGCCCTACATTGTGTCAGATCGAGCTCCAGTAGAGGTTGGTAATGTGAAATTACAAGGCTTTCCCTGGTGACTGTCAGCATTGACACATATTATGATTGCGAGAAAACTGCCATTCCAAGCAGATATGGAGAGACGTACAGTCAATATCGTCCCCTTTAGATGGTCGGGATAAGATATCCCACAGCTTTTGGTCCTTGAAAGCATTCCATTGCACCTGATGAGGTCAGTAAAGAACGATAGAGCTGCTTGACTGGACAAACGCACCGGCGGTGGATCCACAAAGTCTTCCCTGGGAAAAGGTAGCCGGATGAAGACCGTGAAGTTGGTGTCGTCTGGATCGCTTCTTGCCATCTTGCTTGTGGTAGATGATAGAACGAAGTGGAGCCAGTTTTAGAAGCTGTTAGCTCTTTGTCCCAAGCTGCCTGAAGCCAAGAGGAGCTGCCTTGAATAAGTTAAGAAGAGGCCAGCCCTCGGTAATGAAAGAACCGGACGTTGAAGTGGTGACGATGGTTGACAAAGATGCTATGCTTTCGCGAAGGACGGCGTCGCATGGTGAGGCGAGCGAGTGACGAAGGCCGCCGTGCTAGTTGATTGGCTGGTACTGATGCGTGGCCAATGATGCGTGGATTTAAGCTTAGTCAAGCAATTTCAAGGAATGGCGCGCAGAAGATACAGGCTCGGCACACGCCCAGCGGATTGATATTCCCACGCACCACTCCCGATGACTGTCTCGAACCAGTTCGCTCATGGCTCGCATTACAAAATGGGTTTCGACGGGGCCTGCTTTGAATCCTTATAAATGCTGGCAGATTAAATAGTCCGCTCACATAGAGGGGCCCAATGATTTCCTGCCGTACTGGCTTCTATCACGGCTTCATGAAAACGTCGTGGTTCAAAGCAGCTTAATCAAAATTGCCATTCACACTGTAGTATAAAGGCGTCCTAATCTCTTGGAAAATTGTGACTGGAGTGCTGGATGTGCCGCGACGGAAACGTGTGGAAGAGATATGCCAGTGTAAACAATGATCAGCGTACAGGAGACTGTTTTATGCCGAGTTTGTAGACCTTTTTGAGGAGAAAGCAAGGTAGTAGAGGACATGTGGTTCTACTTTCCACTTCTCTTGCGATGACAGAAATTCGGACATGACTTGGAGGAGCGAGGGAGCCTTGTCGTGGATCGAGAGGAGATCCCGAAACTGCTGACCTGGCAATCGGCATGCCAAAGATCTGTTAAGCACTCAAGATATTGCATACTCACAAGATTCCAGACTGTCTCAAGTTGATCAGAATCACTTTCTTATGATCTTTCTTGAGGATACTAGGATTTTTATTCTATGTCACCTGATATCATATGCATTGCATAAGGCAGGGCAAGAGCTATGAGGATTTTGAATATCTCCTCCTGAGCGATCCGTGGTGCTAGACAAGCCAGTCTGAAATTCACAGCGGTTAATTATGTTGCAAAGATTGATATATTTTTCATGTCTGTGCCGAGTCAACCGTTGATCTAAGCTACCGGCAAGTAATCATCAAATTATCTTTGTTGGTGAACAAGCCCAATCGACAACGATTGATGAGACCCATCTACGCCGGTCGGCGATAAAGTGCCGTCTACTTGGGATGGAGTCATGACGCAGTTGAAGTTGAATGAAACCTTGGGGGTCTCATGAATACTAGTATCGAATAATATTGTGACATCCACTTCCCGCTATACGCAAGACTTTGACCGGAGCGAACAGTGAGGAGGATGACACACCAGGGTGAAGAGGGTGCGGGCGGATCTGTAGCCTGTTCCCAAGTGGTCTGCCTCGGCTCCAGTCTCAAATCCCAACTTCCCCATCTTCCTCTTACAACCATGTCTTTGTTCACCTATTTCTATCACAAGATTCTTGCGACGCTCTTGCGCGCCATTGTGTGGCTGGCAGGAGATCGTCCCCGTGCATACCCGGACGAAGTGCGCCATATTCCTTCTCGTGACAGCGGAAGATCCATCAAGGTCCATGTGTACCACGCAGCTAGCACCTCGGGTCCATCGCCTGTACTCCTAAACTTTCACGGAAGTGGATTTCTCCTGCGCATGCATGGCAGCGATCACGAGTTTTGTCGACAGATCAGCGAGCAGACCAAGTACACCGTCTTGGATGTGCCGTATCGACTGGCGCCTGAAAACCCCTTCCTGCGGCGATCAATGACGTTGAGGATGCCATCAAATATGCTCTGGGTCGGCCCGACGAGTTCGACCTGTCTCGTCTATCCCTTTCCGGATTCAGCGCTGGTGGAAATCTAGCCCTCGCCGCTTCAGCGACTCTGTTCCCGCCTGAAACGTTCCGATCTGTGATCGCTTTCTACCTGCACCAGATCTCAGCACCGATGCAGCCACCAAGGTAGCACCAGATCCCAAGGGCCGTGTCATCCCTGTCCCCATTGCGCGGCTCTTCAATCGGTGCTACGTGCCGCCAACCTTCGACGCGCGGGACCCACGTATCTCCCCGAGATTCGCGTCTCTGGATCGGTTCCCGCGCCGGATGCTCATGATTACCTGCGAGGGAGATTCACTGGCACCTGAAGGAGAGGAGCTAGCTGAAAAACTGCAGCACGAAGGTCATTACGTAGTGAGCGAACGCATGAATGGCTGCAACCATGCGTGGGACAAGCGCGCGAGGGCAGGAACCCCGCAACGCCAGGCTAAGGAACGAGCTTACAAGTTAGCAGTTGAAATGCTGAACGAGTAAGTTGCGATCATTCTGGGGTCATACAGACCCACCGCCTATTGTCGGCCCCGTCCCGATCAGGTTATATCATCCCGTGCCGCGTGTTGTGCCTGACCCGTTCATCCGATTCCGTGGCTCCAAGACACGTTAAGACCGCGGTTCATTGCACCCGGGCATCAAAGCAGGGAATACGATCAGTGCATGTACATAGTTAAGGTTGACTGGTGCCGGGCACTAAGAGCCAAAATCAAAAATGACTTAAAACAGAACCACAAGAAATCAAAAAAAAGGTTGCCAGGTAGAGGGGCACCACATGGAAAGTGGATTAGTATCAGGGTCGCCCGTGGGTCACCCGGTTTCATTTTATTTTTTGAACCATTAGAAATCACGATGGGAAAAGGGTGAAGTGTCCTGGTCCTGCTGTGAAAGAAACCCTCTGTTCAACTTGGCTTCGGCCTCCTGTCCTTACAGCTATTCGCCTCCCACCCTAGGCCTTTTGCCTCCTATCCCCCTCACCCCCACCACGCCCAAAGAAAAGGGTGGATGCGGTCATTGTGCGCCTTCATCTCGTCCACCGAGGCGCCGTGGATGAGTCCACTCCTTTTCCCTCTGAGCGAACCGCATTTTCTCTCCCACCGATCCATGCGCGCCCGCTGGCTAGGCGCTCTAGCCACCTGTACATAGAATGGATTCCACACTGGGCCCCGTCCTCGACGAGGACAGGTACCGAACAGAGGTCCTCCAACTGGAGTCGTCGGAAGCTGAACAAGCGCGGGCGCAACAGCTTTGCGACGAGGCGCGGCAGTTGGGCCTCAAAGTGCCGGAGATTGAAGCCTCGGCACCGCTGGCTGCTTCGATCGCCTCTGGGATAGTTGATCTTTCATTCCCGGTGCTGTCTTCGGGCTCTTCGACGGATCGAAACTCAATTCGCGATGGATCCATTACCCCGTCACACGAAACGTCCTCTTACTCCCCAGTTGCGCTCAACCAGATCGTCTCGTCACTGTCCGACATCACACTTGCCTCGGCGCGCGTGAAGCCGGGCAGCACGCGGTCCCACGCTTCTTTGTCGACTCGACCGACTTCTTTTTGTTCCAGCGAAAGCCGGACACTTCCGGGTGGATATGGAAGTCATCATGATGGACTGGCGGTGAATCAGAACCGGATGTCGATGATCAGTCTTGCGTCGGTCGAGAAGAAGGAAAAGCCACGCAGCAGCATTAAGAACGCCATTGGCCGGATACAATTCCGCAAAAAGCGCCCCTCGAGTGTGATCTTCCCGCCCAATGCTCAAATCAATATCTCCAAAGGCGAGACAGGGGTCGACCGACTCGACCTCGAATCAAAGCCAGAACCACAAGCCAGTCACGACATAGTCCAACGCCCTGCTACCGCTGTCGAACTTTTGCCCAGGCTAGAGATCCCGGCATTCGATAAAGAGTCAATGCAGAGAAGTGCGGATGATCCGGAGCTCAGCGCGATGCACGAGCGACATCGCATGGAGCGAGACCGCCATGTCGCATTCCAAGACGCCGCCATCAGCACTCTCCGGCGCCGACACCAGACAGCCATCCATGAGAGACAGGTCGAAAACAAGCTTTTAGAGGAAGAAAAGGAGCAAAAGGTATGTTCGGCCGTCCCCGCAATACATTGGTCACATTTCTAATCGGCCTGTGTATAACAGAACACTGCGGCAGCTCTCCGAATCGAAGAACGCCAACTCGCAGTGGAGGTCGAACAACAGCGCGAATTTGACCGGGCTAAGATGAACTCGCGTACACGCATCAAACACATGGAGGGTTATTTCCGCAACGCAAGTCCTCCGCCCTCTCCGGCCGGCGCCGCGCAGCGGTCCTCAGGCTCCTTCTCAGGGTCCGATACAACGCCACCGTCGCGTCGCTTCACGCGACAGCAGCGAGAACAGCTGGAACAACAATATCATGCCCATGAGTCTATGGATGCTCTGCATGAGGCGCGGATCAAGGTTCTTCGGGATCGCCAAGAGCTCAAGCTACAGGAAGCCATTGAGCGCATGGAACGCGAGCTCGAGAATCTCATCCAAGAGCACCTGAAAGACGTGCAAGCGCTACAGGCTGAACATCAAAAGGAAGAGTCATATCTTCTGCGGGCTATGGACGCAAAGAAAACAAATCTGCGCCATCGTTGGTACCTCGAAGAGGCTATTCTGCGTCGCCAACTCGAGACCCGCAACAGTCGACAATACGGACCTTTGCCTCAAATTCCCTTCAGTGGATCATCTACAGAAATGAACGGCTCTGCCATTTCAACCGCCGAGCCATCTCCTGTCACCGTTGGAGACACGAAAGAAAGCACAGCCATGCCGTCACCGGCGGAGCACCCTTGTCCTTGAGATACCCTCATACATGCATACACGCATACATCCTACACCGTAATGTTTTCCCAATTCCTCATTGCATCGGCGCTCTGCAAATTATATCGCATATGTCACGCCCCCACATTTACCCTTCTTGTAACCACTATTTTCTGTCTGAACATTGTTTGTTTCTCTCGTTTGGGACGTCCATTAATTTAATCATCGCATTGCGGCGGTTCTCTGGTTCCGATGTGCATAGCTTTTGAGTTTGGGATATCACGGCTTCCTCGATAGATTTTCAGTTGACCTTATTGATTCACGTTATCTTAATAGAATAATAGAATTATGCAAATGGGTATCTGTTGTACTGAATAAACCAAACACTCATCGTTCAAGCCATTGACTGGCCACGCTTCGCAGCCGTTCCAAAAGTGCTTCGACCCTACCACCGCCACCAGTCATCGCGTCTTCCGTTAGTTTGTCACGGCCTGCATCACCAATGACTACCGCGCGTTCAACGAGACCAGCGTTAGACAGTTTGAAGCGCCCCACACGGCCATCCTCCCACTCAAGCCGTACGTATCGTGCCTCGACAGCAGTAGACGCCAAAGACACAATCCCGGTCCCATCCACCGGCACCGCTCGCTCACTCAGACTGGACGCAGACCCAGTTTCCCCGAGTCCCAACTTCTCCCGCAGGAAGTCAATTGCATCGCTCCTCATATGCCAAGCAACCAATTCCCTCCTCAGCTCACGCACGAATCCCCTCAAATCCTGCTTCCTCTCCTGCCCCTTCCATGGTTTCAAGTTTCTCCCTCTTCAGTTTCCTCGACGCTTACCTTCCCAGGCCTAGGAAGCGGCAAGAAAACCCCCTCAAGCTTCGACATGGAAATAAATGCCGGAATGGTGTGCCTATGCACACGCAACCTCTTCTCATCACCCTCCTGCACGTGCTCCCGTCTCAAAAGCACGTAATACGGCTTCGCGAACTGACCATTACGCGCGCAGACGTCTAAGCGCACGCCGAGGAGATTATGTTTTGATGTCGGCGAGGGGTTTTGAAATGGAAACGCAGTCGCACCGAAGGCTACCCGGTAGTGATTGCTTTCAGAGTGTTTACCAGCTGCCCGGACGAGTGGGGAGAGTTCGTCATTGATTGAGGTGAGGGCTGGAAGTGGTTTGCGAAGGAGTTTTTGGACGGAATCGGCGGCGAGGAGACTTGATGCAAGGGTTCGTTTGCGCTTTTGGAGTCTTTGGACTACGGTTTATTAGTTATGATATGAATATCATGAGTCTGAAGACTTACTGTCTCGGCGGATCGAGGCGATTGCTTGGTCTTGTTCCTCTTCTCGTGGGTCAGGGGAGGCGCCGAGATGGTGGGCGGAAGGGTTCATATTGAAATATTGCAAGGCGCTAAGTTCTAAGAGTCGTGTTTCGAGTGCGCCTGTGTACTCGAGCCAGCGAGTTGCGATATTGAGCGACAACAGGTCGGTGACGACATGCGACCGCGCGATGTTTTGTTTACACCCGCAACCGGCACGTGACTCCGCACCAGCAGCTCTCTCACCGCGCTCAGCTACGACTTCAACTCTACGAGTTGGTCATAGTATTCAATTTGTTCTATTGAGATAGAATCATGCGACGTGGAACTTCTGGACTGGGCGCTTGAGGTATCCAATCGTAGAAAACATACGTCGATATTGTCCAACCTTGCCTATGTAGCGACAGCGATATCTCCAACAGGCTGGTCTCGAGGTTCGTGAACCTGTACAGCGTGAAGAACACTACAGCTTCGCGAAGATTATCTATGCTAGCGTGGGTGCGGACCCTGGGAGGATCGACCAGAGCAGAGGCACCGCGGACAGTCACGGCTCCAGACCCGCAAAGAGGCCAGCTTGCCTTCTCCACGTCTCTCGCCTTCCAAGTTCCACGGGTTCCCCTCCATTCCACTCGTGCCTGATTCCTAATCCTAAGGATTCTCTCCTTTCGTTACCTCCATGCATTGCTTACAAACTCGCTTTCTCTACCCGATACCGACTCGGTGATCTATCTACATCCCTTTCATTTTGACGCTCGCTCCCTCTCTTCCTGACCCTATACAGCCCTGTTCTCGGACCAAAGACGCCAGTCTCTCCACCAGTCTGGCTTCATTACTCTCTACCATTCAATGACACGCAAGAACGCCACACTCGCCCGACGTCGCTCCAAACCGAGCTTGAAAGTTGCTACCGGCCAGAACGGCCATGCCAACGGCACAATGAACAGCAGCATAGAAATGCGCAAGCGCGACACTCCTTCCACCGAATCCTCCTCCGAACGAACTGCCCGAGTGATGGAAAGCCACGGCTTCTCCCTCGATAATGACCCTCCGGTCCCTCAGACCCCTCTCATGACCACCACGAGCTTCCACAACCTCCCCGCGAGCGATCGTCGAAATTTCCTCTTGTTATGCGTCCTATACTTCCTCCAAGGTGTACCCATGGGCCTGGCCACCGGCTCTGTGCCCTTCCTGTTGAAACCATACCTCTCCTACGGCCAAATCGGCGTGTTCTCGCTCGCGTCGTACCCATATTCTCTCAAACTATTCTGGAGTCCCATCGTTGACGCGGTATGGAGTCCGCGCTTCGGGCGCCGTAAGAGCTGGATCACTCCGGTTCAGGTGATTGCTGGACTGGCCATGATTTATATGGGCCGACACATTGGCAAGATGATGGAGCAGGCTGGCGCGAACAACGGCGCTGGAGTTTGGACCTTCACATATTGGTGGTTCATGTTGGTGTTTTTCTGCGCCACTCAGGATATTGCGGTGGACGGATGGGCGATTTCCCTGATGTCTCCGCCGAACATTTCCTATGCGTCGACTGCGCAGACTGTTGGCTTGACGGCTGGACATTTCTTGTCTTACACCGTTTTCCTAGCGTTCAACTCCAAGGACTTCGCCAACCGTTACTTCCGCGCTGTTCCCTCCGAGGAGGGTCTGATGTCTCTTGGTGGTTATCTGACCTTTTGGGGTTGGTCTTATCTTATTGTCACGTTATGTCTGGCGTTCTTCAAGAAAGAAGAGCGTACTAAGGAGCGTGACAGTATCGCGGATGTGTATAAGAGCATGTGGAGTGTCTTGAAGCTCAAGAACATTCAGACCATCATCATCATCCACCTTATCGCCAAGATCGGCTTCCAGGCCAATGACGGCGTCACTAGCCTGAAACTGCTTGACAAAGGCTTTGGCCAGGACAACATGGCTTTGGTCGTGTTGATCGACTTCCCATTTGAGATCATGCTGGGCTACTATGCCGGCAAGTGGTCGACCGATTACGGTGCCATGCGACTTTGGGGATGGGCCTTCATCGGCCGATTGGCCGCCGCAGTTATTGCTCAGTTTACTGTAATGATCTATCCCAGCGGGCCCGAATTGCCGTTCTGGTACTTGCTCACTGTGATCTTTGAGCATGTGTTCTCGACCTTCATGAACACCGTCATGTTTGTGGCCATTTCGGCCTTCCATGCTCGCATTGCGGACCCGGCAATTGGAGGAACCTACATGACCCTTCTCGCAACGTATGTTTCTTCTGTCCCACCCAGTTTTCCCGCTTTCTAACCCTTTGATACAGTGTCTCGAACTTGGGTGGAACATTCCCTCGCTTCTTCATTCTCAAACTCGTCGACTTCTTCACCGAAGCGACTTGCATCCCTCCCTCCACGGCGCCCGCCGCTGACACTCTGAAAGATGCCCTCATCACCACCTCTTTCTCATGTGCGCTGGAACCAGAGAAGAACCGCTGCATCAACGGTGGCGGCACCTGCGTGGTCGGCCGTGACGGCTACTACATTACCAACATGCTCTGCGTGATCATCGGTGTCATCACATTCACGATGTTCATCAAGCCTGCGGCCACGAAGCTTCAGGCATTGCCTCTACGGGCTTGGCGTCTGACGCACGGCCCAACCCGCCAGTAAAGCTGGACCCCGATCTATCATTCGCCTGTAATTGTATCCAAGGGCTGTAGTTGGTATAGATTGAAAGAAAAGAAATTAGACTCCTTCCCCATCCCACAACATGAAGATTCTCACTTGAACTCCAGAAAGTAGCTGTGGCAAAAAGAGTAGCCAGAAAGCCACCCTCAGCTCGAACTTTTGGTGTGTGCAGTAGGCCCAGACCCAAGGATAATCCCCCATTCGCCATGTTCCTGAACCCCAGTAACCAGATTCTTTTTCATCTCAAGTCTCTCGAGCCCAATGCAGGCACCGGTCCAATCGTCTCGACTAAAATCCCCTGTCCTTCCCGCTGCCAAGATCTCCTGCTGCAGACCCCTCTTACGCTACCTACTAACCTTGTGATTTCTCACCATGCTGTGATGTCTGGATGATACGATCCAGTCTCCCATGCGAGTCTAGATGGTGATGTTCAAGTGGGGTTCCCCGTCGCAAATTTGAGTAATCGGCCCAGGGTTCAGTTGTGTATAAAGTGGTTCCCTGGATTTTGCTTTTCGAGATATTCCATTTTGTGTCCTTCGGAGCCTGACACCATCTTCATTTCCATCCAGTTTCACTATCATTCAAGCTGACCAACCCCTTTTATTTTGGTTATTTGATCTTTTCACTCTGTCACAAATGCATCCTCTTCACATCTTCCTCACCGTTGGCGTGTCAACAGCCACTGCCTTACCCAGCTTAGAGTCCCGCGAGATCCTCGCCTATAGAAGCGTTGGTTGCCTTCCATTTACCCATCTAATCCCACCCACCTAAATCTTACCTAGTGGGATCTCCGCCTCTTCAGCGAGGCTGTTCCGACCTGCAATGTGAACACGTCCAATATCGAGTTTAATGTCTTCCATCGCTACGGCGCCCAGGACCGCTCATGCGAGGCTCTCGATGGCGCGTACAATACGATGGTGAAGAGTCTGTCGTGGAAGAGCCCGATTGAAACCGACTGGCATGATCTGTGTATGTTTAGTTCATCGGATTGTGATGCTGGCAGCTTTGTAGGCAGCATTACGGATGGATGGGAAATGTGTTATCCATTCAGTGGATGGAGTGGGTATTCTGTTGTTTCGCATGGCAGTGATTGTGTTTGAGATGGGTGGATTTGGTCTTTGTACATAAAGTGTGATGATCCTCTTCCATACAACAGCAGTCAATGATATTTCCACCCAATGTGAGGTTTCGGTGTAGACAAGTATTACAAGTCGAGAACATGATCAAGCCAGTTCTGGTAGAGTTTAGACTTCATTCGAAGCTTTCATGACTTCCTTCACGGCCTGATCCAGGATGAATCGCGCATATCCCTTATGCAACCTGAGAGTCCACGCTGGGACAACCTTCTGCACTACCTCTCCGATCACAACCGCATAGTCATGACACGCTGCGAATCTCACTTCTACGTATGTATCCTGGCCAGGAACTATAATCGGCTCCGAAATACTCATCTCATGCCGTCCGCCCGACATCAAACGCACGGATACCCCCATTTGGCATCTTCTCGAAAAATAAGCGCGGCTCATTAGATATCTTCCATGAGATGAGAAGACCATTGTTATCGCGGTCAACGCCGGGCTCGCGCTGGACGGTTAATACGCCGTTTAAAAGGCCCCGTGGAGATCCGTTTTTGGGACTGAAGCCGGATTCTGTGTTTCCCGTGTTCCCGGGTGTCAAAGTATGCTCAGTGAAAAGGCTGACAAGGGAACATTCTAGACGGAGGATAGGAGTATTCAAGGGCCCAGGCGGTTTCCAGGTCTGTTTTGCTTGGAATTCGGGCGAGTGAGGCGAATTTATTGAGAGAGATTCTTGCGGCGAAGACATCCGTGTATGCCACGCGTTGTGTGGGTTTGTCTGGTGTATGAAGTAGATTGCTCGTTCTTCCGGTTTCTGCAAGTTCGGGGTATTTTGCTTCAAGATGGCATAGTCCGCGCTAGATGCCGTATGTTATTGCGGCGGTTGGGATGGCGATTGAGCCGATAATTCGGAAAGAGCGATTTAACATGACAAATTTGGTATGATGTTACAGATGGCAGAATATGGAGGATTTCATGGTCCAGAATGCAGTAGATTTCTTCCCGAGAGCCAGGGAAATTGAGTCATCTGGGCAAAGTAGTACTTCAGACATTGGGGGCTGAAACTATAAGCTCCAGAATGGGCTGATCGTGGATCAGTCTACTTCAAATCCCAGGCAATTGACATGTGCTGCTAAGTCACACTGCCTAGAAGACATTTGGAATTTAGTAGAGCTTTCCAAGGTAGAATAACCGTTCAAACCGTATATCTCAGTTAGTCGACAACCGCGGACCCGCCACGCTCCGTAGATCTTCAACCTTTTTTTTTTCTTATCGCACCGCCACCATCCCACCTTCAAGATCCAACACCAACCACAAAAAAGGAGCCAAGGTCATTGAAGCCATGGCATCAGCACACACAGATTCAGGTTCCGCCCACTCGGCCCCTCCTTCCCCAGCAACAACAATGTCCGCCCAAATCGACATCACAAACCCCGCAGTTGACAACCCCCTCGACGACATCTTCGGTTCCTCTCCAGAACCAGAGAGACGACCAGAGATGCGCGCCTCCGAATCGTCAAACGAACCCTCCGACCTCCCCTCTTTACGCCGTCAGCACGTCACAGCCGGCTACCGCGATGGCGTCGCAACATCCAAAGGCCAACACGTTCAAGAAGGGTTTGACGCCGGGTTCCCCATTGGCGCACAACTTGGTATGCGAGCAGGCACAATTCTCGGTATTCTCGAGGGGATTACGCGCGGACTGGAAGACCGCTCGCTCGTGAAGAAGCAGGGGCCAGGGACCAAAGAATCCATCGATACGGGAATGGAAGCGCGTCGTGCGACACGAGAACAGGTTCTCAAACTCTATGTGCAGGCCATCTCAGCCCTGGACGTGCAGAGCGTGTTTACAGGCGAGGAGAGCACTGAAGCAGGGGAGATGGCGGAGACAACATTAGGTCGGAAGGGGGACAAGGTAGTCTCGAAGTGGGAGGGCAGGGTGGCCGTGCCTGGATGGGAGGAGAACATGGAGGCGCTGGAGATGAAGGACAAATCTTCCAGTCAGGAGCAGGGCGTCGGGGAACGCATTTGAGGGTTGTTTGTTGTCGTGTGAGAACTCTACATCTATTGTGGCTGCGAGCCGAGCAGATTGTCGCCTGTTCCCGGGGGAAGATGCACGTTGGCGGGCCATGTTTACCGGGTTGTGCTGCCCGTCCCGAGACCTACACGATCGCCCTCGAACCTGAGACCGACCCTAGACCTAAACCCAGGCGCATCGGGATGGGCTTGCTGAAGCTGCAAGGATTTTGCAGCGGAGCTGGCGGAGGGCGGTCCGGACGGGGAGGGTTCAAATTGAGGAACGGTCGTCTTTCTCCGAGACATGAGGGGCATTCTTCGTGTTGCGTAAGGGATCACTGGAATTGTTTACTGTTTACTGTGCCTCGAGAGTCCAAGGGCAGTGCAATTGCCATTGCCCTGGGGGAAGAGTGAGAGAACTGGTTGCAAGAGTTACTCGCTAGTGAAAAAGGCAACTGGGACGCATGGAACGATCGAACATGTCAACTTCATCCACGTCACGCTCCAAGAGGGCCGAATTGGCCTTCGTGTTTGCGCGGTCCGATCCATGTGGAGCCAGCAAATTCCGATAGATCTGAGATCAGAAAGCCGATTTCTCTCGGGGATGCCCTTCCCTTGCCCCGTCCCTGCGGTCCTACCTTGCAGCCGGTCCGGACTTCCGTGAAGAAATGGTTCCTCCCTTAGAACATGCTTGAATTGCCCCCTCTGACACTTTTGAATTGAACCATTGGAATGCTCATCATGTTGGTTTTAAGAGTCTTTTCCAGTGACATCTGACCTGGCTAAGGGTGATATCAGATTATACCCTACACATGAGTTTGAAATATGAAATCAAATACAAAGTGCTTTGTGAGCTGAAGACTAGGATACGAAGATTACCACATCCTCCCACGGACATCGCCTCGAAAGCAAACAGACCCCGTACTTTGTGTTTGTGTACGTTTGTGGCGTTGAGTTCGCGGAAGCGGACTCCGCCACGCAAGGGGGTTTTCGTATACAGCACAATGGGGCAACTCAGTCCCGCCGCTTTACCCCTGGTACTCGACTGGCGCTGAACAAGTACGTACCACCCAAAAAACCAGCACGACTTTACCACGAATCTGGAAGTGGAGATATCCCCCATGGATGTCTCCTAAGTGATCTGTATACAACTCATTGAATTCCCCACTCGACCTCGCCATTGACTCCATCCGATGATTGCAGGGGAGATCGAGCCGAGAGAGTAAAGCCTCACTAGCAAGGCCCTCACTTGAATCAATGGCAATCCTTGAAAGAAAAGTAAAGGATCCCGTGAAGCTACGCGAGGCTCTTCTCCCCATCACCCTTGGCGAGTATTACAGATAGGCTCGGAACGAAGCCCCCGACTGTGGAATGGTAACTTTTCCTCCTGTAGTGTTGAAGTCTAGGCTCTAAGGATCCAGGCTCCAGGCTCCAGGCTCCAGGATCCAGGACCTAGGCTCTCGAGAAAAGTGAACGATATGCATCCTGGGAAACCCGCAAACCTAATCACACACGTACGATGGGGGGTTCCAGTACCAGGGATCACATCCCTGTCTGTCGACAGGTCCAGTATGCAGGGTACTTTGGATCGAGCGTGGGGTTGTCAAACTGGTGGAGACGGCCAGGTCGTCTTAGACATGCTTCTAATAGATGGGCATAGCGGGATGCAGTGTTTCTATGGGAGGGCTTACCCCCCTCGTAGGGGACTTCAAGGGACGCCAAGTTCTAGGTCTGATCTGGAAGAACTTGACTCTGTTCGGGGAATTTGATTCAGGTTCACTCTTCAGTTGGTGTTCGTTTCCCGGGGAGCATTATCTGGGGAACTATGTGGGCTACTGTGGTGGTCTATGTTGGTGGTATCGCCGAATACCGGGGCCACGACCTGGGGGAGGGGGACTACTAGGGCTGAGGTTGGAGTGTGAAGTAATGAAGGTGACGACTACATTCCCAGGATCTGATCGACATTCACCTGGACAACATGGAATGGGGGAAAAGGATAGAGTGCCATTTGACATTGTTATTCAATTCATTGTATCATTGGGTCATAGTTTGAAAAAATCTGGAAATGCTTTTGGTGTTGCGCCTGAGATGCAGTCTTGAGATGCGTACACTGTGTTCTTTTGTATCATTATTGTAGGTCCACATTGAGATGAAAATGAGATCAGAGACTGAAAATTCTGAATCTGAATGTTGAGAGAGATAAAGGAAATGGGAGTCAAGAGGAGATCTTGGACCCATACAGAGTTTGGAAAAATCATAACCATAGAAAAGACATGGTAATACGGCGCAGAGAAACATGCAGGTGTGGAATCGTGACCACGTAGAGAATGGCAGGGTAGAACCCGAAGAAATAATAAAGAAAAAAAAACATTGGAAATAGATCAAGCACTTCGGTAGCGCTGGTCGTGGTTCATGGCCGTGAGGCTTTCATGTGATTTCGTTGATGTTGAGTCAAACATCAAATAACGTTGTCAGTGGAAATCATTATCGTTGGGTGGAGACCGGTGGGAGCATAAAGCGTAAAGAGTGTGTGCGTGTTCATAGTCGTAGAACATATCGCGATGGAACTTGTAAGAAATCGTTGCAGTGATCGTTGAATTGCAAAGGCCGTGATTGGATATTCTCGAAGCGAATTGAAGCCAAAAGAAGAAAAAAAAAAAGAACGCCACCCGTCCCCGGAACGCCAAATATTGGGTACATCAGATTACATCCACATTTTTAGTGGTTTTGTGGCAGTTCAAAGAACGCAAGGAGTCGAGCATGCGGCGGAAGAAGGGGCGTTGCTCGAGTGACTCGTTGATTGTCGCTTGAGATTGTTGCTCGCAACACATCGATGTGAGCTTCTCCTTGTCTGAGCTTGTGTACTCGGGAGTGTTAGAGCGCTGACGACGTCTTTCCTGAGCTTGAAAGGCGGCAGCAGCAGCAGAGCGGTCGATATCAGAGTCCCGAGTATTGGAGTCACGGGAACTTGGGGGAGAGCGAGGCTTGATCAGGGATGTAGTAGAAGGAGCCACAAGGCGGAGGGTTTGGAGACCGTATTGTGGACGAAGTCCGTCCCGGCTGAGACAGGGTCGGTCGAAACTCATACCTCGGTAAAGCTCTGGGACGGGTTCCTCGTCAGGCATGCAAGGGAATCGTTCAGGAAGCTGATCATCGAGCATTGCTTGGTGAAGCTTAGGCTGGGATTTGGCACCACGCAGCTTGGCACGGCTTCGCACCTTGCGCAAGGTATCAATAGGCCTCCGGGAAAGGGATTTGTGGCCGATGGACTCATTGTCGGAGTCAGATTCCCAAACTGACTGCTCGCAGTAGACATCCATGGTCGATGTCGAGGGACGTTCCATAGAGGTAGCGGTCCATTGGCGAGAAATTGGAGGGGAGCTCGCACTAGGGCTAGGCATGGGGCTGGGGAGGTCGTTGGCAGGAATGAAAAGAGCCTGGTCGAAGTGAGTGGCATGCGGCTCCATGGTAACCGGATTAATCAAACACGGGGGCGAGATCATCGACGGGTCCAGTGGAGGACGCGTTCCAGGACTGGATTGTTTCCTTCGAGAGCTCTGGGAGCAGGTGGCCCGAGACAGGTTGGGGAGTGTAGGATGCGCTTTCCTACGGCGAGAAAACGAGGACATGCCGGATGTCTCGTACTTCATTGTGATCATAGCGGAGTTGGAATCAGAGCCAGAAGTGGTAGGGCGACTCTTGCCTGTGGGGAATGAAGGCACAGGAGGCGGCGGTGGAAGAGAGTACTGGGGAGGTGTTGAAGCAGGAAGATAGAAGCGTCGAGGTTCCTGAGCCTGACGGGCGTGTTGGTAAAGCTTCTCGGTAGCTTGCAACACAGCCTCAGGACAGGCAGGAGAGGAATATGTGGATGAGAAGGAACTACTTGGGGTCAAGTCCGGGGTAGTGCTCTCAGTAGCAACGGAGCTGAACGACCCGTGGCTACTGTGAAGCTGTCTGGATTCCTCGGTGGACGAGGTATAGTGATGGAATCTCAAATCGTTCTCCAGTTCCAATTGCGCAATGGTTGATCGATTGGGACCGTTATAGTGGCCCTGAGAGGCCAAGTCTTTCCCGTTGGTCAGGGAAAACGTGTAGTACTGATTTGTATCTTGACTGTATCTCTCATCGCGAATTTCCGGCGTATAAGAGTCTGGCCAAGTCGGCGTCGCGGCCAATGACTGTTCAAGGTAGAACGGGTCTGCGTTTGACTCCTCCAGCACCTTGGTTCCGGCTTTGGGATAGTAGCTGGACGCTCGCTTGGCCGGGGATGGTGATGGCAAGCAAATTGTAATTTCTGATCTGTTCCGGTCGGGGTACAACGCGTCCACTTCGCCCGGACAGTAAAATTCACCTTGAGCCATGGACTTAGATCGCGACGCACACACAGAGGGACACGAGTCGGTCGGGGAGATTCAAGGAAATAGCATGGAAGGACTGTAAGGCTCAGTGGGGAAGAGGAAAGAGAGTTGCCACCAGAGATGGAGCGAGGAATGAGAGGGTGAGAGGGATATGTTTATACAGCCAAAAATAGGCCCCAGAAGCCCGGGTGGAAAACAGATCGATGCATGCCAATGCACGTCCCCAGGTAAACAAAAGGACGGCACAGACCTGACCTTACATGGCGTCCCCTTCCGCCTGTAGGGATGAGGTTGCAGCAAGGACTCCCGGCTTCTCCCAGCAAGGGCCGGCGGATGAGCTTTCCGCGCAGCACCGCCGCAGCGCAGTGCAGGGCCAAAAGCACCTTGCCCGTGCGATGGTGTATCATCGAATTGGAGAGGCCTGAACATGGGGATGTCAGTGACACGGTCATCGCAATTCATACTCTTACTCGTCTGATTCATCTTCGTACAACGCGACGGGTTACTGGATCTCATCTCATGTCCTCTCATCGCGTCTCGTCTCATCTCAGACGCCGGCCCAACAGCCCAGAGGCTGGGGCCCCTATAAAAAATGTGAGATGTCAGGAATAGACGAGTCCTGCGGATGATGATCCGGATCAGCCACGCCCCACTGATCCGCCTGTGGCTTTGACGCCGTCTCTCTACGCTGTCCTCTCATTCCATACTTGGGAACCGCGCGACGGCGGACACCACGGTTTCATCGTTCTATTGCGCCGACCACACATTTACGTCATGCTTCAAGTCTTGGTGGCTGGCTCGAATTGCTTCCTGATTCCCCAATTGTCGACTCGGGGGTTGAGGCGGATGAAAGTAGTCTTCGTCGCTAGGTACTGTGTGCATCAATTGATGTTCCACATTGCGTAGCTAGTTGTAGATCACGACTGGGCCCAGGGCTTCAATGCAAATGCAAATGCACTTCCCGAGTAGTTCGAGCCTGACTCTTTGCATCCAGATACTTGGGCCTAGGATCCAAAGTACCCGCCAAGCCGAGGGACTCATACACGCGCGACTAATCACACTATGCCAACTCATCGTCTATTGGCGCGCACGAACATCCGATCGGACCAGTTGTCTGCTCTCGCGAGCCGACATTTGAATGATGACTTCGGTGGCTATTGATCACCTATCCCTATTCGACCGGAAAGCGATTCTAGATCACTTGCGCCGTTGACTCGACAACTCCGTCTCCACATTCCAATGAAAAAAAAAAAGCCAATGCTGCATTGCATCCCGCTACGCAGACGGGGCTCCCCGACGCAGCCTCAGCTGCATAGACGTATATATATCTACGGCCTGCGTCCCGGCCCCTGATCGACGAGGACTCGATATCTTCCGGATGCCGATGCACTCGGTGCATTCAGCGGTACCGGAGTGCCACCCTCGCTTTCTCCGATCACATTCTTCAGATGTTCGTTTTCATGGAGCATTGCAGAAATCCCACGTAGCAGCTTGCAATATACGATATTTTCACTCAACTCTCAGTCTAGGGACGACCCTACGACGATTCAAGGGTGCCAATTGAATTTGAAAGTGCGAAATGCAAATCGCACATTGAACCTCTCCCTACCACCCTAGCTGGAGACGGGGGGAAAGGACGACCCTTCGTGACCAGGATTATTGAAACAGCTTAGAGAACCCAATCGCACGATCCGAAGGCCCGAGCCTCGGGACGCTGAATGGGATCCCCGAGTGCTGTCTCGAATGTTCAGTGCAGATTTGGCGGCAACGCATCTGCAGCCCGACACGATGGATAGGAGGAAGGTGAAACACTTCCAACACAGCTGTAAGTTCCCGGGGATCTCGAATGTCCTGCAGCCTGCAAGGCATAAGTGAAACCTACCTGAACATTGGGTCCCTCTCTCCTTTTCTCGATCCCCGGGAGCTGCTCAAATGCATCCGCGATGCAACGGGACTTCTTTCCCCTGAGCCTAATCCCCTAGCTCATTATAAATTGTCCGATTCCCTTAATACCCTTGCATTTTTCCCATCGTTCCACGGTCTGGACCGAACGATCGCGCCTTGTTTACTGCTCCTATGTCTTGCGTTGTTATTGGTTTGAGGAACCTCCTCCCCAAATGAGTGTCGGTCAGGGGACTGTGAGGGGGCCTCGTATTGCTAGGTTGATCGTATTGCTCTCGGTAGTCACGGATAACGGTCGATCTCAAGCTGAAATAGAACTCGAGCTAGATTTGGGGCTAGACTAGTGAGACGTCATCGGTGTGGGGTACGAAGAAGGCGTTCGCCCAAGCGTCAGTGTTCGGGAGCTGTCAGATCAACTCAGGGGCGAGCACTGTAACAGGTAGAGAGATTCTAGGTACCTGGATAGATCTATAGCTCCGTGGTAGCGATCTGGTTCCTCACGACCTGAGTATTGGGAGGCTCAATCTCCTTTGTGTGGGGAAAGCAGTTCGATCCATCCACCGAGTACCAAGGGAACCGCTGGATCCGATCCAGACATTGGAGATTCGCCAACCGGTCCACAGGTTCGTATTTTGTTCCGGTCTCAAAATACAGTTTTAGGATTGAATCCCTAAATGATCAGACGAAACCCCTCGATGCTTGGACGGTGCAATGGTTGATACAAGATAGCATGCCACCAGAATATATAAATGACGCTATCGGTGCCCGATGACCGTGCCAGCGCATCACTTTGCGACTTCGCTTTCCAGGCCTCCGGTACACCCAATACATGGACCTAGGACTAGTACTTTTAGCCGTATTTCTCGCCTCGCCTCGCCTCGCCTCGCTTGAGCGTGGGTTCTGTTCACCCTCACGGGCATGGCTTTCCCTGAATCGTAGATCGTCGATGATCGTAGCCCTGTATCGTACCAGAATTCCCAACTCCCTCAATGTTTTCCCACTTGGATTGGCACTTATAGCGACTCTTCCCTGAGACCCGAGTCCAGTCGTGATCGCCTTTTTGTGCGACCGCCTCAGCCCAGTTGCAGTCAACCGATAAAGCCGTGCTTCGGACCATTGCGCGACGATTAAGTTACGATCTGAAGCCATCTGGGGGCCCGAACTAGTCAGGCAGAGCAAAGAGTATAGTAATTGTCCATTGGTGCCTCACTGCCTCATTGTCTGATTGCTTCATTGCCCCATTGTATATTTGCTTCAGTTCAATCTCAGGCGACAAAAGCTACAGTCTGAGCGTTGGGCATTCCGGCCGTCATTCGCCCGGGAATTCCCCGTCTGAGGCTTCCATTCCATTCAACCCGATCCCGCACCGGCTTTTCCTCTCTGCAAAGATTTCATTTCTGACCAGAAGCTGCATTCGAGCGTTGGCGCAGTTCATGGTCCGAGAGACACGTTTGGTGCGCTGCAGCAGCGGCTGCGGCGACCCCAGCCATCTCAATTAATCCAGCCACCCTCTCCCCTACGCTCTTCTCTTCCCTTCAATTCTACCGTTCTCTCTTTAGTTTATTATTTCCTGGGGTTGAAACACAGCTTCATATTGAGAGCCTCCACTGTTGTTGCCTCCAATTCCTGATCGGCCTCTGCGATCGCGATCCGAAGCTTAGCTTCAGCTTCAATTTCGGTGACGCAACACCCTCACATTGTCGGGCAATCTTTCATCGTTGAACCAGCCTTTGCCAGAGGTGTCTCGCTACAATCGCAGAGCGTCTAACGAAGTCCACGACATTAACGACCACTCAACGCTTACGACCTTTGCGCGGCAACGCCAGCAGCACTCTGTACCTCGTCCTCTTTCCTCCCATTCATTCGATTTCCGTCCCCCAGCCGCAGACTTTCCTCGACCTTTGCGGAGAGTTCGTCGTGCCCCAGAGTCCCACCAACTACCTCACCGTCGAGCTGTCTCGCTAGAAGTCAGAGGTGGACAGCTTCCGCGACCCCAACCGTCGCATTCGATCCCGGTCCTTGTCAACCCCGATCCTGGAAACGGAATTGAGGTACTGCGTCCGGCCCTATCAGAAGCGCAGACTGACGATAACGGTTCGACTGTCGACGATCCTTACCAGCTCCTCGAAAGCTCGTATTGGCCTCGAAGAAACACCAGAGTATCGTCTCGCACCGCATCTGCCATTCTCTTTGCGCTCGAAGAAGCCATCCGTCGCCCGTTACCATTCACAACAGATTGGGACGAAGCGAATGCTTCTATGTCAGATATGGTAGGCGTTGCTGGTCCCGCTGGCCCTGCCGGCCCTGTCGGCAATGGTCGCGCTCAGAATGGTAATCCGCGTGCGCCCCAAGGCTCATCGCAACCGCCCAGTGGTGTGCGCACTCCCACAGATATAATGAGACAGCGTCGGGACCGAGAGGCCCGTCGAAAAGCGGAACAGGAAGCTCGTGACAGAGAGCAGGAAGATCTGGAGAGACAGCAGTTGGAGCAGGAGCAAGTACAGGCTCAGGCTCAACGGTATGCTGCTGACGTTGCCGCGGAGCCCGTCCCCCAGCGCCGCGCGCGGCCTCAGCGGGCTCCACGGGGAGCTGAAGAACCACCCGAGGCTGTGATGGCCACGGCAGGAGAGGCGCCGCCTTCTCTACAGCCCCGGGCTCCGCACCGGCTGGTGAAAGGATCCAGTATCAGGTGCCTCCAGGCGGTGGAAACATGAGCCGGCAGCGGCCACCTCAATCATCAAGCCAGCAGAACCTGGGTGCTGCACCACAGCATGCTCGCGCACAGAGCGCAGCAGCAGGAACTGGCGTCCCAACAGGGACGCCTGGTTTAAGCAAGCCCGCACAAGCTCCCCCAACCAGCCAGCCTGGTGGTTCTCAGACCCTGCAGCAGCCCAAACGAGCCGCCTTCCCGCATGCATTCGAACGCTGGGAAACCCTATCTTCCCATTGGGAAGGCCTTACTAGCTACTGGATCCGGAAGCTCGAACAGCACAATGACGACCTCGAAAAGGATCCCCTCAGCCAGCAGCTGGCACGACAGATCACTGACTTGTCAGCCGCCGGTGCAAACCTCTTCCACGCCGTGGTCGAATTGCAGCGCCTTCGCGCATCTTCTGAACGCAAGTTCCAGCGCTGGTTTTTCGACACCCGTGCTGAACAAGAACGAGCCAAAGAGGTGCAAGCAGAGCTGGAGCGTCAGCTCAAGATCGAGCGCCAAGGCCGAGCCGATGCATTTGCAGCTGCACAGGCTGCTGAAAAGGACAAGACCCGTGCCGAAGACCTTTTACGCGAAATGAACCGTGAGCTCAAAATCTCCAAAGAGGAAGCTCGCCGCGCGTGGGAGGAACTTGGCCGCCGCGAACAAGAAGAGCGAGACCGGACCACCTCTCTTCGTAACGGAGAACCCACCCTCGTAGGAGGAGTTCAAGTTGTACCCATGATCCAAGGGGTCCCAAGCCGACACACCACCCGTCCACCGACCCGTGAAGGCCCATATCCTGGCGGCCCAACCGCTACGTCAATGGGCACAGAGTTCCAGAACAAGACCGCCGAGGCATCATACTATGACGAAGCCCCGCCCATGTCCCCGACAGGTTCCGACCCCTTCATTGAAAACCAAAAACACCAGCCAGGCGACCCCAGCAAACCGCCATACCCTGTCCAGATGTATGAGCATGAGCCTACAGTCTCATACCCAGGCCCTCCGACCTCTGAGCCCGATGCACACTCCTACGTTGGCAGCTCCGAGGCTGAAGAGGAACACAATCGCTACCCCGGCGACTCCCAGAGTCAGCCCTTCTCCTACCCCCAGGGGCCTCCCTCAGAGGGTAGCGAAGAGTATGACCAGTCCCCCGACGAGAGATACTCCGTCGCGACAACCTCTGCGCCCATGCCCCCAACAACCGCCGACTACAGTGGTTCCGGCTGGGGCGTTGGCACCGGTTGGGAATCTGTCACTCCCCGACACCGCCATCCCACCCGCCTAAGTGATGTTCTTGAAGAGGACGAACGCAGCCGAACAAGTCCCAGCCGTGCTAGCCAGGCGAGTCGCAGTATTCTGTGAATAAAGCCGCGCTCCTTTGTTCTTGATGGTCAGAGTCACTTCCATAATCCCCGTGCTTTCGCTGATGCATATGAGAGAGTGACATGCACATAGAGAAAAGGGGTTGGGTCTGTTTTTCTCGCATCCGGCTCTAGCGTGGTTTTCTATAGTATGATCTTGACCTTTTCCTATTGTTCTTCTACATTTACTTGGGTGGATTCGCTTTCGATCCTAGGTCGGCTCAAATTCATCGTTTGTTATCATACCTGTCTTTTTCTTTTTTTTTTTTTTTTCTTTTTTCCCTTGGGTCTCTCATCTCATATCCTCTATCCGGCGTTGATCTTTGCATTCACCATCTTTGATTTTGTTTTCAATCTAATGGGCATAATTATGATTCTGATTTTCAATCTGGTGTTCTCGGGTAAATTTGTTCTGAAGTTCAGGTGATCTTCTTGTCATCTGGGTGTTATAGTTAATCTAGGTACAAATCCTTGGAAACCTCCAATCTTCTTTCCGACGGAGCATTTATGTCACCTTTACTTTATACTGTTAGCCCTGGGGTGTGATAAGCTCAAAAAGGAATTAACTTTCGTGTCGTGCTTCAGTGGCAGACCCGAACTCTGGAGCTTTTTAACCACCAAGTCTAGTCGCTCGCGACGTTCTCTTCCGATTAATTTTGAGACCCCGATTAATACTTACAGTTCGGTCCAGCTCTAAAATTTCACTTAAGGCCATTCAACTGTCGAGAACCCTGCCTTTTTATGCTTTTGAAGCGGTCGCTCGAAATGAGCAAGGTTTCGTAGTGGCGTGCCCCGAATATATATCCAAGGGGGACCCGATCGATTGTGGGCCCACCGTCGCCATCACCTTGGGATCCACGATGGGATAACGGGTCAAAGAGACAAATGGAACAATATAGAAATAGTGCAATAGCTCTCAGAAAAATCTCCAGTTATTGAATAGTGAGATCAAGTGTTGCTCTGAGATGATTATATAGACTAATATTTTCATAAGACTATCTCACTTGTTATCTATCGTTTGTTCTTCCATCCGCTTGCGAAATACCCCGGCCCTCGTCTAGCAGCCATAACACATTGGTATGCAGCCTACTATGCATGGCAGGGAGACCTTCATATCGTCAGTCGGCAGTGGCACGACCGCTATGGTACGAAATTCTTTAATCAGATCTCTGCTGATAACTTAGGAGGCTAATCCTGTACAAAAGGAGACATAGTCCGGTTTGGTCCAAACGCCCTAACGTTCAACAGTCACACCGGAATGGAAACTATCTATGCTGTCCGGGCGAATGTGGTCAAATCCCAAGGCTACAGCTCATTGAGCGCCAGTCGGCACACTCCAAACACCCTAACTGCTACCGATAAAAAAACCCACGGATTTAAGCGCCACATTCTTGCGCAAGTGGTCTCCACGGAAGGAATCAAATCCATCGAAGATCGCCTTCTGACGAATGTCCGCGATTTTGTCAACTTACTTGGTAAGAACGGAGACGAGTTTGGGAATGTGAGGCCCGGGCTCGATTCCAAGGACAATGACTGGTCGCAAACGAAGCACCTGGCTCCGATGTGTGACTGGGTAACCTTTGATGTGATCGGCGATCTCTGTTATGGGAGAGACTTTGATATGCTGCACTTGCCTGATATGCGATGGTTCCCATCGGTGGTCCTGAAGATTACACGGCGCAGTATGGCGGTATGCAGTCTGTGCTATGTCCTTGCTCGAGTTGTCACTGACAGTCAGTTAGACACTTGTCAAACCAAAATTCTGTAATCTGAAGATTGACCAGTTCTTCATGTCATCCAAGTTCACGATGTCGTTCACGACATCGTGAATGCAGGTACTCGGATTCGAGAGCGCTCAGAGGCGCCAACGCCTCGGAAATGACATCGAACAAAAGGACTTATTCTATCATATGATGAATACAGCGGATCCCAAGACGGGTATTCACTTTACTCCTAAGGACCTCTGGGTGGAATCCATGCTCTTGATGACTGCCGGCGCAGATACCACTGCTACCGCAATGGCCGGCACTTTCTTCCACCTCGCGCACAAGCCCAATTTACTTGCACGCCTAGTGCGCGAGCTTCGTATCACGTTCACCGATGAAGAAGACATTTGCATGGGACCGGAGCTCGACTCATGCGAAAACTGTTACAAGCTTGCATCAACGAGACCATGCGTCTCGCACCATCTGTCTCTACCACAATCCCCCGTACTGTGCTTGAAGGCGGAATCGTGATCGACCAGGAGTTTATCCCGACAGGAACAATGGTCGGAACAACTACTTACGCTATCCATCGGAACCCGAATTACTTTATATCACCTGATGAGTATTACCCGGACCGATAGATCGTCAACCCGGAGACTGGAGTGGATAAAGATAGCATTAAGACTACGAGAAAGGCGTTTATTCCGTTCAGTACCGGTGCCAGGTCTTGTGGCGGATGGAAGCTCGCCTGGGCCGAGCTGAATGTCACTATCGCCCGAGTACTGTTCCGATATGATGTGCGCTTGGCGCCAGATGCTCGGTGCTGTGGTGGCAAGCGAAACGATTGCGACTTCAGAATAAGAGGGTGGGTGGCATCAGCGGTGGAGGGCCCCTGGGTGCAGTTCCGATCTCGCCTTTAGAGAATTTTGATCTGCAGAGACATGAAAAACTTTAGGAAAATTATGGTTATATCGAGACATGAAGTTGTCCGGGCATTCCACGGGAATGACCGTGCCTGGTTTGAATGAAAGTGATGTCGGAGCTGAAGAAAATGATAATCTTGACTTTGTGCCCATGGATTGGCTAGCGGGTGATTTAAATGCGTGGCTGGATGAAGACTCGGATCTGATGAGGTGAATTAATAGCTTTGGGTATGTACCAGTTGCATAGAACCATCAGCATCATCTTGTTGCGAGTAAGCACGGCATTGAGGAGCACTTAGCAGACAAGTCAATCATCAATGGCTGCATTAACTAGTCGCTAGTTATATGTCAAACCAGAGTGACTTCTTGGTATGATAAGCCAGATATAGCCCATAGTATACCATCAGCCCTATACATACATGCCATTAAATTACCTGTAAACGTCAAGGAATATCACGTCCAAAATCTATTCGCCATTTCAATGTTTAACCGCCACCATTAATCAGATGGAGTGGCTGCCCCTGATGTCCGATCCTGATCACCAGAAGTAGATTTTCGATCTTCTGCCACTTCCAACCCATTTGCCCCCTCATCACTAGAATCCGGTGAATGGTAAGCCCGACTCGCCTTTTTCAATTCGCGATCCAGAGCATCGGTCAACGCGCCAAGTAACCACTGAACTTCACTCTTTTTTCCGAGTAAAGGATTATTGCGACCAATCCAACTCCAATCACGTAGTCCACGCTGCGATTCGTCATCACTCTCAGTGTCATCCTTAATGTAAGGCGCCGAGGGCTTGTGTTTGCCCGAGATCAAGTCGAGATAGTATTCCCACTCCAGGTAATCGAACTGCTTGGCCGTGTTGCTCATGGCATAATCTGTCATTTTGCGAACTTCGCGGAAGAGGAGGTAGTGGTAATGATGAAGATTTTCGGCGACAACATCACCGCGGTCGCGGGCGCGTTCTTCTTTTTTGTGTTCTTCAGATTCTGGGCCTTTTCGATCTGTGCCGTTGGCTTGGTCGATGCGACGACCTGTTCCTTTTGTAATGTCTTGGCCGTCGTCACTTTCACCGATCGTTTCTTGGAGCCACTTGTCTGTCCAGGAGGTGTGGAAAATTGCCTTGACGCGGTCATGGAATGATTCGTCGCCGGGCAAAATGGTAATTTCTCCGAGAAAGATGGTCACATCCCGAATGGAGCGGATGATGGTGTCGCCAATATTGGAGATTAGGATTGTGATTGATGGCACGGCGAGGAGAGACCAAAAGACGAAGAATGCTTTGCCCAGACTACTTACTGGGTAGATATCGCCGTATCCGATAGTCAAGAGCGTTGTGTAGGAGAAATAGAGAGCTTCAAAGTACGACCAAGAGAAATATGACTCCGAGCGCCAGAAAACCACTGCACCAATGAACCATAGCGTCATCCAAGTGGTCAATGAGATTCCCAATGAAATCCATTTGTGCTGCACTTCGGCGACTTGTCGAACGCGTCGCATGGTGATGAACTCTCGCTTATGTTTTTCACGCTCGTTTTGCGCAATGACTGGATCATTTGGGTCCAGAGATGGGAGCAACCCAGAGAGGCGGTTTTTGTCCGAGGAAGCTTCTTTGACAAGAAAGCGTCGAGTTCGATCGGCCAAAATAGCTGAGATCTTTTGACGACCATGCTCTAGCGTCAAGGTTCGAATCGACGAGATAATGAGACCGAGAATCACGATGCCCCCAACAGCATATGGAAACAGCAAACCACGTCCTAGGTGCGTTGCAGGAGCGAAATTGCCAATGCCAATGGTGAGCAAAGTGAAGTCGGCCCAGTAGACAGCATCCAAAAATCTCCATCCCTCTATCTTTGCGTAAACCGCGGAGCCTCCAAGCAAATAAATGAAGAACACGATAGTCTGGAGCATCAAAGTCCGCTGACTCGTCGTCAATTTGAACTCTCGACTATAGTGGCCCTTGGAGGCACCCCAAGCAGTTACTGCCATCATGGACGCAATGATGAAGTACAAACCAGCTGCAAAAGTTGCATAGAAATAGCTTTGTGTGTAAATGCGCCCGTCGTTTTCGGTGTTGTACATGAGAACGCCAAAGGGAATAAGAATACCGATCAGCAGTCCTGATGATACATACCAACCAGCGATGATGATTGGTTGCGCAACTGCGAAACGGATTCTCCGCGCCATATTAAGCGACAGAGCCAGATTGGCGACAAGCGCGAAAAATAGCGAGACCGCGTTGATTGCGACGGCCCTGAAAGGTCGTTAGAAAGGCACATATTAGAAGCCAAGTCTCGGGCCGCACCATTTTGGATCTGTAACGTTCTGTCCCGAAGGCGTCATCCGCCAGGTTTGCGCTAAAGAACAGATGTTGAAGGCGCTCGCCATGGGCCCAAATGTGCCCTGAGACAGGAGTCAGCTTGTCACATTGTCTACACAAACAGACAGTTCATACCGCCGCCAATGGATACGCCGTGCTTGCCAGCCACCATCGCGCTGCATGAGGATGCGAAGCATCGACTTCTTTACTCCACTGATTCTGTGTGTGTCCCGGACCCGGACCGTTATCCAAAACGCCCGCCTCATCAGCGATCGCATCGTCTCAGACCAGGGTCGTTCATATTGGCTGCAACTTGCGACTGGAGAACATCGGAATGGGGTTGAGGTTGCTTGGCAGGGGACAAGCGGATTAATAAACGGCATGGTGGAGTGAAAGCTCCCAAGGTGGAGACCCCATGTGTTGAAAGCAGAATTAGTGGCGTATGCCAAATCAAGCTTCCTGGCAGACATGGCCGTCATGATCGGCCTCTCCGCGCCCAAACCACCGCGTCATCTCACGTGACCTGTATAGACCCATGGCTCGAGATACTATTTTCAGACTTAAGAGATGAAGATCTTCATGGAAAAAGAAAATGTGTATTCTCGGGTATGAGGTAGATGTATTTCTCAGACCCTAAAAGCCACAACAGAAAAGGAAATGATGCGAGAAAACTGGATATGAAAAAGAGCAATTAGACCATTGATCGTTTTGATCGGTCCCTGTACATCACGTCGATCCACTGCTATACATTTGCATGCTGAAAAGGAACTGCAGAGGAGAGCCAGCTTCTGCCGTTTAATCGCCCGGGTCGTGACGGGTGGGAAGAATCAGACGCAAAGCGCAATGCTGCCAGAAAAGAAAAGGAGACCCCTGCCCGGTAATCAGAGCGCAAACTCCGCCTCACATTGCCATAATGTCGAGGACATAAATCGGAAGTCTTATGAAAGGGTATCCAGGGAATCGGAATGGGTATCGCAAGTATGTGAGAGTCGATGAGATCATATTAGAAGAAGACATAATCGCTTAGAAAGGTAATTTATCAAACTGCGGCGGGGTGAGCTTATTTGTCCAGGGTGTTTCGATTTGTTGATGACGACTTACAGTGGGCCGCTCCAGGAGTCAGGGCCGAGGAACGGAGCTGTTGCTTGGTGGTGAGGGGCGACGAGCAAATCGAGGATCCACGTCTTCGTAGTACGCAGTGGGCTGCGCGTTGACAGTATGCCCAGGTGAGGGTGCATGGTGATTGTCATTCGTTCCCCCAGCTCGAGCAGGGACGTAAGAACTACAACTGACTTTAGCGACAAACTCATGTAGACAAGTGAATCAAGAAAACTTACTCAGTCCGACTGTATAGGCTCGTGGGGCTCTCGAGAGGGGCTAATTGACCGTCAACAGACACAGCATGGGGATGGGAAGTGACCGTTGCCGGTGAATCGTGTCCCTCATAATGCCGCGGCTGGGGTTGCATCTCAATGGCCTGTCCCACTGTTTCAGGCGAGACCGCCATTCCAATAGGGCCCGGGGAGGGCTCACGCATTGGACCGACAGGTGCAGCCACGAAAGGATCCATAGGTGCCGCTCCGTGGGCATCAGCCGTGGGCGGGCTGTATGCAGCGTAGCCCCGATTCGGGACAGGTGCATAACCCATGCCGCTGCGAGGTGCTCCGCGACCGGGTATCATGCCTCCTCGGATCCTAGGAGGGGGGGCCCATGTAGCCACCTCTGCCAGGTGGCCCCCGGGGTGGACCCGTGTAGGGACCTCCTCGGCCATACCCGCCCCGAGGAGGGTAACCTCCTCGACTGCGCGGGCCGAAGCCAGGCGCAGGTCCACCTCGGCGAGAACCCATGCTACCATCCTGATATTGTTGGCGCAACCGAGGATCGGAGGGATTACGTATCACGCCGGGACCATGATGATCAGAGAGACTGCGCATCAGTCTGGGATCACGAGGATCGGAAGGATTGCGAGTCACTCCAGGACCGTAAGGACCGGGGAGCGGTACGCCAGCGTCGTCATGTGTGCGGTATGGGGTTCCGCGTCGGCTGGGGTATTGGGCATCCGGCGGCGGAGGAACATCATGCATGGCAGTCGCATCTGCGGTATTGAGGGGGGTCCGGTCATCGTCGCTGTCGTGAGTGCCGGTATGGAAACTTGCGAGAGTCGGCCCCGACGATTCGAAGGCGGGAGAGCCAGTCACCATGGCTTCCTTGGTCTCGGTGGGTTCCGTCATGACGCCGCCAGCCGTAGTTGCCGTTGCGGCGTTCTGGCGATTATAGTAATTCTCGCCACTCATTTCTGCGTTTTCCGCGATGCGGCGCTTCCGAGCTTTGCGGCTCACTAGGGTCCGGCGCATGGCGCATGTCACAACCCCGCAGGAGACGAGGAGGATGGTCGCAGCCAGCACGATCCAGCCACCCCATTGTAAATGCGGCACGAAAAGCAGTATATCAACCAGGAAGGCGAGAAGGGTCACCAGGAGAGTAGGTAGGAGCAGAATGAGAAGAGCTAGAAGGTAGCGCGGAGAATGGGATGGGCCGTGGAAATGGGCCGCGCCGGCCAGGCAGAGGCAAATGAGGGTAAGGAAGGCGGCGACGGGGTGAATGATTAGGATCGAAGAAAGCGACTTCCGTGTGCCCGAAGGCAGATTGAACTCATCGCCGGAGCTGGTGATATCCTCTGCAGGGAAGACTTAGCCACAGTCACGCCAGGCAGAAACGAAAGAGAGGGGTCAACTCAACTGGTACTGTATCCGACATGAATGTTGGTACATACGTCGCCTTGGCAATAGCCAAAGACACCGTAGTCGACATTGCTATATGTCGCAAGAGGTATTCCCTTAATGATAGGTGTCGACAAACAGGAGATCAACAGTAGCGCAAAAGCGACCAGTAGGAGGATCGTGAGCGGTGTTGCGGGCTTAAGTAACATTGCGACGGGGAGGGCGAGAGCGCGCAAGCTCTCAAGGAACTTCTCTCAAGCCAGGGAGAAAACGAGCAAGTTCCAGAGTTGCAGAAAACGGCGCGGAATAAGGTAAGAATTCAATTTAAGCCAGCATTGGCAGGGTCATTGCAGGTCTCCTAAGGCCGTTGCGAAGGGGCTGGCCTATTAGACTGGCAGTCAGTTCGTTTCAAATCGAGCGGAGCAGTACCCACCGCAGACTAACACCCAGAGCGGTGTGTGGATACTACGGGACTATTCTAATTGAGCACACCGCTTCACGACCTAACCTTATTCTAATTATGGCCGTGAGTTACTGCTACTGACATCCCATCTTTTATATCGAACAAAGTTTGTGCTTGAATGAGTCTTTGTTGTTTATTCAGAATAATCACTTTCGTTATAGGGGGGGTTCCGCAAATGAAGTAGCAATCGGCATAATCCCATGTCCCGCAGACTGCAGTATGCCGTGGGTGATCACGAACATTCTATGCCCCTACAATTCTACATTGTCCTAGCACTTTGAAAATGTGTATTAAACAAAATTAGTAAGGCTTAAAGCTCTAGGAGAGATACGAAGAAATAGTAGGTTCTATCCTTCTTCAAGTGCTACGACGGGCCGTGGACTATGCGACCAATGAAGGCTTCATCAGGTAAGAAGAAAGATTGGAAATAATAAGATAGATTGCAAACATGATTATACATCCTCAATGGGCACGATGCACAGTCCTCAAACAAAGGACTAGAAAGCAGAATGATAGTCAAATGTTGGAAGAGAGTGAAAGGTCTCATGTTTTTACTTAATGTCTCGCGCGTATCTATAGACGGAAAGTGCTTAGAGTCACAGGCCCTTAAACAAAAGAATAGAATGGTAGGAGATCCGACTGTTGCTATCTTCTACCGAAATACAATTATTAGTAGCTGAACACCCAACATTGTAGTAGAATATGTTAGATCGCAAGTCTGTTATCTAGGTCGTAGGTCACCAACCAATCGCCGTTGAGCTCATGCTCAGGCAGTCTAAGCTCTGGGTCATGTTTATTCATTCCCTTTGCAAATAGCATCCTAGCATAGTCGGGGTCAAACACGAATGTTGTTTCGCCAATTATAGAGTTTCTCAATTCCGCCGTAGCCAAAACTTCATCTATGGCGACGTACTCATCCGGGTTCGGCACAGTTGCCTTCTCGATTTGTTCCCTGATATGCTTTGCAGTCTCAGTATCGAATCGGGTGTCGATAAAATATAGCTTGTCCGGGCCGGCTGCTGCCACGTATGGAGTATCCGGGGCCACAACTTGGCGGCCAAAAGGTGTCTCGATAACGTTCGGTACGTAGTCACCCCAATATTCTTCTTGGAAGGTCGGGGAGCCTTCACATGGTCGAAACGGGCTCAGAAGCATAGTGATCGATAGTAAAAGGATAAGTTGACTATGTAGGCTCATGTCGTGCAGGCTGACTTAGAGTTTTTGGGGTTCAGGTTTAGGACAGTGAAAGGGGCAGAGCACCGATCGCAGATTTGATGAACTTTTCACCAGAACAGCCTAGAAGGACGTGTATATTCAAGGTCCCAAATCATGCCGTTGGGCGCTCATCAGGGCGTGAAATGATGGCGTCTTTTGCAGACGCTCGACGATGGAAGGATTTTCTTTCAAAAGAAGTAGGCTAGGTGCCTATCCTAGTAAAATGGAAGAACAAGTGACCTTCATGCCTCGTTGTTTCCAATGAGCGCGTCGAAACGCATCGATGCGACCCTACAGCTGATAAGTTAGCGCCCGGTAATCACAACGGAGCTCCGTTTGGCCACCCTGGCTAGGTTCATTGTTGCTATCTGTGATTGACTTATCATGAGCCAGACATTGATGGCCTCGGACATATGCACATACTTGCGCATATCGGGAGATGGTTATCATGAGATACTCGGATTCACTACTCTATGCCCACGTTGCCACGCTATGGAAGAACCTATTCTGCCATACAGTAGGCGTCGAGCTGGGACAGGGCGTTTCTGAAATACGCACCGCCCCTCATAGACCCGCAACCGTGTCCAACCAGCAGGACAGATCCAGATTGAAGTCAAGGCCAGAGCACAGCCTGGGGCGTAGTTGACTTGCGCCAGCCCTGTTATTCGTCACTTCGTCCGTGGAGCGCCAAGCCAGTGCGGAGCAAGCAAACGCACGACCGAGTGTGAGATCCCCCATAATCATCTTTGGATCAACCTCTATTCAATCAAGACACATTTGATTTAATCCATGGTTAGCAGTTTACGACTCAGCATACAATGGAACGCGATAGAAAAGGACTTTTTCTGCCAGTACCAGACCCGTCGGTCCCGCGGATACAGCCATCGCCGCGACCCAGAGGACGCTAAAAGCTTAATTGGGTTTTCGTCAAAATTAGCAACCCTTGGTCTTGACTAGGTGTCAATGCGCCCCATTTGTTCCATGGAGAAACAAGATCTGGAGATTTCCGAAACCCATGCAGTTCCCAGGAGCTTGGTCCTAAATGTGACATCTCTGACAATGAGTTTGCATGCTGTCATCCTAACTCCTTCCAATTCTATGTCAATCAATCCACAACCCATCGATCAACTGGAGTAAAAACTGTCTGGGCCACAATTTGAGCCGATGGCGGTCCACTAATCTCATTTTAAATGAAACAGACCGCCGTCTAATGGAAGAAGCTAGCCTTTCTACGTATAGCTAGCTGCCTAACTCTAAACATTGATAGGATGTTGCGCGAGTTAGGGAAACGAGAGACGTAAGCGACTCGGCTATCCGAGCTCTGATTTTATCTCCGCGCACGTACGCTGGGTCGCATAGGCCTGCTGGTCGAGCCTAATTAAGCTTATGCCCGCAGACCCTCGACCGCTCTGGGATAGAGAGTGCGTCTCTTGTGAGATCTCATATGCCAGGGTCACTTGACCGTTTCCCATCTGCCCACTAAGACCGGGGATAGGCTAAGCCACTCCACATATAGGGGTTACACAGACAGCGGCCCTGTTGCAAACTCTCCCAATTTGGCATCATGAGAGTATCCATGACACTTTTGAATCACCAGCAATTCTTTGATTCATCGTCTCACATGACAATCGGTGTCCTTAAGCGGAAGCTGAACCATACCCCTGCGGGAAAAAGTAGAACAATGCCTGTACTACCGACAATTCCGATAGCAAAGGTGAACTATTTTCAAAGAGACAACGTTCATCGTCTTTTGCAGTTCATAGAGGATCCGGTTGCGAAGATTTCTAGACAACGGAACACCGATCAACAAGTCCTGGTCGAAGCGTCAATACCCACGTCCTACAAAAGGGCTCGCATTGTGTTAGAGCCCATCACTTAGAACATGCGCTGTATCTGGCGTTTATGGCCCAGGGCGAATCGAAAGAAGTCCCAAGATGAGGGAGACACACTGTTTCCCGAGAGAAGAACACTACTTCAGGCGTGGGAGATGGCTTTAAGAAGGGATCAATCCCCTTATGAATCGGGATCAATGGTACATGAGCGCTACGTGAGATTTGGAATTGGTGGCGCGGGGAATACGCGCAAGTCCTGCTTCCTTCCCCCAAGATTTCTTCGAGACTCTAATTCGATTAGTGATGTAGAATCGTATCGCATAACGGAAGATTCATTCCGACGACTGAGCGTTGAGGTCCGGGTGCTGCATATGGGCGTGAGTGGTAGGCTTGGAAGATGCGGGCTACGATAAAAGGATTACTCAAGGACGAGCTCGCAGCAATTCGAAGTTACAAGACAATGCAATGAGATACACCATAAAAAGTTCCAACCAAGTATGAACCAATTGCTCTCAAATCCCTGATTGGAATAACTTCGCGCTGAGATTTCCCTTTGATCCAAGTCTCGCCATTTCTATGCCGACCTCGGACTGAGCGATATCGAACACCCCTGCCGAATGTCCTATCAACATCCTTGAATGAAATTGGATGATTCCCCAGGCTACAAGACTCAATGAGAATCTGTTGAGGCATCAGCAGATCCTGTATGAGTAGCCATTCGAGACAAGTCAAAGACCTGTCCACAGGGGAAAAAATGACTCTGCTCGAGTCCCACAGCCTCACTAACCAGCCTGGACGTGGGCTTAGTGTTTCGATTCACAACCTCGAGTTTTCACTTTGCTCATGGGATAAACGCCCATCAAAATGCAGCTCAGCCTCGTGTTTTCACCTACCCCTTGGGCGGTTCGGCTGGTACTGGTACCCAGCCACGTTGGATGCCAGCAAGGGAGAGGAATTAATTTCCGGGGTTCCACCAGTCGATAATCCAGACGATTGGGTGCTCGGTCAACTATCAGATCACGCCCTGCTTTTGGCCACTATCTAGGATCGCAATTATTGTCTTGGGTGGGCAGTATCGGGCTTCCTTGTGTTCTGCAGTCTTTGTTGTAACTCGCTGGGTGACAGATTTTACCATGATTCAGCTGAGATATAACCTCGAGCGGACATTCATTTCTTCTATTGGAAACGTCTAGATGCGATCGAAATAAGAAAAAGGAATCCAACGTGATCTCTGCGAACTGAATTGTAAATCCCAGGTGCAGAGCCAAGCTTCGGCGCGATCCGTGGACGTGGGGGCCGTTGGGCCGTCTACAACTCCATTAAACAAGACGTCAGGCTTGGGGCCCCGCTTCTAATTCGAGAACAATTATTGTAATTTATCGAATAGGTTGTCTGAGTCGACAACCTCCCATTGTCTTAGCTTGCCCTATTGGCTTGGGTCGTTCTAGGGTTGCGGTGTGGTGGCTGGGGAGGCTGGGAAGGTGGCCGACAGCACAATGATATCCAGCCAAAAAGTCCACTGAGCTGCATTTTTGCCCTCCACAGAAATCTGTTGACACTTTAAGCTCCTAAGGAATGCTTCTCGACTAACTTGCTGTGGAAACGCCGACCGTCGACCACAATACCATGTCGAACCAGGACTCTCCTATGCGCAACTTCAGTCTACGAAACGTCAACTGTATGTGTCCACGAGCTGGCGCATACGGCATACACTAATTTCATTTCTTTTGGTCTAGCGAGCAAGCCTCAGCTTTATAAAACAAACTCAGAGCAGTCTATTGCTGTGTCGGACGACTACTATTCTTTCTCGGATCGAGCTATGTCGTCAAGTCCCGATAGTCGTGTAACCGCGATGCGTTTCGCAACACCAAATGAACGGTCTCCCCAGCCTTCGCCATCTTCTTCGCATCGGAGACAGCTAGCCAGGGGACCTTCAATGATTCAAGAATACCAACGGACACCTCAAGATCTTGGGTCTCCACGCCCAGGGACTTCGAGCACAGTTCGGTCTGGCGAAGACAGAGTCGCTCGCATCAGCCCCAAGTCAGATGAGACAATTCGACAAGTGCCTCCCAGTCGTGAATACTCTGGGAGAGAGCCGACTCCAGGACTGGATGATTCACCCTATGTTCGATTCGCAATTGATCAGCTCACTGCCGATGAGCATGCCCAAAGACCCCAGCGAATGGATTCCGTCTCCACGAACACAACGAATGACTACGCAGGTGAGCAACTTGTGTGGGATGAGAGCTTGGGCTATTTCACTCGGGCTCGAACCCCGATTCGACATATGGAAGTGCCTGAGCGACCCAAGTACAAGTCACCCTCCCCGCAAGCACTTCCTCAGAGACCCAATTCGATTGATCCAGAGTCGTTCGTCGCTGTTGAAGCGCCGGAGGAAAGCCTCAAATATCCTGCACTGAACTATCTCCCCACAATGTTACGACCCTGGGCTTTAGGTGGTGTCATCTTCTGCTGCTTGCTCATGATCGCTGGTATTGCGTTCTGCAATGTCTGGTCTCATCGCCATCAGGGTATTTGGGATTACACTGGCCAGGGTGATTCTCGGTACTTTGTGATGGAATTCCTTCCTCAGATTCTGGCGGCTCCCATCATCATACTCAATCTCATGGTCCAGTCTGCTGTCTATCGAACCGCGCCATTTGCAATCATGGCAGCCAACCGCCAAATTGGATATGTTTTGCAGGGCTTGCCCATCCTCCCTCGCAACTTTATTTTCCCTGATCTCTCACACTTTCGATATGGAGAGGCTCTTTTCGGCTTCTCCATGTTTACCATCTGGCTGTCAAACTTCTTCTCCATCCCGCTCTTAAGCTGCTTGTTTCAGGCAAAGTATTACGAGATGGATGGCAAAGGAGTATGGAGATGGGCATCTGTTCAATCGGTGGGCTGGACTCTGATAGCTTCATATGGTCTCTTGATCATTGGATTGATTGGGCTTCTCCTTCGATTCGTCCTCCAGTGGACTGGCTTGATGTGGGATCCGGTTTCCTTGGCAGATCTGATCTCCATTATCCAGCGGTCCAATATCCTCCATGATTATGAGCACTCGGAAACCGTTCCCAAAGTGAAAGAGTCACTGGACCCTCGCATTCTCCGTCTCGGCTATTGGAAGCTTTCAATGAAGCCTGAGGTATTCTACGGCATTGGAGAAATGGATGCTCCCATCCGTACACCCTCTCTCCATCAAACCAAAAAGAGCAGAGACAAGCAGCCCCATGGTCTCGCCAAGGTCACCTTTGACCTCGAGCATGCTGGCGCTTTTGCGAACGACCCATTCGACCACCACCTCTACTCTCCATTTACCCGGTATCGCTGGACACCATGGTTCCTCCGCAAGGCTGCTGTCATCACCTGGATCATCATCGTTTTCGCTCTCTTTATCGCTTTCGTGACCGTCAGCTTCGTGAACGATGCGGTCCAAGGAGGCTTCCCTCCCAAACTCCCAACGCTGCCCTCGACTGGTGCCTTCTCCTCATCCAACTTCCTTTACAGCTTCATCCCCGCAATCATGGGCAATATCCTCTTCCTCACCTGGCAACCAATCGACACCTACTTCCGCGCACTCCAGCCTTTCGTCGAACTCTCTTCTCCGAACGGCACCTCCGCCGAAAAAAAGCATACTTCTCGCCTACCCATCTGCTGCCCCGCTCCAAGTCACCCTCCAAGCCATCATCAACGGCCACTACAAAGTCGCTTGGATCTCCTTCATGAGCCTAGTCTCCATCGCCATTCCTATTCTCGCAGGTGGGGTCTTCGTCGCCCTCTGGTACCCCGCCAGCTCCGATATTCGCATCTCCGCCCTCATGCCCGCCTTCTACGCCTTAGTCGCCTTCTGTGGCCTCTACGCCGTGTCTTTCCTGTCAATCTGGCCAGGACGCCGCCGTTACCTCCCTCATGACATTAGCACTCTCGCGGATCTGATGAGCTACTTCTATCAATCTCCTCTTTTGGCGGATAAGCTTTTGCGCGAGCCACGCAGCAAAACCGATCTCGTTACGCGCCTGATTGTGGCCCCGCCTGCCGAGCGTCTACTGCCCATGTACGGCTTCGGAATCTACGTCGGCCGTGATGGCAAAGAACATCTCGGTATCGACCGCTTCCATCGGCCTGGACGGACTGATATGTTGATTACGACGGGAACGATGAAATGATCTCGTCCCTGCTTATGAATTGCATCGTTTTATGAGCGATTGATTTTTTATTACCCTTGGCTCTTACTTGTTAGTCCACTGCATTTGATGTCAAATACTGGCATCATCGCCGGCGTAAGTCGATGTTTGTCCTTTGCGAATTGTTTCGGTGTTGTCATACCCCATTCTTGGTGTTACTGTCTGTGATTATGATTGTGTTTTTCAGTCCTAATTTCTTAGCGATAAATTTGGGGATATAGATTAATGAAGAATTAGAACATGGAGTCGATCTCATTGATATGCTATATAACGTGGAAAGGGTATTCTTTCTCCACATCTCCTCTCTCCTTCAAATATTCACTTGGGTTTGTCGGATCTTTCTCTGATTCTTCTACACCTTTCACTTGTTCCCATTTCGAGGTACTCCTTGGATTGACTTTGAACACGTCTAAGGATACAAGTCACAGCAGCTTACACACTGAGAACCATCTCTACTAGATTCCCGGTCGCTGTAAGGAAGAGGCGTAAACCACGACCTCGGGATGTTTGCCATACACCTGTCACAAAGATCTAATTGATGCAAGCGTCACAATTCCACGAGCATTTCTGGCCGCTGGAAATAGATCCCTAAAACGCGATTAACTTGCCCCTGAATCCACCTCTGCTGCTCCACAGGCAATGCCAGATCAGTGTTTTGCAGATTTCTCAAGGCAGCAAATAGAAACCAAGCGCCCATTAACGGCGCCGCCTGTTTATGCGTAATAGTCACAGGTCTAGTTTCCGCGAGTGGATAATCCACAAGACCAGGCTTCATGTGCACTGACTCCATTTGACTTCCCAGGAAGAAAGGAACAGATGCACAAATATCTTCGGCCAGCTTGTGAATTATCGCAATCACGGCCTGTATGCTTGGGCTGTCTGGATCATGTGATGGCAGGATGCGAAGACAGCTAAGTTTAATGGTCTGGACAAGGATCTGACAGTCTCGGTAATTATTCCATGTTGCTGCGATCCACATGTCGGAATAACAGTCGCATCGGTTGCGGTAGATGCCTGCATCGCGGACGGATTGGGGAATCAAGCTTGCGGCGACGGGGACCCAGTGTTGGGGAACCCGATGGGACCAGAAGATTAGACTGTTTTCAATGTCTGTAGCTTTATTGAGAATTGCGGTTGCATGGGCGGTAGGATCGGGTTGGGCCAGCGTCTCTTCCCAGGCGTGGCGGAGATTTACTAGTTGGGAGGCACTTAATTGGAATAGGAGCCGAGGCGAGGGGAAGGAGTCGGTGTTTGATGACGATAAAGGCCATAATTTGGGTGCTGGGACCATCGGACTTTCTAGGGCTCTGGTTGTCTTGATCTGTTTTGATCAATTGTGAGTTGAAGGCAAGCAAGAACGTGCTGAAGAAGATTACGTACGATTTGACTCTCCACGGCGTTGTAAATTGGAGAGGATGAGGAATAAAGTGGACTCCTCGCTTTGATACTATTGATCAAAGCAACAGCGCCGCGTAGATGTGCCTTGAGAGGAAGCTCCCAGTGTTTGATGGCAACGAATTCCTTGATATCGAGTTAATTTATACAGGACGGGAGCAAATGGCTGAGTAAAACAGCACTACCCACCTCATAAGTGCCCAACAACAGGATAGCCGTAAGTGTGCTATCCAATTCACTCTCTTCATTCCTTTGCAAGGCGTCTCGAATCTTCGGTAAAGCTTTTGTAAAGTATTGCTCCGAAGTACGGAGTAAGGGTTCTGAACCGGTCCACGCGGCGACGGAATAGAAAGCAACGGCCAATGTACTGATGAAAAGACATGAGTCGGGTTCAGTATTAGAGTATAGGGACGGCAATATCTCCATATAGCCATTCTGAACGTGGGGATCCTTTGGAAGGTAGAGATAGGAGTTAAAGAACAAAGGGACCACGATATCCTCCATGGGCTGATAGAGGTCGGCTGGGCCTAGATTTGAAGGCCATGCGCCAAGCAGTGGGGTTGTTTTCGCTCGCGCGAGCGATTTAGGGGATGTTGTCCTTGATACTACGGTCGTCCTGCTCGAGGCTGACTTGTCACTCGCCACTCGCGAGGGTCTGCTTCTCTTTGTGAATGAAGCTGTCTGATCTCGCAGCATAACATCAAAGGGATCCGGATATCCCGGACAAGACCGTTGTGTCCGGGTGCATGCCCGGCATTCAGGGCGTGTTTCATCGCACTTCAGAGGTAAGTTTGGTGGCCTGGCAGTGGCGGTTACTGTCCATACCTTGATGCGCCGCTGCCTGCAGTTGCGACATCCCGTGCTTGGCTTCCCACCGTAGACCATTATTTCGTGTGAGCTCCAATCGTTTCTTTGGTCAATTCGAAATTAGGCAGTCTTAGGTTCGTTCGAACTGATACGGAGTCTCGGGGTCATCACACTCCGTTCAGATATGGTCCATGTTGGCACGGAAAATGATCCACCAACGAGATTCAGACGGAACAAACAATGGCCGCAGTCTTCCACCTTGACATTGTATGGTCAGGATCGTATCCACGATGAAGCCAGTTGAGCCAAGTCTTGCTTCACGGTAAGCCGAGGTCACGTGCGCGAAGATCTGCTGTCTCCGCCTCCGCAGATTTGCCGAGATCATCCTGTCGGCATCCCAACCCCAGCCCAGCTCCTCCTTTCGAACCGAGAACTTCCCAAGCGTGCAACTTTCCCGCTCTTCTTACGCCCTGCTCTCTTATTTCCAAGACTCTCCGCATTAGCTCCTCGCATAACCTCGGGAATATATCCTCAAATCGCAAGAATGTCCATCTTTGGCTGGGGATCCAGCTCCAAATCCGATGCCCGCTCCTCGTTCCAAGAAAGCACACCGTCAAGTCAAGGCGCAGCCCCCTCTTCCACACCCACAGTAACTGAACCATCGACACAATTAGCCCAACAATCAAAACCCAAAGATAACACCGGCTTGAAACTCTTCCTCGGTGGCATCGCCTTTTCCGCGTTCTCTGTCTACATTACCCGCCGCGCAAACATTCGGAAGCAACTCGCATGTATCCCACCCTTCTACTCGAGCTCACTTTACCACCAACCGAATGTGAATGGCGCGATGGAAGCCTTTGAGGCGCTCAATCTCGCGACGATCAATGTGTTTTCCTTTGGCATGTTGACTCTTGGCGGAACCATGTATGCATTGGATATTAATGGAATTGAGGATGCGCGGAAGATAATGAGGAGCGGTCTCGAGGGTACGGCCCAGGGCAAGTCTGATGAGGACCTCGAGAACGACGTCCAAGAGTGGGTGGCTAGTGTTCTCGGAAACCGGTTCGAGAAGCAATTGGAGAAGGAGCGCGCTAAGAAGAGGGATGTTCCCGAAGACAAGGAAGTTTGAGGAATTGAAAGGGCCCTTGGGTCTACGGTTGATGTTTGGATATACTCTGCTCTTTTTTGATACCACTGTACATTACGCCTTCCTGATGTCCTGATGTAGGCATATTCCTGACGTTGCCGACCACAACATCAACAATATCATCAATATCCTGTGTACACCCCCCAATTGTCTACAGATCGCGTGAATCCATTGCATATTTCTATTGATGGCTTCTACTAGAATAATCACTGGTTAAAGATTGTATTGAAGGTTTCCATCCAGCATTGAGTAGATCCGGAGATATGCACAATAAATCATTCGCCCAGCCTGTCGTACCGTTGGCGAGCATTCTCTTTGGTCTTCTCCAAAAACTCGTCATATCGACCGCGAGTATTGCGAGCAGCCTCTTCAACCGCGTCGCCGATCTTGCCTCCCTGGGCGCCGAGTCCGACGCCCTGGGCATACACCTCGGTAGCAATGGGAGCGGTGACACCCGTACCTTGAGCACCTAAGCCGGAACCCTCTGACCAACCCATCTTACTAAGAAGCGAGGCGCCCTTAGAGGTTGTCTGAACTGGAGCGTCTTCTTCTTTTCTGGGTGCTGTTGCTTTCGCTGTTGCATTGGTTTTGGCTTTACCTGGCCCAAATGCCTTCCGACGTTCTCTAGCGCGATCACGGTATTCGGCTGTTGGTGGAATGATACCGTGCTTGATCAACTTGGCCGTTCCCCGGGCTACAAGCGCTTCATTCTGCAGGTTTGCTCGGTGGAGCTCGCTGAGGCGCTCGTGTCTGTGGACGTTGGCGGTACTCTTGAATTGTCGTAGGCACAAATAGCAAGCATTGCGCTGGACATCTGCGTAAGACTGCGTAGGCGGGGCGCCTGGATCTAGAGCCGAGTCGTCCTGGTCGTGCAGAGGGTTTCCATCGCTATCCTTGGGAATGCCATGAAGCTCTGCATGACGATTGCTCCAGAACTGGAGTTGAGCAGGCATGGCTGTCTTCTTTGCCGTACCACTGGCAGTTGCCTCTGCCTTTCTCTTTTTCGATTTCTCGCTATCTTTCGACCCCTTGGCTTGACCGTCTTGCTGATCCATCTGGGCTCCGTCACTCCCGAAGAGACCGCTAGCTCCGTCACATAACCTTCATCGTCCCAATACATGAGCTTCGCAGAGGGATTGTTTAGCGGACTGAAAGTGAACCGCTCAGTGTGAGAGTTGGGGCTCATGACTGGTACAAACACGCCTGCGTGTATGTAGCTGACCATGACCGGTTTGGAGGAGATGGTGAACTTGACAAAGGAGTTCAACCGCTGAATAGCAGCCTGGGCATCCATCACATTCGCGAACTCAGCGAATCCGTAGCGCCAGCTCTCATTAGTCTTCCGGTCGCGGACGAGTAAGACACGGCGAATGGAGCCCTCTCGGGCTCCCAAGTTTGAGTCACCGGTTGTTGATGCAACTTTTGCCCCCTTCTTCGAACTGTTTGAAGTTATCTCGTTATTGCTCGAACTTGGTCGATAAAGCTTCGCAGCACCCTTGGCCAACAGGTCCTCTGACACGGATGAATCAAGACCTCGGAAAAGCAGGAACTGAGACGGCTGGTTTTCAGGCGCCGCATCATTGTCACCATTGTTGATTACCTTGGGCATTGGAACGCCAGGGGGGGGCCAACAGGTGCCACTGAGATTTCTGGACGGGGAGCATTACAGCGGAAGCACTTAGGACGCGTTGCAAAATTGACGACTGCACACATGCGACAGGTCCAGTCGCCTTCGGCTTTGGCTCGAGCTCGGTCTTCCCGCTCACGGCTGTATGCAATGCGAACTTTGGTGGCTCGATCATCGTGGCCGGCCGTTGGGCCGTAGAAGTAGATGTAGGGATGGTTTCGTTCAAGAAAGTCCCGCGATTCTTCGAGAGATCCAAATCGGAGAAACCCTAGTCCTCGTGATAACTCTACAATTGGCAAGCCATCAGTCAATTGCTCATTCTGTGCGGTTCGCTACCACTCACTGGTTTGTCTATCCCGAATCACCCGAACATCTTCAAGTTCTTCAAGATGGTATGCATCTCGAAGTTCTGCTGAGACCTGTGGCACAGATAACAACAAGTAAGCCTCTTGATGCATGCAGACATGGCTTGCAATCTAGATCTCGTTTCCCAGATACGTTACCCAATGAATGGAAAAGACCTACGTCGTCTTCAGTCATGTCCTGTGGTATCCCATCCATCATGACTTCCCGGCTCTCTTGTCCAAAATGATTCCTGCCTCCGCGAGGACTGCGGCTTCGACTGCGATTATATCCCGGTGACTGATACCCTTCGCGATCACGGTCTCTGTACGATTGCCGACCTCGTCGCGGAGGTGAACGTGATGTCCGATTACGATAATCATCGCGGTCCCGGCTTCTGTACTGGGAATCGCGGTCTCTGGAGTAATCATGTCTGCGGTCTGCGGGTAGTTGTTGCGGTGAGCGCGAAGGGCCTTTACTTCCCAATAACATAGAGAGTCAGTGAGGATTCGAAGTGTTGATGGGTTGTCTTGTTTCAAGCCGAGGTTCTCAAGGCTCCAAAGTTATTGCCATGCGGGGAGGGAAACATACCACTAGGCGAGCGTGATCGAGACCGATCATCGTACATACGACCGTCCCGGTCGTCACGGGGACGATAATCCGGCCGAGGCTGGCTGGATTGATTCCTGCTATCGTCTGGATAATGATGCACCATAATTCAAAGACATCAGAAAATTCGAGGAATGACGAGTATCTGTCTGGGAGCAGGGAAGCTCAAGCTTGCGGCGATAGGCGATAGGCCATATAGGCAAGGCCCGACCGCCTACCGCTTCTGGATGACAGGTATAAATGGAATGATGTTAGAGCCGTGAGAGAACATATTTGTTTCAGATCTCTATCTTCACGTACACTTTAGCTTGGACAATCCGGAGATTTACTGAGGAGTTCATCAGGGATTAATCAATTCAGCTTTATAAGTCAAAACTTGAATCTCGAATTACGGATGTGTACAAGGCCATCCTCTCGCAAGATATTACATATTCTGAGATGAAATTCTGATACAATCGATTCCCTTGCCTGGCTTACTCATGGCTTCTCTAATGGGAATATTTCCGCATAATCGGGGCGTTGTGAAGGCATAGCTCGGCCATTACACCAGACCTGGGCTTCACACACCTAGGGAGTGGAGACGATCCACCAGTACCAGAATGCTTCGACGTATGAGCACAGCCAACCGGTTTAGACTGCATTCAATATGACGGGCTTCCCTGGGTTACAGTAGAATAAGTCCATAAATTTCAAAGGATCGGCAAAGACGATGCACTGATTCGAGATATTATTCTCCGCAGTGCCCCGCGGTGGGATGTGCGTGGGTATGATATGACCGATGCACACCTGTCCTTGCGAACACGCTCCTACTTATACAGCCTGCCTCCCTCAGCTGCGTTCTCAATCATTCATCTCCTCTTCTTAACACCCTACTAGAATCACCGTCAATTCAACGATCATGGGATCAACCAAGCCTATCAATCGTGCTTGGTGGAAGGAGAGCTCAGTCTATCAGATCTGGCCTGCTTCTTACAAAGACTCCAACAATGATGGCATTGGGGACATTCCGGGCATTATCACAGAGCTCGACTATATTAAGAACATTGGAGTCGACATTGTCTGGTTATGTCCATCGTATAAGTCGCCCCAGGTCGACATGGGCTACGATATTGCCGATTACTACAGCATCGCGGATGAGTACGGCACGGTCGCAGATGTCGAGAACTTGATTCGAGGATGCCATCAACGAGGCATGAAACTTCTGATGGACCTTGTTGTCAACCACACTAGTGACCAGCACAAATGGTTCAAGCAGTCCCGCAGCTCCAAGGATAACGAGTTCCGCGACTGGTACTTCTGGAAACCCCCGCGCTTTGACGAACAGGGTAATCGTCGCCCTCCAAATAACTGGGTCTCTCATTTCCAGGGTATGGTAATCTCATTCAAGTTATATCTTGGATGGATCACTCAGTACTGACATTTGCAATAGGAAGTGCTTGGCAGTTTGATGAGCATACAGGCGAGTACTTTCTTCATCTTTATGCCACCGAGCAGCCCGATCTCAACTGGGAACATCCACCTGTGGTTAAAGCCGTCCACGACATTATGCGGTTCTGGCTCGACAAGGGCTGTGATGGCTTCCGCATGGACGTGATCAACTTCATCAGCAAGGACCAGGCCTTCCCAGACGCGCCCATTCAGAACCCCCACAGCGAGTGGCAGTGGGGGGGACAAGTACTACGCTAATGGGCCACGCCTTCACGAGTACCTTCAGGGCATGGGTCAAATTCTGAAGGAATATGATGCGTTCAGCGTCGGAGAGATGCCTTTCGTCAAAGACGAGAAGGAGGTTCTCCGGGCCGTGCAATTCGACCGCAACGAGATCAATATGATTTTCAACTTCGAGCACGTCGATATTGATCATGGCAAATATGACAAATTTGAGCCCGGCAGTTGGAAGCTCACAGACCTGAAAGGATTCTTCGAGCGTTGGCAGACATTCATGTATGCCAATGATGGCTGGAACGCTCTCTACTGGGAAAACCACGATCAACCTCGTTGTGTCGATCGCTTCACCAATGCAGACGAAAAGCATCGTCTTGTAGCATCGAAAATGTTAGCTATTGCTTTGGCACTGCAGTCTGGGACTCCCTTTGTGTATCAGGGGCAGGAGCTGGGTATGAGCAATGTCCCTCCTACCTGGGGTATTGACGAATACAAGGACATCGACTGCCTCAATCACTGGAATGGGTAAGTTACTACCCGAGTTTGATACCTACCAGGTTTATTCCTAACATTGCATGGTAGAGTCGTCAAAGCAAAGAATTACGACGCCAATGCCCAAGCTATTGCTCTCCAGGAGTACCAGAAAAAGTCCCGAGACAACGGCCGCACCCCAGTGCAATGGTCAGATGCCCCAAACGCAGGTTTCACCGGCCCTAATGTCAAGCCTTGGATGTCTGTGAACCCAAATTACGTACGCATCAATGCTGCTGCTGAAGTCAAGGATCCCAATTCGACTTACCACTTCTGGGCGGCCGTTCTCAGACTGCGCAAAAAGTACCTGGACATTTTCGTCTATGGTGATTGGACTAATGTTGATCGCTCCAGCGAGAATGTATTTGCGTACACTCGCCAGTATGAGAGCCAGAAGGCTCTCGTGCTGTGCAACTGGACCGAGAAGAGTTTGGACTGGGATGCATCGAGCAACGGCATCGTCAATGTCAAGGAGGTGCTTCTGAACACCTACGAAAGTGCATCCGAGGCCACACAACGCTTCTCTGGCAGAAAGTGGTCGCTCCGACCTTATGAGGCCGTTGTTCTACTAGTGTAGTACTGATTGAGATTTAGACTATTTTAAGATTTAGACGGCCAACCCAAGGAGTAAATATCACAATTACCACGCAAGGTTAATTCTCATACTTTCAATTTGAACAGACGACGGACATTCCTCCTTGAATTCAAATTAATGCCGGACAACGACCTGCCATCGCAAGTACCGGTACTCCCCGCCAACTATCGGAGACGACTTACCCACCGGTTCCCCGCAGCCGATAAGCCTCTCCATCTCCAACAGCACAACATGTCCCTGCGGCTTCTCACACAAATGCATACATAATGACATCCCAAGAACCCCTGCCAGCCCATCTGGATCCATCCACGTACCCACGCACACAGCACGATGCGACACAAAACATCCACCTAACACTCACCTACCAACCCCTCGACCCCAACACCTACCTGTCGCAGGTCTCCTCCCCTGCCGCAGGCGCAAATGTCTTCTTCCTCGGAACAACACGCGATACATTCGAGAACAGACCCGTCTCCCAATTAAGCTACACAACATACCCGCTCCTTTCCCTGAAAACACTCACCGCGATCGCGGAGGACGCCGTCAAAAAGCACCAGCTTCTGGGCGTGAGCATTGCCCATAGACTGGGCGTCGTGCCTATTCAAGAGGCTTCGATTGCGATTGCGGTTAGTTCGGGACATCGCGCCGCGGCGTGGAGGGCCGGAGAGGAAATTCTCGAGGCTTGTAAGGAACGGGTGGAGATCTGGAAGCGGGAGGAGTTTGTTGATGGGGGGATGGAGTGGAGGGCCAATACGGACCGGGATGCAGAAGGGAGGTTGGTTGGAAATTCTATGACGGAGGGGTTGTGAAGTAGGTTCGCGCTCAAGGTATTTTTCCGTGGTATACCATGAATAATTTGGATGCTTGGACCATGTCAATGAGCAGGGTATTTAGATTCGGAAAAGCTATAGTACAATTTTCATACACTGGACAGGCTTAAAGAGTCTTCATAGGCTTGCCCTCCCGCTTCCAGTCATTGATGTGCTCCATGATGACCCGAGTGGCGGACTCGGGCGTATCTTGTCGACCAATGCACTCAACGAAGTCATTGTCGGGGTCTATCAAAAAGTCAGCATGGCATCCCGAAGCGCTTGAAACGAATAACTTACCCATCAGATAGAAATAGATACTGTGGTCCACTAGGTAATCCTCGCCAGGTTTCACATCCTTGGGAGTACTAAAGTACACGCGGTACTGATGACAGACGTTCTTCACCTGCTCATAGGTACCAGTCAACCCCACGATGTCGGGGTGGAACTCCTTCAGATATTCGCGCAGGACCTCAGGGGTATCACGGGCAGGATCGCAGGTAATGAAAACGGGCAGGAAAGCCTTGTCGTCCTTGGCCTCGGCGCGGACTTTATCGATGATCTCGGCCATCTTGTCCAGCTCATCGGGGCAAATGTCGGGGCAGTGGGTGAAACCGAAGTAGACCTTTACGAGAATTGTATTAGCTTCGACATATGGAGGTGTAAGAGGGGTCTTCTATCGACTCACAAAGCTGTATTTCCCCTTTAAATCCTCCGCAGTGAATTCCTTGCCGTCCAGATCCACGAGGGTGAACGGACCACCGACCTTCGGCTTGCCAACACCCTTGCTCAATTCGGCGATGCGCTTCCGCTCCAGGCGGGCCTTTTCAACACGGAAGTAGATCACCATGCCCGCACCGGTAAGCACAAATAGAAGAGCGGCCTTCCACGAGAATGGGCCAGTGGAGTTCCGCTGGCGCAATTGACCCATAGTCTTCGCGCGAGCTCGGAAAGCGCTAGTCGAGAAGTTATTCCGCGCGAAAAGAGCAGCCTCGGTGTTCTGACACCGAGGTCGCTGGGCTTGGGTGTAGGCTCGGCATTGTGATTGGGAGGTGTTTCGGAGGAAAGGGACGAGGCGTTGTGATTGCGCAGACTCAAGTGTTGAGATGGTGCGAGTAGCTTGGCGGAAGATGCCGGAGGCCATTTTCAACGAGGAAGGCATGATGCTCGCTGTCCTGATGCCTGTTGGTATGGATGAGCAAGTGTCGGAGCCGGACGATGAACTTCAGAATCTCCATATCGGCACCTAATCGGGACTAGCTTCATGCCTGAGGCAACAATCTCTTTCCAGCACCTGAGGCCAAAGGTCTTGGAGAATTCTGGGAATCTTATTGAAAGTAATCAAACGATCTATTATGCTCTATCGGCTCGAATGGTGAGAATTGATTAGACTATTTAACAAAAGATAAACTGCGACAACAATTAAGAGAAAGTCCCTTCCCCGAAGGACACAAGAAAAGCGCAGTGAGTCTTCTGGAGTCCATGTAGTGGAGAGTGATTGCTTCAATTCGTGATCATCGCAATCTTGTTCACGTACTGCTTCTCTGTCTGCAAAATCAGGTGTTCCGCAACCCACTTCCCCGAATCCTCTCTGGAGATAGCATAGCCAATAGCTTCGGACTCGCGGCCCAACCTCGGATCCTCAATGCCGACGCGGATTTCTTTTGTGGTCTCGCCAGTAGTGAGCAGACTGGCGCGGACAATGGTGAAAGGCCGACCGCTATCCGCGAAGCGATCCTCTGTGATCCGCTTATCCTCGTGCGGGACCTTGAGCATCCAGTGGTAAATCGGGAACACGGCGATAGGATAATCGCGACCGAAGCGGGAGATTCCAGTGGTGCTGAACGTAATCAAATGTGGGGTTCCAGTGATACCATCGCGCCGAAGGTTATCTAGAGCCTCAACAAGAGCAGCAGCGCCCTTTTGGCAGACCTCGGGGTCTTCGATGGTCATTTTACGGAAGTTGGGACGGCTGCCGATAGTTGACAAAACGATGTCAACTAGTGTACCGTCTTCGGTCACTAGGCATTTCGAGACGGCTTCCACGTCGTGCGCATTTCCTTCGATGACCTTGAGGTTTGGGGTTGATTCCGGGAAGATTGATGTGAGCTTGGATGGCTGCCGACAGAGTGCAACGCACTGGTGGCCTGCAGCAAGAGTGTGCTTGAGGGCTGAAAGGCCCACGCCGCCACTAGCACCGATGAATGCCACAGTCTTTGTGTTTGAATTCATTATGAGTAGTTATGGTGGATCTGGGTGTATATAGATTGAGAATACTGGTTCGAGTTGGTAGTCGAGGGAGAAGGCATTGTGGTGGTGAATTTGGAAATGTAGGGGTCTTTAATATCCATTTCTCTTCAGCTTGGAGGCATAACAAGACGCCGAAAGCTGACCGAGTTCAGAGAGCCTTTAAAAGCTGCCAAAGACTCGCCCTTTTCTCGCGCTGTGAATGGACCTCACCTCACTCACTCGTCCGGGACGTTGTTCGCGCTATACCTTATTCGGTGCTCACTCACCACGCGGGAAGCTCAACATGACGCATCGATCAGGCGGTGCAATGTGGACAAGGAAAGCCCAGAGGCTGGAAAAAAATCTCAAGGACGATAGAAACTCGGCCACGAGCCAAGCGTGATAATCCCTTGTCGGAAGAATGTCATTGTCCGCAAGTCTGGGGGGAACTGAAGCCATCGCGGGCGCCTCGGCCTCGGGTGCCGAAAAAAGCGCGAGCTTAGCCAGGGAAGCGGCCGCCATCAAACCGCGTAGCTGTGTCGTATGTCGGACCCGCAAGGTCCGCTGTGATAAACAGTCCCCGTGTTCAAATTGCCGTCGCGCGAACATCGCCTGCATCGTTCCCTCGAAAGACCATCATCCGAGATGGGCCCGTCGCCTCGAGCGTCCTGCAACCGGGGAGGTTATGGAAAGACTTCGAGACCTCGAGAATTTAGTCAAAGACCTAAGTGGTCAACTGGAGCAGGCAAACGCAGCGGCTAGATCTACGGCTGGCAGCTCATCTGGCGTTGGCTCTCCTGAGAATTCGATGCATGATGTGGGCTATTCGCTGAGCGCCAGCAGCGCACAGAAGCTTGGTAGACTAGTAACTCATGACGCCGAAAGGAGTCGCTTTGTCGGCAACAGCTTCTGGTCACGGGTGAACGATGAAGTATGTTGACTGTTGACTGTTGCCCTACATTAGATGTCATGCTTATTCGAGTCATAGCTGGAGGATCTAAAAATGGACGCTGCTGCTCAAGACTCGGATATGTCCGATGAATCAGTCTCTTGTGATGCTATGCACTGGACTCGAGAAATCGATCGCACACCATCCGAACGCCATGCATTCATTTTCAAACATAATCCGGCTGACTCCTTCCTGAATACCACTACTCCGGATCTCCGCGAGTTCCACCCTTTGCCGTCACAGATACCCTTTCTGTTAGACGTGTACGCCGAGAACTTCAATATCATTGGCCAGGTCGTCCATATGCCCACGATCACAAAGATGGTACGGGACTTGCGTGGCGATGTAACCAAGCTCACACCGGCGAATGAAGCCTTGATGTTTTCTATATACTACGCCGCTATCACCTCGATGGAAGAAGACGACGTCAATATTAACTTCGGATCGACAAAAGCAGAATTGAACCTCAAATATCGTCTTGGTGTAGAGCATGCCCTTGCCAAGGCTGATTTCTTGAATGTTCCTGATCTCGTTCTGATCCAGGCATTCACTATCTTCATAAGCCTGCTCCGCCGGCACGACAGTCCACGCTTTGTCTGGATGATGGCGGGCTTGGCCATCCGAATGGCTCTCGCTCTAGGTCTTCACCGCGACGGTACCAACTTCGACCACTTGACCCCCTTTGAGATTGAAATGCGGCGCCGGGTTTGGTGGGTCATATGCGCTCTTGACGTAAGGGCATCCGAAGATCAAGGGACAGAATTTACAATTAGTACCGGAAGCTTTGACACTAAGATCCCCCTCAATCTCAATGATGGAGACATTAATCCCGACGCGAAAGAAATGCCACAAGAACGTGAAGGCTTGACTGATATGTCTTTTGCCCGAGTCACATACAAAATGACAGAAGTTGCAAGGCAGATCATGGCACATGGGTTACGAAAACCCAGCCTGGAAGAACAGAGTCAACTGTTGCAGGAAATCTATCGCACTTTGGAACAAAATTACTTGCAGTACTCGACAGAGTCAAATATCATGTATTGGGTCGCGGTGACGATTGCACGTCTCGTCATGGCAAAGACAACTTTATTTATCTACCTTCCTGTGTTGTACGGTTCACGTCATGATGCTCTATCGGAAGAGCTGAGAACGAAACTGCTCATTGCGGCAATCGAAGTGGCCGAGTACAACCATGCCTTGAATGCCAAGCAAGCATGCAGACACTGGCGTTGGGTTTACCAGACCTACACGCACTGGCATGCCGTCGTTTACATTTTGATTGAAATCTCCCGTCGACCGTGGTCGCCCCTCGTTGAAAGGGCTTGGGTGGCGTTGCACAGCGTTTGGCTGATTCCGAGCCAATCGCACATGAGCAAGCAGATGAGAATTTGGTTCCCTCTGAAAAAGCTTATGTCTAAGGCGAAGAAACACATGCAGACCGAGCTGGACAGGTTACGCAGTGACCCAGACGCTGTTGCGCAGTTGGAATCTGAATATCGCACAGTGGGTCTGCCATCCAGCCCCTTAGTACCGACGCGCTTTGGATCAGCTGCAGCTGGTTCGGCGTCGGCAAAATTAGCTCTGGATAGATGGCGACAGCTTGTGAATGCGCCATCAACGACCATGAGTCAGATGTCTGGATTTAACGAACGAGCCAGTCCATACTGTTCTGTTCCTGCTCCGATTACAGGGTCAAGTGGTGCTGATACGGGCTCACTAACTGCTTTTGATCCTGCCTCGATCGATACGGGGACTCTACCAGATCAACAACTGCTAAGTGCGAACCTCACAAATTTTGCACCATCAAATGTACCTAGTCCGGCGGGATCTCAAGGCAATCTTGAGTGGCTCTGGTCGGACAATATGTTTACGAACGCCACTGAAGGAATGACTGACTTCAATATGGATTTTGATGCTGACGTTGATTGGTACAATTGGGTCGAGGCAGCTAAGGGCACAGAAGTCAGTGAGCCTGGTATCTGAGTAGGCTGGCTAAATGATGTCACCAAAAGCTCACCTGTTTACTCTGCTACATGTATTTATCTTTGCCCAGGACATTTTCTCCAGCTGTTCTGGTGATATGATAATATTCCTGAAGCTTTAGCTGGGGAAGCGCTTGAGGTCCATCCTGTTTTGAGCATTGAAGCAATCCAAGCGGCAATGAAGGAGGCCGAGACGCCGAGTCTACATGGGACGGATGCTTTCATGAGGAACAACTCGTTGTTTCGCATTAAGACTATGATAAGTGATTACTGCCAGTGAGTCGACTCATCGTCCAAATTCAGTGACCAACAATATGGACAGGATCGATCCGCTGTCCCATGTTAAAAGGCTGGGCTGGCCAAAGGCGGCCCCGCCAGCGGGCTGAAGACATTGACTGGCCCCACGGCTTTCTCTCCGATCCCAGTCTCTATTTTCATCGCATTGTTGCAAAGTCGCCGACCAAAACGTTACCGCTAGGGATTGTGCATAGCCTTAGCTGTCCACCTCCGTGCCGTGTTCCCGGTGAGGAGTCTGCAAGTAGATCGTCAGACCCTGGTTCCAGGCATTAAACCACATAATGCCAGTATTTCTCGACATAAGTAGCATGAACAAAAGCCTGGTTGCACGCTCCATGCACTTGAAATCATGCAGCCAATCGAGGGCCACTTACACCGCTTCTAAGGGCCTGCTAAGTCAGCAACACGACGATCTTCACCCTTCACTTGTGAATTTGGACATGCAATGACGAACACATTTTCGCTGTCGTAAGCTGTGGGCTATCGGCAGAGCTATCGTGAGCTTTTTGCCACCTCAATTTCACGCGAAGGGCGACTAGAATCAATCTTCTGACACGTACTTTTGACTCGGCGTGTGGGGCAAAAGCTTCGGAACAGACTAGCTGTGCACATTCATACCCCTCACACCGGACGATGGTGCCGTGCAGAAGGTGGAGAATTTAAACTGATGTGACGCTATTATGCCAATATCATGAATGTAATGCAGAAACCAGGGAACATAGTCATGTCCAACGTGACATCCGTGCTGCCCATCAGGCGGCACAGCCAAATAAGTATCGTGCCCGGCGCAGCTCCTTTTGCAATACCATCAGTGAGCTTTTCAATGATACATTGGAGACTTGACGACGACTTAAGATGGGATTTATGCGGCCGGGATATCTTTCGGAAAGCTCAGAATTACCTTTTGCTGGGCTTCCAACCTTTCGTCTTGCCCTGGATGTCTTCACATTGACGTTGATACTGGTGAGTTTAACCATGAATGCTTTCCAACATTAGAAGTTTGCCATTCCTATCTTACGAACACTTAGAATGTATATAGGTCCCTATCTACTTCATCGGAAAAATCACTTACAATGTCTTCTTCCACCCTCTCGCCAAATACCCTGGTCCTAAATCTATGGCCGCTACCCGTATTCCCTACATGCACCTCATTCTTGCTGGACAGATGGCTCAAGCAGTCAAAGTACTACATGACAAATACGGCGAAGTGGTCCGTATTGCCCCAGATGAGCTATCCTTCATCAACGGCGACGCTTGGAAGGCCATCTATGGGACTCGTCCCGGACACGGCCAGAAGCCAAAAGACTACCGCTTTTACCCCCGACCATCGATGGCGCTTCCAGTATCATCTTCTCTAACGACGCTGATCACTCCCGAATGAGACGACTCCTCTCCCATGCCTTTTCCGATAGCTCGCTTCGAGGACAGGAGCCCATCATTAGAAGCTATGTGAATCTGTTAATACAACGACTCCAGGAAAATGCTGAGGCCGGCAAGCAAGCTCTGGATATGGTTTCATGGTACAACTTCACTACATTTGACATCATTGGTGATCTGGCATTCGGGGAGCCATTTGACTGCCTGAAGAACTCAACCTATCACCAATGGGTCAGCATCGTCCTCTCAAGTATCAAGTTCGGCGCATATACGAATGTTGCTCGACGCTTCCCCGGATGGAAGATCCTCAGCAAACTTATCACGCCTCAGAAGGTTTCCGACCAGAGAAACATGCATATGCAACTTACGAAAGAAAAAGTGCAGGGACGTTTGATGAAAACTAACGAGAGGCCTGATTTCTTCGCCAATATTCTCCAGCACAATGATACCGAAAAAGGATTCAGTATCCCGGAAATGATCACTAATGGCAGTACTCTGATCGTTGCTGGCTCTGAGACGACTGCTACTGCCCTTTCCGGTGTGACGTATTTGCTGCTGAAAAATCCGCGAGTGATGCAGAAGCTCCAGGAAGAAGTGAGAGGTGCGTTCAAATCTGACGATCAGATCACGTTAGAGAATTGCAATAAGCTGGAATATATTCATGCCGTCCTCACCGAGGCGCTTCGAATGTACCCTCCCGTTGCGGTGGGACTTCCTCGTGTCGTTGATGGTCAAGGAGATACGATTGCTGGACACTTCGTTCCAGGTGGTGTAAGTACCAGTACTGGCGTTCCATTGGATATTGCTCACTGTGAACAGACTATTGTATCCGTCACACATATGGCCGCATACCACTCTGCCATGAACTTCAAGCACCCTGAAAAGTTTATCCCAGAGCGGTTCCTCAATGACCCTGAATTTGCAAACGATAGCAAGACAGTCATGCAACCTTTTAGTTTTGGTCCTAGGAACTGCATTGGACGAAAGTCAGTCCACCTTTTCAATCACTCCAAACCACAATATTTGCTTACGATTCTTCTAGTTTGGCATACGTCGAGATGCGAATCATTCTTGCGCGCATGGTCTTCAACTTCGATATGGAATTGGACCAGCCGTCTGATGAGTGGACGGACCAGCAATGCTTTCTTTTGTGGGAAAAGAAACCCCTGATGGTTCGACTTACTCCGAGGACCAAAATGCAGTAGATTGGGAGATGGATGTAGGAAGTTCTACGGAAAGTGCAATTGATCTAACTTGAGAGGGATAGAATAGTTCATATCTGGCTCCTCTTCTTTGATTAACGTCGTTTCAATTTTGATCTAAATACCTCGTTGATCTACGCTTCAGTAGACCCGACGAGTTTTTGACGTACATTGACACTGCTACCTTCGACCCTCTCAGCTTTTCAAGGGTTACAAACCCACAATCTCCGAAGTTTTGCCCTAGGAGTCCGCAATTTGCACTGTAAATTCATTGAACAGAAGAATCTCAAAAGCCTGCGCGTGAACTTGTGTCTCATCGCTGGAGGCCTTTATGAGCTCATAATCAGGCTTAAGACTAGCTTGCAACCTGTAGAGCTTTTCGCCGAGCAGTAGGCAGACCAATTTAACAATCAACCAAGGATTCAGACGGATATTGGGCCGGATACCCGCTCAGCTGACACTCCCTGATAGTATCTCCACAACGGCGACCTTGGGAAAAATGTAAGCATGAATTCCTACCCTCCATACCCAGTACTCACCTGGGTTGGTGTACATCGGGTAGACGCTCGTCGATCCGAGTGGATCCATAGTGCCGAGTCCATTGATAATAGTCTTGGTATTGAGGGAGCCCGCCTTCTCGACCACCTCGGTTGCGTGACTCCGCAGAGGAACCTCTCAGCTTGCTAGAAGCTCTGGGCAGCTTCATTCTGGGCAGTGGAGTTGTTGGATGTTGCATAGAAATGGTAGCTGATCCAGTCCAGGGGTACACCGGGCTTGTGGTTGGCGGGATCCAGGAATGAGTGGACCCGAATCACATTCCGCATGGCCAGGGCAAGACCTACGAATTGGGTGCTGGGGAAGACCTCCCGAATGACTTCGGGAACTGCGTCGTAGATCCGATTGTACAGATCGGGAATAATGGTGTGTTCTGATTCTGACTCATTAAGAATCTCCCAGATCTTGGTAATTTGGCCGTGGCCTAACTCGTGCCAGACGCCACTCTCGTCGGTGGAACCGCCCTCGACGTGTCACGATAGAAGTTGATGAGAGTAGTGAAATATCTCTTTCACAGAAGGGCCTCAAAGTTGGGTTCGTTGTTGTCACTCTAGTCAATTGTGTCGACATCCTCGGGATATGTACAGGTAGTATCGATGACCCACATCTAGTTGGGCGTGGTTCAATGGTTGATAATGTGCGATACATCGTAGTGCTGTTCGCAACGTCAGGCAGTACTCTTATATCTCAGCTAGTGGCGCAGTACGTCCTGTTGCTGACGGACGCGTTGATCTGGAAAGTGGATTTTTAATACTCGAGCTCAGAAGTTGCCAACGAGACGTTCATTTTTTGTTCTTGTTCGCACGGGCCTTAGAGAAACCCTCCAGTTCAACCCCTTCAGGGTCCACCGAACCACCAAAAGATAGAGGTTTTCAGTGGCGCTCGTGGCGCTCGGCGACGAAGCCTCCCCGAGGACCGTCTGAGGCTAAAATCTCGCGGGTTCTTGACGTAGGAGAGGCAGATCAGCCACCGGTGCGGGGGTGACCCACACCTATCCCATATCTTCTCGCAACTCGCTGATTCCGATCGGCGTTGGGCTCCGCAAAATCCCCAGATTTTGCCTCTTGCCGATAGGATGGCAAGTAAAATTACTCTGGCCCGGCTATCATTGTCCCGAGCATTGCAGTTCGGTCAATCATCATCACGAGCTTGCTATTAGGGGACTTTCAAAATGGTGACGATCCTGGGGCCCCGGATTGCCCAACACTACCCGTTGGGACTTTGCCATCAAGCTTCAAGGCATTCAAGGCATTCAACATGGCGCTAAAAGGAAAATATTTGCACTGGGCTGTGACAGGTGCGTTGTTCGAAGAAACAGGTCGCATGGAAGTGTACTGACCTATGCAGCGGCGAGCTGTCAGGCCTTTCTTCTCCTGGGATATGATCAGGGTGTGATGAGTGGGCTGGTCGGGGCCAACAATGAGTTTGGGAAACAGTTCAACCATCCCAATGCCACGATGCAAGGCATCCGTAGGTATCTTCGACCCTCTGACTACTCCTACATCTAACCACATCCAGTGACTTCTATCTACGATATCGGTTGTGCGGTTGGCTGTCTTCTTAGCTTCATCGTTGGGCATAGGGTCGGTCGTAAACGCATGATCATCGCAGGTGGCTCCATAATGGTGATTGGCACCATCATTTTGGGCTCTTCGTATAGTACCGCCCAATTTTTGGTCGGCAGAGTTGTGACTGGCTTCGGGAACGGCATCAACAGTAGCACAGTCCCGACATATCAGAGCGGTAAGCATGGCGAGGCTCTCTTGGTCGATTTCAATACACTAATAACATGATCAGAGATGGCTCGACCCGAACTACGTGGAAGACTTCTCTCCGCCCAAGGCACAGTGACGATCGTGGGTCTCTGCATTGCATATTGGATTGACTATGGATTAAGCTACATCGAGTCCCCAGTGCAATGGCGTTTCCCGATCAGCTTCCAAGCCTTTTTCGCTGTCTGCCTTGTCCTACAGATGCTTCCACTACCCGATACTCCTCGGTGGCTCTGCGAGCAAGACCGAAGCGATGAGTCGGCCTCGATCCTGGCCCGACTTCAACTGGAACAGCCAGCGAGCGAGTCAACACCAGAGGTCATACAACTGCGTCGGCAGATTGAGAGCTCCATCGATATCGAGTCTGCTGGCGGTTCTTTCAAATACAAGGAACTTCTATGGGGTGGGAAAATCCAGAACCTTCGTCGGATGATCCTCGCTGGTCTGGTCAATGTTCAGCAGCAGTTTACTGGATCAAACATGATCAATTACTACGCACCTGTCGTCTATCAAAACGCCATGCATCTGTCACGCAACCTGTCTTTGATTCTCGGCGGTTGCACCTCTCTGGCATATCTGCTAGGATCAATGCTTCCTCTTTGGAGCATGGATAAATTCGGGCGCCGAGCCTCACTCATGATCTCGGCTGCTGGTCTTTGCTTCTGTTTTGTGATGGCCGCTATTTTGTTGTCGATTGGTACTACACAATGCGCCTATGCTGCGACCGCATTCGTGTTTTTGTTCCAGATTTTCCTTGGATTTGGTTATCTGCCAGTGCCATGGTAGGGATCCAGAAAGCTCTGTACAAAAGCGTGCTAACACAAATCTAGGTTCTATCCTAGTGAAATTACTACCACCCGCATCCGTGCCAGAGGCCAGGCTTTTGCTGGCTTTGTCAATTGGATGTGTGTCTGTAAGATATAATCCATGCGAAAGTAGGGTCCCCTTGCTAATTCCTTTAGTCATTGTTGTGCAAATAACGCCAACCGCGATTGACAACATCGGATGGAGAACATTCATTATTTTCGCCTGCTTTTGTTTCGCATGGGTATGCCTCATCGTGGACCACAATCCAAGAGCAAAGAATCTGACACACTGTAGATTCCAATGGTTTACTTCTTCTTCCCCGAGACCAAGGGACTAGAACTCGAGGATGTCGATCATCTCTTCGAAGGTGGTGGCATTACAGGTGGCGTTTTCGCGTCGCGTGGATACCCCGTTCAGCCAGGGTTCCATCGCAGTCAGAATACTGACCGGATTGAGAAGCCTACCGAAGAGCACATTGAGTCCGGCGCCATTGTCTAGATGTCTCTCTGGATCATACTGATGGCGCCTATCGGACTTCAGTCATCACCTGGGCACCTGAGAATTGTCAATGGTATACATAATTGCGCCAATATGCATCAGGCATATAGACTATCTTTGTAGATGAATGCAATTTGAAATATGAGATTACCTAGATACAGACTGTAACGCGCGTGCGTATATGAATGCTGATTCTGACTAGTCAAACAATTCACTTCACACCTCCCATGCCGAAGCGGGATCTTCCCCTGGCAGAAACTAACGATCACGGATCTTGCTGAGCCCGTGGACTACAGCTCAGACTTCATCACGTAGAACTCTTGCGAGCCCTCAGAATCCGTGGGACTCACCCCCTCCTTGGCATCTTTCTTCTCAAAAATCTGAGACACTTCTTCAAGAGACTTACCCTGAGTCTCGGGGAAGAAGAAGAAGACAAGTGCCAATACGACGACAAGGCAGCCGACGTAGATTGAAAAATAACGCCAGCGAAGCGCATCAAACGCTACGGGGTTGACATATTGATTGAAGAAGCAAGCAAGAGAGTCGGTCGTAAGTGTGATCGCAAGGCCTTTGGCTCGAAGTTGAAAGGGAAGAATTTCGGCAGGGTAAGCAATGAAAAGCGGCATATATGCGAAATCATAGGCTCCACAGAAGAGGAAAAGCATTGGAACCACTGCTATTCCAGCTGCAAGGATTCCCATTTCTGCGAAGAGCCCTGCCATGATCTCGGATGTCGATAGGAAGATCAGCATCAGGGTTGTTGCACACAGCCAAAGAGTTCTTCTGCCGTATTTGTCGGATGTACTTGCACCGGCAACGGCAAAAATCAGGTTCCATACTTGGAGACTGATATTTACAGCGGCTTGGTGAACAGAATCTTTGATGCCGACAGAAGAGAGAATGGGAGCGAGATAATAAGAAGTGACGCCTGCAGAGTCTGTCAGCGAGATGTTCTTCAAAGGACTGATACATGCAGATCATACCGTTGCCAGTCCACTCTTGCATGAAGCCCAGTAGAACACAGATCGTAAACCGATGGAGGTCACCTTTAGACCTAAAGAAAGCAGACCAGTGGCTAGCAGATCCCATGTCCGCCTCCGCAATGATACTATTGCAAATCTGGTCATACTCAGCGCGAACCAGCTTATCAGCTGGGTCCCCATTTGCATGAAATTGAATGAGCATGGCAAGTGCCTCCCCTTTGCGATCATTTGCAACCAACCACCTCGGGCTTTCCGGAATCAGGAATAGTCCAACTAATTGAAAGACAGGGTAAAAGACCTGCAACATGCAGGGGACTCGCCATGACCAACTGTTATGAATCGACAACGTGGAGAAGGCGATACCTGCAGCTGTGATAGACCCGCAGAACCATACCGCATTGTAAAGACCAGTCAATGTATTTCGCTGCTTCGGATGAGCAGTCTCTGCGATAAGCAATGGAGCAGCAGTCTGCGAAAATCCCACACCGATTCCAGTCACCACTCGGGCACCAAAAAACACCCAGTGCTGCTTGACAGCTACTTGGATAATGGATGCGGTGATGACTAGCGTGGCGCCGATGGCAACGGACAAACGACGACCAAAGTTATCGGCGACATATGAAGCGGGGATAAAAGCCAGGAAGGAACCAAGAGAGACAGCAGCAATGATGAGGCCTTTCGCATTTGTATCGAGTCCACTCAGGAACTTGTTAACTGTTTTCATTAGCTTTCTATAGAACCCAGAAGCTGCCATAGCATGGGGAAGGACTCACACTCTGGAAGGACAAGAAGACTGTTAATCTGACTGGCATTGTAACCTGAAGTAGCCGATGCAGCTAGCATAAAAGCTATACCAAGGTTAAGTTTCCGCAGACCAGCATCTTCACTCTTAGATAAAATCATGATAGCAGACGATCGCTGCAAAAAAAAGTCCACCCTCACCATCAAGGATCACGCCTCCTTAATAAAGCTAAGCAAGCTCTCTCCATTGGGCCAAGGAAGCGGAAAATTTACTCGGACAATTGTGACGCTGTACATTCTTCGCGTGTTCTTGTGCCGATCTTGCCGACATAGGTAATGGATGGTCATTTTGGAGTTCGGAATGTAGGGAGAAACTATGACTGAGCCTGACGGAGCGAGTGATCCGGTGGATCATTTTAAGATCCAATTTTTTGACACCTCTTCGGATCTAGCTATATGCAAGGAATTGTTAGTCCGTCGTTGCCAGCGAATGGGGTTAAAGTCTTGCCTAACTCGGCATTTAGCTATCGGAGCTCAGCGGGTGTAAAGTTATTCTTCCGAACCTGAGCTCGAAGCTTTTGACTAGGAGACGTGGAGTTATTAGAGCTTTGGCCTCGGGTCAAACAAGGAGGTAAGCTTGTTGCTTTTTATAACACCAATGACCCGCCATGACGAGATCGCGAATATTTTGTCTGACTTTGCCACTCTAGGGAGCCTTTAGTTGGCGGAAATGGCGGGTATATGAGGACGAAGATACTACTACTAAACCTGAAAAAAAAAATAAAAAAAAATGCGAGTCATGAGCAGGGTGATGGTCGCCTAATGCACATGGTTCGAGTTTGGGCAGCGGGCCGCCCTATCCAGTCTCACTTTTTGTAGTCAGTGATAATATCGTTCTACGGTTTTAAATCTTGTATGATGCCGTGAGTTCGGCTTTATGTTGATTGTGATTACATGATGAGATGTATTAGCACAATGAATGAGAGATGATTCGAGGATGTTTATACGTCTACATACGAGCTTCTTCTTTCTGCATGTGGGATTCTTGGTGGGTCTTTCTTTTGCGTGTTAAATACTTCAGTCTCGGACACGACGACACACGTTTCCAGAGCGTAGGGCTTGAGAGGAGTGAAGGGGGAACTTTACTAACCACTTTGGGACTGGCCTATCCTCTTGGCCCTGATCTTCGACCTTCTTAGCCTTGATTTTGTCGGTTTCGAACCTTTCAGTCCATATGACCTAACCCATGCAAGTTACACTGGATACCATACACAATATCCGTTCTAATTGTGGATTTCTCAGCGGACCTTGGTTCTCTGTTACAAGTGCATCACAACACCGATCTTGATCATGGGGTCCTTGGCGGCTATGGGTATACAGCGCTTCAAAAATATCATTAAATTGTGATGTTTCCAAGTTAATATACACTCATCAACGTTTAATCAAGTACGCCTTCCGTCGGAACTCTCTATAGCTCATCGTATGTACATGGCGATTCTCATCAAGCATTCACAAGGTATACAAGTAGAATGCCGTAGTATTTGATTTCCACGCTTGAGTGAGGATTTAGGAACTTGCCAACTACCCGCGCTGTCTCTCAACCCCCTTTTTTGCAGGTTCTGTTGTCGTCTTTTCTGAGATAGACGTTTGTCGTAGTGCATCAAGACGCTTCTGCGAAAGTGCTGCATACTTGCAACGCTGTCGTATCCTGTCTCCATATTTGTAAAATAAAAAGGGAAGGGGCATGCACAGCACTGACAAGAAGGCTGGTATGGATGATGCCCAATGAATGCCCAGCCCCTCGTACATATACGAGCTGAAAAGAGGGAAGGTGGCTCCAAACGCGTACCTGAATACTGACATGCCTGCCAGTACAGACGCCGAGTAAACGGTATATGAATCAATCAGGTAGTTGACTATTCCCATATAGATGAGAAGCAGCCCAAATCCAAATGGAATGAGGGCGGCCACACTGCAAAGCCAGTGAATGGACGGAGAATTTGTCCATGCGAACCAGAAAAGACCGATAGGAATCGTCACAGCTGAGGTCATGCAAGGGGGAGACGAGCCTCTGGTGGAGCAAAGCCGTTATGCGCCTCCTGTGCTCGTATATATCGCTTATTATCTTGTACGGTGTAAACAACACCGCAAAGAACACCAACCATGACACCTAGAAAAGGGAGTCCCCCAATGCCCGCGCTCCACCCACGTTTTTCCTCGTAGACAATTGGAATGGCCTCGAAAAGCATGTAGAGAATGCCGTAGATAAGCGCAGCATAAAAGGTGAGAAGAAGAACAATAGGTTCACTGAATAGAAGCACCCAAGGCCGGGAAAATGCTGTTTTCAATCGTTGGGTCACTGGGATTTTCCCCCTTTCAATATCGAGTTTGCTCTCGTAGCATTTTCCAGTCAGTGCGGACAGTTCGGTCGCACGTTTGCGTAGAAGGACTGGCGCATAAGTCTCAGGAACAAAAAGCGCCATAGAGATCCAAGCCAGTCCTGCGCAAACTGCAAGAAAGCCTTCAACCCATCTCCACCCAGCATTAATTCCGAGAAATCCGCCTATGATGGGCCCAAGGGCAGGGCCTATGAAGTCGGTCAGCACAGACAACTTGACAACTTGACAACTTAATGCTATATAAGAGAATCCTACCCAGGTATGGGGTGGAAGCAAATAGAAGCAGAGCCAGCCCGCGTTGTCTAGAGACAAACATATCCGAAATAACTCCACCAGCATTCGTAAGGGGCGACGAGCCAAAAGCTCCCCCCAGAAACCGAAGAATCAACAAGGTTTGAATGTTTTGGGCACATGCACATCCGGCCAAGAATAAGGACAGAGCGAGAAAAGATATAAAGAAAGGAATTTGGCGGCCCATAGTTTCACTGAGCGGCGCCCATAGCAGCGGCCCCACGGCAAATCCGAAGACAAACAGCGATAGTCCAAGGGTGGCAACTTCTCGGGCGATTCGGAACTCATCAATAATTCCCTGAACACTACCACTGTAGGCTGAAGACGACAGTGATATAACAAAAGTCGCAATGGCAGTCATGAATGTAATGACCGCCTTTCTCGCCATGCTAAACTGCAATGGGTTTCGAGGGTCGATGGGCAGCCAAGACACGACGTAAGGGTCCTCATCAGTCCCTGACCCTTCAAAGTGGTGATGCAACACTTCCTGGGTGACGACTCCCTGGTCGATCAATAGGCGCCAAAAGGAGATAGAAGTCGGGAGCAAGACTGGCTTGGCAAGTTCTGGGCTGCTTGAACCATGGTACGCGGCCATGATGATTCAATCGAAGGTCGAAATTGAGAACTCATTCCAATGCTTTTGTGAAAATTTTGCACAAATTTCGAGTGTTCGGAGGTTTAATTGAGGCTAAGGATCGGTTGCCGATGATTCGGCTTCATGAAATTCAGGAACCGGCTCGGGAACTCGGCGCAGCATGACTGGAAAAAGGTTGCGTAATTCACCCCACTATACGCACGATATCACGCCCAATCTTTATTAACGCATCATGAAATGTTGGCTGAAATTATTTCACGACGTTTTTAACTAAGTTGCGCGAATAGAACATCGATCATTTCGTTGTTCGCGAGACTGGCAGAGATTGTAATACTCGGATCGTTCGGCTTTTTGGCGCTTTTCGGCATTATCTTCTTAGCCTTCGGTACCGGGGTAATTTACATAAAGGACCACTTTTAATTAATCTCGATGAACGACACACGACTCGCTCTTTCAACTTGTTAGTCTACTACGGCTTCCAGATTCCTTCAACAGGGTCTACATTCACTATTGAGCCTTTACATCAGTCCTTCATGCAATAATGAATTCATAATTCCCTAGAAATCTCGGGCAGGGTAAGTTACTGATTTTAACACCGCACAACCATGCTAGAAATATCATAGAAAGAGTTCCAAAAATTGTAGATTCTACTTAAATGGGGAAGAGGGGAAGGAGAAATCAAACGCTCGGCGTTTTAACATATGCACGCAGCCACGGGCAGATGCACTTCATAGCCACATTGAACTGCAAGGTGGTGAATTAGCCGCCGCGGCTTGCCCATGAGATAGGCTACATCCGATCTCTAGCCCAAGGCAGATTTTACTAACAATGAAGAGAGCTCCCAATATTTAGAACATACTATGAACAGAACGCCCTCAGCCAACCAAATAACGTAAGCAGAGGTTCATCCGTATATCAGGACAACAATAGGGGCGCTATGTTGGATTACTTCATACGCTGTGAGTGCAAACGACCTAGAATCTGTTGGGCACAGAAGAATTATAAAGCCACTTTTCCCACTCGAAATGTAATTTTCTATCAACTCGTTCATGAGCTTCCTTGCCATTGTTGCCGACCACGACGAACACAACTATGGAGCCTCTTGATACCCTAATTGCAAGTTTCAGTTTCCCCCAGCAATGGACAGGGAATCAATCTCTGGCCCGAGCAGGACTGGACAAGTTGTCTATAGCCTGGTATGAGCACTCATGGTTCTCCGAACTGTCACAGTGGCTGTCTCGTCCAGGTAAGACGAACACCTTCCCTTCCGCATAACACAATATTTACATGCAATCGAAGACGTCATCTTCGTAATAACAGTCTGGTGGATCACGTTTACTGTTATCATGACAATGGTCTTTTTTCTTGGATTTGGGCCCGCAGGAGTCATCCCAGGTCTGTCCAATCACCGTATTACCCATTGCGTTAAGCGACCATGAAATCTCGCAGGCTAACTATCTCAATAGGTTCCCTGGCGGCCGCGTTCCAATCATTCATATATGCAGGATTTACCCCGGCTAGCGGGATCTTTGCGACATTGACCAGCATGGCTATGCTTGGCATACTAATGCCTGTGGTGTCAATTGCTGCTTCAATTGTCGCCACTGGGGTTGCAGTGATGGTGTGGAAATACAAGTATGGAGTTCCATGATTGACATTCCTATGATTGAACGGGCGGGCTATTCTATCTTGCCCGCTAAGACATTGAATGTCCGATTTTGGTGATGAGCTGTTCACGCCTCAGGTCTCCGAATCTTTCTTACTCATCTCCTTTTTTCATGAGTGTCAAGTATGTACCCTCGTCCTCGTTGCCATCATACAGGGAATGTGGAGTCCAGTACAAGGCTATCTCGATCAGAACCTATAATACATATTCTGTTGATAAAAAACCAATCTGTTCCCAAAGTAGTATACAGCGGATTGCTCATTCGTGCCAAGCGTTCTCTTCTGCGAGCACATCTAGCCGCGGCCGTGTCGGATCGCACGGCAAGTAAGTAAAAGGGGGTGGAGGGGACAGCAGAAGAATGAAAGGAGGAGCTCCGTAATCCGTTGTGACAATACCCCGAACCTTTACACTAACTCAAACTTTAGCACAGTTTCCCGTGCCTCGCGACCCACGGATGTCATGAGACAAGCCACATCGAATGCGGGGAAACCTTTTGCTATCAGCCCTGAATCAAGAGAGAAATTACCAGATCAGGCATCTCTAGGCGAGTCATATGAACTAAAGACAGAAAGAGATTAGACTAATTTACTTCTATTGGGAAGTTATACTAATCCCTATCAGACTATGAACATTGAGCACTATGGATTCTGCTTCCTCCCGAGTCCGGCGATCATCGACATATTCAAAACGCCTGCGTTCTGCCAAAAAAGCGGCGTGAACTTGTCCCCCAAGGACCACCCTTTAGGCAGTCAACTTGTCGTTCACACCGATATCACGCCCATCAAGTGGAATACCAAAAGTCTCAAGCAGATTAGTAGCGGCAACTTCTCCCGTACGGAAAGCGCCGTGAACACAGCCATTGGCAACCATAGTGCAGTGCTCGCCAGCAAACTGCATACGACTGCGCTTGTGGGCTTCCAGCGCGTCAGTAAAGCTTTCCGGGTCATCTCCGACCTTATCAGCCGAGTACGTGCCGTAGCCTGCGAGTGGGTCCTGGGTCCAGTGTGTAGTTTCAACACTGACCAGGCGCGGCAGAGCCTTGTACGGCTCTGTGCGGAAGAGTTTGAAAAGAGGTTCAAAGAACCGGTAGATTTCCTTCTTATCGGTCATCGCTTCAATGCGCTGGGTCAAGGGCTCGGCGATTTGCACGCATAGCTCCTTCGCGCCGGTCATGATCCACAGGTTGATGGTCACGGTCGCGTAGTTGAGGATGTTGTCTTTTTCACCCATGGAGCTCATGCTGGACCTGGAGTCGACGGAGGATCCAGAAGCAGAGTCCTCGTCAGAAGGAGATGGGTAGAACATGAACTGATCGTTATCCTTGGACCAGAACACGTCGGTAAATTCAAAAAATACTTTGCCCAGGGCGCCGTAGCTAAATCTGGACATTGCTCCCTGGATGTCACTCGGCAGGGGCGGGTTGAAGGAGACCAGGTTGTGGTGGTACACACCCAAGGGGAGGGTCATGACCACCGCGTCTCCTTCGATGAGTTGAGAGGTCCCGTCGGCATCCTTGCATTGAACGCGGACAGGGGCATCACCGTCTTCACTCCACTCCACGTGCTCAACGTGATGGTTAAGACGGATCATGGTCGGGTCTTCGCGGAGGGGCTCCGCAGTCCAGTTCACGATCCGGTCGTATCCTCCCTTCATGTAGAGATTGCGCTCCGTGATGAAGTACGACAGGTGGCGGGAAGAAGCTTGCTCGGTGCTGGTGCCAATCCACAGTTCCACCTCGCGGACGGCCTGCGGGGCCCAGAGACGCTCATCATCGGTGATGAGCTGATGCTGAAGGACAAATTCCTTGACAAACTCATTGACCGGACGGTCCTCTGCGTCCGGGTTGGTCTCGTAATACCACTCGCAATAGTCAGCAAACTCGTCGGCGACTTTCTTCGCCTTGAATTGAGACCCTGCGCGACCATCTCTGGTAAAGTATAGCGGCATTCCGTCGTCGTAGTAGTAGGGGATGGAAAGCTGAGGAATTAGCTTCACCAGATCGTTCTGGGAGGTTTCGTGCATCCATGCGGCACCTGTGATTGAGGGTCAGCATTTGGTTCAAATGAGATGCATTTCTCCGATCTTCATATCTTCATATTGTTGATCGCAACCCCTACCGATATCCCGAACCTGATCACCATTTCGGCTGGTCAAAATTCTTCCTCCGATGCGATCGCGGGCCTCCAAGACGACGACTTCGCAACCGTACTTGTGCAGAACGGCAGCGGCTCGGAGACCCGAGATTCCTGCTCCCACCACAATCACCTTCTTGCGCTCCGACCTCACTGCGCATGCTGCCTCGTCCGGTGCCGACTCGATCAGAGTCGTGGCTTCGAGGCGCACAGCCAGGTCGGAGCAACAATTACTCGGTTTTATGGGACCCTTGACGGGGACGGAAGAGGCGATGTGAAATGCTTGGGCCATTCTGAGTTGACACGTTGACATTCGGCTTCAAAGGTATTATTGACAAGGGTGGTTGGATCGTCAGGTCTGAGATCCAGGGGTTTGAGAGAGATGAGGATGTGGCTTGTGAGGGGAATGAGGGGCCTGAAATAGACACCAGTTGACTGAACAGGTGGGCTCAAATCTCAATCGGGAGGATCTAATCAGGACAGTACACGCGGTGTCAGCGGCGTACAGGTAAATAAATACCGTATCGTGTACGTTTCACCCGAGATCGCGTCTTATCTGTTTATCGGCGAGGCTTGGCTGGTGCTTATCTCCTTTAGTACCCACCGTACTCTTCGAAGCAATTTAACCTTACTAGTCTGCTTATCACGAGACTCAGGACACGAGGCCCATGATCCTGCGAAAAAGAAGCTGTCTTGTATGAATTCAGAAGGTCTATGCGGTTGGCCACCCCCCTTGTCGCGGCAAATGCCAACTATATGCCAGATTTAGCGAATGCTTCGCCCGATGCTTATCTCGGGCCTCTATCAGTATGCACTAGTAACAATATCTTATCCTAAGCCCTCGGCTCCACAACCAAATCAAGTTCTTCTTCCACGGACACCTTTTGACTCTTTGCAAACCTTTTGCTTCTTTATAACGGCATGCAGGTAGGGGTCTATCCCACTGGGTTCATCTCGTGGTCTAATATCCACTGCTGAACCCTTTCCCAAATGGACGACCAACATCTCAATGGTACGGAACGGATCTTTCCCGCTGCCAGCGGGGAGGTCACTCTCATTCCAACTCCCACATCGTCCAAAAATGACCCACTGAATTGGAGCCCATGGAGACGGTATTGGCACGCTTTTTTGGTGCTGGTCATCGTCGCCTTCACCGCGGCGACCTCGAACGATGCTGGTACCGCCGGGAATGGCATGAACGAGGAGCTAGGCATTTCCTGGGATGCGATCAACATTGCCGCCGGTGTCTTGTTCATTGGCATCGGGTACTGCACTCTGCTGCTGAGCCCCGCACCATTCCTGTACGGTCGTCGCATTTCTTACCTGCTGTGCCTACTGTTTTCCCTTGGCGGATCTATCTGGCTCGCCAATGTGCAGACCACCCAGGACAATATCTGGAATCAACTTTTTGTGGGCGCGTCCGAGTCATGCGCCGAGGCCCTCGCCCAGCTCTCGCTGTCGGACCTCTTTTTCCAGCACAGACGCGGCCTTGTGCTTGGTCTCTATGTGCTTGCGACTAGTATCGGTACCTTCACTGGACCACTGGTCGCGGGTTTCATCGTCGACAGCCCTATTTTGGGATGGCGGTGGGTCGGATGGCTGGGCGCAATCATTTCAGCGGCCTTATTCATCACCGTGTTTTTCACACTGGAAGAGACTGCCTTTGATCGCCATACCATTCAAGGTCTTGAAATGCCTCGACAAAAATCAGCTCCACCCGTATCAAACATCTCGCTGGACGAGAAAGACAAAGACGTGACGAAAGTGAGAACCACGTCTCGTGGTAATAGTGTCGACGAAGAGAATCCCGATCAGCAAAGTGCAAAGACCTATTTCCAGAGCATCGCTCTAATCACTCCTTCCTCGCGCCTGGTTGGCACGGGCTTCAAGCAATACTACTATCGCCTGTGGCACACCCTTTCGTGTATTCAGTTTCCCAGCTGTCCTCTATTCCGGCCTTCAGTGGGGAGCGCAGGATGCATGGCTCACATTCTACCTCACTGTCGAGGAAGATAATTACTACGAAGCGCCGTGGAACTACACAGATGCCGCCGTGGGTATCATGAACGTCCCCACTCTCATCGGCGCCTGCATCGGCTGTATCTACGGTGGTTGGTTCTCTGATCTATTCGTCGCGTGGATGGCCAAGCGGAACGGTGGAATCTTCGAAGCAGAACAGCGTCTCTGGCTCATGTTCCCTGTCGCCCTCATTGGCCCCGCCGGACTGATGCTCTTCGGCATCGGTTCTGATCTCGGCTGGGACTGGCACAAGACCTACGTTGGACTCGGCTTCATTGGCTTCGGTTGGGGCTGTGCTGGCGATCTCAGCATGGCGTATCTCATGGATGCATATCCCGAGATGGTTCTCGAAGGTATGGTCGGTGTCTCTGTTATCAATAACACCATTGGCTGCGTCTTTACCTTCTCAGCCCAATACTGGCTGGATGCACAAACATTGTCTCAGGTTTACATTGCTATCGGTGTTTTAAGCTTTGCCTTCTTGATGACCACTGCCCCAATGATCTATTGGGGCAAAGCTTGTCGCAAGATGACCCGCAAGCGCTACGAGAACTTCCTTCAGATACGTGATGGACACCTCTAGGAATTGTGGGATAATTGCCTCTTCTCTTTCCTCTTTTCTTATTTCTTATGCAACATCCAATCGGATATACTTGTTTTCGTTGATGTAAGTCAAACCTCTAATTCTGAGATCGCGATTCACTTTATCTACAACGAGGAGCTGTCCTGCATTATGCAAGTATGACGTCTTGCATGTGATGTGTTCATCGTTATTGTACAATTAGTTGCCGCTCGTGCCGCCAGCACGACCTGCATGCAATCTATGATAAGAGGAAATCAAAGTAGTGGTACTATGTGGAGTCAGAAACACTAGCAAAAGTGATGACTATTCGAGTCAAGTCAAGAGACCAACACATGAGATGCAAAAAATTGGTGTAGACTACGCTGAGTACAGTGAAGATAAATAGTCGCTTCGAGTTATCGCGGGTTCATGACGGCCTCGCCGGAGTACGCCGTATAGCTGCAATGCAAGTATCATGTAAGGGTCAATGATGATATATCTGTTGCCATTTAGATTGAACCGGCCAATCTTCAGGAGAACGAGAGTCCAATTTTCACCTGATCGCAGTCTGCCCCCACATTGATATTTGCTGACGGCGGCCTAAGCCCCTCGTATATTACTATGTACTACATCCTGCCTGGAGTCTTCGTTTCCAAAATCTACGAAGGGTGAAATGACCGCACCTTTTTTCCTGCCCAGCAAATCGAGTCCTTGCGGATCACATGGCATTGTGCCTCAACTCTTCAAGTCGGCCCCCACTACGACTTCGCGCCACTGCACTCCGCGCGCACAATCTTCGAACACCACGTGTAGCAGAGCCAGTGCAACGAGTGAATCGACACTAATAAGTATGTCAACGAACTTCGGTGGACTTTCTGCAGGGCCCTCGACAGATATTGTACCAATTTACAAAGCATGTCGACCCACCCAGTGAAAGCTTGACCATGTAGGAGATAAGGCCCAGTTTGATCCAGATAGTGCCTAAGGGATCTTGGAGAAGTAATCTCGACGAAAAACAACATAGTCTTTCGCTCACGAAGGTCATGATCCTCGTATGATGTCACGGCTTAGCTATTTTCAATTGTCTAAAGACTTACTTGTACCGAGAAATAGATATCCTCGTGGCTCTTTCACAATCTAGTTCGCGTTATTCTTATGTTCCAAACACCTTGATTGCTGATAGGATACGGGATTAGAGTGGTTTGAACATCTGCATCTATAGGTCACTCACTCTAGAATCATTTTACCTCCCATTTCATGAGACAGTTTACCCTCGACATATCAGTGGTCAAGATATTTCTAATTTGGGCCAACAATTTAGCCAGACCAGCATTTGACGCCCTCGCATCAAATCAAGCTTCTACAACCCCTGCCTAAAGCGTTTCATAGTTGTAGAGTCCCCCCATAGTTCACCTTGACATGAAGATCGTTCAGTTACCGACGGCTACGCAATGGGCAGATAGACCAATATGCGCCAAAGTGAAAACAATCCGTTTTGTTTCACGCGATATGGTCTCCATGCCGCTGAGCTCCTAATTGCCGAACCAAACCGTGGGCATGTGGAGATCTGTTCCAAATTCTCGTTGTGATAGTTCGTGATAGTCTCCGGCCTAGCCGAGGAGCTGAGGCCGTCGGGAGGGGAAGCGTCGTACTGTATTACCACTTTGAATTACTTCAATTAAAGATGAGTGATGATAGGCCCCCCTAATAGTCCCGTGGCATACCCACACCGCTTCGATATGCACGCTATTCTTTACTCTTGGCGAGCGTTCGGGGCGCCCGGCCAGCCGACCCACGCATGCGCCACCAAAAGACAGCCATTGCCAGAACAATTGCGGCCATGTTCTCAGCTGGATTGTAAGTACATGAAAGGTGGCTGTACTGATCAAATGGGCCACCAATTTTGGAACATTAAAGATGGTCTTCTTCCTTGTTGCCTTCCTCTTTTCGCAGTTGAAATTTGACGCCTTGACCACTTTTCAAAAACCCCTCAATTTTGTGATCAGTCAAGATGGACATAGAATCCAAAGTCATCCCCAGACCAGGCAATCATCCTGATGCTAAGGCCGATGCTCTCGGCGTCTTCAAAATACTCCAGTCGGGCGGGGTAGCCCTTGTCCCAACCGAAGTCGGGTACGGTCTCATGGCTTCCTCCACCGAAGCGATCCAAAAAGCATTTGCCGCGAAAAAGCGTCGACCAGGCCACGCGCAAGGTGTCATTGGGTCATTGAAACTGCACCAAGAGCTTCATATTCTTCCAGACGAAACAATGGAGATGATTCGGGTGCTGCACCAGGATCTCGACATGTCATTTGGTGTCGTCGCCCCGTACCGATCGGACCATCCGATTCTTCAACAGCTCACGCCTGCTACATTGGCAAACACGACCAAAAACAACACCTTGGGGATATATATAGGCGGAAGTTCTCTCATGATGGAGCTGAGCCGTTTGAATGACGAGGCAGGCCAGTTGATGTTGGGTTCTAGTGCCAATTTGACGGGCACGGGCCAAAAGTTCAGAGTGGAGGAAGTCGACGATGGGATCAAGGAGGCTTCTGATATCATTGTTGACTATGGTTTGCAGCGATATCACATATATGGAGGACGCCCATCTACTATCATCGATTTTGAGAATATGAAGGTTCTTCGGGTGGGCTCTTCCTACGAGTTATTGAGGGAACGTTTGAAGAAGTACTGGGGGGTTGACTTACCGGAGGATCCGATGTTTGGTAAGCCGAAATCGGAAGACACAGAGCAGAAACCAGCGGATGCCCCCCAAGAACAGGCACAGAAAGGAGCGACGAAGTTTCAAACTTCCACAAAGGTTGAAGAAAAGCAACAGAAATCTTGGCGAAGGTTTGTGACGAAGCTACAGGGGCATTGACTGAACGCCATGAACGTGAAAGCTACAGGTTAATGGATAGATCAGATTATAGAGAGTAGTTTATTGAGGATTCAGATGAATGGATTTCTACAAACCGAATCTAATAACCATCAACTCTCAATTTGGAAATATACGACAGCTAAAATCACGAGGCTTTGGCAGCTTCTGTTGAGCACAATTCCGGAGCGAAATAAGAATTGTGAACGTCACACTGAGCCACGACGGTACAATGCTATAGTTCCTATTCTAATTTATTGATCATGGCCAGTATCAAAAGGATCCCCTGTCCGACCACGGAGTAGTTGAGACAAGACGCGAACATCATCCACCTGGTCTAATCCCAGCACCAATTTCTCAATAGCCGCTTGTCGATCTTGGTCAATCACATCCTTCGTGAGATGTCGCCATTTCTCGAGTATTTCTGCATTCGACAAAGGAACCAAATTGCCGCGCGGCGCTGCGACAAACTCGGTAAGGGTCAAGGTCTCTCCTGCTTGGTCTTCCTGCACCCATAGCTCTGCATGGAGACGCTGCTGCCAGATCTCATCCACAGTCCCGTCGAAAGATGTATTATGCACACATTGAATCTTATCCATGAGTTCCCATACGTCTTCTCTTTCCAATTTAGAGGGTGCAAATTGAGCCGGTTGTACTTCTCCTTCCAGAATCTGCATAGCTGCCGCATAGACAGCACTCATCTGGGCGCCAGTAGCGGTGAGAGGTTTTTCCGGCTCCCAACCTCCCTTCTTGAAGGCAGGCTCTGACATCTCCACAGTGATTCGGCGAATGCGACTCGCCACAAAACGCTTGGGGTACTTAGCCTGCAGTGCTCTGATGCAATCGATAGTGGCGTGAGTCGCAGCCATTGATGCATAGGGCTTGACAATGATTTGGTCAATTTCCCAATTTGAACTAAGCCCTTCCACAACTCTTTCGGGTCGGTATCGGGGAGTTCTTCCATTGCCTAGACTGAACGTACTGAGAAATCCACCATAGGGCCTCTCCAGAACCCGTTTGATGCCCACATATTCACTACGGGCCATGAATGCAGCGAACAAACCATTTCGAGCCGCAAAACCATGCTGCATGCGTTTGACAGTGCTCTCGTATTGAGCAGACATAAGCCCGCCAGCCTGGGTACAAGCAATACCGATGGCGTCTTCAATCAGGCAAGCGGGCAATTGCATCAGCTTCGTCGCTGCCGCGGCGGAGGCGGCTGGGCCAAATATCGCTCCTGAGTGCCATCCCCGAGACAGGACCTCAATACCGTACAGACCAAGGCCTACTCGTGGACCTGTCTCGTAGCCCACAATGGCCGCAAGTAGAAACTGGGCTCCTGTAATGGCATTTCCCGATGGATCTGCATCGCAGTGCTCAAGGGTGGCCAACAAAGTTGGGAGGACAATGGCATTAGAGTGAATCGGAGCTTCTCGATGATAATCATCCAGTTCAAATCCCTGAATAAACGTGCTATTAAGAAGAGCTGCTGCCAACAGCCCAGTTCTCTGTATATTTGCCATTTAGCTCAAGTTGGGCCACTGATAAAAAATCCTTGAGGCGAGGGAAGTGAAGCAGAACAAAAAGAAGAGGAACATTGCATACCTTTTCCCATCCGATGATGTTACAGCTGCCCTCAGGTTCAATCGAAAGAACTCCCTTCAGAGCATCTCCAGACCAGGGTAGATGTGCGCCGATGAGAGCACAGGCAAGTCCATCCAAAAGCAAGTATTTGCATCTTGTGACTTTCTCAGGAGGAACTTCGGAAAGAGACAGGGAGTGGATCCAGTCACATAAAACCTGAGTTGCCGATGGTGTAGAGTCGGCCATGGTAATGAAGAAAGTTAGTTTTTGATGGGGTGGCTCGCTTTCTCAGACACGGACGATTGAGATTCAATTCGCTGGAAAAAGGGGACTGCAACGAGCCTGACTAGATATAGGAAGTGGGGATGACTGTCTATTTCAGGTAAAGAACGGTATGCGCGTCGGTTAACATGGCCTATCTTACTAGCAAGTTATCAATCACCCCACCAGACCCGCATCCATAAAATTAGCAAAAGTCGCGTGAACTTGTCTGAAAAATTACGCGTAGCTCTCAACACATCTGTTGGCGATATGACGACACTTGAAGCTACACTGCGCCTTGAAACTTTGATTGTAATATCTGGTTCTTTATCTTCTTTATCTTCTTCTCGTTTTTTTGAGCATCTTCGTAAAGGCCTTTCCAGAGCTTTTTGCCCCTCATTCTAGTAATTTCTATGTATGTATTCTCAGATGCGTAGCGAGAGATGTGTGGCGACCACCTAGCCAGACCCATCTCATATGTCTCTAGTCTTGTTGTGTGTCTGAGGACCGGTAATCAACCTTCAATACACGAGTAAACATAACCAGGCCTTTTGGAACGATCAAACTTAGGAGCTCAGCGCCTCAATCGGCTACGGTGTCCAAGTTGAACAGATGTAGCTCAACGTTGAATTTGAGATTTCTTGATTTTCGAATTTTCCACTCTTGTCAAGTAGAAGTCACTCTTTTCCGCACAAATAATCCCATAAACTCGTCCACTGGTAGTTGATCTTTTCCAGCGGCTCCGATGATTTGGTCCACCTCTTCTGGAACAAACATGAGCGCCATGTTCTGACGAAACTTCTCCATCACTCGGGCCAAGGTCTCAGGTCTTTTGTGATGGCCGACAGGGAACTCAACAACAATCTCTTTAAGAACTTCTCCGCTCTGCAGCTCCACTGCGATAGCATTGGCAACACTCCGAATCTCGGGGTTGTAGTAATCCCGCAGTGAATCCCTGATCCTCAGTAACAGCAATCCTGTTCCGAAGGGCTTCAACTCGGGGGTCTGTGACCCAGGGAGAGTCATCGAGGTAGTCGGCAGTCTCTACTGCTGAGCCTTTCAGCAAGGTGACCGCCACCATGTACTGTATTGAGTGGTCACGATCGGCATTGTTTCGCAGGGGACCAGTCTTGTCTATGATTGTCATTGCGGGTCTCTGAGTGCGGATGCGAATAGCACTGATATCCCGTTCAGCGACTAATTTTCGACGTTGGAGCATAGCGGAAACTTCAATAGCCGCCTCAACGGCGGAAATACCGTGGCCTTCCGCGGTAATGACCTTGAATAACACGGTTTCCATAACTCGAGTGCCATAGGGATAGGCCTGAATGACATCTTTGCCGCCGTACAGAACTTGATTGAATCCCCATTTGGGCGCAGTCAGAGCTGATTTAACCCCTACAGCAGCCCGTCCAGTCCAGGTCGAGGTGCTCAGGTCGAGATGACCGCCACGTTTACTGAGAAACGCCAGATGTACGGCTCGCATGCAAGCATCGCCACCTGCCCATCCCTTACGAGGGCCTGCATTGGGTGCCTGTCGATATGTTCTAAGTGGATGGCCATCGATCCATGCATGGGACACGGCCGCAAGAGCTGCTGACTCTGGAAGACCCAGCATCCATGCAATTACCGCAGTTGAGGCAACTTTAACCAGGATTACATGATCCAGGCCATGTTCGTTGAACGCATTGCGTTGTTGCAGAACACCCTGTATCTCGTAAGCTTTTATCTGTGCTTCCAGAACTGTACGCATGGTTGGTCTATTTTCATATTCACATCAGCGTTGTGACGTGGACATACAGACTATCGAATTGGGCACCAATCGTAGTAAAGGTCTTACCTAGGCTGTTCTTCGGCACGTTGCTGGGATAGCCAGTCTGCCACACTAAGAATAGCACCAAGATTGTCCGACGGATGGCCCCATTCTGCACCAGCATAAGCGTCATTATGGTCTAGATATCTGATCAGAGCGCCAATGTCGAATGCGCCTTTCAGAGGATCAACAACGTATTCAGTTCCTGGAATGCGGACTCCGCCGGGAACAATTATCCCGGGAACAATTGGGCCAATGAGATCTTCGCAATCCGAACTGAGGTGAAGTGTTTCGATAGCGCATCCCATTGCATCTAGTAGGGCAACTCGAGCCCTTTCGTAGATTTCCTCATTCTTGATCTGCCCATGATAGACATACTCGATGATGTCTCCCAGGACTGGATCGAATTCTGCGTATTCTGTGGCCATTGAAATTTCTTGCTCGATTGGTCCTCTTTCCTTTGATCGGGTATGGAAAAGGGCATTGGGAACGGCAGTGGGGTGTTGAAGAAAAGTGTTCATATTATTCTCCAACTCTAGAGGTCTCCGCTCGGCCCGTCTTTCCTCGTCTTCAAAGTCTGGTGTCCAGGAATTAGCTCAGCTGCACATTCACATGTGGGTCACGGTGCATTGTGTCAGTAATTACCTATCTAGGCCTAGTAATTTAATGCATAGGACTTCACTTCTTTTTCTTAGCATACAGTCCTCTTACCGTCCGTATCTTTTACCGCTTTTTATCTTAACTTCCCTATATAATATTATTATCTATAAGATACCTACTAGATATCTACTAGATACCTAAGGGATACCTAGGATATACTTCTCTATTTTCTCTATCCTCTTATTCTCTTTAAATTTATTTATCTTCCTACTCTATAAGAGATATCTCTAAATATTCTGTTCTAATATAGAATTACTATATATAGGAGATAGGGGAATAAAGGAAATAGAGAGAAAGGGTTTTAAACCCGGCAGAATCCAGTTATAGGTAATCTTTAGCTATAATACTAATCTATTTATACCGCCTAGTAATACACTAAACCTAGCTAGGTGATCATCGACGACATTACCGCTTTCGTAACTGCCTAATACGGTTAGTCAATGTCTGGCGACCCACAAGAGAATGTCAAGGTGACATATACACTCTCTGGTATCTCATAATTTCACTTGAGGCTGTGTTGACGTTCGGCTATTTTGTCTTCGTCGTGTCGCGAGATAGTCGAATGCTAAGCGCGCGGGGCTGGAGATACGTGGCCTGGCGTACTTGGCTAGGGGCTCAGCTGCGCCTGACTTTACACCGCCAAAATAATAGCCAATCAACACAATCGCAATGTCGAGATGCGGGGTGATAAAAGCCGATTGTTTCGCTTGGTGTAATGAATGGCTGAACACCGGATGGGCTCGGCACAGTCCGCAGAAAAGGCCCCATGTCAGCCCAATTCGCTATTCCAGATTAGGAATTATGATCTCTCCTATCCCATAATTGAAGCTAACTTGGGAATTATCTGAACGCCTTTCTACAAATCAAGCCAAGAAAAAATATTGGAAAGCATCCTTACTCCAATAATCTCGCGAGCAACATGGTAATGTCCGTGTGCGGGCTGACGCATGGGGGGGGGGAGGAATTCAGCTTAGTTGTTCGAGGACTTTGTCTCCATAGCTCTGAAGACTATTTCATCTCACTCCCTTCGTTTCGTCACTAATGAACCCATGATTTTCTTGCACATACAACGATGATGACTGATTCGAGTTTGAAAAGCGTTGCAGTTGGAGAGAAGCAATCATCCCCCAAACTCACCGTGATTGATAGCCGCACGTCTATATCATATGACATCCCCATTACTGGTAATGCCATCAAAGCCACTGAATTTAGAAAAATATCAGCTCTTGGATCCAAAGCAAGTCCACTTGAGCGATACGCGGCTGGTCTGAAGATCCTAGATCCTGGTTTTCAGAATACAGCTGTCGCGGACTCGTCCATTACCTACATGTCAGTATACTTTGATCCGTCTCGCCTCTTCCGTCTGTCATAGGATGGGTTGACACAACAACTGATCAAGTAATGAACAGAGACGGAGTGAAGGGAACAATTCAATACCGAGATTACATGCTTGATGAACTTTTGGAGAAGCACGACTTTGAAGATGTGTCATTCTTGCTTATCTGGGGTCATTTGCCGTCCGCGGATGAGAAGCTTGAATATCGTACCAAGCTTGCCGCACGGGCAAATCCTCCTCAATCAGTGATCAATACCATAAAATGTTTCCCGTAAGAATTCCCCGAGCCCCGTTGCTGCTTACAAGTTATTATTCGGTGGGCTGTCGCCTGCAAATTGTTGGGCCAGCGTCATGCATAAAGCCTGGAACCTTTCACTAACATTCTTTTGCTCTATTTCAGGCGGAATGCTCCGTACCACTTGATTTTCTCGGCTGGAATTACAGCATGGGGTGCTACAGACCCGACTATGATCCCTATCCACATGGGCGCAGAGCTTTATCTGGGGAAAATGGGTGCCGTTGATGAAGGTATCGTCCGGACGATTGCCGCGTCAATCAGCGTGATTGCTCTGATTTACTGCCATTACGAAGGGAAAGATATAGGTCCCTCCGACCCTGAAGCGACTTTGGCAGAGAATATTCTATTGATGATGGGACTTGTCGACGAAAAATCTAAGCGGCCCGACCCAAAAATGGTGCGCATTCTGAACGGCCTCTGGATTGTCTACGCCGACCACGAAATGACAAACTCGACAGCTGCGAGTCTTCATGTCGGATCTGGGTTGGCAGATCCATTCAGCTGTGTCAGTGCTGCTGCTTGTTCACTTTCGGGTCCCCTACATGGTGGAGCCATCGATCTTGCGTACAAAACCTTTGAACGCATCGGTAGCAAGGCGAATGTGCCTCAGGCAATGGAAGATGTGAAAGCCAAAAAGTTCCGGCTGTCTGGATACGGACATCGGATCTACAAAACAGTCGATCCACGTGTGGCGCACCTGAAGAAGGCACTGGAAGAGCTATCGGACAAAATTGATGGTGATGCTCACCTCTCGGTCGCACTGGAAATTGACCGGATTGCATCTCAAGACCCGTATTTTAAATCACGAAACTTGAACACAAATGCGGACCTGTACGGGTGCTTTGTGTTTTCAGCAATGCAAGTGTCCCTCGGATACAATCTACTGGGTTTAAATTACGATTTGCTAACACGACTGTGCACCTGTGTAGGGGATTCAAACCGGAGATCATCACGGCCCTGATGTTAGCGGGTCGAGTGAATGGTATCTTAGCACATTGGCGAGAACAGATGGGTAAGTGAGCTGTCATCGTCTGGCTCAATTTTATCGCTGCATCTTTTCCAATACTGACCATAGGGTCGCTTTAAAATAGGAAAGCCTGCCACGCTTTGGAGACCTCTCCAGATATTTCACAGAGAAATTGCTAAGCTATGACTGACAGCACAACAGACGCCTTGTTGGCTGGAGCCCTTTAAGACACAGCCCAAAATATTGCATGGAACTTCTTACGTGCCTTAACGTCGGAGAAAGACAACGTTGATTTACAGGGTGGTACACGGTCGATCTGCCACAATGCGGCGCTTACGGAAAACCCCCCCTTGCTCGCTAGACTAGGGAGATCCGTGTTTCAAAGTCTATACAGATGTTCAATACAACTACACTCCATTCTCTCACTCTCTACCACTGAGGAATGCTATTTAAAGCCGGGCGAGAAATGTGATACAGATGGTCTTGATAGGCATCACAGATCCCACCAGCCGCAGTTAAAGTTGCTTAAAGAGATATACCGGATGGACGGGGCAAATACCGCCAGGAAGATCAGAGATATATCCAGAAAGATGTGTAGCCAAAGCTGAAAACCCAAGGGTATAGGTCTCTTCAGATCATCATCTTGGAAGGGATACAGGACTCCGAGGGAATGGTAACCAAAGTAAAATGTTGCAAGCTAATGCCTGGGGCGGTGTGCTTGATTAGGCGCAGGGAATGCCAAGTCCGAAACTCCTTTAGGAAGTCCGTGATTCAATTTTACCCTTGCCTAATCGGGACGCAATCGCGGGTCTCCAGATCGCCGAATTGGGAAGTACAAGTATTCTTTTCTAACACTCCAAAGGTTGTGGGAAGCAGATTTGAAATGCCGCCTGAAAGAAAGTTATAAATACTGTTCAGATAGCCACCCCGAGGTCAAAATTTAAACTTGCTCATTCAATCCTACTCCGCCTCTCACACCTACACCACATCTACTACCGCACCGATGACCCGTGTACTCTTGACCGGTGGGGCCTATTCTCATTGCATTGCCGGATTGACTACAAGGGCATTCAATCTGACTGTATTTCTAGGTGGAAGCGGCTTTATCGCCGCTCATGTTCTCGAGGTGCTCCTAGCCCGAGGCCACTCCGTCGTCACCACCGTTCGTTCTCGGTCGAAGGCAGATGCGGTCAAGCGAGCTCACCCAGATATCAAAGACTACCGCCTGTCATTTGCAATTGTAGAAGACATAGCAGTTCCAAATGGTACTATCCTCCAGAATCTCAATTCAGAAGTTGAAACGAAGGTAATTGCTGACCAGGCAAACGAAAGCCCCACCCACGCATACCGTGCCAGTAAGACGTTTGCTGTAAGCTTGCCATGAGTCTTCCCAGGAGCTTCTGTTAGAGTTCGACGGCATCAACTAACCTGACAACCTTTATAGGAACGGGCAGCATGGGATTTTGTAGAAAGAGAAAAGCCCAACTTTACTCTCTCAGTCATCAATCCGCCACTGCTCGGGCCAATCGTCCACAGCCTCACCTCGCTCGAGACTCTCAACACCTCCAATCAGCGTATCCGTGATCTACTTTCCGGCGCAGCCAAGGCTCGCTGCCCTCCCACCGGAAACTACCTCTTCGTCGACGCTCGTGATCTTGCGCTCGCCCACGTCCTCGCTGTTGAGAAGAGCGAAGCGGGGGGGCAAGCGATTTTTCACTGTCTCGAGCCATTTCTCAAATGCGGAAATCTCAAAGATCATCAGCGACGAATTTCCCGAGTACAAGGCTCGGTTGCCGACTGGGGATGCCTTGATTTTGGGAGATTATCCGGCGGATGGAGTGTACGGGTTTGATAACACCCGGGCGAGAGAGATTTTGGGCGTCGATTTTAGGCCTTTGCGAGAGAGCATTATTGATGCTGTCAAGAGTTGGTTGCCCCTTGGAGCTGATAAACTCGGCGAGTAAGATCACATGAATATTTCATACTTGTTGATTGTCTCTTGTTCAATTCGTAAAATCTACTTACTCTTTGTTTCCTGGACTTGTCTATTCGGCTTGATTGTGACATCCTGCTTGAAATTCTTCTTGATCGTGATGGACGGAACTGGTTCACCCGGTCGTGGCTTGTTTAGTCGAATCCCTCACTCTTCGCTTTCCTTCTCCCCCATCTTTCCGCTCCCTGGCGTCTTTTATTGATCGCAATAATTTCTCCACCTTACCAAGGATTATTTGAGCCATGTTCTCCACCTTCTCCGCCAATCTCGATACCCTCGAGTGCCCCACCGGCGCAACCGCTGCCCCGGCCAGGCGCAAGCGTGCTCAGGTTGCGCAAGCCTGCGACTGGTGTCGTCTCAATCGTATCAAATGCGACGAAAGAAGACCTTGCCAGAATTGTCGCGAACATGGTGGCTATTCCAGTGATTTCAGGCACTCTGAAATCAGTTCACTGCCTGCCGCGAATCGGTAAGCATGCCCTCACCTATCCAAGGGCTCTTTTTTGGCCCCCACCAACCTGGATCTTTCCCCTTGGCCCTTCTACACCCTTGACACCAGCGGGAAGAAGTTGACAAAAGATGACTAAGGAAATACATCGGTTGCGAATCCGACTCAAAGAACTTCAGACACAGATAGATAAGGTTAAAGAAGAATCAACCAGGGACGTTACATTATGCGCCAAACCTCAGACACGCCAGATTGCCGGTCTCGCACATCCGAACGCTTCTCTGATTGCAGCAATCACGGAGACACCCGATTCGTATCGCATGACGTGGGATGGTCTTGATGATCGAGAATCGCGAACAAGCCAGGATATTCACTACGGTCCGCTTGCCTCCCAACGCATGGTGATGCGCCTGAACCGATTCATGGCCGGATCGTCAAATCCGTTGCTTTCAGGATCTGTCCTTCCAATTTGTATCCCACAGGTAAAGCGTCTTCGTCTGCGATTCTCCGAGGTTGAGGACTTGTCTCGAGAGCAAGAAGAGCACTTTCTGGTTCTTCTCTGGCAGGCCTATCATTGTGTGTATCCTATCATTGTGGAGGAGGATTTCAAAGAGTACTATGATTCTCTCTGGACCGTATCAAATGGTCAAACCCAACGCCAGCCGTCCGCTCTGGTCTACAGCCTGTTGGCCGTGTGTATTCAATATGGTAGTACATTTCTGGTCAATGATGAGGACATGATGAGCGGTGCGACAGGATCGCAAGCTACGCACTTTGATTCTGCGGCGCATACTTTCTACATTCGAAGTCAACACGCTCTGATGGATGCACTGGAGTATCCTTCGATCATGTCACTGCAGAGCCAAATATACTGCATCATCTATGTGTACAACACTGCGAATCTGAACTCGGCGCATGCACTCCTCGGCCTGGCCATCCGGATCGCTCAAATGCTGCACCTGCATCTTCCGCCCCTAGGGCCTCTTCCACAAACGAACCCAGGTCTAGGTTCTCGGATCTGGTGGACCCTGTACCAATTAGATAGCCACATCTCGATGACCCTTGGTCGTTCACGGCTGATCAACGTGAATGACGTCCACAGTATGATACCTACAGACATCATTGATCGATTGCATGTTCCAAAGTCGGTTTCGGTATCTCCTTCTCAAGAGGACATAAGTTGGCTGAGCTTCCACGTACATTTCATCCACTTCACGGCTGTGGCGCGCAGAATCCACGGTTCCTTCGGTGCGCACTGTACTGACTTGTTACAAGGAAAAGGCATACAGGACATCTACGAAAATCCACCGAATCTGGAATTGCTCGGGAACCAACTGAGCCGAGATCTACGTACAATGTACGACTGGGTGCCGACTGTGCCAGTTTTACTCAAAAATCAACGCAAAGGCTCAGGCCAACCCTTCTCTACGGATCGGACACCACTCGACCTGGATCCCGCTAGCCCCCTCTGGCTACAACGTCAACGGCTGTTGTTGGAAATTATATATCACCACGTGCAAATTGCCAATTTCCGCCCTTTTATTCGCTTCCGTCCACGTGGCGCGTTCCTCACTCCACTGTCGGATAATCATAGCATATCTGCTTTGAACCACGCTGTTGTTATGACCCACATCTTGAACCAGGTTCTGTCTGAAACAGATTTATTATCTGGGTGGAAACCAGTCTTTCGTTATCAATGGGACGCCGCAATATGTATTTTATCTTTTGTGTTGGCGAACCCGGTGTGTCCCCCAACCCCGGCCGCGCGTAAAGTCTTGCCGATGGCAATCCAGAATCTAGAGACGCTTGGCCATTTCTTTGGCCCTGTCACGAACACTCTCCGGGATATTTGGGAGCAGTTCTGTTCCAGCCCAACTAACCTTGGTTGGACCCAAATTACGCCTCAAAATCAGAGTGCGTCAAATACGGCAGTCATTGCCCAGGCATCAGCACCGACTTCCGCCGATATTACTGCTGGCAACATCTTAGCGCCCCTTTATGGGTCAGATATGTTGGACAACCACTCTCAGTCCTTCGATCTATTGTTGAAGTCACTATCCAACATGGTGTCAGAGACGGAATTGTCCCATCTGACCGCCAACACTTTCCCACATGGTGAACTGCACGCATCTTTCACTCTTCCTAGCAATTTTATGATGGATACCGATATCGAATGCATCTCCAACGGGGTGATATCATTAAATTCTTGGGAGGGATATGGCTCTCCATAAATTATAGGGCTAATTTCTTCTCTGCTCAGTGGTGCATGTGATTTCTTGTTTGCCCCTGCTCCTTGCTTTAGCGATGATAGAAGAGATTAAAATCCATAGATTGCCAACACCGGCCTCCCTGCATTGCTCAGCCAGTACGTAAAGGGTAAGCTATGTATAAAACACCTCTAACATGGCTAAATTCAGTATAGTCTCACACACGAATTTCTATGGAATAATTACCTAGTTCCATACACTATCCTCAGAACTGTATGTCTATGGCTTCTCTAAACACATTATAGAGAAGCGAACATAGATACGATAATTATGGATTTAAAACGCTGTCTAGATCATCATGGTCTCGCCTAAAGATCCCGTCAGACTGTAGTTGTTGATATTCTATGAATTTGATTATGTTGACCGCCAAGAAACTCATGTGTTTGATTACAGAGGCAGCCCTGCAAACTCTTTCCCCGTGAATTTCAGCATTCTGTGCCTCGCGTCGATGAATCCAACAAAACGCCCGACAGATTTTCACAAATCACGACTAAATATCAGAAAGCTTTTCGATATCGTCACTATATCTCAAACCATCATCTCAGGCAATTGGCAGCGGGGCGATGTTATAAAAACCTGCACAATCTTGCTTATTATTCAGGTCCACCCACGCAGCTGTTGCACCCGGGCTAACAGCCTGTTGAACATAAGTGCTTCCAATGCCCAGGTTGTTCGTCGTCAAGGTCCCGCCTCCAGTCGCACAGGACCCACAGTCCACGGCTGCTCCATTTTTGACCTGGATTAGACGGACATTATAAGCTGCGTTAGGGGTACCCCATAGCAGGACAGCAACAGCGACAAGTTGGTTTGGTCCAGCAGAAACAAGTTCGACAAAACCGAAGGTCTGTGTCAGTTGCGGAGGAATGACAGAACCGTCACAATTGCGGTTGGTCTGTGTAAGCGATGCCTTCTGGAATGATACGGCTGCCGCAGTAGCGGGCGCGGTGGTTGCAGCCAAAAGACCTATTAGTACGAGCAATCGCTTCGTCATATTTTTGGTCGTCGTCTGCTTGTTATAAATCGCTCTGGGTGTTATTGTGCACAACTTGCAGAGGAATGAGAGCTGGGTTCACTAGATTGGTAGGCGATGGGAAGTATGAATAAATTTACGTTAGAGAGAGAGAGGAGCTGCGTCTGACCTAGCCTTAACCACTGACAACCTCAGCCATGAAGCATATCAGTTCGAACCGTGATCTATGATGAAGATCTATTCGCATGTATAGTTTGAGAGACGGGGACCAAAGTCTAGGCCTTTGGCTCATGACCATGTAATATCATGTCCTTAGAAAGGTGCACTCTTGGCACTCGTATCTATCATCGAAGGTAATGCAGCGTGCAATCACACGAATAGAACCTCCTTGATTTTAGCTTTCGATGGACTCGTCATTTGGGCTTCGTACACAAGCAGCTTGAATTATTGAGGGCGATGTATTTAGTGTCAAGGGATGACAGTTTTCGAAATTACGTTGGGCATGGGATGTAATGAACTAGATGACATCACCAACCAACCAACCGACCGACTGTATTCAACGGCTTGAAGTCAAAAAGGTCTTGGGTGGCGATCGCTAGGTCATTTTCAATATAAACTTGAGGATCTAATCTTTCACACAGCATGGGCGTTCAATTTTTTTAAACCCACTTAACTGTCCGCGGCAAGCTTATGCGAAATTGTAATATTCCATGACACAGACCTGACGTATTAGACTCAGCGTGGAGTTAACGAAGATTTTATGCGCCTAGTCATTCACTGTGTATTGTGCAAATTGAGTTCAACAGATGCATTGTGCCTAGGAGCTCGATTAGGTCTCCTTGTAAACAAAGTGTGCAGGCGCTTGCATAAATAACCATTATGAGCAGTCTGTTGAAACCATATGAATGACGGCTTTGACTGACTTCTAGGTGCGCCTAAGTATGAGCGCATGCAAAAGTGGTTAAAATCTGTCGCACAAATATTTGGGCATTTAATACTCTACGGGCTACAGCGCCAGGCAAGAAGTTTGCACACGCTGTCTAGATACCGCTTACTGGTTTTAGTCAGTTCCCGGGATTTAAACCAATCATATGATTAGAATTAATATTTTGCAGCAGAATATTATGTAGCAGCGCAGGGTTGTGTGCAAAATTCTTTGCCTGGCACTGTATAGATGACGAACCCCGTAAAAACCACATTAGCATACAACTAGGTACACGATAAGAACCACAATCACTCACTTAATCCAACCTATACAATCTACTTTCTCATTCCCGTTTATGCCACAAGCCTTTCAACCAGGCCAGAATATAGTGACTACCGAAGGAGGACTTTGCTTACAGAGTATTACGAATGCGTACACCCGCTTTCTTTCGTAGAGACTCAGTAGAGAGCCCAATCGTGATGGCGGAGTTTCAGAGCCTCTACTTTCTCTTTTTGTCCAGCCAAATTCAGTATACTGTACAGCCATGTTTCATACGTACAGTGGCACCGCAAAAGTCTGTGACCCCCTAGCTGACCGCCCTTTTTCTGCCACGAATTCTGCTGTACCAATGGAAACCTCCAATAAACATAATTTTTGTATCAATGAGTAATATTTGGTAAGCCAGCCCTTGTGCGAGGCATATTGGGGTGGTTAATGATGAAAATATTATATACAACGCTATATGCGACTCCGCTGTACGCGTTTAGGGGTTTGGTAGGCTATAATAGGAAGGCGGTGCGTCTAGCGGTCAACAAGGGGGGGTTACAGACATTTGCGGTGCCACTGTATTTGTACTGTGGTATTTCGCATGACACGCAACTTGCTACTTTTCTGCCCGTCGAATTTACAGTAGAAAAAGGATATGAATATCAATTTCTTTACAAATCCCCTTACAGTCGGTTTGTTGGTTGGTTGATATTATTCACCCTGACCCCCCGCTCGAGAGATGGTTTACCCAACTAGTGCTTAGCTCTTGGATTCGTTACAGACTGAATCTCACCTCGCATTACTGGTAGTGCCCAACGGCGGAAACTCCGAATCCTTTCCGTCAAAGCGAGCTGAATCGGCATAGACTAGTATGCATGTAGCGAATGAGAACTAGTGGACCCATTAGGTAAAGAGCGATTAATTGAAGGGCCTGGAAACTAATCAAACGAGTGGGGAACATATTGAGCTGTCCCAATTCAATTAGTAAAACCGACGGCGAGGTGTTACCCACATATTACATACAAACACATCGTACTTTGCACAATGCCCCCATCACCTAGCAATTGAAGGCAGGTCACTCATTCAGCTGGCTGAGCCGCTACTTCCCTCCAGCACAATCTTGCCTCAGAGAGCGCTTTGATGATGGCCACATCCGCTACTTTTAATGCCGTTAATCATGGGCTCCAGATTGGAAACAACTCCGGTTCCATCACAGCAGAATTCCACGTGGCGCGGGGTAATTCCATGAGAGTTCCAGTTGACTGTAGGGAGGCTAAACACTGTTTCTAGTGTACACCACCGAAGACATCGATCGAATCTGTCTCCACGCTCTGCGCTGCCCGGACTCTCTGGCTGTGAAGAATCGCCTGAAAGAGAGCAAGGACAGATTGGTTCACCAGTCCATTCAGTGGATTCTTGAAGATCCGCAGTACAAAGATTGGGAAAATGGGGACGACGTCGGCCTGCTTTGGATTAAGGGAGGCGCTGGGAAGGGGAAGACCATGTTGTCAATCGGTCTGATCGAGCAGCTCGCCCGGGCGCAGGATGAGTCCACCGCGGTGATTTATTCCTTCTGCCAGAATGCCGACTACGAGCTCAATACACTGGAAGCCATTCTCAAGGGGTTGATTCTGCAGCTGGCGAATCAGCAAACGGAGCTGAAAGAATCACTCCATCGCCGGTGGGACACCATACAGGAGACGTTCAGTGAGGATGTCACCTCGTGGCAATCGTTGTGGAACATTCTTTTCGAGATGCTGGCCCGGTGTAAGTACTCTCGGGTATATATGGTCGTTGATGCGCTTGACGAGTGTCAGGATGACGACGTGGTTGAATTTCTCAAATCCATCGTGCGAAAGGGACTGGATCATCCCTGTAAGATCAAGTGGATGTTGACAAGTCGACCATGGGACGGCGCAGAGAGGGTATTATTGGCTGGTCAGGACCAGGTGCAAATTAATCTGGATGGGGAACACAATTCCCAATCTGTTTCAGGGGCTGTGGAGGCTTATATCACTTCGAAAGTGGAGGAGCTGAGTCGCCAGCACAAATATGGAGCGACCCTGAAGAGCGAAATGAAGACCGAGCTTACTGAAAGATCGGAAGGTACCTTCCTATGGGTCAGCTTGGTATGCAAGGCGCTCGAAAGTGTCTGCCGAGATGACGCTCTGTCCACAGTTCAGAGCTTGCCGCCGGGTTTGCATCCGTTTTATGATCGGGTATTGAACCAGCTCAACGAAGGCGAGTTGGCTGAAGTACAGAAGTGTATGCGACTGCTCAAAGCCATGATGACGGTATACCGACCTTTGAAAGTCGAGGAAGTCGCTAGTGTGATCGGCCTAAGCGATGATGAGGACACCATTAGAGCATTGGTCGATTGCTGTGCTTCATTTATCCGGTTGCGCGATGACAGTATCGAGTTTGTTCATCAGTCAGCACGAGACTACTTGGCCGGAGAGAATGGGCTGTCTATACTCGACTCTCATGGACGCTTCGGACATGAAAAAATTGTCCTCGCCTGACTGTCCTATCTATCTGAATGTCTCAAGCCCAACCTCGTCGACCTGCCGCGGCCCGATGCCACGAGAGGCTCCATAGAAGCTTTGGAAAATGGACCAAGGAATGGCATACTGTCTCGCGTGGACTATGCGGCTATATTCTGGGTGTCACATCTAATGAACGCGAGCAACGACATCGACAAGAGCCAAGTTAGCGTATTCCTACACACAAAGTTGTTGGAATGGCTAGAATGCTTAAGTCTGTTGGACAGGCTCCCAAAGGCCATTGACTCGTTGAGAACACTGGAAGAAATATTGAAAGTGGGTTTCAAATGTTTTCTCGGACGTCTACGTCTTTACTAATCAAATTGACAAAGGACGACTGTCAAGCTTTGGCGTTGGTGCAGGATGCTATGCGTTTTTTGTTGCGACATTACCACACTTTGTCGCACTGGCCGCTACAAATCTACAGCTCTGCCATCATTTTCAGTCCTGAGTCAAGTCTTGTGAAAGGCGGAAACCTTCACAAAATTCCTGTATGGCTGAGAAGAGCTCCTCCCATGGAGGACAGTTGGACGCCTCTGATACAGGCACTAGCAGGCCATTTGGAAACTGTCAGGATCATTACCTTTTCACCTGACGGCAAGCAGATAGCATCAGGCTCTGGGGATGGCATAATTAAGCTCTGGGATACTGTCACAGGTAGCCTCCAGCAAACACTTTCAGGTCACTCAGAGGAGATCACAGCTATGACTTTCCTCCCAGATAGCAAGCTGATTATGTCATGCTCTTGGCCGGGCGCTGTTATGCTATGGGATACCACCACAGGCGACCGTCAGCGCTGTGTCTACTTGCAGTCAACAGAAGAGCGCGATCCTTTGCCCCCTAGCGCCCGCGCCCTGGATATCTCGGCGGATTGCAGGCAGATCGCAGCAACCGGTCGGTATCATGATGAAGAATTTATCATCCTTTTTGACGCGGCTACTGGAGACCTCCAAAAGATCTTTGCAGACCATCCAGACACACCCTTAGCTCTGGCCTTCTCACCAGACAGCATGCAGCTTGTATCAAGCTCCATTGAGGGCACAGTCTGTCTCTGGGATACTACCACGGGTGACCTTCAGAAAACACTAGTCGGCCACAGAGACAGGGTGTGGACTGTGGCCTTTTCACCAGATGGCAAGCAAATCATATCAGCCTCTTATAACACTATCAATCTTTGGAATGCTGCAACAGGCGATCTTCAGAAGAGACTGGCATACCCTGACGCCTGGACCGCGGCCTTCTCACCCGATAGTAAACAGATCGCAGCATGCTTTACCGATTGCATGATCTTCTGGGATGCTGCAGGCAATCTTCAGAAGACGCTAGCATGCCAGGCGGACCGCGTTACGTGCATGGCCTTTTCACCAAATGGCAAGCAGATTATTACAGGCTCTACTGATAACACTATCAGGCGCTGGGATACCACCATAGGTGCCACTCAGAATGTTGTGGGCCACTCAGGGAGGGTTGTAGGAGTGGCATTCTCACCAGACGGCAAGGTGATTGTGTCAGGCTCTGCTGACCACACCATCAAGCTTTGGGATGCTGCCACGGGCGATCTCCAGCAAACACTAGCAGGCCATTATAACGCAGTATTTGCTGTGCTCTTTTCACCAGACAACAGGCAGATCGCCTCGGGGTCCGGCGATGCAATCAACCTCCAGGATGCTGCCACAGGTGACCTGCAGAACTCACTTGAGAGCGACGATGATTTCAACGCTGTCACCTTCTCACCGGACAGCAAGCTGATTGCGACAGGCCATAAGAGCGGCAAGATTCGTCTCTGGGATCCTACCACAGGTGACATTAAGAAGACACTGGCAGGCCACATAAACAAAGTTGGGTCCCTGACGGGGTTGGACTTTATGTTCGATACCGAAGTCACCACTTTGATCTTCTCACCTGACGGCAAGCTCATTGCATCAGCCTCCGAGGATAGAAAAATCAAGCTTTGGGATGCCAACACGGGAGACCTCCAGAAGACACTAGACTGCGGTTTCGAGAGCATCGTTACTGCGGTCTCGGTGGCCCTTATAACAGGGGTTCATGCAAACACCACAATCATCTCAGTGGCCTTTTCATCAGACAGCCAGCAGATCGCAGCAGTTTGTGATGATCAGACCATCAAGGTCTGGAACATCAAAAAACTGCTCAAAGCCTCAAAACTTCTGGGACGCGCTGTCGCTAGTCATATCAAGTCGACTCGGCCATGGAAGGAGATTAAGACGTTAGAGCAGGTGTATGACGTGAAATTCGCAGCAGGCAACCGCTACCTTGAAACTGCCATTGGACCAATATCACTTGAGAGCACCGCATCGGAGGAAGGGGAGGAGGAGGAGGAACTGCAAGTGAGGTCGGATCCGGATTTATTACAGAACCTCTATGTCAGAGGAGAGTGGATATACTATGGGACCATGCCCTTCCTTCGGCTGTTGCCTGATTTCCAGGCTTGTCCCTGTGATGTGCTCGGCGATCAAGTAGTTGTTGGATCCAGAACTGGTGTAGTTGCTAACTTCGACGTTGATCGACGGATTTTACATCAATACTGGAAACACTTCAGCAATGAAGGCAATCGCCCAACAGCGGGTTAGGTACCTGGCTGGAAGTCGGTGGAGAGAGGTTGGAGTCAACCAGGCGGCTTCACTTGACCGTTGAAAATTCAGTCTCTGTCAGGGTCAGGTCCGATGCGGTTGATCAACATTGGTGGGCTGGTTTGTCTGTTGTTCCTTCTTGTAGCAGCTGCGTGGAGATTATATCAATCGATTTCTCTCGGTCCTTGCACTGCGATTCTCGAACCACTTTCCTCTTTCTAAGTTGTTTTGCGTCTTATATGGGCACCAGGAATACTATATGCATTTTTAGGGTCATGCTGGTAGATGAGCTGAAAGCGATGTTCATATGCACAAAAGGTGTTCTGTTCACTAGGAACCGCCGAAGCAAACCCCACTGATCTTGCCGGAATTGTTCCCTATCTGAAAGCCCGAGTTCGGTCCCGAAAACACCACGCTGTTGGTATAGGTGGTGGTGGATTGAATGACTTTGACAACCGTGTCACTCAGCAGCTTGTCCTGGCCAGCAGCGACCTCCTTCAGTAGCGAAAGAGCGCCCTCGTTCGCGTTCAACCCGGACACCTCTTCTTCACACAACTTGCGCTGTTCTTCCTGAATGCCCGGGAAAAGCTCGACCAAACCGTCCACTAATTCGCCGATGTCCTCGATGAGCCGGGCAAAATTCTTCTCCTCGTAGAGAATAGTCGCTTGGTCCCGCTCCAACTCCGACTTTCCCTGCCGCTTCTTGGCGAGATCGTCCATCTTCTGGTGCAGTAAGGCTGAGACGCCATCTAGCTCCTTGGCGGGGTCCAACACTGTCAAGTTGGGATTGCGTCGTCGCAATCGCTTCGACGCCGCCCCAGCTTCCGCAAAGAGCTCCAGAATCTGAGCCAGAAGATCCTGGACCTGCTCTTGATCTTCGGGAGCGAGATTCGTCATCCGGAGCTGTTTCACGTCGCCGTCGTCCACATTCGCCAGTCCCACTGACTGACCCCACCGAGTCAGCCGGAGCCTTACAACGTCCAGTTTCAGCAAGCTGGTTTGGAAGCTCTGCCGGAGATTAGACCCCATTTGGATATACTCGAAACTTTGCACCGCGTCGTTGAACAGTCGCGACTGCTCGTCCAGCATCTTAAGCATGGCGTCCTGTTTCAGTTCCAGCGCCTGGGTGTGTTCGATGATCGTCCCCGTGTCGGATTTGATGGCCTCCATTCGTCCATCGATGACGGTAACCTGCGCTACGAGGAACTCGACGTTTCCGTTCATTCGTTGGACGATGTCGTCTAGGATCTCGACGGTTCGTAGCGTAGCGAGGCCAACGGCTTGCGTCAGCTCGTTGACGGCTCCCTCCATCTCCTCGATGGCACCAGAAAGAGCCCCATCCGATCCATCGACCAAACTGGAAAACCACTTTTCTCAGATGAGAGAATCTGATCAACCCCGCTGGAAGCAGGATAAAACCAGAGAGCGCGATTAAGGAAAAAGCTGCTTACTGAGTCTTTTTTTTTTCGGCATATTCCTGCGCCACGGAACAAATGGTCAGCATGCCGGAGAAGACCCGCACAACGCATCGCTGGAACGGCGCTTGCTGGGGAGTTTTGTCTTCTATCATGGAGAGCCGGTCGAAGAAGCGATGCGTGAAGTCGAAAAACGCCATGACCTTGTCGTAGTCGGCGGACACCGAGGCAAAAGACTTTGGGCCTTATCAGAAACGAACATCGTTATTTCGGTATCAACTGGCGTCTCGTACCTGCATGACCTGTCCAAAAGCCGTGAAAATCAAGCTGGCTGGCATTGCGGGGGGAAACGCCTGTTCACCATCATCAGCCTCCGCATGAAGATTTCACGGCGTCCCCGCTAGTCATTCCCTGTCCGAGAACATACCGATGCCGCATTCCCAACCACCTCGACCGTATTCACAACCTTCTGAATCAGCCATAGATTATTCTTTAATGCAGTCCGCACATTGTCTGTTTTCGATCGGTCATGCCGGAAATCCTTAAACTCGTTCGACAAGCCTTCCGTGCCCTTCATGATTTGGTCGATGTTGCTGAACTGGGCCAGGTGGAGGGACTTCTTGGTCTGTTTCTCATAGTCCTCGACTGCGCGTTGCCAGAGTTGGGCGATGTCGGACGCCGGTGCCGCATCGACGTTCCTCGTGGTGGCCATGTTGGAGCAAGCCTGGAAAGACGAATGCTGGAGCACGATTGACTGTGTGAGGGAGGTCTGGGAATGATGGTTTGGATTTGGACGCAGGAAAGCCAGATATTTCATGCGCCAGCACCGTCCAGCGCCTCCCTGCGTTCCCGGGGAGTCGAGTTGGGCTGAGAGATCCGGAAGTCCAATCGAGCGTCCCACAGCTGTCACGCTTGCAGGCTCTCAGCCGCATGTTTTTCCCCACCAACCCCGTTTGGTCTCAGAACCGTGTAAAAATACCGCGCTCCCACGTCGTCCCTGGACACCCAAATGTATGAATCCCAACCCGCAGGGCAGGGATTTGCGGTCCCTGCTCGGGGACACCGATGCCCGTCAGCAGCCCCGCCCCAGGCCGTGCGGCTCGCATGGCCCCGTCAGCGGAAACCGGGAAGGTGAAAATGTTCCTCGTCCACTCGGCAGACAGTTCCTCTGCCTCAAGGCCCAGACGGTTTCCATTCTCTGCCACATGCACAGGTCGGCCATTGAGAATCAATGGTCAGGGAGTGAGTGGTTCCCGTCTATCTCAAGAGTGCTCGGAGTGGCTGACCTCCTTGTCCCGGCGAGCATACCGGGGAGACGTCAGCCAGCACCTCCATGTGGGTGACTCGCTCGGCGCCGAGGTATGACCAGGCGTTGGTGCTTCAGCCGCTTTCCGTAATTTTCGTAATGACAAAATACAGGCGAGCGCCTGCCCCTCGACTTATAAACACGTAGGAAGCAATAATCTTAAGGGAAATTCTTTCGCCTGGTTGCGAATTTTTCCACGCTTCTAGTCGTATGTCGTCACCCCTTTGCCCCGTTCACCTCCTTTACGTGGTATAGTCAATAACCCTTAAAGAGTCGCAAAGGATTATCAATTGCTTGCTTGTTGGCAACATATCTAGCGAGCGTTCCTTCCCACTGCATCCATCTTCAAAATGTCTATCCGAGCGGTTAGGGAACCGGCCAATGCCAAAGTTGAGTAAGATCGCCCCGATCTGTGTCGCTCCCCATCTCTTTCTCGAGCCCGGCCCAACCCTTCGAAATCAGCGGACTTACCTCAAAACACCCGATAGTATTGTGTTTGTCCACGGCTTGCACGGCGATCAAGCACCGTGGACATCCGAGGCGGATGTCTTCTGGCCGGAAAAGCTCCTCGCGGGTAAAATCTCCGACGCGTGTATCCTGTCATTTGAGTATGAAGCGACCGTTGGTCCTTTTTTTGGCGAGGACGACGAGATCACAGACATCTCCAACGACCTGATCAACGAGCTGATGGACCATCGAACTGAGAAAGTAAAGGTTGTCTTCCCCGCTCCGCTCTGCTCCGCCGGTGCCTCTTGATCCAGCTGGTTGACGAAGCAAAACAGGAAGAGAGACCGATTATTTTCGTTGCACATTGTCTCGGGGGCGTTGTGTTAGAGAACGTACGTTACCCTAGCTGTCTACGGGAAACCCCATTAACCTAGGACATTCTCATGTCTAGGCCCTCATCCGAGCCGCCGAACATCCCAGGAAGCGAGAGCTCATTGGTCATGTTCACGGTATATTACTACTAGGAACCCCTCATTTCCAGCCGGGCTCGCTAGCAGCCGCCACAAAGTATCTCCAGCTTGCTCAGGCGGAGGTCCCCAGCGAGTCAGACCTGAAAGACCGGTTAAATCGCCTGAGTGGCATTCCCCAGCGTTTTGCCGAGCTCAAGCAAGCAGGGGCTGAGTTCGAGGTGGAAGGGTTCTATGCTGGAGCCGGGACCAAGCTGGGCGGTACCGGCCAGGACGTCAAGATCGTGGATGAGGCGTTGGCCCGAGGTCCCGACGCTCCTCCTCCTGAACGCCTGGCGCGCAATCAGCTCCGGCTGAGCCAGTACGACCGCGAGGATGACAAGGATTTCAAGAAGGTGTCTCGGGTTCTTACCCAGTGGGCGTCCAAGATTGTTCTTCCGGAGGAGGATAATGGGGCCGCCAATGTGTCAAATGCGACGTTCTCGGGTTCTCACAATTCTGGTTTGCAGCTGGGACAGAATGTAGGAACTCTGAAGGGGTTCAGCTTTGGAAGAGCTTAGGTCGTGAGGTAGTTGATCAATTCATACTTGCAGCGTATATCGGATGGGGAACGTAGGTGAACGACATAAGCTGCCGGTTGTTGGTCCATATTGTGACGCATCACCCATGGGTCAATCCCCATGCTCCGTTGAACACCGTGCCTATGGTTACTAACGAGTTTTTCTTTTCTTCCGGTATAGTGAGAAGACGCGTTGTCTGTGAGGAGGACGGATTTTGGCCCCGGCCATCTACCACACTGGTGGAGAAGCGATTCAATCAAGTCCCTCAATTATACTCACGCCTTTTCATCCTTGGAAGATCTGTGACTTTAAAATGCCATCTTGGCAATATGCCGGGAGGACCGGATACCGCTAGCGGCGCGCGAATCAAGAAACCTAGACAGGTGCTACCCTACGTGGGGACTAATCGGTCCTCCTGAAGCTAGCTCGTTTATCAAAGCCGGACTCGTCTATGAACGCGCGGTAATTCAAGCGGAGATCTTATAGCTAATGTTCATGATAGTTGCTAATTGGACGCCTAGCCAGAGGCATCCGAGTTTACGAGGGATTATAGAGGAAGGCTGTTCAACCTCAGATCTATCATACTCCTTGGGGGCCCCTCACAGTGATACACTTCAGGTAAGTAACTGCCCCTGGTCTTGCCTACTATTTCGCTACTATAATGTTGATTGCTTAACTGACATTATTTCCGCTCATAACATAGGGCATCTGAGGTAGTTGCTGAGGAAATCAAACAGAAGTACGAAAGTAACATTTCGCGATACTTTATAGACCAGTCAGAAAAGGACTGATGAATTGAAGGAAGACAAGAAGAAGTGAAATGTAACAGCACACACACTGAGATACTGCCACGTTGAACGATCTTGATTGGACGTTTTGAATCACGTAACCAAACATCATCAATAGTGTCGACGATCCGTGAATCGTTAAAGCCTCGTAGGTAATAACAGATCAGCGTTCAAAAGCTATCTGAACACCAGCGTACAGTAAGATCTCACATAGGTCCAATGATAGGATAGGCACAACCAGTAAGTTCAGTAGATGCTAGTCTCCTATTGGAATGCCAAGCCTGTTATAAGAAGCAAAGAGACATTATCCACCAGTAATGTGTCTATTCAGTTCACTTATTCGTAATGGTCAATCAAGGATAAGTGGTTGGCAGAAAAGGGGATTCTAAATCCTGCTACGTCTCAAAACGAGTAGGCATCTGTCCGTTTGGCTTGTTTGCATGATCAACGTTCTAAAAACCTTGAGACTACACGAGTTTGACACAGAAACCAATTTAAGCTGTTATTTACGACCATACTAAAATACTACCAAGAAATGGGTTCAGGCGCAGAGTAAGCATAATAGGTATAGTATTTTCAAATAACACCTCGAGAAAGGAATGCTGTGAGGAGATGGTGAAACTGATTTTGATCCATGCTATATCTGAACATCTGTATCATACTGGAAAATTTCAGGAGAAATTCCGGGATGCTAATCTGAGTGACACCAAAGATGCTCTAAGCATGATCGATCTTAATCAAAACCTTTGCGAAATGTTTCTTTTCTTTGAGGCGCTGGTACGCGCTCTTAGTCTCCGCAAGTTCGAAGACCATGTCATCAACCGCGGGCACGATTTGTTTGTCGTCAATGAAGCGGACCAAGTCTCGGAATTGATTGCGGCTTCCTGCCAGAAATCCACGGACAATGCATGTGTGCATAAGGGCCGCGAACATGGGCACTGCGTCCTTGCTCTCCCCGACTCCACCGACTACCAGTACGATGCCATCCACGCACACGGCCGCAAGGGACTGGGGTAGAGTTTCATTGCCACCAACATCAACAACAAAGTCGAATCCTCTTCCATCAGGTGTCAATGCTCGGGCTTCCTCGCCCCACCCTTGAGGATTATTGCGATAATTGACAACATGAGTCGCACCGAGAGCCTTAAGTCGAGCTGCTTTCTCTTCATTCGATGTTGTAGCAATGACAGAAGCACCGGCTGCGACAGCGAGTTGCAGAGCAGCAATACTCAGACCACCTGTGCCTTGGACAAGTACCCATGAGTCAGGACCTACTTCCCGGCCTTTCAAGCCAAAGAGAGCGTTCCACGCACTGATCCAAGTACAAGACAAGGTGGCTGCAGGAAGATAATCTAAAGACTTTGGTGCGTGGACAAGGCCCGCCTCTGAGAATATGCCGTGAGAGCGGAGTGTTCCTTCAGTTCCCTGACCCCTGCACTGCATGGCATCGGCGATACTCGGGAGAGCATCGTCGCCACGAGATTCGGCCAGCTTGGGTGCGACGTATGTGACAACTCTGTCTCCAGGACAGAACTCCGTCACAAAGGATCCTACGTGCGTGACGATACCTGCACCATCGCAGCCTGGGATCACCGATGGCGTGATTGGTCCAGTGAGATCCTGCCTCACATTAGCGGTAGCTTGCTGTTATGAGCCGTCGAGAACATACCACGGATCCAGCGATCATCAGCTCGCGATAATTCAGACTTGCAGCATGCATGGTTACCAGAACATCGTGAGACCCCAGTTCCTCGGCGGATGGAACATCAAGTCCCTCTTGATACTCGAGGGATTTCTCGAAGCCTTCTTGACCAGTCAGAATCCATTGTCTCGCCATTTTTGAACTTGAAGAGAATTGATCGCTGTTTTTATTGAGTCGATCGGGTTGAGAACAAACAATATGAGAATAATAAAGTTAATCTCGAGGGCAGAAGGGGTCCTTCAAATACTTTGGGTGATGAGAAAGTTTTCTGATCGGCTTATACACTTCCCTTAGGCATCAAATCTGATATTCCTCATTAGGAAAATCAGATTCCCTATTTGGAAAATGAACTTCCTAATTAGGAAAACCATTCTGCAAGTGTCAAATTACGTAACTTCTTGGCTTCAGAATCGGCTTGCGGTCATTAACCCATTAAGTCTTCTGGGTGGTGATTTATCAGAAACATCTCAAGATTTGAAATCCCCATTGGTAACAAAACACAACATCTTAAAGTTGTTGTCATTTTCAGGGGTTTCTATTGTTTTTGAATTGAGAGACATGCCATCATCACTGTGTTATGGGCTCCTTGAGCTCAGCGGCTCGATGATACAATTCTTCCCACAGAGCTTGAAGTCGTCCTGTGAGGGCCTTAGTTGGCAAGTTACGGTTCGTGAGCAGACTTAGAGGTTCATTCCAGCCACGTAGTTGCATCGCTCGAACTTCCCCAGCCATCCTGTCAACAAACCATCTTCTTGTAGGCGAGTTCTCGCTTGCAGCGATAGCTCCAATCATGAGCTGAAAAGAAGTCAAGTTCATATATGAGCATCCTTGAAATGGAAATTGGCAGATTATATCTTTCAATTCACTGGCAAGGAGTGTTAAATGAGCTCCTGATTGAGAAGGCCAAAGTAGATAGAGCACCAGTTCCATCGATCGTGCAGTGGCTTGAACGTATGAGTCGTCGACAGCTCGAAGTGCTCGTACTTCGTGATGGAGATTGGCCAGTGGCTCCTCAATCTCTCGTGCAATAAACTCAGAATCCAACTCCCGGCTGTGTTGGGAGCTGATTGTTTGTCGTACTTGGATGACACTGTCGCAGATTACTTTTATTCGTGAGATTCTTTGATCGTTGCAATCTGCCAAGGTTTCAACAACACTTTCATGATATAGCCGCGGGAAATCAAAAACTGCATTGACCGAGTCCCTATCAATGATGTCAGTCTGATTGATTCAAATGGAACATGTCTTGGGCAAGCACGGACAGGACAACGAGATCTGAAAGCCACGGTGGCGGCGGGTCAGTGCTTCGTAATTTTCGTTCTTTCAAAATCTGGACCAAGCCATCTATATGAATATTCCAAGCAATGTCATCGTTCTCCAAGGAAGCACCGAGCGCCATTGTGGCAACTGCTCCGAGAACGCCGTCGGTCGAGGTCGCCGCGGATTCTAGTCGCCGCTTAATGAGATTAAGAGCTGTATCTGAATGTTGATAGGCTTCAATCTGCCAATTTTCGTCCGGAGACCAGAGTCGCACAGCTATTGCCATTGTCGATTCGATCAAAGCCGGGTCTGACGCAATCAGATTGAACCACGCTGCCTCATTTGGGCTAACTGGAGAGCGTATTCCTTCCAGATATACAAGTTTCTGTAGCTTTTGCACTGCAAATAATTAGAAAATATATACCTAGATTTTGGAAAAGTGCGTACAGGCTTTTGGGTCGCGAGCTGGTTCAGGGCAAGTGAGTGCGGGGTGCAAATGGATAGTCCGGTCGCCGTCGAAGGCCATGGACTTGTTGCTACACGCCGACGGCTGTAGATTGTTCTCCTGTATAGTCATCAAATTTTCTATTGCTCTCTGTGGCGTGCCCACAGCCCTACGCCTTTTTGCGAAATTGCTTTTCGTGATATGCGCCCTCATTCGTTTAACGGCTGGTCGAGAGAGACTTGAGCCTCCCATTGTATTCAAAAAAACGAACTGGGGCTGCTCCATGTCTTTGATGTGGTTGACAAATTGTCGAGGGTTTCATGATCCGTGTAGAATAGTTCATCGGCCCTGGAAGTTTGGCACTTGTACAAGGTAAAAGAGATAGTCTTCGGCCCGCGCTTATCTCGGTGTTGGAGTGGCTAAGGCTACAAAACCTCTGATTTGGCTTCACCGCCTTCTCAAAAAGGATATCTAGGCGTTCGGACTTCTTGGACCAGGTTTTGCTTGAGGTTTCGATATTTCTTGGACATCTGCCTAATCATTCACAGTTTGAGGACATTTCAAAGTTCGCCGAGCCTGAAGATCCACTTTCATAGATGTGGAGAATGGATCATGAAAAAGACTGAGAGAAAAAGTGCCGGCCCTTCAGACACGATACGTTTATGTAATTTCATTCAGGAAGCAAATGTTTCGTTCTAATTATGTTTATCTGTTCAAGAGGACTTTTAAATGGATGCACTCAGATATTTGCACCCCTCTTGTAATTTCTTTCCCATATGCCGCCAGGACTCACATTTATAGTACTGGGTTTTCCGCAGCCTGTCTGCTTTACCATCTTTCTTTGAGAGTCCGAAGTTTCGTCACATCCTTACTCGAGACCAGACCTGCAAGAGTCTGTGCTCGGCAACCTCAAGACCATTCTAAAATGAATCTTTGCTGCTGCACATCCAAATGAGCCTGGTGATTTGAAGAATCTTTCAATCATTCACAGCATGTCAATCAGGAGGAAGATTGTTTGCTCGTGTCTGATCTTGAGGACTTGGTGAGATTTGTCGAAGAGACACCGAGAGTTCTCATGTTCGGGCATATTACCACATGCATATTAAATTGCTGAAAAGACCTTCGGGCACTTACACAAAACTATACGGTGTGTACAATCAGCTATTTCGAGTCACCTGTGACTATACCTTTGATCGTCCAGAGAGCACCAGAGTAATGCCTTGAAGCATTTCATACTCCAAACAAGCCACCTTCGTGTTTTTTGGAAGCAGTGGAACTATTCCGTCTATAAAATGGTCGAGTCCGTTGACTAAACTCAAGTTAACGTCCTAAATCAGCCCCGAAGGTTAGAGCACGACGGTCGCACCATGAAACTCGAAGATAATTGGTAGCTGAGGAATCAGCTGCACCAGTGCCCCTAACCCTAAATTACGCTCTATGCAGAAGTGCCTAAAAGAAGTGCTACCGGCACTCTCCGAAATCCAAGGAAGTGGCCGGGAGTATTTTAGCCTTGCTCATCGCAGTATGACATATTTGGACTGCCTCGGGTAGATGAATAGAAACCCGTAACTAAATTGATGACGAATGTAATTTGCAATATATCGGGCAAGATGTCCGTGATACTATGAGATAACGTAGTTTGTGGAGCTCTTGCTATCGTGCACCGGTCATTTCATACCCTTTGGTGTGTTGCATACATCCGAGGCTCCGGTTCGGATCTATCTCTACGGTGGGCCGTAGTTCAGACTTGCTAGCTAGAAAGACCTGAGGTATGCAGAAATACCGAAAAGCTTTTTCTTTTCGACTGGGAATTTTCAAATCACATGATCTCTTAAATGGATTCCTTGTAGTTGTTGCACTATTTCGCTGCATCATGAGGATTACTAAATTCGGAGCTCTCAACACATTGGCAGATCGCCGAGGTCCTTCTCCAATGTGGCCTTTTTGGCCCCCTAAAGGATTGGAGAATGGCGCCCGGCGCTTTCCCTGTTCAATGAATGTGTACACGCCTTACGCCGACGTGCAGACATAGATTCAACAACCAGTAGATGATGGAGATAGGGCAAAGGAACGTTGTTAGACACCGGCATCCGCCGGTTCCCAGTGAATAGAGTTGAAGTATTCATCTCTCGGCTGTAGATTACCCCAACCATCATCTTCTCATGACCGACCGAGTCACAAAGGGACTACTTCACTTCACTACCACGTTTAACGAGACGCCTCAGACACATCCCGATCGGGAAACCCGAAAACCGGAGGCGTTGTAAAGTATGCAGCCTGAGGCATCAATATCACCGAATCGGGCGTGGCGACATCGGCAAGTCCGTAATGGCTTGTAGTAATCCCTGTAATGGCCTTTGATAAACTTTGCCTCAAACTTAAGTGCCGGTTCGGTTCATCGATTTACGGAAAAGAACTCTGCACTTTAGTTCAGGTTCTAGAAGAGCTAGAATTATTCCGAATGCTTTCAGAGCAACATGATACAATCCTTGAGACCAGGAACGATCGCTATGATGCATGATCATCGAACAGGTGTACCGAGGCCTTCATATCTGAAGACCCACCGGCCAGCTTTTTGTGGGGAAATTTGGCGGGGAGACAGAGGAAGCCACCGACTGTAACCACGCTTTGGTGATCTCCAAGCCGAGACCACGAGCAGTCGTTTAGGCATAGAGCTGGAGCATAATCCTGGTGAAAGCAAAATTAAGTCTGGACTTGCATGCCAAGCAACGGCATCTGGGGAAGAATGTGTGGGGGAAGAGCGACAGCTCGTGTCCCGGCGGCTCGTTGATATGTGCTGGTTCACAGTGTAACGGCGACCGCCGACAGCCGAAAATTCAACCCCATACTTAGAGACCCGTCATCGCAGCAATGCCACTTTATCTACACCATTAAACTATTGAATCAATAAAAGAAAGCGAATCGCACCATCCAGCGATCTTGATTCACTTTTCCATTCCTCTCTTTCCATTTGTTGTGTGCAATTTGAATGAAATCATAAACCATGGGTTTGAAGCCGTATTTGGGCCTCCGCGGCAATACTCTGCTCAGAGCTGCTGTGATGCTGGTCGTGTGTCCGACCTTTACCTGCTATGGATACAATATGAGTGTTGCTGGTGGTCTATTGACCCTTGACGCGTTTAACAACCAGTTCCCGCGGATGGACACAATCCACACTACGGGAGCTCTGGAGCAGGAAAACTCAACAATTCAAGGTCAGTCACTCTGATGTTGATGTCAGTCCTATGTCCCGTCTGACTATTCACCAATATTCCAGGCACGGTTATTGCTCTTTACACCGTCGGCGGTATTTTCGGTGCCCTCTCATGCGTCTACCTTGGTGATCTGCTCGGCCGGAAAAAAGTCATCTTCTTCGCCAACCTTGTCGGTATCATTGGAGCAATTCTGATGGCTTCTTCTTTCCAATTCGCCCAATTCATTGTCGCGAGACTGGTTCTCGGTCTCAGGTATCGGCGGATATGTGGCCACTGTTCCGGTCTGGCAATCGGAGATCTCTCCCGCACACAAGCGAGGATCTAACGTGGTGACTGATGGTATCTTTGTCGGGATCGGAGTCACTGTGGCCCTTTGGATTGACCTGGGCTTCTATTTCGTCAAGAATAGCTCCGTTTCTTGGCGATTTCCTTTGGCTTTCCAAGTCCTTCTCTCAGCCATCGCCATGATCTTCATCACCGTTATGCCCGAGTCGCCCCGCTGGCTCATCAAGACCGGACAGCAGGAGAAAGCGCGCCACGTCATGGCTGCCCTTCAGGACTTGGACCCTTACTGCGAAGAAATTACACACAGCATTGCTCAAATCGAGACCACCCTGGCCGTCTGTGGTTCTTCCTCATGGAAGGATATGTTCACCAACGGCGAGAAACGTCTGTTTCACCGCGCCTACCTCGCCGCCACTGGCCAAATGTTCCAGCAAATGTGCGGTGTCAACTTGATCACCTACTACGCCACCACCATTTTCCAGCAGTACCTCGGCATGGATGCCGTCAAGTCCCGCATTTTGGCTGCCGCTATGGGCCTGATGCAACCCTTTGGAGGATTCCTCGCTTTCCAGACCATCGACCGCCTCGGTCGTCGTCCTCTCATGTTGTACAGCGCTGGGGCTATGGCCGTCTGCATGGCCCTGCTCGCTGGCTGCACTTCCGATTCCGCTGCTGATAGCACAGGAGCTCTCATCGTGGCTGTCATCGCCCTGTACTGTTTCCAATTTATCTTCACCGTCGGATATTCTGGCTTGACCTTCCTTTACGCTGCGGAGATGGCGCCGCTTCAAGTACGAGCCGCCGTCAGCGCCGTCTCTACTGCCACCGTGTGGGTCTTCAACTTCCTCCTGGCCGAGGTAACCCCGGTCGGCTTCTCCTCGATCGGTAGCCGCTATTACATTGTTTTCGCGTGCGTCAACGCTTGCATCGTACCCGCGGTCTACTTCTTCTTCCCAGAGACGAAAGGCTGCTCATTGGAAGAGATAGATGAGATCTTCATCCGATCCAAGAGCATTTGGGATCCTCCCAAGGTGGCGCGTCAGATGGCACTGGAGCGCAGCGTCCAGGTTGGACAGCCTGACTGCGAGAGCAGCGGTGATCACAACGGCTCCAATGATGACGAATACGTCAAGCAGGAGCTCAAGTCTTAACTATGCGACATGATGAACAAGGGACACGATTGTAACTCGTGGCATTCTTATTACTTACATGGCTGGCGACGCATCTCATTTTGTTTGGCACAGGCATTGGGTACGGAACGTTTGGATCAAATCAATAGTCTACGAACACGGCAGCGCAGGAAGTTGCTAAATTGTATATATGGGGATGAGTGATCCAATAATTCTGAAGCACACGATACCCTTGAGCGGGTCATTCATGATTTACGACTTTGCAAATCCTCCACCTTCGAACATTTTCGTCATAGACGAAATCAGATCTAACCCTCGAGAGACCTATATTGCATAGAATATGAGCTAAGAAACTGAATGCCCATCACTGGTTCACTGAAGTCATGTCGATCACGGAAACAGCAAGGTACCCGAAAAAGTCCAACGAAGTGACCTTCACATGGACCACGCCCGATGGAACGGTGGGACAAGGCCCGTGCTGTAATAATGCATTTTCAATCAACTGAGTCAGATTGATGGAACCTGGGTTAATGCGGAGAAGCTATGGTCACTCTTGGACCGGAGAGTGCCGCCGCTGGACCAGCTGACTACACTTTGGACCCCGGAGATGCCCACCGTCGCCACGATATTCTTGTGGCTGAATGCGCTTGGTTTTGCTAAGAAAGTCTAAGTCCTGATGATAGTTGATGTCCCTTTTGTCCATCGTGGAGTAGCTCACAGCGCCTCATTGACTGGCTAAACTAAACCTATATGTAAGTGAAGATGAAAGGGATATGGTCTGGTCTAAGCGGTCACATGTACCTCCTTTTAATGAAAATAGGTAACCCCTCGAGATATCCTCAAATAGTGTTACATAGAGTCATTCTTCGGCTGATAGAAAACCTGCCCGAAATGTGGTGGGAAGTTTGTCTACGAATGCCAAACTTCAAACAGGTTACTTCAGGCGGGTTGATTGGACTTCGGTACAATATTTCGAGGCCCTCTTATGAACATGAAAGTCATACCAAACTTGGTGGAGAATATCGAGCATATTTTACGTAATTTTGTATGGCCGAGGTACCTCATGATGCAAAGTGTTCTCAGCCGCGGGTTTAGGGCAGTTCCGGTCAGATACCACAGACAAATTTCACCCACGGCTGGAAGGTCACTGATATTTTCTAGGTCAGCTATGAGTAATCAATATCAAAGTTCAAGGTGGGCAGGATGCAAAATTTGAACATCCACAAGTACCACAAGTATCAGCATTTAAAAGTCTCCGCCTTTATGTCGTCTAGGTGTTCGTCATATGTGCACCGCAGAAGCACCAGTCGTCGCTTTTGGGTGTGGGTTGAGACTTCAATCCCCAGATTTCAAAACTGTAAATTTGATACTGATAACCACTTTCTATAAAACGAACCATTGAAACGATGCCTAGGCTGAGAAGAATCTTGTACAAGAAGCCTGGCATACTTGTAAGCACTTTAGATATCTCTAGCTCTACAAACATGCCATCCTTTCAGATGTGTTACTTCACTTTTTTCTTCTAATTATCCCATTCACTTCTGAGGGTTCATTGACCTCCGCGTCTTCTTTCATTCATTTGGGTCCACGCCGATTTAACAACCTTCCGACTTTTCATTCCTACCCGCCGCTGTCATGGCTCGCTGGGGGTTGTGTACGTTACAGTAGAACTCAAAAAGATTTAAACCCAACCATACATGCTTGGTGTCTTGGCTCACCTCGAGCCCACACCTAATGTGCTGGGTCACTCCAAGTACAACACCTGCTTGGCCGCATCGTGTCTTAGAAGGGCACTGGGCTTCAGTGTCCAAGTGAGTCATTTTGAATAACGTACCAGTCAAATTTGGTAATATATAGTAATGAAGAGTCGAGAGAAAGTGTGGCGTGGAGGAATATGACGATCTGGCATAGATGATCAAATCTTTAGTCAAATCTGAAATTCGATCGAGCCATTTACGCCTGTTCACTGTGTATGCACTCGCCATCTCATAAAACCAGCAACTTGCTCTTGATCCCTCCAGCGATTCCTATCCCTCATCGCTTCGTATACACCCCAGTGCTCACAGCATGATAACCTTTCTTACCGACCATTGTTGTCAAGTCACTCTTCCATTGCTCGCCGCGTACCAATCTCTCCACTGTCTTTTCGAATGTGTACTTAGGATTCCACCGTAGTTCCTTCACCGCCTTGCTTGAATCGTACACTCTGTCGATCCTGGCAAGATGCTTCCATCCTTTTTCCTTGAAAACCACATCCACCTCAGGGAAGAGTTTCTCCAGCACCTCCGCGGGGTTCCTCTCCAAAGCCTCCAGAGTGTGCTTGTCATTGTCGAAAGGCGGTGGAGCGCTTATAATATAATTTCCCCATCGAACATCCTTGGCTCTTCTCATTGCACAGACTGATGCGCTTACAACATCTTCAATGTCGCATCTGCGGTAGGTTAGCTCCAAAGCCTTCAGGTTCTCATCGCTCATGGCCGCGCGACGGTCTTCATCATCGTCTTCTTCAGGGAAAAACCGGCTAGTACGGAGGACTAAAACGGGCATTCCAGTTTGCTTCTGTATCAGTGCGCACATGTCTTCAGCCGCGACCTTGGTCACGCCATAAATATTCTTTGGGATGGGCACAACAGATTCATCGATCCAAGCAGCGGGGTGACCTGGCTTAGGACTGAGCGCCATACCAAAAGCACTGGTTGTACTGAAGAAGACAAAGCTGTCTATTTGTGTCTTGAACCTGGAAGTCTCTTCTAGCAGAATCAAAGTGCCGACAATGTTGGTCGTGATGAACTGCTCCTTGCTGTGGCTGCAAATGTGCGGTTTATGCAATGTCGCGGCATGGAGGACGTGTCTTATGGGGTTGGAATCAAAAATGGAGGCAATGAACTCGCGGTCGCTAACAGAACCCACAATTGTTGTAGTGGGGGAGGGTAGAATGTCGATACCCAGGGGGTTGAAGCCCAGAGAAGGCAAGCTAAGCATGAGAGCCGTACCTAGATGACCGGCCGAACCAGTGACGAGAACGTCGTACAATGAAGTCATTTTGGAATGCTGGCTTTTCACGATTTTTGCCTATTGTGAGCTTTCAATGTTCCATGAGAGCATTCTCCATTGTGACTCACTCAGGGACGATCAGAACGAGATTCGTACCCAACGATGTCACGTGCAATTCTTCATGACTCAGACCGATTTTGGGCAGAGCAATCCTGAAGCTAACATGTTTTCACATGTTTCAACTAAATGATTGGTATAGTCACGGTTTCTAGTGGAAAATGATCGGTCTTCAGAGGTGGCAGAAGGCTTCTGCAGTAATGTGAGAACAGGTCCTTCGCTTTCTTACTCTAGATGGAGTTCTGACGTCAAATCATCTTGGATTGAATCTATTGCCTTGAAATCCAACGGTAAAGCTTTCGTCGCCGAGTAGCTTCGGTTCAATTGGTGCCGGTGCACTTACTGAGTCCAAGCAATGATAGCTTCCCCTCCGCAGGCCGATGTCATCATGAGAACTCAGATATTCAACCTCCTTACCTCATAGTATCATAGCTGAGCAATTGCAAAGAATTTTCAATTTTGAAGAGACCTAAAGCTATGGAATACAATCGTTCCGACGCGGAGATGGTTCAGACACAAGGCTTCAGCATTGCCTATTCAGTGACACGACGTCTTGGCGGCAGCAACCGCATTTCCTGATTGAGACCCTCCCCACAGCGCGGCAATACTTGCCCCAACACGAAGCTGTCAGATTACTATTTCTATCACCAACATCATTGACTCTTCCATTATTTTTTCTTTTCTTTAAATCTGGAAGTATACAAGCATCCAAGACATTCACAATGTCCGAACAATCCACCACACCCGCTCCGGTCACGAAGGAGAAAACCTTTAGCTCCTACAATAAAGCGCAAGGAACGGAATACGCCCAACTCCGCCCCGACTACTCTGCCGCCCTGTATCAATTTATTCTCCAGACCAACACAAAGCATCTGGCGGCCAACTCGACACCCTCGTCGACTTAGGCTGCGGACCAGGCAATGTCGCTCGCACACTCGGCGTCCACTTTGCCCACGCCATCGGCCTCGATCCTTCAGATGGCATGATCGCGACGGCTCGCTCTCTAGGCGGCATCACCTCGACCTCCGAGCCCATCCGCTTCGAGGTCTCAACGGCCGAGGATATCGGTGTGAGTGTTTCCCCGCCAATTCCAGATAACAGTGTCGATCTAATCACCGCCGCCAACTCGGCGCATTGGTTCGATTTGGCCCGCTTCTGGCCGAGTGCTGCTCGCGTCCTTAAGCCCGGCGGCAGTGTCGTGATTTGGACGAGTGGTGGAAATCGTATTCACCCTTCCGTACCAAATTATGAAGCCATGCAAGTTGAAGTTGATCAGATTGAGACTGAGTATTTGAGGCCCTATTTCGAGTTTGGCAACCTTCTCACCCGGGATCGCTACGCCGGCCTCCCACTTCCGTGGACTTTAGATCCTCCGGTCGCAGGATTCAACAAGTGTGATTTCTTCAAGAAAGACTGGGATCTTGCGGAGAACTTCTTCGCCTCGAATCCAGATTTACCGCTGGATATGTTTGAGAAGATGATTGGGACGATGAGTCCGGTGACCAGATGGCGCGAGGCGAATCTAGCCGCCGTCGGTACCGAGAAAGACGTGGTCAGGTTATACCGCCGTGCAATTGAGCGACATTTGCATGCAGCGGGGGTGGAGAAGGGCAAGGAGACTATTCGGGGCGCCATGCAAGGTGTTGTTCTGGTTATCAAGAAGAAATAGTTCATCGTACCATATGCCGACCAAGAATATACTTGCTCTCGCATATGGCACTGATACCAACCCATGGGACAATTGACTGGATGATTTGTATTAAAATTATCGTGACATGGCCAACTGTGCAGTTTTTTTAGCGTAGATTCTCGACCCAGTCCTTCCGCATCTTAGCCTTCAACCGGACCCTGGACAAATATCACCGCGAATGAATAGATAACGTACAATTTATCAGCACTAGAGCACACAAGCGTCGGGCTCTCAGGGGCACGAACCACCCAAATTCACCCAGAGCCTCGCATTGCCTCGTCTTTTGGCAATAATAGTCCCGTAGCATACCCACACCGCTTCGGGTGTTGGTCCGCCGGGGCCCAACGCAAATTTGGATCCCAACACACATCTTGAAGCTATTCACACCCATTGTTCCACACCCACTATGGATCCTTCGTATAAAGCCATTGAGCAACGTATCCAGGCCGCTTGCGAAGCCGCCAGATGCCGAAAAAACGCCAAAATCACCTCGCTGGCGCGCGAATTCGACGTTCCAATGACCCGGCTGCGGGCACGTCTCCACGGTCGGCCATCTCGCTCTCAGCGTACCATCACCACCAAGCGTCTTGATCCCTCGCAAGAAGCAGCATTGATTAGCTGGATCAATACTCTTGATGGTCTCCACGTTCCACCTACCGCGCGTATGGTTAAAGCGAGTGCGAATGCGATAATCGAGAGAGATGGGGGAGCACCAGTCAACAAGACGTGGGTGTATGACTTTATTAAGCGCCTACCTGATAGCCTTCATTGGGTGAAACAAAAGCCAGCGGAGAAGGCAAGGGTCGAGGCTGAGGATATTAGTATCCTACAAGCCTGGTATGATCGTCTTGAGCCATTCGTGAAGCGTATTCCGCCATCGAATATCTATAATTTCGATGAGACTGGCTTCCAGCTTGGTCAGGGAAAGCCTCAAAAGGTTATTAGCCGCAATAAGCATCGCACGAGGCTATTCTCAAGCGAAAGAGGTGATCTCCTGACTGGAATTGAGTGTGTTGCAGCTGATGGATGGCTTATGGAGCCATATTTTATTGCACCAGGTGTCGTCCACCTCGAGCGATGGTATGATAGCGCAACCCTCTCAGATGAATCACGAATTGCAGTATCGCCATCTGGATATTCGAATGATATCCTTGCGGTTGATTGGCTTCGCTTCTTCCAGCAACATACCTATGACCGCGCCCGTGGTGGTCAGAGGTTATTACTTTTCGATGGTCATGGCTCGCATCTTACATGGGAATTCCTTCACCTTTGCGAACAATGGAATATTATCGCCTTCGTCTTCCCTCCGCATACCACGCATATCGTCCAGCCTCTCGATGGAAGCCCATTTCGAGCCTTAAAAGAGAGATTCCGCGCTAAGAATAATGCTCTCGCGCAGTGGGGTAGGGATGCAAAGGATATTAGCGTCTTCTTCCGCGAGATCACTGGCATACGGGAGCAGGCATTAAAGTCGCGCACTATTCGGAAGGTATTCGCAGACCGTGGCATTTATCCTTTTAATCCAGCTATAGTCATTGAACGCCTCGAGGCTGCAAGATCACCTACGCCAGAGCTTCATTGGCCTACTGGGGATACTCCACCGCCGCAACAATCATCTAGTTTACCCAGTTCCCCGCCTATATCTGCAACCCAGGCACGCCGCACACAAGGGAAGATATCCAGGATAGCTGAGCGTGAGGGTATTAACCCGAATGCCAGCCAGCAGATCGATCGGCTTTCCCGCTATGTTATCCAGATGGCAGAGGAGATCAGCCTTCTAAAGTCTACTATTCAGCACCAGCTGCCGCCTATGCCTTCAAATGCTCGCAAATCACAGAGGTATGTCGGCAAATTCGGTGCTATAACCACAAAGGATGCGAGACGACGGACTTCAGTAAAAAAGGACAAGGAGCATGCGGCGAGTGTTCGGAAAGGGAAGAAGGTGGCGCCTCCAAGCTTATTTTTAACCCCTGATTCAGCTACGGACCAAGTTGAAGATACGGGGACACCAAGTAGGATACCAATGACGCCTGGATATCAATTTGATAAGGGATATTTATAGGTGTGGAGGGAACAATGGGTGTGAATAGCTTCAAGATGTGTGTTGGGATCCAAATTTGCGTTGGGCCCCGGCGGACCAACACCCGAAGCGGTGTGGGTATGCTACGGGACTATTAGTACGGGTTGCCAATCAGGCCTCTGATTGGCCTGCTCGGGTTATTGACGTCATAGGTTTTTCGTTCCTGCCGCAGACGGCCGTTGATTGGTCGATGAGCTAGTGGAAACGAGCTAAATATACTCCGTCAGATGCAGCAGCTGAAACGATGGAGAATGGAAAGGTAAAAATGGAATTGGATAGTAGAACCAGCATATGAGGTCCGAGTAATTGGGTGTTCGGGCAACTTGGTGTTTGATCCTATCGCTTTAAGTACTGGTCTTCTGCTTCTGGAGACATTTTTTTTCACCCGCGGAGTTCTCAACAATTGAACTTCTTTTGGCCTAGAAATCGACAGCAATTTTTATTACCTGTGAGGTTTGCTTCTTTTAACTTTTTTTACTCTTTGTTTCTCAACTGACGAGGTCTATTTCACAGAATCAAAATGAGTGACTACTCCGTCTGGGTCCTCGCCATTATTGTCGGCTGCGTTGTCGCACTTTTCATTGCTTACTCGATCGCTTACCTCGCTTCCAATGGCTTCCAAGATACGCCTCAAGAGGCAGAAATGCAAATTGAGCAGAAGCAGTATATGAGGGACTTGAGATATCGGAATCTACTTCGGCTTCAAGAGTATCTTCGATATGAGAGAAGGGGGAGACACGGACACATGGACAGCATACAGGGCAGCGCAGATGAGAGCGCAATTTCGAGCAGATGATCCAACATTATCTCTTCACGAAAATTGTATATGGCCGTCGAGGTCGAATGATGGCCCGGTGGATGACTAGCCTCACACGCGGCTTCCATTACAAGGAAAGGGATGCAAGGGTTCGATACCAAAAGGAGAGGAAATACCTTTGTATTTATAATAGATGCTCGTGATACGCAAAAGACAATCGAGAGCTAATTTCGAACAAATTGTGGCATCCAGAATGGTAGCAAACTTTCGGAACAAGAGAATAAGACATAACTAAGCGGTGAAGTCCTGCTCCAACCACCCATCGACCATTTGTTCAAAGCTAGGAGCATACAGCCACTCCAGATCAAAAGGCTTAACCTCTAACTCTGGGACCACCTGCGTCGATCCTCTCGGCAGCCTTCGCGCATCAATCTGCGCATTGAGCTCCAACACCCGATCGACACGCCCTTGTCTCTCCTGCTGCCAGATTTTAAGCCCATGCTCAAGGGTCTTCTCCCGGCACTTCGCGAGAATCAAAGCATACGTGTAAACATCCTCAAAGGCCTGATTCACCCTGTCCCGCCGTCGGTGGAATGGCATGCGCCGCGTCACCAAGTATCACGACACGCGAATGCTTGGAAGTCCATGTGTCAAGCTTCGGCACGACATAGAATGGCCAAAGATTAATCTTGTTCAACGGGATGTTTAATACCGCTGTCTGCACGATTTCAGGGAAATCCTCCGCTCCGTCGCGCAGGAAATGCACACACCATTGCTTATCATTCAACAGCTTGTTCCATCCATCGCGATCGAGGTCACCGGCGCGCTTCTGTTTGCCGATTAGAACCTCCGAACCTTCTATGAGTTGTGGAGCGATGACGAAGGCGCCATGCTTCGGGTTCATGATCGTCAAGGGCAGATCGTACGGCTCCGGAATGACAAGCTGCTTTGTTGGAACGGCGGCTGACGCCTACTGCATTGGTGAAGCGGGGCTCTAGGTTGGGGTACAGGTATTTCCGGACTCGCGAGTGGATACCGTCTGCTCCGACGAGACAAGCTGCATGGCTGGTTGTGCCGTCTTCGAATTCCCATGTGACGCTTGTCTCGGTCTCGGAGAGTACTTTGACCAATTTCTTGCCATATTCGACAGGTATTTGCTTCTCTTTGACGGTTGATACAAGGGCGTCGATCAATTCGTAGCGGTAGATGCGCAAGGCATCGTACCCGTACTTCTGATGGTCTCCGAATTCGTACGAGTCCAGCGGCTGGTCGGTGTAGAAGTGAAGACTTGTAAACTCGAAGCCAAGAGGCTTGATTGACTTGTAGATATCCACTGCATCGAGAATGCGCAGTGCGTTGGGCGAAAGCATGATGGCGCCGCCAATGTCGAGTTAGGCGTTACGTGACTCGTAGATGGTACATGGAATTCCTTGCTTTTGTAGGGCGAGTGCAAGAGTCAGACCAGACAGACCTGCGCCGATGATTGCAACATTGGTGCAAGTCATCTTGTATGGTGTATGATCAATTGGGAAGTCGAGAAGAATGGTTGTGTCAATGTCGCGGTTAATCCCCTGGTTTCCAGCTCAAACCATCGGGGTTTCTTGTCGACATCTGCCCTCTTATATACTCCATTCAGGTCCATAGATATATCTTTCCGTGATTCACCGGAATGCTATTGTTTCCGGATTCTGGACATGGTCGCACTATCTCCGGGTGTAAACACAGCCATTCAACCGGACCCGAGTCCTGGATCCGCGGTTCGGGTCCGAAACACATCCCAAGGCCATGAATCATGTAAATGCTTAGACTGCTTAGATATTCTGGGCAGTCCTACATGCATGGTGTTGATTCTTTTGAATTTCTCGGAGAAAGGTTGGAGTCAATAATATGGCTTCAAGAGACCATTTCCTTGGAAACCACTCAACATTCTGAGAGCTCGAAGTCTTTTTTGAATTCATTATAGACACACAACAAATTGATATCTTACAAATGACTCTACACACCGCAAACCGTGTTTAGTGTCTTTCAGGAGGAATTATTCTTAGTACTGGCGGAGATGTTTGGTGCAGCGATGCAAAAACTCAGTGCCGACTCATGTTCGGAGATCTAACAAGTGCTCCTATCCGCAAATAACGTGATTTTACGAGAAAACCCTACTGGTCAGGACATCGATGAGTAGACTTCGCCCCTCGGTGATGATGAAAAGTCGCTCATTAGTTCCATTTCGGGCACCTCGACCCGCCTCCACAATTTCCCAAAACACTAGATCAAAACTACGGGTGCAACTGCTTTAAAGGAAGATTTGAAGAATGCAAGGTGGTTTACTTTATGGATCTCTTACGGCTTCGGTTGTCAAGTCCGAGACTGGGCAAGCTCATGCTTTATGACACTTCCTAAACTTGAACGCTAGAAAATAAAATCGAAATTACAAGCCAAGCTCCACACGCCTAGTCACTTAAGTAAGGCCAACACATCAACCCACGTGTGGAGAAGTACTCATCGAGTTCATGCAATATCGAATCCCCTTCAAAGATACCGGCAACATAGTGGTCTGGTCGGATCAAATACGCAGCATCTCTCTTCAATCCGACACCATCGTAAATCTTATCCCAATGGAACACGTGTAGCCGGACATTCAATTTTTGGCACCATGTCCACAATTCGGGTTGTGGCTCACCGTACACATGAAGCTGCCAACAGAGATACCCCAGAGTTACGAAGTTATCGGAAGCTTCTGTCTTTGCCCATGGCATGCGGTCTCCGGGCTGAACTGTCTCAGATCCCTTTGCTTCTTGGCTGATAGGACTACCGCGGTAGCTGCAAACCAGCTGTGATGCACGTTTGAAGATTTCCATTCTGGCGAACTTGAACCGGATGACCAGTGGAGCCACATAAGGGATCACCCAGACTCGTAGCATGTGTGATAGGAAACCGGGACTCGTGAGGAAAGTGAATCCACGATCCGTAGCGCCCACGACGCTAAGTGCAAATGCACGCCGTTCAGGTTCGTATGATTGGAGAAGACGAAGTTTGGCTTCGTCTGTCATTGAATCCTGTTTTATGACGGTGGCCAATTTCCATGCGAGATTGATAGCGTCCATGATTCCAGTATTCATGCCCTGTCCACCCACGGGACTATGGATGTGAGCAGCGTCGCCAACGAGGAATGCTCGGTTCTTGTGGAAGATTGAAGACACTCTATGATGGCAGCGGTACAGGGAGAACCAATTCACTTCTTTTATTTCGATCTTGGACGCTCTTTGGATGTCTGGCAGGATATCTTCGAAAGTGACTTCTGCGTGAGGCTCCGATAAATTGTGATCTTTGTGGCTCCCGTTGGTTTTCGGAATTGTAGTACCGATTAATCTGACACGCCTTCCCTGCGCGTACGGAAGGATCAAGTTGAATGTATCTTCCACAAAGCTCAAATTAGCTTCGCCATTAAAGAAGGGGCTATCTTGTTCCTCAAACTCAAGGTCGACAATATAGAATAACGGCACGTATGTATCGCCCTCATACTCTGCGCCAATCTCATGTCGCACAACCGAGTGAGCGCCATCGCAGCCAACGATATATGTTGCCTCGCAGGTCATCTCGGTCCTATCATCCTGACGAACAAGCTTTGCGGTGATGCTCCGTCCATTGTCCACGAAACTCTCAAGCTTGGTACGCCGTTCCACAAAAATACCGTGAGAGTTAAGCCTTTGTTCAAGCACACGTTCGTGAACATCTTGTGGAACAATAAGCATGAAGGGATATGGTGTCAATTCTTTGCCAAAGTCCCGTAGTGAGATGTGAGCGCGATGTTGACCTTCAACCCACACATTAGTTGCGGGAAGCTTGTATCCAAGCTCAAGTAAATCATCAGCCAGGTCAAGTTGACGATATAATTCCAGGATACGCGCATGGACGACGAGAGCGCGGGAGTTTTGCACAGAGCCGGTCCCTGGGTCGACGATACGGAATTTAACTCCTTGTTTGTATAGCCAAAGAGCGAGTACAAGACCCGTAGGGCCTCCGCCAGCGATCAGCACGTCTGTCTCGGGTGCCATATTGCCTTCAAGTGCAAGTTGGTAAAGTGGATTCTTTATGAAGGCCGATGATGTAAGAGAAAGAAGGCAATCGTCTGACTCGGATCCAGAAGCAGAGCTACTTTTCTAGATGAATATATAGGCGAAGAGATCATGGTACGAGACATGTCAGACCAAGAATTTCAAGTCTACTCCCTAGGTGTTCGGGCAGCCTAGGCACCGACCCCGACCTGTGTTGGAACAGCGATCGGACCCTCGCCCCCCGATGGGCGCGACTATCCTCCGATCGACTCACGTGCCAAACATGGACGTCACACATGCGACACAGTGCATATCAACCCATGCTCCTTGGATTGTCCAGGCTCGAGTGGTGCGATGATAGTCTGGGGTATGTATTCCCATAAATGCCGGAAGCTAGGGAGCCGACGGGGGCACACTATCGTTAGCTTTCATTTGTGGCTGGGTAGCTGCGGTCACCAGCATAGGGGTAGAGGCAACCTCGCAGAATTGAGCAGATGTGGAGGCTACGATGATCAGCTGAGACCATATTATACAGCGCATCTCAGTTTCAAAGATCGTGAGTCTATATCCATGCGCAATTCGTAATGCACCTCCGGCCAGAGTCCAGATTGTGTGTGGGTCAGAGAAAGCCCGCATGGACAGCTAATGTCATTAGATTTAATATTGATCGAAGTGAAATGAGAATAAAACAAACCAGATATAACAAGAAAGCTCGGGGTACCATCACGTTCGAAGTCCGCAGGAAGGAAGCGTTCTGGGAGGCCATTTGAGCCCCTCGTCGACATCTCGATAAAAGCGTCTTCTTCTTCTTCTTCTTCTTCTTCTTCTTCTTCTTGCTTTCGCCGAAGGACATTTCGACCTCCGCAGCTGAAAGAGCGAGCAGTGAAATGCAACATATGGAGAACATCAAGGCTTCAAGCTCCATGCTAATGCTTGACAAATCACTCATTGCTTCTAAGACCCGTCGTTGACCTGTAGGAGCATGCAAGATTTTTGTCAAGGGATCGACATTTTCGAGAAATGTTTGCCGCAGTTTCCATAGTTTGAAAATATGCAATTGACATGGATGCAAGCCTAGGGGCAGAATTGAAGCGATCAATAGGTTCCTCGTTACCATCTTGGGACAGGTTGTCGTCCTCGTCTGAAGCGATCTCCAGGAATTGAACGCGGCCTTGAAGGCGGATCGGAGTCCACGGCATCTTTCGAGAGATTCTCTCCGTCACTCATTCTCCTAAATTTGTCGCGGACTTGAGACGCGTCTCCGTCCGGACCCCGCTCAGGTTTGCGGAGACGGGGTGGCAGAGAAGGCCGGTAGAGGCACTCAACCTAGGACTTTGCATAGTTCGAGCATGGCTTATTTCAATCGCATTTAACTTTGCGTTTGTGACAGAGCATGCACGAGTATGGCTTGGGTGCACTCGACGCTTCTAGCGACTTGCCATTTACTGCAATCCTGCCAGAATCCACGGCTGTGGAACAGATGTGGGTAGATTATTAGCTACTTGAGATAACATAACCAGTCCCAAGTGATGAAAGGTCCTAAGTTAGTTGAGAGGCCGACGCAGAAGTGGACGCCTGAGCTTGCAGGCAGAAGCAACCTGGCCACGTGAGATCTTAGAGGCCTCAGGCAACATGACCTGAAACATCCATATCCACCTTAGTTAATATTACTATGGGTCACAGCCCAGTTTCAACTTGTCTCACAACTTCCTCAAGAGCTGCATCATTCATCACTTTACATTGCAGTTTTGGTCTATCCATTTGTCCGCAGCTGGAAGTTGCTTGAAACATTTTTGAGACACGGTCTTCGAAGCTGTGATTCTTACAATAAGATAAACAATGTCGCCATTCTTTGACAGGCTACGCACAAAGGTCCCTCGAAGAGCCAAGCGAAGCTCATTTCTTATGATACACAAGGAACCCATTTGGAAGCAACTTCCAGACAATGTCCTTGTTCGTATCACGTCTTTCTCCGAGCTTGAAGACATTGTTTCCTTGGCGTTGACTTGTCGCTTACTGCACCACCGCATCGCTAAAAATGAATACGCCATCGCTCATGCGTTTCTCGACCTTCACACGCGGAAGAGAAAATTGGAAGTCTACTACGAGGATGGGGTTGAACTGTCGCCTGACGATGATTTGACTTTCATCTCAGAACTCTTCCCGCCTCCGCCACCTCAGTACGCTGTTGGTGAGGGCCACGACGACGCCGGTTATACTTTAGGTTACTTGGCAGACCTGAAAAGATGTTGGTCGACCTGCATACGACTGTCTTACCACTTGGCTGATCATGTTATTCGGCACCATTTGGAAACCGACAGTCTTGCCCGCCCGCTTTGGTCATGTTCGAAGACGGAGAAGGAATACGTGTATAGCAAAGCCGTGGAGACACTGCAGGCTAGACTCCTGCGCCCATTGTAGGTGACTTGCTGTACAAATAGCATCGGACATTGCCCGCTAACCTTCATCACAGAGCTTACGCGATCTTCTTTCTTGAGAACTCTTCAGACGACAGCTTTGACTGCGGTTCATCAGATCATGTCGAAAAATTTTGCACTTCATTCAAAAGACAGCAGGCGATTCTCCAAGGACCTCCCTTTAACAACACTCGGAACATAATCCTAACCGAGCACTGTCTGCAACTCCTTTGCTCGACAGTCCGACGACTTATGCACCCTGAATTTGGCCATTCAACCTCCGAGAGCTGGGTCAGCCTGCTTCTTTTGAATTCGACTATGGAGAGAATTGTTGACTTTTTCCATGCGATTGCTAAAGATGATGAAAAGACACAGACCCTCTCACATGGTCATGGGCACGGGCTTGGGCACGGGCATGTTTCGACTTGGTCCGCCCGCCGAGAATTCTTGTGGCAAATGCGCGATGACTTGGGACATCACATGGCATCATTGAGGAATGTCTCTGCTAAGGAGGAAGATAACATTCTTACTTTGGACCATGTCTGGTTCAAAGCAGCTTATCAAGAAATGGTCCGTCGAGGGGCCATCCCGCATTCACCAGAGCAGCTGGTTCCGGTGCTCTATGGATCCGCTGTGAGACTGGACTGCGCATATTGCGATGAAGATGAGTAGACATATTTTCATTCAATTTCCAAATCAAAAGGCAGTCTTTAAACGACCTTTTTGGGTCCTGGGGGGTTACCATCGGAGCTCCCCGAAAACAATTTGCGCCAGTCTCTTGTGGTCCGGAAATCGGCTCTTCGGATAACCGAGTTGGCCCCCGATCTTCTTTCCAACTCGACACACGAACGAATACATTGTGAGAGTAGACACGACAAGTCTTTTCCTTGCACAAACCGACTGGAAGTCTGTGATAAAGGCACTTTCGCGGCTCTAGGATGGCTACAATGCCGGCAGTAAGTGACCCCTGGGTGCGAAATCGATAAGCATAGCTCACTCAGTCAGTGTGACATGTGTCACAATAGAAAGGTTCGGATTACCATTTGGGCAGTCTCGAGTAATACCAAAGAGGTATATTAAGTGAGATCTTCTACCGCGTAGGTCAAATGCGATCGGCAAGATCCTTGCATGAATTGTATAGATGCGCGGACCGAATGCCCTCGCACTCGACAAGCAAGAGTCCATCGACCACGACTTTCTCGGTATGTAGCCTTTACTAAAGCTCTCGTCCATTCGAAGCTGAGATCAATTAGTATCGACGCATTATCTAAAAGATTAGCAAGACTCGAGAAAGGAGACCGGAATGACTCTATGTTCTCATCACCACCATCAGTGATAGTAAATCATGGCGCTTCTAAAACTGCACCAACATCTCCACAGGCAAGATATTATGACCCTGCAAGGGCTTCTATCAAGAGGAGACATTACCAAGAGACTATGCGTCATGAAATCAGCCCTTTTGAGCAGCCAAAGAGAAAGCGTAGAATATCGCAAACCACCGGGCAAAAGGACCATGATGAACGTCACTCCCTAGGCTCGGCACGCCATGCCAGTGAAGCAAGAGAGTATATTGAGTCCGAACTTCAGTGCAACCTGGCACTTTCCCACGATAGGCGGACTGCGCTAGAGACGGCTCGGAAGTTTGTTGGTCAGCTGTCAAACCCCGGTCTTCAGCGACATGAAGCTGGCCTAATTGAGGATACTGAGATTGATGGGACCTGGACACCACCAACCCTCACTCCCGAGTTTTTGCACATGATGCTGCCAGGTCGCGATCGAAAAACCAACTCCCAGACTATCTCCTGGCCCGACCATATTTCCGATAAGACTTTGGAACGAATGGGACTTGCGATTATAGAACGAAGAGAAAGCGAGCCAATCCTTCAGCTATATCGGATCAACGTCTGGGTCAAGGCAGTTTGCTTCATATCAGCATTGGCACCTATGATCTCCAGCGAGCCGCTCAAGGTTCACTTTAGAAGACTCAAGAAGCAATACGAATTATCCGCGATCGACGAACTGAACTCTATACCCCTCACAGCTCCTCCGAGTCTGGCATTTCTTCAGGCATTACTTTCTGGGGTCCGTATCTTGTCATAATTTCAAAAGGATCAGCTTTGACCGATCCCAGAAACGATTGTACCAGTATCTAGGAAACATGTCATGGTGTTGGATGTTCACGGCTACCGCATCTCGAATTCTTGTCGCTCTCAATTACCACAATATCACGGATACAGAGCCTCGAAACGATGAGGAAGACGACATCCACGCCTGCGTATACACGTGTTATTATTTTGACAAGACTCTCAGCCTGCTGCTTCTTCGGCCTCAATCTTTGCCAGATCTCAAGGTCGATCCAGCACAGTTGATACATATGGATCCCGAGCTTCCGACAACACCCATGATAACAGCGATTGTGAAATTCTCACACTTGAAGAACACACTCGTCAATATTCTTCTCGATACCAAGGAGATGAGGGACATGGAGAAAGCAAGTATCCTGTCAGACCTTGTCGCCCAAGCGCACGCGATACACTCGAGTTTCCAAATAGTAAGTTCACCAAGAATCATTACGATCTATTTATTTGCTGATCTTCTCAAAGCGACGGAGCCGTCAAGAAGTGGAGTTTCCCGACTCCTGGGAGATGCTCCGGCGCGAATGGCTATCGATGGATTTCAATTATTACTCCTTCATCACCACAATCATTCGAGCGCGATCAGCAGTCCTCAAATCTCGCCTGGTCTGTGAGGACTGCCTCTACGCCGCTCGAAAGGCTTTGACTACCCTCCGAGCTCTACAAGAAGCTTTTTCAAACAGTATCACGACCATCGATAGTTACCCGTATTTCCTCACATGTTATGCCACCTTTTAGAGATTTGCTCGAAGAACAAATATCAACACCTTATGGCTGATTTACTTCAGGACAATGCTTCTGTTCCCCTTGTCTCCCTTCTTTGTTCTATTCTGCAATATTGTCGCAACATCAGATCAGCGAGACTTTGAAATGATCAAGAACATCACCGATGATCTACGCCAATTCATCAAGGCGAATGCCTCGATTGGCAAGCTTTATGGCCTTTTTTCAAGGTTTCTTGAACTGTGTACCCCACTGATCAAACCAGATCATGGCATGCTTGAGTCGATGTCTGTGTTTCCGGTTGATGGAAAAATTATTCAAGTAAACTCTTACGCAGACGTATACAGGCGCTCCGGTGATCAAGTAGCGCATCCACTTCCCGGTTCCATTTCTGGCAGGGCAGAGTCGGGTATGGGACAAGGACAATCCGAAGAGCCGCAGTCCGCGGAGGGTTGGAATGATAGTCTGATGTGGGAGGTGTTTGATAATCAGCCTTCGCTGGGGTGGGCAGAGTCAGAGGTGCGGGATGCCATGGCTCGATTGGATGCATCATAGCCATTAGTTGACATATTCTTTTCTTCAATCTAGTCAAGAAGGGTTGGAATAACTTGTTGGTGCAATTAGTACATAAGTTTATATACTTGCGGCTCTTTAGAGAGTACGCAGTCTTGGGAGACATCAAACGAATGAAGCAGGTATCCCAGAGTCTAGCCAAAAGACAAAAAGAAGATGCTCAATGGGTGTGGGGCATGCAGAGAGGGCCGCCGTCCGTTTAGACACGGCCTTATTATAATACAATATTGAAAGAAAGGGTCGGACGAGCGTCTATCAGGAAATCAAGACCCAGAGGAGGAAGAAAATCTATCTCGGTCATTAGCGATGTCGGAGAATGGATAGGCGAGGAATTACAAACCATCAGAATACCAAACATCTTCGCAATGAGCCAGCGATTCCCTGAAACGCGAGTCCAGTATTTCATCAGTTCACGCTGAGCACCCTGCACATTGTCCACGACATCGTCTGTGTTGGCGTCGATGCGCTGAATCATCTCTGATTGTTCGCTGACCATCTGGGCCAGCTGGCCGAAGATACCACCAAGCTCACTAATTGTCCGTTCAATGGCTTCAATGGCTTCACCACGAGCTTGGACATAGGTGTTGCTCCCTTGGGCTTCCTCCATGACCAGCAATTGCTGATCTGATTGCATGGAGGGGCGACCCAGCGGTGAAGGGTTAGATGGTTCAAGCGTCAAGAGATCGGATGAGTTTCCTTGGAATCCAGGTTGAGGCGTGCGGCGCCCAGATGTGTTGTATAAAGGAGAATCGGAGCGCTGGGAATCGAGGGCATTCTGCGATTTAGATGATACAGAAGACACGAAGTTCTCTGTCCTGGTTCGAGATGCTTGGATGTTCTTGGTCCGAACTTCTAGGACCTCCTTAAAGCTAGATCCTACATCGGCTAGCTTCCCTTGCAACATAACGACAACCTGAAAGGTATTCAGTCAGCCAGGCGCGTACGCTTGTCAGGCAGTTCCCAACTTACATTATCATTGTGTTCCCCTTCCTGATCTGTCTTTGGCCGATTAGACTTGGGGTGTTGCGCCTGGGTCAAGGATTGCAAGCCCGCGATCTGCTGGTTCAGGGAAGCAAGGTCTTGCTTGATCACGTAGGTCAATTCGGAGATTTCCACGGGGCGATCATCGAAGAGCGTTTTGCGCTTGGCCACTATTACCGCATCAGTCTTGTTCCAGTTCTCAGACCGCTTGAATCTGTCCAAACTGCACTACAAAGCCAAGGTACTCACATTCTGCCAATCGCTGTAACTTCGAGGTCGTGCCGGTGATTCCTCTTCCAATATCGCGCGCTCGTCGCGCGAATTCTGACCGAGCGCCCTTTCCTCTTTGCACATCGAGCGCTGTGCCATTGGCCTCCCGCCTTTGAGCATCCGTCAACAGAGCCTGGCGCTGCGACCCAACCTTCGAGGTACCGAGGCGCTTCTGAGCTTGGCTCAGAATAGAGCTAAATTCGCTTGTGCGATCTTGGATCGACGGGCCGGTCATGGCGTACGTGTAGACTCGGTGTAAGCGACGAGGCAAGTTCCAGGGCGTATCCTCCGAATGTCAGGGTGAGTGGGGTTCACGGGCTAAACTCCGCTTGTTTGACCCGGTGCGATCGTACAATCGATAAGGGATTATGTAGCGTATCACGATGCACCGACAAGGGTGACGAAGGTTGACTAAACAAAGACACGAGACCTTATGGTAACGAGCAAGAAACAGAGGGAGAAGAGAGAACGGCGACACCCTTTGCAGCGATTCAGCGGCCGCAAATGAAACACGTCGATCGCGGCGATTCAGTCACGTGGCTGTATACGCCGCATGACATAATCAGCACCGCCACTGACCAATTTGTGATGCAGTCGGAACCCCAGACTCCGCGTCAGGGGGAAGCTTTGATACCACTACGTGTTTTGTTCTTTGTTTATTTCCCTTTTGTTTCTGTATCTTTGGTGTCCATGCTTTGTCTCTTTGGTGGAGACACGTCATCCCGGTTCCTTGTACACTAATCTTGTTTCACCCACTTCGGCCCCGTTTCCAGCTAACCGATCTGATCGGCGCCCGCGCTGGCAACGTTGCTCAACGCCAGAACTCAAATACCTGGCGTCTCTCCTGCGCAAGCACAGGGAACTATCTGCAGGCAGTCGCCGTCGTTTTTCGGCTGTCGCATGCTTGTGCTGCTTCTTACTACGGCCGCGCAGCGTCACCTGTCTCGTTAGTCAGGCAGCAATCAATGCTCCTTGCCCAGATTAATTCGATACTTTGACACTACACTCTACAATTCTCATGGCGGACCATAATAATCCTCAGTGGCATGGCCGCGCGGCGCAGCACCTGTGAGTTAATGCCATGCGCACTTTGTCTGTACCTCCTCACACATGCACTAAACATTCTTTAGCCCTTCTCCACCCAACGCGAACAGTCCTCTCTCGCCACCCAGCGGAGGAGGCAATCCTATCTCCTTTCAGACGAATGTCAATCGGGCAAAGACAAGACGTTGGGTCGAAGCAAAGCAATATTCATACGACGGTGGCGATTGGGGCGACGAGGATGATGAGGAGGAAGAGGAGCTGCCCATCCCTCCTCAGCCACCTTATGCTACCCATAGGACCGGTAGTTCGTCGGAGTTGAGCTCCAGGCGCTTGTCCGGACTTGGATTTGGAACCGATGAGTCGCGAGCAAGCCCCTCGGCCGAGGCCAGGGCTGACTCCTGTGGCGGTGATAAAGCTTTGCCGTTCGTTAGACCTGTTGACCTTTACAAGCGCATGCGCGAAGAGAGGCCTTCGGTCGATTCCGGACGTCAGGCTGCGGCCTCGTTAGGTCCAATTGTGGGCCCTTCGGCGCAGACACCTGTACCTGTCAGTGAATCCTCGACAGCAACTCGCGATATCTCTGCAATGGGTTTACCAGAGGTGAAACGCATATCTTCCTTTGGCACCGAGTTTTTAAGTGGTGGTGATCCGATCTCGCAACAAGAGACTACTCCCGAGTCACAGCAGTCCGCCTTGCACCACAATCCCTCCCAAGCGTCTTCCGAAGGGTTCACGTCAGTGGTCCATCAAGCTTTTGATGTTCCTGAAACCCCAAGTTCCACCACTGCTGGCAGTGTGGGACGTTCCAACAGCGATGGGACTTCTGTCATCAGCCCCATCATGAGCAACCGGACGTATCAAGACGACAAAACCCCTACGATCCACGAAGATCCTGCGGAGTCCAACACTCCTACGGGTGCTTCAACGCAGCACGCCGGCGATTACTTCAAGGCTGGTCACCGACGGGATATGAGCCTTCCCAGTCGGGATAACAGCCCCTCGAAGCTACCTGTGGTCATGGATCAGGATCCTCCTAAGTCAGGCCATGGAGAAATCTCGGCAGTCTCTCCGAACCAGAATTACGATCAGTCTCAGACTAGTATTTCGCCTCTTAATCCGGTAGACAAGGATTTCGTCGCACCTCTCAAAATTGGTAGCACTGCTTCCGAGGGGTATCGCGGGGAGATCCCTACGATTGTTGCAGGAAACTCACCGGAAGATGCCGACCATGATAAGCTGCGGGAAGAAATTATGCGTTCCTTGAGCCGAGAGAACTCTCAAGAGCCGGAGGAGCAGCCTCAGTCTCAGAGTGCTCAGGAGGAGTCTATTCCGCATCAGTACGAGAAATTCTGGGATGGGACTCCTCAATCCATCTCTACTCTTGATACTGCTCCCAGACCTCTCGCTTCTGAGTCGAATCCACTCGCTCCTCAAAATCCATATGCTACTGCTGAAACTCCCAGCGAAGATGCTCCTCCAAATAAACCGAAACTGGCAAGGCGATTCTCATGGGAATCATCCGATGGGGAAACTCCTACGCCGCAAATACCCGGTGGCTATACTTCCCCTCCGCCATTGAACGCAGCACTTGCCATACAGGAGCCCGAGCCTATTTCTGATAGCTCTGATCTGCCGGCTCCAGAAGGTCTGTCGAGAGAACCGCCGTTGACGGAAGGCGAAGTTTCTGGCTCGGACAATCAACGCACCGAAAAGCCTAGGCTAGCAATTGTCCTTCCCACGGCTGACAGAAGCCCTCCGCCACCCCAAATTGCCGGGCCAAGAGACAGTCTGCAGCCCGAGGCTGAGGTTTTGGCTGCAAACTCTGGGGTTTCAGATATTAATGAGTCGAAACTTCAGGGCTTCCGCGAAATTCTCGCGTTGACGACTCCGCAAGCCCGAATTCGGGCTTTCGACCAGACGAGGGACCAATTCGCCGGCCTTGACACCGGTCTGACTCATTGGCTCGAGCTTACTGTCCATGACCATCCGGAGCATGCCGGTCTAATCCAGTCAACCCAGAGCTTGTCGGCCGATTTCCCGCGGACATCGCCGGCTCGAAGCAAGTTCCCAAAATTGGGGTCTTTAGGTAACCTCACTGCCCGAGATGAGAGCGCGCCGGCCATCGCCGGCCACGCACGGCGCCCTTCTGGCCATATTGGAACCATTGTGAACAGGCAAAATGTCGCGCAGAGTGGGAAGGATCTCCTTCATACCGCGGGATCTTTTGGTGGCAAGGCGGGTGAGGCCGCCAAGGGATTGTTTGCCAAGGGCAAGAGCAAGTTCCGACCTAGCGGAGACAAGGTAGATACATGATTTCCCTCACCCGATATATGGGAGTCCCTCGAAAAGGCGCGCTGGAAGGTCATCAGGCGGTGTTTCCCGCATTCTGCTTCTTTGTTTGTTTGTTTCCTGGATACCACGATGTAATTTCCCATCGCTTCAGCATTGGAGACTAGAATGCAACACGATTGATGCATCTGATTTCTTCTTTCCTCGTCCCTGTCCCCTTTTGTGCTTTTTCTGATGTTGGTAATGTTGTAGGGTCAATCGACAAATGAAGGACGACGCAAGTCGGGCCAATTCCAGCCCTCGGTACCTTCAGAGGCCACGGATGATCAAGGCAGCTCTTCCTTGCGGAGGTCTCTTGATATTGGGAACCTTCGCATCTTCAAAAGCCGAACTGAGACCTTCACGGACCGTCCTGATGTGAAAGAGTCTTCGCAGGCAGGTTCGGCCGAGAGAGAGCGTGCAAATAAGGGGTTCAAAAGGCGCCGGTCAATGGACTTTCTGCGAAATACGTTCGGTGTTGGTTCTTCAGAGACTCCGAAAACCGCGCCCTCCGACGTGGAAAAGCGCAAGAGTGGCGGGTTCATTGGCAAATCCGACTTTGCCAATGACTTTGAGCAGGAAATGATTGCTGCTTTTGGTCTTTCTCCGACTAACGCCGGTCCTGAAGAGTCCACTACTAAGTATTCGGGGCGGTTGTTAAAGGCTGAGTCTGGGGGTGATATCTCAGGAAGTCAGTTGGCCACTGGTGCGGATAGAGCGTTCTACGAAGACAGGATCCCGCCGGTTCTTCCTAGCCAGAAAGCAAATGGCCGAATCTCGATCGACGTGTCGGGGGCAAAGAACCAACCTAGTATGGATATTTCCCGGCCTATGACTCCGTCGATTCGGCCGGTATTCGATGAGGATGTCGAGCCCTTGACTCCACCAAAGGACTCTCCTCCAAAAGGCCTGCCGTCTCAACATCTCCCTTCGAAAGACGCGTCATTGAAGGACGCCTCGCTGGTACCGCGGCTAAGCCAAGGTCAACGCCAGCAGTCCATCTCGACCCTCGGCGTAGATGAGAGGCAACCTCGCACTTCCTCTGAAGGAGAGCTGGACACACCGCCATCCCCAATCCAGGAGACGATTCGGGAAACAGATGATCCTGTGTACGAGAAACCTTTGCGTGAGGCCAATTCAACCGAATCTTCATTGCCCCTTGAGGAAGACATTTCAAGCTTCGCGCAGATACCGAGACCACCAAGCTCAGCAGAGGTTCTTGAATCAAAGCGCAAGTCCATCAGCGGACTACCACCCTCTGCTCCAGGAGTGCAAAGTCCTTTGAGAAACGAAGTTAGGTACTCTCCGGGAACCAGAAGCAGCATGTTGAGCTTTGGCAGCTGGGGCCGGCAGAGCCAGAGTCGCCCAGCGACTCCCGCGAACGATCTCTCTCGTGGCACTGGTTCAGATGCTCCTGCGCAGAACGGGGATTCAAAAATGGAGAAGCTGAAGAGTTTCGGAAGACGACGGCGTGCCTCGGTAGGTGATCTTCTCACTATCCGTCACGACAACAATCAAGGAAATCTTCAGGATCTTCCTGAAGGAGGCAAGCGCAAACTCAACTTTGGTCGGATCAGTGTATGTGCCTCTCGGTCAAGATCATAGACTCGTCGCTAATAATACCTAGGGTTTATTCAACCGTTCCCGGGAGCCCCAGTCTTCGATTATCAGGAAGGATGACGGCATTCAACCCAACACCAAAAGCCCCGAGTCCAAAGGTCAACCAACATTTCCCACCAACGGACACAATGGCCATCTTCATACCAAGTGGCCCGTCACAGACAAAGAGCTTCCCGCGATGCCGGCTCTTGAGCCTCTGTCAATGGAAGAAGGAGTAGATGTGCCACGCGATGCTCGCCGCGCTAGCCTGTCTCTACAGCCCACTCTTCCACCTGATGCTTTACTTTCGAATCGCTTCTATTCTTCGATGTCCGAAGATGTTCCATCGTCCACTAGACATACTCGAGTGAAGAGCCAGCCTTTAATGGAAATTCCGCCCCTGTCCCCTATCGCCCCCTCAGATCTCAATCTGAATATGGGTCAGTCTCCTCGTTTGCATATGTCCGATGGGCGAGAGTCGCAAGAGCTTCATGCCGAGGAAGCTCGGCAGTCCCAGAAAGAGGAGGGATCTCGCGAGCCAGTTGAATTGCAAGCCCAGCCAGGTCTCTTTCCCAGTCTTGGCGTCAAATCCCGCAAGGAAACAGCAGATCGACCCGAGTATGCCAATACAGTCGAGAGAATCCCACCCAAGAACATCACTGTCTCAGGCGTCTCTGTGCTATCAAATCATCCACATCGTGATAGCTCAGCCCGCACGCTCAATGAGTCTGCCGAGCCAGTCGAGCTCGCAATTACCAATGACGACTCCAGTGAGGAGATCATTATGTCCCCAACTGCATACCCGGGACAAGAATGGACGCCGATGCATTACTAGCGAATTGAACGCGCATGTTATGATACCCTGTCATTTTTGACCGTCATTTTCGACTAGTTCGAGTCACTCGTTTCATGTTCTTTGCCGGGTCTAATGCCTTTATGCACATACACGACTTTGCATTTGTATATTTTTGTGAATTTTTTTTTCGCATTTCTGACGGCTTTGTCTTATGTTTCAAAGCATGTATCTTGTACTTTAGGCAATTTGATCTCCACATAAGCATTGCGCAACCAGCGTGTCGATTGGAGATGGTGCGGAAGATGGCAATTGAGTTGTGGCTCTTTGTGTGTTTATATTCTACATTGTACTTCTGTCAATCTTCTCCTCGTCCTCCTCGGGCAGCAATGTTGGCGGCATGCAGCGCTCTGTCGTCGCTGTAAATCTTGTGAAGAAACTCAACATGATCATGCGGTATCAGGCCACCATATCGAAAAGGGGTTCTTCGGAATCAAGAACACGGGCGTCTATATTTCAACAATTTCCTGTTGGTTATCCATGCCTCGTTGTATTCTAAAGCCCTCGAACTTGAAATCGACCACGTAGGTAATCAGCTCAATTCAAAGACCTGAAGACGGTAGCTTGTTCAAGCCCATTGGAGGGATGTGAGTTTCACCAATGATTTCCAGAATGATTGTAGGTGGGATCTATCATCAGAACGTCATTGACGGCCCCAAAATATTTCTGCTTCTTGGATTTTTGGGGATAGACGCCGTAGAGAGAGTTATCTTATTTGTATATTACTGTGAATACGAAGTGACGAGAGACTACGTTCATTGTGACAGAGTTAGAAGCAGGCAGAGAACGATTTTAAGAACGATGATGGGAGAAGTATCAAGCCTCTATGCTCTAAATAGCAAGTTGTATCATACAAAATGTCATCAACTCCTTTCTTTTGCCATTATGACGCTTGTGAAAGGCCTGCAGTCGATCATGGCGGGTGTTGAAAATCCTAGCCTGATTCAATAGAAGTGAGGAGATGTAGATGAAGATAGGAGATTTTCACTCAAGGCCAGTCATAGAGGGTGTGTAGATAGGCAGATCTAGCCCTCAAAAACATTGTGGTTCAACTCAACGCCCATGTCCTTTGCCATGCTCTGCATCTGGGCCTCGATATCGTCTTCCATCCCACCGCCAAGATGGAAGAATTGTCGTAACTTGGTCCAATAGAACCAGATATCACTGGTCACCAGGACGATACGGAAGATGACGTGGCGTCCTAGGTTGCGGATCTTCTCTGATAATGGTAGGTCGGGGGACTCGGCGAGCGCGCGCGAAGCCCATATGCCTGTGATCTTGACTCGGTTGACTGGCGAGCCGAGGAACTGGTTGTTCCCTTGGACGATGCGGAGGTTGCGGCCGATGAATATCAGCTCTTGTGGCCACTTTGTCCCATCACCTAGAATCTCGCGGATAGCTTTGCGAGCTGCCTGCTGCATCTCGTAGTGACGTTCTTGGAGCTCGCGCTTGCTCAAACCTTGGAGGTGGCGCTGAGTCGACATATCACCGCCACGGTAGGGGCGCAGGAGAGTAGCAGAGGCGAACATATCAGCGTTGTTGACGCCCCAACTCTTAACGATCTCAGTAAGTGTAGCATTATCAAACGCGAGGAGGGCTTTCCAGAAGCGCGCGTACTTATGCCGGAAGCTGGGCTCCATGTGGATGTACAGGCCGTGATCGATGAGGACGAGCTCAGGCTTGCCAGAGGGCTTGCGTCGGATGAATATGTTACCTGGGTGGGGATCGCAATGGACCCATCCCCAGAGGAACATCTGAGCGGAGAAGAGGTCTACCATGGTTGTCATCACGTCCTTGAGTGACAGGCCCAGCCCGCCGCGGTTGTCCTGGCCCTTCCAGTGGTTTCGCTTGGGCTTGGCCCGTAATAGAGGGTCTTGGTCGCCGGGTGCGTTCTTCGCTGCTGGAGGATCTAAGGGTGTTCCATGGCACCCTGGACTTCCTTGCCGCCAGCCGCCACGCCACGTTCGTGTGATGGCGTCTTTGTCCCAGAGGCGTACGCCTTCGATCCACTCGGCCGTCATGACTCGTCGAGAGCTGAGTTCGCGGTAGACTTTCGGTATGTACACACGGTCACGCAGGCGAGGTTCACCGGCGACCAGTTGGGCCATTGTTTCCGAATTGGTAGCTTCGTTTTCGAAATCGGTCTCCAAGGACAACCGCTCGCTGATGTATGGGACCAAAGTGTTGAAAGGAATATCGAAGAGCTTACTGTAGATGAAGGTGACGACTCTAGACCCATCTGTTAGTCTATGTTCCTCTCGTCTGTGCGCGGCGTCAATGAGACTCACTTGAATGCCCAAAGATCCCAACTCAACTGCTGCTCAATCTCATGTTTCTGAATCTTGATAGCAACTTCCCGTCCATCCGGTAGACGGGCCCAATGAACCTGCGCAACACTGGCACTGGCACGTGCCCTGCGCTCCATGACACCCTTGCCAGGCTCACCAGAGAATGAGACGCCAAAGACCTCTTCCGGCGACTTCCCAAAGTCTTCACGAATGGTCTTTTCGACGTCCTTCCAATCATTCTGCGGTGCATCATCAAACATGCGCGAGAACATCTGCTGGAATTCAGGGGGCAGAATAGCCGACTGCATGGCGATAGCCTGGCCCATCTTCAAGTACAGTCCACCATTATGACGTAGAAGATCCGATAAGCGCTCAGCATTGCGGGCGTGCAAAGCTGTAATGGAGCTCGCGAGGGGAGGATGCGGGCGGAAATTGATTTTATAGTCCAATGCGACGATCAGACCGAGGGAGAATGTGCGGGCCGTTCGGGTGAGCGATGAGGCGTAGAACTGTGAGTCGATGCCGTAGATGATGCCCGTGGCGACCGAGACGTAGAATAGTCGTCGCAGCCATTTGCGGGTACGAGTGTATGTCTTTGCGGCGGTTGGTTTGCCTAGCGAGCTCGGTGATGGAGGCAGGAAGGGCTGGAACTCCCTCGTGTGCGCACCTCGGCGAGATAGAGGGCGCCAGAGGCATCGATTTGCGGAGGGCCGCAGCGGTCGGAGGAGTGTCGCGTGCGACATGGTTAATCCAGGACTCGATGGGTATCAGCACATGGCGCAATGTGGACTGATTCCTTAGGGGAAACTGTGTGTGAGAGAGCTCTCTGTTTAGAAAGGAGACGGTTGCGGAGATAAAGCGAGGGTGCGAAGACTCCGGGCTGTCGTCATCCGTGGTGTGGACCGGCGTCGGACGAATGCTATCGCCGTCTTGGTGTTTTAATTTTACACGAACATGAATTTACAATGTACACTATATTCCGGGATAGACACCATTGAAGATGGAAGATATAAATCACAGTTCCTCGTGGTTTGGAGGTGCCAATGTATCACACACGCTCGCATATTCCCTCATGTTATTCGGAATCGTCACCTCCCATAGCTCATCACCCTGAAGGAACTGATATTGCTCCTTACATCCGGCCTCAGACGCCATTGGAAGAAGGACGGGGAGGTTTTTAATCGAGGCTTTCACAAAATTGGCCTTCAAGCAGTTACCAAACTCGGCCAGCGTCTCCGGGTCTGAGCAAATGTGTCGCCCATGTAGCAGTGGAGCGCAGCGTTCTTTGATGATGGTCGCGACGTCGTCGCCCATCTTCAACAGCGCATCTTCTTGGTGAGGAACATCCATGCGCTTCATGAGGCTGCGCACGGCGGGCACAAACGAGTTGTTCCGAGTCCACAGGTCCCAGTGGGGGATGGTTGGCTGACATCCACGTTCACAGATTTCAGTCTGGAATTTTTTGAAGAGATGGCCTGGTCGACCGACTAGGGCTGCGACGACTTTAAAGCATGTCGGTCCGATGGCTGCGACGGGGGTAAGGACGAGGAGGAGGAGGAAGAGGTGGTCGGTCGAAAGGCGCATCACGAAAAAAGACGACCGATGGACGATGCCAAACCTGACGTGAATGTTGCGGGAATCAGGGGACCTTAACTCGTATCAGTTCCAGTCAAGGTTGGGTGAGTTGGGAAAAAGAGCTTCGAACCCCGCGAACCCTGAAAGGCAAAGTGGAGTGCGGAGTTGAAGATGGACTCCACCGGCTTGGAACTTTCCGGTGCATTTCTTTTGGATATGTTTATTCCCTGTTCAGTTGTTGAAGAGCTTTGTGTTCGATGCACGCTCCAGAACCTCGCGCCGTCTCACGTCAGCCGTTTTCTCTTTTATAGTTCCCCTCATCCTGATCCTGACCGTCAGTCGCCGAGACCCAACCCCGAACTAGTATCTTCCTTTCGAGAGGCGCCACCGCTGGAGCTCTCCAGCGAAATAACTCATACATTACACTTACATGCTCCAAAGCTGGCAGCTAGAAAGAACAAGACTGTGCCCAAGCTTTGAAACCTATCGACTCCGCCATGGAACATTTCGACCTCCAAGAAGTGGACTCACTCGAAGCAATGGTCATTATTGACAATGAGCTGGACCCCCTGTCCTTGCCAGCTCCAGAGACGGTGGAACTCTCTGGGAACCTGGTCACTATCGCCATGAGTGCGGGGCATGTTCCTACTGATCGCGGCGGTGCTTACCGAGAGGTACGCATGGAGGACATTTGCTGCTCTGCGCATGGCCTGTCCATCCTCGTGGTAAGATAGAGAGCTTGTACCGTGCATGGACTTTGCTCATGGATGCTGGCGATGTAGACAGCTACCAAGGGCGATAAAAAGCATTCCGTTCTCTTCGATGCCGGCCCGGAAGAAGACATTTGGGAGAGAAACGTGAAGCGACTCCGGCCGGATCTCGCGTCTGTCGAAGTGATCCAATTGTCGCATTGGCATCGAGACCATTCAGGTCAGTTTCGCTGCAATTCACACTGCATCAAATAGCCAATGTGCATGCTCTGACTGATTTCAGGTGGTCTTGGCAAAGCTATTCGAATGATCAAGGAAGCCAAACAAACCCAGGGCATCTCTGACGAGCTCGTCGTGGACGTGCATCCAGATCGGCCCGTCTATCGGGGTATCGCTCTGCCGGAGCTTATCATTTCCCTCGAGGCCGATCCTACCTTTGAAGAGCTGTCCAGTGCTGGCGCCACAGTGGACAAACGAAGTGATGCCCACCTCGTTCTCGATGACATGTTCCTGATCTCAGGCGAGATTCCACGGGTAACACCATACGAAGTTGGACTCCGTAATGCAGTTCGGTTTGATCCCGAGGAGAAGGACTGGTACTCGGACGAAGTCATCGCGGACGAGCGCTTCCTCGCAGTCAACTTGAAGGGTAAGTCTACCCCACCTTTATCTCAACGAGACCGAACGCTGAAACCTTTTAGACAAAGGCCTCGTCGTCTTCACTGGCTGTAGTCATGCTGGTGTAGTCAACACGACAAAACACGCCGTCGATCTCGTCAGTCCCAGGACTCTCCTTCACGCCGTAGTCGGCGGCTTCCACCTCGCCATGAGTGAAGAAGCTCAAATCAACAACACAGTCTCTGACCTAAAACGCCTGGACCCTGCCGTACTAATGCCAGGCCACTGCTCAGGCTGGCGATCGAAATTCGCAATTGAAAAAGCCATGCCGGGAACGTTGGTCCCATGCACGGTGGGCCTCAAAATTACCTTCTAGGGAGGTTGCATCGGGGTCTGGTCTGTCACGACATCTGTCTCGTGTTCCTTGCAGAGGCGGTTCTAGATTTTATGCTCTCCACGTGGAGTCATGCAGAGTGCTCCTCGAGGTGAAACATACCTCGGGTCGCTTGGAGCAACTTGGGCGTTATCTCCAAGGGGTGAGTGGCATCATTAAACCGTTGATCTGCATATTTGGTGGTTCGGGTTAGAAAGTTTAGATCCAGATCACCTGATGGAAGTGTCCCTTGCTGCATTCTTCTTCCGTGCGATCGGGTCGCCGCAATGGCATACTGGAGTTCTAGAGCTTTGTTGGATGTTGTCTCAGTTGTTGGATTTTGGGCAGTTTTGGGGAAGCATTCTGAAGTGGTGTTTGATTTGTGTGAGTCTAATGAGATAATGTAAAGAGTCCAAAAAAGCAATCTGGGCTTGGTGTAGGTGTTTATGGTGTTGGGCGAAATTCATTGTTGATGTGGGTTTATATGTCATCCCAAAGGAATCTTGATACCTTGAAACATATACATGGTCACTGCCTCTGTAAGCATATATTCGATTACAAATGAGCTACGACTATAGAGTCAGAAGGCCAATTGCCTAGCTCAAAACGCTTATTCTAAACAGGTCTGCAGAGTGATTGCTTGAAGCCCAAGGACTATTGGCCCGGAAGCTCTTCGAAACCATAGTTTGCCGAAACTATATATGACACGTACAAATATCGAGCAATTGACCGCTTTAGGACTTGAAGTGATTTTTACCAATTTAAAGTGTCCTCTCGTAGTGTTTCCATGTTTGCCGGCAGGTGGGCACGTTTGAGAGGTACCAATTACATCAACTTCACGTGTAGGTGCAAAATACACAACGTCTAGCAAACACCACACTACACCCACGCCCGGCAGATACAAGTCGAATACTGTGGAACGGTCCGTCAACAGAATGACCATCTTCTGACCATTCCATAGTATAATGTTACGCAGCCAAGACCTCTGGAGCTACCACAGCAGAAGACCTCATCAAGAGCCCAGAAGCTGTCCATTGCCTTCAAAGAACAATCACAGTTGAGCACCTTCACAAGTAGATTACCGACCGGAACCCGCTTCTACCTGGCGTTTTCCGACCAATGGACACCAGACATGACGCTGTCGGGCACAGTGTACAGCCCCCTGCTAAGAGCGATTAGCAGCGAGCCCAGCGGACATAATTGCAATCGCCCTTGCTCCCCCTCCTGAACTCCCCCACTCACCCCGCGGAGACTGAGATCACCAAAGGCAGTGTTGAAGCGCGCTCAAAGTCTACAGCGTCATGGGGAAAGGGGGAAGAAAGGGGGTTTGCCGAGCAACTCATGCCAAGACGATAATGCGAGAGAGAGAGATGCACGGCGTAGTTCTTGGCGAGGCCAAGAACAGGAGCCGGCGATCAAGGGATCAGAGTGTCACTGCATTGTACATTTACTTTTCCGGTGTACCGCTAACCAATGCTGGACAGCTGCAAAGAAGATCGCAGACAAGGATCGTCTCGCTCGGCGTTGGCGCCAAGAGTGATGTGCCCAGAACAAAATTCGAATTGATTTTTGGGACTCGGAGGGATTGTTTCATACACGGTCGATAACTTCAAACCTCACACGTATATTGGAGTTTATCGTTCAAGCTTGACTCGGTTTGGAACCGCCAAGCCACGTCATTGTTTATTTGGGATGAGAGTTTCCCAGGACCTGGAGAAATGTAATTAGAACAAACTTTGATGATATCCCCCCACCTTTTGTTTTGTTTTTTTACTCAATACCGAGAGGCTTCTCGGTTCCGCTGGCCAAGAGTCTGTGGAACCGGAGTCCGTTTCATCGATGCAGTCCGCTGGACGTTTGAATGGGCTCGAGAGGCAATATCTCATTCCCCGGCACGAGGCATTGCTCCAGAAGGGAAACGTATCTGATTGTTTACACAATTCATGCATTGGTGTCATATTTAGGATCCTTAGACTCCCCAGTCTGCATTGATCCGATCTCCACAGCAGATCCCCAGGACCCTTCTGAGGACACCCCTGTCGTGCTTGGCGATGCTGCCGACTCTGACCGCAGGGCCAAAGCCAAATCATACGAACAACTGTTAGTTTGCATTCCCGGAGGCAAGAATAGTATCAAAGACCGAGTCCACAGCCACCAGCCTCTGCAAAGCACGGTACAGTATATTGGAGCCCAGAAGAAGGAAGTCCTTGAATAGTAACACAAGCTGTTGAGACCGTCATCGTCTGCATCACGACCTGGCTGGAGCACCAGGATCATCGGCCATTCGTAAAACACCGATGATTAACTTAGTCGGCCGCCCATCAGGCCGTGTCCGAAGTCTCCCCGAAATCGTCTCGTGTACAAACCGCCCAATGTGTCATGCTATTACAAACGATACAACAAGAGAAACAAAAACAACTCCAAGAGCACGCGTCAATAGCCATAACGACCGTGCATCAGGCACATCAGGCTCTCATTCGGAACACCTACCTGAACGGACGAGGAACCCTGCATCAGACACGCGACGATCTGAACATCGCGGCTCTGTTCGCACGAACCCAGAAATGACCTTACTCTGTCGCTGCATAACATACCTGCTATAACGAGAGGCACCCAGGAACCCCCAACGTAACGCTCCAGGTCCCGAAGCCGGTTTCTCAGCGATCCCGCATTATTTTGAATAAGTGATATGCGCTACTGAGTGCACGCACAGCAGGACAGAGTTCACCCGATGCCCCTTATGAACATCGCGTCGAGTGTGTGGGGAATGTAAGCTCGACTTCTCCTGTCGATCATGGGCCGGACAGGGTCACAACATGTGGCCGTTGTTTTGGAGCGAGACGCGTCGCGAGTGTAGCTTGTGTCATTCCTTCTTATGTAAGATGTCATCATAGTATTCTTGTTCCTGGTCCTTTTCATAGCGGAGCTTGAGATCTGGTCGATAGGGGCTCCAAGCCGTGTGTCTAAGTTTACCCATCTCCCCCATTTGTCTCCTCGAGGCTGTCAAGTACGTATACGCTGAGTACTGGCTAGAAGGAGAAAAAGTCCGAGTACCGTCCGAGTCAGGCATAATCCTTAACTTTATGCCAGATCAAGCAAATTGATGAAAGTAAGATCGTGCTTAGGCTTACGGGGGCAGAGGCTGGGCAACTTTGTTGCTCTTGTTGATCGTCGCAAGGGTTCGTCGGTACAGTATACAGACCAGAGGGCTACAGCCAAGAAGACAGAGCCACACACCACTCAAGTAGACACAAAAACAGCTGTTGCCGGCAATTGAAAGACTTCAGGTACCCGCGCAATTTAGCCGTGTAGGGCTGATTAGCCAAATTACTATTTCGTCTGACACACTGGTGGGTCCGATAACAAAATTTTCAGGAACCCGTCTTAATCTCTCAATGGAGAGTGGCATGCGACAGATGGCCCGAACCAGAATCCACGGTTCCAAGGCCACGCACGAACAACGTAAATCACAAAAACAGGGACTGCTATGACATGTCACAGACTTTCGTGCCGACACCCGCGTTACCGCGTCGGCCTTTTTGGATTACGGAAACCCGACCGACAAGCCGAGATCAAAGAGAAATTCTAACGCCGAGAAAAAACCTGCCGAGGCGCACATATTGGTTCCAGTCGGACACTGACCATTCCAGCCATGGAGGCAATAGTGCCAATCAATCCCGAGGCCAGAAAAAATCAAAGAAAAAAAAAAGAAACCAGAAAAAGCACAGACAACAATAACGCCCGGGAATGGTTTCCGTAGAGACGAACGACGGTAGTTTCCAGTGCCAGAGTGCATATCAACTACTCAGAAGACAATGGATCGAGTTGAGTCGTACTCAAGGGCCATGGCCCCTCTTTGCCAGAAACACCGAACAAAAAGTCCCCCACGGAAAAGTGACGCAGACAATTGATACACAATGCATGAAAAAAAAAGCCTCAACCAAACGTCCCATAATAGCACAAAATAGTATGGTGAAAACTCGTGATGAGGCTTTTTTCCCTCGCCCTCCATTTACACCGATGCTCCCGCTCCAACCACGACCACCACTAACCACGTTCATCTCCTTGCATTATGCATCGTGCATCGTGCACAACGGAGTTAGACGGGCAAGTCAAAAAGTTTAAAGCTTGCCTGCAGGCGCGGGAATTGCATAAATTCCATCCTAGCTCGGCCACCGAAAACCCCGACTTTCTCCTCATCGCTCCATGTTCTGCCCATGGAGAATCCGGTCTAAACTGGGGTGGGGGGGGGGGGTGGAAACCCGAACATGGGACGCTGAGATCGCTTGGCGAACCAGAGGTTGTGGACAGAGTTAAGATTAGCGTGGGACGGTCGAATCAATAGACTAATCGAATAAGGTGACGGTGGGTGAAACCGTGGTACGTACTCGTACAGGTATGACAGTACGAACTAAAGAGGAGGTATGACAGTACGAACAAAAGATGACAGGTACAAGAGACGACGCGTTTTCCTTTTCGCGAGGCGTCCGTATGGAGATTTGACAACAACGGTTTAATCTTCTCCGCGGGACATGGGCGCCCTGGATTACGCTATCCTCGTAGTTGGGATAGTGCAGGACAAAAGCCCATAAGCTGCGCGACACAAAAATGCCTCATGGAGCTCTCAACGGCAAAGCGGACTGTGATACGCGGGTAAAGTAGAGCTACGATTTGGCAGGGCGATCGCCTAGTGGGGCTCCAGTCACGATTACTCCTCGGGCCCACCGGTGAGGGTTTGGCTCAGATGAGACCCATACCTGCCCTCTCTGTGCCGGCTGTGATTGCTGGACATGGGCTGATGATCCATCCCGCTACTGTAGGTACACGGCTGCGTGTGAGCCAAGAATACCTAGGGTGGCTCTTTTGGGTGTAGACTGTGTGGCTTCCATCTGTTTCTGCCCACAGGGAGGGGGGGGTGGGGGATTCTGGAGGAGGTGAGGGCTGCTTTGTTAGAGAGTCAATTCGGGGTCAATTAAGTTCGGGGAAGGTTTCGTGGTATAGAGAGTGTCTTTGTGTGTTTTTGGATGCAAAGAGAAGGTATTGGCGCGATACCTACTTCACCCGATGGGCAAAAGAAAGGAACGGAGGAAAAAAAAAGCAGGTTTGTGTTAGTCATCTGTTTTTGGGACACTTGATTGGCCGTAGGGGCGCATCGTGACTATACCCGAACGGGGAGTTTCATTCCTTCCAGACCGCAATAGGGAACAGCCCGTATGGTGAGATACCGGTAATGAATGATCACGGGGCGTGTTCCTGGAGTGGCATAGTAGGACAAGTGCGAAAAGGGAAAAGCGAAAGCGGCGTGATGACCTGCTTATGACGTGAGAGTTTCGCTCTTATCTTCCCTAGGATCTGTGACAAGAGTGCCGATTCCCAAATTTTGCCCTGCATGCTCAAGGGCGAGAGCGAGAACGACCAGGATTTTCGAGTCCAAGTTTTTTCGTTTCACAGTATCGTAAAAGAAGGACCCAGCTGCGGCTTATCCATGGAACAGCTGTCCCTCGAAGGCTTCTAGAAAACGTCTCGAACAACCGAGCTCATCTGTACACGCACAGCTCTTGGCTCCACCACTTCCTAAAACATACTCCGCAGCGTCTATGCGGATTGGGTGCCGGTGAGCCCACCCTGAAGCTCGCACTTTCTCCGACCTCGATCATGTTCGGCGGCTACACCGATTGTTCGCGGGTGGCAACGGGCTTTCTATGAAGTTTCTCTTACGGCGTGGCAACTGGCCTGGGCCCAATTTATCATGAGGCATTTTCATACTGGATTTAGGGAGGTCTGGGGAATCGCCGTGTCCCAAATCCTTTCACTATGTCAGCGGCGCGATCCCAAAGGCTGAAAGCATCGGATCCCGGTCTGTACACACGTGAGCTTTCGCAGTGACGGTGACGCACTGTCGAGCACACATGCGCATGGACACGAAAATCATTGCCGATTGCCGTCGACTTTACCTCCACAGATGTAATACTACCAGGATATGTAAATCCAGGGGAATGTGCGAGTTGTAGCATTGTGGTTGCAACTCGACATATCCAGCCATCATAATCTACTTGCTACACATCCGCGACAGTCTGCCTTGTGGGACAAAGCTACGAGGTTCCACGGGTCGCGCGTGGGGTCCCTCTCTCAAGTCGATGAGTGCGCCAATTCAAAACCATCTGGCTCTGTGAATGGATAGAAGACTCTCCACCACGACCGATCTCATAGACCCTGTTCCTGTTCCACCACGACACAGAAGTACCTTTGCGACCTATGATATGTATCTAGATAGTCCTGGACGGAAGGACGGCGAAGCCAAAAAAAAAAACTCGTACTTTGTCTCGAGAGAATCGTCGCACTCACCCACCTCATGATCGCGTAAAAGGGCTTGGCTGACGTGGGCAGCACTCAAACGGCGAGAATCCCCCGGAATTGATCATAACTCACATCATCGACCCTCGCACGGGGCTGCCGGAGGACACAGCGCAACGCCGTCGCGTCGCAAGTTTCTGCCCTTCCCGCTTCCCAGCCGCATTTGATTTGGCCCACACGCATACCGAAGCGGTCGGTTTCCCGAACGAGGTTGGCCCCCCAATGATTCACTAATTCCTCCTGATGGGGTTAGCTGTGATAGCTGATGGCTGATAGCTGGAGATGAAGGGGAGATCTCGGAGAGTCTCAGCTCAGAATGTAGACCGTGGATACGGCAACTCGACCTACTGCAGGTAGATTACCCAGGCGCGCTCGCTGTCTGGCCCTCTCTAGCCCTCTATACCCATCTCGACGAAGATTGACGGCCTCGGCCCCTCTCTCATGATTTGAGTTGCGAGGTGTCTGCAATTGGTTCTCCAGGACGGGACGTCAGCCGCGGAACGCGCCGGTAGGGATTCTAACTCGGGTAGACCAAGACATACGTAGAGTGCTGGACAGTATCAAGGATGGCTCGAGCAACCGGGAAGAGATGAACACTACACGGTCATGGTTCGGGGAAGACATCCTGCGAACCCGGGGTGCAGGCTTCGTTCTTCCTTGGGTCGAGGTGATGCCGGATGATCGTAACGGCCAATGGCAGCCCAGACAAAGTACATCTTGGGAAGATCGATAGAAGGTTCGCACTGGCAGACATCCGCGCAGTCCGGCGAAAAAGCTTGCCTCGCAAAGCCGGGATTATACCCTGTTTACAGTAGGCTCGCGCACATCAGACGATCCGAGTTGAGCTACGTGGTGCCCGTCATATCTCATTTCCAATGACTGCCAAATACCTCACGAGGGAGCGGGTGCTCGGCACCATGAAGTAAGATGAACGGAATGTAGTAAAGCAAACCCCGAATCTCACGGAAAGTGACCATCGTGACGCCAACAATCAATGGTGAGTATCACCCTCAGTGTGGCCCCCTCGTCTACGGAATTGGGTGACTGAGTCGACGCCGATCAGCTCTGAGCGATGAAATCATCAGAGGGGCGGGACTCGGCCGATGATAGGCCCGCGGCCCACAAGACTAGATTGCTCTAGCGGATGGAGTTGGCCGGGCGCAAAGGCGAATAGAGACCGCCGAATTAAATGACGCTTCTGGGGACTCCACGAGGGCCAGGTGGGTAACGATCGACCGTGGTTGGTGAGATACGGAGGACGAAGGGGGCAGCTTGCGCGAGGGCGGTGGAGGTAAGCGTGGGAGGCCGTGCCGATAATTTGCACCTTGGTCTCTCTTTATGTCATGATGGTAATTTACCTGCTTCGGGGGGTAAATATGCCAGAGTTCGTACATAGCTCATAGTTTGGGGGTTGTCTTGGCTGCTTGCGGTGCCCCTTGCTATTGATCTTGGTATTGGCAATGGCACTGGCACTGACAATGACAATAACAAGATACTGTAACTATCTGGGATATTCGGTTTGAGCGGCGTGTAAAAGTAGGGAAGTGAGGTTGGAAAGAAATTCCTCTGAATTGAGTTTCGCCGTCATGGGCTACCCTTTGGTACAGGGGGGAAAGAGACAGATCTCGGGCTATCCGACTGTGTCAAACAACATGCTCCTGCAAGGGCCATGAAGCATTCTAGGACACACAAATTCCAGACAAATTCTCCGTCGCATAACTTTGAGGTTAGAGTAAAAAAACAAATACAGTAGTCTCTCGACGTAGTCTCGTTGCATTTGCCCTGAGGGAAGCTGGGTCTCGGGGCAAAGAAATTACTCCAGACTGAAAATCGCGCATAGTCAAGCTGGGAGCAGCTGGGGCACCGCACTCGGCGAGGCTAGAAAAGCAGTACGATACGCGTGAAGGTAGCTCTGTGGAGGCCGCTCGGCACTCTGCTGCCGGTCGCTGTATTTTTGAAATTTTCTTCTCTAAGCCCAATATGGTACCTTCTTCCCCACTTGGACCGTACCTAAGACGTCTCAGTGGCTGCTCTCGGCTAGTTCCCCCCCTAGCGCGTTGGAGTCGTAGCTTGGTAGGGCAAGGGGCAAAAAGGAAAAATAAGGAATAAGGCTTGGAAAATTCGAAAAAAAAAGAAAATACCACCAAAAATACCAAAAACATCTAGGTGGATACTTTTGAGATGGTACCTCGCACCCACGCCTACTGTATCTTCCCCAGCAACGACATGCACTCTACCATGCTATCCCAAACACGGGATTCACTGGATTTTTATTTTTCATTTTTTAGTTGTATTTTTTTCCGGACCCCCCTAATTTCCATCATTTCCTACTTTCCTACTTTCGTAACCTTCTTTTGGCAAAAATAAAAAAGGAAAAAATCTATTTACCTCACTCGCCCATATCCACAGTCTCTCACCTTGCCCACCCGACCCCCGTATTATAAAGTCGTCCACTCCCTCACACCCACATTCTCTCTCTTTCCTTCTTTTCTTCATAGGAAGCTTCCGTCTCACGCCATAAGTGCATTCGTGTATTGGTGTGTTTGCAGCTCATATCATTGGGTTACCGAAGGCTTAACGAGCCAAAATGGCATCAACTACCCAATCCACTACGCAAATGGCGGAGCGGAGGATCTCCTATGCCCCCGATGTCGAAAATGGTGACCGTCACCGCGAGAACGACGCTGCTGATGGCGGCAACCTCGACGAGTACTCCGCCCTGAACCGCTACATCTCGACTGCTCGCGATGGCCGCCGTGGCTCAACCTCTTCTGGTGCTGCTCTCAGCGAGAAGGGCGCCAAGAAGCCTTTCTGGAAGTTCTGGGGTGCCAAGGGTGATGGTGTCGAGGATGGCTGGCAGGCCCCCGACGAGTGGCTCGAGACCGACCTCCGCTCTGGTCTGAACTCCAGCGACATCGAGCCCCGTCGCAAGAAGTGTGGTTGGAACGAGCTGGTGACTGAGAAGACCAACTTCTTCGTTCAGTTCATCGGTTACTTCCGTGGTCCCATTCTGTATGGTGAGTTTTTTTTTGAACGCATCTCTCGCTCGACGCGTTCTCGATCCAATGCTAACGCGTCATGATTCCTTTCAGTTATGGAACTCGCTGTTCTGCTCGCTGCTGGTCTGCGTGACTGGATTGATCTCGGTGTTATCTGTGGTATTCTTGCGCTTAACGCTCTCGTCGGTTGGTACCAGGAGAAGCAGGCTGCCGATGTCGTCGCTTCCCTCAAGGGTGATATTGCTATGCGTGCTATTGTTGTCCGTAACGGTCAGGAGGAGGAAATCCTTGCCCGTGAACTTGTCACTGGTGACATTGTCGTCGTTGAGGAGGGCACTGTCATCCCCGCTGATGTTCGTCTGATCTGTGACTACGAGAAGCCTGAGATGTTCGACACCTACAAGGAGTACCTCGTCAACGTCAACGACGACACTCTTAAGGAGAAGGCCGAGGACGATGATGAGGATGATGCTCGTGAGGCCCACCAGGGTGTCTCTCTGATTGCTTGCGATCAGTCCGCCATCACTGGTGAGTCCCTCGCCGTCGACAAGTACATGGCCGATACCTGTTACTACACCACCGGTTGCAAGCGTGGCAAGGCCTACGGTATCGTCACTGCTACTGCCCGCCAGTCTTTCGTCGGTAAGACTGCTGCTCTCGTCCAGGGTGCCAAGGATTCCGGTCACTTCAAGGCTGTCATGGACAACATTGGTACCACCCTGCTCGTTCTCGTCATGTTCTGGATTCTCGCGGCCTGGATCGGTGGTTTCTTCCGTCACTTGAGGATCGCTACCCCCGAGGGCTCTGACAACAACTTGCTCCACTACACCCTGATTCTGCTCATTATCGGTGTCCCCGTCGGTCTTCCCGTCGTTACCACCACCACCCTCGCTGTCGGTGCTGCCTACCTCGCCGAGCAGAAGGCTATCGTCCAGAAGCTCACCGCGATCGAGTCCCTCGCTGGTGTCGACATTCTTTGCTCTGACAAGACCGGTACCCTCACTGCCAACCAGCTGTCTATCCGTGAGCCCTACGTCGCCGAGGGTGTTGATGTCAACTGGATGATGGCCGTTGCCGCTATCGCTTCTTCCCACAACGTCAAGAACCTTGACCCCATCGACAAGGTCACTATCCTTACCCTGCGCCGCTACCCCAAGGCCCGTGAAATTCTCTCTCGCAACTGGATTACCGAGAAGTACACTCCTTTCGACCCCGTCTCCAAGCGTATTACCACCATCTGTACCTGCGATGGTGTCCGCTACGTCTGCGCCAAGGGTGCCCCCAAGGCTATTCTGAACATGTCCGAGTGCTCCAAGGAGGAGGCTCAGATGTACCGTGACAAGGCTACTGAGTTCGCTCGCCGTGGTTTCCGTTCCCTTGGTGTCGCCGTCCAGAAGGAGGGCGAGCCCTGGCAGCTTCTGGGCATGTACCCCATGTTCGATCCCCCCCCGTGAGGATACTGCCCACACCATTGCTGAGGCCCAGGTTCTCGGTCTGTCCGTTAAGATGCTTACTGGTGACGCCATCGCTATTGCCAAGGAGACTTGCAAGATGCTTGCCCTTGGTACCAAGGTTTACGACTCTGAGCGCCTGATCCACGGTGGTCTCGCTGGTTCCGCCCAGCACGACCTTGTCGAGAAGGCTGACGGTTTCGCTGAGGTCTTCCCTGAGCACAAGTACCAGGTCGTCGAGATGCTCCAGCAGCGTGGTCACTTGACTGCCATGACTGGTGACGGTGTCAACGACGCTCCCTCCCTGAAGAAGGCTGACTGTGGTATCGCTGTCGAGGGTTCCACTGAGGCTGCCCAGGCTGCCGCCGATATTGTCTTCCTTGCCCCCGGTCTCTCCACCATTGTCGATGCCATCAAGCTTGCCCGCCAGATTTTCCAGCGTATGAAGGCTTACATTCAGTATCGTATTGCCCTGTGTCTTCACCTTGAGATCTACCTTGTTACCTCCATGATCATCATCGACGAGACCATCCGCTCCGACCTGATTGTCTTCATCGCCCTGTTCGCTGATCTTGCCACCATTGCCGTCGCTTACGATAACGCTCACTTCGAGGCCCGCCCCGTCGAGTGGCAGTTGCCCAAGATTTGGGTCATCTCCGTCGTTCTCGGTGTTCTGCTCGCTGCCGCTACCTGGATCATCCGTGGTACCCTCTTCCTCGAGAACGGTGGTATCATCCAGAACTTCGGTTCTCCCCAGGAGATTCTCTTCCTTGAGGTTGCTCTTACTGAGAACTGGCTCATCTTCGTTACCCGTGGTGGTAAGACCTGGCCCTCGTGGCAGCTGGTCATCGCCATCTTCGTTGTCGATGTTCTGGCTACGCTGTTCTGTGTCTTCGGCTGGTTGTCCGGTGACTTCGCCCAGACTCACCCCTACGATCCCGCCGGCCCTGGCTTCTCTATCCACGGCGATGTTGACATTGTCACCGTCGTTGTCATCTGGGCCTACTCCATCGGTGTTACCGTCATCATTGCCGTGGTCTACTACATCTTGACCATCATCCCGGCTCTTGACAACCTTGGCCGCAAGACCCGCTCCAAGGCTGACACCCAGATCGAGAACATGATCGCTCACCTCTCCAAGCTCGCCATTGAGCTCGAGACCGACAAGGAGGGCAAGTCCCGCTACACTCTCGGTGCTCGCGCTGAGGAGATCGAGGAGGACGAGTAAATGTTTCTCCGGAACATTGCCTTATTCCCTTGATGGGCTAATTTTCTGAACTCGATACTGGACCGATGTTCAAATTAATTTTCCTTATTTTATTTTTGATCCCCCTTGCTCATATTCTACCACGCAAATGTGTTGCTTGCACCATCTCTCTGGACATGCATACCGTGGGAAAACTTAAAAAGGCCCTCCACCTGGGGTCTTTTTTCGCTTTCCTTTCTCCCGTACCATAGACTTGCTTGTTTCATTTACCCCTTGTCTTCATTTGCTTTCGAGTCGATAGAGTCAAGTTTTCTTTCTCTACGAGTATGTATGTCGTTAATAGTGGTTTCGAAATGTTCAAGGGATTCTAATCTAATCAAAAACTCATTGCGCTCATTGTAAACCTTCTAGCATTCCACACCTCGTGTCTTCAATTGGAATCTGACTGGGGTGTCTGTTTTCCTTCAAAGAATTCAAATTCATCTCCACCTTACCCCTGTACTTCACCCCGCGTCCTGAGTCTACCGCGCATCTAACAGGTGGAAGCTCAATTCTCCGGCCCCCCATTTCCTCGCCCATCTTTCCCTAGCCAATTTCCCACCATGCGGGGGGAGAATAAGCTTCTCACAACTCCAGTTTCGTGGGGATGCGGAGGTCATACTTGAACAATGCCATTCTACCCTGCACCGATCTCGGCTGTAACGACTCAATTGGGACGATGAAATGGAAGATTTTCCGTCAAGGCAAATCTCATTCAAGGAACTACTCTACTTCTCTTCCGACTATAATAAGCTGCTCAATTCACATCTCGTCATGCTCATGTTTCAAAGACACGAGGAGACTAGACCGGTCTTACCATCAATGCTAGCATGCTCCGCCTACTCTCCATCCTCCTAGCCTGTTGCTGGCACATCCTCAGCGCAGACTCCGCAGCAGTATCCCACATCTCCCGGTCCCAATGCCAATTGAGCGGCACCCATTGTCCACCTGGAACAATCATCGTCTCAGCAACCGACCATCGTGCAGACTACTCGACAGTCCAAAGCGCTATCAACTCTCTTCCCCATGACACATCCTCTCACACGATCCTCATCCTCTCGGGCACTTACAAAGAACAACTCAACGTAACCCGCCCTGGCCCTCTGACCCTGCTAGGCCAAACCAATTCTCCAGACGATGCCACCAAAAACACTGTAACTATCACCTGGGCCGCTGCCAATCTAGACTCAACCGGCCAAAGCGTCGACAACGTCTACTCTAGCGTCCTCATAGTCTCACCTACCCTCGACGCAAGCCTCACCGGCTCAGGAACAACCGGCTTCGCCGTGCCCGATGATACACCGTTTGGTAATAAGGACTTCCGTGCCTACAACATCGACTTTACGAATACCTGGGCCGAGTACACCGACGGCCCAGCACACGCCCTCAGCTTTAGTCGCGCAAACGGCGGATTCTACCACTGCGGATTCTACTCCTATCAAGACACGGTCTACATCGGGAAGCTTGGAAATGCCTACTTCTACAAATCCATTCTCGCGGGCCAAACCGATTTCCTCTATGGCTTTGGCACCGCATGGATTCAGTCCTCTGATGTCCTTCTCCGAGGCTGCGGAGGTGGAATCACAGCGTGGAAGGGAACGAACACCACCTTTGAGAATAAGTATGGCGTTTACATTGTCGATTCGACAGTGAAGGCGGCGAATTCCTCTATCGCGCCCGATATCAAGGGGTCGTGTGCGTTGGGCCGGCCGTGGAATTCGCAGCATCGGTCTATTTTCGCTGACTCGTATGAGGACGGGAGTATTGATGCGAGTGGATACATCGATTGGATTGTCAGTGGGGTGGCGAGGTATGAGAAGGGAATTACGCTCATGGCGGAGTATAAGACTTATGGACCCGGGTTCAATGCGACTGGGAGACGGGATGGGAATGTTACGACAGTCTTGGACAAGAAGGGTTATGCGCCGTATAGTGAGCCGAAGAAAGTTTTCCAGAATCAGACGGGTGAGTTTGGGGATGTGAATTGGATTGATTGGGAGACTGTTTCTGCTTAAGAATCCCTAGTATCGTTGCTTGTGCATAGACAGTGGCAGTGGTGTTCATGTCAGAAACAGTGCATAACCGGACTTGCACACACCTGTTCCCATATACCCTGGACCTGGTTTCCTTGAACCCCGACGCCACTATGGCAATCACCAATAACTTCCATACAAAGTCCAAACCTCCCCCTCACAGAACATCACTAATCAGCTACCCGCACATCTTCGCCCCGTCCACATCCTCCGTAACATGCACCCCCTCTGGATTCTCCATTTCACCCACAGTCACTAGTAACCCCAACCGTCCAAGTCTAGCTAGATACGCCGCCCCCGTATCCGCCCAAACCCTATACTCCTGAACCTTCAAGCCCTTGCCTGCATCCTCCGCAACAACAATGCGATAAATGAACGTTTCATCCCACGCTTGGTCGGTAGATTTCCATACGAACTTTGCGTTCCCGCGTAGACAAACGGTCATCGAGACCTCGTCGACAACCCAGGCAGTGTCGAGTTCGAAGTTCATGTTTTGGATATTAAGGTGTTGGGATAGTAGATCAAAGTAGTGGCTTATACCTTCTTGGCCCGTGAAAGAGCGGCCTAGGAAAGGGGCTAGTTGGGGGAGGCCGTGTTCGAAACATAGGGGAGGTGGATTGGTTGTGAATGTTGAGAGGAGGGTTGACTTTGGCGTGGACGGGGTTGTGAGGGCGGACAACAGGGATTGAACTGCGTCGATGAGGGATTTACGAGGAGCCATTTTGACGGAAATGGCCACGGTAGGAGGTGAGTTGGTGTGAAAAATAGACTCGTTCAAAGGATGCTGGATTACTTCAAGGTGCGAAGTTGAGCCGACGATGGGAATTACATAACAATGACGTGGAAATAAGAATGGTTCTTTTTGAATGTGTGTTTATTTTCTTTTTTCTTCTGTGTCAAGTCCCTAGATTTCTCCAGGATAGATTCCTTCATAGTTTTTGAGGAGGGTCGAGTCTCGACCTTCGCTCTCCGTGAGGATGGATTTCCCTTTTGGGGAGGTCCATTAGAAAAGCACATCCTCATTTGCCCAAAAAAAAAAAAGAAAAGAAAAGAAAAAGGGGATAACTCCAGTGCTGGCTTTCTAAATGAAAGCATTGAAAACAAAAAACACCAAATCAGAGTATGATCCGGAGAGGCATGAGGTAAAAGAAAACACCGGATCCTTGTTGAAATCATACATAGCTTCGCCACCCCTTCCAGACCACCAAATTGCAGGATCACTGCCGCCAGGACTTGCCGCAGTTCATGCATGTACAGAACAGAGTCATCGGTTCATCAGCACTGCGAGTCTGAGCCTCGGTGTAGGTAACCTTGCGCTGACCGCACTTTCCGCACTGCAGACTGGTACTGATACTGCGCTCCTGCTGGGGAACCATGGCATTGTCCATGTTCTGCTTTTTGAGTTTCTCGTCCTTCTCGCGCTGCTCTTCAGAGCGCAGCTCGTCACTAGTCATACGCACAAACTTGTGCGCCGTGATTTCGCCGGAAACAACGCGCACTCGCAGTAAGGCATTCGATTTATTCTTCAGGTTCTGGAACAGACTGCGCATCTTCTGCTTGTATTCCGGCTTGGTCTCAGGACCCAGGTGGTCGTATGCAGCAGCTTCCACTTCGCGCGCCTTTGCCAGCACAACCTTAGGCGACTCTGTCGAGCCCAAACACAGCCCATCGTACATCAAACCCGTGCAGCTATCACGGACGGCGTTTCCGAGCTGGTTGACGTCCACACCATCTGCCTTCCATGTCCGCTTGTCTGGTGGGACTGACAGCTTCGATGCCTTATCAGATGGTGTCGCTCCCGCCGGTGTTGATGCGCCAGTGCCGTTCGCCGGCCGGGGAGATCCGCTGGATCCTCGGCTTGCGGCTGATCCACCCTGCTTCTGCTTATTGACTTCGTTCCGCCATTTGGAGACGATCTCGCCCGACAGCTGTGCGACTTCCTTAGACGAGTGCTGCTTAAATTTGTTGACAATGATACCGATGCGAGTCGATCTCAACAGATCCTCTGATGCCCGCACACCGTTTTGCAGGTCCTTCAGCATGCCCAGGATCACCGTTGCCGTCTCCTTTTGTGACGCAGCCTTCGTCAAGGCCTTGGCCTTGGCCTCGATTGCTTTGGCATCCATAGCCACAGTAGATAGCGTGGAGTCGTAGTCAGGTGTGATGGGGAGGCGCTTTTTGTAGATGAGTTCCCGTTCAAGTCTGCATAGTGAAGCTCGTCAGTATCTTGTCATGATCAATATGCAAAAGAACGATGTTGCTAGAGGCTCAAATGGCTGGCAGTCGATGTGCTCGAGCAGCGCATGCCGCGCATCGCTCACGACAAGACCGAGCCAAAAAAAATATAAACCCAGACAATGTTCCGCACACAATTTTCTTGTTCAAGCCGGAACGCCGTGGCAGCTCTGGTGATGTACACCGCAGCATCAAGCCGGACGAGTCAGACATCTTGCTTGATGACATAGCATTCTGAAGGCTCAAAAATGTCCCGACAGGCCGGTAGACATAATGCGCGCGTTCACGTGTAGCTTGCGACCGCGGAGGTACGCAGATGGGGCTTGGGTAGGGGCTGATTTGCGCGGGCACTTACAAACCGAAGACGCGGTAAAGAGTAGGCGAAAATTAGATCGGACGGCAGGAAAAGCGAGTGTAGAAGAAAAAGGCCGAGAGCACAAGGACGGAGAGTGAAAGAGTGGGCAACTCGGAGGTCGCGCGCCAAGACGTGGCTGCCCAATTCGGTAATCTCTCACTCATCCACTTCGAAGTATACAACTATCCACCTCACATCCTAGTGACGACCTATTCTACTAAAGTTGGAGAGCAAATGAAAAAAATTAAGTAAAAATGAAATGGTCGCCTGATGATCAGGGGTATATTCACATCTATCTGGAGTTTCTGTATCCGCCCAAGACACCAGAACTTGGCTATGCATAGGAGAAGGTGAAGGGGTGGGATTATGTGCAGTCGTCATCGTCAACGGGGTATAAAAGACATGGGGAAATTTTTTCGGGATATGGCGTTCAATGTCGTCAGTCAGGTCCTCATCTCATGAGACCAAAGGTTATGGCTGGAGCCACTTCGTATGAGAAGGTGCGGTGGGACTGGCCAATTTCGCAAGGCAGAGGTGATGCCTTCAGAGTCCGTCAATGATGGACAATGAGATACTAGGCAGAGATACTAGGACCAGAATGCCAGTCAAGAGTCATCGGGCTTAGATGCCAGTCTTGCCCAGAACATCGGCCAGCTCATCAACATCCTTGTCGGACTTTTGAGACACCTTCTCTTCTTCGGCGAGGTCGGCATCCTTGAGAATCTTCTCAGCCTTCGCTTCTTCCTCTTCCGCCTCTTCCTCCTCTTCTTCCTCCTCTTCGGATTCCTCCTCCTCAAGCTCATCCAGCTCATCAACGCCCCAGGTGTCCTCGGCGTCGTCGTCAGAACCATGCTCCTCCTGACGGGCCTCCAAAAGCTCCCGCAGGGCGACGATGTTAACATCATCCTCGTTGAAGATGTTGCCGTTCAGCTCAACACGACGCAGGCTAGGAAGGGCAGTCTTAGCGGCGAAAGCGAGTTCCTTGACACAGTCGGCCTTGACCTCGTTGTACTGCATACGAATAGTCTGGAGCTTCTGGTTTTTGTTGGCGGCCAGAGACTTGGCAACCTTGATACCACCACGGGCAGAAAGCAGGCAATCACCGACACCAAGCTCAATCAGAGAAGGCCAGCCCTCCAGGACAGCAGCCAGAGCAGTGGACCCCATCAAAGTAAAGGTGTTATCCTGCAGATCCAGAACCTCCAGGGAGCTAGCGTGACGAAGACCATTCTTGAGCAGGTGCGAGATACCTTCCTGGCGGATGCCGTTCTGGGTCATCTTGACTGACTTCATGCCAGCAGAGTGCTTCTCATAGGCACGAGCCCAAGCCTCCATACTGCCGTTTTCTAGGCGATTGCGTCCGCATACAATGCTCTCCAGCAGAACGACCTCCTTGCCCTCCTTACGTGCTTCCTCCTTGCGCTCGGCAAGCTTGCTCAGAGCATCGGCGACGAGAGTTCCCGCAGCGGGGCCGAGACCGTTGTTGTTGAGGATCAGGTGGCGGAGGGGGGTGTGGCGCGAAAGGAAGTCGACCAGAGGAGCCTGGGTGTTGAGGCCGAAGGCATTGTCGGAGAGGTTAACGGTGTGGACGGAGGGGATCTCGAGGAGAGCATCCAGAAGGGACTTCAAAGCTGGAGGGATCTCGGAGAGGAGACGCGAAGTGAAGATATCGGCAAGCTCGGCGATCTCAAGGCTCTTCTGGGTAGCGATGACAGCGCCGAGGCGCTCGCAAGCACCGACACCCAGGGTGTTGCCACCAAATCGGACTTCGGTATAATCGAAGTTCTCGACCAGAGGCTTGATGTGGGACTCAATGTCCTCAGCAGTGTCGAGTTTGAGGCCTTTGCCCTCGAGCGAGAAGACCTTACGAGGGGCCATGGCGGGGTAGATTGTCAGGGAAATGAAAGAAATTGAGATGAGAAAATAGGGCCCAAAGTAGGTAGGAGAGACGAGAGCAGAATTTCACGCACGAGAAGGAAAGATCGCACCCGAAAAAAGAGAAATTCAAGAGGCAAGACAGGAGGCAAAATAGTAACAAAGCGGGATGTTTTGGCGATAACAAAAAAAAACAATACGGTGCGTGGTGCGGACCAGCTGCGCAAAAAATTCATTACTAATCTCAGAATGGTCTCATCGCGACATGGCGAACTTTCTGTCTTGATACATTGTCGTTCCCTGTCGCTCTATACTCTCGCTTCCAGTCATCCTTTCGCAAGATATTAATTCATCGAAATGTCGTGGCTCTTTGGTTCCTCCGGTACGTTCATTCCATCGTTCTTTGCGATCCACATTTCCGCCGTCCCAGATGCCTGCACATTGCGCAACGACTACACTACGAGCCTGGGAAGGTATCGACCTGTCGCTAATACTTCAGATACAGAAAAGAACGCGCCGGCCCCTGCCGAGTCCAAGACCCAGCCCACGCAAACCGAGAAGCCCAAGGTAAGTTCATGACCGCCACCAGAAACAAGTCGCAACTTTCAAACTAACTCCTCTTCTTCATAGCCCTGCTGCGTTTGCAAAGAGGAGAAGGCCGCCCGTGATGACTGCATGCTATTTTCCAAGTCCGACGACCCCCAGAAGGAGTGCCAGTCGATGGTTGAAAAGTACAAGACCTGCATGGCCGGCTTCGGCTTCAAGGTCTAGGCGACCATGGAGTTGTCTGTATATTACAATTGTACCATAGCATTCATTGGCTGGAGTTTTCTTTTATTTTTTCTTCCTAGTCTGTGAATATTCTCCGGTCTGGATTTGGGGAAGAATGGGACCAAGGGACTGCATTGCGCTCGAATAGATACCGAGTTTACGAATACAACCTCTCATCCCTTACAACAAAGAACGAACTTGTCATTATCTATGATCAGATTGATTGAGTCTAGCTCTAGTAGCACATTGTACCCAACGAAAAGTGCGCATAATGGGGTATCAAAAATTGCACAGCCACCCAATGCGCTGTTTCACTGCTTCTTCTTCCGACTCTCTTCTTCGGCCGCCTGCAGATCGATCCGCCGGCATTGGGTGATCAACTTCCACATGCACCAGATATACATGATCCCGAATCCGCCGGCTCCGACGAGGGCGTTGAGAACCACCCACAGATCCGGCTTGCCCGGCAGGGGCTCGACGAACTCCTCGAGAACATGCCAGCCAATCATGGCTATGTAGAAAACAAAGTGGAGGATCTTTGTGAAAATATTGAGCTCGAATTGCGAGTTCGGGTCCTCGAGCGATGACCGGCTCCGATATGTCTCAAAGGAGAGGAGGAAGTCCGATAAGGTAAGCCCAGAGAAGGGTCATCACGGCATAAGGCACACTCAGCTCTTCGCGTTTAAGAAGCGGGTACATGGTCCACGAGCCCAAAATATTGGCTAGGCCGACCCAGGCGCGATTCTCCTTGTTCAGGCCGCCGTCACCGGCGAGCGAGAGGGTCATTGGGAGGAGAGGAAGGAGGACGCTCTTCTCGTGCACTTGGAAGGAGAAGAGAAAGAATCCCCAGGAAACGCAAGACATTGCAGGGAGAATGAGCGAGGCTCGCGGGTGGCGGAAAATGATGGCACATGGAACAATAATTGAACCAAGAGTGGCGCCGAGTGATGCTCGTTGGAGGAGCGAGGTCTCAAACCGATTGAGCTTGTAGAATGTGTGGATGGCACACCAGGCATTCGCAACCTTATCTTCGAAGATACCACGAGCGAAGGGCAGCACGCGGTGAATGGTTTGTGTCAGCTGGAAAATGACCGCATATGCCACCGATTTTTTATCAATGGAGATCGGCAGTGCCTGAAGTAGAGGAGGCTGTGGCGAGGAAGCGATGAATTCTCGCGCTTCAGGACCAGTTGCGCCGATCAAGAGCGGCGCGAAAAGCAGAGTAAAGGCGGCAGTCGTGATTAGGGCGATGTTGATCAACCGAGGAATATGGATATGGGGGAAGACGCAGACTCCCAAAAGGTAAGCGAAAATGACAGGTGCATAGTAAAGTGCCATCTGCTTGAAGCCCAGAGCTCCGACGAAGAATATACAGGCCCAGAGCATACGTCCGGCCAGAATTGCATCCAAGCTCGCAACCACTAGGCCCAACATCACGGTGTTGTACTGGAAATGACCATGATCGATGAGAATTGTCGCGGGCTGGAGGAGAACGGCGACTAGAGCAATCGAGGAAGACCACGCATGTACACCCTGCATCCGAGTATAACGACGAAGGAAGTTGACGGCAGCCGGAATGTAAACGAGGTATTCGGAGACGACGACGGTGGCGCGCATATAAACCTTCAAATTGGGGTCCTCGAAGCCGCGGGATTTGTCTAATGCGAACCATGCAGGCTCAATGGCGGTACCACTGCCTCCGATCAGCCAATGCGTCTCTCAGACACGAGATATACATACATCTTCCCGAGCAACCAACTATGGTATGCGGTCAATGGGGGTAATCGAGGCCCCAGTACTGCAAGTCGTAGAGATACCACTTGGCCATAGGTAGATGCTGGGTGATCTCCATCCAATGCCGTTGGGCCTCAAAATCACCGTGCATTGGCGGTACCTGAAATCCTGGATGATGTGAGCAGTCATTCATTTCCAGAGGTCCCAATATGCCTACCAGAGTAACCCCACAGACTGACAGCCCATCGGAAAAGACCGACAGCCATCAAGATGAGAGGCAGGATCAGCCATTGAGACACGCCTGCTCGAGCAGGCCAGAGGAATGAGACAAGAGGAAAGGTGGGCGAGTATTTGCCTTCTCCAATGTCTAAGATTAGGTTGTTATTCGAGCCCGGGCTGATCAGGAACTTTCTCTTCTTCCGCGGACGGTGCGAGGGGGGGTGGGAGGAGGCATCACAATCCAAGCTAGGTGGCGAGTCAGTATCCCATCGACGACAATCACAGTCGATAGAATGAGCTTGTGAAACAAGAAGAGACCTGGTCAACCAACCCTGAGAAGAGGACTCAGAGTACCGCGGAATGACATTGCGCAGCGCAGCAACGTGAGAGGTTGCGAGGTACCCGTAATGTCTCCACTGAGCGGCATAGTTAGTGCCTGGGTCTAGCTTTTTAAGGTAGGCGGAACGTCTTTCTGCCAGCCTCTGAATTTTTTTTTCTCAGAAATTTTTCTGATAAGAGAAGCTTCCCCCAGCTGCAGGCAAGAATTTTTCTTCCTCTTCATCCTCCCTCCCATCCCCTTTTGCTATCACATACTTTTGTGCTAGCACTTTTCTTGATTCTCTTTTCAAGAAACCTCCATCCATAAGTACATATCCCCCTTCCACTAACTGACGCAGCTGCGTGGGTTCCCATACTTGCAAATTTTTTTTGTCAGTACACAGTACTTTCAACAGACTTTTAAGTGGGCTTTTTCACATCGAGGGCTGTGGGCTTGATCTTCTGCATATCTATTCTGTGGGCTCTGTGGGACATTTCCTCGTGGGTTTCATATTCTAGTTGCGTATCGCCGGTCTCTGTGGGCTTGAACTCTGTCCGTTGTGGGTTACTTGTGGGTATCGACCAGCTTGTGATCAGATCACTCCTGGCTGTTGCTGTTTCCATCTCCTGAGGGTTGTTGCATTTATCACATCTACACGGGTGTATTTGAGGGCTTGTTGGCTTTGCCGCACATTTTCCAAATCGCTTATATCCTGTTCCCCAAACCACTGTACGTGGGATGTGAGGTGGACCCTACTTGTTACACAGTGCTAACATTCTTTTCTCGCTGCAGCACACACAATGTCGAAGACTAAGGTTTCCTCCAAGGTCGATAAGAAGGCCGAGAAGGTCTTGGCCAAGGCCAAGGACACTGGTGTCACCAAGTCCAAGGACGCTGCCAAGAAGGTCGCCTCCAAGGACAAGGCCTCCAAGAAGAACAAGAAGAAGGAGCCCACTCCTTCCAGCTCTGAGTCTGAGTCTGAGTCCCAGTCCGAGGAGTCCTCCAGCTCCTCCGAGTCTGAGGATGAGAAGCCTGCCCCCAAGAAGGATACAAAGAAGGTTGAGAAGAAGGTTGCCAAGAAGGAGGAGTCTTCCTCCGAGTCCGACTCTGATGAAGAGATGAAGGATGGCTCCTCCAGCTCCGAGTCTGAGTCTGAGGACGAGAAGCCCGCCGCCAAGAAGGTCGAGAAGAAGGCTGAGTCTTCCGACTCTTCCGACTCCTCTGACTCTGAGTCCGAGGCTGAGGCCCCCAAGAAGGCTGCTGCCAAGGCTGAGTCTTCTGACTCTGACTCCTCTGACTCTGAGTCTGAGGATGAGAAGCCCGCCAAGAAGGATGCCAAGAAGGACTCCAGCGACAGCGAGTCTGGCTCCGACTCTGACAGCTCCGACTCCTCCGACTCTGAGTCTGAGGACAGCGAGGAGACTGCTGTCTCCTCCAAGAAGCGCAAGGCTGAGGAGGAGCCCGTCGCTGCCCCCAAGAAGGCCAAGACCGAGGCCGCCCCCGAGGGCGCCTCCGCCAACCTGTTCGTCGGCAACCTGTCCTGGAACGTTGACGAGGACTGGCTCCGCAGTGAGTTCGAGTCCTTCGGTGAGCTCTCCGGCTGCCGTATCGTCACCGACCGTGAGTCTGGTCGCTCCCGTGGGTAAGTTGTTCATTCTTCATGTCTTCCGCGTCCTCCCAGTCACTAACTACATCTTCCAGATTCGGTTACGTTGAGTACACCAACGCTGCCGATGCCGCTAAGGCTTATGCCGCCAAGAAGGACTCTGATCTTGATGGCCGTACCATCAACCTGGACTACGCTACTGGCCGCCAGAACAAGCAGGAGGGTGGTGACCGTGCCCAGGCTCGCGCCGGCAAGTACGGTGACCAGACCAGCCCCGAGTCCGACACCCTGTTCGTCGGCAACCTCCCCTTCAGCGCTTCCGAGGATTCTATCCGCGACCTGTTCTCCGAGCAGGGCAACATTCTCGGTATCCGCCTGCCCACTGACCCCGAGTCCGGTCGCCCCAAGGGCTTCGGTTACATCCAGTTCGGCTCCATTGAGGAGGCCAAGGCTGCCCACGGTGCCCTCAACGGTGAGGAGCTCGAGGGTCGCTCCATCCGCCTTGACTTCAGCACCCCCCGTCCTCCCCGTGAGGGTGGTGGTGGCTTCGGCGGCCGTGGTGGTGGCCGTGGTGGTTTCGGTGGCCGCGGCGGCGGTGGTCGTGGTGGTGGCCGTGGCCGTGGTGGCTTCGGTGGTGGCCGCGGTGGGTTCGGTGGTGACCGTGGTGGCTTCAACAAGGCCAAGGGCAGCATCCCTGAGTTCAAGGGCAGCAAGATCACTTTCTAAGCCTTTTACTGACTGTATTTTGCTATTCTCATATGGGAGTTCATGGGCCATCGGAGGCCCCGGTAACTAAAAAAGTTAGCTTGTATTTGATAGTCTAGGATGATTGCAATGTAATCTCATATTTCACATTTTCACATTTTCACATTTTCACACTTTCACACTTTGTCTCTTTTTTCCTTCCCTTTGAAGCGTAAGAAGTATATACTGCCAGTGGGCACCGCCCGGCTCCCCCGCATGCCCCAATCTCTTTGTTGTTACTCTTTCATTGCAAACGCAAGATCAGAGCTGAATGACCGGTCCGATTCTCTTCTGAATCAGATTTTGTAGTTCTTCTCCTCAAATTTTGGCATCTGTATCAAATTTGTTCCATCTACGTCGTTTTTCTTCAGCTCTATAGTGTTGACCCCTCTCATCGGTGGCTTCCGTCACGGGCTGCAAATCACCTGCGGCGTCTGCTGATCACCTCATCATCCACTCCTTGTTTTTTTCTTTTCCTGCCCCTTTCTTCTCTATCTCTACCCTCATTACTCCGTTGGACTCTCTTTGATATCGCAGGACCTGAGTCGCTACAGGTGCCATCTAACCGGAACTGCGAATACCAATCTCCTTCAAAGGTCTTGGAGTATTGGGCATCAATGATAGGGCCGATCCTCTCCACACTGATAAGATAACCTCGTCGATTGCTTCTTCCCCACGCCTGACCGCTGTTCCACCGGGTGGCCTGACTCCTATAATCTGTGTTCCACCTCCGTATTCCTAGATTCCATTTCTATCTTCCATCCTTCCTCCCTCCTCTACTCTTCACCTTGGCCATGCAACCAAATCACTGCGACCTGCTAGGTCAGGTGCGCGAGCCCAGAGCCGCACGTCAACTGATGCGCGATGGCCACTCGCTCGATCGTGGTCAGCCCCGGCCGTCCGGTGCGGTTGGCATGAGATCAGAAACCTCTGGTATGTTGCTTTCCTTATATACTCGTGCAGGGTACCTCCTCTGTCCTCGCGATCCGGTTTCGACATGCAGTCGCTTTGTTCGCCTTTGATTCATGCTTCAGTATGTACTCACTACAGTATTACATAGACTCTTGGATTGAAGTATCATCACAGCCGTCATCTTCATCCTTATCCTCGGCTGCTACGAACGACGATATCATTACAACTGGTCTTCGTGTGGACAATGGAGAAGGCGGAATGTATCAGCATCGCAGTCGACGACGACGCCTGCAACACCTCGCCGCCGTTACCACAGCCCAGGTGGACTACTCATCAAGAGACGCTAGCCTGGCGAGCAGCAGCCAAGAGGAATATGAAGAGAGCGAGAGTGAGCCCGATCCCAACTTGAGCAGCTCAAATGAGGATATCAATCGCCCGGCTCTACGGGTCCCGCTATCCGCACTCCCTTCTCCCTCAGATGCAGTTGCAGCCTCGAGTGATGATGAAGATGACGATGCTTCTACTGCTCTTGGTATGGGCATCAGCCCATCACCATTCGTCCCCCAGCCCAATCTCTTTTCTCATCCACCAGCAACAAGTGACCCCTCGTGGACTCGTCCAAATGAGTCGCGCCGCTCTCCGCCCAATGTGCTCTCCACCTCCAGCCGGGGCACTGCAATCCGCCGAGATTCATACCCGCCCAACGTACGATCTCGCAGATCCCAGCAATCCCAACACAGCCCCTTCAACATGATTTCGCCTTCCCACCATGCAGACCACGACGCTGCCCTCCGGGCCAGTCTCTCAACCCTCTTGTCCTGCGCAGCCGCCGCCCGAGGCCTCCCCAAAGCAGATAACCAACCAACTTCATCCAGTCCAGGCCCCTCCCAGCCATCAACCTTCCGTCTAGTGGGCGAGTCAGTCGCCATGGGTGAGGAAAGCGGCGAAGAAGCCTCTTCCCCACGATACATCGAATCAAGTTCCTCAGTGGGCCCGTCCCGCCGGCGGCACCCCCGCACCGCTCCTGGTCCACCCTCCAAGGCCAAGCGCCGATCCATCTCGCCTAAAGACCGCAGCACAAAGAAGAGTCGACATGCAAGTCTATCAGACTCAACGAGCCCCGTCAGTCCAACAATCATGACGTGGGTCATCAGCGCGGGTGTCGTGGTCCTATTCTCAGCAATCAGCTTCTCGGCCGGATATATGCTCGGTCGCGAAGTCAGTCACGTTGAAGCGGGGATGATGGGAGATGGAAGTGTACCTGGCGCACGTTCATCGGCGGCCTGTGGACAGGAAGCTATGAGAGGAGGACTCAGGCGATTCCGGTGGGGGACTGCAGCTGCCAGCTCTGCTAGTCTGGCGTGATGTGACATGCCTCATGATTTGAATGGCGATAAACGAATACTTTGATGAGAGTATGATGCGGATGCGAGAGCTCCGCTCTGATACCCTTCCACGTTCCTTGATGTTGTCTTGTTTTTTTGATCTTGGTTTCAGTCAGCAGGTCTTCGATGAGCTGCTGCTTGCAAAATTGTGTCGTCTTCCTTTTGCTGTGGCTTTTTGTCACTGGGATTGGAGCTTGGGGGTGCATTTTGTTCGGTTTGTGGTGCTTGATGGTGCTTTTAATATTGACCTCAATCTATACCCTGTTAATTGTTGTCCTTTGACATATGCAGTCGTAGAGATGATGCTTACATTGGCAACGAAATTAAAGTAGCTCTCCAGGGCCCCTGAATTGAGTGTAGAGTATCAGTGTCCTCGACTTGAAAACAACAAAGGTAGAGAAGACCTTGAAGGGGAAATCCTTCTTCCACCGCCCCCCTCCTCTGAGCCAACGTGAGGCGAAGGACGTCAAGAGCAGCAAGGCTACGCAAAGACCCGAAAGCATCTAACACACCTACATCTCTCCCAAAGCTTCTTCAAAATTGTCAGTAGGCAAGAAACAAACTCCCCTCACTTCCAAGCTCACAAAGTCCGACCTCAACCTTCCCCAATGCCCCCCCTTCAGCACTGAACAAAACCCAAATTCAAATCCCGAGTCTCTCTCCAATATCACATACTTTTACTTAATAATTCCTGCAGGGAAATGGCACCGTCGCACCCGAATCTAGACCAGATACGACCGGGATACACAAACACCGAGCCATCAAATAATTCCCCACTCTCCAAAAGCCGACTGTAGATCATCTGTTAGGGTAGATCGCCGATCATCACGATCCATGAATGGAATCGACGCTGTCTACCTATTTAAAATAACAAATAAAAAATATATAAACTCAAAAGATAAGGATCGAAAATACAATGTCCTGAAAGGGGATGTGGCTGGTGCCTTCGATGAGAAAGGGGAAAAGGGAGGAAAAAAAGAACAAAGTGGAGTGGACCGGAGAAACGGACTCTATGAACGATTTGACATAGGCTCAGCATGAAGGAGGGGTCCCTCGTGGAGCAGACAATAGAAATGCAATGCCACCACTCGGGCCAGACCCGCCACCCGCACGGCAAATGGGGCCATGACGTGACACGATCGTTGTCCTGGATGTGACATTGTACATTGATGCGACTTCTATCTCTATCAATAAAGGCGATCCTCCAAGATGGGGATAGGGGAGGGAAATAGTGAGTGAGGCAAACCAAATCAAGGCGAGGATCCTCACTCCAGGCCTATACTGCATGTCACACAACATAAACCGTGAACCTTCGGTGCCAACCCTTGGAAACGGGTACCGGGCAGCAGAAAGAAGAAAAAAGAAACGTTAGACCCGGCATCCCGAATAAGGTATTCGAGTGCGAGTTTCGCAGCATCAGCTAGGAGTACTATTGCGTGGGGTCCGCTCGGGACGGGCCTGAGGGGAATCGGGAGCGTGGAGACCGGGTTTGTATTTCCTGGGGCATAGGTGCTGGTCACTGTTGTCGGGTGTTGGGGAGACAGGGGAAGAGGAGATTCCTATTGGAACTGTTTACGAGCGCTGTGGATTGCGAGAAGCCTAGTGGGGAGCTAGGATGCTACTTGCGTAGTGGGTAAGTGGGAATATGAGGACGAGCTACCGGTGACTTGCAGGGGCCACGAAGTGTAGTGTTGTAGGGCGAAGTGCGTAGTGCGGAGGGGGATGATCGGCGCAGGGGCCAGATGCAGGTCATTGCGTGATGGTTGCTTTTTTTTTGGTGCTTTTGTGGGCCCGGGTACCTGGGTCGGTGGTGATTGTGCTTGGGGGGATTATGACGCTGAAGTCGGTCCTAGATGAAAGTGGGGGTTCAGGCGTTGCAGTTGCGTGAAACAGGTTTCGGGTTGAGTTTTGGTTCGGGAGGTCCACTTGGAGATTACAGGCCGTTCGATTATAATACTGGAGGTTTCAAGATGTGATGGCTAGACACAGATGTGGTATACTGATGGAGTAATAATCGTATTTGTATAGACAGTCTGCTATGTACGTGCGGATGAAGCATGTTGCCAATGCGTATATATCCGGTCCCGGTACCCAAGAATGAACGCCGCGCTTATCGCTAGAAATAAAAGGTGAAGGTTGAAACAAAAGAGAAAACTGCAAGTCGGTCCCCCGCTCGTTGGGGCTGACTGTGGTCGTATGTCCAGATGAGAAAATGACAGTCGACACCTCGAAAGGCAAACTTATACAAAAGAACAGAAGAATTGTTGAAGGGTGAAAAATGTAGGCAATCGTGGACGCCTGAGCAAGGACAATAGAAAAAGCGGCTCAAGTGGTTGCCTCTGACCGTCGACGATGTTTTAAATCGTCCCGGCTGAGGAGTCGGCGGAGTTTTGAGACAAAGCGACCAGGCAGACACTCTATAATAAATATTGTTAATGATGATCCATCAAACAAAGGCCATGCCATGAAACGTACCATTGCTTCGTTGCACACAGGGAGGCTCTTCCAGCGACTGCGTGGTATATGCTGCGGCCCAATAGCCCGTGTGGCGGTAACCGGTGAATGCGCAGTTGTTGGGATTGTAGCGTGGCTGCAGGGCCGCAACGTGCGGATAGAGCTCTGCTAACGGAGACAGCAATTCATCTGGAGGCGGCGAGCGCCGGCTGTCGATACTCGGTCGGGACTATTCCAGAAGGTCAGTGAATCCAGGATCAGCCAGAAGCGAGGGACTGACGTACGTAGAGTTCATAGTTTGTCTTGTACATTTTGGGAAGTGGAGGGTGAAATATGCAGAGAACGGACAAGGCCGAGGATATTTCCGTTCACAAACTTTTGTTTCGAAATTGAGACGTGCAGGGTGGCTCAGTTAGGGGGACGAGATGGAAATCTGCAGTTGAGATGGCGAGATGCAGCATTTAAAAAGATATGGTTGTGACGTTCAGCCGTGGAGCGGAGCCGAGTCCGAGCCGGGGGTCTCTCTCACGTCAATCTGAAGAGGAAACTAGCGAGCCTAAGCCCGGTGATCTCGATAACCAGGAACCCGGGAGTCGGTCAAGCCCGATGCATGGTTGTGATTGGGTCCACCTGCGCTCGGACACTGGTTGATTTCGATTTGGTCGCAATCGACCGATCTATTGGGGTGCCCGAGCTAGGATCATGGATCATAATTCAGGAATCATGGATCATGGACAGATGAAACCTTGGAATCTGAAACCTAGTACCTAGTACCTAGCACCTAGCACCTAGCACCTAGCACCCAGAACCTGCAATATGAGGAGCCGGAAGCCTGCTGTGCACTGCTCTGGGATCCCTCGTTCTGGGAATCCCTTGCGCAAACCCACGTTATCAGGTACCACGTCACCCTGGTCTTGTCGCCTGCATTGCCTACATCTACGTGGTAGGGCCGCATGATCGTCGCGATGTACGATCCCCGAACATCTCCAATGTATTTGTGACCCGCTTTGGCACAATACGATGTGCCTGTCAGGTCGCACCGATCAATGAGAGAGTACGATCCCCCCTAGAATCAAAGAAGTATGGTCGCGCGAAGGCTTCCAAATTATTTCATTCCCCAATCCCCGAAATGCTATACGATAGTCGGGTGAGGTCAACCAAACTATTGGGACGCTAAGTTTCCTGTTCGGTGGACAAGATCTGACCCAGACAGCCAATTGGCCTACAATCCTATTGTTGATCCACCGAACAAATCCGAAGTCACAGCCACAGCCTCCTTACCGCTTCGAGCCAAGCGCACAAACCACATGCTCGGCCACGCCGTGGCGTGTGCTGTGGCTAGTGAATTCTCATCGACCGTGAAAAAAGTGTGGCTCAAGCTCCCTCGCTAGTTCCATTGGTTCTGTTGTCGCCTTATTCCTCCACTTGGCCCGAACTAGCCCTTGATCTTCAAATGTGATCGTTGGGGGACATCACACGGCGGGCCCCCCCCTACGGGCTGTCCGTCAGTGCTCACCCTATTAAGGGCCCATTCGCCCCGGAATGGGAGACCTCAAATCTGTCAATTCTCAACTTGAAGCTTCCCGGACGACTTTGATTTATACATGTCGACTATCAATCATGTCACTGAGCATGGGTTCCGGAAGAGAATGCTGGGAAAACTCTCCATGTATGGATCTAAGAGATCAATATTCTCGCGATCCTCAAAGTATGTTCGAGAACTCCCTGTCCCAAGTCCCATATTCTGAGACCCCTTCCAGGACCGGTCGAGCGAGAGGCTGAATGCTCCTCCGATAGGCATGAGACCCGTCGCGAGGGCGTAAATCCCCCAGAGGCCCAAGCCGTCTTGAATGACAGCGAGTTTGGTCGGGTCGACCCCACGGGCTGGTACCCACACTACAAGAACTGTGTGCAATACTTTGTGGAACAAGGCCAGCACATGCAGACAGTGCAGTCCGTGGCTGCATTTATCAACATTCGTCTGCCATGCCAACGTCCCCAAGACATACCTGCACCGGGACAATCTGCAGCGCCGTTTATCTCTTTGCGTCCCTATGTTCGCCGGTTGATTGTCACGGCGCAAGATTCGGCACTCGTCATGCGCGCATTCTTCGGCGATGACTGGGCTGCCGGCGTGGGCTGCATTTACAAACAAGAGCGCGCCAACTACCTCTTCACGGCGAAGAGCAGCGGCTGGGGCGCGACCAAAACAGCGTACGATATCCTGCCCGATGAGCAGACACCATTCCTGCGAGCCCTGCGCGAGCCTACTGAAGACGAGCTTCGGGCGGCTGAAGCGAGATGGAGCGAATGGCTGGCGATGGAGGACTGGATGGTGGGGGCTCGGAGTCCCTGGTAGGGGTGTAACCCCTCCGTGATGAGACATGACCATTTTCTTTTGTCTTTTTTCCTATTTTCTCTCACTTTCCGTCATTCATTTGGGGCCAAAAGGAGTAGTTCTCTGGCGTTCCAGAATTATTTGAGGGGTGGTAGCCTATCCCATGCGCACAAGACCATCATTTCGAGAAAATCCGAATCCCAAAATTCACAAGTCCACTTGTTTCCAGAACCCCTCAAAAAGGTCAATCCTGACCATCGACCTCCCCAAATTGATCGTCCACGCCAATGCAGAGTTGACAGTGATCGTCGGCGGATCCCCTGTCAGAATCAATAGTGCCGCACCGCCACAGGCACAGACCGGACGTGACAAATACTTTAAAGCAGGGAAACAGATCACAGAATCGATTGCGCGTGCCCAAATTAATTGCACAATAATCGCGTTCGGACCCTCGGCTTTAAGATGATTTGATCGTGAAATCAGGGAATCATTTAATATAAACACAAAGACACTATCTAGGTCGGGATTAGTTCGACGCCCCCCGTATCCACCGCAATCTGACTCACTCCAGACATGTCAACCTCAGAAGAAGACATCCCCTGGACAACAATACAAATAGTCTTCTAGGTTATTCGTTGAGAACCCGATCGGCTTTCCACTTTGTGACAGCTCAATTCCAAATCGCCCATCATCCAGGTATTCGGGCCCCGCATTCAGATCCTGATGCCCGAACTAAATCAATCCCCGGGTTATGTCAAGCACGCCTCCCAAAACACAATGACGATAACCCAAATCCACGAACATGATGCAACCAGCATTCTTCCAATCCTGGCATCTCACCTTCCCCACTCAATCACCTGTCTCCGCCGGATCCAACACGGCGTCGCCTACCCGTCCCCCACCGCCAAGATCCTGGCCACTTTCCCGTCCTCAGCTACCCCTGACCCTGGCACTCCGTGGCTGGCTGCACGGGTGGATCTTTTTCTAGGCCGTCAGACTCAGATCGTGCTATACAGCAGCCTGGAGTCCCGCACGTCACTACCCCCGATCGCCCCTGCCACCCAGAGTGACGGGTCCCCCGATCCCGTCATATCCACTTTTGACGCAGCCCCAGCCGAGTTGGATCTTGCTCGTGATCAGCTCTTGGCAATGATGCGACATGTCAAGTGTAATTTGTTGCCCGAGTACCTGGCATCCCTGTCTCTGTCTGAACCGGGACCTGAACCTGGATCTGGATCTGGATCTGGATCTGGAGCCCAAAGTGCGGCTGAAGAGAAAACTAAAATTCTCCGAACAATTAATAGCCTCCCGCTAATTCCACCCCCAAGCCCAAAGGCTTTCTTATTTGGCGCGATTCCATCAGCTCTCTTTGTGTTGCTGATGCGCGATCGAATCTTCGTCGACGCCAACGGACAGGCTAATCCCGGCCCTGGACTGCGGATTCATCGTTTCGATAATCCGCCGTATTTTACGTATCTGTTCTCTAGAGCTGTCTTCGGCGCTATGGATACATCGACTCTACCAGATGGGTATAGGTATCATGATCGGAAGGGTAGAGTCGGTGTTCTGCCCGAGCATTTGGATCTCGTGCAGAGTCGGACGCATATTCCCAGGCCGAGGGAGCAGTTGTTGAAGATGCCTGGAGTTGCGATTTATTACGATGATGATAGCAGAGATGGTTTCGGGGGGGGGGGAAGAAGATGCCTATTGCGTGGGGGTTCCTGGGTGTGGATGGGGCTGTTGCGACGTTAAATGTCGAGCCTGAGCATAGGGGGAAAGGGTTGGCAGTTGCGCTTTCGAAGAAGGTCATGAAAGAGGGCATTGTGCCTGGGGGTGCTTTTGGGGCTGAACGGTCGGATATTCAGGATGAAGTGTTGAGGGACAAGCTGGGGGAGTGGGTGCATACCGAGGTTGCGCAGTCTAACAAGGCGAGTAGAAGAGTCATGGAGAAGATTGGGGGTGAGGTTATGGCTACTGTTATGTGGACTGCCATTGAGCTGCTTGATTGAGGCTAGCTCTGGAAGTTTTTATCACTTCAAAATGAGTGAGTGACTGGAGTTATTTTAAATCTTGTAGATGGCCGAATATGCCACGTGAAGTGAATGAACAATTCATGCTTGCGATATATACGGACACTGTACTAGTGGGACAATTCTAACATTGGACTCCAAAAGCTCGAAAGCCAACGCCCTTCTTTCTTTCGGGCCCCAGATTGGTAATGACGGGATCTCCCCTTTCTCAATCAAGAAGACGTACCGAAGGTGAACTGCGGAATGTTGATGGTGCTGACAGTCCAGGTCTTTCCATTGTCAGTGGTCTTCATGTTTCCAGTGACACCGTCACCCTTGCTCAGAGTGTTGATGTAGTTGGGGTCGGCAACATCCAGAATGATCTTGGTATTGATCCAAGCTTGTGGCAACATTAGCACAATTCCAACAATGCCATTTCTCTCTTTGAACATACAATGAGCTCCAACAGTGCCGCAATTGTCCTCGGCGCACTCGACGGCACTACCCCAGCCCTGGGCCTTTGCATCGCTGGTGGAAAGGGTAGACACGGTCCGATTGTTGACGAGAACAGTCTGTGTGTAGTTGCCGGTCGAATCGTCAAATTTGTCTATTGATGAGTTAGCTTTACACTTCTCTGGAAACAGGAGGTTACTCGTACAGTGCATAGTCACCCGGTTGCCCCTTTTGGCAGAAGATGAAGGGCCCTGAACTGGCATCTGGGTGGTTGCTTTGAAAAAGTCTCAGTAAATTCCGTAGTGTAAGAGGTCCAGATACACACCAGAAGTGCTGAGAAGAGTGTAGGCATAGACACTCCAGTCATCGGACTCCCAGTTATCAGCAATAGACTGAATCAAGTCGCCATTGGAGGTACCCATGCCAACCCACAGTGAAGTATCACCCTCTGAGCCACTGGGAGCATCAGGGAGAATGAGTGTAGAAGTTGCCTCGCGAATAAAAGAGTCATCGGCGACTGGGCCGGTGCTGAAAGCCGGTCCCATGGCAGCATTCACTGTACCAGCTGTGAAGGCGAGGACCGAGATGGCCTGGCTAAGAGAAAGAGAAGGCATTGTAGGATAAAGTTGCGTGACGTGTTAAGTTATGCTGAAGATTTTTTAACTTTCAAATTTGTCAATAAGGAGCCTATGACTGCTTTATATTTGTAAAGACGTCTAGTTTTGCTCGTCCTAGCGTGGAACCTTGGACCCTTCAAGTCCCTCGTCAGCGAAGAGCGCGATGTCATTCGCAAATTAAGGTGTTTCGCCTTTATACATATCCACCCGTTACATACTGAGACTAGGCACATTTGTTCCCGCCTTCTCGGGGTTAATTCGGATTTTGGTGTTGTTTGGGGAAATCTTCCGAAGCTTGAAACGCCTGGTTCATATATTCGCCATCTGCTAGTGCCGCAGGGTCGTGCTTTCAGTTAGTTGGTGTCTAAAATCGACTGACAATCAACAATGCTCAGGGACTTGTTAATGGGCCTGTGGAGTTTTGGATTGCTAGTAGTACTTATGCGGATCCTTCGCAAAATTACATAGTCTATGAAAAGGAGAGACAGGAGGGCGGTGAGGGACATGGATATCGAGGGGGGTGTCTTTCATTGTTTGATCATAAAATTCTTCTTGCTATAAATAAACAGTCATGATATTCATCGGAGATTTTATCTACTAGTAGAACCATCGGAAATCCGCACTAGCGGGTTCATACTGGATATTCTCCGTAGGAATATCCTTCGCTTTCAAATGAACACCTTGTGCTCGGTCTCGCTTCTTATTATCCATCATCATCCAAAGACCAAGAAGCAGGGTCAAGTTGATTCCAGTGCCTCCAAAGGCAGCAGTAGTGACCAAGGCCGGGATGTACTTTGGTGCATCTTGCTTACGGAAAATATTGGAGGCCACAACACCCATCAGGTTAGCCATTGGGACGGCGATACTGGTCAAAACGACACGTCGACTTTCGCTGGCGATGTTGTTGTTATACCAGACGTCAAGAAGGACGGACGGTGCTGATGTACCCCAGGTCATCATGAAACAGGCGAAATACGCAACGCTCAGGTCTCTCTCGACATCAATGGCGGCGTAAATAACCATGCCGATGAATGTGAACAGGAATCCGAGGGCAATGAAACGGGAAGCGCCATCTTGTCCAGTCACTGGCGAAAGCAAGAATGAGGAGCACAACGGCACCGGAGACATTAGGCGCCACGGTGTACAAATTTGTCTTGACAGTGCTGTATCCAAGACGCTGGATAATGACAGGCAAGAAAAGCTGGACACCTTGAAGAGGTACGCCAAGGCAGATCTGAATGGCTATAATGGCCCAGCTGGTTCCGTGCTTGAAGATCCGGAAGGCATCTTGGATGTTCAGCTTCTCATCAACTACTGCAGAAATGTCCATCTGGAGTCTAAGACAGGCTAGCTCTTTCTCCGCGGGAGACATAAACTGCGTATGAGGGGCTGACTTAGAGACGGAGAAGCGAAACCCTTTACTCGCCAGAGCATTTCATTTAGACTATGGGAAGACAAGGCGCCTTGCAATCGAGCTTGCCGGAATTACTTGGGACGATGATATTGTCTCCTTCCGAGAGTCTCTTATTCAAGTTGAGAAGTAAAGCTTTCAAAATTCTAGGCTGTGATAGTGGCTGACCGTGTTATAGACTATGGCAAGAGCTGGGCATTCAAGGCAAATGCCCCTATCACTTCACCGAGGAAGAGCTAAGAAGTCATCTCAAGGACGCAGAAGGTTGGAACGAAGTTCAAGACTTCTTTGATAGTATCGATGACTTAGTTAAAAGAGACGGCTGGACTCGACCTGAAACGTTCGAAGCTGCTTCTAAATTTTTCGCCGACCTCCGGGAGCTAGGTCTCAAGCGTATGAAAGGCAAAGAAAGGGACATTTTCGAAAAACAGACTAGCTGGGCGAAAAGTCAAAAATAAGACAAGGCTGCGTTGACTTCTGGCCTGCCTGTCTTGCCTGAAATGAATATTGAAAGAGAAAAAGAATGCAGAACAATTCATGACAAAGCGTGGCAAAAATCAGAGGCAGCTAATCAGATACATAGACGGGTATGGTCTCAATACTTCCCCCCATGACGAAAATGAAGAACCTCACCCAGCCTACACAATTTCATAGACAGGCATAGCTTTCTTCACTTTTTTAACCCACTTTCCAATGTCCTCTACAAAGCGTCGGGCGACGCCTAGTTTTATTCCTTTCTCGATGAAGAAACTTGGGTCTTGATTCTTGTATACCTGCTCGAGGTCAAGACCATGCTCGAGCATCACGTCACACACATGTCGAAATGCGGTTTTAAGGGTCTCATCGCCAACATTTGACACCTGCCATTCGCCATACTCCTTCACAGCTACGTCTCTGAGACCAGGAATCTCAAGTGGGCTGGTAACCGTCAAATCAGCCGCCGGCTTGGGAGCCGAAAAATCGAATCCATAGGCAGAGGGCTGGGAAGGTAGGACGTTGAGAATGCTAATAGGAGGATATGGCGTCCCAGTCCTAGCAGACTGGACTTCCTTGCGCTTGCCTTTATCTATCTTTTGTTGTTCCTCCCTGTATAGTTCGTCGCGTACGGTTTGTGGAACATCTTTGTGACTTTCCAATACCCCACCTTTCTCAACATAGGTGATCAGGCACTTTATGTAATAGGCTTTAAGTGGGTAATTTTTGCCCATGGGGTCCACCCAGCAGTGAGGCCCATATAGGCATATTAGTGAGTCGCATCGCACCATATTATAGATACTACGCTATATAGGTCTCTCGCCAGAAGCATTTTCCTCTGCAATAAGCCTGGCGTCCCGTTTATTAAGCATCCTGCTCGTAACGGAAGATTTCCCTCCCTTTTCTCCTTTCCGACCTACAGCTAAAGAAGAGCGGCGGTCATCTACATAATTAAATCTGATTTTCAGTGTGAGCTCTTTACCCCGTACTAATAGATCAGACCATATCAGAAGCTGCTTCTCGATAGCGGTCCAGATTATGTCGGTATTATTAAATCGTTTAATCAGTTTACGCTTAGTAAGATCGCTTGTTAATACAGTTATAACCGTGTCGTTAGCTGTCACCCGACGGTAACGGGGAGTCTTTCGTCGAAGTGCTTTCTCAAGGTTTTTTCCTAGGGACCATCGCCAGAAGGCGCTAGGGGCCAGGACGACGTCTTCTTCCGTGTCTTGAGACACCTCCCGATTGTTGATTGTCACGCGCCACTCTATACGGTAGTGGATACAGGTTGGCGGTTCCTCGTCGTAAGCTCTTTCCCTCTTCCCACTCGGACAGCTGGAGGAATTTGAGAAGATGTGCCGCAGGTTTGCTTCCAGGCTCGAATCCACCTTCAAGCACGCTAGAGAGAGACGGGCTGGTGACAGATTGTGCTGCATACGAGCTGCCAAAGTACCCCGGGGTTGGTGCGTAGTCCGAGTTTTGTTCCCACGTTCCAGGCTCCATAGATTGGGATCGTTTGTTCCTCAAGTAAGCAATCACAATCCTTGGAACAGCCTGTCAGCTTATTGGAGAGCCATTCGTGGCCAGGGCCGGGGACGAATGAAAGCTGTGATCGGTGATAAAGTCTTGGAAATAGAGGAAAAACATTGCCTACCCGGGTTAGCTTTACAGAGTAATCGTAAGCGTAAGCACAGCTTTCCATATTATGACTAGTGAGCGTAGTGGAAAGTCTGTGGCATGCGGAGAGTGAGAGAGGTCTGACAGGCCGGCGATCATGCCAGATCGCCAGAACTGCAAATCGGTTCCACGAGATTTCATGAGGCTTTACGGTACTAGAACGATGACTCATTTTATTGTTACAGCTGGGTACAGCCATTACAGATAGCATTTTGCCAGAATTTAAAGGCGGTATCCTAGAACAGACTAGCGCATATAGGAATTATTTTCCGGGAAAGAAGTCGCATGAGTATGGAGGTATAACTGATTTCGAAAACTACTGTATCGAAGGGCGAGTAACCCACACGATCATTTACATAATCTAAGGTTCCTCGAGAAAGATAAGCCGCGTCTTGGCGTTTTGTGGTCCGCCAAGTGATAAGCCGTGGCCAATGAGATCTCGTGGAGCCCTAATCGTTCCGATCGTTTTCTTTGCGGGGTTTCTTCGGATGTTTCTCAGATGCCTATCAGGGACCATGGGGTAAATTAAATTGGTATCTGACGGTGCCACCTTCTTACGCCCCTCGCTCATCGTCCGTCAAAGCGTTTTCAATAGCATTTAGCCGCTCCGGCCCATGCCTTAACGGGAAATAAATCTCAGACCTGGAAGCCTCTATGACGATTACCCTGACCAGACTCTATCTACCAGCCTTTGATGCATCCATGTCAACTCATGGGCTCAAAGCCGAGAGTTTTAATTCTTCCAGCTTTTGCCTAGCCCCACTAGGGCTATCTGATTCAACCCAGCGGGATGATCTAGATACCAAAGTGATGCAGCACAAAGAAAAATCGGTTCAACTGACACGGTCGCGATAAACTTGAATGAAAACAAATACTAATAAAATAGTCTCTAATCCTAAATTTAAAGGAGAGGATGAAATATTAGTCAATAGTGTGGCGGATCGTTTGCTGTGAGTCGAACCACCAAGACCAAAGGATTTCCCTTCGATTCTTGAAACGATCGTTAGGAAACGGGATCCAATAGGAAAGAGGCTTGAACTTTCCCATGTGAGGCATGGTGAGATGTGTATCCAAACTATTTCCAGGGCATCAAAGTGTAGTAGCATAGTAATTTATCATCCTAGAGGGTGAAATAATCCAATGCAAAAGGACTCTGTGCCCCCAAAACTGCACACTCTTAGAATCAGCATGTGTGGCTCGGCTGGGCCGACATATTTACCTTGGCGCAGAGGTCTTCATTGAAATATCTCACAGATAGGAAAGCATGACTGGAAAACAAGGCTGAGACCAGAAGATGAAAAATTTCACATGATAATAGAGAGCACCGCACGAGACACTCATATCTAGAGACATTGGGCGAAGTTCCCAGCGCATTCGAAGCTCAGTCATGATTATAATTTGAAATATCGGCTTTAAATTTCGTTTCATGGGCGAAACTATGAAACAAAACAAAAGAGGGCACGATGGCGATAGACATGAGTTATGAAGCATAATATGCCCTCTGGCTCACTTGAAGTAATTGAGGCCTTGTAACCCCGAGCATTGTGTGACCATATTCCCGCAGTAACGTATATAGATCGAATGACAATTAGACTTGTCTTTCCGGAAGAATTTCTAGGTTTTCTGCATCGGACCTCCTCGAAGCACGTCGTGATTTCGTTGACCGAGACAGAAGCTTGGACGGGTGGAAGATACTCATTGCGACCATAGTAAAGAACATCAGCGTTGAATCAAAGACATATAAGAATACCTCATGACTAATGAGGTAGCCATCGTTGCCTTGAGCGTATTCAAGGAGCCGGAAAATCGACCGAATGAGAATAAGGATGCTGGCCACATATAGCCCTGTCATGACGAATTGCCAAGTCGATCTGTGCAGTCCTCTAGATGAGCGAGAAGACTTCTCGGTGGGATTATTGCGAACTCGGTAGTGGAATATTGTGGAAGCTATGATGAAAACACTGAAAAACACTAATTGTACAGCGAGACCGCCAATTGTGATGTGTTCGCCGGTGGTCATCGCGCTAAGTGTTCCACTGGCCATGATTCCGCCGCCTTTATTACAATTAGCTATCGTCGACCTGGGCGACTGAGTGAATCGAGAGGACTATTTACCTGCTGCTTGCATCACAAATGCGATCACATCTCCCGTGACGAAAATTCCGGTAAGCCACTTGACTGGCACTACACTGAAAACTTCAGCGTCCAAATGTACAATGAGTCGACCGAGCGTCATGTATATCGAGGCTGCATAGAGAGGAGGAGCGAGAAGAATCATGATCGTGCTAATTGAGTAAAGAGGGATGTTTTCTTTGTTGTAATGGGCCAGCGCGCGGCATATGTAACCTATAATTTGAACTGTAGCCCCTGTCAGAGATTGCTATGGGCTTCTGCGAAAGTCGCGAGGAAGATGGCAAGGCCTTGAAATGAGAGCGGTCCAACTTACAGACACCTCCAATGACGAAGACTGTAAAGTACCAGGATCGAGTACGAACAACCTGGTAGAGATGATACAAGGTCGCAAGGACAAAAAGAACAATGAAGATGATTGCAGCCACAAGAGAGGGCGTATAGCGGTATAATTTGAAATCTATCTCTCCATTCCCGTTTGAAGCCATGATAGATGGGTGTTGGAACTGGGTCTAGCAACTGTCAAATGGGCTAAGTATACTCCGACCGACAGGAGGGGCGTCAAGGGGAGTTGAAGAGACTTTTCAATGTGGATTTGTCGTCTTGAAGGAGTGGCAGAAAGAGTTCAGTTTGATTATTTTCTGAGCGCGCAGGGTCGGTATTTGAATCAAGTCACGAACGGTTTCATTTGAGCGCCGTAATCGTATTTGGGCTAAAAGCAGGGACGTCATTTTCATTTTATTTTCTTTTTTTCATGTTTTCTCTTGGAGTCTATGGTACTGGATACATTTGACGGCACGGAAATGTGGTGAAATCCCAAGTTGACCCACTCGTATTCGGATTCACGGTTTCGCTGGTTCCTTTTCTGCTAGCGTGGGCCCGGACCAACAACGCCTTTTTCGTCTCTCCGAAGGGGCGATTACCTAAGGCACCAAGGCTTTCCTTAGTTCTTTAGAATAGGCAAATCGCTCTTTCTGTAAACGTCGAAACTCCGTCAATAAAGGAAGGTAGACGGCAGCTCCAAGCAGCCCTTCACGGGTAGTACCTGGCTTAGGTGTTCGATCCTCCTACGCTACCCTTAATGTGTCTTCGCTGTCTCTCCGATGACATTTACGAAGTGTACGAGTAGTGACTGCTGACTAGCATTAGAACTCTTCGCTGCTCTCTGAGATTTGACTTATTCATCCATCCCAAGGATGAGCTTCGCATCAGCATTCAGTACAGTACAAGTTTACAGTCATCAATCGGGGGACCGTATTTTCAAGGCGTCTATCCGTCTCAATTCTCTGTTCGAGACGACCGGCAACGATAAAAATGAAGATGAGCTGGATGAACCCTGAAGGGTGCCTCTCAGTGTGTTCTTCATGATTGACGTAGGTGATAGCCGATGAAATAGAAGAATATCTATTTTAGGGATGACAGCAAGTGATCAATCAAGTGGACTATCAAGGTATCTTCGAGGGTCTCATTCGGTGCTAGCCATCACGGCCCGAAGCCGTCCAAGTGCAGCCAGTAGGTACTTCCCTGGTCGAAAAATTATGTGGTTCAAGGAGTGGAGGTCGATGGCAAATTCATGACCTCAATGGGCCATAGCATCAACTTTGACAGTTGACTCTCCGTCTGGGTACCAATAAGATCGTTGATTTTGAGTATCTCTCTTTCGAAGGAGCCCCTCAAAAACCAGCTATCAACTAGAGTATTGACCAAATAGAAATGAGCAAGAACGACGAGTGAGTGTCCGTGAAAGTAATCATGTTCAGTTCCCTGAACCGAGGCCAAGAACGTACTTGGAAGCAGGATAGGCCAGGACAATATCGCCGCCTCTTCAAAATCCAATTGGATCTCCTTGTCAACAGAGGTCTCAGTAGCTGCGCACTGTAATACGTAGAGAATGCGTGAATACACCGTCTCCAGGATCTCTATAGCGCCAGAGCACTCGTCCACGACTAAGCCTAGACTTGTAGACGGCGAAGGTTGGGATGTCCGCACACTCGAGTGGCTTGATAAGTCATCCTTAGCGGGTTCAAGCCCCGAAATAGAAGCTTTCATATTGGCGACTGCTTCGCTGGCGCCTTCGGCAAATTTGAACAGGCGAGGTGAGCAACGAGAAAGTCGAGATGATGATGCATCGAACGGTAAATCCTTCAAATACCCATCGCCGTGTGGGTATATCACCATCTGCCGGAGTCGACTAGCTTTTAACACATCCCATTGATCTTGTATCACAGTTGATACCCCTCGGTTAAGATATAACCAGTTGAGACGTAAGATGCCATTTGTTGGGGAGGAATGAATTGTTGCTCTGTTCATTTCTTCGGGAATCATGTCAGGCGGATTGAGCTCCTGAACTCTAAGGGATGCAAAGGCAAACCCGACAAGAAGCAAAGAGCCCGTAAAAGCAAGTTCGACATTGGAGGAAGTTATGCAAGACACCTCTTTTCTGAAGCCTTCCAGCCCTCTTTGATGATGCTCCATGATGATTGTCAAGTCCACCGTATCTGAGGGGTCAAGTACGCCAGACCTGTTAGCCTCAGCTTGCTGTGTGATCATGTGGATGCCCCCTAGTGCTAGAAGCAGATGCATCAGAAACCGACTTTTGTTTCCCAAATTCAGGGATGATCCGCTGCCAGATCATGGATCTCCTCGGGTGCAACGACATTTGTCTCGCAGTGTGCAAATGGAAAAATTGAAGGAGCTTCAAATCCTCCATGGCTAGGTTCTCGTGTCCATGATCATACTGGCTCCAGAAAATAGCTGGTAATGTCGCGTTGAGCGGCGGAGCTCCATCCGAGAACCCAAAAGAGTCTGGCAATGGGCATCTATTGTCGTGGCTCGACTCTCCCCTTTTGACTTTAGAGATTTTCTTCGAAGGAATGCGTGGGCTGGGATAAGAGCAAGGTTCGCCTCTAGAAGAGCATGTGCCGCAGGCGGGCTGAAATTCGTCACACTTGGAGATATCAGCATTCGGTTCCCGAGAATCAGTCGGAACTCAACCATCAAGTAATATTCGTACTTTGACCCTTCGGGATTTGCAAGGATAGCAGCCATTGCGAGACTTGGTGTGGCGGATGCGATGTCTTTTCAGAACGCGTTGACTGTCCGAAGTGGCATCAGAAACCACCGAATCTGCCGTGTGTTCGACCATTATTTGGAGATCCTTGCTTTCTGAAGGCGAAAGAAATAAGCACCATTATCGACAACCGTGTGAGGCTGGAGCCTACGCAATGTATTTACGAGTAGGCGAAGTAGGTAGGTTGCGATGAACCCTGGTTGTAGGGCGGCCGACAGCAACCAGAGACGTATCTTCGAAAGGGTCCAATTCCGGCTCTGAACCCGCGCACAGCCCTGGAGGCAGTTTGATGGGAGCTTTTTTGTACTTTACACAAGAAGGTCAATCACATTAAAACGAACTCTCATTCTAAGACCGCTCTTCTGTTCCTGAACTGTGGCGGAAATCATTAAATGGAAGACGTTACCATTCACGCGAGGTCTAAGGAGCCAGATGAAGCCTCGGAGGGAAAAGACAGGGGAAATTGAAGAAGGGAAACTTCCTTTTCGTTGTTTTCTTGTTATATATAGGTAGTAAAATGCTTCAAGGTTCCTCTAAATGTACTGGAGTTTCATCTAATTGAACTTCTCTCACCTGGATTCTTTTCTCGCGCCCAAGTAATCCTCCACTCCTCCGACTTGATTATCTCTTCTGGGCTCTCTTATGATCGCAAATAAGGTAATAATATCATTTCGAAAGCATTTGATTATCACCAGTTATCCGATTCATATAAAAAGTCAGATTTGTTCTTTTATTTGCTGAAAAGTTTCCCTCCATATGAGAAGCCGGCTTCTCATGATTGTACATTGAGCGCTACTCCGTGGATTTCATAATAAGCTGTGGGAAAAGGTAGTGTCTATAGACTACTTCAAATCTTACACAAGCCCAGAATCTCAAATTTTTAGGAAGCAAATAGAGATTAATCGAACCCTGACAGGTAATAAGGTTCATTCATCGACAATACTATGTAGCCTAAATTCAGGCCCACGGGAGACTTAAAAAAAAGAAAAAACTCGGACTTCTCCTATTTTAAGGCTGTGTTGATTGCCTCATGCGGCCAAGTTCATGCTCAGATCTCTTGGGACGACTACCATTTCTGTCGGCAAACCCGATTTTTTGTCGTTAATCGTTCTAATTATTTTATTACTTAATAGAGTTAGAGATCTGATCCACTGGGTAGACGAGGGTCGGCGGGTCCGAGACCCCACCCGTATTCTTATCCAGGTGAGAAACGCTCTAATACGAAAACGGCAGTTCCTGAAGCCTTGCATTCTTTCTTCCCGGTAGTCTGCCGCCTCTCTCAGTAGCCCAGGGCGCCTTGGAAATTGGGACGCGCGCTCCTTTCTTACAAACCCAATAACGCGATACCGATGGGCTTCAAATTTAGATCTTCTGCACGACTGCAAGAAATACCACGGAGGGCGGCTCATCTTCCGTGATTGTACAATCTTTTCGAAACTTCTTCAGGGGTATCTCTTGTTGTGAGATATGAATAGTTCATTTTCAAACTTTCAATGTGGCCTTCTTTCATTTTACTTGCGGCAGTCAACGTGGCTCGCAGCTTACGCGCGCAAACACACCAGAATCCTGCCAGTTCAGGATGGCACCGCGATCCCAGTTGTGTCTTTGTCTCCGAGAGAGGCAATACCACTTTCTGAGCCTCTTCAATGTTACTCCTGCCGCCCAGAACTTCAATCTACGCTAGCAAAGATCTCGCGACTTGGAAACTGGCCAGTCACGCCATTTCCCGAGAAAATAAGTACCCGGTGTTCAATATATTAATCTCCTCAATCGATGGCACTTAAGCGCCGACGCTGAGATATCAGCAGGAGACATTCTACGTTATTACCATGTACAAGAAAGCCCTCTCTGAAAGGACCATCGGATTGATCTTCAACACAATGGACCCTATCAGCGACGATGCTTGGAGCGTTCCCATTCAGTATAACGCCGAGACGATTGACCTGGATCTTTTCCGGGAAGTCGATAATACAGCTTATGTGAAATCTGCTGGAGTCAGCCTCTAGATAGTGGACGTCACGTCTGGCGCCCTAGGGGAACCACCCTTTGGACCTGTTCATGTCGGGAAGTTCATCCCGTGAGGGAAGTGGGGCTTTGATCATGACTTTCGGTCTCCAGGAGAAATTGTCGGCCAGAATCTAAGAGAGTCCTCGGCCTCACATGGCCATAAAGTGTAGATTTCTGCAAACGTATGCCTCACATTATGCATTCTTTATTGACTAAAGACAGGAGGCAGGAATCGTACACGATCCGGAAATCAGCCACGTTGTTTTCGTGGGCACAGAGATGCAGAAAAATTGAGAAACCAAAAACGAAAACGCATGCACCATCGTGCCGATCTATTAGATATCGAACAGAGAAATTTCAAGGCCAGAGATACAAGACAGAATAGACTTCTCGTAATTTCCATCAGTAACTGGGGCATCAGCACTCTCTCTGCGCCAGGCATTTCTTGAACATGAAAAGTGAAAGGACCAATGCAATCAGATAGCGCAATTAATGACTGAATGAGGTGACCCAAGTGAATGATGAGAACGGCGTATTTAATGAAACACAACGTATGCATACTGTGACGATAAGTGGATAGTAAGCGACTGAGGAGGGATGTTTGAGGGTGGGACGAACAGTGAGATAGATATCTAACACAATAGACGATTCGAATGATTATGACAATAGAGTCGACAGCGCCGGATAGCGAGGGCAAGTAGATGCTGGGGGCCGGAAGAAGAAAAGTAAGAGTGTATAATTACACGCCATGATAATATTGATCTGGCTTCACGGTCGGGTCGTTTGGGGGGCGAGTCAACTCATAATCTGGAACAACGTCCATGAACTGAGTAATTTCATGTGGATGAGAGATGTTGAAGATAAGCATGGCAATGAATATAAGCAGTGCGTCGAAAACATATAAATAGATCTCGTGATGCAAGAGGTAGCCATTATTGCCCTGTATGTATTCGACAACTCGAAAGAGCGATCGGACGAGAATCAGTAGACTGGCCACGTAGAGCATGTTGAGATGTTTGCGCCAGGGGATTTCGGCGGCGAAGCAGCGTGGGATAGGGTACTTTCGCAGCTTTGTATCAAACATGACAGCAACGGTGACGAAGAAGCCAAAAAAGATGATCTGGACAAAAAGGCCCACGATGATAAGACGCTCGCCAGTCTTCATTCCATCAAGGCTGCCGCTGCTCTGTATGCCACCACCTGAACGCGAAATTAGCACAAGTGTCCTGCCTTTGACGCTCTTTCAACTTGCGTCTTGTTTCGGTGACACATACCAGCACCCTGAAGAAGAAACGACATAACGTCGCCGGTAACAAAGATCTTGGTCAGCCACTTTTTTTTCAAGATTGCATGCGATTCTGCCTGTAGCACCAAGATGATTCGGCCAAGTAACATGTAGATCGAAGCTGCCAGAAGAGCTGGGGCGAGGAGCAGACAGAGTGTCTGCATTATGTAGGGACCGAGTGTCCAGTTCGGACTTTGGTTGCTTGACAAGGCACGCCCGATGTATCCGATGATCTCGACTAATCACATCAGTGTAAGCATAAAAAGATGTCTAGACCAAGTTTGCACATACGGAGACCTCCTATCACAAAGGGAATGTAGAACCAGGTACGATTTTTGAACAACTGGTAAATGTGGCAGAAGGTTGTGCCCGTAAAAAGGATTGTGAAAAGGACGGCACCGCCCATGCTGGGGTCATAGCGATAGAAAGCAAAAGTTGCATCTTCGTCAGAACGAACGGATGCCATTTGGCTCTGCGATTTGAAACGAGGACTGATACTGCTGTGGTTAAGAAATGTTTGTTGGAAAGGACCGACTCTCACGTATGAAGTCGTAAGGTTGGGCGTTAATCAACATGTAATAGAACTGCTCGTAGACTATCTTATCCCATTTTCAGACAGGACAAATTCTGTTGAGGATTATAAATACTTGCTGGCAAAGGAGTATGGAGTTCAGAAATTAGGTAAAGTTGCATGGGACGCTGGAAATACGAAATAGCACGAAGAAACGCATACGAGTACGGGTGGGTCAGCGGCAAAACGAACACAACTCGCAACTTTTAATTGGAAACAAAAACAAACATAGCCGTCCTCTTCAACATAGCTACAAATAGTCGAAAGGACCCATGTCACGGATTCGCACCTGGAATGGCATGTTCAGGAAGGCCAGAAAAGCGAATGGCTCACAAAATAGAAGGCAAGTGGGTTTTACATCTGTTCCAGGATATCGTCGTTATTCCCGAGTGTCTTTCTGTCGTCGATATCGCCCTTGGCAGTGCTCGCCATGTGTATTTTCTGAGACTTTTTCAGGGTCCCGCTCAGCTGGGTGCTCATATTTGCACTCCTAGCTACGGAAGTCCTGACCCACTTATGTAACCAACGACACCAACGTGTAATGATTGCACACTCCCTCCTTTCGTCTCTTCTCCAACTGGAGTCAAATAATTCGACTAAACTTTATTGGATTGGTTCCCCTGGTAGATTCGGCCCGTTCTGGCATACAAGGCCAAACTGTATCAGCTTGCTGTGACAAGATCATAGATTGATCGTCTCAGTGGAAAGGTCATCTAGGGAATTCTTTCTCATGACCTTTCCGTATGTCGAACGTGGAACTACATTAAGCCTTTTTTGATACTCATTTTCGAAAACGCAGAGAGTTCGCTGTCTTTGGGGAGGCATGATCTATTGGCCCTGCACGTAGATGTCCATTGCGCTGAATTTCGTAATAAGGCTACGTCACATTCGCAACAGGTGGCCCTTGGGGGATGATTTCTTGATACCGAAAGTCAACATGAACTTGTGTCTTCTCTCACACTATGACGGGACGATATTGTTGCAGCCATCATGTCTTCGAACACGGATTCTGAGCTAGATACCGAAACCTCCAGCAACAGCTTTCTGGGTGACCTAGGACCCCCGATCAGAAGGTACCCGTACAAGGGAACTAGAAACTTACGAGAAACAGTGGAGATGGAACTGAGTCGCCAGCAAGAGGAAAATGAGGCCAGTGAATGGGTACTGTTCACCGGAGTGAATAAGCAGACCTTCAGTCGCGACTTCCTAAACTCGGACGATCGTTACCTTGAGCGTTGCTGGAATTCTTACGATTCATCCCAACACCTTCTACTTGTCATAATGACATTCTCACGAGCCCACGAGGTAGCAACACATGTATTCGAAAGGATTCTTCTCTTTTCTATCGACCCAATGGGCCTCGTTAACTGCCTTCGGTCTTTTGGATCGGCCACTTGCAAAGCAGAAAATGGCTCCGCTAAACAGCCCGACTGCCAGTTTTTACCAAAAAGACTTCCTCGAGCTCGAACGAACCAATGGCCCTCAGTTGTGGTGGAAACAGCCTTTTCAGAGTCCCCCTCCAAATTGATATCCGATGGGCGGTTCTGGCTTCGCGAGTCCAACGGCGATGTTCAAGTGGTCATCACAATCAAAATCGGTCGAAGCTCGCCTGAAATCGTGCTAGAGTCATGGGGACTTGTGAATGATAGGCCCAAACGTCAGCAAGTCGTTACGATCAGCAAAGGCAAGAACAATAATGTCTACATTCGGGGCCAGCCGCTTACCATCCGCTTCGACCAACTCTTTCTTCGCCCGTCGAGCATCTCGAAGGAGGGGAATATCAACTTTGGCCAGACTCCTTTGATGGAACTTGCCGAGAACGTCTGGGAAGAGCAAGGGTTTTGACGGTGGCTCAGTCGAAGTCGTTCGTGTTATGGCTCGTAATTAGTTTTCCGTTTTCATATCCTTACAGTTTGTTCGCGAGCATCCGATGCACTTTGCGTTAGGTCAGTGCTCTAGCTTGCCTATGTGTTAGCTACTAAGCGAGAAAGGAATTGAACTACTTAGTTCCAATCCGGAAAACAAATGGATGAACTTTCGAAATTTTTCATGAAAGTGGGAATGATAAGCACAATGTCGCAGAAAATCGCAATAAGGATGGACCACGAAGTGCCCTCGCTCATTGAAGCAATTCAGAACCATTCTCCTACTTTGCTTCGTTGCCTTGTCCTCTTCGCGATGCAATCGAAAAGATACCGCTTTACGCTCTCCACTGTAGATCGCCCGAAGCGGTCTAGCGCCCGAGAATCGGATTGTGGAACGAGTCATTGTCCCGCATATTATCGCCCTACCTCACTATCCCTCTTCTCATACTTTTCGCCAATTGACTCAGTCCCAAGCCGTCATAATGAGCAACACCAAGGGCGTCGCCGAGAACATGCTTTGGGGAGGTCGTTTCACCCGTGAGTTCTCCCCATTACCATCACTACCCTCGTCAATGGCTGCTTCGTCCGATAAGACTGACTCACAAAAAAATCACAGAGGGCCTCGACCCCGTCATGGAGCAGTACAATGCCTCGCTCCCCTACGACCGCATTATGTGGAAGCAAGATATCGCTGGCTCAATCGCCTTCGCCCGCGCCAACACCAAGACCGGCATCCTCACGCTGCACGAGTTCGCCGAGATTGAGCGCGGTTTCGCGCAGATCGCCGAGGAATGGCGCACCGATACCTTCGAGGCCAAGCCCAATGACGAGGACATCCACACTGCCAACGAGCGCCGTCTCAGTGAGATTATCGGCAAGGAGATTGGCGGCAAACTGCACACCGGCCGCTCGCGCAACGAGCAGGTCGCTACCGACATGCGCTTGTGGCTGCGCGACGAGCTCCGCCAACTGGACGGTCTCCTCTGCGATCTGATCAAGGTTTCAATCGCCCGTGCTGAGCAGGAGATTGACTACATCATGCCTGGCTACACTCACCTCCAGAAGGCTCAGCCTGTCCGCTGGTCCCACTGGATGCTCTCCCACGCTACTGCGTTCGCTAGCGAGCTGCAGCGTCTCCGTGAGGTGATCCGCCGCGTCAACCGTAGCCCTCTCGGCTGTGGTGCTCTGGCTGGTAACCCCTTCCAAATTGACCGTCACGCTATGGCCAAGGAGCTGGGCTTCGATGATCTGTTGTACAACTCAATGAACACTGTGGGTGACCGTGACTTTGCTATGGAGACCATGCAGTGGGGTAGCTCGTTCATGCTCAAGATTTCCCGCTGGGCGGAGGACTTGATTATTTACAGCAGTGGAGAGTTTGGCTACGTCCGGTTGTCGGATGCCTACTCGACTGGTTCATCGTTGATGCCGCAGAAGAAGAACGCCGGTGAGTCCACTGATGTACCCTTTTGTTGTTGTTTTTTTTTAACTTCACCATACTGATAATCCATGATAGACTCTCTGGAACTGCTCCGCGGCAAGTCCGGTCGCGCTTTCGGCCAAATGGCCGGCCTGATGATGACCATCAAGGGCCTGCCCACCACCTACAACAAGGATCTGCAGGAGAGCATCGAGCCCCTGCTCGACCACATCAAGACCGTCAGCGACAGCATCCAGATCGCCACCGGTGTTCTGTCCACTCTGACCGCCATCCCCGAGAAGATGATCGCTGCTTTGGCCCCCGAGATGCTGGCCACCGAGATCGCCGACTACCTCGTCCGCAAGGGCGTTCCTTTCCGCGAGGGTCACCACATCTCCGGCCGCGTGGTCGCCCTGGCCGAGCAGAAGAAGGTGCCCATGGATACCCTCTCTCTAGAGCAGCTGAAGGGTGTTGACGCCCGTTTCGACGAGGACGTGCAGTCCTGCCTGGATTATGAGCGTGCCGTTGAGCTCAAGGATGCCATCGGTGGAACCAGCAAGCGCGCCGTTCTGGAGCAGACCGCCGTGCTCAAGAAGCTGCTGTAGAAAACCGAGTCCCTAGTGGATGATATGACGAAAATGCATCGCGGGGACTGATTCAGACCAAAAAGCCACACTGATTGACTTTTATGATTCCTTCGATTCTCGTAAAATTTTCCTGTTCTCGCCTCGGCTATAACGAAAACAGATTTAGCTTCAATTCGGTTCCCGAGTTTCGACACGTTGCGAATTTAAACTTTGCCATCGCGTGGACTTTTTTCTTAATTTTGCTGGGTGTGACACTCCCCACGTCCGCCCTGTTCATTGGCCGCCGTAAATACCTCAAGTATAAGCCGCCACAGACTGCCCGCAACCGTGTGAGGCATTTGTTGCAACCACACGTCGCCTATTAATATAGAATATGCCACGAACTTCCTCTTTCCTCCTTCCCAGGTTCCAGACGCCATGTGGAAGCCTCCGATAGACTTTCTTACCTTGCATTGTGCGTGTCTCCGTCGTGTCACGGTGAATTACTCGAGATTAACGAATCACAGATGCCTGGATCATCACACTGAGTATTCTGAGCTTAGTGATTATCTATCCATATGGAAATCTCCGGGCGATTGATGCCTACTTTTTCGGCGCCAGTGCATCGACCGAGTCGGGCTTGAATACGTGAGTTTCCTTTTGATTTTTGATTTTTTTTTTGACTTTTTTGTCCTGATCTTACCTCCCGTTTCGTTACCGTGGTTCGATCTGACGAGGAATGATGTTAGGGTCGATGTCAAGGCTTTGAAGACCTATCAGCAGGTGTATATCTATCTCGTTCCAATTCTGGGGAATTTGGGCTTCATCAATATCATCGTGGTCGTTGTGCGCTTGCGCTGGTTTGAGAAACGATTGAAGGCTGTTGGTGAGATATTTCCCTGGATAGACTTACTCGGTGGCGCACCTGCTAATACTTTGAGGTTTCTAGCGCCACATCTTCTACGACCACAACCGTCTATCGCTCAAGATGCCGAGGCTCAGCTTCAAGATGAGGTCGGCCCGGAAGGTTGTACCCGACGCCGGTGCACTGAGGAAACAGGATGAGCGTGAATCCCCTGAGAACACTCCGGATGGACTCGACGAGATTTTGGAGATTTCTCCTAGGTTGTTGTTACTCAGAAGGATTAGGATCGTCTTGCAGACACTAATCTATATGCAGTTCCGACAGGGTGACAGACTCAGAGGTCGACATCGACCCCAAGAGTCCCGTTCCGGACCTGCCTCCCATCCGTCAAACAATCCAATTCGCCGATGAGGGGCAATCACGGAATGAGAAAGCCCTTTACATCCCCCCGCCGTGGAGGCGTGATAGAGGTGTGCAGGAATTACAGAGCTTCCGTTGCCTTCAGAAACTGATAATTATGCTCAGGTGGTAGCTTTGTCGAAGTCGAGGAAGACTATGCCGATGATGGTACATTATCCTTTCCCTAAGAGATCTCATTGAATCCCTATATTAACAGAGACTGCTGAAGGAAAATCGATCATGTCAACCTACACCGACCAAGGACGTATCGACGGGCTCCGTCGTCGCCAAACCGCCACGAGCATCTATTCCACAACTACCCGGCCGCTCGAGCAAGCTGCTTCGATGATGTTTCGAGTCGGAGGGTCCGCAAGTTCGACTCGAGCTCCCAATCCCAAACGAGAATTCAAGAACCTGGACCTACCCAATATCTCCTCCCAGGCGACGCAGAGCCGAAACTCTCAGTTCCACAACTTGACAGCCGAGGATCGTCAGAAACTGGGTGGTATCGAGTACCGTAGTTTAAAACTGTTGCTGAAGATTGTCATCGGCTACTTCGTCGGGCTGCATCTTTTCGGAGCCATTTGTCTGGTCGGATGGGTTTTGCACTGTGACCCGAGATATCGTGAATACCTCGCTGAGTGCGGCCAAGGAGATGTCTGGTGGTAAGTCTTAAATCGTTCCCCATCAGACAAGATCCCATACTGATCAACCCACCTTAGGGGCTTCTACTCCTCCCAAACAATGATCTCCAATCTCGGCTTCACTCTAACTCCTGACTCAATGGTCCACTTCCAGGACGCAACATTCCCATTGATTGTCATGAGCTTTCTCGCCTTCGCCGGAAACACTTGCTACCCATGCCTCCTTCGCCTGATCATCTGGATCATGTACAAACTGTGTCCTCAGAACTCGTCGATGAAAGAAACCCTCTCTTTCCTCCTCGACCACCCCCGTCGCTGCTTCACGCTCCTCTTCCCAAGCAAACCAACCTGGATTCTCTTCGGTATCCTGTTCATCATGAACGCCGTGGACGTGATCTTCATCATTGTTCTTGACCTCCACAATCCGGCCGTCGATAACCTCCCCGCTGGTCCACGGACGCTCGCTGCGATCTTCCAAGCCGCCTCGACTCGCCATACGGGGACTGCCATTTTCAATCTGGCGAATGTCAATCCCGCGGTACAGTTCAGTTTGGTGGTGATGATGTACATTGCCGTCTTCCCTATTGCGATCAGTGTCAGAGCAAGCAACGTTTACGAGGAGAGGACCTTAGGTGTTTATGCTGCGGAAACCACTGCTGATGAGCAGAACGGGAAGTCATATATAATCACGCACATTCAGAACCAGTTGAGTTTTGATTTGTGGTATATCTTCCTCGGGTGCTTTTGCATTTGCATTGCTGAGTCTGGAAAGATCGCGGATAACAATGATCCGGTATGTTCCTTTTCTGTGGAAGGTCTTTGGAGGTTTGCTAATATGTTCCAGGCATTCTCGGTCTTCTCGGTCTTGTTCGAGGTTGTTTCAGCATAGTGAGTACACTGGTTGACTTTGGCTGGGTTTCGATAATTGGCTAATACTCCGCAGTGCGAATGTCGGTCTTAGTCTAGGCTATCCAACCAACAATGCTTCCCTCTCTGGGGAGTTCTCCATATTCAGCAAACTCGTCATTTGTTTCATGATGATTCGAGGCCGGCATCGTGGATTGCCGTATAGCATCGATCGGGCCATTGTTCTCCCGGGAGAGAACTTTGTCGATCGTGGAGAGGACGGCGTGTCACAGAGAAGGGAATTGACACAATAACATCTGTGGATTACATTGGCTGCTTCGCAGGTCAATGTTCTTGGTACGATTTACATATACTGCAGGGATATTGGACAGTTAGAATTTTCCCCTGTTATAGATCATGACCTGATGAATACATACACGAGGTTCGCGGGTTTTCCGCCTACCAAGAATTTACCTACTCTAGATCTTTTCCGAGGTTCTCTTAGACGTTAGACGAACCTTGTCCTTGGATTCTTCATTTCAAGTCACAATACTTAAAGGCCACTTCATTACATACAGTCATTAATATCACTATCGTAAATGGTAATTATACATGTGCACACACTCACAACACCACTCACCCGAGCTCTGTATAGGCGGAACGGTGCAAGGGCTTGCAATGCATCGGGTATCAAGCGCTTTTGGTCCTGGCGATCCAGAAGGAATATCAACATTCTAGAATCACCTCCATCCCTCTTATCGAACATACCGCAACCGACGCGTCGCTTCAGCAGCCACAAGTGCACTGATGGCACCGATGAAAAGACAAACGGCGATAGCGTTGGGCTTATCCTTGTCCAGGTTCATCCAATTCGTATCGGACGCGTCGCTTTCCGTGTTTGGCTCAGCGCCCGGTTCGAGGATGGTGAACACGATCCAGCTGATAAACGTGCCGACGAACTGGGGAAGTGTGGTGTAAACATTCAATACACCAAGGTAGATACCAGCGAGCTCGCCCGTGGAGGGGATATTGGAGGCCTGGTCTTCTTCATCTGTGTCGTCGCCGTCCGAGTCATGGTGGTTGAGTCGGAGGACTTCTAATTCCGTATCCGCGGCTGAGCTGCGCATGCTAGCGGATGTAATCATCGTCACGCCGGAGCGGGTGGTTGATCCTGTTGCACCGTTGGTGTTCATTGTGAGTTTGTTAATTTCCACGCCCATAAAGGCGAATGGGGCCCAGCCGCTGATTGCCCACGGAATGCCGCAGACTGCGACGAGGAAGGTTGCGAACCCACGGGAGTGGGCTAGTGGTGCGAAGATCATGGTCGCAGCGAACATGATCTGTGAGATCAGCCAGGCTGTTTGAAGGTCGGGTCGGACTGCGGTCATGGCTTTCAGGGCCGCTGCCACGCCGGGTGGTGGTCGAGGTGTGAAGCGCGTGCGCTTGGTGTCGGGTGATTGTATACAGAATGGTAACAGGACGGAGCTTAGGAAGGTAATTGACGAGAATACTGTCAACGACAGGCTGCCAACTCGACCGACTTCGCCAAGCATATCCGTCGCCTTTGACAAATCCTCCTTGGGCACTTCGTATCGGAAGTAGGTTTCGCCTACCCATGTGGTACTATAGAAGAGGAAAGGGAACCAGCCTGCATACTGTCAGCTATCGAGATGTCTCGTCAGAACTTATGAAAGGTCCATACCGATCCATGCCCAGAATTGAGCCCAGCAAATAGCCTGGATACGGGGCGGCAGATCTAGTGTAGTTTGGAACAGCTGGGATATCACTTGAAATGCACCCGCTTTGCCATCAGAGCCCCTGTCATTATGTTAGCGCGTATGTCCAATGTTGTTGAGAAAGATTGGGAAGTCTACCTCGCTGTGATCAGAACACGCTCCTTCACAGAATACGAGGTAACACCCACAGCGCCGACCAAGGACAATGCCGCGATCACAGTCATTTGTTTAAACTGCGTGTCACCGAAAAATGTTCCAAAGATGCGGACGGTGTCAATTGAGCCGATCACATAGCTGATGAGCTGGCCGATGGCACTCATTCTACCGGCTGTCATAATGTCAGAACTTCCTTCAAGACCAGCCAAGATGAGGAGCACATACCCCAAGCAGATCCAGCTTGTTGCAGTGGAATTGGAAGTGTATCCACGATCAAACTCCGACAGCATGCTTGGACTAAAGGTCAATTAGCAAAGTCCTCCAACCTGAGCCATCCCACTTACCGACGTTAATAGAGAAATCCACAGCATATATACTGGAGACCGCCAATGCGATTGTGACGTTCTTAGCCTACATGGAAGACCCAGTCAGCGTGATGATCCTGCAATCTAGCAATTCAACCATCCGTCCACCCCCTTCCATAATGACAACATACCTTCTCAGGTTCCTGAACAAACAATCCAACAATCTCAGCCGTCCAGCCAAGGACAATTAGACAAAAAGCCACAACAAGCGACCCAAAGATCATGAAAGGCCTCCTCCTCCCCCATTTCGATCGCGATCGATCCGCAATAACACCAATAAGAGGCTGTATAAGCAACCCAGACAACGGACCCGCAATCCACACCAACGAAGTCTTAGATTTCGTCAACCCAAGCTGAAGAAGGTAAGGCGTGCAATCTAAGCAAATTAAAACTTAGTCCCGCTCATAACAAACCAGAGTCAGTGCTCAAGATCAAGATCCTCTCACATGTCATCTCCGTGCCCCATGTAAATCTATGAAAATTCAACGTTAGCAATTGACCTTCATATCCAGACACCAGTCTCATCTGCTCCAAGGGCCGAATCAACGTACTGTAACCCCACAAGACTAAACGTCAACAACGCCATTCGCGTTGACTCGGACCGTCCCTTGATAGACGGCGAGCCCGCCCATCTTGCAGCCTGTGGCATCCTGCTCTAGGCGCGTCGCATGCGCTTCGCTCCGGTTCTCCAAACCTGAAGGTAAGGTATGTGAAGTAGGTCGCACTTCGGGACCCGTAGGCCTTTGCGCCGTTTCGAATCGCGCACTATTCGAAATCCTCCCCTCTTTGAAACCGGACTGATCGTCTCGCAGAGTCTCTGCGCGAGGTTGAGCGCTGTTGAGAAATGGTCCGGGGCCGTGTTGCTTTGTAGCGCGCACTCGCGGTCCGGATGTGAGGAGAGTTTCGGATTCGGGGGTTTGCGTGCGTTTAAGAGGTCGTAAAACACTCAATTGAGGGACTTGGGACGATATGTCGCGAGCGAACTGGTTCTGGAGAAGGGAGAAGGGGAAGAAAAAAGATTTGGCCTGAGCGCAGTTCATGCGGGCCCCCGGGCCGCTTATCGCTGGGAAAGGAAGACCCGCCAGGGGTTGGCGATGCCGATCGCTGTCACACGGCATATAATCTGGGAAGATGGGGGATTTTCTGGTATGCAGACCTCTGTGGGGTAGCTCAATGGATTTTTTTTTTAAAAGGTTTAGTTTATTTCGATGTTTATGCTTAGTTTCATGCAGTTTTCTGGGTTCAGGTAGGGGTAGAAGGGTGATTGGTTGATTGGTGCATTGGTGCATTGGATGAGTAATCGGGTGCCATTTATAGCACACGATTTGGTAGCAGCAAATGGAGACCGACCAGGTATTGAATAGTTGAATTAGGGCCCAGGCTGGATGTCTTTGCAGACTTACTAAAATTCAGAGCGAAAAGGAGCACTCATTATCGCGGTATTCTTGATATCGAAATCTCCTTTCTATTCGACTCTCGAGACTGGATAGTGACAATTCCCGCCAGCTGGGCTTGATGACAGAATGGAGAGAGAAAGTAAAAGTAAACAGTAAACAGTAAGCAGTAGATTTTTATCATCTTCATAGACCGCGTCCCATATCATCGTAAACTAGCGCAGGGCCACCTCTCTACAGTCGGTTAGGAGCGGAGGTGGTCACGGGCCACTGGTAGCCAGCGGCATCGCTGAACTTGTAGCCGTAGGAGGCAGTGAAGTCGTCGAGCACAGCAGGGCCACGAGATCCTGATTGAGATATTAGCAAGTCTCTGGGAAGAGATCACACTGGGAAAAGCTTACCGTAGGGGTATTCCATGGGGATAATCTCCTTGTTGTCGTCGAGATAGTGCAGCAGTGGGGAGAACATGCGCCAAGAGGCATCCAGCTCGTCATCACGGACAAAGTTGGAGTGGTCGCCCTTGAAGGCATCCAAGATCAGGGACTCGTAAGCCTCGGGAATCTTGAGGTCGGAGAAGCGGCGGCGGTAGGTCAAATCCAGCTCAGTCACCACCGTCTGCATGGAGAGACCGGGCAGCTTGGAGTTCATCTTGATGTAGACGGACTCGTTGGGCTGGACACGGATGACCAGCTCGTTACGAGGAATATCCTTGAAAATGCCAGAGGTGACATCCTTGAACTGAATGCGGACCTCGGTCTTCTGCTCGTTCAGGGCTGTCGGGAGTGTTAGTTGTATTCACAGGCGAACCAAGAGGTCCACTTACCCTTGCCGGCCTTGAGGATGAAGGGAACGCCATCCCAACGCTCGTTCTTAATATAGGCAACCAGGGCGCAGAAGGTCGGGCAGCGCGAGTCCTTGGGCACAGTGTCGTCCTCCAAATAACCAGGCTTGCTGCCGTCCAGCGAACGACCGTACTGTCCAATGATGACGTTCTTGGGCTCAATGGCATCCATGGCACGCAAAACACGGACCTTCTCGTCACGGATGTCCTCGGAAGAGAAGGAAATAGGGCGCTCCATGGCGAGCAGAGTCAGGACCTGCAGAAGGTCTAATCAAGTCAGTATGGCTTCATGGACAGACGCGGAGAATACGCACGGTTCTGCATGACATCACGGATGATGCCAAACTCGTCGAAATAACCACCACGGCCCTCAGTGCCGAAAGGCTCCTTAAATGTGATCTGGACATTATCGATGTGGTGACGGTTCCATGTAGCGTTGAAGAATTCGTTGCCGAATCGCAGAATGAGGATGTTCTTGACCATCTCCTTACCGAGGTAGTGGTCAATACGGAAAATCTCCTCCTCTTTCCAATTAGGTTCCAGAGCCTTCTGCAGATCGCGGGAGCTCTGAAGATCCTTGCCGAACGGCTTCTCAACCTGTGGAGAAATTAGCCGGCGGTGCCTCGGCTGTTCTGCCATGGGAACTCACAATGATACGGGCAAGGCCCTTCTTGGGGTAGCAGTTGCGCTTCAATTGCTCGGAAACAGTAATGAAAACACTGGGGGGCAGAGCCATGTAGAAGACACGATTCTGCTCCTTTCCTTGACGGCTCTGCTCAACCTCCTCGAGGTGCTTGTTGAGGTTGATGAACGAGTCATCCTGGTCGTACTGGCCCGACACATAGGTGCAAAGCTGGCAGAACTGATCTAATTGCTCCTCAATCTCCTTTGTGGGAACCTTGATATACGAGCGCACGCGCTTCATGAATTCTTCGTGGTCCATCTTCGTCCGCGCATATCCGACGATCTTGATGTCCTTGGGGAGGAATTTGTTGCGGAACTGTGGGCGACGGGGTTAGTTGAGTAGTGTCGTGCGAGGCGCCATGGGTCATCACATACGAGGCCAAAGAGTGCGGGGAACTAGTCGAGCGAGTTAGCCTTGAACACACATCGGGAGTCGCGGGACCAGGGCACAAACAGTCTTCTTCTTGGCGAGGTCGCCAGATGCACCGAGCACCACGATGACAGTGTCATCCTTCAATTCGATGGTGCTGGATTGAGGAAGCATTGTCAGTTCACGGCGATTCTATTGAGAGCAGGGTTTGCAAGGGACGAGGTGTATGGAGGGGTTCTCGCGGGGATTCCGCAAATGCAGACAATGACTGGGAAAAAGGCGAGTAATGAATCGAGAGGAATCGGAAGATGGTTACGACACGCGCTCGATCGAAAGAGCCAGATTGAGTAGAGTTGATGGTGAAGTGAAGTGGTCGGCGCGCTTCCGCTGCCGGATGGGGGAAAAGTGATGTCAGAGACAAGGAGGGGACTCACCCAGCATTCTGACGCTCATCAGTCTGGTTAATACTGGCCATTTTGCAGCACAGACAGCTAACTTATACAAAACGGAATGGGGATAGAGTCTAGATGAGAGAAAGAAAGGAGAGAGAGGAGAAAGTTGTTGGGAGAGAGAAGAGTGCTAGTACCAGGTTCCGGCGGTGCAGGTACTTTTTAACGGGAGTCGCTCTCACAGCTTCAGTGGTGGGGCCTATTGGCGGGGGGGGTGGTTGGCTGGGTATTTTATGACTTCAGGGTATTATTACACTCTTCTTGCAATATGACGATTCAGCTTCTATTCTGGCCTCCTCTATATAGACTAGGCCTTTCCCCCTGGCTTATGATTTTTCATCCTCCCACGGGATTACAGCATCATTGTTAGTTTCCCTTAGCTCCGGTATAAGGTCATTTCAACCTTTTTTATATTTTTTATTCTATGGACTCGATCCACTCGGCTTCTAGAATTCCATATGTGACTCGTGAGCCTACGCTAATTATTATCATCTCCGGAGCGTTGTGTGCAACGTGAGTCAAACAGCTAAAGGTCATCTGATAAGCTGTACACGTATAGCCTTCACACAATGGAAACAGCCTGAATACAAGTGGAGTTACATGGCCATGACTCTGGCAATCAGCAAGGACAGGCCCAATGCCATCCAGAATGCGGTCAGCGACGCAGTGAGTGGAGTACCTCGTTTTGGCTGCGACGGTGATGTTACCGACAAGCCACCCTATTTTTGCAGGCTGTGAGACCGCTCCACCAAGTTTATTCCCCTCTACAACTTCGAGAGTAAAAAAACGTGGTAAGGTACGGTACCTTGATAAGCTGTTCCGGTGACCGAAATCGAGGAGGAGTGATCGGCACATTTGTCATCTCTCATACTAGACGGATTCTATTTTCCCGTACGCGCAGTAACTCCGGTTGAGGTTGATGACCGACTCGGGCCAAGTGCCGCCGGATTCGGACCATATTAACCGCGCTCTGCTCGACTGTTGCACTGTGCTAGACTTAACTCGGCTGGACCTTCAATCGTAATCTATCAGGATTGTAGCTGCTCTCTACGCAGAGCTCTACCGAAAACAACCCACCTAGGGCTCACACGAGAGGCAGTCCGCATATCTTCTTGAGCTACAAAGTAGAAGGCGATCCCGGCAGCCGGGATGGTGGGGCATGATGGGGATCTTTGGGTTTCCCAATCAGTACCGTCGGTCTACGTTACACCGGATTGACTTCCGAGCGTCTCGTGGAACTGCATGTACAAGAATTGAGATATTGGAGAAGTTGGTTGCAGATATACAGACTGGGCATAAACCATCAACATCTATAGAATTGCCTAGGCACGCGGCAATTCTTAGTTTTAAGAACGACATGAGCGGCGATAGGATCTACGGATGAGGTGTCTACGGGTGAGGTCATCGTGAAGTTTTGTCAGCTAGTGGCTCCAGACCTGAACAAGCCGTTTCGGACCACTGTCCACCGGCTGGCAGAAACTGGGTGAGATTGGGCGGTCAGTTGGATGACGTGATCGAATGGGCACGTGATCTTGAATTGACGCCTGAGGCATGAGTACCGGATAATTGTGATTCTCTGGGGTTAGGGCAATGACCTCGCTTACTCGCTAGCCACCCGATCGGGGTTAGGGCGAGTCGCCGCCCAACACACCTCGTAAATTGATTGTGCGCTCGACTCTATCGAAGCGACGACAACTACGACAACCGGGAACGACTATCTCTGCGGGTCATTCCTTCGACTTTCTTTCCTTGCCCGCTCCTCAGAGAAACGCCGTCACAATGCCTTCGGAACAAGGTCACCGCCGTGAGTCGCCCTGTTGAAACTACAGTATCCGATGCGAAGGGATCAAATGGAATCGAAGCGCATCGGATACCATCAGCCCAAATGGAATTTTTTTTGCTAATGAATCTCTCTTGCTCTAGTCTACGTCAAGTAAGTCACTACCACTCGTCCGTTATCTCGCACACACGCCATTCATCGAAACTGTACTGGGATCATATCGAGGAGGAAATTTGGGATCGATCATCCACCATCTCTCACACACGCGCACATACACGCCCACAACACCGAATACGAGAACAGACGATTAACATGGGTTTTTTCACAGGGGACGTCACCTTAGCTACCAGCGTAGCAAGCACAACACCAACCCCAACACCAGGTACGAGTCACCTGCGCACACACAAACTGAAGAATGGAATCTGATAAGCGATATAGTCTGGTCAAGATTGAGGGTGTTGATGACTCCAAGGCTGCTTCCTTCTACCTCGGAAAGAAGGTCGCTTTCGTCTACCGGGCCAAGCGTGAGGTCCGTGGCTCCAACATCCGGGTGATCTGGGGCAAGGTCACCCGCCCTCACGGTACGTCGAAGTCAAGCTATCCGACCACACAAACACTCAATTCTAACCCTCTACATAGGCAACTCCGGTGTTGTTCGCGCCAAGTTCCGCACCAACCTCCCCCCCAAGACCTTCGGTGCCACCGTCCGCGTCATGCTCTACCCCTCCAACATCTAAATGGCGCTTTGTATCTAGTGGGCGATGATTCCCCTTCTTCGCGCAGACGGTCGGCCAGGCAAGGAAAAGTCGACGGAACGAGCCGAATGTTGATTCGAGGTGATGGAGTTGGCGGTTTGATAACGAGTTTATTCGTGGGAGAAGGCAGGGCCATAAAATTCCAGCCCTACGAATGAAAAAAAACCAAAACTTTTTTACACGTTCACTTTGTGCCGCCCACGATTTCCAACGAGCTTAATTGTCTCTTTTTTTGTGACTGGCGTCATCTTCTTTCTCCCACCGTGTATCTGACGCTCTTACACACCAAATTCCATACCATTTTCAACAGTCCGGTCCTCTGGAGTGCTGTTTCCCCGCCGAGCCTTCTGTCTTTATTATAGAAGAATTGCATTTACTTGCTTTGGCTACTCCCACCAGGCATGTTCTTCGAATCCACATCTCCCATCGCGACGACCGTTGGTGTACCACGACTTCCCACGTTTGCTGGATGATTGCCACGCTTCCCCCATCATGACGCGCAGAACCACCGAGACAGCCATTGTAGGTACCATTGTAGCAGGCTGTTCTGGACCATCGTATCATGTGGTCCCGAGGTATAATGCGCGGAGACCGGCACTGGGCCAGCTCGACGGCCCTGGAGTGGGTCAAGTCAACGTGTATCTGTATCAGATCGAAGCTTATCGTAAAACATGACGCCCGAGTCCTCAGGTGTCACATTCAAATAGAGCATCAGTGTGGTCCGGGTAAATATTCTGTAATCCATAGTCGAATATCTTTTATCTTTCTCCCCTGCTAGCAATCAGCTCCAGCATCTTCCACCTGAGCAGCGAATTCTACCCAACCGGTCACATCTGACATACGACCTGATGTATCTGCAACAGTGCAATCATGGCTCCATGGAGTGTCGAGTTTACACGTGCCGCGGCTAAGTTGAATGATAGCTGCTGCCTAGCTGCTCAGAAGAAAATCGGGGCCGCTGCAGATCGCACTCATCCGGCGAGCCACCGATCACAACTATCACGGCATCATGGAATCATCATGCTCGTGATTGGCTGAGCTGGAAAATTGACTCGTGGCATATGTAGATCATGAATAGCTCACGAAGCTGCGAGGGTGCAGACCTGGATGGAAGGACTCTAAGAATCGGGATCGGCAATCACGGATCAACAGGATTTATGCGCCAATGCAGCTAGAGATCGGAACCTGCAATCAGGGACAGCAGGAAAAGCTGGGATAGCAAGGATAGCTGGGAAGCCGCAGATCCGAGGCCGAATTTGTTCTCCGTGATCCGTGTAAAAATTACCAGCCAATTGGAAGACCACGGCTACTTGGCATCACGCGCTGTGCCAGGGAAAAGACAAAACAAGTCTGAATCGGAGCGGATGTTGAGGCTTTATTATTGACCGAGAATTAAGAAATGACACAATGTATCTAGTGAGTCAAGATCGGGAATCTGGGGTGTGCGTGGCCGAGGTTAGAAGCCAGGACCAGGACCAGCCCTATATGGCCCAGGGTCTCTTGACACTATGGCCAAGCAAATTCCATGATTTTGGTCACTGAATTTTCATTTTTCATCCGTGAACTTAATTCGGGTTGGCTATTAATACTCTGGGGTCACGCTAAGCGGAAGAACACCACCAATCGCCGAGGCCAACATCTGCTGTTCCACGGGTCGCCTCTTCGTGCCTGGTTTTTCTGTGCGACTCTTTCCATGAGCGAGGGATTGTCTGGCCAGGACAGCCAGGACAATTACACAGATTGTGACAGTAGTTCATGGCAGGTAGATGGAGATAGAATGGAAGAGAATAGAAGTAGGGAACTGCATATATGATCCACTGGGGATCCGGCGAAGCCTATACAAAGCCCAGCGCCACAGTGTACACGCCAGGACCCAGCTCGGACTCCGTAAGCGTTGCGTGGCTTGTGTCGTCAACTGCAAATTCTATCCCCAGACCCCATTCATCTCTTTTATTTAAAGAGATCGCTTGCGCCGCGCCATCTGGCCCTGGTTCCATCCATTAACGGCGCTCCACCACCTTAAAAGCCCTCGGTCACCGCCATCCACCCCGTCACCGGTCGTTCACCGTGAATCAACATTTCAACGCCCGCATCACATTACAGGCAATTTACAGCGGGTCCGCAAGTGCTATCACAACGTCTCTGGTGTCTCACAATTAGACAGAAGGACCCTCCGAGTCTTCTCCCGGGCCTACACTGGTGCTGCGATCGTCTTGGCAGTGCCCACCTTTCAATCCGTCGCTCCACAACGGCGGCCATAGCTCGAAGCAGATCCCAGCCCTTTTACTATCAGCTGCCTTGAATCTCGGACGCTAAAAGTCGGAAACCCGCCCCTAAAAAATGGCTGATTCCCAAGTCAGTCAACCTCCCCGACGGAGTCGTGGCTTCAGTGTGAAATCTGAAAAGTCTCACAAGTCGGGCAACTCGGGTCACAAATCGCAACTGTCAGAATCCTCCGAGGAAAAGCACCGGCGCAATCTACAAACCAAGGCCGATCCCACTGTCGCCATGAACGAGCTGCAGCCTAGTATGTTTTGCTTCCCTCTTTCTCCCAGTTCACAGGCCGCGCGGTCGCATCCCCGCATCTCTTTTGAATCATAACATGGACTAACGCCCTACAAGTGGCCGTCGCCCTGGAAAAGTCAAATTTGGGCTCTCTTCGTGAAATGGAACACAAGGATCAATTCGGCAACGTTATCAGTGCGTGATCTCCAAAGCATCCTTGTTTCCCGTTCTCCACTTGTTTTTTTTTGCTGACACCCTTACTCTTGTACAGCCGATCCCGACTGGTCAAACCCAACCCGACCTCGCTTTGAGCGACCGCTCGATACTATCAAATCATTTGAAGCTGCCATCTACGGTACCTACAACAGTAATCGCCATTCTTACATCAAAACCGGTTCGTTGGGACATCTCCACACCTCTCCACTCTAGATCACACCATTCTAACCAGCAATAGATGAGGCCGCCTCACAAATGGGCGACCACAGCCGCCGCACAAGTTATCAAGGTAAATTTACATTCCTCCATCTCTCTCTCCTTGGATGATCTTAACGAATGTAGGACAAAATGGCCATTCGAACCGCGGATACGACCAAAACGCCAACTACAGTCGCACCGGCCCCTCACGCCCAGACAGCGTAACTGACAACTACGGTCAAGAGAACCAGAACCCATACCAGAATCGCCGCCAACGACAGCCTCGACGCACAGATAGTGATCAAGCTGGTTACAATGGTTATCAATCCAAAGACCCTTACGGTCAAGGCAACGAACCCAATTCCGTGAACAACTCCATGGATCAATTGTCGCAGTATGCTCAGCAGCAGCGCGCCGATGGGGGTTATAATGGTCAATCTTCGATGGGTAACTCGTGGGGTCCTACGCAGCAGGCACAGGGACAAGGACCGCCAGTCATGCGCATGACGAAGACTGCCAATACCGCGATTGTGGCGCCTCCCGAGAAGACGAAGGGCTGGTTCAAGAGACGATTTAGCAAGCAGTAGGCTTACCTGACTGGAGGCCTCAATCTGGGCTTTGGATCTGAAAGGTGTATTATCATTTCCCCCCCCCCCTCGGCGTTTTTGCATTTTGTTTTTCCTGCTCATCTCATGTTTGGGGTCGCTGCACATGCTTTATGAGGTCACGATACATGATTTAATGGGTTATGGGGACTCGGCGTGTTCATTCCAGGGTTTCATTACGCTTCAATTTTGCTTCAATCTACTTTCGCTTTTCCTTACTCTACTCGTTGATAGCTTTCGACTGGACACGCAACTCACATCCACATCTCTCGTCCTCGAGTATATTACGGATCTTTCAGTCGGAGTCTGAGCACATGAACTCTCATCTGAATTTCGAATTATCGTCCTCATCAACAAAAAGCAAAGCAAAATTGGAATTCACAGGACCGTATCAGAAGCAGAGTCAACAAAAAGAACTCTCTAGCCATCAACATAACCATCACTATCAAGTTGGGAATCTGGAATTCCTACTTGTGTCCCAGAATCTTATGCTTCAACTTATCAGCCAACCCCTCATGCGCCACATGCTTCCTTCTATCCTCCTTCTCCTTCTGCGCCGCCTCATCAAGATGAACATTTCCCTGTCCGCCGCGCTAAATCGAAAGAAAATCAGTCCCGTCCAAGCATCCAAGTATATCATATCAAGATAGTGAGATATTAAAATAGCAGAAATTCAGAATCCACTTACCCCAACATGATAATTTTCATCACTAGAGTTCCGCACCGCGAGTTCGGGAATCATCTCCGAGTCATGCGGGACTTTGGAGGTTGGGCGCACGCGTGGGGATCCGATGTTTCCGACACCGCCGCGCTATACCCTGTGTTAGCTGGGGGCGCATCCTTTCGTTTGGGGGGGATTATCACTGTCGCTGGAATTGCGTATAGTCATGGAGAGGGGTAAGGTCAGGACACGTACACCGGCAGAGTAAGCGCCATCACCTTGATCACCGTAGACGCCTTCGCGGACGATTTCGCCGTCGACGTATCTGGGTACTGTTAATATGCGACTGTGTTGGAAGGAAGACCACGTACTCGGTGGTATCGTGGCCGATGTTTCCCTGGCCTGTGATTGTTAACTTGGATGTTTTTACTGTTAATTCTGTGAGGGAGAGCATTACCTCCGCGGCCGTGCGAGACCATGGGATGTTCGTTCTCGGTCATCGTTGAGATAGTGTTTGTGGATTTGGAAGACTGTCGGAGAATTTGTGAGCAAGGGTGAGATGGAGGGGGGATTTCCTTATCGCGATGAACTGCGGGACCTGAGCCAGGTGGTGGGACCGCGATAAGATGCAGGTACAGGGGAATTACGTCGGGTTGCGGTGGCTGGGAGGAGGAGGGCTTGACCTGGGTGGTTTTGGAAGGGTGAATTGGTTTTTGGAAATGGGTTAGGAACTCAGGTAGGGTGAAGGAAATTAAGAAAGATTGTGAGGAGGATTCCCCGGGTTAAGCGCGGGTCCTGGATCTCCCCATTGACGGCCTGAGGCTGTCGTCTAAGGGTTGACGATTTCTGGTGCCAAGAGTTAACCTTGGACTGATAATCCGAATGTTCTCTGCTTGTCGTGCCAGTCCACAGCTCGAAGTGTTCTTTTACTATCTCTATACTGGTGGCGTCGGGTGATAAGATAAGGTGCGGGGATTGGTCGGAGCCGTGACTAAAATGCTTGGACTGATAGCGAGCTTGGCGCCAGACTATTGCATAGAAAAAGGTGATGGAATACAAATGTCATTGAGTAAGGAGCAATCACTAGACATTCTTGAGAAATTCATCGGAATGACAGACCGAGTAACTTTCACAAATTTGAACGGCGCAGATCCCGAGCTCTGGTAAGTGAGAGATCGAGGGCTGGGGATATCTCGTAGTGAACCTACTGTACCTTTTTCTTGTCCTCGGCGGATCCACCAGTGGTGGGCAAGCCCATAAAGATCTTGAAAGAGTCGTAGCTGTAAAGCACCGGTCAGTATAGCCAGAATGATATGTGGAGAGGAACTAGTGGTGCCGTACATCATCCACTGCAGACCAGTCTAAAGCATCGTTAGCTTCAGTTGCGTCTTCTCTAGAACTGTAATCACTCACCAAGGTTCCGACCATGACAATACGGACGGGCAGTCCGTTCCACAGTCCCCGGAATCCGATGTCTCCATAGATGCGGTTCATGGCGGCGCCAAATGCCTCGCCAGCCTGGCGATTGGCATTGAGCTTGCTGACCATCACATCGGCTGGGTGCGACACCACAGCACACAAGATACCAGCCAGGTATCCAGCGGTGAACGCAACTGCAGTCTGGGCACCCTTGTTATAGTCTGACTTCTTTCCCGGCAGCCTGTTATAGATCATCTCGACGATCGTCTCAAACGAGGCAAACTTCATCATGGTGTAGGGGATCTGGCGGCCCCAGAGTGGGTACAAACCCTTATACAAGCTGTGGGGACCAGTCAGTATTTCTGGACTTGAGCCTTATTCCGAGGATCTGCAGATCGATTTACCCGGACACGCCCTCCTTGGCGACCACAGAAGAGATACCACTGAAAGTGCCCTTGACTTCGGGTGGGATGGTCGTCTGCATGCGCACCTTGACCGACTCGAAGGGGCACAAAGCTACGTCAGCGATGAATTCAGCCGAGGCACTGGCAGTCAGGTAGATGGAGGTCTTCCATTTGATGGCATTCTCCTGGCCGACGAGGTCACTGTAGAATTTCTTGAAGAACTCGTAGCCGCCGTACTTGAATGCTCCTTGGGCCTGGTCTGTGTCAGCGGGTGTTCAACGTTGATCCGTGCTTGACCTACACTGTAGCCGAAGAATGTGGGGCCCCAACCGGTGAACACTCCACGAAGACCCTCAACAGAACGAATTGTGGAGAACGCCTGCAGGTTGCTGCGGTAGAGGTTCGGGTCAACCTGGCGACGGCATTTAATCAGATCGAGAGGAGTGACCGCAGTGTGAGTCAGGCCCTGTGATCGATTGTGAGGAGGTATCGCATTTCGAAGTATATATTGCGACATACGCAGGCCATCATACCACCGAAAATGCAAGCTGCATAATACTTGGGTGTCCAGGGCTCGATCTTGCCCGTCTTGCTCTGAGCGGTCTCGCTCGCCATATCGAATTCTCGCGATGCCTCCTTGGCAAATACATCTGCTTTGTGCTTTGCGTCGTCAATAACACTCCAAGCGGGGAAAGGCGCGGGTCTTCGGGCCTGGGGCGTCAAGTTGGCTTGCTGCTCCGAGGAAGACTGCGGCCCCAGGCCACCCAGAGGATGACGGGAAGCGATTGCCGCGAGGACAGAGTCCGTGGGAATCATGTTGCTCTGTCTACTTTTCGTTAGTGTACAGGTGTGGGTACGTTAGAGTGGAGCTCGTCTGAAAGCAGTGATGCGGGATCGACGGATGTTCCAGAGTTAAGAGTGCCTGAAAACACAGTTGACCTCGATCGCGCACCTCGAGGCAGGGTCTCCGCATTACGTCATGTCTCGGGGAGAGGGAACTTCATTCCATCTAATTGGGGTTGTCTATGCACTTTGGATGTCCTCATCATTTTTTGTTGGCTGCCTTACACTGTGAAGAAAAGTCTGGAATGGCAGGCTGCCGATCAGACATTGAGCTCCAAATTTCATATAGCAACCAGAAATCTAACGCAACAAGGGGTAGATGAATGAACGATATATCATCCGACTAGCGAGCTAGTTTCGATGTGCTGAAACGACCCGGACTTAACTTTCCTGGCGAAGTATAAGTGATGATTAACGAGGTATTAGAAAGGAACAATATATGTCTAGCAAGCACATGGGACAGCTGGTATCATTTCCTAGGAAGAAGTTGAGAAGGGAACAGAGAAAAAGGTTCTCTGGCTCCCGAAGATCACCACTTTGGTCAATCTGTAGAACTGTAATACACTAGTGTATGACCGTAAAGCAAAACAACTAGGCAATAAATGCGTTCTGGTAACCTGAATTCAGCCACTTTCAAATCCACTCCCGTAGCTCTTCAGTTTGTCGGTCATTCGATTCCTCTTAATTTGACGCCGTTCAGGAAGAACCAGGCATCTCTTTACCTTCTCAAAAGTATGGTACCTCTCCAGAACGTGGGAGACGGAGCGCATTGGCAATTTCGCCGGCTGGGAACTGTCTGTACATGTTTCGAGTCAGATTCCTGAAGCCAATTTGCAATTAAGATTCACGCGGGATCCAGGAATATTCATTTTTGAGGACGAGGGCAATGATTTTGTTAACAGAACAGTCGCGGGCCCAGAAAGTAACATTCGTCTTCAGAGCCTCACAAAGGAGATTGTTTGTGAAGGTCGTAAGTAGGAAGAAATGATTCCTGAGATGATCATAGTAATTGCAACTGCAGACTTTTGAATTGTGCTCAATGAAACTACTGCTCTTGCGATTTTTTAGTGACGTATGGAGACGTGTCTTGGCGCGGGAAAAAGACGAGCGCCGAATCCGAGCAAAAACTACAATTCTGCGACACTGCCAATTCCTAATACACATTGCGTGCTCCTAGCTCTCTCTGCCGCGGGAAACGTGATATAGGCCCCTTTTCTTTCATCGAATACACCCTCCGCTTCTGGTGGCCGCTCCCTGCCCCGCCGTTTGCACCTCAGAGCCCCCCCTCCCTTCAACCTGCAACACACACTCGAGTGTCACAGCTACAATGACATCCTACATGACTGGCAGCGATGCCTACGCTCGCGAGAATGCCACATCATATGGCTCCAATGCGGCTTCTTCGACCGCTTGGGCCGACAAAATACCGTGGGGTGAGTCAATGCCTACCTTGACCAGCTCCGAATTACAGACTCATCTATCTGCAGGCTACTATTGAAGATCTTGACCCTCCGCCGGCCCTGTCAGTCTCTCCCGATGATTCCATCTCCTCCGCCCTCATGACTGCCTACGAGCGCGACTACACCCACCTCACCGTCATCTCCGCCACTAAGCGGTCCCTCCTCGGCTACTTGAGCATTCCTCGTCTGAAGGAGCTCCTTCACAGTGGCGAGGTCAAAGAGACAGACACTGTCGCCTCGGCGATGCAGCGCTTCAATCGGAAGCGCGGCATCTACCAGGTCATCACAATGGAGACGCCATTGGAGGAGCTGGAACAATTCTTCGAGAGCGAGACAGGTCCCAACGGCGACAAGCGCGAGAAGCAGCAATTCGCAGTGGTCACGGACGTAACGCGGAAGTTCGTGCTCGGGGTTGCTACCAAGGCGGACCTGGAGGAGTTCGTGAAGCGCAGACCGACTTAATTGAATTTCAATATTGGCACTAAGCTGGCTGCAAGCATCTCGGCGCCCCATCTATTGGATGTGGGCATGAGGCGTAATAATTCTTACCGGGAATGCGGTTTTTTTCAACATGGACATGGCATTTTAACATTTGTCAAATGGAGTGCGAGATTGACTGAGAAGCCGAGAGACCTGGGAGACCAGGCATGCGGAACTTTGACTTATGATATCCAATGACAATCAATGACTCTTTGGTAATCTTCAAGGAGTGCTTCTGCAAACCGTGATCGCGCCCATGGCAGCAGAATGATTTCCGAAAACCGATATCTCAAGCAGACTCCTCGTAACGCCAAAAATAATACATTTTGTTCAATTCGAACTGGTGTTTTAAAACTTCAGATTCAAAGACAAGAAAGCTATTGTGCTTTCTTCAACTTGGACTTTTCTGCTTCTTCCCTGTCACCTTGGTCTTCCTTCCAGGCCACGTAGATGTAAGCGAATAAGACCACGTTGGCCATAATCGCTGCAGTGATACCAGAGTAAGTCGCATTTCCTGATCAATAGTTAATCTTTCCGCGAACTTTTTCCCTGCAGAAGCGGATGCTGTCTTACCTGCGAAGATGGTCTTCACTGTCAGAAAATACATCCCAATCGGCAGGAAGGCCATGGCGGCCGTGAAGCCAAGCAACTTGAACACGACATCTCTGTGCAGGTCTTCGTTAGAACAGCGTCCTTGATAATTTCGACATGATGTCCACGTACGACGGAACAGCAGGTGTCACGTCCGAGTCACTGGTTGTGGACTTGGCTCCAACATCGGCGTAGGTCTGTCCATGAGGCCGACGGGCAGACATGATGAATGTCGTAAGATTGAAAAGGCTAAACTACCTCTGAAATGGTGGATTGGATTTATTTAAACGTTGATGTGGCGAATATGGAAAGTCCCGGGTGTTTGGAATAAGGTGAAGCTATCAATGGATATTGCGGAGAACACTAATGCGTCCCCAAGTCACATGGGGCGTGGGCTTACTTCCAACATCACCATGGGATTGTAATATTCGGCATCTCCCATAGACAATCAGCTTAGTCCTTCTTAGTTCATCTCTCATCTTAAATATCATATACCAGAGTAGGAGTCTCGGTTAAATTGATTGATCCTCTCGCGCCTCTATAATTCACGTGATCCGAGCGCGTCGGTATCGCGTTCTCCGCCGGCAGAAAAAACGTTCCTGGATACCAGAGAGATCAGACAAGAGGCTGGCCTCGACTGCCGAAAGAAGGGATACGGGGAATTATTATCCTCCGCTATGAACGACTCGGTGCCTGATACTCCCGTCCGGGGCAACAACTCTGCGCCAGGCACACCTGACCAGGAAGACTACGAGACAATCGCCACCCTGCCTGCGCATTCAATAACGCCTACTCAGCGATTGACGCAGCCTACTCAACTAGTCGACATGCCATATTCACATTCGAACAATAGCACCGTCGTTCAGGTCGCTGCCTCGTCACCACCTGCTCCGGCCCATTCTCCCCCTCGGCGCGGAGGCCTTTTATCGTCTCTCATGGCCCCCTCTGGAACTCAATTCCGTCCTCCTCCAAACTCCCTCGGTCCTGCGAAAAGAACCCCCATCCTCGACTCCGAAGATGGTCCGACATATCGAGGAGGTTCTTCGGACGAGGACGAAAACTACACTGTGCGAAGCGGCGACATCAGACCCGCAATGTTTGGAAAAGATCGCAGCCCGGAGAAGGAGAAGGTCGCAGAGTCGCCTGTGCGTCCTGGGGCTGGCCCCATGGATCGGTTCAGGGAAATCACTGCCTCAGCTATGTTTGATCCCAGTGCCAATGGCATCAAACGATCTGCCGATCAAATGAGCCCTGCGGGTGCTTCCAAGGGGGTTGCCATGAAACGGGCCCGACAAGATGCGCCTTCCCGCGCCCAGCCCGTGATTTCCATCAATGCAGATGACAGCATGCTCGACTACCGGATTCGAGTCAAGGTTGAACGCATTCAAAAGGTCATGCCCAGCAAGTCAAACCAGGAATGCGTGGATGCGCTCAGGCAAACCAACGGAAACTTTGACGACGCTATGAACTACCTCGTCAATAGTGACATGGGTAACGACCCGGTGCACGATGTCATCCCAATTGAGTCTTCTGAAGACGAGTTGAGCGCCTCGCCTGCTCTGAAGGGAGGCGCTGTACCTATTGCCAAGCAAAAGATCAAGGCTCGCGGTACCATTCATGACAAATGGGCTGCGATGAATTTGCCAGCCGGATCAACTCACAAGGAGCCTTTGGATGAAGCGAAGCCGCGAGGTCGTCTTGTGCGAGGCCCAAGAAATCGGGCGTCCTCTCCTGTGGCCATCACAATTGACTCCGATGATTCCCCTCCCAAAAAGCAGCTCAGCCGACTCCAGAAGGGTCGACGACGACTGTCCTCTGCATCTGTCGAGGCAGACTTTTCCGACTCCAACGATTCGGATGTACAGGACGAGAACTCCCCCCGCTGGCGGCCTGGATGACAAAGTTCTGAAGTTCTTTAACACCTGTAACGTTCGCGATCTTGCCGATATCGCTGCTGTCCCTCAAGAGACGGCCAAGGTGATAACCGACAATCGTCCATTCCACTCTCTTGACCATGTGCGTTCGGTCAGTGCGCCCGTCGACCCGAATGCCAAACCGAAAGGCAAGGGCAAGCCTCGCAAGCCACCAAAGCCGATTGGCGAGAAAATTGTTGACAAGTGTCTGGATATGTGGACTGGTTATCTAGCTATTGATGCTCTTGTCGCCGAATGCGAGGCTCTGGGACGACCTGTTGCTGATGAAATGAAAAAATGGGGTGTGGATATCTTTGGCAAGCGCGACGGAGAACTCGAGCTCACGACTCTCGGTAATGGCGCCGCCAGTTCTCACGATTCTGGTATTGCGACACCTTCTTCGAAACATCAGTCCCCTGATGGAACGGCAGACGACGATGATGAAGTTGTTGTTGCGGTCTCTCGCAAGCCCAACAACGAATCTCGGTTCATCTCACAGCCGTCTATCATGGCTGATGATCTAGAGATGAAAGATTACCAGGTCGTAGGCATCAATTGGCTGAATTTGTTATTTGAGAAAGACATGAGTTGCATATTGGCAGATGACATGGGTCTTGGGAAGACCTGTCAAGTCATCGCATTTCTTGCTTCACTTTATGAGAAGGGTATCCGGGGCCCTCACCTCATTGTCGTGCCTTCTTCGACCATTGAGAACTGGCTTCGCGAATTTCAGAAGTTCTGTCCGAAACTGAATGTCATGCCATATTACGCTGGAATCAACGAACGTGCCGACATCCGTTACCATATTCAGGATAACCGCGACGACATCAACGTCGTTATAACTACTTATACCATTGCGAAGGCCAAGGATGATGCTAAATTCTTGCGCGAGATGAAGTTCACTGTTTGTGTCTATGATGAAGGCCATGTATTGAAGAACTCCGACTCACAGGTGTACGAAAAGCTCATGCGCATTTCGGCCCGCTTCCGTCTCCTTCTCACCGGCACGCCGCTGCAGAACAACCTGCAGGAACTGGCGTCTCTTCTCGGCTTCATCTTACCCCGAGTGTTCCAAGAGCATAAGGAAGATTTAAAGGCAATCTTCTCCAACAAAGCCAGCACCTCAGATGAGTCTCACGCAACACTGCTGTCCGCACAGCGCATTGAACGTGCTAAGTCCATGCTCAAACCATTCGTGCTCCGCCGCAAGAAGCATCAGGTCATTGACCTGCCCGCCAAGCACTCTCATGTCCAGTACTGTGAGATGAAACCGTCGCAGCGTACCATATACGATAATGAGAAGGAGCAAGTGCGTCTGCTTCTAGAAGACCGTGCCGCTGGCAAGAAGACTGGCTCCAGGTCTGCCAACATTCTCATGAAGCTCCGTCAAGCCGCCATTCATCCACTTCTCCGCCGCCAACACTATACCGACGCCATTCTCCAAAAGATGGCGAAGGCTTGTCTCAAGGAAGACAAATGGGCCATGTCTGACCCCAACATCATCTTCGAGGAACTTCTGCCCTACAATGATTTCGAGTGCCACCACATGTGCATCGACAACCCGAATTCGCTGGGCAAGTTCAAGCTCAAGAATGAGGAGTGGATGGACTCAGGCAAAGTCGACGAGCTGCGCGCGCTCCTGAAGCGTTTCATCGAGAATGGCGACCGTACTCTGATTTTCTCGCAATTCACCATGGTCATGGACATCCTTGAAAATGTCCTCCAGACCCTTCAGATCGAATTCGTCCGTCTGGATGGTCGCACCAGCGTCGAGGACCGCCAGTCTATCCTCGACCATTTCCACGAACACACCTCTATTCCCGTATTCCTCCTCTCCACCAAAGCAGGTGGTGCCGGAATCAATTTAGCCTGCGCCAACAAGGTCATCATCTTTGACTCCTCCTTCAATCCCCAGGAGGATGTGCAGGCTGAGAACCGCGCCCACCGCGTTGGTCAAACTCGTGAGGTCGAAGTCTTCCGCTTCGTCACTCGCGACACTATCGAGGAGCAGATCTACGCCCTTGGTCAGACTAAGTTGGCACTTGACCACGCTGTCGCGGGTGAAGATGAGGGCTCCGGCAAGAAGGGAGAGGAGGCGGGCATGAAAGCTGTCGAAAGCATGGTGCTGGCGAATATGCAACAGGACAAGGGTACTTCGAATGGTGTCGAGGTGTCGAGGTGAAAGAGTAAGTGTCCGGAGAATTTGATTTTTTTCGGTGACGATCACGGTGTTCCTACTTTTGCTTCCCCACTTTTGTTTCACTTTTTTGTGTTCTCTGTATACATCGACATGGAATGGCGCGGACATGATAAACCTGTTAGAGTAGAGCACAGTAGATCACATAAAACATAATGCATCAAGATGATTAGCCCTAGCCCTGCATTAAGCCCACTTGTCTCCAGCTTTAGCCTTTTCGCCGTCTTGGATGTCTAAGCTTCGCAGCCAAACAATTAACACTACATTGTTCCAAATGTGAGCAATAATCAAGTTATCATTTAAATACTGAAGTGGGTATAGCTCGATAGCGTTTTCGATGGTGGCAACAGGCTGCCTATGTACCTCGATATCTTTTGGGAGGTTATCTTCATCCATATTGATCATAATTCATATGCGGAGGTATGCGAGGGTATGCGAAGGTGTGGTGGGGGAAGGTGGCGAGGTTTGCAAAGTGAGGTTTGGAGAGTGAAGATTGGGAGTGAAAATGAGGCTTTGAGCACCTCGTGTTCTAGTGGTTTATAGGGGATTTGCTGCATGGTCGTTTTAAACTAGCAATGGAATAGCAATAAACAAAGGAAAACCGTAGTCATGAGCGTCCGGTGGTGATGAGCATCCATATGAAAAGGGGACGGCTCAATGGCTGTCTGACAACGCAGACTGGACGACACACACACACACACAGCACTCCCTGGTCGGCGTAGCGATCGGTCTGAATGATGCCATCTGGATATCCTGTCGAGACCGTACGGCCATGCCTAATGCTGCATCATGAATAGGAAAACGTGGTGACAACCGGAATGGAATTGGGTAGTTGCTTAGTCTATCTCCAACTCGGTCTTAAAGATGCATCATGCACTGCAGGCATTGGATTATGCCGGAGGCCCACACATATGCTATTGTGTCACCGATTCTCCCACTACACAATACTAGAATCAGAAATCAGTCCGCTTTCTCGTAGAATGAAGACCATTTTTTTGATCAACCCGAGTATATTATCATGCACATGTGTATTTTGGGATATCTAGGTATGGACAGGGAAACACGGCTTCCACGATGCAAAAACAGAACAGAAAGCAATTACCAGGCTATGCAGAACGTAAGAAAAAAAGAACCAGAGCCACATCTTATAGCAAAAGAGGCATTTCAAGCCGCAACCTCAGACTTCTGGGCCATCTGGGCCGGGATCGAAGGATCAATAGTAGCTTGCTCCGGCTCGGCCTTGACCGGTGCGGGAATAGATGAGGTGCGAATGGGGCCACCGTTGTGCACAACAGACGAAGTTGCTTTGGATCGGGTGCTGTTGCCCCCGGCAGCCTTAGCAGACTCGTTGTTCGCCATGGCATTCTGAACAGCCTTGGAGCGCGGGTGGTCCTCTGGGGACCAAGCTCCCACTTGTGGTCTAGGCCGAGAAGCTCATCGACCACGATAGCCTGGGGAACCAGATCATCGAATTTCAGTCGACGGCAAGAATCAGTGTACGTTCGAGATAGCTTGGCTTGCTTGAACTCCTCGTTCTTGCCGGGGATCAGCATATTGAGCAGATACTTCGTGTTTCCAAGACGGTTCTCGCTCTCAATGCAGAAACGAAGGTACTCATGAACGACATCTCGCCATGGTGCGAGTCCTCCGTCCACCTTGGAACGGAAGCATGACGAGTTGGACTCGGCTGAAGTAGCGATCATGGCGCCGTCGACGCCGAATTCTTCCATCAGTGCCAGACCGTGATCGCGAGAGGTTACGTCGCCGTTCATGATACATGCGACACCGGCTTTGTGACACACGTCTGCGATCATGCGGAGCTGATCTCGGATTGCGCGCTCACGGGGGCGCATGGGGGGTTGTGCGACAATGCACCGTCAGACCTGTGATACCGGTGCGAACGAGTCGAGAGACGAGAGCCTCAGTAGCCTCGGGGGTCTCGAGAATACGAATCTTGACAGAAATGCCGATTTGGAAAGGCTCGCCGACCTCGCGGACCAGCGTTTCGAGAATAGAGACAAGCTTGTCGGGAGTGCGTAGCAGCGCAGCTCCCATGCCGCCGCTGGTGCTGAATGGCTTAGGGCAGCCTGAATTGACGTCGATGCCTGACACGTCGGCTGCGACAACCTTGGCAGCCTGCACAGCTAATTCCGGGTTCGCCGTGCCCATCTGGTAGATGAGACGACCCTTCTCGCGTATGGGGTCAAGGCGATAGATGACCGATTCCTTTGAGACGATATCGGGACGGCCGCCGTTGGAAGGCATGCGAGTGAATTCAATACAACCGTTCCGTGGATTCACTTGGCGCTGGCAGCCAATTATGGCGCGGTCGATCGTCTCAGGACCCCAGACCAGGTCGGCCCCGTATTTGAGAGCGAGCAGGCGTGAGGGTAGTTCGCCGGAGCGCACCATCGGGGCTAAGACGATTTTGCCACGATAATCGACTCCGTTGGCGGGGATGGGCACGCGCGGGGCAGCCGCGGTGACGGACTCGGCGAGGGAAGACATGGCGGAGCGTACAAGTCTGATCATAGCATGCTGAGAAGGGAGGAGGGGTCCCAGGTGGAGGTTGTATAGACTTCCTCTTTTCGTCGGCCAAGTCCGCCACATCACGTGGTGATAAGCCCTATCATGGATTTTTTTGCACTCTTTTTGTTTCGTCGGTGACTGTGTGCTCGACCAATGACCTTCCATATTGAACAAGCGGAGTCCACTACAGTTTGCCACTGAAAATATAAGAATTGCATTGTGCAGAGTCCTGCCACAGGTCTTAGATTTGAGAGGGCAAGTATAGCAGAGATCTAGGATTCTATGTCATAGTGGTACCTGGGCAGGGCTTGGACTATCCCGATATAGGCTAGTACTCACAGGCCGGAGTACATGCAGAGCGCATATGTCAGGATTGTGCACGAGACCTCAGTCTAGTTCACTCCCAAATCGCTAGGTGAATGCTAATTGAGCCCAACTTTTCACAATTCAAAGTTTCTCGGAAGTAGTCTATGTAGAAAGTTGGTCGGGATGCCCACTATCGAGCACAACATGCCCGGGCGGAAGCCGAAAAAGAAAAAAGGACCCGCGACAGGGGCAGACCGACCCAGTCGGAAGCATTGACATGCCACGCAAAACGGAAAACCTGGTTCCCTAAGTTGACGCGATCGTCAGCACCTTTGCATTAACCTTGGAATACCTAATATATCATTGCCAACACAGCCAATGGCCCTAGCCCGACATCCTTTGGCCCGACTGGGATTTCCTGCCTCCACCGCCTCGCGCTGTGTTTGGCGCACATCAGCTATGCTGGCTGCCCCCACCTCAACCCCTCCTCTTTCCTCCTTTTCTCCCCCCACTACTTCTTCTCTCTCTCGCGCTGCTTTACTATCTCGTCATTTTACTTCATTTACACCCAAAATGTCTTACACCGTCCGCAAGGTTGCCCAGCCTTATACGCTGGAGCACCGTATCTACATCGAGAAGGATGGCAAGCCCGTCTCTCCCTTCCACGATATCCCCCTCTATGCCGATGAGAAGGAGGGCATCTTGAACATGGTCGTTGAGATCCCTCGCTGGACCAACGCCAAGCAGGAGGTACGATAGCGACATCCCGAAGCGCGCATACCCCGCGCTGTACCATGAACATGTCAACGATACTGACGGTCCCGACCCCCAATCCAGATCTCCAAGGATGAGTTCCTCAACCCCATCAAGCAGGACGTCAAGAAGGGCAAGCTCCGCTTCGTCCGCAACTGCTTCCCCCACAAGGGCTACCTCTGGAACTACGGTGCCTTCCCCCGCGTGAGTCCTCTCCCCGGTAATGCTATATAGAGCATCAAAACTCACCCAATTGCCAGACTTGGGAGGACCCCGCCGCCGTTCACCCCGAGACCAAGGCTCAGGGTGACAACGACCCTCTCGACGTTTGCGAGATCGGCGAATTGGTCGGCTACCCCGGTCAGGTCAAGCAGGTCAAGGTCTTGGGTACCATGGCCCTGATTGACGAGGGCGAGACCGACTGGAAGATCATCGTCGTCGATGTCAACGACCCTCTGGCCAGCAAGCTTCACGACGTTGAAGACATCGAGCGCCACCTCCCTGGCCTTCTGCGCGCCACCAACGAGTGGTTCCGCATCTACAAGATCCCCGACGGAAAGCAGGAGAACTCTTTCGCTTTCTCCGGCGAGTGCAAGAACAAGAAGTATGCCATGGACGTCATCAAGGAGTGCTCCGAGGCCTGGGAGAAGCTCATGTCTGGCAAGGCCGACGCTGGTGGCATCAACCTGTAAGTTACTCATTACGTTTTCCATCGCGCTTATTGCAACATGTCGCTGACTCTTTGCAGCGCCAACACCGAGTACGACAACCGCGCCTCCCCGGCCGACGTTGCTGCCGTCCCTCAGAACGAGAACTTGGCCCCTGCCCCCATTGACGGCAGCATTGACAAGTGGTTCTTCATCTCCGGTGCCGCTGTCTAAATTTCGAAATTTGGCTTATCGAAATACCAAAAATTGTTTGATTACTCGCTGCCGATAGGCGGTGTGTATAATGGAATTAAGCTTTGCTGAAGGGTTAGCCGGCTAATCGGTATAATTCATTTGGCTGAAACAATATTACAATTTTGCCACTGGAACTTGATATACGTAGAATATTGAATGCATTCAGCTAGTAAGTTTGATAGGTGACATTCAGTATCAATATCCACACTCTCCGGGTCAGTGCCGCAAGGTCTATCATATTATGCGCCAGGTCAGGCAGCTAGCTTTTTGGACTATATAGGTCAGTCTAACGATGCTCACTAATCACCACAGCATACAACTCAAAGGATCTCCAGAGCTTGAGCGTAATGCAATTTGTCATCAATGACTTTTGTTGGCCTAGGAGTTCTTTGGGGCTATGCTCTGACACGTTAACACGAAAACATATATAGCGAGCAAGATGCGATTTCAAGGTCGGGAAATAAGTGATGCTAAACACATGCCCGCGGATAAGCATTCGGAGCCTGAAATATTGGGGACCAATCCTTTGAAGAAAATCTCCATGTAATATACGATCAATGAAACCTTGAAAGCGGTACAATAAAACGCCCGGTGGGATTTGGTATCAAATACTCTCAGAGGTCCGATTCTCCCACACGCCATAATAACAAGCTAGAAGATAATATGATACATAACGATAAAGCAGTCCAGGATCTCATACGAGACCTAGACTATGCAAATACAACATCTTCCACCAATATGCAAGCAAAGAAAGAGAGTATTAACCCTTCAAACTAGCTTCACGTTCCAACTGACGCCCAACGCGCGAAACCTCCTCAACAACGTCTCCAATCTTCATGCCTCGCTTGCCAACCTCAAGGGTCAATTCCTTGCCGCCCTTGAAGCCCACTGTCATGACAGGCAGCTGTGTGGAGTTGCGCGGCAATTGGGTAACCTTGATGTCGATATGCGTGGGGCTGCTCGTCGGCACTGTAGTGGGTGTGCGCAGCAGAGTGAGGAAGAGCCGACAGGGTCGGGAGGCTGCTGTGAAAGGGTTGAAAGTTGTGCGGAAGGAAGTGATTGTGCTGATAGGAATAGGCATCTTGGTGGTTGGTCTGATAGGGCTTGAGTACAGACTCCTCGATTTGTGAGAACAGACAGCTATTATTCCAGCGTTAACAATCTGCCTCATACGCGGAGTGATGGGGATTGATGTTCGATCTAGAGGCGTACCTGGTCGGTTTGATCGGGGGTATCGGAAGTTTTTTTTGTAGGGACGAACGAGTGGGATCGCTGCACGAAGAAGGGTACCGTAATATACTTGGACAGACTGTTCGCTGGGCTTGAGACAGATCTAGTCTGATTCGCAGCGCAAATCGAAGTGGCTGAGGAATTGAAGACTTGACAGGCGTAGCAGATTTCCCCGAATCGCGGACTGCGAGGGAAAGTCCAATGTTTGTCATCGATGCAAACATATCAACACACCCACCCACGCAACCTGGCAACTTGCGACTGCTTCAAACCAGATTATACGCATTTCAAGCGCGCGAGTTGAAAGCATTCGCACCGTGGTATTGTATGCTACGGTCGCACACAGTTTCTTCGAGTCCGCTTCAATTTTCCGTTGCATGCGCTGCGCCTACTGATACCTCAACACCCCAAACATGTCATCCACGGCAGCTCTTCAAGGCCGCTTGAAGCAGCTGTCGGCCTCTTTGGGGCAATTACAGCCCCTTCTTGAACGACTGCGCAATTTTACAGCTTCTATTGGCCAGGGTGACGAGGCCCGCGTGGAGCTTGGGTCAGAGATCCACAGCCAGTTGAAAGATGCCGAGGAAGAGCTCGAGCTTCTGCGGGTAGATGTTGAGGCTTTAGAATCGACCTCGGACAATCGGAAAAAGCCTTTCATGGTGAATGGGGAAAAAGAAGCCGAGAGAGAACGGGTCATTGCCATGGCGCGGCGATTGGCGGATGAACTGAAGAAGTACGCTCTCTTTTACCACGCGGTGATTCTGACAGGGATATGGAGTGCTAATATGATTGCTAGAACTCGTAGAGAGTTTCGGAATGCCCAATTACAAGCCAAACGCAATGCCGAGCTTGCGAAGCGCAAGGAGCGCGAGCTCTTGCTGTCAAGGTCACAGTCACCGTCCGAGCGACAGCGCCATCCGTCAGAGAAATTTACACAGCATGACTTGGTGTTGAATGCATCAAACGATGTCACTGCTGCGTTGCGTAGAACCCACAACCTGATGCAGGCTGAGCTTTCGCGCAGTCAATTTGCGCAAGAGACCCTTGGTCAGTACACTTAGATATGCGGTAACCACGTGCACACAAAACTAATATTCAGTGCTTAGAACAATCAACCGCTGCAATCTCCTCTCTGTCTGAGTCTTACAACAGTCTTGATACCCTACTCGCATCATCTCGCAGTCTCGCGAGCTCCCTTCTCCGCTCTCAAAAGTCAGATACCTGGTATCTCGAGACTGCATTCTATATCCTCGTCGGAACCATCACATGGCTTCTATTCAGGCGTATATTGTACGGGCCGATGTGGTGGCTCGTCTGGCTTCCATTTAAGTTTGCCCTGAAATTTGTGTTTGCTACCTTAGGTGCGGTCGGACTGACAAAGGGATCAACCGACATATCGTCCACCCATGTTGCCGGTGAGATTTCTGCGACCATGCAACAGACGGCAGCGGCGATTTCTGGACAGCCTGCACCACCTCACATTGCTTCTTGGGAGGATCAGCCGTCCACAGATGACGAGGACCGGCTCATTGATCAGATTGGGAAGATGGTTGAAGAGGGGAAACAGAAGGGTACAGGCATTGATGATATATCGCCCGAGGAGAGGCAAAGGCAGGCGGAACTTCCTCGCAACACGAAGAAAAGGATGTTTGAGGCGGAACCTGTCCGGGACGAGCTATAGACACCATCTTGTAATGATAATTTACGCCAGCCACGAAGCATTGATTGTATATCTGACCCCATTCTCAGCTGTATTGTGCGGGAGCTCGCTGTTCATGTGTTGACTGAGACTTTACCGATGCACTCTGATGTATGTGATCTACTGGGGCTTTCACTTTCCAAATCGCGATCTACAGCTGCTTACTTCAGCTAAGTGCTACGCGTGTCACGTGGAGACGCGTCTCCGTGAAAGGCGTCTTCACCTAGTTTCGGCTTCCACAGTGATTGTAGTCTGAGCTCCGAATTGTCTCGTGGCGCTCAATTTGAATCTCATATCACCATGGCCTCCACGTTCTTCAACAATAAGGCCCGCGCCGCTGCAGTTGCAGCATCCAGCAGCTCCAAGGCCAAGGCTGGAGACGGCAAGGAAGATACGACTCGCCAGCAGCCATGGGTTGAGAAATAGTACGTATCTTGAGGTCTTCTTATTAAGATTGAATCTCTCTAACATAAACAGTCGCCCGAAATCTCTCGACGATGTCGCCGCGCAAGACCACACCACGAAAGTCCTTCAGCGCACCTTACAAGCTTCCAATGTACGCATCACCTCTCAATGCTTCCCATTACGGTCAAATAACCTGGTCCTGTGTAGCTTCCTCACATGCTCTTCTACGGTCCCCCAGGAACGGGAAAAACCTCTACAATCCTAGCGCTTGCCAAATCACTCTTCGGCCCCGCCCTTTACCGTTCCCGCATTCTCGAACTCAATGCCTCCGATGAGCGTGGCATCGGAATCGTCCGTGACAAAGTCAAGAATTTTGCCCGTGCCCAGCTTTCTCAACCTACAGGCCTTGACGCCGCCTATCGCGCGCAATACCCGTGCCCGCCATTCAAGATCATCATTCTCGACGAGGCAGACAGCATGACCCAAGATGCACAGTCTGCGCTCCGTAGGACTATGGAAACCTACAGTCGCATTACCCGTTTTTGTCTGGTCTGCAACTACGTCACTCGCATCATTGAGCCGCTTGCTAGTCGTTGCAGTAAGTTCCGGTTCAAGTCGTTGGATAATTCGGCTGCTGGTGAACGACTGCAGGCAATTGCGCTCGCAGAGAATCTGAAGCTCGATGATGGCGTCATTGATACTCTGATTCGTTGTGGTGAGGGTGATCTCCGTCGTGCGATTACCTATATGCAAAGTGCGGCGAGATTGGTGGGTGCTGCGAAGGCGCCTACCAAGGACGCTGATGATGACGCCGAGATGGCGGATGCTGGAAGTGCTAGCACTCCATCTATTACTGTGCGCAGCATTGAGGAGATTGCCGGTGTAGTCCCGGAAAGTATTCTAGACAGTCTTGTGCAGGCTATGCAACCCAACAGCTCTGGATCCGCGTATGAAGCTGTCTCGAGTGTTGTGACAGATCTGGTGGCGGATGGATGGAGTGCCACACAAGTAGTTGGACAAGTAAGTCCTATTATGCTGCTGTTGCATAGTTGGATACGTACTAATGTGTTTCGCAGTTGTACCGAAGGATTGTTTTTAACGAGGCCATTCCAGATCTTCAGAAGAACAAGATTGTCATTACCTTTTCAGAATTGGACAAGCGACTTGTCGATGGCGCAGATGAGCACTTGTCCATTCTGGATTTGACACTGCGCATCGCTGGCATCTTACGCGGCTGAGTACTTGAAATGACACGGTAAGAGATTCAAGCAAATGGTTCATCTCGGTAAACCCTCGTCATGAAGGTTCAGTGACAGGGGGTGCCATGGCTGGCCAAATAAGCAAAGGCGTTAGGGGTTCATATATCATCGAGGCGTTTTGTACTTACACTATCTGCGGCGCTAGCAGGGTACCGCAACTATGCATGATTCGTGCACGTCTTCCACAGTACTCTCTACACCCTGTTTCGGAAGAAACCCCGGCCCATGCGCACTGATAATTCGTTGACGCCTAACGCGCGCGAGCGGATCTCGTTAGATCGAAGCAAGTTGAGTCACGTTCAGGTGGAGTCTTAGCCTTAGGCTCTAGTCGAAACTTCTACACGCCTCTCGCGATTGAGTTCAGGCATCTAGCACAGCCGCAGACATGGAGAAATGGACATTATGCTTGCCATATAAAACACAAACCCTCTAAACGACTTGCCATTTTGAGACTCCAATGCCCTTTATCCGTGGCGTTCCGACGGGAAACCAAACTACGGTCATGTAATCTCGCTTTGTCCATGGACATCTCCAAAATTTCAATAGTAGCCGAAAAGTTCCCACCTGCACCACGCTTGCACGGCGCTAGATAGCGTCTGGTGTCTGGGCAAGCTAAACTTTGGGGCCAAAAGAACCCTTCGAGCCTCGCTCTGCGACCGTAAGAGACAATGCTAACCGCAATTAGTACTAGACTGGCCGCTTTGATGCTTGGCTCGTCCCTGCCAAGCCCGCAGCTTTCGGGACTCCGATCCTTAGCGAGAGGGGCGGAGATTGCCCTTTAAGCCTCATTTGATCGTCGGAGTGTTTCCCTCCTTGGACCTTGAGACGAGCAGATGTATTTAGTATAGCTTTAGCCCCTTCTTTTGGAAATACACCGTTCACTCTTTTGGTTTGCTTTATTTGCTTTCTTTTGGATTTTGTTTTCCTTTGATATTTTGGTAGTTTTATACTTGACCAAACAAAGTCATGCCTCTCCCTACTGCTTCAGTTGGCGGTGGATGGTACACCTTCGAGAATCTCGGCCCTGCCACCGCGACTTTCACCCCAGCCCCTAGTTGCTCTGCCACGGACCGACTGCAAATCGGTGTAATCCGGTCCAGTTACCCGGAGATTGGATGGAATGTTCAGTGCACCTCGACGGGCTACGAAGGTTGTCTTCCACCTACCACCACCGCTACAGCTCCGGCAACCACGTCGACCGGCTATGAAGAGTACTGGGGCGTTGGAGCATACTACTCCCCAGGCCTGAACTGCCCCGTGGGATGGGCCACAGTTGGCCTGGCCGCTCGAGATGCAAACCAAACCCTCAGCTACTCTGGTATTATGGCTCCCACCACCACCTCGACTGCCAGGTATCACTCCAGGGAAAACGACGCCACTATTCTTGCCAATGTGCTTGAAGCCTCCGAGACTATGGCCCTTTGCTGCCCAAGGTATTTTATTCACCTCTTGACGTCCCTTTAACGTGATAAATAACTAACACCATACAGTGCTATGACCGCTGATGGAATCGGCGGATGCTACTTCGCCGTCCCGATTACACACCCACTCTCGGCTGCTACGTCTATACAACTGCGCCTTATAGCTACGAGATCTCCTCCGTGACCGAGACTCGCTACGGAGCCACCAGCACTTTCCTCATTGATGTTCCGGAATATGGTGATACCGTCACCAGGACTTACTCGAGAGTCTTCTACCCGAAGGACAAGAGCAGGTACACTGGTATCTCTTACGTCCCGATGGTGACTCTTGTGCACCACCAAACCGACATTCAGCCGACTGCTACTGGGAATGCTACTGGAAATGCTACTGCCGCTACCAGTACTTCGACTTCTACGTCGAATGCTGCCGGGCGACTGGCCCTTCGGTCTTCTATTTGGGACGGATTGGGTGCTGTTCTTGGTGTTTCTGCCGCCGCTATGGCATTGGGTGCTGCTATCCTATTTTAAGCCTTGATCCAAGCTCTAGCCCCCGAGCTGAAAGGCTCACATCTTACTTGTTTCGTTTCTCTGGCCAATCTTGTCGCATTTCAATATATCCCAAGACTCATGAATGTCTAATCGCGCATTTTTTTTTAGAAGAAAAAACCCCCCCCCAAAACTAAAAAAGAAAGAATACTTGAATAGAAGTAAAGTGAAATCATCAACGAGGACATAGCTCATGGGTAGCCTTCATACTTGAAAGTTTGCTCATTTCTCATCTTCGTCGTGGAAGTCTCCCTTCTGATCCCGCTTCTCATCCAACGTCTCATGAGCTACCACATCTCCACTCCTCTCCGAACCACCTTGCTTGAGAGCTTGGTATCCAATTTCCTGCTCTCCCAATCGCTCCACATCCTGAATTCGGCCCAACTTGTCCGTCCGGCGGGTAATCTTGCGAGTCCGAATACACCAAGCCACCCCAAGAACGAAAGTCAAGAACCAAAGCAACAAATTGACAACATCAATCCAGACAGCCGCTTTCATACGAGGAACACATTGCGTGAGGTCCTCATATTCAGCATCGATAGGCGAGGCGTAGTAGATACTTCCAAAGACGCCCACCTGTGCCAGCCAGAATACAGAGAGCACGCCATCCCATAGAGACCACAAGACGTGCTTGACAGTCACGATAGCATGTACAGCACATGTTACGGCAGAGAAAACCACAATCATCTCGGCGTAGACCCACTGGGCGGGAGCGGGCGCGTTCCGTTTCGTTGCACGCGCTAGATCGACACCGTAAAGCCCAGCGGCGATAATGGCGAAAATGAATTGGAGGACTCGGAGGATCGCTCGCGAGTATAGACCGAATATGCCATTTTTGTACCAATATTGTTCAATTGATGGGATTTGTTTCGGACTTCCATTAGCCGGCGTGGTTGTGGTTTCGTTGGTGGTATCTGTTGGAGTATACGGCGGAGGAGCGGTGACGGGTCCTTGCTTCGTCATTTTGAACAGAGCTGAAGATATGATGGAGAATCTGAAGTAGCCCAGAGAGGATGGGGCATTGTTATAAGTTCAATTTCCAAATAAAAAGTAAGCTTCTTTTTCCACCTTGAAAAGGGAATTTCACCGTATTCGTACGGTGGCTTCTTAAGTCGGGATCAGCGCTATTCCTATCCAAGTAATTATGTCGTACTCGGGTTACCTAACTTGGAGGTAAATCATTGGACCTTATTTGACTTCCTATAATTAGCAATTTCGAACCAAACTTAACCATGCTCTCCACGTTGAAACGAGTTATTCTCGCTCGCAGGTTGTATCGCACATGAGAACTGGTCCGAAGTCAACGAATGATGTCATCCAACTCCTTATTTATAGAGCCCTCGAGGTTATTTATGGAATGAACTGGCCATCGAAATTTGAGATCTGAGACACGTTGAATCATTGGTAGGCCTAGAACTCGAATGATATAACAAAAGCGGCTTTGTGTAGGAAATCACCTAGGAATTTTTTTGGGTAAAGTGATCAAATCTGGAATGAGTCAAAACACCACCATCTAATTGATCGAAAAGGACCTTGAAGAAGTACTGAAAGGAACAAATTTTGGCAGAATTGACCGCCATTTTTATTCATTTCACCCCGCTAGCTCTTTGTGTGCAAGTGCCCCAAAGGCTTGGAATATTGTGATCACCAGTGTACTTCCTTTTCCTCCCCTTCTGACAAACCTTACCACCTCGAAACAGGCCAGTGATTGGGAAAACTCTTGCACCAGCCACATCTTTGAAATCCAGGGGGATTATATGGAAGGGAAATGCGCGCACATGTTCCTAACTACCATGGAAAAATTGTTGCAGTGGAATCCAGAGACAAGACAGAGCATGCTAGACTTAAGAGCAGGGATTGTCTACATACTTTCGAATGCCGCGAAAGCAGTGGATCTATTCGCGAGCTCAAGAACTATTTGTTAGGCCCAATGGCTCCCGATACACAGGTCCTCAGGTCACGCTACGGATTGCCAGCATGAGTGGACCAGAAATATTGAGAAGAAAGATCAAAGTTTAGCTACTTGAACTAGTAAAATTCGTTCCTAACAACACAAGGCCTCCCACTGATACCTTATCGATGTATGGTGGCGAAATGATCAATCAGATGAGAAGCGCAAACTCAAGTGCAACGCGGGCAGACCAGAAAAGCAGAGGAAAAAAGTTCATGTCATCATTATCAGAGGGAAGAATACTGGAACGAAGTATCCGCGGTAACGCAACGCCAGATGTCAGCCAGTTGAAATACCATAAGCGCCACCGCTGGACCAAAGTGGAAGAAGGTGCGCCTGATGAGATAGCCGGTTAAGAAAAAAAAAAAACCGAGAGAAAAGCAGGAAACAAATCGAAGTCAAATAGACTGAAGTAGGGTGTGCCGTTTCTTGTCGCGCCTTGAACACCACGGTGAAATGCGATGCAGTAAATGCCAATGCATCAGATGTAAAGACCAAATAGAGATTCCTTGTGCCATGCAATAATATCCTCTCCCCGAGGATCAACACCTCAGACCGAACTCCGTGATGAATGCAGGTGAAAGATGTGAAATGAGACTGTCAGTACAGCTAGCGGATGGTGCCCCATTCTGCAAGCTTGCTACCCTCGCGCCGTGAGTCTCTTGTGGCTCGCTTGTCGAAGATCTTCCAGAATCTGAGCGTCTCGTCGCCAGCTCCGGTGACCACGGTCTGACCATCTGGGCTCATAGCTAAGTATAGCACGCGGAATGTGTGACCGGTCAGAGAGACAATTTGCTCCATGCGCGGATACTTCCAGATGACGATCTGGTTTTGACTGTATCCATGGGTACTGATGATCTCGTCGGAGTTCTTGGACCAGGAAAGGTTGCACACCTGGCTGCCCGTGTCCACCTCCTTGATCATCGAGCCAGTCGATGTATTCCAAAACTTGATCGTGCGGTCCGCGGTACCACCGCCCGAAGCGAGCAGATGATGTTGATGAGGCGACCATGCAATGGCCTTGACTGCCGCACAGTGATCTGAAAAGCGGAAGAGGGGTGTTTCGTTCAGCTTATCCCACACCATCAATTTGTTATCGTTTCCACCAGATGCCAGTTGGCCATCTTCAGTATTCCATTTCAAGCCGCACACTTCTTGCTTGTGGCCAGATAGCTTGCGAAGGTACTGATCAGGCGAGCGGACATCGCGATGATAAATCAGACGATCTCGGGAGCCTGATGTCAGGATGTGATCGTTCCATGCCAAAGCACCGACACGATTCGTATGGCCGATCATGGTTCGGAGGCGTCGGCAGTGTTCTGCATCCCAGATCTGCACAAGACCTTTCCCGGTGCCGATGGCTAGATGTGTACCCTTTTGAAATGTCAGTTGTGAGACTCAAGAAATAGAAAATGTACGTCTCTTACCCTTTGAATCCAGTTGACACTGGTCACAGTATCATCCTTCAGCTCACAAAGCTTAGTCACACGGCCGGACTGGGAGTTCCACATGTAGACCGAGTTGGCCAAGCCGACGCCCAGCACATTGCTGCTGCCCCAATCCACTAAATTCAAGTAGAAGTCATCTTGCAGGTCGGGAGCATCCAGAACCTTGTAAGGGACCTTGTTAACATAGCGGGGCTGCTTGCGCGGAGTTTCGAGAATGCGTTGACTATCATATCTTATAGGCGAAAGACTGTAGAGTTCGGAGCGGACATTGAGGTTTGGTCCATGGTGGCTTCTTGGAGTTTTGGAGGGGGTAGGATGGCCCGATCCCGGTCTTGTGGGCCCGTAATTGAAGAGGTTCTTGTGTGGGGTTGAAGGTGTAATGCTCGCGGGGGGAAGATTGGCCACAATATGGGCCGGAGGTGTATGTGACCTGGTTTTGTCGTTGATGCCATTCGAGAAGCCGAGAAGTGGATCGGATGATGCTGTGTTGAGATCGGGCTGGGGAACAGTGTTGCCAAAAAGCTCACTGCGCAAGACGCGAGAAAATGTTCGGTTCGCTTCCTCCGCTGTAATTTCCATGTTAGCAATGGAGAGCGGCGAGTGCTATGGGGAATCTACAAACTCTTCTGGAAATGAAGCTCCGAATGAGGAGCGCGCCTCTTTGACTTTGATGGGGTCGAAGGGCAGCCATCTTCATGTAGCAGGCTGTAAGTTGCCTGCAGGTCTTGACCGTCGCGATTGGGAATAAAACTTCGTTGCAGTCAGTTGCATGTTCTCAGACCCAGTCCGCCCACATCGGCGCCCGTCGCAGCTATCTTGACGACTTACCGGTCTCCATAGACTCGCTGCCTCTTTCGATGAGGACTTGTACCCGGAGTCCTTTCTCTTTGGGTACCAGCCTCGCCATAATCTTTCAAAGCTTTCGCTAGCGCCGAAGCATCGACGGGCTCTGATCCTTCTGCGGCTCGTGGGAGGTCGCCCAGGTTATCGGAATAGAAGACGGTTTTCTTGGCGGGCATGCTCGGTGGGGTCTTTGAGCCTGGCGGTGATACGATTGCTGCTGATTGCGACCTGGTATTTATTCGGTGGGCTCTGGCACTCACGCCTGCGTTTGTGTCCTGAGATTGGTCCCCCATGCTGGCAGCTGGTCCCTGGACCCCAGATGCAAATTGCGCTTGATCAAAAAGTCGACCGGGACGGGCATGCGAGAAAGATAAAAGGTCGAAGTCGAGATCGAAGCGCAGATGCAGACGGTCGGAAGAGAGAGATGGGTGTTGTCCTTTCTTCTATCAGGGTTTGGCGGGTTTGTGATGATCCAGCCACCGATGTTTGGCGCTTCGACACAAAGGTGATCTACGACACTTCACAAAGTGCGGACAAGACACCCAAGTGTTTCAGCGAAACAAAGAAACTGGCATTCAAATCAGCGACGGAGAATGCTGAAGAAAGGTGTACCAAGGGCGAGCCATCCCTCTCGACCTGAGGTCACGCGTCGGTTGCGCTATCCCCGATTGGGACTCACTGTGGAATCCAGTTCATCCACTTTTGCACTTAATATCTACGATCCGACCGTCCATCACTGGATCTATAGAACTCGTCTCTCGCGAAGAGCCTATCACTTTCAGTACTCGGCATGAACATTGCATGATACCAATTCAGTCGAGATCAGGATCCCCGGAACGGACTGACCATGTGGCATTTGTTATGATTTTGATTAGTCTCAGTCTAAGTCTTAGTCTCAGGCTTGTTTTGATAACGCGACTCAGGCCTAGAGGGAAGTAAACTCGGGCACTAAACCGTCGATTCAGTCACTTAGAATACCTGAGTGGGGGGAAAATCAGAGGGATCTGACGCGAAGGGCGCGCTCATCCACGCGCCGGGGACGCGCAGAGCTTGGGCCATAGCAACCCATCTCTGCCAATCATTTCAGCCAAAAAATATAGAAGAGACCGGCGTCAATATTGTTCCGTAATGGATTATCAGAGATAGCTTCTGGGGCCCCATAGTCCCTTATCTTGCAGCTCGTTGCTTTCGTAGTGCGCCCCCATTCTCAAAGGCGAAGTGACAGTCACCGCCAAAACGGAAAAACCCTTTCACTTCCACTTCTCCGCACTGGACTATGCCCCCACGTCTGTCGCTGCGATCTGTCTTTCAATTCCATCGTTACTCTACCATGGCTTCCAAGCAACCGGCCGTGGACTTCTTGTCCTTTGTCAATGACTCCCCTACTCGTATGCTCTATGATGAAACTGGTGTGGAACCTATGCTGACCAAGGTCTAGCCTTCCATGCCGTCAAATCTGCCAAGAAACTGCTGAACGATGCCGGCTTCCTGGAAATCAAGGTACCCAGAGCTTCCCCCACAATTTTCGATCGGCACTCATTCTGCATATAGGAACGGGATTCTTGGGCCTCTACTTGCAAGCCCGGTGGCAAGTACTACCTAACCCGCAATACCACCACTCTTGTGGCTTTTGCCATTGGAAAGAAATGGACGGTATGTATAATCTCAGCCAAAGGCAGTAAATTCACTGACAATTTTTAGCCCGGAAACTCAATCTCCATGATTGGTGCTCACACCGACTCGCCTGTCTTGAGGGTTAAGCCCGTGAGTAAGAAGAGTGGCGAGGGCTTCGTCCAGGTCGGCGTCGAGACCTACGGCGGTGGCATCTGGCACACTTGTATGTCTACCTCGAATGATTAAACAATTACTCGAAGCATCTGATCTCTAACTCTGACACTATCAGGGTTCGATCGTGACCTAGGTGTTGCTGGTCGTGTGATGACTCGTGCCGCTGATGGCTCTATCGTTCAGAAGCTGGTCAAGGTCGACCGTCCCAGTATGTTCAATCTTACACAGAATTGAATTTTGAGCTAACTTTGCAGTTCTTCGCATTCCCACTCTGGCCATTCACCTGGACCGCCAGGAGACCTTCTCCTTTAACAAGGAGACCCAACTCTTCCCCCATTGCTGGCCTGGCGGAGGCCGAGCTCAACCGCCCTGCTGACTCCAAGCCCGCCGAGGGCGAGGAGGCATTCTCCCCGTTGAAGTCAGCGTCTGAGCGTCACCACCCTTACTTTGTGGAGATGATTGCGGCTGAGGCCGGAGTCAAGCCGGAGGATGTCCTTGACTTCGAGATGATCCTTTTCGATACGCAGAAGTCCTGCCTTGGCGGCATGAGCGAGGAGTTCATTTTCTCCCCCGCCTGGACAACCTCAACTGCTCCTTCTGTGCCATAGTTGGCCTGATCAACTCCGTGGCTGACAAGTCAGCGCTGGACAACGAGGATGCTATCCGTTTGATTGCCCTTTTCGACCACGAGGAGATTGGCAGCCGCACCGCTCAAGGTGCGGACTCCAACGCTCTCCCGGCTATCATTCGTCGCTTGTCAGTACTCCCTTCAAATTCTGCAGCCGATGTCGACTTGGCTACTGCCTACGAGCAGACTCTCTCCACTTCCTTCCTGGTGTCGGCAGATATGGCCCACTCCGTCAACCCCAACTACGCTGCCAAGTATGAAGCCGATCACAAGCCCCAGATGAACAAGGGCCCTGTGATTAAGATCAATGCTAACGCTCGCTATGCCACTAACTCTCCTGGTATTGTGCTTCTCCAGGAAGTTGCACAGAAGGCGACGAAGGAGAGCGGTAACCCCATTCCCCTGCAGCTGTTCGTCGTCCGCAACGACTCTAGCTGTGGTAGCACCATTGGCCCGATGCTGTCCGCGGCTCTTGGGTGCCCGTACCCTGGATCTGGGTAATCCCCAACTGAGCATGCACAGTTGTCGTGAGACCGGCGGTACCTATGATGTTGATTATGCTACCCGTCTCTTCACTGGCTTCTTCCAACACTACTCCGAGCTGTCGAAGACCATCTTCGTGGACTAGACATCGTCATGCAGATAGACTGAAATATTCTGGTAGAAAAAGAAATAACAAAATCATGTATTATCTCACAATCCACACAGCTCGTAAAGTAGATTAACGTCAAAAAGAGCTCGAGGTATATGCACGTGGTCGGCCCGAGATGATCCCGCATCTCCTTTAACTCCACAGCTTATCATCTCCCCGACCCCATTGATCTGGAGCCTGGACGACCATTTCGCTCGTCCATGCCCCCCATGACCCTCTATGACCGACGTCGATGCCTTTCGAGATGCGGAGTACATCGCTGACGTGTCTGGCATTGTCCTCGACGATGCGCAGCCAGGCTCGTCCGCACCCAGCAGCAACAGCCGCGTGAGGAAACTCCAGTCCTCTGCAAAGATCGCCTTTATTGACCGACTGCTACGCGATCTGGACATTTTGATTTACTGTCAACTTTCAGCGTTGTATTACATGGAGTAGGTTGACTCCTTCCCCGCTATTCACCAGCCCGCATCTGCCCACCCGTGTCGAAAGAGCTCACTAGCTGACACCTAGCTCTGCCGTATAGCTGCTCTTTGGTTCTATTTGCCGTGCGCGCCATAGTGGAACTGATATTCTTCACACCGAAAGCACCGCCATTCGACCCGACGCGAAATCAACCCTTCGTCGGCGCCATCATAGCCAGCAACCTCTTCTGCATGACCTTCCACGCCTTCTTCATCCGACCCGAAGCCGGCGAGAGCACGCGCGGTTATCTCCACGGCGGATTATTCATCGACTTCATTGGTCAAAAACCAGTACTCGTATTAAGACTTCTCTTATTCGACCTATTGATATTTCTGGTTGATTTCGTCATGCTAGCCTTGATCATCGAGCGGGTCAAGACAGCAGGCACAACGCCTACATCATCCACCACTACAGGTACAGAGCCCGAGACGAATACACGTACGGAACCGTCCTCCGAACAACAGGACCATGACGCAGAGGAACGAGGCGTCATACGAGAAACTGAGATCACGAACTCAATTATCACCCCCGAAGCATCACCGGTCGCTGAGATCGACGAGGATCTAAATAACGAGCGAACGACACTCCTAGCTGATCCCGGCGAAAGCAGCTCTGCACAAACACCGCGCGGAGGCCACCCATTAGACTCGTATTCGTCCGGACAGGCCACGATCCTGGAAATGGGTTTCTTCAGTACGATACGCGATCAATGGAAGTACTCGACGACGCCGCGACGACCGACGACGGGTTATGTGCCTACGCCCGAGACAGCGACGTTCCTTCGGCAACGATTCGGACTACAAGTTGGGACCGATGGACGTATCGTTCGAGTGGACCGATGACCAATGTCATTACAATGTATTTTGAGGACATTGGAAGCTATAGGCAGTACTCTGATGCTGGTCACCGAGATTATTATCTGGTCATCGAACATGGTTTGCAATCTCGTATGGATGTAGTCATGATATTAATGCAAACGATCGGTAGCCCTGTAAAGTTTAGACAACAGGCGGCTTCCCCTCACCGACACCACCATCCTCCTTACCCTTTACCCTACGATCCAAAATCTCATCAACAAGACCGATCTCCAACGCCTCCTGCGCGCCCATGAAGTAATCCCGCTCCATCAGCTTCTCAATCTCGTCCAATGTCATTGTCTTCTTCCCCGTCAAATGACGCTGATAGATCTGGTTAAGCTGGTGGCGCACGCGCAGGATCTCTTTCGCGTGGATGGCAATGTCAGTCGCTTGGCCGAAGTATCCGCCCGAAGGTTGGTGAATCATGATTGAGGAGTGGGGGAGACAGTAGCGTTTGCCGGGTTCGCCGCCGCAGAGGAGGAGGGAGCCCATTGAGGCGGCTTGACCGACGCAGATTGTGCTGACTGGGGAGGCGATGTAGGTCATTGTGTCGTAGATTGCGAGGCCTGGCAAATTTGGTTAGGTATTGGCTGGACACGGGGTGGTGGGATCGGTACCTGCTGTTACGGAGCCACCGGGCGAGTTGATGTAGAGGTGGATTGGTTTCTGGGGATTATCTGCTTCGAGGAAGAGGAGCTGGGCGACGATGGAGGCGGACATGGACTCGTCGACTTCGCCATTGAGGCAGATGATGCGTTCCTATTTGATATGAGTTTTTGTTTGAAGGAGTATTTGCAAGTATAGTTTGTACCTTTAAAAGTCGAGAGAAGATATCATCTGTTCGGGGGCGCAAAGACTGTTAGCTAGATCCTTCAGTGGAGGGGATCTCGTTGGGGTTGTTGAAGCTACATACAGGTGTGCCAGCCACCGCCCTAGAGCTTGTCAGTACCGGTGTCAGGTTGTGCAGGTTACAAGAGATTGACATACCACGGTCTCTGTCACAAAGGGCGTGGGTGTCCATCCCCGCGGAGGCGCGCGGTCGAACGAGGGCGCACAGCTTGAGAAGGATCGCGGAATAGCTGTGATAGGTCGGACGGTAGAGACTGATGGTCGGGCTAATGATCGTCCCAGGCGAGAGATAGATAATGTCGGGCGCATCTTGACGGCTGCGACTGGTGTGGTGAAGGACGGTGAGAGATGCGGAGCGGAGCTATCGATAACTCTATTCGCGCTAAGATACGAGCCTTTGTGACTCCGATAACAATTGATGATATAGGTTTCAATTGAGCGACACTTCGACCTTGACTATGGGATTGACGATATGGAGATTCCCAAGTATGATTCGATTGTGAACTCCTCAAGATCTTCATATCTGGGAATTTCATATGCCCTAAAACTGCTTTGAGCTCTCCAAAACCACTCCGCAAATGGCAACATCTGATTGGCGCAATATTCGCGGTAACTTGGCATTAGAAAAGCGCAACTCACCATTTCTTGCATCCTCAAACCCAAATGGAGTGCGCCAGCCATCGCTTATCATTCGCAACATGGCGACTTCGCACCTTTCGCCAGCTTCTTGCTACATCTCATCAGTCGCGCGTCGCTCGCCGCCCCATTTCAACCTCTCCACGCCATGAAGCTGCGGAAACCAAACCCGATACCGAGACACATATTCCACCATCACAACGACTACCTCAATCGCCTCTAGTCACGGACATGCGCACTGGACCCGAAAAGCAGCACAAAAGACCTCCGACCAAAGCAGACCTCGAACCGTTGTCCAAAAACCCCTGGGCCGTCGCACTTGCATCACCACCACGCATGTGCACCCTCACAGGCGCGAGGATCCCACGCGACCTCTTAGGACAATGGGGTCTACTGAAAAATCCCACCTCAGGGCTCAATTATATGCTACCTGTGGGCCTTCTTCAGGAATCACTAGCACGCGATTCAACACCTGTGCGGAAACCAGACCCCAATACGTCAACAGGCGAACACGAATCAAGCATCACACCAGTTCGAAATGAGAAACTAGGTCGTACGCTCTTCCTACGAATGGTTGATAGACTTTCCTTCCTGCGCGTTGTAGCACCGATTTTCGCCAGAAGCGCGGGGAAGAAACCGGCTGTTGCGAAGATGGTGCCGTATCGGTGGAAACATCCTCATGGCCCGATTAATGCGAAAGAGGAGAAAAATATGGTGTGGATGAAGGATATGCCGGAATATGTGCTTATGCATATGCGGCGTGATGTTGCGAGGAAGTTGGAGGCTGTGAGACAGAAGTGGGGGCTTGGAGGTGAGGATGGAGTATGGAGTGCTCTTGATGTTCAGGAATCCTCGGATGCTGGAATGGTGGATGCGCTGGCGCGGTTGAGACCGATTGAGAGAGCGGAATGTGGTGCAATGATTATTCTTCAACGTTCGGGGGCAGTTGAGAATGGGAATGTGAACGAGGTGGTGCACCCGCAGACGCAGAAAAAGATTCCCGTGTTTGATCTTTCGAAACTTTTGGCTGAGTCGGATTTGGATGCTCTTCGTCAGACCGGAGCTGCGCATTATCAGCAGGGGGCGCTGTTCTTCAGACCTGAGGATCCTTCGAGTATAAAAGCGATGCTGTCGCTTTGGAAGCTCAAGCTTTTCCTAGAGGAAGACCCCGCTTTAGACTTGTCGAAGTAACAGAGGGCTCTGTCTAGGATGAATTCTTAGCGTTTATTTTACAATCGACAGTACCATCTTGAAATGGCTTTTCTTAAGAACCACGAAAGCAAACCTTCTACTTTTCAGTTCACTCAAGTCGAAGCATACTATCGAATGAAAATTGATGTTGCGGCACCCACGCCTACAGCCATCTAGATAATGTCAACCCGAGACGACCGATGCAAATGCGTTTCATGCAAAGATATGCCAAGGCGCTATGATGGAATGTGATCTAAAGTAACTTTTATAGAAGAAACGCTGATGGGGAAGGAACACCGTGTGAATGATCGAAGCATATGGAATAAGAGATCAAAGGAAAGGATAGTCGTGTTCGTTCCTTTCGTCGTCTCCTGGTAGAGAGGGGGAGTGGGGGTGGGGCAGGATTGGATCAATTCGGTTCCCGATGATCCTCGTCAGTAGACGGGAATAGCGATCGAATGAATTCCTCACTGAGTGGGTCATATGGGAAATATGAATCGGCCATCTCGACAGGTCTTTGGAATGTGGACATTAGGTCGGGAGTGGGAAGGTTGAAATAGCTTGTCCACAGGTCCGCTTCGGGGACCGGGCGCGAGCCGAAGATGGAGATTTCTTCCGGGGGCAATGTGAAGTATTCGCGGGATGACGGGGTGAGAGGAGGATGAAAAGGGAGATGGGAAGTGGTCACAGAAGAGTTAGGATCTTGCTGGTAGGGATGGGAGGGGATGTCATCGACGGCGTATTTCATGCCACTGGCGAGTTTGCGGAAGCTGGAGTCGCAGAGTTGCCATGCACGGCGGGAGCTGTGTTCAGGCATGGCGTAGAACCAGCGGATGCATTTTTTCGCCAGTCGGACGAAGTTGTCCTCCTCCTCTGGCATGTGAACACTTCCGAATGACAGCTCGAGGAGAAGAACTATCGCAGCTTGCATCAATTGGCGCAAGATACACCACCAGGGGCAGATGTCGTAGAGTTGGAGAACATTCGGCTCATCGGGGATCAGGTCGATCATACCGCACGCTGACTGTAAAGTGACGACTGCCATCGTGTGACTGAATGTAGGCAAGGTTCCATTTTGACGTGCATCTCGCCGACAGAGGCACGGGCGGCCGAGAGTGATTCGGACGCTGTAGTAGTGAAAGCCCAGAGCCAGTTTACAGCGTAGCTGGTCGTGGCTGTCGTCTGTCTTCTTTTGGGTGAAATCGAGCCCCGTGGGAAGACTGGACCGCCAGAAATCGATTCGAGACTTCGCTTCATCGATTCGGCTTTCAATTTCCGACCACGGTAACATGACGCAGTTGGTCGAATAGATCTTGTTGATGATCTCCTGGGCAATAACCGTCAAGTCGCAGTTGTATAGATAGCAAACGCCGAAGTTGATTGGTAGGCTTTTGACCCATGATTGGTCCTTCGGATGGGATCGGTCTCTGCCGAGAGTTTGTCGGATAAGTGAGCTCGCCATCACGTTGTTGATCTGTTCATCTCTCAAAGTTGGGTCGTTCAGAATTTCGAGCGCGGCCGGATCTTCTTGGAGCTGATCCTCTTCGTATGGTAAGGGCAACGGGGTCGCGTAGCCTCCATCCATGGTAGAAATCGCTCGACCGGTCATAATGCCTAACATATGTTCAAAGGAGTATATGCACCACCAAACTTTATACCGAGCTTCTTTAGAGATGTTGGGGGTTTTCAAACTATTGTTCTTCAGGTTGATACCGAGGGTGATTGCTGAACGCACTGCCAACGCTGATATTCTCCAGGCCCTGTACAATTGATTAGGGCCGATGCAGCACAAGAAGAGAAAGGTTCTGGTGCGAACCTGTTGATTTGGTCCGAGGCAAGGAGGTAAAATGCAATTAAGCCTTCCACTTGGACTTGTTGGAGGTCGGGGTGCGCGAACAGGACCTCGGTGTTCATACTGAGCAGTCTAGCACGAGCTAGGTACATCAGATGGTCGTTCGCGGCTCCTCGCCATGGAGAGTTCATGAGGTGGGCGTGCTTTGCAGCGATAGCGAAAATGACATTCAAAATGGCGAGCCATTTTTCGCCAGGTCTGACGGAGTTAGATCGAGCGGAGTTGTCAAAAAAGGTTTGATACTGTGCGCAGAACAGTGATCTGCTGATAATGGGGAAAAAAGGATGGACGGTTTTTAAGTAGTCGTCAAAGAGCCGGTCCGCTAAATGTCGCGGCGGCATGGTATACTTCTGTATTGGTTCGGGCACGGATATGCTGAGGTCGTCAAGGTGATAGTTCAAGGCGCTGAGTGAGAACCTATCCTTTGTTTCGTCGTCTTCATCGCCTTCGGATTCTAAAGTGCCACACTTTCCACGGGCACGCTGTTCGGCCTCTCTCTTTAGCCGTTGCATCCAGGTGATTTCCGAGCTTTTGCCCATGTAGCCCGTGGCCCGAGTGTGTTCTGATCGATTGTGATCCTCGTCTACTCGGTCAATGGCGTCCAGTGATCCAATTGATGAGAGCGGAGACGTTTCATCTGGTTCCATCTCATTCTGAGGTGTGGAGCGATAGGAGCGCGCATTATCAAAGGCACTTTCTCCCTTCAATTCATGCTTGGGATGAACCGGTTAGTCCTAGGACATTGCAGCAAATTTCAATTCCACCAACCTTGTCTAGCAAAACCTTGATCCAGTCCGTCGTGCGAGACTCGGCCGAATTCCGCAGATCGTCCAGAAAGTTTTCATAATCTTGCACCTCAGCAGTGAGCCGGTCAACCTCCCTGTAGGGCTCCAGTAGACCCGGTCAGTCCATGGTGTTCATTTTCTAGAGCCTCAGTACTGATGGGAAACCTTCCAAAAACACCCACCTTTTCATTTTTTCCCGCCAACCGACAGGATAGTGACAGGTCACTCTCAGTTCTCGACATTGTCGACAAACCGGGGTGTCACCACTGCATTTTGTTTTGCGCTGTCTACACGACTCACAAGCTCGCGGAACCCGCCGGTTGTAGCGCTGGGTGTTGTTCCCCGGCGGCTGGCGGGGAATCGCAACTTTGGCATTGGAGGCTTTGGCATTGGCAAATTTTGCATCCCCCAACGCGGGTGTAGAATTGGATGTTTTGCCCCCTCTTGGGATATCCGTGCCAGAAGGCCGCCTGGGAGTTGCAGGGGCACTATGCGGCCCTGATTGCTTTGCAGAATCATTCGCAGCACCCTCGCCCGGCGAATTGTACGAGTGTTTTTGTTTTTTGCTGGTCATGAGAGCAGTAGTTGACACAGAGAGAATAATAACTAGACTACTAGGGTACAGAGCTATCATTGCAAAAGAGGTGTGCCTTTTCCAGTGTGACACCTTTGGCTTCGGTTTGAGATGCCGCCAATGACAGCCCCGTATTTGCAGAATGCAGACGGGTGGGGATCCGAGCCCTAAGAGGTGAAGACAAAATAAAGCCATCCGATTACCCAATCTTGCGCGCCTCTCTCCGCTCTCGCTCCTCTCTGCCGACCGGATCGACGTCAATTGCCAACTACTCACAAGCGAAACGCTTGGGATTGGCCGGCAGCCCATCCGATCGTGCCCTTCTACCGGCTTTGGAGGGCTCGCTCGGGGAGGGGACGTGGAGATGCAAAGTGAACCGTAGAATATACATGACACAAGGTAAGGGACCAGCGCGGGTTGTGTTAGCATTCAAGGTTGGTTTCTTTGGGATTGGAGGAATCTCGTGCATGTGCTCGCGTGAGGCGTTTTGCTCATCTCTCGGCCATAGCTTCTGCTTTTCTCCACAATTGCCGCTCTCGGAATGGCAGAGCTGCTTTTCTCTACTACACGGAGACTTCGGACCAGCAACAACCCCGAGGCGACTTTATTTGCATCAGCTTGCTTGTTCGATCAACTATTGATTGCCATTGGGTGGGCTCGATTGGCAGTTATCGTTCGAAATCTCGCCAAGGTCGTGTATCGCAGCAGGTTTGCCCTCCCTGCCGCCGATCCGGATGTTTAGAGCACCACCCAACTCCCGCAAGGATCAAAAATCTCGTGGAGAGCGAATAGTCTTGTCGATACTGGTGTGCGATCAATACTTGCTAGGTGGGACCTCGAAGCATCGGCGTGGGAGGGACCTTGGGTCTTGTATAGCATTTGATCGAGAATGTTTGGTACTAAAGGGAACGGAGATACAAGTCCGCTAATTTGTGATTGGCAATCCTCAGTGAGGATACCCTTCCGAGCCCGTTATTGGCGGGATGGCAACCCAGTACCATAGTATCACAGTCCCCAATTGGCGGAATGGACTGAGATTCCCACATTCGGCTTTTTTAAATCTCGGACCGTCACGAAAATCAATTGACCCATGTTGTCGGGTTCACAAGGGGGATTGGAAAGTGGGACGCGACGGAGCATCAAGAGCCCCTTGTCTCCTATTGCGCGGGGTCCACGGAGTTGGCAGAGAAGCATCGCCCATCTTCAATGCTTTCTACAAAGTGAAGTGAGTCATGGTAGCCCGTCAATATCTCTCGGAGTCGATGTGTCTTCAAATCAAAAACATTATTGGCGGCAGTCGATCCCAGGAGCGGGACAACTATACACCGCCATTATAAAAAATGGGTCCGGCCCGGTATACTGGGCCGAAGGGGGTTCGGTTGACCCGGTGCATGCGTGAAAGAGCCCACAAACAGCCGAGAATAAGGTTCGTAGAAGCGAAGATAAGTGTATTTGCCCAGGATTCAATAAAGAGCATTAGTGAGATTGGAATTTCGAAGGTATCTGAGCAGGAAAAGTCAAAGGATAAATGACAATAGAGTAAATTAGACACAGGAGATTTGCGTAGTGTTCTGGAGAAATCCACAGGCGAGAAGAAACTTGGAATGTTCTGATATACAGAGTTTATACCTAGAAAAGGACAAGCTTCGGGGAAACCTGCAGTGAGTGGCAAATACCACGGCAAGTTCCGCTGTCATGGCTTTACCCAAATCGAATTAGGCCCCGAATGGCTAGGAATCTGCGATGTTGTCATCAATATTGTCATTTCAGAAATTAGCGATGACATCTGACGCAAAAAAAATAGAGAGGCCACTTCACCTACCTCTAAGAGCTAGTAGTCGCCATGTCTGATAGCTGTGACAGTGTCTTGAACGTCAATCATGTGTGTGAGCGGCGCACTAAGGGAAAGTATCAATGGCATGCTGATAACTTTAACATGTCCTATTTTGGCTCGCAGCACCTAGTATGAAAGCTCAGATATCAATTTGAATCTCCGACGTAGCTTAAATGTCCTGTCAGTGACCTAATCCAGAGAGACCGATGCCTCGGAGTTTCAACAAAAGTCCGCGGAGTTTCGACCCTTTGCCAACGGTCGTCAACGAAATCATCCACGACAAGTATAAAGGGCAAGACTCAGCAGGGAGACACTATAACATAATCATCGCGCAGTACTTCAAAAGACTTCTTCTTACCTTCTAATCTTAGTTCTCCCCTTTGAGACCGTCACACCCATCATTTTCTTGCCATCTCTGTAACCATGGAGGAGTGGACTTTCAAACCCAAAACCCGATACGAAAATCTGTGTCCTTATCACCAGAGGGAATAGAGGAACAACAGGCTTACCCCTAGAGAGAAAAGCCCCTCCTTGTATTCCTCCATTATTGGGGCGGCAGCTCATCAACCTGGCACAAGCTCATATCATCAGACTCACGACACTGCGTCAGCGAAGATTACCCAACCGCCACATTCGATCTCCGAGGCTGGGGCAAGTCCACTGGACCAGTCAATGATTACGAAGGCAATTATTCCGTGATCAAAATGGCAGAAGACGTCATCTTCAGTCTGCGTGAGCTTTCCAAGGATACTGAGAACAAGAAGCTTTTGCAACATGGAATTATTCTCGTCGGTCATTCAATGGGTGCGAAAGTCGCTCTCGCTGCTCAATTTGGGACTCAAGATGGATGGCTACTATCGAAGATCCGCGGTCTCATTCTCATTGCCCCGGCACCTCCCAGTCCGGTGAATCTGCCACCTGAGATGAAAGCTCAGCAAGAGGTTGCCTACGAGTCGGAAGAATCTGTTCGTGAGACTGTGAAATATGTCCTTGCCAAGCCTGCGAACTTGACTGAATCTGACATCGATATGATTGTTCGTAACAGCTTGGCTGGGAATTCTCTGGCGAAGAAGGCTTGGCCTTCGTATGCTATGAAGGAAGATATTTCTGGACTTGTGAAGCAGGCAATCGAAAGCGCCCCTTGGAAGGTCTCTCAGTGGCTGCCTCCCACGGTACGTGTGATAATGGGCGAGGAGGATGTTGTGCCAATGGACAGAGTGCAATCTGAGGTGGTGTCATTCCTGGAGAATCAAGGCATCCATGTCACTACAACTGTTGCGAAAGGCGTGAAGCACCTTCTACCACTTGAGGCTCCTGAACTTATCGCCCAGGAGGTCCGCCTTTTCTGTTGTTCTTGAGTAGTTGTGTTGGGTATTGGCTTCGTGGGGAATTTGAAAAATTCCAGATACCTCTAAAACAATATCGACTTCTATCATCCGATTATGTACTTTGTCCAATCGTAGAAACCTCACAGCCCCGATTCCAATAGGTCAGACAGCTTATCCAAATAAGCATGAGGGCGCACAGCACCAGAGACAAAGTCGTCCTTAGAGCTGACACCGGTCAAGACGCCAAGGGTGCCGCCCAGCTTGCCCTCCAATCCAAAGCGAATATCAGTGTTGACACGGTCCCGACCATACATGCGCGACTACGATCGAATCTAAACTTGCCCTCGATGGCATCCATCATGGCTTGGCTTGGCTTTCCAAGGGAAGTAGGCTCCGATCCAAGCATCATAATCAGTGGTGCGCTCATGGATCCGGCGCCAGGGAACAAAGTGCCCGAGTTCGGCAGCGTGGAGTCGATGTTTGTAGCGAGAAACACTGCGCCACGCTTAATGTAGTGAAAGGCTAGTGCAAGCTTCAAGTAGTTCAGGTGGAAGTCCAGGCCGACGAGGACAACGCCAACCTCCGAGTCCAACATGGAAGAATCACCCTCGGCGATGAGCTTGTAGTCTTGGGGCTGGATGTCACGGCGGTATGCCGGGTCCGTACCGCCGATAAAGGGAACATTCTCGGCGCGCAGTTCCTGTTCAATTCCAGTCTCACCGATCACGAAAACCTTTTTCTTATCCTTTGGCAGGTCAAGGATGCGCGAAATGTATATTGAGGCGCTGTACGAAGATGAAAAGACCTCTTCCTGAGAAGATGTGAGCCTCTGTGCTTGAGCTAATTTTTCAGACGAGATAAACTAACCACTGTACTTGGGATTCCAAGACTTTGCAGCTTCTTGCAGTAGTCCGCGCGGGACTTTGTGCTGTTGTTCGTCACGAATACCACTTGTTTGCCTAGGAAGAGTCAGCTTCCCGGTCTGTGTGTCGGTGACCGGGCGTAAAGCGCACCATTCTTGCGTAATAACTCCAGCGTCTCGACTGTTCCGGGGAAAATGTGGTCGCCAGACCATAGAACGCCTAAATCGCGGATTCCGTCTTAGTATATTGTTGTATGAGAGCTTGCGAGTCGAATGCGGAGGAGCGGAGAGAAGGCCGAGATCAAGGGAGCACAGAGGACTCACCGTCGCAGTCGAACAAAAAGACCTAGAAAATAGCCATTTAGTCGATTGATGGAGTGAGATACTTTGTGGATATGAGAGACCTACGTCGAACTTGTTCAAGAAATCGCGGAGACCATCCTTGTTGCCGGTCAAATAGAGGGGCGCCGGGGTCGACGCGGGGTTCGGATGGGCCATCTTAGCAGTGGATGAAACACAGAGATTGCGCGAAAGAAGCGCAGGATGTCCGTGGAATACGCTAGTGTCAGAAAGAGAAAAAGCGGGCTCTGAGCGAAGTCATCAAACCTGTACAACCCGAAGAGACTCGCCGGTGACTCGCCGATCGCGTGGGGCTGTCCGTGGGATCCCGATTATCTGCACCCGACTTTGCTCGCTACACAGTCCCCTCGAAATGATCAATAGCGGCCCCGTATTCGCGCTAGATGTTTTTTTAAACTGCTGTTGTCTAGTATCCGCCAAATTCAACTCCTTCGGCTCGCAGTCGCGGCAGGTGTTGTGCTGCCTCGGCTTTTTTTCGTTGCGTTTCTCCTGCGACACCTTCGAGGCCCAGAAAAGGAACAACTGAATCGATGCCCATACTGCACCCGTGACCATAGCAATGACCCTGAGATAGCCAATTGACCTCTTACCATCAGACGTCGATAACAGAGGATAAGAGGATACTGTTCGCGTCGCCAATAATGGATTGGATAGTCGTAGATGCGGAAGACCCCAAGTTGCCGATCTAATAGGTCAACCCCACCATTGAAAATCGAAGTGCTAGGGCGGCAGCTCAAGTCATTGAACAGGTCTCGGCACTCAAACGTCACTCTCAAAAAACTGCTCGTATGCAGGCGATCAACGACACGTTGCGTGGTAGGATATACGCCGGGATGATAGCACTGCCAAGGATACTCTACATCTCCTATCAATAGCCTCCTATCAAAGCCCCAACTTGATCAATGACTGCGAGTGATTACTGTGGTATCTGTCGCATCCATTCCAACCTGATCTTTTACATTCCCGGCTTTGCGCACAGTGCGCTTAATGGCTTTGGCATGACGGATGTGATGCATCTCGGAGACTGCGGACTCCTCTAGTGGCTTTGTCAAGGGAAGACTCCCACCTTGACGGTATCCCTCGCTCCATACTCGAGTGTGAGCTTCATTAGGTAGCGTAAGACCTCAACTAATAGTTGCCAACTTCTTCTCAATTTCCGGTCTTTCATACTAATTAATTGGAATGGGGGTTGAAAGTTGAGTTGAGATTCGGTTCTTAATAGTCTTGAACATCACTTCGTCCTGATAAGAAAAAGCAACACAAACGGTAAAATGCCCTAAAGAGGACCGATCTCTATCGCTTCAACTTCCACAAGGATTCGAGAGACCTCTCCCAAGGACTGGAGGGACTCCATAGCTTCCAGGAAGCCCTCTTCTTGAGATCCTTCCGAGTATTCCTACTCATGATTAGATCTCTCGCACATTATTTCAAGACTCATCATGGAATCAGGATGTTACCTTGAGCCCCTGCCAGCCGATCATCCCAGCAACAATATCATTCTCTGGACTAGAGCTAGTCCCGTATGCAGTGGGAGATTTACGTTCGGCCACGATATCAGACAGTTTCTCCCAAGCTTTCAAAGAGATGTCGACATTGTTGGCGTTCGAGATGGTAGTCCGGATTATCTCAACAATCGGCGATGAAGCTGCGTCGGTAGGGCCAACATTCATGTCAAAGACCTGTAGTGTTGGTGGTCCGGTCATCAAATGCTTTATGGTTGAAGCGGCATTTTGGAGCTGATCTGATTTGATGAAGTTTTGGAAGGACTCCATCTTGTTCCATTCTGAACGATGCCGCATGTCAGATCTTCATCAGTCCTGAGACGACTTGTTGACTCACCAAAGATGACAATCTCCCTGAAGTCTGCTTTCACGTCCTTTCCATTTTCGGTGACAATGAATCCTCGGAACCCACTGAGAAGTCCAGGATTTGGCTGTGTCAATTTCTTGCGGAATGTTGGGGCAATGCGTGTGATTATCTCGATTGAAGCTTTATCATTCTTTAGTGCTGGAAAGAGGAACTCGGTGATGGCCATTGTGGAAGAAGCGGGTCTTTTTTTATTTTTTGGAAGAGGAATGGGTGATCAGGTATCTTTCGAAGATACATATTGGCTTTTATACATGGAACAATAATTCAAATCCATAGCCATCCACCATCATGGACTGTGATATGACTGAATTGCAAGAGCCCACTAAGTGGAGTGAAGCCTTGCCCTGTGAATGGAGGAATGGACAGCCTTCCCGGGTTCCGCCGTGGGGCTGCGGACTTTCAGCGGATTTTTGGGTCATCCATCACACTTCTCCTCACTTTCGATCTTGGCCATAATTCCACTATGTCTGGCAGACCGTCCAATATACGCTCTAGGCAAAAGTCATGTGTCGCATGCGCCGGAGGCAAGCGGCGTTGCAACCGCCAAACTCCGCAGTGCTCACGCTGTCTCGCCCATGGACTGAAATGCACCTATGTTAGTCGACAACGGCAGCAAACCCCCTCGAAGATACAATTAATTGATTCTACGTCATCTTTGAATTTTGAGGACCTTCTGTCCTGGTTTCCGCCCGATAACTCTTTATTCGATCATACCGAAATTGCCACGTCGTGGATGACCCCGAGCCCTTATTTCACCGTCCCAACATTACTTCCCGCAGGAATGTACCCAGAATCCGCTGTTATTGACAGATGGTCATTGAACCAGGCGCTGCGGAGTATAATGGCCTTTCCGCGCATGTTTTCAAGCTCTCGGAGAACACCCTTTATTCATCATCGCTTGTACGATGCATATCTTCCAGATGCCATTCAAGACGCCCTTACTGTTTCTTCGGCGTACTGCAACAAGACCAAACAAACTGAGGATATAGTATTACGCATCTTGGAGAATAAGTGCGCGAAGCTCGTGAAACAGGACCATCAGTCCAGCACATTAGAGGAGCTTCTCGCAACGGTGCAGGCACTGCTTCTCTTTCACATCATTCAGCTCTTTGATGGTGATATTCGACAGCGCTCGCTAGCGGAACAGAACATGGATACACTCCAAGCCTTGACCATGCAATTACAGGTCCGAGCGACTGATATAGACTCGACGCCAACGTGGCAAGAATGGATCTTTACAGAGAGCATCCGTAGAACTGTGATTCTCTCGCTCTTCATTGACGGGCTCTACTCGGCGCTGAAGGTTGGCACTTGCTCCAACATTCGAGCATTGAGTATCTTGCCCTTCACTTCTAGTGTTGCTCTGTGGGACCTACCCACAAGTGCTTCGTGGCTTTCTGAGTCGCATGACTTGAGATCGAACACTGTGCTCTATGGGGATTTCTCACGGGCTTTTGAGAACGGACGTGTTCCAGGTGAATTGGACGAGTTTCAGAAGTTGTTGCTAACGCCGTGCATGGGTGAGAGATACAGAGAAGTGTTGGAGATGAAGGACTGATTGTTCTCATTCTTGAAATTATATAGGTCATATTAAGTCAATGAACCTCAACTCATCAAGCGGCGGTCCAGACTGGCCGGAACTCATGTAATGATGTTACGTCTTGGGACAATAGATTTTATGGCCACGCTTGCTATTACATCAGCGCAAAAGTAGACAGATCATCATCGTCATAGATCATGCTTGTGAATTGCCTATAAATGCGGTGATTTGCCCTTTGATATGCTCGCATGAAACAGATCTGGAGATTGTTTTGCCCCAGCTACTAAATATGAATGGTGTATACCATCAAAAACGAAACGGACATTTTGACCATGGAGATAACATCATGCAAAAGATACCATCGTTTGGTGGCAAGAGCCAATCAAGGCGAAAATCCAATTATCTATGCTACACTAAATACATGAACCTTGAACCCTCCAGAAAGCAGTGGATATGACATATCAGAACAAAAAGAAATGCTCGGGGGGGGGGGAGATTTATAACATCAGAACGGCAGTTTTAAAGCACCAAATTGGCGGGCTCGTACTGCAGGAGAATCTTGATACGTTCCAGGAACTCCTTGGCGCGCGGCTCATCGTCCTTGGGAACAGTCAAACTAAAGACGTTGCTGGCAACGCCGTCAGAAGGTGGCAGAGATGGAGAAGTAGTCTTCTTGGAGGGTTTGGCGGTAAGGAAGTCGATAATATCCTCCTTCACCGGCTTGGGCGCAGCCTGAGCCTCGAAGGCGTTCAATTCGGGAATGTAATCGCCCCGAGTTGTGTTGATAGGCGCGGCACCGAGGAGCTCATCGAAGAGCTCGTCGACAGAGCGAGGGTCGGTCTTCGAGCGAGGCAGATCGTCGTTGGCCAGGTCCGTAGCCACAGCCAAGAAGCGAGACAGAGGGATCGACACACCAGTCTCGCGCTCGATCTTGCTCTGCGCGCGCAATACCTCAGCTAGTGAAATGGAGATAGCCACCGAAGCCATAGCCGGCGGCTTGGCAACAACCTTCTCCGCGGCCGGCGCGGGCTTAGGGGCCGGTGCCGCGGCGATCTTGATGTTGCTCAAGTCCAGGTAGGTGAGCTTGGCGAGGTTCGCGGCTTGCGAGGCCGGGTACTCGGCGGCAATCTCGCCAAGGTAGGCCAGGACATCACCCTTCAGCAGGCGGCCCTTGGGTCCTGAGGCCGGAATCTTGGATACTTCCGATTCGGGGACGTTCTTCTGGTGCAGGAGCTGGGCGACGGAGGGGTAGAGCGGATAGGCGGGGTTCTGGGTCTGGGGAGCGGAGGAAGATTGGAAGCCTTCAAAGAATACAGGATTAGCTTCAGGCTGTTTTTCTCGTGAGACTCTTCCGGTTCAAGCCATTGCTCCGATAATGCGGGCATTTGCTGGAAACTTGACTCTCATCTTGGACACTTGGGGAACTCACGCTTGGAGATGTTGAAAATCTTGGGCTGGCGGCGGGCGAGCCTGGCCGAAACCTGGCTAATTGGGATCCTAGCTGCCATTTTTATGTTGTATGAAGCTTCCGGCGAGGTCGGAGTGAATGGACGGAGGTGTTCAAGATATGTCGCAACTCTCCGGAGTTGGTTTGTCGGCAGAGACGAAGACAATCGACCGAGTGCCCACCACCGCGTCGATCCGCGCTAGTTAGAATAGTTTCGTCTGAGGTAGGTCGCGTTGATGTTTGAAAGAGAGCACCTTGATTGATGTTGAGGGTGTTGGGAGCTCACCGGCGGCCGGGACGGGAACATTTTTCTGCCGCAGCTGTTTTCAATCTGTCGGCGCTTTCCGAGGAGAACAGCGTGATTGCTCCCTTGTTGAGTGAGTTCTCTCCTTGTCATTGGGCTTTTTACAAGTTTTGTTGGTCTCGATGACCTCGCTAACTCCGTTACTAGACCTTGCATAATGTCCGCCAGACCCGTTCTCCGCACACTTTGGCCTCGATGTTCGGGAGCTCCGGTGCGACTTGGCCTGGAGAACCAGTTTACATCGCCGTGGCGTTCTTTTGCTTCGAGTTCCCCTCGCTGTGCTGCCCCTAAGCAACCAAAGCGTGCGCCTCGAACTGTCGCGCAAGCCTCCGCGCAACCCTCTCCGCAGCCTGCGACGCCTTCGATTCGTGCCACAGTACCTTTTAAAGATGCTGGAAACCTGGGTAAATTGAACATCAAGGTGGCAAGACTGGGAGAAGTGTTATTATTCAAGGCACCCAAAAAGCGTGTCTATGTTCTGAGTGCATATGGCCTGTTCGCAGCCTGTATGGCATTTTCTGTGTATCATGCAGAGACCTACGTCGCAAATGAAGACCCCAGGCTGCGCCAACCCGCTTGGGTGAAGGCTATGATGGGTGGTGTTTGCGTGATCATGAGTGGTCTCGGTGTTGTTGCCTTGAGCAGGACACATAATATCGTCCGCAAGATGACAGCTTTCCACTCCCAACACACCTATCTTCGCTTCGAAGTCCGGCGCCTAGTGCCTTTTATGAAACCTCGCACGTTTGATGTGTTACCCTCGCAGGTTTCTTTTCGTCGTCGACTTGTCGTCTCACCGCAGGGCGCCGCACGGTATCAAAGGGACAGCATGAAGGTTGGACGAGCGGATCAACCACAGAAAAGCGTTTTCAAGGCACCAATTGAGGGGCTGAGCCGTGTTTGCTGGGGAGCTTTTATGTCTGTACGTCAGCTTTTCACCCAGGAAGACTTCATCCTCTTGGAGATTGATGGCAAAGGCATCTTCCGAGTGGACTCCAATGGCGTTTTAACGGAGGATTTCCTGGCTCTTGGTAACCCTGTTAAATTCACCGATCATTAATGCGTCCGAGATGGGATAGGTGACCCCCCTCTGCTCCCAAGCCTGTCTACGAGGCGTCGCTGGAATTGACATGGGTGCTGGAGGCGTATCAACAATGTATATATAGACTTTGTACCAACAATATGATAGGACCAAGGACCGCGACTCGAATATGGCCTTCAAGAACAGCTGTATATGCTCAATATTTCACTTTTCCCGGGCAAAAAGATGACAAGTGAGAGCGAAGGAGATATCTAGTCTACTATGGCCATAATTATTGCCTTTGTTCTGCATTGAATAGACAACTCCACTCACTACAGCAGATAATCCGGAGATTAATGGAACGTGTATCAATTGAGAATCGATATCGTCACCAACAACAGGCTTGAAAGACTCGATGAAGGTAAAGTGTAGATGAGCGAATCTAGAGTTGATTCCAAGGTTGAGCCACGTGACGACCGGCGCGCGACGCGGTTCCCCATATCGCGCCCCTCCTACCATCTCTTTCTCCGACGAGCCTTCTCGATTCCCCGACTTGTCACCTCGTCCGTCTCAGCTTGTTCGCTTGTTTGAGCGTGTTGCTTCCATAGGAGGCTGCTGCGTGACAAGATGGGCAAACTTATTCGGCTGGAGCTTTTCAGTATGGATTGTCGCAGACACCGTGCCGCGCACGTTCGCTAACTTTGAACCCAGACTTCAAATCTTACAAGGGCCACCACACCCTCTTGTTTGGAGATGCTTACTTCACATCAATCATTGGCCCTAACGGGTCTGGCAAATCGAATTCGTATGCGATCCCGCAGCTCACTTTGGTTGTTTCACTTTGTGTACTAACAGCGTACCAGGATGGACGCCATCTCCTTCGTTCTAGGAATCAAATCCTCACACCTGAGATCTACGAACCTTCGCGATCTCGTGTACCGCGGTCGCGTCTTACGCACTTCGAAAGTCGATGTCGACGGAGAGCCTATCACCAACGGAGAAGAGGGCCAAGAGGAAGATGACGAAGATTTGGATGCTTCACAAGATGCAGGCGGCAAGAACGATCCAAAATCCGCCTGGGTCATGGCAGTTTACGAAGATGACGCCGGCGAGGAGCAGCAATGGCGGCGATCGATTACCAGTCAAGGTGTCAGCGAGTATCGCATCAACAACCGAACCGTGACTGCTCAACAATACAACGAGGCTTTGGAGGCGGAAAACATTTTGATTCGAGCGCGCAACTTCCTGGTGTTTCAGGGAGACGTCGAGGCCATTGCTTCGCAGTCCCCACGAGACCTCACTAGGTTGATTGAACAAATCTCTGGCAGTTTGGAGCACAAGGCCGAGTATGAGAAACTGAAGGCCGAGGCCGAAGAAGCTGCCGAGCAACAAACCGTTCAACTCAATCGTCGCCGGGGCATAAACTCTGAGGTCAAGCAATACCAGGAGCAGAAGCGAGAGGCCGAGACCTTCGCGAAAAAGGCCGAGGAACGTGACCAGGCTATCATTACTCACATCCTGTGGAAGCTCTTCCACTTCCAGCGTCTGATCGATGCTTCCAGTGCCGACATTCAGAAATACCAGGACGAGCTCAAGGAATACCGCCGAGGCGTTGAGAAGTACGAAAACAACGTTGAGGACGCCAAGAAGGAGCACGCGCGCGTTGGTCGTGATGTCGGGAAAGCCGAGAAAAACATCTTGAAGAAGGAAAAGGATATTGAGGAACTCAACAACTCCTTGGTCCCCATTGATGAGAAGGTCGAAATTACACAAAGGAAGGTTGAGCGCTATGGGACGAAGATCACTGAGATCGGCAAAGAGCGTTCAGCCCAATCTGATAACGCCAAGCAACTCGACAAAAATTTGAAGCTCGTAGAGAAAGCTCAGAGCCAATGGGAAACCGAATGGAAAAACACCACCAGCAAAACGGGTGGCCAGCTGAGCGAAGCTGATCAGCAAGAGTATCACAAGCTCCGTGAGGAGGTCAGCAAGCGATCATCTGCTGATCAGTTGACTCTTGACAACCTGCGCCGACAGCGAAAAACCGAAGCCGAGGCTGTAAACAGCTTAAAGGGCAAAGTCGAATCCACCGAGTGGCAGCTGAAGAACCTTGAGCTCGATGCGTCCAACATGAACGACCGAAAGTCGGCTCTCAACGACACCATCAAGGCTACTTCAAAGGACATTGACCGCAAGAAGAAAGAACTAAACGCCTTGACATCAGAGCGTCTCAAAGTTTCGCAGATGCGCACAGAATGGGAGGAGAAGCTCCAGGTCGTCTTGCGAAAGTTGCTTGAGGCTGACGATGGAAAGAAGCAAACTGAAAAAGATATCCGGGCCAAAGAGCTAATCTCAACTCTGAAGCGCATCTTCCCTGGTGTGAAGGGCCGTGTGAGTGACCTCTGCCGACCCAAGCAGAGGAAGTATGCCGACGCAGTGAGTACTGTGCTAGGCCGCCACTTCGACGCCATCGTGGTGGACAATGAAAAGACCGCCAAGGAGTGTATTCAGCATCTTCGCGACCAGCGCGCCGGCCAGGCCACCTTCATCCCACTTGAGACAATCCAGGTCAAGGCTTTCAATTCTAACCTGAAGGGCATGCATCGCGGAATGCGTCCTGCCATCGAAACTGTTGACTACGATGATTCTGTCGCGCGTGCCATCAGCTACGCCTGCGGAAACTCAATTGTTTGTGACGATCTGGCCACAGCAAAGTATCTGTGCTACGAGCGAAATGTCGACGCGAAAGCAGTCACCTTGGATGGTACTGTCATTCACAAGGGCGGTCTGATGACCGGTGGTCGAGGTCCTCAGCAAAATAACTCGAAGCGTTGGGAAGACTCCGAAGTGGAGAACCTTCACAAGCTCAAAGAAAAACTCATGAGCGATCTTGCCAACCTCCCGAAGGCCCATCGCCGTGGCTCTGAAGAAGAGACCCTTCAGGGCGAGTTGGTTGGTCTCGAGCAACGGTTGAATTATGCACGCGACGAGCTGAAAGCTCTTGAAAGGAACATCGAGAGCAAAGGCAGTGAACTTGACTTTGTCAAGCGCCAGGTGCAAGACTTGCGTCCCAAGTACGTTGAGAGAGAAGGAGACCCTGGATGAGATGGATGAGGCCATCGAAGCCTCCCAAGCCTCAGTTAGTGCTGTCGAAGATGAGATTTACCGCAACTTTTGCAAGCGCCTCGGCTATGACAACATTCGCGAATACGAAGCACAGCAGGGGTCCTTGCAGGAGGAGGCTGCGCAGAAGAAGCTTGAGTTCACAACGCAGAAGAGCCGCATTGAGAACCAGCTCAGCTTTGAGAAGCAACGCATTCAGGCAACAGATGATCGTATCAATGGCCTGAAGGCTCAATATGAGCGTGACATGACTTTGATCGAGGAGCTCAAGAGTCAGCAAGAGGAAATCCGTAATCAGTTGGATGAGTTTAGTGCCGAACTTGAGCTTTTGCGTGAAAATCTCGAGAAGCAGAAAAAGATCTACGTGCAGTCAGCTGAGAATTTAGCCGACCAACGACGAGAGCTTCAGAAGCGCAGCAAGCATGTTGAAAGTGCCTTGAAGGATATTAACGGACTCGAAGCCGAAATCCAACGGAACTCATCTAGCCGATACGCTCTTTTACGACGATGCAAGCTCGAAGATATTGACCTTCCATTGACGGATGACTCTAACTCCCTGGACAAGCTTCCTATCGATGACCTGGTGCAGGCCGCTGATCCGGATGCCATGGATGTTGACGAGGCTGATGATTTGGACGGTGAAGGCCCCGTGGTTCAGGACTATGGCATTGAGGTCGACTTCGAGTCCCTTGGAGACTCTCTGAAAGAGTCGGCTGAAGAGAAGCTCGAAGAGGAGTTGCTCGAGAAGGTTCGCACTCTCAACAACGAGCTTGACAAGATGGCACCGAATGCCCGAGCCATGGAACGCTTGGAGACGGTTGAGAACAAGCTTCGCAGCACTGAGAAGGACTTTGAGGATGCTCGCCGACAAGCTCGCAGGGCCAAGGATGGTTTCGAGGAAGTGATGAAGAAGCGCTCTGATCTCTTCAACAAGGCCTTCACACATATCTCCGAGCAGATTGGTCCGATCTACCGTGAGCTGACGCGGAGCACGAACTACCCACTAGGTGGACAAGCGTAAGTTTCTATGGTTTTCTAAAGCCGGGAAGTATGTCTGACAACATCACAGGTACCTGGATATTGAAGACTCAGATGAGCCTTACCTCGACGGTATCAAGTACCACGCCATGCCTCCTCTGAAGCGATTCCGCGACATGGAGCATCTTTCTGGTGGTGAAAAGACCATGGCAGCGCTCGCCTTGCTATTTGCCATCCACTCCTACCAACCATCACCCTTCTTCGTGCTCGACGAAGTTGACGCTGCTCTTGACAACACGAATGTGGCCCGCATTGCCAATTACATCCATGACCACGCCGCCCCTGGCATGCAATTCATTGTCATCAGTCTGAAGACTGGTCTATTCCAGAATAGTGAAGCCCTTGTCGGCATTTACCGTGATCAGGTGGAGAACAGCAGCAAGTCCTTAACGCTCGACGTGAGTTTTTCCTATTATCTCTTGATTTCCACAGCTTGACTGACTTTCACCTCCAGCTCCGCAAGTATACCTGATCTTGACTCGAGACCACTTTCATGATGAACTTTGATATTTCTTAGCTTGTGTAAATTATTTCTCCGGCACTTCTTGCATCGTTTATCTTCATCAGTGGCCGAGGCCGTGTGCAACGGCGTCGGCAGCAGTTTCATCTGCGATTCAGTTAATTCATACCATTTCCTGTGGAAATCACTATTTTTTATATAACTCCTCCCGCCTTTCAGTAAGGGTTCTCCAGCGCACTCGAGTCCATGTTTGCCTTAAAGGACATTGAGCATGTTTAACATTCCCGGACTAAGAAGAGAACTGAGATGTTGAGCGGTCGCGGCTTGGTAGTCTGAGAGTCACCAATTGGGGATTTCTTTGGATGAAGAAGGCACAAGATAATACTCAATATGAAACCCTTGGCAAAAGAAATAGGTCACAGTCAAGAAGGACTAGAGTATAAAACATAGAATTCTGGCCTCCTAAATCATCGCTTTGTTGGACGGCACAATAATTCAATAGCCGACGCTTGAGTACAACACCTGCAAAGATCGTCTCTCCACATCCCCAGATGTAACCCCCGCATCGTGAACCCCAGAACGCGCACTAGCTTTGGTCCTCGGATACTGGCTACGGCTAATTTCGCTCCAACTATCTGCGTCATGATCATCGCATCCCACATTCCAAGGCCCTAGCGCCACAGGACGGCTTTTGAAAGCTTGTAGTATTCAAGCTCAATAGCCTGTTTTGGCGTCGCGGGTCCTGGGTATAAAGTCGGGTTCGAGTGCATAAATGGGGATTCACTTGCGTCTGACTATCTTCAGTCATGTTTGTCACACTGCTTCTCAGCGCTGCAGTAGCGGCAGCTGTACCGACAGTCAGTCAGCGGGACAATTCGCCAGTCTCGGTGGCTAAAGATGCTCCTAATACCGCTGGTGCTGCTATCTTGCATCCATTTGTATCGTTCTCGATCGAATTTGCATTCTTCCCAGACTATGCAGGTATGTTGAAACAACGACAGCCAATGAGAGACAAATCATTCTAATGTCGCGAAAGGCAATTTGTCCTCGCCCAATAAGTTCTCGAACCAGTTGTTGGATAATCTTGGAGATCTTCAAGGCGTAAAGCCATACGTTCGTGTTGGGGGGAATACCCAGTAAGAGGGTTTTTGCTTTAATACTTCAGGGCCGCTCTAACGTATGCATAGAGATCTTGCCTTATATGATCCTACGCTGAAGACTTCGGTGAACGGAACCATTGTGCCAGCGGTTTCCGAAGACTACCCGTATCTGTTGTATATCGGGCCCTCGTTCTTCGAATCATACTACACCCTCCCTGGAACCAAGTTCAGTCATGGCTTCAACATGGGCAAGAATACCACTGCAGCGAAAGATTCGCTTCTTGCTACGGTTTCACTGGCTTGTAAGGCTCTTCAGGATGGTAAGTTGATGCATTGGGAGTTTGGCAACGAGCCCGATTTATTCAGCACGACTACTCCATACTCCGTACGACCTGCTCATTGGTCAGAACAAGACTACGTCGACAATTGGTTGTCGGGAACTGAGATGATTAAGCGGACGATGGCAAGAAGTTGTCCTGACATGGTTTCTAATGAGATGTTCAAATTCATCGCACCCTCCTTTGCAGGGATTGGCAATTCATTGGATCCAGTCAAGACATGGGAAGACGGACTCGATTCAGAGAAGGATATTGCTCTCAACTCGATGCACAAGTAAGTGAGACCAAGGCAAAACGTGAAAACATATATAGCCACACTGTTAACGGCTATTGCTCTAGCTACATGGGGGGTGCAGATGTGCCGGGCGTCACGCTCCAAAAGACCCTGATGAACCACACCGCAGTTGTCAACGTTGTCGCAAAACATGCAAACCTCTCGCATGTCCTAAGCGAACAGGGTCGGACCAAGGATATTCCCTATATCTTAGGCGAAATGAACTCACTCTACCACCAAGGCAAACCCGGACTCTCCAACTCTTTCGGCGCGGCGCTCTGGGGCGTGGACTTTAATCTGTATTGCGCCTCGCAGAATATTCGTCGGACTCATATGCACCAGGGAACAGACTATAGATACGCGTCGTGGCAACCCATTCAAACCAGCAAAACCACGATCGGCACCAAGGCACCATACTACGGCAATATCATGGTGGCCGCCATGCTGCGCGGTGAAGCCGACTCCACTGTCCAGGTCGTCAATTTGCCCATGTCAAGCGACACCGACGCCGCTTATGCAGCCTATGTGGGCGGGAAATTGGCCCGTATTGCGATGATCAACATGCAAGAATTCAATTACACTATGGCCGAGTCCCGCCCTCGGCCAAATATGCCTTCCATCTGCCCGATGACTCGGCCACATCCTTATCGCTGCAACGGCTGATGGCAAATGGGAGCGACGCCATAACTGGTATCTCTTGGGACGGTTGGTCATATAATTATGAGTTGAAAGGGGGTGCGCCCGTGCGAATGCGTAATGTGACAATTGGTGAGACGGTGTCGGTGGGTTCAAAGGGTCTGGTAGAACTGGAACTACCCCTTTCCAGTGCTGCTATCTTGAACTTCATGTAGTTTTGGATCTGTATCAATTGCTTCCGTCTAGACCCAATGTTGGACGAACCTTATATTGAGATCTGTATTGAGATGTTCCGAATCAGTTGGTATCCACCCACTAGACGGCTATGTATGGCATCTTCCCCAGGAACTGATTAATGCCTGGGTCAAACCGTCGAGGAAGGCGTAGAATGTTCATCGCAGTATATTTCCTAATAGAGGGAGCTATGCAGAGACCATCTTGGCGTGGAGGGATCAACACGAGTCTTGGCAAATACTGATTGTTCCAACTGTGGAGATGATGAATGATAGAGAATATACCTATCTTCGTGCGGAGCTTCATTTCAACAATTTCACTTCTTGTCCAAAACTATGAATCCAAAAAATAAGCCCCTCAGTACTAACGTACTAATGTCACCCCTATGTGCCCGCAGAGCCGCCAGCCGCAACCAGCAGTCCGTCGCCCATCCGCTTGAAATGGGAAAAGAGAAGCGCGCCCCCCTCCCCTCCCTCCCCCTAGAGCTCGAAAAGACCCAGATCAGAGCCCAATGCAAGCACCTGCACTGATTACCTGGTACCAGGATCCGGCCTCCTGCACTTGGCCCACTGTGGGAATCCAGGTGCATGTAGGGCCCCGTCTTGCTATATTCGCCCCCTCCCCCCCATATCGGATTGTGAGAAACGTCAGCCCTAATCCTACTGTAGCTCTTCCGGCTTCGGGTACCCGCACCCCGAATCGAGGCAAAAGAACGAAGGCACCGGCGTTTGGACCCATCTAGCCCCGTAGTACAGCGGCTGCTTTCTTGCACCCCACCTCGCCAACACGCAAGGGGCGCATAGGAAGGAGACGTGGAAAAGAGTTGGAAGTTGCCTTGGGCCCATGCGGCTCTGACACTGGGTCGCTCAGCATTGGGAATGGAGCTGTCTAATCTGTCATGGTATTGACTTCGCCAAGGACGCAGCGCTTGGACAAGTTGATGGCTTGGCTTTCTAGCTAATTAGGTTTGCATGTTTGAGCGGGGGGGGTTCGTCGACACCTAGAGCCCCATGGCCACATCTCAACCGGGTTAAGGTATCTGTGCATGCCTATGCCTCTGCCTAGGACTACTGTTGTGCTCCGATTGAACCTCGTTTGCCCCATATACGCCCCCGGAGGATATGCAACGCGGCTGTAAGCCAAGTGCAAGCGTCTGGGTAAGCTATCTGTCAAGGCGTGGCGCCAGCCCAATTGACAATAGTTGGCAGGAACATGATATTTGGGAAGATATGGTTATAGTAAAGCCTAGTCAAGCCTAGTCAAGCCAAGTAAAGCCCTGGAATGCCCAGAGGTTCGGCGGCACAAACCCTCGCAACACGAAGGGGACAAATGTACGAGAACTAGCTTTGAACCTGGTTTGCGTTTCCGCGGGACTTCGCTAACAGGGGCCTGACTGTCGATCCGGGACGAGGGAATCGTTCCTAATGGGCCGTTGGGACCAAAAGAGTTTCGACATTATCGACACGGCCTTGGCGGTTGCTTTTCTTCCGGAGATAGTTCGGTCTGGCATTTCCCTCTTGAGATTGGGCTAAGGTGACCTGAACCCGGTTTCTGTGAAGCGAGTGATTTGTGAGAGGCAAAAAAAAAAGAAAAAGAAAGCAACTAAAAGGAGAAAAGTGGATAGTGCGGCGCGTCCCGCCTCCGAATCTTCATACCCCGAACATACAATCGAAGCATCGATCGGCCCTTGGGTCGCAGGTAGTAGTCGGGCAATCCCGTGACCGTGGGAGACCGCCAAGATTCAATGGCGCTGTCTTGTGCTTCATGGCTTGCTCTGGGATCGTTTGCCACCAGTTGGTAGCCTGGAAAGACTGCGTGGGTTGGACCCTCTGGGGCTTTGGGCTAGAGGATGAGATCTGATCCGTGCACCGATGGCCTGGACCGGAACCGTAAAACTGCGACGCCTGAGCTCTCTGCATGCCGCTAGAAAGAGTCGAGATATCGCGTCTTTCTCCAGATCAGAGTCAACCCCCCCTCTGGTCAGCCCGTTTCCCGCGTTGGACGATGACCTCAGTGGACAGACACCAAAGTGCGTGGCTGAACGTCGATCAGCGATTGCGATGGTTTGATTCGCACGGCTATAGTTTCCCTACTACCATTGGCTGATCGCTCGATCTGATGCATCGATCGGAGTTTCGGTCAAACCCCTGAGAGGTCAACTTGTCCTACGAACCATATACCCTCTGTGGCTAATGTTGAGCAAATCGTTGACAGCTTGAAAATTTAAGATTTCCTTAGTCTGGTCGGGTTCGGCTTGGGGTTAACCGCGTTGATGTCCCTCCCCAGGGGCAACGTAGCCCTACTCGTCTACCGCTGTCAGTGCGCGAGGACTAGAACCTAGAATTGTGAGCCTAGGGCCTACTCGAGCAAATGCATGGGCGATCTGATCGCATAGATGCAGGACCAAAGATCGCAGCTTATTGCCACCGGCTCAGCTTCGTCGATATTTCCCATTTTTCCTTGCATTAGCAGCGCCCGCCGATTTGCATCATCAGGGAACTGTCGAGTGGAGTCCTGGATGGTACTTTGGGTAGATGTCCGTATGGCTCTCGCGCATACATAATCTATTGTCTCGCCCGGTGTATGGATCCGGACTCTTTTTACGTCGGGGTAGACGCGTCTTGATCCCAGTCTTCCCTATCCCGAACTCTCGATCGGAGCAGATATATCTGTCCTATCTATTCTATCTATTCTATCCATTCTAAAGGGTTGACTGTCCCACGTATTTGGAGCCAGGGTGTACTGTTCAGCCAAAAGCACACTCCTCTCCGGTCACGCGTTTGACCAATTCTTGGAGTTGTTCCCGCAATTGTTCGAATGTTTTATCGCATCTGCGAGTCCTTAATTGTATAACTGATACGATAAACATGGAGATGAGTCGTCCTCTCCTCGGCTCGAGTGAGGGACTCGAACGAAGACATTCCGAGACCTCGGTGCCCCCGGCCAGCATGGTACATTACATTATATCGAGAATAACGAGGATCGTTCACTGACAGTCTGCTTCTAGGGGACCCCGAGTCAAACCCCCGATATTCAGCACTCCCACTTCGTCATCATGTACATCGACGCCGATGGAAAGCTTCAGATCCGCACGTCCGATTCAATTGCGGGCTGTGGCGGCGCTATCTTCACACCCGAAGTGACGGACCGTTTTATGGAACTGACGGCCCCGAACCCTCAATCGAACATGCAATTTGCTCGTGAGTGTTATTCTCGACCAAAGTGGTGTTGAACACAGCCAACACGATTTCGTGAGCAGAATCTAGCCAGACGTCTTCACCATGGGCCGTTCAGCAATCACCGGAATGGTTCAGCACCGGCCAAACTCGACCAGCTGAAATGATTCCGTGCGAATGGCAATCCAACCAAAGTCGACGGAAACGACGTGACATGAAGCGGACAGGAATGACCCGTCCGGTCCCAAAAGCCGCCTCGCCTCCTCCCAGTCCGCCGCCAGGACGAACGATTCTTCGAGTCGGTAACCAGGATCTGTTAAGACGATACTACGAAAAGGCCTTTGAGGATTTCCAACAGCTGAACTGTCGCGCCATTGCCAAGTCGTACATCAAGCTTGTGGAGCCTCGGAAACAGGTGCATTTCCCATATAATGGACGAAAGGTGATTGCCGGCGTATCGCAACGGGTTGATCCCGAGATGACCAAACCTGGATGGTGGCCTGCCGGTGTCTTGCATCGAGAACCGGATCATCTTCTGAAGCGAGGTAAGTCATGAGCATAGCGAAAAAACTAAAACGTTTCCGAACTAATTGAAGAGAAAGATCGACTGCGCCTGCTCGTTCACATCTTGTGCGAAATGAAAGACAGCCACGGCGTGACAGCAGACAAATTGCGTGAAGCCGGCCAGGACGTGCGGCGTCAGATCAGCCCACCCAACCGACTACAGGTCCTCGACGAGATTTATTTTGTGCGTTCAATGGAAGAGCGATTCATCAACGGGGAGATCGGTAAGTCAATCTTAATTGTTATGACATTACGAAGCTAATCACCAACAGACGGGAACACATTGATTCAAGTGACCCAAACCCATCTTCCCGACGTGGTCTATCGAGAAGAAGAGCTGTCTTCCCGAGTCCACGCAGCACCCACATTTTCTCTAGATGACGAGGACGACAACGACCATTTCTCCGGTCAAGGTTCCCAGCTCGATGAAGTCGACTCATTCCCTCTCGGCAACCAAATGCCCCCTTCCCCTTCCCCCTCTTCAAGCCAATCCAGCGGACCACACAGCCCGACCGCTAGTTTCAGCTCATACCCAATGAGTATGGCACCACAAATGATGCCGCAGGAGTCCCCCACGGCTCGCAAATCCATGGCCGCCGATCAGGGTTACATGCCCGGCTACTACGGTCAGCAGTTCATGCCTACTGAAAAACCTCCTGGCTACTGGTCTGGCATATCTCATGTACCACACCTGCCACATTTCGGATATTAATCTTTGGTTTCTGGGTTTGGGAGTTCACATATGGGAGGTTTACGAGTCACGAACACGATCAAATTTTTTTTTTTTCCAGCGGTGGCTCAACTGATTATATTGAAATTTTTGGTAGCGAACTGTACATCGTTGTTCGATCTTTTTTATTCTTAATGTCTGGAGAAATATGAAGCCACATTTGTTTTCAAGTCCCAAGTCTAAGTCTTTGAGGATTCACTCGTATGTGAGGTGGACGGGAGGGTGCCTTGGTAGCAATCTCAATGGCATTGTTCTGATCACTCGAGTCTATTAAACTAATTCCCACTCCTGCAATCGTCAGACTCCATCAATTATGTCCTGAATCAGAGAATCTGTGACAAATACCTATACACCAGTCTACGACGCCCGGCCGTGATGATGCTCTCTCGCCACTCAGCGTTCGCTCAGCGCCGAGGAAGTAAGGGATGGAAGCACCGCCCATCCAACTTCAAACAAACCGTAATCAATGAATTGGAGGTATTTTCATACGTTGTCACTAATTAGACCAAGGCTTCCATGCAGTCACAGTTTCATCACTTCACGGGGACGAGAATTCTTTTGCTTTACCTGAGAGCAGCAAATGCACGCGCCTACAAAAGCTCAACATGTGAAGCATAATGTAATCTGCAATTCCGAAATGGATTTGTATTTGCCAAAGTGATTTGCGAAGCTCTGAGCCCAAATAAGTGCGACGTCAAGTCTAGAAAAAATGAATTATCTCATTGTCCCAAAATTGGCCCGATCGCACCAAATTTGCCCCACCCTAAAGCAGATTGACTTGGGATTGAATGATGACCCAGATGACTACCATGCCTTACGTTGCTGTGGGATGGCTGTTTTTCTTCTTTCTCTGTTAGTAATCGAACGTTTCAGTGTCACGGAGAACTGACAATATCTAGAACCAACGGGCCGATTTTGGAACAATAAGATCCCAGAGTGCATCATTTAGTACCAAAGCACGGAAGCCATGACCAGTGACAGTGGAGCTGAGCTGGCGTAAGCGGCCTCGCTAGGACTCGATAGCGATTTGATCTGACGGGATTTGAGCAAAGCCCCACAATCGCCCGGATGCCAGGGACATTGGATTGGACTGATGGCAGCTAGGAAGTGGAGCGGCTCTAGATTACTCCCTGGGCTTGACTTGCGTCTCATCGGTCTTCCAGGCGAGCTGCTTTTGAAAACAAAACAAACCCCTCCGCGTAAGTTTTGTCTGCGAGGCTTTCTTTTGATTTTATTTCAATCTACTAAGAACGGAAGACGTAGATCTGGAACATGGGTAGCGATTCCAAGTCGACGGCCCGACGGCCCAACTTTCTGTTCATTCTGGCCGATGATCTGGTACTTTATTACATAGTAATATAGAGGACTCTTCTGATGCTATCGAATAGGGATTTACAGATGTTGGCTGCTATGGAAGTGAAATTCACACGCCTAACATTGATCAATTGGCCTCGGAGGGCATTCGCATGCTCAACCACCATGCCGCTGCCGCTTGCTCGCCCACGCGCGCAATGCTTCTCAGCGGAACTGATGCTCACCTCGGTGTTTTGAATTTCCTGACTAAAGTGTGTGAGTTTGTAGACTGGAAGCTATTCGCGAGTTTTAAAAAAACCCCATGTCATCATAAGGCAACAGTGCTAACCCGGTATTTTACAGCCGTCATGGGGAATAAGATCGTGGGTGCCATTCACAAGTATTACGACAACTCATATGAAAACCTTGGATCGTTCAACTCCTTTAGCTGGTGCGTTGCTCATGCTTTGCTGAAACCCAATACGAAAGCTAATACCTCGTTCCTAGGCTCGGACCGCTGTGGGCGCAGGCCTCCACTGCCCCCTCCCGACTGTTCAAATCCTACCCATCTCAAGGAGGTATCCTCGTCCCTCGCGTCATAAAGCCACCCACCAACACGTTCCTATCAAGTTACACGGCGGGGTCGTTCAACCGCTCTTTCTCAACCGTGATGGACTTTCTGCCAACTTTCCTAGACTTGGCAGGTGTCCCGGCTCCCCTGCTTTGGAAACCAACACCTCGGTTCGCAAAATGGCAGCCTTCCGAGGCAAGGAGGTCCACGCCATACGGGGTAAATCATGGGTCCCACTCTTTACCCAAGGGAAGAAGGTTGAGGAAGACGAGATGTCGATTCATAGAATCGAGATATCCCAGATCCATATTGCCATCTTCTGATTTCCGCTAAGTGTAGTAACTGTGAACCTCATGCTACTCACTTATCCTGGTTGTACGCTTTAAGATGGAAGCCGCGAGGCGTTTTAAGGCAAAGAAAGTCGCTTGAAGGTGATCAGGTGAGTGAACCAAAGATGCTTCTTTTTTTATTTCTAAACGTAAAAGATCATGTTGAGCGAGCAGTTAATAAGAAACAGGAAGCTAAATTCGGTTTCCACCCCAGAAGAACGTGATCCAACGCGTTCAACAATCATTCGAGCTTGACCACATATTTTGCCGTCATCTAGAATTGTCGGCTTCGTGTGTTCATCATTTAAGTTGTTACTGAAACAACTCACTTGGCCAGTGGCTAGACGAGGCATCAAGCTCGGAACTTCCTCCAAACCAACAACTTCGATATCTGGTACCACTACCCCTCGCTGCACGAATTGCAAAGCCTCTCCGATATCCTGTTTTGATCCGACCATGGAGCCGATTACGCGAATTCCGTCATCAAGAATCTGTAGAGGATGAAACTGGACTTTTTCTGAAGGAGGTGGGATGCGATACCCCATCGCACGAGCATACTGAATACAGCACCAACTCCCCCACCAGCCCCAGAAATGACAACCCATTGACCCGGAACAGCGCCACAAATTTTCAGTGCTCTGTACGCAGTCACACCAGCACACATAATGGGGGCGGGTTGCTCATCCGAAGGACCCTCAGGCAAACGTATCATACTTCGGAAACGAACAACAGTATACTGTGCGAGCGTGCCATCAACAGATCTTCCAGAATGAACTTGCTTCACACATCGCATTTCCTCTCCGCGAAGACACATCGCGCAGTCTCCACAGCCATCTCGGACCCATGATACACCGACCCGATCACCGATGTGAACGCAATTTACGTCGAGGCTGGTACCTATCTTCACGACTCGACCGATTCCCTCGTGTCCAAGAATTTGGCAGCATGGCCCCAGTTTTCCTGATGCGAGAGCAATATCGGTTCCACAGATACCAGTCACTGATAGCTTTACCAAGAGGTCTAATGGGCCAAGGTTTGGTAGAGGAGATTTTTAATTGCGAAGATTGGCTCATCATCTTGCTGGAACGAGGTTAGCTTGCTAATCAGAAAATATAGGTGATCTTACCTGGACGACAGCAGCTTTTTGAAACTCAGGGGTCGCCATTTTAACGATTAAGAAGTACCGTCGGATTGATTCTCGTGGAAAGATTGAGACTCAAGTGGGAATCAAATGGATTCAAAGACTATCAAACAGCCAAAAAAGATTATTTCACTTGTGCACGGTTTTCTTCGGTCTGCGATTTTGAGCTCTCGTGATCTTCCTTAGGTCATTGTAGTGGTATTGTGCCGCTCTTAAGCCCGTGTAAAGATAGCCCCGCCTGAGAGTTAAAACACACCTGTTTTGGTACGGCACTATTGAGACAGTACATGAGGCTGGATGGCGTTCGCTCTATCTGGCTCTTCTCCCCTCTGCCCCTCGACAGGTCCGAGCTGTGGCTCCGTGATGTCAAGTCCGGAGAACTACACTGTTCGTTTGATTTGCGCCATCACCACTGAGTATGTCGCCGCCCAAGCGTTCCTGATGAAAAGCACGATGGCCCAGCATATTTGCCGCCCCCACAACAAGAAAAATAATATATTGGGAAAGACCCGTAAACATAACGTGGTTATTTCCGGTTTACCTTTGAGAGAATATGGCACGTCCTCGGCGGCTAGAGTGGCAGAAGATATGATGCATAACTTTCCGAATATTCACATTGGCTTGATGGTTGGTATTGGTGGCGGCGCTCCGGGCCGAAAACATGAAATTCGCCCAGGAGATATTGTAGTCAGCACCTCTCGCAATGGCCAGGGTAGTGTCATTCAATATGACTACGGCAAAACGATCCAGGGCCAAATCTTTCAGCAGACGGGGGATTCAAATCAACCACCCACTATCCTACGCGCCGCAGTGAATGGACACGCGCTCAATACGAGTGCGAAGGGTATCATTTGGATGATGCGGAGGAAAGAATCTTTGAGAAGAAGCCGCGACTACGGAACAGGAATTAGCGTCCAGATCTAGCCAGTGATCAACTATACTGTACCGCAGTCAGATTACACATCCCTCAGGCAAAGATTTACCTTGCGCTTCAAGGTGCGGTGACGATCCATCTTGTTTAGTCGCGCGGCCCCTTTGCACCGAAAAGGATGACAATCCAGCGGTTCATTACGCACTGATCGCCTCGGTGAATCAGCTCATGGAGGATGCGTCAATTTGGGACAAATTAGCTGCTCAAAAAGATGTCCTATGCTTTGAAATGGAAGCAGCTGGTTTGATGAACCATTTCCCTTGCCTTGTCATCCGAGATATCTGCGAATACGCCGACTCGCATAAGAACAAAAATTGGCAAGGCTACGCTGCCATGGTTGCAGCAGCGTAGGCCAAAGATTTTTGCGCCGAATCATTCTTCAGCAGGTAGAACATGAAGCTGAAATCGGCGATATTGTCAAGGAATGAAATCGCCATACGCATGTTGTGTTTGGAAACCAGAATAGTGGCTTCCAGATTGGTGTGAATGATGAACCTATCAACGCGAGCATTGGGGTCAAATGATACGGCTATGTCATACTAACGTGGCTCAATTGATTTACAATACCGACGATTATAGCCTAACTAATGAAGATTAAGAGTGTATCTTTGATAAATGTGTGATTCCTCAGAAGACATCCAATAGCCACATTAGTGGTGAGACGTAAATTTTATCAAGAAATCACATGGATATAAAGGCAGAGAGCAATATTTTTGACAACACTTTATTGGTCCGCCCTTTTTACACGCGCAAGCGCATTTAACAAATTCATTCAGAAAACTATACGTTATCATTTTGTTTCCAGAAACGTGCAAAATCCGCAAGACTAGCAAAACCATCAAAGGTACGCATAATCAAAATTAGCGGATTGACCTCATCCAATAATTCCCAGTTCAATTGAACTGAGCATACTATCATTGTGGACAAGCGGTGTGGGTGCAGAAGCTCACAAAATTGAGACAAGCCGAATTATACCATCAAAAAGGCGTGTTCATCAGCAAAAAGATAAGGACCCTAGAAACCCGATTCTTTTTGCCTCTATTTGTAGATGTGGATTGACTGTGTGTTGCAATAGGACAAAAGACCTTGACGGCCCCATTCGCCACCGATGCCACTCTGCTTATGTCCGGAAAAGTAGGCAACTGGACTCGGCTTTTCAGAGCTATTGATCCAGACTGACCCGGCTTCCAGACGTCGACCGATTGACAAAGCACGAGTCGGATCTTTGGACCAGACGCACGCGCCAAGTCCTGCATCGGTATCATTGGCACGCCTAATCACCTCCTCTTCATCCTTCCAGGATAGGATGGGGATGATCGGACCTATGACATAAACATTAGAACTCGAAGATTCTCAGGTCCGGTGAAAGGAGGCCACGGCTTACCAAATTGTTCCTCTTTCACGATCCGAGAGTCATCAGATGGGTTATCCACAATAGTTGGTTCTATGAAAAGACCATTAGGCGATTGATTTTGCCCCGCGATGATGTTGCACCCCGTAGCCTTGCAATCCTCAATCAATCCCTGAATGATGGCATACTGCATCTGGTTCTGCACCGGGCCAAAAATAGGAGGTGCCATGGTTGGCTGTTCTGTGAATACCTTCGCCGCTTCCACAAAACGCTGTAAGAATTCTTCACGGATGCTTTCGTGGACGTAGACCCGCTTTGTCGCGACGCACATTTGACCCGCGTTGAAGAGACATCCATTCGCAACTTCGGTCGCGACCTTGCTCACGTCCACATCGGGGCAGACAATCGTCGCGTCATTGCCACCGAGTTCAAGCGTGATCCGCTTCAGTGTTCCACTGGCAGCCTCCATTATCTTCTTGCCCGTCTTGGTCGAGCCAGTGAAGCTGATTTTTTGGATTCCTGGGTGGGTTGTCATGCTAGCTCCTAGTGAGTTGTCGCCATTCAGGGCTTGGAAAACACCCGCGGGGACGATCTTTGTCGCGATCTCTGCAAACTTCAATATGCTGTATGGAGTGAAGGGTGATGGCTTCACAATAATGCAGTTCCCCGTCACTATAGCTGCAGCGACCTTGGCGATTGCAAGGACCAGCGGGAAATTCCAGGGACATATCGCTCCAACGATACCCAATGGAACGTGCGTCTGAACGATCTGCACAGTGTCGTCTTCGTGGACTATTTCATCCGAAATCTCCTGAGATGCTTCGCCCTCTAATCAGCATATCACACCAGTGTTGGAAAAAAGATTCAGGTACCATTGTACTCGAGAAACCCAATGCTATGATCGATCTCCAACCCGCCCATGAATGCCTGTAATTAACTTATAAGTCGAGTCCATCCTGAATCAAATGGTTGCTTTTTCATACAGATTTTCCGGTCTCCTTTGAAACAATTGCTGCCAAAAACTCTTTGTGCTCGCGAAGTACATCCACCAGCTGTCTTAAGACGCCCTGTCGTTCGGTGGCCGGCTTCTTGGACCAAACCGGAAAGGCATTCTGAGCTGCAGTAACCGCGATCTGCAGCTCTTCTTCGCCTGCAACTGGAACATTCCAAAGCGGCTCGTTGGTTCTCGGGTCCTTGCAGCATTCAGACTTCTTGCTCTGCAACAAATTGCCGTCCACAACGTGGGCGAACTTCACCGTTTGGAGCTCGCTGGGATTCATTCTGCGTAAAGTGAAGTTCAAGTGAAGTCGGAGAAGCTGTTTCTCGTCTAATATGAAACTCTTCTAAGCAATGTGAATGAAAATGATTACGAAGAGTTTTGAGCTCAGGGGAAATCCGGTGGGATTCTGCTATTATTCCCGATACTGGTGGGGACTATACCCACTCAGGATATCTCAGTGGGGCGGGGATATGTGTCAGGATGCAGCTGAGAGTCCCTATGTCACCTCGACATTCCACAGTGGGTCGCGCAACATTGACTAACCGTATTAGGCAGTCACGAAAGCGGTAACGTCGTCGATAATCACCTATCTAGGTTTAGCGTATTACTAACTTCCATGAACGTATCAGTATTATAGCTAAAAATTACCTGTAATCAAATTCTGCCGGGTAAAAAAACCCTTTCTCCCTATTTCCTTTATTCCCCTATCTCCTCTATATAGTAATTCTTTATTAAAATAGAATATTTAGAAATATTCTTTATAGAGTAAGAAGATAAAGTAGTTTATAAAGAACGAAAAGGTAAAGAAGATAGAGAGATATCCCTAAGGGTATCCTTTAGGTATCCCTTAGGTACCTAGTAGATATCTTATAGTGATATTATATAGGAAAAGAGCGGTGAGAGATACGGAAGGTAAGATAGAAAGCGGTAAGAGAGATACGGAAGGTAAGAGAATTGTATGCCTCGTTTGCATTAAGCTACTAGGCCTAAATAGGTAATTAATAACCTAATGTTGTGCGACCCATGTGTGAATGTGCAGCTGAGCTAATTCCTGGGATGTCTTTACGCCCCTGAACGAGCGGTACTTTGCATTCCCGGTGCTGCATTCTGTATGCAATCTGCGCTTCAAATGTCATGACAGATGGAATCTGGTCTTTAAATTCATATCACAAGAAGTGAAGATGATACGTAGATATGCATAGAGCTGATCTGAGTCAGATGGCCTACCAATTAAGGAGGAGCTCCATCTTCTTCCGTAGATTATCACGCAGATGTTTCGCACTCCGAATCGGGAGTATGCCCCCCCCCCCTCCCCCCCCCCCCAAAGCATTTTTGACAGTGAAGCTGGCAAATTGTCTTAGTAGTGGTGGAAACGGAAGCATGATGCAAAACTTCATCGGCCCAATTTTCTAGAGGTGATAGAAAATCGTCTGCCGATACGGCTTGCAAAGCAGCCGCGGGACATTCCATATGTGTCTCTAGTCCTAGTCCAAAGATCCGAGGCGAAGTAGCATGGAGGATAACAAAAGCGGTGTCGAGTAACCTGACAAACTGAGCTTGATCCAAAGATTGGATGAATTTCACCGAATCCCTTCTTCCTTCTTGATGTACGCTTGTCAGCCAAAAGTTGATGCATCTTGTATGAGTCAAAACGACTAGTGAATGGCAGATATTGGCACGAAGTCTGTTGCGACATGCATGGGTGAGATTCTCGACACTTGGTTTCAATGTTGATAGTCTTCCGGCCACCATCATACAATATTGACGACGCCGAAGTAGTCGTTGAATAATTTCATACTCCTCCTAGATTTGAGAAAGGCAGGCAAATCTTGCCGTTCATAGAGCTTCCAGCCTGCGTGTCTGCGTGGCTGCCTCTTTTCTCACGCAGACCTTATGATACTCTTCTTGATGGAAGTGTTCCAAGGTTGAAAACCATCTGCTCGACTACGTAGAGCCATGCCACGGCATTTGGATTGTGTTCCTTGCTAGTAGAACGCAAGCTGAGATGATGGCCAATCGATGGAAGGAGGGTGTTGATTCCCACCGCTTTTACCCTGCGGCTTTACACATACGTTGTTGCTTCCTTCTTTCTCTCTTCCCCCCAGGCCCCCAACATATCACTTTGTTCTCTCTCCTTCGTGTCCTCAATGCCGTCAATATAACGGCCACGAGTCGATATTTTGGGCGCTTTCCATGTCGAAATGTCACATCGAGAAGAATTCAAAGGATGTTTTAAGATCTTGTTCGCGCATATCCTTGGAAAAAGGGTTGGGAGTTGCGGAGGATTAGAATGACGTGTTCAGGCCCCTCTCTGGCTGACGATCTCCTGGATTAGGCCGTGCAGACGTACACTCTTTCGTACTGTATGAAAATAATTTGGGGGGGGGGGGGGGGGGGGTGGTGCAATCGGTACTCAATTGTCTGAAGATGAAGATCCCATTGCCACCCGTGGATCTCCACTAGGACAAGCCCATGCATTTCTAGGGGTCCGTTCTTTGAGGCCTTGTCCCCAGTACCTTCGTGCTTTCATCGTTAATTCGAAGATATTTTTTAATGCCTACAATTTAGGTACAAGTTGAAATGGGAAGACATCACGTTTACAAACACATTGAAAATGAATGCACTTTTCCAAGGTTTTTGAGGCTGTATTTAGTCACGTTTCAGGGCCTCATGCGCGCAGCCCTCGTGACTATGTAGAGCACGATATGCGCAAGACGACACTGCTTCCCATATTGATAACTTTCATCCGGTCTTACCGCGAACATGGACGCATGGGCCGTTTTGCCTTGCAGATTTGGAGATAGCGCACAGATGTATCACCATGTTGGGGTTGTGTACTGGACTTTGATGAGCCCGATCGGCGCTTAGCGACCGTGGCCAAACTAATTGTAGCAGAGCAGAGGCCAAGTTGATAGAGAGAGAGAGAGAGTAAATCACAAGTAACGATCATCGGGATCCAGGGACTGATCGACCGGAAAAGGAAAGTAAACACAGATTGCCGTGCCGCCAAAGAGCGGCGTGATTGGGCGCCCGGGGCGAAGCTCCCCAACCACTCAACTTCGCGATTGCCAGCACACGCCGCAAACTCACCTTCTCGCTGGTTCACGTTCATCCCTCAACGCTCACGACTTGACCGATTTCGTTGCCGCGAACACAAATCAGTACTTGGGTCTCCAACCACTTTGCATCCTTCCCCGCGTGAGCCGTGGTCGTGATCCCGCCGATAAGGTAGGTTTCCTCTTGTTTGCCCCTCGGAAAGATAAAAGATGGCTATGGCCACTTTGACTTCCGGCTTCTCAAAGACTTCAATATGGGAATGCTAACATTCGGTCGCTTCCTCAGCCGGCCATACCCTCATTACCGGGACGGCCCTACCATCTTCTCCTTCCAACAACAGTTCATGATGGAGGACGCTCGCGCTCAACGCCGCAAGTCCGATTCTACCATCGGCCCCGATTCGGTGGCCTCGACACCAGCTGTCGACTATGTAGAGAATCCCTTCGATGACTTTGACAACGATGACTTCTATTCGCCGCCCGCCTCTCCGGGCCGCCTGTCGCGCAACCCGTCCTTCTCCAACAGCAGCTCCTATGCGGAGGACTGGGAGACTTTCCCGCCACTCGACAAGCTGAGCATCTTCGATCTGCTCGACAACTTCCAGCTGTCACAACGCTTCGAGAAATGGCAGCTCGCGCTCGCTATGCAGAAACAGAAAGTGCGCAAGCACCGCGAGAAGTTGCGGTCGACGGGCAGTTATGCCAGGGAACGGGTGGTCGGAGAGTTCAAACGACGCGTACCGACCGCAGACGAACAACTTGAAAAGTATCGCAGCCGTATGAAGAATGGCGTGGATCGTCTGGGCAAGCAGTGGAGCAAGACGGCCACCGTGACGTTGCGCGAGAAGATCTCGTTCATCGCCGGTGTGCTCAACATCTTCATCAGCGGGTACCTGATGGGGGCCTGTCCACAGTACTTCTACCTGTGGTTCAGCGCCCAGTTGCTCTACTTCATGCCCATTCGTTATTTCACCTACCACGCTAAAGGCTACCACTACTTCTTGGCCGATTTGTGCTACTTCGTCAACTTCCTCAACATGGCGTCCATCTGGGTCTTCCCCAACTCCAAGAGACTTTTCATCGGAACGTTCTGTCTGACCTTTGGTAACAACGCGGCGGCTATTGCTATGTGGCGCAATTCCTTGGTCTTCCACAGCATGGATAAAGTGGTCAGGTATGTAACGCGCAAATGTGGGATATCGAATCTCAGCTAACATGGCTTTGCAGTCTCTTCATTCACATCATGCCTCCGGTGACTTTGCACTGCATCGTTCACCTGACTCCGGTTGAGATACTCAAAGAGCGCTTCCCGGCTGTCTATGCCATCAAGTTCAGCGAACCTGGCGATCCGGAGCACTACTCGCTCGGCGCTATGATTATCTGGGCAACCGTGCCATATATCTTCTGGCAGCTCATGTATCACTTGATGATCACCGTTCGTCGGGCCGACAAGATCGCAGCTGGACGTCCTACTAGCTTCACCTGGCTTCGCAAGTCCTACGCCAAGGCGTGGATTGGAAAGATCGTTCTCAGCCTCCCCAACGCCATGCAAGAGCCCGCTTTCATGTTGATCCAGTATGGCTTTGCTCTGTCGACTATGATACCTTCCCCCATTTTCTTCTGGTACCGATGGGCTAGCGGCATTTATATGTCTGCCCTATTCATCTGGAGTATCTATAATGGCGCGACCTACTATATCGACGTCTTTGGCAAGCGCTTCCAGAAGGAGTTGGAGCAGCTACGACGCGATGTCCAGCGCTGGCAAAGCTCTCCGGACTTTGCAACCAGCCCGCTGGTTCTTCCGGACTACAATGGACCTCGCAGTGGCGCGCTTGGTGCGCCAGATGCACCTTACCCCCTGGAGAAGCGGAACAGCATCGACCGCATCCCACTCCTTGATCCGACCTCGGCTACATCGACCGCCCAGGAGGTCCCGAAGACCGGCGCCACCGTGCGTGAAAGGAATTAGGCGGGGCTATGTTCTTTCGTTAATCGCTATTGATACCCCTGGCGTATTTGCTTTTGATTTCTCCCACACGGTACGCATCAACGGTCTTTCATATCGGTTTTATAGTTCAGCACATAGTTTCTCGGGTTTTACTTGCGTGTTTTGGATACGAAGGAAGCATTTGAATCACTGGTGACCCACATAGATCGACCATTATTATGCTCAGAATGCCATGATACCATGTTTGATGTCATACAATATTCGTAAGATGGTACTTTAGACCGTAACCCCCTGCAACAACAGAGGATAGATCGCCCGCCGACCGGTTATCAGATGCGGCATTTAACTCCGACCAAACCCCGAAGGGCCTCGCAGTCACGTGACTCAACGTGATCTCCAGACTCGTCACCAGCTTGGAACATCATCCACATCATCCAAGCCTATTGTCATCAAAACATCTATTCAAACCCTGTTATTTATCGTGCAACTGATTAGGACCACCCGTTGCGTCCGTTGTTGCGCATTTCGCACGCCCCTGTTCGGCCCTTCGAGCCTTCACTTTCCTCCCAACAATATTTCCGCAAATGTCCGCCACCATGAGATCTGCTCGCCTGGTGCGCAGCACCACCGCTCTGCGGCCTAATTTGGTTGGTAAGTACATCCTAGCGATAATTTATCTGTGTGACCACCTTGGCTGACCTGTGTCATCCCCTGAACAGCTCGTACTCGCGCCAGCGCTCTCGGTCCGGCTTCAATCGCTGCGGCCAGCAGCCTTCTATTCAACAGTCGCGGCATGCCGTCTACCGTATCTGCGCTTGCCATCTTAGTTCCCCAGCGCGGCTACGCTACAGAACAATCCACCTCGAATTCCTCCCAGTCATACCCTCCGCCTGGCTTCAATGCTGAGCAGGCCAAAAAGCCTGTTCCTCTGGACCAGGCGCAACCACAAACTGGCGCTCCGGCTACGATGTCTGACGTAGCCCCCGCTTCTAAGGCCTCGCCGCAAAGCACTGCGTCCAAGAGCGAGGACCAGAAGGTTGCGGCGAAGAAGCAGGCTAAGAAGTTAACCCTTGGCCAGAAGATCAAGAAGGAGCTCCAGCACTACTGGGACGGTACCAAGCTACTCGCGACAGAGGTGAAGATTAGTTCTCGATTGGCGTTGAAGATGGCCGGTGGCTATGAGCTCAGTCGCCGTGAGCACCGCCAGGTTCGTCTTAGTTCCGTAGTCCTTCTATTCTCCTGGAGTCGTGCATGCTAACATTGTCTCTGTGGTTGTAGCTGCAACGTACTACCAAGGATCTTGGTCGACTGGTTCCTTTCTCCATGTTCCTCATCGTTCCCTTTGCCGAGCTTCTTCTCCCCGTGGCCTTGAAGGTCTTCCCCAACATGCTGCCTTCCACCTACGAGGGCCAGAAGGCCAAGGACGCCAAGGCTGTCAACCTGAGCTCGACCCGTAAAGAGGTCTCTGCCTTCCTGCGCAACACACTACGCGAGAGTGGTTTGCCGTTGACTGCTGCTAGCGTGAAGAACGAAGATTTCGCCGACTTCTTCCGCAAGATTCGCACTACTGGCGAATCTCCCTCGACCGAGGATGTCATCAAGGTCTGCAAGGTCTTCAAGGATGACTTGACTTTGGACAATTTGTCCCGCCCCCAGCTGGTTGCTATCTGCCGCTACATGAACCTCAACTCCTTCGGCACGGACGCCATGCTCCGCTACAACATTCGCCACCGCATGCGCCAGATCAAGCGTGACGATCGTGCTATCTTCTATGAGGGCGTCGACTCTCTTTCCGTTCCTGAACTCCAGATGGCTAGCGCTTCTCGCGGTATCCGCACCCATGGTGTCTCCCCTGCTCGCCTCCGCGAGGATCTCTCCATGTGGCTCGACCTGCGCCTCAAGCAGGGTGTCCCCTCTTCCCTTCTCGTTCTCAGCAACGCCTACATGTACAATCAGGGCGGCAAGGAGTCCGAGATGGCCTCTCAGATTGACGCTCTCAAGTCTGTGCTCTCCAGTATTCCCGAGGAGCTGTTCCACGAGATCGAGCTCGAAGTCCACAACGCTGAGGGCGCAGCTACCAACAAGCAGCGTCTCGAGGTCATCAAGGAGCAGGAAGAGTTGATTGAGGAGGAGAACGAGCAGAACAGCGCGAACGAGGACAAGGGAGTTTCTGCTCCCAAGGATACTGAAGATATCGACGACAAGGAAGAGCCCAAGGTTGATGCCTCAACCACCGGTCCTGAGAAGCAGTCTGCCGAGGCCTCCGAAGCCATGGAAGAGGGAACCAAGGCCGGTCTGAAGAATGAGAAGACCAGCCAGAGCTCGTAAGATCATGAATAATTTGGTTTTGGTTCAGGTTGGGGCTGGTTATATTTGGCTCACGCATATATAGATATCTTTTGTTTTATTTCTTGCACTCTTCTGTTCTCACCCTGTGTTACTCTTGACTCTCCGCTGTGTTGATAGACCTTCTTTCCCCTCTTCGTGCTTAGCCCAATCTCTGAAACACTTCCACGCATACTGTTGCTGATCCCTGGTTTCTTCCTTCATTTCTGAATCTTGTCGCGCTGTCTTAATTTTTCATGCCATATCCTTTATCGTTGAGTTGGTGTGGGGATGCCCCACGTCGCTTCCAAGGTTGGCCTCCGAAACAGAAACACCCGTGGTGGAGGAGCTGGGGGAGATCAAGTGAAGAATCTTGGCCATGACGTGGTGACTCAGATTGGAAAAGCACACTGTACTGATAGACAAATGCACCCCAGGCATTCCCTGATTATGTTATTCGTGTGGTTAGATTGAGATCGTATGTATAGAAAGATAGACGTTTCATCAGATGGACCATCTCGGCATTAGTCAACCTCGGTTACCCCAACGCTATCACCCCCGCGTGAAACCCTGGGACTTTTTAGTCCGAACTATACGTCCCTACCATGCGGCGGTTTATCCCAAGCACCGGTCGCATTTGCAATCCCAATTGCAGCTTCAGCACCAGCCCGACCCGACATCTCGCAACACGCATGTCTCCACTGAATCCCGCTTCCCAGGTATGTGTAACGCTTGACTGCGCGTACCCGACAGTCGGCGCAGAATCGCAAGACCGTCAACGAGGCGGCACCGCTCTGTCTTGTCCTTTGATTCCACGCGTGTAGAGATCTGAGTTCCACCGCGGTCTCACACGGTCCCAAATTGGGGGCTCTTTTCACGGTTCGTGGTTCGCGGGGACGCCTGATGAGGGTGGTGAGACTTCGTTGATCCCGTGGATGTCCATCCCCCCTTCTGGCTGATGGAGGTCATGGCTGCTCTGACTCGGAATGTCTGACTCTGATCCGGCAATCTGGGGTCGCGTGGTCTTGCATAATCCCGAACCCGAACACGAAAAAAATAGGAAAAAGAAAAAGGAGAAGGATCAGACGGGGATGCAAGAAAAAGCAAGAATAAAGAGCTAGACTAACTTTGAAAATTGTCATCTTGACTAGGAAGCCATCCGTCGACTCAGAAATTATGTCCCTCCGCCAACGGCCTACGATCAGGTCCCGCTGATCAGGCGGGCGGCGGTGCTTCTCCTGCTCTATGCCGATCCTAAAGGAAACCTGAGGATCGTGATTACGATGCGGGCCAAGACCTTGAGTTCGTGTACGTACTCGTGTTTTTTTCTTTCTTTTTTTTCGGCGCTGCTGCACGACATGCTGACCCTGGTTCAGATGCAGGAGAAGCGGCATTGCCAGGAGGTACGTTCGGCATTACAATCAAGGGAAAACCTCCCTTCGAAAGGAAGTAAAAAGGAAAAAAGAAAAAAAAAGAAAAAAAGCAAACAATCCTAGCATGGCTGCCCTGGTCATGCAAGACAAAAGGGGCCTAAACAGAACCGGCAATAGGTAAATAACTTCTGGACTAACACCGAACAGGCCGAGCAGACACGTTAGCGGAGACACCGTTCCAGACTGCGCGCCGCGAAGCGAACGAAGAGATCGGCCTTCCCGAGATCGATCTGCCGCGCCCCTTCTCAGTTGAGCATCTCTGCGAGTTGCCGGCCAATCTGGCCAAAACGGAACTGGTCGTGCGTCCCTGCGTCGCGCTTCTTCATTCGTACGACTCGACCACTGGAGAGAATGCCGACCCGGAAGTATCGTTAATTCCGCAGTTGGACGCGCGAGAGGTCGCTGAGGTGTTTACGGCGCCCTTCCGGTCATTCTTGGACCTGAAACAGGATGGGAGGGATGACGAGTGGTATCGCGGATCATGGAGTTTATGGCATAGTGAAAACTGGCGCAGTAGGTTTTCTGTTTTTTTTTTTCTGCTTTTTTTTTCCCCCTTTCCTTGTTTTGATGCCCAGTTCCTCCCCTGGTATAGATCACCTCCTGAGGCTATTCTGTAGAAGGCAATCCCTCAACACATGGATTAGCTGTCAAACAGACCCACTCAACCCACTAAACCCACCTAATCCACCTAATCCACCTTGTTTGTTGAACTAAGGAACTTCTTTCGGGGATGCTACCTTCCAGTCCTTTGTTCATTTGCGGTGCTATATTCTTCCGGGGATCTCATTTTTGTTGTCGTTCTTTAATTTCCGACATCGTCATTTTCCAGGGCTGACATCCACTAGTGCATCAATTCTTTGTTCGCGGGAACGCCTTCAAGCCTCGCGGCAACTCCGAACATGCCACGCTCCAGGATCGGGGTCAAGGGACGCGACGGGTCTTTGGCATGACGGCCCGCATCATAGTGGATGCCGCGCGACTCGCCTATGCACGGGAGCCGGAATTCGAGCATAATAGCCACCTGGGCGACGAAGATATGATTGCCAAATTAAGACGCATGGGTCGACTGAGCGAGACCCGCTCGCCCTCGGATGAACTCACCCGTGAGACCATGGAGAAGGCCAAATTAAGTTAGTTCGCTGGGCGCAAGGTTCGAGTCGATTGTGCCTTGCTTCCAGTTCGTTTGTCAATGCCCAATCCTGTTAGCTCCCTTTCTTGCCTAGCTTCCTAGCCCTTCTCGGGCTTAATCTCCATAGATTACCCTCACACTAGAGCAGCGCCCCCCCCTCCTCCTCCCCCAAGAAGTAGACCCAGAATGCAGTTCCTGGCTGCCTTGATGACTCCACTGCCACGTCTCGCAAGGTTATGTCACAACACCTTAATCGTACAGGTCTGCTCCTCCTTGCAGCCCCTCGCGTTATGTCCGTGCTCTTGCCGATCGTCTCTACTTGACCTATATTATCGTGGCCGTCGCCTTTTATTCCGCCCTGTACTGCTGTCCCGCTTTATTCGCTTTGTGGTCTATTTATACCCGTGATTCACGCCATGCTGTCAAACTACCCGTATGCCCAGGGTAGCCACCGCATGGCACCCCCGTCCGGCCATCTCGATCCCTCGAAGGTCTCGAGCGAGTCATTCCACCCTCCAAGTTCCCCACCCGCGACCTGTTCCTCAACAAACCCTTGCCCGCTAAACCCGTCCCCGACGAGCCCGCCGAGTACTCCTCCGGGATGTGGTCTGACTCGAGCGATAGCGAGAGCGAAAGCACCGTCGATAGCGCAAGTCCAAGCGAGCCTCGCAATTCCAGCGAGTCTTATCCCATCTTCGTCAGCTCAGATTCCGATGACTTCAATATGGTCGATCACTCAGTACCCGTAGATCAGCTTAGTTTGGGTCCGATCCGCCCATCTCCACAACGCTTCCTCACTACCGACTCGCGCCCAGACTCGATCGTCTCGGGAGTGTCTGCTGTCTCAGTGTTCTCCAGGACAGACAGTGTCGCCGAACCGTCGGATGCTCAGTACGGGAGACCGAGCCACTGGACACAAGGCCGAACTGGCACGAACCACTACTTCAGAGAGAAGAAGTGGGATTATTTCCCGGAGCTAGCGACTCCGTCAGCGTTGCAGGCCAGCGGGCGAGTCAGCTCGGGGATCAAGAGTGGGAAATCACGAAAGAAGGAAGGTCGGCTGAATCTCGCGGCTAAGCGACGTCGATGGCATTCCCTCGATCGGGCAGGCCTAGGCCTCGCCCACGGTGTTCGAGATTCGATCAAAACATACGTCCACCGCACACTATCCAAAGACTCGGGCGAAGGCCGCGACACCAAGGCCAAAGGATCACCTCGGCCACGAACAGCACCGTTCGACTCACCCGATAATCAAGAACCATACCCCCGACCAAAGACACAACAATCATCCACGGATCTAAGCGTCCAACTACGAACTTTATCCATCTCAACATCCTCCAGTCCCCTCGAGTCACCCTCAAGCCCCCGCTCAATCCATACGCAATGCTCAGCACCACTCCAACGCCCGAAACAACTCGCAGTGCCCATGTCGCCGTACCAGAAATACGGCTCCGCCATCTGGGAAACACCCAAGAAATCAAAGTCAAAGCTCACTCCCCGCCTGTCTCCTAATCCAGATGGTGGCCCCTCCTCACCAGACTTCATCTATGCCAACCCTACACCGCCGCTCTCCCCACCATTCAAGACCCAGTTGCAGCAAAATACCCGGAATGCTGCACGCGCCCTGCAGGATGGAACATGCCACGTCCTCGTCGCTCTCGATGGCGCAAAGCGCAAAATCTCCGAATCGAAAGACGAACGGAGACGTGAGGCATTGAAGTCTCAGATCAAGCTCATTGGTCCTGTGAACTCATACTCTTATAATCAGGGTGATCCTTGGGTGTAATACCTGACCACAATATTTTTTATCTTGGTTTCTCTTTGTTTTTTTTATTTATTTAATACGCTCATTGCATCGGGTGGACTGGACTGGGATTGGGATTGGCATTGGGATTGGGATTGGGATTAGGATTGGGATTGGATTTGGATTTGGATTTGGATTTGGATTTGGATTTGGACCTGGTTTCTCACGACGACTACGACATTATTTTTGCTCTTGATTTTGGATGATCCCTTTTTCGATTCCTTTGGCTCATTTCTCACAGTGCATCTCGTTGGACTGGTTTGTTTTGGGTTTTGGTTATTTCTTTTTTCTCTCGATCGATTAGCATACATGTACACAGGCGTTGGCATGACCACGGCCCAATCTGACATGTCTCATTCCTATTTAGGAATCCCCCACAATTCATCATCTACCTAACTTAACACAATTTACCACGTCACAACCCGATCCCATAAGACTACCCAGCCAAGCCCCAATCATATTTCCACCTCAAATCCACATCCGTAGTTCCACGCCATGCAGCGCACTCTGCATTCCGTGCTTGGATCTCCGCCGCTTCACTAGCTCCATTTCACCACCCACATTTACACACGTACCCATCCTCCGATCCAATCATTCACCCGGAAAGATTTGCAAGCCCGTGAATGGGGCTGTCAACGGTCGACTTCGTGGGTCCGACCTAGCGCGCCTCAAGTCGGAGCACGGCCTAGCGTAGAAATAGCGGTCTGATAACCTTCTCGATTGCCGTGCGTGATCCCTCGCTAGATATCTCATAATTGAAGGCGTCAGAAGTAGATACACGTCACCCACTTTTATTGGGGTCCCGCTTGCGAGTCGGATGCTGTAATTATTGGTTTTTTTTTTTTTATCGTTAGTTTCAGGGAATCGGAGTTGAATCTTCATGGCGGAACTGGGTTTGCTGTGCATGGTTGGGTCGGTTCTTATATCAATATGCACTCGGTCATGAGTCTCTGCTATGACTGGTGGCTCACACTTTGGCGGAGGGTAAGCACTTGACGTCGTTGTGTGTTTGAGGCTCTGATGCTGCTCTGTAGCTGCAGTATCATTCAATTCATTTCCCTTCTTAGGCTTATTGTTTGAACAATAAATGGGTGGGAGAATCGGTATCTGTGCGCTTCGCACGCTGACGCCCTGAAACGGCAAGGAATGACAGAAATCACTCGAGCAAAACGCAAAACCCGCACGCGAGATGGCCGTTAACCATGTGACTTCCCAGATACTAGACTAATAACATGGGCTGGCTTGGAAATTGGTCAATCTCCCGCAGACCCGTGAATTGTGACAACTTTCAGTCTGTTTCTTCCTTTCGGAACATAATGTCATCTACTTACTGAGAAGAAGATTCAGCAGGATAAGCAAAGGGACTTGTCTTCTACCGGCCGTCTTCGGTCCTATATGACTGAATTACCGGGGCGTTGCCCCCTCCTATTTGGCTAGTTTTCAGAAGAGTGCTGGACGCCAAAAGACCACATACGACCTTGTTTTCTACTCATGTCATCGATAGAGTAATTGTTACATGTATAGCGTATTTCGAGAGAGGCTACGGAAAGAGTCTGAGATGAGTCAACAAATTGACTTGATCTTATCACGCTTCTAGAAGACCGTCTTAAACCGAGTTTGTTTCACGGATCCTATCACGGTTAAGATGTTCATATCGGAAAAACCTACTTGTTTCGCACAAGGTAATTTCAAATGGAAGCGTATCCTGGCATAGTCCATGTGCCAGGAGGTAGAATCCAGCTAGGGCTGATGTGAAACCAAAGACACCAGCAACCTTGGTGATGTCTGCGGCTAATACCGACCTATCATCAGCCTGGAGGAAGTGGGCAGTACAATTGGAAATGTAACACAGCTCCAGGGCGGCGTAAACCACGATGTTCGGAAGATGTCTTTCGAAATCTTAGCGTAATTGTTAGCTCTGTGGAGCCTTGTATGTAACTTACGTTGGTAGAGCAGCGAGTAGAAAAAAGAAATTGAGAAAGCACCAAACTGAAATATGATGTGTAAGCCAAAGCCCACAGTGTCAATAGACAAGAGTGACTGACCCAGCTGATAGAACGCAAACGCGTTGTGATATTCGGCCGTTTCGCCGCCGTAAGCCTCTATTACACCCAATGAGGCATCAACAATACACCATACCCGCCACAATATAATCCTGGCAGGTTTAGTTAGATCCCGATCTCGAGCAGGTTTAGATAATCAATGGCTTGCCAAATGCGGCGAGTACTGTAAACCCAAAGGTATTTCCTTTCACCATTTCCCATTGCGCAGATATGAAAAGCCCGAATCCCGCGAGGAAACAAAGGTTTGCAATGAACACTGTTTGGTTTGCGACTCTCCGGAAGCCCATCATAGAAAGCGAAAGGGTCATCAGGGTGGTTGCAAAGCCGCCGAACCCGAGGGGACTCTAGTCAAAGTCAGTGTTTGTACATATAGCCTAAAAACAGTATCTGAAATAATTTTCGAGTACTTACTGGGTTGGCGAGATGACCTTTTGCCATTAGACGATGATAATACTTCAGGGACGGTGAACGATGTGTTTTCGTGCCGGGACTTGCTGAGTGACTGTCCTTCATGGGTTGACAAAAGTCCATACTTTTTTTTTTTTGGAACAGTATGAGGAATATAAACAAGAGCAGATGTCTGAAAAATTTAGGAAGTCAAGTAATTATTTCTTCTAAGGTACTGTTGATCTATGACAACGTAAGTGCTTGAATTTGAGCACCACCTGCTATAACTTCCTTTACTGGCGACGAAAGCTTACCAAACCAACCACACTGTATATTCAGATTTTTGAGGGAATTTCTCGGCATCCTACACGAATTCGAGATATTCGTGAAAATTATCGGTGGTTGCTTCCAAATATGCCAAAAGTAAGCTGGTTGCCACCTAGCCCCACATGTGACAACTTCCTAATCAGGTAAGTATGGAATCACGGTGATTCATGGATTAAGAAAACCTACCAAGTCCGAGAATTGTCCGGCTCACAAGGCATATTAGAGACACGTCATTGCTCGTAAATCGGACGGCAGTGATTCAATTTCTGTCCAATCGAGGAAGAGTTTTCTCCGTATATTGTGTCTGAGTTTGTTTGAATTGATGATAAAGTGGAGTGAGAATGTTTTCAGAGTGAGTATATAAAGGCTCGATGCCCCTTGCCATTGATTCTGTCATCTTACAAAAGACATCGACCCTCGAAATCAACTAAAACATTTCTCATTCTTTTCACTTCTTCCAAGCCTTCCTCTACATCATGTGCCAACAGGAAACTCAAGCCAATGGCTGGACCAGCATGCCGGCCAATGCAGGCACCATCTTTGGTGACAAACCGTTCATCAACCAGCCCGGGCCTTTGTCTCTAGAAGACATCAAATTTCCATTTGATGAACCTGTAGTCGCTAAGACTTTGACATATGCAAAGAAAGTTCTGCATCCTGAAACCTTCAACCATTCGATGAGGGTTTACTTCTACGGTATGCCTGCATGATGAGGCCTGCTCATTTTTAGCGAATCTACGACCCGTATCTAACCTCTACATAGGAATGGCTATTTCCAAGCAGCAGTTTCCTGAGCAGTTTGCTTCTCTTAACCCGGTGACTTGGGCTTTGGCATGCTTGCTTCACGACTTGGGTACCGCTGAAGAAAACCTGACGGCAACCCGGATGTCTTTCGACATCTACGGAGGCATTAAAGCCCTCAATGTCTTAAAGGAATTTGGCGCCACTGTAGACCAGGCCGAGGCAGCTGCCGAGACAATCATCCGCCACGAAGATATGGGAGTGGACGGTACGATCACCTACTTCGGTCAACTCATCCAGCTGGCCACCACATACGACAACACTGGTATCCATCCACATGTCAGGGATTTCGGTGAATTGATCCACGAGACCACTCGCACTGCGATCAACGAGTCTTATCCGCGCATGAAGTGGTGCAAATTCTTTGCTAGCGTCATCCGCAAGGAGGAGAAGATCAAGCCATGGTGCCATTCGACCCATCTTGTCAACTTTGACAATGAAATTGAGGCCAATACCTTGATGAAGCAATGGGAGTGAGAGACGACCACGTAAAGCTCATTTCTTTCGAGACTTTGGCTCGTTGGACATAGTGGCTGCGGCCCGCTCATCAGAAGAGAAATGCATGAAATAAAGACAAGACACTGTTTCAAGTCAGATAGATGCCTAGGGTTCATTAAACTGCGCTTGCGCGTACGGGAAGAGGAGCTTAGCGTTAATCAAACCGGATGCCCGGAAGTCCTCTCCAAGACAAGTAATTAAATTTGCAGCGCCACGGACATGCATCCGCGTTAAAATTGGTCACATCCTGTTAAAATTCCACATTCAAATCTGCGCTTTATCTGTCCAAGTTTATCAAGAACTCATTTAAGATTCTTTTTAACGTCCTCGCTGTATCGCTAAATAGGATTTAGTTTCTGGCTCTGGAAACCTACTAACTCCATTAGGCAGTTTAGCCATGTGGGTCTTCAAAGGTACAGTCACCCGTTTTCAGCCGATCACTCACCACTTTTGACTTGGGTCTGAAGTTGAAATAATTTCGAACGGGTGGGGGAGCGGGCGGTAATCCCGACGTTCGATATTCAATTAAAAGGGGTTTCTGTAAAACAATTGCATTAGTGTAGCGCTCATGCTTATCTAAAGAAGAAGCCTCGGTTGTATGTGAGACGGTGAAACAGTGGCGTAGCAGATACCAGAAATAGATAGCCGACTTCTTTGGCCGGAACGCTAGCAGTAAATTGAAAGAAATTATCTCCGGTGTTTGGTTAAGATTTTGCAAAAACAGTGCGACTCCAATTTCTCCAATCGATCTATGCAGCCACGAGAGACTTTTGTACCAATCGTTCTGGCCGAATTCGAAGTCGGATACATGGCATTGAAGAAAATTCAAGCATGACTGACACCTACTTGTAAGCTTACCCCTGTTATTCATAAATTCTTGTCTATCATTTCCGTGCATCGGTCCGCCCAACGGGTGCGGACCGAGTCCCAACGATTATACTTACAAGGTGCTTTCCATCGATTTGGCATTTCGAGAGAACACGTAAATTCAATTCGTGCAATAAGCCCATTGTATTCATCATAATCCTCTCCGGCGTCATATGAGAAGCCAACCAGAATCCAGCCCATCTATGTCAGAATCCCTTCGCATTGGGGTTCCTTGCTGATCTTTCCGTTCCCAATGGTCTCGCAAAATCTTTGAAGCGTTGATTACATTCAAACAACCTGTAGAGTCCCAGAGCAGTCTCAAAGACTCAGTGACAAAGGTACGTTGGCTTTGTGCCCAGCAACCAATACCGACAATAAAAGTCGGCCAGATCAGACACTTAAACAATGCCGCGTCGCCTTTGAGTGCTTCAATCAACCCAAGCAATCGGGAAACCAATTCCTCGTTTTCATGTTTTGCAGTCCGTGAAGTTCCAAGAACTTCCCTTCCGTATAGCAAAGCAGCAGACTGGTATGCCTGCGATAGCATACAGAGTTTGTTGATGTCTGTCGTAGAGGAGGAGCTAGTTCGCTGGAAGTTGGATGCCCACGCAAAGGAATCGAACTTTTCAGTCAGCTCGAGCATTTCAACGGTGTCTCGTACATTTTCATGAGCAAGGATGTCATCGTGGTTCTCAATATCCCTCAAAATTATTCGTTGGTCGGAAAAAAACCGTACAGCTCTTAGAATAAATTGTGGGCATCCGAGGAAACTCCTCACAATGGACTCTTGATGCCTATCTTCTTTGTCTTCGACAGAGTATTGTAATACTGGAGTGAAACATGACGTAGGGAATGAGAGCGCAGAACCAAGAGTTTCAATCCTGCTATTGTCAATGACTGGTAACCGCGCGAGTTAGGAAAAGAGCCTCACGTACAACGAAAGCTGTTTGGCGATAAATTGCCTTATCTCATGGGCCGTCTCTCCACGAACATTATCGAAATGGCTACTGAAGTCTGACTCGACAAGTGACTTATAAACGATATGAAGACCTTTGGCGCCTTGAAGATGGATACTCCAGCCATCAATACCAGATTCAAGAAGGTCAAGAAATATAAGGAGTAGAATAGTTGCCCATGTCGCGGTCGTCTTGCAATGCTCTGCATGGGACAGTGACAATGAAAGTGCCTCTAGAGTTTGCTTTTTGAAAAATAGCGCATCTAGATTGGCATTTACAAATTGTGGGGAAATGTCCGCATCGACCTGATCAAAGGAGTGACCTGTGTTTGCAAAGTGACGCGCTGCGAGAGCGACGATGGATTTTCGCAGAGCTGAATCTTCCAGAGCGTAAGGAAGTAAGTTCCGGAATGGATTGCTATCGCTATCATACAAGATGTATAGTTTGCAGATGCGTTTGTTGTCTTTGGCTGAAATCAGTATACCTAGAGGGGAAGATTTTCCTTCCATGAAATGAACATGAACTCACAATAATCAATATAAAATCTCGACAGCCGATCCAAATTATGTATACGCGAATCCTGCAACGCAGGGCAGGGGCCGATGTTCGCTGCTGAACGTGTTGCTGAATCGAGTAAAGGCTGACTCCGCCTCTGCCGCGCGAATCGTAGATTATTAAAGGCGCCAGAAGCTCCTTCAAAGCTTAGCCCGCGCATCTTTCCCCGGATCGCCACGCCTTTGACCCATCTCAGCGGTCTTTTGTCGAAGCATTCCAAGCCCGCTTTCTCACACTTTAAGCACGGAAAGCGGGACTGATCACACTGGATTGTGCGACTGCGACATGTCCAGCATGGTCCGCGCATTCTGCGAATATCAATAAGACATGGGCAATGCAGGAAATGATACGCTGACTAGCACGCAGCACTTCCCGATTCCCGGGTTACCGAGGGCGGTTCTCGGACTGGAAATATAATCTCCCGCCCCATAGAAACTTGCCACAAACTTGAAATTCCCAGGTCAGCGGCCAACGTATGTACGGAAACTATGTCTTGTTAGAAAGATATTTGGAGCAGCTCGTCCCTTGACAAAGTGCTCCCTATCAAATGGATATAAAGCACGGAACTTCGAAGGTCCGAGGGTATTTGCGTTCGAATGCCGACCACAACGGGCTCTCACCTCGAACAGCAGCGGAACAAAACGCATATGATGTGATGAAATCTGCTCCCTTTACACTTGATGGTGCAGTTATGTATAAATCTCCCTGGTAAGCGTAGTGATTGTTTCAAATAATACCGTACGGATGTTCCATCGAGGCCGTACGGATTATACCTACTACTACCTAATACTAGAATATAAATAGGGAAATATAAGTTAGTAATAAAAGGAATTGACTTAGGTAGTTACATAGTCTATTTTCCAACTCTATCTAAAGATGCATCATACGCTTCAGGCTTTTTCGTATGCCTAAGGCCACATATATGCTGTTATGTCACCGGTTCTCCCACTACACTCTAAACATGACCACTCCTATTTTTTCCAAACTACTTCTTCCTCCATATCGAGGAACCAACACTCAAACAGCTCAATGTCAGCAATCCACTGGCCCGGGGGCATTCCCCGCGAGATCAAACATCATCCCAAAGCAGATCTATCTCAAGACGAGCTCAGGGAAAAAGTCAAAGGCTGGCTACTTTTCGTCCAAGAAAGCTGGGTTCCACGCGACCGGGCCAATACCAGCAACGACGACAAGGAGTACGAGCTACGCCAGCGCCGTGCCCTAATTAAAAAATGGGCTTCAGAGTCGCAACATTTCCGTGATGTTAGACAAACCCTATTATTTTCAAGCGTTCATCGAACGGAAATTGATGCAATCATAGTCGTTCCAAGATCGCGCCTCGGGCAATGAGCTTGAATACCCCCCCTGAGGCGTTAGAACATGTGTCCGATGCACAGCAGCCTTGTGAAACGAGACATATTATCTCCATTGCACCCATTGATGAGTCGCATCCCGTGAACCGAGCGCGATGGATCAAACTCGCGATTCTGTTTTATCGCTACGATATTGAATCGGGACACTGTCTCCCCTTCGACAACGTCGTCCCCACAGCGGCGGTCCTGAATCCAGAAACTACCAGTACTTGTTCAGTTGAAGATTTCCTTCCCTGGTATTGCCTTGAGAATGCCTACTTTCCAGGTATCCTAATGGACCGCACTGGAACGGTAATCTATCGTCCTCATGAACGATACTTTTTGATAGTTGATGAGGAGGGATTGAAGACCGGTCGTTTCGCAGTCGTCGATTTTAACAGTGATGGGACAATCAAGAACTCGGTTCCTCTGCGTCCTTTCAATATGTATCATTTCGCAAACGATCTCTTTTTACATGGGAGAGCAGGTGTGCAAGAGATACGTGAAAGACCAGGTGGTCACGGACATCAGAACCGATCGTGCGTTTTGCCTTGCGCTTTCCCCTTTTGAGCTCCCTATACTAACGCAGTGGTGGAAATAGAATGGATATAGATCTACCAATTGTTGATATTCTTGTATCAGTGGCTGAACCGAACGGTCCACCCGCTCCGCATACGATATTCTGCGACCGTGAACAGTTCGAGAAAGACATTGAATTCTATGCGCCTGGATATCTGGCCCTTGAAGCGGCTGGTAAAGGCGGGGAGTATGATTTCAGGCGCCTAACGGAGCCCGACGATATTCCTTTCGATAGGAAGCCTGCATATCAGAGAATGATGGCGGATCTCATGGCTGGTGGGCGTCCCCCTTTCTGAAGGTATTTCCGGTCTTAAACTCTCACATTGAATCCAAAGGGACGCGGGAAGAATGTTAGCAATGAGACGATGTCGATCAGAGCCGAATAAGGTGACAAAGGCATATATTGGACGGAGTTGCTCCGTGATATAGAGTTGTCACTCCTCGGATTTCAGTTACGCCGTACAGGTTATAATACGTGGCTGGGGCAAGGAAATCCAACCCGTTGATATCCACGTCATATGGCACGCTACATTGGTTTGGCCTAAGCCGACATTGAAGTCAGCCTCGCCGTTAATTGAGCTCATCCTAGGTTGGGGATTCGATGGTATGCAAATGTTAGGAGACTGCGGTTTCAGCCATCTCGAAGCAAACCAATAATGCCGTATCTGACCTCAAGTGAGAGGGTCAGTGCGGTAATCGCGAGACGCAGGGTGATATTCACTCGATTCTCGCCCGGTTCTCAACCGGTCTATTGCGCACTCACCTTTTTCACCATTAGGCGCGCTACGCGAAAGCAGCGATGAATGGATCAAGGAATTTTCAAACAATATAATTTATATTAGTCTATTTTCGAGTACATACGACCATAGGGTGTGGAGAACAGGGCTTCCCGTCCGCTTAGCCGTACTTAAGCCATATATTATGCGCGGCTATTTCTTAATACGATCTAAGCTTTAGGATGGCGTCGGATTTAATCGTAGGATATGTATAAGTGATATAGGTGAGAAGTCTGGAGCCCTAGGTGATAGCGGTGAGAACGGGGTGAGACCGGGTGAGAACTGGGTGATGACTCTCGCCCAGATCACCCACTCTCTCACTTTCACTAGACTTCGGCCATAAATTCAGGCCCTAAGGCACCTATCCGGTTTGCTGTTCTGAATCGATTAACATATAGCTATTAAATGAAAGATGCTCCCGAAGGACTTCCTAAGGTAACTCGACGAAAGAAATACACTTGCTATATTACTGTTACGGGTTAAGAGAGAGAATCCTAGATTAAACTGTACCATTCAATAAAGGTATCACGACCGGGGAGGAAAAAAGGGAAGAAGGAAACTATCTAGCTAGAGGTCTTATTAATATCAACCCCTACCCTACCTGGTATCTTCTATCTCGGTATCTTCTAACATAATATGAGGCCGCCTATCATTACAGTTACGTGGTTTTACCAGGGAATATCAATAAGGCCACGCTATATACCTCGAGGAACTAGCCCCGGCTACCGATGGAGAAGTATAAGATTATAGTCATTGACCAGGTATTATAAGCTATACTATAGATAGATATAGCCTATATTATTAGTTTAGTAGATAGAGTCTTTCTCGTAACGAAGCGCCTAATACTAATTTTTCTGAAGATAAAGTCGATCCTATCCTGTAAATTTTGAAATCCTTTACAGTCTATATCGTAAATAGGAAAATCTACCCTCGTAGAAGTCTGCCTATTAGCTTCTATTAGCGTTACGTTAAGATAGGAGCGAGAGACTTCTCGATCTCTACCGAAGTAGATTAAGTAAGATAATCTAAATATAAGGCCGCTTAAATATAGATAGTATTATTTCTCCTAATATATTAGAGTATATTAGGTAGGACTTAACTATTAAATAAAAACTGCTAACGAAGCTACGAGAAAGCTTTACAATTATAGTAAAGGATATTAAGTACCTTTTTGTGTTACGCCTAAGCACAAAGATATTAAATTAATATTTATACTAAGCCTCCTTAGATATTTAAGAGATTATATAATATCTCTTTACTAATATATAGAGATCTTTCTGCCTTAAGAACTGAGATAAATAGCTATATATAAATAGGAGTAATACTATATAGCGATAAAATATCTACTCGAATAGCACTTTAATATTAGATCTATATTTATTAATATAGAATAGATAAATATAACGCGTACCTTCCCTCTAAATAGACCTTTTATTTATTTACTCTTACTCTAAAGGAGGTTGTTTGAGGGCAACATCCTTCCGCTTAGCCAAAAGACCATTTATGTCGACCCTTAAGGTCGACATCCTCAAATCCATATATATATACACACCTGCATGTCGAGAGATAACCACGTTATTTCTTAACACTTACTTAATCCCTAATTATATATCTTTCTTAGGGTTTCCCTTCTCTTCTAAACTTCCTTTCTTAACTATATAACGTTAACTACGCTTTAGTAATTCTATAATCTTCTCTCTTTAGTTTCCTCTTTTCGATTTCTTATTTTCCCTAACTAATATCTTTTAACCCTACCCTTCTTATCCTCTCGCTAACGCTAATTTATAAGCTTACTCTAATTATAGAGTAGTACTAAGAGTAGATACTCTAGAACCCCTTTCGCTCCCTTAATATAACTACTAAGAAAATAATAACTACTCTCGCTTACGCCTATATTCGCTTTAGCTGAATTAGCGAATATATAATATCCTTAATTAGTAAAGTAAGGATAATAAGTATACGCCTTCCCTATATCTTATCGCTCTTTCATATATTTCCTTAAACTAATTAGACTTAGGACCTTAATATTATTGTTAATATAGACCTAAATAATACCTAAAACCTACTTCTTTAGGCTTATTCCGAATTTAGAGTATCTAAGAGTAATAAATTTATCTTTATAAGCGGGGACGAGGCGGATGGTGGGTAGATGGATGAGTGCAGCTCACGGGCCGGAGCATGTCTGGACATACCGCTTCATCGCACCTTGTAAATACCCCCATCAATTTTGACAGGTAGAACCGTCCCAAAGCTGATGCAGAGGAACGACAGATGTTGGTACAGACTACACTGGACCCTACCCCCTGGCTCCCGTGATCCACAGTTCGGACAACAGCTACCTAGAATATCCGCTGGCCTCGATGAGGGAGTTTGAGCTAGCGGTTGCTCTCGAGTTTCGCGCCTATATGTCCTCTTTCATCCGCACTGGCAATCCAAACACCGAAAAGCTCCCGACTGCGCCATGTTGGTCTAACTATGGTGCTCTTGGTGATTTTGTGATTCTCCGATCCGCTTGGTTCCCCAGTTCGGATTCAGCAGCAACGCCAACAAGAGCTATCCGACTAACACGCAACTTGAGGTCGCGGAAAAGGCAGGCATTGAAGGAACTGATTTCTGGCAATCGAGCCCTATCGTGGACACTATCGGATTTTAGGCTCATGTGTCGCGCAATGGAGGACTGCTAGTGTAACAATTGTTGGGTCTCGGTTATTGGGATGTAGTCAGCGCTGCATTAGCCCTGGTCGCTGACCGACAACTGATTTCCCAATGTAGCTATATTGATCTAAGGTTCAGTTCACATATATGTTTTCGTGCTGGCTTCTTCTTAAAGGTACTCCATCGGTACTAGCTATTCGTAATATTTCTTGGCCTGGATCAGCTCGTCTGCTGTAGCATAGTCATGCCCAAAAATGAGTTTGGCCGAGAAAGCTTTTTGCAACCGTCTAATAAACTTCCCACTATCAATCCAGCTGCGGTAGTCTCGCAAAAGCCAGCCATGTGCCCAATTTGACTCATAATTCTCCCGCACATGGTACTGGTCCGTCGTCCAGATGAATGTTCCATCGGCAGCAAGATTGACCTGCATGATGCATAGGCCGGGAGTATGCCCAGGACAATGATAGAGCGTGATCCCGGTGCACAGATCTACTTGCGAGTCGTTGAAGGTTTGCCAGTTCAATGTGCCGTTGAGATTCAGATATTCCGATCTGTCAGGCCATAGGGCGATAGTAGTCAGAAGGAATGCAGAGTGTAATGGCGGGACCAAATTTGAAGAGGTACTCACAAGTACAGCCCACCATCAGAATTTGTTGCAGCTGCCCAGCAGGCGTGTTTGAATTCTTCTTCGTGGACATAGATTGGCACTCCCGTGTCACGGAAATGATTCAATCCGCCCGCATGGTCCAAGTGTAAGTGGCCCATAATGACTGCCTTGACGTCTTTGATATCATAACCGGCATTCTTGATGGCATTAGCAAGTGATGCTGTTCATTATAGCATGTGCGCGGGAACAGATCTGTAGCTTCATTGCTCCATTCCTTTAAGTGGCTTCTTGTCAGTTTGACTTGAGGTAGAAGGGCCGTGATCAGGAACACTTACGCTCTTTACGTCCTCCGTACTTCCACACTCGAAAAGAATGAGTCCTATCTCAGGATGATCAATCAGACCGGCGATCATCATTAGGTCTCTTCTCTTGTTAACGGGGTTGGGGTTGCTGACACCTCCTCCGTTGACACCCATCAGGAGCCTACGTGTCTGATCAGAAAAGATGCGGACTAATACGCCAAATGTCAGCTCCTACCATCCTTCGTCAACGTTTAGAGTGCCCAGGTTGAGAATGTGCATTCTGGTGCCTTCAGGACACGCATATGCGGGGACAGATGCTTGGACCAGCTGCCTCATAGTGGCCATGATGCTTGCTGGCTGGGTTGAGATTCTGGAGAGGGCTGATATACCGAAACTAGGCTTGGTCTCATCCTGAATCACGCCAGATCAATGACTATCTATAGTTTACATAGTTCACGTATGAGGTAAAGTACCGATAAGTCAGTATTGACCCAAGCCTCGGTCCATTCGACGCGGTGGACAAATTCCGAGAGACGTGCCATGACGACCAGTTACTGACGCATGGCCAATTTCCAAATCTCCCCTGCATTTCCCCCCCCCCCCCCCCCCAACCCCCACATGGACAGTAGAGCATTTCCTCTTCGAGCAATTAACAAGATCAGTTCAGAGCACAATAACACGGTCCCATTTTCGGCCGCAGATTAACCTATCAGCAACTTAACAACACCGCCCCCACCAACTTTTACCTGCTATCAGAGTATCCGCCTACTTTCGCAAACACCCTGACATCAGCTAGGTGAAGGGTTTCCAGACTATGACGCATGTGTAGAGCTACATGTACGTTCATGGGATGAGTGGTTGAAGTTAGCAAGCAGGAAGGAGTATGGGCCGCATTGAAAGATGATTGTCCGTGGTTTGTGGATCTACCTATGACGTAGATACTTGGTGGTGGGGAGAAATCGGTTGTTGGGGAAGTAGTCAGGCGAATTGAGGCATGGATGGCTCGTCGTTCCAAAGCGAATAATAATGACTAGTGTCCACGGGTTCTCATCTCCGTAACCTCGGGACGGAGAGAACCGGTAGTAGTGAGAACTGGACAACTTTAAAAGACAGAAATAGGACAAGATCCTCTCCCAGTCCGCAGTTGTCAATTATTCTCCGCTACAAAACGTCATGATACAACGAGCAATGGTTGATATACAGACAGCAACGCCCATCTCGCGCGTTTGGTTCGTGACTGGCTGCAGCTCTGGCTTCGGTAAACTCTTCATATCCTCCATCGTAGCTCGCGGCGATAGGGTGATCGCCACGGCACGCAATATTAGCGCCCTGAGCGAGTTTGAGGATCGCGATGATGTCCGGCTGATGCAGCTGGATGTCACTCAACCTCAGAGCATGCTCAACGACGCGGTTACTGCAGCCATCGCGACCTTCGGCCAGATCGACGTCTTGGTTAACAATGCAGGATATGTCCTTTCCGGAGTGTGGGAACAAGTGAGGTGAGGCACCTAGATTGCATTCCTCCTGTTGCAAGTAAACGGCCATGCTTACTTGTCCATAGTCATTCCCAGACTCTCGATATATTCGCCACTAATGTCTTCGGTCCTATCAATCTCTCACGCGCGGTGCTCCCACACATGCGGGCTCGTGGGGTGGGGTCTATTGTATTCATGAGTAGCCTCGCTGCCTGGCTAAGTGTTGCTGCTGGGGGACCGTACAGCGCGTCCAAGTGTGCTCTTGAAGGTATGTTAGATGGAAAGTTACTACGCATAAATGAGTAATAACTGGGCTGCACAGGAGCCGCTGAAAGCCTCCAAAAGGAAGTGAAATCCTTTGGTGTGGAGGTGTATATTGTAGTTTTGGGCCAGTTCCGCACGGGTATCCTCGACTCTAGCAAAAGGAAGGTGGCTGATGCAGTCCACTCACCTCCAGAGTATACTGCCATTCTGGACCGTCACCAATCCAGACTGGAAAAGACAAATGGCAAGCAGCCTGGGGATCCGGTACAGGCAGTGGAGAGAATTTTTGATGTCGTGCGACACGAAGGCTACATGGCTGGTAAAAAATCCATGCCTCTCCGCATTGTTCTAGGATCAGATGCCATGGATATCGTTCGTGGCCAGTGTCAAGGGATGCTGAATGATTTGCAGGAAGAGAGGTACCTAGGAGAGAGTACGGACTTTCCGATTCCCGGCGAGGAAGTAGCAATTGAGAGATATGCATAGTCCCAGCATTCGACTGCACTTGTTTCAGTCGTGCGATGGGTGTCATCATTAGGCTTAGGTCCCGAGGTATTTTTAAAAAACGACTTTTTGGGCTGTCTGGCAGATTTTTTCACTCTTCAGCTGCATGGATGTCCAATGGACAGCATTCAGACCATCAAGCGCTGTCAGGTGGCAAAATTGCTGTCCGGCCCGGGAGTCCAGCCTGCATGAGGCCACAGATTCTGGAAGTTCCCCCCGAGACGGCCTTGAGTGACTAGCCTGCCGGATTCGAATTGCGGGTGGGGCAAGGCGCGGGTCTATTTGACTGTCATGAGTCAGGTATCCTCTGTCGTGTTTCGAATTGGTCCCACTGTTAAATGCGCATCGGCGGCGTGTCATGTCAACGTTTAATTGATAATCAAATTTTGATATCTCCCAATGAGCATATAAGTGGCAGCTTCGGTTGCCTGATCTAGGAAAGATAAAATCCATTGGAAACCCACACGACGGATAGCGATTCAGTCTGCCAAGCATGGCTGGCCTCATCTCTCCCTTGCCTATCGGCAAGCTCGACCTTAAGCACCGGGTCGTAATGGCCCCTTTGACACGCATTCGCGCTGATGAGGACCATGTACCCCTCGATATCGCTCAGAGTACTACAGCCAGCGGGCTTCAGTTCCCGGCACCCTCTTGATCAGCGAAGGCACTTTTATCTCGGCGCGTGCAGGTGGACGAGACCATGTTCCCGGGATCTGGAGTGAGGCACAGATCAAGCAGTGGAAGACCACCACCGATGCTGTGCACGACCACGCAGTTTCATTTTCTGCCAATTATGGGCTCTAGGACGCGCTGCAGAACCGGACGATCTCCGAAAACACGGCTATTCTGTGGTTTCGAGTGGGAACATTCCCATGACGGAATCGAGCCCTGTTCCGACGCCCATTGGCGAGGACTCCCAGCATGGATCGACGACTACGCTCGTGCAGCTAAGAACGCTATCGCTGCGGGATTTGATGGCGTCGAGATTCACGGAGCGAATGGCTACTTGCGTGATCAGTTCCTCCAAGACACCGCCAACAACCGAGACGACCAATGGGGTGGCAGCGTGGACAAACGGTCTCGTTTTGGCCTAGAAGTTGCTAATGCCGTTACTGATGCCGTTGGTCCGGAAAGAACGGGATACCGCATCAGCCCATGGAGTGCAATTCAAGCAATGCACATGAAGGGTTTGAATCAACAATTCACCCATTTCGTTCAAGGTCTGAGCAAATTGAATTTGACGTACTTGCATGTCGTCGAGCCACGGATCTCAGGGAGCCTCACGATTGAAGCAGAGGATGAGGATGATTCGTTTGTGTTCGATGCTTCCGGGAACTCAGGGACGATCATTCTCGCCAGGGGGTTCACCGCACACTCGGCGGAAAAGAAAATCAAAAGTCGCCCAACCCATCACGTCGTCACCATAGCCTTTGGGCGCCAATTCCTGGCAAACCCTGACTTGCCTTTCCGCCTTTCCAAGGGCCTTCCTCTCAACCAATACGATAGGGAAACATTTTACACGCCAAAGTCACCTGTGGGATACGTTGATTACCAATTTAGTTCGGAATTTGCGACTGAGAGCTACTAAGGACATATACAAGACAACAGAACGCATCAGAATTGTCTAATTCCGTGCTTTTACTCTTTCCCTTGTAGACGGTCCTTTGCCACAGATATCAATCAACCCCGCGGATTGCCGCAGCCATCTCAGGCAAGTATTCCTTGAACTGACCGGAGACTGTCCAATTATCTGACCTCCGCACATGCTTCTCAAATATGGGGTTGAGCACGATAACATCGCCTCGAGGAGAGGCTGCATCCATGGGATCGTATGGCCAGTTCACTCTCACGTAGTTCGAATACAGTTTCGAAAAGACAGTGAAAGGATACTCTTCCGGCTTCTCAATGAGAATGTCACGTACGCGCGGCCTTGAAAATGGTCAGAATGAATATAATTGATATGCAATTCTTCGGACTAACCAGGGAATGTTGTCAATCCATGCCGCATGTGGGACTGTAATTTGAAGAGCGGTCGGACGAAGCCAACGCGGTATATCTTCATAATTTGCATCAGTCGGAAGTATTTGCCACTAGAGAGGTTAGCCAGGCCCGCGCAGTCCATTGAGTCATCATGCATACTTTTATTGTTTGAAACATCACGAACATGAAGCCCAGTTTCTCCGGAAGCGCGACATCTGGGAATATGGAGAGCAGTTCGGCCAGAACTTGGCTGATAGCGTGCGATCCAGCCGCAGCCTGGGGATATAAGATTTTCTGCAAGCATAACTGGGACGGACCCACGGCCTCGTTCACAGCAACCCCTTTGGCTACTAAAGTCCGTCTGGAAGCGATAAAGTCTAGCAGAATCTGGTCCAAGGGACACGTGGCGGGTAGATGTTTAGGCAGCACGGATGCAATGCCGCTCGACGTAGAAGGTTGCAAGATCGTATTGACCGTAACGGAGGATGGTGCGGTACGGGCCATGAAAGAATCATGCAATCTCTGAGATAGGCTAACGGAGTAATTGCCTTCCGCTTTTTGATCAACTTCACATTCTCGACCATTGGAACAAGTGATACAAACTGACTTGGTTGGCTGACGCGGGGATCAGCTAAGTCGCCTGCCTCTGCCGAGGGCGGTCCTATCCCTGCCGGCATAGCAGCCTCATTGCATCCATAGGAAGGGCCTGCTGGGTGTCTGTGGTGCTGCTCATAGGGAGTGTACCGGGCAAACTCCCGCATCGTAGCGGACGCGTTGGTTGTCTCAGTGTGAAATTGCCGATTCCCCGGGGTCAAGAGATTGCTCGGGGGAGCGGGACTCTCGGGGTTCTGGGGTGTGTCTGTTCCACCATCTCAGAATCGGACTGAAATCAAGGATGCGCAAATTTACCGCTGATCGGTTCATCATCGGCGATGGGGACTGAATCAGGCCTAGGAGTGTCATGCCCTGCGTTATTTTCCTCCGGGACGCCATCAAGCGCAAATTGCGCGATGCTGTCCAGACACGATCGAAGACGTCGGTTCTCTTCCCGCAGCGATTGGACTTCGTCCATCAAACTGCGGCCCTGGTCCGACAAGGATGTCTTCGTGCGGATCAAATCTTCTTCGAGATCCTGCATGCGCGACTTGAGTCGTTGTCGTAGCGCACGTTGGGCTTTCCGATCCAAGTCCCGCTTATGCTCGATCTGCTGCGCGGTCAGCGATGACACGGTCCGGGGCTTCCGGCGGGTTCGGGCATTGCGCGCGTTGGCCTCTGAGTCCGACATGGGCGTGAATCAATGGATGGGCCTAACAGTGTTGATGGATTGGATATAGATCGAGAAAGTGGAATGGGGAATTTGCGCCCCACCCATTTTATTTTTTCCTGACTCAGGGGCTTCGGGTCATGCTAATCCATCTTCTGGATTGTCCAAGAACCAACGGAGATATTTAAATGGAGCATCAGACTGGAAAAGAACTCGCAATCTTCTTCCATTTTTCACCAGAAACCATGTCAACCACCAACACTCTGCGAATCGCTTCAGCTTCCGGATCTGACCGACCGGCGGCATGGACTCGCGGAACTGGCCCGTACTGAAGACGTCCAGTTCATCGTGGGCGACTGGATGTCCGAGTACAACATGACTACCCGTGGCGGAGCAAAGATAAGTAGCAAACAACAGATGTCGGAGTTCGAGATCTCCTTTGTAGAAGCAATCGAGCCCGCCTTAGCGCATCTCGACGCCCGAAAGATCAAGGTCGCGGTCAACGCGGGAGCGAGTGACCCAAAGAAGCTACATGATCGCCTCGTATCGATAATTCATAATAAGAATCTCAATCTCAATGTGGCCTGGATTGAGGTGACGAAGTTTCCGATCTGCTGCAGAAGGCCGTGCAGTCCGGGGAAGAGTTCACCAACCTCACAACCGGTACGAGACCTTGTTTGGTGCATTCGTAACCATGCAAATATTGACGTTCAGGTCGGCCAGGCCAAAAGCTCGCTGACTGGGACTTTACCCCGATTTACGCCTAATGCTATCTCGGCGCATGGGGCATTGTCGAGGCGTTCGAACAAGGGGCCGATATTGTTCTGTGTGGGAGGGTAACGGACGCTTCCCCCATCATTGCCTGCGCGGCCTACTATCACAAATGGAGTCGACAGGACTACAATTCCTCTCGCCCATGCCTTCGTAGCGGGCCATTTCCTCGAATGTTCGACCTACGTCACGGGAGGCAACTTCTCCGGCTTCAAGTCTCTTCCCGGGAAATTGGTCGACATTGGCTTTCCCATTGCTGAAATCAGTGCCGCGGGAGACTTCGTGGTGACCACGCAGGAAAGCAAAGATGGCAAAGTCACAGAGGATACGTGCAAGGCCCAGCTCCTGTATGAGATCCAGGGCCCTTATTATTACAATCCAGATGTGGTCGCCATTCTGGACAACATCATTATTAAACAGCTGGCACCGAACAGAGTGTATGTTCATTGGGATACTCGCTTCTGGAAACTGCTACTGATGAATGGCCAGTCATGTCTCTCATGTGAAAAGTCTCCCGCCGCCGCCGACAACGAAGATGGGCAACACTGGAATAATGCATTTCTGGAGATTTCATGTTGACAGCTTCACCAAGACGGGTGCTAGATGACCGTCCAGAGAGATCTTTGGAAGCTGAACACACCTGCAAACAGTAGATACACACAAGCTGATAGAGCGCACTTACTTCCCTTGGGTATTTTTTGAGATAGGAAATTTTGTTCGCTAAACTGCAATTATGTACAAAAGATATGCGGAGCCTGGGGACCGCAGAGGCTTTTCTTTTCCCCCATTTCTTTATATACTAGAGAGCCAGCATTTTACGTGAATTCGTCATCAGCTGTTTCGCCATACTGTGCTGGTTCAGGGTAATCGTGGGGTTGATCGCCTATAGAGAAGCCTTAGGATGAGGGCAGATATGTGAAGGTCGGGAGACCACTCTAGAGACAAATCCCAAAGGAACGAGTCTAGATCAGAAGAAATAATCAAATGTGGAAGTTGATATGCTATCTAAATCGCGAGGAAGAGGTCCGATCTAAGCGCCATAGTCTCCGACTCTCTGGACATCTAAGGCATGGCAAGGCCACCAACCCTCATCATCTTATTTTCTTATATAGAAAGTATCGAACTCGGATTATGTATTTTAATCTCGAATTCGAGCCCCGTCCCGAGAAATTTCCTCTGTTAGGTCATCTCAAACTCCCCGGGGTTGGGGGGAGGGGGTCTCTGGTGGGGCCTCCGAAAGCCAGCCCGGGATTATAATCCCTCGGATTTTGAGAGAAGGCAACACAATGATCGTCCCCAGGGCCAGCCAGTGTTCGGGTCAGGAGCGAGCCTTCGATATGCGCTCATGGTGGGAAGCTGCTCGGTCGCACTCGAGGTTTGTCTAGTCGGTTCTCGGTTATACGCTTGCGTGCCGGACTGGTTATTTATAAAAATTTCAGATATATCAGTCCGATCCTCCAGCTCAAAAAAATCCGCCATTTGTCCAAAATACAATTCACCTGTGTCTCACAATGGGAAATCCAGAAGTCATCGTTATTGGCACCGGGCCATCAGGTATTGCCTTAGCACACACTCTGAAGCACAAGTTGGGATTCGATGATTTCACAGTAAGTTTTCAAAAAGGCGGGCGTTATGCAGACAACCTCTGACATGGGTGGCAATCTAGTTCTACGACAAGTTCGATGGTCCCGGAGGTACATGGCGACAGAACACATACCCTGGAGTGTGCGTAATTCCACGCTCCCTGATCGCGGTCGCAGTCCTAACCAGCATTCTATACCCAGTGGTTGTGATGTCCCGACCATCCTATATTCGTTTTCATTCAATCAGAACCCCAACTGGTCGAAAGAACTATGCGAAGGGCCCGAAATCCTTGAGTGTGCGTCGTTGGAGTCTAGAGGTGTGAAATTCATTCGTACTGATATACCATCCTCGAACCAGACATGGAAAATACTGTCGACAAATTCAATCTCCGCAAGCACATGCAATTCGGCGTTGAATGCCTGTCCGCATCATGGAATGTCAAAGGGTTTTGGGAGGTTCGCTTGCGTGACACCAAGACGCAGGTTGAATACATCAGGACCGCGACCATCTTCATCTCTGCGGTGGGAGGCATCTCCAAGCCACGAGACATAAAGTTCCCAGGATGGAGACCTTTGCTGGAGAGATCTTTCACACCGCACGATGGAACCATCAATTTGACTACAGTGGAAAACGCATCGCAGTTATTGGCAATGGCTGCAGTGCTGCACAGGTTCTCCCCGCTGTCGCTAAGGAGGCCGCCTTGGTGAAGCAGTATGCTCGGAGTGCTCAATGGTACCATGAACGGCCGAATCGCAGCTTTACTGCATTCGAGAGGTGGTGCTTTCGTAACATTCCCCTCTGGGAGCGGTACTTGCGTCTGCAAATTTTCCTCGCTAGCGACAACCTTGTTGCCACTTACCTGCCTGGGCCCGCAGCTGAAAAGCTTCGCGCAAAAACCGAAGAAAGTGCACGCCAGTATATTTGCGCGACCGCGCCTCAAAAGTATCACAAGTTTCTTGTTCCAGACTTTCCACTGGGTGAGCCTTCCATTGCCATTTTCAATGTCAAATATGCTCGCTGACAGTGTCCTTCAGGCTGTAAACGACGTATTTTTGACCCGAACTATCTGGAGAGTCTTCATCGCCGCAACGTAGAGGTGGCACCCGTGGGGATCGAGCAGATTGATGAAACAGGAATCACTAGCACGGACGGTGTCCATACTGAATTCGATGCAATCGTCCTCGCTACAGGATTTGATGTCCAGCAGTTCATCGTTCCGATGGAAGTGTACGGCAAAGGTGGCAAGAGCCTGACAGACCAGTGGAAAGAATCGCGAGGCGCACAAGCTTATATGGGAGTTTACGTGAACAACTTCCCCAACATGGGCATTCTGTACGTGTTACGGCGCCCCGCCATTTTTGCTTGCTATCCCTGTTAATGGAAAGAGAACTGACTAACTCTATGCTAGCTTCGGCCCCAACACGTTCCCAGCACACAACTCCGTCCTCTTCACATCCGAAGTCCAGGTGGACTATCTGGCACGTACCCTGCTCGCGCCCATCATTGACCGTCGTATCTCCTCTCTTGAGGTCAAGGCCACTGCTGAGAACCAGTGGGTGAACGCCGTGCAGAACGATCTCAAAGGCAGTGTATTTGAAGCAGGCTGTTCTAATTGGTATATCAACCCAAATGGTCGCAATTCTGCCTCGTGGCCAGGCTATGCATCATCATATTGGGCAGAGACGCTGAGGCCCCATTCTGGGGTGTTCAAGCAGACCCCGGGCTCTAGGTTGTGGTTTGTCAATACGCTGTTGCGTTGGATCAGAACTACGCGTAAGAGAACGTATAGTGTCCTGTTCCTTGCCCTTGCTGGGCTCCTGTGGCATCGAGATGGGGGGGATAGTTCGTGGTTTGAGTGAAACTTACCAGGGATTGGTATGCCTCAAAAGGTAGAAAGTTGGAATATCAGCCAGTTGTGCATGTACACATTTCTCCTTAGCAAAATTTTCTTGGCTATCATCCGGGGTTGATTGCGTTTTCCAAATGATCCAGTCCGACGCGAAGGAAAGTAATATTGGCGCCTCGGTTTTCGTGCCAGTCTTCAGCTGGGTCGCTAGAAATCTGGTTTCATCACAAATCTCAATCTGCGCGTTTCCTATATCTGACCTCTTCCAAAGTTCCTTCATGTTTGCGATCGACTTATTACGGCGTACCTTCTGCGTGGAAGCGCTTCTTTTATAACACAAAGCGATCACATACTGCTATGACTGGTGGATTTCACAACTAATGGGCGAATTGTGGTCTAGATTTGGGTGACTAAGAGTACAGATGAATGAGTATAATCATTGCACATATTCTTGTCTTGATAAACCTATTGCCTAACATTCACTCGTCTGAGTACAGGGAAAAAATTGATTCAATCAAAAAATATAAAACTACGCAGCATGATCTTCATAACTCACAGCTTAACGGGTCGCTGCGGTTCGGGCTTCTCTGCCAACTTCCGCCTGAGGATCTTCCCTGACAGGTTGCGCGGAACCTGTTCAATGAAAGCGACACCGCCACGTAATTGTTTATGAGCAGCTAGATTGGCAGTGACATACTGTTTGACCTCTTCCTCTGTTACCGGGCTCTGCTCTGTCTTGCGGACAACGAATGCCCGTGGGATTTCATTACCCGGAATAGCAGGATCCGCGATACCGATCACTGCGGCGTCGAGGATCTTATTATGCCCAATGAGAAGGGCTTCGATCTCAGCAGGGGCTACCTGTAGACCCTTGTATTTGATCAATTCCTAGAAATAGTCAGACCGCTGCCAATGGAGGGAAACCCTTGCCACGAGGACAAATGACGAACTTTCTTCCGATCAACAACATAAAACTTTCTATCCCTGCGTTCCCCAATATCTCCTGTGCGAAATCATCCATCTGCCGTAAAGGAGTCCATTGTCGCTTCGGGGTTCTCCCAGTAACCCATGGTCACATTAGGGCCTTTCACCAGAATCTCACCGCGGTGGCCGTCAGGGACAGCACATCCATCATCATTGACGATCTTTATGCGTGTATTTGGCAACAACGTACCAATACTCCCAGTGCTGTCCTCACAGTCCCAGGGGAGCCAAGTGACAGCTCCTGTTGTCTCCGTCAGCCCCCACGCTTGGCTAACTTTGCACTTGAGCTTCGACTCAGCCAACTTCTGTAGCTCCGGGCCCATGGGCGCAGCGCCGGACTGGGCATGTCGAAGGCTATGGAATTCGACGCTGACAGACGGGCTTTTCGCAATGCGCAAGTAGACCGATGGCACTGTACTAATGAAAGTTGGCCGATGTCTTTTGGCCGCATAGACAAAGTCGTCGAAGATAAACTTGGGCATCCAGAATACGGTACCTCCCGACATAGTCCCGTTGATGAAGTATCCTTGCAGTCCAGAGATGTGGGCGACTGGAAGGTGCGCGAGCGTGCGATATTCGAATTCGACATTGAGCTTTTGGTTTGTGCGACTGAGATAGGTCCCGATGGCTGCCTGGGTTATAATGGCTTCTGCCACAAAATTCTTATGCGAGAGGCGTACACCTTTGGGCACCCCAGTGGTACCGCTGGAGTAGAGCAAGGCAACTACCCTAGTCTCCAGAATTTGGGTATCGGCGATTTTCTCCCATGGAAGCTCCCTTGTTTCCGTCAGGTAGTTGCAGCTCCGGTATGTGGAAGGACTCAAGCTTCGACCAAGGCTCATACTATCAAGAATCAAGACCCTTTCCGGGGATATGTGAGCCTTTTGTGCTGCCTCTACAGCAGCGCCAGCCATGTCATCGGTTGCGATGATCATATGGCTTTTGCTTGACTGGATCTGCCAGGCCAGTTCTGCCACTGTCAACGCCGTAGATGCAGCGGAATAGACACCACCAGCGCTGATGACTGCAAAGAACACGATTGGATTCAGGAGATTGTTGGAGCAGATACAAGTCACCACATCTTTACCCGCTCCCGTCTTCCCAATTCTTAGATGAGTACGCAGTACATAACCTAGGCGACGGACGAGCGTAGCGGATTGTGATTTGGTGAGGGAGTTTGCCTCGTTTCCGGCTTCAGCGTGGATCACCGTATCCTCTTTTGCCCAGGAATAAGGTGACTCTGTGCATATTAACGAATAACTCTTGGGCTAAATATAATATTAACCCACCGAATACGAGGGTCAGGAGGTCCAGCGATGGAATTTCGCAGTCGAGTTCGGAATTGAAATGCATGGTGGCGAAAAACAGAGTAACCTCCGCGACAAAGTATTGTAGCAACCTGTAAAATGGGCGTTCTCCTCAGTCCTCATTTAACAAATAATATAGACTGGCGAGCTATCTGAATTTCTACTCCCATCGTGGCGATCTAAACTTTGGACAAACCTCGGTCCCGAGGCTTATTCAGCGCCAAACCTGCCCTGTCTGGACAGCCGCCTGGACAGGTCTCACCTCGGTGTACATATTGCGTACACCGTGATCAAGGATAGCACCGATCTCGGCAAATAAATGGACACACAAGGGCGTGTAAGTTAGTATATAGCACCCAGCCACAAGCAGATTATCATCATTGTCCTCCTTCAAAATGTCTGGATACGAATTCCCTCCACAGGCAGTGTCCTGGCTGCAGCGGGACGTTCTATTGTTTGCGAACAGCATCGGTGCCACCGCTGATGAACTCCAATTTCTCTACGTAAGTTTCTCTGTCATTCTGCCTATTCTCGCGATTAATTTCGCGTGTCTCATTTTTAGGAACTTGATCCCCGGTTCACGGTGTTCCCTACGTACCCTCTGATATTGCGTACGTGTGTAATATACGTCAAATCCAATCCCATCAAGAAATGGGTACTGACAATTATGCAGCATTCAAGCTCACGGACCAGGAGGTCATTGAGTTCTATGGTCGCAATGCAAGAAATAACATCCCTGGAGCCCCGGACATAGACCTTCGCTATGCGGTTGACGGACAGCGACAACTTACGATCCACAAGCCTCTTCCCACATCAAGTACTGGCAGTAAATTTGAGCTGAGGAACAAAGTAATCGGCATATACGACAAGGGCAACTCTGGGAGCTCCTTCGAGACAGAACAGCAGATCGTCGACGCCGGGACAGGAGAGGTGTATGCGACAACGCGAACCATGAATTTCGTCCCGGGGCAGGGAAATTGGGGAGGTCCAAGAGGTAATTTGTTTTCCCAAATAAAGCACAGAGTATGTTGAAGGACTCGGATACTGATCTGCCCGCGAACCGTCAGGCCCCAAATCGCCTAGCTACTCTCCTCCCGATCGCACACCTGATGCAACCCACGTGGTTCAAACAACGGACAACACAGTTTTTCTCTACCGGTGTGTATTCGGTTACCAACATTTTGAGCAGCTCGGATATCTTACTGATGCTGTTCAGACTCAACGGGGACTACAACCCGCTTCATGCCGTTCCGGAAGTAGCAGTGAAGAGTGGATTCGGAGGTGTCATCATTCACGGCCTTTATACATACAGCTCCACATGCCATGGACTCTTGCGTAAAATGTGCAATGGAGATGCGAACCGACTCAAAGTCTATCAGGCAAGATTCGTGTCCCCAGTTCGGCCAGGTGATAGGTTGATCACAGACATGTGGTCCATGGGGATGGTGGATGGATTGGAGGAGGTGCGTTTTACAACTAGGAAAGAAAATGGACAGGTCGTGCTGGGGAATGGGAGAGCTTTGATTGTTCCAACAACCCCTAGGTCTCAGTCTATGAGACTTCCTGCGACGATAGACACAGAGTAGATTAGTTACGAGTATCATGCAGCGTAAGGTTTATCAAATTAAACCTATTGCACATTAAGGACATATTCAGTACCGTACATACATGTGTAGCACTTCCACCGAGTTCACAGCCATGTTGCTGACCGTGAGTTGCCGGAAGCAACCCCCTACGGATTCTATGCGGAGGAGGCTGCAAGCCGTTAGTCTCTCACCCGGATTTCTAAATATATCGTCGTGAATAGAATAACCAAGGAAGGTGCAACCATGTAAGGGTAGGATATAAAGACCTATCTCGGTCGACTCGGTGTGCAGATAGCGTAAATGGGGGTGTCCAGCCTAAATGGGGGTGTCCAGCCTAAATGGAAAGGTAATATTGTTTGATCGCCCAATGTTACTGATAGTGTTAGGACTATATAATTGCTAAGTCTTATTACAGTACGGATAGGTACTGTACTATTCCAATCCTCCCTCAGACTTAGAGCAATTGCCCCATAATTTTGGGTAGCAAATTGCTGAAGAAGCGGTTCGATCCTATGAAGATATTATTCCTTCTTCGTACATAAATGCGACTGCCTTGACCATGAAGGAGCCTATTGGCGTATGTGGCATTATTACACCTTGGAATTCTCCCGCCGCTATGATCACCCGCAAGATTGCCCCTGCATTTGCGGTAGGTTGTTCCGTGGTTATTAAGCCCCCTAAGCGAGACCCCTTCACTGCTATCGCCTTGACTAAGCTTGCGTTACAAGCTGGGATTACCCCCGAGATTGTATAGGTTGTTCCAACTAAAGATTGCAATGCATCTTTAGAACTGGCTACACATCCGTTGGTCAAGAAGTTAAGCTTTACTGGTTCGACGAATGTCGGAAACTTGCTCACAAAGCTCGCCGCCGGAACAATGAAACGAGTGAGCATAGAGCTCGGTGGTAATGCGCCGTTTATTGTTTTCGAGGATGCCAATCTTGACAAAGCTGTCGAGGGAGCCTTGATCTGTAAGTTCCGCTCCTCGGGTCAAACGTGTGTCTGTGCGAACCGCCTGTTTGTCCACAAAGATGTTCTAGAGGAATTTACTCAAAGAATGATCAAGCGAGTGCAGGCGTTCCAGTTAGGGCGTGGAGTTGACCCCGGGGTAAGTCATGGGCCGCTTGTCAACGTCGCCGCCGTGGAGAAGGTCAAAAATCACGTACAAGATACTATCGTGAAGGGTGGCCAGCTTCGATATAGTGGTGAAGTACCAGGTGGAAACTTGGCGGCTGGTTACTTTTATTAGCCTACAATTATCACTGGAGCCAATAGCGACATGCTCCTCGCCACAGATGAAACTTTTGGACCACTGGCTGCCATATTTTCTTTTTCAGATGAGGAAGAAGTTATTGCATTAGCGAACGACACTGAATTTGGCCTGGCTGGGTACTTATTTAGCGAGAATATCAACCGCGTCCTGCGCGTTGCAAAGCGACTGGAATGCGGGATGGTCGGAGCCAATACTGGGCTGATCAGTGCAGCAGAATCTCCATTTAGAGGCGTTAAAGAGAGTGGTGTTGGGCGAGAGGGGAGTAAATACGGGCTCAGCGAGTACCAGACCGTCAGAGCAGTAACGATTGGGGGGTTAATGAAGGGTCACTCTGTGTTGTTGAGCGATGTGGCGGTAGTGACAGTCTAGCTAGCTTGTCAAAGGTCGAGTCAACAGATATCACTGGAGAATCACGGACAGGGGAATTTCGATCAACTCTATACCAGATACGTTGAGCGTGTACATCTCACGTTATCTTCCTTTTCCATTCTATAAGGCTACATTTCTCGTCAGGACGTAGCCGAGTTTGAATGCAAAGAATCGTCGGAGATTTTTAAGGTTCCACCTGCTTGTCCTCGAGACTACGAAATTGACGTCAGTGTGATTGGCGGGGTACTCACTCAATTTCCTGTGTGTTCTTATTTATGGTGTTCGGCTCTATTCCGCGGCTACGCGGAAGAACATGAGTCGCGACGCAAGAATTATGTTAGTGCCTCGGTCAGTAATTGGACATCGGAGCGTGTTGCCTACTGGTTACTTACTGGCGCATAGGCCCCTCAGCTGGGGTCAGCAGTGACCCCACACTTTCCCCAGGTAATCTCGCGATCTACTTACCATTGTGCCGGTTCAACGTCTTTCATTGTGGCGAAGAATTTTTCACAACTGTTGTTGATGGCTGGAGAAACTCCCCAGAACCGGTCAAGAATGGAACCGAGACCACGAGTAATGAAACATGTCTCGCGTGCGTGCTATGGGTGTCGAAAGCGAAAAACCAAGTGTGACGGTGCGAAACCACAATGCGCCAACTGTGCGCTCTACAAACAGGACTGCATATTCTCCCAAGAGATTGACCGGCGGAAAGTGGCATCGAAAGAAAATCTATCAACAATGCTAGCCTATGTGAAGGATCTGGAATCGTTGCTGTCACGTCATAAAATTGACCTCCCTGATAGCCGACCCAACCACCTCTTGTCTTCGGTCTCCCCATCCACTTCTCCCACCGGTCTTTCACAAGGAACTTTTGATGCGCTAGGCCAGAACACGAGCGCTTTTCCAGGGCCTTCAGTTGGGGAGCAAATGGCCACCGCATCAACTGAAAGTTCCCCGGATGCTCAAGATCTCCTCTCAATCTCAGGTGAATCCTCGTACGAAACGAGCCTGATATCAGATCGGATGGGGTCATTACAGATTGCAGAAGATGGCCAGCTGCGATTTTTCGGACCAACATCAAACCTTCATATTTCGCATGTTGGACCGTTTCCACTGTTTAACTCGAACATTCGGTCTGTTTACCGGAACGAGGCTCTCATTCTCAAAGCCGCTGGTGTCGATCATCATGTAGATGAAGAGCTCGAGGATCATCTTACGAGACTTTACTTCACCTGGGAGAATCCGAATATTCCAATAGTGGATGAAGCTACATACTATCGAGAGAAAACCCGCTATAGAAAACTCAATCAATTTAGCCACCGATACTCCGAAGTTCTGACCAACGCAATGTGAGTTCGAATCACTCATTTCAGTACCCGTCTAAATCTATTGCCAAAGATTGACACGGAAATGACTTAGCTGTGCTGTCGGTGCGGCTCTGACGCCTCGCTACTGCCCTAAGCTCCCAGATTCCCTCGTTGACTTCTTTGCGACAAGGTCCAAAGCCCTCCTGGAAGTTGAGATGGATTCGCCGACTTTGAGTACCGTACAGTCCCTTGGAATCCTCAGTGGTGTAGAGGCTCTCCTCACAAGGGACGCCCGTGGCTGGCTCTATAGCGGTACGAGTGATACACATACTCACTCGATTCATGGGAACTCTACTAATAATATTTCCGTTCGCAGGTATGGCCATGCGGCTTGCAACAGACCTCGGTCTCCATATCGATGCTGCGCCATTCGCCGAACGAGGTCTTATTGACCTGGAGGAAGTCCGATTGCGGAGTTACATATTTTGGGGTACTTATGTTCACGAAAGGTAACCTTCTTCCATGACCCAGCAAGTTGACACAGAAATACTAAGACCGGAATATAACCAGGATGTGGAGTGTATATGTTGGTAGACCTGAGTCTATTGACCATTTAGATATCACAGTACAACACCCAGATCAGGTTCGCTACCGCCAAAATGTGAACAGTAAATGGACCCTGTATACCGATGAAAACCAACCAACCCCCACTTGGGAATCCCCAGCATATTTTGATGAAGTTGCGCAAGCCACAGTTGCGTTGTGCACCATAATGGCGTCCATACGGAAAGTTCTGTGAGAGAATGCATCCAATATCTTTATCATTACATGCTGACTCTCCAATCAGATACAGCACTCCAAGAACGAAAACGCCTGTTATTGATAAGCTCTATGCTTTCGCCGTTAAAGCTAGAACCGAGCTTAAGCTCTGGCGATCACAATTGCCAGACGCCCTTGTGGTCAATTTGATGGACCTTGAACGCATGCATCCCCCTCATGTCCTACAGCTACAGTAGGTGCTTTCAGTCCCCAGGGACCACTCGGATAATTAACACGGAGACAGTATGCAATTCTATGCTGTTATGATCATCGTTGATCAACCTTTCGCATTTCTCCCAGCTGGCCTGAATGGTCTGACAGCTCAAGACATACGAAATAGCCGCGAGTCCTGCCATGATGCAGCATGGTCAATTACACAACTTATTCAGGTCTTTCGTCGGCATTTCACGCTTCGTCGCATTAATATCCAAGCTGTCCACCTCGTATTCACGGCAATGCTCGTCCATGTCCACAACGCCTTCCTTTCGGTGGACTACCAGATCCGGGATATAGCGCGCAGACAGCTCGAGATCTGTTCGCAAGCACTGGGAGAAATTGGTCAAGCCTACAAGAATGCACTTCGAGCTTTAGAAGTTATCACTTCTATCAAGTCTGATCTCCTCCACCGCGAGAGCAAAGCAAGGACCAGTGGCTCCAGTATAGCCGGTCAGTCGTTCAGTATGAATTCCTTGCTAGCACTGGGTCAACTCCCATCAGGGTTGTCTATCGGAGATGCCGGGCCGTCTCAATTGTGGTCGGGTGAATGTTCGAACGACGGATTGTTGAATGGGGTTGATCTTTCCACGGGAATGAATGTAGAACAGTCAGCCTCTCTCACTGGCCAAATATTCTTTTCTGACCAACAATGGCCGTGGGCACCCTTCACTGAACCATACGGTGATTCAACTACTGGATAGATAATATCAGTTGACATTGGAAGGTTTTCACGATTGAATGAGAATTCCACTAATTCCCTAAACAGAATTAGCTTTGATGGTCATAGTGAGCAGAAGTCCCAAGTAAATTACTTATTTAGTTACCTGGGGACTTTTGGAGGGCTCTGTAAGCGGTATTAGGCGCTCAAGGTGATCGCTGATTGTGCACAACCAGTTACGCAACCAAAAGAAAACAGCCGCAACAAAATGCGGGCGAGATGCTGAGATGAGACTAGGGCCCGCAGCTCAATTGCTGAGTAGACTGTAGCTGCGGGTTTCGGATTTTGAGCCTAGTGGCCCGCGGTTGAGTTTGACGAAAGAAGATCGCAGAATAATGCAAGGTTAATGAAGACCATTGCATTTAACGAAGGAGACTAACGTACTGCTACAGGCAGAAAGCAAAGCAATAATGCCAGGCTCAATGGTGTTTCATTAATTGTACTTAACATTTTGTTATCTCCTGCTGCTTGAGGTGTCAATATCCCGTTTGCTAAATATCCTGTTTTGCTTGTCTTCATACATTGATATTTGAAACTCAATCCCGTGGGCAATTAAAAGTCTATAACATTAAGATACTGTAATTGTCAATGTACACAGATTCGGCTTTTGTTCCCAAAAGAACATTAGTCGTAATGCTCTGCGAAATTCACTCAGTGCAATCTTTGGAGAACATTTGGAAAAGCTCCCAGTCACACTCTTCCTCCCGAACATCAGACTCGAATATTGAACCGCCACCTGGGAAGTATGACAACGATGACAACGAAGTTGGATCCTGGTTCAAGATCAAGGAACCATGAGGTTCCACTAGCTGAGTTGTTGAGGGATCAATCGTCCCATCTGCTGAGGGATCAAGGCCTTGTCCGGCGGAGGTCTGGGAGTGGACAACACTCGTAGTCTCTGGGCTGGAGCCGGAGGTGCAAAAATAGTCATCGGAATAAGAATCGGTGTCGTCTGATTCGAACGACACCAGGCCCTCCAGTAGATTCTTTTCCGAAGCCGTCACCATGAAGTGAGAACAGAGTAGCTTGCTCACCTGCGACGGTTCGAGATCATGGAGTTGCTGCCAGCCTGCCAGCCCCATGTGGCTATCTGAGCTGCTGACAACACTTGAAGGAGAATCTGGAGTGCTGTGAAGACCCAATAGGCCTTTGCTGACTGGGTCTACGTACGGAAGACTCTGTCTCCGGTTTCGAACAGTTCTCCCTTGGACTGCAGCATCCACAAAAACAAGAGCTACTTCAGCAGATAAATAGGTGTCCCCAAGATGCTGCAGGGCCTGCGCGCACACTTGAAAATGCACGACGGCTGACTGACGGGCCGAAGATTTTGTAGATTCGAGGGCCTCGAGGTGCGTAATGATGGCGGACTCAAGCATCGCAACTTGGCCATCAGGCACCAAATACTCTAGACCATGAGACCGAAAGTAACTGTATATTTCTGTGATTTGGATTGCTGCATGGTGGACACGTCTCTTTGAAAGCTCTGCCAACTCAGGGAGGCTGGGCATCATCGAGACAAGCTGAGGCCTGTGCAGAACACTGCTTGTAATATTGTAGATGCCGCTCAACAATGCACGAAAATGAAGAATCACATTACTATGCCTCTCGATATGATGAAGCGGGTCGGAAATAGACCATTGCAGAGCTTCTGGAAGCGAGTTATGCCATTCGTCGAGCTCAATATCGCGAAGAAGCAGCTCCGCACTCGTTGCAGAAGGGTAGCGTGGAATCAAATGTCTCGAGGGTGTGTCTGTAGATTCGTTCTTCTTTCGAGTCGTTGTATACTGGCATTTGAGAACTCGAGAAATGCACTGACAGCACTGGGTCAGCGCAATGCTAATCTCAGCTAGCATCTTCCGCGTGGACGGATCCCTGATTGCTGGGTGGCTCCCGTCGCTACCGAGGCAACATTTGGTCGACAATGGCCCAACGTCGAAGTCTGAGAGCTTGAGCATGGGAATATCAAATTCGGACTCGGGTATTTGCAAGGGCCGTCTCATAGTAATCGCGATCAGCCGATCTCGGATGTAGCATGACCATTGAATTCTTTTCCACAGACCCGGCTGCTGTTTAGACAGTGAAATTTCCGAGTCCGTCGGTTCCATCTCAATAGACTTCCACACCGCTTTAGCGACACCGACATAGTACCAGGCATCCTGACCATTATCGGAAGTGTCATCCCAGTAGGTCATCAGCAGGACTGTCTGCAAGATCGCCAGGCGGTCGTCCTCGCAGCCTAGGGAGTATAACAGCTTGACTCGTTCAAAACGAGTCCTTCGTGCCTCCCTTCGATCCCTGAATCCCTCTCTCGTGAGAGATGCGGTTGTCTCAAATGCTGTCGCAGCGAACATAACGGCTTGAAATAGAAGAAAGCTGATACCCCGGGAGCCTGTATAGCTCCGGTCGATGACCATAAAAAAGTGCTCCAGATTCAAGACTGGTAGTGCAGGGTGCACATATTGAATGTAGTTTCGAAGAAGCTCGTTCCTGATTCTTGCGTCCGGGACGTTGAAAACGCCCTGTTCATGCAGAAATTTACAGTCTTCCCGTGAGACCGAAGGTGGAAGTGGGCTGATATATTCTGGCAGCCAGGAATCCCAATCGACCGGCTTGTTATTTGTTGCTATCGTATTGCGATAAGCCTCTGAAGTTCTCTTCCCTGCTTCCATCCAGTACGCCGGGCTTTGATCTAACGTATGTACTTATTAGTTTTTTCTCACATTGCGGTACAGCTTGAGAGATCGCAAAAGCTTACCCGCAAATTCGCTTAGGCGATAGGGAACCACATGGTCATTGTGAATGGGTACAAGCTCCTCCTCCACATCTTTCTCGGCTGCTCTGACCTTCTTCCCCCTTCTATCGACCGGGATTGAGCAGGCAACGTTATTGAAGCGACAGGCGGTGCAAGGGCCCCCTTCGCAACCACGTCACATTTTACTTTCCGGCAGCGACAAGTAGCGCATGCTCTTGATGATCGCTTGGAGATTTTTGTGACTTGGATGCAGGGCTGCATCATCACGGAACTCAATGATGAAGACGTCATGCCAGAAGAGCAGTTACTCCGAAGTTGAACATAAGGATTATTTCATCAATAAATGAAAAAGTGAAGTGAAGCCAGGAATGATCAAGCAAACATTTGAAAAGAGGATGAGATGCGAGCGCACCAATAGCGTATTTCCAGGCTACTAGTACGTCAAAGCCCATCTGCCCGTGGGGAATCGGGATTCAAAAACCCGTGAACTCTCGCGCTGTCCACCATTCTCAATACGCGATTTGTTCATGAAGGGGTGGATCCGAGGCATATAAATTAATGGCTTTATGTTCGTCAACGCTGAGAATATCAATTGTTTGACAGGGGGTGACTAGGTAGCTAATAGAATCGGAAGAGGAATAAATCGGAAGAGGAATAAATCGGAAGAGGAATAAAATCGGAAGGATGCGGGGTCAGCTTATGGAAACTGCTCCACCATGTGGGGGTGACCCACTCGGGACTGTAAATTCCGGCCATGACGCCCAATGCTCGAGTCATGGTTTTCCCCAGATTTCCCCTCCATGCCCCACAGTAACCTTTCCTGGCTCTTATCCCTTCTTTCTTTCTGACACCGAGCGGAGCAATGGAGGGAATGCAGCACCGGCCACAACGTGCCCGAACGACCCGATCAGGGGCCTGCTCGCACTGCGTCGCACAGCGGGAACGCTGTTATATCGGCGTGAGAGGAATCCCGTGCTCTACTTGTCGCCGGTTGAATCTCCAATGCGACGGCACCGCGAGTCCACCAAAGTTAGTGCTTCTCTTTCCTATGCCCTCTGCAGAGAGAGAGTTTTTGCTAACCGACGAGTAGACTACTGGCTAAAAAGCGCGCCTCCTCTCTGATGTACTGCGATGGTGAGAACACAACACGTGCCCTCTCCCAGTTCACAGCTGATAAAAAATCGTATAATAGAGGGGTCTTTTAAATCTCAGATTCACCGAACTGTCCAGGAACACCGATTCAAGAAGAGCTCAGATCCCGTCGTTGCGGCGACTGAACCGTTAGAAAATTACATCGCCATCGTCCATCAACTCCTCGGCCCGGAGCCGCTCACTCCGCCCGTCCTGGTCGACAAGCCAGGCTACGTGTCAGGGTCGCCGAGTCATTTGGACCAGGGTGATCATGAATGTCTGAAAACTAAGGAGGCTCTCGGTGTTCCAACTGCGCGTTTTCGCAATGCGCTGCTAAAGAGCTACGTGTTGTGGGTCCATCCTCAAATGCCAATCTTGGACATGGACAACTTCTTGTGTGAAATTGCGAAAAATGACGTCCATAACAGCATTAGTCCGCTGTTATACCATGCAGTCATGTTTGCGGCCTCTGACTTCGTGGACATCTCCTACATCCACCGCGAGGGGTACACGTCGCGCGGAGCCGCTCGCGACGTAATGTTCCAACGCGTAAAGGTCTGTAGTCACTTCAGTCGCCAACACTTGCTGTAATGCAGCTCGGAGACCTGGATGCTGACTACCATGTCTAGGGACTGTTAAACGTTAATTGCGAAGACGACCGCCTTACTACGGTGCAAGCGCTGCTGCTTCTAACCCATTGGAATGATGAACCTCTTTCTGAGGAGGACACCAGCCATTGGATGGATATCTGCTTATCAATGGCAATGCGCATTGGTCTCCACCGCAGTCCCAACCCTTCAAACCTTACATTGTCCCAACAGAAGACGTGGAGACGAACATGGTGGGCTTTGTACAATCATGTTAGCCTGACAGCTGGAGATCTACCATCCGTAATGCGTCTTCAAGAAGGTCACACAGACGGCCATCCAGTTGATCCGCCCATGATTACCTTGAATGACTTCCAATTCGGCGTCTTCGGCCCTGAAGCGCGAGCCATCGTGGATGACTGTGATGTTTTTCAAAGTGTCGAATTGCAAAAGACGCAAACCCATTTGTTCATCGAAAAGACTAGACTCTGTCGACTGTCACAGTTTTCGCGTGTCGCCAACCGGGTGAGCAATTTGGCGCATGGAATAAACAGACCAGAGACATGGTCCTGTTCGCGGAACAGAGGTGCCAATGCAGACAAGACGGAGAAACTGCGCAGATGGTTCTTGCAGCTTCCAGCTGCCGCCTGCCATCAATACCCATCGGCGCTGACCCAGACGGAGTGGGATCGAAGCGTCTACTTGCATCGAGCGTGGCTGCGGCTGCTGTATTTAGGCTCGTTGTACGCGGCATGCTGCGACCAATTCCAAGCAGCCAACGGCACTTCCCCCTGTTTCTCGACATGTCCCCAATCCGACCAGGTGGACAAGTACCTATTAGATATCACGGACCTATTCGATGAGGTTGACAGTCTGGGTTTATCGGGGCACCTGCCCTCCTCTGCCACGGCACTTCTAGTCTTGGTCCTCACTTACCACAAGCGGCCCCTTGACACGACCATGTCACTCGATCAAGCCAAGAGGGCCCGCTCCTTGCACAAGTGTTGGAACATGATCCACAAGTTAGAAGAAACGTCTCGACTGGCGAGCAGCATGATAGCAGCCGTTAAAGATTCTGTATGTGACGATATGTGGGAACAACTTTCAGCAGGGCTGCTGCCATGACGGACAGTCGTTCTGCGGGGGCACAACGTGGTATCCATAGACATTTAAAGGATCTCCGAATTTTAGTTGAGCCGAGGACATGAGACAACCATGAAGAATATTAAACGGACAATTTTGATATAACGGCTGCAAACCCCGGCCACCTTTGGCCAAAGCAGGAAGGATGGTTCGTTAGGTGGTGAAACGAAGGCAGGACTGTCCAGTAAATTCCCTTTGAATGATGACAGGCCTCGGTCCCGAACACCGAGGCTGGACAGCTATCCCCACAATCTAGGTCACGGCTGGTCGCTCCACCGACTCCAACGCCACCGCAACATGGACACCTTTTTGTGTGTACAATATAGGAACATAAAAACATGAAACCCCCCCCCCCCCCCGGTGCGCCTATCAATACAATCGGACTCTCTTTTCACCCATTGACATCCTCACCACCCCATGGCGCTCATCACCACCCCAATCACCCAGCTCCTTCACATTGAGCACCCTATCCTGCTCGCAGGAATGGGCCATACTGCCGGTTCTGACCTAGTAGCTGCCGTTTCAAATGCAGGGGGACTGGGCGTGCTCGGTGGGTTGGGTTACACGCCAAAAATGCTCCGCGACGCCATCCAGGAAGTGAAAAGCAAGCTTCGTAAGCCGGATCTACCGTTCGGCGTGGATCTCTTGCTCCCCCAGATGGGAGGCTCCGCCCGCAAAACCAACAAGGACTACACCAAGGGGGCTCTAAATGAGCTGATCAATGTTATCATTGAGGAGAAAGCCGCGCTGTTCGTTTCAGCCGTGGGGATTTCCCCAAAAGAAGTGGTCGATCGGCTTCATGGAGCGGGTATCCTATACATGGTATGCATTGGCGATACACGCAATATCTTCGTTGAGAAAGATTGAATCGAAATTGACATATTGACTTAACAACATAGAACATGGTCGGCCATCCGAAGGTGTGTTCTTGACACTATAGAAAGTCAAAAGCATTCTTAAGAGCAACTCGTTGACCATTGACATAGCACGTCCACAAAGCCTGTCAAGTGGGCGCCGACCTCATCTGCGCTCAAGGTGGCGAGGCAGGCGGCCACACAGGTGAAATTCCGACCAGCGTGCTCATCCCTGCTTGCGCGGATGTTTGCCGACAATATAAGTCCCCCCTAACGGCAGAGCCCGTCCAGCTCGTGGCGGCGGGCGGCATTTTCGACGGCCGGGGCATTGCTGCAGCGCTGATGATGGGCGCCAGTGCAGTATGGGTTGGCACACGCTTCGTCACAGCCCGCGAGTCTGCCGCTCCGGAGCTGGGCAAGAAAGCGTCAGTAACTTGTTATGAAAAGAGATGCAGATTATGGCTGGCTAACTTTAATAAATGTGCTGGCAGTATCATCGACGCTGGATTTCAAGACACTATGAGAAGCACCTTGTGGACGGGTCGACCGCTGAGAGCTCTCGCAACGCCGTATATCCGGGACTGGGAACTCAACCGTCGCAGTGAAATTGAGAAACTGCAGAACGAAGGCAAGATTGTTTTGGATTATGAGCTGGATAGGCTGGCAAAAGAAGGTAAATTGACGGATGAGATTGAGGACCTGACTACACAGAGGTACGTTATGAGTGGCGATATCCTGAATTGAAGTCATACTGAACTCGTTGCAGGCCGATGGGTTGCGGTGCCGCCATGGTGACCCAGGAAGGTCAGTCTGCAAAGGAGATTGTGCTGGAGATGGTGGTTGAGGCTTTTGGGCGGTTGAGCGGAGCTCGACAATATGTGGAGGCGAAACTCTGATTGACTTAGAGTAAATATGGCTTAGGATCGGGACTCGCTTGAAATTAGAAGATCTTCTAGTATCATAAAGAGCTCTATTTTGCAAGCTCTTTTCTACAATGAATGTATTTTGTGGTGATATGAGGATGCCATACTTTGAATAGCTCATTTGTTCCCTTTGCTTAAGACATCTCGTACGTAAACACTGGAGTAAAAACAACCCATGATGATTGAGATGTCAAGTTATAATTTATCGCATTTGATAGGGTGTTTTTCGAGGTGGCCAATTCGTTGTTCAACATTCCGAGAGACGGGCGTAATGATCTCGACTCGCGCATGACTATCGCACATACTAGACCTCTGGCCACCAGTCAAGATCAACTCATCATCCCATAATAGACACTAGGCGAGACAAGCCGGAACGGATCCGGAAGTTTGTCCAAAGATCACACTTAAATGGTCCGAGGTCCCCCCACGTTGTCCAATTTCAAAACCCGCTTGGAAGCGTAATGTGCGGTAAAGCCCTTACTCTATACCGAGGTCTGTCGTCATCACGTCCAAAGATAGAAAAGGACAAGCCCAGCACTCTGAGAGCTTCATTCAATCCCTGAATCCAATTGTGATCGGGCTGTCTCACCTTAAACCTAACAATGGCATCCCAAAAGGTGCCTGTGATCATCGGCGTCGGTGAAATCAAGAATCCCTCTCGAAAAAAGGAGGATGCCATCGAACCGCTGAATTTGATGCTCAGTGCAATCAAGGAGGCAGCTCACGATGCATCCAGTTCTTACACGGCTCAACTTCTTGCTTGTGTTGACAGTGTGAGCGTCGTGGCTAGTTCGACATGGCGATACAAGGACCTTCCGGAACTGGTGTCTGAAAGATTAGGAGTCAGACCCTCACATAAGGCTTACAGCGCCTTGGCCGGAAGCTCGTCCGTTCAATTAATTGATGATACGGCTCGATTGATTGCAAAACGCGAAGCTGAGGTTGGGGTTGTAGTAGGAGGGGAAGCGATGGCTTCGTGTATGTGGTCCCATCTGAATAGGCTTGGTTGGATGTCATATTCTGAGCCATGTATGACTAACCGTTCAATCCATAGTGAAAACTTTCATCAAAACCAACTCATATCCTCCGCCATGGACAATGCCAGAAACAAATGACGTATACTACGCGAACGACACCGACATGCTGACCGGTAACTATCCTCAAATCAATGTGTCAGATAGAAATACTCACCTGGACAGGAATTGGAGGGATTCACAAGGTCGGAGTCCCCATGCATGTCTATGCCATGTATGAGAACGGACGGCGAGCCCACAAGGGGCAAACACCAATCGACAACCTTCAGGAATCCGCGTCGTTATATGGAAGATACGCCAAAATCGCATCTGAGCATCCGGCATCGTGGAACTTTGGGAAACAATGCGAGACAGCAGAGACAATTGGGACGATCACCCAGCGGAACAGAATGATATGTTTTCCGTGTCCGTGTTCGATCCATTCCGTGAAGAGCGAGACATATATTAACCATGGAAACACTAGACCCGCTGTTGATGAACGCCTTCAACGACGTGAATATTGCCGGAGCTTGTATTGTAACTTCGACCGACTTTGCAGAGCGAATGGGTATTTCCCGCGATAAATGGATATTTCCACTGGGAGGCGGGAGGGCGCAAGATACCGAAGACTGTATCGCTTACCCTTAATCTATTCTGTTTTTGGGCAACGGATTGACGCCCTTCTAGTCTGGAACCGTTCCAACTTTTTTTTTCAGCCCTGCAATTGCCACTGCCTTGGACGGGTGCCTACACTCGTCGGGACTGCGCAAAGAGGACATTGGAATGTTTGATTTTTACTCGTGAGTTGCACGCTGTGAGGAGCAAACCCAGCAATTGGCAGCTGCTTACCCTAACCGTTTTATACTGGTAGATGCTTCCCGGTCGTTCCTAAACTAGCATGCGACCACCTGGGAATCCCGTATGACAACCCACCGAAGCCAATTACTCTCCTGGGTGGTCTGACATCATTTGGTGGCGCGGGTGCGAACTATTCTATGCATGTAAGAGCAAAATACTCGGAAATCGTCCTCACTTATCACACTGTGGCTGATTTTGAACTCTTTGCCGCAGGCCGTGGCGGAGATGGTCCGTCGACTACGAAATCTGCATGGGCGCCGCGAAGCCTCCAACGGACTTATTCTTGCCAACGGCGGTGTGCTAACAACGGAGAATGCAATTTGCCTCTCTACCCAGCCTCACAAGTCTCACAAGTCATATCCGTTGGAAGATTGGATCCCGGCCCGTGTAGCCGCACCACCAATAGTCTCAGCGGTAGAGGAGGGGGAGGAGGCTGTGGTCGAGGTGTGTATCCCTGGTCTTTTAAATTACCTTAGCCTCTTACTGACGTGAGAAAGACATACACGGTTGAGTATGATCGGGAGAACCGACCCCAGCTGGGCCACATAGTGTGTCGACTGAATCGTAACGGGAACCGCGTTATTGCGAACCATACCGATTCAACCACATTAGAGCAGCTGGCCAGCTGGACGGAAGAACCAATCGGACGAAGTGGATTCCTCCGGCCGTCATCTCATGTAGCAGGGCAGAACCTGTTCAGTTTCCGCAGAAGTAATAGGCTATAGTATTGACGAATAACCGAATACTTACAGACACTGCCACCGAAGATAGGTGTATCTCCCTCCTACGTGTTTCCTATAGAACACTATATTGCTCCTCCAATTCAGATCCGTATGGTTTCAGTTGAGCATTTGGGGTTTGAACATTGAATTTAACAGAATGCTTCCGGGTAAGCGGACAGTCTGTAATAACAGATACGACATTATCGAGATCGGACAAACAGCTTACTAGGCGCGAACGGGAAGTAGGAGGGAGAGTATTGTGGCACCAAATAACAAAATGAAGGAAACAAAGGTAGATCGGGTTTAGAAAGGGGGCCAGGGAAAGAGAAGCTGAAACTGCAGAGCCGTACACCGAGGAACTGCTGGTCCAAGGGATCAAAGGACGGCAGCTCCCTTCGTTGGACATGATTTTCGTTCCTCACAGTAGTTGAATAGTACTGTAGAAGATAAAATGCGGTTAGGGCTTTTCTTCAACATATCTCAAGCCTAGGACGTCGGAGTCTGGGAACTTGACCCTAGATTTATCGGCTTTTTGGCTTTCCCCATTAGGAGATATTGGCTATTTTGTGGTAAATCGACAAATACGGATATGAGGCTGTGAAGATCTGCGATTCACTGCGGGCGGTAATTTTCCGAATAGTAGTTCAACAATAGTGTACGAAAGTCCCAACTCAATGGTAACTGATGTCGTCTTGACAGCCTATCATCATATCCCACATGCCCAATTTCTTTGTCGCAGCAGTGCGCGCTCACTCCCGGCAAGCTCGCCCCGCGAATGCTCAACAACTAGCTTCGCTCGTCGATGATGGCAGTCACTTCTGGTAACCTTTCTTTGAAGCGACTGGAAACAGTCCAATTGTCCAAATTTCGGATATGTTTTTCGAAGTTTGGATGGATCACTAGACCATGTTTAGTCTCGCAAACGGCACCCATAGGATTAAACGGCCAGTTCACAACCACGTGTGGCGAATAAAGATCGGCAAATGACGAATAAGTGTATTTGTCTGGATGTTGAATTAACAAATCGCGTATCTGCGGCCTTTGAGAATATTAGCAGGTACGAGTATACCTTATACCTGATACGTCTTTGTTGTTTTCCTGGTCTCTCTTGCTAGTTTGGTGTCTTGCCAGTCAAGAACTTACCAGGGAATGTTGTCAATCCACGGCGCATGTGGAACCGTGATTTGGATCGTGGTTGGTCGAAGCCACTGTGGCATCCGCTTGTAGTTCTCCTCTGTAGGAGATATTTGCCACCACTTCGTCTTAGCTTACATCCACCTGTTCAATTCGATATACTCACCCTCATAGTTCGGAACATCACAAACATAAAAGCTATTTTTTCGGGAAGATTGACATGCTCGAACTTTAAGAGGACATCTGTCAGGACCCGACAGGTTGGGTGCAATCCAATCATATTATCTCGTTGCACAAAAGCTTGCACAAAAGGCTGGGCCGGCCCCGTTACAGCCTCGACGTCAGCAGCTTGAGCAGCCATGGCACGCCGGAAGCCTATAAAGTCCAAAAGAATTTGGTCCAAGGGACATGTAGCGGTTGTGTGTTTGACCAGGACAGATTCAATGCTCGAAGGACAATCTGCTTGTTGCTTCGTGATTTCAGAAGAGAGCTTAGGCGCTACAGCAGTCAACGGCGCGCTAATCTGGTCTTGAGACTCTTGTGACACCTTATGGGGATTTTGGTCTGCTTCGGTCAGAAAGGTAAGCCTCAGCGCAAGTGCAAAGAAAGCCGGCTTCAGCACGCTTACCAGGTATGGTCCCAAAATTACCATTCGTTCCTTCCTGCATATTGGAGTCTGCACGATTTGACTTGTTATATCTGGGGTTGTAACTCCACAGACGGCCTCGGAGTGGGGATTCAAGCCAGACACCTCTTTATCCTGCTTCTGCGAACGACGGTCACGTAGCGCCCCAACTTCATCAACAGATAATGCCAGATGATGGAGGGCTTGGGCTTTGTGTGGAAGGTAGGTCGTAATGGGAGGCGAGAGAACTAGGTCGTCCACTCTCGTTTGAGGATGCCTTCGTCCATCGCGTAAGGAATGATATCGACAGATCAGAGAGCTCTGACCTCCTACACGACTTAAATTAGGAGTTCGATTGGCATATGTCGGAGCAAGTCTCCTTTCTTCTGACAGCTCATTGAGGGCGACCCGTCTGATGGTCTTTAGGCGAGACTGCAGTTGTCGGTTTTCGTCTCGAAGAAATTTGATCTCCTCCATCAGGCTGTTTTTGCTGCTGCCGAGACATCTTTGAACTAGAGCAAGCTCATCAAGCAGGTCTTCTAATCGGAGCTGGGCCGGTTGACGCCGCATGCGCTGCACTTCTTGCGGTGTGAGAGAGGAGACCTTGCGTGATTTTCCTTCCGCGCTTGGAGCCATGAAGATAGTGAACTTGGATGTCCACCGCCGGCTGTCCTCAGTGAAGGTGACAGCTTTTTGGAGGGCAGATGAAGCAACTCAAATTGGGTTAATATAGCAGAATCAGCAGAATCGGCAAAATCTTATCATTGACTCCAGTCTGAAGGCACTTGAGGCAAACGAAACCCGGCGTGCCGACTGATGATAACTAACCAGGTTGTAGTTAACGTAAACCACGGGCGAGTGGGCCCACCCGCCCGCAAATCGCGTCTCCCACGCGCGTTCCTACTCTCCTCAACCATCTACTATGCCGCCAAACGCACTATTTCGGGCCCTGATCCTTCCAATCAGGAAGGAAGGATCCTACTTGCTATACAAGCATACAAGATCCACAAAGTTGCCAATATTCGTGAAGCGGCACGTCGATTTGGTGTTCCAAGAACCACCCTCAGGAATATGCTCGCGGGCCAGACCTATCGTCCCACCACACGCGCAAATAACACAAAATTGACCTAATTGGAAGAGAAATCACTCAATAAATGGCTTCTTTCTATGGACGACCGAGGAATTGCTGCCGATCACGCTCTAATACGAGAAATGGCAAATATTCTGCTTGCGAAGCGCGGCGAGGACCCTATCCAAACAGTCGGAGTTAATTGGTCAGGGACTTTCATAAAACGCCACGGGACCTTGCAATGCGATTTAGTAGGTGATATGACTATAAGCGCGCTCAATGTGAAGATCTAGTGGTTATTCGGGATTGGTCTAGTACCGTTCGACGCACTATTGAACAATATGGTATTCTTCGTACGGATATCTATAATTTTGACGAAAAGGGCTTCGCAATGGGTATTGCAAGCACCTCAAAGGTTGCTACACGCAGGGAATACTATGGTAGGCGCAAGCTAGTGCGCCCTGGTAATCGCGAATGGGTCACTGCTATTGAAACAGTGAATGCAAGTGGGTGGGCGCTTCTACCTACTATTATCTTCAAAGGCAAGCGATACAACTAGTCTTGGTTTGTGGATCTCCCGTCCGATTGGCGCCTCCAAACGAGCGAAAATGGCTGGACTACCGATAAAATTGGTCTACTATGGTTAAAACACCTTTTTTATTCTATTGACTACACAGCGTACACAGGGGGTTGTGGCGTCTATTAATATTAGACCGCGACATTTGATGACTTATGCATAGAAAACAATATTGTTTCTATATGTATGCCACCGCATTCCTCGCATCTACAACCTCTCGATGTGGGCTGCTTTGCTGTTATTAAGCGATCAATGGTCAGCTTATCTAGGACTGGAATCGCTGGGGCCGGAGCCATATTGATAAGCTTAATTTTCTCACTGCATATCCACGCGCGCGAGATGAAGCATATCAAGGTATTACTATACGATATAGCTCTGCTGCCGCTGGCCTCGTTCCGCTAGATGCGCAGCGTGTGCTAGATAAGCTGAATATTTCGCTTGCCGATAATATACACCACCACCACTACCACCAGGGACTAGTGGGAGCGACAGCAGCGGTTTTGTCCCACATACACCTCATCATACAAAAGACCTAAATCGTCAGGCAAATTCGATCAATAAGCTCCTTCGCTGGCGTATGCATTCACCACCTAGTCCTATTGTAAAGGCCTTCGCGCAATTGGTCAAAGGATACGAAAGAGAGATGCATAAAAATACTATATCGGCACGCGAAATTGAGAAACTATGCGCCCAAGTCACCCAAAATGATCATTTAGTCGTGGAAGTGGAAAACACTGCCGAAGCAGGTCCTTCCTCGGCGGCGGAACCAACCAATCAGCGTGCGCCACCGCGGTGTTCAAATTCCTGGCAAATAGGGCATTAATCGTCTCGCTCTTGACCCAGGGAACGAGCGCCGAAGATATCGGCATTGCTTTACAGGAGCACTACCACGTCGTTGTTTCAGGCCCTACGGTCAGCCGAAGCATAGGGATTCTAGCGTCAGCGAGCTCCGCCAAGAACTAGGGATAATCCCATATTACAGTAGCGCATCGAGACGCTTGTTCGCCAGGGCAATCATTCGTCGAAGGAGGTCCTCCACGTCCTCACGGCTGATGCTAATAACACCCTGATATCCGAATGATCCCTCCGAAGGATCCGTGGCCAGTTTGGAAATCGACTCCGTATCGACGACGCTAAGGAAAGCAAAGGGAGATTGAAGCCATACTACGCAATGAGCTTGGTGTAGGCCAAATTGAGGGGCTATGGAAAAGAGCATTTATATACCCAGATTCGCCGCCATGGGTATAATATCTTTGCAAGAGACCGTATCTTCGCGATCAAGCGAACTCTCCGCCCAGATGCTCTTGAGCGTCGCTCGCGTGGTCTTCAGCGCGCCCGAGGGTCGTATACTATGCCTAGGCCGAATTTTGTATGGCATATTGATGGCTATGTAAAGCTTGAGCCCGTTTGGAATCGAGGTACGTACGTTTCCTAGCTATTCTCTAGCGATTCCCGACGCTTCTCAAGCACTAAGTAATGATAGATTTATTCTGCGATCGACGGGTACTCTCGCTATATAATCTGGATCTATCGCCGCCAGCCTACCCCTACCATGAGCGGGAGACCTCGCAGCGGAGCTCGCAGCAAATACCGAGCTTCCCAAATCGCTCCTATCTCCAGCCGGCCCATGAGAGGGAGCACGCGCAGCCAGCCTATACACAGGGGCGCGCACAGTATATACTAGGCTAGTTCCTCCAATGCGTTACAGCTGCAGCCCGTAACCAGCGCATTCAGCCGGCTCCCCGGACTCTATCAACTTCAACTTCCTCCCGAGCCTCTCAAGCCCCCCGGCAGCTACGGGCTCGTCTTTCCTTCTAGCTATGGCGGAAGGATGCTCTAGCAAAGAAGGGCAGGGAACCCCAGAACTTTGGGGGCGTCATATTCTACCCACTCAATCGCTGCTTGTCCGGTTTGAGCACTTTATAAAGAATGAGCTCCTACCAGCGATAGATACAGACCTCGAGCAGTATTCACTAGAGCCAGGCGATGTATACAAGCTAGCTCTCGAGTTCACGAAGAAGCTAGTGTAGCCAGTCTTCCTATCTCCAAGGTACAATAAGGAGATGCATACTACTGAGCTCTAGGATTTATTTCACAAGAGGGGCAGCGCCGAGCGGGATATCAATATTGTCATCGTCCGGAAGGCAGTGGAAGAAGAGCCAGATCTTCGACCAGACCAGCTCAAGCAGGAGCCGGGAGCCCGCGATGCCCAGGTTGCCCGCGATGCCTAGCATCCAAGCAGTGAGAGCGTCAGGTCGTCTCTCTTCGACTATGGTCTGACGCCAGCCGACGACGTCGATGATCCCGCTATCTTCTTCACCTTCAAGAAAGACCCAGCGCCACCGGCGAGAGACCCTAACCCCGATACACCAACAGACAGAGCACCAGCCAGAGCACCAGCCAGAGCATCAGCCAGAGCATCAGCTAGAGTACCGGCTAAAGCACCGCCGCCGCGACATCCCAAACGCCCTCGGGCGGTTTCATCCACGGTATCGCCGCCCAGACGCGGCGCCGGGTGCGGGATCGGCTTCAGGGGGAGGCTCGGGATGATGTGATATCAGGGCGCTCTTGTCGATGGGTAGGTGGATAGCTGGCAGGTAAAATAGGCAGTTAGTTAATCGAATAGATGTGGCATTCAAAATAGCCTCTGTTTTTCAAAAGTTGTGGAAATGGAATATCTGGGCGACCTGGAGCGCTAAACCTGGTTGTGAAAGGGGCGTTACCTAGTCTGCCATGGTAATTATTATGAGAGATCGTGCACACCAATTTTTGTACGAGTTGAGGGCAGACTTTGGATGGCCGGGAGGCCTTGGTGAAAGGGAGAGTACCCAGTCTACCATAGTAATTACTATGAGATACCATGTACTCCTGTGTTTCAAACCGATTATATAATATTGTCGGCAATAAAACGTTTTGAACGAAGACCGCTATCGCCTGCCGTCGTCGTTCCAGTGACCACAGGCAAGCAGTGTAGTAGACGAATCGGCGGCGATGCTCTCGATTGGTTTCGAAGGCCTGGTTTTCTGCCTTTTTTTTTTGTTGCAGTTCTTAGGGATGTTTTTACACAGACATATATCTCACTCAATTCTTTCGTTCCCTTGAAATATTGTGATCTCCATCCTTTTTGCCAGTTTTCTATGCACCCTGGTGCTGCTGAGTAGTCGATTTCCCCGTATCGAGCTGCTGTGCCAGAAGAATGGCCCCCCGTTTCACTGGGCTTACACATGACTTTAGTCTAGCATGTCTTCCGCCCTCGAGTGACTAGCTCTCGTGGGGGGTTTCTATATACGAACAGCCGCTGGATTTGTTGGCTGCTGCGGGGGTCGGAACACAGTAGTACGAAGTGGTACAGTACCAAAAACATTCAGCTTAGAGACGTACATGCCCAGGTGTAAAATTATTTCACCGTTCCACGCCAGCAATTCCGTAGCTCCTCTTATACAAGGGATTTTGGGAGCGATCTGGCTTCTATGAACACTATCTCCGCATACTTTCCAACACAAAGGTCGAAAAGCAAAGTCCCTCTCGAGAATCCGTTGGTATCAAATCCGGGGCCAGCTTCCCCAGCCTATGCGTTTCCCCGCATTACGAATTAGGTTGGTACTGTATCCACAATATAGAAGTCCACGGGATTCAAATCCCGGGGATCCACGGTTGTCCGTACGGTCTAGCCAAACAGCGGAGCTTATTACACAGTCTCCATTTTTGCAATAGATACTCTAGCATGTAATGCTACTTGGATTCCACGGATTAGCAGTTCCACTTGGAGGTGGTGACTTACTTCATTTGGGATGATCCAACTAGCCGTCCAAAAAAGTCTTGTTATGCAGCTGGGATATGTATATGTTAGGTCATCTCTCAGGACTCCTTCCCGTGCTTCACACATAGCAATTTCCGCGCACCTTATGAGTTCGAGTCGTCTTTTCTCCCTACAAGCGCTCTAAAGGAACACTTCAAAACTATTGGCCAACATGTTGACCCTTGAATCTGTCAAAGGCAGGGGACTGTATCGATTAATGAGTGTCTGTTGTGGCATAGTATTTACCTCTCCTGCTCCTACTAATCCAACCCCTGCGTATGCTAACCTAATGGTAGGCCTTTCTACTTTACGGGTATGTGGGAATTTTTATAACGTATTCAGCACAAAAGATCTTTAGCTGAATTATGAAAGATATGACGGGGGCGTTTTAGGTGGTGTACAGGATACTCGACCATTTCGCGAAGCCATTGGAGTGAGTCTTCTCTTCTGTCTAGGTTGATTGACGCCTGCTAAGTTCTGCTTCGTCTAGAACCCAACTGGTACTTATATTATACCTATGATATCTTCAAGTTATACCCTTGCTGCGGCTGCTTGTTCCATCGTTGTTTCCATTATTGGGTTGCCTGTTGGTCGACGCGGCTGCATCCTACTAGGCGACACTCTAGTTGTCATAGGAGGAATACTGCAGGCAACTTCGTGGTCAATGGCACAACTCTTTGTGGGAAGAATAGCTTGTGTACGTGGACTCTATTCTCAAACAAAGCAAAGGCCAACTAATCACTGATATGCAGGGATTTGGAATCGGGGTATATTCTGCTCCATGACGAATTTCTTCCAACACGCTCTAACAAGGTTCCAGTTTATCTCGTGTGCTGTTCCAACATACATGGTAAAGCATTTTGAACAGTCCAGATCTTCTGCAAAGAGAGGCACTCATAAATGTATAGGCTGAAATGAGCATAGAAAGCAAAGAACGCGGTCCAGAAATAGCGATACAATGTGCTTTCCTCATTAGTGGAGCTGCAGTTGCTTACTGGGTTGACTTTGGCTTTACTCGAATGGATAACCAAGTCTCGTGGGTAAGTAACGCTTGAACTCCGCTCGATGCCGACTATGCCGACGATGCTGACTTTTCAGCGATTACCAATCGCCTTGCAGGCTGTTTTCGCCCTAGTATCAGGGTGCATAATGTTTCTGCTTCCTGATACCCCAAGATGGTACTTCGCGAGAGGTCGACACGAAGAAGGAGACGCCATCCTTGCTCGTCTCCATGACCGTCCGCTTTCAGATCCTGCCGTTTTCGATATGCGAAACGCCATCCTTTCTTCTATTGAACTTGAGGAAGAAGAAGGCAATCGCTTCAGGAAACTGGATCTATTTTGGGACCGTGGCCATCTCAAAGCCGGTAGAAGGATTCGCATTGCATTTTTAATGCTCTGCTTGCAGCAAATGATGGGTATGTTTTCTCTTCAGTGTATAATAAATTTTCCTTCCATGCTTAGTGACTTGCAGGTATCAACATTTCCGTATACTGGGCACCTACTATAGTCAGCCAAGCCGGACTCTCCAGCTTCATGTCGCAGCTGATAGCAGCAATAATGACCACAGTTTTTGCTCTCGGCGCCGCTACTCTTCCCTTTTCAATTGAGCAGGTTGGGCGCCGCCGAGTTCTCATGTACTCGGCTGCTATTATGACTGTCTGTTTATCGATTTTCGTTGCAATGATTGGCTCGCCCCATAGGACCTTAGCCAAGCAATGGACGGCTATAGCAGCTCTCATTGTTTATAACTACGTCTTCGGTTACGGTTGGATTGGAGTATGCTGGTTGTATGGGCCCGAGGTAAGAGTCTGCTCCAGACTTTATGAAAATGGTGCTGAAGAAGGAACACAGATTGCCCCCCTCAAGTTTCGACACGTGGCCGGTGCTTCGGGAGCATTCGGCGAATGGCTCTTTTCTTTCGTTACAGTTTTTGCAGGCGGTATTGGTCTGCAGCAGGTTGGCTGGAAGCTGTGGATTTGGCCCATCATCTCTTGCGCCGTTGCAGTGCCCTTCGTCTGGTTTATGTGTCCGGAAACAACAGGGAAAACTCTCGAAGAAATCGACATGCTTTTCCAGGATGCGTCCAGCACAAACTCCACTGCCAGTGATGACATTACTCCCTCTTTTGGTGAGAACTCAGAGAAAGCGCATACCGAACAAGTGGAATCAGTCTGATTACAGAAGCTTCGGCATTCGCTGGTCCAATTATATGTGTGAACATGTGGTGAATGTTTAGTGGAGAGATTTGAGACCCACTCAACATTTCCTAACGTAACTCTACTGAGGAATCAGTCTTATTCTATTGTTTTGGCCCCCAATTTTGTATTGCAGTACTATTCCAGTGAGCGTATAGTTACTCTTCCATTTAAAGGGCCGATTTAGCTCGTTATCTCCAACAATACATTCATATTTTTTTGCCTGGCTGGTCTATTTCCCTAGCATCTACACCTCTTTCTCTCAACAAAATCCGCACACTAGCTGGCTGCAAAAGCGAGCCGGCCACACCAAGAGCGTACAGTAAGTGTGATATTTTGCCAAAGTCATAATGTTTTTCGTAAATTTACAAAATGATAAATCATCAAAGAATAGTGAGAAGATTAGAAGGACTAGTGCTTGCCACCATTGGGAATACATGTATTCCTTACATCGCAAAGTCATTGTATACAACGCTGAGTATTTTTCATTTTGAGGGTAGCTGCCTGTATGGTAGCATTAGGCAGCGCCTCAACGTCCGTCAAAACCTAGTTTTACCTCGGTTGCTTTCTCCTTCCAATCAACAACAGACTTCAACACATCTTGCAGTCTTCCCTTGTTCTTCGGTCTATGTGTCTTCGAATGAGCCTACAAGCGTAACGAATTGTGCCTAGACATTTGGGAGGAAAAAGAAACGAAAAAGAGACTTAGAAAAAAAAAAAAGCCATAAATATCCATATCTTCCCGCCGGTGTCTAAAACCGGGCGGAGTTCTTTGAGTAATAACCTAAAATTCGTCAGTTTCCTGATAATTACATCTATCATAAGACTCACATACCTCCAAAGCCATTTTGACAGGGTGTAGATGGCAGCGTCGATGTGTCGAGAGCTAAGCGGAACAATCTTCATGGCAAGCCCTAGGACGATGTTCCATGGAATCCCGAACGAGAACCGTACAAGCAAAACATAGTTTGAAGCCGATTGTGGACCTATAGCAGTTCCAATCATGACAAACATCATTGTGAGAGACAAGACCACAGAACTAGATATTAGCATAATACTACGCCCGTATTTATCCAAGATGCAAATGGCAGGCAATCCACCGACCCACAGTGCAATTGAATGGTGCGAGCAGCGAGACTCATCGCCTCTCTGTCGAGGCAAATATTGCTCTCTAAAGCAATGGTAACTGCTTAGAATCTAAGTAAATGTCCACCAAAAGTCTAGCTAGGTAGGAGGAAGTGCTCACTGCCGTAGACCACGGCTATATTGATTCAAGTCCGCTGTTGGAAGAACTGGACGAGGAGACACGGCAACAGTCACAGAGTCATTCAGAGTTCTGATATATCAGTAATAGGTCTTGCTGTAGTGAGCTTTGGCTGTTGCTCTCCCGGCAGCGTGACTTCCTCTTTCTCCTTACCCGTATCTTCAATTCATGGATCAGATACGCTGTAGCCTAGCGATCGTGATCTAACCTGTATGCTTTCGTCTCGTTGGCCATAGACGAACAACCAGCTTTTGAAGCAGGGCTTTAGCTCTCCGATTGCTACAATCGATAACTTGGCTTGAACGGCTCACGAGGCTGCACGAAAGACTTACATTCCCATGAAAAGGGTCTTGATTTTCTTATCATATTGATCTTGGTCAAAGCTCAAAACCTGCAACCAGATGGAGTTGTCACTACCTGACGGGAAAAAAGAGCTTCTTGGAAGAGAATCATCAAGTTCTACAATTTTGAAGCCTAGATACCCTTTGCTGTATTCCAGCTACTGCAGTAACTGATATAGATGCATGGAACAGACAGTAGAATAGTTAAGAATTCATCTTTTCACATATGAAGCGCTAAGTGTTGAGAAAGTCGTTCATCAAATGTGTGAAAATTTTCTTGACGTGGCTTCCTATTTACATGATTTTTTCTAACAGTGGAGAGCTGTCTCAATTGCACGGAGTGAGCCAATAACTCCAGGGTATTCAGAGACTACCGACCACCGAGGCCAACCTCGAAAATCACCTTCTGGGTCCGCATTTATTTGAAATCGTTGTATCTGTTCTCCTGTTACACGAGATCCTTCTATGGCAATAGTACTTACGCCTGGGCGGCTTGGGACAGAGGACAAATATCGTACGACATGAAACTAAAAGCCATTGGACTTCACGATATCTCAAATGCTCTAGGAGAAGCGTTCTCTTACGTCAACATATCCTGCTTTCTTTCAAATAGTTTCATGGCATTTTCGAATATACCTTTAATCATCAGAGATAATAGCTGGCGAGAGGTTAAGGGCACTTACTCCGAACTGGGCATCGCCCCATTTGCAAGTGAAAGTTTTTGCCGTAGGCTTCGTTTCCAGTCCACAGAATTTCGCCGTTGTGCACGCCGACGCTTGATAGACGTCCCCAGGGTCGAAGCATTTCGAACCCCATCCTTAACGCGTTACTGTGACCAACCACCTCTATAACAATGCCTGCCCCCTATCATCGGTGACATCTTTCACTCTTTACCAAAGCCCATGTTCATTCTCTTGGAAATTCCACGTTTCTGCACCGAGACTTTGTGCAAGCGCTAGGCGTGACGGGACGCTATCGATTGCCATAATGTTCTTTGGCTGGTAGTCTAAAGCGCTCACAAGGGCACAAATACCCACTGGACCGCAGCCGAAAAGGAGAACTGTACTGTTCCGAATTTCTTCCAGACTTAGTTCCCAAACCCATTAGAAGCGGCAAAGTAACCAGTTGGGAAAATATCGGCCATCAGAACCGGCTTCTTTTTGTTGATAGTAGTCGTTCCAATATGTAACAGAGTTGAATCAGCTAGTGGAACTTTCACGTACTCAGCTTGTCCTCCATCGAGGCCCACGGTACCAAATAGCTGGCCAGAAGCACACCGAGAGGAGAATTCATGCTTACAGTAGAAGCATTTCCCACAGCTGACCGTAAAAGGAGACACTACTAGATCCCCTTTCTGAAAATTCTTCACATCAGATCCGACTTCTACAACCTCTCCTGTAAACTCGTGGCCTATGATAAATTCCGTCCCCGAGGTTTGGTGACCCCAAAAAACGTGTAGCTCACTGGATATCTCTTGCTATCAGCGATTGCGCAGGAGGCAGAAGCGGTTAGCCTCATTACTTACCTGCCACATAGTGCTGTATATCTCACTTTCAGAATCGCATCTGTCGAGTTCTGGACGCTGGGCACAGGTCGTTCCTCGAGCGCAACCTGCATCGGTCCCTTGAAAACCACAGCTAGCATGATGAAACTAAGAACCTATGATGGCCCTTACTCCCATGAGAGGCTCAATATTGTCTGCTGCAAATCTCAAAGTCTTTGGTTTTGAGTTAAGAAATTAGTCGCGCCAGGGTATTGAGGTATAATTGTATTGAGGTTATCACCGTTGAGCCTCGGCAGCCCTCGGAGGTAAAAGATATACCGAATACAAGGAGCTTTAATCTACTAATTGAGAGCGCCGATATGAACTACGGTTCACAAGCGCGTTCCGATCCTGAGTCTCTACGTCCATACTAACAATACTTGTGCGGTAGCTAAATAAGGCCAAATTTCACGGGACCCGAAGCCCGGGCGGTAAACATGACACAAGCACACCAATGGAGGGAGTTGCACCGAGGCAAAACGAGAGGAATGGCAACTATTGTAGTAAGACATGCAATCCTACGGTCGGATTCTTGTGGCATACGTAACGCAATTTATACCGCACTTGAGTATTTCCTCTTTCCGTTTTAGTGCTCATCCCTCGCCGGTTGTTGCTCCCCGAATAAAACTGAGCACATTCCTAGCGGCCTGATCCGATCAGTGAGCATGAAAATATTACATGTATCCGCTCACTGATTATTGCCCTGATTCGCTCGCAAAGTATCAATTTTTGATGCCCATTTTGCCGTCACTTAGCGTTGTGGTGCCATATATCTCATTCTCTCTTTCGATTATTGGATATTGATTTTGACTTTTAACGCACTGCAAAAAGCGGATAACCTTGACAATAATTCTCCAAAGATGATTGTTGGTCTTCACGGAAGAGAGATATGAACCTGCCATATCCAGAGGCCGCTTATGTTAACCTGCGACTCCCGCAATATTGTCGGGAAGAAACGTTGTCATTGCAGTCTATTTGTAAAGTCACTTAGACGAATGAGTTGGGGCATTCAGAATAGATAATTTTCAATTGTCAGCTATGCCACATTTCGAGTGAAATCATACTTCAGTCATTAGACAGACTCGCAATCTGCCAACCAGCCTTCGTGATTGGTGGCCCGTTAGACAAATTTCTCACTACTCCCAATTGCGCTACCCCTAGCTATACCCTTTCGGGCAACCTTGACTATGATTCTATTGTTTATTTGGTAAGATTTGACCTCAACACCGCGGTACCACTATTATTTACAATTGCCACACGTTGGACCTGGGTAGTACATGTACAATTTTGACAGACGTAGAAAGGAAGCGCTAGGACTCACCATATCTGATTAGTAAGAAAAAGCAAATCTAAGGGAAACGATCTTGCCAAGAGGGTGTGTGAGCGATAGGAGGAGGAGGAAGGTCTAGCTAACAATAAATAGGCGCTAGTATCAATCCACGGGAGACACGACACCACCATTCCTACCAAATTTTAAACATGATCATAGTTGATAATTATAAAGACCTACGGAAGAGATGGAAATATCGCGCATTATGCATTCACTGGGGTTTCATTACTCGGTGGTTATTAGGAAGCAATACATTGGCCCGCAGAGAATATACATGGGACTGGCTATTTTGTATTCGCTTTTGAGCGCAGAATGATGACTTCAAGATTACATAAAGCCCTAGAAACGTGAATCTTTCGTCCTAATTGAGGTTTTGCGTCTATCTTTGCCCCCCTATATCCTTCAAAGCATCACCCACCACTAAATTCTCATACCCAACCATGTATGTCATCGGGAGCTTCATGAAGCGATCGCAGTCCTCACTCAAACTAGCCGCATATTCCTCGCTCGTGTAGAATTTCATCCAATCATCCCTGTTTCTCACCCAATGCTGGGCACATCCATCATAGTCAAGAACGTTCGCGCCCAGACTTTGAGCTCGAGCTTTCATCTCCGGAGCTTGGTGGTGCTGTGGCATATATAGATTGATTCATGTTTCGAGGACGAAAGTGCTCTGAGTGAGCTAGACTTACCTGAAGATATCGAAGAATGTTGCCTTGGAAAGCTTTTGTTGCAATGGCAAGGTCCGCGTGAACGGTTTTCCAGTGCTCAAAAAACGTCTCGTACGAAACTGATTCCAGTTTCTTGAAGAAAACTGACACCTTAATACACGGCTGGAAATTAGGCTCTTTGTCGTAGCTGAGCTCTAGGTATGTAACCTGATGGCTGATTTGGGTAGTCATTGTGAGTTTTTTGTCTTGGTAGTATTTCGTGAAATGTGAGTGGGTTGTGTATCATAATGAGTCAGGAATGGAGGCAAGTGCCTTCAAATTTATATTCATTGCTCTATCCCCTCCATGTTGCGCTGAGCGAACTCGGGAATCCTCATGACTAAGTGTCTCTTAGTTAAGTCGCTGAAAATATATTAGGTGCGGGGACAGCTTAAAAGCAAAATTATGCATCGTCATGTAGTTTGTTGGGTAAACAAGCGTGGTTAGGGAACTATAAACCCGGAGGGGTATGAGCCGTATCCTCGATAACTAAATCCATTCTGTCTAAAGGAGAAAATACTTATTGGGACGCAAAGGTCTCCTAGCTCTCAGGCTTTCTTGTCATTTGACTCTATTTCCCCCTATTTTGAAATTCGCGGGTGATTCCACAAGCAGGTTTTCAACAGTCATATGTCGAAGCCTTATTTCTCTTCTTGACTCCCAAAAGACCAATTTTATTTTCGCTTTCTGTAAACTTTCAGATCAAACTGCCCGGAGATCAACAATGAATATCATAACAGGAGCATTACGGGGCCGCACAGGATTTTCGAAACGACTTTTTTATCAGGGTCCACTTTTGAGAACTAATACAAAGCAATCAGAGGCCAAATATCACCAGCTTAGGGCTCTATATATGACCGCCTCGTCTGCAGGAGAACATCACAAAACTTTCCCTCAATGACAAAGTGACTGTTACAATAGGTGAGTTCATCCTCGATTACCTTTCGTATAATGCTTGATGTGAAGCCCCTTGTCTTGAACTACTCAAGGCGGTTCCCGAGGAATCGGACTAGATCTTGCCAAAAGTGTAGCGGGTCTTGGTAGTGGCGTTGTTTTGATGGACATTCTGGAGCCTCAAGTGGATTTGAACAACCTTCGGAAGCGTGGAACAAGAGTCAAGTTTTACAAGTATGATATTTATAACTATGTCTAGACTCAGTAGTGCTAATTTGCCTCTATCGGTCTCCAGGACGGACGTTACACAAATGAAGAGCTTACAAGAGTCCTTTGATCGATCCATTGAGGATTTTGGGAAAATCGACAACTGGTAAACACCTTGTGAGATCTGGAAACGGGTAGCTCATGCTAATTCAGAGTCCCACGTAGTGTCACGGCGGCTGGCGTGGCCCTGGATAAGCCTTTTCTGGACCATACATAGGACGAATGCCGCAAGATTTTAGATGTCAATGTGAGCCTTGAGGACGAATCATGATTTTGCATTTCTGATGAATGCGTAGGTTCTTGGTTCATTCTTCAGTGCCCAGTTAGCAGCCCGACAAATGGAAAAGCAAGGCACGGGAGGTCCATCATGATGGTTGCATCAATCGCAGCTCATTGGGCTATCCCGTCGCAAAGGGTGTCAATATACGGTGGCTCTAAAGCGGCGATTAAGCTCCTAGGTGGAACCCTGGGCGTAGAGTTGGCTCCCTTGAAACATACGGGTTAATACGTTGTCTCCAGGGTTCATTGCTACCGACATGTCCCTTTTTTCAAGGGTGGCGCTATTAGCATCCCTTCGTATTGACATACGAAAAAATTTGGCACATCTCCACTACGCTGTAATCGGAGGAAACAGATAAGGCTCCGATAGCGCGCAGATGATGCGGGGCCAAAGAAACCCACAAAATGACAGCTAAACTTACGCCCGATCAGGAAGTCTCACTCTTGATTTTCCCCAGAACTTGAAAGCCGGGAAATGAAGAATGAGCAGACGAGGCCCCCGCGCGATTTCCTGAGTCATTCTAGGTCAGTCAAAATCCTTGCATTGAGGCTTTCGTCTCATGACAAGTCATCACGAGGTAATGGGGGATGACAGGCCTGGTATGGAGGACCATGAATCATGGTCCTTTTGTCAGAGCCAAGCGAATCCTGCGCGATAGACAACTAATCGCCTTTCTTACGGTGCACAGAATGAGCATCTGGCTATGAATTCCTTCATCTTTGGCATATTTTTCGACACCAAAGCTTCATACAAATGAACCGAGAGCAGAGAAGACAGCTGGAGAGATTCACAGAATTCCGTAAATAAGATTGCACCAAGTATGGTGGGGTTGGGGGCTGAAATTTTTCTGATTTCTTTAGAAAAAAGGGTCCGAAGAGAACCCTGTATTTGCAAATTTTGATGACTCTTTTTTGATTTAGTGCAAGATCCAAGATTGTGTATCTGTCTCTTGTGATCATACCATACCTGGTAAGACTTGTTGATTACAGTGGCACAGCAAAAGTCTGTGACCACCCACCCACCCCCTCCTCTAACCACTCATTTTCACCGCCTCACCGCCTCCTAAATTAGACTAGTAGAACGCGTCGCGAAGAGTGTAGTTTAGATTAGTATGATTATTGTCATCAAGTAACTATGCCTCGTGTGCGATCTTTACCACGACCACGGCCAGTACCGAGGGGCCCTCTACCTACTGCCCTCGGCCACCTCTAGCACCCCCTAATAGTGCCCTAAGACGTCGGAATTGCGAACCAGACGTCAATCTTCGAACACAAATTGTCACACTAAGAGAGACTGCTGAATGGTCATATAGAGAACCATAAGAAATTCCCTGATCTTCTACTATCTACTATTAAAATGACATGTCTACGATCACGTATTCGCCACAAAGAAGAGTCTTTACAGCGGACAGACGTCCGAAAGTCCTCGATGAGAGTGACCGTCAATAGACCGCGCAGCGGCCCGCGGGTAACCCTCACGACCCTGACCCTAGCCCTCTAATCTGAGGGTTGAGGGCCCAGGACTTCGGGCTTCAGGGCGAGCGCACTAGACCTACGACCCTCCAAGGGTAGCCCTTGGGGTCACGGAGGATCGTCAAAACAAGGCAAACACAGTAAAGTCGTGACTTAGTTTAGATCGCATTAATTATGTAGCATTCTATTGTATTTTACGTATTCCTTTTACAATTTCAGATAAATATACTGATCGACTTCAAAGTGCTTTATTATTTCTTCATATACTAGGTCTTCCATACTAAGCCCGACCTAGCTCATATCTATTAAGACGCTTTAAGCGTTTTCGGACCCTACCTAATACCTGGTGTTGTGTATCGGGCAAGGGAACATCAGCATTATCATCGTCATTCTCATCCTTATCCGGCTTAGATGTAACACTCTTCGCCCTTCCCCGAGCCTCTCTTACTTAAAGGCTGAATATTAGGCTATGGTTGAGTTGATTCTGTCTCCTCTTCTTCGTTATCATCACTAATTAGACTAAAAGTGGCTTCTTTCGTGTTCTTTTCCTCCTTCGTAGCCTGTTTCTCCTAATGTGAGAGATACTTATTAATTAACATCCGTTGCTCGTCCTCGACATCAAATTTTGATATACATATAAACATTATAAGATTACTAATAGTTTTAGACTTTAGAGAGCCTTGACGATAGTTATAGATATCCCGAGCGGAGTTGAAGAGTCGCTTAACTCCTCTACCGGTAGTAGGAACCAAGAGCATATCCCGTATGAGATGTGCAAGTGCTAGGAATTTCATGTTGATAGTCTTTCTAGAAGAGGCGAGGGTGGGTTCGTATAGTACTTGGAAGCAACATTAGCTTTACGTAAAAGAATTAGAATGTAGTACTCACTACTCTTAAGATACTATTTGAGTTCGTCCTATTTAGTAGTTAGTGTTTGTTAAGAATCCTCTATATCGCAAACTAATCCAAGCTTATCCTGAGCACGTATGGATAATGAAGTCTTTAATAATAGAAGCGGATCCTAAAGTCGCTTTTATATGCCTTAAGATAATCCTTAAGACTCTAGCGATATCGCCTACGCTAATCCTGTCCTAGTCCGTCCTAGTCCGTCCTAGTCCTTAGTAGAGAAGAATTGAAGTTTATATTGTAGCACGCCATATTTGTGGCATAGCTAATATAAAAAGCATCAAAACTTACTATTTAGTATGAAAACTTAAGTTAATTCACCATTATTAGGACTAGATTTATTAAATACGATTCTATTTCAAAGGATTTTATAGCGTTGTTAATGTTTAGACAACGTGAGGCAAATTCTTGCCTAAATAGCCGTTCTTTACGGGCAGACACGCAAATTAATCATCGTTTTTGTGCATCCCTTTTAGGAAAGGTTGCTAAGAATTATGCAAAGGAGGGCTATCAAGGGTTATTGAGGGTAACCCTCGCCGGGCCCAAGCAACCCTCAGGGTCGGGCGGAGGGTTCAAATCTTGGGCTCGGGTGAGGGCCGCTACGCGGTCTAAATCAAATAATATCTATTAGTATTCTACGGGCTTACCTAAACTTTTAGGTGTCCTTGTTGACTTAGATTCTAAGCTAATGTATATGAAGAGCGTGCCTATAGAAGTAGGGTGTCTAAAGGTACCCTACGGACTAAAAGCGGAACGCAAATCTACCTTATCTATCCACCCCCAATATAGGATAGAGAATAGGTTGGGCAAGGGCTAGCCGTAGGTGACTAAGATCCTCTACGACCGACAGTGGTATAGTAGGTGTATGTCTTCGGCAGAGAAATATATTCTCACGGGGCTGTCTATCTTGCAAATCTCAGAAGTGGACGTCATTAGTAGGTCTGCAAGCCATCCCCGCTATGTTTTCCCTGGTTAACTGCATAGTGTACACGTCCATAGAGTGCAAGCTTCAGTCGAGAAGTTAAGGCGTGCAGCTCATCAGGTCATCAGGTCGACCCCTGACCTGATGACCTGATGAGGTTAATTTGGTTATGCCTAGTGATTACTAGTAATTACTAGTAGTCTACACCGTAAATTGAAGAATCTAAAATTCCTGATTTAGTTATGTGATTATAAAAAGCTTATTAGGTCGAAATTGGACCCACTTTTTTGACCTGATGAGCTTTTAATGGTCATTACTAGTAGGTAATAGTAGTAACTAAATAACTATATTTCTTCAAAAAAGGAAGGTGACCTAATGACCTGATAACCTATATTTAGTTTTACCTAGTAATTACTAGTAAGGATAATAAAAAATAAGTAATATAAATAGG